CTGGTAGGTACCCCGTGAAACCCGCTGCGGAGACTGAGGGGGGGGAAAGAAGTGGGTTCCTGATTTCTGCAATCCAGCCGGAAGCAGGACCTGCATATCCGTGACGATCATTGTACCCTGAATATCTGGCCCTTTATTTTTGTTTTGGCTTTGAGATACATTTTCATTATCAATACGGAGTAGTCAAGTCGGCTTCTAAACATCCAGCTCTGACAGTGAAACGGGTGACACACCTGATATATCCCTATCCTAGACCGAGATCATTTTTAGACTTGAACTGTCTTTGTTTTTCTCTCGCTATGTCACATCCCTCGCCAATATCGTCGTCTCATCTAAGTCCATTGGGAATAGCTCGTGGCGCGCTCAGGTGGTCATGTGTGCAATCCGTTCTGTTGCTCGTTCGACCATGATAGATATTGGAAATGAAGCAGAAGCACACGTATGCATACCTGTCCAAAGGTCTAGCCCATCGGTCTTTTCTGCTGTATACTGAGTGCTGGGTCGTTGACATCTCCCCTTGATTGGGGCCACAGCTCCAATCATCTATTCTCCCTGTACTTCATGCAGATCATCTTCCCAGGTATTTGGTAGCCCTGGCATGTCTACTCTCATTTTTCCATTTTCCGACGGTTAGGGCCCTACTTCCCTTGGTATTTAAGCCTTGTGCAGAGGGTTCTTCTGTCCACAGCACGAGATATATACATACCTGATTCTCCTCTCTGAGGCCTGTGGCCTCGTAGGTTTCACTAGGTTCTACCCGTTTAGGTAGTTTGGTTGTATGCCTCATCCGCCACCTCGTCATTGCATATTGTCTCTATAGAGGCATCCTGCGAGGACGAAGTCCCAAACTAGATGCATACTGAATGCTGGATGCAATTGTCACGCTTCCGTTCTTTGCTTGTTCTGGCTGCTTGGTATGGTATTTGAGTATCCCCTTCTCATCCAGTATATCCCCTGCCACGATCAGGGGCACATCAATAATTCAGACGTCTCCTGAGTCAATTCAATAACTTCCAATGACAAATACGAAGTGCAAGCCATCCATGCTCATGAATCCTACTTTGTTTCTTCTCCGCGGACCGCCGTAGTTCAAAGACACGAGAGGTAATCAAAGACACAAAAGATCCAGAAATAGCCCCGACTTACTCAACCCGACTAAAAGCCTAGACCCGTCTCCCTATGAGAGGACGAGAGATCTCCTCGCTGTTTGTGTTCCTGCCGTCGCGCAAACAACTGGATAATATACATGCTGATCCTAGACCTCTCATCCAATGAAAGCCCCCCCCCACAAGCTGACTGCATCGAGCCATGTGCGTGCATCCGGCCTTTTCAGGGCGCCTATCTCCCAACAGCTTTCTCATTGCTTTTGTCTTCCCGTCCAGAACGGCTGTGGTGGCTTCAAACAAAGACACTACTAATGAAGGTGGTGTACGCAGGTTCGTTGCCTCTCGGTGTGTGATTGTGGCGGCCTAGAGGGCTGAGATCGCCATCTTTAATCGCTTGAGTTGTCAATGTTGAGATGTTGAGATGGATTAATTCATTGGTGTGCGATTCGAGATTATCAGGCGTCGAATCCTTGGCTGTTAATCGAGCCGGCTTTCTGTACTGTAGCCACTTGGTGCTTCTTTCACGGGTTCTTTCACAGCGCCCCGCGCGATGGCTTCGTGATCTCCCCCGCTTTAGGTGATTTGCAGTGTCATCTCTGCAACTGTGGAGATCGGAGGATTCAGTTCAAAGTGTGGAGTCCCCGTTTTTGGGACTTTTTTTGGTTTCACCTGTGGGTGTAGGGCTCTTTGATGGAGCCTCGTGCAAACAGGCTAAATGACTCGGGTGTGTCACCTGCTTCCCCGTCAGCTGTGGCTGTTGTCGGGCTGTCAATTTATTTAGATCTGGGCGGACAATGAAGCAATCAATTATGCTGTCCACTCTTCGTATTTGGGACTGTAGATAACTCTGCGATGAATATGGCTTCTAGGTAGTGAGGCTATATTTAGTGTGTGGCATATCTGGTGTTCTGGGTACCATGGTAGTATTTCCCTATAGTTCCAAGGTTCCATACGATCAAGAATCATAGACGAACCTTAATATGTTCCGATGAATAAACGAAATTGCTTCGTGGGGAACAAATCCGGGGAAGCGACCTTGAAAGGACCAGACTCATAACCGCATTCGGCCATTCTCGATCGGACGCAAATAGATGAGCAATACAATACAATTCAACTCAAATCATATCAAACTCGTTAAATTACACTCAAAACAGTAGTCCCTTTTGGAATAATGGTTAAATTCACTATTCTCAACTCTCTAAATAGTGCTAGCTCACTGGGTAACTATGTGATATGTTGCTGGTTAAGTCGATATCCAAGTCGTGTGACAGGAACCTACAATTTCTGTTCACATCAGCCTGAAAAAGAAAGTTAAGATGCGATCTAAACACAGCCACGTCAAACAAAAGTACCCATGTGAATACCTCCAGACTAAGCCATAGCCCCAATATTGACAACACCCAAAGCCAACAATCAACACTGAACAGTCACGGCCAATATGAACCAACATCTCAATTCCAGCCGGACCATGCTCCTTCTCACATCCACCCTGTCCGTCCCACATCCGGGTCTTCCAGGTCATCTGAACTGCAGAAATAATATCTCAAGCATAGCGCGGCTATGTCGATTACCGCCAGAACACCACAAAAAATAAAAGAGAGTCATCTTCTGTTCTCCTACAGGACTCTGCAATGTAGCCCAGTTGTATTGCGAACAGAAAAACAAAGTCAGCGAGGCATCACAGGACCCAGACCTCGTCCATCGCACATCAATAATCCAAACAAGACAAGACCAATAAGTGTCTAAATCGACTACACAGTTCCAGTAAATCAATCTAACCCCAATTCCCCCGGATCCCTATTCACCGCACTAGATCCGATCTTTCTCGTCATCTGTACCTATCATCTCGTCACACCGCAGCTGAATTTCCATTCGGCCCGAGGTAGGAAATGCTCCAACTAAGTCCAAGTACTGAAACCCATGTACATCTACCTGATCTGTCTGGCAGGCTACGCAGAGTTTGGAAGTACAGAGTACAGCATGACTCGCCCACACGGTTATGCTGGAGCTGATGTCTACTTTCTTTTCTCCCTGTGGCGGCTGCAGTTGGTTCCCAATTGCCAATTATGGTGCTTGGTAACTCGACTCGCTGCAGGTCATGGGGGACTTTAAACGGATCTGCCGCAGTATGCAGTGTTTTTCCCTGCCAATTCTGTGGATGTGGGCTATGCATAAGTATCCTTTATGTCGGTAGGTAGAAATTGTTAAAGGTATGGGTTATGGTGATCTTTTCTATATGTAGGGGCGGCGCTTGTGGGCTTGTTTTGTTGGAATTGTATTTGTGATGGGATGTTGATGCTTCTGGCATGAGCTAGGTTGGAGCTTGGTATAGACGCTTTTCTCATCTATCGCGAAGTAACGGCCCTAATTCGCGAGTATAGCTTATATCCAAACACCCTCGATGGACAGGACCCGAGACACCCCCAATCCCGACACTTCAGTGAAAGAGAGGATACAGATAAGACTAAATCTGCCTAGACCGTCCAGACCTCAGCCGAGCCGCAGTAAATTGCAGAATTCAGAATACTCTGGGGAACGGGACGTGGGGGGATTGTACTTCCATGCAATCGTGAAACCCCAGTATCAAACCCGGAATCCCTGCAAGCTGAAAAGCCCCCAGTAGACCCATTTCAAGCAGAACACAGGAAGAAAAGCAAGCTCCGCACACATAGCGTATACATGTTTCCCACGGCCGCCGGGAAAGCGCGAAGAAAAGCACGAAAACCCTTGCAAATAGACATCTACAGAGCCCTTGCATAGACACTACCGTCTACTGAGACCGAACTACACGGCCCTCGCTGTGGAATTGCAATCCGGACGTCTTGCCGTAGAGATTTTCTTTGTCTTTCTGTGATCATTGTCTCGTTTTCGATTACTATTCCAGTCTATCCCACAGGCTATCACTGCGTTGCTCGACTATGTAGTTCTCCGGACTTGTGATCGTACAGCAGAATTACTAACGGGATAATGAGCTTGTTCTGTTCAGTAGGTCCGAGACTTGTATAACCTGTAGGCAACATATCACTGCAGGGCTGGATAGTTGCTGATAGTTACTTTTATCCGTGAAGTCGGGGATCTTGCTTGTTGTACAGATTGTTACTTCGTGGGGGTCCCGAGATCCTCGGATACGAAGGAACTCTGATTTTCGGACTTCACTGGATTTGATTACTCGGAATTTGGAGAAGAACGAGAATAAGATGGTGGCACTAAGTAAATTACCGAAAGGGTGCATTCTCGTGATTATCAATACTCCGATTTAGTTCATGGAGGGGGAATAGAAGAACGCCCAGGAGGAAAAGGAAACGATGCCGCAGGACTTAGAATTTAGAACAGAACGCCCAGCAAGTACACACCGAGGTTGAACGGAAGCAATTTCCGACTGATTCTGGGCGTTGGGGAGGAAGAAATGTGTCTGTTGTCTCAGTTTGGCTCTTGGTCTCCTGATATCGGGTGACCTCCGAGAACACAGAACAATCCCACACGATCCCGAATGGAGGCACGGATCGCCCACGAATTTGGGCTTGCCTGGTGGTGTGAGCATGTTGTTCGTGTTTCGCGTTGTACCGGGTTGTATTCCACATTCGATGGGGGGTTGCGGCAAGGCTTTTGACACAGCGGGTTGTTCCGAGGTAGGAGTTGTGAGACTACGGACATATTCGTGGCATGGGATGAGGTGTATCGGATGGGGAATACTCCTCCGGTTGTCTGGAGCTAGTCGCGTACTTCATGTAATTTCATAGCAAATCGAAAGCAGTGACCAGATAGAGATATTATCAATCCTTCTGTTTTCATTGAAACTAAAAGGGTTCTATGTAAGGGACCATGTTTTTACATAGCAAACCAGAATCGTCATTTTTTTTCTTATACCATCGAAGAGGGCTAGGGTCGATCCATCTAGAACTCAGACTGATCATCACCGGAGATAATGACATTGTTGATCTGACCCGAGGTTAGTATGGACTGCCATAGGAAAAGCAAACGGGAGTAGTACCTTAAGAACCATGCGGCACAGTTGAGTAGCAAGCAGAAGTTGCTGGCGCTTGCCAATAAGAGGGTCGATGGCAAAGTGTTCACGCATATCTATGGAACCAAGTTAGCTGGTGAATATAGGGGAAGGTGTGAATCGGTGAGCTTACCGTTGGTACCAGTCATCATGCAGTCAACACCGAGACGAGTGTTCTTCTCCTTAACCTGGCGCGACTTGATAGAGGCGAGGGTCTCAATAGGGCTCAAGCCAGAGTTCTCGGAGAGAGCCAAGGGAACCGCATCCAGCGCATCGGCAAAGGCGCGCATGGCATATTGCTCAATACCCGGGCTCTTGACAGCGGCCTCCTCCACGGCGAGGGAGCAAGCAATCTCAGCAGCACCGCCACCGTAGACCACGCGGTTATCACGGACCAGGTTGCGGACGACACACAAGGCATCGTGTAGTGACCGCTTGGCCTCGTCGATGATCTGTTATTGGATATTAGCAATCAGCACTTCTTTATACTTCTGTAGGGATCGACCAACCATCTTGTTACTTCCACGGACGAAAATTGTCACTGCCCGAGAGTTGGCACACTCCTCGATGACCAACATCTTCTCTCTCGTAGTTCCGAAGCTCATCTCACGGACCTTACCAGCCGTGCCGAGCTTGTCGGCGGTCAAATCCTCGAAGCGGGGCACAATGCGGCCGTTTGTGGCAATGGCAATCAACTCGATCTCAGGCCCACCAACCCACCGAACGGCAGGCAAGTCGTTCTGGAGCAGAAGGTGGTTGGCTTCATCGTCAAAGCCCCATTGGCAGATGACGAGATTGGCGCCCGAATCCTTCAATTGCTGAATCATCTCCGTGAACTTCTCTTTCTCATAGTTCTGCAACTTCTTGAACTCGTCGACAGATGTGATGTCAAGCTTGTGCTTGGTCTTGGGCTTAGGGGGCTCGAAGGGACAGGTCAAGATAGCCAATTTAGCATCCCGAACCTCATCGGGCATCTGGGGGTGAGAGAAATCCTTGTCCACAATGACACCGTGGACGAGCAGCGAATCCTCAAGGGATCCACCGACCTTACCGTCAACCTTGATGAGCTCGAAGTCGACGTCCTTGTGCTCAAAGTCGGCAACTGAGAGCACTGCATCGACAGCAATCTGGGCGAACTGGTCGTGAGACTTAGAAACACTGCGAAAGTTGTCAGCATCGAACTAGAATCAAGAAGCATGCACAAGTCCATACATTTTGCTGCCTAGACTGGTCTTGGCCACTTTAAGGAGGTTGGTGGTATCTTCACGGCTGAAGATAATCTCGTCACTGATGCGATCAAGCTCGGCAATGGCAATATCACAGGCCTGGTCGTATCCGTCGGCAATACGGATGGGGTGGATGCCTTTGTCAATGAGGTCGGAAGCCTGTTCCAGCATGGCCGCTGCCAGCACCACGACACCAGTTGTGCCATCACCAATTTCCTCGTCTTGGGACTTCGAGAGTTCAACCAGCAACTTTGCAACGTTGTTTGTAATTTCCATCTGTGCGTAGCCATTGTATCAGTTTCTTGAACGCAAAGGTATCTGTCGGAGGAGGGATTCGGGGTCGGACCTGTCCAAGAATGGTTGCGCCATCGTTGGTGACGGTGATATCGCCGTCGGGGGAGATCAAAATCTTATCGAGACCGCGGGGACCCTATCGATAGAAGTCAGATGTCGTTCCATTCACCGCTTGGCGAGTGCCATACCAGAGAAGACTTGATGATGCTGGCCACGGTCTTAGCAGCAACAATGTGTGACTTGACGGCCTCAGTGCCATGTTGTCTCTTCTTCTTTCCTTGACTGTTTTATCAGAAAGCCTGTCAGTCCTATATCTCAAATCGCCGACTCTCAATAGCATTTGGACACGGAGGGTAAGGCGTAGCGGTGAACATACTCCCGAACGACAATAAACGGCCGTCCCTGCTCGTCCTTCAGGACCGAAGCTACCCAGGAATGTCAGTGACCGGATACCAGTTGTACCATATGCATTGAGGACTAATCACCCTGAGACATATCAAGCTCTGTTGAAGATCAAAACACATAGTTAGCCACAGCACATCGAAGAATGAGGGGTATGGGGTGCGGCCTTACGCATTGCCATGTTGACGGTGGGCTGCCACCTGGCAGGATATATTGATTGGGGAAAAGGGACAGCGAGAATGGAATTGAAATCGAATCAAAAGTGAGCAACAACACAAAGTAGAGAAACTTGCAAGTTGAAGCCTTTGAGGGGGACTGGGGGACTGGGGGAGCTTCCCGAAATGCACTTTTGTCAAATGAAATTCTGATTGCCCAAAGCGGTATAGCGTCCCTTGTCCGCCTTCAACGCGGTTCTACTTCTAACCCCCATAGCTCTCGACGCAACAGCATCTCATCGAAACTTCGCGCTGGAATTGAGGGGGGATCCTCTAGTCGCCAATCTGTTTTCCAGACTATCAAGCTTCATCTCACCTCTCAGACCCAACATGCCTCGTGAGTCTTAGTCTCCTTGTTGATCTACCGCGCGCCGCGCAATGTTTGGCAGCTTGATTGACCCGCTTAATGCTCCAGCCCCAGAAGAGGATATGTCTGACGAGGCATCTGGCGATATTCCATTCAGAGGCGCGGGTGCACCGACAAATGGCACAGACGACCAGGAGGAGCCATCTGACAATGGAGAGGAGAACGAAGAAGATGAAGAGGACGGAGAGGACGAAGAGGAGGGAGTGTGAGTTGCGCGCATGGCGACCAAATGACGGATATACGTTTCTGATTCAATACAGCTATGTCGTTGAAGATATCCTCTCGCATGAGTGGCTTGATGTGCGTGAACAAATCGGTCTCAAACTGCTTCTGAAAGCTAATCAAGCTACAGGGAACTCTGAAGCTTCTCGTGAAGTGGCAGGGCTATGAGAGCGAGAAGGATCAAACATGGGAAGATGAGGAAGGTCTCATGTGCGTCTTGAACTTGTTGAGCTTCGACATCTGCTATGCGCATATACTAATGCACCCAACAGGGACGGCGCAGCTGAAATCGTCAATTCATATTACGATAAGATTGGCGGGCGGCCAGAGGAACCCGAACGAAAGCCCGCGCCAAAGGGTCGCAAGCGCAAGTCCATGGGCGATGCAAAGACGCCTACGCCGGCAAAAACCAACAAATCAGCTGGAGCAAAGAGACAGCGCAAGTCAACACCCAAGAAAGCAGCCAAGCATGATACCCCCCATCTGAAGAAGAAGAATTTGACTGGGTTCCAAAGGGAAAGAACTGGGATAAGGAGGTCAGATCGGTGGATACTATTGTCCGGGAGGGCGATCAAGGTCTCATGGCCTGGCTCGAGTTCAACAATGGACGTAAAACGAGAATTCCCGTTCAGGTCTGCTACGAAAGGTGTCCTCTGAAGGTATGTCCACACCCTGCTTATGAGAAAGTGACGGGAAATCTGATTTGCGCAAAAAGATGCTCAAGTTTTACGAATCACACCTGTAAGTCAAGTCATGACCGTTGAGATTTGATACATGGTTCTAACATGCCTCATAGTGTGTTTAAGGATATCTGACTTATCTCTGCCAACAGGAAGGTGGTACACCTGTGATATCTTTAGGATTTCCTCGATCTCAGAAGTGAACCAGGGAATGGCCATCGCGGCAATATGGTCGGCTACCAACCACGCGTCCGGAGCCTTTCACCCTCACACTGATGTTTCAATATTTGGAGGTTCAATTTTCTCTTTGCGTTCTGGGAAGGTCAATAGGGGTGTTTTCGGAGCATATCTCATTTTCAGCAGCCTGCTAATGTTCATGTAATTGCCAATAGAACTGTCCATTGTAACCATCTTTCACGCGCTTCTCGGCTATGTAGCTCTCGTGAGCATCATTCCGTCATTCGATGAGCCCATTCTCCCGGGCCATGTTGAGAAATTCCCACCGCTCCTGGTACGCTTGTGCTCCGTGCTTCGTCAACACTCGCTCCACGCGCGAATGTTCCATTGCCTGTACACACTCGTCATCCTCAGCCGTCCAGACCCCAGGCATATCATTTGGAACACCCTTCCCAGCAGTGAGATATTTCAGGACCTTGTCAGCCCTCTCTGGGTCCATGCTTGCGCAATGCAGAGCGTTGAGCACGTGGTACTCTTTGGCACCCCGGGCCACTCTTTGATCAATCCAAGTCTCGATGTCAGTCACTTCTTGTACTGGACTGGGTGGCAGGAATGGAAGTTCTAGGAAAACGGGGTCCACTGGGTCTTGGAAGACATCTTTGACCGATGGCCTGGGCTTCGGTTTTTGTTTGAACCGGCCAGACTGGGCAAAAGCATTGTCCCCCAATGGCCGCGGTGGTGCTGGGCGTGCTGCTTGTTCGGTTGCGTTTGCCGGGTGAGGTGGAGCTTCGCGGCTGATGCGGCGAGGGGTTTGTGCAGAAGGATCTGAGGTTGGGAAGAGCTCTGGAACTCCTAGCCCTGTGAGCGGTCTGGTAGTTGCTGATGGGATATGTGAAGAGCTGCTCTTTGGATGTGTAACAGCGGTTTGTACGGCTGTCATGCGTGGTGACTCTGGTCGAAATTCGGGGCTTTCATGCCGGGGACGGCGTGAGGAAGGACCCGCAGTTGCGGGGTCATCGACTGCTCTCCTTTTCAATGGTGAAATATTCTGCTGCTGTGCCGGCGATTTAGGGGCTAAGACCTGAACTCGTTCCGAATTGTTTGCGGCAGTGGCCTGGGCCGGAGCAGGCAAACCTGCATGAGGGATTCTGGAGCTGCTAGGCCTTGCTGCAGGATTTGTCGATGAAGTGCGAGTAGGTAATGTCTTGGGGCGGCTGTCTCGTTGGGATGGTGCACGTCGTATTATCTCTTCAAATGATAATGGGCTGCCAGGTCCAGGACGGGGCTTGTCCCAAAGATGCCTTATATACCTACTGCGCCAGGATTGCCATGGATGTTGGGGAAACTGCGCTCTGTAAGTCAGCATCGGGATTCATGTGTTGGTAGTCCTGTTATCTTGACAGAACTGGGAGAGGCCAAGTTACCAATTCAGCTAATTCCCGGTAGATGGTATTTCCTTGAACAGGCGCATTTGGCTCCTGTTGAAAGTGCGCAACCCAGTCATGCAAAATTTGATCCTCTTCCAGGGTGAAAAATGACCTTGTGCTTTTCGTTGCGATATTTGTTGCTCCCATTGGACGTTGCCCGGATGGCCCAACTCTGTAGGCTTCGAGATCTTCCAGCCGTCCATTATTGATTGAACGCTCCACGTATTGATAGGAAAATCTGATGCTGGATTAGAATTCTATACACTACATCAATCAGAAAGAGGCGTCGTACGTATCTCTAGGAAGGTCTTTCCTCCTGTGATCTACCAACTTCACATCAGCATCCCTCTCCATGAGCACGACCTCGCCCCCATATTCCTGCGTAAGCGTTAGACTATGCCATTCCAGGACGAGTAAGGCATCCACAACATACTTTGATCAGGTTTTTAAATCTCAATCTCTGTGGTACAGTCATAGAGAGCCAAAATCGTGCCCCCTGAAAAAGATTCATCTTGTTTGGCTTGTATTCGAAGTTGCCTTTGTCAAAAATAGCTTAGCTCTTCAGCTGCACATCTGACATCAAGAACCCCCAGCCAAAGGGCTTCTCCTCGCGCTCTCACACCCGGATGTGAGCGGGCGCTGTTCGCGACGCGGGATCACGTGCCGACGTGTCGCAAGGGGGTTCACTCGTTCAACGGCTGAATATGTTGCAGATTCAGTGACGTATGGCTCCTTCCTCTATCGTGTGTTGGATGTAAGAGGATGACATTCTGTTAAGACTGGATTAGACAGAGTTGTTTAGGTATAGATGAGCTGATGGTTCCATCAACTGAGAAATGAGAATCCACGCGTAGTCACGTGATAGACATGAGACGGGCGACTCGACATGGGAAACCGCCGAAGCGCTGACCGGTCACATTTCAGGGAAGGCGGGACATCAGCAGGTCGCTAAAGGATGCAGAGACTGTGAGACAACAGCCTGTCCTTTGATCTTGCCGAGTGAATTTGACCTACAGAATGGGTGCCCTGAAAACTGTCAGTTTGGTGATACTGGCGATCTCAGTATTCACCTTTATCGCGCTATTTGGCAGGCTGCCGGCTTTCCGGTGAGCATATTACTGACTCCCTTACCCTTTGGGACTCTGTGTTGACCGTAATAGGAAAACTCCGGTTGCGCTGCTTCATCGGGCTCTGTGGGTGCATCTTCCTAATGGGATTGCCGCTGTCGACAATCGCCTATTCGGCGGGAGGGTAGTGCTATGCTGGAATCGATCTGGCAGTTATATATTGAAGGAAAATCATCCGCTAGTTTTGGTAAAGTCTCAATCTTGTACAGTTCTCTGTGTGTACTGACCCGTACTAGATCTTCTTTGTTTCATTACTGGTCATTGGCGAAGGTCTTTTTGTTCCAGCAGCATGGCCTCGACTGTCGAGCTTTCATCAATTCGCAGTACCAGTGGCTGTCATCCTGCCATATCTTCTGCTCTACAAATGTGTTGTGACCAAATCATTCATCACAGCAGAGAACCACGAGGAAGAGATGAAACGTTACCCGTACGACCGAGTTCTCTTCCACCCGGGTCATCGTTGTAGCACGTGTGACTTCCTGAAGCCAGCTCGTAGCAAGCATTGCAGCTTCTGCCAGGCCTGTGTCTCACGGCACGATCATCACTGTGTCTGGCTGATGAATTGCGTCGGGGCCAACAACTGCGTGTACTTCGTCTCGCTCTTGGTCTCGCTTTCTGTCATGTTGGTCTACGGCATTTATCTTGGCTACTCCCTACTCTCCGAGATACTGAATGAATCGGTACCACCCCAAGTAAGAGAATCCATGCAAGGCTGGACAGGCTGGATCAACGCGTGGAGTGTTGTGGTTGCGGCTCATCCTAGGATTGGCGGAGTCTTTCTGTTGATGCTTATGACTGCCCCGCTGGCAATCTCCTTTCTGGCATATCATGTTTACCTCATCTGGGCTGGGGTAACAACCAACGAGAGTGCTAAGTGGTCCGACTTGAAAGAGGACGTGGAAGACGGTTTTGTTTACAAGACAAGACGAAGCCTCATCTTCGACAGCCGCCATTCTACAGACTTTTACGATCAGTCGTGGCCTGTGCATACTGACCAGATACTCGTCATTGATGAGGAACCCCCGACTGAAGGATGTTTGTTGGCATCTGACTCCAATTGCATTGCTCGGCGCCCAGCCTCAGACTTACCGCCTGACCCTCGGTGGAAGCGACTCCACAGTATGAGGGACGTTGACAATATCTACGACATGGGATTCTGGTTAAATCTTAGGGATGTTATAGGACTCTCTGTTCGTCGACCTAAGGACATATTGAGTACTTAGGCTCATTGAACATACTATTCATGTTGGCATAATAAGCCCAATATCAGATCAGGTCCACCACCATTCATGCATACGGCATGGATGATTCTCTTCTCTTGCAGAAAGCATTTAGCTACCACTTCTTCGATTGTCGTTTTTCATGCCATATATAGTCGGATTAGTCCATTCCTGAAACAATATCGAAGATACTCCGTATTCCATCTACACACTGAAGCGATAGGTGAACTCTTGAGCAATAGCTGTGCCTTGACAGATCCAGCCTCAAGAAGCACTCATCCAACATTGATTTATGAGGGTTCCCTTGGAAATCAAACGCGCAAATAAAAACAAAAAGGAGATAGAAAGAAAATGCAATGTACGCAGTATGAACGTAACGTAAACTATAGAATAACCATGCCAAAGTACACAGTAAATGGTTCGTCGTTCACGTAGGTTGAAGGCCTCTCTCCCATGAAATCATGTCGTCTTCAGGGATCGATGTTTTGGTGGACCGCATATTCTGACTGTTGCCATGTAATTCACAAGGAAGTTTCCGTAGACACCAGATGGGTTTGCTCGTTTGCTTCTGAGTTCACCTTGGATACTTGCATATCGATCCTGGGCTCCTCCGTCTTGTCTTAGCCTTTGACTATTTCCAGTCACCACGCTTCTTCAATCCAGATACTCACAACGTGCTGGAAAGCGCCTTGAACAGTCCATACAAGGTTGCCATTGGTGTAGAACACCTCTGGAATCTCTGCCATGCGCTTTCTGTGGCCGGATTCCACGATTCCTCGTATCTGCTGCCCGGATGGTGAAACCCCGTTCGAGTCCACAGGGAGGTGTGTAAGTCTCTCTACCGAGTTTCGTATGACCAACGTCGCTCACTGGTGATCAAGTTGAACAGTGTGCTTACCATGGTATGGCGTGAGGAGCTCATCACAAGTGAGCATCCTCTCTGGCAACTTTTCAAAGTGCTGGAGAAGTCTGTCATCTACTTTCTAATTAATCAAGGCCCAATGCATGTCCATCCATTTCTCTGAATCGGTAGATGCCTCAGGGGTGTGGATATTCCATATCTCATCCGCCTTCTCAGTTGTGGTAAATGGATGAGAATTCGGAAGAGGAATTCGGAAACTCGAGACGGGACCTCGCCATGCTCTTTCATCGGAGTCAACCATCGAGGAATGTTCAAATTCAGTGAAGGCTTCTTGATAATTGGGCCATTCTTGGACAAGCAAGACAGCAGGGAATCTACTGCTTTGTTCGTCGTCAGGTCCTCCCTCTCAGGTCGAGTCAAGTTGACGTTGTCAGCCATCATGTAGTGATTATAGGGTAGCAAAGCACTATGGGGAACGCCATGGTTAGAGAGTGCTGCTACGAGACACCAGGGTCGTGATGGCTGACAACGCCACTTGACCCGTCCTGAGAGGGAGGACCTGACGAAGAACGAAACGGTAGATTTCCTGCTGTGTTGCTTGTCCCAATTATCAAGAAGGTTCCACTGAATTTGAACATTCGTCAATGGCTGACTGCGATGAAAGAGCATGGCGAGGTCCCGTCTCGAGTTTCCGAATTCCTCTTCCGAATTCTCATCCATTTACCACAACTGAGAAGGCGGATGAGATATGGAATATCCACACCCCTGAGGCATCTACCGATTCAGAGAAATGGATGGACATGCATTTGGTTTTCAGTAATCAGAAAGCAGATGAGAGACTCCTCCAGCACTTAGAAAAGTTGCCAGAGAGGATGATCCTCTGTGATGAACTCCTGACACCACACCATGGTAAGCACACTGTTCAACTTGATCATCAGTGAGCGACGTTGACCATATGAAACTCGGTAGAGAGACTTACACACCTCCCCGTGGACTCGAACGGGGTTTCACCATCCGCGCAGCAGATACGAGGAATCATGAAATCCGGTAACAGAAAGCACATGGGAGAGAATCCAGAGGTGTTCTACACCAATGGCAACCTTGTCTGGACTGTTCGGCCACCATATTGGCATATCACTTCCTGTTGGATGACGCTTTTGATCGTGCTCTTGTCAAGTGTACTGTAAGCTCATCGTCAATGGTGAAAATGTTCCAACTCCAACATACCCGACTACTCCCCAGCAATTCAGTGAATGGCTGGCTGCCGAGCGGCAGAAGGCCCGTCGTCTCGGCAAGTCATGGCCCCCTGTCCAGCCACCTCCTACTGCTGCGCTCTCTGTGTTGACTGTGAATGCTGCAGGCTCAGAGAAAATATCATCGGCTTCCTCCTCCCACGTTCGCTCTAGTGGTCATGCCCGCACGTCTTCTTGTGAAGTAGAGGAAGCTTACGAGGTCCAGCAAACACGTCTGATTCAAGAGATAGTCGCGGAAGTGAAAGAGACAGGGAGGCTACTTATAGAAGTCAGAAATACAGCTGATCCGATGACTTCAGAGCTGGATGGACCCGCTTACCAAACTTACCAGGAAGCGGAGCCCTTGTACCTGCCGCATTATCCCACAGAGGTTCAGTCCCGCACCACGACCCCTGCGGAGGTAGACTGGCAGGCTGCAATGGCTGGTCTTCTCGGAGGACAATTGAGCTTGTTTCTCTCATAAAACAAGAAAAAAACAACAGAAAGCCGCCAGCAACACGTTTACGTTGATCTAATAAATCAACAACAGAACGGAGGGCAATGGCATCATACTGTTTCTATTTGCTTCAATTTGCAAGGAGAGAAACCCGGGATTACGGAACAAGACGAAAACAACCAACTGCTGGATGAGTGCTTGAGGATGTGTCCAGGCACCGCTGTCAAGAGTTCTTTCCCTTGTAGATAGACGCCGAGACGGATCAGATTGTGAATAAGATATTGTTTGAGTCTGTAACACACTACTTTTCGTAGTCACTTCATACCTAATGCAGATATGACCGGCTCTTTGAGAATTGTACACCTCACCTTTATGCGCATATCCGCGCCAGTCATATCAAGTGGCCAACCCAAAAGGTTAGGACCACCTGAGAATTCACAGAACTGGCCTGTTCCTGCCCGGACTCTCAACCTCCCCTGCTTGCTAAGAATTTGGCAAGCGGAGGCCACGAGGTTCTTGAGCCAACTGTCTAATGATAGCCCAGCCTTAATGTTAAACCAAATGGCTCAAAAACAAAAACATACAACAGTGAGGATTCGCTGGTGGTCACCCACCCAACTACTAACTCACCGGCGTGTGGCTTAAGTACGGCTGAGCGGACGGGAAGCCCTGTTTTCCACACCCTATGGTCGTATGTACTGAATATAGTGGTGGGCAAAATCATGTCTAACGAGGAATTGGATCAGCTGAAGTGTACGCACTACGGACTTCGAAGTAGTATAGGTGGGATTGGAAACCAGTTAATGTCACGTGAAGGAGCAGCCGCGCAGCGTATGGATCTGGGATCATGTCACCATGTGACTATCAACATGTCTAACCTCCAGTTTCAAGCAAGCAGGGAATCACTTCCCGTCGTAGATTTGGTCAGGCGTGAGGGTAAAATTGCCCTTCTCGATCTCCGCGGCGTCAACATGGTCGGGTTTGACATACCACGCGGTAAGGGCAAACCGCAACTTGTTCTCCGGCACCACCGAGTGCTATATCGGTTAGCTCTGTTGTTTAGCGGTGCCAAAATGGAGGATGGCCACGAACCTCGTAGTACCTCTGAAGGTTTTCACCGTGCATGACTACCAGGTCTCCATGGTGCAAGTCCAACTTGATGGCTGGCGGAGCTTGCTTTCCCTTCTGGGTGGCAAAGAGAGTTCGTCGAGAGTTGTCATACTCATCTTGGGAGATCTCGCCAGCTTCAAACCTCTCCTTGAGCGCACGACGCTCATCTTCCAGCCGGCAGCCTTTCAGCACGGGGTCCTCTTGCAGAACACTCCCAGATACAACTTTGCCATCGCCGGCGTCCACCCGTCGAGTATGTCCGTTGAAGTGCGTATACTTCATGCGGATCCACATAGTGGATTTTGCTCCAAGTGAGAGGGTTGCAGTTGTAGGGCCTAGAGAGGATTCACCATCGTCATGGTACTAGCAAGTCTATGATTTAGTCGAGAGTAGGGCCAATCTCACAGTGTCACTTACTCCTATCTTCATGCCCTCAAAGTACCCCAGCGTCAACAGCTCATTGGGAGGCATGTACATGTCTCCAGCGGAGATGACAGCTTGTTCAGTCGCCCGCGAAAGACGACCTAGAGCCCGGAGAATGACCCCAGGGGCTTCGCCAAACGCCTTTGACAGCACCGACACGACATACTTATACGGGCTACCCTGTTTGATTTGGTCAGCGGAGAGGTCAGTAAACATGATGATCGGACGAGCTGACGTACGTGGTTCACCGCGAAGTGAGCGGTAAGTGTGCCCGCGACTGTCCAAAGTAAGAATCCTGAAACTTAAAATTGTGCGCCTTGCTCACTTACCTAGACTGGACGAAAGCGGAAAACGTTTTAAACCGAGATCTTCACGCTGAAGACCGATAAACAGGTCGTCGGGCCCATTTGGTCGGCTGTTGATGTCTGCGTTCGCGACAAAATGGGTGATAAAGCCGACTCCATCAAGTTTGTAGGTTAGCTTGCGATAGGGAGACAAGCTAACATCATCGATCTCCGGGATCATGAATTTCCTATCGAACACCATTTCTCGTCTCATTGAGGGCTGCTCGGAATCATCGAGTAGAACTTGGCGCGGGATGGGGCTCATTGTCATGAGCCTTTCAAATGAGCAGACGTTACCGCCCGTCTGAGTGCCAGTAGAGTCATCGCTGCACTTCCACCTTCGCCACAATGTCCGTCGAATACACTTGTGACACTCGGGGCACACAATTCCTTTCTACGCACCACGAGATGTGCTGATGTCCGTGGCATCCTCATCCAGTGTCGGAAGATGATCGGGGACCAGGCTGCAGTTAGGCCGAATTTCATCGTCGGAACGACTGCGGAAGCTCAAGAAGGCAGGGTTAAAAGTTAGCTCAGGAGGACTGGAAACGTTTCCAATCTTCCAGAACCTGTCACACTCCGGCTGAAGGCACATCCAACCATCCTCATACACACGGATACTTTCCTTGGAGCAGCCCTCGCACTTCAGGCTTTGAGGCTTTGTGTCGAAGTCTCTGAGTTCGAGGGGCATTGGAGGAGCAGAGCCCTTTGCTGCCCACCAGCTGTTCTCCGCGAGATCCAATTTCTCAAAACGGACCTTCGCTCCATGGTTCGTGCCAATTCTTTCAAACCAAACATTGGTAACCCGAAACCATGCCATGATGTTGTACCGATGTGGCAGGTCACCATTGAGGATCTTGTGCTTGCTCCCTTTCATACTGGTCAGTTACAAGCTATACCATGCAATCCGTGATGAATTGGCAACCTACCAAAAATTGAACCAACAGGAAGCTCTGACTTCAGGCTAGCAATGATGCTTCGGGCGAGTGTGCTATCAGCCTCCTGATTCTTTTGGGGGGCCAGGTTTCCCTCTGAGTCTTTGGTGCAGCAACCACCACTAATTGAGTTAATACATGCAGTCCTTAGTTGGAGGATAACGCTCACATTCGAGTTATGATAACTTCGTCGTCAATGTAGGTCCGGGTACCACCGTCGGCATCAATCAGAAAGCCCCAGCAAAAGCCCTCACTGTGATACATTGCACCCTGAGTGCAATGGAACCAAGGAATTGAGTCGCATAACTGCTGGCGATTCTGGGAGGATATTAGGACCTAGATGAAAGGACTCGTTATGGGAGTTTCATACCTCAGCCCACGCCGGTGGTTCACCATGGACTTGCTCCAGGACCTGGTCAGTGCTGACCACTTTGATCTGGTCTGATGGAACTATTAGGATCAGCAGGACATACATCACGCAACAAAGAACGTAAGTCAACTATCCAAGAAGCCTTTGTTACCTTCGTTTGCCGGCGCCTTTTCACTCTTTCCTTTGGTGACGCGGCCCGATCTCACCACTTGTCCAGCCACATGAGACCGACTAGCAGTCGCACGTGGAGCTATATCGCAGAATTCCAGCGCTTGCAGTCTGGTATGCTATTCCCTGGGTTAGCGTATGTGGTCTCCAGACCTATGGTGGGACTACCGTGGGATGGACTCACAGTACGAACACTCAAGAGTCACTCACACCCACCACAGAAGCAAATCGGGGGTTCAATGGTGCTTCAAATGATTGCAGGTGCTTGAACCCCGATCGAAGTCAATGAACCGGGAGTAGAGAGAACGAAGATAGAAACTAGCCAGGTCAGATTGCTAGGACTCGTTGTGCTGCTTCTAGGAAAGTAGGTGAAGGTTGAGAGGGAGGGAGGACGCAGGGCAGGCCTACGACAAGCCTATATACCCACCAGGGCGGTATACAAGTCACGTAAACCTTAGATGGGATGAATCCTTGACTAAAGAAAATCTCGCACCACCCATCGATGGATGGAGATGTGCTAATTTGGACAGGTTCCAAGGTTCCAACAGATGGCGCTAAGGTCACCGTGATCTGAATGTTCCAAGCCAGGGAAGCCATTACGTGCTATCTACCGAGTCCATCCACGGGTGACCCAAGGCCGATGACAAAAGGAAAGCTACCAACCTTATTTGAATGACCTCGTGTATGCAGCCAACCATGGAATCTGAGGAGAAATACTGCGATTCATATACCTACACTCTGTATGTCGACTGGACATATTTGTCCGAACCTTGACCATGCAGAGTGTGCACGTGCTTGAAAACAATGTATGAGCTCTCGCATCGTGTTAGTACACTGTAGCAGGACAGTATGACCCTGTTCCAGTATCTCCCACGTTGTATGGCGAGCAATCTGTCGTCTCGGCTATGCAGTGTAGGTATATGAATCGCAGTATCTCTGCTCAGATTCCATGGTTGGCTGCATACACAAGATCATTCGAATAACTAAGGTTGGCTAGCTTTCCTTTTGTCATCAGCTGTGGGTCACCCGTGGATGGACACTGTAGATAGCACGTAATGGCTTCCCGGGCTTGGAACATTCAGGTCACGGGCAGCTTGGGCCATCTGTTAAAACCTCGGGACCTTTCCGAATTAGCACATCTCCATCCATCGATGGGTGGGTCGTAGTTTCCGTTAGTCAGGGATTCTGCCATATTAGGTTTAACGTGACTTGTATACCGTCCTGGTAGGTTTTTGTAGGCCTGCCCTGCGCCATCCCTCCCTCTCAACCTTCACTTTCATAGAAACCACAACAACGCGTCCTATCAATCTGACCTGGCGCGTTTCAATCTTCCTTCTTTCTACTCCGCGTTCATTGACTTCGATCTGGGTTCAAACACATGCAATCATTTCAAGCGCCATTGAACTCGCGATTTGCTTCTGTGGTCACTGGTGGCTGTGAGTGACCGTGAGTGTTGTACTGTGAGTCCATCCCGCGATCGGTCTGAAGATGGCATGCGCTAACCCAGGAAACGGCATATCAAACCGAAAACACTGTGATTTTGCGATATGGCTGCACGTCCTATTGCTGGTCGGCCTCATGTGGCTGGACAAGTGCTGAAATCGGGCCGTGTCACCAAAGGAAAGACGGAGGGAAACAAAGGTAACAAAGGCTTCATGGATAGTGACAGTGGTATATGGCATGCTGATCCTAGTAGTTCCATCAGACCAGATTGAAGCGGCCATCACTGACCAAGTCCTGGAGCCAGTGCGTGCTGAACCACCCGCGTGGGCTGAGGTATGAAACTCCCATCTCGAGTCCTTCCACCTCGGAACTAATAACCTTACAGAATTGCCAACAGTTGTGCGATGCAATTCCTTGGTTCCATTGCACTCAGGGTGCAATGTATCACAGTGAGGGCTTTTGCTGGGGCTTTCTCATTGATGCTGACGGTGGTACCCGGACCTGCATTGACGAAGAAGTCATCATAACTCGAATGTGAGTGTGATCCTCCAACTAAGGACTGCATGTATTAACACAATTAGTGGTGGTTGCTGCACCAAAGACTCAGAGGGAAACCTGGCCCCCCAAAAGAATCAGGAGGCTGATAGCACACTCGCCCGAAGCATCATTGCTAGCCTGAAGTCAGAGCTTCCTGTTGGTTCAATTTTTGGTAGGTTGCCAATTCATCACGGATTGCATGGTATAGCTTGTAACTGACCAGTATGAAAGGGAGCAAGCACAAGATCCTCAATGGTGACCTGCCACATCGGTACAACATCATGGCATGGTTTCGGGTTACCAATGTTTGGTTTGAAAGAATTGGCACGAACCATGGAGCGAAGGTCCGTTTTGAGAAATTGGATCTCGCGGAGAACAGCTGGTGGGCAGCAAAGGGCTCTGCTCCTCCAATGCCCCTCGAACTCAGAGACTTCGACACAAAGCCTCAAAGCCTGAAGTGCGAGGGCTGCTCCAAGGAAAGTATCCGTGTGTATGAGGATGGTTGGATGTGCCTTCAGCCGGAGTGTGACAGGTTCTGGAAGATTGGAAACGTTTCCAGTCCTCCTGAGCTAACTTTTAACCCTGCCTTCTTGAGCTTCCGCAGTCGTTCCGACGATGAAATTCGGCCTAACTGCAGCCTGGTCCCCGATCATCTTTCGACACTGGATGAGGATGCCACGGACATCAGCACATCTCGTGGTGCGTAGAAAGGAATTGTGTGCCCCGAGTGTCACAAGTGTATTCGACGGACATTGTGGCGAGGGTGGAAGTGCAGCGATGACTCTACTGGCACTCAGACGGGCGGTAACGTCTGCTCATTTGAAAGGCTCATGACAATGAACCCCATCTCGCGCCAAGTTCTACTCGATGATTCCGAGCAGCCCTCAATGAGACGAGAAATGGTGTTCGATAGGAAATTCATGATCCCGGAGATCGATGATGTTAGCTTGTCTCCCTATCGCAAGCTAACCTACAAACTTGATGGAGTCGGCTGTATCACCCATTTTGTCGCGGACGCAGAAATCAACAGCCGACCAAATGGGCCCGACGACCTGTTTATCGGTCTTCAGCGTGAAGATCTTGGTTTAAACCCCTTCCCGCTTTCGTCCAGTCTAGGTAAGTGAGAAATGTGCACAATTCTAAGTTTCAGGATTCTTACTTTGTTGATCCGCATGAAGTCCAAGCTCCTCAATGGAAATACTCAACGGGTGGACACCGGCGATGGCAAATCTGTCTCTGGGAGTGCTCTGCAAGACAACTCCGTGCTGAAAGGCTGCCGGTTGGAAGATGAGTGTCGTGTGCTCAAGGAGAAGTGTAAAGCTGGCGAGATCTCCCAAGATAAGTATGACAACTCTCGGCGAACTCTCTTTGCCACCCAGAAGGGAAAGTAAGCCCCGCCAACCAGCAAGTTGGAATTGCACCCTGGAGACATGGTAGTCATGCACGGTGCAAACCTCCAGAGATACTATGAGGCTCGTGGCCATCCTCCCTTTTGGCACCGCTAAACGACAGAGCTGACCGGGACCGGTATAGCACTCCGTGGTACCGGAGAACAAGTTGTGGTTTGCTCTTACCGCGCGGTATGTCAAGCCCGACCATGTTAACGCCGGGGAGATCGGGAAGGGCAAATTATTCCTCGTGCCTGGCCATATCTACGACGGGAAGTGATTCCCTGCTTGCTGGCAAGCGTTATCTCCGGCCATTTGCGTGTTGTTCTTTGTTCTTTTCTTAACCTTGTCTCCCTTTCGATGTCTCCACCTGCTTAGCTGCTGTGTCTTACATCTGTCACGTTTAGATGATAATTTTACGAGGGGCTTTAGCGTCCGCCGGACGGCCATCTTCAATTGGTGAGCGTTGATTCTTTTTGGGACCCCCAACTTCCAAGTACTGTAGATATAGATCCCCGGGGTCTGATTGGTGGAGGATGTTATTCTGCCAGTTCTCACCGATTGACATCTGAAATTTACGGAGCCTGGAGCAACTTGCCAAACGACAGTCACGTGACACGTGACCCCCCTATCACATTCACGGTCCACGGATTGCTTCGCTAACCCTCAGCAATCATTTCAGTACCTCAATGGATTTACAGGTACTGGTTGCTGCAGCTGGGCTAGTCTGCTAGATTCGCTATATCATTTTTGATGCACTGACACTAGCTGTATTTTCTTCGCCATACTGTGTATGAATCGGCGCCTTCTCTTGGAGGCCGAGCGGGGGTTCAAAACAATTTACTTTTCATGAACCTCTGACCATTGAACATCAGGTATCGCATCGTCAGTACAGCAGTCGCTGTGAGGTCATCTCGCCAGGACGTTTGCACTTGCATAGTGGAACCACTTCAGGAATCCATCGCACCATCATCAATACATATTGAGCTACTACTGTGGGAGCCTGGAGACTCTACCTTATGTACGCGTGGGCGGCGTGGCAGCGTAACGCTAGTCGCCAGTCAAGGTAGGTTGCTCTACCAATTCCATGTTCCAAAGGTCGCGCGTCAATCAGCGTGAATATGTAGTTATAATGTTGCCAATAAGTAACTGGTTGTTGCCATGAACTATGAGACCTCTCATCCTACCAGTACCGGGAATCTTCAGTCAGGTTACTGTATTTCCAAGATTTCAGCTGTAGGCAGCTAGGGCTGCTAGGCTCAATATCAGATCAGGGTCACCCTTCATGCATACGACATGGATGATTCTCATCTCCTGCGGAAAGTATTCAGCTTCCATTTCTTCGATTGTCGTTTTTGATATCATATATTGTCAGTTCAATCCTGACACAATATCGACGATAGTCCGTACTCTGTCTACACACTGAAGGGATAGGGTGAACTCTTGAGCAACAGCTGTGCCTTGACGTATTCAGCCTCAAGAAGCACTCGTCCAACAGTCGGGTATGGTGGAGTCGGAACATTTTCAGCATTCAGGATGCGCTTCCACTTTGGGAGAATACGATCAAGAACCTCCTCCGAGAGGAGGAAGCCGATGATATTTTCTCTGAGCCTGCTGCATCCGGCGTCGACGCAGAGCGTGCAACAGTAGGAGGTGGTTGAACTTGGGGCCAAGGCTTGCCAAGACGACGGGCCTTCTGCCGCTCGGCAGCCAGCCACTCACTGAAATGCTGAGGAGTAGTCGGGTATGGTGGAGTCGGAATATTCTCAGCATTCAGGATGAGCTTCCACTTGGCGGGGGAGCACCCGATCAAGAACTTCCTCCGACAGGAAGCGATTGCCAAGTGAATCGGTGGCCAAGGCGATATGCCAATATGGTGGCTGAACAGTCCAGACAAGGTTGCCATTGGTGTAGAACACCTCTGGCTTCTCTGCCATGCGCTTTCTGTGGCCGGATTCCACGATTCCTCGTATCTGCTGCCCGGATGGTGAAACCCCGTTCGAGTCCACAGGGAGGTGTGTAAGTCTCTCTACCGAGCTTCGTATGGTCAACGTCGCTCACTGATGATCAAGTTGAACAGTGTGCACACCTCCCTGTGGACTCCAACGGGGTTTCGCCATCCGCGCAGCAGATATGGGGAATAATAGAATCCGGTAACAGAAAGGACATGGCAGAGAAGCCAGAGGTGTTCTACACCAATGGCAACCTTGTCTGGACTGTTCAGCCACCATATTGGCATATCGCCTTGGCCACCGACTCACTTGGCAATCGATTCCTGTCGGAGGAGGTTCTTGATCGGGTGCTCCCCAAGTGGAAGCTGATCCTGAATGCTGAGAATATTCCCACTCCACCATACCCGACTCCTCCCCAGCATTTCAGTGAGTGGCTGGCTGCCGAGCGGCAGAAGGCCCGTCGTCTTGGCAAGCCTTGGCCCCAGGTTCAACCACCTCCTACTGTTGCACGCTCTGCGTCGATACCGGATGCAGCAGGCTCAGAGAAAATACCATCGGCTTCCTCCTCTCACGTTCGCTCTGTTGGCCATGCCCGCACGTCTTCTTCTGAAGTAGGGGGGTGCTCACAGTCACAAGGTCGAGCAAAGACGTCTGATTCAAGAGATAGTCGCAGAGTGGAGAGAGCTAAGGAGGCTACTTGAAGAACTCAGAAATAGGGTTTCTCTGATGACTTCAGAGCTGCATGGACCCGCTCACCAAACTTACCAGGAAGCGGAGCCCTTGTACCAGCCGCCAGATCCCACAGAGGTTCGGGACCCCACAACTGCCCCTGCGGAGGTAGACTGGGATGAATGGATGATCTTCCCGGACGACGATTGAGCTTGTTTCTTTAAGAAAAAGAAAAAAAAAACCAAGAGAACAAACAAAAGCCCCAGCGACAAGTTCATGTTTGATTCAGAAAATCAACAACAGAACGGAGGGCGATGGCATCATACTGTTTCTATTGGCTTCAGTTTGCGAGGAGGGAAACCCGGAATTACGGAACAAGACGAAAACAGCCAACTGCTGGATGAGTGCTGGAGGATGCGTCCAGGCACCGCCGTCAAGAGTTCTTTCCCTTCTAGATAGACGCCGAGATGGATCATATTGTGAATAACATTTTGAGTATGTAACACACTACCTTTCATAGTCACTTCGTAAGTGTGTGCATGCAGATATGACTGGCTCTTTTGGTAATTGTACACATCATCTTTATGCGCGTATCCGCGCCAATAGTCATGACTCATATCAAGTAGACAAACCAAAAGGGCACAGATACAATGTTCCTTCTCACCAAGATTGGCTGTTCCAAGTGTGATCACCGATTCCACGGACAGAGAAGCTCTGGGCCTCTAAGACTCTCTTACATAGTACCAGCTGGAATTCATCAGTGACATACACTCATACTGTTGGAGGCATCTCCTTCTGTCTCAAACGCATAGCGGAGGTTGAGGCCTCTGTTACTTACGTCAATATACCATAATAGCTTGTTCTGCGAGCCCTATCTTACTTCCATTCGTGCACGTTGTGAGACTGAGAACTGGTAGGAACCACCAACAACTACTTCAGAGTGACTCAGACATACCCTTACCCTATCCCTTCACCCACCGACGTTCCTAACGGGTTTCCTAGAACCTGTATAACGCTACAATACTGCCTCCAGAACCTCCAATATACACTTTGCGACGATCTCGTCTGTCAAGTTCCCTGCCAAAAGCTTTGGTTCTGTCATGATGCGGTTGATGCCATCAGTGAGTATAGGCCAAGTCCCTCTTGTTTCATGTGTCCCTGGGAATTGTCAGTTCACCGTTCCCCCCGGCTGGAATTCGAGTCCATTAACTGTCTATTATGAAGAGTGGGATGGCGCCGACTGAGAAGGCCAAACAATTGCTCGATGCTATAATCTTCAACCAGGACAGCCGGTGATGGAGGATCACGAAGCGTATACAACAATTTTCCTGTCCGGCAACAGGTTCTACCTTTGGGAGCGGATTGACGACGATGTGTATGAAATTGTCTCTCAAGATATCGCTTCTGCGATTTCCCAGTCGGAGCTTAGAGAACTGGCCACAAGGCCTCTTGTTCGAATGCGCTAGGAATATGCTTATGACGCTGGGAAACCGATAGTCTTTTGCAAATGTTTCAGAAGTTATGGGGTGGGATCAGGTTTATGGAAAAATTGGCATTAGGCACTTTATTATCACATTGCATATCTATCAACAACACGAATTACAGTAGTTTAACGGGCACTGTGTTCTCGGACTTCTCTTTAAGTATAGCCGGAGCTAGCCCCTGGGCAATAACAGCAACTGTGGCAGATATCTTCGATGTCTATACCACAGCCACAGTCGAACAATTCTCTCGAGATTTGAAACCGACTAGCACAGCACAAAAGCTGCTCTAGTTACCAGCCAGCCTCCGAATTCCCCAAACCGCACCCACTCAAATCTATCAAGGTGAGCCGCCCCGAAAGATTACAAGAGTATAGGATGAGGCACCAGGCCTAACCCACTCAAACCGCACAGTCTCATGCGCTATCCTTATAGGAAGGCATCAGCCGTGCGGCCCTTGTGACTTGCGTCTGGACTGGTGGAACTGAGCACGGACAGTGGGCAGTGCGGACTATCAAATGGATATGGATATATGCGTATGCATGTCAACTCAGGGACTAACTCCGTTAAGCTGTATCCTGGAGGAGATATGATCTTCCAACTGATCCACGCGCCATGTCAGTTCCGTTATGTCCCGTAGAAGGAACATGCCCGATTCCAGATCTAGAGTGCGAGTACTACGCAGTTTCGGCCAAAACTGCATAGCTTTGTACTCTGTCCACTCTTTGACAAGGACCATGATTATCATGATGATTATCATGGTTGTTAGGCCTAGTAGGAGGAATAGGAGGACGGATGTGAAGGTCTCGATTGTTGGGGACATTTTGATATTTGGTTTGGGATATTTCCAAGCTTGGACCTTGAGGATATCGGGTTTCGGTGATATGTGGGTGTGGGTTGGGATCTAATGCGGAAAAGAACTGTTAGTATGTTAGCTTAAGAATGAAAAGGAACGGGGGAAGGTGAGATATACAGATACCGATACCAAGAAACTGTGTAGAGTCTTCTAGTGAGTGATGTTAGGGTTGACTCGGGAGTATAGTGGGGGATGGACTGCTTGGTCCTCACATGGGAGAGGTTGTGATATGGATGAAGATGGAGTTTAACCTGGGCTTCGACATCGTATTTATATCTCAGCTGCTGGAACGCTCCCGACGAGGATTGTGGCTTCACACAATGAGGTTGTATGCGCTTTGTCTGATGAAGACGGCATATGGTCAAAGGATCGGACAAAGAGGTGAAACAGAGTGTTCCACATCAAGATCAAAGAGAGGACAAAGCTCTTCGAGGCAGTTTCCATAATCGAATTCTTCGAGAACGAGCAAACCAAGGCAGAGTAGGCCCGAGTATGTCACCCAAGTCATCAAAGCATGAATCATGGGCTAGACGCCCAAAGCGCGTTCTCAGGGCTGATCTTCGAGTCATGAACTGGCAGGTTGCGAGGAAGCCATGTAATTGAAGACGGAAAAAGCTGTATATGAAAATTCCTGCTATGTCAACAAGACCGCTTACATTCATTGCCCAGATCAAAAATGATACAATGGTCATTCACTTATCCTAAACCAGCAATACAGCTACAGCCATAAAACCTCCTCAACGGACAATTCCAAGCCCATTGCATGCTGGGTATATGCAAATCCCCTCCCTCAACCATACATACCATCCCACTCCTCCTCCTCATCTTCCTCAACAAGCTTCTTCTTCGCCTCCGCCTTCTCCCTCAGCTGCTTCGCAAAGTCCACCCGGTCAAGCGGACACGTCCCGCGCAGCCGCAGCCACGGCCGCACACACTCGAGATCGAAGCGGTGTGTCGGGTGGCAGGGTAGCTGGACAACGAGCGGGTACGGATCTTCCACGAAGGGGTTGTTGCAGATCGGACAGGTGTCAGAAGGGTTGAGGGATGCTTTTGGGACGCGTTCGAGCACTGAAATTGAGTCGATTAGTTATGTCGATCAATCAAAAGAAAGACTCGGGGTGGATGGACAGGGAAGAGCTCCTTACTATCGCAAAACTCCTCACTAACACCCTCCACCTCCCGTGGCGGTGTATCAGCCTGTGCGAGCAGCGACTGGATCATCGTGCTCAGCAGGTCGCGGCCGGTATCTGAGGGGGCGGTCTCGGTGCCCTCTTGCGCGTCTGTGGGTGCGGAATCGGCGTCGCGCCGCATCATCTCCAGCGCCTCGGCGAGGGAGTAGAATGCGGCGCTCACATCGCCCGGAACGGGGACTGCATGGGGTCTGTGGTCGGGAGCTGGGGTGATCTCGGACAGGGCTGAGAAGAAGGTGGAGAGGTCGGGGCGGCGGCGGCGCGGGGTTTGGGCTGTTGAGGGGTCGGTCGTGTTGTGTTCGCCTGGAGTATGTTAGCTTTGTGGTTTTAGTGGGTTTTTGTTATTTGTCAACGAATTCGTACTTTCGTAGGTCGACATGGTGGTGGATGGGGGACGATCGCGGATTCGCGGTCAAGCTTTCGGAGCTATTGAGGATTCTTGGGGGAGAGCCCAGTTGGGGTGCAGCTGGTCTGTGGCACCTTTGAGTGTTTGCTTTGTTGCACTTGGGTGATGCTGGGATTGTAAAGGGGAAGTGCTGAGAAATTGGGGGTAAATGATTGTTTCAACCTTCGAGGCACTTTGAGGTTCTCTGACGGTCGATAACGCGGGGCACTTTTTATTAGCGCATGTGCTTCGCTATACAAGCTCAAGGATGAGCAGTTTTGCGCATGTGATGAGGTTTCAATTTCATTACTTGATATTGGGTGTGATAGTCATATTTAGACATATTCCAATGGCAACTCCAAATATCCCTTACTGTGTAAGTGCCAAATCGCCATCTCAGAAGAATACGAGTGCAATAGAACCCGCATCGCATGATTCTCATCGGATGACGCGATGGATCTAGATCGCTTACCAACCATCTTCCCGTGTTAGCTACTGCTCCCTACATATAGGCAACTAAGTCTCATGGTGAAACACAGTCCTCAGTAATATCCCCCTTCGTACTCATGGCCTCACTCTTAACTACTAAGGTGCCCTGGCACCAAGGCGAGGAGAAACTCCACCACCTACTCAAAGCCCCTCACGGTAACAACCCGACTATCCCGTACTTAAGTCCTCCTGCAGCATTCCTAGTCCAACAGTGTCCATTAATTGCCTTGGGAGCACTGGATTCGCAAGGCCGGCCCTGGTCAACCTTATGGGGCGGCACAGCAGGCTTCGCAAATCCAGCCCCCGAATCTCAAATCAAGCTCCAGACACCGGTGGACAGCAAATACGACCCCGTTGTCCAGGCACTATGGGTCGACCAACACACTGACAAATACAGAGGGAGAATGGTTTCCGCACTGGCAATTGATCTAGAGAAGCGACGGCGAGTGAAGCTCTACGGCACAATGGTGGGAGGCTCGCTGTCTGATGGAGACACGGGCCATGCACAATTGGTTGTGCATATCGACGAGAGCCTTGGGAACTGTCCCAAATACATGAACAAAAAGCATATTGTGCCCGTGCCACTTAAGCCCAAGCTTGTCTCTGACTCGCCGCAGTTGGGCCCCGAGGCACTGGAACTCCTCGCTCGCGCGGATACCATGTTTTTATCCTCGTCTCATGGAGCAATGACGATGGATACGAATATCCGAGGTGGTCCAGCGGGATTCATCCGTGTTGCGTCCAATGATGTTGGCGGTGCTGTTCTCGTCTATCCCGAGTACTCGGGGAATAGACTGTATCAAACGCTGGGGAACCTACAAACCACCCCGCGGGCTGGTTATGTTGTTCCCGATTTCGTCAGCGGGAACGTTTTGTACTTCACCGGCTCCACAGAGATACTAGTTGGGAAAGATGCAGCTGCAGTCATACCGAGGTCAAATCTCGCCGTGCGAGTCACCATTGCCGCCGCCATCTTCGTGGAAAACGGCCTGGGCTTCCACGGTGAGGCAGGGGAGCCATCTCCCTACAACCCCGACGTCCGGTATCTCATCAACGAGAAACAGATCCCTGGCACCGAAAAGGACAATACAGATGCAACAGCAACGCTCATCAAAAAGGAAATCATCACCCCATCTATCAACCGCTACCGGCTCCGCATCTCCAGCCGCAACCCAGCTTCGTGGAGTGCAGGACAATACGCCACGCTATCCTTCCAGGACGAGCTTGACATGGGCTACAGCCACATGCGAGAGGACGATCCAACCAGTCTAAACGATGACTTCGTACGAACATTTACTGTATCCTCGTACCCTGGTCGCGATATGCCAGACAACGAATTTGAAATAATGGTCCGGCGCAACGGTCCCGTCACTAGATATCTCTCTCAAGTTTACGAGAAGGCCGGTCTGGAGGTGCCGCTGAAGGGTTTCGGTGGGAGTTTCCATATATCCACTGAAAAGGCCGTTGCTCCCTACGTGGCAGGCGGTATTGGCATTACACCTCTTCTTGCACAGCTCCCGGACTTGGATATCTCCCGGCTGCGGTTATTCTGGTCGGTCTCGATGGCTGATTTGGGGGTTGTGCGTGATACCTTCCAGCGGTGGCCTCAGTTGCCCCGGTCAACGACTTTATTTATCACCCGGGAAGTGGAGCTTGATGGAGATGATCGGCGGATGTGGGACGAAATTCTGTCATCCGGGGCGAAAATCGTCCAGAGACGGATGCAAGCCGAAGATTTGGAGCTTGAGCTGGCAGATGTTTGGTATCTCTGTGCTGGTGTGACATTGAAAAGGATGGTTGTGGATTGGCTTGTAGGGAAGACGGTGGTGTATGAGGAATTCAATTATTGATGGTGTGTAATAAGGGCATGGAATTGTACCAAATTGACTGTTTCATTGAGTCGTCAACAACTGATAACTATCACTTACTGTCAATTTCCCTTGAAACTGTTTGAAGTAGATGCAAGGTGTAGGATAGATTAGCCAGCAGTCCAGCACAGCCGCGATATAAATAGCCTCGTGGCGCAACGTCCCGTGTCAAGTGGAGCCCCGTAGGTGTGTCGATCCACTTTGTTTACAGTCGAAGGGGCAGAACATTTCACCAGATTCCTTTCTCTCACCTTCACATACGTGAATTTCAAACCATCTCCAGTCATGCGCTCACCATCCGTCAAACCCTCAGCATACCCGCCCATCCCCTTCCACACCATCCGATTCCTAATCTTCCTCTCCTCAATCGTAACAGGCGTGATCTTGGCAGTATTCACCTACCATCTCCACACCGATGGCTACAAACTACCTTATTCATTCATAGTGGTAAGCAACTCCAACCACATCCTGCAAACCCACATCCTCAATAGCCCAAAATCTAACAAAACTCTTCATTTCAGCTCCTCGTCTCCTCAGCCCTCTCCCTCCTAAACATCCTCCTAACAACAATAATCCACTGCACCCGCAGCCTCTCCACAAAACTCTCCCTAACAACCAACCTCCTCCTAACGATCCTCTGGTCCGTCTCCCTGGCTTTGATGACCTGGAGCCTCGCCCACACAATAACAACCTCCTGCAACAATGTCTTCTGGGGCAACGCAACCGGCATAGCCGTCTGCCGCGCCTACAAAGCCCTGTTCGCATTCAACGCCCTCGGCGTCGCAGCCTACCTTGCCGCCGTCTGGCTGGACATCGTCGTGCGACGACGACAGACCCGTCTCGGTGCTTACGATGCAATGGGGTCCCAGCCGGGACTGGATGATGCGGGCGCGTTCGATGTCAAGATGGATGATAGACATAGCGAGCTGACGCCTGCTCTGCATGATTATGATGTGCCGGCGCATGGTCATGCTGGGTATCATAGTGCGCCGGGGCCGTATGAGAGGGGGTGGGAGGGTGTGCATGGCGGGGAGGCGCAGGGTTATTATGATGCTGCACCTGGGATGAATCGGCGTGGGGTACCGAGGACGGGGGAGACGGGGTATGATCCTGCTATGTATCGGTGAAGGGGGCTTTTTCATGGGAAATGGGAATTTATTATCGTTTGGGATATGCATGGAGGGGTGTTTTGGGTTGATGATGGAAATTGCATGGCGTTCGCGGGAAGTACTGGGATATGTGAAATTTATATGGGTGATAGGTATCACGGGTATAGCAATAGCAGTGCGGGAAAGCAGATGACTCATTTAGAATTCAATTCAGATGGATTAGAATAAGAAAAAAGATCCGTAGATCGGCTGCGCTCATGAAGCAAATAACCATCCAACCATAAGATAAGACGAGATGAGACCAGACCGACAACTGTATCGGCGCAAAGATTCAGATATGTAGGAGGTATTTCGAAGGAAGACGAGCAGAATTGAGTTTACATAATGACCTCGTTAGACACATCCTACAGACAACGTTAGTCAATGGCATGCAGGTGAGATATAAACAATGACATACCCGTTTAAGCTCCTTGTACGGCAGACACACGCAGTTCTGCACGCGGACCTCGTCACCGACACCACACTCCTTGCCGAGGATCGTAATGCTCTGCACCTTGATACCCTGCTTGACGATGCTGGTGGAGTGGCTGCCCACGGGAATGGGCGTACCCTCCACACGAGCCCAGGCACCGACACGACTGCTCCAGCCGATGATTGAGTGCATCACGCAGGCGTCGTGGCGGATCTCGGCGTCCTCAAGGACAATCGAGTCCTTGATACGGGCACCGGCGCCGACCACGACACGCGGGCCGATCGAGACATTCGGACCGAGCTTGGCAGTGGGATCGACGGTGGCAGTGGGGTGGATGTAGACCGGAGGAACGATGGTGGCGGAGGGAGGAGTGAGCTCGGTGGACTCGGCCTGGAATGCTTTCTGGAGGTAGAGGGCGTTAGCAGGGACGGCAGAGCCGGCGGTCTTGATCTGGCGCCAGAAGTCCTTGGTCTCGTGGACAAAGAAGCGGTTGCTGTCGGCCAAATCGGAGAGGATATCCTGTTCCAGACGGAGAACCTCGCTTTTCGCGGCGTCCTCGTCGTCTCCGGTAGCGATGAAGGAGGACTCCAGGTTGTCGGAGGAGGGGTACGAGAGGAGGCGGGGTCGGGTGGTGCGGCGCTTGATGGCACTACGGATGGCGGGGAAGATGCATTCGGTAGCGAAGAGGTAGACGCCACAGTTGATCAGGTTGGAGATGTGCGATTCAGGTTTCTCGACGTAGTGCAGCACACGCTTGGTGTGCGAGTCGGACACGATGCATCCGAAGTTTGTCGCGGTCTCGTTCGACACCCGTGTACCCAGAATCACCGCCTCGGCATCCTTCTCGTCGAACAATCGCATCATCTCACCCAGCGGGAACGAGCAGCAGACGTCGGCGTTCAGCACGAGCAGGCGCTCTGGCTTGCCCTTGAGGATCGCATCGCGGAAGTGGTACAGGCCACCTGCGGTGCCCAAAGCTGTGTACTCGCGCAAGTAGAGGATGCGGAGCTGGGGGAATTCCTTTGATGCATCCTTGATGAAATCCCGGAATACGCTCTCGTCGTAGTATCCGACCAAAATGACTTCGCGCACATCGTCGACCTTCGCCACCGCCTTTAGGCAGTGGTGGATGATGGGGTGACCGGCGACTTCGAATAGCGGCTATTAGAAATGCGGTGTCAATGGTAGCCCAATGCAGATCGGATAAAACGAGAGCTAGATGCATACCTTGGGTACATCGAGCGACAATGGTCGGAATCGTGTGCCTCTTGAGGGGCCTCCGACCTGTGGACAAGGTGTCAGTATTTGGCCCTTTGGGGTTATGACGGTCAAGATCATTTCGCTTCACTCACCAAGATCACGGCCTTGGTGGAAGCCTGGTGGTTTTCCCGCAATGGTACTTGAAGCATGGTGGATATGCAAATAAGTGAAATCTAAAAATGCTTAGGGGAAAGAAGGCAGATACGTACAAAGAGGGAGCTCCCAAAATCACGCCAAGACTAGTTACGCTTTCGGTGGGGGGAGCCTCACCTGACAACATTTTACTTGTTCCGGCCTAACATGCTTCGGGCTTATGTTTTTGTCGTTTCAGAACTATTTAAATTCTTCTTCAAAGGGTGTTAAGCATGCGGTGTACCGTGTACGAGGGTTTGTGTTGCTTTTACGAGATTTCTATGGGTTTGTTCCAGTGTTCGACGCTCCATTTCTTCAGATTCTCGATCGCTCTTGGATCGAGCTGATTCGGGACCCCAACAGTGTTTCTTTGGTCTAGAGGCACTTGCACTGACAATCCTCATCTCGCAATCCGAATCAACAAGTATGGCCAGATTCTCATTGTCTTTTTGAGCAACGACACAAGGATAGGACGTGTCTTGTCGAGCGCGGTCTGGTGGCCAAGTACGATTCGATTCCACTGCTCTGGAAGTGGTTTCTTCTCAGAATGGCTGTTCTCAATACTAGGATTTCCCCGGAACAGCTCATGAATTTTGCGCTCAAGATCCGATGTCTTCCCCCAGAGTATGCGCTGGACGTCATCTGCGGGAGGTTTCGGCAGTGTCTGGACTCTGGAGCTCATCATCAGTTGCCTATGACTTTTTGTCAACCTGGGCAATGATGAGTGGCATGAAACCCAGGATTTGGCCCATCAGCAGATCGGACAATGCCGCTCAAAGCTTTATGGTTCCGAGACGGTCTTGGAAAGAAGAAAACTGTTCCTTCCACATTGACGAAGTTAAGAAGAGCTCTCCTTCGTCTCAGGCTCCCACGTGGCTGGCCAGGTGATCTGAGTTGTTGCGAACGACATAATAGTCATGACCTAGCCTGAATTTGTTCTCCTTCATACAGGATTTGAAGTTATTGGACCAAGGCCTCGCTAGAGGCTAGGCGATCTGGCTTGGTCGACACACCAGGGCAGGGGTACGCTCCTGAGTCCTTTGCGTCTGTGATATATCGCATGAGACGGGCAGCACGGGCACTGGATCTCTCTTCGAACAATGTGCCAGCCATTTCCAATTCCATGGATTAGAACTTGAACCTGGATATACAAGGTACAACTAAAATCAGATATGTGTTTCTTGGCCCATAAGTACCTCTGCTCTCAAGTCGCAGCTCTCGGTCAGGGCATAGGTACTGTGTAGATTCCGAGCTTGAAATCTGGACTTGCTCAAGCAGTCAACTCATCCACGGTGTCCGCATCGAAGACACCAATATCTTCTCGATACTTTCTCTCCCCTTAAGTCCTGGGGATAGACCGGAGTATGCATAAAGCAGAACTATAAATGACCGAATCTGGCATGGCGGGGTAAAACCCCATAATATTGCCCTAAGCCCTACATCCTAATTGGGTATGCATGACCCTTCGGACATTGAGAGCGAGAACATAGAGAGCAGCCCTTAGGCAATGACAGTAGGAGAACCGTTCAAATAATCGTTCTTTCCTATCTAGTCATATAACACGAGAAGCAGTAGAAATTGAGTCATGAAGCTTGGCTTTCCGCCGTTGACAAGGTCCACCGACCAATCAGGCGGGCCGATCCCGCCCAAAATTTCGATTGTCCCTCTTCATCCCACCATCCCACTTCCGCTCTCTGTCTACCAAACACAATGGCGGATTCCAACCCAGTTAAAGAGGCTGAGGTCTCTATGGCCAACCTCCTTCTTGATGAAGTTACCGGCGAGAAGGTGTCCAAGACCGAATTGAAGAGACGCCAGAAGCAGCGTGAGAAGGACGCTAAGAAGAAGGAGAAGGAGGCTGCTGCTCCTCCCAAGCCCAAGTCCGAGAAGAAGACTTCTGCCGAGGAGGACGAGGCCAATCTGACCCCGAACGTGAGTTTCCTTGCTGCTTTGCCAATGTTTCGCGTCACCGCTTCTGGCGCATGGCGGGGTAATCAAAAGCTAACCATTATGTCACTTTAGCAATACTTCGAGATCCGAAGCAAGAGAATCAACAAGCTGCGCGAGACCAAGCAGCCTAACCCCTACCCCCACAAGTTCCACGTTGATACCGACCTGCGCAAGTTCGTCAAGGAGCATGAGGGTCTCAAGAAGGGCGAACAGAAGCCCGATGTTCCCGTTCGCGTCGCTGGCCGTATCTACACCAAGCGAACCTCTGGAAACAAGTTGATCTTCTACGATATCCGCGCCGAGGGTGTTAAGGTCCAGGTTGTATGCCAAGCACAATTCTCGACCGGCAAGCCTTTCGAGGAGCAGCACGAGCTGCTTCGTCGAGGTGACATTGTCGGCTTCGTGGGTTTCCCCGGCCGTACCAACCCTAAGAACCGTGACGATGGTGAACTTTCCATCTTCGCCACTGAGGTGACTCTCTTGACTCCTTGCTTGCATGCCATTCCCTCCGAGCACTACGGCTTCCAGGACAAGGAGCAGCGTTTCCGCCAGCGTTACCTGGACCTCATCATGAACGATCGCTCGCGCCAGATCTTCCGCACTCGTGCTGAGATCATCAAATTTGTCCGCAGTTTCTTGGATAACCGTGATTTTACTGAGGTCGAAACCCCCATGATGAACGCCATCGCCGGCGGTGCCACCGCCAAGCCCTTCAGCACCCACCACAATGACCTTGACATGAACCTGTTCATGCGTGTCGCACCTGAGCTTTACCTTAAGATGCTGATTGTCGGCGGTATGGAGAGAGGTAAGTCTTCTCTCATTTTCCCTTTTTTCCCATTCTTTTGATCATAATTCTAACGTTCGCAAAGTGTACGAGATTGGACGCCAGGTAATTGAAAGCAAATGCTCGATCCCTCGGATCATTACTTACTTATCGTTTCTAGTTCCGCAATGAGGGAATTGATCTGACTCACAACCCCGAGTTCACCACTTGTGAATTCTACCAGGCCTACGCGGATGTGTATGACCTTATGGAGTTGACCGAGGAGCTCGTCTCAAGTCTCGTCAAGCACGTCACTGGTGGTTATGAGACTGTCTTCCACTCCCTGTCCGGCGAAACCTACAACGTGAACTGGAAGGCGCCCTGGCGGCGAGTGGAGATGATGCCTGCTCTTGAGGAGGCATGTGGTGAAAAGTTCCCCCCTGGTGACCAGCTACACACCCCCGAGACCAACGAGTTCCTTAAGCGCATGTTGAAGAAGATGAACGTCGAATGCCCGCCTCCTATGACGAATGCCCGCATGCTCGACAAGCTTGTCGGTGATTTCATTGAAGATACTTGCATCAACCCCACTTTCATCACCGGACACCCGCAAATGATGTCTCCTCTGGCCAAGTACCACCGCGAGCATGCCGGTCTTTGCGAACGTTTCGAGGCCTTCGTTTGGTATGTGACTATCTACATCATGCTTGATCAGGTCCCAGACTAACTCCACTATAGCACCAAGGAAATCATCAATGCTTACACTGAGTTGAACGATCCTTTCGACCAGCGTATGCGTTTCGAGGAGCAGGCCAACCAGAAGGACCAGGGTGATGACGAGGCCCAGCTCATCGATGAGACTTTCTGCCAGTCTCTCGAATACGGTCTTCCCCCGACTGGTGGCTGGGGTATGGGTATTGACCGCCTGGTCATGTTCCTTACCGATAACTACAGCATCAAGGAGGTCTTGACCTTCCCCATGATGAAGGACGACAAGACCGCTGCTGACCCTAAGACCGCCGCCGAAGTCGCTGGCGTCGAGCCCGTCCCCGAGGAGGGAATCCGTACGTTACTTATATCAGCCAACTTCCACGAGCCGCTCTCGCTGACGATGAATATACAGCCCACAAATGAATAGGACAGTAGGAGGTCCAAGAATCGGTCCATAAGACAAGAATGATTTTGTGTGAAGATTTGCATGTGGCTTTACTTTATGATAATGCAACATACAACGGGATGCTAAAATAACTATGTCGGCCATTGAGCCATTTCCCGAGTTTCAAACGGAATCATATTCTTGCCCATAAGATGATAGGATGGCAGTAACCCATTGCCTATAGGAATACTTCATTACTGTGCTTAAAAGAGGATCCAACGAAAGCAGAGCGTGGATGCTAGGCAACATACCTAGCTCTGCCGGGAGATAAGTTAGTTATGTTCGAGGACTCGGAGGTCTGTTGGAAAGTCTTAAGTGAGCTCTAGCCAATACGTTAGTAGATAGCTAGGCACTTTCGTGGCTGAGACGTGGCATAGAATGAAGTTATATGCTCGACACCCCGTCTATCAGACTTCAAACAGACGTGATAGAGTGTGCGTGTCCTGAGTGGGCGTCTTACTTAGTCTTGGATATGGAGCAGATATTCGAAGTTTCTACATAACCTAGACAGGCAAGGACAGCAGTACTGTTGCGTATACATTACTGGGTGCATCTTGATCTAGAGCACATCTAGGTATAACAACCCTCGGAAAGCCCTTCGCAGCGTACTGACAGGCGTTGTAAAAACCATCTCGTAGCACAGTAGATACCCCTTTGCCAGACTGTTACAGGCCATGGATCCCTCCTGGATCACTGGTGAGAGTCAGAGTAAGTCAAGTCTGATCCAGCATCTGAGAGTCGAGTGAGAGTTGAGTCTGTTTGCTTTTCCCCGGCACCTTCCTCTAACTACACACCATCTGATCCCATGAGACTGTTCAGTTATAAACCAAACACCAACTTGCATCTGAGACTTCTCATCAACCCCAAGCCCTTTTATCTTCACCCCTCTTTACCTTCGTCCTCCATCCATCCTTGTCTCTATTTTGCCTTTCAGAGGCATTTTTCCCATCAAACATCATCAACTCTCATCAACATAGCCTTGTTGCAACGATGGAGCGAAAGGCGATGCCGCTCCCTCGCGTTCCTGGCTTGAGCCTCCCATCATTTCGGGAGGTGGAGGAGGCCATCTTCTCCCACAGGCGTGGGGAAGAAAGCTTTGCTATTCCTCGTGGAAATAATAGCACAGATGAGGAACGTGTCCCATCTTGTCGGGAACTGGAGGAGTCTGTCTTCTCCCACAGGCGTGGGGGAGAAAGCTTTGCTACTACTTTTGGAATAGATGGCACATATGAGAGACCTGGCGAGAGTGCCACGAGTATCTCGCCTTCTCCAGGCCACAATAACACCTCGGAGAATCCATTTCCTCCATATCCAGTTCGTGGATGGAACATCCCGCCTGACCCCAGCCAAAATGTTTGTATCCATCTTTCTCTGACTCGAGACATTCTTCTAATAGCTTGCCAGGCATTTTGGGAATCGGGATTTGCCCGCAGAGTACGTGCATAATCATCATCTATGTATGAAAGTGAGAGAACTCTAGCTGACTTGCAAACTCAAAGCATCCTAATCTTCCAAGGGTGCTCTACTCCCAGCCATCTCAGACACAGGCAGTGAACAGAGGTAAGACCAAGAGAACACCCACGCATCTGCATTTTGAGCAAGGGCAGGACAAAGCTTACCTGACAACCATACAGGGCGATTTCCAACCCGCAACCTGCCCATCCGCGAGAGACTGAGCGAGATTTCATCAACTACTATACAGTGGTCCGTCAGTCCCGCGCCGACACCCTCCAGCTCTCAACTGTCCCCAAGTTCAGAGCCTTGGTCGCCAGAGACTCGACCAATACATCCACCCCGACCCCCTCTTGCAGACCGAAACCCCAATGAACCACTCCGTTCCAGGCCGAGGGACCAACCCGAACCCTCGCCCGTCTCATATCCACGGACCCAACGCCGTCGTATTGGCGTCGCCTTCCAGGATGTGGCGGCGCACACAGCAAAGTGCGACGTTTGCAACAAGCGGAACAAGAACGGCATGTCCCGATGCCAGAACTGTGGCTGGCAGATTTGTCGCAAGTGTGTCAGTGATCGAGGCGCAGATCGGACTCACGCCTCATTCGGGGCTACCCATGTCCCCGAGCGGAATGAAGATACTGGACAAGTATCCCCGGCTGTGGAGCATGGCGAAGAAGTGAGGGCCGCGCAGAGCCTGCTTGATCTTGGGGCTTATGGTAACCGGGATCCTAGCGCGGTCGAAAGCCCTGAAAATAGTCGTCGGGATGGGCCTTCTCCTGTAGCTGTTCGTGGGAGCCAGCTGGGTGATGCTCTGTCTACTGATTCGGAGCTTACGTTGTATGCTGGGGAGTGGCCGGATGAAGAGGACGATGTCCCCATCGGGGAGGATGGGTTGCCTCTGGGGTATGTGATTACCCGCCGCAATCCTTCGCGTGCTGCGAGACCCTCAAAGATGGCGGAATAAGTGGGAGAAGCATGAAGAAGACTGGGAGAGATAGAGAACAATGTGCGGGAGGAGGTGGAAGGTAACAGGAGAGTGACGGTCAGCGTGGAGAAGCGTGAAAATGACCAGATATGCGGCATGCCCCCGAGTATCTTTTACTTTTTTCCTGGAGCGCGTTAAGGGGGCCTTGCATGATTGGATTTCGATGCGAATACCAATGAAACAGAAGAATTAGGTAGTTCAACCAAAGATGTGCTTTTTCCTAAAACTATTTTTACATTGGAATAGGAGAGTAGTAATGCTAGTCATACAATAAGATACAATAAGACTCGAGGAATTCCTCGAGTCGACAGATGAATGGAGATGGTATCAAAACACCCACGGCGACTGATTTACAATCAATCCCGCCCAACATAATCATACATACAGAGCCGAGTGCGGTTAGATTCTCTTCACAGCAGAGGCAGCAGTGCCATTAAGCTGCGCCGAACGAGCCTTGATGGCCATCTGCAACAACTTGGCCGTGCGTGATGGGTGCCAAACCCGGCTGCCCAGGACCATGACCCAAGTGAGGAGGAACAAGCTACCAGCCTGGTGGGCGGAGGCAAGAGGAGTGGGAACGAGGTAGAGTAGAGTACTGATACCGAGTGCGACCTGGCAGCAGGCGAACATGAACACGCCGTGCACACCCTTTCTGGCGGGTGCCGGTAGGTACCGCTTCATTGTGGGCGAGCGGCGGGTGTAAACCATCAAGGCACAGATAGCGGTGAAAGTGCTCATAGCAAGGATACGGTGGTCAAGCTGCACAAGAGAAGGGTTCTCGAGCATGTTACGCCACCAAAGATCGGAGCGGTCCTCGTGGCGAGAGTAGCGGGGATCGAACAGCTCCTCGCTGGGAGGGGCCAAGCCCTTACCCATGAATGGGAACTCGTTGTAGATAAGACCGGCATCGAGGCCAGCGACAAGACCTCCGGAGATGACGGTTGTGAAGACCAAAAGGGCGATACCAGCAACGGAGCGGCGGAAGAAGGCCAGCTTCGGGTCGCGCAGTGCGTTCAACTCCTTAATTCCGGCAGCGGCGTCGGCCATCAACCGATGACTGCGCAAGATGGCAAGACCGTTCCACAACATCGCGACGTAGCAAGTGAAGGCAGCTCCCAAGTGGGCGGTCAGACGGTACTGGCTTACTCGGGGATGACTGCCCGGAGCAAAGAGATCGTCTTTCAAGCCAGACTTGACCATCCACCAGCCGATGAAGCCCTGGAAACCGATGAGACCGGCAATGCCGAAGAGACGCCAGGCCATGGGCGTGGAGACCTTCTTTCTTGCGACGAAGTAGACTGCGGGTACCACGAAGGAGATTCCGACGAATCGGCCCCAGAGCCGGTGAATCCATTCCATGTAGTAGATCGACTTGAACTCGGAGAGGGTCATGTTGGGGTTAAGCAATTGGAATTCGGGAGATGCACGGTACTTGGAGAACTCCTCCTCCCAGTGCTCTGCGTTCATGGGAGGGAGTGAGCCGGTAACAGGTCGCCATTCGGTGATACTCAATCTGTGTCAGATTTGTATCGTTAGCATCTGAGCTCGAGTCTGTACTTCATAGGGGGGTAAGACCGAGGGATCAAGTAACGTACCCTGATTCTGTCAATCGCGTCAAACCACCGAAGACCACAATGCCGAATACACTGGCCGCACTGCCCAAAAGCCAGTAGGCAACGGCCTTGTCGCTGATTTTGGGGAAGCTTGACTTGGCTTTCGCGGAACCCGCGCCAATTGCCTCTGCAACAGCCGGTGCTGCGGTCGATTGCTTGAGGCTGGAGGTGAAGAATTGGCGTTTCTTGTCGTTCAGCAGGGCTGATTGTATCTTGCTGGCTTGACGAGATGGGGTACTAATTTGACGGACTGTGTTGGCTAGGTAGCCTTGACTCCGGATGCATTCGCGCGGTGTGAAGAAATCCTTGGCTAAACGAGGCGCAGCACTCCGCCATAGCGACAGAGAGCTCCTCATAGTGGCCATTGTTGGAGGAGACGAGTTCGAGAAGAAAGTTGCTGAAGTTCGGAGATCGTACGATATCGGGGAATATCCGTTGGCCAATCAACGGTGGAGCATTTGCCGTGGATCAACACTGAGAAGAAACAAAGAGATCGATGAGATTGGACTTGAGTGAAAGGTTTAGAACATCTTAAGCAACTACAAAGACCTATTCAAAACCAGTCGCTGACTACTTAAAGTCATGAATTCCCCATAAATGGGCAAGAACAATGTTGACGCCTAAGGCGACAACACCTGTGATCGCCGCAGCTCGCCGCAGCTCCATCCCCATTGTGTTGATCCACATCAACTCGACTTTCTTCCTATCGCAACCCCATCATGTCGTACGCTTTGGAGTCAAAGAAGCGCAAGTTCCACCGTCTTCTCGACTCGCTGTCCAAACCATCTACCCCCGAGAATACATCTAAACCGACCCCCGCGGCGCCCGCAACGGCGCAAGACCGAATCTCCGCCAACCTATCAATCAAGAAAGTACGCCTGAGCGGTGCCGATCGATCGGATCTCACGGCAGTGCGCAACTCCATAAACAAAATCTCGAGACCTGCACATCGACTAGCCTCGGCGAATTCAAACAAACGCCCAACCTTTGTCCCTTGGGACCGCGAACGTTTCCTCGAGCGCCTAGAGACCTTCCGCCGAGTCGACCGATGGACGTCCAAGCCGTCTCCCATCAATGAAGTACAATGGGCGAAGCATGGCTGGATATGTACAGATGTTACGCGAGTCACCTGCGTGAGCGACTGCGGTGGCGCAGTCGTGGTGAAGCTGCCTGATGAGATTGATGAACTGGATGGATTCGATATTGAGAAAGTGGAGGAGAGGAAGGAAGTTCGTGAGTGGCCCCGCACATTATCTGCCACGGTTGTGCTGGGACGGGAGGCTAATATGCACACGTATAGGCGCGAAACTGGTGGACGAGTACGTCAAAATGCTAAGTAATGGTCATGGCGAAAGCTGCCCTTGGCGGAACAAGAGCTGCGATGGTGAGTCTTCGTATCATGTTGAGAACCCTTTGGTCCCAAGTCTAACATTGCGCCAGCTACTATTCAACATCTCCCTTTGACGAACTATGAAACAGCCCTATTGGGACTGCACAAACGCTATACGAATATCTCCAAGATGGGTGATAAATTACCGGCTGATGATATAATACAAACCCCAGAAGGACTTGAACTTGATATTCTAATCAAGGGTCTTCCTGACGAATGGTTCAAAGAAACCGAAAGCCCTGCTGTCTCCACCAACGGCGAAACCGAGTCTGCCAACACCGAGAGCAAAGAGCCAACAGACACACCTCAACCAGTTAATAAGGCAGCCCTGGCGCTAGCAGTGCTCGGCTGGGATACTGCTTCCGATGGAGCCGCTGGGTTAGTCGGATGCGGAGCGTGCTTCCGTCGGCTGGGTCTATGGATGTATAAGCCCAAAGACAACGGAGACGTGACTGTATACACCGCCCTGGATGTTGCCAATGAGCACATGGAGTATTGCCCTTGGATCGATAAAGTAGCCCAGAGTGGCGCTGGCCGACCCCACGAGAAAGTGGCGCAACTCCGCGCCGGCTGGCAGATTGTCGCAGAGGCCGCGAAGGTCAAACACCGCCGCAGACTACGCACCATGGCCTCTGTAGACACGCTGCGACCTGGCACAGGTACGACAGACGAGTCTATAGGCGAAGAGGAGAACCCAGACGCGAAGAAGAAAGCAGACCGTGAGTGGTGGGCTAAAATCCGCCGCGTGAGACAGGTCTTGACGGCGAAGTCGCCAAAGAGGAAAGCTGTGCTTCCCGACATACCTCATTGATCATGCATCTTCATGTTCTTTTTTTTTTTTTACTCGAAATTACATTAATTAGCGCCGGTTTTATGAAGAGGGTCAAATGTGCATATGTCATCTGGTTACATAGTAGAACTAGTTTCAATCAATAATAGTGCCAGTCACGACACTTTGCAATGTGTCCTGATACGTAGATTTCATCTCAACAATTGTTATTACTCGCAAGCAAGTAATGAAATGTAAAATGGACATCAACCAGAAGCCGATTACAGACGGAGGATTAGGGTTGGATGTAGATGCTCTGATTGGCCGAGATCCGGAGCTCATTCGACTCTCTCCGGACCTCAACCGGCATTGCTCTCGACTTCTACAAGTCTCGGAACCAAGCAAGAGTTCTGTGATCACGCCCTTGCCTCCTTTAGATTTTTACAATTATTTTCTAACATAGGTTCAACCTCCCTCTCGTCGTTAAACACCCTCGACCTTTGTCCCCTCGAACCGTTTCTTTGAGCATTCCAGAACATTGCAACTCGAATCGGCGACGGCTTTCTACATCACTATGGATAATAATAACGAGAATGGAGCTCGTGATGGGGCTGCCAGACACTCTACTCCCCGTTCACCTGCTCGCACGAATGCCACACCCTCTGCAACAGATTCCGGGCGGCACAGGAGCATGGAAGGAGACGGCGCGGCAGATGGACCAAGTCAGTTATCGAATGCTGCAATCAAGCGCAGGAGACTCCAAGAGAGGCACCAAGCTCTCCGAAAACGTGGTCGCACTCCGCCATCAGTATTCTCTCGGCGCAATCGCTCTCGCAGTCCAAATGGCGCACCGCCACGCGAAGACCGACGCTCCCGCTCGCCGATACAACCGCGCCGCTCTCCCTCCCCCGAAGCGCCGCGGCAACGCAAGAGACCAGGTGGTGGAGCGAGACAGGGACTTGCAGACCGCGAAACTCTACGACGCAGACAGGAGGAGCGTGAACGCGCCGAGCAGGAAGAGGCGATGCGCACCTCCCAACAGCGTGGAGTTGCGGACGTTGTTAGGCAGCACTACAATGCGGTCCCTGAGAGAGGCCGTGAGTGGCGGAAGACGGAGAGCAAGATCAAGGGGCTACGAAGCTTCAACAACTGGGTGAAGAGCACTCTTATCCAGAAATTCTCGCCCGATGAGAATTTTGTTGCACGATTTGAGGATACCAAGGATTGGGCCAATGACAGCCAAGGACCGCCGCCAGCGCCTGAGCACAAGCTCCTCGTGTTGGACTTGGGGTGTGGAAAGGGTGGCGATTTGGGCAAGTGGCAGCTGGCGCCCCAGCCGGTTGACCTCTATGTCGGTCTTGACCCTGCCAATGTCTCGATTGAGCAGGCACGAGGTCGTTACGACCAAATGCGCTCGGGCCGTGGTCAGCGAGGCCGTCGACCTCCCCCAGCAATCTTCCATGCTGAATTTTATCCGAAGGACTGCTTCGGAGAGTGGCTAGGCGATATAGACATTATCCAGCAAGTCGGCATTGATGCTAATGTCGGGCCTGGTGGTTCCATCATGGCCTCTCGCTACGGCGGCGGGGGCTTTGATATTGTTACATCCATGTTCGCCATTCATTATGCCTTTGAGACTGAGGAGAAGACACGCCAAATGCTCAGTAATGTCGCAGGTTGCTTGAAGAAGGGCGGTCGTTTCCTCGGTGTTTGTCCCAACTCAGACGTCATTAGCAGCCAAGTGTCTGCCTTCCATAAGAAGCGTAAGGAGCGCGAGGCTGCTAAAGCCGCTGAACCGGACGGTCCCGAGGATGGTGAGGTTGAGGAGGATGACCGGGCCCAGTGGGGCAATGATATCTACCGCGTTCAATTCCCTGGAGCAACTCCCGAGGATGGAGTTTTCCGTCCGCCTTTCGGGTGGAAATACAGTTACTTCATGAAAGAGGCAGTGGAGGAGGTTCCTGAATATGTCGTTCCATGGGAGGCTTTCCGAGCGTGAGTGTCCATGACAATCCCTTTTACCATGCGCACCTAACATTTGTTTTAGGTTGACCGAGGATTACAACCTGGAACTCCAATACCGCAAGCCATTCTTGGACATCTGGGAAGACGAGAAGAACCACCCTGAGTTGGGCCCGCTCGGTGATCGAATGGGTGTTCGAGACCGCGTAACTGGTGCTTTGAATATGACGCCGGAAGAGAAGGAGGCCGTTAGTGAGTATCAAGTGAATCTTCGTTGCTCTCTCAGACACTAACAGATCGTCTTATTAGGTTTCTACCATGCATACTGCTTCTATAAGGTCTAGGCTGCTTGGAGTGCTTTCAACCAGTGGTCGAGGTATCTTAGTATATCGCATCATGAAGCGTCTCAACTTAATACCTGCTTGCATTCATTTGCTTATTGTATCACATGTACTATCTTGCAAAAAGCATAACTTCAATCTCCAATATTAGAGCAATAAAGGAGTCTCCCAGGATGGAGGTGAAGGGACCTGGGGAGTGATAGTCAAATGCACTAACTATCCCTGCAGGCAACTACCGGGGCCTCGTGGGGTTAGTGAAATGTTTGTGACAAACACCTGGATGCTTCCTTCCCATCTGATCTTGAGGGTGCCTTCCATTTTGGGCATCAAACTCCCATCCTGGGGGTATAAATATCTCCCTCTCTCTCTCTTCTCTTCCTCTTCTTCCCTTTCCCTTCCATATCGTAGTTCTTCTCTCGCCGTCACTTACTTACCCATCTACCCACGCTACACATAGCGCACCTACTGCACCTTGTCCCAGCCAGATTTCCCCCTCACCCTCCCCTCTTCTCCCCTCTTCTACCCTGCCAGTCCTATGATGAAGCGAGGCCTCCAGGTTACCCGGGAACCACGAGGGAAATTCGAACCGCTGTCTGCTGTCAGACGCGATCTACACTCTGAGGAACTGTTCTGCTTGACCTGCCAACCCATCACATTCACTTATGCCCCCCAGACGCAGTCTGGAGATTCCAAGGCACTTCGCCCCCCTCCTGCCACATCATTTTCATGCTCCCCAGACTGGGGATCCCAAGGCGCTTTACCCCCTTCCTGCCAGTCCTATGATGAATCGAGACCTCCAGGTTGCCCGGGAACCACGAGGATAACTCGAGACGATGTCTGCTGTCAGACGCGATCTACACTCTGAGGAACTGTTCTGCCCGGCCTGCCAACCCATCACATTCACTTATGCCCCCCAGACGCAGTCTGGAGATTCCAAGGCACTTCACCCCCTTCCTGCCAGTCCTATGATGAATCGAGACCTCCAGGTTGCCCGGGAACCACGAGGATAACTCGAGACGCTGTCTGCTGTCAGACGCGATCTACACTCTGAGGAACTGTTCTGCTCGTCCTGCCAACTCATCACCTATGGTCCCCAAGACGCGGTCTGGGGATCCCAAGGCACTTTTTCCCCGTCCCGCAGTCCTATGATAATCTGAGGTCTCCAGACGCAGCCTGGGGATTCTGAGGAACTGCTTCCCATCCTGCTCCATCCTGTGAAGATACAACGCTGCCTCACCCGCTTAATTGTCAGATCGCACAATTCGACGAACAGTCAAGGATGTAGGCTGCCCAAACGTAGAGGGCTAGAATAGAAGTTGGCTTGTTCTGTCAAATGTTTCCGAAGTGGCCTCTATTGTTCGATGATCAGTGATAAGCCTTATCGATATAACCCCAAACAGGACTAGCGTCATCGCGTCGCGCGTCAGGATTTCGAGAATCGCGATGCGCTTTGTTCCTCCACGTAGACTTTCCTCATCAAAGTCACTCGGGGAGTTGCACTCAATTCAAAGCAGAAATCTCCAAGTAGCTTGAGTCGCACCACCTGGTTCTGTCTACAGGCCTTATTACCCAAGATGTCGGCGACACCAAGCACACGGCGTTCAGTGCGACCCTCCCACCCACCGTCGGCACAATCACGCAGACAAAGCACCCATCCACCATCGACACAATCATACAGACAAAGCACGGCCAATAGCCCCAGCCCCCCCCGCAGAACCGAAACCGTTGCCGCCATATGAAGCCCCCGAGGCCCCCCTCACAGCCGAGGACCAGCAACGAATCACCAATCTTCTCTCATCAACTTACTTCCGAAAACTCCGCACCCACCTCCAACATGCCACAGAAAAGCTCACACACGCAGGTGGTGATGTGAACGAGCGCCTTAGCGACGCGCGTCTTCGCTACGAGAAAGTCAAGGAGAAACGCCGAAAAGAAGGCGACGAGGACGACGTCGCGGATGACCCGACCAGTGAGGAATACCAGCGCCTTGCCGCCTCCGAGGCTCAAGTCGAAGCTATCACTGCGCGACTGGAAGAGAAGACCCGGTATATTATCGATTCTGAGACGAAGCTTCAAGGCCTGGCGGACTCAATGACTCAAATCGAGAAAGAGCAGGCCGAGGCTCTCCGTGCTGCCCTGGGGGCGAGACAGACCCGTCAACAGCGGGCAATCATGAGGGCCAATGCTGATGAGGACGAAGATTCCAACGATGAGGAACAAGAAGATCCCGCGGAGAGAGAGGCGAGAGAGCGGAATGCGCGGAACCCGCCTAGTCGCAAGCTGGAAACGAAGCTGGCTGAGGAAACTCAGAAGTGGAACGCGCTTTCATTGAATGAGAGGTATGTTCTTTGCATATCTCTTGATATAAGGTTACTCTACTCGAATGCACATGAACTAACAAACTACGATCTAGATATGCCGGCAACAACTCGTACATCGGCTTCTACCGAATGGTTCACGACTCCAAATTCCCTGGCGACGATGTGCCGCCTCTCCCTCACTCTTCTACATGGTTTGAGCACCTCGAAGACGCGAATACATCCGCCCACACACGCAAACAAAGCCATCGCCACTCGACCGCTGAGTCCGATGATGACATTGCCATTGAGCGCGAGCGCATATCTCTCAAATGCCCACTGACTCTTTCACTCTACGTTGATCCTGTGAGGAGCACGAAATGTCCGCACAGCTTCGAGCGCGAAGCTATTATGGATATGATCAACCGCAGCCGGACGACTATTGCGCCCCCAGCAGCTCGTCAGGGACAGCACCGTATTCGTATGGTCAAATGTCCTGTTTGCTCCAGTCCGTTGACTGCGGATGATCTGCGGCCCGACCCTGTTTTGCTACGACGTGTTCGCCGAGCCCAGGAGCTTCAGGAGCGCGAGGAGGATGATGATCACCTTGAAGGGGATAGGAGGCATAAGGATCGCAGTACCGGAATTACCTTGGGTAGCGATGCGGATAGCGATGACGATGCTATGGATGTCGATGCCAACCCGGCCTCACAGCGCATCAAACCGGAGCCACTGAGCCAGGCTGCTCGGGCTGGCCAAGCTGATGAGTCTGAGGAGGATGCGGAGAGCGATGACAATGAACAAGGGAACAGCAATCCGGAGGCAGATGCTGCCGAGGAGCAATATGACGAAGAACAGAACGAGCAGTCATTGAATGATGAGCCAATGGAAGATGCGGGGAATGACGATGGGGAAAATGGCGGCGTGAACACTCAGAGTGTCGAAGGGCGTAGTTGTGTGCAGAATGAGGGTAGCAGCGGGGGAGCAACGGACAGTGATAGTGAAGTTGAAGCCAAGTATGAGGGTGAATCCGATTGACGGGGAGGCGTCGAGAGTGGTGATACTATGATAACGCCAAGTGCCAGCGTTTAGCTCGCGTGCTCAGTTCAGGGAGCAAATGAGATGGTTCAAACCTGCCATAATTTACGATAATCCATATTGTCTGAGATGATAGATCTGTATCTGACTGAGCTTGTGACACCTGAGATGTAGGTTCCGCTCGTATATTTAGACGAGAGCTACAATGCCATTGAAGATATTCAGGTCGAACATGCCCAAAGATCTTTGAAAATCCGAAACAAGCAAATGACGCTAGACCCCTCGTGGCCTCCCCGCAGTCGACCCAGTGAATTACCATGTGGGTCCCGAGCCAATCAAAGTGGGGACTATCGGTTAGCGTGGATGTCTAGATTGTGTTTGGTCCCTCCGCTAATCAAAATCGTCTCTGGCGGCCGACGAAGGAGTGTTCCCTGGTTCATTTTGGCTTTTCGTTGAGTGTCGGGATGCGACTCTAGTCAACGCCAAAGAACTTTCTATTCATCTAGATAAAGCATAAGAGTAACCTTGCTGAGCTGTAAATACTACCATCTCCAGTCATATTCAAACATCCTAGACAAAAGACACAGTGCCATCAGGGTGTAACACTACGATCAAAGCGTCCAGCCCTAGGCTCCTAGTCACCTGCCCCCGGCCCCCCCTATTATTCCCTTCTGTATCTCAGCCTGGGCCCATTTCCCACAAGACCAGCCACATTAAGTAAGAATACGCTTCTGCCCGTGATCTCGTAGAGGGCCGATGCTACCCTGCAAGCTTCTATCATGAAATTGGAAGCCTCTATCTCTTAATCGATCCTAGCAAACGCAGCGTGGCTTGTACCTTTCCCTAAAAAAAGTAGCCGGGGAGCTTAGTCTGTTTGTTCCTTTTAAATCTTCCCACTCCTTTCGAACCTTTACCTCCCTACACATTTTTTTCAACATTTTCCATCCCACAACTTACCATCTATTCTACTACGGCTTCATATTCGGCCTTTATTCATAATGGAGGAACGGAAGACCGTGGTTGAATATTCCGTCGAACCCGCCCCCCGACCCCCAGGATGGATGTACAAGGCCGGTAGCATTGGCAAATGGTCGACAAGTTGGTATGCGTCGCCGCGCAACCAGCTGGCAATGGTCGCCTTCGTCTGCTTCCTCTGCCCAGGCATGTTCAACGCCCTCAGCGGCTTGGGCGGTGGTGGAAAAGCCGACCCCACCCTGAGTGACCAAATGGTACGCACCAAGGCCGCTTTGTCCCCCCCCCGTTTCGTGCTTATCTCGCCCCTCCCCACTCTTCCTCCGCCGTTGAATAGGAAACTCCGATTGGTCGCATCCCCTTCGTTCGTGGTTTCAGCACTAACTAGAAGCAATAGAACATTGCGCTGTACAGTACCTTTGCCGTGGTGGGTTTCTTCGCCGGAACTGTCGTCAACCGTATTGGAGTCCGTCTCTCGCTTTCGTTCGGTGGAATCGGTTACTGCATTTACTCCATTAGTCTGCTCGTCTCGGTACACAAACATGTACCCGGCTTCAACATCTTCGCCGGCGCATTCCTCGGTGTGTGCGCCGGTCTGCTCTGGGCTGCCCAGGGAACCATCATGATGTCGTACCCGCCTGAGCAGCAGAAGGGTCGATACTTCTCTTGGTTCTGGTGTATTTTCAATGTCGGAGCCTGTATCGGTAGCTTGGTAAGAGCCCATTCCAATTTCCAAATCGTTCTACCAAGCCGTGCAGAACACAAATCGGCCTACATTCATCAAACAAACAACTAACCAATCCAATGTGAAAGATCCCCCTCGGCGAAAACATCAACGTCAAGACCAACGAAACCGTTAGCGATGGAACATACATTGCCTTCATCGTCCTGATGTTCGCCGGCGCCGTCCTCGCCCTTTTCCTCTGTGACGCAGATAAGGTGGTGCGCACCGACGGCTCCCGCGTCATTCTCATGAAACAGCCCTCCTGGAAAACCGAGTTCATCGGACTCTGGGACACAATCCGCGCTGAACCGTGGATCGTCCTCCTCTTCCCCATGTTCTGGTCTTCCAACTGGTTCTACACCTACCAGCAGAACGCCATCAACGGCGCCTACTTCAACACCCGCACCAAGGCACTCAACGGCTTCCTCTACTGGTTCGCGCAGATCGTCGCCGCGGTCATCATCGGACCCTTGCTTGATATCGAGCGCGTGCGTCGCACTGTGCGTGCCAAGGCTGCTCTCGTCAGTCTGTTCGTGCTTACCGTTGCTATCTGGGGTGGTGGTTATGCCTGGCAGAAAAAGTACACCCGTGAGACTGTGGCTCAGAAGGATTTCGTGCCCTGGGATTGGGAAACCAAGGGCTACGTTGGACCCATGTTCCTGTACTTCTTCTACGGCATGTACGATGCTGTCTGGCAGGGAATTGTCTACTGGTAAGATTTGCCTCTCCCCTCTTGTTTTGCCCTTCCTTTTCCCTGGCATACCAGAAACTAATTATCCACCAGGATCATGGGCGCCCTCGGTAACTCCGGCCGTAAACTCGCCAATTTGGCCGGATTCTACAAGGGTCTTCAGTCCGCCGGTGCCGCCGTCATGTGGTCACTCGACAGCAACAAGCTCCCATACATGAACGAGTACGCGTCGAACTTCGGTCTGCTGTGTGCCTCGATCCTCGTCGCTGCCCCGGTTGTCTTCTTCAAGATCAAGGACTCCGTTCCCGTTGAGGATGAGCTTGCCGGTACGGGTGAGACTCTCGAGGATGTGTTGCCACCTGGTGCTGTTGAGCAGATCCGGGCTGGCGATGAGAAGATTTAGGTAATATTTTGCAGCCATACGATGATACATGTATGCTTGAGTTTCTTTGAAGGCGGTTTTCCTTTCTGCGCAATCAGGGTGAAGAATTGACAAACCGGTTGTTCTTGGCTTGGACTGCTGGCTTAGACTGTTGGTTTGGTGAATTCTAACTCTGGTTTCCCATGCTTTTCAATGCGAGCGATGCATGGGCTTTTTTTTTATTTCTTACGACTGTTTGTAATGGTTATGCATCTCTCATGGATGGTTCTGTTCCGAACCTGGGTTTTACTTTTTACTTATCTAGCCAGTGTGGAATGGAACACATATTGAGAGACTTTCTTGTGTCTAGTTATGTGGTTCTTCCAGGGGTGTTAGTAAGGTAGAATTGCGATGTCTGAGATGTCTTAGGCAACCATCTTACGATCTTGTGTGACAGTCTGCAAGTACCCGGGCTTATGTGTCAGACTAGAATAAGGCCTCCCTGGGCCATACATTTGACTTATTCGGACCATAATATGGGGAATAATACGTTCCTGTTTGTCATGTTCTATCGGTTGCACCGGAGAAAAGTAGTCTCATGAAGCACATGCTACTTAAATGAGATGTACCATCGTAGGATAATACCAGGACTAATGGTTCACTATGCTACAGATATGAAGATGAAAGAGTAGGCCCTATTCACTAGTAAGATATCTACCTCTGTCAAAGAAAAGACCCGTAATCGATAGAGGCGAAAGAAAGAGCAAGACAAGGGGGTATTCGCCTGTCGAACGCAATGAAAACATAACATAATGATCCGGACGCTGCACTTCCCATGAATGATAGACTTTGCGCCGTGTTGGTGAATGTGATCGGAAGAATGTAGGGTAAAAGATACGGAGTTTCGGAGTGTAAGGAATTAACTCTTTACTTGGTCATGAGGTTGAGATAATCAGCCACAATAAGAGTGACCATACTGCAGATCTCGAGTTAGTGGAGTCAAAAACCGGGGTAAAATAGTGGGGGCGACTAACGCATGAGGAGCGATCCGAACGTAGTAAGTTCCGAAGCCACGGTAGAAACGCAGCCATCCCTCATCCTTGGCAACCTTGCGCGCACAATCAACCAATCCCTTGTAAGGCAGCGCACCAGTCTTAGGGTCCTTCTGCTGCTTCTGGAGACGGGTCTTGACGAAGTCGAAAGGCAGAGACAAGAAACTAGCGAAGAAACCCGCAATGCCGGAAGCGGCAAAAGTCTGACTCTTAGTAGAGAGCGAAGTATGTTGTTTGAGCTGCGACTTGGCCTCGGAGAAGAAAGTCAATTGGCCCATGTTGAGCGCCATCGCACGAACCACAGTCGGCGAAGCACCAGCCCACAGCGCACCGAGTCCCTCGGCCCGGGTGATGCGCGCAAGGGCATCAAAGACGGACCGGTAGTTGGCGCGGGCGTCGGGGGCCTTGAGGCCGTCGGACTGCATGCGCACGAGAGCCAAGTCCGCCGGGTTTCCAATCATGGCCGCCACGCCGCCGGCTGTCAGCCCTGCGGCGGCACGTTCGGCGAAGGTCACTTTTCGCTCTGTGCTTTCGGCGCGCTTGTTGAGGGCCTTCATGATTGTCTCGAAAAAGCCCAGGCGGGCGGTGGTGTAGACTGCTTGGCGGAGGAGACCGGCGGAAAGACCGGTGTACAGGTCGAGGACTTTGCCCGAGGCGATGATGTCGCGGGTGACGCCGAGAGCAGAGGGTCGGGGACCGGTGCGAGCTCCCTCGCCGGCGAGCTGCAGACGCACTTTTACCATGTCGACGGGCTGGATCACGACGGTGGCGGTCATACCGGCTAGTCCGCCGTTGATGAAGGGCAGAGCGGCGCGGGTATACGGCTGGTGCAGGAAGCCTGCGGGTTTGCCGCCGGAGGGAGCAGAGGTAGCAGCGTCACTCGCTGAGTCTTTGGCGGCTGCCATGGTGAATGTTTGATCTGATTAAGATCTAGATGCAGGTCAATACAATGCCCGTATGTGTAAAATCGGGTCCGAGATGAAGAGTCGGGATTACTGACTATGAGTAAGAAATCTGAAAGTCTTCTTAAATTAGCATAAGTCTCTTAGTTGATGTATAAGCCAGTCAGCATCGCAAACCACGGTACTTACTGATGACGTATGTCAGATGTGAAGTCGCAACAGACGAAACGAATGGTTACAAGAACTTAAAAGAAGAAGAAGAAGAAGGAGAAGTAAAAAACAGTAGAGGGGAAATCCAAATGAAGTCACAGGGCAGAACAGATGCGGGGGCCTGGATTATGTCGGTTCAAGTAGACTCAAGTACACTTGTACAGGGTCAAACCGGGACAACGGGGCCTGAGCCTGTCTATATACGAGCCATTTCTACATCTCTTACTACAAGACCGAGGAATGATTCCGAACCGGATCTCATTTCCCCCCTTCAACCGATCAACCGATGGCTAACCGTGACCTTCCCCGCCTAGCGGAGCATCTGGGATCGCAGGGCGGGAGTTGATGGGGTTTTCCGCCAGGACCCCATAACGAGCTTGGCTGGAAGAAAGATCGAGCGAGAATCGCCCGAGGCCTGGCTAAGTGTAGGCCAATGACGTCGGATCCATTTGGGGTCGATATCACCAATGCCCGAACTTCGAAGTATACAGGAGCTTGTCAAATGCGGGGGATAAGCTTGACGATCTTGCATTTCCGGCTTGAATCCTTTCACGTGTTCTTGGAGAACCTCCGGATGCCCGAACCTGATGTAGTAATACATTACATGTCTCCCATCTCTCTTCTTCTTCCCCTTACTTCATCATCAACTGCTATGCAATGAACTGACAAGGCGATCACGGCTTACCGGCAGCTTATTAGCGGCACGATCTAAACTCGGAATCCCCACCTACGCAGCCCACCTGCACTAAACCCTTTGCGGATACCCCACGAAAACGCGTCGGATCGCTTGGATAGCTGTCATACTCATAACATCATCAATGTTAGTTCCGAGCATACTGCGTACACAGTATATCGGACAAATACGATCTACGTCTTCGCTCTCTCAAATTAGGGGGCAAATACAGCCACAATCATGGTCGAGACAACCCTCCAGCTGCGCCCAGCACAATCTCCCAACAGAATCAATCCACAAGAAACAGCCGTGGATCGGACTCCTTCGTACAGAGTACATCTAGGTCCCTTCCCCATTTGGCAAGGGTTCCACGGGAAAGCATAAGGGACTGCTTAAGCGTATCGGGGGGACGGATACCTGATCGGCTATTCCACCAGGACTAGTTTTCCACCGCTCCCGCCCTCACGATCCGGATTCCGAGGATATCAACTTTCGGCAGTCCAATCGGCCTGCCATAACTATGCTGACGGTCTAGCCATCGGACCCGCCCATTTCACCACGGGCCCCGGTCACTGGCCAATCCCATCAAGTGAATTCGAAAAGGCCACTATTATTGTTGGGTCGGCATGAGCTTGTGTGCACCACGCTGGCGGGTCACCTACAATTCCAGAGATTCCTCCGGTTCGGGCTTGCGTTTGTGGCCTTTCCGCCGATGACCGGCGTGAATTTGGTCCAGCTAGGCCTTCTGGGATTGTTTGGTGTCGCCTTGCGGTAACTTCTAACATGAGCTGCCAGAAACGGCATGTTGGTAAGCCATTAGCGGAGGACGGCTCTCCGAGCAATTGCCATGGAGTAGATCGGGATATTATATGACACAGGAAATGAGAGGTATCTTCTTTCCTAGGCTGCGGGTTCAGATTGGCAACCAACCAAGAGTACCAAGAGTATCGCCCAGGCATCGGATACGGTCCTTCGGTACCTCTTCGGTCGGATGGCGATATTCGGTGATATTATATGGCTTTCGGATCTGTGTCAACTCGGCGATATCATTAGCGATATTTACAGTGTCTCTACATCAAGCCCGGGGCGCCGAAGTACAGTGACGGTCAAATTGTCCAGCATATCCTGGCGTGTATCCACGAATATCTCTTCGGTACTCAAAAGGCAGTCCCAGCTGTCTCCCACCAATATACCAACACTCCCGATACTTTGTACCAGACTAGCCCCACTGCCATTTTCATAAATTTCTTCAGGAACACATTTGTCACGATTGAACCAAATGAGGCATCTCAGCCCCCGTCTACTCCGTACCCCCACTCCGTCCCCAACTCATCTCTGAAAGAGATCTACACAATGCTTCGATGGACCCGAACCCGAACCCCATCACCAACACCCATTCCACGGGGAGTGAACCAGGCAGCTCGGGGACTGCCTCGGCTTCGAGCCCTAAGCTATACGCACAGGCCTCCCGGCATGGGAATTCGGGAACTCTCGAATATCTGCTCTGTGGAGGATGAGACATCGTGCCGCGCAGTGTGAACCCGGGTTGTAGTGGCGGGATTGAGGAGTTTCAATTAGGCAAGTCGTAGGTATCTCTCGTTGACTAACGCATAGGTATCCTACGCACATTCACAGTGTAAGAAGCCCCTTGAGACGGCTCTCTTTTCGGTTGTATTGCCTTCAAGGCTTCAACAATGGCGTGTCTTCATCTTCTTATTTCACAGCCTTGTTAGAGAAGAAGTTCGTCGAGGAGGTAATATCGACAAGTAAGTCCACTACCCCCCTACTAACTGCGTAACCCAAGAATCCTATGTCAACCGCCCTGCGGTGGCTTTCTTGATACACGGTTTCCTCCTAGGAACCGCCGCTTCATTGCTTTGGTTGAAGAAAAGGATGCCTCGCCAATTCGCCCGCTGTTTTTCTCAGAGGTGCACTCCAGACAAGCATTCCCTTGACAAGATCCAAAAACGCATCCTTCTCCTCTCCCTCAAGGAACGAAACCGTGTGTCGGCTAATTTGCGGTCTGGGATAAGGCCTTCGTAGAGAAAGCGGCCTAAGAATGTTCTCATCAGCCTGAGAATAATCCAATTCGAGAAAACGAAAAGCCAGTAAATACCATTTTCATCAAAGAACGGCCCATCAAAGTACTCCTCCGCAGTCTCGCATACTTTGCCATCTTCTCGTCTAATAGATCGCGGCCACCTGTACTCTCGCATAGACAGATACCTTTCTATGGTCTCCGGAGGGGGTGGACCGAGTAAGGCTATCATTTCAGCAATTTGTAGTTTAGCATCATGACGACCTTGATCATGAATATGCTGGAATAGCTCCTTCTCTCCAATCATATCCCACAACTTTGTCTGGGATTAGCGGATGCAAAAACAAGTTGCGGAAGAAAGAGACGGGAGAACGCACCAGAACACCAAGATTCCAAATATCCGTAGGCATTTGCCATCCAGTACCGAGTATAACCTCTGGCGCCCGATAGTGGTCTGGCTGGATAGGATGAACGCCGAAGTCGTCGTATTCCCTGATTCTGGTTGCTACGCCAAAGTCGACAAGCTGCGGTATACTTCTCAGGCTTTTAAGTGGACCCAGGTCACTACGGGACTGGTACACTGGTCGTCCTGTTGGGTCAACCTTGGAAGCCATGGGATTTTCAAGCTGGGAGTCCATAAATTCAGCAAGCACGGTTGGGTCCTCGAAAGAGACCATGATGTTCTCAAGCTTTAGATCTAGATAATCACTTTCGGTTCAGTATTACCGACGAAAAGCCAAAGCCAAAGCAGAAGAGGAAGAATGAGTACCGGTATGAACTGTCCTGCATTCTTTGTGCAAATAATCAAGCCCCGTAAGAAGAGCACCAATGTATGTTTTGATAAGCGGCAGTGGCATCTTTCTACCCTCAAAGCGCCGCTGATACATCGACAATGATTCCCTCATAGGCGGATAAACAAGACACAAATGAGGACCATTCGGGCCTTTGACTTCGAAGGAGTCTAGTAGTGTTCGCATAAGCGAGCGGCCGCGATGCGATGGGTCCGTCGTGGCAATATGGGTTTCGATGTCGCGCTCACGACCAATGGACCTCGTATTATTGGCAATTTTCAATGCCACAACGGTTTCTGGCTCTTCCAGTTAGAGATAGGGAGCTTCGGACTAGACAGGAATTCAATGAAACACCCTTGTAGATCACGCGCGAACCATACTGTTGACGACACACCCCAGCCAACCTTGACCACGGTTTGGTAACGATCGGCGAGTACATCTCCAGGTTTCGCTGGGTAAAAGGCCTTGGAATCGTATAGCGGCGTGATCTCTTCATCAATCAGTATGCCGGGCGGTAGAGGTGGCCCGGTAGAAGATATGGTTAACGGTTTCTTGCGAAGTGAGGCGGAGCAACGATGGATGAATGGCCTCATAGTATTCATTGCAGACTTACTCTCCGTAAGCCGACGAGAGAATATAACATCAGGGGCTGTTGAAGAAGATCGAGGAGTCGACTGGTGAATTGATCACGTGGAACAATCCTGGGAGGTAAACAAGCTGTCAGCCAATGAGATCGGATGCGATCAGTTGAGGGTTAGCGGATCGGCAGTTATCTGATCAGTCGGGATCTCGAACTTTTGAACAATCAATGTTGAACCCAGATCAAAGTCATTGACTCGACAATTTGATAAGTTTCCAGGGCAGAGAATTGGAGAAAGAATCAACGTAATGTATTGTCATTTTGAATGTATTGATTGAACTATCGTGGAAGGAAATATCGTTATTATCGCAAACACCGTACCCAGCCAATCGAGATATACGGCATAGATACCAAAAGCAATAAAAGCAAACCCAAAACATCGGGGGAAATCAAAAACATATCCAACGCTCGTCCCGATACAAGCGGCAGACGTCGAACTGATCCAAAAGAACCAATCACCAAAAAGCAGCACGCCATGCAAATGACTTATTCATCCTGTTTGGGAGAACAAGAAACAAGGAGAAGAAGAAATTTTTGAACGCTCCAACCCTCTAAACCTGGGGAGCAGCGGCGAGGACATCAGGGGTAGCTTCGTCGGAGTACTTCTTGAAGTTCTCGTTGAAGAGACCGGCAAGCTTGGTAACCTCGTCCTTGAAGGAGGTGGTGGCAGTCCAGCTCTTCTCGGGGTTGAGGAGCTCGTCGGGAACACCGGGGCAGGTCTTGGGGACGGGCAGGTTGAAGGTAGCGTAAGTCTCGTACTCGGCCTTGGCGAGCTCGCCGTTGTGGATGGCGTCGAGGATGGCACGGGTGTACTTGAGAGGGCAACGCTTGCCGCCGGTGGTGGCGCCAGCGCCAACCCAGCCGGTGTTCAGGAGCCAGGCGTTGACCTTGTGCTCCTTCATCTTCTCGGCGAGCATGCGGGCGTAGCGCATGGGGTGCAGGGCCAAGAAGGGCTGAGCGAAGCAAGACGAGAAAGTAGCCTGGGGCTCAGTGACACCGTCCTCGGTACCGGCCATCTTGGAGGTGTAGCCGGAGATGAAGTGGAACATGGTCTGCTCGGGGGTGAGCTTGGAGATGGGGGGCAGGACACCGCGGGCATCGCAGGTGAGCAGGATGATGTTGGTGGGGTGGTTGTCGCTCTTGCAAGGGATCTTGGCGTTCTCAATGTACTCAATGGGGTAGGCGCAACGGGTGTTCTCGGTGAGGGTGGCATCGTCGTAGTCGACGTTGCGGGAGATGGGGTCGAAGACGGTGTTCTCGAGGACGGAACCGAAGCGGATGGCGTTGAAAATATCGGGCTCCTTCTCGGCGGAGAGACCAATGCACTTGGCGTAGCAGCCACCCTCGATGTTGAAGACACCCTGGTCGGACCAGCAGTGCTCGTCGTCACCGATCAGCTTGCGCTTGGGGTCGGCAGACAGGGTGGTCTTGCCGGTACCGGACAGACCGAAGAAGACTGTGACGTCGCCGTTCTCACCCTCGTTGGCAGAGGAGTGGAGGGTCAGGACGTTGTGCTTGACGGGCATCTCGTAGAACAGAACGGTGAAGACACCCTTCTTCATCTCACCAGCGTACTCGGTACCGAGGATAACCATCTCCTTGTCGGCGAAGTTGATGGCCACGGAGGTGGCAGAGGTCATACCCTCTGTGAAGCGGTTGGCGGGGAAAGAGCCGGCGTTGTAGATGACATAGTCGGGGTGGAAGTGCTCGAGCTCCTCGCGGGCGGGACGGATCAGCATGTTACGCATGAAAAGAGCGTGGTAGGCGCGAGCGCAAACAACGCGAACGCTGATGCGGTAGCGCTCGTCCCAGCCGGCGTAACCATCGACGACATAGATGCGGTTACGGGTGTTGAGGTAGTCGACAGCACGTTCACGGTTAATACGCCAGACCTGTGATGCATGTTAGTGACCAGTTCTGTCATGACGTCATGCACGTGATATGCCTCGGGCCAAAGGGCGGGGAATGCGGAGCCGCATGTGGGCAAGATATGGGGGGGGCAAAAACGGGCCAAGGGAGGAAGTATGACATGAATGATGATTCGCCAGAAAAGCTCGACACTTTTGGTCCATATGCAAGGAATAAAAGTGGAGCTCATCGGCTGCCAGTGCGAAGCTCCAATGACGGCAGATGTGTAGGGCAAATGCAAAGGTAATCAAGAATCACTTACGTCAAGGGTCATAGGCTTGTTGACAGGTCCCCACCAAATATCGCCTTCTGATGAAGCTTCCTGGACAATACGCTTGTCGGAGGGAGAACGACCAGTCTTAGCACCAGAGTATGCGCTCAAAGCACCGCTGGAAGTGACAGCGGTACCAGTCTCGTAGACAAGAGCATCTTCGTAGAGGGCAGGGACAGAGGGGTTGGCAATCTAGATCATGTTAGTTATGTGGACGATATACACGACGAGGTATCAACTGTAAAGGATGGAGATGTCTTACAATAGCGACACGATCGTAGTCAATGTGAGCAGTCTCGTGGAGCTCCTCTTCGAGCTCAGTGTGTCCCTTGCCAGGCCTAGTGAGAACAGTTAGCGACGAGGTCAGGCCAGTGAGGTATAGAAGCAACATACTGAACACCACCAGGGTGCAGGGCAGTACGATTCACAGATGTGGCAACCATGTTTCTGAGTGAAGTAGAATGATAATTATTGTTGCGTTGTTTCGCGACTTGTTGTTGAGAGAAATCTGTAGCCAGAGGACCAGGAGACGAGGTGCGATCGAGGGGTATATAATCCTTTGCGGCAGAGGCCATGGTTACGATCGGACTTGGTATGAATGACTGTTCTCGTGCACTTTCCGCAGTGTTTCTCCACAGTTTCACGGGTGATGTCGGGGCTAAGGGCCGAGCTGAAGCGGCCAGACGGTTGGCGATGGGATAAAGCGTTGCCGTGGGGTCGCGAAATGCTGGTAGGCGCAGTCCGAGTTGACCCGAATGGTTCTAAGTGGACACGAACTTGGTTCGGAACTAAGGGGGCTCTATGACCGGGATGGCAAAGAGCGGGGAGCAAATAGGAAGGAGTAGTTGAATCAAAAATAACTCAAGTTGATTTTCTGGTAGATTAGAAGGAGAAGAAGGGATGGAGTCTCAGATTTCTGGGGAGTTTTTATGCTGTTCTGTGACGGTTGCGGTCAACTTCCATTCCTCCAGGTTTGCCGTTTGCCATTAACTAAGTTAACTTTGTCTATTTCGTCAATCACTTTAAACAAGTTCTTGTTGAAGAAGTATATTTTACTAGCAAATCCTAACAATTGTAACCAATTTCTTCACGGACGACAGGAGATGACGCACAATGACTTCACTGGGTCGATATAGTTCCCTTCGTAGTGCCGGCCCAGAATCGCGGGGGGCTGACCTAATCATGTCGATCGCCATCAACCCGGAAACAAACAGAAATTTTTGATTTCCCTTCCGCTATCTCTCCATTTCTTTTCGGCTTGCATCAACCCGAATCAACATCGGAATGTTTGTGGGAGAAAGAAATTGGAAAAATTTACCCAGAAAACTCGGATGACGACAGGTTCGGCTGCAAAGTCGGAACGATGGTCTGGACGCAGGGTTCAGCAGCAAATAACGGCGTTTAGCCAAGCCGAGGATGATGCACCTGCATCCATCAATGGCGGCGGTGGGGACCAATCAGATCCCATACATTTCTTACTTCCTGCACTAGGCGGGTGGGCAACTGGAGAAGATAATTGCCGCTGGGTCCCAGGTCCTGCCTTGACTGGTTTTCACTGGTCTTCACTGAACGACGATAATTGCTCGTCGTGACTGTGCAATGAGATCAACGCCTTACTCCGAGCCGTAGCTGGGTCTTTACGTGCTGAAATGCAAGTTCAAGGGAAGGGAATATGCAGGTTACGTATCAACGCCGAAGGCCATGTCTCGAACAAGTACGCAGGAATAGATTCAATGCCATGACTCGTTGCAATGAAGTGGTCTGTCGTGATCGTACCATGGGCTTTGCGCTCTCGGTCGCGATGTTCCATTCGGGATTTGATAATCACAAGTGTGGCTTGTGCAAGTCTTTGCTCAGCCCATGCTCAGCCCAAACCCCAGATCCTTCTCCCCGTGATTAGCGGCGGATCCCGAACCGGCTACGGCCTCGGGATGAATTTTTTCTCTTTTTTTTGTTTCTCGAATTCCACCCGAACCATTCTACATAGTTGAGACTTGAGACAATTAGTGATTTTGCCCGAATTGTCTTACGTATTACGTTGTTTGTTCGAATTCTCTTTCCCTGCTGATCATTTTCAATTTTTCTGCCTTACGCGTGACACGAATACCAGAAGGCCAGAACTATGTAACAGAGTTGAGGCTTTTTCTTTCCCCGATGAAGTAAGGACTGGTGGAGAACAAGGGGTTTCCCTCCGCAGAACCTAAGATATCCAAGAGAAGGCTGAGCAACAACCCGTGATCTTTAAATTCTCTGACTCTATTCACAGATGCCGGGACCTTCAGCTTTGCCCCTTTCTACGGCGTATTCCACACCCGTAGTATTTTCTTCTTTTTCTGTTATCTGACCCGGATCAATATTCAGCAACTGCACTAGCTAAGCTACAGGCGTTCTCGGCCCTTGATATTGCTCCTATCCAATCATTTCTGAAACTTAGCTTCCTAATTCACCCGTTGTGATATGGTCTTCGATTTTCATTCGAGTCTAGCTATCTGACTGTCTGCCCAACCCCTGCCGGCAGTTTGGCACCGGTCCAGGCCGGTTTGGAAGGGCACGCAGATCGACTCGTCTCCTATTTTCCCCGAGGACTACATACCTATAGGGCCGATCAGCTGCACGTCATTGTTGATATTATCGCGAAGGGTCTGATGTATTTGTCTTATGAGCTTAACAAGGAGCCCTGGAGTAGAGTAACCATTTTGAGTTCAGCTCCAACGTAAACCCGACGGCATTTGTCGTATCATGTGTACGGCTAGATCCAATTCCGATATCGTGACTCGTCGCATTAGGCAGAATGACTCCAGTTCTTGCACAGTTCTGTCGATGGACAGCTCTTGGCGTCTTGGCCTGGAATCTGGGGAAGATGTCGCGTGGTCTCCTCATCCTAGCTCGAACTGTGAGTGGATGCGGGGTATAGCGTGGGCTGGGGTTTAACTTATCCCGGACTGTTGACTGGACACCGGTGGACAGGTACACATGGACCGTGACCATGTCCGACAATTCTAATTTAGGTGTCGGCAATTGATATAATTTCAATGTAAATAGATTTATGCTGCCGACAAATCCATGTAATTCTCCGCTACGGTGGACATAGCTTCGGTTCCCTGCACCAATTGCCGGCCTTCCAGTCATGAACAGAGGTATCAGCTCTGTCTTCGTGCTCATCACCTTCAACGTGCGATGCATCTGCAGGTGGTTGTCACGAGAACAGATCCCACGTAGCATATCATAGCCAAGCTCGCTTGAAAGCTCCAAAATCTGTGAGCTAGAGATATCCTCGGGCTGCCTCGCTCCAAAAAGTAATCTGTGCCTCGCGATCGACGTGTTTCACTCATCATCGTGACTTCGAACACCGCCTCTCTCTACCACCAAAGAGAAGCCGGAAAGCTGGCTAGGGTTCTGCTTGATAGTTTTAAACATTCCTGGCAGTGAGAAAATGACTATGTGTAGGTATCGAAGCCCGGTACCTACCTGGTCATAGGTGGCCCGAATAATGGAAGAACTTATCCGAGAGGAACGTCGTAGGTAGGTAGTTCCTAGGTACCTAGGGCAGCTATATATCCTGACACCTGCATACCTATCCACTGGGCAGACACCGATGGAAATGCCCCGGGAGAGATCGGAGGGAAGATTTAGTGCAGTGACCGAGTGAGATAATTTCTGGAGCAATTTGGTATTGGAACAGATGTTTCAATCCTTTGAATGTCCTTACATGCGTTGAATTAGGGTTGCAGCCTCAGGTTAGGATGGCTGTTCCAGCCTCGGGAGTGGGCCTGGACCAAGTAGATCATCACTCGGCCCGATCTATCAACGGATGCCGTCATACATTGAGGGCTGCACAGTTAGACATCGCCATCAACACCTGCAGTCTTGTTCTGTCCATAAACTCACCATGTTGTACATTACTGTGTACAGGGATATCCCTTCTACCGAAATAAGCAACACCTGAGTCACGTCACACACGCCACAGCATGAAGGTTCAGTGACCAACAATTTACATCAGTCCACATCGAGATTCCGACAGGAACAGATCATCAACCCTGCAAGTCAATTCTAGCCACATACTCACCCTCGAATATGCCATCCATATCTCCCTCTCCAAACCGATCAGGCCTCGCCAAAAAGGCCAACCGCTACCGCTTCCTCTCAACCCTCCTCTCCCTCTTAGACAGATACCTCTCCCTCCCCCTCCCCAAAAGTCCAAGACTCGAAATCGCCATTCCATCAAAAGTGAGCAAAACCCCCGGCTCAATTGAACTCCTCATTTACACCGGCTCCACCCCCCTCTGTCCCCGTCATAATAATCCACCACTCCCGGCCCGCCCCGTCCTCCTAAATTTCCACGGCGGCGGCTTCTCAATCGGACATGCCCAGGACGACGCGCGCTGGGCCTCAACAGTCCTGAAATCTTACCCAGACGCCGTAGTCGTAAGCGTCAACTACCGCCTGGCACCCGAACACCCCTTCCCCGTCGCGCTAGAAGACAGCGTCGACGCCATCCTCTGGCTCTGGCAGCACGCAGACCTATACAACCTGGACAAGAAGCGCTTTGCGGTCTCCGGATTCAGCGCAGGCGGGAACCTCGCCCTAGCAGTGCCGATCCGATTGCACGAGGAACTGCAGAAAGAGCGCTGGGCCGGTCTGGGGAAGATCGAATTGGCAGGGCTGATTGCGTTTTATCCGAGTGTTGACTGGACGAGGACGCGGGCGGAGCGTGATGCGACGAATCCGGTTGCGGCGAAGAAATCGATGATCTCGCCTGCTATGTATAAGTTCTTTGATGAGTCGTATCTCTTGGTTGCAGGGTTGCCGAGACGGAGGGGGACGGGGAGGGTGGATATGTCCCATCCTTATCTTTCGCCTGGGTTGGCGACTGAGTCGCTTTTGCTAACGGCTTATCCTGAGGCTGTGGCTATCTATACTTGTGGGTGGGATCAATTGCTTGTTGAGGGGAATGCTTTTCGGGAGAGGCTTGAGGGGTTTATGGGGCAGGAGAAGATGGGGAGGGTTGGGGGGTTTGTGGTTGAGGATGTTCCTCATGGGTTTGATAAGAAGCCTTCGTTTTGGAAGGGAAATAAGGCGAGGGAGAGGATGTATGGAGATGCGGTTCGTCAGTTGGAGGGGATGTGGAAGGTTGATTGAGGTTTTGAGGCATGCAGATTGGTATACAGCCGTATACTGTGTACTACTTCTTCCCAGTCTCTCCCTTACATCTATATTGGGACCTGGCTGTAGCTGAGGCAGCAAAAGTGATTTGCAGGAAGGCGGCTGTATAGAAGCACAAGCACATGAGGATCAAGTACAAGGTTGCACAACCAAGACTGTACCCCGAGACAGCGTTTGCGGTGATCCTCTCACAACGAATAGCCTCGGAGTCGGGACAAAGCGAGACGGAGTATCAGTAACCACGTTACCACGAACATATCACGGGCACGATCATTCGCTCTGATAACAAAACCACCGAATCAGCTTGTTGACAACAGAAAGATGACAAGAGCGGGGCACCTGGGCAGTCAGGCGGGGTAGAAAAGTCAGCAATTTTCGCGCCCAACATTGTTTACTCGTTTCCACAACTCGAAATATTATTCTCTCTTGAACAGTTCTTCAAATCCAGGTATGTAAATGGGCTATCTCCTGGCTCCATCTCTGGTGAGGACCCGGGTGGTTTGCTAACTAACTTCACCTCTCAGATCTACATCTACAACAATGAACGGACACGCTGCCTGCCCCAAGTGCGGTGCTGCCACTGATGGCACCGGTAAGAGCTGTGGTGCCTGTGGTGCTGTATGTTTATCTCTGTGTACTTTGGTTTGAGCGTATCCTAACGAGACTAGACCTGCCCCGTTTAAACACTCCCTATTACATAGGCCGTGTTGTCGACATCGGAATTATCAGGGCTGTTTGGGGTCCAAGGGAGTCATGATGAGCCAGGATTAGACATGGAGAATGTATCCAACATGTCCATAGCAGTTATGCGAGCATTATTAAACCAGATCTGTTCGTAACGAAGTGCGATTGTTATATGTACGAGAACCAAAGAAACAGTACATTCTCTTATACACAGTAATAAAGATGAAGATCTGTTCGTAGGCAAGTAAGGATATAGAGTGCACAATAAAACGTCTTCATCTCCCCATTCTCCAAAGCTAATAGCTGAGCCCGAGACAGGAGATTCCAAACACTCCAACAGAGGGTATCACCAACCACCCACTTCATGATAACTCACCGCTTAAGCGGTCTTGAGCCACTGGGAGCGAACACCAATCAAACTGCTAATGGTACCAGCGATACCGACGATACCATCGTCGAGGTTAAGGATACCGGTAGCAGACAAGGGCGCCGCGAGATCGCAGACATCAGAGATGAGCTGTATACGAGCAACAGCGCGCTCCCTAAACAAAAAGCAACCGACATTAGTAACCCACTCAAATCTCTCACCAAAAAAAAGGATAGGAATAAAACATACTTCTCAATCTTCTTCGCCTCAACAACACCCTCACCCTCCTTGCGATCAATCGCCTTCTCCCTCTCATGCAACCTCACAAGAGTATAAACACCCGCCACAGCGCTGAAGATCAGTCCCGCACCCCAAGAGCGGTAAGCAGTATCCTGCAAGCGCTTAACGGAAGCCAGCTTCTTGGCGCCGATGGCATCGACGACGGTGATGGCGTCGAGAGTCAGGTAGCCGGCGTAGCCGAGCTGGCGACCGATGGCCAGGTATTTCAGGATCGGGTCGGCGGGGGCCTTGTTGTCGAAGGCGATGGCGGCGGCCTTGAGGTGCTCGAGGAACTTGCCGATACGCATGATCTTGCGCGTTGTGCCAAATTGCTTCTTGATCGCATTGTAGGGGTCGATGGCGGATTGGGGCTTGTTGGTTCGGTATAGGTACCACGCGTAGAAGCGGGAGAAGTATTGGATTGTGCGGAGGAGCTTGTCGCGGCCGACTGTGGGTTTTGGTTAGCTGGGGTTTTTGCGAGATGGTGTGGTTCTTGGTGGCGATAGTATGGGGAGGGAGGGGGGACTGGGCTGGGATGCGCGAGGCTTGACTAGCTGTTGCGTGACACTTGATGTGTTTCGCTACGGTCGCTTGGTTGGAGACTGGGAGTTTCTGGGGTTGTATGGAGTGTCTGGGGTGCATGGGGTGGACGGGCACGTCCGGGGATTTGGGGGATATGATCACGTACCCGTTGTCGCGACGAAGCGCAGCCAGTGCGCCAGCGCAGGGTGGTAGATGAGAGTGTTGGCGACCATTTTGGGTGTGATGTGTGTGTTTGGACAAGGCTGAGGAGGAAAATTAGGAGTAGAAGTGATATTTCTAGAGTAAAGGGGAGTCGGTAATTCACCGGGGTATGGAGCCGGAAGACCGACCTCGGCTGAACTCGTGCCTGTGGGGGGGGATCTCGGAGCCAATCTACTCTGACATGACCTTCAATGTTACTGCTTCCATAGGTTGTCTTCATTTCATTTACTTCCCTGTGAACTACTTGAATCTCTTGAATTGCTTAATTTCCTTTGAATCCGCTTTGATTGTTCTCTCCACTCGGCTGTCACTCTTCCTTAGCTGCGTACGTTCAGTCATTCACCATCGAGGGCCTTTCACGTGAGCCTACGTCATCCATCCCATTCCTCCGACAGCCGTTGTTTCAATCTTTTTGACCGTTTAAAACAACAAGTAGACTGAAGTAGTTCGATAATTCGGCTGTACTTCATTTAACTCTCCCGTCGTGCTTTGAGTGGATAACGATGTGACTGTCCGTGCTGGAGTGGGTTCATTGCGGAGCCGGTGCGATGTTGTAGTAACCACCGCGTTTATGCCCATTCTGTTGCCCCCGTAGACAGCTCTCTGTAGACAAAACGTATTCCTTCTTTCTTCATGCTGCTTTTTGTTAGCAGATTCAGCCTTATCCTTCTTGGGTTCAGGAAGCAGTATCTCGCTTTATGCTGTGTTTTCGGCTTGTCCTCGGCGACTTTGTCCTTGGACTCATTCTTCTTCTCGCAGCATTTGAAGAAGCCTGCGGCTGCTGCAGCTGACGATCTTTTTCAATTCGTCGTTCCTCAGAAGCAATCAAATCATCAAAGATGTTGTGAAGGCTCTTGTCGTAAGACCAGTCATCGTGAATTGAGACCGCGTTTAGCCAATGCTGGCATGCAGTGTTGTTACTAACTGCGTGAAGAAACACGTGGATAGCTAAGAGAGATGAGACACGCTGATCAATTGGGAAAGCTTCTTGCATCATGTATACAGTAGATTTGGTAAGTATTGAAATATTAGATGGTTACTGCACCACTTCAATGAAATCGTCATAAAGCCAGGAATCTTGGAATTGCGTTCCTGGTGTCTGTCCCGCGAAAAGGCACTGCCCAGCCAGATCACGAACAGACCAGTCGATACCAGCGTTCTTACACATTAATGGGCCTTGTCGCAGGGGTAGGACGTATCTCAAGTCAAAGTCGTTAAGGGTCCCCTCATTTCGGGATTACTGATCGGGCACTGGCGCGTAGGGTCGAATGATTTAGGGGCCGGGGAACACAGCTCAGATGGGCGGGCATGTGCGTGGTCAGTCGCGATAGGGCTGGTCGGGGGCGTGATGGAATTACTCCGGGCGAACCTCGGTCTGGCGGTTGTGGTTTCCCATTGTCGTGGTGTCGTAGCCATTGGCCTCGAGGTAGGTGCGGAACCTGGAGTCCTCGAAGGTAATGGTATCCTGGTAAATGTTTAGCATGTTATCGATGTGTTTTGTATGCAATATATCGTACCTGATTGATCTGTGGCAACAAAAACAGGGCCATGAATGCAGCCAAAATGCACAGTGAACTGGAGACGAAGAATGGATCCTGGCCTGCGCGAATCTCGTTCGGTGCGTTCTTTTGAATGACTGGGATGACGTAGGCACCCACGAAAGCTCCAATCTTGCCGAAGGCAGCAGCAAAGGCGTAATACTGACCACGGATAGCAGTGGAGCTGGTTTTGGCAGCGCAGAGACCAATGTTGTCGCCGGGTCCCATTTCACCGAGGGCAGAGAAGATACTATTTCGACTCGTTAACATGGAGTATGCCTAATTGGATGCTGGGAGACTTACCCGAAAACAACAACAAAACCTGCGACATTTTCCGGGGTCGCAAGCCACTTGTAGCATCCAGCCATGATAAACCCGATGATACCTTGCAGCCCCACACCAAGGGCAAGGGTGTAGCGAGGGCCAATCCAATCACTAACGAAGGCACCAAGGGCAGAGCCTGGAATGTAGAAGGAGTTCACCACGGTAGACCATCCAAAGCTCTTCCACAAGGGAGCATTACTTCCCAGGATGATACTCAGCCAGGCCGAGGAGTAAATGGAGAAGCTGTAGGCAGAGAAGTCGTAGAGGAACCAAATGATAGAGACGACGGCCTATATCAAAACCAGTCAGTTAACCATTGAGATCCCTGCCGAAAATAGGATGGGAGTTGTACCAAGCGCTTCCAATAAAATCTATTTTCGTCAGTCAACAAACAACCACATTAGAAACGACACATCGGACTTACTTGATAATCAGCCACATTGGGAACTTGTGCATGCGCTCCCTGTGGAATTCCTCGGGTTCGTCCAGCTTCAGTCGGAGGTACATTAGACTCAGAGGAGGAATGACTCCCAGCCCTAGAGCCACACGCCAGCAAGCACGCAGATGATCTTCGGTGAAAATGAGAACGAGAATCATGGACACCAAAGCAGCAACGACGAAACCGAAATCAATCTGGAAGTTGGTGAACATGATGAACCAGCGATTGCGATGGCCGGCCTTGAGCTCCCCGGTATTCTCGGCAGCACCCACTGACCCAGCAGGATACTCTCCACCGATACCGACACCCAAGAAGAAACGATAGGCCGTCAGGGCAGCAAGCATGCCACCCAGACTGCCACCAGCTCCGTAGGAACCAGCACAGAGAGCCGCAAAGATGAACAGAATGATGGTTGAGATCATCAAAGACCATTTCCGCGACCAGTGGTCACTAGTATAACCAAATATCAGCATGCCTAAGACAGTACCAGCGAAAACGATCGAGGAGACGTTCTGTTGAGCGGTCGAATTGGTGTATGCATCTCCATAGATCTTTTGCAGCATGGTACCGACAGGGCCAATGATCTAGACCAAAGCAGTCAGTAAACAGAATAAAACAATGGGAAACAAACCCTCCCGAGATACGTTTCTGTCACACAACGACGCCGTGGAGCTTGCATGCATGATGGTAAACAACGTACCGCGTTCAAGTAGCCATCGGAAAACAGGCCAGCACCACAGGCAATAGTAGGCCAACTGCGCTCCCATCGGCCTTTTGGAATCGCGTCGAGAGGGGTAAGCTCGACGGGCTGCTCCTCGAGAGGCGCGACGCGTTTCTCGGACATCTCCTTGGAATATGCGTCGGGTTCGGCCATTGCGAACTGCTTGTTGGAAATGCTGGTTATTGTGCTGACGAGGCTTTGACCATGCGCCGATTGAGCCTCACGGAGGGGTGGGATATTTACAAGGATTACCCGGGCACGAGACCAATGTGTAAGGAGAGATACTGTGTCACGCGATCACAATGAGGGAGTGCAGCTGGTTGAGTATGAGCTTTCTCTGAGGAGAAGAGAGAAGAAAACGGTGGAAAAGGTGGAAGTCCCGGAAATTTTGGACTGGGTCGATCTAACAGATTGGGGATAGCATCGCCCTAATCATATGTGCCCGTAAACTCCCCCGACAAGGCCCCCAAATCGCGGGTCTACGTGCATAACGGAGAATGGTGGGGCCCGGCCCCCGAGGTTCATGGCTCTAAGCATATGGGCTTAGACAATACAGGCTTGGTGCCTGTTGTTGACCAATGATAACGCATTATCGTAGATATCAAGATTCAAGGGCCACTTTGTAGGCAATTTTGTAGCCAATGATATGTCCGTCTGGAGAAGCCGGTCGGGGCAGGTTACACTTCAAACATCGGCCGTTCCGAATATTCTGGAAGAGCTGCCCGAAGGTTTCTTGTTGATAGTTGAGTAACCTTGCAATCACTCAGGGGCATACTGTGTAGTTTACCGGGAAGTCAATGTATCAGAGTGAGTATCCTCGCCACGTGCTTCGATAGACTTTTGTAGACCATGGAAAAGGGAATCAAGCACCTGACTCCAAGTCTCCAACCACCTGCCTCTTTGATTAAGCTTCTTTCCGTCCCCAGGGGCCTTAATTGAATTAGGTAAGTGCTAATTAAAGTCGAACCTTCCAATAACTAACTGTGGCGTCTCGGGACCTCGGGACACAGGCCCAATTACCTAAAGCGGCAACGACGGGAAATGCTGTCAGATAAGTACGGCAAGTTCAACGGGTTCCCTGGAACAACCTAATGCCTAGGTACATGAAACAAACACCGTGACTGGGGACATCTATGCATGTATACCTGCCCGCTCAACCTATTAGCCATACATTCCATGGAGCCAATTCCAGGTGTTATCACAATCGCCTCAGCCCTATGCGGATCATGCACGCCCAGGCCATGAGATTCGCTTTAAGGACCAGCAATATTGGAAGTCCATCGCGCCCTTTCTACACAGTAAGGGACCCCAATAATAGTCAAAATTTGTCTCCCAGAAGTGTCATCGGTTGGGATGATCAGATATTCATACTCCAGCATACCCCAAGTTATTGCAAATATACACGCGAGCATTCGAGCAAAATTGTAGAGACAAATCTACCAAGCAATGTGGTGGCATGACAAAAGTTTTGATAAATTGACTGGGGAGGCGACCTACATCTGGTAGGCAGGTTGAGATGGGAGAAGAGAGGCTCGGCACCGGAGAAACATTCCCCCTGCTGAGCTCGGCTCGGGCTACGGTGATGCACCTGGCTTGATCTCATCAACATCACCAGCTCCCATCCTCCAATACACTATCGCATCTCCTTGCTGCTTGCGGAACTCTGCTTATTAGATTCAGTCCGCCATTGTCATTATGGGGTCCGATCCACAGTACATCAAGTTCCCCGACCTCTCCATCGCCCAACATGTCTTCAACCTTTCCAACCCAGCATGTGCCCCAGCTGTCCAGCAGTCCTCATTGAAGAAGCTCCAAGATGTCATCTCAGAGCATAAGATGGCCCCCTTTTACCGGCATTTAGCCCACCCCACAGAGGGTATCCTGAACAGCTCCGGTGAAGGTGTAACACAGCTCCCCCAAAACGCAGGGAACTCAACGAAGCCTCTCATCACGTCCAATCTGCTGGCATCCCGCAAAACACCGCTCAATATTGATTTTCCTTGGGACGAGAAACTCTACCAGTCTTTATTGGAAGATAACAAGAAGGAATTAGAGACCTTCCAGAAGGAGGAAGATGACGCGGAAGAGGCTGCTGGTGAGACTGAAGTACAAGCTGCGCGCGGAAAGCGAGCCGAATTCTGGGCTCGTGTGGGCGATAAGGTAAGATTTATTCGTCCTCCCTTGTCACGCTTCTGAGATCGTGAGCTGACAAGACTGTTATTATAGGACAAAGCTATCGAATCGCACGAAGCCCTCCTCGAAAAGACCGGTTTCCTGGGCACCAAGATCGACCTGGTGATGGCTATGCTCCGCATCGGATTGTTTTTCGGTGACCTTCTCTTTGTTAACAAGACCATCGAGCGGGCAGAAACATTGGTAGAGAGCGGCGGAGACTGGGACCGTCGAAACCGTCTCAAGGCATACAAGGGATTGCACTTGCTCACTATTCGCTCTTATAGCCTTGCCGCCCCTCTGCTTCTCGACAGTCTGTCTACCTTCACAAGCTACGAACTCTGCAGCTACTCCTCGTTGGTGATTTACGCTGTGCTTGCGGGATCTTTGTCCCTCAAGCGAGTAGACTTCAAGGCCAAGGTTGTGGATGCACCGGAAATCAAGGCCATTCTTGGCTCTGGAGAAGAGCAACTGGCTGCGCTCAGTGGGGAGATTTCTTCTGGTCCCGGTGATCGGGACGAAGAGATGAAGGAGGCAACAACAGCACTTCCCATACCCGCTGGTGCCAAGACCGCCGTTAACATTTCCTCATTCTCTACCGGCTCCGGCGCGGTAGTAGAGACCGAGGTCCCAGTTGATTTCGGGCCGCTCGCGAAACTGGTCACCAGTCTCTACAACGGTAACTATCGTCCATTCTTTTCCGCGCTTGCGGCCGTCGAGGAGCAATTCCTGATGCAAGACCGGTACTTGCATGAGCACCGGGCATGGTTTGTTCGTGAGATGCGACTCCGCGCCTACCAGCAGCTTCTGCAGAGTTATCGTGTGGTGGGACTGAGTGGCATGGCCAACGACTTCGGTGTGACGGTAGACTTCTTGGACCGGTATGTGCTGCTTCACTCTTTTTCAACAACAGGACCCTTGCTGACCAGAATTACAGTGACCTTGCCAGGTTCATTTCAAACAACCGCATTTCATGCACTATCGATCGCGTCAATGGTATCATTGAGACGAATCGGCCAGACGACAAGAACAAGCAGTATGCCGACGTTGTGAAGCATGGCGATTCTCTCATCACCAAGATCCAGAAGTATGGCCAAGCCGTGCGTCTCCGTGGTAGTGAGCGAAGCTAAAGTGGTATGTCTATGAACTCAGGAGGTACAATAAGCCTCCAGACCACAACCTACGATTGATTATGTACGTCTGAAATGGAGAATCTTCCTTGCCGCGTGTCCTTGAAATACAATAGAATCGACACTTCTAGACCCCGGGCTCTGCACAGATTCCATGACAGGGTTAGTCACTCAAGTAGATCATGATGTAGGCCCCCGCGTCGGGCGGCTCCGGAAAATGAGTCGGCATCGGACAAACGTCCATCTGACTTTCCGAGGGAAAGTGATCGTCGGTGATCGTACTACCAAGTATCCGCACTGCAAGATCGTAGATGGCAGATACGTAAATGTTGACGCTGTACTCCCCATCATCGGGCTTGGACGAGGAATTATCGGAGCCACGTCTCTCTCCGTGTGACAACTGATATCCGACCATCCTTATCGGTACCTAATCGGCTGCCGGTGTGGGGAAAATGCTGACTCACAGTATGCTCACCGCCCAATGGCCAGGGCCTTGGATTTTTTTCCCCTTCTTCCTCCGAATCGCGATCGGACACTCACAACAGGAAGCCGTGCCGAAAGGGACATTGATCAATCTGATCCTTGATTGACCATTCTACAAAATGTCCTGGCAATATAAGCTCGCATCCAGCGTGCGGGCGGCTCCGCTTCGGGCGCTGGCAACCCGGCCCAATGGCCTCCTATATCGCCCGGCAGCCAGTGGCACTGCGGGGTGTCTCTCCACTAAGCCAGGTACGTGGGATCACCCCGGTATTATACTCTGCGGAACTCCGCAGTCTTTGGCGTTAGGGCCTTCTCGTCATCATATTATGTGATTTATACTTGCGACTCCCATATTTGCCCACTTTTCGTTGCAATCTTCTACCCCAAACCATCCATTATCATTCTCTCAATATCGGGGCATCTACTAGCGTCTTCCTGATTTGAATCTCACTAACCTCCTTCGGGTCAATTCAGAGGCCATCATGACTCCAACCACCGTCTCATATACCGCGAAGCGAACTCTCTCGGCTTTCCAGACCCAAAAATGCCTCAACATCGACAACATCAACCAGAACGTCAGGGAGGCTAAGTACGCTGTGCGCGGTGAACTCGCTGTCAGGGCCGAGAGCTACCGTCACCGTCTGGCTGATGGCGATAAGTCTCTGCCTTTCGAGAGCGTGATTTTTGCCAACATCGGAAATCCCCAGCAGCTCGACCAGAAGCCTATCACTTTCTTCCGCCAGGTCCTCAGTATCGTCGAGAACCCGTTGTTGTTGGAGAACACCCAGGCTCTCAAGGAGTCATTTGGATATAAGCAGGACGTGATCGACCGAGCCCAGGCTCTGTTGGCCAATGTACAGAGCGTTGGTGCCTACAGTCACAGTCAGGGTGCCCCAGGCATCCGGGACAGCGTCGCCAAGTTCATCGAGAAGCGTGATGGCTTCCCTTGCAACCCTCAGGATCTTTTCCTGACTACCGGCGCTTCATCTGGTGTGAGCACTATCTTGAACATTATCTGCAATGATCCCAAGGCCGGTATTCTGGTCCCCATCCCTCAGTACCCTCTCTACACCGCGACCTTGTCCCTACTGAATGCCCGCTGTGTGCCCTACCTCCTCGAGGAGGAGAAGGCATGGGGTACCGACGTCAACGCGATCCTCAAGTCCATCGAGGAGGCCAAGGCTGCTGGCACTGACGTGCGCGCCGTTGTTGTAATCAACCCTGGTAACCCCACCGGTGCCTCCCTGAGCGCCGACGACATCAAGAAGGTTCTTGACATTGCCGCAGAGGAGAGCCTTGTTGTCATTGCCGACGAGGTCTACCAGACCAACGTCTTCAAGGGCGAGTTCGTCTCCTTCAAGAAGCGCCTACGTCAGCTCCAGAAGGAGCAGCCTGGCAAGTACGACGACGTTGAGCTGGTCTCGCTGCACAGTATCTCCAAGGGTATGGTCGGCGAGTGCGGTCACCGCGGTGGCTACTTCGAGCTCGTCGGCTTCGATGCCGAGGTCCAGGAGCAGGTCTACAAGCTTGCCAGCATTTCCCTGTGCCCGCCGGTCGTCGCGCAGTGTCTGCTCGAGTGCATGGTCAACCCTCCCCTGGAGGGCGAGCCCAGCTACGAGCTTTACCAGAAGGAGTACACCGGTATTTCCGAGGGTCTGCACAAGCGTGCCCTTGCCTTGTTCAACGCTTTCCAGCGCATGGAGGGCGTTGAGATTCAGGAGCCTCAAGTATGTATTCTAGATCTCCATCGAAACTGTCGCACATGACTAACCAACTCAACAGGGTGCCATGTATCTCTTCCCCACCATCAACCTCCCTGCAAAGGCCGTCGAAGCCGCCAAGGCCGAGAACCGCGCTGCCGATGAGTTCTACTGCCTCGCTATGCTCGACGCCACAGGTGTCTGTGTTGTCCCTGGTTCTGGCTTCGGTCAGAAGGAGAACACTTTCCACTTCCGCACAACCTTCCTTGCCCCTGGCACTGACTGGGTTGAGCGCATTGTTAAGTTCCACTCTGAGTTCATGGACAAGTACCGATGAACATGTACAAATGTGTAAAGAAAGACTTGATGAACATACGAAATGCTTAGCCCTGCCCTGTACTGTTGGTTTCCGGGGTATGTGGGTTCGCCAGCATTTACGATACCTCTGGTCACGCTTTTACGTTTACACGATATGTATCTTTGGCATCCATCTACCGGTGGATGTGGAAATGGTTTTGGCTTTGATACCTTATATAGACTACTGATATCTATGGTTGGCTTGTCAATTTCGAATATCCTGTTGATATGCTTTCTGGGACAACCTATGCATTGCGTTGTGGCTATTCTTTGCATCTTCTGTTGATCTAGGTCCTGCATATTCCGGGCATATTGTTAGAGAGTGGATATAGCTGCATGGTTCCAAACCTTTCAATCACATTTCGGTTTTCCTGGTCTCTCGGGTTGACAATCACCTCTTCTCTTACCACCAAGCATAATAAAATACACCCACACCTACAAGGCTACATGAAATTGAAAACCCCACATGATCTGACATGTCATAAACCATTTCTCGGCTCTCAATGCCGAACGCCTCGAACATCCGAAGTCTAACATGCATCGTACATGCGTAGTGCAGCATGATCACTGCAGACCGCATCTTCGGTCATGGACACGCGTCGGCTTGGCTAATGCTTAGCTGTTGCTTAGCTGTGGCAATCCCTGTGGGGGGGGGTTCTTATTATTCGTGAACATACCTACCTACCTAACAACCTTGACCCATGTTGGAGACATACGTATCGTGTACGCGTGTATGTATATATGTTGGTAGCTGCCTGCCGGGACACCTCATTCTAATGTTGTAGGTATGATCTATAGGTATTCTAACCTAGGTACCTACCTACCTAAATTATGAGATAGGTACCTAGCATAATTAGTACCTTGATATGGTTAATATTCAGGCAACGTAATGCAAATCCCGACTTTCCAATTCGCCATGAGGCGGAGCTGAGTGTGTAACCTTACCGGGATACCGTGGAGGGAACTCGGACTTCTCACCGCTAGATGCCTCGGCCTGGGACTGTTCGCAGATTGACGCTAGGGATTATTACATGTGTCCTTCGGTATTGAATTATACCTGGTTGATACCTTGATAACTAGATAGGCGATGAATGATATCATCGTTCGCTGTCGAGGGTATATCATATTCTGCGCTGGCTGGAGAACCAGTTAAGGTGCATGGGCAATCCTAGGACAGATATCTGCTGAAGTAAGTGGTGTATATGGGTATCAACGCCCGAAGCCAAAGTGTATTTAGGTATCACCCAACCCATGACTCGTTGTACATGAAGAAAGGAAAAAAAAAGTCTATACATCCGGCGAAAATGCAAAGCAAGGCAAAAAACATGTACGAAAGTAAAGCGAATGAATGTACACGTCCGAATCGCAACCCCTCTAGATTGAATGGCTATCAAGAAAGGAATCTAGACTGGCTAATGGAACAAGACAAACCAGGCATTTATCATCATCTCTCATCAAGGTCATGAAGACGGTGTGGAGGTGGTGGTAGATTGACGCAAGACAGCAAGCCCCGGGACAAAAGAAGTAAAAGAGAAGATAAGATCAGCAAGAAGGCAACGCGACTCCGTGGTTTCTATGACCTAAGCCCAAGACTGTTGGAAGAAGCCGTCGTCCAGAGGCGGATTGGCATCGGCACCGAAAAGACCGCCAGGCCAGATGGGAACTTCCGATGGCGGCGACGGACCGCTGGTCATGGGAATCGAGCTCATGGGCTTGTACCCCGGGATCTGCGACATGGCGTAGAGATCCTGCACAGGCAGCGGTTTCCCATCCATGCCCATACTGGCGTGCAGCTGGTGCTCGAGCGCAGCGGTGGACTCATTGGCCGACTTGAGGAAGTCATCGATGTTGATCGATTCCAAGTCATTGGACGAGAGAAGACGCGCCTGGGGGAGACCGACCAATGAGGATGCAGAACTGACGCGCAGATGATCCATGTCGGACGCTTCACTCACGCTGTGCAGATCGTGCATATCATTGCTGGCATGGCCCAACCCGGGAAGCGGCCCAAACTCATCGGCCTCGGAGATCTCCCCCGAGGACGATGGCGCTGGGAGACCGCTGGGGTATGCGTTGTATTCAAAGCTGGCGTATGAGGGGGCTTGTGTGCTGGTTGCAGTAGGCATGTCAGAGTACAGAGGGAAACTTGACCAGTCGACCGATGGTGCACCGAGGCCCGCAGATCCCAGAGGCATCTCGGAATCCGGAGAGGTGAAATAACACTCCTGGTAAGGTTCATGGAATGCCATACAAGTGACCGGAGAATTGGTGCTTGTAGTGGGGAACGAGGCGAAGGAAGAGACGTCCAGCGGAGGCACACTAGTCACAATTTGCTCGAGAGGGTATTTGTCCATTGGGGCAGGAGCAGAAGTCGGCATCGACAGCCCATCGTGGGTCCGGTCTATTGATGGAGCGGGCGGTGGGAGTGGAGCGAAGTTATCGAGATAAGAGTGTTCGACAGGAGTAGCGTTCACATCATTCTCAATCCCCGGAACAGGCGCACTGATGGGAGAACTTCTTTGCGACGTTTGTTGTGACTTGGGGAATTCGGACAGGGAGAGGGGCTCCTTCACGAAGGTCGACTGACTGAGCGGCAAATGGTCTACAGACCGACGGGGTAAGTCCGATGGGTGGTGGACGCTATGCGATCGCGGGATCGTATAGGGCAATCCACATTTGTGTGCCATGTCATTATGCTTGTGGGCGGGTTTATGATGGCCGTCGCGGAAAATCGTAAGCGTTGATTCCGATTTGGTAGACGTAAGAGGCGGTTTCCGCGAGTGTTCAGCTGGCTGCGGGGGAGTGAAGGGAAGACCGGTTTCGGGCACAGTATCTAGGTGTTCCTTCTTGAGCGCACAAGTGCAGCGTTGGCCATGAGAGCAGCCACAGCGGCCGGAATGAGAGTCGTCCTTCTTTTTCTTGTCGCCGCAATCACACTGGGTGTGTGTGGTCCGAGACTTGCGTAGGCCGCGGCAGTGGGTGCATTGAGAGACTGGGCGGCCTTTTTTGTTGATATGGGTCAATTGGCGGTCTGGGGGGTGATTAGCACGGAACCGTGGTGGTTAATAGATCGCAAGAACGGCATACCACTGTGGTGACAGCTGCTGACTCGGTGACCCCGGACGCAAGCATCACAAGCATACTTCTCACCGTCGATGAGCATCGCTGCGGTGTTACTTCGAGGTACACATGCGATGATTCGCGAGAAATATAGGAGAAATTTTGGGAAGTATTGTAATTCGAGGGATCAAGTTCATAGGCCGAGAGATATCAAGCCGTCAAGGCGATTTAGGTCGGCCCCTTGGAGTGGTCGAGTCGTGTAGAACAAATGAACAAAAGGGTATAATCGTATAGTCGAAGGTCCCAATGCGCGGAGGAAGTTCACAGAACACCGGAGCACAAAATGTTTGCTGATAATCACCGCACTGTTTGTAATTGGAACAGAAAGCAGTCGGAAAATTGTAAATCCAAAAGGGTATCAGGCGCGAGGTCGAGGAGGGGGGGTTCAGGGATCGGAGAGTAAGAGAGAATAGAACAGAGAGGAGATGGGGGGACCAAGCCTACGCACCGTTTGGCGCCGGCCGTTAGACAGGACACCAAGTACCGGTAGTGGCGGCCAAGATAAAAAGCGTTCGACGAAAGGAGACGTTTGGACACCCTATGAAGAAGGGAAAAAAGAGGAGAGGAAAGAGGGCGGGCAAGGTCCGTTAATAATGGGGTACGAGCGAGGATTTTCGCTGCGTCAGTGGTGATTGTTGGTGCCCGTAGAAACAGGTACAGGTACGAGCTTGGCATGTATTGTAATTGACACAGCCTAGCACTGGTTAACAGTGGGTTTGCACTGGGTTTGCACTGACCTTTGGAGAAATTACTGTATTGATGTACATACGGGGAAATATTTCAAAGTGTGTACTGTATTTTTACTTGATCCGGCGCATTTTCTTCACGATATTCGACGTAGAGGTACATGTACATGCTCGAGATGAACTGACTACTGATTTTATTTGCATGTATTCTGACTAGCTATGTACTATGTACGGAGTACATACTGTACTTCCATATTGTAGACCGTACTCCGTACATAAATGTAAAAAACCCTTTCCCCCTAAGGTCTTCGACTCCACCGTCCCACTGGAACTACTGCTCCTTAGGGTTTGTTGGACGCACATGAGAATGAGAATAAGACATTGAACTCGGCTATTAACTACTCACTGCCAACCTGGAACCATTCCAAGGTTCTAGATGTATACGCACCACACAGCACCTCTGAGTGGCAACCGAACCCATGGCCATTGCACTTGTCCATGGAGAAATTTTCCCTGCAATCATCATCTTAGCCTGGAGGAATATCCGGACTGAACTCTTGGCCCTTCGGAACGAACTTGACCCCACTAACGATGGATCTCGTTAGTAAAATCTGGGGCCGCACATCCCGACCTTGACCATCACCAAGTACACCACCTGATTAAAGCTCTACCATAATGTCTTTTTCTTGTGCTACAACACCCTGGTTGCTGGGGCTGAATCTATTATTATGGGAGCTCGTGCTAGTGTTCTTCGATCCAGGTACAGACTTTAGCAAAGAACATTCCATAATCCCTGCAGATTTCCCGAAGCAGAGACGAATGACAGTCCTTGACGCAGAAAGCTCACCTGGAAGTGGAAAATGGGGTCAAATAAAAAGGGAGAAATGAAGAAAAAGAAGAAAAAAAGAAATGAGAGCCAGTTGAGGCAGACCACGTATGTTGGACACGAGCCAGACTGAGGGACAACCGTTACAGTGTTACCATACCGTACAGATGCATGTCATGAGTGGGGCGATGGCGTCAGTGTTCCTGCTTTGAGCGGCCTGCAGAGCAGTTTGGGGCGGGCCCTGATCTGCGTTGCGCTTTTCCCACCCAATGGAAGGAGATGAGGGTGGGGATGGCCGATGGACTGTGAATCTGTGATTTGATATTTGTGGGATTGGGAGGTTTCTTCAGTACTTACTGCGTACGCGGTATGAGAAGTCCGAGAGAGAATACATATCCCAGGACCCTACGACTTGCCTGCTGTAGATCAACAAGTGCACAAAGACTTTCCCGCCTATTCCCTGAAACGGACACTAGGGATAGAGACAAGGGTCGTGCGGGAAGACAATTGACTAACTTAGTGCTCCTGCGAGAAATTTGCTTTTGCTCTTTCCTGGCCATTTCATTCGCTCCTACTGCGAGACTACGTGCTGCATCTACCTCAGCGCGTTTATCGCGTGAAGTCTTGGAAATTACCGGAATGTAGATGTCCTGTGGCTCAGGTTTTGCTCGCCACCTTCCTCGCAACAGCATTATGGTCATTGATATCATCTGCATAGTACTGACAGTGAAGCAAGTTAGCACAAACGATAGGTTCTTAACACCAGAACTTCTAGTTACCTTAGGTGATAAGCGTAGTTTCCAACACAATTGTCAACTCAAGGCGATCACTATCACTCGGGTCTGGAGGCGTATAACTGAGAGCCCTACCTAGAATCCATAAACGAACAGGGTGTACAAAATACATGGATAGAACCAAAGACACGATACAGCCTTGCAATGAGAAGCTGTTGATTGAATTGTGATTTCTCCGCATGCTCGCTCTATGGCATTGTCGATGGAAAAGCAAAGTCCGAAAGGTGCCCTGGCCAGGGTGCAACGACATCATGGGCCATGGCCTTCCGCCGAGTTATCCTCTATGGTTGACAACTCCCGCCACGTCTGTTACTTTCCTTTGAAGAATGACAGTCAGTGCCTCAGTGGTCCCCCGTTCATATGACCAGGGACTTGAGCGCCCCTGTTGAGAAACGCATCTGCACACCTATCACGGTGATGATACAGTCTTTTCAACAATAGTCTCCGCACAAGATGGCAACGCCTAGGCATAGCAGCATAGCAAGATCAAGTGTTCTCCCAATATTCAAGATGCCAAGGCATCTTAGATTGAGACATGTCCGATGCGCTCCATTTGTAGTTCATCCGACGCCGAGGGAAATAGTATTAATCCGCTCGACACGCAGAAATGAAAGGCCGTCCTCCGTGCGATCATCCAAAAAACAGACCTCGGGGAAGTAAACAACGGTGTATAGCTTCCAAATAGAAAATGATTCCAATGAAATACTCTGTTGAAATGTTGTTGCTCGATGCGGCCGTCTCGGCACTAGCCCCTTCGAAAATTCCCCGCGAAATTTTAGACGAAACTTCGCTTCTGGCACTTCGCGTTCTACACCATCATCCCTCCATCAACCGGAGGCCCGCGTTCCCCTAATCCATCATCTCTTGCGTATTTTCTGGTTCCATAGCGCAATATGAACCCTCGTGAACAGTCCGACATGCCTCCGGCGCCTTCGTACCCGTCTCCCAACGGTGCGCAAATGGCCCAGGGCGTGCCATCTTATTATGGCAACCGCCAGATGACCACCGACGAACTGCTTTCTGCTGAACTGTCGCGTGAGGCCTCAGGCCCTGGGCTCGGTGAAACCAACAACGGCGTTCATCATGGCCAATCGATGGTGCTGGGTTCCTCGAATGCGACCGACATGGGGCGCACTTCTTCGGAGGACCAGCACCAACATCAGCATATGCTTCAATTCCCCCTAGTCAACAGGTTGGCGTCGATCCGAATCACGACTTGAGCTATGGCGAGCAGAGCGCGCGCAAGCGATCGAAGATCTCGAGAGCTTGCGACGAATGTCGGCGAAAGAAGGTATGTTAACAATAACATGCAAGCGCGACCCAAGAGTTCTGAAGCTAAGACGCGTTTTTTTTCTTTCTTCTCGCACAGGTTCGATGCGACGCAAACTCGGAAACTGGCCTTGAGACATGCTCTAACTGTCGCCGTCTCGGTGTGGTGTGTCAGTTCAGTCGCGTCCCGATGAAACGGGGCCCCAGCAAAGGGTAAGAACCACCAATGCGCCAGATCCAGAAGGAACATTAGGACTGACAAATATGCAGTTACATCAAAGAACTTGCCGAACGTCTTCATACCCTCGAAAACCAGATGCAGCCAGGAATTGTTCAACCCGACGTGCCATACCAATCCATGAATGAGGTGTCTCTCCCGAGAGGGTACCAGGATTTCGCATCGCCGGAGGAATCAACCTCCGGAGCTCGGAAGAGAACTTACTCGGTATTCGAGGGCTTGCCCAGCTCCTCCTTTGCGCAGCCTTCGTTCAATGCCCGTGTCTCGCATAATGCCTTCGATGGACCCGAGACACCGGCCGACCCATACAACCCAGCTGTAGCCAGCGGTAGCGCACCGAAACCTGGCAATCTCTTCTGGAGCGCGACAAGCCATGAGAACGATCTCCCAAGCGGGCTTGAGATGACGGATTTGCCAAAGCATGAAGGTGATGACGATATGACACCGGTCACTCTTGATGAGGGTGCTCTTGATGCGTATGTCTAATATTGACCCCTCGTTCCTGCTGAGAGTATTATCTGACAGTATATTCAGTTATTATCAGAAGATCCACACCTTCCTTCCAATTCTGCCCCATACCAAGGAGCGAACATTGGAGCTTCTGCACCAGTGCAACCGCGAAGCACAGGAGATCTTCTGCTATGCACTGTACAGTGTCACTCGGACTGACTTGTCGCGCGTGGCGAGTAATTTCGAGAAGATCAATGGGTTTGATAATGCCCAGGATCTCCTCATGTTCCACACTCGTCAGCCATTGATCATCCAATCGACCTCTGTCAATCTGATCTGGTTGCAATCTCTTCTCTTGATGATCATCGACTGTGACACCCGTGGACCTGACAACTTTGTTCTGAAAGACGGTGTGCCCAAGGGTACACTGGTTCAGGCAGCCAATAAGCTCGGATATGACTTGGCCAGGAGCCAAGGTCAACTGAAGACCAAACGATCGTCCGATTTCGATGTCGACTCCGACGCCAATCTCGTCAGGCGCAACTGGGTTTCTTTGGCCATTCTGGGCCGCTGGTACGCTATGAGTGTGGCGGATCCTACTGTGCTGGGAAGTTATGAGATCGGTGGCCGTGAAGATGAAAGGGTCGTTGGCCAAATCGCAAATGGAATTGCCTGTAGGTTGACCCTCCTTGTCTTGCAGTACCACTGTCCCACTAACAAGGTTCCCGCCAGCTTACTCGACATTCATTTCGGACACGGTCTCTTTGGCCACTGTCGACCACAACATCTGCCAGACCAACTCCGGCCTCGGCCGTATCATAGGCTCGAACCTAGTCGCGTCCCTCGAGCGTCTCGCACAAATGGAGGACATATTCCAGATCCACGAGCTCCCCGAGAACTCAACCACTCGCCCGCTCTACGAGAGCCTGCAAGCCCAACTCTACTGGACCGTCCGCCTGCTCATCAAGCGCCACGTCTACGTCTACAGCCCATCCGAGATCATCTTCTGCGCACAGGAAATCATCAACGAGATGCACAAGTCAACCATGCAGTCCCGTCTCGCATCGCCCTTCGACCTGCACAGTCTCGCCCTGGCAGCAATGACCCTCCTCGAGGCCACCGTTCTCCCCGAACACGCGAACGAATGCTGGGCGGCTCTCGAAAAGCTGGAAGAAATCCTCGACCGTCGCTCCAAGCGCGGCGCAGAAGGCGGCGAATTCAGCAACATCTTCGGCACCCCGGAATGGGACTCTAAGATCCGCATCTTCCTCGAATGGCGTCGCATCAAGTCCCAGGAATCCCAGCTGCAGGAAGCTGAGGCCGGTGCTAACGTGAAGTCCCAGCAGCCTGTCATGGGCCCGAACGAGCAGCGCTCCCTGCAGCACCTTGCTGACCTGGCTGTCGGCGCCGAGGGCTCGGTTGGCCAGAACGCGCCGTCTACGCCCCCGCCTGGTCTTGCTAATGAGCAGCACGAGTCGGAGTCGAATCTCGCTCCGCAGTTGGCGCAGGCGCAGGGTGGGACTGGCCGTGTTGTCGTTGACTTCACTATGCTCACCAAGGAGGGATATCTGAATGTTTTCTCGGGATTGATCTACCGTCGGACCCGTTAATGTCGTTGACTTCTCTTCTTAGTTGTCTTGCGCACTGTTCCGTCGGGACACGTCTCTCGTTTCTGCTTCTATGTTTACCGACCTTTGCTTTTGCTTTTGCTCAGGCGTATCTTTTGTATCTTTATCCCGAGGATTTGCCGCCGTCTCTAGGGAAATATTTCCCTTAATCTATCCTTAGTTCCCAGTTTGTAGTGAAATATCATCTATTCATATCTCACATATCATCGAAGCTTCTCAGTGAGATGAGCTTGCAGGGAGCTGTCCGGTAACGCAATCACCAGATAAGATCATAAAGCATCGCTTTCCATGTCTGGAAAATGATATTAAATTAGGTTCCAAAGCTCCAGCTCCATAACTCATAAATATGCTCTGATATGGCATATCGAAACTTAGCGAACAGATAAATGGAACCCCGTTATTGCCTCCGTCCGAACGCAAACCGCCACCAGACACTGTCCACGTCCTGACATAGCGCCAGGAAGTTGTCATCTTCGAGCAACTCGCACATCCAGTTCTCGAGGAAGGCGGTGCGCTCCGGCGTCGGAGATGCCATATACTGCGCTAGCCAGTCCTCAGGTGTAATCGGTGGTTCGTCGTTCGTCCTGACGATCAGCTGGGGAATAGATGGGACTGGATCTTGTCCTGTCTGCAATGTCTCTTGGATACTGGCTGCTTGAGAAGCCTGCTCGGCGAGACTACTGCGTGGAGGTAAGGCCTGAGATACAGGTGCTTCTTCGTAGAGGATCAACGGTGGAGTCGGGTCGGGGTGTGCTTCTGGTTGGGATAGATTTGGCTGGGATAGGTTTGGCTGGGAGGAGTCTGCCTGGGATAAGTTCTTAAAATTGTGTGCCGGGAAAGTAGGAATATCATCACGCTTGGACACTGGGTCAAGTGGACAAAGCTTCGGGTCGTTGGTTTGCGGTGCGGGCTGTGATTTTGAAAATGGATTCGAGTGTTTCTGTTTCTGTTTCTGGGTCGTCCGCGTTAGACTGGTAGTGCGTGTTCTCTTTGCAGCTGGAACTTGAAATGGAAGCTCTCGCTTTGGAGGGAGCATTTTGTTCAGCTGGTCGATCTCGTGGCTTGCTGATATGGTTGAGAGCTGTGAGCTTGCGAGTTCGGCTCCCTGGTGTTCTTTGTTGGTGAGAGTAGGGGCCTCTAGCTGTTGAAATGGGTCTGCAGGTTCTGTGTTTTGAGGCACGATGAAAGCCGGTAGGGGTTGGAACTTGGGTGCAGCATGGGAGATTGTGCTCGCGGGAGAAGTTGCTCGGATTGGTGCTGGAACACATTAGATGACTGCTCGATATGGTCAGAGGAAACGGTCTATACTTGTTCGTTCGGATATCGCCCCAGCTGGGTGTGAGACCCAGTTGCTGCCCGTGGAAGTTGCCACTGTGTTGACGGTTCTGGGGGGAATGGACGAGAGATGCCCTGATGTCCATGACGAGACGGATGGAAAGCGCCGGACTGCTGGAGCGGGTGGCTTGCCTTCTGTCAATGGACAGTTGATTTCACCCAGGAGGGTCAATACTGTAAAGTAGTCTCGCTCTGAGGTGAACTTGATCTGAAAGCGACGGATCTGCGGGTTCGTCAGGTCTGATATCTCGAGAGTCTTCAATGGGGTCTTCAGAATGTACACACATTTGTTCCATGTGGATACTTGACTGCCAGACACGGGGATTTGACAACGACAGCAAACTGCGACTTTGGTGGTGGGACTAGCTGGGCTTGCATTGCAGCCATGCGGACAAAGAATACCAGGTCAAGCTGCTCCTATATCAGGGTGGGTAGTCAGCATCGCCGGCGGCCACGCTTTTGGGTGGGAAATGTACCAGAAGGTCGTCTCCTTGGAATACTTTCTGGATCAGTCTTGATGGGATAGAGTCCAAGTCGAGGTACTTATCGAAAGTGCAGGTTATGTCTCCATTCCCGTGGACATGAGTCCAATTCAGCGGGCCGACATGGTCGGTGGAGGTCGTTGTATGGGAGAATTTGGCGATGGTGAGACGTAGCACCTGGGGAGGGTTTGGTGGAGGTAGATTTGGCATTTTATCAAATTAGATAGATCAAGAGAGGGCCAGCTGCGATGAAAGGGCATTCAGTCCTACAAAGTAGATGATGGAGGGTTTGGAGGAGTGAGACTCGAAACGAGGGTATGAGAGAGAAGAAACCCCGATCTAGTAGCGCTCCAATTCTGAGATTCATGGCCAGTGCACATACAATTTCATCAGCCTGCACTTAGCTCGTGATCTCTATCAGTATGGTAAGAGGAAAATCATCAGGTTCTATTCTCCTATCATGGTCTTCCATTTGAGTATAATGTGACATTCAGCTAGAATAATTTATTGCAGCTTCACTTCAATGTCACTCTCCAGTGAAGAGATGCAAAAGACTTATCAAACACAATACGAACAAGACAAAGTCATGAGAGCACGAACCAGAACGGTTGATATCACGAGACCATTGGTGCCTAAGGCACTAATATACTATTCATTAGTCATCAGCCCACGGCCGGAATAACCCTAATCCGAAAACGCGCTTCTGGAGAAGCGCGGACTTTTGGCTGATCAGTGCCGTTGATCATTGGAAGCCCACCTCTAGCCAAGGCCGAAAGGCATTGACAAATCTCTTACCTTTAACTATCGCAAATTGCCCACCTCGGTCGCATCCCTGCAGTTTCTTTGTTTGGGATCTGTTGTGGCTGTCGCGCACCTTGCTCCTTCACTCTCGCATCTAGTTTTCCAACCCTACCCTCGAACGCGCGCGCGAATCCTGCGAGTCTTCCATCCCTAACTACCATCGCTGGCCACGCCCATTGCCAACGACTCGCCAAAAGCAATCCTTCGTTTTTTTCCGAGGAATCAGACGAAGCTACAGCTTTAGCCACCCCCATTCGCTCCCTACCCCATTCGTTTGCCGGCAAAGCCGTATCAAGGGCCGCATCCCACGACCAGTGTGTTGAGCCTTCATACTTGCGACGGATCGGTTTACACCCTGTACCTTCTCCAACTCCGAATTCCCTTCTCCATATATTAAAGTGCCTTCGTCTTTTCTTCCCTTCTGGAAGAACGGATTCACTTCAATCGCTTTCAACCGTCCGGCGCAAAGCTGTGTCCCTCTGCCAGCACAATGTCTGGCTCTACCCCCCCACCTCGCTCCGACGTAAGTATACCTTATTCCGACTCATGATTGTTGACTTTATACTAATACTACCCCAGAGGGTTTGCGCCATGCCCCGAAGGTCAACCAACCATTCATCCCGGACACCACCCCTGCCCGTCGATCACATATTCATCATGGACTCACATCACCACAACCGTCAGCCAGTCCTCATCAGGTAAACACCAACCCAGCCGCCAATCCACAGAGCTCCCAGTTTGTAGTCGACAGCTGGGAAGGCAGAGACCATCGCCAGCTTCCCATGTCGACGAAAGAGGTCCCCACCCCCGGAAACCAGCCGCTCGTCTTCCGTCCATCAAAAAGACCCCGGCAGCTAGATTATCATGATCCTTACTTCCCATTGAGTTATCTTGAGGTTCCAAGGAGTCAGTCTTCCCTTTACTTTAACAATGGTTTCAATATACTAACATCACTGTCCAATTTAGCTGATCATATCTACAAACGTGCCCACTATGGCCTGCAGTCAGGCATTCCAGATGAGGTCGATTTCGCCTTATACCACCTTGTCCAGATTTCGAACCAGCGATGGGACAAGTTCAAATTCGAAGGGTTCCCGTTGCTTGCGGAAACTTTGATGCAAAAAGCACTCGATATCACCCAACTCTGCACGGGGGTCAAGTGGGAATTCCAATACGATCCCAGGAAACCGATTGACCGTGTCAATGTGCTGAATTCGCTACATGGAACGCGGGACATCTTGGACAAGATCAGCAAGATCCCAGTGAACCTCGCGGATGACGGCCTCGAGACCGACGAATTCAATCACCAACTTCGGAATATCAAGGAGGCTACATTGGTGTTGAGAAACATGGTACTTCTCCGGGAGAATGCATATTACGTGTCGCGCTATGCGAAAGGGCTATTGCGGGACTTTTTGGTCATCATCATCAACGCCCCAAACCAACCGCGACTCAATGAAATCAAAAATGACGCACTTGATATTGCTGAGGAGGTCACCAAGTTCCTGCGGACTGACCCTGAAGATCCGTTGTGGATTTCTCTGGTAAAATGCCTCGATTCAACAGATCGCGCCCACGTCGTGCGGGCTCTGTGGGCCTTGACACATTTCGGAACTGAGCTGGACGATGCAGACGCAAACCGAGCCATGGATAGTCTGACCAAACCGACCCTTCAGCAAATGTACTATCTTACGCTTCTTGACCTCGACAAGGACCTTCTCAGTGGGGCACTTGACTTCTGGTATCAATACACACTCAGCCAGGACAACATCGAGACATTGATGGATATCGTTAACTTCCCGATCGTTTTCGTCCCTCGCATGGTTGCACTCCTCACGTATGAAGCACGTCCAACCAAGAAAGAAACCGTTCTGCAAGAAGAAAAAGTCGCCCCTCCTCCCACTGACATCCCTCGCGTATCCCCGGAGCTTCTGGAGAAGCTCATGGAACTCTCAGAGCCGCAGAGAAGCTCTCAATGGCTGCGTTGCTGTTTCATTGAGGATGCAGAGTGCGAGATCACCCAGATTGCTCTGTGGCAAGCATACCAGAGCCGTTTTGCCGATCCCCGCGTCAATGGAGGCGGCGTCCTTCCTGCCGCCGAGTTCATCAAGAATGTTAGCAACACATTTACGAATGCCCAGGCACAGGTTATCAATGGTCCAGGCACCGCCACCAAATTCATCATCAAAGGCATCCGACCCTTGGAAACCGCCCACACTTTCGAAGGCTTCCCTTACTGCTACTGCCGATGGGCCGATAACTCAAAGCCCTCGAAGATGTGCCAGCGTGCGTTCACATCTCCGACCGATCTGCGTAACCACGTGTTCGGGGACCACATGAACCTGGAGCCCACCGAAACCCCCGGGCAGTACAAACTGGATCCCGCAGAGACCCCCATCCACACCTGCCAATGGGACAACTGCGTGCGGTTCCGAGCATCAAACGCTAGCGCCAACACATCCACGGTCGCCGGTCATGTCGCGGCGCATCTGCCGGAAGATCGTCCAGCCGATGCGCAGCCAGCCCTGGCCAAGCGCGTGGTTCTCCAGGAGCGTATCGTGCGTAAGTGGTACTACATGGATACGCCGATCAACGAGAAGGCAGAGCCTTTCGGCGTCGCTTACAAGGCGGCCTTGGTGCTCCGTAACATTGCCCGAGGTCTGCCCGCCCGCACGACGTCGCAGTACGGTGGCCTTACCTGGAAGAAGGCCTGCTTTACCTCCCAACGCCCGAAGATCGTTGAAGTGTGGGACCGAAACCGCGCTTTGCGCAAGGAGCTCACTGAGCTCATTATGGTTATCGAGAAGGAGGATGACTATTGAATTATCGTTTCATATCCTCCCGGCGTTGCGACTCGGCTTGGTGTTTTCTGAAAAATCAATATTTGTACCATTAATACCCTTGTTAGTCATATTATTACTATCATCCTAGCTCCCAGTTCTTGTATCTTGTAGACGTGTAATACCGTAGGAGCCGCACTTGCCCTCACACTTTGCTGTCACTTTCACTCGTCTTTAGTTCAACCCTAGCTTGACCACACAAGGCAGTCTGACCCTATGTCCAAGCCTTAAGCTACCGGGATACGACTTAAGCAGGGAGGTTGGTGTTCAATCATCACAAACTTGACATAGTAACCACATGCGAATATCAGACAAACCTCCTAGTAATCACCGGTAGGCATTCCACCAAGAGTAGGAACATGCTGTCCATGGAACCCAAATCCAACCGCCCCATCAACATTCGCCCGACCCAGCTCCGACAGATCGCGAGCATCCAAACAGAGCAAATAACTCTTCCCCCTCTGTCCGTCCAGAACGACACTGAGCAACACACCATCATCCTCATCAGTCCCCTCCGGGTTCGGAACAAAAATAGCCTCACCAGGCGATTGACCATGACAAGCCCAAAGCATCGACTCCTGCGTCTCGCAATCCAACTTCATGATCCCATCCGTCAGAGTCGCCTCACCACGGAAAGTAACCGCATAAACATATCGATGCTTCTGCGTAACTCGCTTCGGATGCATAGTCGGCAACTCAGGCGACAACGACTTGCAAGCAGACCACTCAACCTCCGCCTTCCGTGTTTCCGCGCATGGCGCAGATGGCACCGCAGGTAGACGGAAGCGAGTGAAAGTCGTCCGGTAGAAGTCACTTCTCTTTTTCTGGAAGTCCTTGGCCGCATCGAACGACGAGATCAGCGTATCGTAGTACAGTGTCTTGATGAAGTCGGAACTATCGGTTCTCACCACGTCTGCCACAATATCCGTCTTCGTCGGATCCTCGGCTGAAGGCTCGAGCCAGGCGTTGACTGTGTGGAAGCAGAAGAAAGCAGGGCTGTCGTATGTGGCGATTAATCCATTGCCGTGCTTGCGGTCGATGACATACCAGGTCGCGGGCTGGGATGGGTCTGTCGGTGCGATGGCGTTTATGAATGATTCTTTCAGTTTGAGCGGGTTGACGTGTGAGTTCCACACGCATAGCACGACGTGTTCCTCGGTGATGAGGAGCGAGTGCAGGTATGCTGGGGTTGCGTCGAAGGTTGCCAGGATTGTGGTTTCGCCTGTTGCGGCTGAGACTCTGAAAACGCGGTATGTGCAGGTTTGTCCGAAGGAGAGGTTGAAGTTGAACATGTCTCCCGTGACGGGGTCGGATCGGGCATGGGATGCTGATAGTGGGCCTGAGAGGTCCGGGTGTAGATTTGTCTGCGTGGCTAGGCCGATGGGCTCCAGGGTCTCGGGATCGAGGTTTTTTGAAGGCATTGTAGTCGGTCTTAGCGTAGAGGGTTCGGATTTGCTTTGAATCGCTCCAGCGTGAGGTCGAATCGGGTGTCTCGTCGAGACCGGGGACATTGATAGAGAGTGTGACACCGATGTTCTTACTGGAGGGGGTGGGTGGCTGTGGGACGAACTCGCTATGGACTTTGCCCAATACGCTCTTACAGGGGTCGCGTTTCTGTCCGAAGCTGACCATGTCTAGGGATCTGGTTCTTCTGGCTTCTTCCATCAAGTCATCGGTCGAGAAGCGGGAATTATACAGCACTCGAGGCGAGGCGCTGGAGTCCTCTGGAGCGAGGATTTGGAAACGATGGGTTTGACTGAATCCATCGAACCAGTGTGATAGTCGTAGCGTTTCTCCATTGTCGGCTTCCACTTGACTCGCGCCTGGCCCTGTGCGGTACAAAACTCCCGCGGCATAGGCAGGGATATGTCCGGTCACTTGGAGTTCAACAGTCTCGCGCTGTTCGTATTCGGGGTCAAACTGTGCAGGGATTAGTATGGGTAGCTCCAAAGCCCGCTTGCAGGGGGTGGAAGCCCACTCACGCCTTTGTCATTGGGCCAATTGTTATAGTGGACTTGATCTTTGCTGCCATTGCTAGCCTGAGTAGTAACGGCTGAATCTGTAGTGATCGAAGGCATTATAGTTGGTTGATGTGATCTACTATGTGCTAGAAGATGGGAACTTGGACGGACAATCCCATTTATATATCCATTTTCTTTAGATAATACGCCGAGACAAGTGAGACAGGTATATCCCCTGAAGCCACTCGCCTTTTCCCTCTTGACGGAGGGAATTGAAGTGAAGATGTGGGGGTATCGCGACGGCTGAGCGCCACCTCCGACGTGTTCCTTTTCCGCACCAATCGCCTCCCTTCAATTACCGAGTCTCCATCACCATCGTCTGTGTTCAGCCGCGCTAAGTCTGCAACTGACTTCAGGCAAGCGAGATATCTCGGCTTGACCCTTCCCGATCTTGGCGGGATTCACCCACATCCCGGAAGCAGGCGGGTTATATCCATGTCTATCTCCGTCCAGTCTTGCGACTGCCGACAGCAAAAGACCAGACTGAATATCGTGCGAGTCCACATCCGAGGTTGAGACTATCGGATGAGTCGAGTCAGTCGGATGATTTATAGAAACCGACGCGAATCCCCCATGGAGGGAGTACGCAAACCCGACCGAACAGGCCCCAAGATATGGAAATGTGATCAATGTTCGTCAAGGTTCCAACGACTAGATCACATGAAGCGCCATGCCTTGACTCGTATGTCCCTAGGACCCTAGTATTCCGAAAAGGGAAAAAAAAGTAACGAGTGTTCATAGATCACACGGCCAAAAGCCATCTATGTTCTTTTTGCAAAGCTACGTTCAGCCGAGGGTGGGTAACTTCGGTACAAATGCATAGTATAGACTGACGAGACATCCAGGGATGTGCTACGACGGCACTGGAAATCATGCAAAGCTCGCCTAGACAGCGGACAAGCAATCCCCGAGCCGGAGCGCGGTGGAAAACACAAACGCGCCTGTGATAGTTGCGCGAGCCTCAGGAAGGCGTGCAATGGGGATATCCCATGTGCTGAATGCACCCAGCGAGAGAAACAATGCACTTACCAGCGTCTGCTTGGGGAACCTTCTTTGCCGGCCACATCGCAAGCATCGCAAGCATCGGAAACTCAGAACACAGAAAGCTTGGTCGTGGTCGACGATGCTGAGGCTCGCAAGGCGGTTGAGTCAAGTTGGGATCTTGGCCCTGCAACGCTTTATCCATCTTCTAAGGAGGTATTCGCTCGACGTCATAATATTCTGCTTGGCTCAGCTCGAGGTTCCACTATGCACGGGGTACTATCTAGTGTCGGATTTTGAAAAGAACTTCTGATCATTTCTCTAAGTGCCATATCATTCCAACTGGAGCTTGTCGGTGGTACACATAATTTATGGCATTGCTTTGGCCGGCCTGCATTGAACACCTATTGCAAGGCTTTCAGATCCGGATTCACATTGACAAAAGCCACGAGCCATTCCGGTCCCTTCTCGCTGTGAAGATCCCACTCACGCATGGATGGCTGGGCGAAAGTATCATGGCCGATTTTGAACGGTGCGAAACAAGGGCCCTCCACAAGAACGCTGTGCATCAACTTGGTCATTCCAGACCAAGGGCGTGTTGCCCGATTCGATAACTGTGCCGTTGGCGTTTGACCGCTACTCTCCTACAGATATACCTAGCGGTATATGGTCGGGCGAAATTCCGCTTCTTAGTTGGAAGTCTTCATACTCCTTGGGAAATCCATACCATTAATCGTGCCAAGCACACAAACACACCTCCTGTGTTCTATCCGGTACATGTTTCACCGTGGCAAGAATATGGAATCAACGCTATCGTAAACATTTTCAAGAAAATTCTCGTAGTTCAGCCAGGCTGTGTCATCTGAGCCACTTTGCAAGGTCGCTTCATTGAGATCCATCGCATCCCACACGTTCGCCCAAGGTACCGGCGTAAAGGAACTCGGCACTGGTGCGACGTGCATATTCGGTGGCTGAGCAGCATTGTCTCCCAAATTTAACGAGAAGTCCATAAGCGGCTGCGGGTGTTCCGGGAGATTGGAGAAAACATCAAAAGAACCCTGCGAAACTTGATGGCGAGAAGCATCAAGATCGAGGAGTTCATTTCTCCTCGCCTTAGCTTGCGCCATAAGCCTCTCCATCGGTTTCCAGAGCATCCCATGCTGAGAATCAGCGATGACAAGCCGCGAGCGCTCGAAAACATCCGCAACAACCGACCAATACCTCACCATGACAGCGGGGTCTTTACAGACGCAAAGTTCGGCAAGGGCCACAGCCAGCGCATGCCATGGAACCCACATCGAGCCATACCACCGCCACGCCGCGGCGCCGGGATAGGTATAGACATCCTGAGACCACTGCAGGTTATCAGCGGCGATCTTGAGGAGGGCATTATCGCCGACTCTCGGTGGAGTGAAGTTCCTACTGCGCTGCAGCGGTCGAAAGCACGCCAACTGTAGCCAGCTGCCCATGACACCGGCGGTTTTCCGCGCGTACCACTGGAAATCTGACTGATCGGGTCTGCAGCCGCTCAGCAGGTGTGAAGCCTTTTGTTGGAAGTCGTAGACGACTTGCTGCCGCAGAGTGATGATAGTTAAGGGGGGGTTCAATGAGGTCTGAGAAAGCGAGGGAGCGTGCCACGGACGCGGACGCTGCGATGACAAGGGTGTGTGTCATGTCTGTGAATGTGCCGTCTGTGTGCTCCGGGATCGGGCCGTCCATGTCGAACCAGATTTCCTCGTCATTGATGTTCGATGGCTGGTTGGAGTCGAGCCAGGCGGCTTGCATCATTGGATCCGATGCCCTGTCGAGGGAGACTGCTATATCTAGAACCCCGATTCCTAGCCATGTTCTTCTGCGCATTTCCTTCTCAAATGGGCGGACGGTAAATGGTGGCTCTGGGATGTGGAGTGATAATGCTTGGCCTACTCGTAGTGCCATGCTTAACATAGTCCAAACTCTTCGACTTTGGTCTTGAGATCGTGCAGCGAGCTTGGAGAAGTTAGCTTTCAACTCGACCTTCGATCGTAGAGGACAGCTCACCAGAGAGATGATATAGGCCTGCAAAACAGTGAGATCGTTTGTCGTCACAAAATCCGCCCTTACAAGGGCAGCTTCGGTCTCTTTCTGGAATTCCGCGACAGCTGTCATTTTATCTGTATTGAACATCAACTGACATTCCGCTTCGTCGAGAGTACACACTGCGCAAAGATAGACAGCTGAAGCAAGAGTAGCCGGCGCATTGTGATCCTGTTCATAGTCAAGATAGGGTGTCTCATCCTTCAAGAACGCTTGCAATGAGGGCCGATGTAAGACCTTGAACAGGGGATCGACGTTGTGGAGGAAGATATCACACAATCTGTGCCGAATATTGGGCGAAAGATTACACGCTCTATTGGATGGAGACGAGGTTGACTGGCTCTCTGGACTTTCTGAGCTCACTAGCGATGTTCCAAACCCAGGTTCTGGATCTCTGGTATCTATATCGTCATTTGCTAAACGATCTTCCAGGACATTGCGCAATTCATGTGTCTGATTCAAGGACCTCACATATTAATGAATGCAGGCTTTTAACCAGGAACAACAAGCTTACCTGTTGCATGATGTCCTCCCAAAAAGAGTTCCCCATGTACGCAGTTGAAGGGCCAGGAATATGTGAGTGTCCTGCACTAGGTGGGCCGCTGCGCATCACCTCGTTCCCATCTTGCCTGGTATCAAAACCAGCCTTCCTGGCCTCTGTCGCTGCACCCTCCTCTACGGATGGCCATGAGGACTCAGGGACCACCAAGGAAGACTGCGATTCAACCTGCCGCTTGTTGACAACTTGCTTCAAGAGTTTCTCGAGTCTCGCTACCCGGTCAGATAGTTCTTTATCGGAGCCCACGGGCCGTTCAGCGGCCTTCCGCGTGCGGCCCCGCGGGAGACGAGCACGTTCCACCGGCACGCACAGGAAGCCAAGCTTTTGACAGCTTGTGCAAGGGCTTAGTTTATCGCATTTCACTTTGCGCTGGCGACAAGCTTCGCACATTAGCCGGACCCGTGGCGCAGACGGCCGAGAGTGGGGAGAGTGGGTTGTTGTCCCCGCGGGATCAGCCATTGATTCCCGATATTGCTACTGAATGACATGCAACAGTATGGTTTGTAGAGTCTGGTGAGACTAATACAATTGTTTGTCGCATGTACAAACCTGTCAAAGACGCAGTTGAGGCTCAATCCTGTTAAGATTCTGCTTTTGGCCCCCGCGAGATTGCCCCATAATGTTGAATGGCGTCGGCCAATCAGAGGCCGGGTTGATGTTTGTTTTTCCAGATCTGCGCGAAATCAGTTCGAGGTTATTCTTGACAGCCAATTAGTAAGTCACGTCAATCTTCCTAAGAGAAAATGAGGGAAAGAAGGAAGTATCTGTACCTCTGGGTGTGGGTAAGTAGGAAGGCACAGATAGCACATGACTGCGGAAGGAACAACTTTGATGCATCAGCATCTAATTTCCACCTTGAAGAAAACTATCGGTGGCGTTTAGATGGATCCAAGAGATCGAACAAAAGTCTTGGAAGATCGAAGAGCTCCACTAGGCCACCTGATTGCCGGTGTTCCATTTCGAGACTATGACATCCAAGCTCATCGGGGTTTGCATTGTCTCTGAGACATGGTCTGCAGATCATCAACATCGATGCGTATTGTGACTATTGCCCAGAAAGGCGCAAAAACGATCCAATAGTCTAAACATTGCACCCAAGCGTACTCATAACTATCAAGTTTTGGTTGTCAGGTGCACCTCCAGCGGACCCTCATCATTTTGCCCAAACAATTGGACCACCAACCCCTGAAAATCATCGTTACAGGCCCACAGAGATGGAAGAACCTCTCGACCAAAATCTGCACATCGACGTTGAAAGCAGAGTAGCAGACTATTGAAGTAGGCTAGTTCTCAATCATCCCCATTCAATTCAGGCTGCGTTCAACGAATACATCTGTGATCACTCAACAGTGGTCGCAGAAACCGAGTGCCTGAGAGTTTAAGAGAACCTATGGCCACTGAGTTTTTGCAATTGACCCCAAACCTAAGCACCGTTCATATGCGACTCAGGCTATTCTATCGCATACAACAACCTCAAAAAATACTACTTTGGCCTTGAGCGACAACGCACGGCCTCTTACCCCTGACGCCGTTGCTTCACATAACCCAATGTCCCACTGAGGGGAACGCTTTCCCAAACTCTGGAGTGCGGATGAACTACGGAGTACAACCGCGACGTTCGCTTCGAGTGATGATCGTCTCAGTATGGGTCCCCCGCCCGAACGCTTGATTTTTACTAGCAAGTCGACCCCGGGTCAATGCCATTGTTGAGGCGGATAACGAGTGTAACTTCGTACTCGGTACCGATCTAGGCTGCCGCGGAGATGTTATCCTCAAGTCAGCTGTGGATGGATAGTAGATTGTTCGAATCGGGGCCGGAATTGTCTAGACTAGTGGCGATGTTCTTCATTATTCTGGATACTAGCGTGCACGGTTTCGCGCGCACCGTGCCCGCGGCAATTTTTTCGGTACCGGGGTATCGGGGTAGCAACCGTGGCATACATAATTGAAATCAGCGCTTGATTATTGATCTTCGGGTCTTCGACAGGCGAAGCTTTCGGGGGAATTACTGAGTTGTGACTAGAGCAGAAAGTATGCGTACGGGACAACTATTCCGCGGCTTACTGTGTATGAGAATATTCCCGAATTAGCCGGAAATTGGGTTTAGCCTCCATAGTCGTGCAGGGGTGGCAATGGGCTCTGAAGCCTCTGATGCTTACTGCGTAGAACCGCAGGATCAATACAGTGCAGGATTCCTTTTCCTCCACTTGTGTGAGTGTCACTGTCATGACTTGGGATTCATGGAGGGCTATTTGAGACTATTGATTTGAAATTGACAGTCAGCCTGACAGCACCATTGAACCAAGGATCAAGAGAGATTTTGTGGGTAACCGAACTCGGCTCGGCTAACCAGGTCAGGGCCTAATGGCCTATGGAACAGGACTGGACCGCTTAGGTCGGGTTCGGGACAGTTGCTGTACTGTACGGAGTAGGAGTAATGAATGCAATTTATCCCTCAAACAACCACCAGATCTCCTATCCATTTTGCCCTATTTTGCACGAACCAGGAGGCGTTCCTAATGCCTCGCGTTCTCCTCTTGGTGCGATTTGAACACTTATCCTTGACAACTGCCGAAAAGAGTGGATCGGTGGATACTAGTCCAACTAGTGCACTTCGCTGGTAAATTTTGCCAGTCCAATCGTAGTGAGAGACAATGTTTAATGATCCTGGGATTGGGATCGCTAGTATGATGCGCGATGTTACGTGGATAGCAGGGTTAACCATGTGCGCCAGTTATCCACACCCGAGAATTGTTCTCACGTTCTGGAATACATGCATAGATAGCATAGAACCATAGGTGATATTTGGTTGTACTGCAAATATTGAATATTAGTGATAAGATTCAGTTAGCCAAGCATCTGAAAGGGGGAGAGAGTTTCCTAACTTAGGCTAACACAGACAAACTACTGTGTAGGGTACCATGGATCGAAGGCATAGAATAAGATTTTAATTGGAATTGAGTTAGATGCCTGAGCTGAGAGGCTGAGACCCTAATAACGGACATACTTCGGCTTATGCATTCCATTTTTTTTCTCATATTTGCCTTTCAGATATCTTTTACCATCCTCCATACCTACGCTGCACACACTAGACATATTGTAGCCATTGATTAAGTGACAGTGCTCCATAAGAGAAACACACCGAGTACCTACTGTGAATCCAAATCGGTGACCCCAACTTCGAGGACCAAGGCACAGACGGTGGACATCGTCTGAGAGTGGACAAGAAGACAAGAACGGGGCCCGCTAACAGATGGTGGCTTGACTACCAAGTCGACGGGACAAAGAAACCTTGCCAAAGCAAATACTTCGTGGTGCAATCACACACTCTGTAATATTAGTCCTAAGTAACTCGGTTTTACCTCCGTAGCCCCGATGGGCTGAACGCCCGCGGTGATCTTCAACTCGGGCAATGAGGCGCCACATCCACTGTCTCCTTGGCTTTTCTTCCTCATCTCATTTCCTAGTCCCCTTTCACTCTTCTAGATTAAGAAGCGGGCCATCCCCACGATCGTTGTGATCCCCGTGCTCCAGCTTTCGAGCACTGACAAACCAGCGCCCTATCTACGACCCATTGGACTCTTAGAGTGACGGTGTGGTCTTTTGGCTCCTAATTTCTTGCATCGCGTATATCCAGCCGACAGTCTTTACACACACATTGGCATTTCACTCATTTATATACGCCTTGATGACACGATGACTACATTATCAACAACACGCGGCAAACAAGCCCTCGCCGTCAGCATCGTATTCACGACTCTAGCAACATTCATTACTGCCGTTCGTATATTCACACGAGCATTTCTCGTGAAGCAAATGGGAGCAGATGACTATGTCATCCTCGTCTCTCTAGCCTTCTCATGGGCTTTCTTCGGTCTGCTCGTCGGCGAAGTATACCACGGCATGGGCGAGCATTACGCCGTTATTCCTGCTGCAATCTACAAAACCCAGATGATCGTACGTGTTGAATATCACCCCGGGAAGCCCTTCAACCAGCCCAGCCCTAACATGACATCCTATGCAGTGCTTCTGGGCCTCAGTTCCCATCTACCAAACAAGCCTCATCAGCACAAAGATGTCAATCCTTCTCCAATACAAACGAGTCTTCTCCATGCCCCACATGCGTCTCGCATGTTGGCTCCTCATCGGATTCCTAGGCGCCTACGGTTCCTGGACCATCGCCAGTGCCTGGGCCAATTGTGTTCCTCTCGCCAAGTTCTGGGATCCGTCCATCCCGGGCTTCTGTTTCGATAAAAAGGCCCTGTGGTTCTCGAACTCGGCCATTCACATCCTCACCGATATCCTCATCTTGATATACCCCATGCCTGTCCTGAAATCACTGCAATTGCCAAAGAAGCAGAAATTCGCTCTCATGGCAGTCTTCGCCCTGGGTGGATTGTAAGTTTGCCATGACCCCAACCTACCCTTTCCCCAAGCACATATATGTACAATACTAACAATCCGCCTTTTCAGTGTCCTGATCACGAGTGTCCTTCGTCTTCAATCGCTCCTTGTAATCTCCAATTCAGATGATCCAACCTGTACGTTCCCCACTATAATCCACTCCCCTCACCAGAACCCAATTCTAACAATTTCCCCCAAGACGATAACGTCGGCGCAGCAGCCTGGTCCGCCGTCGAATGCAACGTAGCAATCATCTGCGCCTGTCTCCCCGGCACACGCGCCTTCCTCTCCAAACTCCTCCCCCACATCTTCTCCACCCGCAGCAACGGCTACCGCAGCAGGACAACCCGGCCCTCACACATGGGTCGCAGCGCCCTAACCGGCAACGGCAATTCGCAAGTGATGGCTTCCATCGTCGGCGGACACAACCGCAGCCAGTATGATCATGATCTGGATGACCTGTCGCCGTCCGGCTCGTTCAATAGCTACACCAAGGAGCCTATGAAAGACTCCTTCACTGGCATTAAGGTTACGACCAACGTTACGCTGGAGAGTACTGCGCATCCGCGCACTATTGCTAATGATGAGGTGGGGAGTACGAGGGAGTTGGTGAGGAAGACGAGCTTTTGAGCTTTTATGATTTGGGATTTTGGGTAATGGCTTCATTCTTTATACATATTTTTCTTTTTTTTTTCTATTCGATTATGGCGGTTTTTCGTTTTGGTCTTGTATACTAATGGTTTCTTTTGTGAATGTTTCCAATATGCCGTGACCTGGCGATGATATATACCCAATTGGAACATGTTAGAGGTTTTGTCTTTGGCGATATCCATTCCCAAGATAGGTCGTCTTCCAAAAGTTTTGTTATGTAGGCAGGCCTTGCCAATTGAATTAGGGCTTTGCCATAGGTCCTCGAAGGCATGCATCTATGAATTCCGGATACGTGAGCTGTAGGATACATGAGCTACCTATGGATATGATATTATGATTGATTCATGATAAGTATACATCTCCCCAGCAAACAGAACGAGCTGATCTTTCAGCATGCATGAGACCCGCCCATCTACGTTGCAACAAATCAGATAATCAAGGTCTCGTGATAAGAAAAGGATGCAGAAAGATTAAAATGAAAGAGGCATCAAGGCAAGGATCTGAAAAGGCTGAACACCATATGTGCAAATTGCGACTATGCGTACAGTATACAAGGCGCAGATGTCATCACTTGTGCAAATCCCAGAAAAGACAAGATGCCCGTGTATTGCAATACAGTCACCTACTCCCAAACATTGGAGAAAAGGTCATCGGATCCTCCGAACCCACCGGAGGACTTGTTAGTCGAGGCGGGGTTGGAGACCGGGGCGGCGCTAGCCCAGCCACCAAAGTCCTCATCTGCTGCCACAGTGGGTGCGGGCTTGGAAGAAGAGCTGGGCGCGCCCCAGCCATTGCCCACGTCATTCGGGGTCAAGGTGTCAGGAACCTTCATCATAGACGCCGTGGAGGGTGCGGGATCAGTCGAAGGTGCAGCATCAGGTGTGCTCCATGCGTTACCTCCCCATGGATCAAGGCTTCCAGACATCATGCTGGCTGCCGCCGCGGTCGCAGCACTGGGGGCTGGCGCTTTAGGAGGGGCAGGAGGCTGCATTGGGGGAGCAGAAATATTGAACGCAGACCTGATTTCTTGTTGCGGAGAAGTTGCGGCAGATTTAGGTGGCGAAACCGCGGATGTAGATGTTGGAGCAGGCGAAGAAAGCCCGAACAAGTCATTTGATAGGGATGTTGAGGGAGGGTTAGGCTTGGCAGTCGGGGATGTGAATCCACCAAACCCGAAATCTTGGCTGTTCGAGGAGATGGACGTTGTCCGGGACTGAGGCTTCGGGGCGGACAATGTAGGGGAAGCAAAGCTGTCGAAGAAATCGCCGCCCGAAGATCCAGAGGGCGATGTGACTTTCGGGGCAGCAGGACTCGACTTGGCGGCACCAAAAGATGAGAGATTGGAGAATGCCGATGGCTTATCAGCTGGTTTGGCAGGCGGGGGAGAAGTGGCTGTTGGGAAGCTCAGTCCACTGAAGGCGTCTGTTAGACCACCCATGTTAGAAGAAGTGGAGGCCGGAGGCGAGCCCATAGCACCGAAGGAGTTGCCGCGCTGGTGCTGCGCGGGTGGTGCTGGCTGCGGCTTAGAGTACAGGGACAAGATTGATTGTTTGAGGTCTGGCCGGGACATCCCGGCCGGTGTTGCGGGAGTGGATGCTGTGCTATTCGCGTTACTACCAGTGGAGGGCTGTGCGCTACCGAAGAAGTCGAGACCCAGCAATGAATCATTGGGCTTGTGAGACTTGACTGGCGCGGGCTGTGACTGCCTAGGAGGCGCACGCGGAGCGGGGTCGGTCGTGCTGGGGCGAACCGGAGGAGAGATATCGTCGCCGAACAGGTCAATCGAGGCTTGTTGACGGTGTACTGGGGGCTGGCTTGGGGCGGGGACCGGTTGAGAAGTTGATCGCTCAACCTTTGCTTTCTCCTGTACAACCGCAAGAGGCTGGTAGGTCAGTGATTGCTGCTCACCGGCTGGTTCGACACGCGCGGCCACTCACCACATCGTCATCTCCATCATCCAAGGTTGAAGGGTCCGGCATTTCACCGTCCATCACCCATCGCTTGCTCTCGTATTTGGTTCGAATAAAGTTCTCAATCTTCCTGTTCGCTCAAAATGTCAGATACTATGACCATCGATTCTGCGCCATTCGAGAGCACCTACGCATCTGATGGAACGTGGCCGGGTGCCAATTTCGCTTCCCAGTATCTGCTTCCCATTAGCCCTCGCCCGACGTGGACAGTCAATTGAGCAGAACTGACTTGTTGGCTCTTCCATTGCCCCATCTCACCACACTCTGAAGTTGTTCATCGGTCCACGCATCAAGATCAACAGACTTGACTCGACTGATATGTGTGCCCATACCCCTGTGAATGCCTGAGCATCGAATGCAGACGAACACACCCAGATTCCAAGAAGCCCATCGCGGGTCTGTTCAGAATATAAATCAGTACATGAGCAACAACAAAGTCACATGGAGATGAAGCCAGCGTGGACGCAAGTACAAAGGAGGGGTTGCTCACGCTTGTTCCGTTTACAGTCGGCACATATCTTGTTGTGCTCAAGTTTCAACAGAGCCTTGATAGTCTGTGAATTCTGGGCAGCTTGGCCCGGAGTAGGACGCCGAGACATGATAGCAGCGACTTAGGGATCGATGGTGGAATGGTAAAGGAAACAATGAAGCAACCTAATTATTCTGAGGTGGCGGTCGGAGCAATCGCGGCCTAAGGCGGCAGTGTTGATACGGATAGGGGATGACGCCACTAACGCAGTTTGATAAAGTGAAGTTCAGTTTGTTGGCCGAAACAGTAGATCTTCAGTCTTGATTGTGCTACTTGCTGACTTGAATTTCACCGAGAATGGAAACGATATTTATAGGTGGTTTGGTCCACTACCAATGATCCTCTTACTTCTTATGCACCTCGCGTCGCGCCTTTCTGCAGCCTTATCCCCCGCAAAATATGGAAACTGAACCTGATAACACGGGAAATCACCTAAGCTTTCGCCTTCGGATCCTTCGCAGCACTAGCATCTTCTGTGAACCGCAGACTAACACTGTTCACACAATGGCGCTCATCTGTAGGTGTAGGATACCCCTCACCCTCAAACACATGGCCTAGATGGCCCCCGCAGTTGGTGCAAACAATCTCCGTCCGCTTCATGCCGAATGAGCTGTCGACATGTCTGGTCACAGCACCTGGAATAGAGTCAAAGTATGCTGGCCATCCACAGCCGGACTTGAACTTTTGGTCGGCGGTGTAAAGCGGCGCATTGCAACCTGCACAGTTATAGACGCCTTTTGATGGGTAGTGGGAATCGTATTCGCCAGTGTGGGGGCGCTCGGTACCCTTCTCACGGAGGATGCGGAATTGCTCTATAGGCATATAGATTAGTACATAGAATTGATGGACAGACTCGATGTATACGGACCTGGACTCAAAACAGCTCTCCACTGATCTTCGCTTCTCTGGTCCGGGTGCGACATGGCTTCGTTCGGTTCCTCAGGTTTACGGTTGGAGCTGAAAAAGGCGCCGAGAAATGGAATGGTAGGTGCAGCTCTAAGAGCTTTCGTGCTTGCTTTTGTGTGGGGTGGTTTCCACGGGCGCCCTGATAGTAACCGAGAGGAGCAAGATGTCGGCGCAAACTGGACAGGTATGGTTCGATGGCAGAGAGGCGAGATAAGTTTACGGGAGAATTGGGATCGCATGAAGAAAGTCTTTTAGTTTCTGGCGACAAGGATGGTCAAATATACTTTGTAAGCGAGGAAAAGGTAAGCAAATGAAGAGACGGGATCATGAGACTAATGAGAGTGGGGTGAGGCTGTGAAGCTAATCCCGACTGCCCGAACTCAGCACCATTACGTCACCATGCGGGGAGTCGGGACCCGATCACCGGGGCCAGTATGCGCGAGGTCTAGGCTTGAACGCTCAACGGCCACCTTCTCAACCATGATATGTCCGTACGAAGAGTAGCCATATTATTCATACATATAGGTAATTGATAGCCTATAATTCCAGAGCTGGCAAGGCTAGCGCAAGAAAGAAATGTATATACAAATGTTCTACCTGAGTAAACTCCAACAATGCAAGGAAGGGTATCTCAACAATAGACTCGCTCAAGATGGTAGGCTCAAATGAGATCAGAAATCAGATCTGAGTTGGCAGAGAATGATGACAGATTCGCAAAAAATAGAAACTTAGCGTGCCCCAGCCATGTCATGGCCAACCTAATGGACCAACGCCCCGAAGGTCAGCGGCCATGAAGATGTCGCCCATATGGCGCAGTTCAGCTATGGATAGGTGACTCTCCTAGCGCCGGTTGACCCCGGTCACGAGCATAGAACCTCTGTTTAGTTCCACACGCCACCCCTCCTTCTGTAGCATGTTCCACACGGCGGGTCCAATGTGCGACTTGCGGTCTTGCGAGTGAAGGCCAACGCCGCAGATAATATTGAATCCACCGTGGGAGTGCTGCCCCCCACCACGGACATGCTTCTGATCGCCCAGTCCATCCCACCAGGCCTGGACCCTTTCACGGGCGATTCTGACCGCGTTAGCCACGCTCACGCCGTGGAGATCCAAGCTGTCCGGCGATGACTGCCGTGCCACCAACTGGTCAGACGCGGCCGCCAAATGCCGCATTGCCAGTTGGCGTTCCTTGTTGCTGACTTCCCTATAGTAAGCGGCGGCACCGCCGTACAAAGGGTTTGATCGGGCGCGGCGGGCAGACTGGGAGGCTTGGGCGAGGGCGGCTGAGCGAGCTGCAAAGTGAGAGCTCGCCGCAGCAGCGGAGTCCTCAAGGTTCATGTATCCTGAGGAGCTCTCGGACTGGTGGACAGGCGGGATTTCCTCATCTTCTTCGTCGATATTGACGGGAGCGGTCACAAAGGTGATGATTTCTGACGGCGAAGTGAGAGCTGGTCGACTTTCCAGCTTCTCAGCTAACTCGCTAATAGCCGTCACTTCACCGTTTGTAATGTGGATGAGGCCAGCCAGAGTTGTGGGATGAATGCCAGGGAAGTGATGTCCAATTTCGCCGACTTGGGTGAGGAGCCGAGGATCATCCTCGATCTCCTCAATATCCTTTGGCGCATGGGCCTGTGCCAAGGTCCTGATTGTCGCACCAATTGACATGGAGTTGGCATGATAGGCTGAAGCGATCTTCTCCCTCTGTAGAGAGGAGGCACGTGAGGAGAGAAAATCGATATCTTTGTTCCCGGCCTCCCATTTGTTGGTGGCGATGGTATTGGAGGTTTGCAAGGACATCTGAGCCTTACGTTGCTGCTGTTGTTTCTTCTTTCGCGACTTCTTACCGCCGCCGTTCTGGTTCTCGTCCGCGTGAAAGCCATCAACTGATTTGGGGATCGAGGAACCACGGGCTTTCACCTCTTCAGGGGTTTCTTGGGGAGCATCCCCAGCAAGTTGCGTCTCCTCAATGAAGGCAAGATTGAGGAGAACGTCCATAGCACGGCCGAGGTTGTCATGGCAGTTCTCAAGGATGCGCTCAGCTTCCAGGCGAGTAATCGTTGGAAACATGCTAATCAATTTCTGCGCTTTCTCAGCAGTAGTCATACCCTGAAAGGTGTAGGCAGGCTTTGATCCTTTGAGGTCGGCATTGGCCTGGTCGAGATGTTCAATCGATGTCCAGCTTGTGATGTCTGATAGTGGTGCATCAGCTGACGGCTCGCCAGTGCTAGAGTCTGCAGCTTCTGAGGTCCGAAGAGTTGTGGTGCCCGTAGGATCAAACGGTAGATCCTCTTGTTCGACTGCAGAAGCTGCCAGCACATCCAGCGTCTCACGCAACTGAGCTACTTCATTGGGCTTAGCCAGGTTGTAGTCGGAAATGATTGCGGCAAACAGAGCGGGGTCAATTGTCGGGCAGTACATGCCCTCCAGCTTCTAATAGCGGACGACTGTCAGTTTGGGAAATGGCAAGCTGCAAAGCAACCAGATAGGCATATGCTGTGTGTGCCTTGGTGGTGCTACACGTGCCTTGAAGAGCTCATCATCATGGTTCCCCATGATTATAAATACGAATGTGGCGCACAGTGGTTGAAAGTAGGTGTTTCATCCCCTGCGCGAAAGTGTGGGGTGAGGTTGAAGGTAGCTGCCCAAGGACCAAGGCGCGGTGTCGGATGCGCGGAGAGAAGTTTTGGCGGGATTATGAGGAAGATTTGGTGGTATTTAAAGTCGTGTGAGTAGGAATATTAAAAGACTTGCTTAATAATAAAGAATCCTTTGTGGAATGATGAAGAGCAGGGATGGTTGAGTGGAGTAAGAGAAGATGAAGATTGAAGAAGTGGCTTTTTTCTGCGATGAGGATCTAAGATCGGTATTGTGCGATAAGATAACAATTAAGATTGATCGCAGGGCACCAATCAAAGGCATCAGAACATGTCACGTGAGACTGAAGTTTTGGTGGGGTAACGGAAGCTTGGAAATCGCACGTGCATGTCTGTGTTACATATTGCATTTGCTGTGACGTCAGAAACGTGTGGCTCTGTCCACAAGCACGCAGGAGGGTAAACAAATGCATTTTGAACTGGCAACTGGCCTGGTTGTATCTATACAACAAGCTGCTTTTCAGTGGCTACTAGTACCCAGTAGCAAAGTTGAGATGATTTGAATCTGGGATTTATGCAGCATTCAAGGTTGATTTAAACAATCCGGTTCCGAGGTTAGGATATCAGTGGCCGTGGATACAAAACTCAAATACGACAAGCCATGTCCACCGGTACTAATGTACACAGATGAGAATTTCACATAGCTTTGAAACAAGAACAAATTGAAGCAGTGCACTAGCGAAGCCATAATGTATTCGTGTGAGGATCTTAAGCGCTAAAGAAGTTCAAAAACATGCAGACGAGGTATACGACCAGAGTGTACCAAAAGAGACACAGAAAGGAAAACCCCGGACGCTATGCGAAGAGAGAATTTAGGATGTGTGCCCAAGCAGGATGCCTATCCCGAGTATGTTGCAATGCTCGGTATGTGATGACCATCATACCAAGCTCAACAGATGCCGGAATCGAAAAATAAATCCCATAGGAATGGCCCAAGCCACGGTCCCGCTTCTCAGGTGATGTTAAAGCCAATGAGCAATGAAGGCGTAAGAATACGAGCCGGCCTCGGAAATTGATACACGGGAAATTATGGAAGACATTTGAACTAACCCAGGTAATGCAAGAGAATGGGAGAACGCGGCTTGACTGTACATGTTCAAAGAACATCCAGAACCGAGAAAAAGCATGGGTATTTCCGTGCGCTGAAATCGAGAAAGCGGATTTGCGGGAAGAGAAAGGGAATGGGAGAGAAGTGAGGACGCCAGCCCCAGGTTCACCACATGTCATCGTCATCGTCATCGTCAAGTTGGACGTCGTGGCCAAAGGACGAGTGTCCATATTGGTAATGCTCTGGGCCATAAAGTTGGCCATTGTCATAGCCGTGCGTGTCGCCCCTCGAATGGCCGCCGTAGCGATCATGCGGATCGTCGTCATAGTCATACATGGAAGGATCGTCGTAGGAACTATCGCCGTAGTGCTGTTGCTCCTGGGACTTGATGGACCGTTAGTACTTTGTTTCCCCCCATGACGGAACGAGGTCACGAGTATAATCGTCACTTACGTCTTGATAGCGCTGATATTGCAAATATTCCTCTGGCTGGTCCCGAGATTTTGATGACCTCTGGGATGATGCAGATGGAGCAGCTGGGGTCTGCGGGTGCATCTGTTGCACTTTGGCCAAATATGAGTACATGAAGTTACTTAGTAGTACCTGGGAGTATAGCGCTCGCCGAGGATTAGCAAGCTTCATATGCGCCAGACGGTAGATAGCTCTCTCCTCCATGATCGAGAAGCGCGTCCAGGGATAGTCGACGTCGGCGCGAAGTACTCGCATTGGTGGATCGAGAGAAAGATTTCTAGAAGAGTGTTTTCGGTGATGGCCTTCACCACCGTGTTTTTTCCGGCCGCCGCCAAAGATTGATGAGAATATGCCATCCTTCTCCTTCTTTGAATCACCGGATGTTCTCCTGACGCTGTCTTTCCGACGTTCCTCTTCTAGCTTCGGATCAAGGCGATCTAAGACAAGGCTTTCGCGACCCCGCGGAGTGCTATCGATGGATGACTGTAGTACATCCAGGCGTGTGCTATCATGGGCTTTGTCGACTGTCTTCGACTTGGTCCTTTTAGAGTCACTGTCTTTTTCCTTGTCCCTCTTCTTGTCTCTTTCTTCGCTGCCTAGCAACCAATGCCAGCTAGACTTGCGGCCTTCGGAGTCCTTTTTGTCTTTCGACCTCTTGCTCTCGGGTTTCCGTTCCTCGGACTTGCGTTCTTCAGGGATCGTAGGAATGAACGAAAGGCTGTCAGTGCGAGTATTATTGCCAGGTACCAACTCAGGATTGTTAGCAAAATCATTTAATGATGATGCAGGTTCGTGAGCAGGCTGGCGGGGCATTTTGGGCCGCTTTGGTGCTGGATCATGCGAGGATGAAGATTTCGGCGGAGGTGTAGATGTAGCATTACGATCCGATGACCAGCCATTCTGCGAAGGCGGGCTTGGTATGCGGTTGTGCTCAGTAGCGGGGGGCGTTTCAATGATTGCGGGAATCTTTTGGTCGGCCGGGGCGATGTTCAACGTAGATCTACCATTTGAACTGATCCGCGAATGCCATTGTCGCGCATGTACCGCGTCTCCCGCATCGGCCTGACCCTGAGCGCCATCCGGGTGCCCACCAGAGGTAGGCAACACTTCTTGCTCAGCCTCAGGTTGATCAATAATCGACTCAAATGTCAAATTTGGGATGGAACCCGGGGGACCTGAGCTATGTGTCGAGGCAGAGGCAGAGGCGGCCCGGCCCGCTCGGGTGGCTTTGGGAGTAGGATCAGTCGAGACACGAGTGAGTCCCAGAATAGCTGAATCGGGAGGAGTAACAACCGGAAGCTTTGGATCACTCCCGGCAGATTCAGATTGCCCACGTCCCACCCGTTTTGAATATGGCAATTTCTCCCCTTTCTTCAAGCTGCCGGCTTTCTTATATTGTGTTCGTGTTGACCGACGAAGGCTGTTTCCGGGAGGCGCGGGAGGCAGAATCGGCTTGTCGTCATTTCCTGCGATGCCAACATTCTGCATGCTACGTACGAGTGGGTCAATGTCCCGCTGTTTCGAATCGTCCACCAAGGTTTCCAACTGTTGCAGGTTTGGACTCAACATGCCATCTCGTTTGCTTGACTGGGAGCGTTGACGTTCCAGCCGATCCGCGCCATCTGTATAACTTGAAGAACTGTCGATTTGTCTTGATAACATGGACCGCTTGCGATTAAGACCACCTGCCGACCCTGGACGTTCGGGCCCCAAAGTTGAATAATCCGCGGACCTACGCTTGATTTGGTCGGCTTTGCTATCGAGAAACGACTTGAACTCCTTCGGTGCTAGTTCGGGGTGCAGTCGCGCAGGAACCCAGAATAGCCGTGAGCTGTCATTTTCGTCGGTTGAGGGGGGGGGGGTGGGGAGAAGCCTGGGAGATCAGGATCACCGGCGGCTGCCACATCCATGGACATGCGCCGAATCGCGGCGAGGTTGTTCAGCTCCTGGGCAACGGCGGCGGGGTTGGATTCATAGTCGACGTTATTGATAGGAAAGGAGGAGGTCGCAGTCTCCGATGGCGAACGAGTGCCATCGGCAAGCCCGGAATCGCTCTCGCGGTCGAAAGAGCGGTTCCCAACCATCGGCGGCCTTCGGTTCCCATTGTTCGATATCGTGTGTCCATCCAACGAAGATTGATGCAGTGGCGAGGACGGCGAAAGAGACGACTCGGATCCTGCGGCGGCCCGCGGGATGGTTGTTATTGATTCGCCCAGTGGTGAGGTTATATAGCTAAGGCGTCTCGGATCATTACGATCGTAGTCGTCGTCGTACATATGCCCGATGGCTTCCGTCACATGGTGGCTTGGATCGCTAATCGACAGATGGGGGGCATGACCTCTCCGCGTCGCGTGCCCGCCATCCTCGTAGGGACTCGTGGAAGTCTGTACAGGTGAGAAAAATCGTTAGAATCAGGAGTGCGATATCTTCGAGTCCAGGTCTTGTTTCGATCAAAGTATGGGGAAAGGTCCAATCTCAAGAGAGAACGGCTGTGCCTGAGGGGTTCGGGGTTCAAGAGGGGATTCAACCGCAAAAGCATGCCCACACGCCGGAAGAAGGGAAAGAGCGCGACGCACCTGCATGGAAATCCACGTGTACGAAAATCGAAGGCGTCAAAGACGGAGCCCAAAGGGCGGAAGCTTAAAAGGAGGGTCTCAATGTACCACCTTAGATAGCGAAGAGGAACAGTGCATCGAAGCGGGGGAGGAGCGAAAAAAACAAAGGCGTAGCAGTGTAACGACTAGACATTCGGGCACTACCGAGTCCGAATGAGCGTCATGGGGTGGGGAATCTGGGAGAAGAGAAAGAGAATAGAGGAATGAAGGTGGGAGCGGGCGGAGAGCAGAGAGGGAGAGTGCTGACCTCCGCAGCACCTGACATATTAAACCTCTTTCAAGTGACTTGTATTATATCAAGTGTTTAGCCGTTTTCTTTCCTGCATTAGGGTCATTTAGGCCTTTTTAACTCTTATTTCATTGATACTGTCTCCACTTAACCGGGGGATGATTCATGGGGATGATCGGGGTTGGCGAGATCTACACTTTAGATGTCTTCTCTTCTTCCTGATCCTTCTGCCTTCAATTGCTTCAGTGATACGGAGTACCACGCTTTGGTTCGGATCCTAACCTCGGGTTCACAAAAAGTACCGCCTACCTCTCAGGCGAGCTGACTCGTAATATATTTCCTCGATCCGTGACACCGCATCCATGCACCTCAAGGGCTGAATGAACCTCGTCCCTCGTACTGAATACATGCACAGTTGACAGAGGTTCAAAGGCCTGAATATCCATGAGAAAGTCACAAAGAACCCGGGAAAGGAATATTTGCTGGTACACACTCGCTTGGCATGCTTTCATCTCTGGGTCTTTTGAGGACACAGATGAATCAAAATGGCTTGAAGATCTTTCCACCGCGCTTGGTGTTCTCTACGGCCCTGCGATTCCAGCCTAGGGGTGTTGTGTGACTCGATTCAATCGCCCCCGGCTCTCCGGGGTCCGAAACTAATGGGTGATATGCCGCGCACCTCAGAAGTATGCAAGTGCTCGTCCGATTCATCGATGACAAGAGAAGACCAGGCCTGGGGCCATACGACAAGGCCGTGGAGCCATTGTGATCATGCAGTCTTGAGGCATGTTTACTTCTTGCAGGTTGACTTCACTACTTTGTCCCCGTAAATGGGCTCTTCTGCCTCAGGGACCTAAGACATTACGACAAACATCATCAGAAAGGCCTCAGTATTTTACCGCGAAAGAGAGACTTATAGCCGAGGCCCGTGAGAAGCATCTGAGCGGGTCTCATCTATATATGATCCTGGCAATTTCAGCAGTATGCTTGGACTATTTATAGAAAGCATGCTAGTTTTTGGCTCTTCTCAGAGTCGGTTTCGAGGCAAACAGTCACATCATCGTGATGGTCCCAGAAACTTGCCTGGAAGGCCAGAATGACTCCAAGTTATCAAAGTCCAGATATTGAGACGAAGCTGGAAAATGGATTCAACCTATTGGAGTAAAGACAAGCTTAAAGGTGACTCAGAACTTAGTAGAGACTCTAGAGAGGTAATCGAAATCAGATGGGAGAATGCACCGCATCAAATTGAAAAAGATTGAACACAACAATACCCTCAAGCCCTCGCAACGAGAAGAAGATCTGGAAACGAGAAACTCCACGCTGAAGAATGTGAATAGCAACAACGGATTGATATAAAAATGAAAAGAAGAGAGGAGCTTGGCGGAAACCGCATACGCCAGGATATAGGTAGGACATGATTTGGAGGTATCGTATGTTCATCAAGCCCCGGAAAAATGTGCATCAAGAGGGTCATCACGGTGTGTGCTGCATAGACAGCATTGAACAGACACAAGTCTAAGAGGCTTCAACGTAGTTGCTACAATCGGGGTTAGCCGCTATTTCCGAAAAAGCGAAGAATATATGCATACCTCGGGAAGATGCCCACACGATCGCCAATGCGACCAGTCCACCAATCTTCCGCCTTCTCGGTCCGCTTTATGATGGTAATGATTTCGCCCTTTTTGAATCCGAGGTCGCCCTCCTGATCCGCATCAAATGTGTAAAGGGCAATGGCCTGATCTGACCGCAGCTGGGCTGCACCTGTCTTTTGTTGGAAAACCGGCTTAGGGGCAGTTGGACGGGTTGGTCGACGATCAGAATACACATAGTCTTCCTCGAATGGCGCGGTGTTGCTGCGGCTACGCCCATAGCCATCCCATGAATCAGCAGGGGATTGGCTTGAGGCCGAACGACTACCCCCGGCAGGCCGATCGTAAACATCATCGGCCCATGTGTTCGCACGGCGCGGCTTATCGCGGTATTCGTAGCTATTATCGTGGGTATTGGCTCGGCTCCGCTGCTGACCTTGGCCGTACGCATCGCCCCTCCGTCCCTCCCAAACAACGTCGTCGTGGCTGTCGTCATAGACAGGAATGTCGTTGTACATAGAGTCACCGTATGCCCGTGCATTACCTTGGAAGGCCCGGGAATTGAGCACACGCATCAGAGCATCGGCGGCCGGTGGTGGGCGAATGCTGCCGGTGAGAAGCTGGCTTGCGGAGACGCGATTGCGGTAGAGTTTCTCATTGGCGTCCTTGCGTTCCACGAGCATACTGCCTTCCAAACTCACGCCGGCGAAAAGACCCTTAGTTTTGGAGTATGAGAAAACAGCAGCGACACCCTTCGTACTCGCAGCGCCAGCCGCCTCGGCATTTCGACCGACCGGTCCAGCAGCGAGCGATACGTTGCCACCCAGAGTCAATGTCCCGACCTGTGAGAATGTGCGAACAGCAGCGGCGTCGTTGAGGATGAAAACGAAGTCGGTCAGCTCGAATCCGATCTGTCCTCCAATACCGGCACCTGCAGTCGCAATGGCTGATGGGGCTGACCAGGAACCATCGGCAAGACGAGCGACGACGATACCAGATCCAAACCGACCGGAGCCGAGGAATCCAGCCTTTAGGACCGTGAGGACCGCAAGACCCTAGAGAGCAAGCTGTGTTAATCATGGATATCTCATCGGCTCACAGGTATTTCTCCTACCTTTGCGCCAGCCAAAATCTCCGGAGGAATGACTTTGTCAGGCCCGAACGCTTGTCTGGGATCAACGAATGAAGTCAAGATCTTTGCGGCCTTCTTGCACTCGCCTGTTCAGAGAGCATTCACTGTTAGCCGGATATGCCGCACATGCGGGGAAGTCCCCTGAGATCGATATAACCTACTACTCATAGACGAGGGCAGCGGATTGTTGATCCCGAGAGGCATATTGGCGGTTATTGTCGAGGTGGGATGTACGGGACTCGACGTGAGGAATAGCAGAATGGGGAGAGAAATGAGGAGGCTGTTGATTCGGAGGTAAGGTTAGTCAGTGGGGTGTGGGCCCGATGACGGGACGCCGGTTCGTTAAGAGGCTCAAGATATCTCGCAGGGTCCGGGGTCCGAACTGGACTGATATGTAACTGGTTATTTCGTAGTTGAATTGAAGAACACTGGAAGTCATGAATACTGAATACTCTACACCCAGGAATATTCAAATCCTAGTCACGAGCTCATATGGTTTGGTGGCTCAAAGTGGCGCAGCGACGCGAATCTAGCTTGGCGACTTGAATCTCTACGGCTGACACGGAAGAGGAGAAGATGATAAGGCGAAATACACGTGTAGTATCCACTGAGGTGCTCCTAGAAAAGATGAAGATACATTGAAGATACATACCTAGGAATCGATACAGCAAGGTTGCCCGTACTCCGTAGATTATGTAGCTTCCCCACGTGTTGATGCCCCAGGCGCCAAAGCCTCTGTTATCGTATCGCGATTGTCTCGTCCGGAGTTGACCTCGGGAGCTTAGAACGATCCACCCCCATACAATCCTCCTTGACCCAATGATTATGGTCGGGTTATGATCAATCATTCGACCTGCTCAACGCGACAATGGCATTAGGTATGTGATCAATCTCTTAGCCCTTTCAAACATCACTGACAAGGCATTCCTCCAGTCCGCATTTGCGTCTGCGGCGACGAGGGCACTGGCAAGTCTAGCCTCATCACCTCGCTCGTCAAAGGTGTCTTCGTTACCAACAAAATACAGCCTGTCCTCCCTCAGATCCATATTCCTCCCACCCTCGGAACCCCCGAAAACGTCACAACCACCACCGTCGTTGATACCTCGGCCCTTCCCCAGGAACGAAACAATCTTGCGCGAGAGATCCGGAAATGCAATGTGATTCTCCTTGTATATTCCGACCACTACAGCTATGAAAGAGTCGCCCTATTCTGGTTGCCATATTTCCGCTCGTTGGGTGTCAATGTCCCGGTGGTCTTGTGCGCCAACAAGTCCGACTTGGCGACGGGTCACAGCGAGACCCGAGTGGTCGAGGAGGAGATGCTTCCCTTGATGACTGAGTTCAAGGAGATTGACTCTTGTATTCGCACCAGCGCTCGTGAGCACCGTAATGTCAACGAGGCCTTCTTTGTCTGCCAAAAGGCTGTCACGCACCCGATCGCACCGCTGTTCGATTCCAAGGAGGCCGCTTTGAAGCCTGCTGCAGTGGCGGCATTGCAAAGGATATTTTACCTCAGCGACAAAGATCGCGATGGGTATTTATCGGATAAGGAGCTCATGGATTTCCAAATCAGATGCTTTTCAAAGCCCTTGAATGAGGCGGATCTCAGTCATATCAAGGAGACCATTCAAAAAACCTACCCAGATTCAGTCACAGAGTCAGGCATTGATTGCCAAGGCTTTATCCACCTGAACAAACTGTATTCCGAGAAAGGACGTCATGAAACAGTCTGGATTATCTTGCGAGCGTTCCAATACACGGATAACCTGTCCCTGCAGGAGAAGTTCTTACATCCGAAGTTTGAAGTACCACCCTTCGCCTCTGCTGAATTATCGCCTGAAGGTTATCGCTTCTTTGTGAATCTGTTTCTTCTATCGGACAAGGATAACGACGGGGGCTTGAACGAGGCCGAGCTTGCATCTCTGTTCGCCCCTACCCCAGGGCTACCTGCATCCTGGGCCGACGGTTCGTTCCCGTCTTCAACAGTCCGTAACGAGGCTGGACACGTCACATTACAAGGCTGGCTCGCTCAATGGAGCATGACCACCTTCTTATCCCCGAAGACTACACTCGAGTACTTGGCTTACTTAGGCTTTGAGCCCTCCGACCCGCACCAATCTATTACTGCGGCGTTGAAGGTGACACAGCCGCGCAAGAGGCGTCGGCGCCCAGGGCGGGTGGGGCGCAATGTTGTTCAATGCCGTGTTTTGGGAGCGCCCGGATCCGGGAAATCCGCCTTGCTTGACGCACTTCTGTCCCGAGGATTTAGCACGACTTACCACCCAACCATTCAACCACGTACCGCAGTGAATACAGTTGAGCTCCCTGGCGGGAAGCAGTGCTATCTAATCCTTGATGAGCTAGGTGAACTGGAACCTGCTTTGCTGGAAAACCAGGCTAAGTTGCTGGATCAATGCGATGTGATTGCGTACACATATGATTCTTCAGACCCGGATTCATTTGCTTACATCCCGGCACTGTTGGCGAAATATCCCCATTTGGAGGAACTCCCCAGTGTGTTTATTGCCCTTAAGGCCGACCTGGATCGGACTACCCAGCGAGCAGAGTACCAGCCCCATGAATACACAGCCATGCGGAATATGCCCAGTCCGCCGCTCCATGTGAGTGTCACGTGGAGTTCGATTCAGGAAGTATTTGTGCATATCGCCGAGGCCGCCATGGAACCTAGCACTGCTTTCCCGCGCAGTGAGGAGGATGTGGAGGGTAAATGGATGTCGTGGGGAATTGCGCTCGGAGCGGTGGTTTGCGCAGGCGCTGCCGCAGTGATGATCTGGCGACGGGTCGGCGCTGGCAATTAGGGATTGAATGTTCTATACCATCTATATTTTAATGTTCGGATAAACAATGATGTTGATACCTCGATGAAATATTTCCAATACTGCATGTTTAGTGAAAGACCCGGCTGGCCCGGGAGCCGGAGTTAAGCCAGACCCAACCAGGCACGCGGTTTCTCTCCGCTCGCACGTTACCCCGGACATCATTCCCTTGCTGATCTTCCCCTCTCGTCTGGATTATCTTCTACCCTCCAGCCTCTGCCACCAAACCCGGCCATTGATTCAACTATACATTTCTTAGCATCGCGTACATATATACGACCAATCAGACTCGGCCTATCACACACCTTGACTCGCTGTCGCTTCTGCGGCCACTGCAGCCAGTCAACCAATCACTCCGGACATCAAAAGAGCTTCCGATATCCTCGATATATAAGAATCAAAGATCGGAGGTATATAATAGGCGCGTTCCAGATTTCGCGAAGGTTGCGCATTGCCTTATCGGTTCCAAGGTTGAGCTGCTGGTCACACAGATCTCAAACCAAGTCCAAATAGAGTCTGTACGAGTGACGTCTTGACTATGTTGTAAGGCTCTCCTCTTTCTTTAACTTCCCTCTGCTTTGAGCTCTGGACTCTCTCTTTCTTCATCAAAGCATCTCTCGCACATTTCATCACCACTTGCCTGAGAAGAAACGCACATCTCATACCATTGCTCGTTCACTTGCTGACACCACCACCAGTGTTCTTCCACCTCCCCCTCCACGCTACACCATCCCTGTCGCATACGCGGCGGGGGCGGCGAATGGTATGGCGGTTCCCGTTGTGGAAACGAATAACACTGTAACTCACCCAGAGGGTGGTTGTCCATTGCAAGTTGGCGAGGGTATGTGCGCTCAGGCAGTGGTCGCTACCGGTCAAAATCAATCCCGAGCCCGTTGATGGACTAATAGCTAATCGTGAATATGGTCACAGGAACATACACGCTTCAAGATGATCTACTTCTCGCAACCCCGCCTCCTCACCCCTCCGAAGCTCCCATCGTCAACCCTAACCCTCTTGCGACGATACCCACACCCCCCACCTCTGGCGTAAAGTTATCGCTCGTCAGTCTCGATCCGCGAAAGAAGCCCCCGACTTTCTTGACATCCGCCGTTACAGCCCCCCAATTTGGCGATGGAAATCCGGCTCTTGCGGCGCCACCGGTAACATCAAAGGATGCTTTGAAGCGAAGAAAGCCGAAGAACAACATCATCAAGAGCAGCTCTTCCTTCGTTTCACGGGTCATCACAAATGAGACATCTGCCAAGAGATTGAGCGAGCGTGATCCGAATGGTGTATTTGCATTTGCAAATATCAATCGAGCATTCCAATGGCTCGACCTCAGTTCACCGACAAAGGAGGAACATCTTACCAAAGTCCTTTTCACCAAAGCACACATGATATGCCACGATATCAATGAACTCACTAAGACAACATCACACTTGGACATCGTGATGGGCTCTTCTGCAGGCGACATCATTTGGTATGAGCCTATGTCACAGAAGTACGCGCGCATCAACAAGAACGGCGTGATTAACAGCTCTCCTGTCACACATATCAAATGGCTTCCTGGGTCTGAGAACCTATTTATTGCCTCACACGCCAATGGAGCGTTGGTAGTGTATGACAAGGAGAAGGACGATGCGCTGTTCACTCCGGAGGTGAATGGCAATAGTGAACAGGAGGCCGGACGCTTACCCTTGGATATTCTCAAATCTGTGAACTCACGAAATCAGAGAACCAATCCTGTCTCATTCTGGAAATTAGCAAATCAAAAGATCTCGAGTTTCTCCTTCTCACCAGACCAACGACATTTGGCCGTCGTGCTCGAAGATGGATCGCTGCGGCTAATGGATTATCTAAAAGAAGAGTATGTCCATCTCATGTTCCGATATTTCACCCTCCAGACTGACGCATTCTAGGGTATTGGATATATTCCGCAGCTATTACGGCGGGCTTATCTGCGTCTGCTGGTCACCAGATGGCAAGTACATCGTTACCGGAGGCCAGGATGACTTGTTGACAATCTGGTCTTTCCCCGAGCGCAAGATCGTCGCCAGGTGCCAGGGCCATAATTCTTGGGTCTCGGCCGTCGCATTCGATCCGTGGCGCTGTGATCAGAAAACATACCGGATTGGCAGCGTTGGCGATGACTGCCGCCTGCTTCTATGGGATTTCAGCGTCGGCATGCTCCACCGCCCCCGGGCACACCCGCAAGCCTCGACTCGAAACCGGTCCAGTATCATTTTGCCAAACACGCAAACCGCCAACCGTCACCGTGCAGATAGCGGGGATAATCGGATGCGATCAGACTCCAACGGTACCGAGCAGACCAGCGAAGATATCGATCCGACCATGAGTCACCCCGTGGAACCTCGGTCCCGCACAGGTCTACTGCCCCCGATCATGGTAAGTAATGGTTCTGGCGAGGGCTTTGGAGTTCATTAGACTAATCAAGCCATAGTCCAAAATCGTCGGCGAAGATCCCACCACCTGGCTCGGTTTCCAGAAAGACTGCATCATGACTTCGTCTTTAGAAGGTGCGTACCAACATGGTCTTTTTGACAGAAAATTGTACTAATACTCTCGTACAGGCCATATCCGCACTTGGAGTCGGCCTAGCGATAGCGTCGTGAAGTCATGATGGCATATTCGATCTCACAGCACGGATCCGGTAGTTGCGTTTCCGAAACAGCATAGTTAGCTATTTCCTGCTTTGGGGGTTTCATGCAGCACTTATTTCAACCCAACTCTTGGGGAAGGCCCTGGAGGTCAATAACTCAGCGTTGAGCGTTTTGGCGAGTGTTCAATGTTCATCAGTCTTCTTGATATCCATCCTTACGCGTCAGTGCCGGTATTGTGTTAAGTAGGATGGATTGGAAGACGCATTTCGCTCAATGCACAGATTATTCTTTCTCGTCAAGGCATTCTTCAAGGTTAAATGTACGGACATACTTCCATACATCAGGGTCGGGACTGATGAGGTCTGTCATAGCTCTGAATCGTCCTTGGCCTTAAAAAATAACCTAGGTACCTCCATTGCCATCGGGCACTTGTCGAAGCGGAGTCCATCCCAACCTTCCGTGGAAGACTCCATTCCGACGAGGGGGAGGTAGGGATCCTGTCGATAGGTATGGGACAATATATATGCCCGGGGTGTTCCAAATAGCGGGAGCTGGAACCTAGGCAAGTTAGGTTACAGCGAGTCAAATCCCAATGGAAGTAAAAAATCGATTGGCAGCCAGCATAGCAGTTTCAAGGATATAGAACGAACATGGGCGTTAGTTATCGAATTTCTGCGCATTAATGTAGGGGGCATATCAGCGGTCCATAGACCAAATCATCAACATCATAAACCACAACAATTTCATCACAAACAGAATAACCAACTTCTTTCCTTTCTCTGAACGCAAGATACATCAAAAGAAATGACTACAGACAATCCGAACTATCTTCAACCGCATATATCTAGGCGTAAGCCCCCTTCCCCGATTGACCAGTTGGCTAAAGGATTGACCAGTTGGCTAGACGGGGTGATTTGATCCCCAGTCTCAAAGAGCCAGCGCGAATAGACCAAGCAAAAAACTGCCAGCAGGCGGCATGAGGACGGCAGCAGCGTTTGCAGTAGTAGTCGCAGACTCGGTGGCCGACTCAGTCGCCGTCGAGGTGGAAGTCGAAGTTGAGCGACGGGTGGTGGTTGCAGTGGTAGTGGAATGGGTCGAGGTGGAGGTGCTGGTCGAAGTTGTGGTCGAAGTCTTGGTCGTCACTGTAGACAAAGTTAGCCTTTTGCGTTCTTCATGTTATGGGTGAAAAGCAAATGTGTGGTTCTCGGAAGCCGTGCTTTCCGCCTTCTTACTGACCAGGCGTGGTGGAAGTGTGGGTAGAAGAATGAGAGGTGGTAGTGTGTGGTTTGGTAAAAGAGATAGTGCTTGATGTGGAAGTCCAGGTTGGAATGGATTTGGAGGTGGTAGTTGAGATAGAAGAAGGTGTGGACATGGATGTAGAGATTATTGAAGAGGAGGATATGGTCGGGGTAGGAGAGGTTGTGGTTATGAAAGAAGAAGTTGAGGGTGTTAATGTTGATGAGACTGAGGAAGAAGTGGGGAAGGTAAGCGTCATGGTGGATTCCACGGTCTCGGAATAGGATGTTGTATGGGTAGATATTGTGGATGTCTTTTCTGTGGGGGTGGGAATGGATGGGATGGTGGTAGTGGGAATAGTAGATGTTGAAAGGGTAGGGAATGGCAGTTTAGAGGTGGAGGTGGAAATAGAGGACGGTATCCAGGGTATGGTGGAAGAAGGCACAGGGGGCAAGAGGGAAGAGGTAGAGGTAGAAATAGAGGACAGTGTCAAGGGTAAGGTGGAAGAAGAGACGGAGGGCAAAAGGGAAGAGGTAGACGCACTTATAGAAGAGCTGGTTATAATAGAAGATGACGTAGGGGTAAAAATAGAAGAGGAAGCAGTAGATGAATAGGACGAGGTAGGGGTAGACGCACTGGTGGAGGAGTGAGCGGTCGAAGACATAGAAGAGGAAGCAGTCGTGGAAGAAGCGAGCGTCGACGAAGTAAGATCACTGGTCGACGCGGTGGAAGAAAGCAAAGTGGACGAAGCAGAGATAGACGAAGTTTCAAGCGCAGAGCTGGTTTCCTTACCAGAACTACTAGCAAGTGCACCGGGCTCAGTGACTCGGAATTGCTCAGACTGGGCGAGAATGCCGTTGCTTCGCGAAAGCATGTTGATCTGGTATCCCTTTCTATATTGCACGGTCAGTAACTTGAAGATTGGTGAGAAAACAAGGTAGATCAGGTTCGACGAACCCTGTGTCCACATTTGGGAAAGTCTTCGCGTCGATGGTGTAGGAGCCAGTAGAGGAGTCTACATCCCGGGCCACAATCTCTGTCGTCGGAGGGTACACATTCTGATTGACCAGCTCAATGTTGAAAGTATCTGGGTCCGTTCTAGTGATATTGGTTCTGTGATTAGCCTCTTGTGGCTATTCGTAGGTGGCCGTTGACCATGTCGGACGGGTAGCTTACGAGACAGACTGCCACTTGATAGTAAGAGGCATATCGGGGTCAATCCTTTCGCCCATGCGTGGCGAGGTGACAACGAGGGCTGTCATAACTGTGGTTAGATCCATCCGTAATGCCCAAGACGATATGACCTACCTGCAGCCGTAGCAGCCAAGGCCACCAAAGACACAACGTTTGTCCGCATATTGATTAACGTGGGTGGTAACCAGTAACAAGTGAAGTAATTCGAGGAAGTAGTTGTCAATGTTGGAAGGTCGGGCCGCAATATAATATTCGCGAGGTTGGAGGAAACAAAAGTCAAGGGCGACATAGGACGGGGGCATGATGATTTATAGTGCCTATGGTAGACACTGGGGAATGTAACTCTCACAGGGTCTGTTAAAATGTCTATGGCAATCTTTATTTTTGGGCTGATTTCCCGTGGTGCCTTGATCCATCGTCTCTCGTGCTCCCAGTTGCGTCGGAGTACAAAAGAAAGACCAGGCGAGGACCGCATTTTGCCGTCCCCGTGATGTGACTTTAATACTGTACTGCAGTCGAAGGGGACCAAAGGAGAGACTGGCGACTCAGTAGCCTGCTACCTCTTTTTCAGCCCAGATGGGAATCTTTCGTCCACTCAATCCATGAAGTACAACATGTGTGAGGCTGGCTGGCCGCGCGTCATAGCTCCTGTCTGTATCGCAATGAAGCTTTCTATGATGCATTGAAGATCGATTCACTTGGCAGAAACGAACTTACTGGCAAGGGCCCTGGTCCCCTAGGATTACCGCTGCAGCCCATTTAGATTAGGATGGCGATTGCATGACTCCACGAGAGGATTGATACCTTGAACTATATGATCACTGATAATGCGTCAGATAATATAACAGACATTAAATCCCCGAGACGTGCATATCTGAAGATGAAATAGCCTTTAAGCTTACACGGGACTAGAATAGTTACCGTGGTTAGACCCAAACCTTCGAAGTTGAAAAGCTCACATTGGCAGTCTATACCCAAGCCATCACGACATCATCAGTGTCTGGTTGTGCTATTACTCGATAACATGTTAGATGTCGGACAGAACATCCGGAAGGCCTAAGCACACCGGAGATATCGACTCCCGGGTACTCTCTCGGTGAAGAGCGCAGGTAGGACGAAGCCAAGAAAGGAAGGGCGTTGCACATTTCCAACCCGGCACAGGGGCCATAGCAACGCACAAGTCCAACGGAATAGTAAGCATGCCATTGTCCCTCGGTTTAAACCTATTGTTGAGCCAAAGCTGATCTGACCCTTATCGAGGCTCTGAGATTTCGAAATGGTTGCCTAGGGGGCAAGATGGGAAATGTCTAAAGTTCCACAAAGCCTGAACACAACGTCGGAAGAGCGTTGATTGGACAATGCCTAGGAGAGATTCGAATATTCCAAATAAGACCCAGGTTGCTTGCTGGGTCAGATCCCTGTCTGAATTGTCATAACAAACAGGTCTCCGTTCGGTCTTGGGCAGTGTTGTGCTCTCCGACACTTCCACCACCGGCAGGCCAAGCTGCGTTTGGCTTTGCAGTGTGGCTTGTCTAACACTTTGGTGTTTTTAACCTCCTCGTCATTGTTTTTGAGGGGAGAGTCGTCGTCAGCATTTTACGAAGCCTTGAATATGACGTGGAGTGTGTAGATACGAAAAGAGCGTCAGGGTGTACTCATAGTAAGCTCTCTACGTTGGGGCAACAGATGCCCAAAGTCTCCAAGGTTATTGAGTAAGGCCAGGTGAAGAACCAGGTTGGTATTCAAAACAAAGCGATAGATACATGCCATTCTGTGGTCAGCTGTCATTTCCAATGTGACACAAAATTATCAATCATCTCGACAGAGATAAGAGCAGCATCCTTTCATGCACCGTTACAACTCCATGTCAATCTATGTAGTATTAATCCTAGACCTCCAGCACGCTGCGACCACCGTCAACTGTAATCCTTCTGCGAACTCTAATGTGGGCATAGGAAGTCCCAAGTTGAACAGGACGAGGTCCTGTAGTCCTAGTAAGACCCTCTTCCCCGGAATAATTGCCCAATGCCTCTTTATCAACCAATGGGTCACAAAACTCGGCGGAATCTGGGCCGCTAGAGGATGTTGTGCCTGCTGAGAGATTGGAAGCAGCGTCTTCATCGCCCTCTTGGACATCCAGCAGGGCGGTCGGGCAGAAGACCAAGGCCTCACCAGTCGCCAGGTGGACGATCCGGTGGAAAATGTCAGATGTGGAGCTGTCCTTCGTGGCAGCCTCCTCAACCCCGGCCCCGGCAATGTGGGATCGGATGGCTCTGAACCAAGCCGGCGATGAGAAGCGATGGATGATGGTCACATTGCAAAGCTCCAAAAGTGATGGCGCAAGGGTCGGTTCTTGAGTTGCGATCATGACACGCGCGCCCAAATGGCGCTGTTGGCGGACAACAGACAGCAAGGTCTCTGTGAACTCGACGGCTTCCGGCGCAGTTGAAGTCATGTACTACGAGTGAACGCGGGATTAGTCAAGGTGGAAGACAGGGAGAGGAGAACAGTCAACGTACTTTATGCGCTTCATCAAGTGCGATCATTCGACCAGTGTCCTGTCGATCCTTGAGGAACAAGGAAAGCGAGATATTAAAGAGGGCACATGCATCATCCGGACCGACGAACGGACAGCTCAGGTCAATGATGGTCAGTGTACCTGGAGAGAACTTCCAGGTACTGTCAGTATCATGTTCCTTGGACTTTTTAGAAGTCGCGCCAGGCACAGAGCCAGGCTCGAAGAATGACTCTAGAACCTCCAGTCGCAAGGTGAGAGGCATGAGCTGGCCTCTGACAAATTGCTCCTTGTCCAACATGTTCTTGAATGCGGCATAGTTAAAGCCTGCCTGGCCTTGATTCTGAATCGCCATGTCCCGGAGGATCTTCATTATGACCTGTGAATTGCGACTTGTTAGACACATGACTCCATTCGCTCCCAAGGGCTCACACACATACCTCAATGTACAGCGGCTGGCCAGCTTTGTTATTGACAGCCATGAGGGTCTTCATCATGCTGATATTCAGGTCCTTCTGAGGAAGGTACAAGGGCTGAACCTTGAGCATACTGGAACCACCTGCCAGCTTTGTGTACGCTTTTTTCATGGCGAGGTAATTCGTCGGGGAGACAAGCACCCGGACGGGAATGTTCGAGGAGCACAAGTGAGCCGCTTCACACAGCTGGGTGCTGGCAAACGCGGTGAATTTGTCGTAATGAACGACCAGTCCGGCGAGAGGCGACGAAAGCTTTCCAGCGGGTGAAGGCTTGATCAATGCATTTTCCAGGAGACAGGAGAGCGTGTGGCTTTTGCCGCTGCCCTGACTACCGCAGATGAAGGCGGACCATGGAGCTGACACGTTGGTGTAGATAAGATCCTCTTGGTCTGGGGTGTCGCCGGCGGGTCGGGTTCGCAACCCTAGGAGCCCATACTGTGGGTAAACCTGGCGCTTCTCCGTGGGTTGGTTGTTTCGTTGCTGCTCGCTATCAAGGACTTTGCAAGCATGAAGAGAGAATAAAGGTGCTGTGATCACCTCCTCCTCCAGGCGCCTGTTGCCACGACCAGACGCCAGGAAAGAGTGCATGTCACCTTGGGCAAGACTCATATGCTTCTCTATTTCTTGAGTACCTTTTTGAAGTTGATGAGATGCCATATTGTTCCGTCGTTGCGAGGTAGAGGCGTGGAGATAGTTGATGTCTGAAGTTGAGGGTAGGGGAGATTCACAGGGAAGGAGAAGAGTGAAGAAACTAGCCACCAACAAAAGTGTTATAGGGGGATAAGGACAAAGCCAGAGATGCCATTTATCCCAGGCAAACCTTTGACGAACTTAGTACGCTATATGACTGCAGAAATGTGGACCTTCCGGAGATTCAGAGATTCAGCAAACAAACATCCAACGTCCAGAAGTAGTAGGTGGAATAGGGCACAACCCATTCATTACCAATGGTCACGGTAATGGCCGTTACGCGATGCCTCTACAAATTCGATCTACCTAGCGGCCGGAAAAAGCAATATTACACTTTAAAGGCCCATCATATGTTACATAGCACACTGAAGCTGGAGCAGCCACAGCGTTCCATTCAGTTTAATTCGGCGTTCGTCTTGCTTCCTCCCAATAGAGGTATACGCCATAGCAAAGTTAAGCTGCTGGGTATACCCTTTAAGTATGCGCGCGTGCTTAGAATTGGCAGTGAACCAATGCCGTAAGGTCCGGGGCGGCTCCGCCAAAGGGTGCGGAGGCATACTACCATGCTTGTAGCATAACTCCTACCTAAGAAGCATCATCCGTGACGGCAGAATAAATCTCAATCCGCCAAACCAAAGAACCGCAGCGAGAACACTCGATATGTATATGACCGAGGTCTAGGGGCTTCCATTCAGCAGCTGTCCTTCATGCGAAAGGAACTTGGCGAGTGGGTAGATAATGCTGGAAGACATTTACGACAATCAAGGCAAAGATCGGAGGGAAAATCGCTGATTCGCTCGAAACTGGGCTTGACAGATACAGCAGTGAACACGTTCCGGCTGGGGTGGAGTGGAGATGGCACCGATGGTACCCAGCTCGGTAGAGGTTGGGTTGGGACTTGGGAACTTGGGCCAAGCTAAGCGGGAGATCTATGTCACGTGATACATGACCCCCTTATGCAAAAGAGCCGCCAAATTGTATTGTGCTGCATCGGCCGTAATGAACAAGCCAACGTTAAATTACGTTAGGCACACAAGCACTTTCAGTGAGTTTGTCAAATGAACAGCTTACAGCCCATAATATCATGGTTCCTACGAACAGTAGAGTGAGAACTTGCGATTCGGCAAGAAAATTGTCCTCTTTTCCATATATTTCTTTAACCGTGCAGCCAGCCTTCGATCACAATCATTTATACAAGCTGCGCTCTTTTTCACCGGCTCGAATGCCGTTCATAACCTCATGTGTTCCAAAATGTGGAATCCCGGGTAGGAGATTGTCATTGGTTCAAACCATGTCCATATATGATCTTATCGCGCGCGTAGAGCTCTCTATGTAAGTGCCACCTCACATAGGGACCAGGGTGCTTGGAAACCTGCAGGTGCCCCGCTGGCTCATGAAACCACATTTTCCCTCTTTATACCACTCCACTCTCGCCTAGGCATCTTTCTTCGACCTTTGAGTTCCATGGCTCAGACAACCCAAAGCCCCACAACTACTTGTGCCGAGTATATCGCCCTCACATCCTTCTTTCACCAGGTCCCTACTCCAGTCGTTCGAAATGCAAATCACTTGCCAACCAGCCAAGAATACGTTTTGCCGTTTTCAACAGAGCGTAGACTAACATAGGTTCTTGCCTTCCTGGCAAAAACGAAGGATGGGTGGGATCATATCCCGGCAGTCTGTGTTGAACAGGACTCATCTGGGACAACTTTAAAGGTCATCCTAGCCATCAACAAGAGAACCTACGCTGATGGGGATGGCATTCTACGAAACTTGAAATCAAGCTTTGAACAAGTATTTCAAATACTTCATGATTCAGATTACGGTTAGTCCTTCCTGATTTGAGCATAATGATCAACTTTAACGATTCTGATTCTCCAAAATATAGTAGAACAGTCCAACCTCCAGAGTAGAGTCTTTATGTCAATCATATCAATGTGCTCACCACGAGTACTTTGCCGGTTGCGACTCGAACGAGGGACAACTAAGAGGCCAATTCAAGATCTACTGAAAGACACGATCTTTAGCATTCGACGAATTGAGGCTCAAAAGCTTCACAACAAGGACTTATCGCTCGTGTCGGAATTGTTTATATCAGAGGCAAACAAAGTCATACAGCTGGTTGTTCGATGGTTGAAGCACCAGACTCTGGATGAGCTGAGTGATCTTGTGGAAGGGATACATCACTTGCAACAAACAGCACCACGTTACCATGAGTTGCTAAACATAATCTCGAACCATGACATGTATCCGACCTCAAGATCCAGTTTTTTGAACATCATCAGAAAGATCTCAAGATACTGGGAAGCCGCTAGGAAACTGTATCGAACCGCAAAGAAATTTCCACTGGTCCGCAATATGGAAATTCAACTGGCAAACCTACCCAAAAAGGCATTCGAAGGTCAAATAGACACCAGCAAGTTTCCGGACCTATGCTCAAGTTTATCCAAGCTTGGATTGGCCAAGGGTCAACGAAGTGTTCCTCTGTTGTGCCGCAATTTGAAAATTGACGAAAACGCTGCCCGTGCTAGGCATAAAGGAGCTCAAAATGTTTTTTCAGCGGCAAAAACTCCACGCCGAAATCCAAATCATTGCCTTTTGCGAAATGCAAGCCCGAAGGCCGTTTCCACGAGTAGTTAGTTCAAGCAAAGACGCATGCTTTCTCTGCAACACTTTCATTCAGCTACACGGACGAATGCATACTCCGAGAGCCCATGGCCGACCTTATCCTGGCTGGAGACTTCCGATTCTACCGGAGTTTGGAGCCCTCCAGCATACACTTAATCAATGGCTAGGCAAGACCCTCCGCCAGGATATTTCACGAGGCCTAGCTCAAAGAAAACTGTCTATTCATCCCTTTCCGAATGAAAGCAACTTGCTTACCTTATCGGATTCTTCAACAACTGTGAATCAACCGGAACTTTTGTCAGAGAACTCTGTGGGAAGAATGACTTCGATTCGCCGGTCTAGTACCCTATCCGAAGGTCCGCCTAGATATGGCCCTTTATTGGATCTCAGCCGAAATTCAAGCACTGGGACTGTGTCTCATTCGGAAAATTTCGTTGAGACCGTTTACTTGGCCCAAGGAGAACTAATCAATGATTTTGTCAGATTTAGCAGACCTTTCCATCTTTATACCGCAGAATCGCTTGAAGTCCATCTCGAATTAAAGGATCAAGCAACTTCTGGGACTAGAGAAGGATCCTTAGGCTACGGTATCGAAAGGCTTACAACGGACAACTTCCAATCCATAAGAGAGACGTGCAGCAGCTCGATGGTGAGTCTTATTGCAATTGTCTGAAGATAATGCGTTCTGTCTTGCCGCTGGGGATGTGGTATTGAGGATAAATACGCAGGGATGGACCAAAGACAAATAGGAAGCGCCGCGTCAGGTACTACGTACTGCTCGATGCCCTATTTCCTCTGCCTTGTGCGGATGTTGAAGGCTCACATTAACCTGGAGGAGTCTAGCTCAATCAATGGAAGCTATTACATATGTTCGCAAGTATCCAGGGATGTTTCAATGGTACTGGTCGCGCTACCGCTGAGTTCAAGGTCGATGAGATTAAGCAGGTTAGGTTGTGAATCGATACCTTTGCCATAGAATTAAACACCAGATCAGCCGCGGCACGTGTCACTGTCGGATGATGATGATCACGATAGTAATGTTCTGATTAACTCGATTTAGCTAGCATTACATGCTGTCGCCGTGGGCCTATCGGGGCAATTCGGAGCAATATGGCCTCGCCAGTTGCCTAGAGGTTTGCCAGTTGACTCGATATTGGCCAGTTGACTTAAAGTTTGCCAGTTGGCGGAAAAGCACGCTAAACAGGCGCCCGGAACTCGCCGAGCCGGGCACCCGCAAGTGGATACTGACAACTGGACAGACTATTGTTGCCGATATTTTGTTTAGAAGTGTACTGTATACATATCCTGTTACTTTTTGTATCCAATATTCAACGCTTACAGGTACACGCTTAAGGTGCTACCTGGGTGATTTATCTCTTGCTGGGCAGCAGGCCCGGGGTTGCGTCTTGGACCTACTAATATAGACTGAGAATACAATCCCACATATAGAAAACGTCATCAAATAACATCATCAAATAACATCGTCATCATCAAAAGCTATCATCGTTGATAGCTGGCTGCTTCACAATCAGCCGGGCTTCTTCGGCGGGGCATCTTGTTCCTGGAGTTGGACCTGATCAGATGCTCTAGATAACTGAGCATGGCTGTGGTTGCCCGCTGGAACGGAAGTTCAGACAGTAACCCATGATCAAAGATCCCAGCAGCCCGAAGTCCAGTCGAGCATGGTACCGAGCGTGTCGCTGCTCGATGCCAGTCGCAATGCATCAGTACCACGCTGGGCAACATCGAAGCCCCGAAGAAGGACTAAATTTACCAGCCCTGGTCTTCTCCTCTCAGGGCAGCATGGACACATCACGATATGGACCCTCTCCTTGGCGACACCCCGCCGCCGGTTCAGCCCGGTTCCGGTATGCTAACACAGGACCATCGTCCGAACCATCCGATCTCAAATCAACCGCAAAGTGCTTCAGGATACGCGTCTAGAATAACTGCATTGACGTTGTCAATGTTGAAACTGCACAAGATGTGCCATTTCCACAGTCAGTCGTACCGCGGTCGAGCCGGCAGTTCATGCTCCTGGTATCCTGTCCTTGCTTAGACGGTATACGGCGGTTATACGCCCTCCGCTGTCTGGTAGGAGTTGTGCTGGTGCACTTTGCGGTTGATTCGCGGGCTGAACCGGCGGCGTGGTAGGAGTTGTACTAGGTGCCCCTCGGACCTCAGAGCGAATGCCCATTCCCGGCGGCCATCCTCATCGGGGTGTCGTAGAACTCGTCGAGGTAATCGGCGACGACGCACTTGCAGAGGAAAAGTCGACACAATCGAGGAACCCATACGCCGCCGCTCTTGTCGAAGGGTGTAATTTCGGAGAACGATGGATCACAGTCTACTCCTCCGGAGAATTGAGGGGTCTGCGGTATGACCCAAATTTGTCTCGGCGCCGAAACTTCGCACCGGCCCCGATGCACTTGTGAATAGTTGGCAAAAGATCTCTTTCCACTGCCCATAGCAGGATCTCGGTATGGTCTGCCGGTGTGTTGTCTTTGTAAAGCATATTGCCAAGCGTTAGCTCGAGCCGCCGACATGTCTGAACAGGGCAGCTCGGTCTGCCCTCGTCAAATTCTCGTGAATCCTAAGGATAAGCTCTGTCGGCAAGCTGGTCAGTGACATGGCTGCGGCGGCGATGCTAAGAGACTTGGCCTTGAGAGAGTAAAATGAAATGTAATGAGCAAGAAATGATGATGTGGAAGCGATGATGATGGAAGAGTGCTGACGATGAAGTGGTGACTCTGAGCAGAAGGAAGAGGAAGAAGAAGATCAGTAGGAGGAGCAGCAGCAGCAGAAGGATGGATAGTATGCGGATGAAGAAGAAGAAGAAGAAGAAGAAGAAGAAGAAGAAGAAGAAGAAGAAGAAGAAGTGTCGATGATGAAGAATTGTTGCCGTTGAGCAAGAGCAGCAGGGGGAAGAGTAAGATGATGAATAGTAGATGATGAAGAGTGGGAGAAGAAGAAGGAGAAGGAGAAGGAGAAGGAGAAGAGGAAAGAAATATAAAGTGTCAACAGAGTGAGCGATTTGCCTCATTCATCCACATCCATAGGGTCATATGATTGCCAAACAGTGTTCTCTGTAAAGCAAACAGCGCCACGTGCAAGCCGTCCCGAAGTTGAATATCTGTATTGCGGGATGAGACCATGTGACATCCTTATGAAGAGGTTCCCTCCGGCAAGTAAATGTGTAGTCACGTTGTTTGGCCTCACGACTGATAGTCGAATCGGCAGCAGACATGAGGCTCATGTCTGCGGGAGTATCTCGTTGCCGAAGGAGGTACATACATGGCGAATTATGTATGAAGAGATTCAACAGATGCAGATGTGTCTGAGGCGGGAGCGATATAGCATGGAAACAACACGGTTATGATTCAAGCTAGTTAAATCTATCCATATACCACTAGGTTAGAGCCATAATCAGGGCATTGATGACATTGGGGGCTGGAGTTGAGACCCAGATAGATGCTTTGGAATTGTATTATCTTACATACCTGCTGTTTAATGTGCAAAGATAACACATTAAAATAAAGCATGGATTGCCGCACGCCTGCTGGAACAGGAGATTTTGCGTATCTGACACGCTTTCGAAAGTTCAAGGAGATAAACCTGACCTCAGTCGAGCATTGGATCCAAGCCATAATTTCTGGCTTGCCAATTCCAATTCTTGAGAGATATTGACACCGCTGTGAGAGACAAAATCACCTTGGTAGTCAGTGAAGGTTGCTTCGACCATTGACCGCAGCTGGGGATCTGCAGTAACGGCCCATGCAGCTGAAAGGCACATTAGTATATAGCCTGCTCCAACAGGCCTGTATATGTTGGACACCTGAGCATGAAGGAGGATCTCTTCGACCAGATATCGTGATTCTGTAACGCAGGTAATGTCATTGGGATCCAGTGCTTGACACATGCAATTGAAGAATGCTGTGATTGCGAGGCCAATCCCGTAGGTGCGAAGATAATGGGCTCGCAGGATGCGAGCCATGAAAGTCCCTTGTACAGTACTGAGCGCCGAACTTTCGTGCTCGACTGTTCGCGCTTTCAATTCGGCTAAAATTGTCTTGCACCTTTCATATATTGGCCGAGTTTCCTCCGCCAACGAAGTTAAATCTTGGCCATCGCGAATAGCTCCTCTCCCGCGTTTCAATAGTACTGGAGCTCGTGCCAGACACCGCAAAATCTGGCCCTCGGGTAAATTCTGGTCATAGTCATTGTCGACCAAGGCTTCCCACTCCTCGGCGCTTAAGTCAATAGCATCGTTGTATAAACCCTCGAATAGCTTGGAGATGTGGTCAGCAAGACTCAGTGAATTGGTCGACAGGCATATTTACCACACTTCCCCGCAGCGATAGAAATAGTTTACGCTCAAAGTCGTCGCGTGGCCCGAAGTTCTTGCGCGCGTGCAATATGTTGGCAGCCCCTTGGGCATGGCCTGATATCGTTTGGCCGTCATTACTGATGAATGTTTGGCAGACCAATAGTATCATAACAGCACATAATGTGTCAGAAGCACTCGCTTGCAATGGATCGTCCAAATACAACCTGAGGGTTGTAAGAGCATGCGAGTACTTGGAAAGTGCCTGAACTGAAGCTTGTCGGTGAGTGCAGAAGTCTGCATGGGCAGTGGTCACGGCATCAACGGCACGGTCGAGTGCTTCATTGCTGCCCAGCCGCCTGGGCACTTCCTCCAGGAAAATGCCAAAGGACCACCACAGATTGAATCGGAGATCGGTGGACCGTTTGATGATCCCCACGAACGAGTTAGTTAATAGCGTTATATAGGTCGCAGGGCATGCCCGGGGGATGTTTAAAGCTGGTAACTCTCGTTTATTCGATGTTGGCCTTAAGACAAGAGTGCTTTGGCCGCTTCGATGAGATTTTGGAGAAAGTCGCTCTTGCTTAAACATATATCGTTGCTGGCCAGACCCCACACAGTTCACTTTCAATCGAAGACACCGCCCACAGGCTGGCTGCTTCTCGTCGCACTTTGAATTATTAGAGACACCACTTCGTGCGACTATTCTGTGACACCAACCTTTTTCTTCTGCTTGCGACAAGCATCACAGGCCCGACCTGATGGCACACCTGGCATTGTGGGGCTCAGGAGAAGCGAAGCGTGTCACTCGAAGCGGCTAGTTACTGCATAGCCTTCAGGGCCTGTCAAGTGAACAAGCGTCGCCCTAATGAAGTGGGCAGCTCCCGACCGCGGGCTGGACAGTCTAACCGCTTTCGGTTAAACATATGGATACCGCCGTGCGGGGCAAAATTGAGCAATGCTGATTGGTCAGTCCATGAACCATGCCACCATGCGGCTGAACCGAAAGTCACCGACAAACACAGCCCGGTCTAACCCGATTTAGACATATGTAGCGCTTCAAGATATAGGTAGATCAGCATGATCGTCGTAGACTCGTAGGACTTGAATATTTAAGACTGCGGCATCTCCCATTTCATATCTCTATCTATAAGTTAATCCAACTTCACGATGGCTCTAGATACAGCAGATGAAGCGGCAAACAGCCTCTACTTATACACACCGAGTCATGTCCTACCAGCCATTTTCGCAGCTCTAGTCGGCACATCTCTATTAATCCACATCTACCAAAATTAGTAAGACTCTATTGTACCCCAATTCCGAAGCAATGATCAATCTAACACCCTCAGTCGCTACCGGTTCTGGCGTATCACCTTCTTCATATGCTGGGGCGGAGCCCTCTTTACCACCGGATGGATTCTCCGCTGCATCTCAAGCTACCATCCGGCAAATCTAAACCTCTACATCGCATCAACAGTCTTCATCTACGTCGGCCCACCAGTCTACTCCGCCGCCGCCTACAACCTCGTCGGCCGATTAATGAACTACCTCCCAATGCACGCAGTCTTAAACCCCAACCGCGTCCTCATCTTCTTCATCTACGTTGGCGCTTCTGTCGAAGCAGTTACAGCGGCCGGTGCAGCGAAGAACGCATCAGCCGGTTCCGACCTAGATAAATACAAGTCTGGCGGGACCCTGATCGCAGCAGGACTTGTCCTCCAAGCTGTGGTCGAATGCTGCGTGATCGCGGTCGTCGCCATGGTTCACGCTCGCTGTTCACGGGCTAGCATGCTCGCACCGAATGTGCGTATGATCTGCATCACACTCTACGGCACATCGACTCTCGTCTTGCTGCGGTGTATATTCCGTGCTGTTGAATCTTTTGAGATGTTTGGTGATCTGGGGTGCCGAGAAAACTGTGGCCCGATTCTGAGCAATGAGTGGTATCTCTATGCGTTTGAGTTGGGTCCTATGCTTCTGTTTACTTGGTGGTTGAACGTGATGCATCCGGGTCGGAATCTGCCACGTCAAAAGAATCGCTATTTGTGTCCTGATGGCCGGACGGAGCGGATGGGTCCTGGTTGGATTGATCGTCGCTCTCAGTGGGAGACTTTTGCCGATCCGTTGGATTTAAAGGGTGTAATTAAGGGTGAGCCTTCGCATGAGAAGTATTGGTTGCGGCAGGATGAATGGCCTGTCTGCAAGGATGGTAGCTTTGCTGTGGGGACTGCCACTAATACCAGGGCTGCATATGATGAGGAGAAGGAGCTTGCTCCAATGAGTTCTGAGGTTTGATAGATAGGTCGTGACGTTGAAAGTTGACGTTTATGCGCACTTCGCGGTTCCAATATTTATTCACGATGGTTTCTTTTGTTGGTAATGGCGAATGGCTTCGAGGATGTTCAGCTAGGGGTTTGTGATCAGGTCAAACGGTCTAGACAGGAATGTATATACAAGTCGCTCCACCGATGAACATCCATATGATGGGAAGATCTTTCGAGTTCCAAGGTTTCCTTCAAACCCAGTCACATATGTCTGAGATATTTCACAAGAAGTCACGTCATGTCAATCATAATAGCGCCATATCCTTGAATCGAGCATTCACAGCTTGGCCTGTTCGAGCGGGCTCAACTTTCTCAGGGGAGGGCCTCCTCTGCTACCATCGCCTGACATGGGAGCCATAGAGTCGCCTTGCGGTGGGATCATCCTCCATTTTTGACGCAGGGACTCAGGCGCGATGTTCTCAAAGCAGTCCGCGATATATTTACCCAGGACAGGCAGGAATTTGAAAGCACTGGAATGAGGTCAGTATTGGGCTTAGTTTGAAAATCTTGTCTAGAATGCAACACTTACTGTCCTGAACCACCAGTAGCTATGAACAGGCCCGGCATGTTGGGATGGTGGTCAATAATGAAGTCGCCCTTAGGGGTATCGGTGTACCAACACAGCCGACGGTTCAACCAAGGGCGATCGCCGAGCTTGGGGAAAAGCTGACGCAGACCCTCGCGTAGACCTTCATCTGCGTCGTCGGGAATGTATCCACTGGTTGCGTTGCTGGACTCGAACTTTGGTGACGAGAGCGTCTTCTGCACTCCGTCCACATTGAAAGTGGCATTGGTAGCGTAACCGTAGCCGTGACGCGCTAGCTTGAGAACATGTGTGTCTGGCGTGGGCGGGAATGAAAAGACACCGGTGCTCATATTGATCATCACTGGGATCTTCCTCATCTCGAGCGCCTCCTCCTCGGTCAGCTGAATAAAGCCAACAGGCTGACCAGAGGAGGATGCCGCTTGGCCCATGTTCAAAAGACGGTTCGTCCATGCTCCGGTGCTGAGAATCACCTGCGTAGCAAGTAATACCTGCCCCCCGACAAGATTGACGCCAATAACTCGTGAGCCTGCCCGGCGCAGTGAGAGAACCATGCCACGAGGCCCTGAAATAATTGAGACTCCTGCTACAGAGCACTTGGAAGCCAACTGTTGGATACTACCGGCAGCATTGGCCCAGCCACCCCTTGGATTGTGATAGCCGCTCATGCCAGCCAAGTTGGCCTGAACACTGGGGTAGAGCTTGCGAAGATCCGTGGCATCGGGAAGCTCGTCCAATTTGCCACCTGCTGCCAGGATGTTCCTCTTAGACTCCTCTATGTAAGGGTTATTTGGCGTTTGCGATAGCATGGCAAATCCCGAGTCGAAGTACTGATCTTTGTACTCCGTGGTCCACCCGGCATATGCCTCCTGGGCCATTCGAGAGTAAACAGGGTCCGCATAGTCGGCACGAATGATGCGCGAAATGTCGGCACTGCTTCCATCTGCCGCTGGCGGGACGAACCGATCCACGACAGTTATATTGGTATATCCCCGCTTGGTGAGCTCAAAAGCGGTCGAGAGGCCGAAGGCACCGGCACCCACGATCAGGATTGAATCAGTCTTACTGATGGCCATTCTGAGGATTAATCGACGATCGAGATCCAAAAGAACTTTTACCAAGCTGCCATTCAACTTGGGATTTCCCTGGGTTATATGATACGGGTGGGGTCGGTTGAGTTCCGGGTCTTGGCAACCGGAGAAGCCGGACCCGGCCCGTGTTCCCCGGATGAGAAGGTGAAGAACAACGTTCTAATGTCGAGTGCGTGGATATCAGCTAGCTTTGACTCAATACGTCACTCAAGTTGGATTAAGGCTTAGCCAATCCTCAAACGCCCTCCCGTAATCTTGAAGCTGTAGGAACAAAGCGTCGGCGCCACCAGGTTCCATATGAGGATCTCCAGGAAGCCCTGCAAATTCCATTGATGGTGATGTCTGACTCGGCGCTTGCATTGGGTCCTCGGTCTGCTCTGGTGGATAGGTGACACATTCGAGAGCCACTGTTTTGTGTCCTGAAATTCCCGCAGATCCAATTAGAGCGAAATCGCGGTCTGTGATAGCGCCAGGGGGAGTGTCTGCCAGGAACCCAACACTGTCTTTGGCTAGTTTAGGGCCAAAGATATCGCTATTGGGGTCTGACGTGTTGCTTGCGCGAGGATAAACCAAAATATTCCACAACAGCTGCAGGTTCACCGACCATTTCTGGCGAGAGTTGCTTCCTCCCGATGGGATATTGTCGGTCATGAGACCACCTGGGGAAACGCTATCTCGGAGTTGCTGTAGTTGGTGGGCCTATATATGGTATCAAAACAAGCCGCAGGAGCTGGAATGACGGCATGTGAACTGACCTGTCGATCGATGTGTGGCCACCGATTACCCATATTACGAAGAAATCTAAGGCATTTCTCGAATCCCGTTTGCGCTTTCCTGTGAAAGTCTTGATCCTCAATAAAGCTATGTTGAAGATATATCGTAGCAACAATTGCCACACAATGTCCTATGATGGGGTCAGATACCTCGAAGTTTTTCATCTCGATGAGCTCAAGAAAATGAGAAACCCAGCCCGAGTGAAAGGTAAGCTGCTCGAAAGAATTGCGCAGGAACGACTGGGGCATTGTCCTGCGAAAGTTTCGAAGGCGCATAGATAGCAGGAACGGATGGTTCACCAAACAAGGCACCGCGTGCCAAACAAGCTGGAAGGAAAGCCATGGGCTCCAATAGTCGCGGCGAGCCTTGAGCGAGGAGGATGGATGGTCTTGAAAGCGACTTGCGTGAAGTCTAAATCTCAGTGGCATAAAACTCTCATGCTCGCAGTGTCGGAAATTGATCATGGTATAATCAGAGTAGGGGGACCATGGTGGATGGGAGTCAACGCCGACATGACAGGCGGCATATTTACAAGCCATCGCCCACAACTCGCTGGTGTAAACACTGCTACCATTGATTCCGATGTCTGGCTTGGAGTCACCGTTGTTACCACGAGCGTTGTCCTTTCCAAATAGCGTTGACCCCAATGGAGAGGAGATCCCGCCGGTTTCTGCAAGTAAATCCGCGTGGCCAGCAGTATCGGGTGGCTGTAGGGACCCCTGGAAATTTTGAAGCATGAGGATACCTATGTAGCAAAGCTTCCGCTCGTCACTTTCGGTTTCCAAATTGCTGATAGACTCTAGGCCATTGATTTTGAGATTCCTCATGAAGTATGTGGACAGGCTGGTATAAGACCCTGCGCGAACGATGTTTCCGGCTGAGTCGATGGTGTCCAAAGTCAGACAGAACACGAAAAACCGGGCGAGTTTACTTTACCTGTAAACTCCAGCATACTGAGGAGGCAAAGGGTCTGGATTGTCGATAATTCCACAGTACCGGATGCCACACGCATCATGACCATCTGAGCAGCCCTTTCTGTTTTACTCTTGATACTTGTCTGTAAAGTTTGATCACTGACACCTTGACCTCTGAAACGGGCTCCAAGAGCTTCAATCGCCAGCAATAGTTCAGGATCCCGCGTCCTCAGGGAGGCTGGAGATGTTCTGAGGGGGAATAGGAGAAGGGGCTGCGCGTTGCAGTATGTCAGATACAGCTCAACATCCGATGCCCCAGATAATTCATTGTCGCTGCATTTGTTAGTTGATTCCCCCGGTAGGCAAATTATAAGATCGACTTACGTCGAATGACTCTCTGTGGGCGGCAGCACCGCAATCTGAGGGGAGTGAGGTTGAATTGCAGCAGGCGAAGATAGTTGATTTGGCGCAGATCGCCTGAGTAGAAATTGGTTAAACAGAATACGGCGGGTGGGAAGCATTACAACTAACGTAATGTATTCCATCAATTGTTCTAGCCTTCCCTCGATGCCGGAGATGCGTTCTTCCTGCAAGACGTTAGGATGTGCCTAAATATAGCCAAGGACGATGATTACCATCTTGTTGGAGTGGCCCAGCCCTTGCTCTGCAATTTCAGTACTTGAATATACACACTGTTGGCCGAGTCGTTCGCAGTACGAGCAGATCGGTTTCTCCCCGGGGCACCGCGACTTTTTCCGGCTGCAGCAGTGTCAGCTACATTGCCTCTCTGCAGGCCATTCGAGGTTTAAGCCTACCGACAGGGCTCACAGGCCTGACGGGCCCGTTTCGATGGTCTTTCGTCTTCGATTGATGACATTTTGCTTTAGGGACCACGCCCGAACGTGGTAAATTGATGTTGTTCGACGTAGATAGAACGTCGATCAAGGGCAGAACAGCTGGTGGGTCCCGGGGGACAACGGAGAAGAGCCGTGGAGACACAGGCAGGAACTTTTGCGCATCCTACACAACTCGATGGGCTTCTTGTCTGATTCTTTGTTAGAGGACGCTAATAGCTGGAGGTTTCCGTTTCATTTCTTCTGATGTTTGTGGTATTTTCTTAGCAGGGCTATAGCCTATAACGATGAAGATTTAAAAACAAAAGGGTACATCTGGGAATCAGGTGATGGCCTAATAGAGTTTAGCGTTGGCACTTGGGACCGTGAAGATACACGGTCACGTGATCTGTCACTGGACTGACGTCGGCTCGGTTTCCCCAAACTTTTGGCCACATACCTCCGCCTCGCTCATTTCTAGGTTAACCTTGTGTTTGTGGTCTTCGCATCACTTTCTAATACACCTTGCAACAGCCCCGACAGAACGAAACTAGCCATAATGAGTGACGCGTACGAGCGTGAGCAGTACGTCCCCTTTCTCTGCTTTGCCCCATCGGACGCCTATACTAGAGGAGTTGTTGGTTGGGTTTGTACATCTTATACTCTGTTCGAATCGCTGACATTCGGAACCAGGCAGAATAATGCGCTCCTCAATTCCCTTTCCTCGAAGGTTTCCGCGCTCCGTTCCGTAACGATCGATATTCATGACAATGCGCGCGATCAGGATACTCTTGACCACACGGTATGTTCAAGTCGATCTTTCGTTGACTCCACCGTGTATACGGAGATTCAGATTATATCCGGGGGAACCCCATGGACAGTGCCTGATTGATTTGACTTGCGACTGACAATCTGCCTACTTAGAGCGACGTATTTTCCTCCTTCTCAACGAACCTGAAAGGCAGCGCCTCTCGGCTCACACGGATGGCGAAACAAGGCGACACTGTCGCAGTGCTGAAGATAGCTGGCATGTGCATTGCCGCTGGTATCGTGCTTTATATCATTCTCGGATGGATCTTTTGAAGGGGCGCTCCCATTCTTACAATCCGCCTTCTTCTCGTCGCCTTTCATCCACGCTCTCCTTGCCACCTTTTGCCTCCGCTCCTCTCAACATTCGATACCCTTGCTGGACCGAGGCTCTTATTGAATATTGCTGAACGTGTCAGTATATGTGGGCTTTTATTTTTGGTTCGCATCTGTGCCCTTCTTAGTCTCAATCTCGCATAGTACATTGATTCGGGGTGCATTCTGTGCTTCGAGATATATCCGTGGCTTTTCATGGACCCGTCCTATCCCGGGTTGTCCTTTCATAGACCTTTGGCCCTACCTTCTTGACGAGCGATTCACAACACCTACTTCCGCCTGTTTTCACCATCCCCGGCCTTTGGATTCTTTGGGCTGACGTCTCAATAATGCAAGGGGCCCGGGTCTCGCTCCGCTGCCAGTCGACCTGAATCTGCGCCGCGACTAGAACCATCTCCTGTTTCGTCTGTTCCTTGCCATGAGGTCTTTCCATGTCATTAACCCTGTGTCTATAGCGAACATAATCTTGAGCATAAGCCTGATTCAATTCTCTCAGCTGTGCTTCTTCCCTTGGCGGTTGAGTTGCTATTATAGGTCCACTGATCATCTATACCACTTCGATGCTCGGAGCTAGCCAGACGATTCTGGATGCGAAGAGCGTTCAGCATAGCCAGCACCTCAGACCCGTAATACTTGCCCAAGGGTTCTTGAACGGTATAGCACAGCCTTGACTATTGATTGCATGTCGCTATCGAGCTCTTCGGCACTCAACGGTGTTGGCAGATCTTCGGAGTTGACAGACTCATCACTGGAGGTCTTCTCGATGAGCTGCAGGTCTTCCTCGGAGCTGGGCCTGACAGGATGTCTACATTACTATGTAGGTATTTCCCAATACAGTCACCGTAGATACCTAGCATACTCTTCAAGGCGACCATCACGAAGCCCGGCCTGTGCGTGTAAGCTTGGTCACTTCTTTCTCATCTATAACCAGTGAGTGAGATCCGTGATGACACCATCATCGTCCGCTTTTGAGGTAAGTTGAATGTCGAGATTGTCAATGTGACAATGTATCGACCTGCCACGCGTCCATTGTGCTCCAGACACTGCCCGCAACGGAAAGCAAGTCCATGTGCGTCTTCGCGAACACCGGATGTATCTAGAGTTTAGACGACTCAAACCCCATGACAACCCGTCAACTCGTGACAACTTGATGTGAAATATGTTGACCATGCACCTGGTCGGAGGTCCATGCTTCTAGTCATCTAGGTGGCAACCTACTGAAGAGCGAGAAACGCGAAGCTGTCTGCGAGCCAGGTCCGCCACTGGGAGTAGTGGGACTACAGGAGAGGAGAACACAGGGATGGTCTAGAAGAGAAGAAGTGTGTCTGATTGTCCTATCCATGCGATGAAGCCTTTTATATCACAAATGCTGAATAATCCGCGCACCGCTTTTTTCACCACGATGGAGCAGTTCTGAGTTCTCCCACTACACTACTTAGGCAGGTAGCTACCTACGCCGTAACTACGGAGTACGGAGTAGTTGACTACTGTGCAAGTGTTAACGTATTTCACTGCGGAGCTGGCCAACCCAGTCAGTTAGTTAGGTTGTCTGTTTGTTTGTTTTTACATAAAGCAAGTCAGAATTATTGATCTCCCATTGGCCCACCAGTATAATCGGCTCTATCACTTTGTCCGAACTCCGACTTCATTCAGGTCCCAACCCCTTCGCTGGCACCAGGGATAGTTTTGATATCGAGCCTAGGAAAACATTCCTTCGGGCGAATTCAAAATTGTATGCTGGTGACTGAATCACGAACAAGTCTTTGAGGGATGAACCAGGCTGCGAAGGGGGCAGTGGGAGAGAGGCGCCAGTCTGAAGAACAAAATATCCTGTCCATTCCGAAGGAAGACTTCTCCGGTAGTCGCGCTACCTGGTGTCTCGTAATGGTTAACAATTGCTCTGATCCACTACGCCCTGATCCTGTTTCGTCGTTCCATGTTCGAAATCGCTCAGAGTCGACATGGCGCGCGTTACTCTGCTCGGGCGAGTCTGCACCTCACTTGCCTCGTTCTTGCAGTAACATCAAAGGTCTCCTTCACCAAACACCTTCAATTCCTCAGTCTCCAGAGGTACTCGAAGTGCCTGGAGGATCATCGTTGTACCTTGAGGGTTATGCACGGTGGGCTGTCCCGGCGGGTAACAAATCTTCGAGTCATATCTGCGAGCTAGGTCCCATCAAAAAGACGTTATCGCGGAAAGTCGACATTGGTAATTCTACTCCGATCGACTGCGAACTTTCGAATAATGATTTCTCTGAATGGCCCGGATATCAGCCAAAATCTAAGCCGATTGGAAACTATCTCTCCGTGTTGGTGCTTGGCTGGTCATATGTCCTCTCGGCACGACTGATTGAATCGCGCCAAATGAATACCGCGGATCGGGTCATATACACAGAGAACATGGCGCCCTTGATCGAATCTGGTGACAGTGCTATCAAAGATTCCGACGTGGAGCTTTCATACGGTCAGAGTGCGGAGGTGAGGTGGTGGGCTGCAGTTCTAGCGGATCGCTGCGGCTGGAAGGCGTACCTTTCCCGTAATGGTAGGGAATATATCCCGCCGTGGGAATGTCATCTAGTGGACAGTCCTTTCAGGATACATCATCTTGTAAGGGCTTCTCCACTTTCTGCTACCACCCTTGAACCACCGTCTTCAGCTGCAGCACATGACTATCTTCTCAACTTTGCTCGAGAGCATGATGCTTTCGATCAGTTACTATGTGCATTCGCTGCTACGATCACATTGCCCACGCATAATCGATTCGGGGCTTCTGTCTCATTGCCTAAGCCTGCTAGAAGAGATGTATCCCATAACTATGTGGATCAATCCTTTGCCGGCCAAATACCAACATTAACAGAGTTTCCCTATTACATGGCTTTCTCCGCAACTTCAGGTCTTCTAGCCTCCTGCCTATTCGGGTCATTCTGGGAGCTGGATATACCTTGTAACTTGGCTAGTCAATGGATCGACCCTGCATTGAAGGAAATTCAGTTGACTTTGCAGTCCAAACAGTCATTACCTGTCATCTGGGCCATGTCCGAGCGACGGCCGAACGTGGCTTCACTATGGCTAGGTGCCGCAGTCACTGGCCTTTTGCCACAGATACTTCGAGTATCTCGAACTCTCCTTCCACCAACCTACCTGGAAGCGGTCACATGGACCTCATCTCCTCAGTCTTTCATGGATGCTCCAAACCACGGCTCCATTAAAACCCGAAAGGTCGGTCATAGGCTGACCATTTCTCGTGAAGATGAGTTTCGCCTCTTATTTCTCACGGACACATTGTCGGAGATACATGGAAATCCACCGTTGTGCCCGTATCGTCCATTCGACGGGGTGGATGTCCATGATACTGCTCTTGAGGTCAGACTTCATCTGAATTGCAATCACAGGCTCGTTTACCTTTCGTGGGAATGGTTAGGTCAACATGGACAATCTTTCCGAGACACTGGGTTTCCATATGCACCAAAATCATGCACAATACCATTTAGGACCAACTCCCTGTCCTTCATCTGGATGATGGCAGGCATAACCCTCGCACATTTACTTCACAAGGCCTTTCCAGGAGCTAGCTTTACTCGGTTGGTAAGTAGGACCTGAAGCCTCCGGCTCGGCTATTACGAAGAAAATATGCCTGACTATCTTAGAAACATGGCGGTATCGTACTGCCTATCAGCTTTACCTTGATCTGTCTCCTTCCAAGATCAATCAAGATCTCCATATACAAGCAGATCCAGGTCATTCTTGCTTGGGCGAAAGGGATGATCACACTTGCCCCAATAATACCGCCGAGATTTCAACGCCCGAGGGAAGAAGCCAGCGAAGGGCTCTCGATGAGTGCTACACGAAACTTGTTTTCATGGGCCTTCTTGACAGAAGGCTCTCGGATAGAAGATAGGCCACTCTGGAAACATGAATGGCTGCATGATTTTCTCGACTGGGGGCTGGATGCTAGTTCAAGTGAATCTAGCCCATCTGAGACCGAATGCGAGGTTGAACGTCAAAAAGTCGAGTATATTAGAAGTTGGCAGGAAGACGTGTCTAAAGGCGACGGCAACACCTACATGCTGCCAGGGCTATCGAGCATTAAGGGGTAGTTGAGGCGCCTGGAGTATACATCAACCCACACTGCGTTATCCTCGAAAGCCGGGAATCCCGAAGCCAGACACTAACAGCTTGACCATGTGTACAAATAATAATAACAAATCCATGAGTCATGATTAGCCCGACAGAGCTCGCTAGCTACAGTACGAAAATATTTCCCTCGTTCCACTAGAAGTCCCCACGCGGTCCGTTTAGTTCCCGCTCTACGGAGTAGGCTTTTCGGCCTTGTCTCGCCCCTGGCGATCATCGGATGAAAGTAGCCGTTGCTTGCCTAGAGTGTATGTCTGCTCCGTACGGGTACAAAATAATTTAAACGGACTTTTGTACTCCGTAGACACTCGGCACAAGACATTCCGGGCCGGAGAACAACATTCCGACAATGGTGATGAAGCGCTTTGATGCTTGTTTTCGTTGTTGTTGGTACGGAGTACATTTACCCGATGTGAATACTGTATTTATCAGTGGATCTCGCCACAATTTTTTTTAGCCGCTAGGTTCATTTCCTTGCTTTTGTTCGTGGGTGGATCTGATCTTCTGTGATATGTGGGCCAGGGCAGGCATGGTCGCCGCATGGACGCCAGGACGCGAAGACAAAGACCCTGGGTTCCACTTGTCGAGGTTCTTATCTATCCGTCCAGATGGCTGTTTCGGAGAATTAACCGAACTGATAAGCTTTGATGATTTGGGTTTGATGGTGCATGGGTTCATGAGGTCCGATCATTGGCTACATTTGACTGCCCTGTGATATGCAGGTGGTTTCGATTGAGTGGGTTTGAGTGGGTTGGATGGTTGCGTGTTGAAGGACCCCAGTGAAGCAATTGCGCAGTAGGTATGATGGCGGTATGCCTCTTTTCAAAAACCAATTCCATACAATACGATATACAAGATCCTCTGACAGCTATGCTGTATGTGTTACTGTACATTGCAGGTTGATATGACATCCAATATAAACAAAAAGTTCCACATTATTGACTTTTTCAGCTGGGATGATGCAATCCGAGCCCTGGAACCAGGATGGGAACGAAGTTCTGGAACTCCTGATGTGGAAATTTTCAGTGGATCTGGACTTGTCTGCAAAAGTTCACCGTCGATGATCTACTTGTCTACTCCGTAGGTGGGGCAAAGAAAACCTTGAAAATCCTTGAATCATGCAAAATGTACTTACAACTGATTCCCTGACCTGATACTCCGTACTTCTTGGTACTTTCTAGTCCTCAGCGTTCCTGTATCATACCTACGAGGTATAACACTTGCCTTGGAGATATCTTCATTGAGGTAGTTAGCATACTCCGTAGTCCGTACTGTAGTTCGCTTAACGTCTTATGGTTCTAGACCTGTCGACCAACAAAGCTATGAGCTTCCAAAGCTAACCAGTAACTAGATCAAAAGATAAGCTCAGTCTCGTCGTCCCAGTGGAGGGACACTCCTAACTCTGACATAGTTAGGGGGCCGAATGAGCAATAGAAAAAGGCAAAATAGACAAAGAAAGAAAGCCAAAACTTGGCAAAGACGGAAAAGAGCCCGGAATCTCACACCGAGACGTCAACCCAGTCCAGGCAACGCGGCCCTAGCACAGACAACTCGGGTAGACTAAATCGGCACACGGTCGGGATTCCGAAACGGAAACTCCCGAGTCCAGTCCCATGCCGTGTGTATCCCGAGACTGGGCCCAGGATCGGCTCACTCAATCATCGGGAGCAGGCCGAGTCCAGCTGGACAAGCAAGGGTGCATGAGCATATATCATTGGATCATGTACCGTCACTGCTGCTGGATACTGTGGACTGGAAACAAGTTTGCGGATGTGGATACGCTAGTCCCATCCGTAAATAGCAATTTGTGTGTCGGGAACTTATCAATAGGACAGCTCTTATGTCCTTATCTGTGTTTTGTTTTACCAAGGTCACAGTAGTTATCACGACCTATCACGATGCCACGTTGCTGGGCACTGACAGCTGAGCGGGTCGGAATTTTGGTTCGCTTGCCAGGCGTCCAGGTTTCCGCTCTTACCGCTGTGCTCATCAGTAAGCTGTTTGTGATTCAAGTGTTGGTTTAGTTAGTTAGTCTGTTAAGCGGTTACTGGACCACGGATATTACCGATACTACTCCCGAACTCAAAGGCTGTTAAGATAAGCCTAGCTGTCAGGGGAAAGCCAAAGTCGGAGAATTTACCGAGGTACATCGTTAGATCGCATAGATCAGCACGTATTCGGGGGTTTTCAGTTGCAGTGAAATCTAGTCCGAGGATACCGCAACTGCTTTTCGAACGTGCATCTCATAATGAGGGAATCTCGGAACCACGGCAGAGTGCCACGTGAGATAATCGAATACGCAGCGGCTGATTGAACAAGCCCAAGGCGACATTTCAGTTTAGTGGCGCCATCATGCTTTGTATGACGGAAGGAGATAAATCTGCATCAAAATATGGATGCTGATGTGACGACCGAGACCATGGATATGTAGGAAATGAAGTGTCACAGCTGTGTGACATGTCAGGGGCAGTGAGATGTTGTGCATCGCCAGTGGATCTAGAAAACCATGCGGGCAGGGCGATCCCGAGGTATGTATGGCGTGATGGAAAAATGGGTAAATGGTAGGCCCGAAGATGAAGAATCTTCTTTCCATACTTTCATACTTTCACGATCATACTTTGGATAGTGTAATCCTAGTCCGATGATACAGAGACCGAAGAGTGAGGGCTCAAGTACTCATTTATAATCACAAAGTGACCCATCCACTCAGAAGTAAAAGGGCATATGAAAGTCTTGTGAAAGTCTTGCAGGGTCCGTCCGGTTGAAATATGATAGCGCTGACGTAAAAGCCAGGTTTATGAAACGGATGAATGATGTGCCCAGTGATTAGCTTCTTTTAAATCGTTCATCCCCAAGGTTCTCTTTTTCTCACTCTCACACTCTTCTTCTACGTGATATATGCCAAGCACAGCCCTATAATACATAGAGCTTTATCAACATTCATCACCCACGATCAACATTGGCTTAGTCAATCCCGTTTGCCACGATAAATTAGGAAAAAGAAAAAAGCAAAAGGAAAAAGGAAGAAAAAGAAAAAAAGAAAAAAAGAAAACGCCGGAAACGGCTCCACTCAGTGGCAGTGGGACCCGTGAGTCGGAGTGTATCTGGCCATGTTCCGGTAGATCAAAGATAGAGGAAAAACGAGAAAAAAAATACTGTGTCATACATAGTACCACTTTTCGCTTCCTCCTTCTCTCATTCCTCATTGCTCTTTGACTCTCTCATTCCCTGCCCATTTTCCCGCTATCTCGCCGTGGGCGAAACCCGCAAATGGCTCTCAGCTTCTTCAGCGGTGGCGGAAGCGCCAGCAGCGCCAAGTACTTCGACATTAGGTTAGTGGGGAACTTGCAGCTCGCCGACACACATCTGACTTCAAATCCAAATAGATTGAATGACGAATACATCGTGTTTCGTGGTGGTGAACATGAGGCCGCCAGCGCGCATCTGCGGGGAACTCTGATTCTCTGCTTATCGGAGCCACTTACTATCAAACACCTTCGACTCCATCTGACAGGAATGTCGCGTATATGGTATGTTTCGCAGCTTCCCCAATTGCAACTTAATCCCACTAACCAGTCCTGTACACAGCTGGCACCTTCCGTCGACTTCAAGTGGTGGCCGCAAGCCCGTGCGCGAACGCGTGTTTTACGAGAAGACGTGGAAATTCCGGGATCCGGGCAAGGGAAAGACTGAAATTCTTCCTGCGGGGAACTACGAATATCCTTTCGATGTGGTGCTGGAGGGCTCTATGCCCGAGAGCGTGGAAGGCCTTGCGGACACATGGGTGATGTACCGTTTCAAGGCCGAGATCGGGCGCAAATACGTCAAGGACATTGTGGCGCGTAAGCCGCTCAGAATCATTCGCACGCTGGATCCCAGTGCGCTGGAGTTATCGCACGCAATGGTAAGTGTTGCTTTGAGAAGCTAACTCTCGGTGCTGTTTGGCTAACACATTTCACAGTCGGTGGACAACATTTGGCCCAACAAGATCGAATATTCCATTAGTACTCCGACGAAGGCCATTGTGTTCGGGACTGCAATCACCGTCGATTTCACATTGATACCCCTGCTTAAGGGTCTGCGGATCGGACAAATTACGTCACAGTTGATCGAAAGCCACGACCTGACTATGAACCCCGAAGATCCTGACTCTCTGCGCAATACATACAAACATTCAAGGACGATCTTGACCGATGAGCATGAGCTGGATGAGGACAATATCCAGGTTATCGACGAAACGGCGGAGGGATACCAATGCACGCGCGTTCTAGACATGCCCCAGACATTGACCCGGTGTCTGCAAGACGCGGATACCAGGGGAATCAAAATCCGCCACAAGCTGAAGTTCCGCGTTCAGTTGCACAATCCCGATGGCCACATCAGTGAGGTGAGTGACAGGAGAAGTCATCATCTCTTCCTGATTAGACTAACCATTTGATTGCAGCTTCGCGCTACGCTCCCAGTGTCCATCTTCATCTCGCCTCATCTCGCCATCGACGATAACAACAATCTCATCGCGCAAACCCCGCAAACTACACGGATGGCCGTCGAGGACTTCGCGCACCAGGCACCTCCTCTTTACGGCGAGCATCTGGTAGATCAATTGTACAGCGATGTGGACCCCAGCGGTTATCGCACACCAGGCCCCGGTAGTGGTCCTGGCACCCCATTCACTCCGCTCAGTCGAAACTTGTCAGCTGAGAATCTCGCCTCAATGAATGCGCTAACCAACACCAACATCTCGGCATCGGCGCTGCATCGCCGCCTGACCAGCTTGAACCAGAACTCGGGCAATCATGTCACCTTTGGCACAATTACCCCAGGCGAGCCTGCTCACGGAGCCCAATCTCCCCCCGACGGCCATAACAATACTCGGCAACTGGGCGTCCCCAATGATTACTTTAGCCCACCTTCCGGATCGAACTCACACAGCCACGGCAGCCCGGAACTCTCCCGTCGTCCCTCCGACGAAGTGGACCACGATGCCTTCCCATCCGGCATGGCCACTCCCTTCCACCCCCAGTACGCCGAGGTGGAGACCCTTAGTCGGGTTCCTAGCTACTCGACGGCAGTGCGCTGCGCCGTGCGTCCCCACGACGCTGGTCTTCCCGATTACACGGCCGCGATATCTAGTAGTCTCCCCCATTATGACCGCGCCACAGTCGCCTCAGCAGGCTTATATGCGCAGTGGCCGTTCCAGCGGGGTTACGACTCCCCTAGAGGTGCCGAATCACCCCATCTATTTCCACTCCGGCACCAATGCTGATGATGACGACCGCAGACTTCGGCTTGTGCAAGCCCGCGCTAGAGCATGATTGTGTGGTCCTGGTTTACTGGCCACTCATTTCTCTCGATCCTCCAGAAATTTACGACAAAAGCGTTTCCTTCTGTATCAGTGCTGGACACTGATCCCGTCGCAAATTCGCCTTACGCCTTCCCTCTTCTTCCGCCCCTCTACCTCCACAACTCGGCCCCCGACCATACAGGGTCTCTCGACGAATAAGCATAATTCAATTCCCACATCCCATTGGATCTCCCTCGACACATGATCCTTCACGCAGCATTGTTCTTCATCTTTCTACTCCGTCATGCCTTTACCCCCTTTCATTTTCTTTCGCCTTTCCCATTTCTCATTGTTCTGGCGTTCGGTCATAGACGGCAACGAATCTTTTCCTAGATGGTCATGCGAGGTGTTTTTTCTTTTCTTGCGCTTTTCCTTTCCACGAACGCAATTCGACACGAACCAGCTGCACGACGTTTACAGACTTACAGTATGCCTATCAGCATGATCTACGCATACAAGACTCTTACCCATGTACTTAACATTGTGCTACACTTAATAATTATGATCACTCTGCTCCACCATAGATCAGCGGATTCGACATTCGTTGATGATCTCACCTTTCCCGATCTGGTAATTAGATGTCGATCACCTTAGGTAATCAGGAATCTGGCCGATCCCGGTTCGGGGGAATTAATATCCGCGGACAATGACAGACATCCTGCTTCTTCCGGCCTCAATAATAGCATTGTTCCGCATTTTGTATGTCACGTTGTGGAATATCGCATGGCTTGCTTTCGGCTTGCCGTCTATGCCATGTTGCACTTGATGGGTTAGCTTTGGTCGGGTTTGCGAAGCCTACATGTACTCCGTATACTTCTCGAGTCTTCGGGTCGAGCTCAGCTAGATAAAACAGCGGTCAAGTAATAAATTGGTCTCGAATATATTCTAGTTTAAGTAGAGCATCCGAGGTCTGGAGGTGTCGGTTAATGATTAATCTGAACCTAGGCAAAGATAAAGCCACCAAATGTAAAAAGCCAGCCCTGGAGGGTTACAACTTCTCTCGATCGGCGGACAGATGTGACCTCATCGTTCCGCCGATCGGTTTAAGAAGTTAAGAACGGCCATCTCTCTGATTTTACCCAAAGACAACTTCGAGATAATACACACAGTCTGCACTCAGCAGAAATATTTGTGGAATCTGTCTTGATCGGCAACTAACTTTTGCTACGTGTAAGTCAGATTCGACACTCCAATGATCGTGTTCTGAACTAACTAGCTCGCTCCCCCCACAGACTAGCGCAGTTCAGCCGCTCGTGGTCTTTCTCAGCCACAGCGAACCCCCCCTCTATTTGAGCCACAGTTTTTCTCCCAAAGCTTTGCGACGGAGAAGACAGCTTTGGCTTCCTTTGATTGTCCTTCAGTTACACCTCCCAGGCTACACCGATACCTCACCCCATCCCTCTACCATGACTACTCCGACAAGCCCCGCGGAGGTGACCTTGCCTCAGCGGTCTGGCACCATGAGCAGCGGCATCACTCGTCGTACCTCCATGAGCGACGATGAGGCCATCCCTAAGACTGATAGCAGTGAGGTACGTATCTGCTCTGCGGTGTACTCTAAAGAATTCACCGAGCCCTTATACTAACGGGGGCCGGCGTCTAGACCACCACCCTCCTGCTAGAACGTCTCCAAGCCTGGAAGCACATGTGTGGCTATCTTGAGGATTACTTCTCTGCTACCGCCAAGGTGCAGAAGAACCAGTCCAAGGATTATGAGAAGATCTTGAAGGTTAGTGCATGTTCCTTTAAACCGGGGCGATAACCGGAACTGACGGGAAATGGAAATATAGACCGTGAACGAGCCCCTCAAGGAAGGCCACCATTACAGTTCCAGCGCCGGCGGCGTGGCCGGACTGTTCGAGAACATCCGCAACAACACACAAGGCATGGTGAACATGTACCTCGAAGGCGAGAAGAACATCAAAGACGGCGTCCTCCCCTCCCTCGAGCGTCTCCACAAAGAGATCAAGAACAAGTCCAAGGAGCTCAGCGCCGGCGCCTCGAAGGGCGCCAAAGCCGTCGAAAAGGCCCGCAACCTAACCCAAAAGCACATCGAACTCCTCGGCCAGAACTCCGCCTCCTTCGACGCAGCAGCCTCCAACAAAATCGAGCAGCACCACGACCCCTACCTCCTCAAACGCGGCATCAACCACCGTCTAAACAACCAAGTCAACGAGGAAAACAACCACCGTCAAGACATCCTCGCCGTGCAAAACTCCTTCCAACAATTCGAAGCCCACGTCCTGCAAACCGTCCAAGCAACCCTTGAACAATTCCACCAGCACATGGGCGGCCAGCTCGACCGCCAACGCGGCATGTACGCCGACATCCTCGGCACCGCCCAGCGCATCCCACCCGACTTCGAATGGGTCAACTTCTGTGTCCGCAACGACGCAACCCTCGTCAACCCCGACTCCCCCCACGCACCTTCTCCAGCATCACCTTCCCGAACATGGACCACCGCTCCACCAAACCGCTGATCGAGGGCTCCCTCGAGCGCCGCTCCCGAGCCATCGTCAAGGGCTATAGCACCGGCTACTACGTCGTCACACCCTCGCGCTACCTACACGAGTTCAAGGACACGGACGATTTCCGTCGCGACCCAACCCCGGAACTATCCTTGTACCTCCCCGACTGCATCGTAGGCGCCATCGACGGCGTCAAGTTCAACGTCAAGGGCAAGGACGTCTCCAGCGGGAAAATCGGTAACGCTTTCCACACGAACACCGAGCTCAGCTTCAAGGCGCATACCCCCAATGACGCGGAGAAGTGGTGGTCCGTGATCAAGGACGCTACTCGTGGCTCTACTGCTGCAGCCGCTGCTCCTGTGGCTGCCGCCTCTGCCGTCGGGTCAACAGTCACTTCGCCCACGGCTACATCCCCCGCTGCGGCTGTCTCTCCCGGTGGCGAGGTCGGCTCACGCAACGTCTCCGGCCAAAGCCAGCCGCCGACCTATGCTGAGAAGGAAATGGAGAAGAGCCAGGCTGCCGCAGCGCCTGCTACTTCTTCTTCTGAGGCGAAGGAGCCTGCAATCAGCCGTACCGCCAGCACAACTAGTCATTTCCATACATCGCCCGGTGGCTCCGCTGTGGATGAGAAGAAGTTGTGAGATGGTATGCTAGCCATGGCTTCTTGAGTTTCTGTTTTCATTTTGGTTCCTTGATTCATTGATTTCTTGACTTTGTACATGCATTCCAGCCCAGATACATACTTATAGCGGCATGTGTATTTCGTTCAGTTCGGGGTGTCCTTCATCCATCCGGATGAGAGTCTATCTCCAGGCTAGCTTGTTATATACCTCCTAATGGACTTTATCTTTCTTGACGAGCAGAGCAATATTCACTGAACCAGAAGTAATAATAATAGTATTCATAGGATCGCAGATCCTTCGGTTATCAAATACAAACGCAGAAAGTCGTGTCGTCGAATCGTTGAAAGCACACGCTGAAAACGAAGTAGCATGGCTATGCTATGTAAGTTGACCCCCCCCCCCCCATGCACATCACTGTTTCCCTGAAACCCCCAGAAATCACCATAAACCACCTGGGCATCAATGGTCGTAATGCTCAAAAATCCTCCGGACTCTCCAAATCATGCAACTTCTCCCCAAGAAAGCGCGCCAACGCCGCACACTTCGACTCCAACGCCAACAAAACCGCCGGTTCAGCCGAGAGATTCAAACCAGCAAGCCTGGCCAGATCTACACTCCTATCGACCTCCTGCGAATCAATCATAGAGCCCTCCCCAGGGGATGTCGACGCGACAGCCACAGCCCGCGATTCGCCGTCCGGCGTCGCGGTCCCATTCCCTGCCTCGACACCAGTATCAGCTGTGATATAGTCGGCGTTTGAACCATTTTGCTCCGCTGCGTCGAGTTTCGATGGACCGACGGCTGCGACGAGGACTTTATCTGCGATGCGGGTGACGACTGCGACGGAGTCGTCTAGCTCGAAGACGATGGAGCCGACGTCGCCTAGGGAGATGGATTTGGCGGTTACGTAGGAGGAGGGATGGCTGGCTGGGTTGACGCCTGTGAGGTTACCGCTTGAGGCGGTTTTTGCGTAGCATGTGTAGGCTGCGCCGTAGGTTGCGCTTAGGTTGCGGAGTTGGCGGGAGGAGAGGGGGAGCCGTGGGCGAAGAGGGCGCCGTTTGTTGCGAAGACACTGGGATTATTGTGGTTAGTATATTCCGACTGTGATGGGTGCGCAGCTGACATACATTATTGTTGTGATTTCTGGTGGGGAGAGGTTGTCTTCTAGGAGGTCGCTGAGCGCCTCGGCGTCGAGCATCTTGATGTCTGGGAGCCCGGGGATCATGTTGGTATTGTTCTGGGGTGATGGGTGTGTGTGTTGTTCTTGCTCTGTCTGCATTGGAGATTCCTGCGTTATGCACTGTGTGTCCGCGCTGTCTCTTGATGGTGTCCAGGAGCAGTCTTCTGGGAAGAAGAAGCAGTTGTCGCTGTAGTCCTCGTCGTCGTGGTCGTATTCGATCGGCTCGTCGGAGGAGTCTAGGAGGTTTTGGGCGCACTTTGTTTCGTAGCGGGCCCAGTAGGGGAGGAAGGTTGTTTCGAGGGAGTCTGTGGAGGTGAGGGTGGGCGATAGAGTTGTTGACGAGTAATCGGATATCGAGTAGGAGAAGCCGGGGACTGGAGGAGGTTCACATTCAGCCATCTTGATACCCATAGATACAGGTTTTGCCACGTTGTATGATGTGGTGTAGGTTCGTTGCCTCGTGAGAAATGTAAAAAGCAATGAGGAGAGCACGAGGGGGAGTAGGTGGTAAAAGGGGAGGAACCGATGACAAGGTAGAAGGCAATGCAAACGTCTCGAACGCTGACACAGTCTTGGTTTTGTCTGGTCTAAATGGAAAGTCACGATAATTCCAGTCACGTCCGATAGTAGTACAGAATAATACTCAGGGAAGGGTGATTAATCGGACCATAAGCAAATGTCATGAGGCTCCACGACAGCCGGTCGACGTAATGTGTACATGATCCGACACCTGATTAGAGAGCGGAAGGGAAGGTTTATGTGGCAGCTCAGAGCTTAACGCGGCAGAAGCACGAAAAAAACAAAGGAGCTTAAGACACCGTTCTAATTGCGACACGAAGCTGAGGGGCTTGAGACTCAAGACAGAAGCCAATGGTAGGGGAGGGATCAACCGTGGGGGAGGGGCGAATATGCGGGGAAAGCAACAGCACGATGCAAGAGGATATCCACGAACCTGGGCTGTGAGAATTGGGTGGGTTGACTGGTGTTTCGAGGTGATTCGAGGAGTGTTTCTTCAAATTGCAAGGGTTGGAGAGGAGAGGAGAAGATGAGTTGGAGATAAAACGGGGTTGTGGAGCTCCCGCATGACGTTGGGTCAAGACAACGCAGAGCTACGTGTCTATCAGATCTGAGGTTAAAGAGATGAATTCATAACTAGTTAGAGGTTACAGCTTGCTAGATGCCCGATAAGTTATATTCGAATAGTTACTTGGTTTTATAGTTAGCTAACTCAGTGATTGCTGAGCGTTGGCGACCCATATCAAAGGGGTCCAGGATCACGTGATCTAGATCTACTTACCGATCTACCCCCAAAAAGGGCGCTGATATTGACATTTCACCGCCTGCCTCCACAGGCTAATGAACCAACCTGATCAGGTTAGTGTGACAGCATTCTGCCGAATTCTACCTCATCATTGGCGGTCTCAGCCTCTGGGGTAAATGAGGTAAATCCCCCGCAGCCCTAAGCCCACCCGGCCCCTAGTTAACTATGCGTACTAGTAGTAAATACTGTAGTTTCCCCACCGCAATACTCCAGGTTTTGATCGCGATTCGCGAATTACTCGATGACTAGTAGACACTTTGAAGCAGAACGGAGATAGAAATCTCATTCACTAATCAGATCCAAAATCGCTATCGAAAGGAGATGTTTTGTGGCTGACCAATTCAACACCACCCGTGTTGAGTCCCTGTAGCTTCGCCTTTTCCCGCTTCGCTTTATCCAACTCTTCCTTTCGCTTTTTGTCCGCCGCTAGCTCTTTTATTCTCTTATCATAATAAGCATTGCCAGCTTGCACTATCGATGTCACGAGGCCTTTCACGTCTGCATCGAGCGGGATCCCATGCATCATCTCCGGGATATCTAGAATTGCACCGATGACGCTGGCAAAGTCTCCCTTGAAAATGCCTGTGGCTATCTTCCCGATAGTTCCAAAGATTTCAAGTAGTACCATGAATCCGTTCTTCTCTTTAGCTTCAATCTTGGTACCGTCAGAGTAATTGAAATACTTCCATCCAGTGCGTGTTCTGCGTTGTGAACACACATTGGTCCCTTTAATCAAGGTCCGGCCAGACACATTCCATGTATATGTCTTGCCCTTGGATGTGACGTTAGGTGCAGTTTCTTTCTTGACCTTTTCGGCTGTTAGTTGAAGATCTTTGCGGCAGACCGAAGGGCACTCACCTTATCTTTGACTCTCGCCAAGTGCACTTCGCCTATGCGATGATGAAGTGCCGGGTCAGAGGTAACATACTCATCGTAGGTCTTTGCTGAATTTCCTTTGGTTCCATACAGCTGCTTCGGCCAAAGGGTGAGGCTCCGGTCGTCGGTCACGTCCGCGCCACCATCAGGTGTATACCACTCATAATTCACATTGCGAGCGGCATATTTGGGCAACAATTTGTTGGTGGTCTTGACTGCGATAAATTGATTTTTGTCGTCGGCAGTCGACTTCACAAACAGCCCTACCCATTTAACTGTGCCGTAATTCCCATTGGCCTTGATGGTAATCGCCGGGTTGGTCATCTTTGGACATCTGACAGCCACATATCGATCCCATTCCAACATAAACTCAGCTTTGTTAAAGCAAAGACCTTTCTCAAAAAATGTGACCTCTTTTTCCGTTGTCCGGCTCACATTGCGCCAATTGGGGTGTGAAGTTGCATAGACAGCATTTGTCCCACCAATCGCGAACTCCATCTCGGCGTCATGCAGATGGACGCAGAAAAGCCAATAGTCTTCTTTTTCGAAGTTGAAGTCATCGCCTTGTTCTCGCTTGAATGTTGGAATGTCATCGAAAATGATGTTGTCTTTCCGAAAACGCCTATCGTAAAGTGGAATATCGGATCCCATGTGTGCGTCGAGCTTCACATCCATGATATAATCAGCCGGGAAAGATGCGCTGCACGTGAAGATCTCCGCGGGAAGTTTCTGGTTCGTAGCAGAGACATCTTCAGTTCCACTAGAAGGCACTACAGATGTAGAATCGGTGGTGGGGGTGGGATGAGAAGTATCTGCGGACATATTGATAGAGGTCTTGACGGAGCAGAAGGATCATAGGCATGATTATATGGGGAGCAGGGGCGTAGAGAGGAGGGCATAACTATAGGAAAATGCCGCAGATCTACATTTTGCATGGAAAGGGATGCAGTAATTTGCCGCTGGCTAATATGTAGCCTATAGTTAGGTAAAGCAGAGATACATACGTACGGAGTACACAAGCGGTGGCGGGACTAGGCAGGCAGCTCTACGGCAGATGAATGGTTTAGAGTGCATAAAAAGATCGACGCTGGGCCCTCGTATATGCAACTTCTACGTGGCCTTGCTGAATGCACATTCAAGCTATTACGAAGTTTGACCCACACTAGTTCAGCTGGATATCTTTCAGCCACCATTCTCCGCACCTCTAGGTTAAATGCAGGGTGGCGCTAGCAATGTCATCATATACGTACTGTGTACACCGTATGATATACTAACTCCGCGGAGCAAGCTAGCTAAGTATGATCGATGGCTGTATGCCCCAGAGATGTGTCTCCGGCTAATAGCCAGACCTCAGCCGAGCTACCATGTTAGGTACCTCTCATCATCCATCCAAAGGTATAAAGGTAAGGTGCCCATCATACTCATTCCAACAACATCAATCCATCCCGTCTTGATCAGCCATTTCATTCCAGATCATCCCCATCATGACTGTCTATGTGAGTTTACCTTACTGCATACTTATCTTACTGCATACTTTATTTCATATCTTACTAAGTCAAATAGATCCTGCATATCGAAGCCATATCCGTTGACCGAGAAAATCGATGGGAGATGGAACCAGTGAACAGGGCCAACCAACAGTTGTCGCAGTATGCTACCCATCCATCCCTACAGATCTATCTCTGATCAAAACCCCTAGGTTCCAGCGACTAGCCAACTCGGAACTCACGCCTTGTGCTATCGACTACCCAAATAAGGACCCTACTGACACTTCCGCATTGCGCGAGTGCAATATTGAGTATGGCCCGTCTTTTATCCTTATTCAGTCTGAAGATCTGACAATGGTAGATTCTCCATCCCTGATGATCTGAGTGTACCGACTCGGCAAAGAGCCAACAATACTCTTGATGAGCTTCGTAAAGTTGCGACATTCACTATTAAAGACAAGGAGTCCGGCGAGGAGCAGAACCCTTTTGCTTGATGCGCCTGTCCTGGGAGTGAATACACTTAGTGGAAAATTCCAATAGCTCAGATTAGGAGGTGAAGCATACGAATCAGAAGAATTGACATGATTTATATCTATCATAAGCCTTGTTAGATTCCTTCCTATGGAACGCGACTTGATCTATTCACGGGCTGCTATTTAGAACAATCTCATCAACAAAGACTCTCTGCTCTCCCACCCCCTTTAGGTCTAAGATCCCACCAAAACCAGCCCGCGCCGGCTCATTACCCGTTCCGTGATTGAGATTCACCAACACAAGACACCTTCTCCCTAGCACGCCAGCTTTCATATTGATATAATGCAAGGGCAGCAGCCATGCGGACGAGAGGAGTCTGTCTTCATCAAAAGTAACTTCGCTGGCAGAAACAATGCGAAGGCCATCTTTGTCCTGGCGATAATGGCGGAACCAAGCCTTCCCATCTGGTGAGGCAGAATAAAGTACGATTCTTTCCCCCGGGCTGCTTTTTATACGAAGATCATGGGTGTAGCTCAGAGTAGGCCAGGTTTGCACGAAAGAATGCGGTGGGGGCTGTTGCTCCACAGCAAACATAGAAACGGGCAGCATGACTCCATCTGCAACATCAGTCCATCTGAAACCTCTTTCGATGGTATCTGGGCCCTCCTTGTCTTGTAGGCGGAACTCCGGATAGGGCAACATCAGCATCTCCCATGAGTATTTGTCGATCAGCGCCTGCAAGAGTCTCGTTTTGACTTCTTCCATGGTGACGTTCTTGTCGTAGGTGACATCTATGTCGTCGATCCCCAATGCACCCAATAACGCCCAGCAGGAATCCTTGTCGTGGCGGAACTTTCGGCTTCGCTTGCCTGAGAGAATACCAAGAGGGTTTCGCTTCCAGAAGCCCACAAATCCCGACGACATGAAGACTTGGAATAATCGACGTAACCACCCCTCAGGCATTTCAGACAACAGGTAAGCTGCCGGAGGACTTGGTACACCCATGTCAGGCTCGTAGCCTTGTGTTTTGATGAAATATCCAATTGCCAGTTCATGAGCTAGCTTCGTGATGGGCACGGTGAGATCCGAGACAGTAGCTTGGTCGCTCATCCAGAAATCAGCACCAGGAAGCGTGCTGCCATTGCCGTCAATAAGATCGGTCTCGTGCAGTAGCACGCCTTCCTGTAACGTCCAGCCTGAGCACAACCAATATTCTTTTTCTCGAGCGGCGTCCAGAAGAAGCTGTACTTCCTCAACACGCTTTCGCATGTCTTCTGAGCCACTGTTTTCACCATCCGGTGATTTCAAACATAGCAGCACCTTGAGAGGGGACTCTTCTGTCCATGATGTTGAATGTAGCCAGACTATGCTTTTTCTGGCTTTGCCATATATATGCCTTGATCAAACATTTGGTTAGCATAAAGCAATCATTCAGTGACTAGACAGGGCGGGTGAGAAGAAATAGAACCAACATTTGCTTCCCAATTTCTTCCGCTTGAACTTGGAGAAGTTCAGGGCTTAGTTCTCTCAAGCCAGGCCCTCTTTGAGGAACACACATCCAATCCCACCAAATGTATCGACAGCCCATTGTCTCCATTACCCGCCTTGCCGTTGATAGGGGCCATTGTGTGACGCTAGGAACATCCCAAAGAAGCCCTCGAGGAGGGTCTGAGGCGGGTTTATCCCCTTGGATGTACCCCCAGGTATAGGACACTATCCCATAGCCTTCGAGGTCTAGTTTCTCTTGTGGAATTTCTGCGAAGGGACAAAGCTTCCATTCCTCCAGGTCTAGAAGCCATCGCGGACTTCCCGGGTCATTCGGCGGGATGATTGTAGTATCCATGTTGAGTTATTGGATGGTCACCCGCTGGAGTATAGAGTTAACAAGAGGACAAAGACGCTGAGGGGGAAAGGGAGAATCCGGAAGGAAAAGAGTGTGTTTTTATGCTTCTCGTGCGTATTCCATCCTTGGTTTACTCCACAGTCCCCCAATTTGATGATGTTTTGGTCCGGGCAGCTTGAATGATGTCCACATATTTCCGATGTCTCGATCAGGATAGTTGCATCCCCTAATGTAGTTTTTAATTTTGATTTTCTTTTACATTCTTCTCGTCTTAGCTATGAGGACCACTTTGCTTTTTTTAATGCTATATTCTTAATACAGATAGCATGATCCAGGCTCTGACCAACAGTGGTCGGAACTTGCATGCTCAACTCAACACTATCTATCAGGGGATGTTGTGAGGAGGTCTATGACATCTTCTACCATGAACCGACTGAGCACACAACAATCTTCTTCTGTTTCTGTTGCTTGCGTGCGGATATTGCTTTGTCTGACTCTCTGTCTCCCGAGACCAGCGATTCGCGAACCGCCACGTCGACAGTAGTCCAATATGTGGAGAAGAGGTGATCCACCTATTCTATCTCTAGATCCGTCTGCGGGGCGATTGAAGATCTGTGATATCTCTTTTAGATCTGCGTCAACGAATATCACCATTGGACTGGCTTCTGCCGCTAGTGACTAGCAGGCAAAGGAAGAGGTAGTATTTATTATCATCCAATTATAGCCTGCGTGAATGGATCTTCCCTCGAAGGATAAACGGGGGTGGAGCGTCAGCTGAAGAGAGCTGAAGACAAGCTGCAACGGCGCCAATCATGCACACCGCTGGTGATTGGCGAGGCCCTCATTATTTTATTATTTATTCTTCATGCTTTTCACGACCTAGGTGGCACAGTAAACATGTTCTGGCAGAGAGTCCCTGTCTGGCGTGGATGTTTTCAAGCCCCGCCTCACATCAATCTGGAGCCCGGTAGGTGTAACTCGATCAAAGCTGAATCTGTTCATACATATGTCTTCAAGGGCTATTGGTCGCACTCCCTAGGTACCGATGAGTTTGAGGTCGATGAAATTAAGTTGTGAACCGACCTTATGGAAAAAGTTGGTACATTTTGCCATAGCATTGAATATGGGAAATAATGACCACTACCTAGACCACAACAAACACAAGGTTCCTATCTATGGCCTAGGGAGGCCTTATCCCAGTGTATCCCAGTCTAACATTAAACACCAGACGAAGATACTCTACGGTTTCGCAGAAACATTCAAGGACTTTTCTCTGCTCTTTCTGTCGTCATGACTCGAAAGCCGTCCGATACGGTTAGTAGGTATTGGGAGCCGGCGACGACATGCAAAACAGTAACACCGAGAAAAGTGATCCGAACGGGGAATCAGCTAATCAAAGACACTGGCGGAGACGGCGCCAAGCCTAGGAAGCAGGCAAAAGACCATCACTGTTGGCAGGTCTACTGCCTGCTTGTCTCAGACGAAGGGCAGGTTGTTGCAATTGCTTGCGCAGGGATCGGATTCCAATTGTTCTGATGTTTCTTGGTTGTTCATGTCTCTCTAAGGGGTTCAGGTGGAAGGCGGGGTAGCAGCCTTCCGCCTGACTGCTGACTAAGATACATCACGTGGCCATAGTACAAACAACAATCACCACGAAAAGAGGCGAAAGAGCGGGTGCAATGATTGGACGTAGCACAAAAAATTGCAACCCCACCAAGAGAGGGGCAAAAGCGGGCGAAATGATTGGACGTAGCAGTACAGAAAAGACAGCCAACCAACGAACGAGCAAGATTTTGTCGTGATACCCAAGTAACAGATTCTTAGTTAGAGATAGAGATTAGAGATTAGAGATTCTTAGATTAGATATGGGAAATAATGACCACTACCTAGACCACAACAAAAACCAAGGTTCCTGTCTATGGCCTAGGGAGGCCTTATCCCAGTGTATCCCAGTCTAACATTAAACACCACTGCACCAGATCAGACGCGGCATGTGTAGGTACCAGTGGGATCATTCGGGCAATTCCTAAGGATATAGCCTTGCCAGTTGGCTGGAGCCTGCTCGCCAGTTGGCGGGAAGAATACAAGATGTCTGTTGATCTTGCGCTCAAGTTAGCATCATCAGCTACAAATTCGCCCAGCCCACAACTATGAAGCTTGACGTCTTGACCAATCTCCATTCAAATTGGATTGCCAATCCTCAGAGATTTCCGCAATTCGCATTTAACCTAAGGAGCCTTTTACCTTCCCACCCCAGGTTAGACCCGCTTCTCACTATGGCCCTGCAACCTGCCATAGCTTTTCCCCTCCTGTTCTGCCACCGCCTTGTCCGCTTCTTCTCTTCTCCGAGCTTTTCGTTCACTGCATGTGGCCTAGTCGAATTTTCCCCACTCGGAGTCACTCTGATACGTGCATCGATAGATCACGAAACCCCATGTTTAAGTTTTGAATTTGTCTTTGTCGAGAAGTCTCTCAAGCATGTCGGCACCCAGCACCGTTCATCCAGCTTTCAATTTCGGGAGTTCGTCTAGAGGAATCACGTGGTGAAGCTATGTTTGTCGAGAACGGGGTTGAAGGGCTGAGAGGTGGCATTATATGCACAGGGCAAATCTTCTGAGCTGGAAGACGAATGACACTGCGAGGGAATCTGATTCAAATACTTGGTTATAGTTAGCTAACTCAGTAATAATATAAAAGTCCAAGACTTAACTAGAGCTATCAAGCTATCAAAGGGTTACAGCGTCATGTGCCCCACTTTCCAATCGGTTCCATTCCCCTCACGGCTGACAAAAGCTTCTCTCGTAAGGCTGTTATTAGCCTGTTAACCCTTCTCTTTTCTCTCTCCCTCAATGTTCGCTCGTCTTTCTCGTCTTTCTCCTGGAATCCCCAAACAGAGATTCTTTGTACCAATCAGTACGCCCAATTTCATCTTGATTCCCAGCTCAATTTGTTGACAATCCCACCAGGATCCCTAGCAACCATGACTACCGATACCGCCACCTATAAGCTCAACCGTTCGTGGAACCCTGCGAAAATACACATCGCTAGACGCTGACACAATGGAATACAGACACGATGATGCGGGTCAAAGACCCGCAGCGTTCGGTGGAGTTTTACCAATTCCTTGGCCTGAGCTTGGTCAACAAGATCGACATGCCCGAATGGAAGTTCTGCAACTACTTCCTGGCCTACAATGGTCCGGCCTCCCTCCAGGGCGATCGTCACTGGACCGATCGCAACGCAGTGCTGGAATTGACTCACAACTACGGTACTGAAAACGACCCCAACTACAGCGTGGTGAACGGCAACACAGAACCCCACCGCGGCTTCGGTCACATTGCTATCTCAGTCGACAACATCGAAGCCGCCTGCAAGCGCATCGAGGATGCTGGCTACCCCTTCCAGAAGAAGTTGACCGAAGGCCGTATGCGCAACATCGCCTTCGCCAAGGATCCCGATGGATACTGGGTGGAGATCATTCGCCGCTCCGATGAGGATCTCAGCACTACCACCGACCCGGGTAGCTACCGCTTGAACCACACCATGCTGCGCGTGAAGGATGCCGAGGCCAGCTTGAAGTTCTACCAGGAATCTATGGGCATGACTTTGGTCCGCACCATTGAGAACCCGGATAACAAGTTCAACTTGTACTTCCTGGGATACCCTGCCTCCAACCCCGAAATCAAAGAGGACGCCAAGAATGGAGTGGCCGAATGGGAAGGTCTGTTGGAGTTGACCTGGAATTACGGCACGGAGAAGCAGGAGGGCCCTGTCTATCACAACGGCAACACCGAGCCCCAAGGTTTCGGTCACATTTGTAAGTGCATGATCACGCGACTTTCTTTGGTTTTATTTTCTAACTCGACCAGGTATCTCTGTGGACGACCTCCCAGCTGCATGCGAACGCTTCGAAAACCTGAAGGTTGACTTCAAGAAGCGCCTGACGGACGGACGGATGAACAACATTGCATTTATTTTGGATCCCGATGGATATTGGATTGAGGTGGTACAGAACGAGAAGATTAAGCGTACCTCCAACTGGTAGATCATGTAGTGTTAGCTGCGTACATAGTCATATTCCCCAGTCCACAATTGAATTGAACGCTTTGGACCGCTTTGCCCAGGCCCCGGTTTTGCTTATCCCCGCCACTATTTCATAGGCCAAGGTGGACCCTCTTCACCCCACATCGGAGACCTCAAATTCTCAGACTTATAACTTTCTTGACGATGGCTGAACGATGACTATCCCGACCCTCGATGCGGGATGAATTAAATCCTTTTGTTCTGGCCTATCTGTTTGCATCTGCGGGGGGCTTCATCCCCAGGCGTCAGCCGAGCCACAACTCTAAGCGCTCAGGCGGTTAGTAACTTAGAAGACTCGCCAGAGAGGTGGCTTCAAACTTGGGAACGATCGAGACCATGTCGTCTGACGCAGGAAAAACGAAAAAGACGCCCCGGAAACATGTTACTACTGCATGTGTGCCCTGTCGGGAGAGCAAGATTAGGGTATGCGCCCTGGCATGAAGCATACAGCTTCACTCTGTGTAAATTTTGAGCCGAGTGTGATCTAACACGGCACTTACTACCAGTGCGATGGGGCTACTCCGCATTGTCAAAATTGTCAGCGCAAGGGAAAAGAATGCAAATATCAACATGGAGATGACAAGCGCAAGTAAGTGCCATATTTTCGAGTTTTGCAGTCAGTGGCTTGCCACAGCTGCCAAGAGTGCATTATATGTTCGACTCGGATTCCTAACATAAGATATGAAATCAGAGTGTCTCTTCGAGCAACCACCGAATTGTTCTCGGCCAGAATCGACCAGCTGTGTCAATTCATCCAAGACAAGGGGCTAGAGCCGCCGCCAATGGACTCAGAAGATGAAGCTGCTATGAACAAAGTCCTGGATACTCTCCAAATTCCACATAGACTCAAAGCTTCAAGCTCTACAGGCGAAAAGCCATCGGAGCCAGTGGCGAGAAATCACTCTTCGGCCAAGAACCTTCCTGCTGATAGTCTCAAGGAACAAACCCCGCCAACTAACCCCGGTGCTTCTGGGGTATCTCCAGCGCAAGATTCTATCTCGGATGAACAGACGCTCTCACCGGAGGGCTGGAACCCCTTCGGGATGGTCCGAGGTGCTTCCGACAATCAGAACTTCGTTCATTGGGGTTTCACTCTTCCAACGGCAGAGAGTCTGGATAGTATCTATGCAACTATGAATGACAGGCAGCGACCAGAAGCTTCTACAATGACTCAAATACCCGTAAATACAGGACTAACCCCGGATGGCTATCAACTGGGCATGGACATGATTCAGCCGGGCCCTTTGCACAGCCAGCTACCGCAAGACGCAGACAATGACTCCGACAGCGAAGAAGAGGACGAAGCTGAAAATGACGTTATCGAGCAGTTATCGCACCGAATTGGCACTCTGAAAATTGCCGGGGATGGCCACCTGCGCTTCTACGGTGCAACCTCCAACCTCAACTTGGTCGATGTGTCTGCGACGCAGCAGCGGCAGAGACCAGACGCGCGCACTGTGCGCCACGATGGGCAGGATATTCTGAATCATCTTCGGGTTGGTCAGCCGGTTGATCAGGCGCTGGAGGATCATCTTGTCGAGCTGTATTTCACCTGGCAAAACCCGAGTACATATGTCGTTGACAAGGAGATGTACATGACGGCACGACATAAATGGCGCAACGAGTTTGACGATACTCCATTCTATTCGGAGGTTTTGACTAATGCAATGCAAGTTTGCGATTTTCTTCTTTCGTTCGTCGAGGGGTTCACTAACTTAGTGCAGGTGTGCAATTGGTAGTGCCTTCGAGGCACGCTATCACCCCACCTTCATCACATTCCCCAAATCGCTCTCTGAGTTCTTTGCAGACCGTGCTAAGGCCCTGCTCGAGATCGAACTTGATTCTCCCTGTGTTGCTACTGTACAAGCGCTCGTTATCATGAGTTGTCATGAAGGCGCATCGAGTCGTGATGCTCGAGGTTGGCTATACAGTGGTGAGTATATATCTCCATGATATGGCCGGTTAGGCATCTGGGCTCGTCTAATTATAACAGGAATGTCTATGCGACTTGCTTTTGATCTTGGACTACATCTAGACATGGAGGCGTACGTCAACAAGGGCGATATTACCCAGTTCGAGGCTGATGTACGCCGTGCAACGTTCTGGGGTAGCTACGTTGCAGATCAGTGAGTCTTTATTTATTACGTACTCTCAATATTAGTCCCTCTGACAATATCCAGCTTTTGGGGCTTCTACCTGGGCCGCCCATTCCGCATGAACGCCGGAGACATAGGAGTCCCGAAGCCTGCCTCTGCTCCTTACGCAGAAAAGGATGAAAAATGGCATGCATACGGACATCAGCCTGCTCATGGTCTCCTTCATAACAGTCTGGATAATCCGATCGAGTTGATTTGCAGGCATTTCGTCGTTCTATGGGAGATGATCTCCCCAGTTGGTCATATCTTGTAAGTCACCTTTATTCCGGTTGGATGCGACGCTAATATACGGGCATGACTTCAGGTATGGATGCTCCAACATCTCTCGACATGACCTGCAAAGAATCTGCTACCGAGTGACGGAAGATTTATTCGCCTGGAAAGCCAACCTCCCTTCCAACCTCGAAATCGACCTAGACGACGATACATCTCCAATCCTCCCCCATCTCATGATGCTACAGTGAGTTTGTTTCAGCAGGAGACACCAGAATAGACCCTAACCCTGGCAGTATGCAATACCACCAAATCATCATCTTCTTCCACCGCCCCTGGCTCTCCAAAAGCTACATCCAACCCCGCAGCCCCCGTCAGGGCCCCGGGTATCACCACGCACGACGAATGTGCGTCGAGTCAGCCACCGCCATCGCACGACTCCTCCAGCTCTACGAGAAACACTACACCTTCCGCCGCATGAACAACCAAGTCGTAGCGATAATATTCAGCGCAGCACTCATGCTGTTATTCGTCACCGTATCCACTTCCCCGGTGAGTCCTGGCAAGCCAGGCGACAGCCCGATATACCCCCGCAGCGCCGAAATGGTCGCATATCTCAACCTGTGCTTCCGCGCCCTGGATGAACTAGGACAGTCATTCGAGAACGCCAAGCGAACCCGCGATTACCTGGTAGCTCTCCAGCGACGTTGGCAGGCGAATATGAGCCGATCGGGCTCTGCCACGAAACGACAGATCAGCAGTACTAATTTGCCGTCTATGGGCTCACAAAGGCCGGCTGTACAGCATGGTCGTTCGACTGCTGGTCAGGTGGTAGATGGCTCGCGGAAGAAGTCTCGCTTGTCGGCCGGAGCTGCTCATTTGCAGTCCACTGTTCCTGTGACGTCTAACCGACATCTTCCGCCTCGGCAACAGCAACAGCAACAGCAACAGCAACCTCACTATCTTGAACAAATGTCGTTCCCCGTGACTGATCCCCAGATGAATAATCTGGATTGGATCCGTAGCTCGGATATGCACCTGTTGTCTGAAAGTCAGCATGCCAATGCCGTCGATGGGATGGGCCAGGTTCCTTCGCCCGGCATGCTCGCGGACATGGGAGATATTGATGGGTGGTGGGCATCGGATGACTATGTTGGATCAATGGACCATGAAACGAAGTACACCGTACAGCGACCTGGAGAACCTTAACCATCATGTCCATATAAGCTTGGAAATAAGCATGAGAGAAGATGTATTCTTCAAACAAACCATACCTCCAGGGCTATCTTGAAATTTCAGACCTTATAGTACATGTTTGTCTGTTGTTTCTGAATCCTGGTGAATTCTTTGATACTGCATAAGATGATAAGAAATCAGTTCGTAGATTTAGCGTCTGCTGTTACCTTGGAAGGTGTACTGATTGAAACGTTTTCAGGCGCAAGGCCCGGCGTCATGAACCTGGAAACCCCCTCCTTTTCAAGGTTCGTTCCCTTGAACGATAGGTAGATACTGTGGGCACGTATCAAGTCCGTACCCGATTATGTACGGTAGGGAGGAGGGTAGCAGGGTTATCACTCATCCCTGCTACTGCGGAACCGCCAATAAATCACACCGCTAGGTAGATGTCTGTTCTACCCGACATGTGTATGTGGTCTGCCCTTTTCATCCCCTCTTCATCCTCCTGTGAAAGCCTAGGTTCGATTGTTCTCACCAGTGCTCATTCTTGTCTAGATATCTAAACATGTCCACCTTCATGATAATCCCCCTAAATTCAATCCAAATCATCCATATCCCCCCGAAACACCCGCCCAAGCCACCCACCCACCTCCTCATCTGCAACATGCAAACCCTCCACTCTATCCAACCCAACCCTCCTCTCCCCAACTCCCTTCTCCCTCCCCCAAAAACAAGCCCTCCGCATAGCAGAAACCATCTCATCCGCCTGTCTCCGCAAAACCAACCCCCCACCCCCCTCTCTCCCCTTCCTCTTCACCTCGCCCACACCATCCCTAACCAAAACCTTAACCAAAGGCAATCTGGTCTCTAGTCTCTTAACCCCAGTCCCAACCCCAGCCCTAGACCTCGCACCCCCACTAAGTCCATAATCAAGCCCATAAGGCGGCCACCGCGACAGCGCCTTTCGCCGCCGCGGAACCGTCCCACTACCACCCTCATCATCAACACAAGTCCCCTCAACATCCGAATAAACCCCCGGATCCAAACCAGACATGCTATCCATCTCGTACACACCCATCTCCGTGCCGCTCTCCTTGAGCACGGGAACCGGGTACCCCGGCCCAGTCAGGTACTGCGGGAACGAGCGCGGAACGTCCCGGCCCGCCGAGCGGAGGAAGAGAATAGGCGAGGCGAAGGAGTCGAAGTAGCGTTCTGGTGATGAGAAGAATTTCTCGCGGGCGTGGAGAAGTGGAACGAGGTCCGGTGGTGCTGCTTTTTTCCTTGGGTGTCGCTTGTGTTTTGGTGTTGGGGGAGTGCTGAGTTCTTGGTCTGGGTCTGGGGACACGCTGTCGGTTTCCCGGATGCAGTATTCGTCCAGACTGGGCCAGTCGCATATAGGTTCTATGGCAGCGACGGCTTGGATGGAGCGTGCTTCGGTGAGTGATAGCATTAGGGCTAAGGAGGCGCCGATGTGGGTGCCGAAGACTGTTAGGCGGGATGGGTTGAGGGTTGACTGGATCCAGTCGAAGCCTGATAGGGTGTCGTGGACTGGGGTTGGGTATTTGTGGGAGGTTAGGGGTTGTAAAGGCTCCAACCCTTTTGTGAGAAGAGGTGTATCTGCGGATGAGGCGGTGGTGGTGGTTTGGATATCCCCAAGCCGGTAGTTGACTGTGACGACCACCGCAGATGTGGTGGATGCTAGGGTACGTTGAGGTGAAGCTTTATAGGCTAAGTTGCTGAGTTCATCGGTTTTGTGATCAACCTTGGAACTTGAGCTTTCACTTTCATCTTGAGATGAGATGGTCCCTGTATCCTGGAACAAAGGTCCTGGGGGAGATAGAGGATCACATTTGGGCTTTCTGGGGATTGTCCCTGATCTGACCGGCTTAATTTGGTCGGTCGCGTGATTCTAGAGCGAAGTCAGAATTTATGTCTAGATTTAAGTGCAATGTCGCTTACTGTAGAGAAATTGAGCCGCTGGCTCCAACAGGGATGGTAATTGTCTCATCACTGCAATCGGTTGAAGTGGAATATTGGGCGCGTCGAAAACACACGGAGATGCAGGTCGCTCCTCTGCTGCGGTTACTGCGGTGCAGAAAAAGGGCTACGCCACGCGATGAGCAGAGTATAGCTCGCATAGTGAAATCCAAGCCAGAATTGGCTGTTTGATGGACTTTGTCAAGGTCCGAGTCGTTGGGCGATCCGGAGGTGTTGATGCCTGAATGGTGAGGCCATCTACACCCCTAACTACACGCGGGCGATGAAATGAAACTGTCCAAATACCAAAGTTAAGAAATCTATCGTGAGGGAATTGTTGTATAAGTCCTCCGATACTAACCAACCGATGACCACAAATACAGGCGTCGTGTTCCACAGAAGCAGGAAAGGTACACATGAGCTACAATCTTCTTTTGCTTCACAAATGGAACATAAACAATAGTTACATGCTAAATACAATCGGACTAAACAATCAGCTGGCTCCAGGAATCCCTCCATGAAGGAGCATCTCTCTGAGGAGTAGTCGCAGAAGCAGCAGGGTCATCTCGATCCAGTGGAGCCTCAGTATCATCCTCCGGCACAGGACGCACAACCTGCAAGCTCAACATCGGATCCTTAGAGTAAACCCTAAGCCCAACGACACAAACGGCATTCCACGGATCAACAGCGGGCTCGTCGTTATCCGCCGTTGGATGACGGTTCTTCACGTCCGCCTCATCAGGAGGCATATCGAGATCACTATCAAATTCAAACCCTTCAAGCAACTCCAAGTCACTGGGATTCAAAGCCTCTGCAGCAATACGAGTCTCGAGACTTAGACGCGGAGATTCCGTTCCACGCCGATAGCTGCTGCTTGCATGTCTTGCGTGAAGGCCCTTTCCGCCGTTGACGTGGATGACGGGGACGGTACCGTTTGCGCGTGGAACACGGGGTTCACTACTCTCGCTTGAAATGCTTGGAGCATCTATCGGGGAGTCTTGGACCGGTTTCTCAGCTAGGATTTGGCCGGGGATCGCATCGCGTTCGGAGGCCTGGCCGAAGGAGCTACCAGTGGGCGTGCGGTTCACGCGTCTGGCTTCCATGCGCTCATGTCGTGCATTCAGCTTCTGGTTGCGGATCCAGTCCTTTTGCATCTTTTTCTTGGTTTCGCCACGAAGTCTCCTCCGCTCGGCTGCTCTGAGCAGCTCTCGGTCCCGCTGTTCTTGCTCCGTCTCGCCCACCAGTCCCTTGGCGTGAGCGAGATCGTATGAAAGACCCACTTGGACTAGTTTCTCTCTTCTCGTTGAGGCCAATTGGCGAACGGTCTCCTCGGTTGATTCTAGTTCCTCATGGCGGAAGGCTGTGATCTTCATCAAGACTTGATAGCGACCTGGTTCAAGGTTGATCTCGGCGTTCACTGATCGGCCCATGAAGTGGCTGTTCTGGCTGCGTACGAGATAGTCTTCCTCGCCGTCCTTTTGCAGGCGGAACTTCAGGACAAAGCTGTACTCGCCAGCAAGTCCCTTGAAGTAACGTGTGTCAAGCTATATCTGTCAGTGGGAGTCCTCCACACATTGGGCAGATGCAAACACGAACCTGGGATAGGACGATGACTACCGGTCCACCTTTGGTCACTTCCATCATGAATTTGGTGCTGTGATAATCAGCGGACCAGGGTACATTCAAGGTGGTCCATTGCTGTGTAATAGTCCACTCTTGTCCGAATAAGCGAGTTCGATCTAAGTGCTGATATTTTCTGAGAAGATCATTGTAAGAGATCCAGAAGAACTATGTCCTGTTAGCATGAAAAGACCACAATGCGTCAGCACCTACCCCGTCGTTCCCAAACGTATGACCGAGTGTCTTCATCCACTCCGGCGTCCACTCCTTCGACCCATCGCCCCAGGCACCGTGCCATTCTTTGCGACCCCAGGGATTCCTAAGATGTGTGAGCTCGGGTGTTCGGCTCATAAAACCTCATTCAAGCACATACCTCAATCGCAGTAGCCGCTGCCCATCAATTTCCCTAGCCTCCATGATAGAGTACGAGTGGCCTTCTGAAATACCCTTTCGATCTCTTGGAGGACCCCGGTATTTGGGATCTAACCAGTTGGAAAATAAGCCAGTCCCGCAGCCAAACAAGAACTCCGTGTTTACTTTCATAAGTTCCTCCTTCCAAAACCGGTCCTTGTCGAGAATGTTGCTGGACAAGACCTCAGAGGTAACGCCCCCAGTGAGATCCTCAATAGCCTCACCGACAAAACCACCCTCAATGGCGGAGTAGTCGCCGTGGGCTTTTGCAAAGGCCTTCTCCAGAAGTGGCAGCCAGGTCTCATTCTCGTCCACGCATTGAGCAAAATACAGTACCCGCGAGCCTGTCTGCCAGACTCGTCGGTATTCTTCCTCTGGGTCATTTCGGGTGATATCGTCCCAGAGGGGTCTTTCATCAATAGACTCGTCATAGTCCGCAGCCCGTAGATACAACTTATCATCCACGATGCATTGCTGCCATTCTCCATCTGACCAATCCAAGTTAGCATGTGTTCAGATTGAAGCGAATGACTGCAGCTTACCTCGATAGAACACAAACCCATAGATCCCAACTTTCTCATTGCGCGCAACACAAATCTTCTCAATAAGCTCTTCCTTGTTACCCATAGTACACAGCGCAGCCATCAACCAGCAATCCCCATCATAGCCCTGTCGCACATCCGACGCGGTAGGCCCATTGACAAAGAACTGCGGCTTTTCAAAGATTTCCTACAATGCATCAGCAACCCACACACAGATTTGTCAATTACATCTCCGCACTAACCGTCACCCTCTTCACGCCCCTTGGTCTCATCTCCGGATTGGGCTTATCCAATCCATCGAGATAGTGCCTCCGACCAGATTTCAGGTCAACCTCGATATCGAAGTGTGGATCGGTGTACTTCTGATTGATACGTTCACATTCCTTGACGATACGCTCGACGGATTTCCGACATTCCCAACGTGCCTGCTCGTACGATTTGACGGCCTCGTGGCCCTGGATGCGGCCGCTGGGCACGCGCTTGGCCCGCGTCCGTGCATACGAGTTATCCGGCAGAACAGTGTATACTTTGCCCGGGTATTTGGTGTTGAATCGTTCCCAGAACTGCTTGACGGATTCTTGGGGAGGTTGGCAGCGTGCGCGGGGTGGGGGTCGACTGTTTGAGCGCGAGGAGCTTGGTCCGGCTGCGGCGTAGCCATACTCGTCGTCGTACTGGTCCATACTTTGGATCTCTGGACTAATGCTTCTCGTTTGTTTGTTCGGTATCTCTCTCTTTATCTTTCCAATATTCGGGCTTTTGCTTCGATCTTTCTCTTCTGGGAGAGATACCGCAGCGACGGGTCTTGGGAGGTTATATCTATTATATGGCAGTAACCACTGCAACAGGGACAATCTTGACAGAAGGAAATGGAATAAAGAAGCTAGACTCCTCTCTAGTCTAAATACAAAAAGGCCTAAGGCCTTAGAGGGGATTCTCCAAGTTTCCCCCTCACGCGGCCACCCCGAGCCGAGAACATAGCGTCAGCCTCGTTCTTTCATATTGATTCGCTGACTTGGGTGTTGATCTCCATAAAAGGCGTTCATTGTAAGGCTGCATGTGCATTGGACTAGTCTAGAGTTGGGCAAATGAGCGAATCTGACAGCAAAAGGTGTCTTTGGCCCCCACCTCGATTTCAGCCCCTGCTGTAACGGAGAAGCGAATGCATCCCGCATGAACCGACCCTGTTGATAGACCACAGTCGAAAGGCCTTGAGAAAGTATATAGTATAGGGCAAACAGCCAGGAAGCACTCACAAACGGGTCCAATCAGTGCTCGGGATTGAGATTTTAAGATGCTTAGTCTGTCTCATCTCACGGGCATTCTCACTCCATATAATGTCACGTGGGCGGCTGACGGGGTTTGATTCCCAATCAGCTTCACCCGCATCTACTTCCTTGTCTATCAAGTTTGAGGCTGAAGAGGCTGAATGCAATGATACCGTCACATAGTAACTAGTTTCGTATCAGGTTACAGGGTAGAGAGGGTATGTACGCCTGTTATTCATAACTAAAGCACTTCGTATCCAATAAGCCGACCCGCCCATATCATATCACTCCCCCTAAACGCCGTAAGAGGAGAAAGAAATCATATCCCGACACTCTACAGAGTGAATTGAGATCACATAAACAAGATCAGTTTCATCACTCTAGTAGGTCCCGTTGCTGGGGCCACGTCCTGAGTAGAATGCGGTGCCGTTGCGGAAGTATGGGTGTTGGCAGGCCTGTTTGGCCGAGAGTCGATGGGCAGGGTCAAATTCGAGCAGAGATTCCAGTAGCTGGCATCCAGCCTCTTCCAATCCAGGGACAATTTCGGTATCAGGACGCTTCCACCGGGGGAAAGTAGACTTGTAATCGGGGAAGGAGGTAACGCCGGGCCAGACGTCTTCATCAGGGGTACCGAGGACGCTGCATGTTGTTAGTATAGTCAATTTGAAAGACCACCAAGGGAAACGTACCGGAAGATCTTGAAGATCTCGTCAATTTCAGAGTCACCGGGGAATAAGGGTTTGCGGGTGCACATTTCGGCAAAAATGGCGCCCACTGACCACATGTCAACACCCGTAGAGTACTGACGTCCTCCAAGAAGAATCTCTGGAGAACGGTACCACAGTGTAACGACCTGCGAATCATGTCAGTTGCCGTATACCCCACAATCCTGAAAACACAATCCATACCTCGTGAGTGTAAGTGCGAAGAGGCACACCGAACGCTCTGGCCAAACCAAAATCGGCCAACTTGAGATTTCCCTCACGATCAATGAGCAAATTCTGGGGCTTCAAGTCACGGTGGAGAACTCGGTGGCTGTGGCAGTATCGGATGCCCTCGACAAGCTGAGCCATGAACTTCTTGACCATTGCCTCACCCAGTCCAATTACAGTTCCTGCCTTAAACCCTTCGGGCAAGGGCTTCCCCCGTCCTCCCTCGCTGACAGGCAGAGCTTCCATGTATTTTTTGAGATCACAGTCAAGGAATTCGAAGACGAGATAGAGCTTGTGGCCATCGGCATGGACAATGTTGAACAGCTGGACAATATTGGGGTCCTTCATTTCCTTGAGGAGAGAAATCTCTCGGATTGCGGTGCTGGGGACGCCCTCATCTTCGGCTTCGAGACGAATCTTCTTCAGAGCAACGATACGGTTGGGGTGGCTGAGTTCACGAGCCTTGTACACAACACCGTACGTGCCTAGAGAACGACGCGTGAGTTGAGTTGTGTGTGCCGGTCATGCCAGACTACGTACCTTCGCCGATCTTCTCAATCTTCTGGTAGTTCTCCATGGTGCCCGACATCCGATCCTTTCTATTATGATGAGGTCAGAATCAAATCCAAAACAAGGTCAGAATGGGAAGTGACACAAATCGGGGGTGTTGTCTAGGAGAATTTGCAGACGCAAGGAGAGGATCTAAGGAAGCCACTAGTACTTACTCTGGGGTTCTCTGAGAACAGCTGAAGCAGCACGCCCTCGATATTCCACCTGGATATCAAGAGATATAATTTGAAGAGATAATTGACAGACAGTCTGCCAATGGTGGGGAGAGTTGAAAGACAAAACAAACAACGCGCTCACCGCCCGATGATTGGCGCGGGGGTACTTCTTCCGCTCTCAAAATTGTTAGCCAGACACTCTTCGTCAATTCCCTTCGCAATGGCCCAAATCAAAGGCCTCAGTGCTTATGACCGTCCTCCAGATCCTGTCAGACTTTGTTATAAGAAATACTCTAAGATTGCCTTGTCCGAAATTGACAATGACCCGCGAATCCTCGATCTGCAACGGATCGATCCCGACCAACTTCCACGTGGAGTGACTATCGCTCAGCATATGTCCAGCCAGGATCTGCGATTGGCATTTGACGATTTTGTCTGTGGCGGTCATGCTGTAATACAAGAGCATGCCCCTTTGACTGAGAACATCCCAGTCTTCGCTCATGAATCTATCTCCGGTTAGCATTGTATCGCCTTCAATTGGAACTGACCCCAGCAGGACAAATAGCGTTTCCTGACAACCTCACAGGTCTCCTTATGATTCCTGCCTTGTTCCCTCCCACTGTTCAGATCGAGTTGCTTTCTCGCCTATTACATCGAGATCTACCCGTACCCGAGCATCAGACAAACCTACACTTGCACTACGACGTAACATACCCCGAAAAAGCACAAGACACGGGCATGCCCAAGTCATTCTTTGCTGATGATCCTACACGCACCCTACAGCCCAAGGATCCTCAGGTGCATAGGCCTTTGACTATTCAAAGTGTTTTGGAGAAAAAGCTGCGCTGGGTCACATTGGGTGGACAATACGACTGGACAGCCAAGGTATACCCATCGGGGATTCCTCCAGAGTTCCCTCCAGATATTGCAAAGCTACTTCGTGCTGCGTTCCCGCAGACCGATGCCCAGGCCGCTATACTGAACCTCTATTCCGCCGGAGATACGCTGAGCGTGCACCGTGACGTGAGTGAGGACTGTGACGTAGGTTTGATTAGCGTGAGTTTTGGATGCGACGGGTTGTTCTTAGCTAGTCACGACGATGGAACTGGTTGCGAGGTTATTCGGCTTCGGTCAGGCGACACTGTATACATGAACGGGAAATCGCGGTTCGCCTGGCATGGAGTGCCGAAGATCCTGCCCTCGACTTGCCCAAGCTGGTTGGCTAATTGGCCATCGTTCGAAGAGTCTGTTCCCGGAAAGCCGCCTGGTCCATACGAGATGTGGAAGGGTTGGATGTCCGGTAAACGGATCAACCTGAATGTTCGACAAATGAGAAGCACTCCTTCCCCAGAGAATCAGACACAGCAGGTCTGAAAGTGGGAAATCACGCAAACTATTTACTCTCTACTTCGTTCAAAAGGGACAACCCGTGTTTGCGCCCAGACACAGCGACACCTGTGCCAGCTATTGGCTCGGGTCAATTCGCACTCGAATCCCTGAAAGGCTCGGCGTCGTGCACAGGGCGCTATGTCTGTCTGTTGATAAGAGATGCACGGCGTGCGGGATGAATCCGCACGACCTACCGCACTGGACATAAAAGTCACAGACGTACAACATCACCTAAATAGAGCGAATGATATGGCTATCACTGCAATACTCCAAAGCAAACACGATATAGTACCCGAACTGATTGGCTGATAAGCATGCCTATCATGCCTGCATATGTCTCACCCCCACTGACTCCAATACCCCCGCACACCTGCAGTGTGTTACTTAAAGCCCGTCCCAAACCTAGGTCTTCCGCCAAAAGGTCAGCTGTACTCCGTACACCATCCAACAAGGCAAACATACATAACCACCATGAGTCTTCCGAGCTGGCAAACACTCGGCCAAGCCAAATGCCAGGCAATTCTGAATGCCATCCCGGAAAAGTGGCGGTTGGAGCATCCTCTGCCGCCTGACGAAGAGCTACGCGATGTCACAGGAGACTATATCCGACAATTCCTCACCCAGCGTGAGATCGAGATAACAGAGAAAGACGCTGTAGACATCGTGGCCCAAACATCCACCGGCCGCTGGTCAGCCCTCGAAGTAACAGAAGCCTTCTGTCACCGAGCCGCACTAGCCCACCAATTCGTACGTATACACGAACAGCCCAGCCTGTGCAGAAAAGCCACAGTAAATATACAAACCTCAGTAAAAACCAATTCTAACCAAACACCAGGTCAACTGTCTCCACGAAGTATTCTTCGAATCAGCAATCGAAGCCGCCAAAGAACAAGATGCATATTTCGCAACCCACAACACCCCAAAGGGTCCCCTCCACGGCCTCCCAATAAGCCTCAAAGACCAATTCCACATCAAAGACGTCGAAACAACAATGGGCTACGTCGGCTGGATAAACACCTTTGAAGGCAAACCAATCGACCCCAACACCACCAAAAAAGAAAGCGAACTCGTCCGCGAACTGCGCGCCCTCGGCGCAATCCTCTACTGCAAAACCAGCGTCCCAGCTACCCTAATGGCCGGCGAAACCGTCAACAACATAATCGGTTACACCTGGAACCCCAAGAACCGTCTCCTCTCCAGCGGCGGCAGCTCCGGCGGCGAGGGCGCTCTGATCGCTCTGCGCGGGTCGCCTGCTGGCTTCGGGACTGATATCGGAGGCAGTGTGCGCATCCCGGCTGGGTTCAATGGGATCTATGGGCTTCGGCCTTCGGCGGGGAGAATTCCGTACCAGGGTGCTGCGAATTCGCTGGATGGTCAGGGGTGTATTTTGTCTGTTGTTGGGCCTATGGCAGCAACTGCGAGGTCTTTGACTTTGTTGGTTAAAGCGGTTTTGGGAATGCAGCCTTGGACGCGTGATCCTCTTGCGTTGGAGTTGCCGTGGCGGGAGGAGGTTGTGGAACAGACTAGGGGGTTGATTGAGAGGGCTAGGAGCGGGTCGTCTGACTCTGTGCTTGCCTTTGGTCTCATGAAGTATGATGGGATTGATAGGGTCCATCCACCTATTGCGCGGGGAATGAGAATTGTCGAGCAGACGCTCCAGCGATTAGGGCATAAGATTATTGAGTGGAAGCCCCCTTCTCACCGGACTGCTGTTGAGATATTCGTATGTACCCCCGTGGGAACTTTTCCGTTTGAAGAAGATGGTTTACTAACTTTCAACAGGCGAAGGTATTCGACATGGACGGCGGAGCAGATGCCAAGCATCATTTCGGTCTCTCTGGCGAACCGCGGCCTGAACAGATAATCGGTTCTCAGAGCGGAATTCAAATGACAGCATCTGAGATCGCGGCGTTGAACGTCGCGAAGCGCGAGTATCAGAAACAGTACCTGGATTACTGGCAGAGTACGGCCGAGTTGACGGGCACGGGACGACCCGTTGATGGACTGTTTTGTCCGTTGGCGGCTCATGCGGCCGTTTTTCCGTATGAGTACAAGTCTGTTGCTTATACTGCGTTTGTGAATGTGTTGGACTATACCAGTCTGGCGATTCCGGTTACCTTTGCGGATCAGAACGTTGATGTTGATCCGGCTGATAGTTCTGACCGTAGGCACTTGGATTGTGAGTCTTTTCCGGGGGAATTATTTGTGGGCTATGCTGATAATTTGTCTAGATTATGCTGAGATTTATGATGGGGCTCCGGTTGGTGTGCAGCTGGTGGGTAGGAGGCTGCAGGAGGAGAAGATGTTGACGCTTGCTGAATATCTCGGTGATGAGATTGCTCGGGATGTGAAAGAGGGCCCTAGAGAGCTCGGCTTCTGTGTCTATTGCTATGGTTATCACGTTACTGTGGAAGGAGATGCTCGAGCTAAGTGCCGCGCCTATAAAACCTGAGCAAGCTACCGGGTTTCGTACCTATGGCCAGAGCAACTCATGCGTATTCTGTTATTGAGGGACCTGTTATTGGTGGATGAAGATAGGATAAGTACAGGAGCAAGCCAATGTTACTACATACGGTCCCTATTAAATGCAATATGGTTTTAACTCAACTCCTGAACGGTCAGTCGCTGGCGCTTGGCCGGCGGCAGCCCCAGCGGTGGAACACTTGGCAAGCCACTGGGGCTGCGGGGGTCTCCATGCGAGTGTGGTGAGGCATACTGCGTGGAAGACGCAGGGGTTGAGGCAGCCGCTGCCTCCGGGCTCATTCCCGAAGCTGCCTGCAATGGCCGCAAGCGGTTCGGATGAGAAGTGGCTTCTTCACCAGGACGTGGAGGGCGGATATCAGGAGTTTGCTTGGACTGACTTTGCTCTGGTTCTGGCAGTGGGCTGGGGTTTCCATGACCGACACCGATGCGGCCCATGCCCTTATCGTGCATGACGACACGTCTCCATTTCGCGACTACATTGTCATAATCCCAGCGGGAAGAATCCGGGCTGATCTGGCTCTCTTTTGCGTCTAATTCGCGAGCTACCTCACGTGGCAATGGGAGGGTGTCCGGCGGGAAGAGTGCGAATTCGCGGGGCCACTGGCATGACCCAAGGCGTTCGACCTGGGCGCGCAGTTGGTTGGCTTCCTGCTGAACGCGAACGAGCTGCTCTTCGGTAGACTTGCGCTTATCTGCTTCACGTGCGAATGCGCGCGTGATTTCCAATTGCCATGCGTCGCGACGGGTCTCGTGCGGGAGAGAATTCCAGTGGTTGAAGGCTAGTTCCAAGTGTCGGAGACTACTGTCCTCGTGCTGTTGTGCGTTTCGGAATACCGTGTTCGGATCCATCCCGGTGTTACCGTGTCTCTCGTGAGGCGGAACGGTGGAGTCTGCAGCGAGCTGGTCGGCCTGCCATTGGGCGACTTTGGAGTGTAGCGCTTGGCGGATGATATCGAGGTACTCAGCGCCGGGAGCCTGGAGGGGAAACGTATTCGGAGCGGAGAACGGATGTGTCGCGAATAGGCTGGGAGGGGGGAGGAGCAGCTGCAGGCATAAAGAGGGGAAAGTCTGAGCTTGTAGGTCGAAATCGAAAGGCGATTGTCGCTGTGGTATGCATGAGCTAGTATTTGTGAGCATTATTCAGACCTTTAAGAGTGGGAATGGGCTAACATACGTTGCAGCTTTGATATTGTCAAGCACCTCACGCAGTGCCAGCTCTAGTGCACGCATCGTATCCGGGCTGCTGGCGGTAGCACCTCTACTCGCATAGTCGGGGAGCTGTAAGGATGTAGTGCGAGATTGCGCTGGTGCGATACGAGGGCCATCCGGAGCACGTGGATTGGGGATATCGTTGATTACCCCCGTCGCATGCCAGGTGGGCGTGTTGAACATCATGCGCACGGGAGCCTCACGTGATTTTGAGCCCTGATCTGAAGCTGGATATGTGTCTGCAGTTCCCTTCTTCTGAACGCCCTCGGGACTGCCTTCGTGCCTTCCAGTGGATGTTCGGGCCTGGCGCCGGGTGATTCCACTGCGAATCCGCCTAATCTCTTCGACATCGTGAAGTCCGTCGGGCTTCTTCTTGAACAGAAATTGGTCGAGATGTCGGCCCAAGGAGGAGGATGTAAATGGCTGATGGCAGTAATTGCATTTGCGATCTTTGGCGGAGCTGTTGGTCCTAGATGACTGGTCGTCGCCAGCCGCCGAACCATCGGGGGTACCCCGAACAGGCTCTTCTTTTTGTGTCATGGTCGGCGGAGTGGTTTAGAAAGGATGGGAGATCACCGACCAATCGAGGTCAGGCAGGCCTAGCACATAAGATGATGCAGCAGAAAGAATGATGGCGACCGAGTCGGCGCGCAAAGGTGCGAGAGGGAAGATTCCGATGGGAAAATGCCAAGCTTTTGAAGAGCTGCGGAGCTGCACAATGAACCTGACGAAAGTGAAAAGTTGTACGGAGTAGATTCTATCGACATTGATAGAAATATTTGTCTGATGTTTGAGTAGATTCGTATTTCACCATGCAGTACGTATGAGTACGTGAAGTGTTACCCTCATAACAATAACATAACTAGCCCAATTGCCTACGTCGTCCATGTCACCGTGGAGTGCATAGTACATCGAGCCAATCAGAGCCAAGGAGCAACATATGAGCAGTTTGTTCTATGGAAAGGACTCCCTTTCGGACTCCGTACAAAGGAGTATGATTCGTTCATAGAATGGGCTCATCGCTGCCTGCCGGACCCGACTGGCCGGACTCCTGTTTCGACATATGAAATAGCAGGCAACGATACTCCACAAGCAGATGTGGAAGGAACATACGGTATACACTTGCTTACGCGTGGGTCCAGTACCTTGATTATAGTTTCGTCGACGACGTCGACCAGAGTTATGGGCAAATATCCTCAAGATATCCATGTTCAGGTTCTAGTTCACAACGAGCCCTACATTCAAGATCCGTCTTTCCCCCCTTTTCGGGTCCTGCGCGAACTGAGCCAGCGTTTCATGTTGCCAACGCCATGCAAATACAACCAAGACAACGCAAAGACGAGCGCGAAGTTGAAGATAATGTATCCCCAGAAGATGCCCTGGAATATGCGTCAGTGGGTCAGACTTCCTAGGTTACCTAGACACAATATGTACTCACATAAGCTCTCCATTTATGCGAGTAAAAGATATTGAGGCTCCTGGACTAAAGATGCGAAAAGACCTGATTAGCCACGACACATCCAGAGGAAAGTAGCAAGACGGCGCGCAACCTACAAATTGATCGCCTGTCGCATATTGACAGAACGAGCACATCCCATTACCAACATCTCGAACATATCCACCAGCCTTCTGGACAAAAGACCCAGCATACTCCTGGCAGCTCATGCCAGGTGGAGTGCTGAAGCGAGATTCTTCGCGCTCCACACATCGCACGGGAACGTTGTGCGTAATGACCCCGACAAAGCCTTCGAGGAGATAGTGGAACGGCGTGAGCCAGTACATCCACGACTGCCAGAAGTGCGGTAGGGCGACAAAGGGAACGACAACACCGCAAAAGGCAGCGATGAAAGTGAAGAAGGTTGGAACAAGCAGGCTTGCGAAAAGCTCGTTGGGGGCCATTGCTGCGATGAATTGGCCGAAGCCGACGTAGTACAGCTCGAACAGCATCAACAGCATCCAAACGTACCCGGAACTGAACGAATCGCGTGGGAACCAGGTGCCCCAGTACCTGTTAGGATTTAGTCAGAGGTGGCAACGGTTAATCTGGAAAGATACGTACCAGCAGTTGAAGTAAATTGATCCAGCTACAATTGAATATGGCAGCTCTGGAACAATTGTGCTCGTGACAAAAGCAGGCCAAGAGTAAATCTTGGAGTTGGCTTCGCGGGATTGGTACAAGCTTCGGAAGTGTAGATATCGTGGTTGAAGCTGCTGGATCAATGGCGGTGCTATCGTCAGCGTCATGAAGACAGAGAAGAGCCTTGATTGCATGTCGATGTAACTGTTGCCCAGATGCCAGAATGTGAAAGTATTGAAAAGACCCGTGAAAATGTGGAGCATAAATTTGCCCTAGGCTGTCGTCAATAATTTATTCAAGACCCGTAACTGGACTATGGCCACTCACAAGCATGTAGTCCGGGTCCCTCCAATACGCTACAAAAGCGCGCTTGGTCACTGCAAAGACCTGCGTGGATAGAGGCATTGCGTACTCGCGGTCGTCGTTAGTTGTCTCGTCCTTTTGACCATTGCGACGGGAGGAGATAATGCCCTCAATGTCATCGGACAGCTGTTTAGACTCTGGCGAGTTCGCCCACACATCACCCCAGTCTTGTCCCTTGTAGTCGGGGTTGCCAGCTCCGATGACTTCCAGCATGTACTAAACAGGAGATCAATATTGGATTCGTGATATCAGGTTCCGCATACACACCTCTGCCGGATTCGCATGTGGTGAGCACTTCTTGCCGCCATTTCGTTCAAAGTAATCGATGAGTGTCTTCGAGTCATTCCCAAGTGGCCCGTTGTAAACAACCCGTCCACCGGTTTTCAGTAGCAAAAGCTCATCGAAATTCTCGAATAGAACAGCAGAAGGCTGGTGGATTGTGCAAAGAACGGCCTGGCCGGCATCTGCAAGTCGACGTAGGAAGCGCACAATGTTGAACGCAGCCAGGGAATCAAGACCAGATGTCGGTTCGTCTAGGAAAAGCAACAGTTCAGGCTTACTTGCCAGTTCCACAGCAATGGTGAGTCGTTTGCGCTGCTCCTGATTGAGGCCCGAGCCTGCGGTTCCGACAGTCGCTCCTGCAATGGACCGCATCTCCAACAGGTCAATGACTGTCTCACAGTAATCATACTTTTCTTGCAATGGAACTTCCTTGGGTTGTCGTAACAGAGCAGAGAACCGGAGGGATTCCCGTACTGTGGCGGTGGGCTCGTGAATGTCCATCTGCTCGGCGAACCCGGTTGCTCTTTGGAAGCTTTTTGGGAGAGGTCTGTAGACTATTAGCCGAGTGCAACACTTGGATACTCGCCTGAAATATTTTACCTTCCGTCAACCAAGAAGTCGCCAGTGACGACTCCGAAGTTGATTCTCTGTGCCAACGCATTGAGGAGAGTGGTTTTTCTGGTCGAACGTTAGCCTCGAAGGATCCTGAGAGTGATATATTTCTTACCCTGCTCCAGATGCTCCCATTAACGCAGTAAGCCTACCAGGCTTGACATATCCCTGGACATTCTGCAGCAACTGTCTCTGTCCACCCTTATATGGAATAGTGTAATTCACATTCTGCCAGGTAAAGATTGCCGTATTTTTAGCAATATCCTTGACCTTTTCTTCAGATCCACTGGACTCTTCATCAGTCGCGTTGACTATGCCCTTCTTCTCGGCTGATTCCTCGTCTGCAGTGGGACCAGCATGCTTTATCTCATCTTGAACTTCTTTGGGCGCCTCGCCTCTCTTGAACACAGTGACCGAGCTCCCACCCTTATTAGGTCTCTGCAATTCCATCCCCAGCATCGTCAAGCAGACGAAAAAAATCAGCCATCCAATGATAATGCCCAGGTTTCGCCACAAATGAGCTCGGCTGTATGTGTACGCCGTTTCGATATACTTGGGACCTTGAACAATTAGATGGTCGGTGTCGCTGCCTTGGATTGCACAGCTTTGATGACCAACGACTGCGTTTGGCCCATCTGGCACAATGTATGGTGGCACACATCTGATCTGAAGATTGTGGAACTCATTGGCCATCAGGGCCTCGAATGCGTATTGGACGGGGTTGATCCAGATCAGCCATTTCAGCCATGGGTGCATTTTCCACGGAGGAATTAGATAGCCTATATCAGTTGGTCAATGGGATTGGATCTAATGTCTCATCAAACACAAGCGCACCTGTATACACAACCAATGCCTGTATGGCGACGCCGGTAAGACGTGTTGCTTCATTATGTTAGTGGAGCCACCTCGATGGGGACAGTCCGTTACTCACCAACATCCAACGAGGAACAAAGAGCGCCGAGTGCGCGAAAGAATGAGTACATCGTCATTGTCAGTGTGAAAATAAAAAGCAAATTGATGAAGAACTGGGAAGGTGTTCGTGCAAGATTTGCCATGCTGTACATCCATATCGTTAGTTTGAATCCACATAGGGCATGTCTTGGTACCTACAAATATACGATGAGATCAAATAAGACGACTTGTATAAACACCAGGGGTACATCAACCATGACCTGGGCCAATGCATATGCCGCCGGTCGGTAGAAAGAGCTGGCCGTCATTAGTCTTCTGATCTCCCAAGTCCATTTTTGCTGCACTCACAAGCTTTTATGCTTCATTAAAATCGGTCGACTCTCAAATGCCGCTGTCAGCTCTGCCATAGCAAGCAAGGCATTGAACAGCAGTATAAAGAACATGACGCCACCTCTCGTGAAAACACCACCGCTCGTATCCGGAAGGTTGTAGAACAGACTACCAATAATGAGTGCCTGGAAAGTTATCACACCCCACTTGCCTATCAGTGACTCTCTGTCACCAAACATGACCAGGAATTGACGATGCGTAAGAATCATCACCTGCTTGTAGAATGGGATAGTGAAGTTCTTCCGTTTTGAGCTACTCCTTGCTGCTTCCCGTTCTTGCCTTTGTGCTTCGATCTCGCCCTCAAAGTCCTCGATATCCTCCAAGTTGCGCTTGTAAATATCGCTTTTGCGGTACGCAGCTTGGAACTCTGCTGCAGTCCGGGGGATCCGGTCCTCCCACCCTTCTTTGACACGTCTCGCATGAGGGTCACTGACCGAAGTGAGGAAATCTGGTGTTGTCCAACGCGGCGGACATTCAAAGCCCAGTCGTTCAAAGTAGGCCTTTGCGTCCTGGCTCGGACCAAAGAACGAGCATTTCCCGTCTTCAATGAGGATCACTTTATCAAAGAGTTCAAAAAGGTTCTCCGAAGCCTGGTAGAGAGCTACCACTGTAGAGACATTGGCGGTGTTTGTCAAGCTCCGCAGACTTTGGACGTACTCCAGTGCTGTGCTGGCATCCAAGCCCTTCGTGGAATTGTCCCAGCACTGTGTGCTAGCTTTCGTGACCATGGCTTCGGCAATGGACGTTCGTTTCTTCTCGCCTCCCGAGACTCCACGGATGAGTTCATTGCCAACTTTGGTCCCCAGGGCATGTTCAATCCAGAACAACTTAGCTATTGCCGCCAAGAAGGTCTCTTGATACTCTTTTCGAGTCTCTCCTGGGATTCGTGAACCTTGACCGGGAGTTCGAGATTTCAAGGCAAAGAGCAAGGTATCTCGCACAGTGAGAGTGGCGTAGTGGAGGTCATCCTCAGGGTTGTACAAAACTGTTAATGTTAGCGCGACACCAGGGTCTTACTTACAAAACCACATACCTTCTGATCTATAATGCTTGGCCATCTTTTCTGCATCTGTGCCACCATACCGCACATCGCCGTCAATACTCTCGTATCCAGCTCGTTGATTGCCAAGTGCTTTCAAAAGGTGGAACAGCCCGAACCTGGGCGGCCGAGAACAAGGAGCATTTCTCCCGGCCGAACACAGCCCTTGGCATTCGATTTTGGTCAGTCAGAGTAATCCCAGGAAGTAGAGTTAATGCTTACGGTAAAATCATCAAGGATAGTCCGTATGGACGATTTCCCGACTCCAGCGCCTTTCCTGCCCTTGGTCAAAAGCTGCTTGATAAACCGCGGCAAGCCCAGAAAGATATCCCCGTTTGTAGGCTGGAGCGCAGATCCAAGACCAGCTCCTTTCACAGTCAAATTTCTCCATACAACTCCAACATGGCGCGTCTTCTCTTCTTCCGAGTTCGCCTTGCGTTCACTCCCGAACATCCGCGATATAAGCTTCTCTATCTGTGCCCATTCCTCCCCTTCGTGGCCGGAAGCATGGCTCCGTCGTTGAGATATAGTGCGCGCAATATCATCTTCATTCAATTCCGCCCCTCTGTGCTCTTTATCAGATTCCGACGAGATCGTGCGAATCGGCGCAAATTCCTCTGGCGGGTTCGAACCAGCTAGCGAAGACGAACTCGCAGAGGAAGAGGCGGAATCACGACCAGGAGGCTCTGAGCGTGTAGCCAGTGTATCTACGCTGTCCACAGGGTGACCGTTCTCCATCTCCATGGCGCGCATTCCAATATGGTGCTGATGTATGGAAACAGATGTTGGGAATCAAAGAGCCACTGGTACGGGATGATGGGACAAGCTGAGACCGGATGACCACAGGTGCATTGCCCGTGTGTGACAGTACATGTAGTCTAGAAATCTTTTCAACAATAATAGTTTCCATCTGATGGCTATCAAGAATGAAGAAGTCGACAGATGTAGCAATTACGTCAAATCTCAAAAACAAGCTCTCGGTGTCGGAAGGTCCCAATGCCGAGATCTTCCATTGAAGTTACCACAGTAGATTCTGTTTCCCAGAGATTAGCTTTGCCATGTGCTGCGACAGATCACAAACAGGTATATCTGGTACCACCTATGTGGTGAGGTGGCAAAGAGCTCCCGCGTAGCAGATACCCGAGATGTTCACGTTCACACCTACCCATACAAGCATATGGACAACGGCGTCAGATATACGACTCAAATGCAATCGCTTTGCATCGTACGGACGCCTAATGAATAAGTAAGCCTGAACATCCCGTCCGCATATGACTCGACACGATCCCGGGATGTTTCTTCTCCAATCATAATTCATGAAGTCATGGCCCATGACTTCATGGCCTATCGGGAATCGATCGATCATCGCACGTCGTACGAGTACGAGTCAGCATATCCCTGCCATTCAGCCATTGTATCTAGGTTGAACAATACTTCCTATTTTTTATTATATTTCTTTTTCAACGCGCAAGCGCCCGCACTGGTCAAGAACTTAGGACCATAAGAACCAAACATGCAACGAGAGACGACCATTGGACCAAGGAGACTTGAGACTTCCATCTAAGAGCTAGACAGAATATCACATGATTTTACTTGTATAATGTACTACTGGCCTCTTTCATATGAACAAGGCGGTTTGGCCGAGTGGTCTAAGGCGATTGACTAGAAATCAATTCTCTTCGGAGGCGCATGTTCGAATCATGCAGCCGTCGTTTTTTTTTTGCCCTTCCTCCCCCCTATCATGACTTGAGTGTACAGGAATGCCGAATGCTAAAGATCATATGAAACCATGTTTTTTTCTTGGGTGGAGGCCCTGTGTTATTTGTTTTGAGACGATGATCTGCCTATTCTTAGTTTCTTACACTTTCGCCCCTGACGGAAGATGGACGCCAAAAACCACGACCCCCGTGGATCCGCCCTGATCCATGGACGACATCGCGGGAGGGCCCTGTGCTCCAACATAGTGTGAACAATGGCACAGAGGACCGATATGTCACTGGTTATATATCCGCCGTTGTCCGCAAAGACGCGCTGTCGCCCTCTTGGCCGTTGAGAAAGCTCAAGCCAAACTCTTCAACTCAAACACCGCAACCTCCTCAGGCCCCTCAGCAACATGCTTCAAAGTCCACTCCCACAAATCCTCCTGCTTCTTCTCCTCATAACTCTCCGTACTAGAATTGATCTCCTTGCGCCCCTCATAGTACAACCCACTCTTCGCAGTCACCTGCGCATCCCCCGCCAGCCAAGCCAGGCTCTGTCCGGACTCCTCAGCAGAATGGATATTCGGCGACACCAACACACTCAGCAAAGGAATAACCCTTGGGAGAACACGCAGCCACATGAACTTCACTAATCCGCCCGCGTCACGGGCGAGGCCGGTGCCGGGGACTAAACCCGGGTCGAAAGCAGCGACGGTCCAGTTCCGCGCTTGATTAGGGTCGCTGCGGAGATTGGCGAGGCGGCGCTCGAGCGCGTATGTCCAGAGTATGTTTAGCAGCTTGCTAGTCGTGTAACGCTGGCGACCCTCGTTGCTGAGTGCCTGGCCTGTTGGACGAGCGAGTTCCTCGGCCGAGGTGTACTTCGCGTCGGGCATACCTGTTTTCTGCGCGGGGTCATGAGTCCCGCTGGCTGTGACGATAATCCGGGCTGTTTTGGCGAGGCGCGGGATCAGAAGAGAGAAGAGGAGGGCATGGCCGAGATGATTAACTGCAAAGGTCTTTTCATAGCCATCGTCCGTGTAGCTGACTTCGCGGGGGAACTGGAGTCCTGCGTTCAAGAGCAGGTGCGTGATGGGGGGTTTGTTGGCTTCGGTCCATGTCTTGACAAAGAGCCGGACTTGGGATAGGCTGGAGAGGTCGAGGCGCAGGTACTGCACGTTTTTTTGCCCGGTAATGCGGTTTATGGTGCCTGCGGTGTCTTGGGTGTCGTTGCGGGAGGCAACGGTGATCTGGTGCTTGGGGTATTGGCGTGCGAGAGCGACGGCGCAGTGGAAGCCTAGACCGGCAGTGCCACCAGTAATGAGGATGGAGCCGGACATGGTGAACGATGAGTGACAATGACAGTGGAACAGAGAGTGGACAATTGATATATACTGTAGCTGTTGCGAGACAGGCTCTGGACTAGCCACGAGCGGACGAGCGGACGAGTTGGAATAGTTGGCTATTGGAAGCCTTCGCTGAAAAGCAGCCAATGCACAATGAGCCTGAACATGGCTGCCGGACGCGACAAGGTTATTCATCCGGGTGAAAGAAATCGGCTGAATGAGTATATGCGCCATGACCAGGATATCAGCCACGAGAATCTCCGGTCATCCAGAGACTATATCTGCATCCTTGTACGTCGGAAAAAGTACGTGATTCATCTGGGCACTCACGCGCTAGCCGCTGAACTCGAAGTCCAAATCGTCTGCCCAGCAGGATCACCATTGCCGAATTAATGAAGATATAACCATCTGCTCGGTGTCACCGAGTGCTGAAATAGAGAAGGAATGTCCATTGTGCATTAGTTGCGTGTTGAGACTAAGCTATCCTTTGGACCCCCGATCAGTAGACCATGACGCGAACTTCTCGAGTCGGCCCGAACATAGAGACCTAATCGGGACAATGAGGGAATTTATGTTCGGGATTATTGAACGGACGGCTGGACGAAGCCTGCATTGGACCGGACGTAGCTTGCATTGGACCGGACGAAGCCTGCATTGCGAAGGTGTACAGTATAGCTACACCTTCGCACTCACCCTGTGCTCAGGGATCCTGGACCACTTCCGGCAGTTTTACCGTCACCTGATTACGTTATTACTTTTTATTGCTTCATTATTCCTCTGGCAGATTGCCATGGTACCAGTTAATTCTGGCAACATTCTAGGTAGTTCAATACATCACGGAGGACCCAAAAAGCAATCGAATCACATCCTTGACTCATTTCTGCGGCCGATCAGGCGTAACAGTCCCCTTGACCTTTACAGATTCTGTCTCGCCCTCGCCCTTCTGGCTCTTGCCGGGTTCATTCACATATGGGTTCATAGTATCCGTATTCGAGAGACCCTGCTGCTTGGACGAGATGCTTCCAGTTCCACCGGGGGGCCCATGCCTCGAGGCTGATAGTATGTTAGCAACACATGCACTCGACACGCTGTATGAGCACAGCAAAGAGTAAAACGAAAGACAGATAGAATCACGAACCACATCATGACCACCAGATCCAGACCCACTGCTAGACCCCTTGTTACCCTCTGCGTGCTTAGTGTATTCTTGATTGGCACCGCGCCCCCCGCCAGTGGGGACACCGGCCTGATTCGCAGGGCTGCGATTGAATAGGTAGAAAGCTATCGGCACGCCGAGACCGACTGCCACTAGTGCCCTGAGAACAAACCCATGTCAGCTGAAGTCAAGTGCAACTGGTACGGGGCATGTTCCAGGGAACACTCACAATCGCTGGTTCTTTGCCGGGCCACCCCCACCTGGCGCATCAGTGGCATAGGATCTCTGAATGGTATTTGGCCGGGATGAACGAAGGCCGACGGCGCCTGGGCGAAGTTGGCGTCTCACTGCTGGGTGTGCGAAAGATTGACGGATGAAACTCATTTTTGATGGATTGGGAGATGTAGATGTTATCAGATGGTAATGTACAAGCGTAGAGATTCGGGTTGAAGAGAGGCAAAGTTGTAGTAAAGCAGGGGTAGATATAAGCTCCAGACTCCAGAGCTCCGGGGTGGTTTCATTGTTACATCATTGCACCTTCCGAGCTTGTTTCTAGACTGTAGACCAAGGTCTTTTACCTCCCCACTTCCTATAGGCCGACATATAACCTGACTAAGAATTCTGGGTAATGATGACGCATCTGTAGAATTGGTTAAGTGAACTGCGAACAAGCTTATCGGGTAGGTTCGTGTCAAGTTTGGTTGAGATCTGCCGCTAGTTTTATTAGGTTAACCTACGAGTAACGACCTCAGGACTTGCAGTTGCAGCCATTTTCTAGAAGCTCGGCATTTCATACGAACGCTGGAAATTGAAGAAAGTTTAAATTATTGCAAACTCATTGATTCATATTCAGCCGTCATTTGGAAAAATAATAGAAATTGCCCAATTTGGAACTTGGTCCTTCTCGCGCTTATCCATTGACCACAACTCCTCCATTGGGGTGTAGACTTTGACCGGAAATAAAGCTACTATCCTGACTAGCGAGGAAGACGAAACATGTCGCAACCTCACTAGGTTGTCCCGGACGGCCCATCGGTGTGCCACTGAACTGCTCCATGGCTTCGGTGTTCATAGTTGCCGGGATCAAAGGAGTCCAAACTGTGGGATTGTTAGCTGTGACACGAGTATCCTGCGGCTATTGAACTCACTTGGTCCAGGACACACGCAGTTAACGCGAATACCCTTCTTGACTTGCTGGTTAGACAGGGCCCTGGTGAAAGCGACAATTGCACCCTTGGTCGATGTATAGTCCAGAAGATCAGGACGTCCGATGTAGTGATTGACCGATGCGCAGTTGATAATGGTCGAGCCGCTCTTGAGATGCGGCAATGTGTACTTGGAAAGGTAGAAGATGGAATGGATATTAGTGTCGAATGTGCTCTCCCATTGGGCTCTGTTAAAGATGTTAATGACGCGCTCCAGATTTCACGGGGAAGAGCAGAAGCAATCACTCACTCGTCCAAATCTTTAATGTCATCAATCATTGTCTGCGTTCCGGCGTTATTGACAAGGATGTCGATGCCACCCAGTTTCTGGAGGGCCGTGTCAACCACATTTTGGCAGTTCTTCTTGTCTCGCAAGTCAGTGGCAAGGCAATGACAGGCCTGTCCTATCTCCTCAACACGTCTCTTCGTCTCCTGGGCATCCTTTTCCTCTTCGGGCAAGTAGGTGATCAAGCTGGATGCGCCTTCCATGGCGAATAGGATAGCGATGGCGCGACCGATTCCCGAGTCACCACCAGTGATGATGGCCTTTTTTCCGGTCAACTTCCCAGCGGCTTTGTAGGTTTGATAACCCTGATCGTCGGATGGTATTTGAGACGATGCTGGCTTCTCTTCTAGCTCCTCCTGCAGACCAGGTTTCTTGTGGTGCTCAACGGGAGCTTCGTGGCCTGCGACAAGTGTGAGAATCACAAATTGATTTAAGGATCTGTTGAGCTTACCAGTCTGGAATTGCGACTTGGGTCCCTGGGACCCTCTTTTTACCTCTTCTTGCATGTTGATGAACTTGGACCGTATCTTTGGTGAAGTGGGTGTATGAAATAGCAAGGAGATTCAAGTCGAGAGATGCTTCGAATATGTATCGGGGCAGAAAGGAATGGATGTTTGACTTCGCGGCTCATATACGCGATGGATTTGTTGCTTCCAAGATTGTGGTACGAACGACTATCTCGTCAGTATGACGTTTCAGAACAATCAAGATCTCCAGGTCCAGGTCCATCCAAATACCACAGGCCTCAGGCCTCAGGCCTGTTCTATGTCTGACAATATCGAAATCTTGTTTCTTTGCTAACTTCAATTCAAGAAATCGCTCTCTTGGTGACTTGCTTTCTGTGGCGCCAAAAAAGGTCTAGAATCTAGATCTCGACTTCAACTGCTCAACACCATACACATCATTAGTATTCCCAAACCATAAGATGAATAAGTCAAAATACTCCATTGAAATAAGAAACATGGCTAATTCATAGACCTTCATTAATCCTTGGAATTACACACTAATCATCTTCACAAACCGATCACCAAGAGCATCCGCCGCCAAAGGGTTCCCCGCAGAAACGAGCTCCCGATGCAAGGTAGTGCCCCCAAACTTCTCCTTAACGCCCTCCACCATAATCGCTCCTTCATTCCTCAGAGCTGACTCGACCTTCTCAACCTCCCCACCCCACATTGTCTCCATCATCTTCTCCTCGACATCACTCCACGAGGTAATCTCATACCCCTTATACGCAAACGTCCCATCCCCGGCCATCTTCGTACTCAGCAACGCATAAGGCCCGTGGCAAATAACAGCAGTGGGCTTGTTCTCTGCATGGAAATAGCGCAGGATCCGGCCTAGTTCTGCGTCCGCCCCAAGATCACGGAGAGGCGCATGGCCCCCCGGAATGAAGACAGCCGCGAAAGAGGTCAATTCTTCGTCGCTGATGGACTTGAAGGGGCGCGGACTGGCGAAGCCGTTTTCACGCTTCATGCGCTCGATCAGGTCGTTCTCGCGCCGGCGCTCGTAGAAATTGCCGGCGTAGGCGAGGAGTGATTCGCTGTTCGGGTCGGGGGTTGGTTTCTGGCCTTGTGGGGAGGCGAATGTGACCTCGTGGCCTGCGTCGAGGATCTTCTGTAGGGGCTTTGCGAGTTCTTGGAGGAAGAAGCCGGAGGGTTGGTCGACTACTTTGCCGGCATCGGGGCCGCTGGTCTTTTTCAGCGGGAAGGAGTGGGCGTCGCTGAGGATGATGAGGACTTTCTTGGATGGCATTTTGATGGAATTTGATATGGATTTAGGTAGGTATGAGCTGGATGACTGGGGGGGCTCTGCTCATTTATATATTTTGACATAATTTAGATATCCTGCAAATAGACGGGCATAACTATGACATTGGGATGACGTAGATCGGTTGATCCTTGCAGCGGGAGCATATCACGGCCGGGCACCGGTACCTACCTACGAAAGCACGTGGATAGGTGACTAACCTTGAAATTGTGTCTAGATTTAGTTAGGTATCTGTAGATGCTATCTCTGCTGTTTAGGTACCAGTGACTCGACTATTTCTGGTACATTTAAAGTACTACTAGAGGTCTAAGTGAGTCCGTGGTAGACACTGCAGCAAGCAAGTGTATTGACTATGGTGAACTGTCTACCATTTCCCAATACGCCAAGCCGCAACCGAGCTGCCAATCCTCACTTGCTCGAGGGATTTGGCATGCCCGAAGTGTGAGGCCATTTGCGGAACAGATCGGCAAGGTGATCGATTGGAGCCGCCATAAGGCCAACAACGGTTTCGAACGGCGGCTTATTCGGCGCGCTGGGGTGAGAGCGGGAGGGAACGAACATCTTTGTTCTTCCGAACGACGTAGCGTAGCTCTGGCTCTCTTCTGCCGATAGAGCCTCTTCAAGTTGGGGTAGATCGCTCGTTTCCTCTTCTTTGATGTGCTGAGCCAGATCAGCCATCAGAGCCTCAATGGTAGGGACGAACTGCGGATCCGAGGGCTTCATGTTTTGGAATTGCTTCAGCTGCTCCTTGACCTAGGTATATCCTGTCAGCGATTTCTTCCATTTATCCCGTACAAGGAAATGGAGGGCTCACTGCTTGGTGCTCTTCACGATCCTTGTTGGCGATTTGCGCACCAGTAGCCAGATATTTCTCAAAAGCAGGATAGACGACGAGCTCTTCGCCAATGGAATGACGTGCCACCTCCCAAGTGAACTGGTTCTGCCATTTCTTTCGTTCAGTCTCATCGGGAGACTTCATGATATGATTGTAGTAGCTTTCTATCTCGCGATGGTCCTCCTTGATCCTGTCACTGATTCGGGGTGTCATGGTCGCCGAAGAAGTCGCAAATGTGCGCCGTGCAGGGATCAATGCTAGACTTCTGATCGCAAGCATCTTATAGTCCACCACAAGTCAGACTGTAGCAGTGAAGCAGACTTCTTTTCGCGTCATATGGTGCTTGGTGGGCTCAATTTATAACAAACGATGTGCCCTTGTCCTCTCGGAATTGGCCAGCTCAGCAATGGCGTTATAGCCTCTTGGAAGAAAGTTCCGGTAATTAGCCGATGAATATGATTGTCGTCACTGCATTGGAAAGAATTGCACCACTCAGAAGAGGCATAAAGGTCAGCGTCATTATTACGGACTTTGACTAGGCTGACCCTTCCTCCAGTCGGACAATGGACCGTAGAACCTTGTATATACTGTACTCTGTTGAGGTGCTATGTAGTAGCCATGGAGTGCCACCAACGATGCGAGGACAATGTGAGAAGTGGTGTTGATCTTGTTCGATTCACGCGAAGCCATTGAATTGGGCATGTAATACTGCCATAATTCCTGAGGCATGCAGTCATGCCTCAGGCCCAACATGGGTAGCCGGTGGTCCTGACACAGGCTCCAGGCGCTCGGGTGCCCCCAGGAACGCATGCTGTATTCCTGGGGGCAATCTCTGTGTTTGTGAGGGTCCCAGGTATATCTTGATGAGGAGCGTGCCTTTCATATAGATGATCCATTAATCGATATTAAATTAAAGCTATAGTTAGTCGACTCTAGATACAAGACGTAGGGCGAGGAAGCAAAAGAGAGATGCGATTTCCTGCAGAAAAGGCTGCGCATAATATTAGCAATGAGCGCCGTAGATTTCATGCTGCTCCATGGAGGACCATGGTGCGGAGAGACTTTGAGAATTTGGACTTCACCGTTTCGCCCGCGCTTTTTACCAATGGTCCGGCTGTTGGTGATGGGTTGCCCAAGGCGCGTAGGGGCTGCTCAGTGGGGTCCAACTGGGTCCAACTGGGTGCAGATGGGGGAGATGGATTATTAGTTCCAGACTGATAGAAGTTCGGCAGGGACCAGCTATTACGATAGTACTGAGACCCGCATGTAGTGAATTGATTGACGATGTGTACAGTGTACTGCGAGTCTGCGTGGCATGTCAACCAGTTGTGCCAAGAGCGACAGTCACCTGACGTTATCGAATCTACTGCGTAATCAGTCCCAAAAAGGAAAGAAAAAAAAAAGGCATTGAAGAAACCAACAGATTCCGAGCAATACTATACCCCAATTGCACTACAATTCATCCTTCCTAAACATCCAAGGAAAGCCGACAGTCCCCCCGTCTTAGCCGAAGCATAGTCAACCCACTCTATCAACAAGCCCCTACACCCAAACCGCGGGGTACAATCAAAAAAGAAAGAACCGCAACCAGCCTCAATCCAACCACAAAGCTACAAAACCCTCACAATGGCAACCTCCACCCAACCAGCCGCACCTACAGACGCCACCTCCCACCTCGACCTAGGCATCACCCTCGCAATCAACAACTGGCCGGCCCTCACCCTAGCCGTGCAATCAAACTGGGGCGGGCCAAACTCCAGCGAAAAGCGCGACTGGCTCTGCGGCGCGATCTCCGATATGCTAGCCGACAGACCCGAGACCGACGCAGAAGACCTGGAGGAAGTCTTCATCCAAGTGATGAACGACGAATTCGACGTAGCGGTTGACGACGAGAGCGCGGCCGATCTGGCGGATCTGATTATGGAAATCAAGACGCAGACTGATCGCGGCGAGTTCGGCACCGTCCAGCAGATGTGGGAGAAGTATCAGAAGAAGAGCGAGCGGTCTGCCGCTAGTCAGTTCCAGAGGGTTGAGGATCAGGATCAGGAGACGGATGAGGAGAGTGAGGAGGATACGGAGATGGGGGATGCCCCTGCTTTGGTGCGGGCGCCGAGGGAGAGGGCTGAGCCTGAGGTTGATGATGAAGGGTTTACGAAGGTTGTTGGGAAGAAGAGGTAGATTGGTTGGGGTCTGCATTTACAATATGTCTGTTTATCGTGCTTGTTTTCAGGACAAGATAATATCCCCCGGGTAGAGAACCTGGCTTTTTAGTTATATAGATGCATGGACCAGTGGTTGATTGTACATCAAATTCGGCTTGCCTGAGACGTGTCCCAAGGCTTTCTACACGGTTCAGCCGCTTAGATTGAAGAGGTCACAAAGCCTATAGAAAATGGAGAATGGAAAAAGAAATGTTCATCATCGTCAGTTGAGGTGGGCTGTCTGTGGTATCATTGCGCGGATCTCTGCCCACCCGTATACCCTTGTTAAGAGTTTCTCGCAAAAGTATTGCTGATCGCTTCGACTTTTAGTGTTTTACCGATAAGAATATGCACATTCAGGTAATTTCGGCAGCAGAATCACTTTACTGAGTGGCAGCCTGAGCGGCAGCCTGAGCCTGAGCCTGATCCTGAGCCTCGGTCTCAGCGGTTATGAGCTTAGTGATCATGCCGATGGCAATAGTTTGACCCTAAAATGAACATGTTAGCAGGAAACCCGAGTCAAAAACAACACGAGGAAGACATACCTGGTCGCGCAGAGTGAAACGTCCAAGTTGGGCGTATTCTGAGAATTCTTCGACACAGACGGCACCGGCTGTGCTGGTAACCTCGAGACGGGCAATGATGGTCTGGCCTTTACTAGCGAAGGGAGGAGGACGCTTGCTCTTGCGGCCGGTACCGGGCTCGAGCTTATGAAGGAGAGCGGCGAAAGTGACCTCCTCAACAGCGGAGTGGACGTGAAGAACACAGTTGAAACCGGCGGTAAGAATGCTCTTTAGGTCCAAGATACGAATCTTGGCCTCGAAGGCAGACACACAGTGAACAGGGCGCTTGGGCGAGCAGAGCACGAAACCGGGGAAGAAATCTTCTTCTTCGATACCACGGAGACGCAGACGAACCTGATCACCGACCTTGGCAGTCGCGATCTCATCTTCGGTTTCACCGTACAAAGCGGAAATGTAAACCTCCTCGCGGTTGGGCATCATGAGATAGGTGCCGTTCTTCTTGATGATACCGGACTCAATGCGGCCCTCGGCCATGGTACCCATGTCACGGTACTTGGCGCTGATGGGCATCATGAACGGCGCGTTGACCTTACGCTCGGGCAGCTCGAAAGCGGTCAAGAATTCGAGCAGAGACGGACCGTCGTACCAAGGGCAAATATCCTTAGGAATGCGGTCTTTGATACCGAGAGTGCGCTGGGCAGAGATAGGCATGCAGAAGATGTCTGACTTCTTGTAGCCCAGGGCCTCCAGGAACTTCAGGACCTTGATGGTGCACTCATCGAATCGTTCCTTGCTCCACTCGACGGTGGGGTCATCCATCTTGTTAACAACAAGCACAAGCTTGGTGATACCTGTGTTGCGTGCAAGAAGAGCGTGCTCACGAGTCTGGCCACCCTTCTCGAATCCGGTTTCGTACTCACCCTTACGGGCAGAGATAACCAAACATCCAAGATCGGCCTGGGAAGCACCACCAATCATGTGAGGGACATAAGACTTGTGACCAGGGGCATCCAGAATAGAGAACTGACGCTCGATATCGCCCTCGGGGTGAGGAATGGTGACCTTGAAGAAGGCACGGCCGACCTCGACGGTCTTACCCTTTGAACGTTCCTCCTGGGTCAAATCAAGAGCCCAGGAGAGGTACCAGGTCTCTCGACCGGCCTCCTTAGCCTCCTTCTTGTATTTGTCCAATGTACGCTCATCGACCATTCCGGTTGCGTGTAGGAGGGAACCACCAAGGGTGGACTTGCCAGCGTCGACGTGGCCGATGAAGACGACGTTGACGTGCTCTCTCTTCTCACCGTAAATTTCCTTCAGGGTTGCCTCATCCACATCAGCCAATTGTGCCTTTGCGACGGCGTTAGCCTCACGAGCTTGTTTGGCGGTTTCACCGCGGGCCGGGCTGGAACGTCCAGGGCTAGAGCGTCCAGAAGACGGGGTAGAAGAAGCCTTGCCAGTGGCAGCGGCCTTGTCCGACTTGTCGAGAGACTTGGTGGCTGCCACCTTGGAACCTGCCTCAGCGGCAGCAGCGCCCTTGGTATCACCATTGGCCTCCTTCGGGGGGTGTCAGCGGCCTTGGGGGCCGGGGCAGGAGTGCCGATAGAAAGGACCTTGGTCTTGGGGGCAGCGGTAGCCGAGGTGGCGCCGATAGACAGGACCTTAGCCTTGGGTGCGGCAGCGGTCGGTGCGGGCTTGGGAGCGGCCTGCGGTGCGGAAGCCTGGGGCTGCGGGGCAGCTACAGGTACGTTCTGGTGAGGTTGCTGGTTGTAACCACCGTATTGCTGTTGTTGATTGAAGCCACCGGGCTGCTGGCCATACGCGTTGTACTGGCCATAGGACTGCTGCTGTTGCTGGTAAGAGCCGTAGGACTGCTGTTGGCCGTACTGAGGGTAGGCCTGCTGGGGGTAATACTGCTGATACTGCTGATACTGCTGCCCAGGAACAAAAGCGGAGGCGCCAGGCGTGAAAGAGGCAGCGCCAGGTGTGAAGGAGGGCGCCTGGGGCTGAGGGCGAGATTGTGCGTTGAGGTTAACGCCCTCGGCCTGTCGGGCGAGTTCATCCTCCCAGGAATCGGGGGTTTGGTTCGACATCGTGAATAAAGATCCAAAATCGAATCAAAGACACGAAAAATACCAAACCAAGATGAATTTGGAGAAGCACGAGTTGGGGAAATAAGAGGGAGGGGCCAGTGACTTTTGAATTTGCACAGGTGAATGACTAAGACCCCGCGATTTTGCTCACGTGATATTGATATGCTGGTTATTCTTCTGAGGAGGAGATGAATGAATGAAGATACGGAAGTGGGAAGTGTTCTGTAGGCACATGACTATGATTGATTCATCTCTCACTCGTATTACAATGTGTCTTTGACAGCACCACGAGTCATCGTGGACTTGGGCTCATCTTCTTTGGACTTTTTCTTATCGATAAGCACCCCTCCTGATAATTGCTCAGGGGCGTCTGCTATCTGCCAATACGATCTACACTACAAAGCTTGGAGGGCCATTGGCTTGGACTCAACCCAAGATGGACGCTTTTCTCACTGGCGTATGTCTGATATCTAACCAGTCATGGGGATGAGAGGCTAATCCATGCATTGTATAGCTTACCCGCCAGGCTATGAATTATGCTATCAGGCAAGTAGAACAATAACCGAATGATCTATGCTATCCAACGCTAACAGGTATTCTGCAGGTCGGGGATTGCAATAACAGCCAACTATGCAATGCGCCAGTCATCGCGACTGCTCAAAGTAGGTCTTCATCATCTTTGTTATGGGGAGAAGTCAACGCTGATCATTTCGGCAGAATGTCAACAGCGAGGACCGAGATGAGCTGCTCTCTTTGCAACAACGCCTAGAAAGCAAGATACAGGTCATTTCCCCATCTATCGACATGATCGAGTTGATGTGAGTTCCTTGGCCCTATTGCACATCTTCAAAGCTGAATTTTGTCCAGTGCCGCTCGAGGCAATACGTCATTGGAATCTGCTGTCGCCCTCACCAAGTCCCTCAGATGGGATATTCAAGCATTGGGGCAGCGGTTGTCAAGAGCTGCATCCACTGAAGAACTAAGGCGCAAAGGGGCGAAGTCGTCCCAGGATCAGACGAGCAGCGAGAGAGAAATCAGGCTTATTATCAAGGACATAAAGAAGTTGCTGGCTCGGATTGAAGACGCAGTTCCGCTGATGAATCTGGCCATCACCACGTCTGGGGCCAAACTGTCCACCAATTTGCCCGCAACCGTGTCTCCGTCCCGGCTCCTCCAAGCGAGCACATTCCTCACAGCAGGTGATACGCAATACTCGATATCGCCGTCCCAAGCAGTCCAAATAGGGCCGACGTTTACTTTATCAATGTACATGCTATTTGCGAGCCACTTGCGACCTCATGACGAAGCCTCTATGCGCGAGGCAACGTGGAAGGAAGTAATGCACAAGGCGCGCCTGAAGCTACGGCGTGTTCCAATAATCGCATTGCAACCTCCAGACCAGCGCCCTCGAAAAGGACTTCCGGGGACAGCTGGGGCTGACGAATACGCCTACCAAGTCCTTATTGTCGAAGATCTAGACGACGGCCGCGTCCACACAGTTGACGATAATGATCAGCAGCCTCAACACTATGAAGGTATTGCCTCGGCAGGGATCCGGGAAATTCTGCCAATCCATCAAATTTCCAAAATCTTCTACGCCGACACTGGGAAAATTCTCAATATCAGCACAGAGGGCGAGACGAACAATCCAGTGCTGCTATTGAAACGTGACCCGAATGCTCTACCGCCACGGCGTATGATGGAACGTGACGAGATGGAGGGCTTTCCTCAACCAGACCCCCAGGAACCAGAAGACGACGAGCAAGCTCAACTCGACGCACAACTGAATGGGGATAGTACATCGCACATCGAGAGCTTCCATTCTTTACATGAAGACTCAATACCCGAACAATGGCGTCTACCTCCCGGACTAGACCCAGAATGGATCGCATTCGAAGTCTACAACGAAGACGAAACCTCCGACACCGAGTCCGAAACCGAAAACCCCGATCCTTCCACCAGTGAACCCTCAATCGCCCCCGATATGATGTCCAAGCTATCAATCAACGAGAAAGCGCACTCATCGCCCTCTCCGTCTCCCCAACATAAACCATTCTCATCTACCGCCACAGCAACAGTCTCCAACCCCCACTTCGAAAACATCCGCACCTCCCTCTCCCTCCTTGAAACCCTCCTCCGCCTAACATCCCTCCAACAATTCCAGCAACAATCCCACCTTTCCATCAGCGACGAGCTACTCAACTTCTTCCTGGAAGAATCCTCCTCCACCGGCGCTGGTGGCGACGAACAACACCGCCAGCGTCTCCGTTCCGACGCCCGTCGCCGCGTCGGCTGGGATCCCTACAATGAGAGCCCTGTTAAACACCGCGGCGAGGACTACCAGTATGGCTGGGAGCCCGGTAGTACTCCCCAGCACTACGGTGGCGATCCTTACTCGCCGACTTGGAGGCCGCAGGGCTTCCACATCCGTTCTAGGGAGAGTACACCTGAGACTCCGCTGCGCGATGGCTCGCCGAGTGTTCGTCCAAGCGGTGTGAGCGGCATGGGGCGTGTTTATACTGAGTCGCCGCTTTCGAGGAAGATGGGGAAGTCTCCTAATGAGCGGAACTTAGGATCTGGGTCGGCGGAGTGAGTGCATACACTATCATGCCCTGTACATGTATTATGATTATGACCATGACATAGCCGGTTCGTTACAACCTATTCCCCTTGGTGCCGTCCGTAGCGTGATTTTAGATTCGAGTGCGATTGATATGGATAAAAGTTAGCAACCGTACTGACGCTGTTGTACTTCTGACCGTGAAAGGCACTACTACCGCAAGTCATATTACCGTATGGCCTAGATAGAAAGCAGAGTTGGGAATAGAAAACAGAGAAAGAAAAGCCCAGACGCCGAAAATAGAAAACCCGACATTCCCAAACTCCAAGCAAAGCAGACTTCTTTGACAAGTGACTTTCCGTATTCGAGAAGAGCGGAAGCAAAATTGCGTCGTTGAGGGATATTATAGACAGACGCCCTCGAGATCAGCTTTGGATTAATCTTGCTGGTGCGTTTCTCGAAATCGGGCAAGTTTACTCCCAGTCTTCGTCACTATCTTCTGCCTTTGCAGCAGAGGGACTCTTTTCCTTCGGGCTGCCGGGGGTCCGGCTGGCTGTACCACTCACAACATCATAGCTAGACTCGCTATCGGCTTGAGATTGCTGGTCGTTTGACCGGCGGGGCTCGGCTTTTTGGGTATCCTGACTGGGGGCAAGAGACTGGCTACCTGACCGAACCTGCGGAGTAGAAGGAGACTGGGACTCAGAGTCAGAGTCGTCGTCCCAGCCGACTTCTTCTTCATCCTCGACATTGGCGCCTAATAGTAAATGTGGGTTAACGATTATTGAAACCAAGACACGCGAAAGTGATGGAGTTAGAGCCGACATACCCTTGAGAAGCTCCTTGCGCTTCTTCTCCTCTGTTTCCACGACCAGGCGCAGGAAGTAGTAACGGGACCAGAATTCCGCATACTCCACCTGCTCCGGCACGAGCTTCTCCATGGCCGAACGGAGCTCGGGGTATTTCTCCAGATCGGCAGCGATCTCATCCGTCTTGCTTCCGGCATTGAACTCCTGCTTGAAAGCAGGCCATTCATCGCTAACCGCATCCTTGGTGAAGCTTTCCAAGTTCGAATGAATAACATGCAGCTGCGCCTCGAATCTCGTCGCATGAATAATCCGCTTCCCCTCCGCATCCTTGCTCTCGAACAGAAGCTTGCCGGCCTCGTCCTCATCAGGGGGCAAGATGCTGACAGCCTCGCGCAGTTTTTGGCCAATATTCATTCCGAATCGCAAGATCGCTTCATCAGCTGCTTCCTCCGCTTTCTCGATCTCCTTCAGCCGCCGAGCGGCCTCTGCCTTCAACCGGGCAATAAAGCTTTCTCCACCGGCGCCAGCGCCAGAGCCTTCGCCTTCGGTTTTCTCGCCAGATTCGCCTTCGGAAGAAGCCTTGGGCGTGGTGGTCTCGTCGCTTTGTCCCTCCCCGCTCGCCAGAGCCACTGTGCTCAGAGACAGCCCCTTTGTCCGGTCGGCGAGTGTTTCCTTGAGGCCTGAAAAACCTTTGACGGCTTCCTCGCTGGCGGCGGCGTACTCCTGGCGAGCACCTTCGTAGTATGTTTCTCCCTGCTTGCGTACATTGTCCCAGAGTCCTCCGATTCGGGAGCCCCACGGACTGGCGGAAAAGGCGCGGAAGGTCTCTTGTAGCTCTTCGTTGAGACTGGCGTTGGATTCCTGTGTTTTCGAGTCGGAGGAGGCTTCCTCTTTGTTGGAGAATGCCTCCTCTTGGATGTGATCGTAGGCGATGTCCATAATTGGTGGAGGTTGGAGGAGAAGAAGAAGATCAAAGGCTTGGGAGCACAAGGTTGCAGTAACTCCGCGTTCTTGTTAACGGGCCCGACCGCCCCGCTTGTGACGATCCCTAACCAAAACTACAATGTTTTGGTTGTACGGGGTAAAGAAGAATTGTTGAATGACTTTAATTATATTGGATAATTATGTACTTGCTATGCAACGGGATATTGATAAAAGTCATAAATCATAAACCATGGATATTGAGTATGGAGCCAGGTCATCCTTCAGGTAAGCTGTAAGGCGACCCTACACTCTCCTGACTTCCCATCAAAAAGTTCGGGAGTGGAATACTCTCCATAACGCTGGAAGTCAATAGCTGGCTCCGAGACAAGATCAGACCTTGCCATGAAGGATCTCGATCCACCGCCTGCGATGACTCGACTTGGACCTCTGAGCCAGGAACAGGGGGTCGTTGGAATGAAGATTCACCCTGAGTCGATTCTCGTCCCCGAATAGGCGACGATTCAGGAACCATATCAGTGGACTCCTTGTCTCCTTCCTGGCTCTGCATTTGCGTTTGGCTCTGCGTTTGGCTCTGTGTTTGCGTCTGCAGAAATGGCCCCGGTACCTGTTTTTGAACAGGCCCCGATGGCTCCGGTTTCGAATACTGGATGCTGCCCTCCTGAGGAAAGAGCTCGGACATCTTTTGTGTATTCAAAACTGGGATAGGCTCATGTGGGAATTGTGTCGCCGCATGCATTCTCCGATAGCAGATTGATGCATCGGACATCGGGCCTTCGGACGTAGGGACATCATCCAAATCAGGGCTTGATCGGACGTTTGCCCGAGGCAGTTCTTGGGAACCGTCCTTAGGCGAGTCTGGGATGTTTTGGGTCACCTGTGCACTCGCTTGTGGGCCGCTTGGTCGGGGTGTTCTTGTCTGGGATGGCGTCAGGGAGAGGGTGCTGAGACTGTCATCAAAGTCTCCGTAATCTGACTCCGCATCCGTCTCATAGACGACTGTCCTATTCCTTTTGGTAAGTCCATTTCTCGCGGTCGTGTCTCCTTCACTTGGGATTCCCTGCGACGAAGACTGCGTTGGAGGTGCAGATGAAGGGAACTGTTCATCAATTGTTGTGGGAACAGGCGGACTCGAACGATTATGTATACTTCGAGATCCGAATTTCGTTGTCGGCGGTAAATATTCGCCGCCAGGATCTTGTGATTCCTCTGCTACCTGCCGGGCATCGGACGGTTCTTCTTTAATGGGCTGTGTAGGATTATTTGTGGGGTTCCGTGGTCTCTGTTTCGAAGGCGAACGAGTAGCACTGCGGAATTGGGATGAGGTTATAACGGCCAAACCAGGACTTTCAGGAGTCTGTGAAGAAGGAATCTCGCGCATTCGAGACTTCTGTGGAGTAACAGGTGCCGTAGATGTCCCCGCGCCTCTGTTTGGACTTCCAGCATTCGAGTCTTGTGCTTCTGCTGGTTGAGATATAGGTTCCCCGGTCGAGAGATCCAGCTCTTCTTCCCAGGCTCTGCGTTTTCGTTTGGCGGGAGTCGTACGCTTCGCGGTCTGTGAAGCCTTCGGCTTCGGCGTATCTTCTTGTTCAGTTTTTTTGTTCCTATCGTTATTCTGCGGTGTCGGCTGGATGTAACCCATATTCACATCGTCGTCGTCATCGTCAAGGGGAATATAGCGTCGAACGAAGTCCATCTGAGTTAAGGTCTTGTCTCGTTTGCCCGTCGACTTCTCCAGGGCCTTACGGCCGCCCTTTGCGCGTGCACTTGGTCTCGGTGTCTCGTTCCTCCGTGGTCCAGGCGTTCGGGCTGCGTCTCGACTGGCTATACCAAGGCTCCTTCGCTTCTGTTGGCGTTCACTTGTATCCCGCGCTCGTTCATTTGCTCCGAACATGGAGATACGAGCTGACCGGGCCGGTGGTACCGGGCGATAGTCCAAGTCCCTGTCCTGGTCATCATCTCTCCTCGACCGCTTCCCTGCGCCTTCGGTGTTGTTGCGTGTGTCGTGGTAACCAATGTAGCTGAGTTCGTCGTCATCTAACGGTGACGGCTGCGTCACAAAATCGATTTGTGTGAGAGTGGATTGAACTGGTGGCAACGATATTCGCTTGCGAGTGCTCGCTGAGGTCGACGACGACTCTGGTGATCGGTTCCGTGCCGCGGTTGTGTTTTTCAAGGCAGTTGTCGGACCCCGCGGACTGGGCCTCCTCGGCGTGCGGAACTGTTTTCTAGAGGTCTCTGGCGGGTCTCTAGATCTTTGCGGTTCTTTCATCGCAACAGCAATGTTTGAAGTTCGTAGCGAATCATTGCGGTAGAAATGAAGGATATGACGTTAGGCAACAGGTGCCTGAGGCTGATCGCGTCGACGCGTCCCCAATATCGAATTGGCCCGTGCGCAACGCGCAGAGAAACTTGCAGGATATTTTCGGCACCTTGCATCTACGATTGGGTTCAGTCGGCAAAAGAAGAAAAGAAATTGTATGATGCAAAACACAAGGCGATTTTTCCTATACTTATGGCAAAAGACAATGACCGAAATACAAAAAAAGAAATCTCAGGATTGGTTTTTAGGAATAGCCGAACGCGGGGGTCGAACCCGCAGCCTTAAGATTAAGAGTCTTACGCTCTACCGATTGAGCTAGCCCGGCCGGGCTGTTATAAGGTGCTGCCTTTTAGCGTTACATAAGGAAAGCCGGGGCTCTGCTGGTGCGGTTTGTTACACTTCAGGCTGTGCATGCTGCCTGTTATCATTCGCGGTACACAGTATTCCTGACTCCCTATCTGCGGGCATGTGTGGGCCTCTATTGACTATAATGTTTTGCGTCTGGGCGCTACGCGGTTTGATTCTCGTTCCCCTTGGTGTATGACGAAGACGGTCTATACCAGTGACAACTACAAGAGCGGAACCCCGGGCCTGTCGTCCGGAGAGATAAATCACCCACTTAACACTTTAAGTGTGTACCTGTAGGTGTTAAATTGATACAAAAGTGAACAGGACATATGAAAAGTGCCTTTCGAAATATAACATTAACACTAAATCTCCTGTTCCGTTATATGCAGCCCGGGCGCCAACTGGCAAATATTCCGCCAACTGGCAAGCCCTCCGCCAACTGGCCAGTCTATCTCCCTACGAATCGCCCCAATAATGCCACTGCGACAGGTGCCACGTCTGATCTGGTGGTCAATTGTATCGAAATTTTCTGGCGCCACGGTTTTGTGTCGGCGAACGAAGGAGGGGATTCATGGTGGACCCTGTGTCTGCCCGGGTGTCTGAGATGTGATATTGTGATGTTGGATGCATCTGCCGAATCTGCGAGACTGCGACGGCCAATCTTCGATGAGCAAAGTCCACGAAGTGTGAATATATGCCGGGCGGCAAATGAAAAAAATGCAGCGCACCACCTGCATTTCTGCAGGAACAAACTCATGGTAGATTGCAGCTTCCTTCACTGCAGCCCAGCCCCGCCAATGCAGAGTTGCGCACAAGCTCTGGTCGCACCGTCGCACGTTGTCGATGCTAACTTGCAAAGGTCAGCAATACAGAGTAACACATTATCACACTGGCGCCAGGCCACGATCTGGGTCGATGGATGCTCTACGATCTAGAAATAGAATGCATCCTTCCACAAGGACAACCTAACTCATTGTCCACCATGTGAGACATATATCAGGTGCATTAGCTCCTCCGCTCCAGTGACAATTTACAAAGACCCGAACAGGAAGGCAAGATTGAAGTCGAAAGATGAGAGGGATCCGACTCGGACTCGACTTGGACTCGACTTGGACTCGACTTGGACTCGACTTGGACTCGACTTGGACTCGACTTGGACTCGACTTGGACTCGACTTGGACTCGACTTGGACTCGACTTGGACTCGACTTGGACTCGACTTGGACTCGACTTGGACTCGACTTGACTGGGCCATCTGCAGACTGCAGTCTGCACCGGTCAAACCATGGCATTCTGTAGGTAAGAACCTGAACCCTACGTGTAGGCCTGGCCTTGTCGACAGGTAGATCCATTGATTTCACTACCTACCTATTCATCCATGGAAATTTATATCTTCCGCTCAAGAGAGCCGATATCATACCTACATTTCTAACCTTGGACAGCTTACCTAGCTAGGTACTCTGAGGAAACTGTTGACAAAAAACACTATCATATTCACTTAGAACTCACCAGACGATCCCCATCCCCACTCTAACTCACTATTTCAACCATCTACGAGGACCAAAAAGCACATCTCGGTCAAGCCACGCCTCCCCAGTCCTAACCTGCTCAATCCGCCACATCAACAGCCGACAGGCCTCCCCCTGGATCGACGCATAAGAACCTGAAATCACCTTAGAAGGAATCGACAGACACCTAGGTCTAATATAATGCTGCGCGCGAATATCGACAACGGCGTTCGCCGACCGGATCTGTGTAAGCACGAACCGCAACAGGCTCTCGTCATCGAGGTAAATCATACCCTCCTCCAGCTCTACGGTCAGCCACGTAGCTTCCAAGTCTGCTACCTCACGGAGGACGCCGGAACTGCGCCTCCAGGGACACAAAGCGGATGCGAGGCTGCCGCCTGCTGTCTCGGTGGCCATCGGGTGGGAGGGTGGGGGGTTTGACATGTTGATGTTTGGTAGTTGTTGGTTTGGATTGTACGTTGTAGAATTGTTTTGTGGTTGTGATGATGGAGACTTGGACTCGGAGATACGGGGGCCTCTTATACGTTGGTTGTATGTACCTGGGAGAAACTAAATGGACATAGGGCAATGCCTAGTCAATGTTCTCTATGCGCTTTCATTGCGACAATGACTGTTTATACCTATATAGGGTAGTCTTTTCTTCGACTGTCTTTGAGATTAGCTTTGTTTTGTATTCAACGGATACCCATAGAGTCTTCTTTCAAGTTGCTTCCAGTGCTTTGTTACTTCTGATGTACAATCTATTGTAAGGTCTATGGTCTAAAATCTATGTGCTATCAACAGACATGCACTCGAAAATGTGAAAGGACTCCACGATGAACGGGACAATGAAGTGGAGATATGCATGTTGAATGACTCCATGAATGCAGGTTGGGAGGCGAGGAAAAGAAAAGGGCCGTGAAGGTGGCAGGCAATATCTGCACGAAGAGGAAAGAACAAAGAGTATAAGCGAAAGAAGTTATAAAAGAGAGACCAGAAAGCGGGGTCTCTCAGTCAACGAGACGGTTGAAGGATAGACGGCCTCGAAGCATCGGAGGCAGAACCGACGAGAAGTATGCCTCCAGGCCACTGCCCGACTGTGCGATCTCATTAGGGACATCGCAGGCCATTCCGAGGGTCAAAGGAAGCGAGGAACGCGGGCGGGAGTTGACTATTCTTATCTATTTCACTCTTTCGTTACTCTTTCCTTTTGCCCCTTCTCTCCTCTCTCTACTCGTCACTCGATCCTGTACTTCTACCTTAGTTCTGTTCCCCTTAAATCTATTCAGCAGTGGACACTGACGACGACTTTATTCAAGTTGACTGCGCAATTCTTGAGCGTATAATCAGACTCTGCTTGTGCAAACATTCATATTCGACGTCAAGCCATTGATGAGACGTGAAGCCTTGGCTCGACTATAAACCGATGTGCTTGAAGATATATTCCATTTGGTGATCAGTCTGTACCTATACTAATCTCACCCCAACAAGCTCTCCAACATCTGTTGCGGCGTCCGCCTGGGCGCAGCAAGCTCCAGAACCTCCTTACTGGTCGGCGGAGCCGTAACCTGCCCACCCCACGCCGTCTCCGCTGCACGCCGAATGGACCAGATAACATTCCGCGAGTTTCTATTCTGGCCATTCCCCATGTACTCCATCTCCAGGAACGCATCAAGCCCCGACATATCCTTATACTGAACATTTTGAACGGGCACGCCGATAATACGCTCAACCATCTGCACAATTTGTTCACCGGAGATATCCTCTGGCCCGTTCAGGACGTATCTCTTCCCGGTATGTCTGGCGGTATCCTCTTGCACGAGGAGGTGCGCTGCAACGACACCGATATCGTCGGGGTCGATTACGCCGACCGCAGTGTCTTTTGGCGCCATCAACTTGAGCACCGTATCAGCGCGGCCGGTCTTGCGATATTCCTTGATGAACTCGGCAGCGGTATAGAACCAAAATGAGCCGAAGGCATTCGGTTGCAGGGAAGTCCAGTGCAAGGCCTTGAACTCCGGCACAGAAAGGAGGGCTTCGATTGCCCAGTGTCCGCGCGCGTAGTAAGCGGTCGCATCGGGGCGGACGGATGCGGCGGCTGTTGAGATTCGCACGACGTATTTGACCCCCGCGTGCAAGAGCGCAAGATGGAAGGTGGTCTCCTCGGCGAATTGGCTCGGTTTGACATGTGGTGCGATAAATGCCCTAACTACATGGTGGGTTTGGAGCCACTCGGAGGTGATTTCTACCCAGTTTTGCTGGATGACTTCGACTCCCGGGAGAGTGACGAGGTGCTTAGCAGCTGGGCTATCTGCTGACCGTGTGAGGGCCAGGATTCGGTGGTTGCGGAGTGGGGAGTCCGGGGCCTGGATAAGCTTGGAGAGGGTCTCGGTGGCACTCCGGCCGGTGTTGCCGGTAGCGCCAGCGACGAGAATGGAGGGAGACATGGCTAAGTAAATGCGTTGATCAAAGTGTTGTTTGTAGGATCAAATAATGTTATATGTTACAACATAGGGTAGATCTTGGGCAGCTCAGTGTCCTTTATACTTGTGCTTTGAGTCTGACATACTTACTGATCGGGATTGATAAGTGTGGGCTCTCCGGGTGGGCTCTCCGGGTGGGTTCGCCGAGTACGAAGCCGAGTGGGTCTGAGTAGGGGCCCGGGCCCCGGCCGCCCGATACGCAGTCACATCGATACGCAGTCATATGACTGCGTAAGCCCGAGCTACAGTAGAACACACCCACAAATCTTGAAATCATTAGAGCCCAGCGGCTAAGCCGAAGGGTTGCAAGGGCACCTATGACAAACTACCTAGTAACTACCAAATCACCGATAATGTTACATGTCCTATAATCCTATTGAGTACCGTGTCTCCTTGCACTGGTCATATTGCACATGGTCATTTACCTCACCAAAGGCACTGACGCACGGAGGCTCCTTGCCACAGGTTCTTCCATGCAGGATGAGAATCTGGCGTGGCCGGCGCCTTTGAATACCGACCACTGCCGATGCAATGCTACAATTACCAAGAGATTCGCCAGAAGGCATTCCAGTGCAAGAACGCCCAGAAGTAGGTGTGCAACGTTTAAATTCGAGACGTCAAGCCACGGATGACACGTTGACTCGACTACCTCCATATGAACCGATGTTCTTGCAGATATATCTCGGTTATTGCCTGCACAATTTCTAGCGTTTACCTAGGTACAGTAGGTTCACGGCACTTAAATAAGCTGAACATGCAGGCTTTCACAGAACAAAACACAAGAGTATCAGCCCGGTGCCCGGGCTAACCCATTCTTCGAAAACCTAGTACCCGTTCGACAATGATCTCTCAATTCGGGACAAATTCCTACATTAGTTCATCAATCTATATACTGATCTTACTCCAACAAGCTGCCCAACATCTGTTGCGGTGTCCGCTTGGGCGCAGCAAGCTCCAGAACCTCCTTACTTGTCGGCGGAGCCTTAAACTCCCACGCCGTCTCCGCCGCACGCCGAATGGACCAGATAACATTCCGCGAGTTCCCACTCCCCATGTGCCCCTTCTCCAAGAACGCATCAAGCGCCGACAGATCCCCATACCGAACATTTTGAACAGTCACGCCGATAGTCCGCTCGATCATCTGCACAATATTTTCGCCGGAGATATCCTCTGGCCCATTCAGGACATATCTTCTCCCGGTATGTTTGGTGGTGTCCTCTTGCACGAGGAGGTGCGCCGCAACAACTCCCACTTCAGCGGGGTCGATCACGCCGACGGCACAGTCTTTTGGCACCATCAACCTGAGCACCGAATCCGCGCGGCCAGTCGTGCGGTATTCCTTGATGAACTCCACAGCGGGAGAGAACCAAAATGTGCAGAAGGCGTTCGGTTGCAGGGACGTCCAGTGCAAGGCTTTGAACTCTGGCGCGGAAAGGAGGGCTTCGATTGCCCAGTGTCCGCGCGCGTTGTAAGCGGTCGCATTGGCGCGGGCGAATGCGGCGCCTGTTGAGATTCGCACGACGTATTTGACCCCCGCGTTCAAGAGAGCAAGATGGAAGGTAGACTCTTCGGCGAAATGGCTCACTTTGCTCTGTGATGCGATAAATGCCCTAACTACATGGTGGGTTTGGAGCCACTCGGAGGTGATTTCGACCCAGTTTTGCTCGATGACTTCGACGCCCGGGAGAACGGCGAGGTGCTGCGCAGCTGGGCTGTCTGCTGAACGCGTGAGTGCCAGGATTCGGTGGTTGTGTAGAGGGGAATCCGGGGCCTGGATAAGCTTTGAGAGGGTCTCGGTGGCACTCCGGCCGGTGTTACCGGTGGCGCCGGCGACGAGGATGGTGGGAGACATGGCTAAGGCAATGCTGTCGTTCGTAGAATTAGAAAATGTTATTTTTTACAATCGGGGGTAGACCTTGGGTAGTACAGTGCCCTTTATACAGTATACTTGTGCTTTGAATATTAATAACTAGTGATCGCGAATCGCGATTGATAATAGTGGGCTCTCCGAGTGGGTTCAGTGGGTTCGCCGAGTGGGTCCGAGTAGGCGCCCGAGCTACAGCTCTACCCTGGATCCAGGACCACAGCCTGTAGAGTGTAAATCTTGGAATAATAGCCCGAACTGCATGGAGATTCACCCGGTCCCGGTCCCCTTACTAAGCATGGATGTGGGAGAAACGTCGCTGGAACCTTCCCTCATCTCCAGATCTCGATTCGGTTGGCGTAACCGAATCGATTCGCTTGACAACCAATTCCTTCCATAATGACATCTACGGGCTACCATTGTGGGTTTCCGGGTTGCAACGCGGGATATCAACGGAAAGGGCACCTTCGTCGCCACGAGGCCCAACATAGAGAGGGTCGGGCTCTACAGTGCTCAACATGCACCCAAGTATTCCATAGACGGTAGGCTTTTATCCCAGCTATGTCCAACTTCAGGACAAGATACAATTGGTAATCCCGATTTATAGTGACACACTGCGACGACATGTTCAAACAGTGCACGGCATAGCGGAGCCTGCGGCGCAGCTGAAACAAGCGTGTACGCACTGTCGCAATCAAAAGATTCGGTGCGACGGCGGGCCACCGTGTACCAATTGCCAGCGTCGCGGAATCCAGTGCTCACTTGCGCGGCAGGCGGAAGTGGTACAGCCAGGTCCTTCTCCCAATAATGCGCTAGACACACGATGGACGAGGCAGGGATTTCTTCGCCTGCCACCCAGAATGCGCCGATCAGAAATTGAAGACCGCTTTGTTGGCAGGTATTTTGACTTGTTTCACCCGCACTGGCCGTTCATTCATCAGGGCACATTTACCGAGTATGAGACGCCATTACTGATTCAGTCGATGGTTGTTATTGGGATGTGGATGACCGACGAGGAGGAGACACGATGTCAGGCGATTAATCTGCATAAGGTGCTTGGTGACGCCATACGTCAGCAAACGGTATCTCCGACAAATAGCCATCACATGTTGGCCAATTTCACTAAAATTACAATCTATAGGAACATTGGGATGGCTCCCTCTCAGAGGCGCCATGCGCTTCCTCCTCATGGCCCATCCCAACATACCAAGCCATCCTGCTACACATAATATCCGCCGGGATGATCAGAGGCAGTGGGAGCCTCCTTCCAGACCTAAAGCCTTCTCTTACGGCCCCGGATGCGGATCTACTTCAAAGGTTCGTTGCGAGTTGTAAAAAGCTCGGAATGTTTTACTATCCAAATATTCTCGCCCGCCATCCCAAGAACCAGCCGGCTGCCTATATCTGGGTTAGCATTGAGGAGATCAAACGGTTCAACCTGACTCTGTTTAAAGTCTGCAAATCGTTCAGTGGATTAAGTAGGCAGAGGAGAGATCTAGATGGCCTCATCGACGACAGAGAGAAAACAGTAAGTTGGGGTCTGTCAGCACGCGATTTGCAATTCCCGTTGCCGAGGAATGCGCCATTGTGGAACGCTCTAAATCCTGAAGAATGGTTCGCTGCGGATACAGAGAATGTGTACCGGCATGGCCCGGGTGATATTTTAGAACAGGCTTGGATCTCGTGGTCCGCGGATGTATTGGATGATTTAACTGAAAGTTGATGAGTGTTCTGGTAGCCTGATATGTACTGTACAGTGCTTCATACCACAGGTCCGCGGTTTACAACAACTTCTCAGTCCTCATCAAACATGAGCCATTCCGGTATCGCATCCTCATCCTCAGGATCCTCGGAAAGCAGAGATCCTTTTTCGATCTCGCTGTCAGAATCGTATTTCGGCGCTGGTGACCGTTGTTCTTCGCGCGCCGGGGATGGTGGCCGGGAAATGGTGATAACACTTGCGGATTTGGAACCATCATTTGTAGATGAGTCCACCGCAATGGGTTCATTCTCAGTTGACCCTACCAGATCCTGGGGAGCGGATGGCGGGTTTGGGTCGTGCTTGGGAACAACTACCAGTGAGTAGCGAGGCGTGAAAGATGGTTTCTTGCTGCCATCGCTTGCTGGTATCGGCGGCAGATTTGTGGATAGGGGAGTAACTTTTGGAGATTGCACTTGATCCAGATCCGACGCTGGACCAGGCTCGTCGGGCTCGTCTGGTAGGAATCCTCCTCCAACATCCGATTGTTCTTCTGCGGATGCCTGCACCGCTTCCTTTCCTGTGGAGCTTTCGCGCGAATGCTGGTTGTGTGGCAGCCTTTCATTTCCCAGCATTTTCCGAGGTGGGCTTCTGATTTGTTGATTTGGTTCAGGGAAGAAACCACCACCGGCGTCCTCAACGTCCATTTCTTCCTCGATATCCTCAACCTGTGGCTGTTGTTCTTCGTCGCCCGCATACTGCTTAACTCTTTCTGCGATCCTGAGCTTCACCAAAAAGAGACGCCAGAAACGGAGAGCCTCGGCAGTCCTTGCCTCCAGTGCAGCGAGCTGTCTCTCATCCTCGAGGCCCCTCAAAACTTCTTCAAGTGCCTCGTGGTACTCGGAAGCAATGACAATGCCCCCAAGCACAGCCGTGCCACGACGACCTCTGAATTCAAACCCAATGACTGCATCAGCATAGTCAATGCCGAGTATTCGGGCTGCCCGAACTGCCTCCGGCCGCTTGATGTGAACTCCACCAGGGGGGACCATAGTAGGCACATAAACATCGAGGTTTCCATATGCGTTCTTCGGCACCCTTCCCTGAATCACTGGCGGCGGAACATATAGCTCCGTCTGGAACTCAGCATATAGGGTAGTCTCTTCAGGCTCATTATCATCGTCGTCGTCGCTGAATCCTGCGACCTTGTTACGACTTGCAGCGACACGCTTGAGAGGCTGTTCGCCAACTTTGACATCTCGTCCAAGTCGATACCATTTATCGGAGCTTCGTACAATATGTACGTCAGAGCGACGATAAACAGGCTCCGATACTTCATTCCGTGCTGTGCTTTTGCCCAACCCAACGTGTCCAATAACTCGTTTGGGATGAATTACTTCATTGCGACGGAGGTGTCGCTCAAGGGCATAGATAGGATGGTCCTTGAAGTCCTGTATGCTGCGCGGCATGGGCTCGGCTGCGGATTTAGAGGTCAATTCACTGATCTCTGCCGCATCCCGATCCGCCAAGAAAGGCTTTTCATAGCGCCTCAGCACTCTCTGCCACCACTTCTCACCATTTCGTGTTATTTCCACACGGAGCTTCCGCGTCTTTGCGTTGAATGCCTTCACATAGCGTCGAGTAACGTCTCTCGCGGAGCCGTCATCCTCGAAACCTACAACATAGTTCATCAAGTTCTGAGGATCGCCGGCAGGCGGTTCGAATTTCGAGGGTTTAGCAAGGGTTTTTGTTACAACAGGGTCAATTGGGACCCATTTTTGTGCGGCTTCGTTGAAGGCTTCCACCCAGAATACCGGAAATGAGGAATCGCGGGATGTTGAATAGAGAGCTATGAATGTTAGTTCAGTGTGAGCTAGCAGTGGCTGAAAGGCACATACCTTGGTGTGACTTTGGCTGAGGAGGACGTGAGGGTGCGAATTTAGGCTGCCCAATACGTCGAACCCTTGAAGCTGCAGGCGATTTTTCGGTCTTGCGATTGTCATCCGTTGATGATCCCTGATCGTCTGAAGATATGACAATGTATTCCGGCTTTGGTTTGGATGGCGACTGCGACATGTCTTTGATAGTACCAGAGAACGGCAACGGTTGCAAGGAGCAGACAAGCCTTGCCTCTACAGCCACAGAGCGCAGTAGAGCACAGAATAGCTGGGCCCCGAAATCTCGAGATCCTTGCATTGTCTGAGCTTGAGTTCGAAAATCCTCCTTTGATAGAAAGACTTCAGCGTTCGACATAATTGACTCCTACACTTTCGTTAGGACGGGTGTTGACACAAAAGCTGATAGAACCTACCAATTTCTTCTTCAACTGCGTTTCATCTTCGGCCCAATGAGCTCGCTTTAATCCCGGTTTCGTTACCCGGAACCTGCGTGTGAAGGCATCTCCCGCCTCGTTGAGTCCGTCCATGAAAGTAGTAGATCTGGTGTAATGTGGTTTATTTTCGTCTGGATGTAGTAGGGCAATCACCTTCCTGGGTAGCATTTTCTTCAAGAATTCCTATGAAGTCGTTAGATCCAGCATTCAAATGGATGAATTTCCGTCGGGTCACAGCGCACCTGTAATTGTTCGTCATTACACCACGCATTGCGGAACCTAACATGGCCAAAGAGGCAGACAAGATGACATTTATGCACCTCCAACCTAGCTTTCCTCTCGCTTGCGGTCAAAGGCTTCCTTCTATGAACAGCACGTTTGCGCTTCTCGGATCCCTGCTCCAGCGTGATCTCAAGCATCTCGTCACCGCCTTGATTTGCGGCACGTTCTGGGAGCAAAGTCTGAGGTGCTTGGGGTATCTCAACATCTTCCCACTCAACGTCTGACTCTTCCGAGGTCGATGAATCGTAGACGGTTTGCACCGCCTGGGTGTCATATTTGTTGACTTCTGGATGCTCGTGTGTTTGCTCCGTTGACCCTATTGTTACAGGAATAGCTTTCATATCCGCGGCTTTGCGCCTCTTGATTGGCCTGTCCGAGGCAAATTCGCCCGGATCGCGGGCTTCAGCCTCCTCCAGCATTTCTTGGTAGACATCTGGAGTGGGAACATCAGGTTCAGCCTGTCTTGGACGTTTAGATTGACGGGAGGGGGATGTCCGGCTTCTTGAGGAGCGAGTTTGCGCTTGGCGAACCATTGTGAACTGGGGTGGTGAGGCTATACGCGTCGCGTGTCAGCACTCAAGGTGGTAGATTTGTACCCCGCACCCTCAGATGTTTATTGTGACAACAGATCACGCGACCTTAAGAGCAATATTCATGACCGCTTCTGAAGAATATGTGCAAACAGAGATACGCTGTCACTATCAGGACCTATTCATGTGCCTCCTCTCTCATCTCGAGTCCTTGAAATCGCGAGGTGCGTCATAACGGACTTTAGTTTATCCGTCCGTGTATCAATATAACCCCATTGGGAAGTGAAGTATAAGCTGCCTGCGCCTTGGTCTACATATCAATGAGTCTGAATCACGTCTTCGTTTGTGTATTCGCACTTTTGCGGCACTGTTAGTGTTGCATGGTGCCATGGTTGTGAAATATCCATGGATGGCCCTGGAACTCTATATCAATATATCGCGTTTCTGCAATCGGAGCCACCCCGGGCCCATGACCGATATATTCGCTTGCTCACCTGGGGACATATTATTGGACGTGACACCCCTCATAAACTTCCATTTTCTTATCCATCCATTTCAATAGGTTGGATATCTTAGGTACCTACCGTCCTACCTTAGGTATGACACAACCTATCCTACAAAACCGCGGGAAGACACCGCACAGTGTGATTGAATAAGTAATGGTGCATCCATCCACGTATCCTGGTAAATGAGGCGCCAACTGGCGAATCTCGAAATGGACGCACCGGACAGAAAGAGTGCCCCAATCAAGCCACTGAGCAAGCCCTGGAGATGATCTTATTACCTCGTCCCTTGGTTAATTCCATGACGCAGCTTCAAATATCAAATACGTATGAATTCTAACAGTTTCCACTTTCCAGAGACCTAGTACTTTGGGCTTGGGAAACACATGGTTGCCTTATTTGAATACGACATCGCCGGCAGCGAATGGAAAAGTAAGAGGTGGATACCAAACTTCTTCTATTTTCCTTCGATGGATGAACCTTGTATGTTACCTTGATTATTCGCAGATTCACATGTGCTCTATGGGGGACAAATGCCAGCAGATCGCCGACCTCAGAATCCCAGCTAAGTGGAGAGACTTGGCAGCCTGCGGCCCTTCTAGTGTCCGCAAAAGATAAAGCCCATTCTAGAGCATAAGCACAAGCTAAAGCGAAATCTCTTCTCCTGATGACTGTAGTCCGAGTCCCGAACCAGACCACAAAAGGAAAGTCAACAATGACGATAGCTTCACCGTTTACACAACAAGATTCTTATTCGTTGATGGGGTTGTTGATGATTTTCCTGGATGATCTACGTCTCGCATCTGACAGTTGTGGCCTTGAGCTTGAGACATGCCAATTGGCCCTTCGATGTCCGGCCTCCACCAAGGGCGCCAGTCAAATTGGGATTCCCGCAGTCGGTTTGCCTCGCTCGAATTCCAAATTCTTTTGACTTTTTCCTTCCGACACGGAAGTCCGAGACGGAAGGTCCTTTCTCATCTCCTTTTTTTACTTTTTCTCCGCTTGTGTGGGTATTCCCAGTCGATCCTTCCCATGCATGAGTTGCGCGTGGGCCCCGCACTAACTTACAACAGGCGCGCGCAACAGGTTCAATAGTGACGTTGAATGATGTGTCGGGTCTACAGTAGGTAGTTATCTACTTGGGCACCAAGTCCTGATCAGGTGCGGTTTCCCTTGCTTTTCTTCGACAACAGGCAACTGTTCTATATGCAGGATACGTATGATTGGGCCATGTTTAGCGATAGCCCCAACACTGGCTGGACGAATATGCATGTTGTCAAGGAAAACAGGCCGGGTGTCATTACTTGCCTCAAAGACGACCTCGAATAGACTTCCAACGTCTTGGCGAGTACCTACGCAGTAGGTGAGTTGTCAAAACCCCAGCCAGACGGGTATGTGCATATGGGGAATCCTTCCAGACGCATGTATTTGACATGTTACCGAGGGCGGAAGTGCGGCTCGGGATGATTCTCGCTGCACCTCCATGGTCCTGGACACGTACATAGTTGCTTAGCACGTCTGTCAAAATGCAGCAACCGTTGGCTGGCTGGAAATTCAGTACGTTATTGTTTATCTCTACAATAAGAACCTTAAAGATGGACCCTTCACGTGTTGGAACCGAACAGCTGGAGTCTGGTTGTCAGAACCTTCGCATCTGGTGTAACATGTCTCAGCTGAGGCGCACCCGGAGTTTATGGACACTCGACAGAGACTTCCAGCAATTTCAAATACTTCATCTAGCTCGTCAGAGGAGAACCCTGTCCAAAGGCTAAGTTCGGCATATGTTGAGTCGTTGACTTCCTTCAGGTGCCAGCCAACAAAGCAAGGGTCCCGAAAGAGATAACTCGCCAAGGACTTGTCCCCACCACGGCACCACCGGAGGTGTTCCGCTGTGGAGTGAGAGGAAGTGACAACATAGCGTTCATGGGTGTGTTTGGAGAAACCCCGACGCAGGCAATTTCTGATGCAACATCAGAGGGCATTTGAGTCTATTTGCCCTATGCGCATCTTGCGAAGCATGTTTGCTGAGAAGACGCAGTAGTAAAGAAAGAGTGTAATCCTCCTAATTGGCTCTTGCGGCGTTACCGACACGACGGAACCCAACAACTTTCCCAGTCACCGGGTCCGGGCCAGTTCCGGTGACTCGTCGAATTTCCAATACAGTCCCGGGGGTCCCCTGGGATGGAATCCCGACTCCATGGGCTGCGAGATCTTTATTTTTGGGACTGCAGGGGTGCTTTACCTGGGATCTTATCCACTGGTCAGCACGGGTGACGTGTTTTCTTTTTCTTACTCTGTCATAGAGATCTAGGTGGTATGCACTATGTAATAGTTTTGAGGGTTTCACTTTCGAAATCGAAGTCGTGTATTGCAGTTAAAGACTTGAACCCTTGTACCTACTGCATAATTTTGATTTTGCAAAATGACAAGGTTGGAGCACATACCATGATGGGAATGGGTAATAGGAATTACACGATCACGGGCGATTTCACACGTCATGGGCATGAAATCATTGAATAAGGTACGGAGACCACGGAGTACTCCGTACGGAGTGTGAACGAATATGAGGATCCGATTGACCACTCCGTACGGAGTACTTCGTACATGTATTCTCAGGACATTTCAAATCCCATGTGTCATGCCCCTCTGAAAGCATATGAAAGGAGTACTTAAGTCACGGACATCCAGCTCCCTAGTGACGCTTCTACTGAAGGCCCGACGGGCTATCTCGTCCTTTCTCACCGCTACGCTGAGATCCGAATCATCAATGTCCTCTGTGCAGGGTAATATTGTACTGTGTACTCCGTACTGCGTACGATGATGTATGGAATTGTTGGGAAATGAGTTTCCTGGTAGCTCCACGTCTCTGCGGGGCCGAGACCCACTGTTTCTAGCCGAGGATTGGTTTTCATCTCTCAAGGTTCTTTAGATGTTTCGGAATCTTGGAATATCAGGGGAAAACTTTCCCCCCATAAGACATCTTGCATAGTCTCGGAGAGAAAAAGGCAGATGATAATAAATGTCACTCCTAGGATGCCCCTGCAGGATCCTAGGTACACAGAAATTCTCCCATATGCGGGCCCTCCGGCTGAATTCAACGGGAAAATCCCAGGAGAAAGGTTGAAGACGGCCCGTGGGCCGTGGCTGGGCCGGTAGCATATTCCCAGCCGGGTGGAACGGACCTCTATTGGTGGATCTAGTTCAAGCAGCCGGGAGCCTTCGATCGTGTGATTCGAGACGTATTTATAAAATTAGGTAACTTTCATGGACACGAATAAGCACGATGGAGGATCACCGGAAAAAGAGTCCTTGTAAGTTTCAGCCCAGATTTGACTTTGATAATGGCTAAAGAAGGCGGGAAGAATAAGTTCCGTTAAGTTTCGTGAAGGAAATACTACGGAGTACGGAGTACGGAGTAGAGGATGCAGTATCTAGAATTTGATATTCTGTGTGCATTCGATGTACTTTAGGTCTTGGTCTTGTTCGAAGGCCCTAAACAATACTAACACGTACTACGAATCAAAATATACGAATAAAATCACCGACAATCGTGGATTCAATCCAATCATTTCCAAAAGATTTAAGATTTTCCTGTAGAAAACAGGACATTACGAGGTGCAGGAGGTACTATTTTAAATGATTCACGCCCGAAGCGCCCATCTTCCTCTTTTTATACGGAATACTTTCCTTACCATTTTACCTTGCACGAACTGGAGGCCTCTAGTTAGCTCCACTTCAATTAACCCTGCTTTTTACTCGCGAATTCAATAAATGATCATCCCCCGGTACCACATCGTACATTGTCGGATTTATAGTTGTCGGGATTATCCTCCCGCCCTGCCAGCATCCAACTTAACCCAAACTGTCGGGCTCTTTCCAATTCTTCTCTATATTTGACATTCCCTTTCCTCCTTCAGCCATGTCGGTGTTTGTATCCGTCTGAAAAACCTCATTTCATTTCATAGTGGGACTTGGAATGGAGCATCGCAAGATTAGTCTCTCATCCCACTTCACTAAGGAATAGCTCCGTCACCATACATCCCGCAGAGCGCACTTCCCATTACTTGGAAGCCCCTCTGAAAAGGCCGGAGTCTAGACAGTCATTTCTCGACATTTAATACTCCGGTATCACGGTATTCTGCCCGATTTGGCGTCGGTTGATTGATCCTACCTCCCCACATCAGTGGGGGTACCTATATTTGCACATCCACCGCTGTGGAATCCACTGGATAGGACCGCGGTGATTATGGGTGCCAGACCTCCGGTAAGCTTATCCCTTTTAAAGAATACGGTCCCCATGGGAATGGCCCATCGTCACTGTTCTTTTTATGATCATTCCATTCCTATATGACTTGTGGCTGACGTGAAGCCATGCAGGTACCTCGTGCTCAATGGTGAGACTAACCCCCCATTCCCTCATGCCTCTTAGTACTCTACCAAAGAAAGGTTCGACTTGACTTACCACATGATAGCAGCGACACGCAGTCATTGACTGCCAGTGTGACCGATTATCCCGAGGAGAATGGAAGAACGTATCACAGGTACCACGAGGGGGGTATGTTTGCACTTCCCGATTCTGTCAGACCTCGCACAACGTGGTTAATCTGATGCATAGCCTATGTGTACCCCAATGACGAACAAGAAATGGATCGCCTTGATATGCAACATCACATGTTCAAAATCGTGACGGACGGGAAGCTATTCCAAGTCCCGCTCGAAGACCCGAAGAAAATCCTCGACATTGGCACTGGGACAGGCATATGGCCAATTGAAATGGGTATGATCATCCATCCCGGCTCCAACCTTTCGTCTCCCCATCTCACACCGTTCTCCTGCAGCACAATTGTTTCCAGATGCCGAGATCACGGGCACAGATCTGTCTCCAGTACAGCCGACAGAAGTCCCGCCCAACGTTCACTTTTTAATCGACGATGCCGCAGAAGAAGAGTGGCTATGGGAGCCCGATCACTTTGATTTCATTCACACTGGCCATATGACAGGGGCTATGCCATCATTCAAACGTGTATTGCGACAGGCGTTCAAACATCTCAAACCGGGAGCCTGGATGGAATGTCACGAGCTAGACCCCAAACCAAAATGTGACGATGGTACCATGCCACCGGAGAACACGGAGGGAGGCTTCAGTGCATTCGCCATCCATGATTGGATAGACCTTAACATGCGCTCAAGCCGTGATGCTGACCCACCAAGGCAATTTCGGATCGCACACAGGATTGAACAGTGGATGAAAGATATAGGGTTCGTTGATGTTGAGCAACGGATTGCGAAAATCCCCATCAACCCCTGGCCACAGGATAAGAAGCTAAAAACAATTGGCGCTTGGAGTGAAACCAATTGGCTCGCTGCTTTGTCCGGATGGTCATACAAGCCGTTCCTCGCCCTTGGGTGGTCGAAACCCGAGATCGAAGTCTTTCTCGTTGATGTGAGGAAGAGCATACAGGATCGAAGTGTACATGCCTATACGGAATTTTATGTCGTGATGGGGAGGAAGCCATTTCCCAATGAGGCTGGTACTGCTTCCTGACCTGACCTCCCTTTGAATCCCGGCACTTCTCGTTATGACCGTCTGACGTTTTTTTCTTTTTCTTACCACACCGTTTCATTATGTTATCTCCGACATAATTAGCATGTAATACCATTGGGTGGGCAAAATCTTGCATACTGTGTACATTGCATTGGCGTTTTACTCGTGGATTCATTGTCTTTTTCTTGTTCCCTTTCTCTTTGTATGACAGTATGAGTCGACTGGCGAGTGTGTGTAGCAAGGAACTTCGGCTCGCAACAAATAACTTTAAATAGACCCTTGATAAGACATATGGCTACCAGGGTGCTTTGAGCGCCCCCCGGACCCCTAGCCTCAATTGCTGAGCGTTAGCTTTATGCACATTTTTTTAAACGCCAGTCTTACTAACTAGTCCGTAGGTATTTTGATTACGTATTTTGAAAGAGCTCAGACCGAACTTGATGATATTGGCTTCCACCGTCTACGGATATGGGCCGAGGCTGACTCCTCCCGGAGATGAGGAGCCTGAGGACGGCGAAGGGATGCCAGTGGCCGGCCGTCTCCCCCGGATCGGCTGGACTCGGTCGGGCGTTGATGGGTTTGTCGGACGACGCCTCGAAGGCCGGAAGGGCAGAGTTTGATAAGCCGACGCACCTCGCCTTGTTCGCGATGCGTGATGCGGATCGCCTTCGAAGGCAGCATGAGCATGTTCAGCTCGAGAGGCGGACTACCCCGGTTACACCGTCTACCACCCGTGTATCATATTTCGGCCGCGCGAATCCGAATGACGGTCCCGTGTAGTTCGGGCACTCGACGACTAGTACATGTGGCGGTTCCGCACGGGGATCCCTGACATGCACTTTCCAGTGGACCAGTAGATCTCGCAGGCGATCATGATTTAGAGCCTGCGCAGCAAGCCTTGTAAAGTAAATGCGGAGGGCATCTTTGGAGCGGGTCACCCCGCAACCCCTTGCTTTCTGCTGTGACAAAGCTCATGAATTCGTTCATTGGCGAGGGAGACTGGTCTGCCCAGGAGGTCTCCCATATTCTCCTAGATCTTCAGCTGGACTGGTCCCACTAATTCGGATTAATTCAAGCAATACTGGGCCGCAGGCGGGAAGACATTATGGGCAAGGAAAGGCAAGGAAATATGAATTCGATGAGTGTAGGTAAATAATGGAAAATGAATTCTCGAGAATTCTGCCATTTCCCACCGCCGTAACGCTGACATGGCATCTGTGATTTTCCTGCCCGGGGGCGGTGAAAGATTAGTCAGCACGCCAAGACCCGGAAAGCTGTGATGCGAAAGTTGATCTCCGACGATTGCGAACAAGCCAACACACCAATTGGCAGGCATATGACATAGCCGACTCTATGTCTTTCGGCAGACATGCCTATCGGCATGCTCTAAAGCCGCCCGCTTCTCCAACCCTCGACCATCTCTGGATCAGCGATGACTTGCTCACAGCTACGTTTCGTCGCTTTGCCAATGGTCAACGACGCCATGGGAGCTGCGTGCCCGGCCCATTGGAAGCTCGACGACGACTAGCAAAACGAAGAAACACGGCTCTAGCGAGCATTGGAGGCAGTTCGGCTGAAGACATCGCGTGTCTGTTTGGCCGCAATGGGAGGGAACATATGAAGTGGACCGACCATCCGTGGCAGAGAGCACCGTTCGAAACTCATAGTATGTGTGCTGCGATGAGTTGTGACTCCGAGGGCGATTGCTAATTATTCTTGAAGGCTTGGCCGATTATTCTTTAGGTCCTGCTGAGGTACCTTTTCCTTACTCCGACCAAAACCCGGTCCCTGAGCCTGTATCAAGCGAATTTCATACCCCCCGAGCTCCTGTATCGGACCACGCTACGCGGGAACAGATGCTGGAAGATTTTTTGGAAGGGAAGAGCTGGGGCATTGAGGATGCTAGGGACTTCACTCGCAGTTTACGAATTGACCTCCACCGGGAGCCACAATATAGCCGGCGGATATTCGAGCGACTACTTGCTCGTTCGGACCCGAATCTCACGGAAGCGATTGCGTTCTTGGATGATCCATTCATGAATACGAGGGGCTCGGGAAATTATGCGGCCGCTGTCGAGATATTCACTCGGGCCAAAACGAAACGCGGCAAACGGATTGCCGTTCTGAATGCGATCAATCGTGCCTTGGAGCTGGGTTCCATCCCAACTGATGAGATTTGTGTGATCATTACGGCTTTACCGAACATTCTTGTCGAAAACAACAAGACATTAGGATCATGGGACCAGAAAGCGCTGACCAAGCACTATCGGGCGATGTGGAAAGCTATCGGATCTTGTAACATTCTCGGATATCACGATCTGGACAGGAAGATCGTTGATTTCTGGCTTGAAGAACTTCTGAGTATTCGCAACTTCAGATTCGCCGAAGAAATCATCATCGAAACTCATGACGCAGAACGTGGCAGCCGATGGCCTTCTGTCTTGGTTCAAGCCTGGTTGGAGACCATGGATGTCGACCCGGAGACAAGCCTGCCGTTCCCTGACAAGATCTTCAACCAGCTTGATGTCAACAGTGCCGCCGACTGTGTTATTCGCGTGACAGAGTCTTTGGCAGCATCTCCAGCGGACAGGGTTACCAGAAACAATCTGCTCGAACGATGGCGGACTTGCCTCTCGAACGCCGAAATCATCGCGACTGTTGCCAATTCCCAGGTCTGGTACGACTTCCCTCTACCATGCGTTGAAACACAGATCAAGCATGCTGCTGTGAATCATTCAACTCCACGTCAAATCATCCTACGACTCTGGCTCCTACGAACGCTTGGTCGATCCACTGGGCCCATGTACAACCAGAGTTCAAGAGCAACGGACCGACCAATCTGTTCATTGCTCAATCTCTACGAAACTGTCATGCAGAACCCCAGCGGGGCATTCTTCCCCGTCTTAATGCGCGAGATTCACGATCTCGATCTCCCATACAACAGCCTTCTGCTCCTAGCTCTCACCAAAAAGGGCAAAACCTCCATCACCAAAACCACACGCAAAACTCTCGAACGACTAGAGACCTCTCAGCTTTCCCTAGCAGAAATATGGAAAACCCCAGCCATATACAAGGGAATCCAAAAACTTTTCCACACCACATTCGACGAAATGTTCCACCGCATAGATCTAACCGACCCAACCACAGTTGAAGAGATCATGCACATCGTTCGATCAGGAGACTCAACGAGCATCTGGCCCATCCTCCGACTCCTCAACAACAACATCCCATTCAAGCTCAGCCTCCACAAAGCTTGGCAGCCTATCCCACACCCTGACGACCACGCCCTCGTCCGGTATCATCCCGGTCCACGAACGAGCCGATGCCCAGATCCCCATGCTGCGGTCGACCTCATCAACCAGCTGGCGGTCGCTCTCTCCTGCTGCAATCGCTTGACGCCGTGTCAGTCTTTCCATATGATTCACTGGCTCTATGGATATCTTCGCAGACACGGCGGGCCCGTGGATCCGGAGTTCGTGCGCGCCATGTACCATGCTGGTATTGTGCGGTATCGCCGTGACGGGCTTCGTGTCTCGGCTATGCGTTATGAGTACATTATCTGGATTGTGGGCAAGTTTGAAGGCCGTGAGGTTCTTAAGCAGCTCACGGCCCTACCGGAGATTGGCGAGACGAGGCCTGTCAGTGAATGCTATGCTTAGGCCGTAGCATGCGATGTCTACACTGAGAATTTTGTAATTACACGATACCCATGCTTCCATTTCAGCTTGCCTGATGGTGCTGAACTACGTATAAAATTCAGAATCATACCAAATTCCTGGATATTTCCATTCCCTGTCCTGGTTATACCTACTCTAAGCCTGTAGCACCCACAACAGTCGTGTAGAAAACATAGTGCGACAGAAGAAACCGGGTGCATTAAATCAACTCAAAAAGACCACTGGCCTGTGCATCTCCCAGGAACATCTAAGTATCAACCTCCATGCTATCCCCAGTCGCCAGGTCATCGTTACCCGACAAGGTCTCGATCGTGACATATTTCTTCATATCCTCCTTGCTGATAACTCTCTGGTCCAACCAAGCAGTGGTACCACGAGCGAAGCGGTAGTTGCGTTCCTTCTGCGGGCGCTCGTTGGGCTTCATGTAGTTACGCAGCAACTGGGTGGGCTGATCCTTCTCAATAACACACACATCGACGTTGCTACCAGAGCCCAGATCATTGAAGATACCAGCCTTGATTGCCTCGGCGCAGATGTCGATGGCGCCCTGTCGGTCCAAATCCGGTTTCCAGGTGGACTCGAACACCGACATTGCAGCCAGCGAACCGGATCCCATCGTCACGTACGGCAGCTTGTCTGTCGAGCCGTGTGCGTGCACAGTGTACAAACCCGTGCCGGTCGGGTCCACGCCTGCAACAACCAGGTAGGCGCCGATGTGACCTTGGTAGCGGAAGAGGTGCTGCTTGAGCATCGTCATGCAAGTGATGACGCGGGGGTCGCGGCCCGTTGATAGCGAGTGAAGCTCGACGTTGGAGCTGATGAGTGCCGTGGTGAATTCGGTGTCGGCGGCGGTACCGGCTCCCGCACACCAGATCTTTGGGGCGATGTAGTGTAGCTTCTCACAGTTCTGGATACGGGTAGATGGCGGTGTTAGATGTACTCTGGCAAGAATACGGAGGCAGTATAATCGGCGTCTCTTACCTTGTCTGCTACTATAGGGCCACTGGTGGCTCGGGTATCTGCTGCAATCTGTAATGGCGACGCTAGTCAGCTCAATGGTTCACAGCTATCTTGCATCTCTTCCCATCGCCGGGGACCGTACCACAACGCCCTTATCATAGACACAACCGACAATTGTTGTACCGGTACTTGTGGCCTTGGGAAGGGGAACGCCCCTGGCGTGAAGCGCCGCGTTGCGGTTGTAGTTGGAGAAGTCGAAGCCCGGCATGGTGACAACGCTGGTGTTCGGCGACCAGCTGAAGTATTTATCAAAGTGGACGATGTGAATGGAGCACAGCTAAGGTAAAATTTCGAGAAGGAGGGGATTGAGAAGAGTGGATGGACGAATGGGGTAGCTGGAGATGAGAAGAGGAAGTTAGCAGCTGTTTGGAGTGACGAAGCTCCCGCAGCCTAATTGACGCCTTGGGGATCAGGCAGAAACAAGGTGTTTTTGCCGGGCTTTTATTTTCGGCTTCAACACTCTTTAACCTCTTGCCTTCTCTGCTTTGCGCATCGGTGTTCCTCGTTGCGTATCTCTTACACTTTTAATAGCCTTTCCATTCTTGGGAGGTCCCGCGCTCTCAAGATTTTCGCGCATACCCTCAACCTCTTCTCACGGAGTCCTCAATCACTCCATCGTCGCTCGCTCTCCACACCTCCCACCTCACCATCACCTAATGCTTTCAGACATAGCTCTCCACTAGGCGAAAGCACACGTTCGCCTTCTGGCACCCTTAATTCAGAGAAACTCAGAATGGCTTTCGGCTTCGGCGCGTCCAATTCCGCTGGGGGAAGCGCTTCTGTAGAGCTCGGTGCAGAGCTTCCAAATGTCGTAACCGATGTATGTCCACCCCACCAGAACTCTTACTCACCATGACCATTCCGCTAATATAGATACAGAAAGTCGGTTTCAAGGGCCTCAACGGAGACGCAAATATCCGCTTCCTTCCTACAGCATGGCCCAGCGACGCGCTCCCCGCTCCGACTTCCTCTCTCTTAGCTGTCGCACACTCCAAAGGTCTCGTTGTCGGTGCTGGCCCTGATGCGCTGGTAATCAGCACAACCGAAATTATTAGGAAGGCCATAGAAGCACCGGCTGGAGAGCAGATGGAGAAGACCAAGTCCTTCCAACCGACCGCCACAATTCCCCTTCCTGCTCGTCCTACACATGTGGCATTCACCCCGGACGACGACGGCTTGATTCTCGCGACGGAGAATGGTCCCACGATCTCTGTCTTCGATGTGAATAATCTCACTAGCGGAAATGCGCAACCGGCGATCTCGATCCCTACAAATGGCGTGTCGCTACGAGCACTGGCACCCAACCCCGATGCTGCCTCGACACTTGTCGCACTAGTCACGGTGAACGGCGAGCTTCTTATTGCAGATCTGAAGGCTCGAAGTCTAGTGCCTGGACCCAATGGGCCAGTTCTCAAAGATGGCGTTAGCTGTGTCGCATGGAGCAACAAAGGAAAACAGGTAGTTGCTGGATTGGCCGATGGTACTGGATACCAGATGGCTCCCGATGGAACCAAAAAGGCTGACATCCCTCGCCCGCCTGACTTGGAGGGGGATTCCCACGGTACGTTCTACTCAATCACCAAACCGAGATATACACCTTGACTTACAATCATATAGTTTCATCTATTGCCTGGCTTGAAAACGACGTCTTCTTTGTGACCTACACTCCGAATGCCCTGGAGGATCCCATGGGAGGGAACCCCCCTTCTTCTAACTATATAATCACTCGCCGCAAGCAGGCACCTTTCCTCATCCAGAAAATGGAGGAAGAAATCTGCTCGACGATGGGGTTCATGATGAAGCGGGCCCCTGCAAGCCACTTCCGCGTCAGACTGAGAGACTACAACCCTCACTTGAAAGACGTCTTGATTGTCGCGTCAACTGCCTCGGGTGATGTCAATCTCGTCACACGATCTGACCAGCCTCTGGCGAGCGACGATAGCGCCCAGCGTCATGTTGGCCAGTATATGACCACAGAACTGAGTGACGATACCAAGCGCGCCTGCGTTCCTTTGAATGATTCTGGAGAGGATACATCCGTCATTGGCCTGGCACCCTACCTGTCGGCCACTGAACCTGTCATTGCGCCGATAATAGGATCCGATATCACCGCGAGTTCGACGCCCCTCCCGGGTGTCCTGCTTCTCAATAACGATGGTATTCTAGCGTCTTGGTGGTTCATTTACACCGATTCAATCCAACAAAAAATACCGTACTCTGGTTTGGTTATGGCCGGTCAGGCGAACCAAACTCCCTCTCAACCACAAGCGCCGGCTGCCACCCCGGCCCCTGCTCAGCAACCTGCCTTTGGCCAGCCATCATTTGGATCCTCGGGTTTCGGCCAGCCCGCATTTGGGAAGCCAGCAGGTGCTCCTGCCTTTGGTAGCCCATCTGCCCTGGGTGCCTCGACTATGGGCGCCACCGCCTTTGGAAAACAAAGTGCTCCGGCATTTGGCACCCCGTCCCGACTTGGTGGAAGCCCTGCTCCTGCCTTTGGCCAGACATCGACCCCGGCCCCGGCTTTTGGAACCCCGTCTATGCCTGGATCAGGACCAGCTTTTGGCGCCCCCAGCACCCCTGGGCAGCCACAATTCGGGAAGTCCGGCTTTGGACAGCCTCCCGCCTCAGCAAGTCCATTTGGTGGTAGTGCAAGTGGCGCAGCGGCTAGTGGTGGAGGCTTTAGTTCCTTTGCGGGAGCAGGCGGCTTCAGCGGTTTCGCTACTGCCAAGCCCGGGGAGTCGCCATTTGCTGCGAAAGCTACAGGCGAGTCGCCTTTTGCTGTGAAACCATCAGCGGAATCTCCGTTCGCACCGAAAGCTACAGGGGAGTCGCCATTCGCTGCGAAGGCTACAGGCGAGTCACCGTTCGCTGCGAAGCCTGCAACGCAGTCGCCCTTCGGAGCTAAGCCTGAGCCGAAGACCTCGTTCCCACCTCCAGCTTCCACCGAGGTCAGGAACCCCTTCGGTCCTGCGGCAGGCAGCTTTGAACTCAAGTCTAGCTTCAAGGGGGATGGTACAGCTGTCAACGACGGGCCAAAGCCAGCCAAAGCTTCCTCGGGACCATTCTCCTTTGATGTGTCTCTTGATGACATGGTGTCGACACCACGCAAGGGCAGCGTATCCTCGGCAATGAGTGATGAAGTTGAACCCGTGGACAAGGCAACATTCTCGATCTTCGGCGGGGCTAGCAAACCTGCTTCACAGACTCCTACATCAAAGTTCAGTTCGAAGATGCAAACTCCCAAGGCGGCGGATCCCAGCAAGCCGGCATTTTCAATGTTTGGCGCTACTTCCGACCAAAATCGCGTCACTAGCCCACTGTCTGATAAGACTGAGACCCCTCAGATGAATTTGACTAAGACACCTAGTATTGACGTGGAGACGCCATTACCACCGGATGCTACTACCCGGGCCAGCTATGCCGCTGGGGATACTTCTGCATCTTCCAACGTGTCCAATGTGTCGAGATCCTCTGCGGATGACGCTCCGCTTCCTCCGGATTTCACCAAACCGAAGAAGGTCTCTCCGACGCCTGTAGATGACGCACCCTTGCCACCCGATTTCGTCTCGCAGAAGAAGCCCGTGCAAAAGGCCGAGGATGCTCCTCTGCCTCCAGACTTTATCGCCCCGAAGAAATCTGTTCCTGTAACAGATGATGCTCCTCTGCCTCCAGACTTTATCGCCCCGAAGAAGTCTGCTCCGGTAACGGATGATGCTCCTCTACCACCTGATTTCGTGGCTGCAAAGAAGTCTCTACCCGAAGCCGATGATGCGCCCCTTCCTCCGGATTTCCTCACCAAGCCCCCGAAGCACGAGGCCGTGCCAGAAGATGCGCCTCTCCCGCCAGACTTCACTGCAAAGCCAAAGGCCGAACCTTACGAGGAAGCGGTGCCCGTGCCTGATGACTCTGACGAAGCCGGCATCTCTGAAGTTGACTCTGATGAAGCTGGCCTCTCTGAAGCTGAGTCTGAAGAAGCTGAGTCTGAGGAAGCCGACGGGTCAGATTTCAATGATAGTGGCGAGGAAATTACCCACGACGAGGCTACTACTGTCAAGCCCGAGCCATCGGCCCAGAGTTCGTTTGTCTCTGAGCAGAGCTCTACGGGAGGATTCTTCAGTAGCCCTGCTCCAAAGACGGAGAAGAAAGGCCACCATCCTCGGCAGCTCTTTGGAGAAATATCTAAGCAGCCGGTTCTTCGTCCCCCGGGTCCCGTTCCCCGAGGCAACCGCGAGCCTTATCGGTCACCCAGTCCGGTTCGTGCACAGCGAAAGGGTGTGTTGGCTACAAAGGCTCATGGCCGCAAGGGTTCTGCAAGCGCGTTGCATTCGCGCAAGGCGTCCCTTACCGAAATCGCCAAGAGAGATGGCCGCTTGAGGAAGGCTAGCGATGTGGACCGTGAGGAGCAAGAGAGACAAGCACGGGCACATGCAGAGGCTCAGCTACAAGAAGAAGATGTCCTGTCCCTGCCAGACGAGGGCGATGACGATAGACTTCGTGATGAATTGGCTCAGCCGGTCGAGCCTGTTGATACCCTAGACCCATTCTTGCCACACCAGAACTACATGGGTGAGGCTGCGAAGCCCGGAATTGCGGGTCAAATTGAGCGGATCTATCGTGACATTAACTCCATGGTTGACACGCTGGGAATCAATGCTAGGTCATTGGTGGGATTCCTTATGCACGAGCAACTCAACAAGCAGGGCTCCGATGTTGATGAGTGGGTGATGGTTCTCACAGGCGATCAGCCCGCCGATATCCTCGACAAGAAGATGTCTCTGAAGAACATTGAGAATTTCGACAGCGTGGTTGATTCACTGGCCCAACTATTGGATAGCCAGCGTGTCCAGGGTGTCGAAGAAAAGTTGAACGAATGCCGTGACCTGCTCATGAAACGAATTGTCACCCTACGAGGCCAGTTCGCCAGCATTCGCAAGACTCTCGACGCTCACACAGACACCGGGGCTATCCTCGAAGCACCACTCTCTGCCGAGCAAAGTGCTCTCCAGCATGATCTGCGCACGACCTTTACAGACCTCCAGGCCAAAACCGCCGCCCTGGAACAAGGTGTGTCCCTCCTGCGCGCCAAGATCGCGGACATCCCGCAGGCGAACGGATCAGTCCGAAATCGCCCAACTGTTGAAGCCGTCACTAAGACCATTGCTACTATGACGAGCATGGCCGAGGGCAAGAGCACCGATATCGACGTCCTCGAGTCGCAGATGCGCAGGCTCGGCATCGACATCGCTATCGCCGGACCCCCGAGTCGCGAAGGCTCACCCTTTACCACTCCTCGCAAGAACCTCGTCGGTCGTATCCCCATCACCCCTGGCTCACGCGGCTCGGTTGACGGCAGCGCCTACCACACCCCTGAGTCCGCCTCGCGTGGCATCAACTTCCGTTCCAGCGTCAACGGCTGGGTCCGCCACAGTCGTCTCCGCGACGTGGAGGGTCCTGGTGAGCTTGCTGTGCCTCAGGAAGACGCTAGCCAGTACCAGGCGAAGCGCACGCGTCGTCAGCACCTGAATGTCTGCTTGAAGAAGGTGTTCGAGGATAAGTCTAACAAGGTGCGCGACGCTGATGACTGGTAGTCTTTACTTCTCATTTGGACTTCTTTTTGTTACCCTCTTTCGAGTTTCTATTTTGAGATTGGGATTGCTTAGCGTGGATTTATGACGGTCTCATATTCGATCATGGAGTTATTTATTATGACTTGCACATACGTTTACATTGTGTGCCAGCAGGATTTTCTCGATTTTAGCGCCACGGTTAGTGGCTGCGAGTTAGCTATCAAATGCAAGTCTTTTTCATATTCCTCTGCGGATGACGCTCCGCTTCCTCCGGATTTCACCAAACCGAAGAAGGTCTCTCCGACGCCTGTAGATGACGCACCCTTGCCACCCGATTTCGTCTCGCAGAAGAAGCCCGTGCAAAAGGCCGAGGATGCTCCTCTGCCTCCAGACTTTATCGCCCCGAAGAAATCTGTTCCTGTAACAGATGATGCTCCTCTGCCTCCAGACTTTATCGCCCCGAAGAAGTCTGCTCCGGTAACGGATGATGCTCCTCTACCACCTGATTTCGTGGCTGCAAAGAAGTCTCTACCCGAAGCCGATGATGCGCCCCTTCCTCCGGATTTCCTCACCAAGCCCCCGAAGCACGAGGCCGTGCCAGAAGATGCGCCTCTCCCGCCAGACTTCACTGCAAAGCCAAAGGCCGAACCTTACGAGGAAGCGGTGCCCGTGCCTGATGACTCTGACGAAGCCGGCATCTCTGAAGTTGACTCTGATGAAGCTGGCCTCTCTGAAGCTGAGTCTGAAGAAGCTGAGTCTGAGGAAGCCGACGGGTCAGATTTCAATGATAGTGGCGAGGAAATTACCCACGACGAGGCTACTACTGTCAAGCCCGAGCCATCGGCCCAGAGTTCGTTTGTCTCTGAGCAGAGCTCTACGGGAGGATTCTTCAGTAGCCCTGCTCCAAAGACGGAGAAGAAAGGCCACCATCCTCGGCAGCTCTTTGGAGAAATATCTAAGCAGCCGGTTCTTCGTCCCCCGGGTCCCGTTCCCCGAGGCAACCGCGAGCCTTATCGGTCACCCAGTCCGGTTCGTGCACAGCGAAAGGGTGTGTTGGCTACAAAGGCTCATGGCCGCAAGGGTTCTGCAAGCGCGTTGCATTCGCGCAAGGCGTCCCTTACCGAAATCGCCAAGAGAGATGGCCGCTTGAGGAAGGCTAGCGATGTGGACCGTGAGGAGCAAGAGAGACAAGCACGGGCACATGCAGAGGCTCAGCTACAAGAAGAAGATGTCCTGTCCCTGCCAGACGAGGGCGATGACGATAGACTTCGTGATGAATTGGCTCAGCCGGTCGAGCCTGTTGATACCCTAGACCCATTCTTGCCACACCAGAACTACATGGGTGAGGCTGCGAAGCCCGGAATTGCGGGTCAAATTGAGCGGATCTATCGTGACATTAACTCCATGGTTGACACGCTGGGAATCAATGCTAGGTCATTGGTGGGATTCCTTATGCACGAGCAACTCAACAAGCAGGGCTCCGATGTTGATGAGTGGGTGATGGTTCTCACAGGCGATCAGCCCGCCGATATCCTCGACAAGAAGATGTCTCTGAAGAACATTGAGAATTTCGACAGCGTGGTTGATTCACTGGCCCAACTATTGGATAGCCAGCGTGTCCAGGGTGTCGAAGAAAAGTTGAACGAATGCCGTGACCTGCTCATGAAACGAATTGTCACCCTACGAGGCCAGTTCGCCAGCATTCGCAAGACTCTCGACGCTCACACAGACACCGGGGCTATCCTCGAAGCACCACTCTCTGCCGAGCAAAGTGCTCTCCAGCATGATCTGCGCACGACCTTTACAGACCTCCAGGCCAAAACCGCCGCCCTGGAACAAGGTGTGTCCCTCCTGCGCGCCAAGATCGCGGACATCCCGCAGGCGAACGGATCAGTCCGAAATCGCCCAACTGTTGAAGCCGTCACTAAGACCATTGCTACTATGACGAGCATGGCCGAGGGCAAGAGCACCGATATCGACGTCCTCGAGTCGCAGATGCGCAGGCTCGGCATCGACATCGCTATCGCCGGACCCCCGAGTCGCGAAGGCTCACCCTTTACCACTCCTCGCAAGAACCTCGTCGGTCGTATCCCCATCACCCCTGGCTCACGCGGCTCGGTTGACGGCAGCGCCTACCACACCCCTGAGTCCGCCTCGCGTGGCATCAACTTCCGTTCCAGCGTCAACGGCTGGGTCCGCCACAGTCGTCTCCGCGACGTGGAGGGTCCTGGTGAGCTTGCTGTGCCTCAGGAAGACGCTAGCCAGTACCAGGCGAAGCGCACGCGTCGTCAGCACCTGAATGTCTGCTTGAAGAAGGTGTTCGAGGATAAGTCTAACAAGGTGCGCGACGCTGATGACTGGTAGTCTTTACTTCTCATTTGGACTTCTTTTTGTTACCCTCTTTCGAGTTTCTATTTTGAGATTGGGATTGCTTAGCGTGGATTTATGACGGTCTCATATTCGATCATGGAGTTATTTATTATGACTTGCACATACGTTTACATTGTGTGCCAGCAGGATTTTCTCGATTTTAGCGCCACGGTTAGTGGCTGCGAGTTAGCTATCAAATGCAAGTCTTTTTCATATTCATTCTTTTCTCTGTATCCATAGATGAAGCCTACGATAGAAGCAACAAAGCACTGGAAGCTACTTAAAAGAAGACTCTATAGGTATCCATTGAATACAAAACAAAGCTCATCTCAATGGAAGACAGTCGAAGAAAAGAGTAACTAGGTATAGGTATAAACAGCCCATTGTCGCAATGAAAGGCATTGTTCTACGTCCATGGAGTTTCTTTCTCCCAGCCCGGTACATACCTCAGCCAGCATATAAAAAGCCCTAGGTAGTATCCCCGAGTCCAAGTCTCCATCATCACAACCGCAAAACCAACTTCACGGGCAACGTACAATCCAAAGGGCAACGTACAATCCAAACCAACAACTACCAAATCAGCAACTGCTAACTATACCAACAACTAGGTACCAGACATCAACATGTCAAACCGGGCCCCACCCCCACCGTCCTACCTCATGACCACCGCGACAGCAGGCCGCAACCCCGATTTCTGTCCCTGGCGGTCCAGTCACGGTGTCATCTATGATACAGCAGACTCGGACGCTCTATGGCTGACCGTAGAGCTGAGTGCGAGTATGAACGCCCTCGATGACACGAGCCTGTTGCAGTTCGTGCTTAGACAGATCCAGATGTCGCATGCCCAGGTCGATCTTCGGGCGCAGCATTATCTTAGACCTGGGTGTCTGTCGTTGCCTGCTATGGTGGGTTCGGAAGGTTCTTATGCGGAGTGCCAGGCTGCGACTTCTTGGGTGGTGATAGGGTGGATTGAGCAGGTTCGGGCTGGGACGGCGTGGCTTGACCGAAATGCGCTTTTTGGTCCTCGCTAGGTACCTAGATGGGCTGACTGTGGTGAATTAGAGTGGGGATGGGAATCGTCTGATGTGTTCCAAGTGAATATGATAGTGTTTTTTTGCTGACAGTTTCCTCGGACCTAGTAGCTAAGCAGTGACATCATGTTCCCGTGACATCAGCCATCTTTGGATGATTGCAACCCTCAGTATACTCCCCAGAGCTCAGTATCGTGGACACCTATACATATCAATCGAATATGTCTCAAACAGTTAGTCAGTTCATCTTCTTCCGCGTCAAACCATCCGTCAGGCCCGAGGAGGCGTCCAGCGACGAAGGATTAGCATTGACGAGGGCTTTCAACATTACCAAAAGTCAAAGCGGCCACAAGGACTCCGCCTGGGGACGCGTGTGCGAAGATACGGACACCATTGCCTGGGTTGTAGGTAAGTTGAATGGTCTTTTCGAGCCCGTGCGACATCTCCAAAGTGCAGTCCTCACATCCCAGCCTCACTACAACCTACCAGTCTAACGTACAATCAATAGAGTGGAACGACGCCCGCAGCACGGCAGATCTTCGACTCCTCGATCCCCTCTTAGCCACAGAGAACCCGCGACCGGTGACGTCGCTCTATGTGACATTGAGCCCGCCAATCTCCGACACTGAAACCCTGACCAAGAACCGTGTGACCGAGCTGTGCACGTTGCTTTTCCCGGGCGACTATGACGTGGCAGATTTGAGGGAGCTGAATGCAGACTTGAACAACTTTCGCACTGCGCTTGTCGAGCAGCTGCCGCCGTCAGCGGGGCCACGATCCTGGTCCATGGGGCATGTTGACAGGCCTAGTAAGGTGCCACACGAACGTAGTCCGGATGGGCAGGCCTTTATGCATTTTCTCGCCGTTGGCTGGGATAGCATACACGCTCATATGAAGGCCAAAGAGACGGATGAATTTAAGAAAAGTATTGCGCCCTTGAGGGAGAAGATGCTGGGGCCGATTCCTGGCTTGGAGCTGAAGCATGTTAGTTTCCAAAAGATTTGAGGTTAGTGGTCTGTAATGAGAAGAAGGGAGTGGAGTAGAGTGAGGCGATGGGAATAAGTATGGGAATCGAGACACCGTGTATTAGTGTTGGAAGTCTGACTCGATGTGATCTGATCTGAGCTGGGTTGTGTGGATCATGGGATGTCGGTGACAATTAGAAGGCAATGAGAAGGCAAGGGCTACGTGATTGAATGGGATAATTGTGGGAATTGTTATTAGGAAGGCAGGAAAGAAAGAAACAAAAGATCACACGCCCTGGAGTAAGATACAGCGAGAACGTAAAAAAGAAAAGGATAACCCATCCGGGAAAGAGATCAAGCGCAAAGAGAAAAGACTTCGTTAACCACCGTAGACTTTTGGGCACAGGCCCCAAGATAAGATGTCTCGCAGCAAGTGTTGTTGGTCACGCTGCTAGTCTTAGATTCGGTGCTTCTCGCTCTCTGTGTCATACGTTAGAAGCTGGCTATTGGAAATTACATCTGGGGAAGGGAGAAACATACCAAGGCGAGAATAGAGCATGTAGAGGGCCATTTGGTTGCACTCGGCGGTACCAGTAATAGTAACCAGACGCTCGTTGCTGCTCTCCTGGGGCTCATTGATTTTGATGACACTGCCGCTCAGATGGCGTATCTCGTTGATCTTGGCACCACCCTTGCCGATGATGGCGCCAACCATGTCATTGGGAATGTAAATCTGCTGAGTCAGTGGCTGGCCAGGCATAGGCTGGCCAGGCATAGCGCCGGCAACAGGAGCGGGCGCAGTGGGGGGACCACGGCCGGGAGTGGGTTGCTGAGGAGCTCCAACGAACGGAGTGGGCTGGTGAGGACCTGCGCCGCCGTAAGGAGCCTGGGGACCCGGGAAGTGCATGGGAGTTTGGGGGACAGGGCCAGGGGCAGGCTGGCCGTGGAGGTAGGGAACGCCGTAGGCGCCACCTCCAGCCCGGTTGGGGTGAGGGTGATGGCGTTTAAAGGTATCGGGGTGGCCGTATTGACCGCCGGCGGGCTGGGGAACGTACGGAACAACCTGCATACCACCAGGGACAGCGCCCGCAGGTCCACCGCTGCGAGTAGCATAAGCCGATGCGGCGGGACCACCGTAACGCTCGGAGAGTTGCTCAACCAAGGTGACAGCGACGTAGTAGGTTGCAATATGGACAGCATCCGCAACACCGAGGATGACAAGGGATCGTTCGGTGGAAAGAGGAAGACAGGCATCCGAGGCGTTCAGGCGAGCACCAGAGGCTTCCTGGATCTCACGAATGCGGCTGCCACCCTTTCCGATGATGGAGCCGATGAGAATGTGAGGAATTAGCAAACGCAGAGGGTACGTCTTGGACTGGGCAGTGGAGGGGGTCTCGAGATTTTCATTGTTGAGGGTACGGATGATCAAACCAAATGCCTGCATTCGTCATTAGCAACTGGATAGTTCGAAGGAGTCGAATGAAAAATACTCACTTTGGCAGTAGCATCCTGGGGACCGCTGACGGTCAGGATGCGCTCCACGGCACCACGAGAATAGTCGCTGACGGTGCACTTGGCGCCGGACAGACGGCGAATTTGGGACACATTCTCACCTCCCTTTCCGATGACGGTAGCTGCCTCTGGGCTAGAGATCACAGCACGAATATGGACCCAGCTCGACTCGTCCTGGGGCGGCTGATCAGAGCCCGCTCGGTCTGCCTGGGAAGCCGTTGATTGGATGGGCTGAGTCTCAGTAGGGAGACCCTTGCCGGTGGGCGCATCGGGGACGACGGTGTCTCCCTGGGTATCCTTGGCATCCTCGGTTGTAGTAACGTGGCTGCTCGGTGCGTCTGTCTCGTCCTCGGCCTCGCTCTTCACTACTTTGTCGAGCGCCGGGCGCTTGGCCTCAGGCTGATCGGTGGGGCCAGAGGGCGACGACGGGTCCTCGAGAGGACGCTTCGTCGACTGCAGGTTGGAAGGAGAGGCGGACATCTTGGATGATCTGCGCTGCTGTTTTGTTTTCACTTACGAGTGAAATTTCAGGAGTTGTCAAGAATGAAGTCTGCTTTCTTCTTTTATGATCGATTATGTACACCAGAATTTCCCACGAAAGGTGCTGGTGCTGGCGATCGGGGGGGGATTGGTGCTTTGAGAAGATTGGAGACGCTGTGAAAGAAGGATGGTGTTGGAAGAGTGCCGATTTGGGACGGGAGATGTGTAGAGGTGAGAGGGCTTTGCAGTCACGATCGGGGAAGCTTCACGGGGGTTTGCCGAGATGCTCGAAATGACAAGGAAGCGGAAAGGGTGATGACGGGGTCCTTAGGTGATGCGATGGGAGATATGAAATGAAGCAAGTAAGAGATCAAGCGCTAGAAACCGTTGCCTGCTGTACCACACTGTAGTCACCGAAAACGTCTGGACCTGAGGTCAAGGGTGTGGACTAAACTCGCAATAGACAAGTCAATAGCTTCTGCGACACATGTGACGAGATAAATCACAAGGAAAAGGGTGACGAGGGGAATGAGAGAAACGTGATGAGAACAGTTTGGGGGATTAAGGGGAGAAGGTGAAGTTGGGGTAGGTTGAGGGAAGGAAGTCAGGGAAGCTTGGTCACATGACGTCGACGCGGATGTCTCACGGGCGCGATGCTTGGATCTTGGCTTGTGTTCAATGTTTTGATTGCCTCTGGTGTATTTCAATCAGAGAGTTCACAGCGAGTTGAAATGTCAATTGACCTCTAATACGAAAGCAATAATATCTGTTCTAGAAGAACAAGTCTCGCATTTCGCGTCACCCCACCAGAATAAGCATGAATATCTCAGACGAGACCGTCCAGAAGGTCCAGAAGTTTGTCGAAAACCGCCAAGAAGCAGAGCGCGAGTCAAAAGAAGAGCCTCTTAGCGAAACTGCTCTGCATGTTTACACCCGGCGTCTGGATGCGACCTTACAAGGACTACAAGAGCAAGTCAAACGCCAGCAAGATGAATTGAACAAGGCATGTCACACCATTTTCAATATAAGAATTGCCTTAACTGACCTAGAATCCAGCTTCGGGAACTCAACTCTCTTGACTTGTCAGAAACAGGCACGGATATCCGGGCTCGTATCTCCCAAGCCCGACGGGCCAAGAAAGCATACGACTCGCTTCTCAAATCCAACGATGAGCTCCCAGCGACAGACTCAGCATTACCATCACTTTTAGCCATCGAGGAGACTACACGCCTTGTTCAAGAGAGCAAGATGTCGGTCAAGATGACGGCGGAACAGCTGTCCGTGGACCGCGAGCGCCTGCGATTTGAAGAGGGCAATCTCCGCGACTCTCAATCAATTGCAAGCGGACTCCGCGAGCGGATCCAGAGGATTCGAGATACGAATTCGAGAAAAGAAGAGCAGACCCCATCACAGGTGGCGCGGGAGCAGCTCGCTGAGCAAAGAAAGCGAAACAAAGACCTAGACCGGACGACTGCAAAGCTCAAGGTCTCGCTGGATAAGTTCATCGATGAGACTCTTGCTCCGATGCTTGCTGCTGAGGACCTGGGTGGCCCAACTGTTGGTGATGAGTTCGAGGTGTCGGATGCTGCACTGAAGGCTGGTTATACGGCCCATGGCAAGCCCAAGAAGCAGAAAGAGCCGGTAGAAGCGGAGAGTGGATCGCAGCAGCGAATTGATAAGTTTATGAAACGCAACGCCGAGGAAAGCCCTGTCAACAAAAGGGAAGCAGCCGCGAAGGAAATGCATGATCTACTCAATGATATGTTGGAGGCGAACGCCTCCTATATTGATTTGAAACGTGACTCGGCAGCTTCAAGATTCCTTGTGAGGGCCAAGGTCGCGCAGTTCCACCCTCGGGATGCACGCCGGCTTCGATTGATCGATTTTGGCCGCTCATTAAGCAATTGATGGGAAAGGACGAGGTAAATCAGTAATATTATTAACATTGAAGTGTATCTTAAGATGTGCCCAGGTCGTTTCCAAGGTCATAAAGTGTGAGATACAAATTTCACCCATGCACCCGCGAGATGAACTATGGATGACCCCCTATAAATCCTGAAAAAAAACAACACCTAGATATGCTCATGCTAACGCCACATCAATCATCAACTGCCCAACAAGACAAAAACAAGGTACGAAAACAAGACTCAGATAGGCATCATTCCGATTGTGGACGTGGACTTGGCAGCTTTGGGTCTCGCAGTTTTGCGTGCCGTAGTGGACTGGCTTGTAGCCCCTGATTTGGTTTTTGATCGTGCGCCTTTGCCCTTCCAACTGCCAGTGGAGGCATTTTTCCGTCGTGGCGCTCGCTTACCACTGGAAGGCTGACGTTTTCGACCCTTGGAGGTGGAAGGAGCTGGGGCAGCTTGCCAGTCGTCACCAGAGTCCCCGGGAGATCCGGCAGGGGGAAGTAGCGACTTGTGATATTTTCAGCTGGATTGCTGGGTGCTGATGGGACAGGACTCTCAAGGTCGAAGGCAGACACCTCATCCATGAACAAATCATCATCGCTGTACTCATCACTGCTGCTGAGATTGATGACATTATGGTGATTGGGATCTGGGATAACGCCACTAGTCTCTGCTTCCTGCGTCATTTCGTGGTAGCGCCGCTTCGCGTTATCGACTAATGCCAGAATCTGCCGACCATAGCGCTTGACCTTGTCCTGGTCAATGTTCGGGATTGCTGAAAGCTCAGTGAGATCTACCTCGCTATTAGTTTCAGACCTAAATTGCATGGGAGAATGGGAATATTTACTTGTGGGGAAGGAGATGCCCATATCGCGCAGCACCTGGTCAGAGAACGGCTGGCAACGCAGGCCCTTCTTGACGACAAGCTAAATCAATGTCAGTATCCCGGCGGCGCGATATAAGTAAGGACAAGTGCTCACATCTTGAAGCATAATCTTGGCATGCTCTTGGAAGTCTTCCACAACCACACGATGCATATGGTCAAGCCGATCCAACTTCTGGTCGCTGGTGATTGGAGGACCCATCTGATGAGTGTTGGCTCGACGAGGCTTGCCAGTGACACGGACTGGCTCAAAGCCATCACTGTCATCCCCTGAGAGATCTGCGGCTGAAGGACCGTTGTATTGAAAGCGGTCAAGACGGCGCTCTTTTGCAGACTGAACAGGAGAAGAGACCATGGTAGACTGAGGATCGCCGCCTCGGGTGCCAGACGTTTTCTTCGGTGCGGCAACCGAGGGCTTGCTCTTGGTCTTCGCATTACTACTATTCGTTGAGGCACGAACCTGTAGTTTCATTTGCCGCTTGCCGCTTTCATACTCCGATGCACGACGACCGAGAATGACGTACTGAACAGCGAAATCACTCTTGTTGATCACATTGTCTTCAGCCAATGCGTCTTCGCCCAGCAGCCGGTAGAACAGACGTTCGGCCGTTGCACGATCGAGATTAGCCCCCTTTCCATACCCTGGCATCTTGCGATGGTCTGGAGATTTAGGCCGCTTGCAATCTCCACGGAGGATGTCACAACAGTAAAGCACAGTCACTTTCTCCTCCGAATGTTGGAATTGTCGCACAATCTTGACAGCCCAGCTGGCCTGCTCGGTAAAGTCATGGATTTCAAACACCAAACCGGACTTGCAGTTGTCACAGGTCTTGTTGCAGTCCTCTTGACGGAAGTATTCAGCGAAGTAGGCGAGGACTTGTACTCGTCTGCAATCGCTGTGATTCTCACAGAATTGCACCACGTTTCTCAACATTTGCTTTTGGCGGCTTTTTTGTTCATAACTCCCATCTCCCGAGTCGATCATCCGCTTCAAAGTTGCTGAGTCTCGGTAGCCATAGTAAAGATAGCATCCAGAACGCTTGCCATCTCGACCAGCTCGACCAGTCTCTTGGTAATACCCTTCGAGACTCTTCGGGATACTATGATGCATGACGAATCGCACATCTGGTTTGTCGATTCCCATTCCAAATGCGATGGTGGCAACAATGATTTGAACCCGGCCCATCTGCCAGTCGCTCTGAGCTTTCGATTTTTCTTGTGCCTTCATACCGGCATGATAAGCACGGGCCTTCAGGCGGTACTTCTCCACGAGGTCCTCTGCAACCTTCGTACACGTCTTTCGCGAGAGGCAGTAGATAATGCCACACTGGTTCCGGTAAGATTTCATAATCGTTTCCGCCATGCTGGCCAAAACTTCATCATTCTTGCCTTTCGGTCGTACCTCGTAGGTGAGATTAGGACGGTTGAAACTCTGCACGAACACTTCACAATCGGTGATCTTGAGATTGTGCATCACGTCTACTTTGACATTCTCAGTGGCGGTGGCTGTCAAGGCCATAACTGGCACACCCGGGAACCGGGCTCGAACCTCCCCAAGCTCTTTATAGTCGGGTCGGAAGTCATGTCCCCACTGACTGACGCAATGAGCCTCGTCGATGACAAGGCGTGCTAGTCTGTTTCTTCGGTGAAGATTCTCCAGGGCTCTGATCAACGCTTGGCTCTTACTGAGCATTTCGGGGGTGATATACAGTACCTCTAAGCCCTCACCACCTGCGTTCGAGATTTGGCCCATAATCCACGACTTCTCCTGTGCCTCGGTCTCGCCGTTGATCATGAAAGCCTTGACTCTCAGTTTTCGCAGGTGCGAGACCTGGTCCTCCATCAAACTCAGCAATGGAGATATCACGATCGTCACTCCGGTAGTTCGTCCGCCTGTTACGATAGAAGGTAGTTGATAACATAGGGACTTTCCACCTCCAGTAGGCATGAGAATGAACGTGTCCTTGCCAGCAAGTGTTGCGTCAATGGCTTCAAGCTGATTCGGTCGAAATCCGCGCAGTTGGAACCGCTCTTTCAGTACTTTTCGTACTTCTTGAGACCATGGATGATTTGACCAGAATGCACTATGACCAGGCGACTTCTTCGGAACAGGTACTTTGGAGGAGTTGCCCGACGTCTCCGCAAAGACTGTGCGATTGCGGATTGTTTGGTCTCGAACAGGCGTCTGCCTGGCGCCATCAAAGGTCTCCGCGGCCTTTACTATCTCATCGTCACTGACATTCCAGTCGAAATCATCAGAGTCCACTGGAGCCAACGGCGGAGAGCCCATGTTCCGAGAAACCATGTTCCGAGAAATAGAAGTCTCATTGATGTGCGACCCTTGAATTCCATTCGTCGTTTTGAGACTACTTGGTCCCAACAACAGATCACCGTGGCGTTCCGATGTTGAGTCGGTCCGTGAAGAATGGAAAGAAGAGAAAGGGGGGTGGCTCCCGCGCGAGTGTGCGGTCTGTGGAGGCTGGCTGAGTGTGTTCCATGGGAGTAGGATCGGAGGGACAATCGTGTGCCAAATCGAGTATATCGACTTGGGAAAGAAGCTGGGAAATCTTTGTCTCTGTTTGCTCCAACTCTGCCTCAACTGCTCGGCTCTGCGCGAGTTCTTCGGGCATACTGGTTGGATCTTCACCCCGTGAGATTGCTTGTATCAAATTCTGTTTGAGATCCTGCCTGCGAGACACGCTGGCCTGGTGCGTATTTTGATGTTCTCGTAATAATTCGATTGCCTCGATCTGAGAAACTAGGGTCTTGTTCTCGGCAATCAATTCTGGCATTGGCTGACCCTCCATGGCTTGTTGATAAACTATCTCGGAATTCTTTTGCAGAGTAGCCCTCAATTTGGAAATTGCATGTCCAAAGGCGTTGCTACCAAGGTTCAAAAACTTCGAAACATTCGGATCCTTTTGTTGTGAACTGAAAGGTTTAGACCATGGGGTGGACGGAAGAGGGTCTTGTGCAGCGGGCCTTTTATTGGGCTGAGTCGATGGTTGCGCAGGTGGCGAAGGTGCTTTTGGCGTAGACTCTGAGAGCGCATGGTTGGTGTCGGCGTTCTTTTCATCTGCCGCTGGACTCATCTCAGGAAGTATTGGGTAAAGGCTCTCCTCAACATCCAGAACCATTTCATCGGCGAGATCTTCGGCATCAGCCCAGTCGCATAAGAAATCCTCGTCATCATCCGAGTCTGCAATTATCCGCTTTCGATTACTGCGTGGAGCAACTAGCGGATCATGTCCAGGTTGTTTCGCTGCGCTCATGTGGGTCGTTTGTGTCGTGTGTCGTGAAGGTGTGGGCTCTCTTGGAAACATGTCTCTAGCAGCTGGAGACCGGGACGCTTTCGAGGGAGTTCGCACTTTCGCCGTGTGTTTCGATGGTGATAGAAGATCGGATGTATATTCGTCACTCTTGCGTTTCTTGCCGCGTTTCTCACGAATTGCACATGGCGTGCTGTCTTCTGCCCACGAACCGCGGGGCTCACCGAGCAAGATAGTATCTGACGATGAAGTGAAACGATCAACCTCCCCTGTCAAATCAATTGATTCAATGCCATCGCGCCCAGGGGCCTTGAAAATGTCTGGCCGCAGTGGTGTTGACTTTGGTTGCGGCTGTTTGCGAGATGATGATGGTGGTTCTTGGAGGGGGCCTGGTCATCATACAGGTTGCATTAGTCTAGCTCTCCATACCTGTAGAATCCATCAAGTTCGATCACGTACCTGGAGCATGTCTTGATTGTTTGGGCGAAGCCCGTTTCTTCGAAGTTGACGGAGTACCGGTGGGAAACGTATCCTGTCGGCTCAGCATTCGAGGCTTTCTCGCTGATTGGGGTAGCAGTCTAGCCATTGTTTCGTCCGTCTCATTCTCCACGTCTTCAAGAATATCATCGAGGGCCGCGAATTCGTCGGTGGGGGTGATTGGTTGCAGTGATGCGCGATTGTCACATTCAGGTAAGCTGGTTTGAGCCAGAGGGGGTAGCACGGGACAGAGGGGTTTCCCTTGGGTTAATAACCATTGGAGATGAGCTTGTAAATTATTTCTCGTCATGGGGGCCCTTTGCTGTCATGGCCATCGATCTTGATGTTTGGAGCAATGGAAACAATCGCGAAACCCGATATGGACGCGTCGGCACGTGAGCGGTCAAACAAATCGGATCTATGGCAGCAACAATCGTGAAAAACAGCAGTTACGCAGTCAATAAAGGCCAAATAGTCTGAATCTACTTTACAGCTCTTGATATGTATTTTGATTCGCCCTGTTGAACAGATGTTACTCAATAGCTACCTCGTGGTACAAGCAACAGCCCTAGTATGTAGTACCTGATAAGCTCGATCTAGGGGCCCGTAGGGGGGCAATTGAATGTGGGGAAAGGCATAAATTTTGCCCCACGAAAAGACCGCGAAAATTCACGTTCGTTGCGCAACATAAAAATCAAAATGGCCAAAAAGACGAAGAAATCCGCCGAGCACAAGGAGCGTGTCGCGGCAAAGCAGTCAAAGAAGTCCGCACAGAAAGAAAAAAGATCCAAAGCCAAGGGCAAGGATGCAGACAGCGACGCCGAAGATGCCGATTTGGATGCCATCTTGGCTCAGTACGCCGAAGAACAGGCAAGATTCTTGAAGGTGACCGAAGTCGCCTCCGAGCCGCCTAGCCCTCGTTCCTCGTCAACAGTGCTGGGGTCTCCGTCAAACCGAAACGAGCTGTTGGTTTTTGGCGGAGAGTACTTTGATGGGACGCATGCCACCTTCTTCAACAATTTGTTCGTCTATCTGATTGATCGGAGCGAATGGAGAGAAGTTACTAGTCCCAACAGTCCCCTTCCTCGAAGTGGTCATGCATGGTGCCGTGGAGGAAACTCTGGAGGCATTTACATGTTTGGAGGTAGGACTTTCTGGATTGTTATACGGCTATTCTTTGTACGGAAACTGACTATAAGTAGGAGAGTTCTCGTCACCTAAACAGGGTACGTTCTACCATTACAACGACTTCTGGCACCTAGACACATCTACGAGAGAATGGACTCGGCTCGAGTCTAAAGGCAAAGGCCCTCCCGCTAGAAGCGGTCATCGCATGACTTATTTCAAGGTAGGCGCATTGAATCTCACTGTCCTCATCAAATCAGAACTAACAGGGCACAGAACTACATCATTCTCTTTGGCGGTTTCCAAGATACCTCTCAGCAGACAAAGTACCTGCAGGACCTCTGGATCTATGACTGTAACCAGTACACCTGGTCCAATCCCACTTTGTCCATTTCCTCCCAAAAGCCCGATCCTCGCTCATCATTCTCTTTGCTACCACATGAGACTGGAGCGGTTCTCTACGGAGGCTACTCACGAGTGAAGGCAGCTGCAGGGGGTGGTAAGCAAGGCAAGGGTGGCCCCCAGAAAATGGCTCTCCGGCCGATGGTTCACCAGGACACTTGGTTCCTAAGAATTACACCCCCTGCACCGGAGGCACCATCTTCAACGCCACCTGCAGTTCGATGGGAGCGACGAAAGAAGCCCGCCAATACGCCCAATCCACCCCGCGTTGGAACCACCATGGCGTACCACAAGGGCCGTGGAATTATGTTTGGCGGTGTCCACGACGTGGAACTGACCGAGGAGGGCATTGACAGCGAGTTCTTTGATGCCATGTTTGCTTGGAACACGGACAGAAACCGGTTCTTCCCGTTGAGTCTGCGACGTCCTCGGGCGCCCGGCAAGAAGCAGCAAGCAAACCAAAATGCGAAGTCTAAGAACAGAGGCAAGGCAGATGAGGAAGAGCTTCTGGCGAACCTCAAAGCTCTGGAAGCTAAAGTGGGCATCCAGGCCGATGACGATGATGATATGGAAATTGGCACGCCTCAACCTGAAGAGCCCGTGGAGCCTGCAAAGCCCTCTGTTGTTCGCTTTGAAATGCCCCACAAGCGGTTCAATGCCCAGCTTGCTGTGCAGGATGATACCTTATTTATCTTTGGTGGCACGTTCGAAAAGGGCGACCGGGAATTCACTTTCGACGATATGTACTCCGTCGATCTAGTCAAGTTGGACGGCGTTAAAGAGCTGTTTTACAGGGAGCCTGAGAATTGGAACCTCCTCAACGAAGTGGAAGACAGTGACGAAGACATGGACGACGAAGACGAGGATGAGATGGATGAAGATGATGAGGCAGACGCCGATGCGATGTCTTTGGACGCTCCTTCGCCTGCCCCAACAGATGTGACGGTACCGTCTGTTACCAAGGATATGGAACAACTAGAAGTCGAGGAGCCAGAAGAGCAAAATGTCAACGATAGCAGGCCCTTGCCTCGGCCGTTCGAGAGCTTGCGGGAGTTCTTCAGCCGCACATCGGAAGAATGGCAAACTATCATGATGGAAGTTGCCAAGGAGAGGGGACAGGCTGGCGAGAAGACAATCAAGGAGCTGCGCAAGGCAGCGTTCTCCATGGCCGAAGAAAAGTGGTGGGATAGCCGAGAGGAGGTTATGGCTCTGGAAGATGAGCAAGAAGAGGCCGGTATCGGGGAGGTTGTTAGCATGTCTGATCGTACTGACAACATGGGAGGTGCTGGTCGTCGCCGCTGATAGTGTCTTTACATATGGTAGAAAGATTTTATTCATTGGTGATCGATTATCTGCTTCTAGGTCTCGTGTTCCATATCTTCTAACTCTGGGCGACCTTAGCCAGCACCTCCGTTACCAGCGCGAAATCTCGTTCCACATCAACTCGCCAATTCGAGATGGCAATGCGGCAAGCAGGAGAACCGTCCCAATTTGTGCCCGAGACGAACATTCGCGAACTCTCATTTATTTTGCTTCCAAGCTGACCATTCAACCCCTCATCATTCGCGCGAAACAGAACAGACATAAATGTCTGATCCAGTAGTTCAGCCTTCGAAGATGCTTGTGGCAAAGCCGTATATACAGAATTCTCCCATATCCAGCCGTAGATTTTCCGAGCAAGCCGTATCTGCCGCTCCAGCATTTTCTCATATCCAGATTTGCCATATGACAACAGCGAAGCATACACAGGCAATGCTCTGAACCGACGAGAGTTCTCAATTCCAATATTCAGGGGCGAGGGGATAGAGGGACCATCGGAGTTTCCTGCGGTCAAGTAGGCTGCGTTTGCATTTTGGAACACCTGCGATGCGATATTCTGATGTCGAGTGAAGAAAAAGCCACAGTCGTAAGGAACATTGAGAAGCTTGTGACCGTCACCAGTAATGGAGTCGACCAATTCTATCCCTTCGGAGCCTTTCTTGATCGTAGCAAACTCTGGGCTTTCGCCAAGGACACGACCAAAAATTCCAAATGCTCCATCGGCATGCATCCAAGCCCCGTACTTGTCGCACAACTGACGTATTTTTCTCAAATCCGCACCGCTTGTCGCGAATCGGCCAGTGTTGACCTCCCCGCAAGACACTGCGACAATGCTGACCTTGTCGGCTCTCGCGAGCTCTTTCTCTAGCTTGTCCAGATCAAAGAGGAGGGGATTGTCAGCTCGGCAGACATTGCGTACGTTTGAGCGACCAATGCCCAAGACACCAGCAGCTTTCACGAGCGACGAGTGTGGCAGCGTGGATAACACTTGCACTCCAGAAAGACTGAGTGCATTCAACACTTCGAACAAGCCCTCTTCACCGACGCTTTGGAGTCGGCAGCCTTTCGTCTGCGCTGCCTTTTGCAATACGAACTCGCGCCCACATGCTAAGCCAATGATATTGCTGGCTGTGGCGCCCGTAGTGAAAGTTCCATTATGCCAGGTAGCACGATCTAGTCGGAAGAGATCCAGAAGAAGGCCAATTGCATTGTATTCAACGTCGGTGACAATTGAGTGATTTGGAAGGTGCACCTGGACGTTCTGGTCGAAGGCAGAGACAACGTTGTCCGCAAAGAGTGCTGCCGGGGTAGTCCCACCCGTGATGAAGCCGTAGTAGTTGGCACTGATACTACCTCCGTTGAATGCTGGGACAATGTCCCCGAGGATATGGTTCTGTACAGACGCGAGACTAGTTCCTGTCTCTGGGAGTGTTGCGGGAAGAGAAGCTCTTGCTCGCGCCAGGTTCTCAGCACTCGGGAGAACACCCGACTCCCAAACCTGGGCAGCCTCCCACAGATACTGATGGATTTGATTTTGCATGATTGAATTGTGCGTTGTGCGTTGTGCGTTGTGCGATAGATCAAACAATGCTATGGCCAGTGCTGATTTATTCACTCCCGAGTCCGGAGTACGGATCTCGGGGCTCGGGCATAGGGCTCCCTAATGTTCGGCTGTACCTTCCAGAAACATCAATCGATAATTCGATATCCCCCACAAATAGAGCGCGACGCTATAGCCAATCGGCATCAATTGGAGGAGATGCACTCCGGTAGTGCTGATGCTTAGCAGCTTAGGTGCCTGGAGAGAAACGGGATGAGTGGGGCGGAAGTACGAAGTCGACCTCCGCGTGATCGATCCTCTCCCTAGGCAGTCAACATCAACGACCCTCAGAGATCTCAGTGGTGAGTGAAGGCCTAGACTGAAGTGTGGATATTCAGTGAGTGGCATTAATATTGATGTCAGCATTGCCCAGGTCATCAGGTGCAACCTCAGGCGCCGACTCGGTCGCTTGGGCATCGAGTCATCTGCAGCTGTTTCTCACCTTGATCAGGCGCTTGCAACTCACGCTGCTCCTAGCAATTTGTTGCGGTCGATGCTATGTCAACCGAGAAATGTGTCTCAACCTCGGACAGGTGAGGCGGAGACCGATTCTGGTTCCATCTATTCCTCGCTCAATCGCGACAATGCAGAATGAGGCTTGAGCTCGCATTACTCCCCTATCACCCGGGGCGGTGCTCAATCCTTACTGTGTACGTGACGACAGTGCACAATCTTATCCACATCATGTACGCCTAGTCCAGGGGTACATATTTAGTCTGAGCAGTGAGCAAGGAGGAGCTGTCTCGGATAACGAAATTAAAACGCGCAAGACGAATGGTTGTGGTAACAAAATGCTCACCACTTTCCAGCCAGACCATGGTCAAAAGGACTGGGACAGTTGTATCCAACAAAGTCAGAAAAACAGCCCAAGAATTCCAATTTCAGGGGGCGCATGCCCGAAGAAAGCCTGTCTATGCCAAGCCATATCCGATCTCAGCCTATCTATGGTTCAATGATCGGCGCAGATCACCCTTCTTTGCATGTAAATATTCCACATTCTGTCATCGCGCGTCTCCTGCGTTCCACACTGAAGCCCCTACCTGGGGTGAAGATAGGCGGGGCTTGGTCCTACATAGACAATGGTCACGTTCGAAACTTTCTCACATGCAGCAATGGCTGCCACTCCCGTCTTCCCCTACTCTTGAAGCACTCAGCATCGAGCGGCTTTGACAGCCATGTCTAACCACATCAAATTCGCGGAGCCGATTTCGAGGAAATCTACTCCAGGGCGATCTAGAGGGCAGCAGGAAAAGGGGTCAGCTCAAAGAGCACCTTCTCCAGGGAGTGAAATTGTTTACCCGACAGGATGGAGACTAGTGCTCACCACGATAGGGTGTGCTCATCTCTGTGCCATAACGTTTATGAATTCGGGCTGATGATCTATCCAGGCTCTTGATTGGGTTCTTTCTCTCTAACTTGGATGTCACGATCGTAAGTTCGGCTCTTACGAGTATCACAGATGATCTGGAGGGATTTGAGAAGAGGAGCTGGATCATCACTGGTTACTTGGCCACTTATACAGGTATGACTCGAGTGCGATTTATGATCAATTCAAAGCATTTGTATCTCGGAATAGCTTCACAATGGGGGTGAGTGTTTTATCTGTTACTGATCATCAATGCTCCCAGGATCTATGGCAATATGGACAAAAATCAGCGATATAGTTGGCAGAAAACAAAGCACAATCGCTGCCCTTGTCATTCTACTCGGTTTCTCCATTGGATGTGGTTGCGCTCAAACAGTCAATCAACTGTATGTCTGACGTGTCTGGCGTATTCCTCACACATTGTTTGTTCGAAGACTAAATGTCAACACAGAATCATATTCCGAGCACTCCAAGGAATAGGCGGCGCTGGTACATATGCATTAACAATTCTATGCGTCTACGAGATTGCTCCTAAAGCAAAGCTTCCTACCTACAGCAGTCTCATGTCATTCTGCTTAGTCTTTGCATCTTTGATAGGACCGATCGTGGGAGGTGCGCTTGCAGAAAACTCAGCCTGGCGATGGACGTTCCTCATCAGGTATGTGTATCATCGATTCTTCTTTTGCAAGCGTCTTCTAAACACACTATTAGCGCTCCGTTATGTGTCATTGCGATTATTGTCATCGTAGTTGCAATGCCCACGCATTTCGGGCTTGATCAGCACATGCCATCATTCCGCACACGAGCATCATATCGCTCATTTGCCAATTTGGACTTAATTGGCTCGGTGTTGATGATGGCTGGCTCATTCTTGATAGTTGCCGTCTTGAACGAAACCAATCTGGCATTCTCATGGTCATCGAGGGACGCAATTGCACTTCTAGTGCTTGCCGGAGTTGCTTGGATTGCCTTCTTTGCTTGGGAATGGTATCTTTCGGGCATCCCAGGGAAAGACCCGATATTTCCCAAGCGCTGGCTTTTTGATCGCCCGTGGCTGGGTATACTCATGTAAGTCAAGCCCAACCTCATCATCACCGGTGCGATTCCCTTTGACACACTTCTAGTTCCTCCTTTGTTATCGGCGCACCATACAATGTCGTCTTGGTGTATGTCCCACAGCAAGCCCTTATCCTGCTAGGCAAGTCGCCTTTGGAGGCTGGTATCTACTTGATCGGATACTCGGCTGTTGCAGCAGTAGCTGCGGCTGTCGTCAATATTGCCAGTTCGAGAGGCCGCATCCCGTTCATTTATACTTTGCTTGTGGGCTGCGTGGTTCATACTGTCGGCGTCGGACTTCTATCGACCATCGCCACCTCACATGGCTTTCACGCAACAGACATTGTTTATCTGATTATTGCCGGTACTGGATTAGGCCTGACAATGGGCATTTTGGTGCTATCAACGCCATACATCGTCGAAGACAGAGATTTGGGTATGTACTCCTGGCGACAACTGGCGAATAATGTGTCACGTGCATTCACTGACTGGATTTCGTTTCTCTCATTACAGCAATTGCAACTGGTACTGTGGTTCAGCTTCGCTTCCTTGGTGGCGCTATTGGCCTCGCAATTGCATCTAACATTTTGAATGGCCGCCTGGCACATCATCTGAAGGGTGTTCTGACGTCGCACGAGCTGCACCTGTTTCTCGAAAATATCAAATCTTTGAGAAATCTATCTCCCGAATTACGGGAGGATGTCAAGAGTGTCTTCGCTGCTAGTTACAGCACACAGATGCTTGTCATGATCGGTTTCGCGGCTGCTCAGCTGCCAGCAACCCTGCTACTCTTGAAGCCAGGCCGGCAGCTTGTGGCTAAACCATCAGGCTCGGAGTCGGGTTAATGCTGTGTTTTTTTCTTCTATTTTTGGGAAAAGGGTTATCTTAGGCATAAGACTAGATTCAATGCATATTCCTTTTATCATAATGTCAACGTTCCATGGTCTTCCAGGGTTGTGATTACCTAGCTGCTCAGTACCTAGTCTGTCTATATATATTGGTGATACCTAGGTCACAGGGCATGACCACCTACCAAGGCGGTGCCTGGCATGTCCATACCGTAGGTAACAGTATGCCCTTTATCGCCTAGTTCAGCACCTGCTGCGATCAGAAGTTTGACAGTCGACTCATAGCCTGTCTCTGCTGCTAAGTCTATAGCTGTTCGCCCATCGGAATGAGCGAAATCCAAATTGATACCATCGGCATCGAGAAGCAGATTTACAACTGCTTCGTGACCGTTCCATGCTGCATAGCAAAGCGGTGTGAATCCGCAGCAAACAAAGTTGACGTTGACTCTACCGGTTGAAAGTAGTTGCTTGACCACTACTTCGTGTCCCCATTTTGCCGCGCAAACCAGTGGCGTTTCTCCGAATATGTTCTCCTCGTCCAGGTCAAGACTCTCATCAGAATCGAGAAACAGCTTGATGACCCCGTCGTGGCCGTTCTCCGCCGCTAAGCACAACGGCTTTTCGTAATCGTGCCAATAAATGCACCAGTCAAGCTTGCATCCTGCTTGTAGTGATTTTCGAGCTGTATTCTCATTCCCCCTCTAGCCGCATGCAACATAGCCAGTGGACCATAAGTGGCATAAGATGCTGCATCCCGAAGGTAGAGGAGGGGGTCAAGCAATTTGCAAAGGTGGATGTTGGTCTGAATCAAACTATTGAGATCCCCATTTGACTCCAAGTTCTCGGCGATCAGCAGTATCAGTTTGTTTGGTAGATGATATAGTGGCATGTTGAATTAATTTGATGGATGTTGACTGGGTCAGAAGAGTAGGAGCAGGTATGTTTGAGTCTTCTAGCTGTGTTAGCTGTTGGCTTGGTTTATGTTTAGAACGACCTTATGGACTAATTTCATCACACCGCTAACGAAATGTGGCTTGTTCATTCGGGAATTGCTAAGGACACCCCGACTTGCTAGTTAACGAGCCATAAAATGTGAAAAATGAGTAAAACTCTAGGAAACAAGTTAACAACGATCTGAAGAATAAAAACAGTTCTTAGGTTGTTTGCTGAATTCGTCATCCCTAGGCAATTACGCCTAGACAGTGGTGCGAACTTCTCCACGCGGTTTAGAGCGGCTTCTTGCCAACGTGCCTCTTTTGACTCTCACCAAGCGACCATGGCAGCGAAATTGATTGATCGACGATTTTATAATGTTCCAGGTTCGTCAAGAAATCAGTGTTGAGTAATAACAAGCTCACAGATTCCCGAACTGACCAAATTTGATCTATCTAGGCAAGCTTCGGGTCTCCGAGCTGTTCTTTGATGTCCCTGTGGACTACACCAAGCCCGCTGGAGACACACTAAGGCTCTTTGCACGCAGTGTCAGTCGCTTGAACAAGCCCATTGAGCCGGCCAAAAAAGAAGACCAGGAAGCCAAAGACGGTAAACTTCCTTGGCTGGTCTATTTGCAAGGTGGCCCTGGCTTTGGATGTGGTGCCCCGCAGTCGTACGGCTGGGTTGAATTTGTGCTTAGCAAGGGTTATCAAGTGGGTCATGCCTCATTCCCCCAGCCTTAGACTGATACATACTAAACCAATCTCCAGGTGCTGTTCTTGGATCAACGAGGCACTGGTCTCAGTTCGACCATCACAGCGGGAACCCTCGCCCGTCAGGGAGATGCGATCAAGCAGGCCGAATACCTGAAGAACTTCCGTGCTGACAGCATTGTCCGTGATTGTGAAGCCATTCGTAAGGTGTTGACCCAGAATTATCCGCCAGAGCAGCAGAAATGGAGTCTTCTCGGCCAGAGCTTCGGTGGATTTTGCGCCGTGACTTACCTGTCGAAGTTGTATGTTTGACAAGTCATTGGTTGCTTCATTTGTGTGCTCTTTTACTGACATTTTCTTCTTCGATCTTAGCCCGGAGGGCCTGAAAGAAGCTTTCCTCACTGGAGGTCTTCCACCACTCACTAACGGACCGGATGCTGTCTATGCGAAGACCTATGGTGCGCGACCCCGTTGTCCCGAGGAGTTTACCAGTAGTATTGACAGAAAGCAGAAAAGGTCAAGCAGAGAAATGAGGCTTATTACCAGAAATTCCCCGATGATGCGGATCGTGTTAAGAAGATCATGCAATACCTGACACAGAATCAGGTTGCATTGCCGTCTGGTGTGCTCACTCCGGCTCGCTTCCAGCAACTCGGTATCTTGCTCGGCTTCCATGGTAAGAGCTCCAACTCGGACACGCAGCACATCACAGCTAACATGACTCAGGTGGTCTTGACAATCTGCACGGTGAATACTATTTGGTCTTGTAGTAATCCGAGCACAACACTAACCTCAGTCTAGAAATCATTACCAGAGTTATCAATGACTTGGAGATGTTCGGTTTTCTCACTCTTCCAACTCTGTCCATAATCGACAGCAATGGCGGCATGGACAAAAACGTCATCTATGCCATCTTGCACGAAGCCATCTATTGCCAAGGGTGAGACACGCTTCTAGTACCAATGCATGTACCTCTCATGAACCTTCAAGTCTAACAACGAGCACAGACACCCATCGCTCTGGTCCGCGGATAGGCTGCGTTCTAGCAGCCCACAATTCGAGATCAATGATTCGTTGCCTCAAATTTACTTTACCGGCGAAATGGTAAGAAGCCCAACTCACATCTCCATAAAGTGAACAGCAAGACCTAACACAATCCTGTACCTGCTAGGTCTTTAAAGATATGTTCGACTCCTACTCGGAACTCAGTAAGATCAAGGACGCGGCTGAAATCCTGGCTACGACACACGAGTGGCCTGCTCTCTACGACGAGGCTCAGCTGGCCAACAACAAGGTACCGGTCTACGCTGCAACTTACATTGACGATATGTACGTTCACTATGATTTGGCTACAGCCACTGCTGCGAAGATTGGTAATGCCAAACAGTTCATTACCAACACCATGTACCATGACGCGCTGCGCAGCAAGACGGATGAGATTATGCGTCAACTCTTTAATCTAAGAGAGGATGCGATTGACTGAAGATTCGATGTGTGAATGTTGATACATGACATAGATAATCTAGGTCAATGAGAGCATCTTATTTCACACTGTGTAGCCAGCACTTAGCTCAGTAGGTAGCACCTGCTCCTTGTCCATTTTCAAGTCATTAGATGTCCAGTCACAGCAACTTGATATTTCATAACGCAGTATCGGGTATAGTAAGTCACGAGGTATGTACACAGGTAGGATTGCAAGTGTTGGCGAAGATACGGGCCCCATTAGAAAACCTGTTGGATATGGTTAGCGCCGGTATTCGCGACGATGATTCTTAAGAGAGATAAGGTACATACCGCGCCGCCAATGATAAACAGTCTTTCTTCCTCCCGCTGCACCCACTGAGCAATCTTGCTAGCACTTTGCGCAAGTGCGTTTCGATTAGTATTCGGTTCGGCGATACAGTAGAATTCAAACACAGGAGTAACCCATCCGAACGAAGTAGCTGACCGCGACACGCAATGATGAACTTTGACATGGGTATTCTTGGCGTGGATGCTCGCATGCAAGTTGTTGTACATCGACATTAACCTACAGGTAGACTTAGAATCACTTTCCATGAGCATGCTTGAAAAGGGGATAATGCCCACCTTCTTCGTCGTGTTACCGAGGAAAATTCAGGAGCATATGATGACATGGTGAATTGTACGTTGGCGCGAGATTTGTATAGGAAGTGATGAAGCACAGTCCCTGGCACTATATCAGTAGTTGCCGGTCGACCCTTGTCGATTGCTGTCTTTATTTCCCTCAAGCTTCCGCTTTTCTCCATTTGCTAGGGCATCATTAGATCGGATATCGATAGTCATTGCGGAATTTGGTCGAGCTCACCTCCACAAGGGAATCACGCATCGCTTGCATCTCAAAGAAAGCTTCCTTATCGGGGCTGATGAGGACTATGGCAACGGACTCGTCTTTGGTAATTTCCGCACTACTTTCGATGTCGTTGCGGATGTCAAGAAAGCTGACATACATGTAGAGATAGCCACTGCTGTTAAAGCCAGGCAAGCAAACCGGGATCCAGCTCTCACCGCCGCCTGCCTTAACGCCATCGGCTTCGAAAATCATGTTGAACAAGAGCTGTAGATCACCTGGGTGTAAGGAGTGTTTCTTCGGTCGAACAACGCTGACCAGTCGTCCACCGGCCACTATCAAGCCATAAAGAAGACTGTTGGCCTTGGTCTTCAACAGTGCATTGTTGATAGCTTGACGGTGCTGCTTGCGGATTTTCAGACACTCCAGGGCTGATAGCAACGTTGATGGAGATCCGCGCGTGAAACTGTCTGCCAAAGATGAGAGAAGGGATTCCGAGCCTTGCAGGGGCCGCGACAGATCGGTAGATGGCCGCACAGAGAAGAGATGGGTCAGAGAAGGTAGTGTCAATGTGGACAAGATCTGCATATACAATGCTTCGAGTTGAAGCCGAAGTTGGTTGTCGCTCTCCATCATACGGCTGATTGCCACGAGGTGAAGAGATCCTCGTGTCAACACGACAAACCTAGTGTCACCAGCAGAGAAGCCTCGCAGGTGATCATCTGCATCTTCATAGAATGATATAATGGTCTGAATGACGCCGACGTAGCCAGATATTAGACCACCATCCCCATGCCTTGTCCAAATCGGCTTCCCAGCCGCGGAAAGGATGATGTAGTGCTTGCGCTTTGCCTTCCACCGTTGAAGGAGCACATCTGAGGTTTATTAGCATTATGAAGTAGACAGAATATCTGAAATCAAGCCATACCCTCATTATCACCTTCCTCGTTCAGTTCGCCGACTGCCTCAAATTCGCCTATGATCCCATCGTCATCTATGTCGTCGGCCGCGAATTCGGGAAAGTCAAGGAGACCTGGGGCAGCTTGTCCGTGGCTACCGGTTGAAGCAGCAAAATCCATGAACAGTGCTTCCACATCCCCGGCCTCAGTATTCGGGACTGAGCTCCTAATGCTAGCCGAGTCACCAGCTTCGCTACCCCGCGAGCTTGCTAACTGGCTGAGACTCGCCTTGGCCTTCGGGCTGTGTGGTAAACTGCGGGCAGCCAGCGTGGAAAATGGACCTCCAGCAACTTCTGATGATTGTATCCCAACATCGGTACGTGAGAGAGCCGTGGTGGCCTCTGCTTGTAGAGTTGTCCGAGGGCCCGTTTCATCGTTCAATAGACTCAGTGTAGTAGGTCGCGGAGGTAAAGGTGGTCGCTCTTCTAAGCTTTCACTGCGCTCATCCTTATCAGGGGTCGATGCCTTTGAAAGAGGTGGTTGCTTAGAGACGACATGCTGTTGGCCGTCATTGTCGGTGTCTTGCAAATCCATCCCGCGGGCATGCGCTTCTCAACGCGGTCGCTCGTCGCGGGTTTCTGGTCATTAAATGCGCATTGTTGGTATCAAAAACCCGGAGCCTTTAATTAGTGTCTCTGTTGTCTGTTGGTTGGACGTTGACGTCGGCGAGTCGGAGCTCCCCTCCCCAAGGCGGAGCAAAACAATCGAACGTGGCCGCCTGCGTCACGTTGCGTGGCTTCTAGTCAACATCAACTGCCAAACTCCCTCGGGGTCATTCTCGATGCCCTAAATATGACGGAGGACAGCTCAATATCTTTCAATACAATACTACGTCCGTCATTGGCACCATGAGCCTTGATCCCAGTGCCTTTCCGAGGTCACTCTCCCCCGCAAGCTCCGAGAGCTCCTTGACGCGCTCCCGGCTACAAGGCAAAGAAGGTATGCGCCTACTCCCTATCCCATAGACAATTATCTAATATCTGCTGGCTATAGGGTCACTCAAGAAAGACAAAAACTACCGCCGATATGCCTCCAGTGTTGAACGAGCGCTCTCCTTGTTTGATAACGCTCTCCAGGAATGGGCCGACTACATCTCCTTCCTCAGTCGCCTACTAAAGGTGAGCCACGACCATAGGGGAAATATACGGCATTGCTTATATGTCAACAGGCACTTCAAACGCACCCGCCCGACCAATTCGTCGTCCCTCATAAAGTGTTAGTGTCGAAGCGACTTGCGCAATGCTTGAACCCATCGCTCCCATCGGGTGTACATCAGAAGGCCCTCGAAGTCTACACATACATATTTGGATTGATCAAGGTATGAGTGGTCACGAAGGAAACGAAGGGTGCGTTGACTAATGTATGATGACTATTAGCTCGAGGGATTATCGCACGATCTACCTTTATATCTCCCCGGCCTTGCACCAACATTGACCTTTGCCTCTCTTACTGTCCGCCCATTATTTCTGTCTCTCGTAGAGGGATACATAGTCGACCTAGAGCCGTGGGCAATCCGGCCAGCACTGAAAGCGATTATTTTGGCCCTACTCCCAGGTCTTGAGGAGGAGACAAGTGATGATTTTGAGCCGACACTGCGCATAATCAACAAGCTGAGAGATGCTGCTTCAAAATTAGAAACTCAACGGACATCGGAAGCAGGGGCACCCGGTCAATACTTTTGGCAATGCCTTTTCCTCGCCTCTATCACAAATCCCAGTCGGCGCCTGGGCGTCCTCGCGTACTTGAATCGCCACCTGCCGAAGCTGGGCATCGCAGACCGTCGACCGAGTACGTCTGGCGGGAATGTTGCGAACGAGCTCCCGGCTGAGATGCTGGCCGCTGCAGACGCTGTCATTCTACCAGAGCCTGGTCTACTGATTCGTTGTTTTGCATCTGGCTTATCTGACGACCAGCTTCTTGTCCAACGGAACTTCCTTGATCTTCTTGTCACCCACCTCCCACTCAGCTCGCCCATTTTGCAAACCAGAATTATGCCCGGTGATCTTCGGACGTTGGTCATCGCAGCAGTTGGGGTCCTCACACGACGAGATATGAGCTTGAACCGACGACTCTGGGCTTGGTTCCTCGGGCCAGATTCGCCGAATGATAGCTCTTCAATGGATGATCGAAAATTCTCCACTGACACCGGTCGGTCTGCTTCTATTGACGGCAAGGAGCTCACTCAGTCACAGTACTTCAGCCGTTGTGGTTTACAACCGTTGGTCACTGGTCTTTTGGATATGATAAAACAAGAACCGAGCCATCCGTCTGAGCGAACCAAGCCCTTCCGCATAGCTCTGTCGCTAATGGACCGCTGGGAAATCGGTGGGTATATTGTCCCTGCGGTGTTTTTGCCTACCGTGCGGAGCGTCCAGGCCTTTGGGAAAGAAGCCCCCAGAAAACACTTTGAAGAGGTGTTTCGCAGCGCGAGTGCCTTCTTCGATGGCGTCGAAAGTGGTGTGATATTCTCCGAGCTTTTGGGACTGGTTGATTATCGGTCTTCAGATGTCGATGGCGACAGTGACCGAGTGTTGCGTGACTTGGATCTGGCGCAATTTATCATTGAAAACTTCAACTTGCGCGAGGAGGATATGATTCAAGTCCACGCGCCTCTGCTAACATTGTCTGTGCTCGCGAAGATGAAGGAACTTTCATCCAAAGAGAACAGTGCCAACAAGCATGCCGTGTCCTCTGCATTGACCAAGGTCGTCAAATCCTTGACTGTCTTGCTCACGGAGCGGGCGTTCTCGAGGAAGGGTGGCTCTGTAAAAAACGTCAATAACGACTCAAACGGGCGAGGTGCTGATATTCTGAAGACCATCCACAGCTTCTATGAACAAAGCAAAAATAGCCTGGAGGTTCCCCCTCTTCCCTATTCTCCCAAGAATCTTTGCGAAATGATTATTCGGGAGGCTCACGACCTAGCTATTGCGGCGCTGGGCAGCCGCGATGGCAACCTGTCTGTTCAGGAACCCTTGGATATTCTTGTGGCTTTGCTCAAGAAGCTTCCAAAGTCGCGCATTCTACGGGATCGCAAACTATATGTAGCCCTCTCTGAACGATTAGATTCTGGGAAGGACAAGGCGACAACTGCCTCTTTCTCAATTATCGCAACAATCGCTTCGACAGTGGCAAGTCTGTTTTTCATCCACACTCCCGGCTACTATGTGGCCTATGAGGATGCTTGTGATATCATCCCTTCTCTTGTCAATCGGCTTTGGTGGTACTTATCCCCGTTGAGTCCGAAGTTCCACGTGGAAGCTGTACGCTGCTTATGGCTCCTGCAGTCGATCTCCTGGATGGATCACCTTGTCGAAGCGTCCTTGACGACTCTAATGGTCAACGTATCAACCGCAGGCTCTCGTCACCTGTCATCTGAGCAACAAGCTGAGCGATTCTTCGTCTTGTGGAATCACAGCCACCACAATACACACGAGCAACCGCCAAAACAAGTGCTTGATGTTGGAGGCACTATGTTCTCATACCAATGTTCCATGCTTGAACGCCCGCTCTTTATTGTCCTTGACCTTCTCTCCCAAGAGTCAAGTGATAGTTCACAGAGTGTTCAGTTGTGGCTTCAGGACTTACCGTCTATCCACAAGTAAGTGGACTCCTCAACTCACAAAATCACGTGTCTAACAATTTACGCAGGGTTTTCCATGTAGTCCTTTCGAAACTTGATGAACTGTCTGAGCATGGTGACATGAGTGAGAAGCAGATAGACAACCACCCGATCTCCCCGGATGATTACAAGGAATGTGACTACTTGCTGAAAACCTCCTCAAATATCATCTCTGCGCTTGCGCACAATGGATGGGCCACGCTCCTAGGTCATGTCCTGGGCAACGAAAAGCGCCCTGAAAAGTCCAAGTCGGAAGGTAAGTGATCTATTTTCTCATGATGTGGACTCGTGCTGATATCGATACTATGGATAGACATTTCAGACTTGAAAAGTCTTCATTCCGCTATATTTGACGCCTCTCTTCGGATCGTCAGCACACCAAGCCCAGATATCATGGAGGCCACCGTAGAAGGGGAGCGACTGCAGAAAAGTGCACTCCAGCTCATGCGGCAACTTCTTCTTGGGCCCGGGGCAGAGGACCTTGTGGAGTCTGGCATCGATGAACTCTTGGTAGAACGCCTTCTAGTCTCATCTGAGGGGGGTAGCATTGCAGTACAGGGTGCACTGATTGACGCGCTCCTTGCTGCATTAAAGGTACGATTTGCGCAAGCGTATCTGCCGCCACCTCCACCTCGACCTAAAGATCTACGAGCGGCTTCTCGGGATCGGCTAACTAGTCCTTCGCTCCTCTCGTTTACCAGTGATAAGGGAGACAGAAGAGCGTCAATACCCCAATTACCGCACCCGCCAGAGCGGCTCTTGGATTGTCTCCTCAAGGGAATCAGCTCACCTAAGTCTCGTGAAATCGTCGACAAGTGGATAGTGCTGCTTTGTGAGGTACTCCCACTGTACGCAGGCTCCATATTCCAGATCCTATTGATGCTTGTGGAATGTCTGTGCAGGGAGATCCGGGCATCATATGGTAGGCTTCAGCTGTCCTTCCAGCAAACAGAGGATTGGCCGCAGGACCGCTCCGAGCATGTTACAGTTGCTCTCTTGACTGGACTCGAGACTTGTATCGCAAATGCCCACGAGCTCCTCATCGTGGAAGAGTCTAATGTTCCAGCCGTCAGAAGCCCCGACCAAGTACAGGGCTTTTTCGGGAACATGGTGTCGGGAGTCTTTCACTCGGAAGGCGGGCAAGGTCGCCCTAACACCGCCAACGACCGGCTGACTGTTCTACTTTGCTTCCAAGACGCCGTTCGCTTATGCTTCTCTATTTGGTCATGGGGAGCTGGGGATCATAGTGTCTCCCGCCCTGAGTCTGAATCTTTGGCGTCGTTCCAATACACCTCGTTGCGAATGAGAAACCGATCACGGCGAATCTTGGAGCATTTCTTCACCGCGGAGGCACTTGAGTGTCTTGAGACCCTGGTGGAGATGTGGACCAAGTCTGACACGGAGACGGCGTCGCTTATCTTTGACCTTCTACATACACTGGATGGGTCAAGCCCGAAAATCGCCATGCCTGCGATTTTCAATGCCATCTATACCCGCACTAATCCCAGTGCCTTGGACCCTAGTCGCAAGTCTTCCATGACTTCGAATCTCTCAGAGTCTGAGCTTGCTAGCTTCCTCGTTACCTATGCCCGGTCACTAGACGATGACGTCCTTGATGAGATTTGGTCGGATTGCACAACGTTCCTGCGGGATGTTCTCAGCAATCCATTCCCACACAGACAGATCCTTCCACGCTTGATTGAATTTGCGGCTATTCTGGGAGTGAAGTTGGAGAATACAACCTTTGGGGAAGACCGCCGCATGCGAAAAGAACTTGGGGTATGTATCTCGGCTGCCGAGTCTACCGATTTAACTAACAAAATTATAGGATGTTCTCCTACGTCTCCTTACGGCAGTCTTTACGAGCAAGCCCTTAGGCCTCAACCAGGACACTGGGCCTATGGCGAGATCTTCGGTGGATTATGATCGTACCTCGGTCTCTCACACTGGGCCCGATGACATGCTGAGCATCCTAGCAGTCTCCATGCCATCGTTTATCACGACCCTGGGTGACTCGGACCGCATCAACAATGCCATTACTGGAGTCTCGACCAACGTGGTGGGCCCTCTGATCAGGTCACGCCTGTTCCCGAACAATCTCAACAGCAGCGTCATGGTTCTGTTGCAGCATATGGCAAAAGTACCTGCTGCGGCGAAGGTGTGGAAAAAGGACATATCCGATGCATTCAATGATGCCCGATTCTTTGGATTACAGTTGGATTTGGTTAAGGGCAGCTGGATGGACCTATTACGCCAGTGGGTTCTTGCTGACAAGGACCGGCTATCCGAACTACTCGTCCGCCTTCCACCACCAAGCTCAGCAGGTATCATGTTTGGCGTTGGAGCCTCTGCAGCTCGCTTGGAAGCCGATCGCAAAGCGCAGCTCAACCTCCGGCGAATCGCGCTATTACTCCTTTCCGCTAACGATGATTACTTTGTTGGCGAATTGCCAGCATTGCTCCAGAAACTGGAAGACCTTCTTGTGGCGACCAGCGCCTCATCTCCATCATCTGCCACTCGGGCGGAAGTGTTCATGGTCCTTCGTGCCGTTGCACTCAAGACCTCTGCTTCAGCCATGGCGCCATTCTGGCCTCTGATAAACACCGAACTACAAGAAGCCATCTCTGCAGTACCCCAGGGCTCTCAGCCTGAGCTCTACAACCCTTACTCGCTGCTTCAAGCATGCAAACTTCTCGACATTCTCCTCGTCCTCGCCCCAGACGACTTCCAGCTCCTTGAGTGGCTGTTTGTAACCGACACAATCGACGCGGTCTACCCACCAGACCGCTGGGATCCAATTGCTTTGGCAGACGAGGTTTCTCACTCTTTCGGCCCACGCGGTGCAGCCTCACCCACTCTCCCTACGGAGACTAACGAGCCCCAGGTTCGTAGTGGTCTCAAGCGGCCATGGCTCATCTCAGACTGGATTCGAGAGACAGCTAAGGATGAGATTGTCGAGCGAGTCCTGCGACCTTTCTTTAATCGACTGAGTATCTATGTGTTTGAGAGTACGTACGGCATGGGCAGCGTAGATCTTACACTGTGCCGGGATGATCTGTTGGCGGATCTCTTCAACGAGAACACAATGGCGAATTAAGTGAGCGAGAGAGATCCTGTATTTTAGCCTTTTTATTGGATAATTCTGTAGAGCGATACCAAACTGTACCTTTTCTTTCTTATTTATTTATATTTATCGATGAGGTTATATTGTCTTCCCTCTGTCCTCTGTACTGTGTAGGTGGTATACAAAGGCCTCGAGTCATGTTCCCGAGCCGCCCGTGACCTCCGCAATTCATCAACGTCACTTTCGAACTAACTCCTCTTGCCACCATCAACCATCAAACAATCCATACATCGATTGAAATAAATTGCCAATATGGTGCTTGGCACAAGAATCTTTCTGCCCTTGCGCGGACGCGTCGGCCTCCGGTCTTTTTCATCATCACGCGCCCATTGGCAGTCCGCGGCACCGCTGCCGTCAAGCAAGCCTGTTGGAGCTTTCCGAGGAGGGTGAGTACTGGTCCAGTTGTACGGAGTACCAGAGGAGGAAATGGGCAACATGGAATAGCCATCTTAAAGCTCAGTGGCTGATCTTTAATAGTCTCTTCGGATTCCTAGCTGGGTCTGTCGCTGCCAGCTCCTTGGTGTACTTCTACATCTTATCGGAGTACCGACTTGCTAATGAGATGTTGTCTGATGATATTGCGGTATGTCTCTTTAGTTCTGACTCTTGTTTCTCCCCTAGAAGAGTGATCTCTCTCGCATCGGGTCTTTTTCAAGAGTATTTCGAGAGCTAACTGTCTGTTTATAGGCACTTCAAATGGCCACAATCAAGCTCCAGTCATACATCACTGAGCTGGAGACCAAGGTTGATAAGCTGCACAATATCAAGAAATAAGTGTCTTTTATCAGCATGTTCATGTGTGTATTTACTTTTGCTTCAGCTTCAAGGTATTGGTCTCCTATGCATGTGAGGTCCATCAAGGCCCCAAACCTCTTCTAATGACCGAGAACGAGGTTCTCAGGTTGAATTCGCATGAAATAATCAGCTTTCAAATATCAGCATTTCCTTTTTTTCATTTCTACTTGCAGTAGTTAGCTACCCACCGTACCAATCTTGGAACTAAGCTACCTCGTACTCGTACCCTCCAGGCTCCCCAATCCCTGCAAACAAACCAAACACAATACTTATCTCCGGGCACCAAACTCCCTTCATCTCCCTTCCGCCCCAAACCACCCAACCTCCCCCAACTTCCCAAACCAAACCCCAAAATGTTCCGCGTCGAACTAGTTTCCGACACCTCAACCGCCACACCAGGCTGGAGCTACGCCCCCACGCGCGCCTTCAACCCCTCCCAAACCATAACCGCACCCACCCTCAGCCGCAAACGCAACATCCGCGACGCCGGCAAAGGCGCCGACCTAACCTCCCGACAAGCCAACGCCATAGCGCGACACATCGCCGACCTCGACCGCGAGAACCAGCGCGACGTGTCCATCCCAGCACCCGTCAAACAAGCCCGCGAAGCCGGCGCACGCGGCACAAGAGCAAAAACAACCTCCAGCGTGCGCCGCATCCTCACATCCCAAAAGACTTTCCGCAACCACCTCGACGATGAGGAAGCGGCTATTGCCGCTGGCGGAGGCGGGATTGGCGGGTTACAGGGTCTTGGTGGTCTGAATCTGGTTGCGCAGGCGCGTGGTAAAGCTGCTGCTGCTGCAAGGCGTAGCTCGACGCCGGCTAGTGTTGTGGGTGTTAAGAGGTCTTCTGAGGCTATGGGGGAGACGGGGATGGAGTCAGAGATGGATGTTGATAGTGACGCACCAGGGCCGCAAAGGGGACTTATCAAGAGTGAATATGATAATGATCCTTTGCTGCGGTCGTATGCGCCGTCTATGCCGTCTGAGAGGATTATGCAGCGGTTGCTGGCGGAGCCGCCGCTTTCTTATAATGAGTCAAGGGCGAAGCCGGCGGCGTCTGGGAAGCCGGGGAGGAGGTTTTGTTGTATGTGTGGATATTGGGGGAAGATTCGGTGCAAGAATTGTCATTTGAGGACTTGTGGGTTGGATTGTTATAAGGTGCATGAGGATTCGAGATGTGGTGCTTTCTTCTGAGGAGGGGAGTTCGGTGTGAGCTTTCTATGGATGTGTACTTTTATGGAGAGGGTTGGCATGGCCCTGTTCTACTGATGACTTTACGAATTGATACCAAAAAATTTATAACTATTAATGTGGCGTAAGCCAAAAATGGAATATGTATATTTGTCTCATATACGCCTCTAAGGTTTGCATAAGGTCTTGGGCAAGGCTGGCTCAGCATTTCAAGTCGATACCGGCGCGGAGCTCATCCTCGCGAACTTCAAACATCACCTGCACGCCGACGAAAAGCACCACGCAGCAGGAAACCAAATATGCCAGCCCAGAGTAGGATCCCGTTAAGCTGGCAAGCAGATCCTTCAGCCCATCCAGCCCCAGAGCAAAACCGACCAAGTTTGCGATCATCATCATGAGCACGTTTCCGACGGAGCCAATGCCACAGAGGACGCGGTAGGTAGTGGGACGAGAACGCCAGCGGTGGGCAGGGAAAAGCATACCACCCAGAACCTCCGGTAGAACGAAGAGAGTGACAAGCCAGCCCCACATGAGCAAGCGGAGATTGATATCGTGCCACAAGGCGACGAAGGTGAAGACCAACAGGAAGTTGCGAATCTGCAGGAACTTGCCCATAACCTTGGTCTGAGGTGGTGAAGCTGGTCTGGGTGCTCCGGGCGCCCGCCGTCCACCGCCACCGCCGCCCAGTGGGATGTAGATGTAGCGGACGATCCAGCGGTTGTAGGAGCGATGCCAGCCGCGCCAGAAGGCGAAGGCGGAGTAGTTGTTTGACATGCACCGCACCATATTCTCCGGTGGGTCAATCCCATCTACGAGGGCCCAGAGACGGAAGAAGCGCCAGGGAATAAGCAGTTTCAACCAGATGATGTGCAGGTTGAAGAAGGCAAGCATACTTAGCTGGCCCGGGGTGAAAACGGACCAGTCTGGGTTGGACTTGGAAATCGCTACCGCGTAGATGTAGTGGAGGATAAGCTCCATGCAGAGTAGGGTAAGACCAAATCGGATAGCGTACATCGTAGTGCGGGAACGGGAGAGTGATGTGGGTGTGTATCGCTGTTGCGATACGTAGTCGTTGAATGTGATGATCGGACCAGCCAGATACAAAGGCGAGTAGAGCACATAGGCAATGAAGTTGCGGAAGGTGAATGCAGCTGGTTCTGCGGGAATCTTGACTCGCTCACGGTCAGAGAGGGACGCGGGGTCCAATTGCTTCTTCTTATAGAATTGAGTCAGCTCGACCGTTGCATATGATGGTGATCTTATTGCAGAACTCACTTCAATTGGACTTGCCGCAGGGTAGTCAACACTCCAGTAATTATCCATGTTGAAGCTGATTAGGCGTAACACGGTGATTTTGAACATAACCTCCCATCGCGGCATCAGTCCCCCAAGACCATCCAAAGTCTGGGCGACCCATTGGAGTGCGGAGGTGTCATTCTCCAACTCAGATCTAGAAGAAATTGCCTTCGTTATTGGTTCAAATTGGTAACCGCCGGATAGTTCGTTGGCAAACAAGATGCCGAGGTTGAAGATCCAAGTGACCGCAGGAACGTAGGGACGGGGCACATCCTTGCCAATTCGGAAATTGATATACAGAATCAACAGAATCTTGAGCGCAGATACTCCATGTAGTGCCGTTATGAACACCAGTCCGAACCAAAAGTCGAAGCGCATTCGCTGATCGAGTTGCGCATCGGCGGCACTGACCACGGATTGGCTCGATGGTTTTGTTCCAACTTTCGAGCGGTTGATGAGACTCTGATAGACTCGACGAGCTACAGGATGGAGCAGTAGGAGTAGAAGAAGGGCAGGGATGTTATCGCGAAAGCTTGCATATTGTGCATCCGAATTGTCCTAGGTGTTGAAGCAACAACGTTAGGCGCTAGCCTCATAGAATACGGACGGCCGAACACGAGGGCGGAGTACTTACAACCTGACGACCAGGAATCCAACCAGATGATAGAAGGTGAGAGTAAGAGGAGTAAATAGGGTGGCTCTCTGTGGGATTGGAGACACCCAAGTTAGCGCCCAAATACGTCGAATGGCCTTCTCCAACACTCACCCTTCGAAGCATCGATGACAGTCTTGAACATTAAAGGAACGAGTGTTATAAAGAACAAGTAATAGACGAAGAACTCCGGCGTGCGCCAGAGGGATGGCGACGCGCCCTGTGCGATTGCATTGGCGCGGGCATTGGAGGTCGGTCGTGTATCGGCCCTAGGAGTGATTGCGGTGGAGGTAAAACGAGTGTCAAGGGTATCCAGCGAATAAATGCGCCGGAGCCAAGCGAAGATGGAGGGCATTTTATGTGAATGGCATGGCCGAGGTTTGGAGAAGTTGGTTGAAGTCGGAGTTTGTGTCCTTGAGGTCCGGTGTTTACTCAGGGGCGGTCCGCCTCGTCGGCTTCTGGTAGGTGGCCTCATCTGCGCCTGTTTCTGACTATTCCAATGTTCGAGCTCTGTTATCTTCCCATATCTTCTTGGGACAAACATCTCTGAAAGGCATTTTGAACTTATTCGGCTCCTTTTAATAGCCACTAGCCTTGTACAGTATTACCGGCGCCAATCACAGCTCGAAGGATTTCATGAAGATCACGGTAAAACTTCCATTTTTCTTATTTCTGGGGAAGAGATTATCTAAATAGAAATAGAGCATACTAATGAGCTAGCTGACTCTACATTTCCTGTAGTAGCGTTCTTACCATCAAGAAATATCCATGTACATGTACACAGTACAGTGGACAGTACTCCGTACGGAGTAGAAGGGTACACATAGTTAACAGCCGCAATGCTGCGACTCCACCTCACTTGTACACTTCAGTGACTTCATCTCTACATCCACCTCTTTCCTCTCTATCTACTATTCAGCCATCATGTCAAACATACGCGTATGTCTTCTGTCTACCATAAATCCTAATTAACTCGGTTGCTATGCATACTTCTGGGCTGTAGCAGGGCTAGAACTGCAAGTTCTCCAGTTGTACTTGTGCTGATACCTCCTCTCTTCTAGGTTGCTTTCAAAGTCCACGGCACTGTTCAAGGTACGTCCAGCTCATGACAGGTCTCAAGACTTAACCACTACTGTCAACTCTAGACACTAACATGATGTCCTAGGAGTTGGCTTCCGGTAAGAAGTATCCCCAGGACCCCAGCTACGTCCGATGACATCATATCATATCCAGTGAGTTAACCAGCGACTAACTGTTCATGCAATACAGGGACTTCACTCAAAAGGCTGCAAAGCTCTATGATCTCAAGGGTTGGGTTAGGAATACTACCTGCGGAAGGGTATAGGGTTTCCTGTCCTTTGCGTAACCATATATGACTGACTGGATCATATTAGGTCGAGGGCGAGGCACAGGGTCCTGATGAGAAAGTGCAAAAGTTCCTCCAGCGCATTGACAAAGGACCATCCATGGCTCAAGTGGTAAAACTGGAGAAGCGAAGTTTGGATTTGCGTGAGGATGAAGAGGGATTCTCTGTGATGCGGACTGCAGAGTCCATGTTTAAACCGGAGAACTAGGGTTGAGTTGATATCTTGCTCAGATCAACCACAATACAGCGACCATTCTTACTACTACACCCATCCATCTTGGATAGCCAAGTTAAGTGGTCCTCACGGACCAACTTATTTCCTGGTGGTTTTCACGGCAAAGCCATACTTGACGAAGCAACAACATTGAACGTAGGAATATCAACCTGCACATATCGCACATAAGCAAGCATCGCGATGCCATCCAATCTAATCCAAACAAACCATCTCTTTCTTATGGAGATCAGACTCCCAACGGACAAAAGATCGATAGTTACACCAAAAAAGAATATCACATCTTTCATCATACCGCGATAGATCTAAGATCATGACGCTGAGATCTGGATAATAGATGCCCCTCATCGGCAGGGAACGGGGAAGAGACTTACCCTCTTTTTCAGGTCGTCAACCGTACTGACGTACTATTTGGCCACCGGTGAGACAGATGGAATGGATATTTCCAAGATCCAAACATCAGGAACCTGACCGGAGCCTCGATGCCAAAGAATTCAGGCCGTCCAAACTTGTTCCGGCAACATACGGGCTGAGTCATGGTGTTGGTCCCGTTCCCTCCCGAAGTCACCTGCCAGCAAAGCCTTGTTCGGACTCGAAAAAAAAAATTTATACGGGATAGCGTCAAGTTCTGAATAAGTTATAGAGATAATGGGAAGCATTATGTAGTTGCTTCTTGTTCAGGTGTAATGACCGCTCCGGGATCGTGAGCATTGAGTGGTGGTTCGGCAGGCCGATGGAAAGATCGGCATACTTGGAAGATTTCAATGATTACATCGGTAACTTCATCGACGAAGTATACGGGATGCCATCATTTTCATGGGCAGCTGACGGACTGACCGGGCCGTTTCCTTTGTTGGTTTTGGCAACATTCCCGATCATATTCGTGTCCCAAGGTTTGCGTACCTTTAAATATTCAACCTTCAACCCCTTCCTTCAACCTCCAACTATCTACTACCTTAACCTTATTCTTCACTCCTCCCTCCATATCAACGTCCACTCGAGCCCTCTTTCCTTCAATTGGTTCCGAGACTCGCTCTCATTGTTTACATCATGAATACCCTATCAGTTAGGGCCCCCTTGCAGGCGGCGGCAAGGCAGCGTTATCTGCACATGGCTGTCCGAGCCTACTCAGGTGTTGCAGCGACAGCTTTTGGCCCCGCATGTGGGGACAGGAAACGCACGTCACCACTCAGCCTTACCTCTAAGCGCCCCATCTCGTCAACATCTCAGAAACAAATCACAGAATACTTCCCGCCCCCAAAGGCCCCAAATGTCAAGGAAGTGGAATCACCATGGGTACATCCAGTGTAGGTATCCCGGCGCCCTCCAATTGGAACAGGAATTGACATTCTCAGGTACACGGAGGCCCAAATGCGAAACATCACCATCGCGCACCGACAAGCCACAAATTGGTCCGACTGGGTTGCCCTAGGCACCGTCCGCATGTTCCGATGGGGCATGGACATGGCGACTGGATACCAGCACCCGAAGCCCGGCGAAGTACTCCCCGATAGATTCAAAATGACGGAAGAGAAATGGCTATCGCGGTTCGTCTTCTTGGAAAGTGTGGCCGGTGTCCCCGGAATGGTGGGCGGCATGCTGCGACATCTCCGGAGTCTTCGCAAGATGAAGAGAGACAATGGATGGTATGTAAATTGGGTCTCAGCTGGCGTGGCGAAATGTCAACTCAACGCTAACCATCATCTGCCGTTATAGGATCGAAACCCTGCTCGAAGAAGCATTCAACGAACGCATGCACCTTCTTACTTTCCTCAAGCTAGCCGAGCCTGGCTGGTTCATGCGCCTGATGGTTCTCGGTGCCCAAGGTGTCTTCTTCAACGGCTTCTTCCTGGCATACCTGGCTTCGCCACGCATCTGCCACAGATTCGTGGGATATCTCGAAGAGGAGGCTGTCATTACCTACACCCGTGCGATTGAGGAGTTGGAGACAGGGAAGCTTCCACACTGGGAAGATCTCGACGCACCCGCGATTGCGATCCAATATTGGCAAATGCCAGAGGGTCAGCGCAAGATGAGAGATCTTTTGCTCTTTATCCGCGCGGACGAGGCCAAACACCGCGAGGTCAATCACACCCTGGGTAACCTCGACTTCGCCATTGATCCCAATCCCTACCAAACCGAATACATCGACCCGACTCGAGACCACCCGACCAAGGGCATTGAAAACATAAAGCCAGAGGGATGGAAGCGATCGGATATCTTTGGGTCTAGGCCGAAAGATGTGCAGAGCTGAGGTGCATAACACGGCATTTTTCAAAAGCATTCATACTGGCGTTAGGCAGGTCATATAAATATTATTAGACCAATAGAATCTCCTCTCTGATTGGAAATTTCGAAGGTTTCAGAAGAATCGAACAATAAACTTGAGGTCAACCGTGGAACGCGGGGCGTAAGCTAGACCCAACAAGGCAATCTAGCAACACGTCCGAGGCCGAGTATACAATTTGTACATCTAGCCACTTCGCAGTTTCACCATTCTGGGGACACAACGGCCGGAAGAAAGAGGTTTCACTGGTCTCATTGGTTGTCCTTTGGTGGACATGAAAGCCTCATCTCTTTCAACTCCCATGTGGACAGTTGACCCGCTTCCCCTTTTAGCCCCGGTTAGTCGAAGCCCCCCTTTTGACCCAAAAGCAGTTCCTCACCCGTCGATCGTGCAGGCCTCATTAAACCTCCGTCCTTTCATTAATTTTATTTATATAAAAGCCGTTGCTCCCGATCGGCCAGATCTCGTTAATGCAGAATCCCCCGCAGAACATCTTCATCCTTCGTGAACATTCCATTGATCGACCTCCACGCGCCTCGGATCTACAAATTTCGGACAGGTCACATAGCCCACATTGAAACAATCCTTACACAATGGATGCGCCCCGGCAGTCTACAGAGTCTAGGATGGCGCCCGTCCGTGCCTCTTCGCCATCGCCTTCAATCCCAGCAACACCAGCAATCTCCTCATATTCCTCCCCAGACCGAACATTTTCATCCGAGTCTTCCCGTTCCGCCTCCTCCGCCACCTCCGCAGACGCCAGGTCGTCCGTATCGATTTCAACTCGCCGCCATGGGTACACACGTGCATTGGGTGCCGAATTCGCCGAGTCGGCCCGCCACCGCGACAGCGTCATGAGTCTCGGTAGCATCGCCCACCTCCAATATTATTTCGCCCGGACGGGTCTGCTGGACGGGAAGAGCGGGAGGGGCCGCGAGTGGGACAAAGACAAGAAGGACAAAGATAGCGTGCCGCGAGTCTTGATCACTCCGAATCAGCGGCACATGGATGATGATCTGGTCGCTAGCCCCTCAGATATGGCGGAGCCGGATGATGTGGAGGAAGAGGATGGCGAGGTGATGCTGCCGCCCACAGTCAGCACTTACAGTATCAAAACACACCACATTCCGCCTCCGCCAGATCTACTCACCTTGCGTCGACGGCTGATGCTGGCGCTGGATAAAGCGGAGACCAATATCGAAGCAATTGAAAATGGCGCGGAGCCTCCTCCCCGCCCCAGCAGGCAGAGTCTTTCTCCGGGTGATATGCCCGAGACAAACTACGATGACCGATCGCAGGCCCCAACCCCAATGAATAAGGAGGAGGCGCAGGGCATGTGCATTCTAGACGATGTGACCAATGCCATCCGCGCAGCCAAGATCTATTACACCACCCACGAAAACCCAGAACGCTTATCATCAATAAAAAGCGAACGCGAGATTCGCAAAGAGCTGTTCGATGTCCTTGAAGTTCTGAAACGGTGGGCTGCACGGCATTTCGCCAGCGGTCTGCGCGAGGAGGAACGCGAGCGGATTCAGGGGTGGATTGCGGGTGTGCGCACCATGTTGGTCCGCGAGAAAGCCCTAGAAGATCTTGAAGCTCAAGAGCGGGAGAATTGGGATTGGGCGGCTGGCGACTGGAGAGGCCGCGAGCGTTCTCGCGAGGAATCCTTCCTTCGCAGCCTGATGCCTGGAGGAGACTCCTTGCCGACCTGGACACCAGTCGAGGAAACTCCTGATGATACGCTCCCCACTGCCTTCCTTGAGCGGTTCCGCGATGGTCGTGCTTTGGTCCAGTTACACAACCTTGCTATCAAGAAGTCGAAACGCCAATTTGGGGAGATTACCTCCTACCACTCGGATGTCGCCAAGCCCTACCGACAGACTGAGAATCTCCAGTTCTGGGTGAAAGCTGCAGAGCTCCGTTGGGAGCTCCGGCTGGATGTTGATGTGATAGGAGTGGTACAGAACAGCGGCGCTGCTGCTTGGAAGCGATTCGATACTGCATTGTTGGCTTGGTGTAAGACTGTTCGCGAAGAGCTGGTGCGTGACTGGCAGGCAGCTAACCCTGGCCGACCGCCCAGCGCTGGATTGATTTGAGGCTATACTTGGGAATGTTGAAGCTATAAATTTGCATCTCGGTTCTCTTTGCTTTTTTTTTCTTTTTTTGGTTTTTTGCTTGATATTCTTCTGGGCACTTGATACGATACCCCCTGAATTTTGGCCTCGGCCCTCATGTTTTGGTTTCCTCTGGCCTTTTGGTCCTTTTTTGAATCATCTTTGTACATCTCCCTCTCTGGTCCGGTTTCATTCCATAGATGCATACATTGTCAATCTCCCTGAAGATCTGGACATTCATTCCCTGGTCACCGTTGGTGTCTTAGATTGCGCCCAGTCTGTATTAGGAAATATGAGTGTTGATCCGAGAATACGCAGTTACAGATGAAGAGCTTCTCTTTAACGTCCAAAATCAAATCTATCCTGTTAATCTGCGTAGTCGACGACCTCGCAGGCGTGATTGAAAGGCATGGAGTTTCCGTCAGTTGTCCGTCTCTCTTATGAGTCTGGAGACAAATGTCCGACTGAAACTAGAAATAATGAGGCCAAAGAAACAAAAGGAAATGATTTCAACGTGCTGATCCCTAGAATTACATACCGAGGAGGTACATCCAGCCCCATAGTAAGTAGTACGGGGCTGGAGGTACCCCCATTCTGCAGAGAGAACACATTATCCCTCTCCAGGGCTTTCGTCTCGTTTGCTGCCCAATGTCTTGCCTGTTCTCACGATAGTTCGCGCAACCGTCTCTCGATTCTTTCTGTCATGTAGCTTAGCTCTCTTGCGATTGAATAGCCAAAGCCGCCGTGAGAAGGAGTCTTGCTGTGTTCCGAGCGCCGAGCACAACGAAACATTCCTTGTATCCCTGTCCGAACATCCTTTAGTCCCTTCTGCGCTTTTTATTCACCCCCCGGTCTCCATGCATGCCACTGTCGCCGGTTCACCACATGCGACCGACCTCGCGGCGCATTCTCCTAACACGTCCGCAACACCCACCTCCCCTCCGTCACTCACCCCCGCGCTCTCCGTTTCCCCAAATGATTCCGGTGCCTCCACCCTCCGCCGCTTGAAATCCAAATCATCCCTGCGGAGCCTTGAAAGCAACCCCGAAGAGAGAACTTCGCCGGCGGAATCGACGAGCGCCGGCCGGACTTCCTTTCTCCGCCGCCTTTCTCCCGCCCTCGCTGCCCGGGTGAAGCTGCTGGACGGCAGCAACAAGTCCGCAACCCAGACGCGGACTGTCACGCCAGTTGGCCGTATCCCACAAGAGCATCTGAAGGAGCTGGATAGTCTCCACCAGGATCTATCGATCAAGGTTAAGAGAAAAGGTCAGGCGTGGTCCGCCACGGCCACATCCCCACAGCCACCGGAATTCAAGCGCAGCGCCTCGAACCAGCTCGAGCTACCCCGACAAGATATCCTCCAAGAGATCGCGGACGCGCGACGAGAAATCCAGGAGTCTTCCGAAGCTGTCGTGGACAATCCTGAGCCGACCGGCGCCTTTCAGACTCCGGAACACAAAACCCCAACCACGCCGATGTCAGTCGCACAACCGGTACTCGCGCAGCCGCGCGCAGAGCCTCTCGCGAGCCCCCTTGGCTCAACGGGCGTTCAAGACAACCGGACCGACTTTGAAAAGTACGTCGACGACACCGCGATGAAAGATGCACAGTCCGCCCCGAAGCCACCGCCGAAAGATACTCCTCCCGCCGATGCAACGCACTCGCGTTCGTCCTCCAATTCGCAATCATACTTCAATCATATGGGCCCGGGACGCGCGGAATCCATTTACTCTTTCGGACGGGCCTCCTTCAGCAGTCAGCTCTCGCAGCTAACCTCAATCTATCTACCGCAGCCCGCTTCGCTCGAGGCGAGCATTGAAAACATTTCCACAGCTCTGGCGGCAGTTCGGGCCTTGAACAACGCCGCAGAACAAATTCAAATCTGGATCAAGAAGGCCTCGGATGTGCTATGTGGCCTGGATGCTGAAGATGACGTGGAATGGGCTGCGGCTGGTGGCCGCGATGGACTAGATGAGGTCGACAAAGCAATTAACCGTTTTGAGTCGCTCGTCAACGTGTACGTGCGCGCTATTGAGAATGTCCAGCTGCGCGATGACATCGGAAATGTCGATGGGGAGAACTTGAAGACCATCGTGAACCAGATGGAGAGCATCCTCGAAAACTGGTCTCAGATCAAGGACAAGCTGAAAGGTGTAAAAGAGCAAGTCGAGTTAGCTATGGAGTGGGAGGAGCTTTGGTCCAATGTGTTGGGCGATGTAGGCGTCGAGGTCGACAGCCTAAGTGGGCTGATCTTTGAGATGGAAGAGAAGCGGCATCAGGCGTTGATGGACACCGGCGACGCCACCGGCGGCCTTGACATCAACGAACTGGAAACGATTGTGGAAGAGTCCCCCGTCAAGGGTCGCGCGCATGCGCAGAACCGTCTGAGTCTCGGACCCCTCTTAGCATCGGCATCTGGAACCCCCGTTATCAAAACACCGCAGGACGATACCAGTCACTCTAACCTCATGGCTCTCTTTGCGCGCATGCAACCACTCCGCGCATCATTGGACTTCTTACCCATGAGGTTATCCATGTTCCAAGCACGGGCTGAAAACATCTTTCCGACTGCGTGTGAGGAGCTCGAGGAACGGCGCAATCGGTTGGAGGAGAGCTATAAAGTTCTTGAAACTGATGCCGAGGCTCTTCGCAAGGAGTTGGGAGAAGATAAGTGGATTCTCGTTTTCCGCAATGCTGGGGCTCAAGCGCAAAAGATGTTCGACTCAGTTGAACGCAGCATCGGTAAACTCCAGGAAGGTCTGGAATGCGGGATGCAGATGCACAATATGCCAACTCTGACCAAGCGTATGGAAAATTACGTGGCAAAGAAAACGCATTACGTTCCTGCGATTGACCGTGTGATCTCCATCATTCAGAAGGGTGTAAACGACCGACTGACCGTCAACGGTGAGATTCTGCGCCTGCTCTCCGACATGACATCGCGGACAGACGCTCTCAAAGCGAGCATCAAATTTATGGACACGTCCCTCCAAGACATACCCTTCATGAACACCCAGCAGCTGCGAGACTCGGTCTCCAGCATTTTGACCATGGACAGTCCGGCACCGGGCCTCGACACTCCAGGAAGCTCGCCTGCCAACTCGGTAATCATGAGCGGTAACAAGTACAAGCGTGTCTCCACGCCGATGGGCTCAAGTCGTCGCGACAGTTCAGTCGGAAGTGCGACATCTCGTTCTGCCATCCCGCCATCACGTCGCTATTCCAGTTTGCCCCAGCCCGTCGGGACTTACACGGGACGGAAGTCCAGCATCCCACAGCCGACTGGCCTTGTTTCCCCCACCCCGTCCTACAGAAGTTCAATGCTTTACACCCCAACCCCAGCTACCCGTACACGAACACCCGCGCCCCCATCTACAATTCCCAACCGCCCACGCTGGACAACCAGCACGAACCTGAACGACATGTACAACTCGACCCAGCGCAAGTCGTCCGCGCCCCAAGCCCGGACCCCACGCCCTTCGTCGACCCTATCCGCCCGAGACAGAGAAATGTCCTCATCTCCAATTTCCGGCATGCGTTCAACCAGTCGCGTCTCCAGCCGCTTCGGCTCCCGCAGTCCAAATCATTATCTCCCCTCACCCACCCCAGCGCGCTCCTCCCTCCTTGACCCACCACCATACAGCCGGCTTCGCCGTCAATCCGGCATCCCAAGTACCCCGCGCAGCCGTCAGAGCTTCGCTGGCCCGCCTACTGCCTTCAGTCGCAGTACCACTGCAGCTAGAGAGGCAGCCGTCAGCCCGAGTCGAACCGAACGTCCTGGGACTGCGCTCGGCCATTCTCTCAACAGACGCACCAGTCTACTCCCGTTGCCGAAGCGTAAGGAGCCAGCGACCCCGAAGCCGGTCGATACGCGTCCGCCTTGGCGCTAGGCGGTTTGTTTTGCATTTGCATTGCATATCAGCATCATACCATGCATTTTAGCGACCGTCTTCTTATTTTCACTCTTCTGGCATCTATCTCTCTCACCTGAACCCTCATCCTTACCCTTGTCCCTACTATCATCATTACCATTATCCTTCAACATCTCTGTTTTATCTACCTCCTTTCCCCTGGACAACACCCCCTACGTACTCGCGGACGCCGAATCGCCAGTCGGCGACAAGTGCGAAGGGAAGTGTGATAGCCAGGTTTTGCGTGATATCCCTTTTGCTTGCATATGGTCTGAGCGTTGTGATCTTTTGCTTTTCTGGCGATCATGTTGTTCTTTCGAACTCCATTAATTGTCACTCCGCTTCGATTGGTGGATATCACCCTTTGTATTCTTATCTGTAATGTCTCGGAATCCAATATCAATATCCATTCAATCTAAGCCATTGTAAGGTCATTCTTATGTAGGCAGGGTAGGAAGTGCTGTTCATCATTCGTAATAACATGATCCTATATACCTGAGACAATGTATCAAATTTGATCCCAATTCATGAACAATAGACGGCGAGACGCAGCATAGAAGTAGAAGAAGTAGAACCAAACCTCGACTAATTCCCCAACTCACGTCCGAAAATCAATGCATCAACCAGCTCCTCGCTGTTAGCCAACCGCGCAGCTTTGGGAACTCTCCCGATAACGCTGAATCCCAGGTTCTCCCAGATGCGGATGGATGCCGGGTTGTTAGCAAAGACAAGGTTGAAAACAGAGTATGTGTATCCCTAGCCGCCAAGTCAGTTAGTAGACCTTCTTTGTACCTGGGCACAAAAGCCATGCAACAGCTGCTAACGCCAGAGTCGGGAGGCTCAACCATACCAATCTCGGTGCAAATTCCAGATAAGCCTCCCCCATAGCTTGTCCAACACCCTTGCCGCGAGCAGCTGTGGTGGTAAGGAAACCTGCATTGCAGATGTGGGAGCAACGTCCTGTATACAGTCAACATCATTGAATTCAACCGAGCTGGGGGAATATCAAGAAAGAAAAACTTACCAGGATAGTTAGGCTTGATATAAAAAGTCCCCAAACAAACCCTCTCCCAATCCCTCCCCTCCCTAAGTCCCTCCCCCTCATCATCCAAAATCGCCAGAACAGCAAACGTCCCAAACCAGTACTCCGCGAACTGATCTAGCGCCATCGGCTGCTCCATGGGATATGTTGCGCCTCGGATGATCTCCGCGGTGAACTCCTCGTGCAGGAACTTGACTAGCTCCTTGGGCACGGTCTTTGCTCCACCCGTGATCGGGTACAGTGTTATTGGGGCATTGGAGAGTTTGGGGAGGGTGGTTTTCCTTGGGGACAGGGTTGGCGCTGCGATGGTGTGGGCTTTTGGTGGGGGGTTGCGGGTTGAGGGGTCTTCCAGGATGGAGGGCATTCTGGCAGCCTGGCTTATATGGGTGGTTTGTGGGGGTTGGAGGTTAGGATGAGGTGGGATGGAAGGTTGAATGTATACTTGGGAAGAGGTTAAAGGGGATTTTTGGCTGTTGATATCGGGCTCGGCCGGTTTTCGGAGTCAGCCTGTCATTTTTAGGGCGTTCTCCACTGGCGTTGGGGTAATTTGTCTTTTGGTGATGGGTCTGGTATCTGGAACATGACAGATGGCCCTGAGATGGGTTTCGATCCGAGTGCGCCTTGTGGTTTGTATGAACGAGCAATTCTTGGTCTGTTATAGCCTTGGATATGCGAAGGATGCTTAGATGGCACTCTCGGAGTTGTTCCGTGTCTGGGATACTCGGGAGTGATTGTGGCAAGGCGATGGTCTGGACTCTGGAATGGCTATATAGCACGACAAGATGTACCACTCAATTGTTAGGATTGTCATATCAAGGGACAGCCTGAATTCGTCTCGTCTATTCCTACATCTAGTATGTACATATTGCCTGGTTGGGGGCTGAGAGATGCCCGCATCGCCCAGCATAACCCTACCAAGTTTGCATGGCTGCCCTGATAGTATCAGGCTGATACCACGCTGTGCACCCGTGGGTCATTCCAATCGAATAAGACGAGCTTGCTTCGTTCAGTATTCGTCCCATCGACTGCCCGGGTGACTAGCGTTGACCTCGGTCCAGCGTAAACTTGATACTCATTGACCATTTCCTTCCCCTTCTCCGTCATTCTTGATAGCCTGCATGAGCTCGAGCAACTGTCCGAGTTGCTGATCTGGAACGACACCAAAAGATTAGCAACACGATCGGACCGACACGAGAACGAGATAACAGCCAAAAACATACCGCTCATCTTATCCAACTTGGCTTTGTCCAGCTTATCCCCAGCCCATTGATCACCTTCCAACTTTTGCGCATAAAGCTGCCACTCGGTCAAGAATCCGATCTAACATCCTGATGATTAGCAACTGTCCCAACAACCCGGTTGTCATCCACTAAGCCTCGGTCCAGTCCACTCTTCGGCTCCGGATAACGAACTAGCCACAGACAACTTTGGAAAAACGAAACATACAATATGCAATGGATTTTCCACATTCCTGTGTGCGCGGAATTCGTTCTTAACATAAGAATCGCCCAGCACGCGCATCTCCGGCTCGAGTTTGCGATGGACGCGTAGGATGCGCCGGTACAGCTGCAGCGGCGGGAGGAGCGCGAGAGCCTCGCTGAGGCTGGACTTCGAGCCAATCGAGGCCGGCGTGGCCATGAGTAAACGTTGAGCGACCCGCATGTTGGCTATTTGGAGGATGAGTCCGATGATGTTGTCAGGAAAGAGCTTATGACATAATTTTCTGGGGATTTTCGAGGCAAAGGCGGCGAGAACAACGCGCGAATCAGCGGGTCGGGATGTTTCTCGGGGCTCGGGGATTTGGAGATTTTTACTCCGTAGACAGTTGAATCATTTCACTTCCACTTGTTGATATTCTTATTCATTCGTCCATTTTGAAGCGGGTTTAGCAACTTCTTCTCGTTTTGGTCCGGAGAATTATCATTTCGGAGCGAAACCTGCGCGTTCTGCGCATCATCTGGAGATCACCCCCACTATCTCCAAAGAATAAATTTCGAATTTTTGGAGCAATATTGCCTCGTTGAATATACACAATGCTTCCCACACCAGATACTTCACATGTGTCATTTGACACCATCTATGAGCCCTCCGAGGACTCATATCTCTTCCTAGACACACTGGCATCAACCTCTGAATCAGAATGGCTCTCCGAACGTTTTCCGAGCCAAGAGGCATCGCCACTAGTCGTCGAAGTAGGCACCGGCTCCGGTGTAGTACTGGCATTCGCCAGCGCACAGTCTCAGCAGATCTTCGGCCGGCGTGACATCCTCACGCTAGGTACAGATGTAAACCGCAATGCCTGCATCGCGACGCGGACAACGGCAACAACAGCCATCAACACAGAGCAACAACCGTCTCCCCAAACAGTGCACATATCTTCGTTGACAGCCGATCTCTGTGCGCCTCTCCGTCCTGGCAGCGTCGACGTCCTCCTCTTCAACCCACCCTATGTCCCGACTGAGGATCTGCCGTCGCTGCCTTCTGCGGCGCAGAATGACCCTGCTCTTGCAGAGGCCATGTCTCGCTCTGCCAAGTTCGATAACGACTCGTACTTTTTGTCCTTGACGTATGCCGGTGGCGCAGATGGTATGGAAACTACGGATCGGTTGCTAGATGCCATTCCGGATGTGCTGTCTGCGCGTGGTGTCGCTTATGTCCTGCTTTGCAAGCAGAATCGGCCCGAGGACGTCAAGGAGCGTATTCGTGGTTGGGGTGGTTGGCAGGCGGAGACGGTGGGGTCGAGTGGGATGCAAGCAGGATGGGAGAAGTTGGTTATTGTGAGAATTTGGAGAGCTGATTGCTCATGATGAGTAAATCCACAAATAAGGAGAGACGTTGGAGATGTTGGAGCCTTGGAGGTTTCCATGGAAATGATGATACCATTTATAGATTAACGACATTCGAGAATTCGCAGATACTACGTAACTAGTAGCTTCAAGCTAAGCAGCGGAACTGAGTCGCGAGTCCGCGACTCGCGACTCGCGATGTGAACCACCAGGAGAGCCCGATGTTGTTTGCTGTTAAAACCAGCTAACCTGGGTTGAACAATGTGACAGAGGTCTTGGTAGCTCTGATATGATGGATCATATTTACGTAACTACATCAGTCCCTTAACTAGTTAAGTAAATAGACGTGAGATGGATGGATTACCATCCTGGCAGTAGCAGAGTTAGTGCGTACGTATAACATAACAGGAGTGCGTGAATATAGCATACCATCCAACCCCAGTGTCATGTTCATTCATGCCGTGGCGTTAAGCCACTCACTGTACCCCACAACTTGATTTTCACCAGACACCAACCGCGCCAGCACCCGCTCTCCAATCTCAATCATGGCGTCGAAACCAGAGTCGCGTATAGTCCGCGCCCTTACACCCAAGAAAAAACCCAACACAGCGCAAGCAGCTGCTCCTCAACAGGCAGGCCAAAATGCCTACACAAATGGTGATCTTCAAGGCGCAATCGAGTCATTCACCCAGGTGCGCCTTACCTTGTTCGTCCCATCACCAGCCAGGCTAATCGTCCCTACTGGTAGGCATTGGCAGCAAACGACGAGGATGTCGGAGTTTTAGATAATCGCGCTGCCACTTACTGCAAATTGAAGCGGTATGACCTGGCTCGGGCTGATGCCTGGGCCATGGTTGAGCTCGCACCTAATGAGGACCGTGTATGTATTCATCTGACCACTTTTTCTTGGGTCGATAACCATGGGGATAGGGATATCTACGTTTGGCTAAGGTCCTGTGCCTGGATGGGAACTTCGACATGGCCCGGGACATCTACGAATATGCCCTCCAACAGCTCCCAGTCAATCACCCAGGCCGTGAGGTAGTCACTCAGTTGCTCGAAAAATTGCTGGACAAGCTGGCTGGAGGCAACCGACGTGACCCATTTACGGTCCTGCCACTAGAAGTGGCAGATATAATTCTCCACCACCTTTCCTTTAAGCAGATCGTGTACGTATTCACTTTCACCACTGAGATGCATTGGCTTATCCCCCTTATAGGGCAATCATGCGTGTCTGCAAAGGGTGGCATGGATTCCTAATCGGCCTCTCAAGCCTCTGGATGCACGTTGATCTCACAGAGGCCAGATATGATGTTTCATCCAATACTGTCCGAGACTACATCCATCGATCGCGAGCTCAACTAACCAATGCCACCATAAGAAGACTCCTCCCCCACGCTATACCCCAAGTGATTGATATGTTAAGCAGGTGCCCAAAGCTGGAGCATCTACATTTCCGAGCATTCTATGTGCCCAGTATATTCTACCCGAAGATCCAAGAATTTCGTCAGCTGAAGACTCTAGTCTGTGGACCAGGCATCACGATTTCTCACGAACGTGTTGGAAGCGTCTTATCCGCTCTCACAAATCTCGAAAAGGCTACATTCTATGACGTCTGGGATCCAGTCACTGGGTCTCCGCAACCCACGCCGACATGGCCCAAGTACCTTCCGAACTTGAAGAGTTTGATTCTCAAATGTTCACAAAATTCCCACTCCATAGGCTTCGCATATAACTTTGAAGATGTTGTTCCGGGGCTAACATCGGTAGGCTCTCTCCCACCCTGTTCTCCCCCAATTGAAGCTAATACCAACCACCCAGTCTGTATACCCTAATCTAAAGGAACTACGGCTTCTCTGGAACACAGCACATTCACGGCATTACGAATTCTGTCCCGTGCGTTGGGAGCCCCCAGAAATACCAGTCCTGCCAGTTCTGCCAGCCCTGCGCATCCTCGACCTCCGAGGCGCAGTCCTCTCAACCTTCTTCTACTCAATGCTCCCAGCCACCCTCGAAACCCTCCGTGTGGACTCGAGCAGGTTGGAAAATAACGAGTTTCTTGTATTCGACAACTACGTCCCAAACCTGAAGACCGTGATATTCAACGATTGCCCCTGGGTCGACTATGATAACCTTCTCTTATTCGCACGGTACTCCAAGAACCCCCTCGAAACCCTACATATCAACTTTTGCCCCAGCACAAATGAATACGATCTTTGCTGGTTGTTACTGCGCCGTATTCCAGGCTTGGGGGAAGGGAACCCTTGATGGGGCTAACTGAGCTTCGTGTCGCAGGTCTGGCTGACTTGGACGATAGAACCATGGAGTGGGTGTGGTTTACCTTCCCAAACTTGGGCTTACTTGACCTGTCGCAGACTCAAATCACTGATTGTACCATTCGTCTGTTTGCGGATGCCCGGAAGGATGGGACTAAAGGTCCACAGCTTGACGTATTGATTATCAAGGGATGTGACCATGTTTCTCGCGATGCCATTGATTATGGACGGCAGATGGGGATTGAGATTATCACTTGAGTAACTGGGTGTTCGAAGCCACGAAGAGTCGCATAAGCCTGCGTGGCTTGTACAATGACGATAATACCAAGTGTGTACATATTGGATAAGAAATTACTGATCTCCATTCTGGGGTCCACATTGCTTTCTTTCGAGGTCAGATAGAATGTGGAACATTGGCTTGAATCCGCCAGAAATCAATGTCTCATTGCAAGGCTCCAGTAGTTACGCCAAACAAGGCGACGGTAAGGCCTGTCCTATCGACAGACACCAGCAATGCAATAGCACCAAGCCCAGTCTCGGAACCTGAAATATCTAAACACCCCGTTCCTGACACCACCGCTCAACCCCCTTAGCCAGCTTCTTCTTCTGCTCCCGCAGAAGCTCTATCATAGGCCCTACCTGCTTCCTATGCGAAGCAATACGGTCCCCGTCACCTTTATCGCTACACATCCTTAGGCACAAGATGAGCATCATAGATCTGAATCATGAGTTTCATAACAGCCGAGTTACCTCAATTCGGTCGACATTCCGACGGCGACCGGACGGGTCGGGATATTCAGGCAGTTTCTCCGCTTCGAGGCAAAGAAGCTTGAGTCGAATGTCTCGCTTTCCAAGCTGTTGACAGAAGTGCAAGAGGGTTGCCCGGATGTGGACGTACAGCTTGCCGTATAGTCTGGTACAGATAATTCTTCGCAGTGTGACCCGCGGTGTAAGCTCCATTGACAACTTGTAGGAGGTCCCAGCCGGTGAAAGGATCTGTGAAGTCTGGCATAGGCCAGGTACGATCGGCATGGAAGAGTGTCCTGAATGTGTCAACAGCTAGTACGATGGAAGGCTGGAATAACTAACGGAATAGGAGTATCAAATCCCCTGCGTGGGCATCCGAAAGGCAACAGAATACCGAAACGACGGAGCTTCATTCAGGCCACACGCCAGTATGGAGGGTGCGCAAAGAGTGACTTCTGGACTAAGTCTTTCCGCTCAGGCTTTAGGGTAGCCTTTTGTCAGATTCGCAAAGCGACGGGACCAGAAAGAAGAGTGGGAACCTGAAGGTAGTCGAAGACGAATCCAGTTAGCCCTAGGGAGTATCAGATAAAATCCACTATCTGGCAAAATAGGGGAAAAAACAGAAAAACGATGGTTGAACATCAGACGGCCCTTCGCTAGCGTTGCCATTGTTTTCAGATTCGAGTCAGCGAAATTCGATCTGATAAGGTCTTTACATGCCAGGCATCTGGTAAGGACCTTATCAGATCGTACTTCGAGGATCAAAACCGAAAACAATGGCAACGCTAGCGAAGGGCCGTCTGATGTTCAACCATCGTTTTTCTGTTTTTTCCCTATTTTGCCAGGTAGTGGATTTTGTCTGATACTCACCCGTCCTTCTCTGCACCAGTCTGGCTCCCAGTCATCGTTTGCCATAGGGACTTGGCAATCCAGTTTATGCGAGGGCCAATGTTCAATTTGTCATTCTGCACAGCAATACTGTTTTGGTTCATGTGTTAGGGCAGTAAGTTTCACGTGGGGTTGCACTGTTGGAGACTAACCATGACCAAGTAGCACCGGCTACAAGCCTTAGTGGCCTTGACGGTATTGTCGTGACAAGGCGACGTATTGTTCGCGCGGAACCCGGGATTGAGCAATTGTCTCGAACCTTTATATGAAGATCCTCTCGGAGCTTGACACGGTGAAACTGGTTTAAATCAGTCTCTTTGAAAGAGAAGAGGATGAAACTTGATGAAGGATGAAGGATGATGAAACCGTGTGGAGCGGAGTGTGTGAAGGTGAAGAACACAGAAGTGTACCGCGGGGATCAAACGTCCTCATAAAAGCGACGCCGAGACATTTGTGTACTGTCATTGCCTGTCATATGATGTCGTCGTCAGGTTACGGCGCGGAACCGTATTCTATGAAACCGATGGATATCGATGTTGGTCTATTGCTATCTAGAAATACGCTACTAATACGGATACATCACCACTACCACCATCATCATTTACTCACATACCTTCGTCCCTGCATGTACCCAGGTCGCATGTCTATTATTCGTCTGCACGCTGAATTCGGGATCACGTCGTCTATTTGGTCTTACAATATGGGACTCTCTCAAAGAAGCATAAGGAAAGGTCAATGAGCCGCATATGCCAAAAGGTGAGGCAATTGTGTCCCCAACGATGCTGCGATATCAGCCCTGTATACCAGGCGAAGTGGATTTAATACTGTGTAGAGCTCATCGCACAGTTTAGATTCATCTTCAGTGCCATATTAGCTTTTTGGTTAAGCCGAAGCCGGCTAGCCGAGCCCGCCATGCGGCCCGAGCCGTATTCCTTCCATTGTACTTCCACTTCAGGGTCCATGTAATGGACGGAAGCGACCTCAAGAGAGGACTCAGAGGAGTGATACTCAATTTCAGATGAGGGCAACCGCCAAATCTTTTCCAATGAGCCGCTTCCAAGGTTATCCCATATGATACGAGATTTGACATTCAGCCTTGACAAGACTCAAGATATTAATGCAACATAAACGTATAGTTACTATAGGTAGGTACAATCGTCTGGATAGCACCATCCTAGGTGGGATCCGATATCTGGTCATTGTCTGGAAGACTACGCTTGAGGGGGTTCTTATGCAACATCCTTACGTACCTCCAGTAATCGGAAGAAATAGAGAGCCATATATCAATAACCAGAAATACATGTAACTATGTCGTAAAGGTACGGTATGATTAAGGTTAGCAAACGATAGTTACCCCGAGTAGGTAGGTACTAGATACTTACCTCTGTGTAATGCGGACAAGGACAGAAGGAACAAAGCACTTAGCACTGGACAGAAGCAACCTACTTGAAAGAAAACTCTATGGTATCCATTAATACAATACAAGCTCATATCAAAGACAGTTGAAGAAAGGACAAACTATATGTATAAATAGCCATTGTCATAATGAAAGCGCATAGAGGACATTGACTAGGTATTGTTCTATGTCATGTAGTCTCCCACGTACATACCTCAACCTTCATATAAAAAGTCCTAGTATCCCCGAGTCCAACTCTCCATCACCGCAACCACGAAACCAACTCTACAACATACAATCCAAATCGTCAACTACCAAACATCAACATGTCAGACCCCACCCGCCTCGACCGAGCCACCCAGATACCTGCAGCATCCCGCAATCTCGCTCTCTGTCCCTGGGTGTCCAGATCCGGCCGTGTCTATGAGAGAGCGGACGCGGACGCTCTATGGCCAACCGTAGAGCTGGAGGATAGTTTGGAGTACGTCGACGACGAGTACCTGCTGCGGTTCGTGCTCACTCAGATCCAGAAGTCGAATGTCATTGTCCAGATTCGGGCGCAGCATTATATTAGACCCAGGTGTCTGTCGATTCCTTCTGATATGGTTTCGGATTCTTATGCGGTGATCCAGGCTGAGGCCGCTAGGAGGGTGGAGTGGTGGATTGAGCAGGTTAAGGCTGGGACGGCGTGGCTTGACCGAGATGTGCTTTTTGGTCCTCGTAGAAGGATGAGAAGGGCGAATTAGAGTGGGGATGGGGATCGTCTGGTGGGTTGTGAATACGATGTATTCGAATGGAGCACTTCTGAATATCAAAACAGACTCGAATACTAAGACGGATTCTACATCTCACAGAGTCGAGAGAATCGAGATCGGATTTGACTATGAAGTAGCCAGGTCCGAAGGAGGATACAACTAAAATTGACTAGTTAGTCACTGGGTGAAGACTACACGGAGAAAGTGACTGTGATCACCGAGATGTCTCGCTGACTCCTGAGAATGTAATGGATTTTATTCACTTTTATTTCGACGTTTGATATGAGAGATAATTTCAACTACTTGATAAAAAGACATGGCTTGGTTTAGTTGTACACGAGCTAAGCCCTTTTAGGCCATCCCATGATTTTCCAATGTACGTACCCTGTTTTTTGAATGATATTTTACACTTGACCTCCCTAATCCATACCTAGTTTTATTGCAGCGGTGTAGGCGTAGTCCATGTAATTTCCAATTGACATGCGATGATGGCATAAGCCCTGAAATAGTTGCGGGGAGGCTCAGCCCGCTCAAAAGCTTGATGTTCTGCCGCCTTTCTAGAAGCAAGAGACGGGCGTTTTAACCAGGACCTTATGTAGGCGGATTAGGTCTCCGCCACCTCGCTACACAAAAGGTCCGTGTTATCTTCATATCATTTGATCATTGCTTCGATCTAGATCATCTTTAAATTCTTCCTACATAGCAGAACCTCCGTCAAGCATAACCACTCCCACCCTCGTGAGCACATTGTGAAAATAAAGGGTACGATGTCGGTCTAAACCCGTCATCTGAAACCCTTAGCTCGGAAGCGTCGGGCAGCTAGATGCCTCTGCTCAACTACTGCGTCTCCCGCAAGATTGTTGTTCGAGCACAAAGTGCCGAGGAGCATCAATTCAGAGAGAAGGGAAAGATTTTGTCGCAATTGCGTATTTTCCCTCAGTATGTAGCCCGATTCAACAGGAGCTCTGGGTAACAGAAAATTGGCACTGAAAATTGTACCCCATTATGCAAATTCAAAGCACGTTCCGAAGACAGAAACAAACGCCGGTTGTCCTCATAAGAAAACAGAAAATTTAGAAACCACGCCCACGACCGCGACCACGGGGGGTCCTCCGCGCCCACCACGGCCTCGGGGGCCGCCGCCGCGACCACCACCGCGACCACCACGGTCTGCTTCCTTGCGCGCCTTGTTCTTCGGCTTAGGTGTATCATCAACGAGAAGGGTATCGAGGGGGAGGCTGTCGGGGAGGATGAGGTTGCGGATTGTGGAGCCGCGGACGTTGATCGTATCGAGAGAGATGGGGTCACGACCCTTGGGGGTCATCTTAACGGCCCGGAGAGCAGTGTTCATCTGAGGTGAGACGGAAACGATAGTACCATGGAGAACAGTGCCTAGATGAAGAATCCTGCTTTTAGCAAATGTAGCGCTACCGCTTCGTGGGCTTTGCGGGTTGGGAGAGTCGAGCTTGGGGTTGACAGGGACTGCGCGGTTACTGACCATTCTTGAGTTCGACGGTCACTGTCTCATTGGCGCACTTCATCAAAAAGCTAAAGACACAGCTCATGTTAGCAAGATGGGTTTCAATCGAGATAGATGCGCTTCATAAGGCCGGGGCGCGCGCGGCCACATTAGGATGATATCCACATACCGAACGAGCTTCATGGTGGATATGTAAGCTGCAGTGTGCAAACAATTAGGGCTTTTGATATAATTCGGAGACTAGCAGATAGCTAGTAGAATGTGGGGAGAAACGGCGCGGAGAGGTGTTGGTGATGCCATCCAACACAGCTCGAGGGACAGAAAAGATCAGCCACGTGATGCCACGTGATCTCGTCTTCAGTTCGAATTTCGACCCGACTACGAAGTCGGCATATCCTAAAAACCTTTTATGCGGACCTACGAAATCGTGAAGACAAATTCCACAATGCCCTCCTGCGAGGAGAGGAAAGGGAACACTTTTGGAAAGTGCTTCGGCCAGTAGGTGTTCCCTTTCCTCTCCTCGCACGAGGGCATCGTGGAATTTGTCTTCACGATTTTGTAGGTCCGCATAAAAGGTTTTTAGGATATGCCGCAATTTGTGGACTTCGTGGGAAATGGCTTGTGTAGACGGGATTGTCGTGTCGGGTGTCGCGTCGCTGCTGGTTGTCTCAGTCGTGTCAGGTGGCGTGTCGCCGTTGGTTGCCTCAGACGTGTTGGAGGTCGCGTCGCTGCTGGTTGCCTCAGTCTCGTCGGGTGGCGCGTCGCTGCTGATTACCTCAGTAGTGTCGGCGGTCGCGTTGCTGTTGGTTGCCTCATGAGTCTCCGGTTGTGGGCTTTCCGACCTTTCCGTCAGTCTAGGTGACTGCCGGCGGCGATATACACCCTCCTTGATGGTTGGCATAACCGACGTCCTGATCAACGACCGTTTTTTGATGCTGTACTGTAGACAAGTCATGGACCTTCGTACATTCTCCAAGTCTTCGATCTTTTGCGCAATTAATATATTTTGTCTGATCCGAAATTCCGAATTTAGATTGAGCTGAACTTTTGGTTTCTAACTTAACAGTTCGGCAGCAATGGCACCGGTTCATTGATTGTTCCTGATCTACCACATGCCCGGCCAAGGGGTGCGTAGGCTAAGAAGAGAGGGAATTGAATCGGTGACATGTAGGCTGGCACTCCAGAATAATCAGAGTTGAATCTGCACAAATAACCCAGAGTGACCTCCTCTCTTTGCAATCCTTGTCTCTCAAGTTGTGTCGGTCATAACACAAGCACCATGATACGGCGGGCGGCCGCATTGCTGGAGTATTGATCATTGTCGAAGAGACGACTCGAATTCAAGTGACTTTAGAATATCGTTGTTTTTTTTGTTGATGATGGCAGATTCATTTATCATACTGTGTGTAACCCAAGAACATAAAAGCATCAAGAGGAATGTATAAGGCTTTTGGCCATCTAAAGAAAACGATCAAGAACCTAGCAGGCTAGCACCTGGTCTAACGTACCCACCTTATTGCAGTCGCTCTTTCAGTTGCTAGATAATGTGCCAAGGGATGATGTGCCTAAGGTCTGACGAGAGAGTCCAAGCATTGTGCGCTGACAAATCCACCCTAGACATCTCCTTGAGCCAGGCTCTGGCTTTTTGAAAGATTGGCGGAACGAGCCTGGTGCTGGTCGTTCCCATCTTGGTACAGATGAACGAATCTGTAAGGACAACTGTGATAGCTTGCATGAGATGATGAAGGACAGACCACCTTGCGCAGTGAACATGCAGCCAAGCCAAGTCTGGTTCGTCTGGCAGCAAATCAAGAAGGTGACAAGTTGCCTCAATGCATATTAATCTCATGGAACCGGAGGATGCATCCGTATCGTCGGGTGCTTTTGACAAAGAAGCCATGAATCGACGAAGACAGGGACGAGTGATGAAAATTTTGGTGGAATAGAACTGGAACGCCAGTTTCAGGCGTTGACGCTTGAGAGGACCAAGTTCGCTGGGGGTTTGAAAATGGTAGGGACGAGGAAGCGAATCAAGCCAGGTATCAGCTTTTTTGTTCAACGTGGAGATCATGGTATCGATATTGGCCCACGACTTGTAAGCTGCACAAGGTGCGTAGATGCTATCAAGAGCTTCGCGCATGATGATGCTCAAGCTTGTAGTGTAAAAGAAACACAAAGAGTCACTCGGTGGGGGTGGGGGTGCCTCTGCAACAATCGGAGGATTCGTTTCGTCGAGTGGTCGCTTTGTGGAACGTGAACCATCTCTATCCATCGACTGATGCGTTGTACCGCCGTCCCCCTTTGAGCGGAGCAGTCTCTTGATCAGAGACTTCCGAGCCGTTCGGTCTTCAATACACTTCAAAACATGGCTGCTATTTAGGTTGCCCTCCTCAAAGGGTATAGGGAGCGGTGTTGTGCTATAAGTTCCACCTATTCCTGGAGGACGTCCGGTGATCGCGGATAGGGAGGTGTCCAACGTATACAACGTCCACCACAGTCGATACCTGACCTCCTTTGATAAAGGAGCGACCCTTTGACTGTCGAGCCGGAGATTGAGCGCCATAGCTAGCGCAGAGCGGATAGCCAAACCACAAAACCTCCATGACCTAGATCCGAGATTCTTTGTGAGACGGGTGGTGAGCTAAAACGGGGACTAGTGTTCTGTACCTGTTGATTCGGCCATTTGATAGCATGTAAATGGTCGCAAGTACTTCAATCTGCACTTGCTGAAGATTAGGATCCTCTTGTAGAGAGGTTTTGCCAATACTGAGCCTCCACGCCCGTGAAAAGTAGTCCAAATGTGAATAATTACCTGGGTCGCCTTCTACTTGTAAGCCGGATAGATGCACCGCCGCAGTGGCGAAGATCAGATTCAAGACAGCCAACCATTGCCTCCCCGGTCGTACAGCCGGGTCTGCATAGAAGACCTGGTATTGAGCGAGGAAGGTCGTCTTGCCAAGCAGCGGGAAAGATGGATGGATGGCTTGGAAATAGGTGTGAATGAGTTTGTCGGCCACGCTTTTATCGGGCCTTTCTAGAATGCCCACATCATGTCGTATCTCCACATCCCCGTCAGTGCTGTAATAATTCATGGATGTAATAGCCAGGCCGCTGGACTCTTCTTCGGGTATGGGGAATGTAGTGACATCTTGCGCGAGGGTAGACTTCAGTCTGTATAGCCAAGCCACCTCCGAGTGCTCGCCCATAAATCCCAGTTCTTGCAACTTTCTATCACGATTGAAGTCCTCATCTGCGTGATCAAGAGCAACTAATCGATCTCCATGTTCGTCGTGGAGTTCAGCGAGGTCGGGAAAGGTCTGCAAGACCTCATGGTTCGGAGTCTACTCTCGTTAATTACTGAACAACAATCTTGTGTGGGCAGCGGCACTGCTGGTTATGATGAACAGGTACAGAGAAGAAGTCAAACTTACCCTGCGTAGAGCTTGGTCAACTTGACTAGCAGACTGAGTACCAAGGCTTGGGTAGAGATCTCGTAGCGTGGTTTCCAACTTGTCGATGTGAGCGTTCAAGTCCTCGATCCTTCTAGAGACCATGTTAGTATATGATCACCAAATTACATGCTCATTCTTTGTACCTTGCTGTTCTCTCGCGCTTCCTATCACCGTAATTGCAATCCAGCTGCATTTCCTCGCATCTCCGACACGTTGGTCGATGACCACTACATTTGGTCTTCAGACCATGGCAGGGCTTGCATGCTTGACTGACTCGGCATCTATCACTCCACTCCGTCGGGGTAGATGTCCGAGGTATGGGGACCTTTCCATTCTGGCTATTCTCCTTTATTCCGAAAGGAAGCGTCGGCGATGAGTCTTCAATGTTGTTGTCAAGAAGGCTGTCGAAAAAGAAGAAAGAGTCGGAAGAGCCGAGCGTTTGCGGAAACTCCGCCTGATCGACGACATCTGGAAACAAAGCGCTAGAGCTTGAACTATCCTCAAGGTTTGGCAGCCACTGAGAGTCTGAAAATCCCGTCATCCCGTCACTATCTAATTTCGTCTCGCTGCTTGATGCCCGCCGACAGTTGGTGATTCCCAGCGAGGAAAGAAGGGGCCCCCACGTCAATATCTTTATAGGTATAATATTTTAGGGCTGCAGATCCATTGCATTCATGGAATTAATGCGAACGTGAGAGTGCTAAACGAAAGCGGTGTGCATATTGCGCTCATCCCTTCAGATGCGATTACCTAGCGACAGCTCATGTACTTTTCAAGCAATTCAGACACCTTGCATCTCAACGCTTAGACCATATTGCCGAGAGAAAGTGTAAGTAAAGCTAGTTGGCTCCGATAATAGGTACTAGTATTGAGAATCGAAAACGCTGAGTGCCGTGAGTAGAGTGGAACACAGCAACATTTCCGGGACCTTGTCGATTATATCAGTATCATTTTGCCAATATATGGCTGTCCCCCTGAATGAACACAACGATCACCATCAGTGTCACACAGAGAGTACTTTGTATACGAGTTGAAGATGGGTAGCGACGAGTCAACTTTCAAACTCCCGACAGCCCGATTCGATTCTGTTGGAGGCTACTGCCTAAAAGGATTAATTGCATGAGCCCTACAAAGTATACTCGTCCAAGCCGCGTCTAGGTCGGGTAAAGTTTCCAGCCGCCTTACCGACTCTCCTGATTGAAGAGAAGAGAGCGGGGAGGGGATGGATAATAATTTTCCGGTATTTGTCTCAAGGAAATAGTACAGCCTGTCGGGCAGTGTCGACATGAAGCATTCACTCCGTACCTAGTCTATATTCATTTGGCATACTAGGCCTAGCAAACCGTCGAAGGCCGGAATTCTGTTTCTGTTCCATCTAGGAAAATTCAAATATTACTTAACTAGAACCTCATACCTGAGTCAGATTGTGCTTTAAGGTTTCCCCTCGCATTCCTGCCAACGGCCGCATAAAATAGCCGTCCAATGGGAAAGGATGTAGCTTGTTCATACATTTGTGCGCAAAGTCTATCGGGCGACTATGTATCCGCATCCGCGGGAAGACCAGTTCCAGGGGCCAGGGCAAACCAAACCGAGGATTGAATACAATTCTTGTACCAAAAACTGCTAGCATAAACTGTAATCATTCTTGCCCTCTTTTGCACAGACCAGGAAACTGTTCCGATACCTTGCGTTCTCCTCTTTTCTTGGTGCATCCGAGTTCGTGTTCGCAGCTATCATTCTCCGCGGACATATAGTGGACCAGTCGCACTTGAGTGCTCTTAGTTTGGTTCATTCGTGATTTCGTGTGGAAGAGTGGACCCGTGACCGTGTCATTACTGCGAAAGAAGGAAGTATCTACAAACGAGGCTTATCTGTCGACTGTAGGTCGTAGGACCGTAGGACCGTAGGAGAGTAGTGGTCAGGTGACTGGTCACATGACTACATGCTTGACGACCTGCATAGTACCTTTATTGTACCGCGTAGAATGGATGTGGACAATCATGACTTGCTGGTTAACTACCGCTGGATTGAACGTAATGTTCCTTCCGCGGAAGTGGAGATTCTATGTGGGGCTGATGTTGATTTTGGCGTTTTGACACTTTCGGCTATCCAGCTGCTGTCAAGGGTCGATCACTGATCGACTGCACCACGACTGCACCACGTGGAGCCCCTTGGTATGTAGATGTGTCATTGATTGGGATAATTTAACCGTCCACACACCTCAGTAGCAGAAGGCTTGTGGCTTGATCTCACACAATCTACATAGTTCCCATAATAATCCATATGCACATGGTATGCCTCTTGTTTGAGTTTGCCAACTCGCCAGTTGGTCAGTGGCCAGTGCTAATTTGCCAGTTTGCTTGTTTGAGCCGTGTGACCGACTTGAGATTTGTTGTATTTTCCTACGCAGATAATTTTTTCCTTCTTATTTTACATCTATCTGCAACGCACTGCCCTATTAAAACTTCTTCCCCATAGTAGTCTCAACACTGAACAGTATCATCCGGTCGACCACAGTTACAAAAAAGCGTAACTACCTACCTAGGGTTAACACTTAACACTCCTGTGAGGGAATAACCTACGAATTGAGTATCGAGTTGTCACCTATTACCATATCGCCGACCATATTGGCCAGTTTGACAATAGCCATCAAATACGCAGTAGTTGTAACTTGTAAGGAGCATTCACACTTGGTGTGTGATATGAGTCAAAGAAGATAAGAGCTTTTTAACTGGATCTTCCGCCCAGAGGCGGGTGCGTGCATTCCTCAAAAACCCAATGCAAGCTTACACGTATGCCCTGCCGCACCCGTCATACCGGCTTCGCCCTGAGCATAGTTGATTGGCTCCTATCTCGGATTCGCCAGTTGCTGGCATCTGTACTTGCGCCGTCACTGACTCACTTATTTTCTGGGACCGGGGACCTTCTGCAAGCTAGTATGGTTAGAACTCTATAGGTACAGTATGGCCGTGGCAAGAGTGATATCCTAAGCTCTCGACAACGTAGCATTCATTAGCGGGATGGAACTTCATGAATCATGATGCCGATCCTTGGGAACATCATCAACTATAATCCCAGTATGCAAGCGGACTTGTTTACACTGCCGTAAGAGAATTCGGACTATAAATCAATCCCAATTACTTTGTGCGCACTGTTTCAGAATAATTCCCCCAATAGCCACAACCGCATTAATGAAGCAACGGTTATCAATCTTCTTAGGTCAGGCCTCAACGGAGGTGAATCCTTCGTCGCGCCGGAAAAAACGCCACACTATATGGAAAGTAAGTAGTAGATACCTCACCGATGTTTTATCAAGGCTCATATCTGACGTTTGGTAGATATTGCGACTTAGATATAGGTGGGGTTTCTATCGGAAAAGAGCATGCTCGTCGGTTTCGGTTGGCACTTTCAGTTTAGACATTATGGAGCTCGAGCGATATGCCTCCCAGGAACGAGCCAGGCTCGACGGTGTGGAGAATCATCCACTTGACAGGAACACCTCCTGGTCGACAGTATCGACTTTACGAGTTCATGTGAACGCTTCAACTGTATCGACACCCTTGAGCCGGACATCCTTTATCTCAGAAGTTCATTTGCCTAGCCCCGTCGTTTCAATCTTCCCACCAGTCTTGACTGGACCAGTCGACTTCGATGAGATGGATTATGTTCATCGACCGGTCTTAGAACAAAGGGATGGGCGTGTGGCTCGGTGGTGCCAAAAAAATGCGTCGTGCAGTGTTTCTTGTTCCAGGATCGCAGTGTCAATGAGATCTCTGCATCAATGACAGCACTTACACCTCAGGCCACCAGGATCCAGCCTCCAATCTGCCTCCTTCCCCCTCGCTACCTCTCCCAAGTTTCTGTTCAAATATAGATCCCCTCAATATAGTTGACCCCCTAAATAACAGCCTAGTTATGGAACAATCTCCTACTTATTTAGCCTTTGTAAACCCTATGCATAGCCTACGGGCGACAGGTGTTCGGGCCAGGGGACAGGACAGGAAGAGCGAATGCTCATGACTCATGCCTACCTCGGCGTTAGACCAGGTCACTTCCATAAGATAAAGGGTTGACTGATTTTGTCTGGAGTGGTTCATTGCAAACGATACGCTGTCGCCCCTTATTGAATACTCCGAAGTCCAAGTGCGCCTCCTGTAAAGAGATGAAGTAGTGAATTTTAAAGGCTCGTATTGGCTCATTCTTCGATCTGTCTTCCTATTCGCCGGTCAAATTGCCCTCCAGTAGATCACCATGTGGATTAGGGTACACATACCACTCAAGCATTGCATGCGTCCTAGTGGGGCCGGAGTAGGGCTCAAACGACCGACGAAGTCTCATCTTCGGATCCGAGAAAATACCGAGAGAGGAAGGGGGTTGTTCGTAAGAAAGTAGCTCCGCCAAGTGACACGTCAATCCCAGCAGTCCGGTAGACCACCGAGTCAGTTCTAGCGTGCAGAAAGGCTATCTCCTACTCGTATGTGGGGTAATGGAAAAGTATAAAAAAGCACATAAGAGGCAATTGTACATCATGAACCGATGCATACCTAAAAGGGATATGCTGGTTCCTCGGAAACGATTGAGTGATACCACATGCCTATCTTTGTCTGGGCCTCGGATAGGTAATACTGCGCTATAATAATCACTTTGTCTACTGACCTATCAAGACTGACAAGCACATACATGGTCTAATAGCCCGCATATGTTTCTAACGGGATAAAACCGCGGAAGACCGGTCAACAAGAATGGTCTCTTGAGGTAATGTTGAGTATTACCATTCTTAGCGGGCCGTGGAGCCATGCACAAGGGCAGCTGGAAGTTGACTGGCATTTTTGAAGATAAAGCAATCATGGAGACAGCTGTAAGCTGTCAATGCAACATGAGTTAAGCATGTCAAAATATGACTCATAGGGTCAATATGTCCTAAGCGACATCCGCCTCTTGGGTTCTTCATTCTCTCTTCTATCACCATGGGCGAGGACTTGTTGCCGAGCGTTTCGCCGGTGACCGCCTCGCTGGGCATGCGGACATCAACCTTGGGACTTTAACCGACCGCCACTATGCCTTAACTAGGTCAATGTTTGTCGGCTCCAAGTGCTGACACCGCCGCAAGTGCACCTGCGGTCAACGATGGTTTCAACTACCGTTCAACCAAAACTCTGTCATTTGAAGATGGTCTCTACCATCCAAGGGATATAGCAGTTTGACACATAGACTGTTCTGCGACTGATCCTGCTCATCTGACCATGTCTGTGGCAGCATGATACAAGCCACCGCCGACATGGTCGATGCTATCTCCGACATGGACGGTGTCTAAAGTTCTATTGCCGCAAGAGCCTGCAGAATCTGTGAATACAGGCTCCCACTACCTCAGGCTTTCCGCCAGGAGGCTAGGATCCCAACGCGTAGCCAATCTCCTTCCAACTGCACCCGCACATGCATTTCAAATGTTTACCCACTGCCTACCTGTGGTGTCGCGGGCAGAAATATCAAACCAAACCATAGCTTCAGGCGGTCCTCGGTGTGCTCCTTGTCACCTGCGTGGTCGCAGCCTGTGTCCTGTCTTGGCTGCGCAAGCAAAGAAGTGGGGGATGGCCATGATCCTCGAGTTTCCAGATCAGTCCACCCTTTCCCGAATCCCCGTATCTATGGCGAGCAAGTCAAAGTAGCGCTGTCGAGTATCAAGAGCAATCGCGTGCCAAGCAAGCCAGTATATCCCCTACATACGATCACCTTGCCAGCGTCTTCAGCCAGCGCGAAAATTCGAAGCTTTATCCCCGTCCACGTTGTTCAGGAAGCCGTGACATATGGTCTACAACTATCAGCAACAGTGCTGAAGTAATACCTATAGACAGACGCCTTGCACAGTCCGAATTCCGTTACGGGACCGTCGTCCGCTCTATGTCGGGAAAACTACCTCTTTACACCAGAAGTCTTGCCAATGCAGCAACTTTCATCAGAACCAATCGGTCTGACGGAAGTATTATCTGGTAACATGGAGAAATCGGACCATTTGAGCATCTATAGCTGAGGTTTCTGCACAGTGAGTCGAGACTCTGGCATATCGGCCGAGAAGCAGCCAGTCAATAATCAATATCGTGTAACAGGAAAGTGGTCCAACGCTGTCTGGGTCAACTGCCAGATAATTGGAAGCAAGGAAGAGGGTTTATCCCCCGTGTATGTGTCTCTCTACTTGGCCAGTAGAATTTGTCATTCCATCCCCGGGCCAAGCAGCCAAGTCAATAACACCTATTTCGCCCAGTCCCACGACTCTCATCGGAAGAGGAGCGCCTCTACGCCGAACATTAACTCGGATCATTTCAAGGTAGATGAGCCGTTTGCAGATTGTACTTTGCCTTCTGAGAGTCTGTGATAAGGTAGTAACCCTGCTAGCGAAAAGCAAAAATATGGTATATCCTGGAGGGCTCGCCAGAGAAGCAAGCATCCCATTTCTAGTTCCGGACTTTACGCTTATTTCTTGTAATTGCCATGATAATAGTTAAAGGTCATCATTTATTTCCCCTAATTCATGCCTGGTTTATTCTGAACCAATCCTAAAAGGGTTGTAGACTCAGGCTTCGATAATCTGAGAACCCCTGTCTATCATACCCCATACCCAAATACAACTCAAGCCCCAGAACTATGTCCCAAACAAATGGGAAGGTCAGACCGCGCTTAAAATTCTTCCCCGGCGGATTGGTTAATGCGCAGATCGTATTACCCATGCCGACATAGCAATCACTCCATCAGGGTAAGCGTCAAGGGGATGTCCGTGCTGATCGTCACAGGGCTGCAGGGCTGCAGGGCAATCGATCGGAACTACTTTCTGCCGCAACTTGACCAAGTAAAATGCCGAATGTTTGAATCGTCCCCTCCGGGCCATCCCGGTATTTTGAGACTCATCGTTGACAGATACACGAAATGTGGGGTTGAACAGTGTCAGCTTGTGAGGACGACGAAATGGCACAGCTTGATAAATCCGGGCCCCACCTACGGCGGGATAGCATTCGCGATACGAACCGGACTACCTCGTTTCATGCTAACTGCAGATCAACTAATGGAACTGTTCCAAACTGTTCGAGATCGTCCCGCTGGTCAGGTTCAAGATTCAACTGCATAGACGCATCGAGGTTCGGGAATGGCCACCCACGCTATAATGATGGATACATCGCATAGTTATGCTGCAGCCTAGACATTAGGTTGTCAGGTATGTACCACAGTACCACGGCTCCGCACACGGGGATGGTTCGGCGATCGGAACCCAACATTTGAGAGTGGAGCCAGTTTGACAGATGCATACCTCATCTTGTTCGGCACCGAGGGAACTACACAACGTCCTTTGTGATCAAGAAAATGACTGTTTCCAACTTAACACACTTTCTGCGGTACAGTATCGCGCGTGCATGTCCAAGACCAATTTCTAGGCTCATGCAATGTACGATGGTGCTGCACTAACTGCACTCGTATTTGCGTTCACGGGTTGTTAGCACACTAAAGAATCCTACCAGAGCTTCGGCTGGTAGGATTGGTGGATAGATAGAGGAGAAGCCAGAAGGTACTAACTTTTCTACAGGAATCCTTGCGTCCCAGGAAGCTCCTTCCGCGGAATTTGACCATTTAAAGTCTCGTTTGTCCAAGAAACTATCCATATGTCCTCCAGTATGGAAGACCTAGAGGTGACAATTGTTCAAAGTAAGCCCCTCTTCTATCATTTTTTCCTTGGTTGACAGTGGGACTGCGGCCAGAGGATTCGTCAGACAAACTCAACGCTCGCGACACCTTGACAAGCAATCACTCTGAGGATATTCTATGTTGCATTGAATTCTGAATAATGGAAACTTTCGCTAATCAAGGGACCACGGGTAGCAACATCCCAACAAGCTCGATATAAGAGGTTGTGCTCACATTATGCCCTCATCTCCATTGACGACGCGGGTAACTTGCACTTTGAGGCATCCCCTTCCATATCCAGTAGCCGAGAGAGAATATTGTCCTCTGGGGTCATGGAGGAATTTTTGCAGGCGGTTGCACGATCCAAACGCAGCCAAGCGGCTGTGCTGTGTATGTTCGATATCAAATTACTCCCTCCCCACTTCCCTTCGACAAGATGGCTAACGACCATTGGGCTAGATGCACAAAGATCAGAAGTGAAGCTGTTAGCACAGAGTCCCCCTTCTCTCCCCAATGAAGACAGAGCCACTCAGTGCACGGGACCACAAACGGCTCAGCAGCCCTGGGAGCCCCCATTTGCGGCATCTACTCTAACGCCACTGCCGTGGTCCGCGGACCTATTTCATCGATCTGATAGTAAAACGGAAGCCTTGAAACATGAGGTCAGAGCATTGGATGGAGAGGCAGATCATAGTTCTCGCATTGCTATAATACCCCTTGGTAACAGTGCTCTTCTGCGCCAGTACTATGCGAAGGTCTTCCACAATCTACAACAAACAAACTGCCGCATCATCTCGAAGGTCTACATAAAATTGGTTGAACCCCGGAAGCAAGTCAATTTTCCCTATAACGGAAGAAAAACTCTGGCAGGGATAACTCAACAATTGGACCCCGATGAGACCAAGCCGCCATGGTGGCCGAAGGGGGTGAGCCACCGAGAGCCCGACCATCTCCCCAAAGCTGGTAAGGATCCAATTCAGTATCGATACTGCTGGTGGGCTAATTGCTTGGTCCTTTTTCCTTGGAATAGAACGCATCCAACTTTTAGTTCACATTCTCTGTCATTTGCGCACCAGCCATGGAGTCACGGCGCGCCGACTACGACACGCAGATCAGACCATCCGACGGCAGATCCTCCCAGCTACGCGTTTAGAGCTTCTCGATGAAATGTACAATATTAGAGAGAAGGAAGAAATGCTATTAGATAGAGAAATAGGTATGTATCTAAAACGCATGCGCGGACACCATGCTGATGAACCGCAGACATGAATGCCCAGGTTGTGATCTCGCGAATCAACCTTCCAGATGAATACAACGCTGCTAGTATCACAACCCAACAACCCGATACAAGCGGCTCTTCACACGCCCACAATCCGAAGGTGGAATTCAAGCGCCGAAACTCTTCACCATATGGCAAGCCTGCACCAGATGTTGTACAGGACGTCTCTCCAATCGCGTACGCAGCCTTCGATATACCTGACCACTTTACCCAAGAGATCACGCCTGCCGGTCAAGCCGTACCTGCATTGACTCCGGATTCGTCAGAAGATTTCCTTTGTACTCAAGGGAGCCTCCTTTCCGCTGGGCGCACTGTTCCTATAGACCACTACGCTCCGGTAGACGCCAGCTTCCAATCCACCATACCAATCCCGAGGCAGGTAACATCGTACTTTCCTTATCAAGGGGGAGATGCCCAACTGGCAACCCAATATGCCATGCAAACACTCGGCACTCCAATGGATTTCTATGAGAACTGAACATTTTCCAACCTACGCTGGTTACTGTTGATGTGGAAAGTCTCTCCGCAATATGTGTACGTCTCTCTATAATGTTAGCAGCAAATAAATGGAATTAATACCAGAACCCGATCGCCTATGGAAGTAGAAGCAGCAACAAGATATGTGCTGCCAGGCCCGGTTCACCAGTTTCTTTCGACTCGCCAGTTGCTTCACCACTCTGACAAGGTCATCCTTTGGAGTATCAACAAATAAAATGACAACCTAATACTACCATAAAGGCTCAGTGTGCACACAAATACACAAAAGATTCCACTGCACCCAAAGACATCCCATGTATGTCAACACAACCCCCCAGATTTAACACAAGCCACCTGGTGTCCTTGTTGTAAACACCTTCCTTGAGAATGGCAACCGCGTTGTCGCTGTCCGTACAGATCTGTAGTCAGGAGGTGGCCAGCGCATAGACCAGAGAAGAGCGCCAACGGGCATTGCTCTTACTGTGGAAGAGGCTCCCACGGAATCGGGAGATGCTATTATCTGTGTTCTGTGTCCAGAGCTCCGTTTCTCAAGCTGGATTGTATCTTGTTTGAACTCAGTATTGCTGCTTGTCGACGGTCGATTGTAGGTATCCATCACAGGGCTTATAGGCCTGGACCTACAATCGACCGTCGACAGGCAGCAACGCTGAATTCCAACAAGATAAAATTCAGCCCGGGGAACGAAGCTCAGGACAAAGAAAATATTATTTCCTAACTCCGTGTGACCCCCTTCCGCAGTAAGAGCGGCGTCCGGGCGAGCGACGTCCAGGCTCATAACCTGTTGAGAGGCTACGAGACTACTGGCCTGGGGAAAATCAGGAAGAAGAAACTGATCATAAAACTATGGAAAGCAGGCTGTATATATAGCCTGTATTAACAAAGAAAATGGCAAACTAGGTAGTACTAGGTAGCAAAAAGGTTCAGTCTGCACACAGAGACATCCGAATTATGCATGTCAACGGGTATCAAGTTTGCTATATTGGAGGGCATCACTCTGTCATTACGATATATGATAGCTCAAAGCTTCCCCAGTGGTTCTTCCAGAAAGGCTTTCTTGATGACATAAAGCTTCGAGTTTCTAGAATAGGAGGTAGGTACGACTTATTGGCGGATATGTTGCACAAATAGTTCCTTGCCAATTTATATCTCAGCTTTTACCTACGACGGGCGGACAACGTCGATAAACAATCAACAATTCTCCTATAACGCTGTAACGCAGTCCCTTTGCGTCATTTCAATCTAATACCTAATTGATCGAAGGCCGGGCAGTGAATAATCAGATAAAAGCACTTTTTAAAGAGGCATGGTTAGGGCTATCAAAAGGTACTTCCCAATATGAATTGTATTGTGGGGTCACGGATCTTGAGTCCGGACGCCCGGACTGAGATTTACACAGTGGAGTCTGACTCTGAGCGCCCTCACTAAAAGCGGCGGCAGCCAAGATAGGAAACTCCCTGGTCCCAGGCTCCCCCAGCCGGCAGAGATACCTGACAGGTTGAGGTGGTCCCCCAGAGAGCCAATTAAGCCAGCATGAAAGATAGGGCTCCCCGGCTCAGAGTCTTCAAAACACTTATCGGGGGCTTGGCACTTCGTCTGTCGTCATTTATCTACTTCTTACAGGAGGATCCACATGCTGGATTGGGGCATTGGCTTTGGCGTCTACGGAGTATTGAGTTCAAACATAATTTCCTTTACCGGTAGATCGATCGAAGCTTTCCTGGTAGACTTTGCGAATTGTTCTGGAACGATGGCCTAAAGTTAAGGGCAGGGCTGACCGTCAGATGAGGTCATTTCGAAGCCACAGTGCACACAGCCATCATACGTCGATCTCTCAGAATTGAAGCATTGAGTGACTTGTGCACGACTCCCTAGGTCCGAGAGTCACGAGGCTGCCAGGCCCTAATCGTGCAGTAAACGAGTCAGGCTTGATGCAGACAGGTCGGCATTCTACAGGCTTGAACAGGAAAGTTTGGGTCTATTTGGCCATTGAAACTATGTTGGTCCGGACCGAAGCCCAATGGAACGAGCATCGTGGGCTCGGAGTTTAGTTATTCAATGTTAGGTGTGAATGCATTCTTCCTCGGTTATGAAGCATAAGATGATCGCCGATACCATGCCGTACATGCCGAAACCCAACTTGTGGTGTGATACCTCGTCGCGTGCATTTATCGCGATCTTCAATGTCGAAGCAACACACGGTGTTTTCGAGCAAATGCGATATGTAGCTCCGGATCCCGTGTGGAGAGAGTCAATCTACTCGTGCCTGGCCCCCAAGGGCGATCGGGAGTCCTGACAAGTGCCCTAGTCCCCGAATTATTGTGGACATTGGTTCGGGGATTGCCCTAAATTGCCACGGCGCTAAAGAATTATCCATCGTAGACAACATCATAAGAAATCCTCGCAAATGAAAACTTTTCTGGCTCTGTTCTCCGTGACACTGTGACAAGCTCCGCCATTTTTTAGGGCTTTGCCATTTCAATAAACGCCTGCCTACGCAAGCCTCCATATTCTGGTCATGGGTATGCGCCTAGAGCTAACTGTATATGATGTTACCAGCACGGTGAATTATTTTAGAGTTAGAACAAACAGCCGAGAGCCGAGTCCTATTGAGCCACACTAGGCTGGGTTTATTTGGGGCTAAATCTGTAGTATTGTCCAGGATGTGTGAGGCTCCCGAATATCAACATTGAAACCTCGGTACTTGTCGACCGTTTTAAGAGAGAAAAACTTACAATTTTGAAGTACAGAGTTCCCCACTACGATAGTGTTGTCAGATTGAATTCTAAATGCACGCACCAATTCCTCCTTTTTATTCTCTTCCAGCGGCCATTTGTGGGGGCCAAGACTCATAAGGGGGAGGACAAGCATCAGACCGGGGGATGGCGGGAACCTCGTTCGAGTATCGAAACTGATTCTTATTTTGCGTTTTCACGTTTTGGCGGGTTTGTTTTTCTTTCTTCTTCTCTTTCTAGTTTTAGCAAGTGAATCTCAAATCTTTTCCAAGTTTGGTCAGCCACTTGAACTTATGGTGACCTCGGGAGCGTCATGGCCCCCAATCCGCCCCCATTTACTCCCGTACTATAATGGGGCTAGAATCAAATGCCCAGGCCAGGAGATCCGTTTCCCCCTTAGGGAATCATTACTGTCCAGTCTGTGGCCCCGTCGCAATCAATGTCTAGTCAATTAGTCCCGCATATCCTTCTCTTTACCCGTCACTTTGTGGGGGTCAAAAGTCCCGACTCTGGCTCGTGATAGTTGTCATCGGCCCACTCATTTTTCGAAGATCTTGGATATTTATTTTCTTGTTTTTCCTTTCCTCTTTAAGCTTTTGAATAGTCATATACCTGGCCAATGATAGCTTCTTTTCGATGCTATTTAGACGGTGAACAGACGGGTAATGGGGCAGCAGTACATTACAGCAGCAGACCCCATATTGATCAATGCAAGCCAGTGGCTTACGCAGAATCTAGAAGTTGGTGTTGGTTTTGAACTTGCTGACCAGCAAGGCTACCCAACCAGGATCTCGAATTATAAAATGATTGCGGGGGCCACTAAGGAAACGCCCATCGCTGGATAGTTATGAGCTCTTTAAATACTTCATTGCGCCCGATGCCCCAATTGGAATCCTCAGGAAAAAAAAGCTTTTGACTTGCCATATAGCCGGAGACTCGGGACATCAAACTGTATGCTGACTTCCTATTACGAGTGCCACACTTCCCTCGATTCTTAATCCTGGCCCCTCATAACCCCCCTTACCACAGTGCTTTCCGCCTTACAGGTTATTAGCCTGTATGGTTCCTGATGTTCCCTGGATGGTCTGGCTCACAGGGACCGTTTTCTCCTAGGGATCAATCAAATTTGCCGGTTTCAGACGCGCAATCGAACGTTGGGCTCCTGTCACAACTAGAGCCGGTGGACACGCCAGAGTTTGCACAAAACATCATTCCTGGAACAGGCTCTCACTGGCCTATTCAGACCCCAATCTCTGCTGTGCGAGGCGGTTCGCAGTCAAGACAGGAGTCGAGACTAGCATACCCTGCACATCATTCAACGACAGCACTGGATACCACCCCAAATCAGCCTCACGCTCCTCTAAGCTCGAACTTTCCACTTACAGGTTCGACCGCCCAGTCATCAATTGAGGATATAGCGCCCATCAGACAACCGACAGTACCCGAAGATTCCCGGTTAGTCAAGCTCAGCCGTTACTCTCCAGATGAACGACCGGAGTTCTGTGCTGACTATGGCATCCCCTCAACAGCGGTCTTGGCATCTCACCATACCCCATGTCAGCAGTATCAGACAGCTATTTCGCTGGCCCAATGCAGCAAAGTTCTCACCGTACGAAGTCCGCTCAATCGTGGTAGGAAAACTGTTTACTAACCCTTTCAGAATACGCCTGGGCAAACCGGCCTTATCAGCCTATGCAATCGCCACCAGCACACATCAGCCCGCCGTTCCCATCACAACCGTCATACCCTTCAACTACCTATCCAATGGGCTATCCCAGTCAGTCGGGCGTAATACATGGATACCAACACCAAGAACCCCAATTACCAGGGTCATATCTCTCAGCACCTGGCAATGTCCCCCGTCACAGTCAACCTCGAAGGTATGCCGATCACCTGGCTCCTTAAGAGGAAGAACAAAGGCTGACAGATCTGATTCAGTCCACCCATCCCCCGTTCATTTCACTCTCAATCCGCCTCAGAAACCCCTCCTCTGCCCGAGCAGCCTCTCATGACCTCGTATGTCGAATGGACCATCCAGGGTGTAAAAGATCCTATAACCTGATTGCTAACATTGGAGATAGCCCTCCTCCATATATGATGAACCAGCCTGCATACTACTATCCTGATACGTCAACTATCCAGTGAGTTAAGTTGTTGAAGTCGAAGCATGTAGCATACTGACCTATCGAACACTAGACCTCACCCTACCGCCATAAGCCCTCAACCACCATCAATGGTTGCCCCCGAGCCAACATACTCTTCACCGGAATCCGCTGCCCCCACAGACTCTGATCAACCAGTCCGCGTACTGAGTTCACGCCCGCGACCACAATGCTGGGATCATGGATGCAATGGTCGCGAGTTCTCGACATTCAGCAATCTTCTCCGACACCAGCGTGAAAAGTCAGGAGTGGTGGCCAAGGCCGAATGCCCAGTGTGCGGTGCAGTATTCACACGCACGACAGCACGCAATATCCATGTTGCGCAAGGCAAATGTAAAAGCCCAGGCAGGGAATCGTCTGCTGAGTAGACGCGATATGGATACGCACAATCTTGAGCCTTCCCATGGGGGTTAAAGCTAAGGCGTTTGGTTTATTGGAACTGGTTTGATGGTTTCCTTTCGCATTTGTATTTTGGGCGCAAGAGGTTTTCAGAGGGAAAAAGGATTCGTCATGTCTATAGAAGCTAGATCGAGATTCTAGTTGGACGTTTTCTTGGCGCATAATAGAGCGGGTAGATGGAGTCACGTGAGCTTCGGTCCGGTATTCCCCCCATTTTGTGAGTCAGTTGTCGACTGCACTCCAACACAGATCATTCAATTCTATTGCAAGAATGCCTTACGTTTCTCGCATCTTTCTAGAATTGCTTTATCTATCTCCATATCTGTGTTTATTACCAATATCTTTGTTGCCAGTCTGAATCGTAACGGAGCCAAAGAATGGCATCCATCTTCACCTATGATCCAGACCCACCCCGGGTATCGTCCCCGTGGTCGACTTCTGGATCCTCGACTCCCCAAATCAATCCATCAGGCCGCGGCTTGGCTGTCCGCACACGCTCTAGCACAAGTCTACTACGTGCTGATCCTGACTTGCTATCCAACTATGGAATATCAAAATTGGAGCCAGAGCCCCAAGAAGGTCCCACGGAGTACAAATTACACCTTCTTCTTCGGCCAAGGCGTCCCTATATCTCCATGTCAACCGGGAATGTAGTAGCGGGCTCTTACCATCACCATGCATTGGCAACAATGTCTGGGCCTGCAGACCCAGGCTCAGAAGCAATGCCAAGACCCATGCAAGCCAAGTCGAGCCAGAGCCGCCATCAACGTCTACAGGGGTTGACCACTCAGCTACTGTGGCGGTTGCAGCAATCCTCGCCCTTTCATTCCTCCACCACTTCCAACCTTGTGGTACCTGTTCTCCCGGAGGCAGCGTTGGAGCTGGGGGTGCCTGCTAAACCCGCCCGCCTGCTTCCTGGTCTTGAGGAGAGTCAGGGCGCTCTGTACGAGATTGGTGTTGCCGATGACGGTGTTTTCGTAGGTCTCACGCAGGATGAGTTGGATGAGAGTCTAGCAACTTTACAGGCCATGGCAGCCAGTCTAGGATGTAAAGTGGGGATCCTTCGTCGAGTCGTGGTTGGGAAGTGCGAATGGACTGAAGACTTATCTTCCGTATCAGCCGACACAACCGAGAGCAGAACGGAAAGTCTTTGGGTCGCTGAGGCCCTAGTGAGCCCTGACCTGGACTTCTACAGTATCTCTCGCATCAAGTCCAAGAATGATCCAGAAACCACTACAGTACTCGAATCTGGCAAACTGTCGGTTTCGGATGAGGACTACTCTCAAACAGAGCAAATTCGCATTTCTCTTGCGGGCCCCAGCACCGCAGGAAAGTCTTCCCTTCTGGGTACATTGACTTCATCTACACTTGACAATGGGAGAGGGAAAGGCAGGCTGAGTCTGCTCAAACATCGACACGAAATATCATCCGGTGTCACCAGCTCGGTTGCCCAGGAATTGATCGGGTACACGCATGAGCTACCTGCCACAGTCGTCAACTATGCCTCCGGTAATGTTGCCTCCTGGGATGATATCCATGCCGCCTCCAAAGGCGGTCGTTTGGCTTTTGTCTCGGATCTACCTGGATCAGTCCGATACTTGAAATCTACCCTTCGAGGTCTTGTCAGCTGGGCTCCTCACTATGTGATGCTTTGCATTCCATCTAATTGCGGCATCGATACGCCTGATGGTGAGCAGGCAAAATCTGAACAATCAGAAATCGATGCATGTCTGTCATACCTGGAGCTCTGTCTAAAATTGAAGATCCCTGTGTTAATCATCATTACCAAATTGGATCTTGCGTCTCGAAGCGGACTACGGGATAACCTGGCAAGGGTTCTATCTGCCCTCAAAGCAGCTGGGCGACAGCCCGCGATGCTCCCTGCATCGCCTGCGGGCGACAAGCCACTTGACCTTCAGCAAATCAGCGCGGTTGATAGCACTTCAGTACAGAAAGTGGTCGCTGCGGCTGAAGGGAAATGGGCACACACCGTTCCCATCATGCTCACCAGTGCTGTGGATGGTTCTGGCATTGGGAAACTTCATGCCTTCCTTCGTTATCTTCCCATTCCTGCACGACCCTCTCAAAGAACTCTACACATCCCCAAGGAATTACCAGCACCTGTCCAGATCTCAGCCAACATCTTCGATGTCGATGAAGTGTTCGCCATCCCACCCTCCAAAGTCTATTCAATGGATTCGGAGAAAGGAGCCCAAGAAAACCGCGGCATGGTCCTCTGCGGTCTGGTTCGTCGCGGCAATATCTCCATTGGCGACGAGCTGGTCATAGGTCCCATCCTGGTGGATACCCCAAGTGACCAAGTAAACGAGGTCCAACTAACCGGGGGCTCACCGCTCCGCAGTGGACCCGGTTCCTCGGGCGATCTCCCGGCATCCTTCCCGCAAAGCTTTCTGTCCGGCAAGGACTCAAAGGCAAGATGGCAGCGTATCCGCGTTGTCAGCGTAAGGGACCTCCGGCTATCCGTCCGCCGCCTTGTGGAAGACCAAGTGGGAACAATCGGAATCGAGCCCGTCGGTGTCTCCGAAGATGGCCGTCAACCTCGTCTGGGCCGAATCCGTAAAGGCATGGTCCTCGCAAACTTCCACACCCCACTCCCGAGGTTAGATAACAACACCTCATTATTAACGCTACCATTCCACACCGGTTTCATCGCCACCTTCCGCTCTACCGAGTTTTCAGCGCCAAATTCCCCTCCACTCTTACTTGGCGGCAACGCCATAGCCTACATCGCCAACATCCGAACTACAGTCCGTGTCGTCTGCATGGCGCTAACGGGTAGCGAAGACGCAGAGCAGTCTCCCCAACCGCCTTCTCCCACGGAGCCTGAACTCTTCAGCTTCGATGCCGATGTTCAGAATCCTTCTAAGGAAAAAGCAGACGGCACTAGTACAATTCATACCGCCTTGGACGCAGCATCTGGTCTTGGTCGCCGCCGCCAATCGGCAACGGATATCAGCAAAGTCATGTCCGGCCCATCTACATCCGTCGTTGGAGCTGCTTCTTCCGCGGAAGCTCTCAAGGAGAATGTCAAGATTACCTTTGCGCTCGTCTCGTCTGTTGAATGGGTCGAGATTGGGTCTCAGATCCTCATTATGCCGAGCGTCTCCATAGCTTATGCGTCGTCTCAGTCGGGGACTACAGTGGCGTCTGCGCCTGGTGCTAGCTCTGCCGGGACGGTGTCTATGTCTGGGTTAGAGGGGTTTGTGGGGACGATTTGTGAGGTTGTCCCCGGGAGGGTTCCAGGCGCTGAGAGCTAGACTGGCGTCTCGCGGATATCCCATGGCGCTTTATGGAATGCTTCCAATTGGTTTTTTTGCTTATAAGCGTGTTTTTGTTTATTCACTCAGCATGACCACCCTAGATTCATGCTTTGAATGATCGAGGCGGTTCCTAGATTAGATAGTTCACGTGAATATCATTCATTGTCTTTTGAAAGTGTCATCGCAGCAATTGCTGGGTTATCATTAGCCATACTAGTCTCAGCATGAGGGCACAGGCATGGTCAAAAACAAGAAATAAGGCAACTCGATGGCGACAATGCGAACCCGACTAACTTGATGGCAAGTCGATCGATCCGGATCCCCGACAAGGCACACCACACTCTAATCAAACTCGCATATGACCCGTGCAGTATCCCATCAAGTCCGCTTTCAGTTTCACTCTCCATCCTCAGCTTTAATGCCATACCAGACCACCATCCCATTGAGTGCCTGTGTTCCGGGCTGTTTTAGCACCTTTATCCACCTTTGCGTTGGTCAACGCTAGGGCGGCGGAAGGTGCTGGTAGAGCCAATTGTGGCACTAGCATTGCGGAACTCAATCTTCTTGCGCTCCATCTCAAGCTATGTTTGAAGACATTAGTAAACGGCTTAATGAGTAGGAGCAGCTCGACAACTTACCACTTTGCGCACTCGAGTAAGAGCAGCTGTATCACCCTCCACGATAGAACGGCAATCATCAACGCGATAGGGCGGAGCAATTGTCACAGCATCGGCGACGATAATGTTATGCCCATTCCACCGCGCGGGCATGGTACGGCTGAAAGCATCAAAGAGGTCCTGAGCCAGAGGCGTAACGCCCTTCCCACGACGCGCTTCGCGATCAAGCGCTTCACCAATAGCCTTAGCTTCACGGGCCTTGAGCGCACGCGTATCGAGAGCTTGGATTGTAGGCTGGGCATCGGTGAACGTGGACGAGGTGGTGTTGCTGGGCGGTGCAAGCGCGAGGATCTGAAGGTTCTGGATGCGCGAGACTGGAATGACATAATAATCGCCATTCTGCGCTTGCTTGGGGTCTGCGGAGGTGGGCGCGGGGGCCGTGTTGATGGCAACGAGATTGGTAATCGGGCATGCTGTGAAGAGGGTGCCTTCGAGGACGGAGCCAGTGGGTTGCGCAGTGGTGATACGCACGCTATAAGAGGGAGACGGGAATGTCAGCGATGAAATGTACATATACAAACGCCGTGGATAGATAAGACTCACCGGGCACCGATCGCCCCGCTCAAAGCCGCCTCCACGGGGACCAAGGGTGTCGCCATTCCGGGGCCGGCGATGTGAGGTTTGTTCTGCGCAGAGCCCTTGACTGAACCCTGCCGCTTAGTCTCCGCCATTGACCTATAGCTCTAGCAGCCACGGTTGAGCTGCTTGGCGTCCACGATAGGCTCAGCTAACTCTCCTAACAAAAGAGAGTCCGGTTGGCTGATTGTAGCTAGCGCAGTAGTCGAGTCCTATGCGAATAGGATCAGGACATTGGAAGCAGACCAAATCTCGAGCTCAGGTTAGCTTGTTCTGCGGAACTGTCGTTGGCACCCCGGATCCTTGGTCGAGGTGGGCTGGACAGTGCTATCAATCGGCTGGTCTGTTGAGAAACGAGCGTGGCTGAAACGCAGCTGGCAAACAGACACCCTAAAAAAAGAAACCAGGAAACAATCACCACACCCCAGACCAGGAATTTATGGGAAAATGATGCACTGGAGGGTTCGCGCGATTAGATGGCAGGGTCGACGTTGCACGAAAGCCTATTTGGGTTTAGCGTCTACACCCGATTACTTCATCGGCCTTTCAGGCACGAATCTATAAAATCAGGCATATTTCTGGTTGAGAATCGTGATGTTGGACTGAAAAAGGTGAGAATGCATTATCATTGTGGATAATCCCTGTGCTCACTGTGTGACTGACTGACTGTACTTTGATGTCCTCAACGACAAACGACTTCATAGTTATTGCCCCTCCAGTCGCCGAGAGACTACCTACAGACTACAGTTACTCTTCAACTGCTTCCAGGTAGGTTCTCTCATGGGTTTGGAAAGTACTGACAAGGGATATATTATCATATTCATAACTGGGATATTTCCAACATGTTGATTTTTACAAAAGCTAATAGCTTCGTCTTCTCCATTCCCCCTTCTGCCTTTTTCATGTAATCTTTCACCTCTGGATATTTTAGTACTCGAAGAGCATGGGCGGGGCAAATAGCCTGATACCCCTCCAGGCTATGGGTATTTTGAGCAGTGTAGACCAAAAGATACGGTTCCGTTCAGGGCTGGAGAGAGAGCGTAGCTCATGAGACAGGCCACTGAGTTGAGCTGCGATCCGGCCAGAAGCGGACAGAGTGCCCATGAGAAGGCTGTTCATCCGGTTAGTGGAAGACAAGAATGCCAGGAGCATGGTTCGTATGCCATGGGCGAGAGACTTTTGGTGGTTGGACACGGCAGTATCGTGTCATGAGAATGGCACACAGGGCCAATGATCAAAGACATATTACATATTGCGGAAAGTGTTATTAGAAGCACTGCGGCGCTCCTTTGCCCGGAAAGATGTGTCGGTCTTATCGTAGCGCACTTCGGGGGCGGCACGCTTCGGCTTCCCGGCCGGGTTGAAGCTGATCTCTTGCTCACCAACAACACCGAGTCGTCGTGCAGGCTTCTGTTTTGACTTCATATTCTGGGCACGAGAGCCAAAGGAACGGTCTCGAGTGGAGTGGGCTTGATTCGAAGAAGATACTTGCATACGAGGCGGAGGCCGCTTCGTCCGCTTGTAGTCTGCAGAAGAAATCTTTTTGGAAGGCGCGGGCTTCGCGGGTCTCTCCGCCTCGCTGTCGGAGTCGGAATCGGAGCTTGAACCGGGCACATCGTCGATGGCCTCCTGTTCCACTGCCGTCAAGCCACGCTCCTTCCTTGAAGAAGCTGTTGTTGAGGTGGCAGCCTGGGGTGCAGTGCTGGGATTGAGCAGTTGGAACTCGCGTGAGGTTTCGTCGACAGCGAAGTCTGGGTCCTCGAATAGCTGGGCGAATCGGCCACCGCCCAATGCATTCACGTCCTTGCCTTCGGAGGCATCTGCATCGACCATTTCTTCGTCGCCCTTGCCTTCCAATAAGCGCTTGGCGTGCTTGCGCTCCCTCTTCTCCTCTGCATTCAGCATCCTCTCGGCCAGCCTCCTGTTCACCTTGACGGCGACCTTCTTCTTGCCGCGAATGCGGCTTTCCCGCTCCTTGTTCATAATCTCGGCCACCTTCTTCGCTCTTGGGTTTTCCGTGTCGGGGAACAATGAGGTTATGGAATTGTAAACGAAATTTGCCACCTGATAGCCCTTAGAGTAGGGTACCATCTTTCCTTGTTGTAGGTAGGCTGCCATATCAATAGGGTTTCCGCCTGCCTTGATGAGCTTTTCGTCCCATTTCGCGACCTCCTCGCTAGGCACAAGCGTGAATCCGGGCCAAACGGAATTAGACTGAGCAGACTTGAATGCGTTGGGGTCATTAGGATCCTCGGCCATCTCTTCTACCAGGTTGTCCAAGAATGAGCACCATTTGGGTGCGGGTCCGAGCTGAGGGATGAAGAAAGAGTGTTGCTCTCTGCCTTCATTGGCTGTGAGAAGCATGCCACTGTCTTTGCACCAGGCAACAGAATTGATATCCACAGCCGGCTCAACAGAAGTCCAAGGCTTTTGATCTTCGATATCCCAGAGCTTGATGATACGCTTGTCGGCAGAGAGCAACTTAGGTTCAATTGTCGCAGCCTGTGTCGCGGTTGACGGTTCAAGCCACTTGAGCGTGTGGATAGGGAATCCGTATCCCTGATCCTTTATTTGGTAGGGGGTAGGCGAACGCAAGTCGTAGAGGTGAATGAGACCATTAGACGAGCCGGTTCCAAGACTCATGCCAGACCGGTTGAATTCGAGAGCGGTGATCTCTGTGCGCTCATCGTGGAACCCGGTTTGTGCGGGTGGAGGAAGCACACCTGCACGTCCCTTGGCTCTGGGATCCCAAAGCTCAACGGTGCCCAAAGAAGTTCCGAAAGCCAACAAGTTGTGACTTTCCTCCGCAATAGCACCTGTGTTGACCGAGCCCGTGTTGATTCCACCTTGGAGAGTACCCCCGCCAGTGGATGTGAAATCGTCACCTCCGACATCTACCTCGTAACTTCGCATGTACCGGCCTACTTCCAAGTTTAATCGGTATACCTCTCCCATGCCATCTTGGTTCACACCGACTGCGGGGATAAGCACATCAGTCGACTGGCGGTCGTAGACAAGATCACGCCCATATCGGGGGAGTCTGGTGGTGTAGTGGCATCCTGAGGGAGTGTGGAACTCGAGAGACCGATCAGATTGGAGGTGGAGCGATTTGGTGTAATCAGAAGACAGTAGGATGAACGTGGTGTTGAGCGAACTGGTGTGTCGCGCCCATGAGAGGGACAATTGTGGAAGGTAGTGAGTGTGAATTTGAGGTTTGTAAGTGCCTGCGAGCAACTGTGTTAAGACTTTGCGCTTTCCAGGCAATATGAGAAGCGATGATACGGACCTGTGCTCATAACCCATTCTCCATCCTCACTGACTCGAATGCAGTGACTTGCTTCTTCGAACTCGAAGTCTTGTAGTAATTCAACACGGTTCGCATATTCAGGATCATTTTTCAAACTGCGCTTTCGCCGCCTGGCAAGCCATTCGGGTAGAGGCCGAGCACTGTCTGAACCCGAGATGGTATACACTGGGACCTCGGAGGGGTTGGACAGCTTCATAGTGGCTGATTATGGCTTTGACTTGGCCAAACCAGTGATTTCAAGCTGATTCGCAGGTTATTTGCGACGTATCGATGTCGGCGAAAACAAGCCTGCGAAAAAAAAAAAAAAACTACGATAAAAAAGCCGCTCTGAGAGCGATCACGTGATGGCCGGCCGATAGCGGGTGATTGGCCCGAGTCTCCCTGGCGAACGTCCCCCGGAATTACGCATCTCAACTTTCTGTTGACTACATTCAATGAGACTTGTGGTCGAATCATTAATCTTTCATTTCGGTACATCGAGTTCATTTTGGGCGACGGTGCTATCCCAGAAAATACATATCTCGTCACTCGCTTCGTTCGCAGAATGGCAACAACCAGCTAATGTATCCGCAGCTTGTTGATATCTCTGCTATGCGCTTTCGCACCTTGCCACGGACCATGCAATCTGTGATTGGAAATGACTTTAAGAGTCAGTTACAAAATTTTTTGTATCTTTAAAGGCTTCCGGGGCTGTCCGCGACCATTCAAATATGGACTTCCCTGGGGGCGCAAATACCAACATACATCTCGTTGTGAGTGTAGTGACTGATAACGTGTATGCACATCCATACTGACGCGTCATATTAGGATGGGTTCTCCAACATCTACTGGAGAATATATACAGAAGATGCTGGGATCACGAACAATCCACAAGACGGCCCCGCTAACGGCTACACCATTCTCAAGCATCTGAGTCGCCTCAAAGACTTAGAGGCTCGGTTGAGAAACCTCAACTGTCTAGCATCATGCCCAAGACGCTTGGGACTTTGGATTTTCTCTCCTACTCCTGACTTCAAGAGCCTAGAGCCTTTGTATGTAAAGGGGAGCGACACAGAATCCAACAACAAAATTGTCGTTGGTACAACGATTTTGAAAGGTATGCACATGGCCAGCTCGTATGATCGGTTTGGATCATTTTGCTCATTCAAGTGTAATAGTCTCTGCATCGGGAAGTGTATCTTCGCTAGACTTGGTAAAAGGCCTGTCGTCCGACAACCAGAATCAGCAAGGTAGCCAACCTGCTGGCCAGCCCCGCTCTAATCAGGGACAGTCTTCATCTCGACGCCAAGATGGTTATAACAGTTCAGCGGCGATTTATGCGTCCTTTATATCGGCAGTTACCGGGGCAATTAGCCTTCAATTGATTCGACGTCATGCCGCCCTACCTCTAGGGTCGCGCACTCTCTTTACTGCCGTAGCAACGCCGGGATACGAAAGCCCCTTCATCAACAATGACAGCATCCTGTCCGACTCTTGTTTAACCACCCTCAATGTCCAACTCACAGTTGGTGGGACGATCACTGTTTCTACCCAGACTATATCCCAAACGGGCATTATGCGACTGTGCAGTTCCCGGGATAACGTTGCCCATTTACTCGACATGCAGCCTGGAATCGATATTTGGCTATGCCCGAACGGCACAATTGCTAGGCTTGTCACGGCCAACACTGAGTCGCCAAGTGTATCCTCCCCAGGACACCCCGCCGCTGTCAACATGGCTTCAAAACGAACACAGTGGAAAATGGACGTTGCGCAATGGTTGAGAAATTTTGGTTTACATGTGGACTCAATTGAGGATGAATCCTGGGTTGAAGTGGAGGTTTGGGAGCCATTCTTCGCAAGGCTTGCCGGAGAAGCATGGAGACACAGTGACGATAATCAATCCACATTGCCGCTGAAACGCATGCTATGGCCAGCGCGATATTGCTTCAGAAGGGCTACCTCGTCCCATTTCTCTGCCGGGCCCCGGATCTCCCTTCTTGACGAACCCCTAGATTTTGCAGAGCAATGGTTTACGATGGCAAGCTCTCTCAAGCTAGACCATACTGCTCATACTACTCAGAATACCTCTGCCACTCAAGACATTCAACCAAAGGGCCAAGACATGCCGTCACCGTCCAAGACCGACAACCTGGAAAACATAGAGAGTTTATCCCGAATAGCACAATATCCCGATTTGCAGAATACGAATCTTGTTTACCCCACTCCTCCAGATGGGGCTGTGGCAGTTGGATTGAACAATCCAAACCCATCCGAAGCCTTTGTCGAGGAATCCGACCCTGGATTACCCCATGTAACCCAAAGGAGTCCAACGGAGGAAGCTCCAGGGTCCGATACCTCACCTTTCCAGGATAACGGACTCGGGGTTGGCACAGGCAGATATGATGCAAGCGATGAAGAAGATCTTTTTGGGGAAATGAATGACCGAGATTTCGGATCGAAGGGCATAACTGATGCAGACTTCAGCTTTTTTGATGACCCCGGTTTTGAAGGAATGAGCTGTGATCCCCCTCAAGAAGATGCAGGTGAAACTGTCGAGCCTTCTCCTCCACCTGATATAGAAGCCGATGCCATGGCGGTTCACGGAGATCAGTCCCCTGTACAACAACCGGTAATTACAACCCAACCTGAACCACGTGAGATGACCGCCTCTCCGATAAACGTTGAGGTTTCCCAAGATGTCGATGAACCCAAGATCCCGAAGGAAACAATTCACTCACCTACAGATCGGGAAAGTCAGACGATCAGCCCACCTCTGAGCCCAGTAGAAGTGAAAAGGATATTGTTTCCGAAGCCCGAGCCAGAATCTTCTGAAATCCCTACAAATAACCGGGAGCAGGGTCATTACAACCCAGTGACCTTTCGAAAGAAACTCGGTGATTGGGACCAGAAGTATGGAGCAGCCGGCAAGTTCTGGTTCTCTAGTGGTGGCGCTTTGGACACTCGACAGGCATCAGCCATACCCATAATCGGCATTCCGCCTCGCGAGAGGGTCGGCAAAAATGTATCTGGCTCCGCGCAAGAACGCAGCAAGGTTGATCAGTCTATCATACAATCGGAAAGTATCCAACGATCGGCCTCCGTGACCAGTGATAGCAGTGATGACAGTATTGACATCACCTCAGAGCACGTTTCCACCCCAGCAACCGTTCCCTCAATGCCCACGTTGAAACGTAAACGTGCGCCTTCAGACTCTGAGATATTGTCCGTTGCTTCCCCGGAGAAAACTGCGCCTGGTACGGAAGCGAGTCCTACAGAAACAGCGAGAAACTCTACTTTTCTCGGCAACTTCCTAGCCAATTTTTCAGATTGGACTTTGACTGGTTACTTCTCTGCATCTCCGCCTCAACAGCTTCCAGTACTTGCTCGCCGTGAAGGTCAACTGGAAATTGCCCAGCTTCTGGTTGATCAAATCACGCAATCGTCCCTCAAGCACCCACTTGATGGGACAATCGGTCTGTTTGATATTGAGAGCCAATTTCTGTCCCTTCAGACTCTCGATGATACAAGCCTTCTAGGCGAAGTTTCAAGAATGGACCTCAAAAGATACACATCATTGCAAGACGAGTTTATATCGAGTCAATTGCAACCTCGACCACCGCAACATCCGCCACCACCTAGAATTCCCCCAAAAAGTTTTATCACGAAGCTATCCACGCCGCACGTACGTGTGCGACGAGGCGCAGAATACCTCGATGCTCTTCCTCCGGCTGTATCATTTTGGGAAACATTTAGCCTTCAACCTGCTCATGGACCAAAGAATATTTCCGCTTATTGCTTGCACCCACCGGCTGCGTCCAAGGCAGCAGATGTCTTCCTAGATCGGTTCGGTCTTCTATACCAAAGCTGCAATCTTGGAACTCATACTCGAGGAGAGAATGCCGTGGCATTTGAAGCTGGGCTCAAGCCATGGAAGTCTGAAACATCCAGTTACGAATCTGTGATGCGGGTACTGAAGAAAACGTGTGAGGAGCTTGGTATGTGTCTTCTCTCGCGATGAGTATGCACTGCGCTAACATTTCTCAAGGCTCGGAACTTTCTCGATCCCTGGCGACTGCCGACAATTGCGTTGTTTATATCATTAACCCTTTCACCCACGCCTCGGCTCTCGCAGACATTTGTTGTGCCTTCTGGCATCTGTTTCAACAATTGGTCGCTGATTGTGAACGACGACAGGCTCGACATGTCAACGAACTTGTTTTGCAAATAATTCCGCTAGAGTTTGTCATGTCGAGTGACTCCTTGGCTATGCCTCCCCAGACAGATTATATGAATCTGGCCCTGGAAGTCTACAGTCGATGTCGCCCTCATGATGAGGACATGGGCCCTCTGCTCTGTGCCCCGCCAATGCTCCTGGCCGACCGCGTCCCAAGAGCCATAAGTTTCCGACTTACGCCTGAAATGTCATCACCGCTCCAGGAAGGGCGAGGTCTTCATATTGCCTGCTCCAAGAGCCTTGATCAGCGCTGGGTATCGGTGGCATGGTCTGATGCGACAGGCTCCATACAAAGAACCATGTCTTACTGCCTGCGGTATCGTCAAACGAGTGCTGCCAGACCGATGTCCGAGGTAAGAACCGAAATCTGGGCTACGACAAAACACATCATGGACCGGTTCAAGGCGCGATGGAAAGTTCAGCTGGCAACCACTGACCCTATGGAACCCGATGAGGTTGAAGGTGAAACTCAACATTCTCGTCATCGAATGAAAATCACTAACGCATTTACAGCATGGGCCAGTCTAGCAGACCAACTCAATAAGTCAAGGCCCGGCTCTTTGGAGTTGACCATCCTGGCTGTCAACACTATTCCCGACTTGATCCTAGAGCCGCCAATTCCACCCGTGTCCATGGCTATGCTCAACATACTGTCCTCTTCCACCCCCGTCTCGACCCCCAATGCAAATACCAGTGTTGCATCCCCCGAACAATACGGCACTGCCGCCACGCCGAGCAGTGCCGGCCCGACCTACAGTGCCCCCACGCCAACAGAGATGCCACTCGAAACAGATTCCGAAGCTGTCATCACTGATATCTCCGACGACTCCTGGCTAGCCATCCTATCCCACCGACTCAACAGTTCTCCCCACCTCACCGAATTCCGACCCGCCCTCTCGAGCGGGTATCTCCTCCGTCGCAAAGGCGCTACTGATAATGACGGCGTGTTCGCACTCTCTGTCAATCTCATTTACTCTCCACGCCCACCTGTATCTCACGACAACGTGCTGAAGGATACCTTGAGTATGTATCGAGACTTGGGTTGTTTGGCTCGAGCCAAGGGTCTACGCAGTGTACAGAACAACACGCTACCTTGGCATATCGCCACAGCTCTTCGCGGACAAGAGCTTCTGAGTTATGTTTTTTAGTGTGATACCTTGCATGGGGCGTTTTGTTTCTCATTATTAGCACTTCATGCATGTTTAGGTTTCTTTGGGGTATTTTCCTGCCTCTTCTGGTATGATATCACCCTGGCGGCAGTGCATTTCGATTTTGCGCTGTGAAGTATGCATAGTACCATAGTATCGAGGATATTGACATTCTCTTTCCGCATTCCTATCTTTGCATATTTCTACCATAATATGGCTTCGACCTCGATGCTCGCAAAAAAATGATAGATAGGCAGAAGCAGAACTACATTAACTGGTCCAGCAAAACGTGGGCCCTGGGCGGAGACTCGTGGCCCCCGGGAGACTGACGATACCAACGTCAATATATTCTCGTAAGGTACTGTTCATGTGTTCACCAGAATAAAGCCCTCGTCAATACATTCAAGAAAAGAAGACACAGAAACAGCCCTCGAACTCCCGCGCCCATGGAAAAGAAAAAGAAAGAGAGATACATCAAAAGCAAAGTATATATACTTGTCCCAATCGCCAAAGATTATACAAAAAAGGCATGACTCGTGGTTTCAGCTCGTCATGGCAGCATCAGGTGCCAACAGAAAGGGTATCGCGTCGCAGAATTGTCATGGTCGTGGTGCGTGTATGTAGTCGTAGATAGAATATGCGTATTTTGAAGGGAAGAGGCAGCACGCCTCGAGATCAATGGAGATCAAGAGCCAAGGTCATCATCCGTCCGCACTCTCCGCATCAACTTCTTTTTTCTTCGAGAAGAACGAGATGTGGTTGTTTACCGCGTAGATCGCAAAACCAGCCAGCGCGAGGAGGATGAAGATGACGATGAGGATGATCGCGATGGTGATGTTGCGCTTAACCATGTTGGATGGAGATCAGTAGATCGTGGTAGAGGTAATGGTTTGGTATGGTGGTATGAGTAGGCTGGAGGGTAGGTTGTGCAAAGGTGGGCAGCAATTGGGTTGGTTTTGTATACAAGAAGTATACAACCAGCTCGTCGGGCTGGCTCGTTTCTCGAGGAACTATGAATCTTCTCGAAGAACGTTCAGTAGATTTGAGGAATGTGTGGAAATGAAGAAAATTAGAATCGGCTGGAATGTGAATTGGGGGTTTTAAACTAAGCTCGCTTTTCTTTCCCAGCCATGTGCTTTTCGGAGGGGCTGGGGATTAGCGTGTGGCTGATACGGCGTCTACGGCGTCACCAACTTTATCTGAGATCAGGATCATCTTGGAACCAGGAAATAAGTATTTGATATATAGTCAACAGGGTATGATGCCAGTTCAACCTACGAGCTCATGGTCCATGGACCGGGGTAGATTGGCAGTCAACACTCCCGAGTCAGGTAAATCCAGGTCACGTGATTCAAATCGCCAGCACCATTTCCAAGCCTACAGTGACTACACTCAGAGAGAAAAGCACTAGATCAGAAATAGTATTGGTCTTGGTGAAAGTGTAAGTAAGCATCTGGCGAAAGACAATCGCAGTGGCACAGGCTGCCATGTGTATTCATATCCTAAAATAAATTGCTAGTCACATCCATCAGTATACAGACTTAGCCCAGAATCTTCAATCCACCCTTGGTCTTCGCTGGCTTCTTGACGCCATCCTGCTTCACCTTTCCACTGGTGGCTGCTGCTGATCCTGCACCACCAGCGTAACCTTGACCTTGACCTCCCTTGTTACCTTTGCCCTTCTGTTTCTTTCCGTGCTTGGGGTTCGACGTTGGCCGAACTTCGGTGGTGGCTCGGCGCAGTAACACTGGGTGCGAACCAATGTACTTGCCTTGCATTTCTCGGCCCGCCTTGAAGTAATCCTCGCTTCCGCTGAAGCTGATAAAGCCGAATCCTTTGCTTTTCTGCGTCCGCTTCTCTCGGATCACACGTGCTTTCTGAACAGTGGGGTAGCGTGAAAATGCCTTCAGCAGAGACTCATCCGTCACTTCGCCTGCAAGGTTACCCACAAAAAGACGGAAATGCGCCGGGTCCCATTCTAAGAGGGTAGGGTCGGTCCATGTTTCACCACCGCCGGATCGAACGACCGTTTTTTGTGATTCAGGCTGCGGGATAGGAGTGCTGGCACCGACGCTTGGGGATCCAGCTCCTGTGTTCACGCCTGAACCTGGGTAATTACCTTGGCGCTTGTTGGCTGAGTCATCCATTGGTTTAGCATACGCGCTCTGCCACTGCGCAATCTGAGCCGCAGTCTCTGCATCCAAGGCGGGGTCATTGCCAGTTTGTGGATATGCTGACTTGGTCTGGGTAGGCGCGGTCCCGAAGGGATTCGCAATGTGCGGGACGGCAGGGCCGTATGTATTTTCGGTGTATTGCGGTTGTGCATAGTAAGAAGGCCCACTCGCGTATGTTTGAGCTTGTTGATACGGGTTCACATAGCCGGTAGTGGGGGTTCCATAGCCAGTGGCAGTAGGGGTCGCGTATCCAGGAGCAGAGACTGACGGGGGCGCAACTGGGTGAGCGGGTCGATGCGCCTGACTGGAGGCTACGGCACGCGGCTGGAATGCTGTGAACGCGCTGTAGCCTGTTGGTCGAGGCCTACCGCCAGGGCCGTTGATCGTAGGTTGCGCGACATTGGATGATGGAGGTGGGCGGGCCGGAAGTGACGAGGGAGTCTGTTTGACACCTGGAGGAGGTGGAAAAGACATGATGAATTGGATATCCGGATAAAGTAATGTAGAAACGACACGAGAGAGACGGAAATGCTAGATGCACTGAAGCAACTGCAACGTACCTTCAGGGCCTGACTGACGCCGCAGTCATTCGCCAGACGTCACGCTTGAGAGAGGAGGACCCAGAGCGAGGCACCCGAAGAATGAGTGATTGCAGAAAGCGAGATGATCACTGTAAAATGCCTGAAGGATTAGAGAGATGCGTCTCCACGAACTAAGCTTGAAGAAAGATTGATGAGCGATGGGGTGTCGTATGGTGTAGGACTTTTTCTGCCGTCTTCGAATGCGCTGACTCTGGCCGCGGCAACCACATAGTCACCTGACTTCCGGGGCCAAGCTTTTCTGACTCAGCAGACTGGATGACGTAAACAATTTTGAGGTCATGCTGACTCATGGCGGCTTTTGGATGAGACCCCCCACCCTAGTCCCCAAGTGGCTTAGCTCCAATGGATCCGGCTATGAGCACATCGGCAAGTGATGTTTCTCCGTGCTCTACCAGAACAGTTCACCGATACGTGGAAAGCGTGGGAGAGCTTTTGATTAGGACCGTTTCGATTTATCCGGGCAGTTGATCTTCTATAACTTCCATTGCTTTCTGTCTAATCATTTACGAGTCAATACTCGGATCGTATCAGTAGAGAGCATACTGGTGGTACTATGATCTAACTATCTTGTACGTTGTAGAATTGTTCAGGTTACCCCTCCATGCCCCGCTATACTGCGCATGCATGTCAAAGCTGCAAGAAACACAAACAATCAATTTAAATGAAGATAAAGGTCGATCAGAGGGAATTAAAGGCGGGTAATGATTTCCAACACCCGAATAGAGCCTGAGTGGGTTGACTTCGGACGACTCTGCTCCTGTACCAAATACTTAGCCGTACACCGGAGACAACACTAAGTCACAGGTACATGGTACCCCCGCCGGTCTGTCCCACCAGATGACGGAAGACTTGCTCCGTCAGCCGGTTGGGCTACTTCTTCTTCCCCTCCTCTTCTTCTTCATCTTCCTTTCTTCTCCAGACTTATCTCTACTTCGCTTCTATACCCCCTAATCTCACATCTAATCGTCATGGCTGACCAAGCTGTGTAAGTTCAATCTTCCACCCCTCCCCATCACCTCACCCAATTCCATCATCCCCAGTGAATGCAGCTACCTGCACCTTGCGGTGGATAGAGCGTATTGATTCAATGCTGCTCAGGCATCATGTCGCAGCTCTATTTGGATGTTTACATCCTCATAAATGCTCGCGCAAGATGATACCATGGAGGTAGCGCGTGAGCCCGATCCATTCGGAAGCTCACGGATTCTACTCTCTTTTTGTCTACCACTATAATTTCTGCCATAATATTGACTAGAGACATTGATCGCTGACTATAGTGCCCGTCTCGCCGGCATCAATGTCGGCGCTCCGGTGCACATCGCTCCTAGTGCTGATTTCGGCCTCATCGGTCTGGCCGTTATGGGCCAGAACCTGATCCTCAACGTCGCTGATCACGGCTTCACTGTTTGCGCTTACAACCGTACAACCGCCAAGGTTGACCGTTTCTTGGAGAACGAGGCCAAGGGTAGGTTTTTGCCGGGATTGAAAGTCATGGAACCCAAAGTACTCATCATATCGAATAGGCAAGTCCATCGTTGGTGCCCACTCCATCCAGGAGTTCTGCGCCAAGCTCAAGCGCCCCCGCCGTATCATGCTCCTCGTCATGGCCGGCAAGCCCGTCGATGACTTCATCGAGTCTCTCCTGCCTTTCCTTGAGAAGGGTGATATCATTATTGACGGTGGCAACTCCCACTACCCCGACAGCAACCGCCGCACTCAGTACCTCAATACCAAGGGTATCAGCTTCGTCGGCAGCGGTGTCTCCGGTGGTGAGGAGGGTGCCCGTTACGGTCCCTCCCTCATGCCCGGTGGTAACGAGGACGCCTGGCCCCACATTAAGGACATTTTCCAGAGCATTGCCGCTAAGAGCGACGGCGAGGCCTGCTGCGACTGGGTCGGTGACGAGGGTGCCGGTCACTACGTCAAGATGGTCCACAATGGTATTGAGTACGGTGACATGCAGCTGATTTGCGAGGTAAGCCTATCTTTGAAACTGCGATGTATACCTCGGGCCACCACTAACATGACCTAGGCCTACGACATGCTGAAGCGCGGTCTCGGTCTCTCCTCCAAGGAGATTGGTGATGTTTTCAACAAGTGGAACACTGGTGTTCTCGACTCCTTCCTGATTGAGATCACCCGTGATATTCTCTACTACAACGATACCGATGGCACTGCCCTTGTTGAGAAGATCCTCGACAAGGCTGGCCAGAAGGGTACCGGTAAGTGGACCGCCATCAACGCCCTGGATCTCGGCATGCCCGTTACCCTGATTGGCGAGGCCGTCTTCTCTCGTTGCCTCAGTGCCCTTAAGGATGAGCGTGGCCGCGCCAGCTCCATCCTGAGCGGCCCCACCCCCAAGTTCGATGGCGATAAGCAGGCCTTCATCGACGACCTTGAGCAGGCCCTTTACGCTTCCAAGATTATCTCCTACGCCCAGGGCTTCATGCTCATCCAGAACGCCGCCAAGGAGTACAAGTGGAAACTCAACAAGCCCTCCATTGCCCTTATGTGGCGCGGAGGCTGCATCATCCGCTCCGTCTTCCTCAAGGACATCACCAACGCTTACCGCAACAACCCCGACCTTGAGAACCTGCTCTTCGACGAGTTCTTCAAGAATGCCATTAACAACGCCCAAGCCGGCTGGCGTAACGTCGTCAGCAAGACCGCTTTGTGGGGTATCCCCGCTCCGGCCTTCGCCACCGCTCTCAGCTTCTACGACGGCTACCGCTCGCAGAACCTGCCCGCCAACCTCCTCCAGGCCCAGCGTGACTACTTCGGTGCCCACACTTTCCGCATCAAGCCCGAGAACGCCAGCGAGACCTTCCCCGAGGGCAAGGATATCCACGTCAACTGGACCGGCCGTGGTGGTGATGTGTCTGCCTCTACCTACATCGCATAAGCAAGTTGCAGTGTGGTAGAAGGGTAAAAAAAAGCTTGGATGTTCGATGTATTTAGATGTCTCCATGGAAGGCCCATGATCCGTAACGAAATCAAATGTTCTTCTTCTTTATTTCGCTTTCTACCTCATCTAGAGATGATGATCCATAATGCCTCCCGTATAAGCCAAAAAAATGAATTTTCACAGAATAACACAAAAGTACTAAGCAAACCTAGGACCACCGGGATGGAAACTAGCCTGGATATCTTGCAGATTAAGATCATCTCTTATGGTTAGATCCACAATGTTAACGCTGCATTCCTAGTCAATACTTGGGGATCAATATTATCTGCCTACATCTAACTACATGATAGGTAACTAGTCTTAACACAAGTACCTAGGGCAGAGCAATGAAGAATATCTAAAAAAATGACTTCAATTTTTAAATTATTTCTGCCAATGCCAAGCTCACCAACATCGCCAAATAGATCGAGAATCATATAGTCGTCAAAAGGGTGTCAAGTCATATCGATCATGCAAGGGGGATATGCCCACAGCAAAGCAAAATCCCAGAAATCGAAGGAAAGAATGAGGAAGGACGCCAAGAAACAGAAACACGAAAAGTCCAATCTCTCTATGCACATTGCAGTGATCAATCTGTGGAGGTCCCGGTCTATGAAAGCAGCGCGCAGGAAAAGGCACTATTTAGTGCAGAATAGAATTCAAGGAGAAAAACGACATGATAGAGGCATATGAGAGAAACGGAGAGAGGGGAATATGGAGATTAGAATAGAACAAAAGCGAAGAAAAGAGAAGCCATCATTGACAAGGTAGATACCTCGTAGATAGTGCCAACTCAAATATGGGGGACTCAATACCTCACGACCAGATGTGGAAGCCCGGCCCTGCACCGCGTCTCCCACTACCACGCCGCGAGCCGGAGGCCGAGTCGACTCCGTGATTCCCGTGTCGACCTTCTTCCAGGCTGCGCCGAGAGGCGCCAAAGTCGCTCATGGCGAAAAGTAGCGGCTCGTCATCTTCGTGTGCCTGGGCCGACAACGTTCGAGTCATGCCTGGTCGCTGACCAGAGCCGCGACGAACCTCCAGCATGGAATTTCCGCTGTTGCTTCCGCTGGCATTGCCGTCGCGCTCCTGATCGCGCTCTGCGAGTTGTGCGGCTATGTTGCCGCCCCGAGCGAGGCTGCTGGAGGCGGAGCTGAGAGAGTGCCCGCCCGAGTAACCACGGCCGCGGAAGCTGGCGAATCGCGGTTGGTAGACGTGGGGGTTTGAGGATGCTGAGTCCCCGGTCTGTCTTGACATTGGACCGCGGGAGGAGGCGACGTCTCTATATTGACCGGTTGTAGAGCCGGATGGGTCGCCTGGATCCTCGGTTGGAGATGCTTGGTTTTTCTGGGAGTGCTGCTGTTGGGCTGTGCCTAGAGTGGCATTGGAAGGTTCATCGGCCCCGACACTAAGGCTCCGCAGGCCGAATGGGAAGATCTCATCGTCGTCACTGGTCACGGCGGCAGGACGACGGACGGCTACTGAGCTCGAACGACGATAATTAGGGTCAAATATTCGTGGTGAGGTCGGAATGTCGATTGCGCCTGCAGTAGATGAGGGCCCACGTATGTGTTCGCCGGGCTGTTCTTCTAGTGGCGAATCATGCTGTATGCGAGGAATTCTTGTGCGAGGATCGGTTTCAATCTCATCAGCGACACTATTGGAGCTCAAGCGAGAGCGGATGGCTGGGGTATGAGGAGTGTGGGGCGTATGGGGGGATAAGGGCTTCCCTGGAGGCGAGGCCGTAGAGACAGAGGTTCCCCCAACCATCGGCGGAACTGCCGACAGCTGCTTACTGGAAGAGATGGAAGAGCGATGCAGGTGCATAGATTGTGACATTGACTCCGATAAAGCGGCGTTCGAGTCTCGCATGCCGCGGAAGCGAGCAAGAGCCACTGCAGTAGGATTCATTTGCCGGGAACTAGGTTGAACAGACGCAGAGGTAGACGCCATTAGATCCTTCTTTGCGTCGAGCATCTTCAAAAAATCGGAGATGTTCTCGTCATCGGCGTGGATTGACTCCGCACTAGTACCCGTAGCTTCGGCCAGCAGACCGGAGCCAGGTTGTGCGTTTGATGACGTCGCACTCGCTCGGCCGCTGGAGGCATCGTCTTCTAGCCGGGTTCCACCTGTAGAAAGGCGGCCACGTCGGTGGCTGAAGGAGCTGCTATATCTAGAAATGGGAGCTGGTTTGGGGGATGCGGAATTGGACGATGATAAGGCTTGTTCTGATGGGATACTCATCGGTCTGCGCGCTGAGGCAGCAGAAGGAGGAGGTGGCATGACACGCGAATCCGCGGATGTGCCTGTAGACATGCGTGTAGACATCGTGCGGGGAGATACCCCATATGGAGAGTCTGCTAGAGCAGGAGAGGCAGAAAGAGGAGGAGCCTTGAAAGGCTGGAACGAAATGGAGGGGCGGCGTGGGAAGGAGGCTCCTTCACCAGCAATTTGAGCAGCACGTCCTGCGGGGATAACTTTTGCAGGAGGGAGAAGCTTTTTGGGCGACTCAGTCGAAGAAGGAGAGGTTGCGCCGGAATCTCTAAGTGCACGGAGTGCTGATATAGGGCTTGCACCTGTCGATGGGCCAACCTGATGATAAGTCGAGAGACTTCCATACGCTCGTGAGTGATCTGGACTCTCAACAGCCCTTCTCTCGACGGGTACTGATCCGACCTCGGGGTTTGGCCGACTGATATCCTCGGAAGGTAATGATGGGCGGAATATCTCGTCGTCAGCGCCCATGAAGCGGGAACTCAGTAGCGCTTCCGAATCATCGACACGGAAATCGCAGTTCAGCCGATATGTGACCTTCACTGAGAAGGGACCCGCGGGGGACTCCGTTACTCCAAAGCTGTAAGTATCCACCACTTTCTCGTCTCCCTCACTCAACGGGACGGTCAAATAATCCAACGATGGGTCGTCACGGCGCGCACTCCCATCCATCACTCGATATTTGATTTGGAGATCTGGACTCTGCCACAGCTTCTTATTGCGCTTGGCAAATTTCCACGCGGGTAAAAACTTCGAGTAGGTGAATAAGGACCGGAAAAGCACAATGCTTTTCTTGTACACCGTTGGCAAGATGGAGCCCAAATCAGCCGGAGGCCTGCTCGACGGTTCTCCCAACTCGATTCTCCACCGCTCCAAAACAATCTCATCATTCTCCAGCTTGTATGGCTTTGCGCGGGCGCTCTGGAGCACCGCAAGCGACTCCCGTACATCCCATCGCTTTCCAGTTTCGTCAAGCACCACCAGACTTTGGTTATTTGTGAGACCCTTCGTGTCGAGATATGTTTCGATAACGAGGGGCGGTGGTCGATTATCCGTTGCATCGCACGTTCTCCAAGGTCGCAAGGGTTCACGAAGGACATCGGTATCATCTAATTCGACGTTGAACTAAATGCGAAACGGAAACAAATTAGCGTCAGCGGTGCTCGGATGTTTGTTTGCGTATCCCAAAGGAACACCCCCAACCATATCACGACAGGAAACATACCCAACGGTTAACTCGGGTAGACTCGGAGCCCTTGTTGTAAGAAGGAGGCAGGGCAACTCGGGAATGGAGGATAATTAAAGCGGCTTTGGTGTGGTAGTTCTATTCGATCAGACGTTGATGCGTTAGCAGACCATCCAGTCATCCGAGGGGCGATCCGGGGCGATCATACTGATATTATTTGGTTCAACCGAGTCATGGCCTCCTTTGCCTGCGCCGCATTCCTCGCCGGCTCAGCTGGCTGAGGCCCTGGTTCTATCCCCAACCCCCTCGCAGAATTAGACCCCATGTCGACAGTTGGGGAGCTTGGGGCTGACTCTTGTTCTCTGTAGTCATCTCGAGCTGTCGTTCTGGCGGAAGAGTGTGGTGCCGGAGACGGGTTCGCCTGTGGGCGGGGATGTTGATGCATGATGGGCGTCTGATTACAAGTGTGTGATTAACAGCCGTTGGCTGACTGACAATCGAGGGAAAAGGCAAGGAGGCGTTTTACCTGGTGGACCAACGCTGCAGAGTGCTGGGAGGCGCTTGGGGTTTGATTGTTATCACCGCCGGAAACTGTTATCAGGAACGCAATCGGGCAGCGATGATTCCAGGACTGATTGCCATGCTCACAGACAAAAGAAATGGTCTGTTACTCTTAAGGATTTTCCTGGCTTTGAGATGCTAAAAGATTCATGATAAGACAATGGATGCCCATGTGGTCTGGGGAAGTCCGGCCTGGGACCTTCGGAGCAAGTCTAGAGCTTCTCCGCACGGGAAAATGCAGGTTGTTTTGGAAGGAGTCACCACATTTGCCAGGTGAAATTAGGACAAAAACAGTGAGGACGAAAGGGAAGATAATAATGATAGAAGGAGGGGAAATAAGCTGGATATTGCGGAGAAAGAAGACAGGGAATATTGGTGACGGTGAGGCTACCAGCTCCCGGGAGAGAGTTAGTCACCCGCCCTGAGCCAACTGACCAACTGAGCCCACTACGCCCACTGAGCGGCGTAGCGATGATCGACAATCAATGGAATGAGGGTTATCAATGACGTTGGATCAGATAACGCGTGTAACTTATGGTAGAATGAAGTACATAGAAGAATGATTCATACAAGATGACTCGTTTTCCAAGTATCAGCTGAATTCGACATCATATTCTCTCTCCCTTGATCACGTCTTCCCCCCAAATCGTGATCAGCTGCAACCTTCTTATCGCTCAGACCCAAAGCCTCTAAGTGGGTACGGCGATCTTTGCGACCGTACAGAGTACCTACAATGAACGAAATATCATGAAGCTATGTAGCAGCCTAGCAGGGAGGAGATAAGAAAGAAAAAATATATCAGATACTGATAGTAGCTCTGTATAACTACCTAGTTAGATCTGTAAAGATATAGGCAGCAAACCCCATACCCATGTTTGCATCATCCGTGTACAGTGTGGCGTTCTAGGCTGACTTGGACACCCGAGACCTGTCGAGTCATCGGATATGCGTCACGTGACAAAACTATCTTCAATGCAGGTTGTTAATAGGAAGGGAAGATTGAAGAATCAGGAAGTTGGAGAAAGAGAATGGTGAGGAAGAGTCCTGAATTATATATGGCGATAATGGCGAATGAATAAATATTAAAGAGGTGAAACGAAGAGTCAGAAGGTGGCAGGAGACGTAGACCAGGAACATGTCCAACACGTTACACGCCCAGCTCAGACCATCAACACTCGTCATAAATAGTGGTTATATATGGCAGTCTTCCCCTTAGAGGGTCTTCTTCCACACTCCAACAGGATCCTTCTTGAGGTTGGCATCCTGGTCACCCAGGTGGATGAGTCCATCAATGAGCTTCACGAGAATAGGCTCCAGTTCTACGCCGAGTGCAAGCGGGTTGAGGATGCTGCCCAGCTCAGTGTTCTGGGTGCAGCGTTTCTTTGTTGTGCCAGCAAATGCATTCTTAACGAAGTTGATGGCATCGGGAATGGCGACGATCTCAGTCGTCGCATGGCCACCGCTCGCATAAGTGGTGAACTTGACGTTCGCATCCCAGCTACACCAGGACTTGACCATAGACTTGGCATCACCGTAAGGAATAATCTCATCCTTGGTGGCATGGTACACAAAGGTTGGTGCTTTCGGGGTCTCGTCCTGGTTGACACCCATAGTATTCAGCTTCATCACCTTCTGGATGGTCGGTTCATAGATGAAGCGATCACCCAGAGTTTGGTACTTCGTATCAAAGATGTTCTTCTCGAAGAATGCCGCCAAAGCCGTGACAGCGCACTCGGAACCACCAACATCCAGGACCTTCTGACCCTCGGGTGTAATGATACTCTCGATGACAGGCTTAAGTTCGGCGCCGTAGGCGCTGGGTTTCGTGATACCAGCAATGGCCGCGGGAACAAATCCAGAGAAGACACTGTCGTTGATGAGGTTCAATGTGCCCGTGAGGTTTGAGGGGGTTCCACCCTGTACCCAGCCCTTGATGTTCAGCTCGGAAGCGTACTTGGGCTGCAAAGAGGCTGCCCAGCCTGTGGCGATGGCCCCACCAGAATATCCAACGCCGACAACCATGGGGTTGTCCGTCAGACCCAAGGTCTTGAAGCTCTTCACGGCACGGATGTTATCCAAGACACCCATGCCGGCAAGGCGACCAGGACCAAAGGCCGCTTCGGGGCCTTCGTAGTCGGGAGAGGCAACGACATAGCCAAGTGCGAGATAGATTTGAATAATCAAGAACTCGACTGAAGCGATCAGGCTGTCCTGGGGCGCACCCAGCTGGTAGGCGAAGCTAGGCTGACATTTTGTCGCAGAGCTGTCATACGCGGTGGCGAAAGAGATGAAGCGGTCAAGCTTGGCTTTCTTGGGCTTGAATACTGTGGTCACCGTTGCTATGGCTGAGCCATCAATTGCTGTCGTGCGATAGAGCAACTGGTGGGCTTCTACGCCGTTCGGGATCAGGCCGAAGATTGCGGCATTGATGCTGCGCTGGGCAAGAATGGTTCCCGGTGCCGCGGACTCGAAGCCCGCGGCGGGCTTGTAGAAAGGATCGTCATCGGGAGTCTGAACTGTGCGAATAGCTTGAGACGCAGGCAGAGCCGAGGCAATTGACGTGAAAGCCAGGAAGCTAACCAGGGCAACGCGCACCATGCGCGCAACGGACGAGGCCATTTCCTTGCTCTTGAGAAGGGGGGTGGTCAAGACTGCAATGCTGCACACGGAAAAGCACATAGGGCTGGGGCCATCGGAGAATTATATCTCTCGCGCTGTGAATGTGATTGAGACGCATTGCCGAGGCTGGTATATACGATGGCGATCATCGCCTAGAGGGCCCTCATATGGAGGAGAACCACTCGGGTCACCACATGGACACCCACCTGCCCTGCAGATCTCCCTGTCGACAAGGCGTTGGTTCTATCCTTCGCCCATCGAAGCACCGACCCAGAAAGAAGTAGATCGTCGATGTCTACAAATTGAATTTATCAGTTAGGTCGGTCCCATTGAGTTTCACTTTCACCCGTTCTTCTTTGCAAGCTTGCTCAACATTTCAGTGGGTAACTATTGGGTCCAACAGAATTTTCTAATCATGAAAGATCGGCGATAGCCCCGCACTGAGTTCCTTCCTTGTCCCGTTCAGGGTACTCAACAAGCGCCCTCTGCAATCCTCCGACTCTCCGAGGCAAAGTGTTGCAACAAAGGAATTCGGGAGGAAGCCCCGTCAGCCCGTCTGTGCTGGATAGTGGATACGCCCTGGATACGCCACAGGTCCGGGTACGGAGATGCAGAACTGCATCCTGTATGCCACGGCTGGCTGTGCACGGGACAATCCGATTCGACATCCTCTAATGCAGCGCTTCCCCGCACTTATGAAGCCTCTTGCATAGATCCTGTCGTCATCTTTGTTTTGGCGCTTCACATGTAAGGGCTTGATTTGGGTGCAGTCTCCGATCTCCGTGCCGATGGAGTCTCTTTGGAGGCGCGTGACACTTTCGTATTTGGTGAGAGCGTGGCCTGCACAGGAGTGAGATCCGTAAATGGTTCTTAGACCGATTGGGTAGCGCCAGAGGTGATGCAGATGTGGGAAGGTTATGGGCCTATGCTCCACCTGGGCAGAGTATACGGAGCTTAAACGTTATCTTTACTCCGGTGGTACCTGGATGCCTGAGGTTATGGCGGATCCTCCCGGGGTTAACGAACTAACAAGCTACATCTAGACGACCACTCATGGTTATTGTGCAATACATATCTAAATGTGACTGGATCAGAGACTAGCCATCTCGGATCAACTTCTGAGACACACCTCGAACCACTTTTTAGGCATGTTTATAAATCTCCGATGCGCCAAGATTCGAGGCCTCATTCAAAAGTGCCAAACACCTCATCGGACCACAGTCGAGACCTCGAGAGCGGAGAATCTAGCTCTATATGGGTCATATACAGTATTTCCGGGCGTTGGGTGCATAACGAATACAATCGGCTATTCGAAGAGCCGTTGCACACATGCAAGAGAAGGTTGGATGCCTAGGCTACGAGATAATGCTTTGTTGCAAAGATCGAATGTCACCTTACTCTTACGATCTTGGCAATGAGGAGGAGAGTACCTTGGGACTACATCTGAGACATGGTGAACTCCGAAGTCAAGTCTTACAATCCCCTCTAGACAGAATCCCTTCTCCCCACTAGCATTGGAACGAGCACACATTAAGCCATTGATGGCGCCTTCCAACGGATGTCGCATATTTTAGGGTTATCAGGGGATTTTGCTCTCAGATCAATGACTCCCGCGGACAGTACAATTTGGATTGTCAGTGCTTCCATGTAGATGGAGTCATACTCAAGTGAGGGCTCCTCGTGGACCGGTCCCGCCCGCAAGCAGACCAATGACTTCCGTAAGCCTAGGTATATTGCAGCCCTAAGGTGATTCATCATGACCTCCGAGGGTGTCGTTGTACCTACATCTCCTCGCAGACGACAGCCGGTAAGGCTGGGGGGCGCATCCCGGGACATCTCAATCCATACGCAGTTGCCTAAGTATTGACTGCCTGTGTGTAGGTGGACCTTAAGTTTTGATTATGAATTATAGAAGTCATTGATTTTTCATCCAATGGGGCTGTGGCGCAACGGTAGCGCGTGCGACTCCAGTTCGCAAGGTTATCCGTTCAAATCGGGTCAGCCTCATTTCTTTTTGTTTTTTGGTATTGTCGTGACTCACGTGACTCACAATCAACAATATTCTTCAGAGTCAATTTGGGTTTTTTTTTAAACAGAAGTTATGTGTTTTCGGATTGGGCAATTATGCTGAAATATTTTGGTATAACATTTATGCCCCTTATGGGATTGATGGGCATGAGGTTGTTGAGGATTCCTACCCAGGCAGTAGACAACCTAACCGACTATACCTAGGTTTGAAGGTAGCCTACCTGCACTCAGCCTAGGTATGACTGGGCCCTGGGCTCAGCACCAGTGGTATAGATGAGAGCTCTTTGAGCAGGGAGACTATTGTTTTATAATGGTCTTTGGTGTTCTCTTTCCCTTTGTTCTCACGCAATAGGTATCAAAGAAATGCCAAATCACATTGGAATGGATGTGCCTTTATATATACCGGTCAACCATATCCATCTGTTACTAACGGCACCCCGCAAACCTACGCAGCATTGTCGGACAAAATGATAGTCCCCGAAGACATATGTATCCCACCAACTAGTGATATGCCTCACCAGGCGAGTCCATTCCTCCTAGGGAAACACCATACTCCGGATCCCTGCGATGATGGGAGAGGCTACTGCTGGGTGAGTGTGATTCTTCTCCCAGACATGAGAAATGGCACACACAGTGATGAAGATATAATGAGCTTTGTAATTCGGAAGTGCAATGCTGGCCAAACCGCCATGACCCGTCAACCACTACATGGGTCGGGAGACCACTGTATCTCTCTGCCGGTCAAGTGGGATACACCTCGACAAACCATGCGCGCTGTTCGGGACCAGGCTGCGACTATTGCAACATGGTGGCTGGAACAAATTCGCGAAGAGAGGATAGTCATCGATCAGAAGATGATTTTTGAGAACCGGAATAGGACAGCGTTCAAAGTCATCTCGAATGCATTGCCTGCCGAGTGGGGCAAACCGGAGTATTCAGGTTAAATGTTGGAGTATTCTGTGCATTGTACACAACCTGCAAGATTGATATAGTGTACTCTCGAGTCTCCAGACCCGTTGAAGGATTTGTATATCCTCTGCTTCCATGTATGTTTCCATGACGGGGTGGAGTATCGCACACAGTATGATATGGGCCTATAGACAGGGGCACCTATTGTTAATTTTGTCTATATTAGCTCTCAGAGGTAGACTAGTAGTCTGTAGAAGAGCATGAATGATGACATCAAAATAGTAGACTGTATGATCTTAAAGGATGTCGGTCATCAACCTGTCGTTTCCCCACGGGCCCTTGCCCTGGAATGATCCTCGCCGCTTATCCGGGGTCATGGAGGGACGTACGGGTTATCATTGGTCAAGCTCATGTACAGTAGCGGATAGTGGCTTTGTAGTAGTCAAAAGTTGTAAATGGAGCTCAAGGTAAAGGTTGCACAGGCTGGTTAATCAAGCCCATCCATTCAATGCCAGACACGAGGCAATTAGAAGCCGGATGGTTTGTTCCGGCTGTGCGCTCATCTCTCTACTTGAAGGTCTCCCCAAATTAGACCAGTTGACTATTCCTCAGTTCAGCACCAACGTAACCTTCACATTGAAAACGTTAGTTAGTTAGTATACCATGTAACTAACTATACACGTAGTCCGCAAATGCCTGGACGATTCTCAGAAGTAAAATAATAAGTTCGAGATGACCCGGGACCAAGGACCGTTTATGCATCGTCGTAGAAGTAGAGATGACATTTTGATCCGATGGACGTTATCCGCCACCGGGTCAATTGCAAACCGCGGATGAGAGCAAACCGGCCAGCTTCCTAACTCGAAACCTTGGAAGTGAGACTCAGAACTTCTCACTCCATCCAAGTCTCTCTACTTTGAACCTCCTCCTCCCCCAACATCCTAGACCCTCACACCCCACTTGTCCCATTTTCTTCTCAACGCACCTGCCTGTTAAACGACGGTTCAACGCAGCTTATCAGCCCGCGCTTTCGCCACACGCGCAAAATCCGAGCCCACAATTGATCTCGCGTTACCAACATTCATAAGTTTTCATATTGACCAGAGCGCGTCGCCAGACTTAGCGTCAGTCCTTCTTCTTCCACTACCACACCTGGCACCAGGATTCTCTTATCACGAGTCTCTCGTCGCCGTCCACCCTGCTGGTGACAGCGACGCCGAGCTTTAGTCCGATAAGAAATCCGGCGCGTCGACCACTCCGGGCACATGAGTAACAGGCTGTGGACGTATTTTATACAAGATGACTTGGAACAGTTCAAGCGGTTCCTGGCGAACGCGACGTTTGTGGGCCCGCGGGCTGCAGGAAGTACCGGAGGGTTATCCAGTACTGCGACGATTTTGTCATCGAAAACCGGGAGCCCCGGGACCATGATCGTCTCATCCCCGAATACGCCGAGAAGCAAGAAGAACCCCGGATCATCACCTGCAACGCCCGTACCTGACCGATCGGCTCCGCGCAAGGTCTCGACTCTGACACGCGCCGATGTCAATGCCCGGGATAGTCATGGCCGTACACTGCTTCACCATGTCGCTTCTTCGTCGAAACCCACCGCTCCTGAATTTGCGCGCGCCTTGTTGCAAATACCATTCATTGATATTTATGTGCAAGATCTGGAGAGTGGATGGACAGCTCTGCATCGGGCTCTTTATGCAGGCAATGCTACAATTGCCTTGGAGCTCATGGCGCGTGACACCCAAGATACGATGGAATTCAGCAAAGTCGGAAATCCCAGCCACCCCGGCGGTGGGCTGATCAAAACCAAGGATTTGGAGGGCTACAGTCCGTTTGACCTCTTCGGGTCGACCATTCGACTCGGCAACCTTCCGCGCTTTTCCGCACACCATCCGCCATTGATTGGCGCTTCTCGCGATAGTGATGCATGGCCCGATATCAGTTCAGATGGGGAAGAGGAAAATGTCGGGAATCCCCCGGGGCACACCGGGGGTACCATGGGTATCTTCGCTGATGAGGTTTTCACTCTTGGAAGCAACAAAAATCTGAATCTTGGTCTCGGGGATCAGGATGACAGGCAATTTCCCGAGCGAATCTCCCTGAAGCGCCCTGATCATCTTTTACGTCGGTTTTATTGCGAATACCGCCAGAGGTTGCACGATCGAGGGCTCGCAGAAACCATCCCAAGCAGCAAGTCATCCACATTCCCCGCGTTGATTTCAAACAAGCCAATGGTACTCATGGATATTGTCATGTCCAAACTGCACACCGCTATCATAACTTCTGATCCCGAGGCTAATCTGTTCATGTGTGGGTATGGACCTGGAGGACGCCTTGGGACAGGAGACGAGTCGACCCGGTTTACTTTTGCTTGCATTGAATCGGGTGGACTGGAGGGAAGGAGAGTTGTGTCGGCTGCCCTGGGCCAAGATCACAGCTTGGCGATCACCGAGCATGGTGAAATCTTCAGTTGGGGAAGCAACAAGTTCGGACAACTTGGATACAGCCTACCCAGATCCAGTAATAATAATGATGTCCCCATTCAGGTGACACCTCGCCAAATCTTCAACCCTTTCAAGAAGGAAACCATCCTAGGCGCAGCGGCATCATCGATCCATTCGGTGGTCTTTAGTACGTCCGGTCTTTACACGTTCGGCAAGAACGAGGGTCAACTTGGCCTGGTCGATTCTGATGCTCGCTCTCTTGACGTCCAAACGACACCACGACGCGTTGGCGCATCTCTCTTCAATTCCCCAATCAGCATGGTGTCCGCCATTGATCGTGCTACGTCTGTGCTCCTGCAAAACCACGAGGTCTGGGTCTTCGCGTCATATGGCTATTCGAAGCTTTCCCTCCCTCTGGAGGTAACCTCGAGTTTTATCAGGGATAGCTTCATGACCACCAGTTACGACACATCCTCCAATCGTGTCGTCAAAATCACATCCGGGGGCAACACAATCTGTGCATTATCCAGCTCTGGTGATGTGTTCACCGTTCAAGTCAACCAGTCTGCTAGTCCTTCGGCTTTATCATCCACAACTAATCCCGCAAAGATTAGAAACTCTTTGGCCGTTCCTGTTCGAGCCTGGACCGTCAAGAAACCCCACATGGCAGCGAGCGACGTTGATGTTGGACAAGATGGTTCAATCATCATCTGTACCAAATCTGGTTCTGCGTGGAGAAAAGAACGGCGGACAAAGAACAAAAAGGGAGCCTTGAAAGACTTCAAATTTGCTCGCATACCTGGCCTCTCGCGGGCAGTGGCAGTGCGCAGCAATGCCTTTGGCGCCTACGCCGTCGCTCAGCGTGACTGTGAAGTGACGAGACACATCTCGAGCGACCCCGGCCGCCTGTGGGCTGATCTATCACCGTTGGCTCCGTTTTCAGTTCCCAGCCCGGATCCCTCGGACTCAAATCTCAATATGGAAAATCCAATCCCATTCTCGATATTAACGTTAGGGAATGCCCGGAGAGTCATACAACCCTCCGGCGATATCGATAGCCATTGGCTTCCTCCATGGACAGAGGGAACTATTTGGGTGACTACCTCTCTGTCTGATTTCCGCCTTCCGGTCCACGAATTTATCCTGGCTGGTCGCAGCCTGGTCTTGAGTAAAGCTTTAGACGAATTTCATGCGTCATATCATTCTTCCGTTTCAGGTGCCTTCGACATCGAATACGGCAACGACGGACATCCTCAGATCACCCTCCAAGAGGTTGATCCCATGACCGTCCTATTTGTGGTATTATTCCTTTACACGGACATCCACTTGACATACATCTTGGATGGATATGGGAACCTCCGTGCGAAGGTCCGCGCTGAAGTCATGCGCGTTGCCCCGCAGCTCGGCCTGCCAACACTGGAGCGCGCAGCACGACTAAAGGTCACGCCTAAACCAAGTTTGACACTTGATCTGGCTCATGCTATTAATCGCCCGTCCTTCTATGACGACGGAGACTTGCTTTTGCAGCTCAAAGACGATACGATCAGGGTACACAGCCCGATTGTGTGCGCGAGATGCCCGTTCTTTGACACCCTTTACCATGGCAACGCAGGTGGAAGGTGGCTAGAACTACGCGAATCAAATCCAACCCAGAGGGTGCTTGTCAACCTAAAGCACATCGGTCGCTCGACATTTGATTTTGTCCGGCGTTACCTGTATGCTGACACGGATGAACATTTGTTTGACGAAGTCCGGACCAATGACCTGGATGACTTCATTGACTTGGTTTTGGACGTGATGTTCGTGGCCGATGAGCTGATGATCGACCGACTATGCCAAGTGTGCCAATCTGTGCTCGGTCGTTTTGTCACGACGCGCAACGTGTGCTACCTCCTCAATTCTGTTGCTCCTTGCCATGTCTCGTTGCTCAAGTCTGCCGCACTTGAATATATTTGTCTTAATCTCGAGGCGATGCTTGCGAATGGCTACCTGAACGACTTGGATCCTGTTTTGCTCGGGGAGTTGGACATGGTCTGCCGGGAGAAACAGCTATCTTTCTGCCCCGTCTCCCGTCGTGTCAATTCTGAGGATTGGTTCCTTCAAAGATACCCCGAGATTGTCAGTACAGTGGAAGCCGACAAACAACGAAGGGTCGATGACATGGTTTTGCCGTCTCGCATTCCCCTTGAGCCTTCTTCTGCGCGGAAGCCAAAGAGCATTGCTGGTAGAAGCGCAATGTTGAACGCGAGCCAGTCGACTGGTGATCTCATGTTTCAAATGGACGAGGAGGCTCCTATGTCGCCTAGTGGCTCGAAAGGCGAGGGTGCCACGCGCGGGCTTAGGTTCACCGAAGGCCTCACTGAAAGTGGATCATGTCCCGATACCCCAGAGTCAGCTTCATTGGGCTATCGTAGTTTCTTAGATAGTCAGATGTCTCCACCACAAGGCTCGCTCTTGGCGCAGTCCCCATCTGAGACCAGGGCAAACGCTCTCAGCCAGAAGTCCGCTTTGACGCCATCATCTGATCCTTCATCGGCACCATGGGCATCACCGAAGATATCGAGTTCCAAGAAGGATCTCAAAGACATAATGGGGGAAGCATCTCAGTCCAAGGTTTCAAACCTCACGCTGGGGATGGCAGATCGTCGCGACAGCAGCGGCAGTTTTGTACCAAAGATCTCACAGAAGGAGCGAAAGAGACTCCAGCAGCAACGAATGCAAGAGCAGCTGGCTGCTCAGAAGAAGGCGAAAGACGCACCGCAGAATCCCTGGCAGAAGCCAGCGAGCTCTTCTCCCGCATCGCGCCCTTCGACCGATCCTCTGCCAGGCCAGAGCCCCCAGACTTCTGTACCTGCTTCGTCGTCCCCGCGGTCTATGACTATGCGCCAGACTGTAGCCGGCGCTCCCCCACCAAAGTCGAAGCCTGTGGTAGCACCTGGGCAAACGCAGCACCACAGTGTATCGGGCAAGCCGCAATCGTCTCACCCGAAACCTCCTACCCCAGGACCTTCGACAGCAACCCCAAACCTTCATCCGACACCACCCCAGCCAGCAATCCAGTCAATCCGTCACATTCCACGCCCGGAACCTACGCAATCGTACTCTCCATCTTCGGGCTCTTACTCTCTGTCCACTATCTTGCTCCAGCAACAGACTGAAAAGGAAGCGATCCGCGAAGCAGCCTCGGCGAAGCATAAAATGCAAGAGATCCAGGCCGAGCAGGAGTTCCAGCAATGGTGGGAGCAGGAAAGCAAGCGCGTGCAAGGATTGATAGACCCCGAGCCAGCGGAAGCTCGCTCTGGAAAGAGCGCACGAGGCGGCAAGGCTGGCGCTGCGAATGGGCAGCGCAAGCGTCGAGGCAACAAGAGTGCCGGTGATGGCGCTGCTCCCCAAGAGCAGAAACGTGCTTCGACTTCCACTCTTAGTGGAACCCCGAAGGCAAACCAGAAGCGCCAGAAGGGCCAAAGTCAACCTGCGGCAGAGCCATCGAATGCTTCTAAGGGAAATAATGCTGGAGATGATGGGAATGCCAATGCTCGCCGCGGAGGTGGGACTTCGGGACGTAGCAGCAGAAGGGACAAGCCAGAGCGGTGATTTACTTCCCTCGTTTACTTTGCGAAGATTGTCTCTTTTAGATCTTGGGCTGGGTTCTTAATGATTTTTGAGCGCCATTCAATTTTCTAGAGGTCATGACTGCTTGACTTACAGCATAGGGAGGCAAAGCAACATAGAATAAACCAAAGAGGCTACCCTAACTAATATTCGATTGTCAATTCCACTTCATTCCAACCTTGAAGCAGTACTTCACAATACACAACTTAATGCGTAGATGTCACTCCACTTCGGAGATTGTCCCGAGGTCCCGATATAAGATTGCGGGGATCCTGACCTTCTTCATCAATTCCCCTTCTCGAAGCTCCAAACCCCGCAGTCTGGTGTAGCGTCCCCAGGTTACACTCGCCTATAGCAAAGCTTAAGACGTTTTGCCAAGACGCTTAAAAGTTGGCGCGATTGATAGGCGGCATGGCTGATTCGTGGTATCAAGACCATTATCTGGAGATCGACAAGGTGGTACTTGCTAAGTTACTAGTATGCTCTTCCAAGGCACTGTAACTGGCTCTTTATAATGTAACCACTTCGGGCATATTCAAAGCGACTGCGGGTGGTTGTCAATCCTGCCAGTCTCCGAGAGTATATAGATCAACCTGAATGCGCCCCTGAAGATAGCGGTTCTTCACATCATGTTGTATCCTCATCGTACTATGCCCCTACGGGCCTTTTTCACTGCCCTTCTAATTCTTGCACCGGCCAGCGCCGCCCCCACTGGGCTCACTGGCCGTCAAGACAGCGGTGAAGTACCCGCAGTATGGCCAACTCCTCAAAATATCTCACTATCCGGAACGGAGGTCTCGCTCAAAGGCTCTGTGACAATCGTAACAGGCAGCGCCGCAGATGCCGCAACGATTGACGCAATCAAAACGATCGTGGTAGCCGCAGGCGGTACTGCCGTCGTCTCCACTGATCCTACATGCGACGGAACGCAGATCATCATCGGCACCGAGGAAGAGAACAGCCCTGCGGCAGCCGCAGCCAAAGCTCTTACCGGAGAGTCCGCCGATGGTCTCGCAGCCGACGGCTACGTGCTAGCCTCTGGCAAGTACGAGAACCAGCCGAGCATTGTGCTCAATGGCGTAGACGCGCGTGGTACATTTTACGCGTCACAGACTCTCCGTCAACTCCTCGACGGCCACCATGTTCCAGGCATTAGCGTGCGCGACTGGCCGCTCATGTCTATCCGCGGCTCGATCGAGGGCTTCTACGGCATTCCCTGGTCTCACCAGGCACGGCTGGATCAGTATGTTTTCTACGGACAGCACAAGATGAACACCTACATCTACACGCCCAAGGATGATCCGCTCCTCCGTGCCCAATGGCGAACCCTGTACGAGGGTGAAGCTTTAACGGAGCTCCAGGAGCTCGTAGATACTGCAAACGCCAACCATGTCGATTTCGTCTTTGCTCTTTCCCCGGGTTTGGATCTATGCTTCAGCTCTGACAAAGACTTCAACGCGACAATCGCGAAGTTCGATCAGATCCGGGATCTAGGCGTCTGCAGCTTCTACGTCGCTCTTGACGATATCCCTATTGAATTCCACTGCGACGAAGATACAGAGAAGTGGCCGCACACAGACGACTACCACTGGTTCGCCGATGCCCAGGCCTACTACCTGAACCGCATCCAGGAGGAATACATCGAGAAAAACAACCTGAAAGATCTCGAGACCGTCCCCACCAACTACGCCGGCAGCGAACCGGACCCATACAAGGAGGAATTCGGCACCCAGCTGGACAAGAAGATCCGCATCCAGTGGACCGGCGAGGGAGTCTTCAGCGATAATATCACAGTCGACAGCGTCCTCCAGGCCGACAAGACCTACGTTACTGACAAGCTCTATCTGTGGGATAACTTCCCGGTCAACGACGGCAATCGCGACCGTCTATTCCTCAACCCGCTTACCGGCCGTGCCGCCGATCTACACGAGCACCTCCTCGGCTTCACATCCAACCCAATGATACAGCCGTACGCTTCTCTGCCTGCCTTAGCCAATTACGCCGATTACACATGGAACGGACCGTCCTACGACGCCGCCAAGTCCATGGATGCTGTTCTCCAGGAGCTCGCTGGCAGCGACAGCGATGCCCACGATGCAGTCGCTGCATTCGCCGATCTCAACCAGAACTGGCCGTACCAGACCCCTACAACCAATGCCCCCAAGCTAAATGCAGACATTGATGCTTTCTGGGCTGCTCGCGAGGATTCCAATTCATCTGAAGACGGCACCGCGGCATTGCGTGATCGTCTTGAACTGCTCGCTACGCTGCCGGATGTTCTGCCTAAGATGGCTTTGAAGGGCTTTGCGACGGATGTTGCGCCGTGGGCGACTGTTGCGGCGCAGTGGGCTAATGCTTGTCAGCACTTGATTGCTATGCTTGAGGCGCTTGATGATGGTGATCAGACTACGGCTGATAGCGAGTATGAGTCTGCGCAGGAGTGGGTTGAGAAGACGAAGGCTAAGACTGTTGGTGATCGGAATGATCAGGGTGAGGATCTTCCGGATTCGATTGTTCCTGTTACTGGGGATGGTGCTTTTGATACGTTCGTTAAGGATGCTGTGGCCGTTTATAATGGAGAGTAGGGGTGAATAAGGGGTTTACGACGGGGTTGGTAGGAGTCGAAGATATCTACACTTATAGTATAAGCGTTAGACGAGCTCATCCAATGAATGCATTGATTCAACTACTTGAAGACTGTTGTAAGAATACTAGTTGAGCACCTCATGGTAGAATGAAGCCTCTTGCCATCTACACAGTCAGTGCTAGGCAAAGGTCCTTTTATCATTGACCTTAGTCTCCGCCATGAGCTACGAACGAACCTCCCATCGCACCGTGGCGGGCTGCATAGGCCGTGAAAAGAGAGACTATAATCAAGTCAGCCACACATTCGAATACCAAGCATAAAGAAGCAAAATCACCGAGTAATCCGTCTCCGGCACTCCCTCCCTCCCTTCAAGATTATAAAACCTGAACCTCCTAACCAACGTCGCAACAATAACCTCCAAATTCAAATACGCAAACTTCTCCCCAATACACCGATGTCTCCCCGCCCCAAAAGGCAAATAAGGACTCCTCGTCCCCTTGGAAACAACCCCATACCCATAATCAACCGTCTCACCCTCCCCATCCCCACCATCACTAGCACTAGCACTAATACCCTCCCTCTCCCACCGATGCGGATCCCACCGCAAAGGCTGGACAAAATACCTCTCATCCCTCGCCGTAACACCCGGCGAAGCAAGCAGCGTATGACCAACCGGAACAACAAACTCCGTGCCAGGCACAGCCATGGGATTCTTCACCTTCCGCATAAGCGTATGAATAGACGAGTGGATCCTGAGTGTCTCTTTAACAACATTCCTTAGCAGCGGCAACTTCTCCAAATCCGCATAGCGCAGCGGCGGCAGATCATCTCCCAAATTCTCTTTCTGTTCTGCGAACAACTCCTCCGCTATCTCCGGCTGCGAGGCGAGACGCAGGAGTATCCAGCAGCTTATCGAGGATGAAGAGTGTTGACCGGCCATTAGGCAAGTGATCATCATGTGAGCGATTTCCTTGTCTGGGATTGGAGTGCCGTCGCGGTAGATGCAGTTCATGAGATTGGTGATCATGTCTGGTTCTTGACTTTTCTTCTCGGATGGAGAGGAGGTAGAAGTGGCGCGCCGCGCTTTGATGATTGAGAGGTAGATTTCGCGCATTCGGGCGTGGGCTAGATCGCGTTTGCGGTTGTGTGGAAGCGGGAACCAGGGGAGGAGGAAATTTATTGGGGAGAAACCTAGGTCGAGGTCGTGGAAGAGGGAGGCGAAGTCGGAGGTTAGTTTTGAGCGGACTTCGATGCCTTGCAGGGTGCGGGCTGCTGTGTAGGTTGTTATTTCGGCCATTGTTGGGGTCAGGTCGAGGGTGCCGGATTGGCCTTTGAGGGATTGGGAGGTTTTTATGTAGGATTCTGTTTCGGAGGCGATTAAGGGGACGTAGGATTCTAGGGCTGTTTGGCTTAGGCCGTATTTGATGAACTGGGTTTGGGTTAACACGTCAGACTTTGGTATTTAGAAGTGTATGGTAGACTAGGCGATTGCAAAGTTGTAGATGAACACATACACGCTTTTGCTCCATTAGTTTGGAGTTTGGACAGTCGTAGACAACGTCAGACCCGAAGACGGGCGTTGTAAGTTTCCCGTAGACTTCTTCGGCGTTGACGTCCTTCAGCTTCCCGTTGAGGATGAACTCGTTGCCTTCAACGCCGAGATAGACGGTTGTCTTCTTGCCGAGGAGGATGAATGTGAAGATATCACCGTACTAGAGGTGTCTGTTAGTAGATATATTTCATCTCGTTAAGAGGTATAAAGAACCATGAGATATTGATACCTTTGCACGAGATGCGAAGAAAAACCGATATGGGTCCATGCCATAGGCAATTGTACTCCCGATGAAAGGGACCCAGTGGAAAACAACAGGTGGTTCCTTTTTGTTATAGAGGAAGAGCTGGCTGATCACATTGAGGACGATGGACACCAGAATGAGTCCGGTGGTATAGTATGCGATTCGCAGAAGCTGGCCTGCTACTAGAGGCACGAGGAGATTCATCTTGGTCTGATAATGATCTCAAGGAAACACTCGAGCATGAAGCATGGAAAGTGAAGTATGAGGCCGAGTACTTAGGGTTTTGTAGGGCAAATCAGGAGGCCGGGATTGGCCATTAATCATCAGGCCAGGCAGGTCAGGCCATGCGAGCAACGCCGGATGTCAACCCAGCCGAAGCATGAGCCACTCCTAGGCAGCCAATTTGTCTTTGAATCTACTGTAATGCGCTGGCAAGGGGCATGGGGACCGTGCAGTTTGAATTAAGTAGCATTTGTAAGTGATATCAACAGAATGCAATGCGAAAGGTGCAAAACGAACCGAGACAGATACATTATGTGCAATCTGGCCGCTGTAATGAGTCAAAGGAGAGAGAAGAAAAAGCAGATTGCCAACGCCAAACCGTGAAGCTAATCATCAAGAGCATGAAGGGGCTGGAAAGTGTGAATAATCGTAAATTAACCGTGGATGGCGACCTCTCGGCTCTCCCACATCCGGCGGATCAGCATATCGCTGTCACTCATCTGGAATCCCTGGGTGTTTTCACCCGAATCGCCCATGCCTTCGGCTGAGGTGGAGAGAATGCGATGAGACGGGTCATTAGACTTGGCATCCTGTGGGGCACTGGTAGGATCGCTGTTCGTGGCTGTATCTCCGGTGGAGATCGTATTACCCAATTGGGAACTAGATGCAGGGTTGGAGCTGAGACGATTGGGTCGTTTGTCTTGCTGAAGAAGGGGCAAGTGAGGTGCTGATTTGACTGCTTTACCGAGAACTGGTCCAGGTACCGCTTTGTTGACCTGGGCGAGGTGACGAAGACGAGCAAAGCTCTGGCCAGTAGGAGACTGGAAACGTCTCACGACCATCAATTCCAAAGATGTCCTCTCGTATGCCTTGCGAATATGACGGGTTTCGCTGTCGTGCCCTGCACCGCCAGCTCGACCCTCGCCGTTCACCCTGTTGGCATCATAAGTGCCAGCACCGGGGCGTGCGTGGCTAGCGCCGCTAAAATTTGCATCAACTCCAGACGGCGGAACTGTTGCAGCCACTCCATGAGTATCGGGAGGAGAGTTATTGAGAGTGGCGGTGCGCTGAAGCCAGAGTTTCTGTTGCGTGCGAGAAGGTAGTTCGGCCCCTCGCGGCCGTGCAGGAGATGAGGTCGGCTGAGTAGCCGCAGTATGAGGGGATGGTGGTGTTTGCGGGTGGTAATGGGGAAGGAACGAAGATGGGGTATTCGAGTCTGAATCGGTGCGAGAGGATGCCTGCATGCCGTTCTTATTCATAATGAACCTCGAGACACCACCTTCCATAGAGGATGAGGCGGCTTGGGGGTGAGAACCCGGCATGCTTGCCATGCTAGTTGTGGAGAATGTACGCCGGGCGTTGTCCTGGCCAGCAGCTAAGTTGAGAGATGCGCTACTACGCGATGCAGGGTTGAGATTCTTGGCTTCTGGCTTCACCATGGCCGAAATCGAAGACATGGCGGGGGGTGCTTTAGTCGAATGCGAAGGGCTTAGGAGGCGGGTTGCGATGTCTCCGTGTTCCGTGTGCTGTGTCGACTTGTCGGTCTCAACTTCCGAGTCGTGTTGTTCATCCTCCTCGTCCTCGTCCTCGTCTAGTTCACTACGCTCTCGGGCAAACTTGTTGGTAATCGACTCGGGAAGACTGGTCGCTCGAGGCGCTTGTGGATAGGGCCGCTTCACAAAGGTAAGGTGGTCGACAAGGACGGTGCCGTTGTCCGCGCTAGGATTTAGTGGTGCCACAGAGTTGCGTCTCGTACTTTCGGGCGACTGTGTTGTATCTTCCCATTCAGCTTCGTCCGTTTCATCATCAGCCAGCTCAAAGCCGACCGTCTTCTTCTTTGCAGCGCTGGTGGCCGGTCGGTCGGTCACCAACGCCTTTTTCCCGAGTGCGTATGGATTCCGATGCAACGCAGGAGTGGAATTGTTTCTTTTCATGGAAAGGTCGGTTCGACGGTCATGCACGGCGTTATCCCAGTGGATGCGGGTGCTGTCCTTGGGGCTGGCCACTGGCGTTGCGGGGGCTGACTTCTTGCGCTGATGATGCCGCCCAGCGGTCTCGAGACCTAGTTGTGATCGCTGGAATTTATTGAAGGTTTTGCCAGTTGAGGGGTTGCGGTGATGATTGCGGTGACCGCCAACGACATGGGCGCGGTGAGGCTTGTGATGCACGGGTGCCTTCTGCGTGTGAGACTGCGACAGGTCGTTAGGATTGGCAGCGCGCGTGACCACCGCATGGGAGGACACAGCACGTCGACCGAGACCGGGGCGCTTGACGGGGGAGGAGGTGTTCGAAGTATTAGAATTAGGCATGGTGGTAAGCGAGAAAGCTTCCAGAGCCACAGGCGGTTAATCAGCTGTGCTGGAGCATAGAATGTGGGGATTGGCCGAGGCAAGTCGATCGAAGAGGTCTCACAGCAGGTCGGAGAGCATGCAGGCAAAAAATGACGACTCAATAGTTGGACACCGGGTTACACCAGTCAAAGCCACCATTAAGCATTAACAAAGCGAAAAAAATCAAATGAACGAGAGAACAGAGAGGGATATCCAAGATATTCAGGCGAATTGGTGAAGTGAGGAAGAAAGAGGTTGGTTTCGCTGTCTTCGGCGATTAAGCGGGTACGCAATACCGTTACCGGCCTCAGGCCGACAACGCTTCCTTTGCCACCAAAAGAATACAAATGGAAAGCCTAGTCCAGTGGCCTGGACCTTTTTACTACTTTGTCTTTGTTACGTTCGTCTATCCAGCTAAAAGTTGGTGAAAGCCACACTTGAAAAGCATCTGGGGTATTGGAAATCCGGCTAAAGAGACGTCAATGAAGCTACACCCTATCATCCTACTAAATAGAGCACGAAATGGATCGAGGCGAGTGCAGCTATACGCATGGGGTAGGTTTCCGTGTATACTTGAGATTTCTGCATTCATCCGCTCCAAGTTACACATTCAATCTACTAGACGTCTTCAGGTATCACCAAAGGGGAAAATAGATAGAGATAAAGTAGAAAAGGAAAGCCACAGAAAACGCCCACATGATGAGACATGTACCAACGCTATAGGTCAATCAGATTCTCCTCCACTGGCTGTGGTGCTTTCTGATAAGGCGGTTGACTTGGAGTCTCGGATGCGTACGTCCCAGATGGTCCATTCATTGGTGGGTACCCGGATGGAGCGTGAGGTTGTTGAGGATGGGACTGCGGCGGGTAATAATAGGACTGAGATGGACCGGTTGCTTGCTGATGAGGTGACGGCGCAATAGATGGTACAGAATGACCAGATGATTGCCCATACCCGGTGGGTGTGTGCTGCTCAGGGGGAGGGAGAAGGACCGGGGGGCGCATTGGCATGATATTGAGAATCCCGGCGCATTATAGGAGACGGCTGGTATGGGTGTGCCGTACTAGGTGATTGGGCTGAATCTGATTCATGCGGTCCTGCATAATATTGGCCAGGAGCACTTGGTACCGGAGCAGTGGTATATTGGTTTGGAACGGGGTTGCTGGGTGGGGGTGATCCAAGAGAAGGGTATGGGTTTCCACCCCATGTGTGACTGTGAGGTTCATTCATCGGACCTCCGTATTGGCCCTGCGGTGGGTAAGAGGGATTCTGGACAGCGCTGGGACTTCCGGGGAATCCATCGGCATTCGGCTGGTGAGATGCATACATGGTAGTAGATGGGCGAGAGTTGTCTATTTGATTTCCATAATAGAAATTCTCGGCTCCGGCCTTGAGATCGGGAGCGTGACCGGAGAACCCTGGCTGAAGATTGGGATACGGTGCCGCCCCCGGAACAGCTCCGTGGCCAAGAGTGTGGTGCGAATAGGCATTGGTCAGACGCTCTTCCAGCATGCGATCGTAATAACGTACAACCGAAGAGAGCTTGGCATGGAGATCTAACAAAGTGTCTGTGGCTATTAGCTTGCCGTCTCGTACAACGGGCGAAGAAAGCAGAACTTACCATGCTTGCTCATGGTCTCCCCATAGCTTCGAGCCAGCTTTGGTCGAAGTGCACCAATGCTTTCATATAGCTCTTGGATCTGCGGCTCTCTAAGAATTGTACCCGGAGGTTGATGCTGGAGCCGATCTACCAGTGTGGAGAAAAGGTGAATATTCTCAGCCTCAACTGGGGTCAGTTCGTATGGATTTTTTGGCAGTGCAACTGGCGTGCTAGAGGCATCGCGAAGCGTAGATCCCGAGCTAGGAACATTTTTCAATGCGGCAGCATGGTTTTGTTTATGTTGCTCCATGTCACGCAGCGACGCTTCAATCGCAGCCTTGAGATCTGCATCTTCCTCATCCACAACTTCCGGCCCAGAGGCAGCCTTAGTTGGTTTTGGAGCGTTACCTGTCTGGGGCACAAACCCTGAGGAACCTCTTCCCTCAGCTTCATCAAGACTCATTTGCAAAGCTCGACGCAAGTCCTCATCAAAACCTGTATCTGCTTTAGCAGCACGAGGCTCCATTGTATTGGACTTGCTAATGGAGTTATTTTTGAACGCGGACCGATCTGAGATCCCGGGTGGTGCAAATGACCGAGAGGTCAATTTGGCGTGACACCCGTCATCTACCCTGACTGGCTGCAAGATTCCAAGATGCGGTAGGGGAATAGTCTTGCTTGAACACTGAGCGTCGAAAACATTGCCGCAGTTCCGGCAGTGGTGTTTTCGATTCATGAAACTGAAAGGAGTTCGGCAGCGCATGCATACATCGGAGTCGATCCACTCTGGGGGCTATGATGGAGTCACAGATCAGTTTCTGCTTCAGCGCGAAGCCTTTGGGGGCATACTTACAGCGCTACTCTCTAACATACTGCCACTCATTTCTGTCTTTGGGGGGAACTGGTATCCTTCGCCTTGTAGTTTGCGATATGTCTCCCCCAGATACGTCAAGTCCATGCGGCCCTGTGCAGCCATGGCCCAGTTCTGAATAAGCTCCAACATCTTCCCCTGGACGTCGGCGTTTAGGGGGGCTCCTTCGGATTTCAGCAGCGAGACAAGATTATCCATGAATTCGCGAGAGGCGATTTCGGCAAGGAAGTGAGTGCCTCCGTTTTTAACACACGTATCGGTCAACTGGAGGTGCGGGGTGTGCTTATCAGTACTTGTTTCGAACATATGATACATATTTGGAAAGCAATGCTCACCTTTAATGTCGCCAGTTGGATGTTGGGATTTCTATTCTCGAGTCGTCGTTTCAAAGATCTCATTCCGTCTTTGGGCTGCACGCTCTTTGACCTGATCATGTCTGATATCTCGAGGTTGAGAGCAATGTCTTCCCTAGGGGTATGTCAGCCACCTATTCATAATCCCAAACGAGCACGAGGCGCCTGCGCATAAAGGTGTAGGCAGAGACATAACGCGGTAATTAGCACTTACAGGGAGGAAGCTGTCGCCCGCTCGATTTGCTCATCGAGCGGCGACGTTGAAGAGAACCAGCCTGCCATCGTGAAGGCGAAACACCTAGCTTGCGTACAAGATTCAAAAGAAGCGCAAGCACACCGACGTTGCAGGTAGCCAAGACACTTAAATGCAACAAAAATGGAGACCAGGCTGATGCGTTGGACGACGAGCTTCCAGGCACCCCGATAATAGTGACTAAGCCCCTGGCGTCATAGGTGGAGGGCGGTGAAGTACTGTCATCTGATTACCCCAGAGCCATCCCGCATCGCGTTCCTGGATCTGTCCTCTTTAATCTGGTCTTTCGTTGCTTGTATTTGTTTATTTCAATTTGGATTGTTCCAGGCGAACTGGCTTTGCAACTAGACTTGCTCTTCTCTCTTTTAGCTCCCATATTCTGGACATAATCATGCGCTAAGTTCGCGCGTCGCTGCCTGGATCTATCATGACCTCCGAGGCGGCGACTTTGCCATCTCTTCCGAACATACTACCCTGGGAGGATAACCGACATCCTTGCGGCCCTAGAGACATCATGCATGCCAGCGGACAGATCCGCGAGCCGGATTCATATACAAAGGGCCACTCTCCCACCCCACCAAGGCGACCTCGATTTCCGAATATCAAAGACCTGCAGGATCAGGCGGCTGCACTAAATGTTAACGAGACCACGCCGGTATGTGTTGCTGCCTGGAAACTGTGCGGGTGATCTCTAACAGTCATCATAGCTCCCTGACCTCCTGGCAACGGCTGCCGATGCAATTGAAAAGGCCAAGAAACTTCTTAATGACAACTACACCGATAAAGCCTACGTGCAGTACCTTCGTGCCTCCGAGATTACTGTCAACCTGATTCCTCATCATTCGGACTATCGAAACATCAGCCAACATTCTGAGCGGTATAAGGAGTTTGCCGATCTGTTGAAAGCGGTGCGGTCCAAACAAGGCACCATGGATTCGATCAAGCATGATATTATCGAAGATAATCTAGCTAGTGGCATGCAGCCAACTGGTGCGTTTACGCCAACGTCTCTAGAACGAGTTTCTGTTGCACCGAGGGGTCGTGAGAATCGACAGTCAGCAACAAACTTGACCAGAATGCCAAGCCCGACGCAGTATCAGAGCAACCCTCAGCCTTCCGTTGATTCACCGAAATTTTCTAGTCCCCCAGATGACATGCTTGCGCAGCGTTTCGCCAAACTCAAGGCATCTCCTCCCAATCAAGGGTTGGGATCGAGTACTGCTGGACCGGGCAGCACGACGGTGGGATCTGCAAGGCAGACCCCACTTCATCCGTCGAACATCCCCTCCGGCGCAAGCAATTCCCCACCGCCAAGGCGTCCGTTAGGGCCTCGCGGAATGGGAGCTTCGTCGAATGTGCCAACCATTCCACAAAAATTACCTCTCAACACATCATTGCCTCGTGCCCCAGACCCGGCTTATAGCCCTGTCTTCACCGTGCCATCAAAGCCAACATCGAACCCGCCGCGAACTTCAATGGAAAGCAACCGCTCGAGCAATCCAAGATACTCGCAATTCAGCAACTCCCCTCGCGTTAGTCCCAATCGGGAGGACAACCCTTACCGGTCTATGACGCCTAATGGCTTGAACCCGGCACGAGAAACGCGAAGCAATTCACCGGATCTGCCCTATAGCACAACGATTACTGCCCAGAGCCTGCTTGAAAATCTGCGAAAATTCAACGTGCTATTGATTGATGTTCGACCTCGAGAGCAGTATGACAATGGCCATGTATATGCAAAATCCATTATTTGCATAGAGCCGGTGATTCTGAAAGAGAACGTATCCGCGGAAGAACTAGAGGAACGTTTGGTTGTTTCACCTGAGCATGAGCAAGCATTATTTGAAAAACGGAACGAGTATGACCTTGTGGTGTACTACGATCAAAGTACCGCTTCCGTGAGCTATCTCGCCGGCTCACCAGTGGGGACGTCGGCGCCCCATTTGCGAGCACTTCATGATACCCTTTATGAGTTTAATGCCTACAAGCCATTGAAGGCTGGGCGACCTCCTGCTCTTCTGCTTGGTGGGTTGGATGCATGGATCGATCTTTTAGGGCAACAATCCTTGGCCACATCATCGACCGCTGCGGCCATGAGTTCTCTACAGGCACGAAAGCCGGTTGCCCGACCTGGTCGGCCTTTGGGCCGAGTGCCTACAATGGCTAGTGCGAATTCAAGCCTGGAAATTCGGAAGAGACGACTCCGCGAGTTCACTCCTCTGAACTCAAAGGAATTGTCCGAGTGGATGGAGAAATCGAAGACCGAGGAGATTGACCCGAGAACGTATACCGAAGAGGAACCACTATCGGAAGAGCCCGAGGAAACTGAGCCAGAGCCCCCAAGTCCCTTTGTCCATACATATGAGGCTTTCCTGCGTCGTTTCCCCGAACCACAAGATGTCCAGCAGTCCATGTCTCATGCGACTCCTCGTCCTCCCTCTGCTCCTGCTCCGAATTACGCTGCGCATATGCCATCAGCCCCTTCTCGGCCACCTCCTGCTGTGCCCCGTCCAAGCTATAGCGGTGTTTCCGACAATCGAAATACTCAACCCCATCTTGAACGACAGAATTCGGCGAATCGAACAGCCTTATATACTCCTAGCTTCCGCCTCGATCGCCTCAAGCTTCCGCGGACTGGCCTGACCAATTTTGGCGTTACGTGCTACATGAATGCCACCATCCAATGTCTCAACGCCACGATCTCGTTAAGCAGGTTCTTCATCGATAACCGGTTTCGCCACTATGTACAAAAGAATTGGAAGGGATCTCAGGGCGTTATGCCCGGGCTGTATGCGAATCTGATCCGATCGCTTTGGAAGAACGACGTGGAAGTCATCATGCCCACTTCGTTCCGGAATTTCTGTGGACGTCTGAATCGAGAATGGGCCATTGACCGCCAGCAAGATGCCAAGGAATTTTTCGACTTTGTGGTGGATTGCCTCCACGAAGATCTCAATATCAATTGGCAGCGCACGCCGCTCCGACCTTTGACCTTCTCGGAGGAGATGCAACGAGAACGGATGGCGATGACGAAGGTTTCCAAAATCGAATGGGACCGATATTCTCATCGCGAGGAATCATTTATCTCCTCCTTGTTTGCCGGACAACATGCCAGCCGACTGCGCTGCACGACCTGCAAACAAACATCCACTACCTACGAAGCGTTTTACAGCATCAGCGTTGAGATTCCCCCGACGGGTGCCGGTGATATCTACCAGTGCCTCCGCAGCTACTGCCAGGAGGAGATGCTGAGTGGTGACGAAGTCTGGAAGTGCCCGTACTGTAAATGCAAGCGAATGGCGACCAAGCAGATCATCATTACCCGCGCCCCCCAGATCCTCGTCGTCCATTTCAAGCGGTTCTCCGCCTCCAAGACCCAGAGCGCCCGCAAGATCCACACTCCGATTGACTTCCCCCTGCACGGGCTACGAATGGACGACTTTGTGATCCCCTACCCTTTGCCTCCGCCTCCGGAGCCCGGGGTGGCGCCCATGACGGGTGCCACAGTTCCACCATTCACCTACGATGCCTTTGCGGTATTGCGGCACATTGGCTCCTCCATGGGCAGCGGACACTACATCTCCCTGGTCCGCGATCCGGAGCGACAGTGCTGGCGGAAATTTGACGATGAACGGGCAACCGATTTCCAGCCGCGGAATCTTCGGGAGCGGGATCGGCTACAGAACGAGCAGGCGTATATTGTGTTTTATGAGCGAGTTCCAGCGAAATGAGCGTTTTTCTTTAGCATGACTGCATGATTACCATAAATGGGGTTGGTTTGGGTATATTACTACCTTAGATAGTCTGAATGACATGTCTGTCTGATCTTCAAAGATCCCGACGTGCTATCCGTTGACCGAGGTAACTAACCAGGCAGTTGACAGCATGACAGCAGTTGACAGGAGTACAGGTAAGGAATGAATTATAATCATGCAATCGTGCAAATACTGTGTATACACATGGCGATGTTTCTACTGTGATACCATTTAAGGCCAGATCTCCCGAGGTCCAACCTAATAAGCAGCCCCTGATTCGCCGGAGAATCTCCAAATCGCTATCAACGAGATATGTTACAACCAGGTCACAGGTGTAGACAGAGTAGATTTAATTGGTAGAGCCTGTAGATTGCTGAATGTCTCTCCAATAGTGAAAATGGCCACCTTAACCGACAATCCCCGCTAGAAAGTGGTCTTTTCCTTCCCCCGGATGTCATTCACGGCATCACGAATCGCCGGTACCTGGCCCCCACACAAGCCCCGGCCCTTCTTTTTCTTTTCCCTGACTCAATTTGATCTTCACATCCTATCTCTCTCTCTCTCTCCTCTCTTTGCTATTTCTTGGACTTCCAGTTCTTAATTCTGTAAGTCTCGCCTCCAATAATATCTCCCCAACATTTCTCATTTTCCCCTATCGCAAACACCTCAACAAATCCCCTCACTTCTCCCCAATCCTTGTCCTACATCTAACAACCGCAACCTCAGATACCTTCATCATGTCTGCCACTCAAGAACTCACCTTCGCGGAGATCGCCAAGCACAACACCAAGAAGGATCTCTACCTGATCGTCAACGAGAAGGTCTACGACTGCAGCAGCTTCGTCGATGAGCACCCGTACGTTATCCCTCCATAAACCACCGAATGGATCCCTATACCCAATACAATACCCGGAGTCAATGAAGACATACCCTGTCCGCACAGCGAGAGAGGGAACGGGAGCAGAAAAACAAGACGGTGGATAAGGAGGGAGAAAAAAAAAACACCAAAACATCAAAACAAGCTACAGATTAAACCTGCTCCTCTCGCATCGCCAACACCCTCAAACCACCACAATCACAGAAACAGAAAACATCCAGAACCAAGCTAACAAATCCCAGTGGTGGCGAGGAAGTCCTCCTAGACGTCGGCGGCCAAGACAGCACCGAAGCCTTCGAAGACGTCGGCCACAGCGACGAGGCCCGCGAGATCCTCGAGGGTCTGCTCGTCGGTACCGTCAAGCGTCTGGTACGTGGCCCTGGCTGATTCTTTCCATTTGCCTAAAACCCCCATTCCCATTCCCATTCCCATTCCCTATTGTTACACCACCTCGGCCCCCCCCAACCACGCACGCGCAATATCACATGCACCATAAACCGATCAAGACTAACAACCCAAAACAGCCCGGTGACCCCGCCCCCAAGTCCGTCGCCACCCCCAGCACCGACTCCTCCACCTCCACCTCTACCTCCGGCTTCGGCGTCGGCCTCTACGCCGTCATCCTCCTCGGCGGTGCCCTCGCTTACGGCGCTTACAACTACCTCCAGGCCCAGCAGGCTCAGCAGTAAAAGCTGTGCTTTAGATGTTTTGTTTTGTTTGGACTGAGAAAGTTGGAATGCGGAACTGAGAATTATTTAGATGGTTTTGGAACCAGTTCATGCGAGGATTCTTTCCACTGGAAGTTTTATGGCTAAAAGAGCAGAGAGATAAGAGCAAGAGCGTTCTTTTTTTTTACCTTTTTACCTTTTTTTGAGAGTCTTATGAGTTTATATGCTCGGTTTTTATTACACTTTATCTATGGATGTGTTGTTGGTATAGCCTTATTGGATTTATTTTTTCTTGTGTGGGTTGTGGTGCATTGGATATAGACATGAACATGTAGAAATTAATGTACGCAGTAACTAGTTACTACACAGTATGTATTTCCACAGTAGCTCATCAACAGTGGAGTGATGATAATAGGCCAGATACTGTGTAACTGGGCAGTGGGCACCGGCTCGGGCAGTCCCGGGGGAATGATTTACTTCTTTTGGGGCGACGATCCGATCCGTCTGTTCTGCGGGGAATTGTCCTTGAGCTTAAGGGAATTCCTATACTAGACTTGGCTGTTTAAAGACTTTTGATCCTGCTCTTTCTATAGGTAAATAGTTCCATTGGATGGCACCTTCTGTACTAGTAGATGTACTACATGTACTAGACAAGCTACACAAGAGAACGTGAGAAACATGAAAAAGCTGAATTGAGAAAGCTTTTAGAGAAAAAACCAATATTCATGAACGTAGATACCAAAATAATAGAAAACAAAGAATCGAAGAGTTAAAAACTCAAGGTAAGAAAATAGAAAACACGGTTCCCGCTCGCTCGCAACAAAAGTAGAGAGAAGGGGGAAAAAGGTATGCGTTGAACAAGTGCGGGTTACTCAAGGAAAGCGAGATTATCGCAATCCTCAACGCGACGAACCACGAAGACCGTTCTGCACAGCCTCCAGAATCATCTCCTTAGCTTTTTCGATACCGGCAGAGCTACCGCGGATCTGGATTGCCTCGCCGAGAGCCTGGTCCTTGGGCACGGTGATGCGGCACCCGGTCTTCTGGCGGATAGCGTTGATCTGGCTGCCGCCCTGGCCGACGACGAAGCGGTAGGTCTTTGGGTCAGGCAGGATGAGGTAGCCGGTGGCGGACTGCTGGGTTGCGGCTGTGAGGGCCTTCTCGACGACGGCGCGGGCCTTGGCGACGTTCTCGGGAGTACCGGTGAGGACCCAGGGGAAGGGGGTGGAGGCGGCGTCCTCGGCGATGTTGTCGACGACGGACCAGGAGTAGGCGTCGGAGGTGGTGTTGGGATCGTCGATGATGAGGGGCATGTCGGTGCCTTCGGGCTTACGGCGAGTGTCTTCGGTGGCGGAGGGGGCAGAAACGGGCAGGGGCTGGCCGGCGTGGTCGACGGTGACTTGGTGGTCGTTGCGCAGGCGACGGAAGATTTGACCGTTGTCGGCGATAGCGTGGTGCAAGTGGCTGGGGACCTCGATCGTCTCGGCGTGCTGCTCCTTCAGCATGGACTTGAGGTGCTCCTTGGCGCTCTCCACGGCGCTGCTGGGGCCCTTGAGCTTGACATCGGTGCGGCCAGAGCCCTGCTTGGGGATATCCATAGTCACGTTGAACTTGGACTCAATGCCCCGGCGGGTATCGCCGCCGCGGCCGATTAGCATGCGGTGCTGCGCGGTGGGGACGTCGATGACCTCCGTGATTTGGTCCTGGCGTTCCTTCACGAACTCATCGATTGCGGTGATGATGTTGTCAACAACCTTGCCGTTGCCCTCGAGACGGATGGTTGATTCGGTGCTCTCGGGACGGGGGAAGCGAACCATTCGGGCGGCGCTGCCGTCAGTCGGGCCACCAGCTTCGGTGACGATCTTGCGGATGTTGGCACCTATGTGAAAGTCAGTAACTGGAAATGAAAGATCACGTTGGGGCTAAAACGTACCGCCTCCGCCAATCAAAGCCTTGTGGTACTTCTTATCAACCTCAATAGTCTTGGTAACCGTAGCATCGAACTCGCTAGCCCGCTGCTGCAGAATCTTCTTTGCCTCCGCAACTTGCTGCTTAGTACCCTTAACGCGAATCTCCACGCGGCCCGATGCATCCGGCGCATCGCTAGCGTTGGGAACATCGATCTGGGCACCGGTATCAGCACGAAGCTTGTCCATCTCACGGCCGCGCTGGCCGATCAACGATGCGATCTGGCTCTGGGCCACAGAGACGGAGGCAGAGTGACCGTGCTCAATGACATACTGCAGCAAGCTGAGGATCTCGTCACGAGCAGAGTCGGCGCCCTTGCTGGGACCCTTGATAAGAACCTCATCAGGAGCCTGCTGAGTCCGCTGGGGGCGAGCACCAGCATCGCTGCTGGTCTCAGTCTCGTCGTTGGAAGCAGTTGCGCGAGGGAACTGGACGCGAACGGAGTATCGGGTCTCGAGACGGTTGACCTGGTTTCCACGCTGGCCAATCAGCTCACGGTGGTATTGGGCAGGAACCTTGAGGATGTGGGTGGTCTCATCCTCCAACTTCTTCGCCATGTTCATGATGCGCATGCGGGTAGCATCCGCCTTAGCCTTTGGCCCCTTGACCTCGACCTTGCCGTTCTCCACCTTGATGTCCACGTCGAACTCCTCGCGAAGCTTGTTGATGTTCTCACCACGCTTGCCAATCAGGAAGTTAGCGTACTTTTGGGGGAAGTCGAAGCTGATGGTGTAACCACGCTCCAGGTCATCCTGCTCCTGCTCCACGACGAAAGCTTCAAGCTTCTGGATAAGTTCAGCAACCTGGGCCGAGGGACCCCGGAGAGAAATCTCGCACTTAGCGCCCTTTGCTTCACCAATGATAGCACGAACGGGGATGCTCTCCTGGCCCTTGGCCTCCTGCTCGCGAGCAATGAACTTGCGTGCCTTCTCCTGGTACTTAGCCGGGATGGAAGCCGATTTAGAAACAATGTCCTGCTGGTCACCCAGGCTGCGCAAGAGGAAGTCCTGAGCCTCTTGCAGACTCTTCTCGAAGGCTGCGATATCTGCGGGAGATGGGCGCTGTCTGGGGACCTCGAAATGGGAGGCCGTGGCGGATGGACCCTCGTAAACGAGGACGACCTCAGGGGAGTTGATGTCATCGGGAATCATCAGGTGGACGCCATAGTCACCCTGAAGGGTGCTGGCGCTTCGGTCCCGCAGGTACTGGTGGAAGTATGGGTCCACAGGAACGTGACGAAGTCTGGAAGGCGGGAGAGCCTGGACCAGGCTCATGATATCGGAACGGGCACGGATAGTGTTCTTGCCGTCACGGGAGTACACCTCCCAAGTGACGGGCCCGCCCACGCTGGGAGGAAGCGCGATGTGAGCATCATAGGCCTTTTCGAGTTCCTTAATGACCTGGCGGCGACGAAGGTACTGGGAGAGAGCGCTGGCGTGGGCGTGAGGACCGGCGGGCGCAGAGGGGTGCTGGCGAGACAAATCGATGCTAGCCATCTGCATGCTGGTGGCGAGATCCATCGCATGCTCGATACCAGCCTCAATCTGGTCGAGGGGACCGGTGATAGTCAAGAACTCACTATCGTCCGAGGGAGGGGGCAAGACAATCGCACATCCAGTCTGTGCAACAAATTGGTGCAGCGCATCGGCCTCGTTGCCCAGAATGAACTGGTGCTGACCACGGTTGATCGCCAGCTGGCGCAGGGTAAGCCGTTGGCGCAACTGCGCAGCCAATCGCTCAATCTCGGCACGAGCCTCCTGGGCGGCAGCCCGTTCGCCAGAGATCAGAATGTGCTTATCAGGCACAGCCACGAACTGGACCTGGCCAGGGTTGGCCTCCGGGGGAGGGGGCTGGGTCGACCAGGTATCATAACGAGGAACTTTGATCTGGGCCTTCGTGCGCTCCTCCAGGGCCCGCACATTGGCGTCGTGAGCACCCGCAATGAAGGGGAAGAACTCAGGAGGAACAGTCTTCAATCGGAAGCTCATGTTCGAGCCGCGCTCCTTGACGATAGCCTCGATCTCGCGGCGGGCCATCTCCGCAGACACGGCATCTCCCTCAATCACAATGTCAATGGTATCATCGTCGTCATCGTCAGCTCCGGCAGCGTTGGCGTCGGCACGGGGCACCTGCACACGGGCACCGGTGCGGGTTTGAATATCCTGCACAACGGCACCTTGACGGCCAATGATGTGAGCGCGCGCGGAGGTAGGAACGGGAACACGGACGGATTGCTATTGAGACGAATGGGTTAGTCTGGAGAATCTGTTTGCGCACTTCCAGTCCACGTACCTTGGATCCGACCTGTTGAGCCACCTCACGGAGAGCCTGGCGCACTGCGTCCACGGAACCCTTTCCTTCGAATATTATTGACCCACCAGGGCCGCCGCGCATATCAACGTTGGCCTTGGATCTGCGGGAAATGTCGCGAAGAATGTCGCGGAGGGGCTTCCTCAATTCTCCGCGGGGTTGCATCTGAGAAGGGGCTAGGCGCAGCTGCTCCATGTGCTTCCCGGGCAGGGCCATGATACGAGGAATCTCTGTTTCTGCGGTGTCAGCAATATCCCCAAAACCTTTGCGAACTCCAGAATGCTCTACGTACCCATTGGCTTTGCGGGTGATCCATTTGTGGCAGCCGCAGTCGCGGAAGGCTTCTTCGCACCCCACGTAGCGGCCGCGGGGGCAGTAGGCTTGGGACCACTGCCCAAAGCTGGGAACAATTCCTCGGATTGCACATCAAAGGCGGGGGCCTTTTTAGTGGCGGGCTTAGGAATGGGGGATGGGGAGGCAGTTTGGGCGGGTGTAGGCTCGGGAGTGTTGGCATCTACAAGGAGAGGCTCAACTGGCTGCGCGGCGGAGGGAGGAAGGTGTTTGACATCCTCCTCATCCACAACTTCCTCCACCGTGGGCTTGTGCACCTCGTCGCGGGCGTGCTGCTGCTCCAACATAGCGGCGAGAGATCCGCCATTGGCAGGGGTAGACGTTTCAGCGGACATTGCGAATGATAAAAAGTCGACGTTAGATCCGGGTTGGAGAAAGTTGGTAGATATGCACAAGATCCTGCAATCAAGACTGGTCCGGGTCAGTATGCAATATCGGCGGATCAGGACCGATCACTGTCATCTGATAGTGTAGGATTCAGAGGAAACCACGTGCGGTAGAGCTTACAAGTGACAGAATATTGCTCCTCAGGGTTAATTGAGGATGTATAGCCTTTGCTTCAGGAGAATGGGAGATGCCGAGGGAAATGCAATGCAATGGCAATTTGGACTGGGAAGCGTGGGAATAGAAGAGAAGAACAGGGGCTCAAAGAGAGGAGCCACCTGGAAAGAAAGTGAGAAAAGCGAGAGAGGGAGAGAGGGAGGCGGAGAGTGAGGAAAAGGTGAAGGTCGAGAACCCCGGACAACGGCGCGAGAGTACACAAGTGAAAAGGCCAGCTCGAGTCTCCGGGGAAGTTTTCTCCGAGTCCGTCCCTACGCTTCGCATCAACACTTGTCGTTTTGACACTCTTTTTTATTCAATTGAATTGAATCTTTCTGCCAGAGTATCTTAACCTGGTAGAATTGATCGTGATCAGCTTGTTTTCACATTAAAAACCACGTGCACATGCTACAGCCGGACTTCAACGTACAGTGCTCCGATCGCATGATACAGATAATTAAGCCGATCAGGTCAATGGATCTTTGGTGGATAGGAAATTGTCTTTGTTCTCTATATAATTTTTATATCAATCATTCCGGCAGTCATTGTATTTCGCCTCGCACGTGGCCAATACTGTGGCCAAGTATTAATTGTCCACCACGTCACTGTGGCTACAGAAGCATCTCAAACATAATTCGGAACGATCACTGAAAGCATTGGCATCAATCAGCCAAAGAACAGTTTCATCAAGAACCATAATAGGTAACAAGCATCTATCACATTATTCACGGCGAAGCGAACAGAAGATCCCATGTCGGATCGGCTGTGGCCGATCCGATGCCAGAATGTTCTCCCGTAAAGCTTAGCGGCAAATGGCCTTCCTTCTTGGCAGCTTTATTGTGTACGAACTACGAAGGACGAAGGTAGTCTAGAGACTTTATACACAACCATCTTGTCCCCATCTGCAGCCTGCTTGTCAGACCAGGACAGGGGGTTCTAAGCTTCTGAGGCAGTTTATCAGGTACTAACAGCAGTTACAGCACCAAGGTACTATGCCTTAATCATCGGGCTGCCGGCTATTCACCCAGGCGGCCAGGCCGTGTGGGTATGGAGCTGACCAGGCCGCCTAAGGCCTCCCATGGGGCATGGGCGCATGCTAAGTTAGGACTGGGGTGCTATGTTAACCAATTGACCGCGTCCCTCGCCCCCAATATGTAGGTTTCAGGTGGTGTGGGTGTCAAATGGGATGGTTTCCATCCTTCGATTGTCGCGGCGCTGACCCCGGGATGGCCCAGGCCGTGTGGGGACGGTGTGGAGTGTTCCCTTCAGATATCGTGACGGTCACACGGTGTGGCCTGATGAGGGGCTCCCTCGCACTACCTCGTGCACTTCATAAATAGTCTCCTCAGTCCTCACTACCTCCCAGCTATTCTCAAACAGACGAACATTCTCCCCCAAAGACACGATATCCAACCTACGATAACATCCCCCTTCCACGATCCACCATGTCGACCCCAATCACCTTCTACGACATCGCAACCAAACCCCCAGTAGAAAAAACCTGCTGCTCCCCAAACCCCTGGAAAACCCGCCTAGCCCTGAACTTCAAAAACCTCCCCTACACAACAAAATGGGTCCCACTGCCCGACATCACGAAAGTCCGCACCAGCCTTAACATGCCCGCCTGCCGCAAATTCGCCGACGGCACAGACTTCTACACCCTCCCCATAATCGAGGATACCGCAACGAACTCCACAATCGGAGACTCCTTCGACATCGCTGCCTACCTACAAAGAACATACCCAGACTCAGGCGCAGACCTGTTCCCCGCACAGAAACTCGATTACGTCTTCAATTGCGGTCCCGCGGCCATACCGTTGACCGAGTGTCGCGAGAGCGAATACCCCGAATACGCGAAGTTCAATGTGAACGTCGACGCGGCCTTTACGGCACATGTCCTGCTGGCGATTGGCAGGTTCCCGTTTGACCCTGCGACTGCTGAGGTCAGTAAGGCGGAGTTTGTGCGGCGTGCGGGTCTGTCGCGTTGGGAGGACTTTAATGTTACTGGTGAGGCGAGAGAGAAGGTGAAGGAGTCATTTAGGGAGGCGTTGGGTGGTCTGGCGAAGATTTTCAAGGATGGTGGGCCTTTCGTACTTGGGAACAGAGCTAGCTATGCGGATTTGATTATAGGTGGGTGGCTGCGGATGTTCCATTCGACGATGCCCGAGGGTGAATGGGAGGAAGTGAGAGCTTGGCATGGAGGGCTATTTGGGCGGCTGTATGATGCTTTGGAGGTATATGCGAAGGTGTGAAAGAGGATGTTGGTTTCAAGGACATAGGACGAGATAATCAAGCTCTAATCAGATTTTAAGATCTGACACGTATTCGGAGAAGGAAGAGCCTTGATTTCTACTCATCTTCATCAAAATTGCACGCTATAACTATAGTGCTTTCGTCCAATGCTACGCCTTCGCCTAAAAGGCACCCTCTAACTTTCTCGGTCCAGATTCCAGAAATAAGAACTGGAAAGCCGAGGCGATGGTCTCTCAATGTTAAGTGCAGTCACTCCGACATGCCGTTTAGCTTTGTCAGTTCGGTGACATTCCTCCATGCACGGTGTTACCGGCTGGATTGTGGACACGGAGACATGTAGCGATACTACATCGGAGACATGTCGGACTTGCCAAGTCACTTCAGAGAGATAGCAGTCTAGCCTCGGAGTCGCGGTATGCGAGGGATCTGACAGCCCCGGGAACCTGATGTTGATGCCGTGAACTAGGTAGCCTCGGGAGTGGGTCGGGTTCCAAGGAATGCGCCAAGTACAACCTTAGTACGAACCTTGGAAGCGCTGGAGTTTAAACCTACCATGTAAGAATATCTGATAAGGCTACGTTGACCAATGCTCGATACCTAGTAACAGATAAAACAATAATGTAGATGTCCAATTGAACTGTTCAATCACCTGAAGCTCATGATTCCAGTGTCAAATTATAGAAATTAAAGTATCCAGCCAGACGCAAAAAGAAGCGCATCATGACAGAGGCCAAGACGGCATGGGTATCGAACAACGAGTGCAATAATCCCAAAAGTATATGAATCCAACCATGGACAAAGAAAAGAATGTAGAAAGAAAGATATGTATCAGCCCCGCGGGCCTGCCACGAGATATGTGCATTAAGACTTCACGTAAGGCCAGCCATCCTTCCAGCCAAGTACGTTCCATCCATACCGGTAGTTGGCGTTGTCAGACTCAGTGGTACTCTGCTTGGTTGCAAGCGGGTAGTAGTGGTAGTACATCACGACACCGAGATCTTTGTCGTTGAGAACACCCTGACCACCGGGTCCAAAGACCTGACCGTGGCTGGAGAGAAGCATGGTACCGCCAGTCTCCTTGCAGGATTTTCCGTCGGCATCAACCTGCGAGATGTCAGCACAAAATTCGTTTGAAAGGGGAAATTGGAATAACATACAAAGTCACCGAGGCCAGTTTTGGAGCGGCAAACGCGAATGTGGTACTCAGCACCCTCGGCAGGGAATGTCTTTGTGTACTTGCCGGCAATACCAGCAGAGTAGAAAAGATAGTAGTAGTCGCCGTGCTTGAACTCGTACGAGCCCTCCTCGCGGTGATTCAGAGTGGCGTTCCAGGAGATTTGGTAAGGAGTTGCGCCGCCGACTTTGAGAGGAGACTCCATTTCAACCTGGTAGATGTCGCCCCAGAAGGAGCCAAAGTTCATGTAGTTCTTGCCTCCAATGCTGATCCAGGCGGGGTCAATGCGGTTGTAGTTGTTGTTCGCGGGAAGACCGATCACACCGTGATCTGTCCAGCTGCCGGGCTCCATGGTCTTGGATGTTGCGACTCCGATTTCTGAGGTCTGGGTGCCGATCTTGGAGAGGACGTAGTACATGTAGTACTGGTCGTTCTGGTAGTGAACATCGGGAGCCTGTTAAATGAATGTTAGCTTCCAGCTTGCATACATGTTTCCTTCAAGTGCTTACCCAGATGTTCTTACTATCCACACCGTCGAGGTGAATACTAGATCCCTCGGGGATAGCGGCGCCAATGTCCGTCCATGGACCCTTCACAGACGGTGAGCTGTGCGTGGGGATACCCATGCCTGTCGAGAAACGGAAATATTTCCCATCAGAGACACGCTGGATCATGGCAGGGTCGTGCGCCCAGCAGTTTCCCGTGCAAGGGCCCCGATTGGGGTATGCGCTGGCAAGCGCCGTAAATAGAAGCGGAATCAGACCAAACATAATGACCATATACACAGAAGGAAGGGCGGAGGAGGAAAGAGCCGACGGAAACTAGCTGTGAGTAAGTTAAATTGAGGCTGGGAAGGGGGAATGGCGTCCAATTTATGTTGATTCGGTCTGCTTCATTCGCAGCTTCCCCCACGCAGCTTGTTGGGTCCCGAAGTATGACCCATTTCGCATGGAAAGGAACAGCTGATCCAATCACTGCCTGTTAACCCCTGTCAATCGCCTGGATAATGTAAGGTGCATGGCAGTATTTGCGCAGCCTAACTGGGCTCCGCGCCGGAAGGGATGAGCTCATGGAGAACACCCCCGGACTGGAGCACTGTATTGCTCCTGTGGATCCTTGTAGTATCTCCCAAAAGAGTATCTTTGGCATGAACACAGGGTTACTACTACCTTGCTACTTGGGTCAGGGACACCGACTGTCTGTATCCCTAATCTGATGTCTCGTATGATGTACATCGAAGTACAATACTCCATACTAAATGTGCAAGGCGCAGTCGATGCAAGCTACGTTTAACTTCAGCTACATCTGCATCTCGCACATCCTCCAGGTTTACACTGATGACCGCCTCACACGATCGAGTAATTAAATGGTCCAACGTCTCGGCTCTCGGCAGATCGAGGAACTGGATATGAGTTGTGCTGCGAGTTTGTGCTGGCCCCACATTCTCTCCAGCAAGGGAGGGCATCTTCCCTTGTCAAACTATTGAATCTAGATTCAGGAGCTTCTAGAGTCAGGTCCAGTTCGCAATTTCAATTTCTGTCTCTTTTGAATCCTTGCTGATGCCCTTTGACACAGAGCCTTCTCCATGGAATACATCATATGCTTCGTCGGCATGGCTTGATTCTTGTTTACGCCAGTGTGGTCCGAGAGCCGTGATCCGCGTCCATGTGGACCGTAAACAGGCCAATCAGGTGGAGAACCATCAGCTCCGACCCCCACACCTATTGATGTACCTCATGTATTTGAGATCCATGAAGTTAAAGAAGAAGAGTGTGTCACGCGAAATGATCACTGTCTGCGCAGATCGCTGCGTTTCTCCACGGAGCAGCTGAGGCGAGGATCTTTTGTTAGGCGTGTTGGGGAGAATCGATATGGAAGACACATTTGAGTCGATTTCTCCGAGTTCTGCAATTGCTTGTCCAGGAATACAAAATACCCGATACGTAAATGTAAGCATCCCCCATGTCATCGGCGCTATCGTCAAATCAAGCAACATCGTCATTGAGCCTCTCCCACCCCCGTTTAGACCCAACGCTCAATTTAGGCACATAATTAGTTCCGATCTCTCTCTTAGGGTCTTTACCTTTCAGGTAATATTCCTGGCAATCTTCGGAGAACAGTCAGCTGAACTGAGTCTTGATCAATAGCAGGATGCCACACCGCTATATTGGGGCTTGGGTCAAAAGAGATGACAGACGCCGAGAAGTGATCCAGTCCATTATTCGGGGCCAAATAATTTGGGAGTGGCTCACGATTCCTCGAAATAGAGACAACTCTAGACAATTTGACGTTGCACCCGCGACAGGGCTGAGGTATTTCTAAGAATATCTCTGGAGAAGGAATGCGAATGCCCTGTTCCGCAACTTCGAGGCCGGGCCATTGCAAGAAAAAGGAAAGAAATTGCAAATGACAGAGCGACAGGGAAAACAAACATTCCTGGTGTTGTCAACCTTGGCCAGTTTGAGATAAACTTGTTAATCGAGACTCGCTCTACTACACATTAACTGGCTAAGACACTCGATAGGGCTACTTCTCCAACGTGACTTTGTACCAAGGTCAAGCTATCTTACAATTCTCAGCCCCCGGACCCCGAACCCAGGGCACGAGACCCCCACATCTCCAGCTCGTCGATGGCTATACTGCTTACAGCCTTACAATAATGTTTTAGCCACGTGTATATGTACGAACAGCTCATGCTAAAGTCCTGAAAGGGCAACATTTATCCACCGTAGGATGGGTGATTGTTGACCTGGTTGGTGTTTGTAGGGCTATTAATCTGCTTTGAAATAAGCCAGTGGGGGTTAAGGGGTTGGGCACAGCGCAGTCCTGACAGTGCCTTGAGATTGTTTGGTCCCTCACAACCCTGACATTGTCTCAGGTGGTCCTAAGTAACAGAGGCCTCAGTCTCGGCTGTCCGGTTGAGACAGAAGGAGATGCCTGCAATACTAGTATGTATGACACTGATGAATTCCAGTTGGTACTGTGTAAGAGAGTCTTAGAGACCCAGAGATTCTCTGTTTGTAGGTGCCTTTTTGGTTTGTCTCGATACTTATGATATGACCCGCTATTGGCGCGGATGTACATACGCATAAAGATGATGTGTACAATTGTCAAAAGAACCAGTCATATTCTGCCAGGGCATGGTACTCAGATACTGTGGTCCTCCATCACTTTATGAAGTGAGTTGACTACTGTAGATTCAAATGTGAAAAGCCTACGAAAAGAGTGTGTTACATACTCAAACAATATTTTATTCACGATAGCCCGCACTCTATCTACAAGGGATAGATAGAACTTTTGACAGCTGTGCCTGGACATATCCTGAAGAAGCACTCAGCAATTGGTTGTTTTTTTCCTTTTCAGTTTCCTCTTCTCCTTGCAAATCAAAGCAAATCAAAACCAAAAGGAACAAGGCAGAAAATTGCAACGTATGATGCCATTGCCTTCATTTTTTTTGTTACTTGACGCCTTTCGTTCTTCTTGGAATCCGAATCACACGTGAACTTGTCGATGGGGTACTTTTTTTTAGTTTTTGTGTTTTTTAAAACTTTTTTTAGTTCTTTGTGTTCCTTCTCGCGTCTTCGTCCGGGTTCAACCTCAGGAACAACGGACGGCGAGAGAAACAAGCTCAATTGCCCCCCGGACCCAGCCAATGCTGCCAGTCTTCCTCCGCAGGGGCAGGTGTGGGTGTGAGATACTGACCCGGACCGTACTGGGGCGGGTGGATCTGGTTTTGTTCCGTGAGCTCTGGCGCTACTGGGAACCCTGCATTAGAGGTCGGGGCAAGTTGCTGAACCTCTGTAGGATATGGCGGCATGTAGGGGGGCTGCGCTCCCTGATAAGGTTGGTGAGAAGACATCACAACATCCGTGGGCTGGGGGTTAGGTGTCATGGGATAAACCCTATTTCGCTGAAGAAGATCTTGAGCCAGCCTCTTTGTCTCTTTGACCTCCGTGAGTATTTCATGAAGCAGACGAGTTTGCTCGACCTCGTGGGGATCTTCTATTTCAAAAGAAGACGCGCGAGCAAGACCACCGGAGCGAAGGCGAGAGCGGAAGGCCGATGATCTTGTATCTGAGCCTGCTGTCTTCGGAGTTGACGCAGAGAGCGTAACAGTGGTAGATGGTTGGATTTGGGGCCAAGGCTTGCCGAGACGACTGAGCTTCTGCTGCTCGGCAGCCAGCCACGCACTAAAAGATTCTAGTATCTCCGGGTACTTTGCGGTTGGAATTGTATCACCACTGAGAATGAATCTCCACTTCGGGAGAGCGCGATCAAGAACATCATCCGGCAGGAAGCGCTCGCCTTGAGAATCGGTCGCCAACGCAACATGCCAATATGGCGCTCGAACGGTCCAGGCAATGGTGCCAGTTAAGTAGAATACATCTCGGTTCTCTTTCATTCGCTCTCTGTCACCGGATCTCATGATACCTCGTAGCTCGTGTCCGGATTGTTCTGATTCAATGGAGTTCACAGGCGGGTGATCAAGGTCCTCTACCAAGTTTCGTATGGTCAACGTCGCTCACTGATGATTGAGTGGAATAGTGTACTTACCTAGGTTTGGTGGTAGCAGCCACCCACAAGTGATGTTTCCCTCGGGCAACTTATCGAAGTGCCAGAGAAGCCTCTCATCTGCCTTTTCGTCGATCAGAGCCCGAAGCCTGACCAGCCATTCCTCAGAAGCGGTGAATGTATCAGGTGTCTGGATCTTCCTGATCTCTTCCGCCTTCTGAGCGGTTGTGAAAGGGATTAGGATCCGGCAGAGATATTCAGGGACGTGGGATGGGACCTCGCCATGCTGTTTGACCGTAGTCAACCATTGACGAATGTGCAGACTCAGTTGAGCCTTTTGGACAATTGTGCCACCCTGCAACAGGCGAGATGCCAGGACGTCGTCCGTTTCGTTCCTCTTCTGTTCCTCCATCTCAAGAGGAGTCAAGTTGGCTTTCTCTGCCATTCTGCAGTGCGTACAGGCAGCAAAGCACTGTGAGGAAGGTCATAGTTAGAGAGGGTTGCAACGAGGCACCAGGGTGGTGACGAATGGATGGATGTTTCAACTTACCTAACTTATTGACGAGTTGGATGAGATGTGACAGCAGGGGAAAGTGAGAGTCAGATCGGTTGTCGTGGATGAGGCACGAGATCCGAAAAGAGACTGAGAGCCGACAAACAGCTGGCTGGTCAGATATTACTGGAAACAACACGTTAGAACTGCCAGAACGGGTAGAGGCACGGAAGCAAGTTGTGAGAACAGAGCAGTGATGGATGAAGGGGAAGATGGACGAAGGGGAAGATGAACGAAGAGGAAGATGGATGAAGAGGAAGTTGCTACGAAGAGCCAGGGCGGTGATGAATGGGTGGATGCTTCAACTTACCACGTGGTTGATGAGTTGTATGAGATGTGACAGGGAAAGTGAGAGTCAGAACAGCTGTCGTGGATGAGGCACGAGACCCAAGCAGAGACTGTGATCCGAGAAACAGCTGGATGGCCAGATGTTGCTGGAAACAACGCGTTAGAACTGCCAAAACGGGAAGAGCAAGGAAGCAAGTTGTGAGAACAGAGCAGTGATGGAAGAGAAAGAAGTTGGAGATAGGTGAATAGGAAGATGGATGAAGAGGAAGTTGCTTCGATGCACCAGGGCGGTGATGAATGGATGGACGCTTCAACTTATAAGAAAACATAATTCAAGGTACTTTCAGCACGTGCTGGATATCTGAGTTGAAGCTCGGAGACCGGATATAGTAAAAAGCGAGGACAAGATGGAAGAGCTCAGGATAAGTATTTAAGGTGAGCGTCAGATGCAAACAAGCAAACCAATCTAATGTCTACGGCAACTTCCTTGTGAATTAACTACTCGACGACCGTCAGAACAAGTGGTCCCCCAAAACGTCGATCCGTGAAGACCACATGATTCCAGGAGAGAGTGCTCTTCAACCTACGTGAACGACGAACCATTTACTGTGTACTTTGGCATGGTTCTTCTCTAGTCTCCGTTACCCTGCATACTGCGTACATTGAACCTTATTTCTTATTCTTATTTGTTTTATTTGCGCGGTCAATTCCCAAGGGAAACCTCAAAGATCAATGTTGGTTGAGTGCTTCTTGAGGCTGGATCTGTCAAGGCACAGCTGTTGCTCAAGAGTTCACCTATCCATTCAGTGCTAGAAAGAGTACTGATCATCTTCGATTTTGTGTCAGGATCGGACTAACCTTATATGATATCAAAAAAGACAATCGAAGAAGTGGTAGCTGTATGCTTTCTGCAAGACTGCAAGAGATGAGAATCATCCATGTCGTATCATCGTATGAATGAAGAGTGGCCCTGATCTGATATTGAGCCTACAGCTGAAGTCTTGGAAATCCAGTGTCCCAGCTGACATGAGTACGTGCCGCCATAGATAGCAACTAACTGAAGATGATAGGATGAGTGGATGGCTGATGAGAGGTCTCATACCTTCATGGAAACAACCAGTTACTTATTGGCCACATAGTATGATAGTCAAGCTGATTGGCGTGCACCCTTTGGAACAGTAAGTAGAACAACCTAGCTTGGCTGGCGACGGGCGTAAATAGAGTCTCGTCCTAGTAGCATTGCGGATGGATTTATGAAGCGGTTCCACTATGCAACCGCAAACTGGAGGTTAAACATAAGCTTAAATTTGTTTACAGTCACGTGATATAAGCTGGTTTCCGGGTTTCCCACCAATAGTTTCTAACTTTCCCTCCTCTCCACGCGGGGGTGCTACAAAAGATCACCATCCCATAATTTGAGTAAGTAAGCAGCATCCAGGCAAAGCCTTAGCCCATGGCCCTATGGGCCCATGGGGTCTATCACTCTACGGTACTTAATCGGTAATTTCGAGTCAGCTATGCATCATGTGTGAAGATCTGGAAGAGCCAACTGGCCAGTGGCAACGTCCTAACTCTGAAGGCCCCGGGGCTAGAGTGTTCGACAAGGAAGGAGCAGGATGTCGAGTATCTTGAATCTTCCACTATGGCTACTATTTAATTGAGTCTGTTAAGTTCAATGTCCATACAGGCTACTCGTTTAGCCTAGCGTAATATGACACACCCGACAATTACATAGCGGCTTTATACCTTCAAGACAAGAAGAACAACCTATGAGACATCCCAGACGCATCGAGCGTAAGTTCAAAGTTTTTAGCATGGCTGATTATGTCTTTCCATTTTGATCCCCCTCTTTCTTCTCGTCTGTCCCATCGGCCTCGGCCTGAGCTTGTGCAGGGACGTTGACTCCTGCCAGTCCTTCGATGACCTGGGGTAGAATGATGTCACGGCGGAATTTCTCCTCCTGGAGCAGTCGCAGGGCTCGTAACGTGGCGCCTGGGTGGGTAAGAGATTGGGAGTACTCCGGTGTCTTCCAGTACGAGTAAAGGTAGGCTAGATATGCCGCAAATGCCTGGGCATCTGGAGAAGCGGACTCGTCGTCATCGTCGTAGGAGATCCCCAAGAGGTTGGGGTAAGTGACTGCCAGATGCGATAAATAATAGGGGTTGGCAAGAGATGAAACAAATTCGACTTCAAGACTAAATCGCGGGTTCGTCAACGTTCTGGGAGGTTGTTCCATCTCCATGGTGGTGATGCTGAACAGTGAAAGATGAATTGTCCTTGAGAGAGCTGGGCTGAGTGTTTATCAGGTCATAACGCCTGACTCGAGAGAATTCCTCTAACTTGAATCTATAGAGTTAAGAAAGAAAATGAAAACAAAGAATCAAATTCATCTTCGTATTTTCATTCTATCGCTAGAGGTCTAAACCAAGTTCGGGGGACAAACCTACCAATACCTAAAACCTCACCAGCTTGGTGTAATCCAATATTCATTCCACGCACCCCTATCCGCATCTCCGAATTTATTGATCCCTCCCTCCACGCCATCTTCACCCACTGTCCATACACCACTTTCAACCAGCACTGTCCACCGTTCAAATAGTCTCTCCAATCTCTGCGATCGCCGCTCACCCCCAAACGGATGGAAATAACCATGTTGAAAGAGTTCCGTGAATGAACCCGAGGGAACTGGTCTTCCATCACTCATCCTAGCCCCATCCTCATCTCGGAAGAAACCAGGTCGAAGTGCAAATGGAAGCACGAGACGAAAACCTGCCTCCTCCATATCATAATCCCTTCGACGCACAGGTTCACTGTAGAGTCCAGCGGGAACGAGATCGTTGTCGTTTATGCTCACATTGTCATGCGCGGTCGAGAACAAGCGACGAATTTCGGGGTTGAGATCGACTAACCGGTCTGGAGCTGCAAATAGTAGGACCCCTGGGATACTATCCTCTTCATGAGGTATGCTGGTAAACCTCTGGCGTCTCGCAAATGCCTCCTTATCATGCGGGACCTCTAGCCCAGGTGCAATGAATTTGAAACGCGGAGTCTTAACTCGTGTTAAGAGCGAGCGAGTGAAGCAGTTTTGCGGCACAGCAGCTGTGTCCAGTTCTGCGCTGGTAAAGAGCGGAGCAGAGATGGGCAGAAGTGAGCCAGCGGGCATTCGAGATTCAACTGCAGCTGAGTAGCGCTCTATCGCAGCTATAGTGCTATCAATCTGGGCATCACAGTAAGGGAGCCACGACCACAGATAAAATTGTGATCTGTTCGTCGGGGGATCACCAGAAGGGAGTTCTTCAGGAAGCCCAGGAAGAATTTTACCAATCCGAGTCATATTGATCCATTGGGTGAGAATCGTTTCCAGCGGGTACCACATTTCCTCGTGCTCGTCAATAGGCTCCACACTTTCCATATTGTCTGTAGTCATTGGGAACGAGGCCCGATTGAGCTGTTGGTCATAGACAACGCCGAGGTTATGCCCGCCCAGTTCCGCAATAGTGCGATAAATTAAAACAAATCGCTCCTTGCCCTCCTCCATCTCGTTCTCGTCAATAAAATACTCGTCGATGAGCTCCATCGCAAGACGGTCAACCCAGTAGAAGAATGGCGGCATAGGATCATAGATTAAATCCAGGAATCTGTTAAGCGGCGCATCAAGACGCTCCCGCGTAGCTTGGACGTCGGGCTCATTTGCTTCATGGAAAAACCACCTTTCGCTGGCTAGCGCATCAAGGTCGGGTGTGTCTCTTCCGTTGCGGGCCATCCAGCCATATGCAACCAGGTAATTGTGTAGTTTGGCGCAGCGCTCATAGTCGAGAGTGCCGTCATCACGAGCCGGGTTGTCAGCGGACACTAAAGCGCCCTCAATATTGAGGATATCTTGTGCAGTGGTGTTCATGGTCAATATGATGTGGAAGGGCAGGAGTATCAGCAGAAGAAAGTACATTGGATTTGAGACCTTGGACCTTAGAAGTCGCTTGGATGGCAAAGGTCACGACGGTACTAGAGCAGTTAGACTAAACATAAGTTGACTTGAGTTGTCGCTAATAGGAAGAGACTTCATTGGCCCTGAGCTCCTATCTCCACTTCTAGGTACTGTAGTAGTTAGCTCCACCGGCTGATGTCTAGTAGTCAGAGAAAATGTAGGGTGAAGAGTTCTGTTATTTAATTGTGTTATGTGTACTTATTGTTTGGGGAACTTGGAGTGAGGCGTGGGTATTGTACTATTTCCTTCGGCTAATTATGACTTAGTGGGATGGGATAATAGGGTTCGCCGTGACGGCCGCTTCCATTTGACTCTTAATTGTGAGAAACCGATACAGCAATGCAGAGAGTTGAATACCATTGATTGGACCCCTACATTTTACCATACGGCCCACGCCGACCTTTTTGAACCTCTCCTAAGTCTCCTTTTGTCATTTCTGTTCCTTCTCATTTCTGTTCCTTCATCTCAGTCGCGCGCTTCTGATCACTTCTAGCCTCAATATCCAGGCGTAGTGAAACATTTCTGAATTTATCAAGGCAGAATGGTGCACAAGGCGCGAGAGGCAAATATATTTACCTACGCAAAATTTGATGTCGCTGTCCTTCTATCACTCGCGTACTGCATTCGCGGGAAGGAGTGCTCTTGTGACGAAACCCAGCGCCCTGATAGCGGTAGCCTGAATTGGGTCATCTTCATCTTATTTGAGGATGGGGTCGAATGGGTTTTCAGGTCGCCACGGAGATCATTCGGGCTCAAGAAAGCCACTGCCAGTGAGGTGCTCATGAGTGAGGTAGCAACGATGAAGTACCTCAGAGGAATGAGCAAAATACCTGTGCCAGAAGTGTTCTCTTACTGGTAAGCCTATTCCGTCTACCGGGTCTTATCATTTCGTTGACTTTGAATAGTGCGACCGACCAGAATGATATCAATGTCCCCTATATCTTAATGAGCAAAGCTTCCGGGGTACCCCTAAGCACATATCAATGGGAAGACGACATGGCCAGCCCGCCTGGCATCGGCGTCAGACCACAAGCGATCTTATCAACCACCCAAAAAAGGAAAATCCTCGGACAACTTGGGGGTATACATGCAGCACTGTCCAATATACGGTTCAGTGAAATCGGCTCGCTTTTTATGGACAACAATAACTCTTACACTCCACGGAAGTGCTTATTTCCTAGCCTAGTGTGGCAGCGTCGGGACAAATTTGATGATACGGACATCACACGTGGACCTTTCTCAGAAGCGAAAGCATTCTACATGGCCTCCATAGATGCGTTTCTTGCTCATTCAGCGGAACTACCGATGGAGCACCACCTCTTCCACGCACCGGTGCCTATCGTCCAAGAGTACGATGGCTTTGAAGAATATCGGCTGGCTACCGATCGATGGAACGATTACGCCACTGTGGGATCCAAAATTGAGAGCAGGAAGAACCGACTTGATTACACTTTAGTCGGTATCTCACTTAGGGATACTGTGGGTTTCTTTTCTGGGAAAGATACACAGACTAGTTGTGACGGTTTTCCGCTATACCACCCTGATATAAGCACGCAAAATATCTTTGTGGACGAAGATCTGAATATAATGTGTATTATCGACTGGGCTTTTGCGTCTTCTGTGCCTCCTGCAATGCTTCTTGTCTGCCCCGCCCTCCCTCACCCTCGTGATGGCATACATTGCTCTCTTTTAGGAGCCTTTGTTGACGGCTTTATAGCTGGAGAGGGGTTTAGTGGTGAGACTGCGCTTGACTTCTCACTTAACGACATTTTCTGGGCATTTTTTCGTCTGATTAACCTCGATTCTCTGCAAGACTTCCACTATTTCTCTCAACTCATCCATGCAATTATCGGACAGGAAGTGTACCCTTACCTTCGCCGTATTATGGGGAAAGCAGACTTCCTTGAAGCAGCAGAATACGTGCTGGAAGATGATGGTGACCAAGAAAGGCTGAGACGGGATGAAGAACAATACTTTTCATGCGTTGGTTCCCAGCGGCATGCGCTCTCACGCCATCTTACCATGATCCAACAACTGAATAATCAATTCGTTGCGGATAAGAGGTTATGGAGATGGATTGCACTTTATCTAAATCAGCGAGACTTGTATATATTTTCTTGACAGAGGCGTTCACGGTGAAGTTATAACTGGCAATGGTCATTAGGTTTAGGAATTTTACTATAGACATTCACGAGAGGCAGATATTTCACAGGTGCGGATGAAGGAGCATATGTCATGATCCAACATTGTAACATGGACTAACGTATTATTTTTAGGTAGTCTTCCCCATATGCATAAGTTGAATTACAAACCAATGACAGCGAAGACAAGAAAGTATGGAGATCCCAACGCGATCTTGTAAGGATCGACCAGTCGAGAAAGAGCCTCGGGGTCCGGACCGCGTCTTCTTTGCTCTTATTACTCGGTTGGCGATATTTGAGTCTAGTATTGACATGGGTTAGGGTAAACGCCTAAATCCTTCGTCTGACAAGGGTGATGGCAATTCGAGTTGATGAAGCGACGAGTGAAAGCAGAAGGCTAAGATAGATTGCCACCGATTTGCCAGAGTTGGGCCAACTATGCACATGGTAGTTACTACTGTGTACTTCGTAGACTCGTACGTACTGTAGTACACAGCAAGTTCATCCTCAGGAAAGTGGATACGTACTCCGGTACTCAGTAGAAGGCGACAGTTAACGGTGGCGCCGGAAGAAAGAAACCCCGCTCAGCATCGGTTACCCGCAAATAGTCCAGAGGTACCGGAGGGATCTGTGCAATATCACATTTGTCCTGTGTAGGACTGCCATATTCAACGCGAGGTCGAATCCCCAAGATGTTGGATCCGTCACACTTGACCAACAGCGGATTAACCTTTTTGGGATAGCTGCCAGGGACAAAAGGGCCTGAGTTACAGATACTTAAGCCACTTTGGCTGCGTTTGTGCAGAGAATATTCCAGTATCTACCGCCTCTCTGTCGTAGCCTTTCTTAAGGTAGTTACCCAGTGTACATGTATTTGTCATTAAGAGAGAACAACATACGAATCACCGAGAAAAAGTGTAGATCTCTCATGTCCATATAATTTAAGGATCATTTTGTATCTCGTCAAGTGTGATATCGGAGGCGTTTCTATTCTTAGCCAAGATGGGGAAGACTCTTTTATAGCTTGGAATGTCTCTGACTCGTCTGCTATTTGTATAGTTTCTATTGTATGCTTCGTAAACCCCCGTGGTATTAATTGAAGTAATATATTCAAATTATTCTTGACACATGATAGTACATGATTCATGTTAATTGGGAGCGTTGATAGATTTGCCATGTCCTCCCCCTAGTAGTTAACCTGTCAAAACCCAGCCACCCCAACTCCTTTTCCACAACTCCACGTGCTAACAATCAACCTCCTCTCCTCTCCATATTCTTCTTATCTTCCATTCCGTCGACCGAAAAAAACATTCGGGGACCCAGTTATTCTCCGCGACCGCAGAAACACATCACCTTGTCGACCTGGTTGGTCCACGGAAAAAAAAAGCCTCCTGCGTCTGACCCCTCCTCGGCCCAATTTGAATCTGTCTCGTGTAGAGACAGAATTCTACCCATCATGAATCAGGATAATTTCCCATTGAAATTCCGCCGAGCATCCAGCAAACTTCACAAGGACCCCCCTAGCTTCGGTTCGCGCATTCTTCGGAGTCACCAAAGCACCACATCATTGAAACGCACCCCCTCCGCTCCTGTTTATCCCCGTTCTTCTCCTAGTAGCAGTCGCGAGCATAATCGATCGCGATCCAACGCACAATTTCCAGGTTCTTCGTCGTCTTCGCTGGAACAGACCAGTGGCGGTCCATCGCCTTCCAACGACGAATCAAGCGGCTTTTTCTCCAACTTCTCCTCCCGATCTCGGACCCGAAGTTCCAACCGCTTCTCCTACAACGAGCAGAGTTCGGATGAACTGAATGCCCCTTACGAAACCCGGGGCATGCTCAGTGCGTTGGATGAGAACACTGCCGAGACCGATCCTCACTCCCACCAAAGACCCGAGCTCCGCTCTCATCATACCAGCCCCGACAACCGCGGACGCCACTCACTCCGCCAGTCCGCCAGCTTCACCACCTTAACGCAGCGGATGGATCCCTTCGCGCATCGTGAGACCGAAATGCCTCCAAATGGCACAAAACGGCATTCCGATGATGGCAATAACCCGAACCCACACCGTACGAGACAGAGCAAGAAGGCCAGCTTCTCCAGATTCGTGGACAGTGTGCTCGGAACACCCGGTCGCAATATGAAAATTTCAGCCCCCGAGAATCCGGTTCATGTTACTCACGTCGGCTACGACAACCAGACCGGTCAATTCACCGGCCTGCCGAAAGAATGGCAGCGACTACTACAGGAAAACGGTATTTCGAAGAAGGAGCAGGAAGAGCACCCACAGACCATGGTGGATATCATGCGGTTTTACGAGAAGAACACGCGCGGTGATAGTGACGATGAAGTCTGGCACAAGTTCGACAATGCGCAAATCACAGGGCAGGCCACAAGCCCCAAAGAACAGACATCGCCACCGGGCAGCCCACGATTCCCGCAACATCACGAGGCTAGCTTTGAGAATCCGCGGTCGCCTCCGCCAGTCCCCCGTGGTCCCCCAGCAGGGACCCCGGTCATGTCTCCTCCGCTGGGCGGTATGGTCCCTCACCGTGCGCCCCCAAAGCCGCCGACCGGCATGATACCCTCCCGCCCTCCTCCCCAACCCCCGGTCGCGAACGCGTATGGAGCTCCGCAACGATCTCCACAGGACACTTACGGCCCTACATTCGGCACTCCAACGATTCCGGAATCCGAGCCATTGCCAGTATCTCCCCACCGCAGTCCTTCCGGCTCTCGGAATGGCACTCCACCCAGCGCCGATGTTATCGCGTCTCCAACACAGTACCAACGGCAGCAGGAGCAAGTCATGGCTGCGGCTCAGCAGGCTTTGGATCGGAATCGTACCCAACGCCAGCAAGCACAGCAGCCTCCAGCCCTTTCCACTGCAACAACTGCTCCAGCACCCGATCTCTCCTCCGGAGTGTCGCCTACCGCGCGAGCTCCACCTGCTGCCAGGCCTAGACAACGCCAGCAACGGCAAAGCGAAGCTTTCGACATTCGGGCGCGCTTGATGCAGATTTGTAACCCCGGTGACCCTACGAAAATATACTACAATCTCAACAAGATTGGCCAAGGAGCTTCTGGTGGTGTGTTCACTGCATATGAGCACCCCAACAACAACTGTGTCGCCATTAAGCAGATGAATCTGGACTTGCAGCCTAAGAAGGATCTGATTATCAACGAGATCTTGGTCATGAAGGATAGCAAGCACAAGAATATCGTCAACTTTTTGGAGAGCTTCTTGCATGGACTGGATCTTTGGGTTGTGATGGAATACATGGAAGGCGGTAGTTTGACAGACGTGGTTACTTTCAACATCATGAGTGAGGGACAGATCGCGGCTGTCTGCCGAGAGGTAAGTGCCCACTTTGTGACTTGTGCCAGGGCATACCATGAGGTGCTAACCCTTCCAACTAGACTCTCAACGGCCTCCAGCACTTACATTCCAAAGGTGTCATTCATCGAGACATCAAATCCGACAACATCCTGCTTGCATTGGATGGCAACATCAAGCTGAGTGAGTTTGAGTCTTTTTCCATGTGGAATTCGAACCATGCTAATATCTTCTAGCCGATTTCGGTTTCTGTGCTCAGATCAATGACTCGCACGCCAAGCGGAACACCATGGTTGGTACCCCGTACTGGATGGCTCCCGAGGTTGTCACTCGCAAAGAGTATGGCCGCAAGGTCGACATCTGGAGTTTAGGTATCATGGCCATTGAGATGATCGAGGGCGAGCCGCCATACCTGACCGAGTCCCCGTTGCGGGCACTCTATTTGATTGCCACGAATGGAACGCCCGTCATCAAAGATGAGCACAACTTATCCGCAGTCTTCCGTGACTTCCTTTACTTCGCCCTGAAGGTCGACCCGGAGAAGCGGGCATCGGCACATGACCTATTGAAGGTACTTTCGCTCTCCGCTCACCATTGATTTTGCAACGATCACTGACCTTTCATTCTGTAGCACCCATTCATGAGTTATTGTGCACCTCTGTCGCATCTCGCCCCCTTGGTCAAGGCTGCTCGTATAAGCCGCGCCCAAGAGAAAGCCCAAAAAGGAGGCGCCTAAGAAGCGAGATGGACGACCACGTTTTTTTTATGTTTCGGTTTTATACATCGCACTTGATATCTCTTGACGTCCTGCTCAGATACCCCGTCACCTCAAATGTTTCGTTTTACCCGACGTGCAACTACCGTCCGTCGCGGAATCCCATTTACATGCGCAATTCATTCCTTTCCTGCATCGACTAGTCGATGAAAATGGCTCTTATGTTATGGAGATTTGCCCCTGACATCAACTCTGTCATCTATTATCTTTTATTGATCCTGGTGACAGTGATCTCTTGTAGATCTACTTGCATTTACTATTGCCTGAGCTTAGGTTCAATATCAGCAGCTACTGCACTTCTGATCTTGCCTTGTCATTGCACTTTATCCACATTGTCATAGGCATGTTCAGCCACACAGCCGGATAAGCAAATGGGGAAGAAACGCAGTAGCCTAGGATCATGCCCTATGATAGAACAATAGAACAGAAAAAAAAGCAGATTATGACAGAAGGAAAAGAAAAAGAATCAAGCCAAGGCAGCCATAAAAAAGGAAAATCTCTTCATTTTCTACTACAAACCCCAGCTAGCCAGCTAACAATAAACTTGTACGGAGTAGTCCACAGATCTCCAAAGTGGGCAGGGCATCGTCGTCATAGTATGCTGACTCAGGTGACGAAATCCCCTACACTTTACCCCAACACTGTCCCTGAATAACTTCCAAGGACCAGATCAACAGAGATCCAGCACTGCAATATCAGTCGCTTGCTACCATTCACTGTCAAAGTCGCGTCACTGGATTCTTACACCGCCCGCATCAACCCGCAGCCTACCCAGCCGCACCGTTCGCTGTCATCGACTCCCCGCATTCGCTCTGGAGAACTATTGCTACGAGCCACACAACCGGCGTCACAAAGAAAGTCTTGTCTTCGATTTTATTGGAACTCTTGGTCGGAGCTCCCACAAGCGAAAATAAAGGGAATCCCCTTTTCATAAGCTGAAGAACGCTGTGCGACTTCTCCGCCAATCTTCATACCACTTGGTGTTTACCCGCAACTATTAGAGAACATACGTTCGCGATGTTTCGTGCACAGCAGAATCAATTCGACGACGCCGTCGGTAAGCTATGTTCCTTGCTTTACTTTAACCTTTAATATAGCGGGCGGACTGGGCCTGCACATGAGAGATGATCACTGACGCTATTTGTCTCTATATAGCTAAGGCGACGGACGAAAACCTGACCTCCGAGAACTGGGAATATATTCTGGTGCGTCCATCTATCTGACACCATATTGTCTTACCTCGTTCCACACCGATTTGACGCATGAGACACGAGGACTGATGGGTTTTGTGGTATAGGATGTCTGTGACAAAGTTGGTTCGGAGGAATCAGGGTATGTGGGCTGCTCTTAAACAGAGTTCTGTAACTGTCCACGGCAAGGTTCGTTGCTGATTGCGATGGTCATGATTTAGGGCGAAAGAGGCCGTTGCTGCAATGATCAAAAGACTGGCTCACCGGAATGCCAACGTTCAGCTTTATACATTGGAGGTTCGTGACCGATATCAGTGCGCATGGGCGCAAGAAAACTCTCGTACCTGGTGACATCAACTGAGTGGTTTATAGCTTGGCAACGCGTTGTCGCAAAACTGTGGATTGAAGATCCATCGCGAGTTGGCTTCGAGAAGCTTTACGGATGCGCTTCTGCGCCTGGCGAATGATCGCGTAAGCAGTGCCCAACCCTAAACATTTGCCAAAGTGACCTTTATTCATGATCCACTGTCCAGAATACGCATCAGCAAGTCAAATCTAAGATCTTGGAGAGAATGGAAGAATGGACTGAGATGTTCTCCTCCAATCCAGATTTCGGTATCATGGAACAAGCTTACATGAAATTGAAAACAACGAGTGAGAACCCTTCACTTTATGATCGTTGGACTTGGCTGATTGTATACAGACCCGAATCTTCAGCCACCATCAAAACCAGGCAAGCGTGAGATTACCGATGTTGATCGCCAGAAGGAGGAAGAAGAACTGCAGATGGCGCTGGCTCTTTCAATCAAGGACAAAGCAGCCCCATCGGCATCTGTTACGTCAGCACCTCGCACTGAGCCTTCCTCGTCCGTTGCTGCTCCATCGGCATCGACTCCAGCAACCCAAGAAGAAGCAGCGGAGTCTCAACCTGTACTCTCCGGTACATCGGTGGCCACTGTGTCGCGTGTGCGAGCGCTGTTCGACTTCCAACCGTCTGAGCCTGGAGAGCTCCAATTCCGCAAAGGTGATACCATTGCCGTCTTAGAGTCAGTCTACAAAGATTGGTGGAAAGGATCCCTCAGAGGCCAAACCGGCATCTTCCCTCTCAACTATGTGGAGAAGCTTCCAGATCCAACTGTGGAGGAGCTGCAACGAGAAGCTCAGATGGAGGCAGACGTCTTTGGTCAGATTAAGAGTGTCGAAAAGCTACTGACTCTGCTGAGCACGCGCAACTCGGACCTCAATGTACAAGAAAATGAAGAGATTACTACTCTCTACCAGGCAACGCTTGCAATTCGTCCCAAGCTCATCGAATTGATTGGCAAATATTCACAGAAGAAAGGTTGATTTGCCACGCGACCGATTTTCTAGGATGCGCCGCTAACACATGACCAGATGAATTCACCCAGCTCAATGAGAAGTTCATTAAAGCTCGTCGTGACTATGAGTCCCTTCTAGAGGCATCCCTGGCCCACCCAGCACAGCCGCAATACGGACGACCTCCCCAGTCGCAATATGGTTATCCTAATGCTGCGGCTGCTGGATACCCCGTGGCTCCTCAGGCGGATCCTCGGTACTTCACTCCCCGACCTCAAGGTTAGTCCCTTGGAATCACCTACTGCGTCCAACTTCTAATTTTGCTCTTCCAGATACCACACCAACTCAGCAGAATGCATACGCCCCTTACCCAGTCAATGAACAGGCTATGCCTTATCGCCCAGCTTCTAACTCACCTGATCCCCGAAAACATGCCCAAGCCGGCGCAGCGCCGCCAGTGCAGCAGCAGCCACCCCAGGCCGACGCCTACCAACATCACCGCCCACAGTCTACATTTGACCACCCCCAAGAGTTGGGGACATCTGCCTACGATTCGCCTGTAGACCATCCTGCTGCCGCTCCTGCTCAGCGCATGCAGTACCCACCGAGTGGCCAAGCCCAGCCTACAGGCCACCAGCAATTCCAGCAGCAGCAACAACAGCAACAAGAGTATTCTCCTTCCGTCTACTCGTCTGATGAAACACCTCAGATCCCAGCTGCTGCCAGCATGCCACCAGTACCGCATCAATTCCAACAACAGCAGCAGGCTCCGTACCCCAGCTCTCCGGGTCTCCACCAATCCCCTCCATCGCATCAACCTCCGCCGGTACCTGGGGCAACGCCGCAATCGCAATACTCGTCCTATAACCCGGCTCCTCCGACTCCGAGTGGGGGCGAATACCAGGCCTATCAGCCTCCGCAGGGAGGAGCGGCTAGCTCGAATCCGGCTTCTTTCTATCGGTAATCTACAGTTCGCCTAAAGCATTGCTATTCGGTTAGTCGTGGTCAATACCTTGGTTATGCTTAATGATGGCCTTGCGCTTTGATACTCAAATCAGTATTCTCCGTTCATTCCCCATCAACGTTGCTCGCTTTTTGTTTCTGCTGTGTATCTAGCCAACGAGTATATGTATCGTCAATTGTATGTCAGTACATATGTGTCTTTTGCGTCCTCTTATTTGGCATTAGTGTTTTAGACATTCTGTTTGTAGATCTACTCAGGACTAATTCCAGGTCATCAACTCGCGATGCATTAGATACCTACGTGCAAGACCTTGCGGTATAGTGATACTTGGTGAGGATACCCATAGAATTTGATCTTCATGGATGAAGCCACAATGCTACATGCATAGTAGTACTAGCATCGGCCCAGAGGAAGCGGACACCATGGAATGAAGGTTAAGGACATAAGGTTGTACCCGAGCGGGACCAGCCATTTACGCCATTGGACTTTATCTGAATATGAACCAATGAGAAGCGCCCAATTGAGCAAGGGCGGATCTCCAAAAGAGCCAGAGCGGAGAAAAGAGGACTGAGCATTATGTACTTATTCGCCCTTGTCATGGCATCCAGTAGCTTTGGGCTATCCCTAATTTGGAGTTTGGGTACCGGGAGATTGAATATTGACATATGAATGTTTTCCATTGCGAGCAAAACCGATGCTATGGAGGGATACTCATCGGGCCTTTCATCAGAGGCTTCCTGGTTCCCGCAAAGTAAAAGCGAATGAAGTTCGCGAAAGAGAAAAGCGACGTAAAAAAAGAAAGAACGCCAGCGAGTGGTAGGTTAGTTGACTCAATAGACATCGGCTCAGTCCAGCAACCTGAGTATCCGAGCTTTACTTCGAATCAACTAAACATCTTGACCCTCCTGAGGCTCCTCCCTGACCTCTGGAGCCTGGTCATCGTCGGAATCGACGACAGGAGTAGCATCATCGCCAGATTCCTTCTTCACCTTAGAGGGCTCGGGGTCCTCAGGCTTTCCACCGTAGGTAGCATCCGACTCAGGAGGTTCGAGCTCTCCATCATGAGCAGCATTACTAACAGGCTCCTCCTTAATAAATTGGGACTCATCTTCCTCCACCGAAGCATCTCCAAGGTCCGCTTGTTCGGTTGTCGGCATCTCACTTGCCCAGGACTCGGTCCTCGGTTGCCTCTCTTTTGCTTGACATATGCGATCAGAGATCCATATGCCTTTTTCCCGCTCAGCCAGATGGCTTTGGGGATCGTGCAAGCGTTTTCTTCTCCTATGGAGGAGTAAAACTCATCGCTGATGTTGCCGGCAGCATCGAAAACGTGGTTCCGGTTGATGCTGTCAACCTTGATAGGGAAGAGGATTTTGTCAGCCATTCTGCACCCTTCAATGGCGTGGCTCCACTCGTTATGTTCTATCATGGTTTCCGCTTGTCTCCTCGTTTCGACGAAGACCAGAACTCTGTTGTTTGGCAGCATTTTTAAGCCTTTCACCTTGACGTTCTCGGTGGTCGCTTCCCTGCTGAGGGAAGCGCGGATTCTCTGAATCAACTCGGCCGAGTTATCCAGTGGTGATTCAAGGTTGGTGAACTCAATCTGCACTGGTGAGGGCATTATTGTTGATTTGTGTAGATGATGCATTGTTCCCTGGTTTAGCTGGGGGCTTTGTTGGTATGGTCTCGTGTCCTTCGCAGGCTTGTTCTGTCGAGCGACTACGTTCCATGGTTTGGGTGTTGTTGTAACGGGTGTTAGGTGGAAGGCCATCTTAGCCATTTCCGCTTTGAGGGACTCATCGCGTTCGTTCGCTTCCTTCCTGATGGTATTTCTCTCTGTCTCTTGGGCGACTTGGAGAGAGCGGGCCTTTTCAAGTTCGACATTCAGGATTTCCTCCCTTTGGATGGCTTTAGATAGTTCTTCGGCTAGCAGGCGTTCCCTCTCTTCTCTTCACAGGAGGGCATTTTGGAGTTTGTCCTCACGCTCTCGTAGGTCCGAATAAACGGATTTTAAGATTTGCCGCAATTTGTTGATTTCGTGGCAAAGGCTTGTGTTGACGGGATTGTCGTGTCGGAGGTCGCGTCGCTGCTGGTTGCCTCATGAGGGTCTGGTTGCGAGCTTTCCGGCCTTTCCGTCAGTCTAGGTGACTGACGGCGGCGGTTTTCACCTTCCTTGATGGCTGGCATAATCCCCCGGGGGCTTTCACAGCTGATAACGTCCGATTGATCTGGTGGTGAGGGTATGAGAAGAGAGGGAACGCCTGCTAGCCGAAGCACTATCTAAAGCCATCCAAAGGGAAGAAATCCTGAATGTCGAACTTGAAAAGGTGAAAAGGCTAGTCGTTCTGAGTGTTCTAGATGGCTGGAATCACCTATTTGATCTTATCACCGATCACGTGATCCGACCGTTGTGTTTGCCCGAGCCAGAAGCATCACAGTCGGAGCCCGTCCGCTCCTCCATTAGTTGCGCGAGGCATACCCAGCCGGCTGTGACCCTTAACGACGGTGTCGTTCGCTCACGACTCTATATCAGAATCAGAATCAGATCCCTGGCCCCTAACCCTCACTTCGCCCTCATATAATTACGAACTTCTAGCTTCCCCGCAATCGCGTCCCTCGTGCCAGACAATGCCCAGACTTGCGGTGTTACCACGCGGGTGAAGCCAGCAAGTTTTCGACAGGCCCTCTTAGGCCGACATATTTAATAAGGACACATACGAGGATAATACAAGTATCGAGCGCGGTCGCCAAGGCTACTGCAACATGGAGGCCGACTGGGATGAGCTGTCGCGTATCCCAATGCCGCCGCCGAGTGCGCATGGGATGCCCACTGTGGCCACAGCAGTGGCCTTTGACGATATGAACGAACTTTTATGGACGGGGAATGAATATGTGAGTGTTGGGCGACTGTCCTCTCGACATCTGCGAGTATTCGCTGACGAACATGTTCGTTTTGCCAGGGAGGGTCTCTTCATTTTACGGACCGGAGCTGCAACGATACACTTCAGTTCGAGCTCACCCAGTATCTGAGGGTGCAGTACGACAGATTATTTTCCATGAGCGAGGTGTGATCTCGCTATCTGCGAAGAGCGTGCACATGGTCACCCGACGAGGCGTGACACAGTGGCATCTTGCGCATGAAGATATGGTCGAGCTTCGTTGCATGAGCTTCACAGCCCAGACCAATCGAATTATCGTCGCAGGGTGTCAACGGGTCATGTTCACAGTGGACATTGATAAAGGCACAATTATCGAGAAACTACCCACTGAGCACGGCTACACAATCATGAGAAAGAGTCGATATCTTTGCGCTGCCACAGATACGGGGTCAGTCAATGCTCTCAGTCTCGTAGACTTCAGCGTCGTCAAATCCTGGAAAGCGCACGGAACGGCAGTCAACGACATGGATGCGCGGAACGACCTGCTAGTCACCTGTGGTTTCTCGGTCCGCCACCTTGGGTCCCCTATCGTAGACCCGCTTGCCAACGTCTATGACCTCAAAACTTTGACACCATTACCTCCGATTCCATTCCATGCTGGCGCAGCATACGTCCGCATGCATCCTAGACTCCACACCACCAGCTTCGTTGCTTCACAAACAGGGCAACTCCAGGTCATTGATCTTATGAACCCTAACTCGGTGAACTTGCGACAAGCCAATGTCTCGCTTATGCTCGGAATTGAGCTCTCACCTTCAGGTGAAGCCCTGGCTATCAATGATGCTGAATGCTTCATCCATCTATGGGGCTCACCCACCAAGGTTCACTTCAATGAAATGAGCAAAGAGACAGAATTTGCCGATGTTCCCACACGCCCTCCTCCAGTAGATTGGTCTTCGGACTCTCCACTGAATTTGGTGGGGATGCCCTATTACCACGAACGTCTCCATTCGGCGTGGCCAAGCCAATTGGTCTTCGAGATTGGCAGCCCCCGGCTCAGTTGGATCCAGCCATGTTGCCATACCTACGTCCTGCGGAGATGGGCCATCATGCTCCAAATCCAAGAAAAACTCGCCGCAACCAAGTAGAGAATACTCGTGCACTCACTTCAGCCGAGCCCGCTCTTATTGCACCAAAATTCTTGAGTGAGAAGGCTCGAGAACTCAGCAAATCAGACGGGCTGGTTGGTGACGCAACCGAAGCCCTGGCAGGGGCAAAGATCAATGGGGAAAGCGACGATGACCCATTGCTCAAGTACAGCAACGTTGAGATCAAGTACAGCCGATTCGGTGTAGATGACTTTGATTTCCGGTAAGTGCTTTGGTTCCATTCAAGCTTCTGTCCCTCACTGACGCTGTCATAGCTTCTACAACAATACCTCATTCTCTGGCCTAGAAACACACATCGCCAACTCATTCACCAACTCCCTCCTTCAACTCCTCAAGTTCATCCCACTCTTCCGCAACCTTGCCCTGAATCACGCCGCGGGATCATGCATTTTCGAGCACTGTCTTCTGTGTGAGCTCGGATATCTGTTTGATATGCTCGAAAAGGCAAACGGTCAAAATTGCCAGGCCACCAACCTGCTCAGGACATTTAGCAGCTTCCGAGAGGCCTCGAATCTAGGCCTCTTGGAAGAAAATCTCACCAACAAGTCTCTTTCGACTGCGATCCAGGCGGTTAACCGCTTCTTCCTGACTCAAATAGCTCAAGACTTCCGGAAGATTCAGCCAAATTCAGAAGATCTTGACCAACGCCTGGCCACTATTGCATCCGAGTCAATTCGGTGCATGTTTTGTCAGAATGAGATCGTACGCCCTGGGAATTCATTGGCCAATGAGCTGATTTACCCGAATATTGACATTAAAAATGCACGACGCAACCCGTTATTCCGATTCTCCAGCATTCTCCGTGCAAGTATCGAGCGAGAGACACAAAATCGTGGTTGGTGTAATTATTGCCGTCGCTACCAGCAAGTGACCATTCGAAAGACCATCCACCGCATGCCTTTGATTCTGGTGCTGAATGCTGCTCTTACCAATCCCCTCTGCCGTCGTCTCTGGATGATACCTGGGTGGCTTCCAGATGCCGTTGGCATTGTCGTTGATTCTAACGGACAGGTGATGTGCTTTGAGGGCGATGATCTTCAATTACGCATTCATAACCAGACTCCTGGCCTCGTGGTTTATGATTTGGTCGGCTTAGTTGCCGAAATTGACATACAAGAACATCAGAAGCCGCATTTGGTGTCTTTCATTAATGTCGGCATCTCGAAGGCTGAGTTTGGAGAGGCAAGCAATTGGCACATGTTCAATGACTTCTTGGTCACGGAGGTCGACAGAGACGAAGCACTCCGATTTACGCAACCTTGGAAGCAACCTTGTGTGCTTGCTTACCAAGTGAGAGACCCACGCCATGTCATCGACGACTCGTGGAAGAACCACGTTGATAAGACTCTGTTATTCCGAGAGTGGTCTATCAAGTAAGTTTTTGAATATCCCCCGATCTTGGTTGCATTCAAGCATAAATGCTAACAACTGTCTACTTACAGCGGCGGGCGTCCGGTTGAGACTTGTAAGACACTGACTGAGGAGGAGAATCCGCAGCCCGGGACCCCGGTTGCACTGGATACCGAATTCGTCGATCTTGAGAAGGCCGAGATTGATGTCAAGGCGGATGGATCACAAGAGATGGTCCGCCCTAATAAGAGTGGCCTGGCTCGTGTGTCTGTTTTGCGCGGACATGGCGTCCAAGAAGGAGTGCCATTTATTGATGACTATATCACAATTCGCGAGCCGGTTGTGGACTACGTCACTCAATACTCCGGCATCAAGCCCGGGGATTTGGATCCGCGAACGAGTGAACACAATTTGGTCCCACTGAAGGCGGCCTACAAAAAGCTTTGGCTGCTTCTCAATCTTGGCTGCGTGTTTGTCGGCCACGGCCTAGCCTCCGACTTCCGCAAGATCAACATCCAAGTGCCCAAGGCACAAACTGTGGACACACAGTATCTCTTCTTCCACCCAAGCAAGAACCGTCGTCTGAGTCTCCGGTACCTAGCCTGGGCTGTATTCAAAGAATACATCCAAGAAGAACCTCTCCCTGAAACTTTGCAGGGTCACGACTCCATTGAGGATGCTCGCATGGCCCTGCGTCTTTGGAAGAAGTTCCAGGAATACGAAGATGCAGGCATTGTCGCGCAGATGCTGGAAGAAATCTTCCGCGAAGGTTCGAAGCTTGGTTTCCGCCCGCCTCCCAAGAATGGAGGCACTGCCACTGTCCTCTCCCGGCCCGGTACTGCAGTCACCATGCAGAACGATAGCGGCCGCAACACCCCTAGTACCCCGGATCCCCGCTCCATCAATACCATTGCTCCGACGTCAGGTCCCAACGCTGCGCCTCCCAGTGCCCCTGCCACACCTCGCCAGGCTTTCCGACGGTCCATGGCCTTGACACCGAGTAACGGAACTTTCTCTGGTCCTGGTACCGGTGACTTTTTTGGAGGTAGTCCTTTAAGATAGATGATTGAGATAGAAATTAAACTTAAATACATTATTCTTAACGTATTCGGTAGGCAAGCCAGCTGCGAGCTGCCCATGGAAACCAGCGGCTCCCATAAACACCATACTCAATGCGATATATTCTACCGTTCTACGGAGGACGATTGCTACAGGCTAGGTTACTGAGTCTGTAAGACTGTAGGTGTCCGGTATCCCGGATTATCTCTTGTTCTGGACTAACCATAGTCCGCCCCACACACCCCCCACCTTTGAACCGTTTGTATGGGAAGGCGGTCATAAGGGCGGTGGCATTATGATCGCTAAGGCTCATCTTGTTTATCACGGTGGTCTCTCCTACACAGTACATCATCACCGAATCTTTTGTTAACCGACCTGCGGCATGTCGCGACACCGCATCAAGGACGTCGACTATGATGATGACGACTATTATGACGATGAAGATGACTACACACCCGATCCTGAGGAGCAGGAATTGCTACAGCAATGCACCGCTGCCGTACTGCAACAGCTAGGTGCGGGGCAGCCTCCAGTAACCGCCACCAAGGAAGAGGTTCACGATGCATTGTGGCATTACTACAATGATATCGAGAAATCGGTCAATTACTTGAAAGGTATGTTTCATGCGTTTAGTGCGTGCAATTACTCACGTCGTGCCCTTTGACGTCATACTGTCTGTGCCTGTTTATTAGCTCTAGCTAATCGAAGCTCTATGTGCAGGCAAGAGGCTTAAGGAGGCTTCCAAGCTGAAGAAACCGGAGATTCAACCAGGTAAGCAGTGTCTTCAATAGCCTTGCAAATATAAGTCTCGTCAATGGGCTTGGGGTCTGGGCCACAAGACATTCGGCGCATGCCGAATATGAATGTTGTTGTCCCTACAAACGAGAAATGTGTGTACACCGGGTACAAGCCCCTTCCATTTTATGTCTAGAGACCCCAAACTGATGCCGTGACAAAGTTTGAACAATGTTCTAACAGGCCTTGCAGTATCAGCTTATCCTGCCCCTCCTCCTACGGCACACTTCTCGGCTGCCGATTTCTTTCGCGATTGTCCATGGCTCAACATCCCCTCTCATCGGAAAGCGGATATCCTGGTCGAACCACTCTATCCACGTCTGGGTCTATTGGGCGGTGCCCCAGAACAAGGTGCAAAGCCTTCCAAATTGGCTGCACTAGCTGCAGCCCGCAAGAAGAAAGAGGCCGAGAAGGGACAATCCACGCCGCAGACCTCGACCACATCAAAATATTCTTCTGATCAGCAGAGTGCGCCGCTCTCTGTTCGTGAACGACTTGCTCTTGGGAGGGCAACAGGGAAGTCTTCCGAGGGTCATTCGGGGTCTCTACAGCGCCTGGCAGAGTCGAGACCATCCCCCTCCTCTGCAATACATCATGCGCCTGTCTCTGAGACTACACCGCAATCAGTGCGTGAAAGGTCAGAATTACCGCAAAGGAAGCTTGAGCCGACAGAAGTTCTAGACCGGCACCCAGTGCCCGACCTTCATGCCGAACCCTCGGAGTTTGCCAAAGTTCTTACTGGCCTAGCCGCAAGCCCGACAACAGCCTACCCAAGCCCGTTGGCCCCCGGCAACTTAGATCTGATGAAGATCTATGGATATGATGCTGAACCTTTTGACTTTTCAGAGCCCAGCCCCGACGATATCGTTCTCAACGCACAGAGCACATCAAAAGGTTTGGCGATCCGCAGGAAGCATTAAAGGCGCCGGCCTAATGATATGTAGGATTAAAGAAATCAGCTGCAGCAAAATCGGCTGGGGGGAAGAAAGGCCAGGCTGATGTGGCAGCTGAAATGAAGGACCTTTCTGTGGAGGACAAAGTGACAGTCAAGAGCAAGCATCTCGATGTTCTATCAGAGTACAAAAAGTCTACCCGCAAGCGATCTGCAAACTTTGTGGTTATTGGTAAGTCAATATTCCCTGGCGAGTGTATTCAGGCTTGAACTGACTCATATCGCTTGAAGGTCATGTTGATGCCGGCAAAAGCACTCTCATGGGACGATTGTTGGCCGATCAAGGGGCCATCGACCAACGGACATTAGATAGGTATCGGCGGGAAGCCGAGAAAATTGGCAAAGGCTCATTCGCGCTAGCTTGGGTCTTGGATCAGGGGTCGGAGGAGAGGGCACGAGGCGTGACGATAGATATCGCCACCAATCAATTTGAGACTGAAAAGACAGCCTTTACCATTGTTGATGCACCAGGTCATCGCGATTTCGTTCCGAACATGATCGCTGGCGCCAGCCAGGCGGACTTCGCTGTCCTGGTCATTGACTCCAGTGTCGGCAAGTTTGAGTCTGGGTTGAAGGGGCAGACTAAGGAGCATGCTCTGTTGGTGCGAAGCATGGGCGTTCAAAAAATCGTGGTGGCCGTGAACAAGATGGATACTGTGCAATGGGATCATGGGCGCTTCGAGGAAATTGAACAGCAGATCTCCGCGTTTTTGACCGCTGCCGGCTTCCAACAAAACAATATCTCGTTTGTGCCGTGCTCAGGTGTGCTAGGAGACAACATCTCTCGACGGACTGAGAACCCTCATGCATCTTGGTACACAGGACGTACATTGATTGAAGAGCTGGAAACATCGGAACCATACACACATGCTCTCGAGAAGCCTTTGCGTATGACGATTGGTGACGTCTTCCGAGGCGGCGTGCAAAATCCGCTCTCAATCTCAGGCCGTATCGACGCCGGCAGCTTGCAAATGGGTGACCAGATTCTGACCCTGCCCAGCGGTGAGACAGCAACGGTGCGCAGTTTGGAAGTGGATGGGGAACCAAGTGACTGGGCCGTTGCAGGCCAGAATGTCGTCCTCAATATCGCCAATATCGACCCTATCCATCTTCGCTCCGGTGACGTTGTCTGCCGTCCTTCCTCTCCCATTTCCACCATCAGCTCTTTCACTGCCAAGGTTCTGGCCTTTGAACACTTGATGCCTATGCAAGTGGACGTGCACCGGGGTCGTCTACACGTACCTGGTCGCATTAGTAAGCTTGTCGCCTCCTTGGATAAATCGTCAGGCGCAGTGATTAAGAAACGCCCGAAGATCGTGGGCCCGGGCGTGGTGGTGCGTGTTGTGGTTGAGATGGATCAGGCTGTTCCTCTGGAAGCACCAACAAGGATTGTTCTGCGTGCAGGAGGCTCTACAGTGGCTGCTGGTTTACTAGAATAATAGCTCTATCCAATTGAGCCTATCCAAAGCACGGTTTAACTAAGTTCTGACTGCAACTTTCCTTCACTAGGGCACTTCCAGCAGACCAGGCACACTATACATAGGTACCTAGTAAGACGAGGTCAGGTTACCGACGACCAGCCTCCAGGGCTGATTCAATCAAAAGTATTCTAAACCACTAATGTGATTACAGGATCATGCTGTACGAGTCTATCGTAGATAGATTCAAAACATACTTCCACTTCGGAGTACAACATTAGGCATAGTTATTACTCCACGATTTGGAAAGTGAACGTGCAGAAGTGGAAGCACGAGTTAGATAACTCGTCGAACTGAGAAACTCACGATGCACTGGGAATCGCCAACGACTCGATGGCAAAACGATACGACGCATCCCACACCTTCGCCCTTAATTGGAGCCAGTTTTCGGGTAGTCCTGATCCGTAGGTTTCTGGTAGAAAGGGCTACAAGCTGGTTCCGACGGAAAGTCTTCGCTGTGTGGGATGCAATCATGCATTGTATCGGTTTGCCATCGATTCGTTGGCGTTTTCCCAGTGGATGCTTGTTGTGAGACGCCCCCCATTGGCAGATCCCCAATTGGAGGCCCGTAGGACATGTCCCTCGCTACCTCCGGAGTATGCTCGGCTAATACTGTACACTAGGAATAGACTGTAGGTCAGTTGCCACGCCGAACAAATTAGGATTGCTGCAATACACAGAAAGCACTTTGAATAAGACTACGTGTTCAGTACTCTCAAAGATCAAGGATCAACCGGGTAAAGACAATCTGCAGCCTCGCGCGTGTTCCCTGAAGAGTTAAACACTTGGCCCCTTCTAGCATCTTCGATCATTTGGCACTTGTTGATTGGTGGAAGCCCTGAATAGTCCGTGGATAAACTCCTGCACTAAACTACTTGGGGGCCAAATTAACCAATTGAAGAAGGCGGTGTGGCTGCAGGGCAGCTTCTGAGTAAGCCACTGCCGGACCCAGGTCAGCCAATCAGCGCACGAGAAGTGACCTTAACTGGGAAAAGGCCAGCATGGCCGCTGGACCGGGATCCGCGTACAAGAAGTCCCTCTCTCTTCGCTTCTTCTCACGATCATTCTTCCATTCACTCATCGCCTCGGGTCCCTCTCCCCGCATATCATCGACCAAAAGAAGGGTTCATAGAGTCAAACACACCCTTGTGTTTTACTCCCTCTGCGCAGCTGTTTAGATTGGCTTGCGCGAAGCTTCTATTTTGATAGCTTGTTTCGCCTTCGTGTTCAAAAGACTTGATTTCACCTATACATACACTCCATCACAATGGCTCGCCTATCCGCACGCGATCGCGCGTCCAAGCCCTTTGCCTGGACGACCATCTTCTACCTCCTCTTCGTTCTCGTCGCGCCCCTGGCATTCTTTGGAAACACTGCTCACGCCCAGGAGGAGAACTCCCCCGAGAGCTACGGCAATGTTATTGGTATTGATTTGGGTACTACCTACTCGTAAGTTGCTGTCTTCTATCCGTGATCCGTCTAGAGCCCTTTGTACTGACTTGAACGCAGTTGTGTTGGTGTGATGCAGAATGGCAAGGTCGAGATTCTCGTCAACGACCAAGGAAACCGTATCACCCCGTCCTACGTTGCTTTCACCGATGAGGAGCGCCTTGTCGGTGACGCCGCCAAGAACCAATATGCCGCCAACCCCGAGCGCACCATCTTCGATATCAAGTAAGCTACCGCCACATTCTCCAGTTCAGGATCAGCACTAACACACTGCAGGCGTATGATCGGTCGCAAGTTCGATGATAAGGATGTCCAGAAGGACGCCAAGAACTACCCCTTCAAGGTCGTCAAGAAGGATGGCAAGCCCCAGGTTAAGGTCGACGTCAACCAGTCCGCTAAGACCTTCACCCCTGAGGAGATCTCCGCCATGATTCTTGGTAAGATGAAGGAGATCGCCGAGAGCTTCTTGGGCAAGACCGTCACCCACGCCGTTGTTACCGTCCCCGCCTACTTCAACGACGCTCAGCGCCAGGCCACCAAGGATGCCGGTACTATCGCCGGTCTCAACGTCCTCCGTGTTGTCAACGAGCCCACCGCCGCCGCTATCGCCTACGGTCTTGATAAGACCGGTGACGAGCGCCAGGTCATTGTCTACGATCTCGGTGGTGGTACCTTCGATGTGTCCCTTCTGTCCATCGACAACGGCGTTTTCGAGGTTCTGGCTACCGCTGGTGACACCCACCTTGGTGGTGAGGACTTCGACCACCGTGTCATGGAGTACTTCGTCAAGCAGTACAACAAGAAGCACAACACCGACATCAAGAAGGACCTCAAGGCTATGGGTAAGCTCAAGCGCGAGGTCGAGAAGGCCAAGCGCACTCTGTCTTCCCAGATGTCCACTCGCATCGAAATCGAGGCCTTCCACAACGGTGAAGATTTCTCCGAGACTCTCACCCGCGCTAAGTTCGAGGAACTCAACGTCGATCTGTTCAAGAAGACCCTTAAGCCTGTTGAGCAGGTTCTGAAGGATGCTAAGGTCAAGAAGTCCGAGGTCGATGATATCGTTCTCGTTGGTGGCTCTACCCGTATTCCCAAGGTCCAGGCCCTTCTCGAGGAGTTCTTCGCTGGCAAGAAGGCCAGCAAGGGCATCAACCCCGATGAGGCTGTCGCTTTCGGTGCCGCCGTCCAGGGTGGTATTCTCTCCGGAGATGACTCCATGGTCGACATGGTTCTCATGGATGTCAACCCCCTCACTCTCGGTATCGAGACCACTGGCGGTGTTATGACCAAGCTCATTCCCCGCAACACTGTCATCCCTACTCGCAAGTCGCAGATCTTCTCGACTGCAGCCGACAACCAGCCCACCGTCCTGATCCAGGTGTTCGAGGGTGAGCGCTCGATGACGAAGGATAACAACATGCTCGGCAAGTTCGAGCTGACCAACATCCCTGCCGCCCCCCGCGGTGTCCCCCAGATCGAGGTCGCCTTCGACCTTGATGCCAATGGAATCCTCAAGGTCAGCGCCTCCGACAAGGGCACTGGTAAGGCCGAGTCCATCACTATCACCAACGACAAGGGTCGTCTGTCCCAGGAGGAGATCGACCGCATGGTCCAGGAGGCCGAGCAGTACGCCGAGGAGGACAAGGCCATCAAGGGCAAGATTGAGGCCCGTAACGGCCTTGAGAACTACGCTTTCAGCCTGAAGAACCAGGTCAACGACGAGAACGGTCTCGGTGGCCAGATCGACGAGGACGACAAGCAGGCTATCCTCGATGCCGTCAAGGAGGTCAACGACTGGCTCGAGGACAACGCTGCCACTGCTACCATGGAGGATTTCGAGGAGCAGAAGGAGCAGCTCTCCAGCGTTGCCTACCCCATCACCAGCAAACTGTACGGCTCTGCCTCTCCCCCCGAGGATGACGAGCCCCTCGACCACGACGAACTGTAAAATTTATCTTTTCGGCATCATTCATGGAGTTTTTTCTTTTCTTTTTTTTTTTCTGTCGCTTGTTTGAAGTTCGAGACTACACGCGACACTGTTCGTGTCCCATACAGCCGACTTGTAAGCCGAGCTATTAAAGCCGGCTAAGAATACAATACTATGATACCTTCTCTGCATTTCATTCATTCAATTCTCCTGTTGGTATTCCGTATTCACCGTAATCATACATAGTACACCATCTAATTCTTCTGCCCCGCAACAAACTCCCTAATAGTCTCCGCAACAACCTGATGATCATCCTCCTGCTTCAACCCACTAACAACAACAACCCCAACAACCCCGTCAACCCCCCTAACTCTAACCGGATACCCACCCCCATGAATAGCATACTCATCCGCCACAGCGCCCCCATTCGCACTAGCAACAGCATACTTCTTCACAAACGCCGCCTCAATCTGGTCCGCCGACGCACCAGCGCCTAGTCCGCTAACCATCTTCTGGCGCATCGCCCAGCTAGACAAGCCCCAGCGCAAAACAGTATTCCGTTTGCGCCGCACCCAGTTCTCGTTGTCGGGGATTGTGCCGCGTTCTGTGGCGGCTTGGAAGACGATGTGCAAGGGTGCGCCACCGGTTAGCGCGATGGAGATTAGGGCGGGTTTGCGCTGGTTGGATGGCAGGGAGAGGATGCGGGTGCGCAGGGCGTTGCCGAGAGACCAGGCTGTTTCCGAGGTGAATTCGGTGAAGGTTTGTTCTGGGCTTGTTTCTTGGGTCATTAGGGCTTGGGGCTGTAGAAAGTTAGTTTTGGTTTTGGGGGGTTGGATGGTTGGGATATTGGGGGACGTACGTCGGTGCTGGGGGCGGAAAGGGCCATGGTGAAATATGTGTTTGGGGGTTTCTGTTCGTAGAATTGGGAAGGTTTGTACAGGGATTTTACACAGTAGAGCAATTGGGGGCTGTTTGGGAGGATTCCAGTGCTTTTTGTACTTATCCGAGCTCAGGTGGGGTGTGGGGTACTTGTAGGGGTTGGACCTTCCTCTCGGCTTGTCGGTGACGTCGGACATCTGGAGTGTGGCGAGCATGTTCTCAAGTAAATTCTGCTCCAATATTTCTGTATTCCAAGTAAAAGCTCGTACATTGTATCAGAAGCTACCTAGGTAGGTATATCATACCTGCAATTGTTGAATCAATCATCACTATATACTGTGTACTGTGTACTGCGTACGTAGTCCAAAACTTCGAGATGCAGAGATCGGCAAACCGAGGCCCTGCCGCCCTTCCGATGCCGGTCCGATCTCTTTGCATTGTACGGAGTATGCAGCGTATCGTACATTCCGTCTCCAGAACCCTCTCAATCATTGAATTCGCGAGGAGATTAGGAGATAAAGCTCGAGACAGCCTCAGACTGACGGCATTTTATTCAGCTAACAACCTCTGAATGAATCCGGAGCCTGCATAAAGTAGCAGGGCAGGGACGATGAAACAAGCACAAACGGAGAAATGTCAAGTCTTTCCATCTGTCTCTTCATAGGTATTCGACTTCTACCATCTTTACATGCGCAGTATACGTCTTGAAGAAACATCTTCTATTTGGTCTTACGCCTAACTCGCCATCCTTAAAGCAAACCGGGTATCCCAGCCCATCCTCCGAATACGCCATAAATCAACGCCGAATAAAGTCACAGACAGCCACCGAAAGAACCAATCATGTTACACATCAATCGAACCGTAACTGGTCATCGTAGATGCAATGGGATATCAGGTATATCGTCTCGACTTCGCACTCGGTCCAGGTGTAGCGTGTGGGCACTCGCACTCTTTGTAGGAGTGACGAGGGAATCAAATGCTTCAAGGTCGCCACGGACACGGTAGCGTTGTGGGCTATTATGTGGGCTAGTGGCGGGGGAAACAAACAGCTGGCCGTTCTTCTTGCGCATCCAGTGCATGCGCAAGCTGTCGAGGGCGGTCTTGAAGTCATCCAAGATCACGGTATCGCAGAGGCATTTGAAAATAAAGGACAGCTAGGGATTGAGTTAGTAAGAAGCAGAGACCGGGAAGTTCTTAGCTGTCTTTGTGTGAATAGACTCACTTTCCAGAACGGCTGGACACCTGTTGGGAGCGGGATGGTAAAGGCATTCAGCACGCTGCAGATATCGACGATCATGAATATAATCGAGGCGCACATCGAGACCAGCATGATTCCGAACCGCGGACTGACGACTACTAATTCCCATAGTCCGAAGTTGTATTCGCGCTTGATTGTCCAGAATAGACTGGCGGTTGTGAAGATCCACCACGGATCGCTGTGGACAGGTTATGTTAGGGGCTGGGACAGATTTGATGGATGGAACGGAATCACTAACCGGAACAAAGCCTCCAGTGGTCTGGTTTTCAGGAAGATCTTATTGATATTGTTGAAATAAGTGAAGTTCGCATAGATCTCCAGTCCCCAATACGGCCAACAAAAAACCACCGTGGTAATGTAGATGATCGAAACCTTGCGGGAGAGAAATGGCCGGTTCTTCATCCATGCGATGACATTGTGTAGAGCCCAGGATATGTTGAGGCCGATCGCGGTGACGGAGAGGTACCAGCCGTAGACAGGCTCGTGGGGGAAGATGAAAGTACCGTGAGCCATGCCTAGAAGAAGCTGCAACAAGTGAGAGAATGAGCAAGGACCCTACTAATTTGAAGATTATTCGGGCAATTTGCCGTTCGCAACTCACCTCGGCGAAGATCAGCTTGTGCAGTAGAATATGTGACTTCATGTTGGCCACGGTGATAGCAGCCATGACGAGCAGACTCCCGACTAACAGCCCTTGACCCCATGCTTCGAGAATTAAGGCGTCAGCCTCCGTAGGCTTGGAAATGTGATCGGTGGACATCGTGGGCCGTATTTATATCACTCATGCGTGGGTTGCTAGGGGGGAGAATCGAAGATAGATAGTGATCGAGGGGATCAAACAACGGGTCTTTATTGGGATGGAGAATAGACAGATTTAAATCCAAGTTGAGTCATGAAGGCATGGAATCGAGAAAAAGAGCCGTGGTCCCAATCTCGTACATCCGCGACATTATGAGCCTATTAGGGTTTGTCGTCAAAAGGGAACGACGGGACTTAAGTGATTTCGATCTCGCTTTGAAGTGTCCCCAGCCGACAAAGCTTTAGCCTTTAGCGCCTTTCCCTTGTCCTATTTGGAAACTCCGGCCGTACAGAGAAAATTACCTGCGACGCCACCAACTGCTAGACTAACGTCGTTTACAGGGGTCAGGGCGGGGTGCAATATGGCCCATGGGAGAGACTCGAGGTTACAAGCCAGAAGGAAAAAGAGCAGAAGAGATAACTTGTTCCTGTGCTGCGAACTGAGAGGAAACTGAAAGAAGAAGGGCTGCGCATCCTTTTCATATTTTTCTGCCATTGCTCCTTCTCTGACCTTTCGTTTGCTCTTTCTCTTAGCTATCGCTTACTCCTCACATCGTCACACTGTGACACTCGAATGTAAAGCTATGGACTCGAAGCGCAATGCAAAACTTTGCGACATACAATCGAATTCAATAAAGCAAAAGTTCAATATATCCCTAGGTTCTGAATTCCCCCTCGCATCTTGTCAGTGTGTCACAGCTCTGCAAAGCATTCCCACGAGTTGGATGTCCGTGCCCACGGAGAAACGGGGTTACGGGGGTGGCGTTTTCAGTCAACAAACGGCTTCTTTTGTTTGTCATTGCGTTTGTTCGAATCTCGAGTCCAATCAAAGGAGAAATTGAAAACAAAGGTAACAAAAAGGTAACTACTTCGTTGCTATCCCCCACCCAACGTTTCAGAATCTCCAGGCCCCAGGGCCACGAAGGCTGAAGCCCTCTAAACGCGGGCCTTGGCCCTCGAATGAGTGTTTTGTCCGTTATTTCTCCGTCTCCATCTTCTCCACTCTTGGCTATGCAGGTCCAGTAGTAGTACTCGGCTTGTGCTTTGAGCCCCGGGGATATCAAGCACGGTCCACGGATTCGTGTTCAATTTACACCCCCCTTTGTATTATGAATGGACTCGAGATCGAGTCAAGTATTCTCTGGCAGGATTGACTGAGAACTTCTCAGTGACGATGAATCTTTGAGGCAAATTAGAACAGTTAGCATCAATGTTCCGCATGTTCCTGTCTCTCATCGGATAGCCCAAGAGTCAAGAGTCACGAGTGAGTCGAGTCAAGACCCCAGGTTGCATGTTGCAGGAATGACCGAATGAGGGTTCCGTTGTGAAATTCAACCTGGAGTATAGTTTATCCGACAACCACCCCTCATGGCCCGTACACAGTACTCTCCGTCATTCACTACAACAGCCCGCAATAGTTCAATGTCAATAGATTTTCCTTGCTCTTAACCCATTGATCCCCATTTCCAAAATACAATAGTTCGGGGAACTGTGCGTGTAAATTCGGTTTCTCGGGGCCCTCGCGATTGACCGCTAAAATTATCCTTTCATAACTAGATACAGCGTGCCACTTCCTGAAAACGAACGCTCCACTGGCAGCCTCTTCTCGAGTTTGGGCGAATCAGTTAACAAGGAACTGAAGGATCTGGTCGAAGCCGTTAGGCTCCTTGATCCAGTGGCCGTCACCCTCCGCCCCAGTGAACTCGTGCCATTCGACGCGTACCATGATCCTCCGTAGAATTCGAGATGCCTGCCGTCCGAGTTCCACAGATATCCACGCATCGTCTGCTCCATGGCTTAAGAACACCGGAGTAGATAAGACAGAGCTGTCTATGGGTTGGTTAGCCTGCGATATCTCATGACCGGCAATTTCATCAAAGAAGAATGCAGATATTAGGTGCTGTGGCTGGTGGATATAAGGACTATTGGGGGTTGGTTCGCATAGCAAACCCTCTAGCTGCTGTGCGAATGGTAACCAGCCACAAAAGCCTAGCAGACCACCTAGTGGTTCCTGAATTCGCCCCATCCCAATTGCAGCGAAGAACGCCCATAAGGCGGTTGCCATCCCCTGGCTAATACCTCCAAGATAGATGTGGGAAAGCCGCCCATCTAGTAGCCTAGCTTCCCCCTCGAGAATATCAAGAATGTGCAAAACTGACTCTCTTAATCCGTCTTTCTGCAATTCCTGTCTTTTCTGGATATCTGTCAGGGAGTAGGCATCAAACCAGGAGCACATCTCTTCTTGGAACGTAGTGCTCCATCGGTTGCGTGAGGTTGGGAAGACCCAACGATAGGTAGGTAGGCAGGAGGAGAGACTTTTGCCCTTGGAAGTTGCGGATGAGAAAAACTCTTCGGCGAACTCGAGGCCATTACTGCCGCGACCATGAAGCAGAATAATCGTATGGGTGTGAGAGGTTTGAGGATGGTGGATGTGAGGTGCAGGGAATTCCATGACAGCTGTCTGTATTTCTTGATCCGGGAAGTGTCAATTTTTTCTAGAATCATGTAAAGGTATATCGGTCACTGTCAGCGATGCCTTTTAAACGTAAAACGACTCGCACCGCCTCGGTCGCACAAAGAAAAGAGACCGTCTAGGACCGCCAATGATAATGTGTACTGCAGCCAATCCCCCATGGCAAGGACGAAGGTCACGTGACCACGGGCGAGGAGGCTGTTTCATAATTGCTTCGCTAACGCTCAGCAATAACGATCTTTACTCCTTCCAGCTGGTTCCTTGGACTGTCGAAACGATGCGATGGCGATCTTTCCATGCCCTTCCGCGTCGATCATACTACACATCATGTCACGTTGCACATGGATCAAACTTTCGAGTGTCGCAGGGCCATTGAGTCTGTCCTACCAAATAACCACGGGGACCGTTCGGCATGTCTTTGCATCTCGCGATCGAGCAACGGGTTTCCCCTTGCCATCGTGTTACACTCATTCCCTTGGAATCTTCTACTCGCCAGGTCACATCTCGATGGACTTCGAGGATTGAACCCCCGAGTGACATGGTGACATTGCCGATTATATGGCGTAGTACTCCTTGATGAAGATTGATGCTAATTATGTTGAAGCTAATCTCTCATTCCAGCGAGGTGAACCTAAAGAATTCTCCGTGCGATCTCGTCTGTCAAATCTCACATTCCTGAGGCGAGATGAATGTTCAGAACGCCACAGTTGCCCTAGCCACGGTGTTATTTTGATGCGTATTCACCATTTATTGACGATTTCTCATCAATGGCGGGCCTGCATTGCAGGCCTGTCCATGCTTGACTACATCCGGTGTGTGACAAGGTACAAATGCTGTTGGAGAGCATGAACCTTCGGCACAGTGTTGCTACTTGCGTGCACATGCACTGATGCACAGCTGGATATCTAGCCGATTCGCTACAAGTGCCACTCCTATTGACACAGCGGGCTAGTCAGAGTTTACCGTTAAACCTGAATACCGACAAATTCAGACAGCTCGGCTCTTCTAATCCTGTTGCTGGCCTTCAAGATGGAATTGTATGGAATTGCAGGGCCGTGCATTCCTTGCTGCGGCAGCTTAGGAATCCAAGGAATCGTTCTATCCCACCGACAATCCGGTTTGTCCCATGGGCCATGGGGATACAAAGCCACCATTTGCGTCAAAATAGGAAAGTGGTAGCATTCTTCAGATGTTTCGGTTAGATAAATGGATGGGATTCCCTGGGCCCTTGTACACCGTGGTACTTTTACATTCCTTCAATTCACACCATGTGTACCTTGCGAAGCATAGCTTGTCACGCAGTTCCCCTGGAGCCGGGATCATAGCAACTGGCCAGATGAATCTACGCAGTAGAAGAATTATCCAGACTCATATCGCATCACAACAACAGTGGAATGACAGGCCAGATGCAGGAACGATGAAATCTATATAAAGCCATCTTCGTCCCCGTCTCCAAACCCAAGCACAGTCATATCCGAACCAAGACTACCTGAACAAAACAACAGCCACATCACCCAAAATGTATCTCTCAACAATCCTCCTCTCCCTCACCACCCTCGCCCTCTCAACCCCAACAATCCACGACGCCCACCTAGCTGCAAGACAGGAGATTCCCTACGGTGCCTACGGAACCCCAGCCTACACCCCCTCCCCGCGGCCCACACCGTACAGAGTAGGGCACGCCATCGTGCAAAACCACTGCCCGTTCCCAGTCTATATCTGGTCCGTCAGCTCAACCGTGCAGCCAATGCGAACCATCAACCCCAACGACGTCTACAACGAGCGCTTCCACGCGGATACTGATACCGGTGGCATCGCCATCAAGATCAGTACCGAGTCCGACGGACTGTACACCAGTGCTCCGCAGATGATCTTTGCGTACAATCTTTCCTATGACCGAGTTGGGGATCGGAGTCAGGAGAAGGTGTGGTATGACCTCAATGATGTGTTTGGTGATCCATTTGAGGGATATCCTGTTAGTTTGACGCCGTCGGAGCCGGCGATTTCTTGGGAGGATGGGGTGCAGCCGGCTGGGAGTCAGATTCGGGTTGTTGATTCTTCAACGGATTTGGTTTTGTCGCTCTGTTAACTGTGGGTTGGCCTGTGATGGAGATGTGGGCTAAAACCTAGTTTACAGTGTTTGATGTTGGGTACGACATGATTTACGGATAGTGATAGGTACCGTGTGAGTTTATATATGTAGTGCCGCGCAATTGAATGTACGTGCTTTATCTGTGCTCGTGAGCCCTTGTTTCCCGCCGCTAAGGCCCTCAATGGCCTTGCAAATGGGGTTGCGAGCTCGAATACGAAACCTTGGCATTGCGATCAATTGAGTGTTAGGGCTCGGGATTTCATCGTAAGGTAACTGGGCCCAAGAATAGGTAGACATCCTGTTTGACAGGGACATTCTTCAGTGGAGGCATTAATAGTTACTGGCGATGATACTCAGCTCTCTGTTGATGACATGCATGCCCGGGACAACCTAAGACCCAACCCAGCCTCGGCGAGAGATCAATCACCCAAGTAACACTATAAGCGTATACCTGTAAGTGTTAACTATATGCAAAAATGAAAAGGACATATGTACAATGTGCAGTACTTTTAAAACATCAACAAATATATTCTGTCCAGTTGGTGAGCTTTCCGTCAACTGGCAAGCTTCCCGAGCGTCAACTGGCAAGTATTCCACCAACTGGCGAGCCCATATCCCCACCAATTGCCCCAATAATCACACTGCTACACGTGGCGTGTCCGATATGGTGTTTAACTAATGACAGAAAGTATTAAATTCTATTAATTTTCAAAGTGAATGGTCGATTCACAAACTGCTTGATCTCATCGACCTCTGTGCTTGCGGACTGAGCCTAGGTTGCAAGTATGTAGTTGTTGGGCATGGGATCTACGAGGAATTTGTGGAGGTATCCTCTCTGGATCCTGATTGGCCCGATGATCTTCAGGTGTTAGCTAGCACTGGCCTTTCGGACCTTTCTTACCTGGATAGTTCTACCTTATTACGTGTATTCAGATCGCTTGTTGAAACTTCTTATACATAGTAGCTTTAACAACATTTCATCCTTTGTCCAGAATCATGAATGGATACAAAACAACATATGTTTGATGTCGGGCAGTTTGGACGAGTTTAGACCTCGGTTGTACAGAGTAGGGTCTGTAGGGATCGCCACGAAATTGACAACCAACCTACTAACTGTTGATTTCTCCAAAATGGAGAGAGTAGTAAGATAAACCATGGCAACTGATCATTGATCAATTACCCTACATAAGCCAGCTGCTGCAAGAGAATAAACCGCCGAGTATGAGATTGCAGAGCGCCGAGTGCAGACCTCGGCGAGAAGTCCGAGTCGGATTCCCCGCATTTCTCCAACTTTGTCCCACAATTTCTCTCCGACCCGACCTGACCTGACCTTCTTTACCTCTCTATCCTCCCCTAGCCAGACACTCTCCTCTCAATCACTCTAGAGAGCCACAAACACAGACCGCAATGGTTTCTCCAGCTATCAGGGTCGCTCCTTCCGCGGCCAATCGCGCCATGAACTTGCTACGCACAGTACAATACACCCACCCACCTAACTGCCCATGCCACAAAAACCCCAACCACCACCACAACCACCAGCAGACGCCCTCTCTGCTGAACCATGTCAAGCGTCGCATGTCTACGCCCATTGACCGCTCCCGCGAGAAGGAGTATGCCTTTGAAATGGCGGCGTCCAGCATTCGCTTCGGCCCTGGCGCAACCCGGGAGGTCGGAATGGACTTCACTAACCTCGGCGCCAAGCGTGTGTGCATCGTCACCGACTCCAATGTTGCCAAGCTTGATGCTATGAAGCAGGCTGTCGAAGGCCTTACTCGTGAGGGTATTGAGTTCACTATTTTCGATAAAGTCCGCACTGAGCCGAAGGATAGCTCGTACGTAATGCTTTCTCCAACCAAACCCAGATGGCGGTTCGGCTTGTATAATTGCTAACCCATGTCTCCAAATGAAGTATTAAGGAGGCTATTGCTTTCGCCAAGCCCTACAACCCCGATGCCTTCCTAGCTGTCGGTACGTTTCATGTCTCCCTGGTACCTCCGCTATCCCACCCGAAACTAACATCCAAACAGGCGGCGGCTCCGTAATTGACACTGCCAAATTGATGAACCTATACACCGTCTTCCCAGAGGCAGGCTTCCTAGACTTCGTCAACGCCCCCCTGGGCAAAGGCCTCCCAGTAGACCGGCCATTGCGCCCCCTCGTCGCCGTCCCCACAACAGCAGGGACGGGCTCCGAGACAACCGGCACCGCCATTTTCGACCTCGTCTCCAAGAAAGCCAAAACCGGCATCGCCCACCGCAACCTGAAACCCACCCTCGGCATCTGCGACCCCCTCAACACGCGCACCATGCCCTCAGCCGTGCACGCCGCTTCCGGCCTGGACGTCCTCTGCCACTCCCTCGAATCCTGGACCGCCATCCCGTACAACGAGCGCACTCCCCGCCCAACAAACCCCATCAACCGCCCCGCCTACCAGGGCGCAAACCCCATCTCCGACATCTTCTCCCTCGCCGCTCTGCGCGCAACGGTCAAGTACCTGCCCCGCGCCGTCCGCGACCCCGACGACCACGAAGCGCAGTCGGAGATGCTCCTCGCCGCTACGCTTGCCGGTGTCGGCTTCGGTAATGCCGGTGTTCACCTCTGCCACGGTATGAGTTACCCGATCTCCAGCCAGAACCCGGGCTATAAGCATGCCGGGTATCAGGTTGATCACCCGATCATTCCGCACGGTGTCTCAGTGGCTGTCACTGCGCCGGCTGTCTTCCGCTTCACCGCGGCGTCGAACCCGGACCGCCATCTTGCGGCTGCGGAGGCGTTTGGGGTGGATATTTCGAGTGTTAAGCGCGAGAGTGCGGGTGAGGTGCTTGGTGCGGCTATTGCTGAGTTCTTGGCTAAGCTGGGTGACCAGCCGCGGGGCTTGAAGGATCTTGGTTTCAAGCCGGCGGATGTGGAGGGCTTGGTTGAGGGGACTATCCCGCAGCAGCGCGTGTTGATGCTGGCGCCGAACTTGAGTAAGGAGTTGGAGGCTGAGAGGGGGAGTTGAGGAATTTGCTCGAGCAATCTATGGATTACTAGGCTGTTGGATCAACTCCCAGGGCGACTGGAATTGGAGAATGGATGCCCCTCTCATATCCCTATATTTGTATACATTCATAGTGCAATGGAGGACAGCTGGTACAAAATTGGATACATGCTGTGACGTCTTCATTCGTTTATACTGCAGGTGGGAACTTATAGACCAGAAAATGGAAAATCATAGACTAAACAGGTATATGCGATGTATTTACTGCCACAGATGCATGGATGCGTAGAATAATGGGCTATCAAAAACAGTCATGTCTAGGCCAGCTAGAAGCAAGACCGTTTGATGCTAATGCAAGTAGTTGCTAGTTATCGTGGCCGCGGTGGTTGTGTGCACGGTGCACCTCATACGGAAGCAGAATTATCGGCTGGGAGGACCTTTGCGCCGATGACACCCATCGACGACGCGATTCGATCCAGCCAGATAACCGCACGAGGATCATGCGGATCAGAAGTCCGTTTCGGGCCCTGTCCAAGCTCTGAGTGAATGCGGAATGGGAGGGATAAGCTTTCGGTAACAGCAGTTGAAGATGAACTGGAAATCTCTCCGATTCCACCACCAGTGCTTGGTGGGATGTCGATATGTGATTCAGAAGAGGGTTCGGTGACTTGAAATAGACCCTGGAGACGGCTGGACAACTGCTCTAATGTTTGCAGCATGCTTTCGGCACCGCTGAGAAGCAAAGATGGGCCGGTGTCGGGGAAGGACTCTGGCTCAGGGCCAACGAAGGACCCGGGACGCTGGACAATACCCTGCTGACGCTCACTGTGGGCGGTGATACAAGACCGAAGCTCGACGACGAGCGAGCGCAGCCGACTGAAAGTGTCCTGTATACGTCCGAGAAGGGCTATCACAGCCTGAGAGTCTGGTTCTGCCACAGAAAGGAGGTCACGGGTCTCGCTGATGTACCGCGGACATTTGACAATCTCCATGAAGACAAGGTCCGATATTTCCCCGTAAGCAGACCACTCGCCAGACTTCTGACAATCCTCAGTCCTCACTTTCGTCGCCAGGGCTTGCCACCCTTCCTCATCCAGAAAACAGGGTTGACCCGTGTAGACGGCTGTAGCAATCAGAAAGCCACGAAAAGCAATCCAACAATACCTCCCGAACCCAGACTCGTGTGCCTCCGGACCCCGGCTTATCATCAGCCGCTTCGCGCCGTCAGAATGCGCGACCCAGGCGTCCGGTGTAGTCTGTGCGTACATCTCAAAGACGCTGAGGATGATAGCCGTGCAAAGCATGCTGTCGGACTTCGCATGTTCGACTTTGGATATGGCGCGGATGACCTCTCTCAGTGATTGCGAGTACATCTGTCGACTGGCTTTGTAGAGTGCTTGGTCGTTGGTTAGATATGCTAGATAAAAAGACCCCAGACAGCAAACTGCGGAATCGAGATAGGTATCCTGCCCGAAGCTCATGACGATATGCTCTGCAAACCCAGGTGCACCGCCAGATCGGAACCGGTTATGGTAGTATAGTGTTGGAAATGAGGTGCTGATGAAGTTGAGAAATAGTTGCGGCTGAGCTGCGCGCAGGGATTTGCGAACCAAAGACGGGGACAGTTTTTCATCCCAGACGCCTGATGCAGAGTGTTGGTGCATTAGGGCAATGGCATTGCTGCGTACTACAGCCGCAGCGGCGGTGGAGTCATCGCGTGCGGCAGGCGGCTCACTTTGGCTTGAACCTGTAGTCGAGTCTGTAGCAACAGCCGTAGACGGGGCGGTGGGCAATGCCGATGCAGATGGTCCAGCTGAGACGTCTCTCCCCTTCTGCCGCGCAGAACGATGTCGACGCGCGAGATTAGGACCTTCATCTTGGAAGCGGAAGGTCCGTCTGTACCCCGGACAGGCACGACCATATCTTCGGCATTGGCTACACTCTGGCACTGCCTCATCGCACTAGGGAGCTTATTAGCCATGTCTCAATTGGCTAATGGGGAATAATTCTAACCTTGATACGTCGCTCGCGACACAGGGCGCAGCCTGTACTATGTGGAACTCCCACCATGGTGTTCAGCCCCGAGATATCATTGCGGGGGAGGAAATGGTCTCGGAATTCGGGCGAGTGTTTTATATTAATGTACCCATTTCCCCGGGTTCGAACACGTTTACCGATTGCCGGCTGAGGACTCTGTGATACTGAAGACGTTAAAAAAAGGACTTGGCCCTTGGGTATGATTCTGTGAGATTTACGAGATAGGCGTGGAGGAATCTTCCAAGCGAATGTCGGAATGGGGCCGGGAGTGGTAGTCGTTTCAGCGCGAATTTATTTTTAATCTCGAATCATGATTTATACGATGTGGTAGATGTGTGAAGGTCGGTTTATTCTGGTGGATACGAGTGTCGTTTACAATTTCCAGCGATGGGCCAACAGGCAAGTTTGACGCCAACTGGCAGGTTTGACGTTGGCTCTTGCCGACTCGATTCAAACACGATGGACTGGCTCCGTGATGTACGAGATACTCAATGAACATGAGAACACCAACGGTGTATTAAAAGAGCTGCAAGAATTGTTCAGCGAGACTCCGAGGCTTCTGGAGCTGAACTAGCTGAGCACTCGTGTAGGGACTAGGAGAGATTTGGCCCCAGGATCAACAAGGTCCCACCTCTAATTTTAGATTTAGACTAATTAGTGGAGCTCGCATAGGAAGAAGGGTTATTCCCTCTTTGCGTCGGAGCAATATCTACTAACCGCTATACAGAGTCGGTGTCTGTCAGAGTCCTTGCCAATCGTCGGACCGTCGGAACTTCTTCGCCTCCCGGTGGACTTACAATGACGGAATGATTCGCTGAATCAAGTCAGTAAGGACTAATACTTACCCTAAATCTAATACCCCGAACAAACGCTGGTGCTCTTTTGAACCTCGTCGATACTTTACGGCAGTGTGAGGTTGGTCTAGTTCACTTCGATGATAAAAGTCATTGGCCCCCTGACAGTATTAAATAGCGGTGAGCCTTAAACGAAGCTATAGTTAGCAGTCCTAGTTCTCACTTTTCTTTACTCCGTACATTCTCCAGCTCCTCTCCGCTCCAGTTCGCAATGACGACTTATGTTATTTACAATACTGACAACGCAATTGGTGCATTCTTCAACTCGACCACTGCCACAAGACAGCAATGCGATGAAGTTGCTATTTCTCGCGCCGGTGGTGTGCCCACTGCCTTACAGATGCAGGGAGTGTGCAGCTATACCGTGACAGCAGGACCTGATAACTCCAAGCTCTTCCAGTTCCGAGATGAGAACTCTCCCATTGATATGGGTAACATTGCCCTTGCCAAAGCAACTCATCCCGAATTTGTGTCTAGCTGCAAGTATCACGGTACCTTGGGTGATTCGTCAGTCCATATCTATGAGATGGAATGTCTTCCTGGGACTGCCCATATAACGGCGGGTATCCCTCCAGACGATATGTCCCGACAGTATAACACTATTAAGGACTTTGCAAGGTGCGCTAAGTACGGTTTTTGCTCCATTGTAAGGACTAACATTGTGAAACAGGTTCTTTGCACAGTCATGGAACAACGGTCAACAGCCATGCTCAGACATAACCGCGACCTTGCTTAGAGAGTTCCAATCAAATTTCGACCTTCTTGCTCGAGACCTACCATCTCGCTTTACACCAAACCTAGAAAGAGTCCGAAAGGAGCTCCCATCTATCTTCTCGGCCCTCCCCTTTGTTCTTAGCCACGGTGACCTTAACATGATGAATGTTCTCGTCGATCCTAAAACCGGGCATATCACAGGGATTGTTGACTGGGCTGAATCAAGGATTCTACCCTTTGGCTTCGCACTTTATGGGCTTGAGAATCTTTTAGGCTGGATGGATTCAGAAGGGTGGCACTACTACGATTGCTACCGTGAACTCGAGAGCCTCTTCTGGCAAACCTTTCGTGGGGAGGCTTATGATTTCAGTGATGCTAATTTATATCTGATCCACACTGCGAGGATGGCTGGACTTTTCTACCATTATGGCTTTAATTTTGACTTAAAAGGCGTGGTGCAAAGTGTGCGGATGGGCCAGCTGGATGGTTCGCTGGCATATCTCGATGCTTTCTGTGTTGCTAATGAGTGACATCTCTTTGAGCCTGCTTATAATTGGTTGTAAGGCAGGAGATGAATAGATGATAGGACAATGTGATGAAGAAAAAGAAAAGAAAGTTTGAGATCCAATCTGAGTGCGCGCCTGCCGCGGTAGAGGGGGTAGAGGGGGAAAGTACAACTTGTAAGCTTGCCTCGAGGGATTGAGGGGTTTCTGTGCTTCCTGAGAAAAGTCACCTCTTGTCATCTGTCATCATTCTATCCCGTAAAACAATTCACTATGACACTCCTCACCAATGCCCGCCCTAAAGTCCTTGTGCCTGAAAAGTTGTCACAAGATGGACTAAGTCTCCTGCGCGATTCGCTGGACGTACACGAGCGAAAGGACCTCAGTGCCGACGAATTGCTTGAAATCATCCCAGATTACGATGCCCTGCTCGTTCGCTCCGAAACTCAAGTCACCGCCACTGTGCTGCGGGCTGCAAAGAACTTGAAGGTTGTAGCGCGTGCAGGTGTTGGAGTTGACAACGTCGGTATGTTCTGATGTGGTCGTACGGCGAATTGGCTATTTACCGGTAAACAGATGTTGGTGAAGCGACAAAGCTTGGAATCGTTGTGGTCAATTCTCCCTCGGGAAACATTGGTGCAGCGGCCGAGCATACAATTGCGTTGATGATGTCCATGGCGAGAAAAATCCCCGAGAGCTGTGCAAGTCTCAAGGATGGCAAATGGGAGCGAAGCAAGTTCGTCGGTGTGGAAGTCAAGGGCAAAACATTGTCGATAATTGGTCTTGGGAAAGGTAACTAAGTCTAGCGATCCAAATCTATGCGTTGAATAGCGAAAGGGCTAACGATGCACTGCGATAGTGGGGCTGACGGTAGCACGATTGGCCAAGGGTTTGGGCATGAATGTGAATGCTCTTGACCCATATGCGTCCCCGGCAGTGGCAGCTTCAGCCTCGGTTACCCTTGTATCGTCACTCCCAGAGCTGCTTGCATCTGCCGACTTTCTGACCATCCATACCCCGCTCATTGCCTCGACTCGAGGAATGATTGCGGAAGCTGAGCTCGCACAACTCAAGCCAGGTGCTCGTGTACTAAATGTGGCTCGAGGAGGAACATTTGATGAAGAGGCATTGCGTGCGGCACTAGAATCTGGCCACCTGGCTGGTGCTGCTATCGATGTATTCACTTCAGAGCCGCCTGCTCCTGGCTCATCTGCTGCACGATTAATCGCCCATCCGCGAGCGATCGTCACACCGCACCTGGGCGCGTCCACAGTAGAAGCACAAGAGAACGTATCAGTCGACGTGTGCGAGCAGGTCCTTGAAATCTTGCAGGGATCGTTGCCACGCAGCGCTGTAAATGCCCCACTGATACTACCCGAGGAGTACAAAAAGCTTCAACCATTTGTGCGTCTCGTTGAGAAGCTTGGCAGCCTCTATACTCAACACTATGCTGCTTCCCCTGGTGGAGCCATGGGCAGAAATACCTTTGATCTGATATATCAAGGCGAGTTGGCGAGTATCAGCAACACAAAGCCGCTTTTCGCAGCTTTGATCAAAGGCCTGCTTGCGCCTATCAGCAGTGTAGAGGGACTCAACATCAATATCGTTAACGCTGAAATGGTTGCTCGCGAGCGTGGCATCTTCGTCTCAGAGCAACATTCCCGCGACCCATCAGATCACTCTTCCTTCTCATCGTTGGTCACACTCGTTGCGCGTCCGCCTTCTAGGGCATCATCCCGCGCGCCAGCTTCAGGTGACGCCTCAACGGTCTCAGCACCGGATCAACACCATCGAATAATTTCTGGTACCTGCTCCGGTGATCAGCCCTTGATCACTCGCTTGGGCCGATTTGAGGCCTCCTTTGAGCCGGAGGGGACATTGTTGATTTGCGAGAACTATGATTCCCCGGGCAAGATTGGTGTCGTGGGTAACATTCTTGGCCAGGAAGGCGTGAACATCAACTTCATGACAGTTGCTCCTGTTTCAACCAAACTGACCATCAGTGAAAACCCAATGATGTCTCTCCCTACAGATGACGGCACTCAGGGGCCTGCCGCAAAGGGCGAACATTTGAAGGAAGCTCTTATGATTCTAGGCATTGACCGGGGAGTCCCTGCTCATGTTACAGCTGCCTTGGCTAAGGAAAAGGGTATCTTGAGCGCTTGTGCTGTTACCCTTTGATGCTACAGATTTGGGTCCTAATGACTCTCCTGAGGTCGTATTATTCCCGGGGAAGGGAGATTACTTGCGGTTACAGTTACTCAACGCCCTTGAACCCGTATTTCAACCACGGCAAATGCTTTTTGTTTCATGAGAATGACTTCCCAGTCTAGGTATAAGCACAGTATTAGTAACTAGGAAATGATTAGTTACCTATGTTCATCGTTATGCTTTAGTTCTCCATCAATATGTGACAGATACGGGAGGTTTAAGCTCATCATGAGAAGGTAAGGCTGCCCGGAGGAGGAAATAGTAGGAACCATAGAATCAGTGATTGGGTATGATAATGTTCTATTGAGGCCCAAGTTGAGTTATTATAGGAGGTGTAATATAATCTGAGTACATAGTGCGAATCTGCGATCCTCATGCCCTTCTTGGATAGATCGCTCATACCTAGTCAACGAAGTCATGAGTCTTGGACGTTTATGTCTTGGTATACTGGGAACTGCGAGTTGAACTTCCTGACAAGCCGAGTGTGGGCTGTTCTTTCCCTCTATGCATGTTTGCATGTTTGCTTGGGTGTCTTTGCTCACTTGATCAGGAAGGTGCCTGAGACCGTACCTCCCACCTGCCATGGTATAAATACCTTTCCCTTCTCTTCCCCTCCTTTGTCTTTCTTCCTTCTGTCTCCGTCTTTCTTCACTTCCTCCCATCCCGTGATTCTGGCGGAACCTACCTAAATGGACGGTTGGGCCTACGAGATATGGTCCATGGTTCCATTGTCCCAGCCAGTTCTCCAACATCCTACTTGTCTTTTTCCTTTATATATTCATATACATGATCGTCCAGGCCCCTGAACCAAGTCATTACCTACCTATACATGGATGCTTCTCGTTCAGTCCGCTTCATGGTTAGTTTGCACGCATGTGGCATCTTGCTCTGTCCACTTCCCTTCTCTTCATTCAATGCGCCTCATCGAGACGGGCGTACAGATACGATGAACAGGCAAGCCGCATACGAACAGGACTTTTCCTGTGGCCGGAATACCGAATGTATACTGTCATGAAGGCTATGACAGAACACTGTCACCGAGTGGTTTGAAGGATGCTGACACCGAGTGGTTTGAAGTCGGTGGGATCAATGCCCATCCGTGTCGCCTCCATTCGGGGCGAGCAGTGCGGAGAAGGCCTGCAGCCTGAAGCAGACTCACATGAGCTCTGGAAGTCTCGTGGCTCCCTTCATCTGTGCTGCCAATGCGAAGGCTTCAAGACTTCAAATGACCGAGGTACGAACCACCCCGCCATGTTCCAGCCATTCTCTTACATGTCTTTCTCCTTGTTCGTATGTTCATGTGTACATGTGCCACGCATCAAGATATTGTGGACTTTTTCTTACTGTTCCACTCCACCTTACACATGTTGTTGTTCTGATTTATCCTCCTTTCAACCCTTTCATGAATATTGAATGTGTGACGACACTGCAGATTCGGAAATTTCTTTGCTAACTGATTTCTTAGAGTTGCGAGATCATCGACTCCCGGGCGGGCATGGCTTCATGCAACGCTGCAAACCGCCAAACTCCACAAGCTCCGCCATAAGCTCCTGATCCTCCAACCCCACCGCTCTCTGAAATTCCGGTGGTGACAGACGAGTCTCCGATACCCCATGGCATGATGACTGCTCTCTTGCTTTTCAGCAATAGTCTACGCTGGAAGAACATTCTAGTCAGAAACACAATCGCATGGGGTGGGACTGCGCAGCATGGGGCTGCAGGACGCCAGGCAGGATTCGAGGTGAACCACGTGGTCGAACAGCTCGAGTTGCTCAAAGCTGGGGAAAATAGCACTGAGAAAGGCCAACTACTGGCCCTGAATGCCGATCACAAGGGGCCTGTGGCCATCGTCCAGAAAAGAGCCGGATAACCGTGTTCCCTCAAGATACAGTTAGGTTACAATGGAATGGACCCATGGAGCGTTATCCGCAGGTCGAATTCGCGCAACCAACAACTGTCAAGGCCACCGCAATGGGACGATTCTACATATGATACTCAGGAGTTCGTCCTGAGGCTGAGGCTGAGGATTGCTGTTGTGACTATCTTTTTCGATTGAATGATGCAGAGACGCGATTATTGTCTTTTTCCTCTTTGGCTTTGTTTTTCGTCAAATGGACTCTGCTTTCTTTGCAGACTTGCCACTTTTGACGTATCACTAGACAGATGGTTTGTACTCCCTGCCGATCCCCACCCTCCTCTACTGGTTCCACTGGAACATCAACAAGTTCTGTGTGGGCTTCGAGAGTGTCTACAGCATCGACGACCGTCATTTTGTCACGTGGGAACATACACGCGTGATGATGATGTTTTTGCGCTGCCTGCAATTCTCGTACGGGGGTGGCCTGATAGAACGTGTGTCTGGTTGCTGGCGAGATGTCTGGTCTCGGCCTGATGCTCAGCGGCCCGACGGTCTGCGCCGGTGTGAAGGTCTGGGGTTCAAGCGTACCATGGAAGAATTCGGATACGCCTGGTTCTTGGACAAGGTCAACTGGGATACTACGACCTTCCGCCAACCATCGGCACGGCACATGATGTTCAACAGCCCTTCTATGCAGGGCCAGGAGGCGTACCACGCGCGGTATAGCCAGATTCGAGACGTCCGCCTTGTGATCTTCCAAGGACTACCCAATGAACCGGGACGTTGAGAGGAACATAAAAGAGTTCTCGCTGCTACTGTCTTTTTATCCTTTCTCACCAGACTTGATACTTTCACTGTGGCACAAGAATCCAAGTTCTTTTTCTTTCTGATCTGTAACCCGTAACTTGAATCTGTGGGGTCTATGTCAGTATCCCCTTGGGGACGCAACGCCATTCTAGCTTCCAAGGCGCACACCAAGATTCCACATCGTCACGGGTGTTTATCCTACTGTGTACATACTCGGGCTGTGTGCACCAGCATCATCCATTTCATTGGGAAGGGGCAATCGGCGAACCAGCTGACTGAAGGTAGACCGTAGGTATGCCAAGGGCGGAATTTTTGACATGGAACCTAATCCAATCCATTTTTCGTGAAGAATCAGAGACATGCATAGCTCTGCTACGCATGACTAGAGTTACTTGGTACGTCTACATCTACTTCTACTTCTACAGACAAGGACTTTGACGCAAACTTGATTTTTTCAGACTAAATACATGAATGTTCTGTCCCAGACTCCACCTGATGATGGAAAGAGAAGTCGACGCAGTCACATCTGTACAAAAGCTATATGCAACAAGTGATCGCTATCGTAAAGATGTCCGTAACAAGATCGTCCGAGGGGTCGTGCGAGGCCTCGTTAAAACCGACCAGGGTGAAAAACTCAATCGAGAAAAATGCCCCCAGTTCGGAAAGAGTACCTCACAGAATCGGTTTGTACCGAATTTCTAACATAAATCCCGTAGTGCGAAAGGCCGGGCACACTCGAACCACGCGGGTAACGAGCATGTGGGTTGAACGGCGGTGATAGATTGTCGAGGCGTTCAAAGTACGGGCGAATATTTCGTTCATGCCACCGCAGGTAGGATGCCGTGGTTGAGACCCCATGAAATGATGTGATTTCTCGTCGATGTGGGGTTGAAGCGATCATTGCAGGAGCGGATCGCGGAAGTGCTTCTGGTGGTTGTTGGCTTTTTGGACGCGGGCCATGATGCGGTTCTCCTGGCGAAGGGCAAGAGTCCTTTCACGACGCTCAGAGGTGAGGGCGGCCTTCTTTTGTTCTTCGGTGACGCCAATCATGCCCATGCCACCATTGGCACGAGTGACGAGGGCGCGGTGATGGTTGGTGCGGCCACGGGGCTCCTCTTCTTCGATTTCACCGTTCTCAATGGCAAGCTGGCGGGCGGCTCGTTCCAATGCGGTAGGGTATTTGTTCAGGTTCTGTCTGTAATATTTGGCCAGGGAACGATGGCCGACACTCCTTCCAGACGGAAGGTGGAGCTCGAAATCTGTCTCGTAGGCGCCCGGTACCCTTTGGAAGGTGTCTTCAAGATCGTCCTCATCAACGGAAGAAGCGGAACTTTCGGTTTCCCATCCTTGGTCGTCTCCATCGGTGTTCACCTTGACGCCACCGCTCTCGCCAGTGGAATCATCCTCGTCGTCGGAGTATGTGCTCCGGAAGTCGTAGTATTGGCCGATCTCAACTTGCTCGTCTTCGGTTTCAAAGGCAATCATGCAGTGGCTCTTATCGCGCATGTGAGTCTGGATGGCTTGTGCGTTGTTCTTGAGAGTGTGACAGTAGAGACATTCAAAGTTTTCCGTGATCTTGCGGTATAGGTAGTTCAGAAGGCCATCGATGTCTACCAAGTATTTTTGCTCAGGGATGAACATCCCGTGCTCTTTGCGCATGTGGTCCACGTTGGCGGTGATATCGCTCGATTCGGTCTTGCAGAAAAGACAACGGGTGGATGGGAACTCGTCCTCATCCGCTTCATCCTCCATGGTTTCATCTTGCTCTTCGATGGTAGCGGACTTGAGGTCGTCGGCGACCTTCAAAACGTCATTGTCGGACTTGGTGACGGGTTCTCCGAGAGAAAAGGCGGAGCTCTGGACTGACGCAGCATCGCCATCCTTGCGCAGGCGGGCCGCACGTTGCTTGTGCTTTGAGCTGTTGAGATGGTTTTGGTAGGAGTTTTCGCTATAGAATGCCTTGCTGCATGTGTGGCAAGTCTTTTCGTATGAGGCCTTGGCGGCAGCCTCGTTGGATGTAGCTTTGGCGGCGAGAACTTTTTCGTTGAAGGTTTCGAGAGTGACAGGTGGTAGGGAAGCGATACGACGCTTCATGTTGTAGAGACTAGAAAGATAGTTAGATACTGGGAAAGGATAGTGGTTTCTACTTTTTATCTTCGTTTTGAAGAAAAGTGACTTACTGCCAGTCTTTGCGCATATGATCTCTTTGCGCATCGCTGCGGTGGAAGGCAACAAGACAAGTGTTGCAAGTATATTGCAGCGAGGCTGCGTCTTGGTTGGTAGACGACATATCTGTGGTTCTTTGGGTGTTGAGGGTAGTTGAAAGGGCAGGAAGTTCCTGCGGGTTGTGGGATGAATATTGGTTGCAGGCGGGGTACATGTGAAGGCTCTGCCCGGCCTCGATTTGAAGGATCTTTTGATGTCGTGAGGGTAGTTTGATGATGAAATCAGATGAACCAAGTGGGATGGAGATAGATGTAAGAGAGAAGGAAATTTTCTGGAAGACAGGCCCTTATGAGTCAGTCTTTGAAGAGTTCCGTCGCCCAAAAGGTGATCGGCTTTAGAAATTGTTTCTTATCGCCTAAGCCCCTCTAACGCGCTAGTCCTATCTTAGAACGGACGCCAAGGCTCATACTTTGCTGACAAAGTGTGTCGGAGAATCTTCGCCGATTAATCCGATATCGAAGTGGGTCTATACTCATGCCTAAGGCGTGTCTCCAGGTAAGCTGGAGCCTCCGCGGTGCCCAGGTGTTGCATTATCCTGTGACCCAACGTCTGGGAGATCAACGTCTCCAAACATCTTACCTGCATACCTCATTACTTAGATATGCGGCTTACTTGCACTTGAAAAATGGCAAGGCTCCACGGAGGTCCTATCAACGATACAGGCATCGCGCGATCCCCCGGCCACGAGCGAACTCACAATTATCGGTCAAAGCTTCCCCCGAACGCACCGGAAGTCCTCGTCCAGAACACCATAGATGTATCTGATCCGTCAAAAGTACTAGCGCGGTATCGCGATGATCGAAGACGGAATTTCAACGGCTTAGTGCGCAGGTGAGCGGAATTCCACTCCGTTAGCTTCGATATCGCAGGCTGGCATGGTACTAATTACTTCAACACAACAGATACAAAGCTCAACTACTCCACGGCTGCAACGACCCCGGATGCCAAACCTCTACATGCGCCAGTCATCGCCGAAGAGTCAGTGAAGGCCCCTATCGTAGATACACGGAATTAAGCGCAAGGACTCTGGCCTGTTATCTCGCCAGCTTGGACAATGCGGAGACCGGTTTATGTCTGAATGCGCCCAAGGCAGCGCCCCAGTTGACTGCGGAAGACTACCATCGGATTTCTCTCAGGCGAACTCGTACACTCGAAGCGCAAACGGCAGCGGCTAGGAGGGCATTACAATCAAAGCACAAAGCCCAAGGACTGTCCGGTGACGGATCCAATCGTGTGCAGACCGAAACGAACACGTCAAACGCGAAAGAAAGGAGCTCCCTTTCCAAAGTTCCTATCGGCACTAGCTATATTCGAGACCTTGATGAGGCCGCCGAGCAGCAATTAAAAGACCCGAAGTCTTTCACACAGAATCTCTTTGATACAATATCCCTACGTATGATCGAATGGCTTCCCCTACGTCGCGTGCCAGATACCTCGGAACCGCAGCGCAATCCGCTGCCGGTGGAAGTTGGAGATGAGTCTACTGCTCAAGACCTTCAACCTCATGACAACCGCCCACCGCGCAAGCATTACGAAGCCCCAGAGGTTCCTACAGTTGAAGGCCAGCCCCGCTCTCAACCGCATACCCCTTCATCGCGCACATCGGGGTCTCAGCCATCTGCGGTTGAGCTGAACTCCCAGAACAAGCACGTTAAACGACTATCAATTTCTGACGCTGATCACTGGCGTCAAAGTCCACCATCGTTCCTTGATGATAAAAGAAAGCCAGAATTCAACAAAAGGCTGCCTCCTACCGAAGAGTTTGCCAGCTTGACCTCACCTCCGGCATTAAAACATCGCCCCCAAAAACACCGTGGGAGAAATGCGGACCCCGATTTAACCCCGAAAGAGCGACGGAAGAGTCAACGACGTGTCTCCTGGGACAGCCAGAAGCTGCTTGAGGAAATATACCCTGTCAAGGGCTCGATAAGCACGGGACTGCCGTCCCCTCCCTCTCTCGACGCTCCACTCCCAAGGCAACTTAACACAGAGCAGCCGTTTGTCGAGGACGCTCCAGACACCGTTTCCCTAGCCCAAACAGTCACCCACCTCACTCCTGAGATCATTGATGGTCTCTCACAAGTTATGATCGGATCTTCTGACGGTGCCGAGAGCTGGAAGGAAGAGCTCGATCGTATTCAATCCGCTGGCAGCTTTGAACAGCCGGATTGGAGTATTGCAACTATACGTCAGCGCGAAGCATTCCCATTCGTTGCTCAAAGTGCATTTTACGTATTCAGCAGCCCCAGTCAGATACTACGCTCCTTTAGTCGTGAATCAAGCGATAAAATTGGAGCCACCTTCAGCCGTCTCGATGTTTCTTGTTTGCGCGAGTCACTGCATCGCCTGTTCGCTATTTGCCCGTGGGACATTGCGCTTCATAGCTTGTGGAGCGCTCTGGATAGGCTTTTTATTCCTCCACAAGGATTCACCTCCACCGGCAGACCCTCCCGTCGATCCTCTCGAAGTTCGACACTCACGAGCCATGTGACCCCGCCGATTATTCCCCAGCGAACATCCGAGTCTGCCAGTGACCACCCGCTGTCTGATTCAGAAGTGGCCTACATTGCTACTATAGCGCTGTTCACTCTGATCAGCTATGTGCCTAACATTGACTCGGAGACGTGGCGAACGGTGGTTCAGATGCGGGCCGCCGGGTCTGTCGCTTCACTGTCGGACATGCGCAAGCTATCTCCGCAGAATGCCCAGCAAGCCACCGAAGTGACGGACCGATTTGAGCATGAGTTAGGTCTTCGCCTCATCAACCGACTCGTACAGGCTCTCACTGCACGACTGGCATACCATGAAATTTCCAAGGCGTGCCATGTGTACAGCCCCGATCTACCAAAGCAAAACAGTCTCAACGTACTAGACCGCGTTGTGGACTATCTAAGTGAGCATCACGTCTCTCTTGATTCTCGCGATGAGTCCGCCAGGTCAATCAACACAGCCTCTCTCATTGTTGAGTGGCTTCGGACCCTTTTCTTGCGTGAATGGAATGGCGACCCGGAAATAGCTCGCAGCAGTCCAGCCGCTGGCGCCGTCCAAATTCTAGCGTCACTGTACAAGGAACGAAGCCGGTTGGGTATTTCACCGGAAGACTTTCATACTCCTCTTCTCTCATTTCGGCTGGACCCTATGGATATGCCTGTCGCCTGGGCTGGAGCCTTACCGAACAACCGAACAATACATCTGCTATCATACCCCTTCCTCTTCCCTCCATCCGCTCTCGTCGCCTACTTCCGCGCTCTGAACCATTCTGCTATGGCCAAATATTTTGACGCTGCCTCGACCACCGCCCGACATGTCAACCAGACTGCCATTGGCCATATTCCGATCTTCGATGGCCCTCGGCTCCTTAGTCGAATGAGCACATCCATGAGAACTTATCTTGTTATCGTCGTCCGTAGAGACAATATCCTCGAGGATGCTTTGAGCCAATTATGGCGACGTGAGAAAAGAGAATTGATGCGCCCGTTAAAGGTCCAGATGGGCATGGACGAAGGCGAAGAAGGGATTGATCATGGGGGTGTTCAACAGGAATTCTTTCGCATACTCATGGGTCAAGCTTTGGATCCCTCGTATGGTATGTTCACGGTTGATCAGCGACATCGCATGTCCTGGTTTAGACCTTGCTCGTTGGAACCTCTTTACAAGTTCGAACTTATTGGTCTGCTGATGTCTATCGCGATCTACAACGGTGTGACACTACCCGTGAGCTTTCCTATTGCTTTCTACCGCAAGCTACTGGGGCTGAAGGTGAAGCATTTGAAACATATTCGAGATGGGTGGCCGGAGCTTAGCCAAGGTCTTGACTCACTTTTGACATGGACCGATGGTGATGTTGGTGATATATTCACCCGAACCTATGAATTCAGCTTTGAGTCATATGGCTTTGTTGAGACAGTCGATATGCAAAAGGTTGGTCGTAATACGGCATGGCCTCGTTCTGGCAAGGTCGCTACTCCGCCTCCTATGGCTGGGTCCAGTGCCTGGATGGATGTGCCAAGCTACTGCAATCCTGTGACAGGCCAAGAGGCTGAGACCAGCGACATCGCAATTCCCGATTCCACTCTCTACAAGGCCGCGGAGTCTAAAGTTATGCCACCCCAGTCCCTTCCTTCCCCTAACAAAGAAGCCACCACGACCCATCAACCGACACCAACCGAAGAAGCTGCTCTTGTGACCAACCAAAATCGGAACCAATTTGTCAAAGACTACATCTTCTGGCTCACCGACAAATCCATCCGACCGCAGTTTGAAGCCTTCCAGAGGGGATTCAATGCTTGCCTGGACCGGTCGGCCCTCTCTATCTTCTCGCCGGAGGCACTCAAAACTGTGGTGGAGGGTATTCAGTCCATTGACATGAAGGAGCTCGAAATTTATGCTCAGTATGAGGGTGGATATAGTCCTCGTCACCGTCTCATCAGAGACTTCTGGAGTATTGTCCAAGAATATCCCGAGGAGAAAAAAGCCCAGTTACTCAAGTTCGTCACTTCTAGTGACCGAGTTCCTGTTAACGGGGTCTCGAGTATCATGTTTTTCATACAGAAGAACGGCGTTGGAGATTTGGTAGGTTTATTTCTCCTACACACTACTTATGTACTGTCATACTAACTGTTTCTCTAGCGTCTTCCTACTAGCCTGACGTGCTTCGGACGTTTGCTTCTGCCCGAGTACTCGTCAAAGGAGGTTCTGGCAGAGAAGCTCGACAAAGCTCTCGAAAATGCCGAAGGATTCGGCTTCGGATAGAAAGTGGAATTTCCACTTCCCAACCCCCTTATTTCTCATCCTCCTATTCCATGACTGCCATTGTCAGTCAGATTACCCTCCCGGTATCCCCGATATCGAGTGCGCTGATTATTTGATGAACGTGGCGTCCGACATCTAGGTCCTATGGGCAGGATATCAATGTGCCATAGTGGCTCCGCTATCATCACAAACCCTCTTCCGACGCTTGTGCAGGGGTGGCCTTGACCCCGGACAGCGTTGTTACCCAATGTCTCTACCACCTAGCGGCCTGCATCGTTTCTCATCACGCAGTCCATTCTCCTTGGAGATACTGCATTACTCTCTCACATCACTTGTTGTACACGCCATCAATAAGATACGAGGATGAAGAATGGCACTTGTTACTGATTTGCGCATTTTGAACCTGTTAGATGAGATCAATACCATGGCTCCTTTCATTGATCAGTCATGTCCTCTATAACCATCGTCCATTCGGCTCAACCATACATCTCTAATTGTGCAATACAAATTGAAGATCGTATTCCAATATTTGCTAGCATTCGAATTCGAGAATGTGACAGTTATAAGCCTTCCACAGATAGGTAGTTAGTGCATCCATAAGCACGTTGCTCTTTCGTGAGAATGATGAATGAAGGGGCCTCGATCTGTCTTCTATCTAATTTCTAGAACGTCATGTGACCAAACAACTTCCTTTTGCTGTCATGTGATCAAGAAAGTTCCTTGGCACATGATATGGCAAACCCTGTCATTCATGACATTCTCGTGATTTTTCTGATAGTAAGACTCGGGCAAAGTAGACGGAATCGGAAATGCTAGGCTCAATGCTCATATAGACTTAAAGAAAGTAATGAAAATGTAAGGAATGTGACTCTTGGCTAGAAAGCAAGGGTCCTGCTAACGCCCCGCTAACCCCACGTCCGATAAGAGTCATCCCAGGGTCTTCAATATCTGCAAATTCTTGTGAACTTCAACATACCAGCTCATCTCCGATACCCTCAATTCCTCCTCCAAAATGCCTCCAATTATTCATTGCGTCCGCCACGCCCAGGTACGTCTACGCATATGTCGATAATCACCATATCTTCCAACCCAACTAGCGGCGGCTCAATTACGGAGTAGCGGAGGCTCAACTAGCAATTGGCTCAATGCGCCCGACGTTTCGATCAAGCTGATATGGACAATCCAGGGCCTTCACAATCTTTGTACTGCAAACCATGTCATCCAAGACCCTCTCCTTACCGATCTTGGTCACGAGCAATGCCTCCAACTCCGCGAGAACTTCCCCCGCCACGCCAACATCGACCTAGTAACCGCCTCCCCGCTCCGTCGCACTCTCTACACCGCACTGGAGAGTTTCGCGCCCGTTTTAGAGTCAAAGCCGCATCTGCAGGTCATTGCGCTTCCGGATATCCAGGAGACATCGGATGTTGCATGTGATACTGGCAGCGACCCTTCCGTGCTGAAGGAGGAGTTCAAGACGGGAGTGGATCTAAGTCTTGTGCAAGAGGGATGGAACAACAAGGTATGTTACTCGAGAATTGTCTCAGAATTATCAGCACGCATGGACTGACATCTGTCTCCGAAAAGCAAACCGGTCGATACGCACCAACCAACCAAGCCATCAAGCAGCGCGCTAGGGCAGCACGTCGTTGGTTGAAGGCCCGCCCCGAGAAGGAAATTGTTTTGGTTACGCATGGTGGATTCTTACACTATTTCACTGAAGATTGGGAAGACAGCAGCCAGTTCCAGGGTATGTTATTCTGACAGGTCTCGAGCACCATGATTGTGAGGGGTTGTATCATTAACGATGTTGGTTTCCAGGAACCGGCTGGTCAAACACTGAATACCGCACTTTCACATTCACCGAAGAAACACACACCGAGGATTTGGAGGGATACCAGCTGGATGGTGATAATGCCTCGCTCGAGGAGACCGTTGAGTCGCGGCAGCGTCGGGGTAAGACTGGACCTACGTACAGTCGGGAGGAACAGAAGACGCTGTACAAGAAGGGCACCCAGGGTTGGGATGACCAGGGCTTGCAGATGAGCACTGCCGAGCGTGAGGCAGCCAAAGTTAGCGACGGTAAGGAAGTCAACGGTGTTCGTGTATAAATGGTGGAGAATCTTTGTCCGATGGACACTGTGGATATACTTCACTGTCTAGACGACGGGTTACAAAGATCCATAGAGTAACATAGATAGATCTGCTTGATGTAGATACACCAAAATGGATTCCTTGTATTTTCGGGCATGGTTCTTTGTTGGATCTAAGTATATCAGCTCATCTGAGACCGAAGTCCAATGCCGGGCCGTTTCATCAGACAATAGAACAAACCGAACAAAGATGCATGTAAGGTTATAAAGAGACACTGGCTTGTCGAGTTCCTCCTCCAGCCTTGTTTTCAAGCTGCACAATGAAGCCATAGCCTCAGAAACAAGTTGAAACGATTGTCCACGGACTCGACAAAGAGTCCAACAAAGCGCTTGTATAGACAGACCATGGGCTGTGCAACCTTTGAGTATTATCGTCTATCGTCTATATAATGACCCTCGGCTCCCTCCTTATAATTCCATTCACATCACCAGGAAGCTTCCAAGGATAGACAGGTTCAACACCTTTCTCTACGTACGAGTGCACTGTCAACATTGGCTAAGTACATTTCCCCTTCGCTTGGGATGAACACTAACACCACTATATACAGATACTTACATACTCCATCATCATGGATACTTTATATGCATTATGCAGGTGGGAGGCCTCCCACAAGTTGACATTAACTAACGTTGATACATACTAGGACCCGATAGCGTTCAACTTCGAGTACCGACCGATTAACTTCTAGATTGATCCACGGCTAAGTCTCTTGATTTCTTTGAACTATACCGATTTGCCTCCTTTGCTGACCATGTCCAGGTAACTTCATATATGTCCAGACGACTGAGTTCAATATGTCGACTTTATACCTATCACACGAGATCCGGTAGGTCATTTGTGCTATGCAGGAGTATACTAACATATCATGCCCGGATATTAGACCACACGTACGCGACGACCTACCTATGACCTTCGGAGAGAAGCGACTACGTTCAATATACGGCTAAGTTCCTTGTGCGGATACCACATGGTTTAGTTCTCAATCAGCTAAGTGATATCTCGCTCCCCGTTATGGCTAACTCGAGGTCGTATAGGTATCCGAGATCGATTTCTCACCACCGCTCTCCCGTTTGACTTGAAGCCGGCTAAGTTAGCTAACGAGATAGATCCTGGATCCACACACAGGATGGACTCAGTGGACAAGCATCTTGGATATATGGCGTTACTTCATATATGATGCATCTTTGGGTCATGCAGTCATGGTGTGCCCTTTCTCGTTCGAAGCTATGGTGAATAACTCGGTATTCATGCAGCATGCTCAACTCGAGGTACGTAAGAGCCAGGCTAGACGATGAGTAGACAACCATACACCTGGAAGCTGACAAGATCCTTCAGATATTTGATTGACATCCCTTCTCAAGGGAAATCGGCTTAGATATCTGTCATAGATGGAATGTTTACACAGTATAGAACTGGTTGACCGTTGCTGCAGGATGAGTAGGCGCAGTGATCCACCGTAATAGGCAGTTAGGTTTGGAATGTGTGTATAATGGCGATGCCTAATTTCGAAGTTATATCCCAGTACACTAGTACACAGTTGATCGTAGATAGCTTCGTTAAACGCTGGAGCCTTCGTACGCCATGGCGGGGGTTAGTGGGGGAATAGGCGTCTATTTTTAGGCGCCGATCCCCAATCCCGTGGCGCAGACTAGACTTCCCCGAGCTCTTGTCTTAATACAACTTCAGCTCTTCTGCATGATTAGTTGTGAGTCCAGTCATTCATAGACTGTACACAAAATGATTGATGAAAACCTGCCCAGTAAGCATTGACTTCATTTCCACTCCTACCTCATCGCCAGCCTCCCCCCCAACAATACTGTGTACTGACAGCCAGCCCCAGCGTTCTTCCTCAAAAACAACTCCAAACAGCCCCCGATTAGTACAATATACTACCGTCAACGTGGCAACGACCCCGAACCTGCATATTCCCTGCGCGCGCTCGATCCAGCCGCCCCAACCTCCCAAAACCGCTACGGAGTCGCGCTGTACGATCCCTACGTAACAGACGTAGTCTACGGCGAGGTCGCCGTGACCCCAGACTGGACACAACCGAGTCTCTCAGCAGACACGATACGAGCCAATGGAGGCGTAGCACCACCACCCGAGCCCATACTCCCCACCGAATTCGTGATCCAGCTCTACAACCCGGACCAAACGATCACAGTGAAATACCACACCAAGTCATGGAACAAACCAGCACAATGGGAATTCGAAATGCCTCAAAATACATTCCGGGTCCCATCCGGCTCAACGCTAGACCAGACGCAGATCGACCCCTCTCTTGCAGACGTTACCCCGAAGCTGCGCTTCAGCTGGCGCAAGGATGGGAAACTGTCAAAGGACCTGACATGTCTACTGCATGGGAAAACGTCAACAATCCCCGACACGCGCACCAAGAGCCGTGAACCGGATATCACAGTCGCCTTGTTCCAGGGTCTCAAGGAACTTACCCTCTACGAGCCGAATCTCTACCGCGTCGAGATGGAGGATTTCAAGGGGTTGGAGGTCGTGCTCATTTTGGCTGCCGTCGCAATCAGAGATATCTTCTTCGGTCCAGCCAAGGAAGCATTCCACATCACCCCCGGCGGACCAACCCAAGTAACCCGCAAGCCAGCAACAGGCCCAACCGCAACTGCGGCAGTCACACCAGCCGGCAGCGCCAAACCCGGGAAGAGCGAATCCGCGGCGCGTCCCAAGCCCTCGCCGCCCCGTCTCAGCATCCCAAACTCCTCATCTGCAGCACCACAGGAAAAAAGCCGCAAAGACAAACGTGCCCAGGAAGGAGAACGTCGAACACAAGAAGTCCTCGCAGCGGAAGAAAAAGCCCGACGTCGCCGTGAGGCAGAAATCGAGAAAGAAACTAGACGTCTACAACAACTATACGGTCAAGAAGAGCATCAAGCCCGATTACAACAGCAGACTTCTCCCAGACCGCATCTTCCACCCCGACACACCCGCCCTCAACCTCACCCCTACTCCCATCAATATTCTCAATCCTCCGTCCAGCTCCCCTCACACCCCCGTCCGCATCCTCATCCGCGCCAATCCTCCCACGGCGCACCGATCCCCACCTTCGCCAATAGCCCTTACCTCCATGCCGTGGATCCCAGAGCGCAGTCTTCCACGCATCTGATGCAGTCACGACCGCAACACCCGCAGGCCAGACCGCAGTCGACGGTCGGGTTCTACCCGCAACCTGCTAGTAGTGGGGCGCTACTTGAGTCGAGGCCGGCGCAGCAGGTGCAGCCGAAGAAGAGTAGTTTCTTTGGGTTCCGGCGGAGTAAAGAGGAGAGTCATTCCACTAAGCTGGAGAAAAAGAGGAGTTCTATGTTTTGATTGTTTATACCCTGGCGTTTTTGCTGTATCTTGCAATGTGGACTTATTGCCCTAAAGGATCTTGGTTTCAATTGTAGTACTATCTTCATACACTTCCTTCTCTGGAAGGATTAGACTCGGTAAAGTAGAGTGAGGTTCAACCTGCATGCCAGTGTACATGTGTTTCATCTCTGATTATCCGAGACAGAGAGCCGGGAAACGATGTTTAAAGATCATATACACCTAAGAAATACAAGGAACTATAAGATTTTGAGGGAAGACAAGATTGGCATTTTCGAGACCTAGCTAGCTTCACAATGGTGAGTGACAATGCAGCTATTCTGTCTTAAACAAAGACCGCGATCCCGAGCCAACATGGATTCTGACATCCCCAAATAAAACAATGATAGAATAGTACATGCCATATTGCACAAAAGGCCTATGACCATGAGAGTATGTAACAAGATACAAGCAGATAAATGTTGGCCGCACAGATGCTCAAGCGCAGAGGCGAGCTTTTGGGGCCATGCATGATATGTTCTGGTGACGCCACTTGCTTTTTTAAAAAAAATATTGGTTTGTGCTTATCGCTTTGGATTCGTCCGTTATCGAAGTAGTGGCTGATTCTCCGATGTATCACCGTCCGTAGTTGAAGCCTTGCCATGCTTCTTTCGGCGACGCTTCTTTCTGGATTTTGCGGGACCATTGTCGCCTGTCTCTGGTTTTGCATCATCGGTATCAAGAACTGCTCCCTCGGAAGGCTTATGATCGCGATGTTGGCCGGGGGAATTGGGTTCGCCGTCTGAAGAACTCGTGCGGTTGGCATGGAGGACGACCTTGCGAATACCATTCACATCCACGACCTGTTCGGTGATACTACCACTGCGGGCTGGACCGCGATGCCGATAAGGAAACGACGGAGGTGAATCGGACGATTGAACACTGCCTTCGGTACTACTAGCCTTCTGCGTCGACCGAGAACGCGTCTGGTCTTCGTACTCCCCATGAGAATCACTATTAGCCTCCCGCGTCGACCCAGAACGCGGTTGGTCTTCATGTTCCTCATGGACAGGCTCGGGAATAGAAACTTGGGGAAGATCTTTGTATTGCTGAGCACTGGTACTCTTGCTCATAGTGTCATGCGAAGGCATGGTGCCGTAGCCGATTTTCAGAGCATGCGCGCCATCTTTGGCATCTTGTCCCGCCGAGTTCAGTAAACCAGCGCCAATGCCCCCTTGATAGCCAGTGGAAGATGGGATAAGCTTCTGAGATTCGGTCGTGCTTCGCGCAGACTCATGATCGGTTTGTGCAGAACGGGATGGAGAGGCGCTGCTGCGTTTGATCTTGACAGTGTGGTAACGGGTTTGTCGCGGACGACTGGCCAGGTTGGAGGGACCAAGATGTTTCAGATGTTCCCGGATTTCATCAGTGGTGCCTACTTGCGTGACCCATTCGTTTGCCGAGTTAGGAGTGGCATCGCCATTGGGTTTTCGAAGTTGAAAGCGGGGGAGTGGCGCTTCCACAGAACTCCGGCGCCGGATTAAGTCGGAAGTCTTAGGGAGAGATGAGGGGTTTGAGGTATTGGCGTCAACTAAATCACCGTCGGTGATGATAGAGGCATTCAAAGGAGGCTCTTCGACAATCTTGCCTTTGGGGACCCGCGATTTTGGTGCCGGTGCCATTCGTCGAATTGCTTTGTGGACATCAATGAAAACATCGGATTCATCAATAATTTCTTCACCGATCAACTCTTCAATAACGTCTTCCAAGGTGACAACGCCAAGGGCGCCTCGATCCTCGCTAGGGAATTCGGAGACAAGAACCATGTGGGATTTACCCTCTTGGAAGAAGTTGACAATATCCAGACAGCTGGTCTCAGGGCGTGTTTCGGGGAGTGTCGCCAAAGCAAAGTCGCGAACCCTTTTGCAGTCTTCAGGGTCGTACGTAATGAGCATTTTGACAAGGAGCATGCCAACAAAGTTCATCGGGTTGTCAGGAGCATGGATAGGGATGCGGGAGTAACCCTGAGAAAGAATGAGGTCCATCGTGCGTTCATCCAGTACAGTATCGGCAGACATAGTGAAGACGTCTTCCATCGGTGTCATGATGGTGCCCACTGATTTCTCCTTGAGATCGAGAACGGCACTAATGATGGTCACTTCGTCCGAGTTGAGTTGCTCCCCAGCTTCACCCAAAGTTTTGTGAAGTGTCACAAGCGTCTTCAGGCCTGCCTTTTTGTAAATGGTTCCATGGTCTTCCCCGAGTAGTCTGTCTAGCAACTTGGCGATTGGCCAGGCTACGGGAGACATGATGTACATCAGGACCAAGACGCAAGGTGCCATCCAAGCACCAATAGGCAGACCATAACGAACGCAAATCGACTGTGGGACGATTTCGCCGAAGATGACAATCAAAGCCGTACTTCCTAACACCGCCGGCCAACCACCACCCAGTGTCCGGTCAAGAACGATCGGTAGAGTCTCATTCGTGATCACATTGCTGAGGAGGAGCGTGACAAGAACCCAGTGCTTTCCGTGTTTCAAGAGTTTGAGCACACTGGCGGCGTTCTTCCGTTCGGGGCCTTCGCCGGAGGTCTTGATGACTTGAAGATAAACCTCATCCTGTAAAAAAAGCAATCCTAATATTAGCCTGGTTCACCATGTGATTCTACAGAACTGAGTTGGAAAGTACTGACCTGTCCCATCAGGGCAATCGTAAGGCCCGCAAACGCTCCACCGCTCAGCACAAGAGCAAGTGAAATTCCCAAATTAAGCCATAAGCTTGGGTCGCTCGGTTCTTTTGGTGGTTCTGTGTCGCGCGATGAGAGGGAAAGAGGGGAGAATATGGGCGAAGCATAGGTGAACGGTATTTGTGAGATGGCGATGACAATAAGCTTGGCCAGACTCAGCACCAGGGGCCGAGCGGCAAACGAACGGTAAGGCGAGGAATTCATAAGAGAGTGAGTGACCAACGTGACATGCTGTGATGTAACGGCCGTTCGACCAAGTGGTGAGAGAGGGGAAGGGAAGGGAAGGGAATTATGGAAAACACGAAAGGGAAGAGAGAAGCAACAGATGAACAAAGGAGGGGAACAATAGAAGGGTGGGATCAGTATGGAGCGCGTAACTTGTTCGGACCAAGGTGGAGGAGATTGTTCAAAGACGGTGGGTACCGGTCACGTCAGGTGGAGGACACATGCTTTGTCAGCATATCCGCTTCCAGTAGGGACCTATGTCGTCGAACCCGAGTCCTTGACTCCAACACCACTCATGCCGGCGGTGATGCTCTCCGTAGCTGCCCTGATAGCCTTCTGCTCCTCAGTCTCCTCGGCCTCATCTGGCTCATTGCCTTCAGCCCCGTCGTCCGCCGTGGACTGAGGCTCTTCCTCGACGTAGTCCTGCAAGTCATCCAGGGGCATCGAGTTTGCCATGACCTCCTGAATGAGATCCTCAACTTGCCCCTGGATGGCCTGCTTGTTGAGCAGCTGCTCGCCGAGCTGCGCGATTTGCGCCTCTAGGACCGCCACCTCCCTCTTCTTGGCTTCACCGTCCATGCCGATCTTGACGGTGAGTGAGCGCAGCTTGTTCAACTGCCCGCTCTTGTCGTCCAGCTCCTCCCGTTGCTCAGCCAACTGTGCTTTCTGGGTCTGAACTTTCCCTTCCCATTCCCTCCTGGCCGCCAGCAGCTCCTCACTGTGAGTCTGCTTGAGCCTGCAGATCTCTTCCGCGACCTTCTCCGCAGGCACCATCTTCCCAGACTCAACCTTCCCATGCTGCTGGGCCAGCATGTTCAATTGAGCCTGGGTGCTGTCAAGTTGCCTGCGGAGTGTCTGGTTTTCGTGGTCGATCGCGGTGGTGGCTTGGCTGACCTGGCTGACCTGGCCATTGGAGCGGCTGATCTCCGCGTTCTTGGCTTGAATGGCCTGGTGCGACTCGGCCGTGAGCTGTTCGATCCTGGCGTCTCTGGCGTTGATCGCCTGCCACGCCTCGGCCATGATCTGGTTGATCCTGGCGTCCTTGGCTTCAATGGCCTGACGCGCCTGGGCCTCGAGACCGGCGAATTGATTCCGCCACCAAACATTCACAACGGCCGCCTGCGCACTGGCGGTTGGTCTTTTACCAGGCCGAACCTGGCCGTGCTTCCCAACTCGGTCCGACTTAGCTGGGGCCCAGCGGGGTCGCCCCTTCTTCTCATCGGCCGGGTTCTCTTGGGCCAACTGGCACTCTTTGGTCAACTGGTACTCTTTGCTCGGGTCCTCGTACTTGCGCTGCCACTCAAGGGCCGTGGCAAAGTACTGGCCAGCACCACGCTCGTTGGCTTTCGGTCTGGCAGCAGCGAGCTTGGCCTGGTAGTCGGCTTGCTGGCGTGCCTGGGCTCTCATCCAGGCATCCTCCCTCCGAGACGCCCGCTCGGCCTCCCTCCGGAGCTGCTCTTCCAACTCCTGGATGCGGACTGCCAGTGCCTTTGCTTTCTTCGCTTCAGTCGCCAAGGCTGCGGCACTGGGGTCTGGTCGAGGCTCGGGGACCTCGGGGCTAGGAGTGGGGCTGGGGGGGGCTGTCCAGGTTAGTAACGGCTTCGTATCCTTCAATTGCTTTTGGTGGGAGGTTTGGAGAAGTCTTTGGAGCGGTCTTTCGAGTGGAGGAGGGGATTCAGAAGAATATTTGAATGAGACGGGCACTGGTTGGGGACTTGGGATGAGACTCGGGCAAACGTACTTCAAATACATAGCCAGGCCCATGGCCATGGCGAACAGGCAAAGTACTTCATTGAAGGAAAGCATTTTGAACTTTTGTCGATAATCTTATCGATAATCGTTGCGTTGAGGGTACAAGTTTCAAGACAAAAGTTTGGAAAGAGAAAAGAGAAGAAGAGTGAAGAGGAAGAAAACTAGCGAAGAGAGAATGAGATAGAAGAGAACCAAAACTAGACAAGAGAGAAGAACAGAGAAGATAAACAAGAATCGAGAGGTAGGAGTTATAGCAGTTCTGTACGCGTTCCTTCTGAACTCAGTGACTGCCTACTCATCCAAACTAGTATATCCAGCCAGCGCCTTCCTCGTCAGCAACAATAAATAATACATGGAATGAATCGTCTTCCAATACCGCGACCATTTTGTATCTGTCCCCGTCTGTCACCTCTGTCCACTCTGTCCACTCTGTCCACTCGCAAGCCGAAAAATTGAATCCGTCCTCTCGGTTTCACCTCCATATTGTGGGTCTATTGTATGTATGACTATGCTGTGTATGGATCAATAAGGTAAGCTTTTGCGGCCCGTGTGGGGTACATGAGTCTTCCAAGGTTCCGAATGGTGGACAAAGCGGGAACGATCGGTCTGACGTCATGTACGCTCGAGCCTCATGTGGCACAAAGCGTAGATCCTGTTGACATCGATAGATTCAAATACGAGAGCGTCGTGCTCGCCTTCGACTTTCTTACGAGTTATCGGGTCACCTACTTAGCTTTTCTTTGCCCTCTCGGAACGGTACCCTCACGGAGTCACGGGCTCAGCCTTCCCTGTCACTGAACTTTCCTCATAGTACCCGGCGCAGACGGACGCTCTCTTGAACGCTTGCAGTACCTTGCTGAAGAGTACTTAGCATCGCAACCGGGTCCCGACAACTCTGGCCACAATGTTGCTTTACATTCTGGTCTCCGCAGAGCTCTAAAAGGTGAAAGCCTCACCAAGGCAGAGTTACTTGAGCTGACAGAAATTACCGCATATCGACTTGGTGCAATGTACGAAGCTGAGTACCTGCAGCAGAAGGCGAAAATAAACTATCCATCAATATTCGAGATGAATATGAACCTGGTTGTGGCACGCAAAGGATCGAATGACCAAGTACTAAGGAGGCAGACGTGGGCCTTGCTACTCGCTAAGAATATCTGTATCACCCCAGTTGGTATCCAGCTGCAGTGGGGGAAACCTATCCAATACCTCATGCTGGCGTTGGGAGGGGCATCGGGGTCTTGGGAAGCCATTCAAGACCGCATCGACGTGATGGCTGCGAGTAAGAAGGCTTCTCGCAGATAGAGCGGTCATAACCTAGCATTATCTTCTATCGAAATAGCAGTGTATCTTTGCTGAAGTTCTATTGACCTGTTGGATCCTAGGTAATCTGTAGTATCATAAAGGCTATTCAGGCACCTGTTTCCGGATGAAGCAAGAACGGTCAAAGCTTAGGTGTGGACAGACGGGAGAGTCCAAGTGTGACGTCAGGCCGATGTGTACCGCTCCGTCCCCAAGTCCCAATTTTACTCCGACAACTATTTTCACTCCATAACCACCATGACTCCCAGAATTATCCCTCAGATGTTTCGTGCACTTGGAGCTGCGCCGCGCGCCGCGTGGTCTGCACAGGTGCCTCGTGCGCCTGCTTTTCTGCGCCCGTTCTCGGCCCAATCGGAACAGCCCCGTCTGCGTCTGGGCTCAACCGGTATTGTCTCGAGGTCAACTGCAGTTCCCAAGCTTTTTTACTGACTTAGAATAGCTCCGAATTTCACCGCCTTGACCACCAAGGGCGAGATTGACTTCCACAAGTTCATTGGCGACAAGTGGACCATCCTGTTCTCCCACCCAGCCGATTTTACCCCTGTGTGTACAACTGAGTTGGGCGCGTTTTCCCGGCTTAAGAATGAGTTCGACAAACGCGGTGTCCAGCTGATTGGACTGGTGAGTGCTGTCATCCACGAATGTTTTCCAGGCTTCAGCTGATATACAATTTCCATTAGAGTGCCAACGACCTCGGTTCCCATGACGAGTGGATCAAGGACATCAACGAAGTCGGCTCGACAAAAGTCCAGTTTCCTATCATCGCCGATGCCGACCGCAAAGTCGCTTTCCTCTACGATATGGTGGATCAACAGGATCTGGATAACATTGATAAGAAGGGTATCGCGTTCACCATTCGCTCCGTGTTTATTATCGATCCCAACAAGAAGATCCGCCTGACAATGATGTACCCCGCCTCGACGGGCCGAAACTCCGCTGAGGTTCTGCGGGTCATCGACTCCCTGCAGACCGGCGATAAGAAAGGCGTAACTACCCCTATCGACTGGCAGGTTGGTGATGATGTCATTGTGCCGCCCTCTGTCAGTACCGCGGATGCCCAGAAGAAGTTCGGTGAGGTTCGTGAGGTCAAGCCTTACTTGCGTTACACCAAGATTTAAGAGAAAAGTCACATGTACGGAGCAACGAAGCACACACTGAACTCCGGGGTTGGGTGGAACTGTCACCTGCCGCGGCCCGCATGTACGGAGAAACGTCGGTTGATATTGAACAAATCGACATTTAGTGCCAATCAGATTGATCGTCCCTTGTCGCGTGTTCTATTTACAGTAATATCTCCTTTCGTTTTGCAGTGTTGAATGTACTATTTGGTGGGCTGGAAATAGGGGGCGTGCTGAATCCAATCAGCCCGACCCCTGACAGGTATCTGTTTGGGGCAAGGATAATCCGGGGGCTGCCGTACCGGGGCTAAAGTACATTCGGCCTCCTCCGCAGCGAATGTCCAACTGGGATTTGATTGAGATGCCCAGACTACCATCAGTATGTACGCAGTATGGCTATCTGTTCCCTATTCCCACACAATTTGAAGCGCATTTACTAGGATGCATACATCACTAACATCAGCCATGAGTTGATCTCTCAATATTTGTGCCAGTCTCCAGTCTTCACTGCCAAGTGATGCCAACCGAATCTCATGACGATCTGCTCAAATCTAGCAAGGATCATCCGCAATGCAGTGAATAAATTCATGCCGACTTGTGCACGCGGGCGTCTTTCCTTCCCTGTGCCAAGTCTACCGATTTCTTATAATCGGGGAGCCTGTCAATCTGAGATAGTTCCGACAGATACAAATCTGGAGAAAATAATGCACTCGTTCTTTTGACTGGCCTAAGTACGATCTTTTCTATACTTTTTCTTTCTTTTCCACTGCGAACCCGCCACCATGGCGCCGTGGGCACAACTAGCTCTAGTCACTCTTTTGATACCGCAGATTTTGGCTTCTCCAGTGCCAGAAGAATCGGATTCGACTACACACTTGCATGTCAGAGCGGCAGAAGGCTATGAATCGCCGCCGTATTATCCCACTCCTCCGGGAGGCTGGGTCCCCGATTGGACCGAAGCCTACTCCAAGGCGCACCGCATAGTCAGCAACATGACGCTGGCCGAGAAGGTCAACTTGACGACCGGCACTGGATTTTTCATGGGACCTTGCGTGGGACAGACTGGCAGTGTTTCTCGTTTCGGTATACCCAACCTGTGCCTCCAAGATGGTCCGTTGGGCGTTCGCAGTACGGATCACAACACTGCTTTCCCGCCTGGGATCTCAGTTGGCGCGACCTTCAACAAGGATCTCATGTACGAGCGAGGTGTTGGACTCGGCGAAGAGGCTCGTGGAAAGGGTGTCAATGTACTTCTGGGACCATCCGTGGGAGCACTCGGACGCAAGCCACGCGGTGGACGTAATTGGGAAGGCTTCGGCTCTGATCCCACTCTGCAGGCCATTGGTGGTGCGCAAACGATCAAGGGCATACAGAGCACCGGTGCAATGGCTGCCCTGAAGCATTACATTGGTAATGAGCAGGAACAGAACCGTATGAGCAGTATCGTTACCAAGGGGTACTCATCTAATATCGACGATCGTACATTGCACGAATTGTATCTGTGGCCCTTTGCCGAGGGGGTTCGTGCGGGTGTAGGCTCCTTGATGACAGCGTACAATGATGTGAGGCTCATCCTGTGTTTTTCTTTTCCTCAATTGTGTCCGTTGCTAACATCCCATAGGTTAATAGCTCTGCGTGTTCTCAGAATAGCAAGATGCTCAACGGTATTCTCAAGGATGAGCTTGGCTTCCAGGGCTTCGTGATGACAGATTGGCTGGGCCATTACTCTGGAGTTGCATCTGCCCTCGCCGGTCTGGATATGTCTATGCCTGGTGATGGAGCAATTCCGTTGTTTGAGACTTCGTACTGGGGCTCAGCGCTGTCGCGCTCGGTCCTGAATGGAAGTGTCCCTGTGGACCGCCTTAACGATATGGTATGGTATCTTTTGAGTAGAGGTGTCTTCAAAAACTAATTAGACATTCAGGTTACACGCATTGTCGCCGCTTGGTATAAACTTGGGCAGGACAAGGACTATCCTTTGCCAAACTTCTCATCCAACACCAAGAATGAGAAGGGTTTGATTTACCCGGGAGCTGTCATCTCCCCAATTGGTGTCGTGAACCAGTTCGTCGATGTGACGGCGGATCACAATATTACCGCAAGAGCTGTTGCACGGGAGGCAATCACTTTGCTGAAGAATGACATGGATATTCTCCCTCTTCGCCGCAACGATTCGCTAAAGGTATTCGGTACAGATGCAGGTGGAAACCCGAAGGGTCTCAACTCATGTGGTAATGCAGGTTGCAACAAGGGCGTTCTGACCATGGGATGGGGCAGCGGCACCGCCAATTTGCCCTATCTCGTCACACCTCAGGAGGCAATCGCCAATATCACCGACAATGTGGAGTTCTATATCCAGGATAAATTCCCGAAGAGCGTCACCTCGAATGCCGATGATATTGCTCTTGTGTTTATAAACGCCGACTCGGGTGAGAACTTCATCACTGTTGAAGGAAACCCGGGTGATAGAACCAAAGCCGGTCTCAATGCCTGGCACAATGGCGATGATCTCGTCAAATCCGCAGCAGAGAAGTTCTCCAACGTGGTGGTCATCATTCACACCGTCGGGCCCATCCTGATGGAAAAGTGGATAGAACTCAAGTCTGTCAAGGCCGTAGTCGTGGCACACCTCCCCGGACAAGAAGCTGGCACCTCTCTCACCGACGTCCTTTTTGGCGACTACAGTCCCAGCGGCCACATGCCATACACCATTCCCCGTAGCGAGGACGACTATCCAGAAAGCGTTGGCCTCGACAGCCAACTATTTGGCCAAATCCAGGATACCTTCACCGAAGGACTGTACATTGACTACCGCCACTTCCTCAAAGCCAACATCACCCCCCCGCTATCCATTCGGCCACGGTCTGTCATACACCACCTTCAACTTCTCCGAGCCGTCCCTGTCAGCCGAACACCCCCTGGACACAGCGTACCCACGCGCAAGACCCACGAAGCCCCCCACCCCAACATACAACACCACAATCCCCGCCGCAGAGGAAGTCGCCTGGTCCTCCACCAAGCTCCACCGCATCTGGCGCTACCTCTACCCCTACCTGCTCAAGCCGCAGTGGATCAAATCGGCAAAGGCATACCCCTACCCCGATGGCTACAGCACCGAGCCACACGCCGTTCCTCGTGCTGGAGGCGGCGAGGGCGGAAACCCCGCTCTCTTCGAGACTGTCTTCTCGGTCAAGGTGCAGGTCAAGAATACGGGTAAACGGACGGGCAAGGCTGTTGCTCAGCTGTATGTCGAGCTTCCGGATAGTCTCGGTCTGGATACGCCGGCTTTGCAGCTTCGTCAGTTTGAGAAGACGAAGGAGTTGGCGCCGGGCCAGAATGAGACGCTTACGCTGGAGATTACACGGAAGGATGTGAGTGTTTGGGATGTTGTTGTGCAGGATTGGAAGGCTCCTGTCAATGGGGAGGGCATTAAGTTCTGGGTTGGTAATAGTGTTGCTGATCTGCCTGTTGTTTGTGTGGTTGGAGGGGAGTGTTCGGCTGAGTAGGGGCTTTCGGTGGTTATCGGGCAACTGGTGGATGTTGGTTGCTTCCATTCCAATGTTCGATTTTCGATATATCATTACAAGTTGCACATATCTATGTGAATAATATTTTTCTTTCGAATTACTGAGGTGATGTCGATTAGGTAGGTAGTCTCGATATAAATACCTACGGAGTACAATCTAGTGGATGAAATGCCCCCAGCGAGCTTACAGCATTCCTCGTCAGGTTTGGATCTCTACTCCGTCGAGAAAAGGACGTTCCATGCACACAGAAATAGGTAACATTGACGGGAACCCTTTGGAATGAATCTAACTGAGATAAATAATCGAGAATCTACACATCACGCGGAGCCTCAACAACAACCGGCGTCTTCTCAACATTCAACCCAGTCCTCGTCTCAACATGCTCCTTATTCAACTTGGCCCCGAAAATAAACACCGAAAAGAAAACCCCAACACCAGACATACAAGTATACAAAATCCACATATTCCTCAAGCTCCACGCAAACGCCTCCCTAACAGCCCGCAGTTGCGCCGGATCCGTAATCTCCTTAATAGACTCGATACTCGCCGCCGCCGAATCCCCGGACATCTGCGCCGCCATAGCAGCTGACATGCCCGAAGCCAGCAAGTCCGACTGTCTCTGATTCATGCTATTCTGGAAGACCACACCGCCAATTACAATCGACGAGGCAGTCGCCATGTTGCGGATGAAGCCGATAGTCGCCGTCGCTGTTGCGGTGTCTTCCTGCGAGACCATGGCTTGGATGGCGATGATGGGCGTTTGGAAGAGGAAACCGGCGCCTAGACCGCTCAGTAGCTGGAAGCCGACTATCTTGCCGACGGAGGAGTCGACGTCGAGGGTTATGTAGAGGCCATTGCCGATTGTAAGGAGGACCAGCCCGATCCAGATTAGTTCGAGGTAGCGGCCTGTGCGGTGGATGATTGCGCCGGTGAACATGCCGGAGAAGGCTTCTGTTACGACCAGGGGCAGGATTAGCACGCCTGAGCCCATTGGGGAGGAGCCGTGGACGGATTGGAGGTAGAGGGGGATGTAGTATTCTCCTGCAATGAAGACCTGGGTATATCGTTAGATGGTGGATGCAGGTAGATAGTGAGGATACTCACGAAGCCATGCGCAAACGCTACTAGTGAGGTTGCAATATTGGAGAACTGAGCGAAGATATCCATAGGCATCAGAGGATACTTGGCAAGTTTCTTTTCGCTGTAGATGAACAGCAGCGAACACAGAGCTCCGAAGATAATCAGACAGATTACCTGCGGGGATTTCCAGGGAAATGTCTCGCCGCCAAAGTCAAGTCCCAATAGAAGCATGAGGGTCAGACCGAGGACGGAGATACTGCCGAACCAGTCAATTGCCCGGACGCCGTCCATGATTTTCGTCTTCGGGTTGTGCACATCCAGAAAAAAGATCAGAAGAACAGACGCTACCCCGGAGATGGGAAGATTGATCCAGAACGTCCATCGCCAGGTCACATACTGGCTGAAAGCACCACCGAGCAGTGGACCAACGCCGCCAGCGAAGGCCCACATGACCTCCATAATGCCGAGATATAGACTACGGTGTCTGTAATATCAATTAGCAAACACGCAGCCAAAATGGGCTCTGAAATGGGGCTCTGAAATCACACCTGACGCTGAACAAATCCGAAATAACGATAGTCACAAGCTGCAGTAATCCACCACCTGCAACACCCTGCAGCGCACGACCCGCAATCAACATCTCCATACTAGTCGCAGCCCCACAGATAATCGAGCTAATGAAGAACCACGCAACCGCAAGAAGGAGGATAGGTTTCCTTCCCCAGATATCAGACAGCTTAGCCCAGATGCAGGCGCTGGCGGCGGAGCTGAGCAGATAAGCTCCGCCAATCCATGTATAGCCCGCTGAAGAATGGAAGTAAGCCGCGATTGTGGGGATCGCCGTAGCCATGATCGTTTGATCTAGCGCGGCGATGAACATGGATAGCTAGCGGGGATTATCATTTAGCCAAGGGACCTAAGGTAATGGTCTGAGGGTTGGAGGATCCATACTGAAAGAGCTATCATGATCGCAGCGAGGCGCACTTTGCTTCGCCCGACGGGCCCGGGGGTTCTTGGATATCCATGGTTGCAGCCATATTGCTGCTGGATCTGAAGATTCAAATATAGGTCAAGACAGTCAAGACAGTCAAGACTCAACAGACCCGAAAATCTTTTCGCGGGTCCGGAACCGGCCGTGTGGAGTGGGGCTCTGGGGCTCGGCCACGTTTTGCGGGGGCGAGGAACATTCCATACATTCCGTGGTAGTCTGATAGTCTAGTACGGAGGATGATAGGAAGAAAATGTACTTTGATGAGATCAATCCCCAGAGGAATCCAAAACAGCACCGCGTAAGCGCCAAAGCACATCAACCAACAATAAAGGAACGAAAAATTAGATAACAACCTCGATATAGATCCATATTCAAAAATCCTCCCCCAATGCAAGGACAAAAAAAAAGTAAATCAATCAACCCTCCTCCCAACCGTAACCCCAAGATTAACCAAAGCCCTCGCAGACTGACAATGAGCCTCAAACTCCCCAGCCAACCCCTCAACAACTCCCCTTGCCTCATCCTCATCTCTCGCCTCCCCAGTAACAACCATAGAAGCCGGCATAAGCGCACGCATCAATGCAGCAACCCATTTCTGCGCCGTAGCCCGAAGATGGTCCTTGCCCAGCGTGGTATAAGTCTCACGAACGACGTCCGCAAAGCCACCAGCGGAAATCTCATCGTAGACGAGCTGAGGCGCAAACGGCCACATTCCAAGCTTGAGCATAGCTTGGCTGAGGGATTGGCGGAGAGAGGTTATCGCTGCTGGTTCTGGGATGGCGTCGGTGCAGTAGGCTGTGTGGTCGAGTTCTTCCCATTGGATCCAGCCGTTTGGTTCTGGGTTGTTAGCGGGGGTTACACGGAGGGTTGGATTAGGGTTATTTCATTTTTCTAGGTGGGGTGGAGATGGAGATGGAGGTGCAGGTGTAAACTGAGGAACATACTTAATAAAGCCCGTGCATTGGCAAGTACGGTAGGATAATCGGCCTTTTTGAGGCCTGCTGTTAAGAGCCTGATATGCACGAGGTCGTATTTGCCATGGTGCTTTTCTGGGAAGGGATGTAGTACGTTGTGGACGCTTAGTAGGATGGGTTTCTGGCGTGGTCGGTGAATTTCATGGCCTAAGGGGTATTGGGCTGAGGAGATGTCGAGCCGTGGAGGTGGAGTGATTTGTTTGGAAGGCTTTTGCCGACGTCTTCTAGCCAAATGCTGTGCGGTGTGAGACTTATATCGTTTGTGATATAAGGACTGGCGACATACCCCGTGCCAGTGCCGAGATCGGCGATTGCTCTTATATCTTTTGGTATAGATGGATGAATGAGATTGGAGAGATTGACAAAAAGTTGATGTTGGGTGTTGAGGCTGTTAATTGCGTTAGGTCAAGTCCAATCGATATCCTACCGAGCTAAGGGGCCGATGTATATGCAAGCAGCAAGGGGGGTAAGATGACAGTGGGGATCACAACGTAAAACCTATACTCTGAACATTGGGATATAAGGAGCTTTGAATAGGGAAATGAGATGTAGACCCAGCCCAACTGTGTATACATAGGAAGAGCAAAATAGTCACAGAAAAAGGAAGTACAGAATCCGAGTACAAAAGTAGGGACCACAAGTACATACACCCAACAATTAGGCAAAATGAATAGCTTCAACATACCGCACAGTCTCCTCCTCGTCTCTCCCCAGCAAATAGATTTCATCTGAAACACTCCCCATCCTCACCAAAGCCCTAGCAACTTATGAAATAGACGCGGGAGAAAAGCCCTCGCAGTTGAGAACAACAGTGGAAACGATCGAGCAGTGGAAGCACAACCTAGAAGTTTGAGATGAATGAAACATGGGATGAGTAGCAATTACTTTGTCCTTTTATATTGAGACTTTTCGTCTCTCGGACAATCTAGTCAACTCTCCAAATGTCCCCCAACCTTCGCAAACCAATTTGCCAGCGCATAAAGAAAGTACATGGAGATCTAGTTAGTTCCATGCTAAGAAAACTTGGGTCTGAGGCTGAGTTGGGATACCAGATCGATCTGAGATCGGCGCTCAAACAAAGAGAACCTCATGCATGGAATCCCCCGATTGGTCGGGAATGGTTCGCCACGGTTTAGCGGGAGTTCGTCCCTGTTTTGAGTCGGATATAGTCTAAACTTTACTGCATGGTAGGAATAACTAAAGGCTAAGACCTGAATCTTATATAGGACCACTGCAATACGCAGTACACAACAAGCGTTGATCAGAGATCACGAGTCAGAGAATTTAACATCGACACAAGATGCTAAGCATATGCATGGAAATTGGGATCGTATGCTTCTACGCACAGATCGCTTCGACTGGACGATCATTATGCGGGGAAATCGGTTGGTCTGGAGCGAGAGGTGAGCGGTGGAGCAATGCGCAGTCCCATGTGGAGCAGCAAAGAGCCGAGTCGGGATAGCAGCTGTACGTAGTGGTTCTATTCGTGGCCCGTATAGCTGTTTCCTATTACAGCGACTGTGTATCACCAATCTGGAGGGCTTTGGCTCCGATTGGCTTGAGGGATTGCGGATCTGGGATAGGTGGTAGATGTTCGCCATACCTGCTCGCTACGATGAAACTACATGTACGAATCTGGAAGGTTCCTAGGAGGATGTACCATTGAACATCCATGCGGGGAGAAAGAAAGTCGTAGAAGCCCTGAAAAGGCAAGCCAAGAGATTTTTATAATTTACATGGAAAGAAATTGAAATTGGAAAGAAATGGCGAGCCCAACGCTCGAGACACACCTACCTCAATATTTATCCACCAAATGAGCAAACACATACCGGAAGATCTCTCGGCTCTTATACAAGTTCTCCACCCGCATACGCTCGTTATCCAGGTGAGCGTTGTCGCTAGCCTGCCCACAAGGCAGATTAGCCGCCGGGGCCGAAAACTCCTTTTCCAAGAACCGGATGGTGGGGATAGATCCGCCTTCGCGAATGAACATCGGTGTCACTTTGGTCACATTAGCTGCTGCTGCCAATCCCGGTCTGTCAACGGATGCATTGCCATCGGGGGCTGACTTGGCGCGGATTGGTAATACGACCGGGTCCTCAGACGAAACTGGTGTGGGTGTGGCTTGCGTGAGGGTGGAAGACGTTGGCACCGTGGCGGTCGTTTGTATAGACCGTTTATGCGCGGCTTGCTTGCCCGCCGAGGAGCTTGTTGTGGATGTGATTATCCGCTCGACGTGCGAACGAAGACTATCTTCCGAGTCTTTACGGCGCAGTTCCGGGATTGGACCTGCGGTGGGTTTGGACTGGGGTACTGCACGGGTGTTTGCGGATTGCGGGATGGGTGGGTATTGGTGAGTCGGGGCTCCTTGGGCTGGGGTCCAGGCTGCGGTGATCGCCTCGGACAACGTGGCGAAGATTTCGTTGTCCGGGTCTCCGAGCCAAGCGTCCGACTTCCCGGTGATCTCGACTGTGAGGTCATTTTGCGAGTCGAGAAGCGCAAACTGCTCCTGGGCATAGGCGGTCAGGTCGGCGGCGACTTCGTCCGCGTGTTGATCGGGTACGATACGGATTGACAGGGTTGCTTTTGCTCGACGGGCGATAGTGGTTGCGCTCTTGCTTCCAGGGACTTCGACCGAGTGGACTGTCAAGGCAGGTTCACGCCAGCGATGCATCAGCGATTGTATCAGGGCCTGGCTGTCAGGGATTTCTGGATGTTGTAAGAGCAACGCATCGGCGATAGCCTCGAAACGCTTTTGCTCAGCGTCGGTAATGGGCCGGACAGCGTCGTGGAAGCCTGGCAATCTGATCTTCCCCTTCGGACCCACAATTGTGGATAGAAGCATTGCAATGTCCTTGACAGGCTCATCTAGCAATGTGCTGCCATCGATACCACTGTGGAGATCAGGGTGATCGCTTGTGACCACCAAGTTGGCATGTACAACACCGCGCAGTCCGTAAGTTAAGCACGGATTGTAGTCATCGAGCCAGTAACTGTTGGCCAGCAGAACCCAGTCCACAGACCCGATCTGAGCTTTGTGCTCACGCACCGTTTCGTGGAATCCCTGGGATCCAGACTCTTCTTCACCCTCGATAAGGAAGATGACATTGCATCGCAGAGTCTTTGTTCGGGCGAGATCAGCCGCAGCATACAGCGATGCCAAAATAGGCCCCTTGTTATCGGAGACACCACGACCATACAGGAACCCGTTGATGGATGTGAGTTTGTACGGATCTGTCCTCCACTTGGGTCGGTTTGTCTCTGCTCCCACAACGTCATAGTGGCCGTAGAAGAGGATAGTCTTATCCACTTTGTCGGGTGAAGTAGCGTTGAATCTGGCAAAGACAATAGGATTGGTGTCGGGACCGGTAGTCAAAAGCTTCGTCTTGGCACCGAGGTAATTGCAGTGCCGCCGAAGGAAAGCAGCTCCCTGGTTACATTCCCCGGTGAATTTAGGGCTCGCAGAAATGGTCTTGAAAGAGACAAACTTGGCCAGACTGTTGACCATTTCGTCTGAGCAGGTGTTAGCAAACCATCCATTCAAGGCCGCTTGCATGGGACATACCGTTGCTGATCGGAGTCAACTCTTCCTGGGTCGTGAAGAATTCAGTCAGATCCCAGATGCCTACTGAGTTGTCGTTTCCACCAGTCGCGTAGATCTGGCGATCCTTCGACCGACCGGCAGCCGAGGCGAGCATGGTGCCCTCGTGAGCAACCCAGCCGCCTACTTCTTCAAACCGGGAGTTGAATTTCTGTCAGAGATCAGCCGAGTCCTATCCATTCAAAATGCAGTCAGGTCGATGGAATGCGCACCTTGACCGTTCCGCTGGAGTCACCGCAAATTGCAACACCCTGGATGACATGCACAGCCCACAGATCCCCGGTATGTCTAGTGATGCGCTTGACAAGCTGTTGTGAGTCCAAATTCCAGATGTTGAGGGCACCGCCTGCTAAACCACAGTAAAGTAGCGGCCCCTCAACAGCCACAGTCAACACAGGATCTCCGTTCTGCAGCTTGGCAATCTGAGAGGGCGATGCGCCGGGCTCCTGACCCAGGCGCCACAGCTTCACCACACCATCCCCTGCACCAGTCAAGAGAGCTTCCTCGGAAGGAGCGGACTCAATTAAACCTTTGACCAGGAGCATAGAGTAGACGTAGCCATGATGCGCGAAAATCTTGTGGTGGTCCCGCTTGAAGCTCAACACGCGACCACCATCAGAGACAATGCCATCGGATGACCCCGGAGCGCGAGTACCGTCTGGCCCACGGGAATCAAAAAAGCGATGCGTCCTCTTCGATGGGTGGGCTGACGATGATTGGACATGGTTCGAGCTTGATCCCTCCTCAGAGAGATCACACCACTGCCCCAAGTTAGTATGGCGCTAGGTCACAGGAGAGAATTTAGGGACAGGTACCTGTATACTAGTGTTCTGCGCACCACAGTATATAGTACTATTATCGGATGAATAGACCACGGTGAATATGTCGCCCACATCGTGGTGTGAATAAATGGAGTAAAGACGTTCAAATGTACGCGTAGACCACACCTTTCTGTTCGTTAACTCCGGTCTTTGGACTATTTGCCAGTGCATGACTCACATTTACTACGGAGTCGCCGCCGCTTGAAAATAGTAGGCTTCCATCTTCAGATAGATATAAGCCTAGCACACTTTCTTTGTGTGCGTGGACAGATGCCACGAGGTCATAGGTTTCAAGAGACCACGCCTATTGACATGATCAGCCTCGTGACTCGGGCAATTGGGAACATTCAAGGAGCTCGACATACGACAATATCTCCCCCCTGTAGGCCAGCAAAGACGCATTGTTCATCAATGGCTAGAGCGAGAACGGAGCGGGTTGCGAGCACGCGGTGGCCGATGCCGCAGTCACTGGAGGGATGGGCAGTATCGACCTGAGTCATTTGAGATTCAGAATCCCAAGTTTTCTGATCCTCGACTTCCGAGGTGCTTTCGGATTCAACTAAATCCATAATTAGTCGGAGAAGGTGAAGTGGTGATGCTGGTGTTCTCCGGTCTCCGCTCAATCAAATCAACCAAACAGAACTCTGGGATTTGTTCGGGATTCACTCCATTCTTATCTCGATGTTCAAGAGCTCAACAATGACATGAAGAAAAGGAAAGGCGGTGCGGAATAACAAGAAAAAAAGGACAACATGCAAACAAAACATATTGCACCATCGACGAAATATTCGACTCACCATCCCTCGCATCCCTTTTATTCCAGCAACAAGTCGGTCTATACGATCAATCAGTTATTATAGTCCCAATTCTGCTGCAACTTATTTATGCCACGGTCGCATCTTCGCATTTTCACTATATTTTGACTGCCAGGTTCCGGACTGATAGGATTGAGCAGCTATTATACGCACCTGGGCTCCCACAATAGCCGTGCTAAAGGGATACTGGGGCGACGGCCGACAATGACCATGATTTACAAGATCGGAAGTAATCCACGTTTCTTGAGTAGAGGAGGCTCTTCTAAGTACCGAAAGGCTCCAGATATAGCGAGGTTGACAGAATATGGAAGTGTACTGCGTACACCGATGTTGATCTGCACTTCAATCCTGGGAGCTCAGTCTTTATTAATGGACAACGGACAGGAACTTTCGGAGAGATAAGACTTTGCTCGTGACCATCGGGGCACACGTTGGGTATATCTTTAAGGAACCCCCTGATGGGCTTTCATTCTTGGGTTCTGGACTAGAGACATTGGCCTGCCAGGCTGCAGGTGCCCATCTGTGATCAATGTGTCCAGGGACCTGGAGGTTATTTACAAAAAGCCGGAATGAAGTGGCACAGCAGGAGGCAGTAAATGGCGCCATTCTCATCACTAAACTCATCATTGCGGATGCCTCCAATAGATATGTCGAAGACTGCGAAGAATCAGAGTCCAAAGCTCTCACAGTTGATTCAGCCACACGTCACATGTCACATGGGAACACATGAGCACAGCCACAGGGGACCGGGCTTCTCACCAGCCACAGTGACGGTGACCCCGTCAGCCAATCAACAATCAAATGTCACCGCTCTTTACTTGACTTTCAAGGAGTTCAACTGAATCTGAAGTCAGAAGCAGATGATTCTGTGTCATATTAGTTTATCAAATCTATTTCTGTTCTCTTGAGAGCTTCGCCTCCAAATAATATGAACATTGTTCTGGAAATCTTCCGGATCCCAGTCTATGCAACTATCCCGCCGATCAACTTTGGCGCCCAACAACTCCTGTGATGTGAGAGGTGAGCTCATCGAGCCTTAGATACGTGGCTGCCTCCCAAGTGGCACCCAATAGCTACTACTGCTGGGTCTTATATCTCCTGCAGCCTTGCTCCATGTTCGTTGCTCTGCCCAACGTGGACTTGATCCCCAGCCACCCTGTCCACATCTTCATCTCATCTACGCCTTAAAATCTCGTTGGACGCTTGCGATCGGACCTTTCCGCTGAGGCCTGCGTTACAATTCTAACTGCCTTATTAACCGTTGAAGAACGCAGAGCGTTGCTTCTTCTTTTATCCCCTGTCGAGTCCTCCAAATCTTCACGTGTGATCTATACCCCGGACATTTCTTTCACACTCTTTTAAGTTTTACCCTACACAGTACACCGCGTCCTTGTCGACCATCGATCTCGACCATCTGATGACTGATCTTCGATAAAGTCGTCAATACGACTGCGATTCGCCATGCCTTTGGGGCAAACGATCGCTGTGATTGACAAGTCCGGCCAAGTTGTGAGCACGGTAAGGTTCGACCCCCATTGGTTATCCGACCCCGCTCTAACTAGCATCAGAGTAAGCAACTATTCGGCGTTTTCAGCCAGGCCAAGAATGCCTATCGCCAGCGCAAGTCCGCATTTGAATCAGAACGCAATGCAAAGATTGCAGAGCAACAAGCACTCGAGGGACTGGCGAACTATCAGATCGATGACTCACGCACAGTAGCCTCTCGACGAAGCCATGGCACCAGGTCAAGACATCACGGCAGCCGGAGTCGGCGTGCTTCATCTCACTATGACGATGGACAGACAGTGGTATCGCGACGACATTCTCACTATGAGGCACCGCCGACAATAGCTCGCCGCCACACCCATGATGTAACGGCCCGCGGCGAGGATGTTCGCCCATCGACCGCACGATCTAGGTCGGATGCACATATCGACATGGATCTTGCATATGGCGACGCCTCCCATGCAGCCTTATCGCGCTACAGTCCCCCAGAGCCCCAAGACGACCAAAAACAGCTTGACACTCTTGTCACCCGGGCACAGATGCTCCTCGAAGAAGCACACTGTGTGCATCATGGCGCCACTGCCACCATCGCCCATCTGCAGCAGAACCCAGACGCCATGGCCGCCGTCGCCCTCACGCTCGCGGAGATCAGCAAGTTGGCGCGCAAGATGGCACCCGCCGCATTGACCACACTCAAGTCCGCCGCGCCCGTCGTCTTCTCCCTTCTTTCCAGTCCTCAATTCCTCATCGCTGCTGGAGTCGGCCTTGGTGTGACGGTGGTCATGTTTGGTGGATACAAGATCATCCAACGAATCAAAGCCAACGCCATCGGGGAAGAGGGCCAGCCGCGGGAGATAGAGATGGAGATGGAAGAAATGATGGAGCTCAATACGGAGGCTTTGACCTCGGTTGAGATGTGGAGACGCGGTGTCGCTGACGAGCAGGCCCACAGCGTGGGAACCTCTGTCGATGGCGAGTTCATTACCCCCACTGCCGCCGCCATGTCGGGCATCGATGTGACAACGGCTCGCGCGCGGCGAGATCCCCGTTTCAAATTCGAGGACGAGTCGGTCGCTTCGTCCCGTCGCTCCCGTCGCTCACGCACCACCCGAGCCCCAACGCACGCGCCATCAGAACGATCTGAGCGGAGATCAAAGGCCCCGTCCGAGGCCAGTGGATTCTTCGGGCGGAGTTCTTCCAGGTCTAAGGCGCCGTCGAAAGCCCCCAGCAGAGCGCCTAGCAGACCTCCCAGCGAAGGACGGAGCAAAGCCCCAAGTAGAGCCCCAAGCGGGACTCCTAGTCGACATAGGAGCACCCGTTCCAAAGCTGGGACACATTCCGAGGAGAAACGTCCCAAAGAGAAAAAGAAGGGTCCCAGCCGTCTTCGACTCATGTTTACGTCTTCCTCTTGACTTCACGACAGACTTCTATGTACATATATCCGCCTTCTTCCACTTGGTGTCATTGGTGGATATGCATTTCATACGTTTCATGCATCTTCTCGCTTCTAATCTTCCGACTGCTTTTCTATTCGAGTTATCTTTATTTTTTTACTTTCTTCTTTGTCTCCCCTTCATTCCATGTCCGTACTCTTCGGCAACATGTTTATGCAAGCATATTTTGGCGTTCTATGGTGGCATTCACAGGAAAATGAGACGAAAATATTCTTCCACAACATTCTCTTACATCGGAGGGTGTTACCTCATTTGTAAGAGCCGCAACAATTGAGCTGATACATTTTCATTCGGCAACCAACAACCCGGCAATGGAACCATCGAAAGAAAGCCGATGATCGACCCCGGTGGAGACAGGGGCAAAGTCTTAACGTCGCGACATCGAGAATACCCACAGATCGGCAATCACCACCCAAACATCTACCGTTCATCTGCTGAAACAGCAACCTGCAGGCTGCATTGACGCAAATAGCCACAATCACACGGAGATCAAAGCTAACAAGACCTCATTTTACAGGCCGCACTAAGCAATGCGACATGACTCTGTGATAACTACAGTCCACAATAGTATACTGACCAAGTGGCGCGACCGTCGGCAAATCGCATCTCCCCACATAGCCGGCGACTTCCCAGTGGAAGGAAATGTCACCAATCGTGCGCTCTGATCGCTATCTCTTTTCCCAACGTCGCAATGTACTCCGTACACTTCCAGTCTTCGGACAAAGCCACGCAGTCATCTGCCATGTGGGTGCTGGTCAATCTGCTGTTTTCCCGCGTCATACAATGATCTCGATTCTCGAAGAACACGTATGACATCGATATGTCCTCGTACACACTAGTGACTAGTGCACTTCTGCGATATACAAGACTTTTACTGTGAAGCTTGGGGGGCATTAATGGTGGAAACATAAGCCGCAATGCGGCACCGAGCTGACCCGCCTGCCCCGCAGAAAGCCACTAAAAAACCGTTCTTGACTGGGATTCCCGATGTGAGATGTATCTCCGTACGGGGTACACGCAAGCTACATGGGGATTACTGGTTAATCACTCCCAGCCGGGGTTTGGTGGAGAAAAGGGTTTGCGGAGGTGTATGCTAAATGCCACCGGGAAAATCTGGAATGGGAAAGATATCTTCGACTCTTGGCTTGTCTTTCATTTCATGAAATACCTAGCGGACGACAATCTATGGAACGGGTGGGAACGGTAGTTCTCCGGGCGAATAAGGATCTGAGCATTGATCGAGTATATATAACGGCCTGGCATCTCCATTTTCGAGGCTTTTTGTTGAAGAAATTTCTTGCTCGTTAGATATTCTTTCTCGCATCGTATATACGTCTAGTGGTTAGGATGGGGATATCACAGGCAATTATGCCTTTAGAGGTGGTTGTCGTCGGGTTCGTATAGCCTTTCATGCCTGAGATGTGGGAATTCTTATACTGACAGTGTATAGTGCTGGTATGTCGAGCTTGCTCAGATCGCAAAGGGACTGAATTGACATGAGAATAAGGCATCGGCGGCATGGCAGCAGCCCTGACATTGGGTCTACGAGGGCACCATGTCATTGTCCTCGAAGCAGCTCCCAAAGTATGAATATTCGAAGGCAATGCCTCAAAAAGAAGAAAACTAACCCTAAGTTATAGATCATGGAAGTAGGAGCCGGGATCCAAGTATCCCCAAACATGCTACGACTATTCGACCGTAGGTCATCTTCATCCAGCCGCAAGGCTAAAGCCCAAAAACTAATATCAAACCAACAGGCTGGGGCGTCTCAGACCTAATCCACGCCCAAGATGTAGCTCTAGAGCACATCCACGTCCGCAGATGGGACAACGGCCAACTTCTAGGCACAATGCCCGTGAACAAGACCTTCGGCCAACAAGTCGTCATCCACCGCGCAGATCTGCACAACGCCATAATCGACAGGGCCCTAGCACTGCCCAACGTCGAGCTGCGCGAGAACTCATCCGTCACAGACGTCCAGTTCAGCCCTGCAAGCGTGACACTCTCCAACGGCGACATCCTGCACGCCGACGTTGTAATCGGCGCCGACGGCATCAAGTCCACGATCCGCGGCCGTCTCCTCGGTGATTCATCTATCAATGCTGTCCCTACCGGCGACGCAGCGTATCGAATCATGCTACCAAGGGAAATCATGTTGCAGGATCCCGAATTGAAGGAACTAATTGACGAGCCGCAGGCGACTCGTTGGCTGGGTCCTTCGAGGCATATTATCGCCTACCCGGTGCGCAAGCACGAGCTGTATAATGTCGTTTTGCTGCATCCGGATCATAATTCCGAGGAGTCGTGGACTACGAAAGGGTCCAAGCAGGCTATGATCGATAACTACGATGGCTGGGATAGCAAGGTGCGCAAGCTCATAGATCTAGTCGACGACGAGGAGGTGCTAGAGTGGAAATTGTGTTTGCATCGTCCGCTGAGGACTTGGATACTGGGTTCTGTTGCTCTGATCGGTGATGCATGCCATCCTATGCTGTAAGTGATATCGTCGGAACCTTGCATGGACGATTCTGTGTGTGGTGTGTGGTCCAAACTAACAAGTGGTAGTCCATACGTTGCTCAAGGCGCCGCGCAAGCCGTCGAAGACGCGGCAGCGATTGGAATCGTACTATCCAAAGTTTCGTGCAAGGAGGAGATCCCTCATGCATTGGCCATCTATGAGAGATCTCGGAAGCAGCGCGCCGAGACGGTCCAGCAGTCTGGGTCGGAGAATCGTGTTGCGTTGCACTTACCTGATGGGCCGGAGCAGGTAGCGCGAGATGCGATGTTTAAGGCTTCGGCCAGTGGGGAGAACCCGGATAAATGGTCTGATCGGAGGACGCAGGAGTTCCTTTGGGGGTGGGATGCTGAGAAGGCGGCGTTGGATACTTGGAATGGTATGTTGTGCTTACTCCTTTCCAAGGGCTTTGGCTAACTGATGGCAGCGGAATTAGATCAGGCCAAGGTGAAGACGAATTTGTAGATGCGACATACCTCTGTTTTATATGAATTGCGTTGCTGTTCAGCGACTTGCAGATCATGAGAATGTAATACTCCGGCATGGAGAGCATGGATTTATGTGGATATAATAAAGGAATCATTCAGTCCTGGCAACATATTGCACTTTTATTCCAATTCCGACAATATCACTATTTTTCTATGATTCATTATACAGTCATTCAAATCCACCACAGCGGTGGAACATTCGACCCTGACATGTTCGTCCGAGGAAGCCAGGGACGGTCAACATTTGGGTATTCCAACTCAAGGTCGAACGTCATTCTGTAGAGACAGAATTTACATGCGCTCACCAGCGGCGGCCTTCATCTGGCCGTACTTCTTGAGACGAATGGCAGAGACGGTGATGAAGCCGGTGGTCTCGGCGGGGGAGAAGTCACCGATCTCGTCCATGGAAGACTCGCTCATGTCGTAGAGCTTCTCGGTCTCGGAGGAGCGACCGAGAATGGAGACGGTGCCCTTGTAGGCGCGGCAGCGGACCTTGCCGTTGACGGTCTTCTGGGAAGCGGTGATCGAAGACTCGAGGAACTCGCGCTCGGGGGAGAAGTACATGCCGTTGTACAGGAGCTGCGCATGTTAGATCATATGAACAGATGCTAGAAAAATGGAGCTTACCTTGGAGTAGTTGGTGGTAACGAAAGAATCACGCAGCTGGCGGACCTCACGATCCAGGACAAGACCCTCGAGGTCACTAGAAAAACATTAGTCACTTTTTATGAGAAGAAGGCTTGCAGAAAACTCACAGGTGAGCAGAGCGCAGGCAGGTAAGACCGGGAGTCTCGTAGCAGCCACGGGACTTGATGCCAATGAAACGGTTCTCGACAATGTCGATACGGCCAACACCGTGACGGCGGGCAATAGTGTTGGCAGTGAGGAAGAGCTCGACAGAGTCGGTAGCAGCCTTCTGCTTGCCGGTCTCAACGTACTCGAGCTTGACGGGAACACCCTTCTCGAAGTGAACGGTGAAGTCCTCGGGCTGATCGGGAGCGGTGAGGGGATCCTGGGTCAGCTTCCACATGTCGGCGGGAGGAGTGGTATCGGGGTCCTCCAAAATACCGGCCTCGTAAGAGCAGTGGGCCAGGTTCTCATCCATAGACCAGGGCTTGGACTTGGTGGAAGTGACGGGGATTCCCTTCTGCTCGGCGTAGTCGAGCAGGTCCTGACGGCCCTTGAAGCGCTCGTAGAAGACGGGGTCGCGCCACGGGGCAATGACCTTGATGTTGGGCTGAAGAGCATAGAAGGCAAGCTCGAAGCGAACCTGGTCGTTACCCTTACCGGTGCAGCCGTGGGAGACAGCGAAGCAGCCCTCGCGCTGGGTCAAAGTTAGCACGATTGGTTTCTGTTGCTGGGAAAGCGACTCGTACCTTGGCGACTTCGATCTGGGCGCGGGCAATGACGGGGCGAGCCAAGGAGGTACCGAGCAGGTAGACGTTCTCGTAAACGGCGTTGCAAGCAATGGCGGGGAAGCAAAGCTCCTCGATGAACTCGCGGCGGATGTCAACAATCTCGCACTTGAGGGCACCGATCTTCAGGGCCTTCTCGCGGGCAGCCTCGAAGTCCTCTGTAAAGCATTGGTTAGACTGGTGTTGGATTGGATGTTGTCAGGACCGAGTTACCTTCCTGGCCGACATCGGCCACTATATTCATATTAGCGTTTGAACTTGATTGACATGACAATGGATCGCGACTTACTGAAGCAGACGACCTCATAGCCTTCTTCGATAAGGTACTTCACTGTAACTGGGTATCAGCGGCCGCAATTGGTAGCTCTTTGGTCGAGGGAGTCATACAGATGCAGCTGGTGTCGAGACCGCCGGAGTAGGCGAGGCAAACCTGTGCGACAAGTTATTAGAAAGTGCGGAGAGTGTAGCGGTGTGGGATAGTATTGGATTGTGTGCTAAGAGGAGGACGCGATTGAATCAATTGTTCGTACCTTTCCCTGTGCCATTGTGAGAAATTGATGTGAAATTCAAATGACTTGGACGTGGAGTATAAAATAAGAAGGGGATTGAGTCATCGGGGGAAAAAAGGCAATTTTGGTGCGGGTCGGGGAAAGTCACGGGTCTGAAGATAAACCCTGATAAGGGCGATCATTTGCCCTCCTAGTCCGAACCAAGTCCGATGCACCCATTGTAGGCCAATTGAAGCCGATACAAGCTCCAATGGACAGAAAATACCATTTTTGAGATCGAAGATAGTGCCAAATATTAGCTCCACATAACGTCGTATTTGCTCTTTGAAGGCACGTGATTTTCCCTGATGCTTTTGCTTTCAAGCTATGACCAAGGCCATAGCTCCTGCCATGTTTGAGCAGTTTGCTGTGTTTGCCTACTTTGCATGGCAGCGGCTATCCGCGGCGGTTTCCCCGCGCACTGCCCCGGACAATGAACAAGGAGCAAATTTAAGAAGATATCATCCCTGGGAAAGATGAACCCTGTGTATTTACTCTCTGTCCATATCTCACAATTCTAGCCAAAATGGTTCTTTCACGCACCACAACGCGATATCTCGCTCAAGCTCCTCGGCGATTCTACTCCGGAGCTCCTACACCTTCAGCAAAGCTAAACTTGCCTATTGATTACAAGACCTCTCCCATATTAAATCACACCGCGGCTTCATTGAGCCAAACCTCACAGTACCCTGCAAATGCCACGAGTAAACGACTGAACCTCTACCAAGCGATCAACTCAGCACTGCGAACAGCATTGTCTAAATCGGATCGAACCATCGTGTTTGGTGAAGATGTTGGGTTTGGAGGTGTCTTCCGATGCACAATGGATCTTCAGTCTGAATTTGGTGGGGACCGAGTCTTCAATACACCCTTGACAGAGCAAGGCATCGCTGGTTTCGCTATCGGAGCGGCAGCGGAAGGAATGAAGCCTATCGCTGAAATCCAGTTTGCCGACTACGTCTTCCCTGCGTTTGATCAGATCGTGAACGAAGCTGCCAAGTTCCGGTATCGAGAGGGCGGGACAGGCATCAATGTTGGAGGCCTTGTTTTCCGGATGCCGTGTGGTGCAGTTGGACACGGTGCACTGTACGTTATATCCGCATCCAAGCCAACTGATACACTAATTGACTGATTGAATAGGTATCACTCCCAGTCACCCGAGTCACTTTTCGCGCACATTCCCGGACTGCGGGTAGTTATGCCACGATCGCCTGCTCAGGCAAAGGGACTCCTGCTGTCGTCGATCTTCGAACACAACGACCCAGTGATCTTCATGGAGCCCAAGATCCTCTACCGCGCGGCCGTGGAATATGTTCCGAACGAATACTACACAATTCCACTCAGCAAGGCTGAAGTCCTCAAGCCCGGCAAGGACCTGACCATCATTTCTTACGGACAGCCTCTCTACAATTGCTCCTCTGCAATCTCCGCTATTGAAAAGACCATGCCCGGTGTCAGCGTGGAGTTGATCGACTTACGGACGATATACCCCTGGGATCGACAGACCGTTATTGACAGTGTGAAGAAGACGGGGCGAGCAATTGTCGTACATGAGAGTATGATCAACTACGGCGTGGGTGCGGAAGTAGCATCAACGATACAAGAGAGTGCGTTCTTGCGGCTTGAAGCGCCTGTGAAGCGGGTTGCTGGGTGGAGTACGCATACCGGACTGACCTATGAGCAATTCATCCTGCCCGATGTTGCAAGTGAGTATCAATTCCATATCCATCATTTGTTGATCTTACACTAACCTATTTTCCCGTTAGGGATCTACGATGCCATCAAACAGAGCCTTGAGTATTGATATGGACTCAGATGGGAGGGCATAACAAAAGCAGTCAATCTTTCAGCCGGCTGCTTCGCATTTATGGGCCATAGCCTATATGACAGGCATTACGCAGACTAGCATGGAATTTGTTTAGAGGCTAAAAGCTAGAGCCCTCATAGATAATATTGCATCACTTCTGCTGTCCCACAAGTACTACCTAAGACTTTCAGCCAAACAATCTCAAGCTGCCAGCAGGGTCTAGGGTGATGTCGGTCTCGTGAGTCTGAGACCTGGCTATCTATATTCTTCTTTGTTTTTTATTATCAAGTCCATTTCTTTTCGTTGGTCGTCCCTTTACCTCTTCTGTTCTTCATCTTCATGTTGCATTGATTGGTCACCTGCAAGCGCGGAATTAAAGCCGAAATTTTGTAAGCCCTCGCATAATTGCGGTCATCCCGGACTAGTGTAGCACACCATAATCCGCCATCGAGAGAAATGCATTTGAAATCGCTCTTCGATACGCACATTCGTGTCACATTGGCTATATAATCACTCAATACGAAGTGGTGTTGCGTGCACTTTTGCCTTGGCTGGTGGGACAACAGCCAGGGTTCCAGGATGCGATACGCGATGGATTGGGTTATAAAGGCAGTGAACCCTTCAAGCCTGAGCTTCAAATCCAATGACAAGATAATTGCAGTCTACATCTCATCGCTATCCTCTTCGAAGTTACCTTCATAGGCCTTAGGTCTCTACTGTCAACAATCACTCAACATACCACCTCATCTCTCAACTCTACACATACCTATATCCCAACTCAACATGAGCCTCAAGGTTGCCCTTGTCGGAGTACGTCAACCCACTCACTCCCATACTATCATCCACTAACATTTCCCAGGCTAGTGGCAACATTGGCCCAGCAGTCCTCAAAGAGCTGCTCACCGCTGGGTTTGAAGTGACCGTCCTGACCCGACAGGACAGCAATAGGACCTTTGATTCTCGTGCCCAAGTCGCAAAGGTAGACTACGAGTCCTTCGACTCGCTGAAGACCGCTATGTCCGGCCACGACGCTGTAGTCAACACTCTTAATGTCGGCGCAGTTCCAAAAGCTATCCATCTGCGCTTGATTGATGCCGCCATTGCAACTGGCGTGAAGCGGTTCATCCCCTCCGAATTCGGCTGCGACACCACGCACCCCAAGACCTCCAAACTACCCATCTACGGGGACAAGGTCAGCATCCAGGAATATCTCAAGAACGTGTCCCAGGACTCTGGCCTCAGCTACTCGCTGCTCATCACCGGACCCTTCCTCGACTGGGGCATTGAGAAGAACTTTATCCTTAACCTGTCTGGTCCTGTTGTTCCGCTTTATGATGGTGGCGATAACCGCTTCAGTACGACTACGCTCAGCGGCGTGGGTAAGGGCGTTGTTGGGATTCTTAAGAACCTTGATGCTACCAAGAACTCGACGATCTATGTCAATGAGGCTAGAGTGACGCAGAAGGAGCTGCTGGAGCTCTCTGGTAAAAGCATGGAGACCAAGGTTGTTCGGACAACTGACCTGGAGCAGGAGGCCTTTGCGGAACTGGCTAAGCCGTCTCCTAACCCGGCGAACTTTGCTGTGAAGTTCATTCTGCGGGCCATTTTCGGTGAGGGCTTTGGCTCGCTTTTTGATGCTGGGAAGGTCTACAACGATTTGTTTGGCCTGAAGACTTTGTCTAAGGAGGAGATTCGTGGGCTATTTGCCAAATGAGGAATTCGATCAGTTACAATGACTTAGTTCACCTGGCTACTCCAGAAATTTATAGCCTGAAAAGCGAGGTTCTTATACAGCTCAGAAGAAAAAAAAGCCATCACAGTCTTTACTCCGTCTTCAACTCGCAATCTCAACACCCAGCCCATGTCAAACTCTCAGTTATCTCCTCATAACGATGTCTTCCACTTCAAGGCCAATGTCCGGAGCAAGTTCAGCTGTTCAATTAGGCTGTGCGTACAAACGTTGCTCCTGCCACGTTAGGCAATTGCATGACTTCCACTTTGCCAGGCAACAATAACAGAAGTGGTGGTTGCAAATACACCTAGTCATTGTTAGCAAGACCTTTTTACACTTCCAGGCTTTCTCAGAACATAAGCAGAGGATTTGCTCTTACATGATGTGAAAACAACCCATCCAGAGCTCAATCAAGCGACTGCATTTCGGACACCGTTTCCATCCCTTCTGCTTTGCCAAATCCTCTAGAAGAGCATCACACACAAACTCACATTTCCCACTATGAGCATGCTTCTTACACTTCCTGCACGTGTGCTTTCCACAAGTCTGGCATTGGCCATTTTTATCCCGCTTGCGCTTCTGAGGCAGATACGAAGAGCATTTCGGGTCAAAACAATACGTGGGGTCCGAATCGTTTAACTCGACGTTCTTCTCCCTAGATTGCTTCGCCAATGTGGTTCCGAGCATCTTCCGTGAGATCCTGATAGGGATTTGACAGCATCGAGGTGGAAACGAGGATTCATCGCGCAACGCAGCGGTAAACATGCGCTCCAGGCACGTCTTGCAGTAGAAGTGTGAGCATTTCGTCTTGATCATCTCGCTCAGGGGGTAATCATCCTGACAGCTGACACACTGCCGCTGGGCCTCGGAGTACGATTCGTTGATCTGATTGATGGACTCGGATAACGTGTCATCTGTCTTTTTGAAGGCTGTTTTAAGTGAGTAGTCGAGCTTTCGTATGGTGAAGGGCTGGGCTCTGGTTGATCTGGTCTTCATTCCGTGTACGGATGGCTTAACTCCTCTTTTAAGCTGTGTTGATCTGGTCTGCATTCCGTGTACGGATGGCTTAACTCCTTTTTTAAGCTGTGCGGACCTAGATTGTTTCTTCCTTGCAGTGCTCATATTGGCTTTACCTGTCTCGGTTTACCTGGCGAAAGGCTAAGTAACTGAGTCGTATCGTGGCTTATCCGATCAAGATGGGCTGCTCGTGCTTTGGTTGGAGATTGGGTCGATGGTCTCCTGGGGAAATTAGGAGCTTCCAGAAAAGAGCTAAAAGAAGAGGATGCAGTACTATGTAGTATGCACCTTTAAATATGTGATTTATGCCGATAGAGCCTTGAAGACTAGGCCTCCATGCAGCGCAAGCAAACACGAAGCGTCTAGAGAGCTTTCAAAGTCTGTCATTCGGGCGAGGATTAAAGTCTTAAAGATGTATGACGAAGATCCCGAGGGAAATGACCAGCATATCGAGGAGAAATGTGAACTTTATTGTTGCCAAATCTAACACAGGCACCAGAGTCTTTTGAATATCTAGCCCAGGGCAAATGATGGACTTCTAGCTTCATTCGGGATTCTTAGATGCTCCAACTCATAGAATCTAATGTCGTTGAAGTCAACTATACTATAATGGACATATCCTTTTCTCTGCGAGCCCGATGAGAGCCATTCCCTATCATGCCAGACCATATTAGTGTCGTGGTGTAAGGATGAGGTCGTTGTATTTCACCTAAGTTTATGTATTTAACAGACTCCAGAGACATCAACTAGCCATATCGTTATAATAGCCATCGATTGATTCGACTCAAAAGAGTATAACTAACAATAATTTTGCCATTATGTCAGAGTCAAGAGCACAGTCCTTAAGTCTATCTATACCATCTAAGTGATAACGTTATATACTTCGGTGTGTAGGGCGGGATTGCCATGCAGCACGGGATCGGCGGGGATCGGCCCGGGTGCCCCTAAAATCCGCTATCTCCGGCTCGACCTCCCCGGGCGGCCGGGCCCAACTTCAACTTTACACTCTCCGTCGACAACCTGTCAACCACGCCATCGTCGCGACCACCCCCATCGAGTCAAAACGGGAAGACGGCGACGCTGTCGCCAACCACCCAACATGCAAGGATTCAGTAAGTTCCTTCCCCATTCAAACACGTAAACAGCGCGCTAACCACCATCGCAATAGATATGGGACGGTCAGTTGAAAAATCCCCTTCACCCACCACCCCGCACCTTCCTCCAAAACTAACACCCCAAAAGCTACGTCCCACCCGACCAAGAAGGGGTAACTACTGGCAACAAACTTGCCGGCAAACACCCCCTCGGCGCGCGTGCGCGCCACCTCCACACAACGGGCGCTCTAATCGTCCGCTTCGAGATGCCCTTCGCAGTGTGGTGCACGACCTGCAAACCGCACCCGACAATAATCGGACAAGGCGTACGGTTCAACGCCGAGAAGAAGAAAATCGGCAACTACTATTCCACGCCGATCTACAGTTTCCGCATGACACACAGCGTCTGCGGCGGCACGATCGAGATACAGACCGATCCGAAGAACACGACGTACGTGGTTACGGAAGGCGGGAAGAAAAGAGATACGGGTGATGATAAGGAATTGCAGCCCGGGGAGATTGCGATCAAGACGCATGGGCTCGAGAAGGATCCTGCGGAAAAGGATCCGTTCTCGAAGATTGAGGGGAAGGTCGAGGATAAGATGAGGGCTAGTGCGGAGGCGAGTCGGATTTTGGAGTTGCAGGGACGGCAGATGAGGGATTGGGAGGATCCTTATGAGATGAATAGGAAATTGAGGAAGACTTTCCGGGCTGAGAGGAAGAGTCTTGAGAAGGATGCGTTGAAGGGGGAGGCTCTGAGGGAGAAGATGAGTCTTGGGATTGACCTTGTTGATGAGTCGGAGGGTGATCGGCTCAAGGCCGGTATGGTTGTGTTTGGGGAGGATCCGGCTGTGCGTGCTGCGCGCGAGGCTCGCTTGAAACCTATGTTTGTGCCGCCTTCGGATTCGAAGAAACCGCAGTCGGCAAAGCGGAGTTTCCGTACTAAGAAGGAGGAAATAGTTGAGGCAAGGACGGCTGCGATGCGCAATGAGCTGCTGGCGAATACGAAGGCTGCTGTTGATCCGTTCTTGGTGGATGCCGAGCAAAGTCCAAGTGAATGGCAACGTCCCACCAAGAAGAGAAAGACTTCGGACTCTTCAACTCCATCTATTGCAAAGCTCGTCAAGAAAAGGAAGACTTCGGTCTCTACGCCTGTTCCGCCTATTCCACCTGTTTCGAAGCCCAGTGATGATCACAGTGCTGCACAGGCCGAAACCTCCAAGGTCCCGCCAAAACCAGCGCTGGTGGACTATTCCGATTCGGAGTGATTCACAGTCCTCCTTTACGACATACCTTGGGATATCCGGGGCGTTCTTCTTATTTTTTACTTTATGTGTTACGCAGAGATACCCAAATGTTCCTGACATTCAATTCAAGCGTGTGCTTCAACATTACCACAATCAAAGCATCAAAATTACCTACTTCAAACGTCTTCCCGCTACTGCGACCATGAGCAGACCATGGTGTAAACCTAGGACGAAAAGCGAGGAATTTGAACTCGAACAAGTTTTATGTAAGGTAAAGATATCGAAACAAGAATGAGGGGATAACCCCGTCATAGCAAGACAGGGGGTATCCTGCGTAGTTATTACATACAGTACAATTGCAAGAGCAGAGACTGAAAGCAGTAAACAAAAGAAAGTCATGCTGCATCACAACCAACAGCTCAGAAAGGGGTCAAATCCAGACAAATCACCGTTTACCGAAAAAGGAGACTGTGGCTGCACGGGTGCGGACGAGTTCGGGCTCCGGGGCTGAAGTGGCGTCCTCTGGATTGGGTGTGGTCGAGAGGCTGCTAGACTCGGAGGATTCGGGCTTGGAGATAAGAGCGAGTTCGCCAACGAGTCTGGGATTGATTAGTTGGAGATCCTCTGCTTAACCAAGGTCTAGAGGAGATATGGACTAACCTTCGATGCTCGTGGTGCCAGTCGTCATCGGCCGTTCGGATATGCTTAAGCTGTTCCTGAAGGCTTGCCATCTATAACATGCATTAGTCTCTGTATACACTATGTCCATGGTCTTCTCAATCATGTGAATGGGTGGAATGCGGGAAGATCTGATGAGTAGGAAGGCGTCTTCGATCGGGGATCTCCCACCGTTCCCTCAATGGATGGGCCTAGGTCCTCACCTTCCGTTGTGGCCGGACCCCCATCTTCAGCGTTCTCGCTTCCTTCATCTGCCGTCGCCCATCGGCTAGCCTCTAGGCCAGAAGAACTACTCTTCTCGCCACTGTTTGCCTTCAAGACTGCGAGCTCGGTTTCGAGTTCGCGGACCCGTCGTCGGCTGGCGGAGATGTCGGAGTCGACATCGCCAAGTTGGTTCAGGAGGCCCATGTTCTTGGTGATTTGATCGTTCAGGTCGCGTTCACCAGCCTCCAGTTTCTCCGACAGGGTCTTGTTCTGGTTCTGGCAGTCGACAAGTGAGTCAGAGAGAGCGGCATTGTCAGCCTTGATCTTCAGTAGTTGATCCCGGGATTCAGAGAGCTGCTTCATGATAGACTCAAGTTGTGACATCTGGCTCTCCGTGTCCACAACAGTCTTCTCGAGTTCGCTGAGTCGAGTGACGGTCGTTTGGTATTTCTCTACAACTGCGGCATGTTTAGCCTCCATCGTGGCCAGCTTGGCGGAGTAGCGTTCCTCGATGTCCCGGGAAGCAGAGGCGGCAGATTCCTGGACCGCGAGATGGGCCTTCTCAGAATCAGCAAGCTTGGCCTCGAGCTTCGCGATGTTGGCCTTCAGGCTATCCAGGGCCGAGGTAGCTTGACCCAGCTGGTCAAGGGCATCACCCAGGACTTTCTGGTGCTCATTCTCGAGCTCTGCGATCTTGGTCTTGTGGGAAGCCTCAAGCTCCTCCTTGAGACTAGACAACTTGGACTCGTTCATAGTGAGAAGCTGCTCGATTGCCTTGCCATGCTCGGCGTCAATTTCAGCAGCCTTGGAGGTCTGGACAGCCTCGATCTTAGCCTGCAGCTTGGCTTTAGTCTCCTCAAAGCCTCGTTGCAACTCGGCAATTGCCCTGCTGTGCTCAGCGTCCACATCGGCGGCCTGAGAGGTCTTGGCAGCCTCGATTTCAGCCTGCAATTGGGCTTTGGTCTCCTCGAACCCCTGCTGCAGTTCAGCAATTTGCTTCTCGTGAAGCTCGGCATCAGCCCCGCTAGCACTCTGCAAAGCGGCAAGCTCGACTTGCAGCTTGGCCTGGGACTCTTCGAATTGCTTCCGAAGCTCAGCGGTCTCCTTCTCGCGGCTCTCGGTGTGGGCAGCCATCTCAGTGGCGTGGCGCACAAGGACCGCCTCCAACTCAGCCTCGAGTGACTGAACCCGGGTGGCGTGGACAGACTCCAACTCCTTGTTCGCGGCCAGCAGCTCATCGTGCTTCGATTGAAGATCGCGCAGAGCAGTATCGTGGGTGCCGGATGCCTCCTTTGCCCGCTCCAATTCGGAAGCGAGATGAGCAGCATGCTGAGCCTTCAAGTCTTCGAGAGCCTGGGCGTGCTGCTCGGCCACATTGGCGGCCTGCGCGGCGTGTTGCTCCAGGAGAGATGCAGCCTCCGCGGCCTTCTGCTCGAGAGCCTTCAACTTATTGTCCTTTTGGGCGCCCTCCTGCTTGGAGTGGTCTTCAACCTCACGAAGGATGCGGTGAATGTTTTCGGCTTCGGCTTGCTTGCTCTGCATCTCTTCGAGCAGAGCGTTAATCTTCCCCGTGCCGGTGGCCAGCTGTGACTCCAGCGACTCACACTTGTGTCGGAGAGAGTCAATCTCTTGGACGGCGACGTCTTGGGCCGAGGCGTTACCCTCTTCCAGTGCGCGGCGAGACTCGCCGAGGGCACTCTCGGAAGCGGTAAGTTTTTCTTGCAAAGAGTTGAGTTCTGCCTCGTGAGCGACCTTGAGCTGAGAAACAGCATCTTCTTGTGCCTTCTGTGCAGTGGCCTTGGAAGCCTCGAGTGCATCACGGAGTTCTTGGAGTTGCTGCGTGTGTTCTGTGCCGCTGGATTCTGCTGCCGCAACGGCAACAGCAAGCTTCTCGGCGTGAGAAGCCGAGATATCACTGAGAGCGGTCTCGTGTTCGGCCTTAAGACTTGCGATAGTAGCTTCATGGGCTGCTTCAAGCTCCTCGACCTTGGATGACAACTGAGTGGTCGCGGAGTCGCGCGCTTCCTGAAGCTCGCTCTGAATCTCCTCGAGGGCCTTCTTAAGATCGGTAATTTGTTGGTCTTTCGCGGCAAGCGACTCCATCTTCTCAGAGTCTTCTTGAGTGGCAGACTCGGCCGCGACAAGCTTCTCCTCGAGGGTGGCCACTTGCTCTTGGAGAGCGGAGACACTCTGCTGAGCAGCCTCTTCCGCAGCACGGACCTCCTGCTCTTTGAGGGCATTCAGCTTCACTATTTCTGTGTTGAGGTTGTCCATCACCAGATCGCGGCCCTTGAGCTCTCGAGTGAAATGTTCGAGATCCTGAGCCTTCTCTTGCTCCAGGGCAGTCTTCTGGAAGTCGAGCTCTTTCTGCAGAGCGCTGATCTGCTCCTCGAAGTGGCTGGCCGCAGACTTGTGTTCTGCCAACTCCTTCTCGATGGCCTCAAGCTGAGTATGGTGCGTTGCCTTCAGCTCGTCCAGGAGGGCCACTGTATTGGCATCCCCTTGGGCGGATGCGGACTGGCGAGCCTCCTCGAGCTCCCGTTGGGAGCTCTCTTCTAGCTCTTTGCGCTGTGACTCTGCCTCATCTAATCGTGCCCGCAGGACCACGAGTTCATCGGCGTGGGCTGTAGTCAGCCTTTCGATCTCTGCAGTGTGTGCTGCGCGCGTAGCCTCTGCAGCACCAGCATCGACTGGGCCCACTTCAGCGGAGACAGAAAGCTGGCTTAGCTTCTCATTGACGGCCTCTAGCTCGGTCTTCAGAGTAGCTACTGTTTCCTCGCTCTCTGTGAGCTTGGTCTGGAGAGCCTGCAGCTTCTCAGAGTCACCGGCTCGGGTGGTTGAGCCACCAATTGTACTCAATCGCTTCTTAGGGTCTGTCGCTGTGGCAGATTTCACGGCGCTTGAGGTCGAACCGGGCCGCGCAGTGACGGTTCTAGATCCGGAAGTGGAAGTGCCAACGGTAGCGGTAGTTCGGCTAGCAGGTGTCGTCGACGAAGTCAATCTGCCCACGGGCTTGCTTGTCGAGGTCGCGGTACGGGCAGTCGTCGTAGCAGGCTTCCTTTCAGCGGTGGAGCTGGCAACACTCGACCTACGATCGATGGAAGACGAGGTCGGTCTAAGAGGAGCACGTGTGGATGAAGTGCCGGCCATGGACATGCGCTTCGCAGTGCCAGAGATTCCCCGCTTCTCATCTCCCGAGCTTGCCACAGACCGGGGCTTTTCATCTGCGGAGCTGCTGATTGACATGCGAGACCGGTGGGACGAAGTGGTGGAGGTGCTCAGCGGCTTCCGGGTGGAGGTTGTGGTCGTGGGACGCGTCGGAGGCTTGTTCAGCGTGCTGGCGGTGCGGGTTAGACCGGTCGTTGGCTTCGATGCTGACGAGGAGGTTGGTCGTTTGGTAGCTGTCCCGGATACCGGACGCTTCGCAGTGCCCAGTGTGCCAGGGCTAGCCTTGTTCGGGGAGGCCATGGGATTTCCCTTGGATACCTCGGGGCTAGATTTGACAACCTCCTCGCCTCCAGAGACCATGCTCGACTCGACTGGAGTGGCTGGAGGCTCATTTTCGTCGACCTCCTCAAGAGCAGGAGCCTCTACCACAGCAGCCGCCTCCACAGGAGCAGGGGCAGCAACCGTTTCATCGTTCGAGGACATATCGGCAAATTGTCCAATAGTAATGTATTAAAAAGCCAATCTTCAGCGGTATACGTTCGGTCGGCGCGTAATGGTCAATGTCTGCGTAAAGGACGGGTCAGTATTGCTTGAAACCGACTCCCACTCCTATCCGCATGATTATCGGGTCGGTACTCCAGCGCAAACTGAAGCTCGGCTCAAATTAGCGCGGTATGGACTTGTTCAGGAGCTCTTTACGTCCTGGTCACGAGTCCCAAGTCTTCAATGCTCCATTCAAAATGTATGAACCATGGCCATAGCAGCTTTGTTTGCGATTTCCCAGCTTCAATGGAGCTCCGAATGTGTCTATAAACAAACATCCAAAAAGAGAGTATGTACTTACGCGCCAACGTAACCGTTCCCAAGGGTTGTCACGAGTATAGAACTGATCAGCAGACCAGGAAATAACCCAACAAAAGAAAAAAAAAAAAAAAAGCAAATGTGAATTGAGATCGAACGAAGTACGGAGTACTTTGGGGAAGAAAAGGGGAAAGCGGGAAAAGAGAAAGCGGTGTCGGGTTAGGAGGGGAAGATCGACACTCCATCTCTCCGCTAACTCTAAGACTCTCCATCTTCTGTCTCCAGTTCTTTTCTCTCCTTCTTTCTCTCTTTACTACCCTAACAATGGGTCGATGCAGACCTCCGGGGTATCTCGCATAAGTAGAAATATGGGCTCATCCACGCGTGTTTTTCAGCTTATCATCCGCGATGCATCCCAAAGTCCGTTTGCTTCAAAGTTGCCTTTGCCTAGAACCGAGGGAGTCTTTTATGTCTATTATGTGCTTTGCAGCTCTACATGCTCTATATCTAAGAGCCCTCAAGCTTTCAGTCAGTTCTTAATACTACTTTCTCACGTTACCCAAGGTGTCTCAGAATCAGAATCACAGTCAGTACCTTCAGGAGGTATTTCCCCCTGACCAAGCGAATACTCCCACCAGCCCCTCCGGCTATCTCACCGATATCGACTATTCGCGAGTTATACCCGGATATGCGGTGTAGTACCCATCTTGTGGCCCACGTACAAATCCCGACTACAATCTTCCAAGGGTGAGGTTGAGCAACTTCTGTTACCCCTCAGCCCTAAAAAGGAGCTGTTTGGAGATTCGTTGATGCCAGTGGATTGGGGCGCCGCTGCGGAATAGTGGTGATTTTATGTTGTGCCCGGGGTCTTCACAGACAGATGGAGGATGGGATCACCCATCCATGTTAATACACATACAACACGGATATTTGGATGGTAATGATGTTTCCTGGACACAAGATCCCCATTTCATGAATAACTGCCTTATGATACATCGCTACAAAATGCATTCCCGCAAAAAGTACAGTCCCCAGTATCCATACAGTCCCACCCTTTCCCTTGCAAAGATCAACTCATGGATCATCGAGCCCAAGGCGGATGGCCTGAGCCCGGATGTCTTTCAGAATGCGATCGGAGAGTCGAGGGCCAAATGCTTCGTCACATTTGATATCGACGTATCGATCTTCCCCTGTTGTTCGCGTTAGCAGAGTAGATTCCATAAGATATCTGATCTCTTACCTTCATGGAATTCAAGGCCATTGCGAAGTGCATCCCGCTCTGCGTACGTCCACGACCTGCAAGAAATATGGCTTTCGACTCCCTTTAGGACAAATTGCTGGTAACGTGGAGGTCGACGAGGAACGCGCTTCGATTTCTCACGCAGCCGGCCATCGTGGAGTGCATCCTTGATAGCCTTCACATGTGTCATAATCGTTTTAGAAAGGGCACGCACATCCATACTAATGTCATAATCAATAGTAGCAAGGGAAGATATTCTGTCACAGCATCCCCAAAGCAGATCCAGAATGATGCTAAAATGCCGCGACGCCTGATCTTTTATAGTTTTATAGGCCTTGAACCCGTGGATAATCAGGTCAATCAGACGCGGCACGATGTGGGCTTCGAGCTGATTGACCAGATACGCGCCCTCCTCATCCTCCGGGGCTTCGCTGGATATTATCCACTGCACCTCTTTGAAAATGCTGTTGGCAATGAGGCGATACTGAGGCCTCAAAGTGGAAGCTGAGGCGGAGTCGAGGGTTATCGTTTCAAACACAAAACGCAGCCGTGCAATTAGCTTGATTATATCCCTGAAGCGCTCTTTCATGCGGGAATCTTGGTGATTTTTCATGATTTTCCGGCCTATGCGGATTTCTTCCCAGTCGTCTTTGAAAACGGAGTCTCTGGTGGCATCCGTCAGCCAGGAGAAAAGATCCGAGCGAACTCTTCGATCCTGGTTTTGGCGAGGCGACTGCATCGTCGGACTCTCTGGTACTTCCTGAATCTCCTGGTTTTGACGAGGCGACTGGATCGTACTCTCTGGTACTTCATGAATCTGCGACGAAGCACTTGGAAATGCTTGAGCATCTGACGACGCACGACTCACATGTGAGCGATGCCTCTGCTCTCTTGCTATATGCTGGATAATTTGCACCTCGATATTAGATGATCTCGCGGTTTGCTGGGGCGGTGCTGGACTGTTCCGACTTTCAGCTCCAGAATCATCGTCTACCGGTTCTTCATCTTCAAACGGGTCTCCGCCGTCGGATGTATTGCTGGGCTCATGTCCAGCTTGTTCCTCAGCTTGACGTCTAGCTCGATCTTCGGATCTTCCTCTGCGCTCATCTCGGTGCCTATTCTCGGTTGTAGCTCTCATCTCCTTCTCAGGTTGACCTTGATCCTCAGGGAACAAATCAATTGGTATGGCGAATAGATCCTCTTCGGCCTCACTTTCCAGCTTCTCCAGTCCCTCCCCCATTTCTTCGTCTGAACTATCGTAAGATGCTTCTCGATCGGGCTCGTGCTCAGTGTCATCTGATTCAGACACGCTGTCTTCCAATCTGGACTTGCCATCGCGCTTCTGGCCTTCTTCATCCCTGTCTTCTGATCCGGACTCGTCATCGTTGGGTTTCTGGCCTTCTTCATCGTTGGGAGCATTATGAGAGGGATCTGGTAACCCCGAGCTAGGCACTCCGCGGCTCCTCAGCGCAAATCGGCCTGCCTTTCTTGGCTCGGTCTGGGGAACTTGTGAATGCGGTGGAGATGGAGAGCGGGGAATGTCGTAGATATCGGCACCGGTCGCAGGGCGCCTTTTGAGGTTCTTTGTATTCGCGGCATTGGACTTAGAGGCGTTGATACTATTCAGAAGGCCCACGGATTTATCGATAGAGGCATTGGGTTTTCTTGGTTTTCTCCTCGCCATCTTGAAAGAAAAGACGCGTGGGGAAGTTTGGGAGCGAGACGCGGCAAGGGAGCTCTAGTGGAGCAGATGATAACGATAACATCCCGCTTCCCCTCCAAACCTCCTAGTCCAACCTTTCTTCTCTCTGCCCACTCTGTTCGTATTTAACAATGGCTAATAGCCCGGCTTTTCGTGTCTTGTCCACTTTGGACGAGTCTGCGTCTCACGCTTTTATCGAACCGCGCAAGAAGATCTACGATTCGCAAGATGTATCTGCTTTCCTGACCTCAAAAGCCTATACTGATATCATGACCTGGATCCTACAACTCAACCGATCCATGTTTCCACTTAAACAGGCCGACAATACTACACAAGCATGGACTCTCAATAGCGATGCGATACAATATTCCGCTCCAATCCGACAATTGCAGCAACTGCTTTCGAAACTTCAAGATATCATACAAGAGGTTCCACCCGATACTGGCCCCCGGCGCTTTGGAAATATAAGCTTTCGGAGATGGTGTGAGGTTGTTGAAAGCCGTGCATCCGATCTGCTAAGGGAATGCCTACCGGCTGAGCTCTTGCAGAGGAGAGTATCGGATGAAGGGGCAACGGCGGAGACGGAGTTGAAAGCATATTTCTTGGGTAGTTGGGGGAGTGGGCAGCGATTGGATTATGGCACCGGTCATGAAATGAACTTCCTCGCCTTTCTGGGTGGAATCTGGAAGCTGCAGGGATTCCCCAAGACCGAGCCAGGTGCAGAGGAGCGAGCTATTGTGGTCGGCGTAATCCAGCCGTGCGTCAGCCAAGTCTCCGTGAGGCATATGCTTCGTCCGTCACTAACATTTGGTCGCCTAGATATCTCGAACTTGTCAGATTACTCATTAAAACATATACCCTTGAGCCCGCTGGCTCTCACGGCGTCTGGGGTCTCGATGATCATTCCTTCATTCCGTACATATTTGGGTCTGCGCAGTTCTCGCCTGCCATCACCGAAACCGACCTGACCCCCGAAGAAGGCTCACTGCCTAATGTGCCTGAGCCAAGCACGATCATTCAACGAAATATCGTTGACAAGGAACGTCTGACCAACCTATATTTCTCCGCAATCGGGTTCATTTATGATGTGAAGAGAGGCCCATTCTGGGAGCACAGCCCCATGCTGTTCGATATCTCCGGCATACAAGCCGGCTGGGGCAAGATCAATAAGGTCCGTAATCCCGGTGATCGGTGGGAATGCTCGCGCTGACAGCCGATTTCAGGGAATGATCAAGATGTACAACGCCGAGGTGCTGTCGAAGTTCCCCGTAGTACAGCACTTCCCTTTCGGATGTTTATTCAGCTGGGATCACGATCCAAATGCCGTTCCGCCCTCTACCACGGCCCATTCCACATCTGGTCCTCAGTCGCGTCCTGTTGCACCGGATGGTGGTGCTCCTGATGTAGCTGCTGCCCGTCCAATGCCCGGAGCTGGTACTCAAGCACCATGGGCCAAACATGGCGCAGGCACTCAGGCCGTTCCCCCGATGGGCTCAACAGCGGCCCCGTGGGCGGGGGCCAGAAGAGAAGCAGTCCCAACTTCAAGGCCTGGCGCGCCCGGCGCGCCCGGCGCTCTCCCAATTCTTCCAGATACCTCAAGGATGCCTCCTGGGCCTATGTCACCCACCAGAGCACCCTGGTCTACGCAGACTCGGCCACCACCTTCACAGGATGGAAATGCCGATGTGCCTACCAAAGCTCCTTGGGCTAAATGATAGAAACCGATAAAACGAATTGAAAATATCATTTTCTGCCTCTGAAGCAGATTGCTAATCCCAGAGGATTGTGTAATTTTGATTTTTTTCTTCTTCAATAGGTCCATAATAAAGAGGAAAAGGTGTGGCCTCGATCACCTAGCTGTACGCTGATATGGAACCGAGAAAAAACCGGGTCGGGCCACGAGATGCCCAGCCCTCGGGAATCGGAGCTGCCTTGTGATCGGGAGAATTCGATCTCTTTCTTTCCACTCAATATAAAGTCACCGTACGTACACTGTTGTACGTATATAGTAAAATAAAATTCACAGACAAGCAGTGGTCACCATGAACTGCCCGTCTCGAACCGACGATACTCTGCTCCACGATGAGTGGAATCAGAGCCCACGGGTTCTCGCGCCTGACCTGACCACCCGGCAAGATCTTAACGGCATCTCAAACACCCGCGAGAACAAAGAAGATGAAACTGGAGGAGTCTTGCGGGGAAGCTCCAATTGGAAGGTCAAGGGCATTCTTCCGCTGGAGGAAAAAATTGCGGGGGATGACCTTGGCGCGGGGCGCGAGGCTTCCCTGACGATGTCAGGTATCAATCTCTTACTCCGTACTAGCAAAGAATATATCGTTCTCTAACAATCGAACAGGAAGCCTCGCTCCCCAAACTAATGTACCGGGTCATGAAGACCCAGATCCAAACAATGTTCTCCAGACTATCAAGAGCTGGGCTCTATGGCTCCTATCGGTGCTACTCGTCTCAGCAGCCATTTCATTCGATAGTCTGAAGAAATATTTCACCCCTCACCAGTCTGTTCTATTGGAAGTACCTGTCACACAGCAATATCAAGAGCCAGTCAAAAGATTCTCAAGCTGTGCCCAAGGAGGCGCCCGGGGCGCATACGATCTCCCCTTGCACGTTGGAGCCCTCTTCATCATCCTGGGCACTTCAAGTATCGCATGTGCATTTCCTATCCTGGCAACAAGGTTCCCTAGAATGCATATTCCGCCTGCATTCCTTTTCTTTGTCACCCACTTCGGAACCGGTGTCCTCATCGCCACGGCATTCGTGCATCTCCTTCCAACAGCATTCACTTCACTGGGAGATCCGTGTCTATCAAACTTCTGGACAAAAGACTATCCAGCTATGCCAGGCGCCATTGCGCTGGGAGGTATCTTTCTCGTGACCGTAATCGAAATGGTCTTCAGCCCAGCCCAAAGCATGTGTCGTGGCGGAGGAAATCAGTCCCAACCACCGAGATCAAGACGGTGCTCTTCCCCAGTCGATACAAGACGGCCTTCAACTTCAACTTCTTCTTCTACTTCGAGTCTTGCTCTGGAGCTGCCTAGAACTCCCGTGCGACCTATGGCACAGCGCTCGTACTCCGCGGGAGGAATGGATGGCCGGTCCCATCTGCGAGATATGGGTCCGCTGATCGGAAGGTCAGCAAGCATCAGTCGGGCTATCAATCGACTTGGCGAAGGCAACGAAGAAGTAATCCGTGTTGTCTCGGCACCAGATGTTCAATTCTGTCACGAGAAGAACGGCGGGACAATCCAGGAAGACCCGGAGCGTAGCGATGATACCTTCGCCCTGACTCCGGAGCAGAAGCAAAGAAAAGAAACACTGCAGGTCTACCTCCTCGAAATGGGAATTCTGTTCCACAGTGTTTTCATCGGCATGTCACTCAGCGTGTCAGTCGGCAGCGAATTCGTAATTCTATTGATTGCCATTGTCTTCCATCGTGAGTTTTCCCATTCGTCCACACCGATTAGATGAAACGAGTCTGACCAAGTAAATCACAGAAACATTCGAAGGCCTGGCTCTCGGATCCCGCATCGCCTCACTCCCATGGTCAAAAAAGCAACTCCAGCCTTGGATAATGTCACTTGCGTATGGCTGCACGTATGTTTTCATTTCCCCTGCCTCCTCCAGAAACAAACAGATATTAACAGAAATAACAGAACTCCGATCGGACAGGCCATTGGTCTCGCAACACACACTCTCTACAGCCCTGATTCAGAAGTTGGGCTGCTCGTGGTTGGCGTCATGAATGCGATCTCGGCTGGACTTTTGATTTTCGCCTCGCTTGTCGAGTTGATGTCGGAAGACTTCCTTAGTGACGAGAGTTGGCGCATCCTTCGTGGAAGGAGGAGAGTTTATGCTTGCATCTTGGTGTTTCTGGGGGCTTTCTGCATGAGCATTGTCGGCGCTTGGGCTTAGATATTATAGCTGCCTTTGGGTATCTGTGTTTTAAGGAATCGTATATACCCGAATGTCAAGGTTTTGACAGCCACCAAGTCTGATGCATATATTCCACTTTACGGTTGATTCGGCAGAATTGAGACAACACCAACTCCATTACTAGGTATCAGATAGTTGTTTCGCCCAGTAATCAAGCGAAGTGCGATATGTAGCTCACTGGTTCTCAGATCTGAGTTGGGTCAAGTAGACCAGTTGCTCATGCATCGGACGAAGCGTACCACCTCAGTTCACCGCCACCGAGCCCTGTTCTCTCGGTCATATTCTTCTTGGTTGTACCCACCCCATTCATACTCCAGCTGACTAGCAGTCTGAACCTCACTGCCAACCTTCTCCCCCTGGAACCCCAGATTACCCATGCAATTTATAGACCCAGCAATCTTCCCATCCCCAAGAAACATAATATAACCCTGATTGGAAGAGCCGAAACTCATCTCCCCAGTGCCCATTTCTCTTCCGCGCCACTCAAAGGGAATTTCCTCAGTAGAAGCCTTCATAGGTCGGTGCAGCATCCAGAATACGCCTCCGAATATACCGAAGTGATACGACCCCCAAACCTCTTTTCCATTAAGACGGATAGTTAACTCCAATCCCTCATATGGAATGTAATGTGGCCATTGGCCTTCGATATCGGGCGACTGGATTTCGTACGTTCCGTTGATCAGACCGAGGCTCGTGCTCTTAATTCTGGGTGGAAATCTGGGTGGAGATGGAGATGGTCGACCATAAGGCTCGCTCGCGTCATCGATGTCCATTCGATCATCGTAAGGGTCGTCATCGTAGAAATCGTGGGAAGTCGAACCGCTCTGATTGGGCAAGTTAAGGACACGGTCAATTTCTTCATACGTGGGGCAGAATACTTACCGTCTCACAGTCAGATTCATAAGATGGAGGCGCGTCTGCGTACACCTGCCCGCGCCATACCATCGGCTGTGAGATTGCATGCGTGGTCGCCTGTGTTCTGTCTGCAGGCAAGCTGCGTCTGGCAGTCTGTGGTCGGCTGAACGTCTCTTCCTCATCTTCAGCCCTCTTTCTCTTCACTGGGGCAGGCTTGGGCGTTGCGGCCTCGGCTGTCGCGTATCTGACTCTAGTGGCAAGCGGGGGACCGCCCCCCTGCGTGCCGTGAGCTTCGTACGAGGAGCCCTAGACGCGGTAGCCTCAGGTGCAGCAGCCTGAGGTGCAGCAGCCTGAGATTCAGCAGCCTGAGGCGCAGTAGCCCTAGGTACGGTGCCCTTGGGAGCAGCCTTGGGAGCAGCAGCCTTGGGAGCAGCAGCCTTGGGAGCAGCAGCCTTGGGAGCAGCCGGAGCCTTGGTAGCAGCGGTTTTAGCGGCAGCTTTTGATGCTGCAGCCTTAATCTCAGTAGCCTTAGACATAACAGTCTTAGAAACCGTAGTCGTCTTAGTGGTGACGGCTTTAGTTGTCGTATTTTTGGTGTTAGCCGGCAGCTGTTCTCCCTGATTCTTCCATTGTTTCTTCAAATCCTTCTCGATCTGTACATGTTCCTTCGGAACACGCAATTTACGCTCCTGCAAGGCTTTCAACAGTCTCATCTTTGCAGTTGATTTGACCTTTGACGACGGCAGGCCATAGTGGAGGAGCTGCGCTTCATACCAGTGGCCTGGATGATCTGGTGCGTTGGTTGCAGACCCGGTGTCGTATAGGGCTTTGATTTCAGTGGGTGCTGCACGCCGGTGGACCTGTCCACCCGACGCGGCGACATAGAATGTGTCGACGTTGAAAGAGAACTGACCATTCGTAACAGGCTGCATTTTGGGATGGCTGATACGAAGGAGATGAGAAGAAAAATACTACGGACGGGGGAGACTCGAGATATCAACACAACAGATCCATGGATGGTGAGGCGGGCCGCGGGGCCGCGGGACTACAAACGCCCACGCCTGCACTCCCCCTTAAATCTGATCTATCGTCTCATGACGGCTCTCATCTCGATCTATCACATTTCTTATTGTCTTACAGCACCTCCTAAGAAAGCAGTAGTTAGAGACATTGATTGGGTTATTCACCGTTATTGGCGTTTGTTACTTGTGGGCCTTTATAAGTCATCTTGATACAAGAATTGGCGCTCTTCATCCTATACATAGCATGCACATTCAACGGTCTGAGAAATACTATTGGGGATTTACAAAAAGTCCACTGGCGGCAGCCCTCTCTGTTCCGAAGCCTTCTGGACACTGTCCTGCATCGCCTTAATAGCCTCTTGCCAGGGTATAGTTTCGTCGGACCGGGATTCTTGTAGCTTCTCGGAACCTCGTTGCTGCGAATAATCAGCGACCAACCACATCAACCACCGCACCACCGAAACAGCTTTGTCCAGATCCTTCTCTTGCAAAGTCACGCTAGACAGATATTTACATAATGACGCAACGTCTTCGGCATATGGGCCGCCTGCTGCAAACGCTTCATGCCAGGAGCCAACGGCATCCCGCAGATCCGGCAATTGGGACAAACGCTGTGATGTGAAGACTGGACGTTTCGGGAGCGGGGGTAGAGGAAGGCGTTTCTCTACGGGAACCGGTGCGGGTGGAGGAGCCTCTTGTGCTCGAGAAGGGGGTCTTTGGGCGCTCGCAGAAGCTCGTGAGCGCTGTTGCATGCGTGTGCGTTCTTGTTCTTCGAGGACTTCTCGTCGGATATCTTCGGGTAAAGCGGCAAGAAAATCAGCTGAAACCTCAAGTGGAGGTTCTGCCGGTTCTTCGACGTTTGGTGACGCTTGTCTGGATGAGACCTCGTCATCAAGACCAGCAGGCGGAGCGACCGGGCGGGGAACGAAGCCAAAATTCGATTGAAATAGAGGCTTTTGTTTAGGCTTGTTCGCAGGGGCTGCCGACTTGAGCGGGCGGCCACGCCGCTTTTTGGGGGGTGAGACTGGCCTTTTCGGTCTGAGAGAGCCGGAGGTTGATGGGCGTGGCTCGGACACTGCGGGTGCAGGTGGTGGTGCAGGGATATTCGCTGGCTCGTTATAGTAACCAAGTACTTCATTGCGCACATCTTCGGGCAATGCGGCCAATGTGTCTGGGTCCAGCTGGGACTGAGGGGGAAGGTCTGCTCGAGCAGGTTGTCCTGCTGACCGTGGCGGGGGACATGGGGATCCTATGCGAGAATCCCGCCGCGGCTTTGCTTGTGCAACAAGTCTTGCTCTGATATCTGTCGGTAACTCCGCAACCACTTTGGGATCTGCCTGAGTGGGCATAATGAACTGGGAACCCGATATATTGAGAGGTTTGTGAGCACTGTCACTGAGGACAGGATCCGCTTGGATCCTGACAGATCCATCTTTGTGCGGACTTTCCAGCTCGTCCGGGTCTGCTTCTGGGACAGCCTTCTTGCGAGGGGGAGACTTTAGAAAGTTGAGCTGCCGTTGACTGCTTCCAGGGCCCGAGCCGCCAGTCTTGATTGGCTCCAGCCTGGTCATCTGTACGCCCAGACCTCTCAGATCTCCTGGTGAAAAGTTGAAGCTTCTCAGCATTGATATTGCTTCTTTGGCAATCACGTCTGGTGCATTGGTCGCAACACCAAGAGCGACGCTCTTGTTGAACACATCGCACTTTCCATGGCCAAGATGTTTGACGGGTTCCAAAGGAGCGTCCATTGATCGTCGCATGACTTTAAGTGTGAGCTGGGTTCCCTTCACCAGATTCTCCATCAATCTTCGATTAAGCTCCTCACAGAGGGACCGCACAAATTCATCGGCTTGCTCCTGGTTGACAAAGCGAATGCCCCAATTGACCTCAGCCGACACAGATTTCCTCGTTACTTGGTCACCGACTTCTGTCCGGTCAATTCCACGAGCGTATTCCCACATTCTCATCCCAGTTTTGGGTCCCAAGCCAGATATCAGCCTGTCTTTCGGAATATCTCGGATGTCTTTGACAAATTTGGCGCCCAGTTCCTCCAACTTAATTGCCGTGCTATGGCCCACACCTGGGAGAGCGTTAACTGTGAGATCTCCAATGAAGTCTAACACGGCATCTGGCTTTAATTGGAACTGCCCAGCGGGCTTAGCTTTCCGAAGAGAGACCTTCGCAAGCAGAATGTTGCCGCCAATACCGACAGACACCGCACATCCCGTCTTCTGCTTGATTGAATCCCGTAAGGCCTGGGCAATTTCGTCCGCTTTGAATTGCTCGCGATCGATAGATCCTTCCGATATCTTCTTTCCGTTTGAGCCACCGGCTTCGACGCATAGTTCGGTGACATCGATCAGAGCCTCGTCAATACTAACACTTTGCACAACGCCATCAACGGCAAGTATCGCGGTGTAGAACTTCCGACTCGCATCTTCATAGGCAGGGAAATCATAAGGCAAGACCTTGAGCTCAGGACACGATTGCAAAGCACCTTTCATCCACATTCCATTTTTAACACCCCGGGCACGTGCAGGGTAATTGCAACTAGCAATCTCGGAGCTTGACCCCGAGCCATGAGCGATGGCAACCGGCTTGTCCTGGAGTTCGGGATGCTTTAAAAGCGAGACGGCCGCAAAGAACGAGTCAAAGTCCACATGGAGTATATACCGTCGTGCTCCAGGTACAGGCTTTGGTTTGGGTCTCCGAGACAGTGCTTTCTCCTTCGTCGCAGCCTGCAGCTGGGCTTTCAACTCCGCCTTCCAGGTCGACAGATGATGAAGGCGAGACTCTCTGTAATATTGCTGCAAGAAGTCCGGATTGACAGCAGAGATTTTCTGCATCTGTGGATCTGCAAGGAGTTGTGCGTTGTACTCTTCAGACGTCAATTCTGGTTTTGTAGGGCTGATTTGATTGAGGGCCGGGAATGGTTCGGGATCAATCGGTGGTTCTGGCGTTGAAGGCTGCGTCGCATCACTAGCTGGCATCTCTTTTGGTGGCTCACGAGCAACTTCCTTTCCTGTATCTTCCATAGCCTCCATCGTAAAGCTAGGAAAATCCCCATAGTCTGACTGGGATGGCTGGGTCGGCAGGGTCGGCGTGGCAATCTGTGAGATGTCCGATCGTGCAGATGGGGTCAGAGGTTTAGATGAAGAACCAATATTATCTCCGACGGTGCTGGTATTTCGCAGCTGAGAGTTGTACCAGCTAGTTCTCGATTGCTCTTTGTAGCCCGTACGAGGGCTATTCGCCTGACTGGTAAATCGACCATCATCGAATTTGAGCACTCTTTGTGCCTGGCCTTCATCTACTATTCTAAATTCATCCCACGGCAGTAGACGACCTGCCCTGATACTTTCCGTCACCCACGCAGGGCTCACTATGCGATACCGACGGAACTCTTCACGTTTCTTGGGTGTCAAAGCGCTAGCAATGATGTGAGTGGCAACGGTCTTGCCATCAAGGTATTGAAGGAAACCACCTCCATGGCTGACGATCAAACGATGTAGGTCTTGGAGAGAAGGCTGAGTGTACCCATTGACATGGGCAACCACACCGCGAAATATGAGCGGGCAATCACCAGCTGAGGCTCGAATTTCTGCATCAAGGTTCTGCAGCTTCAACTTTTTTCGGCGCATATAGTCACCAAACCCACCAAAGCTGGAAGCCTCATACTCCTCGCCTTCTTCGTCATTGAAGTCATCTAAATGCGGTCAGATAAGGGTGGAGACCAATATGCCGACCCTACGTACGATTTTCAATGCGCTTTCGCACTGCACTTGAGTTTGTCTCATGACGGGAGCCCATGTTGGGCTACAACTACCATCATGACCGAGCTATGAGTAGAGACAACAGAGAGATGGTTGCCCTCTCGCGCGAAGCTCGGTAATCATCACGTGGACCCAAACTTCCAAACAGCGGTCACACAAGGCAATATAGGGGCGGTGAGCTGTCCTCTGATCTCATTGATCGAATTTTTTTTCTCTCCAAATTTTTTGCCGTAGCTGTTGCTGGGTAGCAACTTTTCTTTTCTTTCCTCTTCTTTTTCCCTCAACCAGATTCATTCGCTTTTCACCCATTCTCTCTCACATCGAATCTCTTTTAATTTCACTTATACATAATGTCTGCCGTTCAGCCTGTCGCAGTCTATGCGCTCCGGGTTCCTCCCGGTGCCATGGTCCAGGCAGTTCCCAACGCTGCTGCTTCTGTCAGTTTTGCACCGTTGCACCGACCATTTGACTAAACTCATGCTGATATTGAATTAGTTCCGCGTTAGCATGGCCGCTATCGATCCCGATGAGGCCCCAGAGTTCGAGGATGAGCAGGACTCCAGCAAGCCTTCCCGCTCCACTCTGAAGATTATTCGCGCTCCTCCCGGTCTTGACCTCGATGAGGATGATGAGGATGATGAGGACTACAGTGATGAGGATGAGGAGGAGTCTGAGGATGAGGAAGAGTCCAACGGTGGCCCTAGCGACAAGGAGAAGGCTCGCAAACTCCGTGAAGCTGCTGCCCTCAAGGATCTCGAGGACGCTATGGAGGAGGACGATGATGAGGAGGATGACGATGAGGACTTCGACTTGAAGGCTGCCATCTCTAAGCTCATCAAGGGTAAGGGCCCTGCCCTTGACGACGAGGACTCTGAGTCCGAGGAGGGCCTCGAGCTTGATGAGAACGTTATCTGCACATTGAGCCCCAGCCAGGTAAGGCCAATTGCCTCTGCGAGTAGCAAAATTTTCACCCACTTACATTCAATTCTCCTATAGAACTACCAACAGCCTCTGGATATCACTGTCTGCGAGGGTGAGCCTGTCTTCTTCAAGGTCACCGGAAACCACACCGTCTTCCTGACTGGTAACTACGTCATTGGTCTCGACGAGGGTCACGATCACGATCACGACCACGATGATGAGGACGATGAGGATGACTACGATCTGTCCCCCGATGAGGATGAGCTCGACATGGATGAGCTCATGGCCATGCAGGGTGGTGATGAGAGCGACGACCTTGACGACATGGAGGATCCCCGAATCACCGAGGTTGAGAGCGAGGATGAGGCTCCTAAGCTTGTCGAGACCAAGAAGGGCAAGAACAAGCGCGCCGCCGAGGAGGAGGCCAGCCTCGACGACATGATGGCCAAGGCCGACAAGGCCAAGTCTACCAAGGCTGAAGAGCCCGCGTTGACCAAGGCCCAGCAGAAGAAGCTCAAGAAGAACAACGGTGATGCCGCCGCTGTTGAGCCTAAGGAGACCAAGAAGGATGAGAAGAAGGAGGCCAAGACCGACAAGAAGGTCCAGTTCGCCAAGAACCTCGAGCAGGGCCCTACTCCCTCCGGCGACAAGCCCACCGGCACCCTCGGTGTCAAGGAGATCCGTGGTGTGAAGATTGACGACAAGAAGCTCGGAAAGGGCGTTGCCGCCAAGAGTGGCAACACCGTGGCCATGCGCTACATCGGTAAGCTCGAGAACGGCAAGGTCTTCGACTCCAACAAGAAGGGCAAGCCTTTCACCTTCAAGCTCGGAAAGGGTGAGGTGATCAAGGGTTGGGACATTGGTGTTGCCGGCATGGCTGTCGGTGGTGAGCGTCGTATCTCCATCCCTCCATCTCTCGCATATGGCAAGAAGGCCCTTCCCGGCATTCCCGCCAACTCCAAGCTCATCTTCGATGTCAAGCTCCTTGAGATCAAGTAAACTGCTTTGTCCTACGTCTTTTTGCCGGGGTGTTTGAGGGTACCGGTTCAATTGCATTTCCTGTGATATCCATTGCTGTCTTCTTTTTCAGTTCACTCTCCCACTGTATCTGGCGATGAGATGATCGCGAGGAATTTGTATCCCTGCATGGAAAAAGTGACTATTTATTGCTATTTATTATTTACTTTGTACTAGTCCTTGAATCATATTGAATATTCACTGCTTTTATGTATTGTAGAAAGAGAGGTCGTTCTATAGTAAACCTGAAGCAAGCCCTAGAGAGAAGGGGGTGGATGTGTATACTTCGCCTCTCTTCGCCCTTGCATCACACCCAAATTCGCCGACATGAATCCAACATATCAATACAAAGAAATAAGGCTGCCTGATGCATGAACTTTTCTATTTTTGTCAACAACGAAACGTGGAAAGTTCTTCGTTTCATGATATAACTAGCTTCATTGCCTTATTCAGGCGATGGAGGCGATCACTGATCGAACGTCATTGCCTCGTTCCAGCCGCCGACCTCCTAATCACTTCATCTTTGGGCTCTCGCTCCCAACTATTTGCCTTGCCACGTTTGTGATACACTCTCTAGACACACTGCCTCCTCCTTCTCCTCTCATTTCCCCCTATCCAATAAAATAATGATTAACTAGCCAGCCAACACCCAACTGTTACCTCGCCACCCCCCGCAGATAAGGCATGACTCTGTGACTGCGCTGGCGCTTATCGACTCAATCGGCTTCAATCCTAACATCTGTGTTGTACAACATCTCATAGCTCCCTAGCCCGTTGTTAGTATTTACAACATCTCGACATGGACAGCGATCGCATGTTCTGCCATGCCTGTGGCGGGGTTTGGCTTAAGGACGGGGGTTTGACGTGCCCGCATTGTGAATCCGAGTTCACGGAGATCGTATGGCGAATTTCTTCTCCCTCGAAGTTTCTTCTAGTTTTCTAACGCTTTGACTTTCTCTAAGATTGAGATTCCTCCAGAGATGCCCTCCGAAGCTTCCCCATCACCCCAACCCCAGGCTGGGTCATCGTCGGCTCCACGCGGCAACCCGTGGAGAGACCATAACCCGTGGGAACAAGAAGAGTCATATTCAGCGCAAGGCTTGGGTCTTTTTGGGAACGCCTCCTCTGGATATCCCTCTCTGCGCACATACAGGTCCCCCGACGGGCGGTTCTCATTCAGTAGTACGACGTTTGAAGCCGGAACAGCCTCCGGTCAGCGCAACGATCCAAGTCCTATTGTCCCGATGGCGTTGGAAACCTTCGGTGCGATGCTACGAGACGTAGACTTCATGGAGCCGAATCCTCGTGTTTACAGAGGATATGGGGAGGAGTCTCTCGATCCTAACTCCTCCACGGCTCCCGACTGGCTTCAGGACGACCACCTCACCGGCCATCACCCGGGCCTATCTCCCCGCAATACAAATGGCCCGCAATCAAATCGCAACCCGATGACGATAACCGAGTATGTGCGATTCTATTTCTACTGCTTCTCTTCGCTAGGAAACTGACCGGGATCTAGGATCATGGACGCTATCCGTGCTGACCTTGGAACACAATCAATGCGAGGCGGCCGGGGAGGCCGTGGCGCAGCAGCTCCGAATCCTCTTTCCATACTGTCCGCCATTCTCAACATGGATCGAATTGGAGACGCAGTTTATTCGCAGGAGGCGCTTGATCGGGTCATCGAGCAGCTGATCGAGCACACTGGAGGTGCCAGCACTGCGCCACCGGCAGCATCACAGACTGCCATTCAGTCTTTGCCAAGGAAAAAAGTTGACAAAGAGATGCTGGGCGGCGAGTCAAAAGCGGAGTGCACCATTTGCCTAGATAATGTCGAACTCGGTACGGAAGTCACAGTGTTACCATGCACGCACTGGTTTCATTTCAGCTGCATCGAAGCCTGGCTGACCCAAAACAACACTTGCCCACATTGCCGTCGCGGTATCGACTCAAATATGGGGTAAGTTGGGCGGTTCCGAGTTTAGACACTTGTTTAGAACCTTACTAACGAGTATATATCAGAAATGGAGAGGGCACCCGTGAGAATCCCGTCGTAGTCCAAGATAGCCCCGAGCAATCAGCATCCCGGCGGCGCCACAGTTCTGCGCGGACATCGCGCAGCGGCCGATCCTCTTTATCCTCGCTGCAGAGCCGGCTATCGCCACGACTTTCCCCTCGTCGCTCTCCTGAACGAGAGCGTGGACAGGGTGGACAACCTGGCCCTCGAGAGCTTAGCCGGAGTGAGGGCAACGGTGGAGGATTCGCCAGCTGGTTTTCAAACCGATTTGGAAACAGCACGTGAGGAAGGGCGTATTGTTGATATGAAAGACACGTAGCGAGACTCATTTCATTATTTTCTCACCAAGGTTGGTTTTCGGCGGGTTGGACAACACACTTGATTTGTTTTTTAGCGGTTCGGCAAGGGTCGATGGTTTTCTTTGTTTCTGGCGATATCTACATTCCCCCATACCCCCTTGGTGAGAGTTACCCTACGCGATGAAGGGCATGGGTATGCCTGGTCTTTGAGCCTCGTATATATGGTTTCATCCCACGTCGCAATGTCATTTTATCTAGTTAGTACATTGGCATTGTCTGCTAGTTTATCTCCGTGATTTTCTTATCATTAGCACCTACGATATATGAGGATGCAATGGTTAACTGAGATTGACGTCTTTCGTCGCCATGAGACAATGCTGCTCGTACTGCGTATGATGTACTAATGCTTTATTTTCATGTAGTCCAAAAGCCCAGTCTCTTTCATGCAATGGGCTTGTGGTTTAGTGGTATAATACTCCCTTAGCATGGGAGTGGTCCGGGGTTCGATTCCCCGCGAGTCCATCTTTTTGTTTCTACTTTTTGTACTTCTCGTTGTATACTTCACTTTCTCTGAGCCCAATGATCTTTTCTATTCTTTTTGGCTTGTCGAATAAGGCTCGGAATAAGTCCGAGTTAACATGCGTTTACGACTCTTCCACGGAACCCTTGGTTTGTCTTCACTAGTTACTGCATCGACATACATGCATGAATGTGACGCTTATGGTGGTGCATCTTATCCTGAAGGACTGTGCCAACCTTGGAACGACTGGATAAGCCTTGTCTTTATACTTCGTCAATACGAGACTACGTGACTACATCGGAATACCGGGCAGTTTCTTCATGGTTGCCTACTACTATATGTTCATTGCTTTTGGACATCCTGCATTGAAGCTGACGAATATGTATTTCCACATACCACAGTATATGCAACAACCACGAGACCTTCGGCAACTGATATTCTCCCAAGTCTGCAACCTAGGATTGGTGCATGTGCCGTTGAAAGCAGGTCTCTAGAGTCTAGAGTCGACAAGTTTCACAAGAAAAAGCAAACAAAGCAGGGCAGCACAGAAAAAGAAAGTAAAGATACGTTTAATTAGGATAAGATGAACAAAAGATGGAACATTAAAATACAACCAGTGAATTCTAAACCCATCCAACGTCTCAGACCTGCTTCAGCTGACTCGCATCTTCGAACCTGTTATTCGACAACTTCATACCTCCGTCCCCACGAGGGCTGACTCGCCAGAAACCACGAGCGGAACGGATTGAGCATCCTCTGTCGTCGGGCTGCTTTGCGATTCTGTTCCTCGCGCTGCTGATCCATCCAGACAGTTGGTGTGATGACCTGGGGAGGTGGGTGTGGGTAATTGTTGCGATTTATCTCGAAACTTGAACGAATGCTGGTAAAGTCTTCTTCAGCCTTTGGGGGTATTGGATTTGGCCATGTTTGTGCTCGCTTCTCAGTTGCTATTGATTGTGAGGTGGATGTGTTGTTGCGATCTATAGATGTGTCTGATATTGGGAACACGACGGCAGTTGGTCTGGGCCGTGAATGGACCGTAGGTTCGGGATTGGTATGAGATCCCGGAAATTCAGAGTCGTTGATTTCATTTTCTCGTATTTGGTGTGTTGGATCAGGCTGGACGTTTTCATCTGCCCTTTCTAGTCCCATGGACAAGTGGAAGCGTCTGCTCATTCTGGTATTTCCTGATAGTGTGAAATTATGGCAGAAGGCGGCGTATGACTCGTGAAGACGCATTTCTCGTACCGCCTCTACATCCACGGGAGGACATTCCTCTTCAATGTGCTCGTGGATAGCGCCGCGTAGGTTTACTCCGTGGAGTTGGCGCTCGCGCTCTGGTGTGTGTGTGATGGGTGCAGTATGTGTTGCGTTGTTGAGATCTCTGAGGTTTCTTTCGCTTAGTTCATGCTCTTGATATCCCGTTCGAAGGATTGACTGGGATATCCTCTTAGACACTTTTCTTGTGAGCTGGACGACTGTGCTTTTCCGGCGGAGTTGAGGTCGGGGCTGCTCTATTGAATCTCGGGTAGAGAAGGTGTCACTCGAAGAAAAGGATGCATTGTCATTGACAATGATAATATCAGGCATGTTGGTGTGAATAGTCTGACTTTCGGCTTGCGATAGAAGGATATATGAAGGAAGATGTGAGGCCAGACCGGGAATAAATAATTTACTCCCAGCAAACGGGACTTCGTACTTTGAGGAGTTGAAAGAAAGTTGACTCGGCAATCTTCCAATAGAATGAGCGAAATACGGTGAATTCCTATCACGTATATAAATACTTGCTTATGTTGAGAATGTAGCATTGCACGCACCTGCAACAAGGAGATACTTAAGGGCTTTTTCACGTCTTCCAGAACGTACCTTCCGGTCTATACTGGACCTTCATAGAGGACAGATAGTCTGTAAAACAGTAAAAACCAATTTCCCACGGAGTTTGGGGTTAATCCCACCTTATACTCCGCCAATTTACACAAAGAGCATGTGCCATGCCTAGGCAGTGTAGCTCAACATTAGTTCGCCGGTGGTACCCTCGGGGGATACCAGGGGAGTACCGCTAAAGCAAGCCACCATGCAGAGGGGAAATGGGACAGTACGTCAGAGGTTCTCTAAGCTTAAGGGAGAAAAGTGCAGATTTGGCTTAAATTCGCGAGAGGTTGCTATGAGACGGGAGTGGCCCAGTGGGGGCCCGGGGGGAGGTCATAGTTCAGTCTTGGCCCTAACAACCTGAAAAGAAGGGGAACTTCCAATTGTTCAGTGTTCACCACCTTCCATGCCGAGGTTATCGCAGTCCAAGATCCTTCAAGAACATAAACAAGTGATCAAGTCTAATATCCACTGAGACACAGACAAAGGGGAAGTGAGACATGCCCGACACCCCGTTACCCCCGTTATTGACCCACCAACGGTGGCGCTACCTAGCAGTGGCCTAGCCTCGGACTCTGGCGTCCAATGCGCCGTCGGAGATCACTAGACAGCCTGAGCAGTCTCCTATTGGATACACTGGGTGGAATAGCATGTGGCCGTCCTCGTGCAGCTGGACGTATCCGGTGGAATCTTGTGATGTAGGTCAATCCGTTGCAAGCCGCAAGAGTTTATTCATTGGCAGAAGATGACCCGACCAATATGATGATGAACATATGTTTATTTACAAAGCTTGTGAGGCCGAGATGTATCAGAAGGCAATCAGGGTACGCAGTATACTCGCGGGGTCACATTATCCAGATACGCCTTCGCGCCCGAGGCCCCAGCGACCAACCTCACTCATCGCTTCATCGCCGCCTTCAGCCAGACGACCGTTTGTGTTGGACGGATTGCTGCTTCCCAGCACGCCAGCTACGCATTTCCAGCCATTGCGACCACCGCCCCAGCGGAGAACCTCGTTCTTGTATCGCTCGCCCGCGGCGCGATCAGTAGCCGCCCGGCCGGACTGGAAGACGTCCTGCCAAAGTTTATTCGCGATCGCGCGATCAAAGATATAACTGTAATATGTGGCACCGTAGCCATACAGGTGGCCGAAGAAGCCCTGCCACGAGGTAGGTGGCTGTAGGTTGGCCGGATCGGGTAGACATGAGTGCTCACCGAAGACTCGGTGGTAGATGGCGGTAGAGTCGATGCCGGCGGAGCTGACTTCAGCTGGGATCGTGTGGTATGCCTGGTCAACGAGCGCCATGAGGATCTGAGCCTCATTCTCAACCGCACCGTAGATAGATCCGTGCGCAGTGCGATCTAGCTCCATGCTTCGCATCATGGCCTCAGACAGAGGCTCGTCGGTCTTCCAGTGCCGCGCGTAGAGGCTGAGGACCTCTGGTGCTGTGGCAAAACTTTCCATCAATACAGAGGGAAGTTCGGCGAAGTCCGTAGCGCATCGGGTACCCGAGATGGATTGAAGAGGTGTTTGGCCCAGTATAGAGTGGACTGCATGGCCCATCTCGTGGAACAGGGTACGAACGCTCTGTTCATTTAGCAAAGTCGGCTGACCGCTGCCATTGGCCTGTGGCTCCTGGAAGTCGCAAACGAGGGCAATGGTTGGAAGTTGACGTAAAGTTCTGGTGTGCGGGTCGACACCAGTCGCCATGCCATCGTTCGGGTGTGCAGTCTCGTTCATTGAAGCACACTCGGCGACCTCCTCCGCGGAAATCTCGCGCGAGCAGCGGAGAGTAAAGTGAGCAGGATTGGGGTGCTTGCTTGGCCTGGTAAATAAGTCGCAGTAGATGACTGCGATGTGATTATCGGATTCGTCCACTACATCCAATCGACGAACATCCGGGTGCCAGGTCTCACCGGGAGATGCCTCATTTGGAACCAGGCGTACACCGTACAGACGGTCAAAGAGTCGAGAAAGACCCTGCATCACTGTCCCCAATGAAAAGAACTCGTTGATGACGCCCATGTGACGAGAGCGACGAGCCTGGGAATATTCCAAAACGCGCTTGTGAACGTAATATGCATGATCCCAGGGCTGCAGAGCCGAGCCTGGCTTTGAGGCCTGCAGCTTGGATAGCTCCTCCTGGACTGGGCCCCGGTTGCTCGAAACAAGTGAAGTCAAGAAGTTGGACACAGCTTCGGGTGTCTTGGCCATCTTGTCACCGAGAGTCATGTGCGCAAAGCTGTTGTGTCCAGTGAGTCGTGCTAGCTCAGATCTCTTCATGAGAAGCTCCTCCAATCTGTGAATCTGGCGCTTACTCGATGTTCTGGTCGCCAGATATATTTGTTTGCGAACATCTTCATCGTGAACTGAGCGAAGAGCAAGTCGAGGGATGACCCCCGTAGTCGGTACCGGGGCTTTCTTGTTCCACCTCTTAATTTTGGAGATGACCATAGGATCCAATCCTTGGAGGCTGTTGGCACCAAAGACGACCTGGGACCTCGCAGGCTCTGCGCCATTCATGAACTCCGAGCCCAACTGGCTCACATCATTCGAAAGCTCCACAAAGCGTTGTCTCACATTGGGCGGCATATGAATCGCGGAGTTCGAGAAATCCTTGTTCAGAATTTGGGCAACGATTTTCTCTCCCTCGGTCCATGATGATGTCACCTCGGGGTTGTTCAAAGCCTTGTTGAGCTGTTCATGGAGCCCCGTGGTTGTGTTCAAAACGTTCATATATTCAAACATAAGAGCCCACGCCTGCGTGGCTGCTTCTTGTATCCGTGGATCGGGGTGGATAGTTCGAATGAAGTCGGATAGGTCGATGACACGACACAAGAGGTCGCTGAGCCGGTCAAGATCTCGTGCTAGCGCCCTATACTCGTCCACCGTCGAGGCGGCAAGCACCTTAGCCACAATGGCCTGACATCTTTGTAGCGAGACATTTGCAAATGTCCTGAAGCCTTCGGGCGTTGTCAGGTACTGGTTTTGTACCAATCCGGCTTGTCTGGAGACTGTGGAGGTGCGCTGCTGGGAGAACTCATTCCAGAATGGCTGAGAATCAAAAACACAGCGCAGAGTATGGTCGTCGGTCTTCGCTTTTGCTGCACTGTTGTCTGCTGGGATGTATTCAGAGGACGTTGTCGGAGAAGATGCGGCGCTCGCAAAGGCTCGGGGTTGGGGCCGCAGATGCAGGCACTTGCGACTTGTCCATGTCCGTCGCAAAGGGCGAAGCATTGTAGAGACTGTATTAGAAGTAGATTAAAACCATTAGGGATAAATAGCACCGATTCACAAGTTCATTGAAGGAAGAAGCATCGACTTCACAAGGAAACGGGCAATGACGGAGTTTTCTGGAGGTTCCGCCGAGCCGAAGAATTCCCGTCTTGCTCCAACACGACTTTGCTTCATTCTCACTACCAGCTCCCTACTTCTCCTCCCTCCCCCCACACCACCAGGATGTCATTCCGGCCGATGTTGCAACAGGTATGACTTCTTAAGCCTCCATACTTGAAAGTTGGATGCAATTGATCCCCAATGCCCCGGTCCGCACTGACATGTGTCCAGCGGGCTGTGGCTCCCATCGCAGCCTCTCTCCTCGCGGGAGGCATCGCCTTGTATCCCAAGAAGACGGCGTTCGCAGAAGAGCCCCGTGATCATGTACGAACTGATGTACCTCGAACCCAAAGCAGCTCCGAACAGTTTTCCTGACACACTAATATAGCGCAAACCTATCTACGATGACATCCCCTCCGACATCCCCGAAGCTGTTAAACCCACCCAGCCTGCCGCACCTGCCGCGCCTGTCGTTTCCAAGTTGACCTCTGCACCCGCTGCGCAACAAGCTTCCTCTTCGCCTACCCCGACAGATATCCTGACCGCTCAGGTCCGACAAGCTCGCCTCTTCCTCTACTCACACTCCCTTGCCGCCGAGCAGGGCTTCAACAACTTCCTGTCCAGGGCCCTCAACATCGAAAACTGCTTCACCAACACCGTTGCCTCGCTCGCACCTTCGCCCGAGTCCGGCGAGCGTCTCCTGCCTGGCGGTGTCTACGTCGTCGTGGCCGCCATGGCCGGCTCCATTGTCTCGCGTAACCGTGGCATCTTCCTCCGCACTACATCGCCCCTCGCCTTCGGCACTGCTGCTGCCTACAGTCTTCTTCCCGTGACGATGCGCAATGTTGGAGAGCTTGTTTGGGAGTACGAGCAGAAGGTTCCTGCCGTTGCTGAGCAGCACTTGGCCATCCGTGAGCGTGCGGAGCACATCTACTACACCGGTGTTGCGCACAGCGGAATGGCGCGCCAGATGATGGAGGAGAAGATTGGTGATGCTCGGAAGAAGCTTGAGGAGTTGATTAGCAAGGGTCATTAAATACAGCTCGTTTGATTGGGCCAGAGCGAATTTTATTTGTCGCATATGTACGCTTAGAACCACTAGATCCGAAGAAAAGCCGGATTAGTTATGTTCCTTTTGTTTAAAACGTTTGATCATACGCTTGTTCTTGGGATATCTACGTGGATATATTCACATATAGGACTAGCTTCTGATGAATGATTGAATCCACGTTCGTCATTCTCTAGATTAAGTTGGTATCGAATATCCATTATCGTTCATTCTTCCTGTGCGGGTCCTGGTGATCCTATCGTTGCAGGACTCTCCGCATGAGACGGCGAAACTCCGACCTTCGGCGGCGGGGCCAGAGGAGTTCCATGTCGTGACGGCGCATGATCTTGTGCCCGGCTCTTCTCTTCACCTTCAGCAAAGTAATCATCAAAGGCCCTATTGGGCGAGGCAGCTGGCCGTGATCTCCCCGCACGACGACCGGCCGGCGATCTACTCTCTGACGGAGAGGCAACTCTTGCTTGCGCAGAGGCCAAGGGCGGCGGCGATGCCATGTTTGCTGGCACAAGGTAGTTACTCGAGGGAGCCGGCATGCCCGGCACAGAGCTTTCAGGGCCGCCAACTGGGGCAGCCGTGCCATCCTCGCGGGTCTCGAAGACGACCTCCCCGGGCCCATTAACCTCTTCTCCGAGTCCGACGGGTAATCGGTGTAGAGCACCGTATCCTAGCTCAGCACCAAGGGCACCTTCCCCGCCCCAGCCTCTTGTAGGAACAAGCTCCACCTCACGAACCACATCGAATTCGCTGTTGTAAACCCATAGAATCAGTGTGCGATTCAGATGGTCTTCGACCAACTCGCCGAGTGCTGACTCCCCTCTTAACGTCCCGCTCGGGGTCCCGATGATGTAGTCTGAGTATGGCAGCAAGCCAGCTCGGTATGCGGGACTGAGTGGCGATGGAATTGCAATAACATGCCAGATATGCTGAGTAGAGGATAGAGGAGCAAGCTGCAGCGCAAGGCCGAGGGAGGGATTCGTTGCCGATACGGGGTGAGAAACTGTGTGTGTACGTTGACCCTGTGGACATGGGTCAGCTAAGTAGTGGATGTATCACAATTGTATCCTGACCTTCGCACTCCACACTTCTAGTGTCAAGCTTCCTCCAGCGCAATTACGGCACTCGGTCGCAAAGAGGTTTGGGTCTGGATCTTCCTGTTTGTCGACGTGAGTCATGATATGAGGCCGATATTGAATCTGTTTGATATACTCACAATTGTATGGCCGTTGATGCCTACAATAAAGTCAAACCAGGGCTCCAGAGGGAGCTCTGGGTCTTTGTTGCGGAGGACCTGGAAACCGAATGCGCTGTCACTAGGGCCATTTCGAGATGGTTGTCCGGGCTCCCCGTCAAGGCGGCCGATGAAGCGATTTAATGCGCCAAACATAATGCTCTGATATAGACACGAACAGAGACAAATGACCTGGTGATGCTCATCAAGGAAGCTGTGTTGTTGTTGCGGCCATGCGAGCTGGCCAGATTCCAAGTGCAAACGGTGCAAACACCACCCTTCCCCATCTTTATCAGTTATCGTATCGAGAATCCAATCATCTCGCATTATCGCACTGCATCATGGCGGACGAAGAAGATGCGCCTGCCGAGGTGCATCATTACAGCAACTTGCAAGAAGTGCCCTGGGACATTCAAAAGTAAGTTCTATGATGATTGATATAGGCCAGCGCTAACACCAATACCAGCTACTGGGCGCAACGCTATCGCATCTTCTCCAAGTACGACGAGGGCATATGGTTGACCGATGATGCGTGGTTTGGTGTCACACCAGAGCCAGTCGCCAAGTTAGTGACCCCAATATTTTATTCTGTGAGAGTACTTATGCTCACGCTGCTACAGCACAATAGCTACACAGATGGCCGAGTCAGCGCCTGCTGGACGCAGCATTCTAGTGGATGCTTTCGCTGGCGCAGGCGGAAACTCCATCGCATTCGCCCTGACCGGAAGATGGAAACGAGTTTACGCAATTGAAAAGAATCCCGCGGTTCTTAGGTGTGCAAAGCACAATGCGAAAATCTACGGCGTCGAGGACAAGATTACATGGTTCGAAGGCGATTGCTTCGACATCATAAGTAACCACCTCAAAGAACTGGCACCGTACAGTGTTGTTTTTGCCAGTCCGCCGTGGGGAGGTCAGTGTCACTCAACCTTGCGTCTGCAACATGAACTAACGGTTACAGGCCCGGGATACCGTTCAGATAAGGTGTTCAATCTGAAGACCATGGAGCCTTACTCACTCCAAAAATTGTACGATGAGTACTCGGTCTTCAGCAAGCATATGGTTCTCTACATCCCAAGAACATCTGATTTGTCGCAACTGGCAAAGTTCGTTCCTAACGGTCAGCATGCTACGGTAATGCATTATTGCATGGAAGGTGCGAGTAAGGCGTTGTGTATTTTCTATGGGGATTTTAATGTGTCATGAGCAATCCTTACCCAGTCAATGTAATTCTAGTCTTCAATGTATTTTATCTCATTATTCATTTGTCTCTCTGTAATATCTACCGTCTTGTGATCCTCGTGAACAGATTCAATACTCCGTACTCCAACAACCATTAAGCTGATTGCCTAATCGGGTCTAGCGTGACCCGTCCCTCGCGCATTATCCTCGGAACCCGTTTTCACTCTACAACTACCTTCTCCAAGCAGACCCCTCCTCTTTTCCTCCATACTGCGCAACCAGAGACAGGGCCAACCCACGTCAGAAACCAACGACTCGCATAATCCTCGGATGTGCATTTTATGAACCGCGTCGTCGCCTGCTTGGCTCGCGCCTTCGCCCCCGACGTCCTCTTTGTCACCGACACTCTTTTGAGACCAGCACCTCTACATTACAATACCTCTCGCACCGTTGACACGTTTACTCGCCCATCATGCCTCACGCAACCCGCAAAGCCCCGGAGGCCGAGGACGATGCCGACTTTGACGATGTGATGCGACAACTGAACAACTACGGAGACAGCGGCCCCTCTCTTGATTTTCTATCGCGTGATCTGGAAGTTGGCGAAAAGGCGGATGACGCGATCGATTACGAGGACTTTGACGATGACGAACTTCCGGATGAAGAAATAGTCGGGCCCCCGACTACGACCCTCCCTGCAGCACAAGACGGTCAAGACCCTTTCGCGAACCTAGGCTCAGATGACGCCGCTCTCTTCGGGAATGGCGATGATCTTTTCGGTGATCAGCCAGATGCGGCTCAGGGCCAGGATGACAACCTTGACGACCTCTTTGGCGAAGGCTCTTTTTCGCCGCCTCATGCTGGACAGGAGGACCCTTCCCGTGGTCTGTTCGAAGACGAAGAAATGCCACTCGCGGATACGTCCATGGAATTGCCACCCCTCTCGGCAGCTCCGCAGGCGCAGCCGGAAGAAGTCATGATGGACGAGGATGAATTCGCGGATGACGACAGCATCATGTCTGAGGACATGAACCCAGTTGAACTCCGCGCTTGGAAACTCCAACAGCAGTTGTTCGCCATGTCAGGCGTTGAAAACCCGCCTGCTCCGCTTGAGAACCGCGAAGAGATTCTACATTCGTTGTTCCCCTCCTTCGATCGCAACACTCTCCCACGATGGCTGGAGTTGATTCCTCACAAAAAAGCTATTTTTATTGGGAAACAGCCCACCAAGCCGCCTAAGCCTGTATTGCCCACTAAGGTTAATATTGAGCTGGCGCCTGATCATGAACGTACATTCCGGACCGGTCAGCCCCTCAAACGTGGCCTCGATCATGAAGCTCATGGCCTGGTGGTGATCACACAATCCTCCCCAGAGGACGAAGAAGATGAGGAGGAGGACACAAGAGATGAGATTGACATGATGGATGTGGACGGTGAAGTGTTGCCCGGTGGTTTCACCATGCAAGATCTTCGAACGATCTGCGTCGACTGGGATGTCAAAGATGATATCTCCAGTGTTGATGAGGAGGAGAAGCCAGTAGCAGGAAACAAAGATACTTTGTTCGACGACGATGACCAGGATTGGCTTGTGGAAAATGAGGTCCCTAACAAGAAACGGAAGACAGGCCCAACTCCGATGGATGTTATTGCTCTGTCACACATCGATATCCCATTATTGGACGACCCGCAACAAGCAACATCGAAGATTGCAAAGAAGGTCATCATTGATCTCAATGATCCTAACATTCTCGTCGATGAATTAAGAGCTGAGGCCGTAGCCAATAAGCCGAAGCACGCTGCTCCTCGCACCAGGGATGAAGTGGACCTGAATTTGACACGCCGTCTCACTCAGCGATATAACATCTCGAATGATCAAGCATATGACATGCTGAAGCAGAATCACCAGAACAAGATTCGCAGTACTCTTGGCAACGTGACGCTTGAGCACGCTTTGCCTGCCTTGCGTTTGCAGTGGCCCTACTACAAAACTGAGTTGGCCAAGGCTGAAGCTAGATCCTTCCACCGACCTGCCATGGCCTTCCGACCTGGCCAAACGTCTTGGTTCAAGAACCCTGCTCACTTTAAACGCAAACACTTGCGTGGGAAGGATGCGAAGACAGTCTTTGACTCTACTCAGTCACTGTCTATGGGAGACAACTCCAACGTTCTGCTGGTCGAGTACTCTGAGGAGCAACCCATGACACTCGCCAACTTTGGAATGTGTAACCGATTCATCAACTATTATCGTCGAAAGAATATCGATGATCCCACTCGCCCGAGGGCCGACATCGGCGAAACAGCTGTGCTCTTGCCACAAGACAAGAGTCCTTACTCGATCTTCGGTCATGTTGACCCCGGCGAAATCTCTCCAGCAATCTCAAATTCCATGTATCGCGCACCTCTTTTCCAGCACCAACCCAAGTCAACGGACTTCCTTGTCGTTCGCAGCACCACTGGAGCCAATGGCAGTAACTACTTTGTGCGCAACATTGAAAACTTTTACGTTGCCGGACAACAATTCCCGTCTGTCGACATTCCTGGGCCGCATTCGCGCAAGGTGACCACAGTCGCCAAGAATCGCATGAAGATGCTGGTTTATCGTCTATTGAAAAAGAGTCCCGATGCGCGACTCGCAATCAGTGACGTTACTGCTCATATTCCAGGCACTACCGATATGCAAAATCGGCAGAAGGTGAAGGATTTCCTTCAGCACGACAAAGATACAAAATATTGGAAACCATTAGATCCAGTTCTCCCTGACCAAGATACAATCCGCTCATGGGTCCAGCCGGAAGATGTTTGTCTTCTGGAATCTATGCAAATTGGACAGCAACATCTCCACGACACCGGTTATGGCAACGATGCCGAAACTGGCGGTGAAAACGAAGAGGACGAAGAACACGAGAGCTTCGAGCAGCAGATGGCTCCCTGGAAGGCGACTCGCAACTTTTTGCTGGCCTCCCAAGGTAAGGCCATGCTGAAGCTCCATGGTGAAGGAGACCCCACCGGCCGTGGCGAGGGTTACAACTTCATCAAAACAAGCATGAAGGGTGGCTTCAAGGCCATTGGCGAAAGTGTTGAGGACAAGCTGGACGCACAGCGACTCAAGGAACTAGGTGGCCACAGCTACAACGTTGCCCGTCAACAAAAGTCATACGAAACCTCCATCCGCCGAATTTGGGACGCTCAAAAGAGCAGTCTGTCTTCCACCATTGAGCACTCCGACCAGGAGAGCGATGTCGACCAAGGAGACGAATACCGCGACCAATTCAACAAGCCAACACCTCGCTCCGAAGCACCAACACCGGGTCCCTACCGTCGCGACGACGAGACCACCTCCCAATTTAGCAAAATGAGTTTCAACAGCCAGCGCGGCAAAGTCCTGCGCATCACCCGCCAGGTCAAATTAGACACCGGCGAAATCGTCGAAAGGGAACAACACGTCTTCGATCCCCGCGTCATCAGACACTACATTCAACACCGCCATCACAGCGAAGCAATGCACACGAAACTCGAATCTCTCCAGCCGACTGGCGACCCGGAAGTCGACGCCCGCAACAAGAAGCTGATCGAGGCCGAACTGGGCCGTTTAAACAGAAACAAAGAGCGTCGTTTCGCCCGCGAGAAACAAAAGGGTATTCCCCGTTCCGGCGACCCCGATGGCAGACCTGCTGGTACCCAGCGCAAATGTGCCAACTGTGGGCAGGTTGGTCATATTAAGACGAACAAGAAGCTTTGTCCGTTGCTCAATGGTACTATGAAGCCTGAGGACCGTGTTACGGATTCGGCTTTCTCTATGAGCGCGCCTGTTCTGTGACCCTGACGGCCTTTCGTTTTCCCCATTTTTGCATCCCTAATTCTTTATCTTCTTCCAATACTTCTCTGAATTTGATACCCCCCAGAACGACTTCTCTACCTCATTTTGTTCACCGATACGGCGATACCCGACTTTCTCCCAGTGTGATTTGACCAGTTGGCATGAATCTTTACTACTGTCTGTCTATGTGTACTACCCAGCGATGTTCCGGTTCATAGAGATTCCAATGAGGTTTCGTTGGATGACAATACCTCTCTTCAGTGTAGATTCCGACTTTAGTGCCCAGTCGAAATACATCTACTGTTCTTCCTGCTTAGCTTAGTAGGTAGTCCCCAGGGGCCAGCCGGGGCCAGGAGCATGCCGCCCCGCCCATGTTTTGAGACACCGTAGTGATGCAAGTAACAGTATTCGTCCTTTCCTCTGCCGTCTCTGTCTTCTTTCTCTCCCTTCATTCGTCCCTCTCTCTTTCACCGCTTGCGCGTAGTTCTGCCGTCTACCCCATTGTATCCAGTAACTCGACTCAGTTCTCAGCCTCTGTCATTCGTCCATTTCCCCTCACCGCTTCTCCCCCTCCACACCTTCAGCTTCTCTATTTACTTTACCCACTCACTTCTCCCTTCTCTCTCATTCCTCCTTCTTGAAGCGACCCCCTCCTGCATCGTCCTCCGGGAACTTGCCAAATGTCTCCCCGCAATCCCAATGACATGGATGAAGAAGAGTTCGTCCGTGTCTTCGGTATTACGCGCGAGTTCATGAACAGCCTCGACGTTCCTGGCGTGCCGGCGGACGACATGGAATTAGCGGTAAATTCTCCATAGTTATGCACCTTTACTTTACCCTTAACTAACACCCATTTACCAGGTCAACGCCCCAATCTTTCTCCTTGCCAATGTCGACGTGAAGAACGGTCTTTGCAGTGGTACACAATGTATTGTTGTCAGCATCTCCGAAGACTACGTGATGGTTAAGCTCAAAGATGTCCCCGCCCCCCGTCAAGCGCGCTTGTGGCCCATCCCGCGCTGCAACTTCACGGTCGAGCATCCGCTGCTACCATTGGCAATGAACAGGAAGCAATTCCCTATCGTGCTCGCCTTCGCAACGACCGTTTACAAGGCCCAGGGGATGACCATTCGCGATATCGACATTGATTACACAGGGCTCATGCCTCGGAACTGAAACCTGAAAGCTGGGATCTTGACAGGGGTCTCAGGTCCTCGCTCTGTACTATAATTATTGCCCTCAACCCTCTGCCACTCTTGCATCAATTCCCCTCTAACACTGTTCTATTTCTTCGCTGTTGTGAAGGGCTAAAAAGGAACTTGATTCAGTTCTGCCTACTTGCTGTTAACGACAAACTTGGGAAAGAGAAGAACGAACGAGCCGGACGAACACTCTTAAGGCCCATGGCTGACAACCTCCGTCAATCACACGCACTGCGACTTGAACGGCATCGTTTAGCTGTCCAATGTACCTTTTTTTTTCACAGGTACTGCGCAGAACTTGCTCTTCCACGCGTACTGTGCTCTTCCTCCACTGACTCTACCCTGACGCTTGGGAGTCTTTCGGTTTCTCCCATTCATCATCTTCCCCCTTTAACTGACTCCGACTAGTGCCGCGGCCCGCGCCTCATCTTCAGACCCGACTCCACTACGCTCCCTCCCCTGCTTGCAGGCGCCGTCGCTCCTAACTTGCGTCTGCCGGTTCACTTACTCGATCTCTTACTCAGTCCTGTACATAAGTTGATTGTAGCAGGCGCTTCTTGAACCTCTGTTTACTTAATATGCGTAATAAAGTGCTACGGAGTCTACTCTGTACTCTTCTACCCTTCACTTCTTCCACATATTAATTATTTACCTTTAGGTGGCATCTTGTATACCGTATCTCTACGGTACCCAAAATCCACTGCGGTAGCACTGCAGTACTCCTATAAGTATTCCTGGGGTATTCCTACGGTGCTCTCAGGCTTCCAATCAATGCCAATAGAAACCTTCTCGGCGATATTCATTATAAGGATATATACAAGACTGAGCCCGTGGTCATGAGGGAGAGTGGAGTCAGAGACCTCGGGAGTAAACAAATGAGGGCGTGAAACCGTGGAAGTGTTGTACAAGAATGTCTATGAATAAGGTCGACATCATGAAAGGATGGTGATGTGTCGAGGGAATTGCAAAGCTTAAAAAGTCCATAGGTCTGTTACAAAGCGAGTAAGACGTTGACACCCTTAGCGCTGCTTTGCCATGGACGGTTTCAGGTATATAGAGCCGCCAACTGGCCTCTGGTCTGTGTTTGACGTCCTCGCTCTGTACTAAAAGCCAGGGCCACGTCGTTGGGCCGTCGGTATGTGTATCCCAGAAAAGCGCCCCTTTTGCGAATATCCAAGGCTGTATTGCCCATCTGGTTGTCTCGAAGGATCTTATCGCGTGGTCGATTCTTCTTTTCTTTTGCCTTTTGAGCCTCTTTAGCCTTTTGCGTTGCTGTGTGGGTCTCGCCAACTGGCGACTGGATAGCGTCTGCGGGACCACATTCCTGAATCTCAGGAGTGACTTCGTCAGGTCGGGGCTCAGGACTTTCTCCAGCTTTCTTTGAATCATTAGCAGAAAGTTTGTCAACAATTTCGCCAGTCATCTTCCACTCGTCGAAATACCTGGTGTCCTCCCAACCTCTGACCCGAGGGATCATCGGTGGTTTACACATGTGCAGATATTGCCATCGGATGCCTCTAAAGAAGGGATGCATCTTGATGTCTGTAGCGTCGTTAGGGTAAACAAAGTAGCTCGCGACATCCCTGTACTGGGGGCCCATGGAGTACATCATCTGGTTAGAGACAGGACGTCTGGTCAATATATCGTTGGCTCGGTACTTCGGAGAGCAAAGCCGATATTGGCGCTCTTGCAGAATTCTGCTGATAAGATCCATAGCCTCTGGAGAGACCATTCTGTCCGATGCTCTCTCCTGCGGGAACTCTAGCCAATCTTTGTGCTTCTTGAAGGGTGTCAGAATATAATGACCGCTGAATGCAGTGAATAAAGGGAAGTACTCACAAGAATCTTGACCTTGGTATCAGTACGACTCCCGCTGGCGAAGGGCGTAAAGCCGTATAGGCACTGTAAGCATGATGAGAGTCTGACTCGTACAGAATCAAGATGCTGCACGACCTACCTCGTATAGAATGATGCCTAGACTCCACCAGTCACATCGTCCATCATACATTTCGCCTCGAACGACTTCGGGTGCCATGTATTGACTGGTCCCAACCACGCTTTTTGCGAATCGGCGTCTTCCCATTTTGTCTCGCCAGTCCAACAAACCAGCCGAAGTAAGCTGTCCAGGATGGCGGTCGTTTGGATTGTGCATTTTGATCTCAGGTGCAAGCTCTTTCGCGTTGACAGTTTCATCGCGATCTTCAGCATCGCCATTGACTGTGATACCGAGCTTCTCTATCAGAGAGTAGCGATGGCTATTGTAGTAGGCTTGATCATGGGACCAATGCCCGCCGAATGACAAACCGAAGTCGGATATCTTCAAATGACCCGAAGCAGAGATGAGGAAGTTATCAGGCTTGATATCGCGGTGAATCCAAGACAGCCTATGTGTTTCCTCAATACACAAGACCATTTCGGCAATGTAAAACCTGGCCCACTCCTCGCGAATGGTGTCCTTGCGGATCAAAAAGCTCAAGAAGTCACCTCCGACCATGTAGTCCATCACGAGATACAGATTATTGACATCTTGGAAGCTGGCAATTAGAGGAACAACCCAGTGAGAGGCCTCGGAGGCCACGAGAAAATCTCTCTCTGCCCGAATGTGCCCTTCCTGGCAGTTGCGGATCATTTCTGCTTTTCTGATGACTTTCATTGCATATACCTCCTTCTTCTCTCCAGTCATGTACCTTCGACGGCTCCTTTTGGCAACTTCCACAGCAGACATAAACATATTCAATGGATTAGACTTCACTCTGCCTTGGTTGTCTTGAATGGCAAGAGGATCATCTTCACTGGACATATTCGAATCACTGCCAATCTGCCGAACAAGTCGCACAACGCCAAAGCTGCCCTTTCCCAGTACCGTCAGTGCTTTGTACCCAGCGGCCGTGATTGTGTCTTCGCTTCGAGTGGAGAATCTATTTGACCTGAGCACCCGGTACTTTCTGAGATGATCATTCTCTCGCAAGACCCAGTTCTGCCTCGTCATCGATTCTTCCTCGACTGTAAGATCGAACGCGTAGATGTGCCGCTCCAATTCGAGTTGACGCTGCTGTCGCGAGTCTTTGTCATGGAAGATAGAATTGAAGCACAGTTCCAGATGGATTTTTGCCACGGCCACTGCTTCCACGGTTTTGATTGAGGGTGCTATGGTAATTGCCTTGGTGTCTGATGTTTTCGTAGCTTTGTTAGTCTCCGAATAAGGGAGCCAATGTATCACGGCAGTTTCATGTCCATCGGGTGACTTCTCTTTTTCCGATGAAAGGGAGGGACCTTCAGACGTCGGCGGTGTCAGTGGACTTGACTGCCCATTGGCAGAAGATCCAGCACTGCTGGGGCTGGTTGAAGGGTCTGAGCTTTTATTGGCGCCATCACCCGGTCTGTTCAAATCACTCAGATCGAGAGAACTGATGTGAAGAATACTCGGTCTGGGCCGCAGATGGGGACGACGAATGACAGTGGTATGGCCAAGCGCCAAGGATATTCTGTGTGAGAAGCGATCGACGAATTTGGAATTTGTTGGGATAGGTTGCTCAGTTGCGGTAGTTGATGAAGGGCCTTCACCCGCGGCATCTTGATGCGAATCCTCGACCACAACTACTTCACCCTGACTCTCGAGCGAGGGACGTCGGTCGGGAAGAGGCTCAGATCGCGTTTTAACACCCACGGTGGGAATGCTGAGAGAAGGATTGTCAGGTATTGGTTCGCTTTTTTGTGGAGACTCGGTTGCAGTCAGATATCCCGGGCGATTGCAATCATTCCGGCTTGGAGACGATGCGGTTGAGGGACTTAGGCCTTCGTTGCCGCTCTGTGCTGAATCACAGCAGTCTGTGTCGGTGGTGGCATCCTTGTTGCCTGTAAATGGTGGTTAGTTATGAGCGTTTTTTCCGAGAGAAGAGAAGATACATACTCCTGGACGAACCTCGTAATCCCAGAAACAATAAGATCTTTGAGCCACTGCGGGTTAAACGTGCCTTAAGGCGATCCCTTCCCACTGGGATGATCGGCTCTGTCAACGGGCTTTCTGATGTCCCCGAGTCAGTTGGCGATGTGTCTGGCTTTCCAGAGACGACGACTTTGGTTGGAATCCAGAGATTGAATAAAGATCGTCGGTCGTTCTTCGAGGCTGGCATCTTTGCCTCGAATCAATGAGTGATCAGCTGGATATAAACCATTTAACGATATACAGAATGGAGTGCATGGAGAGTGAAGTGTCAAGGAGGAGGTTATGATGTAGGAAAGCTGGAGGTGGCCAACACCGAGGGCAGTTAGGGCAAGAGCCAAACCTGGAAACAGCGCTCAGCCCTCTATATAATCTGGCCATGAGCCTCAAAGCAATCTGCAATATCTTTCTCAGATCCTGAATGTGCGTAGGAATGCCGAGTGAACCGCCAGATGTGACAGCAAATAAAACCCAGCCACAGCCACATGCCAGCTCAGAGGCTCCAGACTGGCTGGAGGCTGCTTGCGCAGTTGTGATCAAAATTCTCTCGTATCCCCCTCCACGTTAGCTATTTATTCCATGCTACCCCTGTTATCACGGAGTGAAATCGATCATTTGCTCTTCCCCCCAGATAGAGATAAGTACAGTGATCGCGTTAACAATCCGCCAAGTGTTCCGTGAACATGTACCATCCTTTCCGCCCTCATGACGAGTACATGCCCGTGCCCGTCCCTAACCCCATCCCCAACCCCGTCCCCAACCCCATCCCCAATGATATGACAGGAGGTAGACGTCCAAGAGAGCCAGCATCTCCCTCTGCATCAGGCGAACCAGCTGCTGGCCCTCGTCCCGTCCTGGCTTATACCCCCGGAAAGACAGAAGGAGAAAGCAGGAGGGACCATCACCGCCAACTGCTGGCACAACAGCTAAATCAGCAAAGACACGACATAAAAAGACTACAGGGTAGCACACAGCCCGTAAGGCCCAGCGGGCCCAATACCAGCTTTCCTCCATCCATGCCGCCAGGAATGGTCAACAACCCAAGCTGGTACATGTCAACTGCACCAGGTCCCGCTCCTTACACTCCGTATCCCCCAGTCCCGGCGTACCCCGTTAATCCCCCTCACCCTCCTGCAAGATATGCTTCAGGAGACAGCAGTCCAAGCCCAGCAGCCGAGGAAATGTACGCTCGGAACCCGGAGTACCCAAACGCCGTACGCTCGACCATGTACACACCTCCCAGCCAAGGCAGCGTGTCTGTTTCAGAGGCGAATGACCTGAAGGCCCAGATTACAGCTCTGCAAAACAAGGTCCGGGAGCTGGAAGGAAAGCCTGCCATGACAACAGCGTCAAGATATCAGATCCTCTATCGGATTGAGAAAGACAACACCTACCCGAGCAACCACTGGAGCTTCTCCGATAGCGAAGACGAGTTCAATCACCAAAACAGACCTGCCCATGTCCGCGAGTCCAGATCGAGGTCTACGTCCTGGTCGCCCTGGATGGGCATTTACACCGATCCTCCTGAACTGATACATCGTGACTCGGGTGCGCCATATCTGCGCTGCAACGACCCACTACTTAACTTCGAGCTCTACCTCGCCCTCAACAAGGAGATTTCATTCGTAGTATTCCGGAACTACAAAAGAAGGGTCACATGGTCGACTTCAGAAAGAGGGAAGTATAGCAAACCGGAGCCGTTCAGCGAGAGCATTCTCGCGGTCTCCGGATCCCTCAAAGATGCGATTGAGAATTTGCTCAGCGGTCGCGAATTCTGGTCGATGAGACAAGAATTCCAGTCCAAAGCTGAGATCCACTCCCCTTACCTCTGCGTCTACCACAACCGCGGAGCTAGAGAAGCGGAGATCAGACAGAATCTTAGCTCTGAGGCGCAGAGACAACTCGACCTTTTCAGAGACTATGTTGAACTGACTCGGGGCAATGAATATGCTGCTGCAGATTCGCTTTTAAAGAAAGGCAAGATCAGCGCTCCGTACGTGCCCTACCTGTTCAAGCCGAATGATCTCTTGGTTTCCTTCAAGAACAAGGAGCATGTAGGTTATGTTGCGAGGGATTGGCCAGTTCGCGAGCAACACGACCACGATACCAGCCCTTCTTGGAGTATAAGAGGGCAGGGCTGGGGATTTAGTGGTGAATTCTACAAGTTCCTCACCGATCTCAGATTTGAAATGCCAGAATCGCACTTGCTCAAAGATGGTGGTTCAATGGACGATGATCTTGGCCAACTTCCGGCTCACAGTGGCTCAGACAAAGAAGCCGAAAAAGAGCACGCTATCACGGATCTCGCAGTGTACCCGATAAAATATGCAAGTGCCGATCTCTGCCGGACGCTTGAACGCCGCGGGGAGACATTTTGGAAATTCCGAAAACAGCAGTATGTGTCCTATCAGGCGACCGAGGAAGAGAACTTTCAAACCATGGTATGTATCTGCTCGCAACGAACGATTGAAACGAACTAACCGCAGCCACCAGACCCATGAAGGGTATATGATAGACATGAAGACCTATCAAAGACTGCACGCAGGGCCAACCCTGAATGTGAATAGCTTTCAAGGTACACGTGCAAACACACTCGACGAGCGCGCCATGGCTAGAGAAAGCCCTCCGCCATACCCGTTTAGCATGCTGATGCCTCCAAGGGTGATCGGTTTTAATCTCAGACTCAAGCAATGGATCGGTCTCTCAGTCGACCGTATCTGGCCCATGAGCTGGAACAAAGCCGCTTTTGAGAATCTAGCCATCAATCCCAAGTCCAAAGACCTGATCGAAGCGATGGTAACTAATCACCTGGAACCCAATTACTCGGCAGACGTGATCGGCGGCAAAGGCAACGGACTGATCATGCTTCTGCATGGCGGTCCAGGAACCGGCAAAACACTGACCGCAGAGAGTGTGGCCGAGATAGCAGAGAAGCCACTGTATCGAGTTACATGCGGCGACGTCGGCACCAAACCAGAGGAGGTAGAGAAGTACCTCGAGTCCGTGTTGCATCTGGGCAGAATCTGGGACTGCGTTGTGCTTCTCGATGAAGCGGATGTCTTCCTTGAGCAGCGGGGACTGGAAGATTTGCATCGCAATGCGCTTGTTTCGGCATTCCTGAGTGTGATCGAATATTTCGAGGGCATTCTAATTCTGACAACCAACCGGGTCGACAGGTTCGATGAGGCGTTTAAGTCGCGGATTCAGCTGGCGCTACACTATCCTCCTCTTGGAGAGGAGCAGAGACGGATCATTTGGAGGACTTTTATCCAGCGGCAGAATGGGTCGTCTACTGACATTTCGAATCTTGTGGGGAGCTTGGACGTGCTTCAGAGGGAGAAGTTGAATGGTCGGCAGATTCGGAATGCCATTACCACTGCGCGTCAGTATGCGAAGTGGAAGAAGGAGGTTCTTAGGTATGACCACCTGAAGGATGTTATTGAGGTGGCAGCCAAGTTTGATGAATATCTGGAGAATGTTCATCGCGGCGGTCATATGCAGGTCTGAGTGCTGTTGAGCGGAATTTGAAAGCAGATATGAAGTCAAAGTAAGAAAGGCCAGATTGTCATAGCAGAGTCCAGAGTACTTCCTTTGTTGCGCTTAGAAGTTAAGCATAGACGGATCATTAGGAAAATTTGAAAAGGCCTAGAGAAATCGTCAACACAGGCCGCCAATCAATCAGTAACATATCAAGAGAAGCCTAACACCTACCCATGAATCAAGCTGAGCCCACCACATCGACCCTTCAAGGCTCTCAAGAAACCCTGCATCATCCCCCGTATCGATCCCCACGCCCACGTCGGCTGGCTGCATGATGCCAATTGGGGGAAAATCAACCGTCTGAGCGTCAAGCAGGACCTCCCTGTCACCCGCATTCTGCGTACCTCTCAAGACATCAACAGCATCACTCCCAGCAGCAGAGTGAGCCCGAATCCCAACAGAAAACCCATCCGACCCAATCTGCCGATGAACCTCCTGCCTCAATTCCTCCAGAATAATCCCATACCGACGACTAGGACAGTTCTTCCGCGTAGCTTCAGCAAGATGTTGCTGACACGTCTCTGCCATAGAAAAGACCTGCCGCAACTTATCAAATTCGGGACTCCCGGTTGAGGAGACAGACGCCGAGCTGGATCCTTCTGATAACCTGCGATGCTGCTGGATAGTGTGTATGTAGATTACCAAAACAGCACAGAAGCACACATAGTGCGTGAACCAGAATGACTGGATCAAGACGCCCTGCCGCGCAAGGGCATCGGTTAACGTCATAATATCCTCAGCGGCCTGGGTGCATTTCTGTACATGCGCGCTGACTTCCGGATGTGGTGCTTTGGGTCTTCGGCTGAGGTCTGCGAAGTCATTTAGAAGAAATGAGCGGGTGGCGTGGATCATGGCGTGTGAGTAGGCGAGTTGGAGGACTTGGCTTTGGCGGCGGAGAGGTAGGATCAGGCTGGCTGGGTCGACGCTGTTGAATAGTGGCGGTACGGTTGCTTTCCATTTTTCCAGTTCCGAGGTTAAGCGGATGGCAGTTTCGAGGGGAGAGTCGCGGGAGATGGTGTTTATACTGTATAGCTGGCGGGATATATTGCTCAAGATGCGACCCAGCCTGGTTTGCATATTAGACGGCGGTACTAGAAGTAGGGGGTAACAGAAAGGAAGCAAAGACTCACCGGTGATGAAGAACGGAGGCTATCATCATGTTGTCCGTAGAACCTGTCCGTCGCATCGGATCGTGTTCTAGTAAATCCTCATCGCTCGTCTCACCAGGTAGTTCCTGGTCAATGTCTTCGTCGTGGAGGAGTTGGGGTCTTCCAAACATAATACTAAGATACTTGTCTAGAGTGTACACACTCCAGAAGATGCGTCTGCGAAACTCCAATTCCAGATACGAGCACCGAGTCTTCGCCAGCTTTGCCGGCAACTTTCTGTGCAACCCGAGTGCCGTCACAATCTGCACCGTCATGCCAAATGAGTACCAGCATTCATTGGCTCGTGACGACCCCAGCAGATATAAGCATTGCCCAAGCCGGACCTGGATAGTTTCCAGTCGTGGCGGCCCTGACTCGAGGGATGATATGTGTTTCGAAGCCGCATACCAGCGCTCACTGCAGTTTCTCAATCAGGCTGCTGTCTAGATCATATCAAAGGAGCGCTTGCTAACCTTTCACCGTGACCATCAGGGTTTACCCCTGGTCTCTGCTCCATGTACAGAGTACTCACAGCAAGAATCATCAAGACTATAGCAGTCCGAGCAACCATGTTACCCACAGGTGGATTTGCAAGGCTTATATTGTCTCGATAAACCTGCCTCGTCCACTCTTCGGCACTACCTCTATGCACAAACCGGTAAGTCACCACAGAGTAGTCGAAGTAGACATCAACCAGCTCCAAGGCCCTTTCCAATGGCGGGAGAGTGAATTCAACATTCTGGGAGCTAGAGTAAGGTTTATCTCCAAACATGGAGACCGCCGTATTTCGCGACGACTCATTATGAAGTTCATCCGGATAATGCGTGGTCTCATCCTGATGCAGACGACTCCAGACACGATTGATAAACGACACACCAGACGCAGGTCCAAGATAATGTCCCTCGAAGTCCGTAGACCCGGGCTCTGGTGAGTCGCGCACGGACACCGCGTGTTGTTGGGCCTGGTTTGAAAGGAGACGGTCTTTATTCACAGCCAAGCCTGCTGCATGACCCTGTGGTTGTCGGCAGGCGAACACGCACTCGCTTACAACTTCCACTCCACGATGACCATTTGGGGTCAATAGAGAACTCGGCGATGCAGGGAGAGGATCTGGTGGTAGTCCTCGAGAGTATGCTGCTGTGTATCTGCACGACAGCGATAGTCGCGTGCATCTCGCACATGACAGGGTACCAGTACAGCGGGTCTTCTTTAACTTGCATGAGTCGCAAGCCCTGGTGATTTTTTTACGAGGCGTAGCAATCTCGTTTAATAGGGCGTCGGATTGCTTCCTCTTGTGGTTAGGCGTGGCTGCTTGTGACGTTGTTTCATTTGGCTTGATTGCGGCACGTGTACCACGTGCAACCTCGTGCGCGGCAACACTAGTGGTTACCATGTCGAGATCGACAAGGCAAGGCCGAAGCAGAGGATAAATTTCCGATGAAGGAGATGACTTGGGATATTATGTACAATGTTGGAGATAAGTAGCCGGGAGAGTCCGGGGGGTGGGGAGAGCGCACAGGCTCTCGGCAAATCTCCGGTCGTGGCGGAGATACGGCGATACCTCCACCTCCCCCGGATTTGGGTAGTATTTTGGAGCAGTCCAATACAGAGTCAACGAAGATCCCGAAAATAGGGTTATAAAACATTAGCGAAGAAGATCATCGCGCTGACTCTGAGATTGAGCATTCAGAGGGTCAAGGGCCGTGGTAGGATATTGTAGGATATCCCACGCTGTGCTCATTTGCCCTACGATGATCTACGGTGCGAACAGAATGAAAGCCATAGAAAGTCACTCACGTCTTGAAACCGTAGACTTGAATACCCTATTAGCGCACAGGTAGAACTGCTCGAGCATCCATGAGGTCAATACATTATCACTAGCCCAGGTACTAGGCATTGGAAGAACGAATGCATGTTCAATGTGAGGTCGTACACATAACTCATAACTCTCCAACTGCGTGATTTCCTGTCGTACATGCAGTTGACCGGTGATGGGTGTCATGGAGCGGCGTGGGCCAGCATACAATGACCTATTGAATTCGGGGGGCATAGGCTGGAAGAAGATGCCTCAAGGGTAGAGACGAATCACACCGTCGGATTGTCACCAGGGCATGTTTTGAGCCCTTGAGATCAAGAAGGAGCTTAGAACAACTAGAATCAGGTATCTATATGCTATTTACCCAGGCGGCAGCAAACAATCGAGAAAATGTAGACGCAGTAGACGCAGTAAACGTAAACGCATGGCGATTCTGATCCACTTCAGAGCCTGATGCTCATTGAAACCAAGTAGATTTCTGGAAGGTCTACTCTGCGACACAAAAATCTATCAAGGCCTGCCGTAGATCTGCAACCCGAGCTGTGACCCTAAGCCGAGAGCCAAAGTCGTAGGGCACAATGATGGAATTGGATACGTCTGGATGTTGTCCGCCCTTGCCATGACACCCTCGGAAACTCCGCACGACCTTGCCATCTCTAAGGCTTTTTCTGGGAAGGGTAACGTAACAGATGCGGCGATAACCAGAGATAGAAAGGGGATATAATGCTAGGACACAGGTAAGAGAGTAGGTACAGTCTGAATTTCTTTGTGGATGTCGCCATACGTCTCATGGTATGGCAATAAACACAAAGACGAAGCTGGTCCCAACCGCTATGAAGAAAACACAATGGCTAATATGACTCCGAACAATATGCTCCATTCCGAGAGAAACACCAGACGGATATCGGCCGTAAAGGGAATGCTTTACTGCAACCAGTGTTGTCAAAACCTGGTGTCGGGAGGAATTGGCGGGGGTGGCGAACTCGGCGGAAACCGGGGTTTTAGCACAGGTAGGTATGCGAAGGGATTCGAAATATTGCCCGAGCATAGATTGGGTGTCATGTCAACGAGGTTGGGGGTTGAAGTAGTTGCCCATGTTGGTATTCCCATCGATGTCGAGGTTCACAGGTTGTGGGACTGCATTGCTAGAGCTAGGGAGACCAGTCCCGTCTTCCAGAATACGGGTGAGGAGATCACGGATTGCGCCTGGATCTGCTCCCGATCGAATCATGTTGACAATGGATTGCACAGTTGGTCCGTCGCGGTCTCGGATGAGTCCCAGGAGGTCGTCCACAAATGACCGGTAATGCTCCAATTGTTCTTTGGTCCTTTTTGCTGAGGTCTTTCGGCGTCTATCGGCGGCTTCATCAAAGATACACTCGCGAGCGTGTGTTGAACATTCGGTGCAATAAGGAGGGCCGGTACACTGACAACAGAGAAAACGCAAAGTCAGAGGAATTGAATTACAGATGCGGGAGGTAAGAAAGAAAATGTGAGTTCGAGAACTGCATTTCGTGGGGAGTGAATACCCTAGTTCGCCGTCTTTGACATTCCGTACAAGCTGTCGAAGCTCGTCTCGTGCGTTTCTCTTCTGGCGCAGCAGCGGGGCTCCTAGCTCCCTCGTCCCCTCCAAGCAGTCTGGTGCACGGCGCCAGAGGCCTATAGCCTCGATTTATCTGTTCATTCATGAAGTATGCCGAGAGGGTAGGAAACAATAGCAAATTCAAAAAGCAAACAGTCTGTCTGTTCGACCACCATCTGAAAGCATGGTAATGCAAGCGAATCACATGGGCGATGAACAGACCGTGGAGAGAATTATAGAGTGGAGAAAAGGATAGGAGGGGCCCTGGGGCTACGCTAGGCCTAAGTAAATTCTGCACTGTGTGTGTTGCCTGGATTAGAGGCCGTGAAGGCAGAGTGGGGGAAGGAAATGGAACTACAATCCCAGAAAAATCAAAGTGAGTAAATACCAGGAAACGAGAGAGAAAAACAAGAGAGGGAAATAAAAAAATAAAAAATAACAAGAGAAAGAAAAATAAAGGAAAATTCTAAAAGGGAAAAAGAAGCAGGGTTTAGAGCTCTGTGGCGGATGAGGCCAGTGGGCCATTGAATTTGACATTCCCAAATTAACCAAGTCGATTAGTCGAACCTTGGAAGGACCCGAGCCGTTGGGGCCTGGGCCGGGGCCGGAGTGGTTTGATTTCATATGGTGAGATCTATGCCCTATGGACTAGTATAAGATTCAAAAAGTGAGGCTCTATACTGTCTCTAATATGGTACTTAGATATGAACTAACTAGAAGTTTATTTCTATTAATACTTCCTACATATAGACAAAGAATGGGCACTATGTAACTATCTCTAAATCGAAGTAGTATGTACAATGCCACACCTTCATCTTTTGGAGTACCTACACAGTACATATGGATACGAACTTCCACTACCTCGTGTTCGCATAACTAGTTAAGATAAAGTCGTTACGTCAATATATTAGCGTGATTATTCTAGAAAACGGACAGATAACTACTAGTAATCGATCTTCGACATAATCTCCATATGTGAAATCGATCTCATTTTACTCTATCTTGTACCAGGTTGTGGACCGTGGTCTCCATTTATGCACGGCCGGGATTATTGGGGCGGAGTTAGTTTCCGGGCCGAATGATTGGCATAACGTTCCCAACCTAATGTGGAATTCGTGTGTCCATCAACTATATTTAATTGCAAATCGGCTTTTTGCTTCCATTTCTCACCCGCTGATTGGCTGTTGGCCCCCGTGCTTCTGCCCCTTCGAAACTATCTTCCGCATTTCCACCTCGCTTTTCTCTGTTAGTCTATGTCCGTCTCCTTCCAAATTTTGCGTACGTCTACGGCACTATGTCTATTTGTACTCTGTCAATTTTCATGATCTTCTGACCGTCCGTGGTTGCATTGTGCCGATTTGCTTTCTCCCTGCTTCCCTTAGAAGTTCGGTCCCTTTTTTGCTTCCACTTTCCCGCCCGCTTATTAGTAGTTAGTTGCTGGCCTAGCCTATTTAGAAATCGGGTCTTTACTTGGAGTTTATCTTTTCCCGTTGGGTCGCGAGCCCGAAAGTCAATCCCTGACACATTCTTGTTTGGTTCGTCTTGTCGATCAGGAGATCTCAACCTGCTAAGGCTCGGGGTCTTGGGACTGTTTTCCTCTTTGGGTCCGAGACCCCGAGATCTTCTGTTTTGCATAGTAGTCATGCTAAGTAAGCTATCCACAGTTATGCCAGAAAAATCATGAAAATACTCCAATATGCATAATCCGACGTCCTCACTCTTCCATATGAAATTCAACTCGACTAACTAGAATATCCAAGTAACGCCGACTTGCATACGAAGTACTTACGCACAGTGGACAGAACACCCCACGGGTCTCCACTAAGTGAAGTGTTGTCCCGGAGGGCACCCCACTTGTGGCTGTTTTATTGCCACGCAGGACAAAAAGAAAAGAAAACGGCGGCCCAAATCGTCGGTGGCAATTCGTCTGTGGTGTTATTGAGCCACACCCTACGAAATAGAAGTATGAAATGCGGGAACTACGGACAACTTTCGGTTGTAGTACTTTCGGGTCCGGCGCTTCCCAACTTCTTGTTAACATGATTCATGCTACTACGACACTACACAGTACATGACTGACCGGATTTACCGGTGTTAACTAGTGTCTCTAACAAACTAGATGATAATTTCTGAGCATTCAGGTACCTTTTATATGCTAACCCTATATAGAAGGTACATCAATCTGAGAAAAATCCGAGCAGACTTGAAGGGATAGGACAATGAAGTCCACGACATACAATCCCCATGTTAAGACGTTGCTCCCGCTTTTACGGAGGTAAATTAGTTAGTTAGCATAGTCTTAGTTAGTTAGTTAGTGCATATCGTTAACTAGTTATTCTTGTTTACCCTTTAGCCGGTTCGAGCGTTAGGAGAATCGGACATTGTTGAAACTTCCGTGGTCGCATTTTTGTAGCTTATCTATGGGAACGTCACATGAAAGGTACCTGAATAGCGTCGTACAACCGTACAGCACCATTAGCCCTTACGCTATGACTTCAATCCACTGTAGCTCTAGTCATGTACGGAGTACTACCTACTGTAGGTAGACTGCCAAGCTGACCGATCACGCTCTGCCGTATTAAGTGCACTCCTTCCACGTGGAGTTCCCGTGCTCCCGCTTGAAGTTTGTACGCAGGAAACGCCACGGGTGGACCGTGGGACCTTCACTACCCCTTAGTCACCTCTAGTCACCCCGTTTCATTGCATTCAAGTTGGCTCCATTTCCAACTCCAAGACAGATACGAACCACTAAACACATTACCAAAAGGAGGCAACATGATACCCCACTATCACAACAAATATCAAGACACGCTTCTGGTATGCTCGGACACCCATGGAACTGGCAGTTTACCCACTTTCATCCCGTCCACGAAGCGAGATACAGACGTTGTTATCCACTGCGGAGACCTCACCACCCAATCTCAACTCCATGAAAATCTCGCTTCAGGCCATCAATATTCACCGCACCTTTAAAGCTTATCATAGCGGGTTACCATGATTTCAGATTTAATATACCCGAGTTTCACAAGGTCGCAGAGGCCTAGTGGTTGAAGCGTGAGCTCGTTGAGCAAGCGTATGGATATGACGGGGAAGCTGGGAGATTATCTGAAGGCACCCGACAGGAATTACTTTTCCGCGGAGAACGCGTGCACTCTTCCTATTTCCAGAATAGCGCTTTGCTAATTGTCTATGCCAGTCCACACACGCCTTCACTTGGGGATGAGGGTTTTCAGTGCCCTCGATAACGGCCATGACTTTATGACTTGACAGTAGCAGTGGTACTAACTACTAACACCGCGGATGACAATGCTGTGACATATGTTTGGCCATTTCCGATTCCCCGGCAGGGTCAATATATGGTTGATTCTTTACGGCCTTCGGAAGCTAACTAGCCAACTATGGAGGAGCGTTTAAAACAATATCGATGTCGAACGGGATTCCGGAATCCAGGATGCCTACCTGGGTAATAATCAGCAAACTCTGCGATGAAATGGCTACCTAGTCGCCCTCACAATTGCACGGGTATTATAGCTGCGCGCTCGGTTAGTTTTCTGATCTTTTTCCACTTCACACTCGGAAACCTTGGAATGGCATCTAATGAGCTAAAAGCGGCAAGGGGTGAGCACTAAAAGGGAAGGTGAAGCTAGGCACATCGACGGATACACGTACGTGCGCCTTCCAATCAGGGTCGGAAGCTGATGATATCCACGACGAGGTATTCGAATCAATATCATGGGTAAAACGCCGGTACGGGTTTCAACTAACCCTTGGGGATTCCGCGACGACTGATGAACAGCGCTAGGCCGGAGTGAGATGAGAAATCATTAATCGAGCCTTCATGAATCATGACAGACAGGGTGGGTCTCTGGCCACCAATGTGCCTGCACTGCCAGTGCCTGGTGCTGGCGAAGAATGCATGCCATGTCACCATGGTCCATTTTGGGAACTCGTGAAGGAAACCACAATAGGAAACATACACTGCATCGGCTTCTATTTCATCATGCACGACATGGGTCATCCTAACAACACCTGCTGTCTAGTCTAATTTTTTGAGAGAAGTGAAAGTCTCGTTATTGAGGCGGCCTTGGGACGCGGGCTGTCACATTGACTTCCTCAGGAGAATACTTCCGCGCCATTCATAATCCGTCTCTCCGCCCCATGGAGCTCTTGGAGCTTCCAAGGGCGTCTTTGAGTTTCCTTACTTCGCTTGACTCACGGTCAGCTGGATGACCGAAGGATTGGGTGTACAGCGTACATACTGCAGCATGAAAATTGAAGAGACGTTGCAACCCTGCACCCCCACCCGCCCATGGGCTCTCCACCCAACATGCAGCCCTCTCGTTCACAATGCAGGTATTGAAGACTCCATTCGAGGCTTCGATTCGCGAATGGAAATACATGCGTCATATTTTTGGCACACATTCTACGGAGTACATATTTCTAACGACCCCTACGCCTCAATTGCACACCGTTCATGCGCCCGTCCATGCGGTCTTGGTTCCCGCCACACCACTAGATGGTTTGGACAGTGTCTAAGACATCCGCAAAGCATCCATTTAGGGTATAGCTTAGCGAGCTAAGTGTCAACCTACACCAGGACAGGACATGTATTACCTGCCGACTATGCGGGACGGCAAGGGCTTACGGTCGTTTCTTCACCCAGATAATAGATTGGTGAAATTGGCACATGTCATCCTGCACTATCCTTGCTGTCTTGCACAAAGAAGCGGGGCCTGCAGTGGATTCACAATTTTGTGGAAATAACAATGCGGCAAGACCACACACTAGGAAAAGCTTCCTCTGTTTCGTATCCACCTCATTGTCCCCCTCAACGCTTCCAGGCTTCCTTGGTAGGATGTCTGTCCTCGTAAGAAGCGGTCAAAATGCACTACACCCGAAGATCTTCGTGACTCTGCTTCGTCAAGTATGAGAGCTGGTTGGCTGATTGTCTGAGTACTATGGGATTCCCTTCCAGGGTTGTCTAGCATACTATCCTGCGAATCCCGTTCTCGCTAAGTGGACTCGCTTATCTGTGGCACGTCTACAGATATCGGATATCAGATATCAGATAGTTATCTGATATTCAGATACGTACCCAGCTTCGATATGCAGACTGAGCCTCCACCACTGTGCTCTAAGCGAGTGACAAGTCCTTCTCGCAACCCTGAGATTATACGATCACATTCCAAGGCTGCTTCACCTGATTCCCTGTAGTCTACCCAGACAAAGCCTATTCCAAATGACGGCACCTTCAATATAGAACACCGCAAGAAAGAGTACACTTCCCATCTCCCTATTCTCATTGGATCCAACCCAATAGACGCCTATCCGGTCATCACCAATTTCCCCAAACACCACGTGAAGCCTACATGTCGAGGCGAGGAACGCGGTCAAGACTCAACTGGTTAATAGTTATGATTCAACTTCCATATGAACCGCAAAGGAAAAGGAGTTGCTTTTTGAGGAACAGCATCACGTACATAGCATGATAGCAGCCAGTTCTAGCTTAGCATCTGCATGTCGCATGGAGGCCTAAGGCAGCCGGGTCAGAGCTCAGAACCCGGCACGGTTACCGCCGGACGTTAATGAATGCCATAACTAGTTACCATAATTAGTTAGTACCAATCTTCCTATGTAGAGGATTTCCTCTACCAGTTCTTGGCTTCCCCTTCCGTTTTAGTGCTCAGACCTTGCCGCTTTTTGCTTTGGGTGCGGAACGGCACTAGTATGTTCCGGAGAAGACAAGTGGAAGAAAACCTCCATATCAAGAATTCAAGATAGTCCTACACACAATGACACAAGACCAACTCATGCGCACCATATCCTCCAAGACACTAGATACATTAGACTTCAACATGTACCCTATCTGCGGACTTCCAGATTATTCCCATAACACTACGCTGGCGACTGGCATGAACGACTTTGCAATGGGTGCTACTGTGCTACAACTCAGACAAGAAGTCCACTAGGAATTATCGTCTGCCCAATGGACGGCTCAAATAATCCACTGCCGCCATCTGCAGAATGAGAGTGAAACCCCTCAGTATGTACAGTAGCCGAAGAAAACTGTGGAAGGCAGGTAAGACCGTAAGTCTTGGCTTCTCCGCGCCTTGAGGCGCGCAAAGCCAGATACTAGTCCTCAGCACCGCGTAGAGGTGCCTACCTGTCGCGGAGGTGCCCTGGTTTAACGAGCTTGACATCCTCGTCTTTTCTTTTGTACATAGGCTGAAGACCCTCGACCGGGGTTCTACTCCAAGATGTCCCCGGGATGAAATAACTTCACCTGAGAAGGAGCCAGTTGTCCGGTGTGGCTCTAGCCCAGGATATCATTCCCTGAAGTAGACACTAAAGGCACTTCGCCGGTATCGAGACCTCCGGAGTACTCATTGTCTCATCCGGCTTGGGGGTCTTTTGTGAGATTATTCCGGTCCATCTACTCCGCTTCCTGCTGCGGCCGGTGCGGATCCTGGCTATCAGTCTGTCCCTTGTCACGTATTCTTTCTTCTCTACTTCGCCTGCTGGTACTACCCCGTCTGGAGACTGTCCCATGAATCGAACCGCTCCGGCGCTACCTTCTTCATGATGCTGATCTACGAGCTTATCTACACCGGCATTGGCCAGTTCATCGCCGCTTACTCGCCCAATGCGACATTCGCTGCGCTCGTCAATCCCTTAATTATCAGCATCCCTGTCATCTTCTGCGGTATCTTCGTCCCCTACGTACTATCTTAATCCGTTCAACTATGTTGTTTCGGGTATGCTGACTTTCGGCATCTGGGGTGCTAAGGTCACTTGCAACGAGGAGGAATTTGCTTTCTTCGAGCCTGCTAACGGCACATGTGCTGAGTATCTGCCGGATTACATGGCTGGTGCTGATGCTAGCTCGTCGTGCAAGGTGTGTCAGTATCAGAGTGGAACTGATTTCTTGGATACTCTCAATATTCCGAACTACGCCGTTGGATAGAGGGATATATGTAGGGATATTGGTATCTCAGTCATCTTTGCTATCAGTGGCTATGCCTTGGTCTTTGGTCTGATGAAGATGAGGACCAAGGCTTCGAAGAAGGCGGAATAAATCCACTCCTCGTTGGTTATGCCTTCGATGCCTTGAGACCGTCTATTTTTCAACTGTCTAGGTTGTTGACTGAGAAACCTCATTTTCTGGTCTCTCTTTTATAACTTCTTTCGCTTATACTCTTTTTTCTTTCATCTTCGTGCAGATATTGCCCACCACTTTCACAGCCCTTTTCATCTCCGGGCTCACTTCCCAACCTGCATTCATGGAGTCATTCCATCAACATGCATATCTTCATTGTCCCGTTCATCGTGGAGTCCTTTTTCATTTTCGAGTGCATGTCTGTTGCTAGCACATAGATTTTAGATCATAGACCTTACAATAGATTGTACATCAGAAGTAACAAAGCACTGGAAGCAATTTGAAAGAAGACTCTATAGGTATCCATTGAATGGATACAAAACAAAGCTCATCTCAAAGACAGTCGAAGAAAAGACTACCTAAGTATCGGTATAAACAGTCATTGTCGCAATGAAAACGCATAGAGAACATTGACTAGGCATTGTCCTATGTCCATTTAGTTTCTCCCAGGTACATACAACCAACGTATAAGAGGCCCCCGTATCCCCGAGTCCAAGTCTCCATCATCACAACCACAAAACAATTCTACAACGTATAATCCAAAACCAACAACTACCAAACATCAACATGTCAAGCCCCCCACCCTCCCACCTGATGGCCACCGAGACAGCAGGCCGCAGCCTCGAATCCGATTTCTGTCCCTGGAGGTCCAGTTCCGGCATCCTCCGTGAGGTAGCAGACTTGGACGCTACGTGGCTGACCGTAGAGCTGGAGGAGGGTATGATTTCCCTCGATGACGAGAGCCTGTTGCGGTTCGTGCTTACACAGATCCGGTCGGCGAACGCCGTTGTCGATATTTGCGCGCAGCATTATATTAGACCTATGTGTCTGTCGATTCCTTCTAGGTTGATTTCAGATTCTTATGCGGTGATCCAGGCTGAGGCCTCTCGGCTGGTGATGTGGCGGATTAAGCAGGTTATGACTGGGAAGGCGTGGCTTGATCGACGTGTTCTTTTTGGTCCTCGTTAGATGGTTGAAATAGTGAGTTCCATAGAGTGGGGATGGGGACCGCCTGGTGAGTTCCAAGTGAATATGATAGTGCTTTTTGTCGACGGTTTCCTCAGAGTAGCTTAGCTGTTCCAAGGTTAGAAATGTATGATATCGGCTCTCTTGGGCGGAAGATATAAATTTCCATGTATAGTGAAACCAATGGATCTACCTGTCGACAAGGCCAGGCCTACACGTAGTATTCCCCAGCTTCTTACTTCGGCCGGTGCAGTCTGCAGGTGGCCCAGTCAAGTCAACACAATGTCGAGTCCCAAGTCGGATCCTTCTCATCTTTCGACTTCAATCTCATCTTCCTGTTCGGGTCTTTGTGACGGGAGCGGAGGAGCTAATGCACCTGATATTCGTCTCACATGGTGGATAATAAGGTGTCCGAGTGTACTTCGTAAGAAAGATACCTACCAACAGAAGAAATATTCTGTCCAGTTGACAGGATCCACTTGAAGGTGCCAAGTTCCAGTCACGTGTTTCGCGAGGTTTCCGTCAACTGGCGAGTCTCCAGCCAACTGGCAAGGCTTTTCATACGAATTACCCCGATAATCCCACAGCGCCAGCATGTATCTGCTGACAATTCCTAACCTAACAAGGACCTTCGCCCCTCGTCATCTGCATGAATGTCAGACTTATTCCCCAACAGATCCACGGGTCCGTACAGCACATAATGCTGTACGACGAATAGCCCGTCAAAGGCCAAGCTGGCGCAGGCTAGGCCCAGCTTCCCTGGATTTTCGGTTATGACTCTGGCTGCGCCATTCCTGGATATATTACCAGAATCAATTGAATCGAGCAAAAGTTGTGTCAGACTGAAAATTCTGCCAGTTGTGTCTAACAGCACTTGGATGATGGAAAAGCCAAATGTTGAGCGCTGATGAATATGCGATAGTGCTTGAGGAACGTATTTCACGATTGTCAGAAGGACTTTCAATAAAGACAGGATCGTAATCTGTGAGTAGAAAAGGTCAACTTCTAATTTCATCGCTCTTCGATACCAAGGTGCTGCATCGTATAACGTATAACAAGGATAAGTCAGGGCCCAGAAGGTATGAAGTGATTAGAAGAGAGACATCACACGTACAACATCTAAATATTGCCAGCGAGGATGTCCTTCGCCGCTGCTATCCCCTAAAGTCGCGGCGGCGATACTAATTATCACCACTAGACCAACTCCCGCTAACAGCCAGCGTACTGTCCAATTAGGTTTCGCGTTGTTAAGATCTAGACCTGTTGCATTCTGATAATTGTGCCACCTCCAGAGACGAGGTTTGAATTGGCTGAGGGTCAAGAGGGACAGCAATAACGCATGACATGCGAATGCGAGATCGATCCATCGTACCGTTGGATCTGGGTGAGAGGGATGCCGCGTGGCATATTGGGCTTGTACGGTTGGCGAGAGAAGGAGTACAGATATGCTGACGGTCTTGGACAAAGAAATGAGTAAGTGCTTGACTTGCGTCGTTTGCTGTTGCGATTGAGATCCGACAGTACTCACATAGCAGATAAACCCGCAGACATTCAGTAGTAGATAGTCAATCAACAGCCCCTTTGTTGATTGATGGCGCCAATTCAATAGCAGCTGGGCGTAGAAAGAGGCAGACCATGCAAGGAAATAGAGCCAGCCACAGATACTTGCACCCAGGAGAGAAATGTCAGAATTTTCGACGTTGGCGTAAGTCATCTACCTTAAGTCAAGTTCTGACAGAACTTACCTTGACAGAACATTTGACATGGAGCTCATAATGTGGACCCAAAACTATTGCTTTCGTGAAGTAAATATCAAATATGCAATTGGGTATCAGAGTGAGTTAAGCGGAACAGTATCTGAAGAGAACAATACTAATTATGCGTCACTGCTCTTTTCAAGATGAGACCGCGGAGTAAAAGCGGAGTAGCGGACTAGGTACGCGGAGCTCGGATCTGAAAGTGGAGGAGTGAAGGACTTGCATTCCGGTCTAAGTCTTGGAAGGACTTCATAATTTGCATATTCAATGACTTAGGGTTATTGTTCGGACATGTGACTTGCAGTTGGATAGACTTCGAAGCTCAAATCTGGCTCCGACGGGACCTGGTCACCTGTCCGACGTCACGATATCGCTAGCCCTAGGTTTTACTGGTAGAAACCCCATCGGGCTATTCATCCTCTACCGCACAGACCTTAACGAAGGACCATGCCGCCACATTCCTGCCATTCCAGTTTTTGACATCCAGTCTAACACTGTCCGGCTCAGTATCGTCGACGGTATAGACTTTGACGAAGTTGGCTGTTGGACCATGCCGCAGCGTTCGAGTTGTCAACTTTGCCTTCGTGTGCGCTGGTGTCTGTAAGATTTTGAAAGAGCTATTCCGGTTTCTATCTGGAGAGTGTTCAAAGGCTTATCAATTGGAGCACAATTAGATAGCAAACCTCGCGCGAGGAGAAAGAATGAGTATGGTAAATTTGTGCATTATCTGTCATAGGTGGGTTGTGAAGGTGCCCGGGCTAGCTGTTCATGCAAAGGTAGCAAGCAGATGACGGCGGATCTAGGTAGAGTTATATATCCTCAGCCCACTCCTACATGCCTGTCCACGCAGTATTATTCAACCACCGAGAAAGATCAAAGCTGTCTAATGTATTGCGATCGAGGAAGTCACAGTTTGCAAATCCGGTGATATCAGGTCCTGTTTGCATGAATTGCGAAGGCGAAAAGGGCGTTTCAGGATCATCGCAAGACATCGACGCAGGGAGGGTCATATCTGGCGTCATGCCAGACAAGAAAGGTGGCTCGTCGAGCATACGATCCACGGTGTGAGATATTGATTGTGCGGCTTGCAAACATGTTTTTTTTATTGTCTCACCCACATCGCCGATACTCTCAAGATACGAAGTGAATACCATAAGGCTTCGGATCACCGCAGAACGACTCAGGCTGTGTGGCAATGGCTGAGTCCGAGTTCTAGCCCCGTTTTGCACGGCTGCCACCAATGTGGCGGCGCTGGGAAGACCGTAATTGACGACCTATGGGTTGTCAAAATCACATTGGAACAAACTTACACTATAGAACCACTCACGATGTTAGGGAAGTCGTGCCTCAGAAGCATTGCTTTATCGCGCGATTTACCCAGCTGTACAACGACTGCGACGATCTCTGCTGAAACAGTAAGTAATTCTGGAGAAGGACTTCGTGTGCTCCTCTCAAGGAGGCGATATATCTGAAACTCGTTCTGTAGATGTGACAGATACACAATAGTGAGCATCAGGCAGACGGTAGCCTCCAGATCTGATGTCCAGCACTCATGTGTGTACTTGAGGTGCTCCGGCAATGACTTCCATGATTGCTGACATCTCTCTGACAGATCCCTGTTGCTTTGGTCAGCTCAGAAACTCATTCAGAACCTATACCATCCCAGGATACTTGCATCAGCTTGGCTTTGTTCTCAGCCGTGAATTGACGAAATGGAAACTCTAGAATCTCTTCTCGGAAAACGCCGAGGACGTAACGTATCCTCGCCCAAGTTGAACTAGCGAAGCGAGCTGTAGAACTCCATCCCTCCGAGTCCAGTTGAAATCCTGCCTGCTCTGCTTTGATTGAACCTGCTAGAAGCTCATCATCGAGGAGGTCTAGCGGCATTTTACAATCAGAGAAGCGCCTCAGTATTCTCGGAGGTCTTTCAAAGAATGTGCAAACTAACTTATCAACATGATAGGCCGCGGCAAATGTTCTACGTCGACACTCGGAGAGAAAGAACGGTATCTTGCCAGCGTGGCTGGACTCCCGATGAATGCCAAGAGCATACACATCGGTTGCCAGGTCACCTAGCCGACGCCATACATTGGGACCTGTCGTGTGAAGATATTTTGTTAGTAATGCATGGCGCATAAATCTTTGAGCGCACACAATATTCTTCCGCGACTCACTTGCATCTCCTTGTATTGACATCGTCAGCAAGAGATTTTCATATGCCAACCATACCATCGGGTCATTAACCCGCGGGGCGATTTCACGAGCAATCTGTAGGCAGCATGTGCTGCACCGGAACATGGTATGTATGGATGCATCCTCTGGATCATGTCTACTATGGCCAAGTAGACACGACCGCGCTGCGAGCGCAAATATTAGGCCGACGGCCTCGAGCCGAAGATCCTGACCAGTATACGATGCACAAAAATTTGGCGACGTGCAGGTCGAATCGAATTCCATAGTGGCCGATGTTGATTGGACAATGCTTTCCGCGATCTCCAGAATCCTGTCTTCAGATTCGACCATGCCGGATGGTGACGGCGGTATGGCGACTCCGCGCGTACGAAGTGCTGAAAAAGCTGGCAACAAAAGTGCTCCAGGTACCAGGATCGCATGGCTATGAGCATAGTACTCGTTGAGCAGTTTCTCTACCATGTCGAGATGCTGAAGTTGAACCAGCATCTCTACTGTAACGGCAACATGCTCGGCATGAATAGCTGCTGGGCTTGCTCCTAGTCCGGGCAGCCGAAATCCTGGATCATGGGCATCAGAGGTTACCGATGGCCACGGAAATGAGGTTCGGTGTTGGGTATATCGATTGTTGAAGGGAGGAGGGCAGTTTTCTGTGGTCTCGGTAGCAATTTGGCCGAGATCCACAAGGCCTACCTGCGCTTCGGGCACGGCACCCAACGCGTGTGGCTTTGTCAATGGAGCTGGATGATAGAAACAGGTCGATGCCAACCCTCGAATCTGACATCGGTTGCAAACAGGCCGCATGTGGTCACAGCGATTCTTCCTTCGCCGGCAATTTTCGCACGAGGCGAGTCTGCCGTTCCTCCGGTTTGTGCTTGTCATGTCAGTATTCCTCATGCGTTGAACTGGTACATCATATGATCATGTATATTCAAGACACAGATACACTACAGACTGTGCGCGCGGTGTCATCGCCGGCACCCATGGATACAATATATGGATGTTCACAATGCAAGGTGGCAACATTACCCCGCACCTGCTCCCTGCAAGCTGAAAAGAAAAACAAGGAAGTTTCTGCAAAACACATGGTTCATAAGCCTGGGAGCGTATGGTTGCATGCAGCTTGAAGTGATTGGTAGGTTCCGTCAGCGCAGAGGCAGCGCAGAGGAAACCAGAGACAAACACACATATAGAGTAGAGCTTGGCAAAGAGATACCTACTCAAAGCACCTGCTTTTCTGTGGGATTTGTATTGATCTGTTCAGGGGCTATATCGAGACAAAGAAAGACCGTTTGATTGCGGGGCCATGGCGGATCCAACCGCAGCTCTTCTTTTCATAGAGCATGGCAGGGGTATATGAGTACGACCCTAACCGCCATGCTTGACTTAGTAAAAGCGGTAAAAGTCATTAAGCCAATACGATCAAAGTCAGGCGTGGCGGCTGTGACATTTGTCATAGGAGAATCAAGGCCCTTCAAGGGGCCTAGCCAATATATCAGCAATTGTTTTCCAACCTCCAACCTCCATATTCTTCAAGTAGGGTCTTCCCAGTTGTTTAAGGTTGTCCAACCATATCTGGTCCAGCATGCCACGGCCCGCCAGGCATGATCAACTGCCCCGCTTGACCGGCCTAATCAATTGGGAATGTCTCGACTCATTGGTTGACGGAACCGACGCAGAACTGGCGTCGACAGTCGAAGAACGCAGCCTACCAATTCTCGGCACAGATTCGCTACCATTGCCCCGTGGCATTCTCGATGCCGCCAACAGCAGGAAGCTTTCTCAAGATGCCGACCAAACGCAAAGCTCTGTGCAACTGCTCCCGGGCCCCCTTGATGCGGCTCTCGAGCCATGCCCACTTCAGTACATGGGAAGCTGCTCGGACACAGTTTCTCCTCAGGGCTCATCCAGTGACCAGAGTATGAGTGGCCGTTTGCAGCAGTGCCAGCATGCTTTGCAGTTGTTGGGGTTTCCTTCAGTCGACGCCTTTGCTCTTGAATACTATACAGCACGGTTCGGGCCCCGGTTGCGAAGATCAGGTGTGGAACAGCGCGAAGGTCTGAGTACGGTCGATCGTCTGGCCATGTTGTTGCAGAATGAGTCACGAGTGGATGCGATGGACCCGGGTGGATTACAACGGGATATCGGGAAGTCTGCTCGCGAACTTTACATTGCAGAGCTGCGAGACTTTGACCACAAATTATACGATCCCCATAAAGCGGAACACCAAGTGAGTGAGGTCCTCCGGCTCGCAGTTCAATATGGATGGCTGATCATGGGATCTAACAGTTGCCACAAATATATAACTTGTTATACAATATGCTGACGGAGGTCGGATGTCAGCCCGACTTGGTTGATGCGACGGTCCGAAACTCAATCCAGGGGCTGTTGAGTACTAGTAGCAAGTTGTCGTAAGAATAAAGTAAATGGCAATGCCAATGGAGCTACACTGATTATAACAATGCAAATGGGTTCAGAGAATAACGAATCTTGCTTGGAAGGGGGGCCTGCAGCTTTCTGCCAGTTAGATTTGCTGCATAGGTATATTGATACAGTCAGGTATAACTATAAAAGGTAGCACTCCGCGTCCATCTGGATTGTCATGTCATCACATGCCCAGATTCATGCGTTCGTCCGTTACTACCGAGCCGCCTCCGTTATTGCTGACATCCCGCTTGTTGAGCTCCGCATCTTCTGCATTATACTTTCGAAAGAGTAACCAAAACACCACCGTTGCGAGGCCAATAGCGGCTGCGAGAGCGGCGTACATCCAGACAAGATGAGGATTACGTGCAACTGGGTACAAGGCGAAGCCCAGCATTGCACCAACGCCTGACATAGAAGATAAAACGGCCTGAACTATCGATTTCATCTTACGAGAGCGATAACTGTCAGCACATGTTTCAAATCGAAAAGGAGCGGAGCTTCTGACATTGTCCGGGGCTTTGTTGTACGCATATTCTTGGCTCACAACGTCGAAGAATACTTCTGCTAACCCGTCTAAGACGTAGACCGGTACTTGGAGCCAAACACTAACTCGGTTCGGAATTCTGCCCCCGTCTGACGCAGGACACTTTAACGCGTGTTCATAACATGGCCCTCTTGTATAAATGACCTGCTGGGTACCGGCGCAATAGGCGATTGCGATGGCTTCTATAAGGAAGCCAACTGCCATACGGTTGACTGGCGGAAACTCGATATGCAGCTTGCGTAAAGTGGGGTAGAGCACGTTGGTGACTAGCGGTAGTAGGATGAGCACGGCGATTGGATTCAATGTCGGGAAAAAGTCGTTCGGGAGACCGTGGGTTTCCATTTGAGCCGCTTGGGAGACGAGGTTATTATTTATCTGTAGATGACAGACCCACAGGATAGGGTAGAATGCAAAGATACGACATGCTATGAGTCCGCGCTGCAGGTCTGTCACAAACTTGTCGTCCCACTCAGCTGCATGCGTTTGACCTTGCCGCAGTGCAGCATCCATGTTGAAGCCGTTTTTCGCTGCACACAACATGATTCGAAAAGCTGTGGGCAAGATATTCCCACCTGGGGGACGCTTGACTGAGATGGTTTTCAGTGCTGCCTCATATCGGGTTTTTGCATTAGGACATACCAATCTTGTTTCGACACAGGGCTAGCGTGAGCAACGATAAGCAAAGGGCACAAGTAGGAAGCAGATATGCCGCCCAGAATCCGACATCTTTCTCAATGTAAGTTGTGGCAAGTGCAGACAATGCCCCGATATTTACAGCCCTTTTGAGACTAGGTCAGCCTGATGCGGTACCTATGCCTCCTTGGAGTTGAACTGAGCCTTCCACCACTCACCAATAGTATGCGTGATATATTTTATCCATACTAAGGTCACGATCAATTATGACACGCTTACCGTTGGGCTTGGCCAAGACTTTTTCCTCCCAATTGGTGTACTGATCGGCTATATAACTTCTTGTTAGTGATTGCATGGCGGGAAAACATGAAAGAACAGACCCATCAAAGGTGAGACGCCTGATTTCACACCCCCAAGGCCAATACTCATGAGGATGATGCCGACCAAGAACCCTGGAAGACCTGCGCCTGCGTCCAAGGATGATGGTATGGACGTCATGGTCAAGATGAACGCCCCACTTACGTAGATGCTATGCCCTTCATGTTAGCTAAAATCAAAAGAAATCCCGTCATACATGTCCTGACCATAAGAAAACAAGGATCCCTCGATAGCGCCCGAGGAAACAATCGATAACAACGCTAGCGAATAGCGGCATGGTGTACAGCAAAAACGAAAACATGTATGATAGATTGCTAGCCTTGCTCTGGCCCAATCCGAGTGCGCCTGGTCGTAAAGGATCATCTCGCTGATTCTGAAGATAATTTTCTGCCCTCAGGTCAATGGACGGGAAGATAAAGATCACATGCCACCTGCACTCACGGAATGGTTCACGAATCCCAAAGAATGCGAAGCGCTCGAGTGTACTGATCAGTATGACAAGCCATGCCGAGACGGGAATTTGGTCAGCAACTCGAGGTAGATCTTCATCTTGATTGCTCGTGTCGTTCGTTTCGTCCGAGCTCAGCGTCTTTTCATCTGCAGGAGACAATTGCCGTGTGATTCGAGAGTCTGCCTGCAGAAAATTCCCAATCTCGAGAACATCCGCCATGGTTCTGAGGTACAATGGAAGCCAATTGCGTCGTATGCGGGGTCAGGGACAAGACGAGTCAACGGGGAATCAAGTTGAGTCAGTGCAAACTGAATCTGATGACCTCTCAATGTGGCAGTCACTGTATTTGAATACATCATAATATTCATGTTTTCACTAACAAAGCTCCGCAGTAAGGGCGGAGTAAAATGCTGTTATAGGATTAGTGATTCCGCGAGGCAACCGAGAATTCTTCAATGTGGTAAACTACTCCGTACTCCGCCACGAACTGGTTACTTGATGCCCTTACGTCGGAGAAGGTGGAGAACCGAACAAAGCAAATGAAAGGGACTCGAGTGCATTCCAAAGTTGTCGATCGAAATCGTCCACGCATTGGCACTTGGTAGCCTCGCAGCCCTCGCTAAGTCGTCCACTAGACCTAGATTGGATGGTTATAGATATTGGTAAATACTTTAATCTTGCGGAATTGAGGTTCTCAGCACGTAGGCCCCGACATAGGATTAGGCTCTGATTCAGTATGAACATACTGTCATACAATTACTACTCCGTAGATCAGATCCCCCTAGGCTGCTTGGCTCGCCGATGACCAAAGTTTATTCCATGCCTGAGGCGCAAACAGCAAGTCACGGGCGGTCCACGTGGGAAAAGTGGGTCGTGTCGATGCACTAGACCTATTCTGGATCGATATTTCTACCCCAGGCATCTTACCTCAGCATGCTCAGACGAAACATGATTCGCTGGGTAATGCTCACATGACCTGCCTAACCAAGTTGGTTCAGCTCAGACGTTTCGCTGAGAGATACTTTGAAATTTTGCCAAGAATTATCGACCAACAGCCTGACCGCTCCTTTGGTGTGTGAATTTCGATCTCAACCTTCTCAACAAGCACAGACCTGACCATCTTCAATCTTACAAGCGTCATAAATGCGAACTGGACAATTACTTTGATACTATTTTGAAGTTTCCACGCCTCCTAGAACGTGAGTGTTATGCTTGAACGTGCTGGTGAGCAATGTTGCGTTTTATCGGGCATCTACATGGCTATATTGTGTCTTCCCCGCAATTTTGGGTCGAGCGCGGACGCTTCGATCTCGACGGCCTTAGCTCAGACATGGTTGATAGTGTATAGAGTAATGAAGATAAAGGAGAAGACGCTGGAGGCCAAGTTTTGAGAAGAAAATCGACGTGGTGGTCGAGATCTTATGGTTCAAAGAGAGAGGCTCGTTTCGTGGTTTTCCCCCGATCCTTCTAAATAGGCGGTCAAAAAGTCCCTCAGACCAAACATTTGATTTGGACCTAACCGTTACCTAATTTGGTTAGATATGTCATGTGACTGCACATGACCCAGAGTGACTAATAATGTTTGGTCTGAGCATGCTGAGGTAACCAGGCATCATTCTTTCCAGCCACATCTCCACCTCTCTAGATATCTCCACATCTCCACGTCTTCTTGCTTCCTCATCTTTGATAATCTATTTCGAGTGCACTGTTTCTCTGAGGCGTTCCCGCATCATCGTTACAGATGGTTTCGTCTCCACTTGGATCAGCAATGGACGATATATGTTGGGTTGTAGCCTTGTAGGTACATACTTCCATGGTGATGGCGTCTATTACCTAGAAGTGCAGTGGCTGGAAGTTTATCCATAGGTTGTACTCCCGTGATCCAAGCCAACATGCAAGCGGTAGCCGACAAGATTGGACGGCTGGGGCTAAAACCTAAGATGTTGGAATGATGGGTGTTGAAGACACTGGTCCCGGACTCCAGGAGTAGCAGGACGTTCATTTTGGCTTTGTGTTTATCATTTCTTTTGTTCGGTTTACATCTTTCCATTCGAGGGAGATTGATCGGAAGTTCGCAAAGCGCGGGAGTTTCCAACAGTCGCCCAGTGCCCGGCTGGCGGCCTTCCTCTCTAGCTGTCAGCAGGCCTGACAGCACTCCCGCATAGCAGCATATATCTGGAGCGAGCTACATCGTGCAAATAGGTGAATACCTACATCACCATCACCATATACTTCCATGGTTACATAGTGGCTGATTTGGGCTGCGCGCTAGGGAACTATAGGTTTGGTTATGCTGCCCGGGAATTGGTGTAGATCTTTTCGAGTAATGGGGATTCATTTGATCATTGAGTATTCTGTACATGATGTTAACACAGCAATTGCATTTGCTGTGGTGAAACACGCTACAGCTTGTCAGACTCAACAGGAAATCACAGGGTAGATGATTGCATCGTGTGTCATGCAGATGTCCGATGCCTTGAAACGAATGGATTGCTAGATAGAGTCTTATCTGCTGATTGATGGTGCCCGGGCTTGGGCTGCAACCCAATGGATTCGGCCTGGCACCTCATGGGGAAACTAAGTAATCAAGCGAAAAGGAGGGCTTACGGGTACCTATGTAGTCCCTACATTCCTAGGTTGTACGGAGGATACGAGACTAATGTGAAGGTCGTGCCCGGTTCAGAAGCATGGGTGGAAACGGGTGGTGAACTTGGTATTATGGACAAGAAGAAAATATATACTAGGGAAAGATGTAGAACAGGGATTGAAATACGAGTGAGCCAGAGGAAACCAGGAAACCAAGAAACGAAAGCCATATCTCATACATCAAGGAAGTAAAACGGATGGGATATCAAAAAGAAAGAGCCGGGCTGCGTGCATGGGTGCCCAATATTCCCAAGATTGTGGGACGATGATCAGTAGATTGGACGACCCTCGTCCCAACGGCGAGCTTCTCTTGGGCTCGAAACGGGCTCTGGCTGGCCCTGTCCCGCAGGCGTCTCAGGACTCGTTGCAACATTGGCAGACGGAGAACCGATGGAGAAGTGTCCACTTTCGCGACGGCCAGGATACTCCGCTTCGCCGACGGCATTGATCCCACCGATCCACTCCCAGACTCGAGAAACATCCCCACTACGTCCTTCCCGGACAGAGGCACGGACGTTAGCGTTGCCCTCGACAAAGTTACGAACTCGACGCCAGAGCTCCTCGCGACGCTTGCCTTGCAGTTCAAAGCGGAGGACATCATCGCGCAGCTGGCCAATGGCTACATAGGGTTCTTTGGCGGCGCCGCGGGCGTACAGTGCAGCTTGCGTGGATAGTCGGTCAAGGGTTGTAGCCACTAACTCAGGCACACGAGCGATGTCGGAGCGACGGGCGAGGACACGCGAACGAGCATACACAAGGAGACCGAAGGCCAAGATTAAAAGTGAAATAGGGAGTCGATACGCGAGGAGAGCGAGTCGGAAGTGGCGGCGGACGGCGCATGCGAGTGGGAGCCGTGCAATGGAGGTAGAGGAGAGGATGAGGATGGCGGAATTTCTGTGATTGCGAAGTCGCCTCTGTCAGTTCCGGTGCACAATGTCAGACCAGATCTTTTAAACAGATAGCGCTGGATGGGGTGGTCCATGGCGATGAGAATAGCCAAGGGGACGATAGGGAGGGAAACTTACTTCTCGGTTTTGCTTATAACTTCATCTTTGCCAAGGATATCGCCAATGGCACCCTTCCACAGCTCGTCAAACTCGATGTCACTCAAGCCCTTGCGGCGCTTCTTGGCTACCTCTTCCTTCAAGTCAAGCTCGCTGATGTCGGGAGATTTGGCGCCCTTGCCATCTTCCTTCAGTTGACCACATTCCCATTTTGCCCGGCGCTCACGAAGCTCCTCCACAGCCTTGTCGGCGACAGCCTTCACGCGGCGCGCCTTTTCACTATCGGGTTCGCATGTGGGCGGCAACGGAACCAGGCCCCCAAGCGCAAGAGGGTGGGGTTTCAGAAGGAAATCATTCTCACAGCGGACCTCAAATTCTGGATAGCAGAAGGCATGGCTTGGGCAAGGCTCACACCGAGGCTCTAAAACGTTGGCCCATTCAGGGACCTTGGTCTCTGCCAACGACCAGGTGGGCTTCCCCAAGCCGCAGTATCCAATCTCGATCTTTTCTTTGCGCCACCAGGTACCGAAGCTGCCGGCTAGCGAAAGAATCACGACCCAGGGAGCCAAGCGGCTCACAGTCCCCTGCTTCTGGGACCGTCGTCGAGTTTGCACGCGTGGCGTACGCTGATCACTTTCCATAGACATAGCCAGCTGCTCCTCGGGTGTGAATTCTTCACCCGCAGCAACTTCGCTTTCGGCATCTTCGTCGGACTCTTCTGTCTCCTCCTCAGGTTCTTCCTGCGGAGGCTCTAATCGGGAAGCGAAATCAAATGATCCACGCTGAGGAGGTTGATACCCGTCATCTTGTTGAAGGCTGGATGGTGTTGCTGATTTGCGCGACCTGAGTCCACGGCCTCGAGCCGGGCTCTCGGTAGACAGGCGTGACATACTACTTCGCTTGCCGTCATAGCTCGTTCGTGTGCTTTTAGGCGCCTCAGGACTTCCACTCTGGAAAGGATTGTCATCTGTAAACATGCTCTCGTCGCGAGACTCCGACTTGACGGGTGTAGATTCGTCCACCTCCGTTGAGGGAATAAGCTCACTTCGTCGAACCTTCTTCGCTGTGGATTTGCGTGGAGTGGGACGGACAGCGGCCACTGGAGTGGCAAGCGTGTCGTCGCCTGTCTCTGCATCAGAGGTGCGAGAGTGTTTACCCACAGAGCGAGCGACGCTAGTGCGCTTTGTGGTCCTGACAGGTGTGTTCATAGCGAAACCGTCATCGGCATCTGCCGTAGAGTGACGGGTGCTGCGCCGGGATGTGCCTCTTTGGCCCCTAGTTGTAGACCCGACTGTGGAGGGTGTCGCCGGCGGAGGCCTTGACTCTCTGTCATTCGCGTCGCTATCCACCGATGTCGACCGGCTACTCATATCTGTGATTCCAGCGCTGGTTCGTCGAACTGTGTCGCGCTCGCGCAAGAGCTTCCGGGCTTGCGGGAGAACCTCATCTTGGAGGATGGTGATCAGTTGACTCTTCTTTGCAGAGGCCGGGTATGGGATATCGTGGCTGACGAGGATAGAGCGGAGACGAGGGACGGTGAGAGAGCCCAGATCAAAGTCTGGATAGAGGTAGTCAAGTTCATCCGCCATTTTGTGTGGCGTGCGACGTGCGACGTGCGACGATGGGGATCTATTTGATCTGCCGACACCGCGACCGAGATGATGTAGACCTTGGTCAAGATAAACACTGAACTCGCGGGACAGTGCGTGGCTGGAGGATATTTTAAAATGCGACTGAATGCCACCGATCGCTCCCTTTTTCGATTTTTAACCGGGGCAGAAGGTGTGTTGTTTTTGCCGTGTCGTGTGGATTTACGCCAGTCCTATTTCGTTCGGTCGTTCTCAGTCGTAGCCAGGGCAACAGGCGGGGCGGAAACCTGAGACGCTGATACCCTTTACGAAGTGTAAAATCAAAAGAGATCAACTGGAGTGATAGATGGATATTTCCTCTCAGTCTGGATTCAAGTTCTCAGATGAAGGTGAGAAGGTTCCAAGTTAAAGAAAAACAAAGCCGAATGACGCATGCATAAACAACGTCACGTGACTCGACTGTGGCGTTGGCGCTTCATACAGCCACTCGAGTGAGCCAACTGTCCAATCAGATAATTTGAGATATTTGAGATATCGTATAACCTGAGAGAAAAGGTCCTGTATCCATGAGGCTATCCTCTAACCGTTGATTACCCTGATCCCGCTCATTCTTGCAGAGCACTGGCAAGCTGGTCAATCCCTGGACGATACCTTGGAATGTTCGCCAACCGGTGCAGGGCCCTTTTCAACATACGTATACGAAGAAGGAAGCAAAGTGGCAGAAGCAAGCAAGCCAATGAATGGAACGATCATGAAGTGTGTAATATATTCAGTATCCAGCCATATACAGACCTCGAGAAACGAATGAAAGCGACCTAGTAAAATAAAGAAAAAGACACCGAAACAATCACCGTTGCTCCATGCCATGATGCTTTATAAAACAATCTGCAAATCCCCTCCCGCCAGTGGGACGCCGCCCACTAAAATATAGCCAGAGAGATACAAGAATAAAGAACGTCATAAGAAACCGGTAGATAATTGATATTAAGGGGGTAGAGAATAGCCGGTACCGATCAGCGGGACCTGCGGCTGGAATTGCTAGCGCGATTGGTATCGCCGGGGAGGTGGAGGAAAGACGATGAAGCGGAGGTGATACCGCTGTCGAGGGGATCCATGGGTTGCATGTTGGCATAGAGTGGTGGACCGCCGACGTTGGTCCCTGAACCAACGGCCATCTGCTCCTTGAGAGCTTGGAATTCGGCAAGTTGTGTTTGGAGTTGCTGGAAGACTTCCCCGATGGGGACTGCGTGGTCCTTGAGCCTATCGCCTGGTCTGAAGGGACGCATCATGTGGCGCAGGGAGAGTGTGTTGATGCATACCTGGAATGTGTTAGAATTGCAGTGACAGTGAAATGAGAAATTGTATGATACTGACCTCGATGCGAGTGACTTGTTGGTCGATCAAACTGATGACGGTCGAGTCATTCAGCTCTCCACCGTGCCTCTTGACCATGTTGAAGAGAGCAACATTGGGCTCTCTGAGACTTGGGTCACTTGGCTGTTCCATGGCACCGCAAAGTCGTTCAAGACGAAGTGTGACTTCCCACAAACGCCAGATGACATTGGTCTGGATGTCCAGCTGATTGTGAGGACTGATAGTTGCAACAGAGCTGTCAGAATCGCGCGACTCTTCCGAAGATATCATGCGCCCAGAAAGCGAAGATGAGTAGACAAGGTAGAGAGGTTCTGGATTCTCCAGCCCCTTCAGCTTTCTCTCGCCCTGATCTTTGATAACAAAGCCTTGACTGTTGAGCTGTTGCAGCTCGCGACGAATATTGTGACCGAAGCTATCGCCGCGAGAGATGCTGTCGGTGGAGCTGGTCGATGCAGAACGCTCAGCATCAGCGAAAATCTCGAGATTGCGTTGGATGTCGGCCATGAAATCTGACGAAACGAAGATCTGACCTCCATCGGCAACAGCGGAGATTCGCGATGCGCGATTTACCATGGGGCCAAAATAGTCCATTCGACCAGTGACCGGATCCTTTGCGCAGACAGGCTCGCCCCAATGACCACCCATGCGGACAGACAGACCACGGAAGATAACGTTGTTGTCCATGTCAACCACAACTCGGCACTGCGGTTGATCGAGAATCTCCGTGGGCCATTCAGCCTCAAGGAGTTGGTTTTGACAGTTAAAGCACCACAGCAAGGCCGCGGTAGTGGTTGAGAAAGCTACCATGAAAGCATCACCTTCTGTTTTGACTTCGTAACCACCGAAGATTCCAAGCTGCCGGCGCAGGATATCGTTGTGAATTTGAATAGCAGAGCGCATCGCATCCGGGCATGTCTCCCATAAGCCCGTGGACTGTTTGATATCAGTGAACATGATTGTCAATTCACCGTCGGGAGCATCCACGAAGTCAAAGCGAGCCAATCGCGAGTCTCCAGGACCATCGCGCTTCTTCGGCCGCTTGGCAGTGGGGATGATCTGTTCCTCCGCAAATGTGGACGAGGCGGTGTTAAGAGCAGGACGAGGCTTCGGGCGTTTCTTCTGAATCTCACCAACGCCGAGAATCATCACCATCAGCTTGTTGGTAGCACCAAAAGAGATGGCCAAGTCACGCAATTTCTGAGCCGCAAACATCAAGTCGGGCTGTTCTCTGCGAGTGATATCAACCACCACTTCGGGAGTAACATAGTCCCAGAGTTCTTTCGATGCCAATACGATCATCTCATCTTGTTCTGTCAAAGTGCAACGCATCGTGTAGGGGGCCGCAATGACTGCAGGCATCATGGGGAAGTGTCCGAAGCATCGCGAGACAGTAAGGACATCGTTGAGCTTTCCGTTGCGAGACACATAGCCGCCTGCTGCACGAATGCGCGCGCGCTCGCTAGGCTCCGCGGGATCATGGTTTCGCGTCAAAGGGAGCATCGAACCATCCGATCTGATCAGAATAGCCTGAGCATCACCGACATTGGCAGCATACAAGTCCATATTGTTCAGATACAAGACAGTAGCAATACCGCCAGACTGGATGTCATCTTGGTTGAGTTTTTTGGCCGAGGCTGATCCTCGATGATATTGTCTAACCTCACGGTCATCAATAGACCTGTAGGCAGAGCCTGCCATGTTCTTGTTCAATGCCAAGAACGTTCGTCTGAGTGCGTCCAGCGGGGTTTCACCCTGCTCTTGCTGCAACTTCTTCAGCTCAAACGAGAAAGTGGAAGTGAAGTTCTCGTGCAGGAACTTTGCGACGCGAGAACCACCACTGGAAAGCGTCTGTCCGTCAAACATTCCCACCAGGGTTTCCACATTATCCTGCTTCAACCGTGGAACAATCATATCAATGATAGATAGATGCTCGGTTTTACCAAGTGAGTCTGCCATGCCGTATGCGAGGGTACCGGCCAAGGAGGCTGAAGTTCTCACACGTCGATCCTCGGTCTCCTCCGGAATAGTGGGAATCGTGAGTGTGACATCCATCAGACCCAGAACCCGAAGGTGGGTTAGGGAGTTGAAGTCTGTCAGATCAGCGCCATTGGCAGCCGGAGGACCCAGGGAAGCAATGTTCGGCTTGATTTCCAGGCGTTTGTTGCCAGAGAAATTGAGGTACTTGAGATTGCGGTTCCAATTCCAGTTCCAATCGTAAGGCCAGTTTGAAACGTTGTACTTGAGCCCGTTGCTTCCCACATCTAGTATGGACAGCTTGCTGACCTTGCAAAGTTCAGCAGGCAAGACTTGGAATCGATTTGCGTTCAGGTGGAGAACTTTGAGATTGCTCCCCTCTTCGAGGTCATCAGAGGGGAGAGATGTCAACTCGTTACCCGAAAGGTACAGCTCGGAAATCATAGGCCATCGTTTGAGGATGCCTTGTGGGAGTTCTGTCAGGTCATTATAGGAAAGGTTGACGATACGCAGTTCTGGAAGTAAGGACAGTTCTCGGAAAACGTCATCTTCAAGTCTGTTGTCAGCGAGGGAAAGAGTTCGAAGGGATGCCGCAAACGTCATTGCCAGCTGTTGGGAGAAGTTTGAGTCCTTCCGACTAGTAGAGTTCGGATCGGTAATTGTTCGTGATGCCGCTGATACGGTCCTGCCACCTTGCTGGGAAACAGATTGCCCAGTAGGTGCCCGATACGTCCCATTTGGCGACGTAGACTTCATAGCGCCATTCGACGTTTGACTTGGTCGGCGCAAGCCCGGTTCATCCATAGGGCCTATGTCTTCAGAGCTCGGGGTTCCAACAACGCCTGGTGTAGACGCAGGTGTGGCAGTAGGCTCTCCGGGTACTTGAGGGTACGGAGCACCGCACTTTGGGAAAGTCGACAAGATGTTTGAGGATACATTGAGGACCTCCAGCTTAGAGCAATGCCATATTTCGGCCGGTAGCGACGTCAAATTGCACTCTCTCAAGTTGAAGCACTTGAGCTCCCCAAGGCAACCGAGCGTTGGAGGCAAAGAAGATAGCGGGTTCTTGATCATACTGAAATGTTCCAGTCGACGCAGTTTGCCAATTTGAGGTGATACCGTGGACAAGTGGTTCTTATCCAGGATGAGTTTTGTCAGATTCACACAATTCTCAAAAATGGTATCTTTGAATACGGATAGTTTTCCAGAAGCAAGGTTCAGAGATGTTAATGTTGGCATAGGAGCATCAACATCAAACTGTGTCAAAGGGCAATGGTCAAGATGTAGACTTCGCAGCTTTGGGAATGATCCCTTGAAGCGCGATAACAGATTGTGACCGAAGAATACCTGCTCGAGTCGTGGAAGGCTAGAGAGAGCATCGATATTGGTGATAGCGTTGAAGCGCCCGTCGAACTCCTTGAGATTCACCAGCTCCCCGAAGGAGCCATCGAGAGGCCCGCTTAGATTGTTGTTCGTAATCCATAGGCGTTCAAGAGTGGACAAGCGGCCAATATTGGGAAGTTCCTCAATGCCATTGAAACTGATGTCAAGATCGACCAAACTTGTAAGGTTGCATAGGAAATCAGGGAAGACCTTAAAGCCATTTGACGACATATTCAGGCTCCGCAGACTTTGGAAGTTACCGAACGAGCTGGGGAGCTTGGTCAATTGATTATTCGCCATCTTGATGCTGACGAGACCCGTGAGACGATCAAGGCCCGCATGATCCAGATCCTCAAGGCGGTTGTTTGATACATCAAGGTAAGTCAACCGGGCGGCCAAGCCGAAACTTTGAGGGAGGAATGCGGCCTCATTTCCGATGAACTTGATCTCCCGCAGGTTGATGCAGCTCTGAATGAAGTCTTTGGGAACGTCCAATGACAAGTTCCTGGACAAATTCAAGGAGATGATTTCGGAGGATTTGGCGTACAAGGTGATGGGAATCGTGACGAGACTGCGCCCTTGGAGATCAACATGACTGAATTTTTGGACCTTATTGAAACCGGGTTCACCCTCGAGACTGCTGTAACCGCTCAGTTTAGTCGGCAAAAAGATAAACCGACAGAGGTAACTGTGATCCTCGCGACCAATATCCCCGATTCGGTCTTTCTCTGTGTAGCCAACTTGTTCCAGCAACTTCTTTTGCATTTGTATAGGTCGTTCGTTGTGATCAAGCTGGCGCGAAAGGTCGTTCTTCCGTAGAACGATCTCGTAATTGTTGAGATGATCTTGCAAGAAAGATTTCCGACCAAGCATCAGGAGTATCTCAGACACTGTAGCGTTCACACCAGCAGAGAGCGTGGCAAACGTCGAATCAATCCGGAAAATTCGAATAAAGTACGTAGCTTCGCGTTCACGAGGACCAACGGTGCTCGGATCTTCCAAGGCGGGTTCGATGGAAGAGCCCATCAAGGTAGGGTCAACGGGGCCCCTGACCTGCCAACTTTCAGGAGCATTCCACGGTTTTTCGATTTTGGAATCGTCGGCTGGAGTGACCGTTCCGTCCTGCACACGACCTGGTGATGGCGGTCGGACAATTCCTTTCAGATCCCCCATATCAACGTCGAGATGAAAGAAATGTTTATTCTCCTCCTGGGTCTTGTCGTCCCTGTTGGGGTTGTAGGTGTCGCCACCTTGATTAGTGAAGACACGACGAGGACCAAGTTTTCTTCCTCCAATGAGACCCTTCCCGGACTCTTTCTTCCGGTCCGAGTCTGTCGCGTCAGGATGTCGAGAAGATGTACTTCCTTCGAGGCTACCTTGCCTATCGCGCCGTGGCGGAGAAGAGTTTCGGGATCTATCATGTGATTTGGATCCGTGACCGAGTATCTTTTTTATGAACCCACCCAATCTGGGGTGCTGCGAGTTCTGGTCAGAATGGTCACGATATGCGCTACGGACACTGGGCGTTGGACTTGTTGAGCGACCTCCAAACGCACTGCCGTCGCTCACGTCAGCTGTTGAGTTATTAAACGGCCGCAATCCGATATCATCTCTGCCAGTAACAGGCCGCGGCTGAGACCATGCCAGATCGCCAGCAACGGTGGGATTTTCCTCTTTGCTCCGTGAAGGACGGTGTCTGCCGGGACCGCGTCGGCCCGATTCTTTCTGGCTTGAGGTGCTGGGTTCTGGTGATACAAGTCGCTGCCCATCCGGACCTATGGGAACATGTCGTACGGGTGCCTCTCCATACTGTGGAATATCATTAAAGCTTTGGTAATCCCACGGTGTGATGTCACTCGAGGGCAAAGGTGTGTTGGCCCGTGGCTTCTGGGGACGCTGCGACCAGTTGGAGCCCTCCGGCGTATTGCGCGAGCCATCCGAGTTTGCTCTCTCTCGCGCCTTCAACTGGTCGACCGGTCCCCCGCGCCTGCTTGGTGGGTTCTGGGAGCCATCATCATCGGCGTGAAGCTCCCCAGATGAGTGATAGTCGTCTCCAAGTAAACCCTTCAAATGCTTCTTTCGGAACTTTTGACTAATGCTCGACCTTGACCCTTGACTACTGACTGTGGTGTTGCTCGCGGCAGATGGGCGGCGATGCTCCTCCCCCTGGTATTCTGACTCCGCAGGTTCGCTAGCTATCGTGCGTCCGGTTGTGGGACGAAATGTGAATGATGCAGGCGACGCTTCTTGTTCGGAGTCGTGGTAAAAGGTACCGCTGGAATCCGCTTGGCCACTGCTGGGGGCTGTGGACCATGGGGCAATCGACTCGATCTCATTAGGGTCGAGACGAGAGGGGTTGAGGGGCGGTGGTCGGGGAGCTGAGGCAGAAGTCTGTGAGGGACTATCTCGGTTATTCGGGACAATTGAAGCTTCGCGGTGGTTGCTGAAGCCAGAAGCCTTGCGTTGTTCAGTTCGGGAGATATTGGGGGAGTTCCATGACCACATGGAATTTCCCCAATCAATCCGAGGGGGCTTCGAACTCTCCGGCCTGGCAAGAAATTAGCTTCGTTTTGTCTTTCTCTTTTTTTATTTTTGTTTCTTTCTTTCTTTCTTTCTCCTTTCTCCTCGTTATTTGGGCTAGTAATAACCCGACGGATGCGACATAGCCAAGGAGAGAAGAGAAATAGAAGCTTACCTGTTGTCCGTTTTCGAGGAACCAGAAAACGAATCGGCATTGTAACCCCCCGAGGAGGCCGCGGCCTGATCTAGAGACCGACTCTCAGAGTTTCGCACTGTGTCTTGCGATATCGAACTATTACCAGAGCCTTGCGAACCCTGGCGGTTGCCGGGTTGCTTGCGGTCCCGCACTGGCATGACTGCTCTCAAGCTCGGCCAAATGCCACCACAGCGACCCTACTCAAGTTGCAGCCAGCTGTATCTTGAGGTGTAGTAATAATCCAGAGCGGTCGAGCATTAAAATCTCCGATGATTATCGGATGGCGTGAACGACCGGGGAGCTGCAACGTGTGGTTGTCAATTCTGCTGTCTCGGGTGCTCGCGCCACGTTGCGGAGATCAACCCGGCGACGTGGTATGGAGCTGAAAAGTTCCAAGTAAACGTAGAGCGCGCCAGGTAGATATATCAGAGGAGGCAGATGAATAGGTTGGCAGTGAGAGCGCGAAGGAGTCGGGGAGGGCTGGCGGGGGCGCGAGGATGAAGGGAGGCGTATGGAAAGCCGTGTGTAAACCGAGGCGCGGATCTAGCGTCGGGCGCAAAAATCAATCGTGGCGTTATTTCATGAGGAATTATATAGTGCTCGCGATCAAGGGCAACTTGAGCGCATGGCAAGGCGAGCTGATGATTGAGGTCCAGGGTTAATTGGGGGGTTGAAGAGAGTGGGGAATAGTCGTGACTCGTGACAAAGGCGGGTCGACGGAATGACGATCGAAGAACAAAGCCCAAGTCGCTATAAAAAGGAGATGAAACTTTGAGATAAAACTCAAAGCCCTAAGAAGATATTGAGCGATCGAGAGAAAAGTGAGGGAGAGAGAGAGAGCTTAAGCGGGTACGGAGGACCAGGAGATCGGAAGTGAGGCTCTTAGCGCCCATAGGGTACCATAGGTGAACTGGGTGGAACATCGGTGTCTCGTTGACACTTCTTTTTCCTTCTTCTGCCGATTTCCTTCAAGGCCTCAACACATTCTAAAACATTTCTCTTACTGTTCACTTCTATACTTGGACATCTATTGAAAGGGCAAGCCTTGGCTCGTGCGGCTGTCCGTGCTTAACAGGCCCTGGGCCCCTGGGCTGGAGCATTGAAGGGCTGTGGAGCTTCTCCGATCTTTGTTCGGCTTCATTTACGCGTCGTGTTGGTGTTCGAGCATGAAGAGAGCTGGGCATTCAAAATACAGTCGTGTTGTCTTCGTATACATAGCCTTTCAAGGTCAAGTCACCAAGTCACCAACTCGTCATCTCGGTTCCTTCACTACCCCTTGAGGTAGGCTGTGACAAGACACTCTGTAGCACTTTCAGGGTTGTACTCGTATCTTCTTCATCAACTTGGGTGACAGCCCGGGCTGCCAAGGAATCTATTGTCACTGTAGCACACTCTTTGTTACAATTTGTCCAGTGATTGGTATGTCTTTGTTGTCTTACTTGTCCTTCTTGGCAAACTGGAAGTACTGTCGACGGAACAACGGTGAAGGCGATCTCCCAGCCTTGGAACTGTTGCTACTTCGGACCTCAGCATTCCATTTCACTTCCGACCAGCACGACTATGATGATAGTTCACAAGAACCGATTTTCAGACATGGCTATCGACACTTTTGAGAGCACGCTCCATTGCGCTACAATCTTGACTTGGAACGCTCCTTTACTATCCATATGGTTATCTATTAGCGCCCCACCAAAGTACTTGGCCACGACTATGTATGAGAAATATATGGGGCCAAGAAAAGATAAGGGAAACTTCATCCTAATCGAAAATGTTGGGTACTAAATCCGCAGTATGATTGACTGAGTGAGAAGTGTGGCTATGCTGAAAGGCACAGATACAACCTCATCTTCCTGGATGAGGCTTGGGAAATGGCTAAGATCCGAGCTAATCACCTGAGCAGACTGGCAATAACTGATAATAAGCAGGGGGTCTAACCTTTACCTGGATAGCTCGCCATCCGAGGCCCCCTACCTGCACTCAAATAGGCCAAGCATGAGACAGGTCTTTCCCCCTAGCCTCAACAACGCACTCTTGTATCGCAAATAAGAGGCACGAAGCCATGTGGCATGTGTACAATGCCTGAGAGTGAGCAGTCCGGATTGACATGTGGGACGTGCCAGAGCCTAAGATCATGGGGTGAATTATTCCGACTATAGATCGTGGCTAGGTACGGGGTACAGCGATCGCCCTGCATGGATCGCCTACATCGATCGACGCCTACTGCGTATTGTATTTTGAGGAAGGCCTAGATCGGTCAGAAGGCTCTTGGGCTACTGCATCTGGGTAGTGTATATTCTAAGTGAAGATCAGGGCTAACTTAACGGGCTATTCACAGTATCAATGAGCTGATTTTCCCAAGCTGTAAACATCATTACTCCCAACTTCGGAAGGGTTGCGAGGGAATGTCTGCCCAATGTTAGCCTCGGGACTAGTTTGGGGATTATTGCATAGGCATTGCATGTTTAAATAAATTAAACTCGAATCGAGATCAGAGGAAAATCCGCCATATGAGATCACATCTCTACATAAGAATACCATCGTGGATGGTAAAACGCGAGGGGCTGGGGGTGTGGGCCTGATCAGTGCCTACGGGGCTTCGCCGCCTTTTCTTGGTGTCTTCAGGCCAAGTCCATTGTGTCAACGTTGAAATTGTATACGAAGTAAACTGACCAAAAATCAACTAGGCTCTTTGTGTCGCAAATCTCGAATATTGCGCGCATTGACATCTCGACTACACACCCAAAGAGTACAAGAGTCAAGACTTTCTCAAGGAATGGAACTTATCGAAGGCTGTCCATCGAAACGTGGCGTAGTTAGCTCGAATCTCCACCTCAATTGACGTAGTCTGATTGGACCAATGACAGCTCCCGGGACCCACGGGATCGACCCAAACAAGAAGCAACGAAAACAGAGGAGGCTGGCACCTGCCGATTTAGTTTAAGATGCTTCCGGTTGTTTAAGTCATTTTGACTGTCATCACTCACCCCTCACTTTTCCTTCTCAACACTTCTTACTCACTAACATTATATCACCCCCATCCATCTTCATCGCAAAATACTTATATCCAGAGTGTATTGGATTAATACCTTGAAGTATCAATCAACATACCGCCATGCGGTTCACTCTTGGTGCGGCTCTGAGCCTGCTGGCTTCCACTGCGCTGGTTGCTGCTCAGACATATACCGACTGCAACCCCACAGAGAAATGTAAGTACAGTTCGTCATCAGCTGTTGACAGGTCACTAATGGGCAGCAGCATGCCCACCTGATCCCGCGTTTGGCCAATCCGACAAGACATTTGATTTCACAAGTGGTGCATCGGGGGCTTTTACATCGATTGGAGCTGTCACCTATGACAATGCTAATGGCGCAACCTTCACCATCTCCAAGCAAGGTGACGGACCACTGATTCAGTCCGGCTGGTACATCATGTTCGGCCGTGTGGAGTTCAAGATCAAGGCGGCAGCAGGAACCGGAATTGTGAGTAGTGCAGTTCTGCAGTCCGATGATCTGGATGAGATCGACTGGGAATGGCTGGGCGGCAACAACGCGCAAGTCCAGACCAATTACTTTGGCAAGGGCGACACAACCACCTTCAGCCGTGGCGCTTTCCACGAGAATCCCGGAAACCATGATGACTTCCACACCTACTCCATTGACTGGACAAGTGACCAGATTGTGTGGGCAATTGATGGGAAGACTGTTCGTGTTCTCACACCTGAGACGGCAGACAATCAGTACCCACAGACGCCAATGATGATCAAAGTTGGCGTGTGGGCTGGCGGCGACCCAAACAATGCACAGGGCACGATTGGTAAATAACACCATCCCCTAGATAACTAGCTATTGTCAAGCTTGCTAACGGCTGGCGTTCGTGCAGATTGGGCTGGTGGTCGGACCGACTACAGCCAAGGCCCATTCAAGATGTACATGAAGTCGATGACAGTGACTGACTACTCCACCGGCACTTCGTACAGCTACGGCGACAGGAGTGGCTCATGGAAATCGATCGTTGCGGAAGGTGGTAAAGTCAATGGCAACAAAGGCGCTGAACCCGCGGCGACCCAGTCCGCACCAGAAATCACTGCAACCGTCGACAGTGCCCCTGTCCCCTGGAGCGGAACCCACAGAGAGACGTCTTCCTGGGTCACTCCCGATGTCTGGCCCTGGGTAGCTTCTGGCTCTCCCACGGCCTTATCGACAGGATACCAGTATGATTGGGAGTCTGCGTCTGGCCAAAACAAGCCACCAAGCGGCGGCTCAATGAGTGAGGATTCCCCCGCCTGCTCTCCAGCGTCTTTCTCAAGATCATCCGTTAATACCGAGTCTCTTTCCTCACAGTATACCTTCCGCTCTACGTCAGCGGCATCGCCTTCATCTTCGGTTGCCTTTTCCCACTCTGGCGTTGAGACCACGCAGGAAACCTCGATCCCGTTGGTGACGCAGACAATCTCTTCGACAGAATCCACAACTGACACTACTTTTACTACAACGCTCCCTCAAGGCATTGCGACGAAGGCTTCCGGTCTTCGCAGCACCCCATCAGCTGGCAACGCAGATAGCCAGGCCAAGGTTCCTGCTATGGCGGGTGTCCTGTCTCCCCTGCTTTGTGGTATTGTTGCACTGCTTTAAACGTATACACGTTTGTATTATTATTGATGACTTTACGGGACCCGGCGCTGGTTTACTTTTACTGGACATTATACATGAGCGATGACTTTGACGGCTTACGAAAAACCGCAGCATTTGGGTGGTTGGAGGCACTTTCTTTTCCTGTTCATGCTTTTTAGCTTTATCCTACCGATGTTACCAATGGAACATTCAGTTGAGGCACGAATGTGCCCTGTATAGCTAGCAAATGCTCACGCATTCTAAATTATGGACTATGCTGCCTCTTTGCCAAAAAGACCCTTAGCAAATAGATATCGACCAAGTACTGAGGCTCGCTGACCTCCAGGCTTCAGAAAGTATCTGAAGCAACTGGACAAAGCTAAGAAAGATGCCCTGCCGGCTTCATGTGCGTTTGTAGCAAGATCCCGTGGTCCAATTAGTTTCGTACGCCGCTGTATAAGCGCCAGGGGCCAAAATGCCGTTTCTAACTAATCTTGATGCCTTAATGCCTGACTTTGGCCTGATTTACATTCAAAGTACGAAAGCGAAGGCGGGGAGACGCTGGCGGCTGGAGGTAAGGGGGTCGGCGATTTTCTGATTATTCAACACTCCCGAGGGTGGGAGAATGGAGGGTCGGCATTGATCAAATAATCATTGACATCGTCATCATCTCACCTCTTTTCGCATTTGTAACGTCTCTTCTTATCTACAAGTCTTTGAGTGCCCAAAACTCGACATAATGTCCTCCATATTAGATAACTCTGGAAAGATGGCAGAGGAAGCCAAACCAAGTGGTCGCAAACGCGGCCGCCCTCGCACCGTCACTGATGATCAAGAAGTGCCCGAGGTGGGTCGCACGCCGAACACTCCGGGTGCGAAGGCTAACAATGAAACATCAGAGACGTCGCAAACAACTTCGTCTCGCGCAGCAGGCATATCGCAAGCGAAAGGAGACCACAATTGGGAACCTGCAGACTCGCGTGCGCGAATTAGAGGCCGGAATTGAAGATATCAGCAATTCTTTCCTCTCGTTCAGCGATCTTCTTATAGAAGACCAACTCGTGTCCCAATATCCACATATCGCATCTGCCCTCCAAACAATAATACAGCAATGCGTGTCGCTCGCGAAAGCTGGGACTGATGAACCGACCGAGGGAGCCATCATTCGCACCAAGAAACAGCCTGAAGCCTCAGATAATAACACAGCACCAAATCCTGCTCCGGACAGAGCATATTCAGAAACCTCAACAGACGTCGAGGATGTAATTCGATCAGTTGCCACGAATTGGGCCGATCCGCCGACTCCGCCATATCAAGACCAGTCTGTCCTACCATTTGGCCTCATCCACATGTCATCGCCTGCCATTGAAATCCCTTATCTGACCCCACCCCTATCGAGTTCTCCGGGATCACTGGACTTCTTCTCTGGCAATACACAGCCTGGACGGCCGTGGAATATCGCACAACGTCTAGTCCAGGCTTGCTGCCAGAACGGATACCGCCTCCTCGTCGAGACTCCCAACCATCCTAGTATCCAGACTATCTTTGGTTCTACATTGAGTCTGGCGGAACGCAACAGGAAGATCTCGGCTTTCTACGCTGTCACGCAAGACAAGACGGGTGAGTTGGTGGACACGAAAGCTAATGTGCTTCATACCTTGCGGGCGAACATGGACATACTCTCGGATGGACAACTCCAGATTCCATCTAGGATCTGGCAGATTGCGTTCGGGTCTGAAAATGGTGGACATATGGATGCTAATGAGGTGCAACAATACCTGTGTGACAAGAGAGTGATCTTCCAGAACTTCCCTGGTGCCACTGGCCAGCGTGATTATACGGTCTCTTTAACGGTTGATATGCCAACTTTCATCAAATGTGAGTTTTGGCAGGCAATGGAATTGATGATGGCACGGACTAACATCACTTTAGTACTGTCAGTTGACGCCTTTTGCGTAGGGAATGGGCCCACATTTCAACGGCAGAGCGTTGAAAAGGCTCTTCGTCTGGCAACTGTTGATGTCCCCTGGGATCTTGACAAGTTGTGTGCTATATAATAGTCATCTTTCTACCTGTAATAATATTGTGCAAGCACGAGCAAAAACTTCCAGTGGCTGATTACTTTCAAAGAAGGAAAAAAACATAGCGAGAAAAAAGCAATCACAGCCTTTTGGTCATACTGACAGCGTCTATCCTGGCCCCAGGTTCTGCGAACTTCGTCTCAGCGGTACTTCCGAGTGGATCAGGACCTGACGAGGACTCAAATGTATCATGATTCATGAAGTACGACCAGAAAGCGCCATGTTGACTCCACGGCAGAACAGTTTGGAAACCCAGAATGCCCAATGTGATTTAGTGTCTTAATGGTTATCAAAATTACCCAAAAGGCGAGGTAGGCGGCGAAATGAACTCCAATATGAGCACGCGCAATGCTAGAATGACTCCTGCTTCCATGCTCTACTGTGTATGACATCCCCGATCCACTTTCACGCCCTTTGGCGGCATGTGGATCTCCGGGTAGCATCGTAAGGGTTGTCATTGGCCCAGAACCTCTAAAGCTTGGACCCCTCGAAACCTGAAGAAAGAGCTTTTGAGTCATTGCACTGGGATTGTATATATTGTGCTGTTCGGGTTGAAGTTGTGGTGTCCTGAACAATTTCGTCAATATTTCCCGTTTTGCCATCATGACAGCGCCAACTCAATTGACTCCATTTGGCAAGCCAATGCTAAAACACTGGCTGTTCGATCCAGAGTACAAGAACCTGAATCATGGATCCTTTGGTGCCCATCCGATTCCGGTGAAAGATGCACAGCGTGCCTTCATTGATCTCGCTGATGTACGACCTGATCCATATATCCGCCGTGACCACGCAAAGTACTTGGACGATGCACGCGGCGCTGTCGCAAAGATCCTCAACGCCAACCGGGATGAGTGCGTGTTCGTCAAAAATGCGACTACTGGCGTGGCCACGGTTCTGTACAACCTAGCCTTCCAACCCGGCGAGGCACTCATCTACTTCCAGCCCGTCTACGGTGCTGTTGAGAAGGGCGTTGTGTCCCTACAAGAGCATACCTCTCTGCAAACCCGAAAAGTATCTTTCCAGTTTCCCATTTCCGAGGATGAGCTGGAGCATCGTTTCCGCGAGGTTATTCGCCAGACTCGAGAAGAGGGACTCAAAGTTCGTGCCAGTGTCTTCGATATCATTGTCAGTAACCCCGGTGTGCGGTTCCCATTTGAGAGGATCACCGCCATTTGCCGCGAAGAGGGTATCCTGAGTGTCATCGATGGCGCGCATGGCGTTGGAAACATCCATCTCGATATGGAGAGGCTACAGCCTGACTTCTTGGTATCGAACTGTCACAAGTATGAGGATCTCCTAATATATTGCCCTTACCAACGCCCTCGGAGAAGTTCCCAAACACTGACATGAATCAATCAAGATGGTTGTACACACCCCGCAGCTGCGCAGTCCTCTACACCCCCAAACGCAACCAAAATCTCTTGCGCACCACCCTCCCAACTTCCTGGGGCTTCATCCCATCCCCGACCTCACCCGAAACCATGGCCTCAGTGCTGGCCGACCCGAACGCCCCAGTAACAAAGACCCCCTACGAAACGCTCTTCGAGTTCGTCGCAACAAGCGACGACTCCGCCTACCTCTGCGTCCCAGCTGCGCTGAAATTCCGCGCCGAGGTCTGCGGCGGCGAAGATGCCATCATCGCTTACATCCAACGCATTGCCAATGAAGGCGCAGACGCAGTCGCTGCTGCGCTCGGTACTGATGTCATGCAAGAACCTGATCTGAAACCTGGCCAAGAAAGCCGCATGCGTCAGTGTGCTATGACTACTGTTCGATTTCCTATTGCTGTTGATATTGCTGGGAAGGAGACTGGGTCTTTTGGGTATACCCCTGCTGTTGTGTTGTCTGAAGAGGAAGCTCCCAGGGCATCCAATTGGATTCAGTCTAAGCTGATGGATGATCATAATACGTTTGTGCCGGTTTTCTGTCATGGGTCGTGGTTGTGGACTCGGTTGAGTGGGCAGGTTTATCTGGAGAAGAGTGATTTCGAGGATCTTGGTGGTGTTTTGCGTGGCCTTTGTGAAAGGGTTGCGAAGAAGGAGTTCTTGAGTTAATCTATGCAGTAGACTTGGCTTTCCAAGGTTGAACTAGTTAAGTTGTATTCAATATCATCTATTCCATATGGACTGGGCTGGTCGGGAGATGGTTAGAATCCTTTAGAAGAAGTAACTTGTCTATGCTGTTGCCAGCTTGCTATAGCCGGACTACGACACAAGATACAAGATACAAAGCATATGTCCTTTACCCAGTGAAACAATGCAATTTGCAAGTTACTATTTAATATTCACGGATTCCGAGCCCGCACTAAGATCTAAGTGAGTTTGACTCTGACCCTCATAAAAGCAGCGACGGCTAAGATAGGAAAGCCCGACCCAACAGATCCTGAGAAGGGCAGGTACGTATGGTTTGGACCTGAGGGGCTCTTACTAGCTATTTCATCACATCCAGAAACATTGGAAGCTTATGGGGCCCTTAGGTTGGCCAATGGTATAAATAAGTTCCTTCCCTTAGGTAGGTACACTCCCCTCTCCCTCTCATACATACCAGTAACCAGATCAATACGCAAAACCCGTGTTTGGTCATGTGGTCTCTGCTTTCTCGCATATATATAGGCTGCTTCTCACCTTGATAGTTCTTCTCTCCTTCATCCATCCTCTTATATGCCTTTCACCACCCTTACATCGTCCTCGTCATCTCCTTCATCTCTCATACGCCCATCAACTCGACTCCCGGTTCATCGGTTCCAAGTTCCATCATTCCATGGTCCCCTCTGTGAGGCTGTGATGTCCATGGTGTGGCATACGGTTCAGAGGCGGCATGCCCCAGCAACATGGGTGGCTTCGTCTAATCTTACGACTCAACATCCGGGTTCTACTCGACAGTATGGCGTCCTCACCACATCCTGGTTCTGGGAGACATCAGACATGTACCAGAATTGACCGATCATGTTCCCGTCTTGACACCCACATCGCGAAGCATGGCCGACGTTGCTTCCAACGTTTCAACTCTTGGTTCACTCCCGATTCAAACCATCGCCAACGAACACGACGGATCATGTCTTGCCATTCGATGCTCTCTACGATAGAGTCCCGGTACAAGGAGAACGTGACGTGCTCATCACGCCGACAGACTTTGAGAAGATGACACGGAGACTGTGGACGTGGTGAAGAGCACGAGGACTACGCCACCCCGGGTGACCACCATCTAGGTTTGATCACCACCAGAACTACGCCTGGTGCAATGGACAGCAACCGCCCCACGATGGCTGGTTGACTCTCTCTTGAGAGGAAGCAGCCTCTTGTTTCCTCTCCATGAGGCGGGGTCATCTGGATGAGGCGGGGCTCCCTCCATGTCGCTGGGCTATCTGGATGAGGCGGGTTTCCCTCTGTGACGCTGGGTCATCTGGATGAGGCTGCTTCCTCTCGATCATCTCTGGTCTGCAGAGGGAGGTTGCAAAAAGCTTGGGATTGTACCGAGCTGCCTCAGAAGCCGCATCAGCCGCTCTTCTCCCTGTCTTGGTAGAGTTTTGAAGCTGAACCATGGACCCAAGGCTTCAAGAGGAGACGAGGATACCCTCCAGATGTGATGAGAATGCACATGTACGTATACAGCTCTGTTGCCTGCTACCAAATGCAATGACTGTGAGCTCAGACTGACTTACAATATCGGAAAACAGGTTCGAGGCTCTTAAGACTATTATCGCCGGAATGTCCCATGGGGTCAACCGACCACTACTGTGTAGCCCTATTGTACGGTCGTTTCATTTACTCGGAGAATGTTCGGACTCAGAGCACTCCAGCACTCTGCCCATTCACACATAAAACCACGCACTATTTCAAGAGACGATGCGACAATTTAATCTGGTATCCAACCAGGAGGTGGTGGCAACTTTCGGTTCGGGAAGGAAACTTGAGAGCCACGCTACGTACGATAGTTGGTGTCTATTGTGTTCCAATGCCCAGACTCAGAGGATAATCCCATGGATGAGAAGAAGGAGCAATCCGTGTCAGATCAGTGAACTCAAATATCTTTGTGTTCTATACTTAGCTACATCTGTCATCGTCTTCCCAAAGGATGAAGTGAGGCGTACATGAGAACTGTTGATCGGGAACAGATATGACTACAGTCTAGTCTCATTGGCTTGGAGTCGGTGGAATCCCATTCCAACTCCTACAACTCCACAGATGTCCAATAGCCTCAATAGGGATGGCAACAGATCCGGAACATTACCAAAATGGAAAACGATTGTCATGTTCTTATCTTTCCAATTAAATGACGCCTGGCCAAATCCAATGGCTCTGCCGATCTATTATATGGAACATACTATCATGTAGAGACCGTCATTAGGATCTATCGGCCAGGGTTATCGCTCATGTAGCTGACTTGTATCCCCGATCTGGACCGGTCTATACCAAAAATTGATAAAATGAATTCTCCCCAATGAGTCTGAGATTCATAACTCTATCTAGATAACTGGAATGGAGCACGCCATTTTCTTGGCTTGTGTGCAGTCGTCAATTGGTAAGATATGTTGCCTTTTTCGTCGTATATCACATCAGAAGCGGGGGGTGTACCGTGTGCATGCATACCTGCCCTTATATGCTTCCAAGTAGCTCCATCATCAACCCAAGATTTTCCAGAGTTAATCCCCAGGTTCAAACAAGGTATCTGAACGATGTTTGTTGCAAGAGAATTCGAAGCCGCCAATGCCAAGTATGTCGCCTCTTTCACAAAAGGCGACCTACAGCTACCTCCACAGCGGTGCGTTGACAAACCCCTTACTATAACAATATTACACAAGACAAAGCTGAGACTGTTTCTCTATCTCCAGAAAGGTAGCCGTGGTAGCTTGCATGGATGCACGTCTAGGTAAGCCATAGAGTATACTCACCAGTTGGCTGTCCATACCTGGAAGCTCATACTTCGCCATAGATCCCGCTCGCGCACTCGGCCTCGAAGAAGGCGATGCGCACGTAATCCGCAATGCTGGGGGCAGGGTCTCTGATGCATTGCGCAGCATCATTATTTCACAGCAGCTGCTCGGCACTCGTGAGATCGTTATCGTGCACCATGTGCGTACTCCCTTAATCTCCCTTAGTCTACCTTTCACGAGATTCCCTCTCTTGGCTTGGGCTGTATATACGAGAAAGGAAGAGAATGCATTGCTGATCGGTTCTAGACGGACTGTGGGATGTTGACGTTCACTGACGAAGTCATCCGCGACAAGATTCGTGGGGAACTACACCAGAATGCCGATCATATTGCGTTTTTGCCGTTTGGGGATCTTGTGCAGAGCGTTAAGGACGATATTCTGTGGCTGAGGAATAGTCCGCTTGTTTTGGATGTTCCGATTACGGGGTATGTGTATGAGGTTGAGAGTGGGAGGATTGTGAAAGTTGAGGATCAGTGAATGGTATCTTCCAGGGATCCACTCGAGGGTTATTAATGGGCTATGCATGGACATGATGATGATGAATATACTGAGACATTCTTCAAGAGCCAACATACACATGAATTGAACTAGCGTCATGAACGATTTGATATGTAGCGATGCCACCCTATCGGTGGCTTTGGAGAGTGAGTAGAGACAAAAACGCCCTCGGATGCTCCAACAACAAAAGAAAATTCGCAAAATGGCCGATTAATCAGATCCCACCACGGAGAATATACACAGCTGGTCATACACCAGACACGAAGACACCACTTTCGGCCGTCATCATGTTAATACCAGAAGGCCCAAGGGTATCTAGCGTCTTCTAGCTCCCTTCACCACCAGGCTACCGATCACACCAGCGACGACGGCCAAGCCACCGACAATAGCAACACCCACGAGGCCCTCCTTCGCGACCTTATCATCAATAAGTGACCCAAGGCTGGCAGCCTGCAGGTTTCCGGGCTCCTTCTCGAGAAGCAGGTCGTTGTACCGGCGGGCCTCGCCGTAATTGCCAAGCTTGAAGTTGCCAAGGGCTAGGTAGTAAAGACACTCGCGTCGTCGCTCTGGTGCTCCTCGGAAGATTTCTGATAGAAGGCGGACACCCTCTTGCTGCTCGGATCGGGCGTTGGATTTGATCAGACCCTGTAGTTTGCACACCCCCAGGTTAGCGCTGGCACCGCCGGAATTCGATTCAGACTGGGGAGACCCATACCCATGCGTAGTTGAACTTTGTCTGGATTCCGACGTAGTCGCCCTCTTTCTCGTATTGTGCTCTGAGGACCTGTAGTTCGGCGGGTTTCAAAGGGCTATGGCGGCAGTGATTAGTTTCTTTGTTCCAGTGATCTTCTTCTCTTTCTGCAAGATAATTTTAGAACGAACCTTTCCGCATCGGCGGCATCTGTAATAGTAAAGCGGGTCAGTAGGCAGCAGGTAGCAGTCGGATCAAGTCACCTACATGGAAGGTTGGACATGGCGAGATATGAATTTATAAATCTTCGCTAGAGTGGTTTTTATTGAAGAAATAATGTTGCGACAAGAGTCTGTTCGAGGGATGAGAGTGGTCACGATGAGTCGAAAACAAGAAGACCGAGGCGGACGGAGAAATCACAAGCGGGCAACGTCACTTTGCGGAGGAGCAACACATGTGGCGGTGCTGTGGCGGTTGCTGCCGCAACAAACCCCAAACAACCGACTTTCCACCTCTTTGCGACCAACAGACACAATGTTGCTCGACGAGGATCCCGGAACTGTACGTGTTGATTTTGGTATTATTTTGGCTTCTGGACACATGAGTTTACTGACAATCTCAGCTCATCCACCACACGATCGGCAACTTCAACATCCACCCCGATAAACAAGCCGTAACACGCATCAATGACTCGCTCGCTGCCCTTCAGCAGGCGCGCGATATGCGCATCCGCGAGGCCGAGGCTTCAATGCGCAAACTCTCACGTCATCTGAACTCCTTATCTACACAGCACGAGGAAGCCGTGGCGCTGCACGACTCGGGCAAACACGCGGCAGAGATTGTGGAATTAGACACTAAGAAGTTCCGCATCGCCAAGGCTGCATCGGAACTCGAGATTGAAAGCGAGCGTCTGGAAAGCGAACTGGAAATGCTCAAGGAGCGTCTGGCCGACTTGGAGTCGCAGGGTCTTGAGGGCGATGAAATGACGCGGCGTGAGCGTGAAGCTGATGATGCGACAATGTGCGTGTCCCTAACCCACCGGATTGGAATGATTTCCCCCTGCTAACGAATATATTCAGTCTGCGTCTTAAGATCTACCGTTCTCTTGGTGTTGATATCGAACCAGATGAGGCGGGCAATTTCAACCGTGCGGTCATTCGGAACAGCCGCAAGGGGGATGTTCATGTTGTCAACATCGACCCGAAATTCTCCCGTTTCTTCTACGCAAACTACTTTTGGTCGACGATGCAGGGATGATTATCATGAGGAACGGTTAAGCGGGAGTCTGTACTCTCTGGCGTTTTGGGAGGCTGAAGGCCTTGTCTTTCAGTTGTTGGTGTTTCTATACCCTTGGATTATTTTTGACATGAATCGTACAATTTTCTTAATATACATGAGCCGAGTGCCTTTTGAGTATAGCACCTGCTGAGGGCGTTCACTCGAACGCCGGCTGTTGTTGTAGACGCTCCTGTAGAGCCTGCAAGACCCTCGTCCGGTCTGCATCTGGTATTGCACTTTCAACCAGCTGAGCAGAAATATCGTGCGGTAGCACCCTTTCCGCAGCATCTAGCAGCTCCCCCTTCTGAGGTTCCGTCAGGTCAAGACCCCATGAAGCGACCCATTTCTCTGCAAACTCCGTGAGACTCTGCTCTACCTGATCCATGTCAGGAATATCAGACCCATCCCAAGTCAACACAACCTCCTTCGAAACCGATCCAGACTCAGCATCCTCAGTGGAGGTAGTATATCGCGTTTCCACACGTAGAGGCCCAAGTCCAAGCTCTTCCGCACGAGCATTCCAAAGTGCCTGCTTCAAAGTCCCATCGCGCTCAATCAACATCCAGAACAACGGATACGCGCTGCGAGCCAATGCATCACGAACACCCTTAGTCGCCTCGCGCGGACTCACCAGAACACCAACTGTCTGGTCCGTACGCCATCCAACAGGTGCCTGATTGAAGGTTCCCTCTAGCTCGCGGACAATATTAGGGCCCAGCTTAGCCTTGAGAGACTTGCATTGTACCAGCACGCGGAGTGCGCGCTCCCGCTCGCGCTCGGGGAGGTGCCATGTGCCGACGAGGTCGATGCCGGCGTCGTCGCGTCCGCCGATGCGGTTAAGGTTGAGCGCGTAGCGACGTAGGGTCTGTAGGACTGTATACTCGTAATGTGTTCCAACGTGTACTGTGCTTGTCACTGGAAGGGATTCATGCTCCGCGTAGGAGAGAAACGTAGTTAGGTCATTGTGTTGTTGGGAGGGTGGTGATGGGGGCGAGGGGAGTTTGAAGAGTCGGCGGGTGAAGGGTGTCAGCTCATTATAGACGCGAGAGCTGGAAAAGTAGCGATGGAAATGTGCTCTAGATTTAAAGGAATATCTGGCAGCAAGGCCATGGTGTAGTCTCAATAGGCACATTGGGTAATGTGAAAGATGAAAAGCATATCTCACCGCATTCGAGCTTCACTCCCGCAATCCACTCCACTTCCTTCACTCGATCGGACCTTCTACTTTCCCCGACTCTTGTCCACTCCCTGCGCTCTCCGCTATATCCTCGAGTCACTACGATGGCCGACATTCTCACACAGCTCCAGACCTGTCTGGATCAGGTAAGTTCCCCCCCCCCCCACATACAACACCTACCGTCGAAAACCCTACTCACCATCCGGCCAAAACAGCTCGCAACCCAATTCTACGCAACACTAGGCTATCTCACAACATACCACGACAATGCCCCAACAATACCCCCAAACGTCCCCAACGCAGCACCAGCCCTAGCAAAAATGCCCAAGAACACCACCGCACCACCCGTCCCAGCCGCCGTCGCAAACCGAGTCGGCGGCGCAGCCGCCGCAGCAGGAAACGCATCACCCCCGCACGCACCGCCCCAACAACCCGGAGCTGCACCGGTAGCAGCAGCAGCAGAGGGTGGGGATCCGAATCTTCCTCCGGCGCCGGACTCGCCGCGCACATTTGCTAGTCGGCAGCGTGAGCTTGCGCGGGATCTCATTATCAAGGAACAGCAGATCGAGTATCTTATCTCTGTGCTTCCAGGGGTTAGGGCTTCGGAGGCTGAGCAGGAAGCGAGGATTCGGGAGTTGGAGAAGGAGCTTAGGGATGTGGAGATGAGGCGCGCTGCGAAGGTTAGGGAGTTGAAGAAGTTGAGGGGGAGGTTGGAGGGTGTTCTTGGTGCTGTGGCGGTGGGGATTCATGGGGATCATTATGCGAAACAGTGATTCTGTGTGGACCTGGGAAATAATGATATTTGCAATTTGGGAGTCATATGGGGTAGTCTTGGTGAGAGCGTTGGGTTTCCGATTCTGGATCATTTTGGTCCACTGGCGTTATGGGATGGTGCTTTTTCTTTTTTATACCAATTGCATAGGATGAGCACTTATGAATACAGCACGATGACTCTTTTTCATTCTTATAGGCTTGCTTAAGCTGCTCTGGAACTCGAGGCTTTCTCGGCCTCCGGCAGGAAAGGGAGGTTCCGCTGATTACCCTGGACTCAACAGGTGTACCAGAGACGCATATTTCCATAAACATGAGTATGTATGACATTAATGCATGCTTCATTGTGTCTCCAAGAAATATTAGGTACATAGTGCACAAGTCAATGTGTTTGAACAACGTGAATAGTCCAAAGAGAAAATAAATGCATGTCTATGGTTTGAGCAAGCAAACCCACCTCAGGGGTTGTCGGACTGTGTTACAGAAGAGGCAAAGAAGAAAAGATGAAAGAGAATTGGAACACCCAGAAGATTGATAAACCCTTGAAACGAACGCCTTCCCATTCTCCGGGGTATCATGAAACAAACCCAGCCAGCCTCTGCCGTCGGGGAACCGAAGACTCCAACGGAGGCTGGAAATAGATAGAAAAAAGTCATCATATGCGCAAAGGCAATTCGCAAGAAAGGTCAACGCCTTTATGCGAAGAGAGTGCGCAATTCACGCATGCGAGCCTCCTGCTTGGCCTTATCTGGCTTTCCACGATTCAAGCTCGTGTCTGCCATCTCTTGCTTCTTCTTAGCGAGTTCCAGGATCTTCTCCTCAATGCTATTCTTCATGATGAATTGGAAGATCTGCACGTCGCGGGTCTGACCAAGACGATGAACACGGTCAACAGCCTGGGCCACGGCAGCTGGATTGTATTGGGGCTCCATGATGAACACTCGCGAAGCAGAGGTCAGGTTCAGACCCACACCGCCGGCTCCAATGGTTGCCAGAAGAACTTTGATATTATCGTTCTTGGCGAATTCATCAAGCGCCCTGCTGCGTGCGGCGAGTGTCATGGTACCATCAAGCCGGGTGAACCCATCGAGCCCATTGTCCTTCAAGGCGATCTCAATAAGATCCAGGTGCGAGGTCCATGCAGAGAACACAACGCTTTTGATGGGCGACTCGCCTTCCAGCTTCTCGCTAGCCTCAACACTTTCCTTGAGATGGTGGATCAGTGCTTTGGTTTTGGTATGCGGTCCTTCGTAATCGCCGAATTTCTTGCCTTTCATGCGGGTCTGTCGATCATTTTCTTTCTGAGTCTCGTATTCCTCAAATCCAGCAGGACTGATGGTTGAGAATCTAAAGGGGACCTGGGCCTCGCACCGGGGGCAGCTTATGACGGTCTCGGGACTTGCACTGTCAGGTTTGCAGTGAGAGAAGCATTCGGGGCAGAAGACGTCATAACATGGCAGGAAGATGGCCATCGGAGAATCACGCGCGACGTTGCCAGCCGCATTCAGAGGTTCATCAAGTTCTCTGCCACAATTGCCACAGCGGGGAACTGAGTTCTGCTGCATGAGGCTGAACATTTCATACGCCTTTTTGTCTATAACAGCAGGCGTGTCATCGGGTTCGCCTTCCTCCAGGTCAATCGCGTCGTGGACAGACAATCCTTTGATTCTCTCCCGGTCCGCAAGGTCGAGGAGCTCTTTTCCATGTGCACTGACTTGGCGAAGGATCATCATGGCCTTCAAAACATGGTGATACATCCGGCCACTCATCTTTTGCCTATGCTCCCCAGCAATGACATTCATCATGACATTCGACTCGGCGCGGAAGAAGTCATGTACTTGCTTTTCCTTTTCACTGAAGTCAAGTACGATGATCCTGTCTTCTCTAGGCGGCAAGTTGATTTTGTCCTTGACTCTGCGCAACGTGAATGAATCCACCAGAACTCGCAGCTGGGTGAGGCCAGCGGGGTCCGCGGTTTTGACCGAGCCAGTTACACGTGAGAAATGGTTTCGTTGGTCGTAAGGAGCGATGCGCAGGAATCTAGTCACAGACAGAAGGTCTTCCATGCGATTCTGGATCGGAGTTCCAGTAACCGACCACCGACGTTCAGCGTGAAGACTGAGGATTGCCCTGGTCTGTGCCGCATTCTGCTCTCGGATGACGTGAGCTTCATCAAGAACAATCCGGAACATGTTCATTTTCGTCAAAGGGCTGATTTTCCCACTCTTGGCCCCACGCCCCGCGATTTCGCTGAGAACGGTGCTGTAGGTGGTAATGAGGATATCAAATTCGGAAAGTTGCTTGAAATCAGATGTGCGATTTGGGCCATGGAAGATGTAATAGGTAACCGAGCCTGGCTTGAGATGATCTGTTATCTGTGAAACCCAGTTGCTCACTGCACTCAATGGAACGACTAGGAGCGTTGTCCGCGTGTTGCGAATTCCTGGGACATGACGGGCAAGGGTAGCATCAGGAGCCATCTGTGACCATTGATCAGCCAATGGAAGTGAGGCCGTGATCAACGAAAGGATGCTCAAAGTCTTGCCAAGGCCCATCATGTCGGCTAACAGGCCACCCAGGGCCTCCTCAGGTTTCTCGTCCAAAGTCATTCCACTGATGATCTCACGGTACTTTATCCTCCCGTTGGCTGCAGGAACCATTCGCCACAAGGAATTGTTGTCCGCTTCCTTCCGGCCAAATTTGCGCGGCTTCTCCTTCTCTGTCATAAACCAAAGGGCTTGTTTCTGATGAGGGAGCAGAGGCGTAGTGATATGATGAGACGGCTCCATCATTGGGATGTCAGCGGTGGTGAGCTGGTCAAACATCTTCTTGACTGCATCGTTGGCCTCTTCGGCAGTTCGAACTTCGTAACGATAGTGCGAATCTGCGCGCGCGGGTGTGGCGGCTGCGGCAAGCTGGCGTCGAACCTCTGCGTGTGGATTGAAAACTGCCACGCCTTTGTCCACAATGTTTGGATTTCCTAGCCAGATATTGCGTTGAGAGAGGAATCTGCCAATGACCTCTGCGTGCTTCCGTAGGCCGTAAAGGTTGAGGCTCACACGCCATACCGCGGACGTGGGACCCCAGATTTCTTCATTTGGTGATGCTCTCCGGGTCTCCAATAGGCCAGTCAAATCCATGGGGGTTGCTGGTGAGTCTAGGATTGGACATAGCCCTTGTGCCGTTCTAGAGTCAACTGTGCCAAAGACTTGGCCGTGGGGGTCTCTAACGTCAATGATAAATTTGCCTTTCGTAGGCTCACGGCGCACGTCTATTTTGATGGATGGCCAAACGCATGTGAAGTCGTTGGAGATGCAGGCCCCCGGTCTGGGGACTAAATGCGCAGTAATCATTGCGCCTTCAACCCTGCCGAAGCAAACACGCTGTTCGCGGAGATCTGCTGAGCCGGTGCATTGGATTTCGTCATCTTCCTTGGGTGTGTTCGCAAGGTCTGGGAAAGCATTAGAAAGTCTCGAGCGATATCATTGGAAACGGGAGAAACAAGACGGCTCGTACCTGCTGTTAGATCGACTACGGCGGGTGCAGTGGGAATTGGGGCTGTTTTCCCCTCGTCTTCTTTCATCCACTTCCCCAATCCGCTATTATCAGAAATCGAGACCGGTGCTTTTGTCATGTTCGGCTGCTCTTCCAAATCATGCCCTGTTTTCATTTTCTTTGCCGGTTGATGCTTCCGCTTTTCGACGCCATAGACATCTTCGATCAGATTGGGGCGGCGGATGGCGCCTTCGTCGTCGCTGATTTCGCGATGGCTTCGTTTGGTATCGCTTTCACTACCTTCATCATGCGTGGTGGCAAACTGTACCGTCAAGTCGGGTTCTGACTTCTCAGCCGAAGTCGAGATGCCTGAGGGATCTGAGAACATTGGAACGGTTGGTTGATGAAGGCGTATGGCAGTTGCAGTGCCTGGGGGTGCCATGGGAGAAGCAGGAGACGATCCATTGGCTCGCTGTTTTCCTGTGCCTTCCGGAAGTGAGCCTGGGAATTCGGAAAGATCGAGCCGCATGGGGTATTCGTGGACGGGGTCCATGGGAGAGATATCATTCGCTGGGGGAAAGAAAGTGGAAGAATTACCATTTCTCTGGGCTTGCCTTTTGGATCCCTTGGGATCCAGAAGCATCGCAGCGTGGGAGGCCATGATGTCCCACCTGCCGGCGAGATGTCCGGGATCAGCTTTGCGCGAATTTACCGTGAAGCAGCGATGTTGTGAAAGCAAAGTGATTGGGGTTGGTTGATGAGGAGCGAGAGCTTTTGATTTGGTTCACTCGTCGCGAAATGGAACACAATTTGGGGATAAAAATACTGAGTTCTGAGCTTTATATCGGATGTCCGAAGTATTCGCCGTGGGGTCAGATAGTTGTAGGAAGGAACGAGAGGTAATCGCAAGTCACGGTTGATCTTTCCCCTGAGTCGTCTAAGGGCTTGCTCGCGATTTGAATCAAACAAGATCAAGAATTTAGAGCCTCAGCGTCACGCGGACACAAACAAATTATCGTCGACGGAAAGTGCATAGACAAATGTTCTGGCCAACGAAAAGTGCGTCTTCCAGACGCGAGAATCGCGAAACCTCCGGCGTCATTGAAAATGACAAACTTGCATGACACGCACGGCGCGGGAAAGGCTTCTCTATCTTTGGCTCACATATGCCAGACTGGTATCCCGTCTATTTCCTGGTCGCAATCCAGGTGGCGCCTTCTGGTTTGCCTAGTCAAGGGAAACGTGATCAGTTTCAGGTCATGCGCAGTGGTTGTATCGGGCAAGGGCGAGGTTTTCGAAGTCGATCGTTTATTCCTCGACGCGTGTTTGTGCGCGACTTTCGTGCTCGAGTCGTGAGTCTGTCCGTTCAACAGCCGCGCTGTTGGTAACTTGGAATGACGAGGTGATTTCCAGGCTGGAGTCGGTGCCTCGGAGAAACCCGCTGATAAGGATAAAGCCTTATCGGTCTGATAACCCAACCTCAGTAACTAATGAGAGGGATTCGGTGGACTGATGGCCCCGTGGGACAGGAAGCAGTATAATTGTTAAGTAGAACAAGCGACGGGACAGGACCTAGTTATAAGATAGTTAGGAGGAGAGGATCCTTACAAATAGAGTGGCCAGTCTCGTGACTCGAATCCATATATATCCCCGCCGTCGATCCCGAATCCAGGAATGTATATATTGTGGCGCTCCCGTGAGCCTCTGGCCCTTCGTAGGTACCTACCCAAGTACCGGGCTACAGCCTGGGCTGTCGGGCTGAGGTGCCCACTCATTTTTTCCCCATAGATAGGTTTGTCAGGTGAGGCCAGTAGGTACCTAGGCTATTTCGGCTAATTACCATCATACAGATGCTAGATCGCCGGTTCTATGGACTACGTATAACCGCATTGGATTGTTTGCGATGGCCAAGGCCGTGTTTCACTCCAAATACAATGCCATGCATATGGTCGATCAAGCGAACGGCAGTGGAGTTCTTTACGGCCTATGGGATAACAGGTAAGTAGGCTGAGTGCCGGGTGTACATCCAAGGACCTAAAGACTGATTGATCGCTCTAGGCACATGACATGGCGTAGATCTAGCTTGAATCAAAATCTCGCGCGTGAGCGGCGTGACACTTCGAAGTCACATGCCCCTACTGTAACCTACACATTCATTTCACTTGGAACAGACGATGAAGGTATCATAGTATTAAGTCTCGTCAATATGCTACATGAGGCAGATCGCTCAATCAATGCGCCACAGCCCAAGGCAACCCCAACAGCCAGAGAAGGTCTATATACAACTCGGAAAATCCCCCAAATCATGAGCATGTCCAGAATAGGACTCGTGTGAAATATCACAGTAAAAGTAGCACAGCCGAAATCTCGAATGAGTACCGAGAACCAATACCCAGCGGATAAGACAACAAGGCAGAATATGGCCTCAAATTAAACGAGGGAAAAAAGAGTAAATAATGCAAGAATGTGAAGTGGAAAAAAGGGTGGTACAAGAGCATGATTGCAGCTTAGCACCAGGTGAAAACGGGATTTTTGCTCTTGACAGCTTCCAGGCGCTCAACAATCACCTTGCGCTGGTTGCCTTCCATGCCCTCCGCAACTGCGTAGCCAAGATCTCCCTCAATATCATCGCTGCCAAAAGTGTTGACGCGAGGAAGACGCGAAGACATCGAACCGCCGTTTTTGCGATGCTTGTGCTGATGGGAAGGAAGGGAAGCCCACTCTCCGGCACTATCTGCATTCCGGCGATCAAGGTCGTTTAGGGTTGCAGCGCTAACAATAGAACCATCAGCACCTTCGCTGTCAGCATCAGCTCGACCACGGGTGAGTTCGAACCGGTTCGGATTAGGCAAATCGCCTGGCGTATTCAATCCCAATAAGTCATGCTCAGGCATCGGCTCGGAAGATGTACCGATATCCATCTCTTCTTCATGAGGGTCGTAATTCATAGATTGGTTTCTTTGTCTATCCATGGAAGGTGGGCGCATCGGAATAGCGACGGGGACATCAACCAAATCATCCCACACACAAACTCGCGTCCTTCGAGTCAGTTCAAGTGGACCGTGATCCGCATGTTTCAATGTTTCCACCACGTTCCAGGCCTGACCTTTCATGACAGCGATTTGTCGAGCAAACATGCTCTCCTTGAAGTCATCATCTTGGGAAAAAACGCCACGCAGCGCCATTTGTGTCCCACTCCACCAGGCAGTGGATGTAAGCAAAGGAAGGAAATGGTCGCGGGTTTTCTGCGAAAATGGTTGACCGATCAGGGAGACCGGTAGGAAAAGCCAACCGAAAGGGAAGCTACGCCACTACAAAGTGTTAGTACAGAAACGTCGCAATTTTGGAAAGCCAGCAAACTTACGGCGTCCGGGTGTTTCCATGGCCAAGACAAACTGTTGTCGATAGCACCGAGCTGAACCGATGCTGACTGCTCCGAAGAGGCGAGTGGTGTTCCAGTACGGCTGACAGCCATCATCGTCTCATGCCGCCTATATGGATGTGAGGCGGGCTTGGGTGTTCCATTCGAGTTCACGGAAACAGGCCGAGGTGGAGGCATAAGCTCATCCTCATCATGTTTCGGCTGTGGGTCGGTGTTCTTGGGGGGCTCTGCCACGATAGATACTTGCTCTGTTCCCCAGTCAATCTTGACCATCCAGTTGTCAAGACCTCGGTCGGTATTTCGCATTATATAATCCAGAATCACAAGCTTCTCCAACTCCTCGCGGAAAGATTGCTTGAGATTTTCCGTCCAGTAGAACCGGCGCTCAGCGCCTTCGTCCTGCGAACGGGATGGTGAGGGCACATAGCCAGGGTCTTCGTCATCCTCATCGTCCGAGTGCACCCCGGAAGGCCGGCAGGCCTCATTCCACGGGCGTTTCTTGCGTTTCGGAGCATCCTCAGCGCGGAATCCCGTATTCGCCTGGTCAGGCCAGGGGTGCTCTCGGAGGAAGATGTTGGCATCCTTGAAACCCTTCAGGAAGACTTGAAAACTGCCAGCCTTCGGAGGAAGAACTTTCTTCCCTTTCCGAGCCTTCCTGCGGTCCCAAAAGTCATAAAAGAAGGATTTCGAAGATAGTCGCACAATGCCAGTATAGGGAACGAGATTCGTGCGCAGGCGGGCATCGAGAACGTATGCGGCGGCTTCCGAGACGTAGGAAAGGTTGGGAATGAGGCAAGCGCGACCAAAGAAACAAGGAAACAAGTTGCGGTGAATCCATTTCGTCCATTTCGGGTTGCGTGAGGCGTATGGCTCTTCGTCCTTCGGCTTGAAAACACCGACCACTCTGCCCTCCGCGTTTCGAGCAAAGTAGCTGCCCGAGCTTCCTTGTGAGATCATCCGAGGATGTATGCCCATTTCAATTGCAACACGCACGCTTTCTATGATTTCCTCGTACTCGGCGCGGGCCTGCCGTTGCTGGCCTTCAAATTCATCGGACTCAAGAGCTTCAGCGGTCACCGGAGTAATTCCCGGGGGTGCCTGGAAGACAGAATGGTAAATCTCCAACTTTTCTTCCTCATAGCTCTTGCCCTTGACGCGGTTGATCTTGAATTTGGAGGCAATCTCGTCCGCCCATTTTTCAAGACGTGCATTGATGGCCTTGATATCCACCCCTGAATTCCGACGCCCTCGAGGGTGTTGGAAGCCACTGTGCCTGCGCCGATGGCCGGATGGTGTGTGGAGACCGGACGCCTGCATCTGGGCTCGGGAGGAGATGGGTGCGTATCGAGGAGCTGAGGTAGACACGGTCGAGATGGCGATATCGTCGTCTTCTGAGTCATCGTGAAGGTATCCTTGCTCCTCTTCGGCCTGAGCAAGGCGGGCGTATCCCGAAGTAGCAGGGCGATTTTTGGGCATTGTGAAAGATGCTGGTTGGATCTATGGAAGACGAGATTGGGCAAAGCAGCCAGTAGCAGGAAAAAGAGAGAGTAGGAACTGCAAAAAGACAAAAGGAAAACCAGAGGATGTTAATCCATCCCAGTAAGAAGGGAATAGCAGGAAAAGACCGCTGGTGGATAGAATGGAGAGTTGACAGAGTCAAGGCAGTTGAAATAAGTGTCACCTATGTCCAAACGCCCAAGGGGGCGTACCGGGGTATGATTACGGTTAATTTACAAAGGCGGTAGCGCGGTGAAGGGCATAATGCGGTAAGATTCTCCGTTGTTGGCGGGTCTGGCCTCGTAATGCTGATACGCACCGCCACAGTCCGGCTCCACCCCTAAATCCAAAGGGGTCTTAATGCATCGAGTTTCATGTGCACAACTGTAATGAGACCCTCATTATGGCCAGCAGCTCGATCAATTCCCATTTACCCACTGCGTAGGTAGGATTTCTTGGTTGACAAGCAAGATAATCGGGCGATGAGACCTTCAGTTGGTTATGTGGTCAGCATGGGTACAAATTCAATGTACACAGTACAGCAGCCACGCTGGCCATTATCCGCTCCGGTGCAGGAAATTTGATCTGCACAACACCGGCCTAGGAGTCGGATCGTCCATAGGCAAATCAGATATCGCAGACTCGACCGATGGTCACGCGGATTGGATGTAGATAGAGAGCCAGAGATATAGTGAACAGTAGAGCAAAGGAGACTAATTGAATACATTCCTGGCTTTTTAAGTCAAATATCTACCGCTGACGCCCTGGCATGCCTAATTAAATGATGGCTGATACTGGGGCAATCGTTATCCCGATTGTTATTATCGCGCGTCTTATCGTCCCTCTCTCAATTCTGCATCTTCTTTCCACCCCTACCCTCATCTCTCCGCGGTCATTATGTCTCTAATTTGAAATTTACTTCTTTGTATTTGTATTGACTTCCTCGGAATCGAAGATCCCTGGGAACTCTAATTATCTCGTGCCTCTCTGATTCCAAGCACCATTACTCGGAACTTCACCTCGAATCGAGTGCAGTGAGCAATTGTCTTGAGATAGATCAATTACCTCCCTCATCCCGAGTCGATCATCATCAGTGCTACACGTCGCGCGATTCGCTTGATACCTATTTCTCATCCTACAATTCGATCTCCGATCGGATTTCAGTTCGGCACCTGACCCTCCCCTCCACGGTGGCTTCCACCCTCTATCGGGCGTCGCCCATCGACCCGACTCTCAACTCTGCTTCGGCGCAGGACCGCGAGCTCACATACGGCATACCGTTCGACAATCCTACCGCGCGTCAGACGTCTCACGAATCCATACAATTCTCCGCGACGCTACCGGACATCAAAAGTGTGACCAAATTCGGCTCAGGCGAGAACGACGGATACCCAACCTCTTCTGTCAGCACATCGCTTCCTGGATTGGCAGCTCTGGCCTCGGTCGCATCAGCACCAACTTCTAATCTTCGGTTCGTTGAGACCCCGTATCCTACCTGGTGGAAATCATTTGCTGGTGTAAATCGATCTGGGCACCTTGGGAGTCATCTTACATACTTCATTCGTTGCCGTTCAAGAATCCCAAGACTGGAGAGCGATAATCTCCAGCACTCCCCTCTCATAAGATATTTCAACCGGCTAATTCAAATATTTGATCTCCAGTTCATCTAGTGATGCAAGTATGAGCCTAGCAAATATGACATACGCTACATCGTCACCGGCAGCTACGACCGGAGGACAAGGGAGTGGACCTGTAAGTGTGGATTGTTTCTTTCTTCTTATGTTTGCGCTGTATCAAGAAACTCGTTATCGGAGTCATGGGAAATCTTATCTCTGGAGAGTTATCGAAAGTCTTGGCACCACTCGATCCGTGCACCCGCTTTTTCCCTTTCCTTATCGACTCAAATCTCTCACAATCTTATCATCCTCATCCTTTCTCTAACTTCTACATCTCATAATGGCGACCACATTGACTGACGACAAGCGAACTCAATTACAGCCGGTTTGCCAGAATTGCGGCACCTCTACTACCCCTCTATGGCGCAGGGACGAACTCGGCTCAGTTCTCTGCAACGCCTGTGGACTGTTCCTCAAATTGCACGGCCGACCTCGTCCGATAAGCTTGAAAACTGATGTGATCAAGAGTCGCAATCGCGTGAAAACCGGCCAGGGCCCCAAGCGCAAGGTATGTTTGCGCGCAGAAAATTTTTCCTTCCAGTCCCTGCCTTCAAATTCCATCTCTCCTACCCAAGATCATAGATAAGAGCACCTGCTGACCAAGATTGTGTTTACCTAGTCTGGTGGCCCCGTCGATGCCAATGGCATTCCAGCGCGCTCGGAGGCCGGGACCCCTCCTCTCGGCTCGCATGGATATCGTCGACCGTCGCGCAAAATGTCCTCGGGTCATTCGGATCGCTCCAACTCCCCCGTTTCCCGGACCGAGACACCTGGCTTTGGCTCGATGCACGGCCACAACTCGAACATTGCGCCGCAGCATATGTTTGACAGCGTCACCCTCGGCGACGGCATGAACTCCTCCGGCCTCACCTCCCGCCAGATGCGCCAACCTTCCCCCTCGGCAGTCGACCGCCAACTTGACTCCCCACACACATTCGAAAGCCTCTTGGCCCTGAACACATCTCTGAAGACACGTGTCAGTGAGCTCGAGTTCGTGAACGAGCTCTTCCGTGGTCGCGTCACCGAACTCGAGCAGAGTGACGCCAGCGCGCGTCGCTCTGAAATGATCGTACGAGATTCCGAGGTCCGTTTGCGACGCTCTCTCGAGGATGCTCAGCGACGGGAGGAGGATCTCAAGCGTCGTATCAGCGAACTCGAGCGTCAGTTGGGTTCCAGTGCTGGTGATGCCGAGTCTGGCGAGCCGCTCGCAAAGAAGATCCGACTATCGGATGTTGTGGAAACTGGTGAGGAAGTGCAGGCTAAATCGCCCAAGAGCGTTTAGATTCTGCCCTACCTTGCTGGCAGTTCTCGGCCGCTTCTCACCTGTGACCTGCCTATCCCATCATCGGTCGTGCAAGCTTATTGGCTTGATTACTCTTCCTGGCCTTGTCCCATCTCTGATATTCTTGATACCCTTCATGGCTCCTTCGTCACTGGCTCGAGCTTTTCAAAAAAAATGGCTACTACCGAACGGTTTCAATATTCAATTCTTTTCCTTAGTTATGTCTGGATGTTTCGCGAAACGTCTTCGTTTAATCTGTTTTCCTTGCCGTGTGCTGTTCGGACTCTTCCACTATGCTTTAATACAAATATTTGTTTCGGTCCTTCTATTCTTCCAGATCACAAGTGTTCGGAAGATCCGTCGGTGATGCAACTGCGAAGTGGGTGATTCCTTTCTTTCGATGCGCCTGTGGGTGCTTGCGATGATCTTGTTTGCATTTTTGCTGCCTTGATAGAGAAAGGCAGCGTCTTATTGATGATTTAGGCCCCGTTTGATGGAGCTGCAGGTTTTATGGTGTCATTTCGATTGAGTTATTCAATCGTTCTGACCTTTTTTGTTGCCAGTATCTATATCAACGTGTATGTTAGGCGAGAGCAATGATGATCACATCTTAAATCTTGATCTAGAAAGTAGGACTCCCTGAGGTGGGCACAGGGTGGTTAAAATAATTATGATATGCCTACGTAGGTACGCAGTATGAAAGGGATGTTTACAAGGTTGACTGAAGCCTACTATGATAGAAGACATACGAATCACACAGCAGTCTTGTAATACAACAATGAAATTGACCAAGTCAAGGCCGGCAGGAAAGTCGGGAGGATTAAGAAAAGAAAGATGGTCACACGAAAAGTATCAAGTCTATAAACAAAATCAAGTGCGAGCACCATCCAAATAAAAGCCATCATGAATGCACTCTACACAGTCGTAAGAAACCACCGAAATCTCCAGGTAAATGATCACGTATGACAGTAATTCATCTCCCCATGGTTGTCATGCAGGTGACACTGCCCCATATTATGCATGTCTATGAGTGCAACAATCATATAACCTCATGCAAGCCGATGGACCAATTTTGTGTTCATAGATCTCTCGATACTCCTTTCTCGGAGAATGCTCCACAGACAGACTCCAATACCGAACAAACCCGAAATGAAAGTCATGAAATAGGCCGAGCGGTAGCAGCCCAGACCATCGGGACACTCGCGGTCACCATCGTGGCTAATAACAGAGTGTGCGTCATAGATGTTACCATAAAGCAGGTTGAAAACATTACCACTGAATACCGGGGCCAGAGTCATGACACCCCAGTTCTGGGACAGGCCGCCGATACCAAAGGTGTGCGCGGTTAGGGAAGGGAAGACACCAAAGAGGAAGCCATATGCGATTCCCGTGAAACCGGAGACGACAACAAGGCTGTTTGGGTTCGAGATGGCAGTGCCGGCCAGCTGAGTCAGAGTGAAGACTACCGCTGACAAGAACAGACACCAGACGCGGGACATTCCGAGCTTCTTAACCAGCAGATCAGAGCCAATGCCGCTGAGCAGACGACCAAGGAAATTGCCGAAGGAAAGAATGGAGACGTGCATGACCTGACGGTGTTGAATAAATGCGTCTGTCGCACTGTCGTCGTAGTATAGCCACAGGGCTTTGACGCTGTTGCCGATGTTGTTGATGGTCATCAAGCCGATACCGGACAGCAGTGCCATGGTTAGGAAGAGCTGCCAGAACTCGACTTTCCGAAGCATGGCCACACCTCTGATGTCGACTTGGTGAGCTTCGACGGCCACTTCTTCCAGGAAGTCGTCGTCGAGTGTATCGAAAGAGGGACGTGGGGGTTCATTTTTGGATACTAAGGCGGCCCTCTCGTCGTCATTTGCAAACGCTCTGCTCTGTGGGTTTGACGCAACCGAGTGCGATCGTGCATGCGGGAGGTGTCCATACTCGAAAGCGCTTGAGCCGGGTAGATCTGATTCCTCTGGGACGGGTCGAAGGTCGTTGGGATCGTGGGTTATAGACTCGTCTGCGGTGTGCGAAACGGACGAGTACGGCGCGCTGGCGAGAATTCGAAGGAATGGAATTGAGGAGAAGCATAGAATTGAAGTCCCGAGGGCCAGAAGCAAGAGGAATCGGCCGGTATCATCCTTGAAAATGAGCGTTGACACATTGGACCAGAATAGCGCGCTCAATCCGAAGGCGGCCATCGGGAAAGCAGTTGCCGTACCGCGGTGATCGGGATAGTTGGATGCCGCTGTAGTCATTGGGTTAAACCTATCCAGCAGAGTGTTTCGTGTAACACATAACATACCTGTTTTGATGGCACCGCCAAAAGCAGAGCAACCACCAACGCCAGTCAGAAAGGCGAAGATGCACAAGAAGACAACCGGCACTGATCCTCGGCCATTGTCATATGCTGCGAACATTAGAGTTGCTCAAACTATAGAATTCAATATCAAGACGTACCCATATAGATGGGGAAGTACCCCAAGGCCAGACAGACCGAGCCGATCAGTGCGACAAGTCGTGGACCACGGGCATCAGTCAATAACCCCATTGGGATGCCCATGGCATACATCCCCAAGTTCCCCGCAACACCCTAGAGCTTGTTAGAACGCAGATCCTCCCTGTGTGACCGGGACAACTTACAATAAGGTTGCTCTCGGTCGAAGAGAGCTTCATACGCTGTGCGAATTGCGGCGCCCATGCAGAGTACGCATACTGTCAAGGAGTTAACTTTGATTCTCATGCATCAGGATATACGGCCGGAGATAACACGCACATTCGTTCCGCATGACAGGGCGACCAGCGTCCCCGCAATGACGGAAATGACCCGTGCTGTTCGATGTAGAGAGCCGGACATTTTTTCAGTCGCCGCTTCGAGAGTTCCAAGGTTGTATGAATGATATATTGTGCGCGCGATCTGACCAAGTGGTTTACCGGCGGATGTGGATTAGGCCGTAGACAAATGTGAGGCCGATCCAGGGAGAAACATCGGACCCAAAACGAGTGACGAAGACTGTGAAATGAGCGAATGGTGTTACTTACGAGGAACAGAGGGAAGATGGCCGACTGGGGAAGATTCAGGAGCGCCCAGTACACTTAGGTAAGGACGGACTGGAGGTGATCACCCCCGGAGGCCGCGTGGTCGGAAGAACTGTTTGAGTAAACGCCAAGAAAGTCTGCTCCACGTCAACTGATGTAGAGGAATTGTTGTTTACGTAGATATGAAGAACATTGGAAGCAGAAGGAGACTGGAACAAAGTAGGGCTGCAGGGCATTTGACCATCTCAGTCCTAATGTTACATCCAATGATAGTGTTATGATAACCACGCATTATCGCATAACTATCCAGAGGATTGAACTCGGGATTCCTCCGGAAATGCACGAATCGAAACTCGTCATTACTACTCTGTCCTTCTCCACACGATAAGGCCATATCTCCACAGTAAACGTCACTTCCTCCTGCTAGGCCAGAGGTGGTGCCTGATCCAGGGCTATTCAGCCTATTCTGTGCTCGCCCGCAAATGTCACGAGTTACGATTCTTATTGACTTCACTAGACTCCAATGATTTACGCTTCCTAAGGGTCTTTTCAATATTGTTCCGGCATATTTTCTATCTAGCCCGCCGAAGATGAAGGGGTCACAACTTACGCAGCATATAGAACACCCGATGAACAACATACGTAACAAAGAAAGCAACCTATAACTATACTTCCATGATAAAGTAGATGGCGGAATGTTTATGTTTGATCAGATCACGTGGTTTACAGGCTATCCATTGGGCACGTGATTAATGACGGAGCCGGCCTGTGGTGCCCAGGTGATGATCTTCAATCTGATCACTTGCCTCTCTCCACACTCCCATCGACTTTGGGTCTTGGTTCAATCGTGTTAAACATAGATCCAGATCAGTGGATAAACTGATACTTGTACTCCCGATATGGGTGCTCTACTTTCCATTCCGCTGCTGGCAGTGCCGAGCGTTGGTACAGTATGTTATCGCTCACCTCCAATTCGGGCACACTTCATCTACAGTTCACTAACGCGATCCTCCCCTTTATAGCTCGTGACAGCCGCAGCATCATGTTGTGGAGCAGCGACATGCTCTGCAGTCTGCAGTGCCTGCGGAAAGTTTCAGAACAGGTACCCTTGATCGACTGCCTAGTGCGGAGAACCTCGGACTAACAGGAACAATAGTATGGCAACGAGAATCGCATACGCCACAATCCTTCTGGTTAATTCCATAATATCTTGGATTATGCTCACGCCATGGGCTTTGAAGAAGTTGCAACATTTGACACTGGATTATATGGAGATCCGATGCGACGGCAAGGAGTGTCACGGCTGGGTCGCGGTCCATCGCATCAACTTCGCCCTTGGTCTCTTCCACTTGATTTTTGCCCTTTTGCTACTCGGCGTCAAAAGCTCAAAAGATACCCGTGCTGCTCTTCAGAATGGATATTGGGGTCCCAAAGTCATCCTTTGGATTGGCTTTGTCGTCATGTCATTCTTCATCCCCGAGCCCTTCTTCTTTGTCTACGGCAACTATATCGCCTTCTTCTGCGCCATGCTCTTCCTACTTTTGGGTCTGATCCTTCTAGTGGATCTTGCGCACTCGTGGGCCGAACTCTGCCTGGAGAAGATTGAGGACAGCGACTCCCGTGTGTGGCGGGGCCTGCTTATTGGCTCAACCCTTGGCATGTACTTGGCATCCATCGTCATGACCATTCTGATGTACATCTTTTTCGCGAACAGCGGTTGCTCTATGAACCAGGCTGCGATTACAGTATGTATCCTTCTCCCCAGTGATGCAGAGCCGAACTGACATGTGACAGATTAACTTGGTCGTGTTTTTGATCATTTCCTTTGTGTCTGTTCAACCTGCAGTGCAAGAATCGAACTCTCGTGCGGGTCTGGCTCAGGCTGCAATGGTCACCGTCTACTGCACTTACCTCACCATGTCCGCTGTTTCTATGGAGCCGGATGACAACAACTGCAACCCCTTGATCCGATCTCGCGGAGCCCGGACTGCCACTGTTGTACTTGGCGCAATCGTCACTATGCTGACCATCGCATACACCACTACGCGCGCTGCCACCCAAGGAATCGCTTTGGGATCAAAGGGCAGTAATAACTACATCCAACTGGGCATGGATGACAACGAGCATGGACTGGTAACTCAGCAACCAACTACCCGTCGGGAGATGCGTGCTGAAGCACTGCGAGCCGCGGTCGAGAGCGGCAGTCTTCCTGCTAGTGCTTTGGATGACAGCGATGACGAGGATGAGTATGAGACTGCTAAGGACGATGAGCGCGGCTCCACTCAGTATAACTACTCCCTCTTCCACATCATTTTCTTCCTCGCCACAACATGGGTGGCCACTTTGCTGGTTCAGGGTCTAACACTGGAGACCACGGATGACTTTGCACCGGTGGGCCGCACTTACTGGGCTAGCTGGGTGAAGATCGTCAGCTCCTGGGTCTGCTACGCCATCTATCTGTGGACGCTAGTCGCCCCTGTCATTTTCCCAGACCGCTTTGGTGTTTATTAGTGTTGTCAACGTTGAACTTGGGCGTTTGAAGCGATAGTGTTGCTACTGTTTTCGTTATACTGGATGTTATGCGTAGCCGCAGTGTTAACAAAGGGCGCAAATGAATATACTGAAGTTTCCGTATTGCGAAACATTATCTAAAAAAATTCCTTTCGCTAGAATTAGCCCTCTCATGTTCGATGTCGAGCTGTCATCTCCCCCGGGCACCACCGGTCTTGGCACAAAGTACGCGTTAAGTGAGACGCGTGCTAACTTGTCCTCCGCAGACAGCATGGAAGATGGCCACCATACAAGCCATCGACGCTCGTTCGGTACGATATCCGTTGCCCTCGGGTAAATCCTTCGATTGACCAACAAATCCATTAGGTGCACCAAATCCAATCTGGTCAAGTCATCGTTGACTTATGCTCCGTCGCCAAAGAGCTTGTCGAAAACAGCCTAGACGCGGGCGCAACATCGGTCGGTGAGCGCATACTCTCCCTAGCATGGATTATAGGCATGACTTAACGATCTGGTGTTTTCAGAGGTCCGATTCAAGAACAATGGACTGGACTTGATCGAGGTTCAAGACAACGGCAGCGGGATCTCCCCGGAGAACTACGAGAATGTCGGTGAGTTGTCATAACTCTTTTCGCTACGTTGCGGGCGAGCTAATCTTCTGTCTTGTCTAGCTTTGAAACACTATACCTCCAAGTTGTCATCATACGATGACCTCTCGAGCCTACACACCTTCGGTTTCCGGGGCGAGGCGATATCCTCGCTCTGCGCATTGTCGGACTTCCACATTGTCACCGCACAAGCTAAGCAAGTCCCTCGCGCAAACCGCCTCGAATTTGAACAATCTGGGAAACTCCAAAAGACACAAATTGTGGCTGGACAGAAAGGAACGACCGCGTCCGTAGAGGGCATCTTCAAGCGGCTTCCAGTGCGCCGACGCGAGTTGGAGAAGAACATCAAGCGGGAATATGGGAAAGTGTTGAATCTGCTTCATGCTTATGCTTGCATTAGCACAGGAGTCCGGTTCAGCGTCCGGAACACCGTTGGCAAAACGCGCAATGTGGTCGTCTTTTCTACGAATGGAAATAAAACCACAAAGGAAAACATTGCCAATGTGTACGGCGCGAAGACACTTTCTGCATTGATACCACTTGAGTTAGAGCTCGAATTTGAGCCATCGCCGGCCACTAAACGTGTTGGAGACGAACAAGTCAGTAAGATCCAGGTTCGGGGCCATATCTCTCGTCCTGTCTTCGGCGAGGGACGCCAGACTCCGGATCGCCAAATGTTCTTTGTCAATACGAGGCCATGTGCCCTACCGCAGATCCAGAAGGCCTTCAACGAGGTCTACAAGTCGTTTAATGTGTCCCAGTCGGCATTTATCTTTGCGGACTTTCAGATGGATACGAATGCTTACGATGTCAATGTTTCACCGGATAAGCGCCAGATTCTGCTCCATGATGCAGGGCCTATGATAGAAACTCTCAAAGTCTCTCTTACACAGCTCTTTGAAGATGCCGATCAGACTGTGCCTCAGTCGTCGGTCAAATCCAAGCCTTTGCCCAAACAGCAAGCCCTAGCGTCGCTTCCAGGATTCGTCACTGCTCGGGAACTGGCCGAAGGTGGTGACATAGGGGGTCCGAGTCCAGCCCGGACGAGAGAAAGCCCAGTGGAGACCCCGGAGCCAAGCCAAAGCACAATCCAGCGTTTCGCGAGCTCACGAGGAGGCTTGACGAGCCCGGCGCAAGTCACCCCATCACCAGCTCGCTCCCTGAGAACATCTCGTGCTGCAACAGATACCTCGTTAGTGACACCGGCCGCAAGCGAGGTAGACATGCCTGCTGCCGATGTTTCTGATAATGACCTTTTGGTTCCAGAAGCTACCCAGGACCAGCCCGAGCCCGCTCCTGTCGAGCCATCATCTCAACCATCTGCTATGGATGAGACCCCCTCTCGTCCTCGGGGGGATTCAAACGCCACCCCTAGCATCGTCCAAAATGCTTTTAATAGAATGCGTCCACGCCGAGAACCAGCTGAATTGGCCACTATTACCATCGGTGACCGAACTATAACTTCCATGGTCGGTAGTGGTATTCCACGAAAACGAGTGCCCGAAGATCCGCCCCTGATGAGGGAGCCACCTCGCCGGAAGAGGCGGATTCACACGCCGTCCCGGCCGAACATATTTGGAGAACACATGAAAACATTTGCTGCGCCTGGGTCGCAGCTAGATAATGAAGAAGCGGAAGAGATCTCTGATAGTGAAGAAGAAGAGATTGAAGAAGAGATTGAAGAAGAGATTGAAGAAGAGATTGAAGAAGAGATTGAAGAAGAGATTGAAGAAGAGATTGAAGAAGAGATTGAAGAAGAGATTGAAGAAGAGATTGAAGAAGAGATTGAAGAAGAGGATGGTGATGAAGATGAGGTCGAAGGCAATGAAGAAGGCCCATCAAATGAAGCTGTGAACACAGATGATGCCGAACAAGAAGAAGTCGCGGGTTCTCCATTAGCCGCAGACGCTGGAGGTATTGTTCCCCAACGCATATCTCAAGCGGAATCTGCGGAGTCTGGGGCAAACGGAAAGGAGGATTCTGCAGACATTGAACTCCGCGAAGCCGAGAAGAAAGCACAAGAGGAAGCCACTGTGCAACAACTGATCCAGGAAGCCGAGAAAACCGCAGTGCTTCCCCAGGAGAATAGTTCGAACCGTGCAAAGAAGATGAACAAGGGCGCTGCGCATCGCGATGCGACAGTCCAGCTTGTCGGCACAGCCGACGGTTCTATCTCACGACTTCAGTCGCAACTCAAAACATTGCAAAAGACCTTGCAAGTGGGTTCCAAGCAAGCGGAAGAGGAAGACGCCGATTTTGGCGAGAAGACCGCTGAGGACAAACTTTCCTTGACAGTTAGCAAGGGCGATTTCGCACAAATGCGTATCATCGGCCAGTTCAATCTGGGCTTCATCATCGCTGTCCGTCCCGGGGAAGATCACGACGAGCTCTTCATCATTGACCAACATGCCTCCGATGAAAAGTTCAATTTCGAGCGCCTGCAAGCTGAAACCGTCGTGCAAAACCAACGCCTTGTACGCCCACAGCGGCTTGATCTCACTGCCGTTGAAGAAGAGGTTGTCCTTGAGAATCGCGACGCCCTCGAGAAAAACGGGTTCGTTGTCACTATCGACGAAAGCGGCGACGAGCCTATCGGTCGTCGGTGCCAGTTAATCTCGTTACCGCTAAGCAAGGAAGTGGTGTTCGGCGTACGCGATCTCGAGGAATTGATAGTATTGCTGTCGGAGTCAATCTCAACATCTAATGAATCGTCAGTGCCACGGCCAAGCAAAGTGCGCAAAATGTTTGCTATGCGAGCTTGTCGCTCGAGTATTATGATCGGGAAAACCTTGACAGCCCGTCAAATGGAGCGAGTCGTTCAGAACATGGGCACTATCGACAAACCATGGAATTGTCCCCATGGTCGACCCACCATGCGGCACCTCATGAGTCTAGGTCAGTGGGAAGAATGGAACGAATATGAGGAAAGCGCAGGCCTCGATCCGTGGAGACAATACTTAGGCGCAGAAGATGAAGATGAAGTGGAAGAAGACGAAGAATAGTCCATAATGATACCCTGTCTGTGTATATGTGTGTGATATAGCAAAACCCTGAAATAAAACAACCACATAAACATCTTCACCATCGCAACCAACCTTTGGCAGGCTGATCCGGCTTCTTCCCATCAGCATCAGTATCAACATGTCCATTTGAGTCGATACCCTCGATATCCCCATCAAGCCCCGTCTCCCCATCTCTCCGCTCCCGATCATCATCACTTTCATAACCCCCTGACCCCCTTCAACATCATCCATCATATCCTCCAAAGCCAGCAAATCACGCTCAATCATCTCCGCCCAGTTCTGCACATCCCCAATCTCCTTCAACCCCTCGCGCGTCTCATCCGCAAGCCCGACCCACTGTTGATTCTGTCGCGCCAGCCGCTGCGTATTCTCCGCTAGCTCTGCCTCTTGTCTTTCCAGCGCGACAGCGTTGGATTGGATATTTGCTGCGCGGTCGCGGAGCGGAGCTTCGAGATTTGTGCCGACTGAGAGGAGTGTTGCTGTGAAAGCTGCCAGGGCTTCTTTTTGTCGTTGGTCGTCGGTTGTTTCTGTGACTTCTTGGTCTATGGTTGGATTTGGGTTTGGCCCGTTTGGGGTCGGGTTCGGTTGAACTTGTGGGGTCGAGTTGTCGACCATGGTTCTGGAATGTTTATTTGCGGGTGCAAGATCTTGGGGTCTCTGGTACACTACACAGTAGACTGTAGACAGTCCGTAATGCAAACAGTCCGCAGAGCCTATTGGTGTATTTCTGTGTTTTCTGTAGCTTTGATGGTTGATATTGAAGACCAAATGTAAACAAACGATCGACGACCCCACCTTGAGGCTGGTGGCACATGTGGTCTGCGTTGGTCGTCTTCCCCGCTCTACGGAGAAGTTACGGCGATTTGTCGATCGACGACATTCTTGTTGACGATCGCTATTGTTGTTTGTTAAATTTCTCAAATAATGAATGCCTGAATAATTACGGAACCACACCAAGATTATAATACCCAAGAAACCCCAAATATCTTGCCGCGAAACTAGGGAGATTGAATGTTTACGCACCGGCTGTGTTGCTCCTTCCCGCAGAGAAAGAGCGACGGAGTACACTAGAAGGCCAAAAGTCTGGCCCTACCCCATATGTAAGAACATGATTTTTAAGAAATCATGAGAAGTCGAATTCTTGACATTGATTCAAGCAAATAATATCTACATGTAGGTAATTCATGGTCTAACTATCAGATCAACCCCGAATACTTGGTGTAGTAGGTATGATAGTATCCACCTGCGTTGCGCTCTGCAACAATATGTCGGGACATAGGTAGACGGTAGGCAAGGGTCCTTAGGAGCATGCAGTTCAATTCAAATTGATTCAATCAATTTGATTGACTGAGGAGTGAGGAACATCCCTAAATGCCTTGGATCAACTCACCCGCGATGTACTTACTACTTGTAGTATCTTCTTTGTCACTTATCAGCTTTCGGGGCAACTGTTAAAAGGGTGTCACGTGCGTAGAGGTGGTACGTACTACTGTACTACCTGCAGGCTGCTCCTAAAATAACACCACGTGTGACGTCATTGAAGGTCGAGGTCCCCACGCTACGGGGACATCCTTGCACTTTTACTGTGTACCTTAACCTGTTCTTCTAAATTTCAAGATTTCAAATATGCCTGGACATTTTGGTCAGAAGGTACTCAACACCCTGGGTCTGCATGGCCACAACAGCCACCAGCAGAATCCCTCGAGCGTACGGCTTCCAGGCAGACCAGCCGTGAACGACGATGAACGCGGATTATCTTCACCTCCCAACAAAGGCACATATCCCCGTCTCTGCAGACTCTCCGACGGCTCCATCCTCTCGTCTTTTACGCGATTCCCAGGTGGACAGCGATCACTTCGCGTTGCGAGAAGTACCGACAATGGCCGTACATTCGAGGATCTGTCCGAGGTAACCCGTGCTTCTGGAGATGTGGACAACATGTTCTTGTGCGAGGTGGCCCCAGGTGTCGTACTGGCAGCATTCCGCAACCATGACAAGGGTCCACATGGCCCCACGCACTACCGTATCACCGTGTGTCGCTCGACGGACGGAGGTCGGAGTTGGCGCTTTGCTTCGCAGGCTGCAGAGAAGCGTCCCCCTCTGGGGATTTGGGAACCATTCATGCGCATCGGGCGCCAGGGCGAGGTACAGCTGTACTACTCACAAGAGTTTGCACACAACAACCAATGTACCATGCAGGTTGTGTCGCGGGATCAGGGAAGTTCCTGGACTAAACCGACTTGTCTGCATGGCGACAAGGACCTGCTTCGGGATGGAATGAGCGGTATTGCTCGAACATTTGATAACGGTCGCGAGGCTCTTGTTATGGTATTTGAGACCACTCGCCATGGATCGTTCAGCATTGAGGCCCTTTTATCCTATGACGACGGTGCGACCTGGGGCTGGCGCCACGAAGTCTTCTGCCCTCGACGAGGTCACAACGCGGGATCTCCTCAGGTTGCCTCATTTGCGGATGGATCATTGGCTGTGGCTTTCATGACAGACGACGACTCTGAGCACGTGAGTTGGGTGAAGAATGCGTCTATCAAGGTTGTGTTTGCTGGCCCGCCAGTTGAAGGACGTATCCAATGGTGTCCGCCAACGCTTGTCTCCCCGGCCTCCAGTTTCTGGCCTGGAATCATGGCGTTGGATCACCACACGGTACTAGTCGCTTATGAGCGAGGGGGCCTTCTTGCTAAGACCATCACCTGGCACCCTTGTTAAAGCTCTATCATGGAGTTATTGGCCAGTTGGCGAGAAATTGGGACCCACGCTCAAGCTTGTCGTCGTATTATGTTAGGTGCGAGTGGGTGGACTGTGTTTTGCTTCCATGGTGCGTGGCTGGACGATGCCCAATGTTTCACAGATACCTCTGTCTATGCCATGGACATCAAATTTGTTTCAATGGTGATTTCACGATCTTTACAATATCGTGGCGTATCTAGTTAAGGATATTGGATCATCAATAAAATGGGCCATCCCGGTTATGATTGTTTACAAGGCGAGCATCTCGATTGCTTCTTAGTTCTTGTAGTAATACATAGGACGCTACAAAAGTTGAAATAAAAGTACAACTTCACCTCTATACCTCAAAGTGTGCAGTCTCAGGGACTGGCTTTTCGATCCTCTCCGTATTCATAGTCCGGTGATGTCCAGGACGGACAGGGAATCCTCTAGTTTCCCACACGCCTCCAGTAATTCCGCCTCTCTCAAATAGGTGGTCTACATCCTCCAGCTCCAATCCTTTGGTCTCGGGGAAGAAGAAGAAAACCATGGGAATCTTTGGTCAAGTTAGTCTCATACATTCAAAGGCAATCTGGGAAGTGAATCTTACCCAAGCAAAGCAGAAGCAGGCAAAGATGATGAACGTTCTCCAACCAATGTTATCAATTGCCGTCGGTGTGATTTGGACGACAATGACTGTGGCGGTTAGCAGGGGCAACATCTACAACGGGTGATCATCCGACTGACAAACACAGATCCAATTTACGAAACCACCAAAAGCCTGAGCTCTTGCTCGGATACGAGTCGTTGAAATCTCGGAGGGATAGAACCTGTGTCCTTGTAAGCATCCACGCTGACATGACTAGTCCAGGGGGGAAAGACATACCAAGGAACTGGCAGATAGCCGATGCCAAGAAACAGCTGGAAGATGAATACGAACACTGTGGCCGCATAGGCACATGGCGTAGTGCCAATTGATAGAAGGATCGCAGTCATGACGAAACAGAAGCAGAGACCAGCAGCCGAGGTCATTAGTGATGCTCGTCGACCGAACCTATCCATACTCCATAGTGGGATGATTGATCCAACGAGATAGGCAAGTGAGGTGCAACCGCCAAGAATCAGGGATAGATTGCGGGATAAGTTCATTGCGTTCTGTTTTGAAGTCGTTGTCAGGTCATTTATTCACAAACACGAGATAGGGAGACGGGTATACCTGGTAGACAATGGGGGCATAGTAGTTGATCATGTTTGAGCCTAGGGATTGTCAATATGTCACCCTTATTAGAGTATCGGGATGGACGATGCCTACCCGTGAACTGCTGCTGAATATTGACGACGGCAGCCAAGATCATGCGACGAAGATTGCCCATCTGACCACGCGACCAGAGCTCCCTGTATTTGAATGGTCCGCCAGCAGACTCAATCTCAATGGATGATTCAATCTGTCGACGTAGATGAACAACCTCAGGAGTCGTCACATCGGCCGGCTGATCCATTTGAAGGCGTGCAAGAACTGAAGCTGCCTCGTCACCGCGGTCTTGCTCACAGAGCCAGCGCGGTGAATCGGGCAATGGAAGTATCTGTAAAACCAAACATATGGCAAAGAAGGCCTGGAAGCTAATCGGGAACCGCCACTGAGCAGGCGTATCCGAAAAGCTCAACCCATAGTCCAACCAGTATGCGATACAGAGACCCAAGATCGTAACCGTTCCTTGAGCGGAGAGCAACATGCCACGCTGCGCCGGGCGCGCTAGCTCGGATTGGTAGGCAGGAACGGTGCTGCTGTTGATGCCATTACCTAGACCGGTGACGATGCGTCCGACGAGGAATTGGGGTACGCTATATGAGCTGCCGAGGATGACGGTTCCGATGATCATGATTGAGCCACCCGCGATAATCATTTTGCGACGACCATATTTGTGGCCGATGACGAGACTGAGAAGACAGCCGACTGCACAGCCGATATCGTAGATTGATGTAAGGAGACCTTGCATGGTGCTATCGGGGTTGTTAAAGGTCCGTCCGAATTGATTGTTCGCGCCGACGAGGCCGCTCATGACCCCCTGGTCATATCCCAACAAAAGAAAGGCTTGACAGCTTGCAGCTGTTATAGCCCAGTGAAGGTATTTTCCCTGCAGACCCATGATGTGCTTCAATCAATGGAAAGTCTGGGAAGACGATGTGATCCGGGGCCCCAGGTCTTTTACCCCATGTTTCTACCATTCAACTATGCCATCTCGCTCTAATCTTGACCGAGAATACTCGGCTGTTCGGTTTAAAGTAACCCGGGGTAGCCAGTACATGCGCAGTAAGTGAAGACCCACGGCACGGAGCAAGACTAGCGTAAAGTCAAATTGTTCCCCGCATAGCCAACAATCCCACAATGGCTGACCGTGGCCGTGGGGGCTGAAGCCAAGCTTTGGCCCAGGTAGAAGAAGGCTAGTCTGAATAAGTTAATAACGCCACGAACATTTGCCCTGTGCCTAGCCGGGGCCAGGTGTTTCGGAGACACTAAACCGTCCCATGGAGTGCGCTTTGAAGGATGCCAAGACTCCTTGCTGGACAGCAGAATACTTCGCGGAGTGCAGACGATGGGCGCCTGAACATGCCAAGCCCGATTAGGCTTCGTGGACGGTGGCACGTCTCACATCAGCAACCTCGATATAAAGCACGAGACACACCCGTTCCTCTGTTGTCAAGTTATATACTACTACCTGGAGGCTAGGCCGCTGGCGTTGCAAACCATCTCATGATGACTTTTACCGACCGAATCCTGCATACCATCTATGGTCTTCCGCCTCCGACTAGCGGTATCCGCAAGGAGCCAATGCAAGTATTGGCCGTCGGTATCTCAAGAAGCGGGACAGAAAGCCTTCGTGAGGCTTTGCATATTCTAGGATTCAATCACACTCACCATGGATTCGATACAATCCTTCCGCCTTCATCTCTCGAAGCAATGTATCGGCTTTTGCAAAAGAAGTACACGGCAACCTCAGAAGCTGACAGACGCGAAGCCCTGACCGCGAAGGACTTCGACACAATTCTTTCGGATAGCGTCGGTGTCACCGATTTGTTCGCTGCAGAATTTGGCCCCGAACTCATCGCGGCCTACCCCGACGCGAAAGTCATCCTCAATGTCCGCCGGGATATCGACAGCTGGTACCGAAGTATGCACAACACAATGGGGTATTATGACAAAAATACTATTGATTGGGACTGGTGTAAGTCTTGGTTTAGTGCCGAGCTTTTCTGGATTCGCCAAACCATGTCCAGAACCATGATGCCGCGATTCTTCAAGGGGAGCTTCGCTTCCAACGGCAGATGGGTATATCGGCGGCATACCGCCATGATAAAGAGTCTGGGTCTGTCTGAGGATCGGCTTCTCGAGTGGTCAGTTGAAGATGGGTGGGAACCCCTTTGTCGGTTTTTGAATAAGCCAGTGCCTGATATTCCGTTCCCTGATGGCAATACCCCCAAGGCTTGGGCAGATCGGATCGCCAAGACAATGGAGGCCCACCACAAGCGTGCGGTGAGGAATATGCTTCTCTTTGTGGCTGTTATCGTAATGGTAGTCGCGGCTCTGTGGGGATATTCGTCGGAAGTGATTTGATGTAAGCAGATAATCGCATATCGCATAGTTATAATTTCTGTTCCAACCATTACCTATTTACCTCCGGTCAACGCTTAAATCCTATCCAATATTTGCATCGCTTGCGTCATGTCATGTGTCTTTGATTTGTCTTTATAAATGTGTTCTATGGTTTCTATGGCGATGGCTCGCAAAAGCCCCAACCCACCATAACGAGGCGCTGGAACAGATTTACCGCAATCAGATCACGTACCCTCAAAATAAGCTTGATGCATATTTCAGTAGATCGAGTGTTGCAGACGCAGAGACAGCTTTGATGGCGGCTGAGAAGTAAGGGATGTCAACGCCCTTGAAGGAACAGCTGTTACCCTTAACGTCGATCGTCACAACGCCGAAATCGTCACTCTGGACTGCTCCGTGGATCAACATCTTTTTGTCAATCGAGCCGAGCACCACGGCGCTGCTGATAGTCTTCTCTAGCTTCAGGTATGGTAGTTCAACCCAACCCAAATCTTCTCCACCCATGCTGAGATTGAATGACACATGTCCCTAAACAGAGTCAGCTTGACTTTGTACGTAAGGTTGTATGATGATGCAGCTTACCATCTCAACAATGAAGGGTGTCGGATTGCGCACGGAGATTGTGGCATTGAAGTTATATCCGTCAACTGGGGGATCCAGCAGATCTACCTTGGTGACGTTAAAGGCGCCTTCCGAGTTGATAAAGTCTGTGAATGTTAGAAAAATCCATCCTCGACAATTCACTCGCAGCTCCATGTCTCACCTGTAACATTATAGCCTACAGGAGAGTTGTTAGCTTTACTCATCTGCATCCTGAATGAGAACATCTACTCACCTCCCACATTCATGGTCTTATGAATATTCAAATGAGCAGTTGGTAATCCTCCGAATTTAAGATCCGGTGAACCCTTAACCAGAATAGAAGAGCTCTTGTTAGATGCAGCCGCGGTGGCCAAACGCGACAGACAGTCGACACAAGATATATCCATATCTTGGTTTATCTCGAGACTGGCCCCGTTGCCAAATGCGATTTTAGGGACAGGAAAGACCGCGAATAGCTCGCCGGTGTCTTTGAGGCGGCATTCGGCATCGAAGGCATCCAAATGACCACTGCCACTAAAGCCACCCCCTATTTCAAGAGTTTGTGTTTGTTTAATATGGAAGGCAGTAGGTCGGGGGTTGGTGATTTCGAGACCATTGTAGTCGTACTCGTACTTGTTGATATAGTCGTTTGCGAAATTGGGAATTCCGACATATAAACTAAAAGATTAGCACAAACACACAATGTTCCGCAGAGAAGCTCACAGAGGAAGGATAATGACAAGAACTGCGATGCAGAATGCGATCAAGTAAGCCCACCAGAACCGCTTCATGTGTGCCTTGAATCGGTTCCAAAATGTTGGCTTAGCTGGACCTGGCAGCGCCTCATCGGCTTCCGAGCTACCGGAGATATCAGATTTTGACATGATGGGCGCAATGGGTCGGTGTATGTCAATAGACGCGCTCTGACCCTAGAGCATGAGTAATCGAGATATAGTGCATAGGATGACAGGCATACTGTCGCGTAAATTTGAGGAAGCCGAAGTCGAAAAGGAGTCTGGGTCCAGCCATTTTAACAGGTCCATTGTCGCTTGGGACGTTCTAATTTTCCAAGTTACCCCATGTCGATCATACTGGAGACCCACCTTTTCACATGGGATGTGCTTTGCAGATCATGCACGCAACGGGCGATTAGCCGATGCCGGGGCCTCGGCTGGGATGAAAATTGTCCCGTTCTGTGGGGTGTGCAGAATTGCACGTTGACGTTGTAGAGACGCTCCTACAGCATGATCAAATCGACTGGGAAGGTGAGCGTTATGGTTTTGGTCTTCCTGTACGATGCATGTTGTTCGGAACTTCGGTATATCGGTATCGTGCTTTATGGAAGATCCAGAATCAACCTACTGCCTGCCAGGCTTCACCCAAGAAACGCATCGACCCCCCTGATATAGTGGTTAACCACAATCCTCAATCTTTTGGAGGTTTCGCAGGTGCCCTGCAAGGTTACCGTAGGTAAGATTGGAACTTTCAGATTTATGGATAGAGCACGGACCAGTCCGGGTCGGCCCGACTGTGCTACTGTAGGTTATGCTTTCTTACGCAGATGCAGATGCAAGTGTTATGTTTATAGGCGTCCAGACTTTTCCGAGAAGAGAGACCATCGCTGCTGTGGCTACAGGCAGCAACGAGGAGAGAGGAAAGGTTGATTGCCTACTCAATCAAATCGGAAGCTATGTAAGTCGGCTGTTTCTGTCTGGAAACTGAGGCGATTGTCGCTCAGCCAAACCGGGTTAAGATAAACAAGACAGACCATCGACCCACAAAAGGTCGTCAACTGGAAGATACAGTCACGCGGGTTCTGAGCCAAGCACCAGACATTCTCTGGGCGATTATTCAATTTCAATGATGTAGACCATGATTTTATAGACATGATTTTGTGGAACAAACGGGAGATGCTCAAGGAATTCAAATGCCGAAACAAAATCGCTGTGCAAAGCTCTCATCCATGCATAAATTCGCTCGTAAGAAGAAAGGGAAATAGAAACCAGGTAAGAACAAGAGTAGTAACACATATGATTGGATAGACTACATGTCCGAATCATAGAAGCAGACATAGTGATGCGGTGAGGTAATGATAGAAAGATCCATCAGAGAACACCCGAGAGAATGGCTTCGGTAGCTGTATACCTGTTAGCGTTGTCCACGTGAGCATCGAGTGTTTGAGCAATGACTTACCAGAATTAATATAGGGCCGCTTGGCATCCAAGTTGACCTCGAAATGCCTTTCAAGCTCCTGCTTGACGGTCTTCTTCGAGACCTTCATCAAGTCTGCAGTCGCCAAAATCTTGCGGATTTCTTCGAGAATCTCGTCGTCTGGAGGCAGATGGCTGAGATCTTCCATACCAAAGTTGCTCATCATTTCGGATGGGGCGACTGAATAACGAGTGCCACCGCCTCCAAGAGGCAAGTCAAGTTGAGATACCGGGCGCGAAGCACTCTGATAGCCATACTCAGATTGCGGGAAGGGAGGTATCCGGGTGCCGTAAGAGTGGGCAGAGAACTCGGACCGGTCGTCGCGCGAAGTCTGAGACTCCCACAGCTCCGCTTGATAGTCTTCCCAAATCTTCTTGGGGATTGAGTCGGGATCGAATTTGCCTTCATCAGAGATGACAACCTTGCGGCCCTTTTCACCGGTGATCACACGTGTGTTACCCCAGGAGAAGTCGTCCATGTGCCAGAAAGAGTACAGCGGCAGGGCAAGAGAGAAGATGGGAATGGAAAGGAGGTAAATCAACATCCAACCAATCATTTCCCACTTGCGTCGGACGATGAAGATAAATGCCTGTAGACCGTAGATGACACCGAGAAGGATGAAAGAGGTGATAGGAAGGACGTCCGGCTCGCTAACACACCAATATATCAGGTATGCGATATAGGCAACGGTGACTGGTTGGATTACGGTCATGAGCAGATCGATGAGCACGATGAACCGCATACTGAAACAACAGAAACCACACAGCTGTTGTAACGGAATCAACTCCATGAGGTTGTGAACAGTGGAATTGATCCATCGGCGACGTTGCGAAAGGAAGACTGCAAAGCTTTCCGGTGCAACTGTCCAAGCATGGCACCGGAAAATGTACTTTGTCTTGAACTTCGGGTGATGCTTGAGAAGCAAAGTCGTCAAGTACCGATCTTCACCAAGGTGCAGCAAGTTCTTCATGTGAAGGGTATCGACGCGAATCTCCGCATAGGAGTCGACCACAGCCTTGCTAACGAATAGAGGCGTTCCGTTCTCCGCTGTACGAATGCGGTACATACTGAAACAGCCGGGCAAACAAGTGACAGATCCAAACAAACTCTCAAATGCCTTGGTGAGGTTATGAGAAATGTAGTATTCGTAAACTTGAATCATGGTGATGATGGAGGTCTTGGCGTTCGACAAAGACGTCTCTCCACAGCAGCCGATGAGACGTGTATCGGAGAGGAATGACGATACAAAACGAGTAGCAGCATCTGGAGCGACCATCGTATCGGCGTCGACCTGTAAGATATACTCGTAGAACTGAGGATTGACGCCAATGATATTGCGGATGTGGTGATGCATCTCGAGCTCCATGGGACTCATGGGGAGATTGTAGTGGACGCGGTTGAGGAAACGCATGAGAACCAGCTGGGAATCACGCTTTCCGCGGTTACCGGGACGAGAGACTTCAGAAGGCTTTCCAACCTTAACGACGACCAGGAAAGGAACAATGTGGCCCTGGACTTCGTAGAGACCGGAATAGAGCTTAGCCATGTTGTGCTGCTTCATACCCTCACCAAGACTCTCGAAGCTGAGCGGTTCAGGATCCACAGACTCGGGAACACCCAAGATGTCAAGGACGATGCGCGGAGTTGGACGATCATTACCCTGACCGATAATCATACCGTCACAGATCACAAGGAGGAGTTTGCGCTTGTCATCATAGCGCATGCGAGCCATAGAGTCCATTGCACGACGCAATGACTCTTCGTCTTCTGTATACACCGGTACTTGGCAAATGATAAACTTGTCCAAATTCTCTGGCAGGTTCTTCTTTCCGAACTGCAACGCGGCCAAAAACTTGAAGGTGATGATAGAACACAACATGATGGAAATAGCGAGAATGAAGTATCGTGCAAACTGACAGCGAACCGAGTCACGAGTGTCAACCTTGCCAATGAAGAACAGGTTGTCCAAGCAAAGCTGCATTCGCGATCTGAGTTGGGCGTCGAAGTTCAAATCCTCCCAATACTTGGTCACATCGCTTCCGGCCTTTCTCTCGAAGATGTCGACAAGCAAGGGTTCCATATAATCAGTATCAACGTCGCTGGTGCCATTTTTCCCTGCTGGCCAGCGAGGGATTCGGGGTCCGGCAAGGTAATAGGTCATATCATACACTTTGCCATTGATACTTGCAACTTTTCGGGAATCATCAGTTGCTAGCTTTTTGATTGCCTTGGCCGTATAACCCATATAGCCTTTCTTGTAATTCGCGCGCATCGGGACCATTTGCTCGTAGAACCAATCAGCTCGAGAATCGTTGGTCCAAGACCGGAAGTCGTGGTACTTGGCGTTGATATCGAAGGTGGAACTCGAGGTTGTAGCTGCAGAATCGTTCAAGTTCGATCGATAATCTAATGGCACGCTGGGATCAACTTTCCCCGTCCTTCCTTGGCATAAAGCTGAGACTTGGACAGGGAACAGATTGGTGGCATCGGTGCCTGCATAGGCCTTGAGTGATTTATCGGGAACAACGTCAGGGTAGTGATACGGGATGAAGGATCCAAGATTGAAAACCACACCTCGAATAGCAACGTAAGATTCAGCTTTACCGTTGCCATTCTTGCCACTGAGCTCTGCTGTGTTGTAGACGGCCTGAGTGGGACAAACCACTCCAGGAAATCCGACGATCATAAAAACGGCTACACCACAGGCAAACCAAATGATCATGTTGATCGCGAGCTTCTCGCGCCAGGCAGTCCGCACATCCTTGCGCTTCATTCGACCAACAAATCGGATGACAAAATCGGGAATAAAGAAGGTCAGGAGGTAGACCAAGAACATCCAGCGGCGACGACTGCCAGAAGTTGGAGCTTCGTCAACTTCCTCCATCTTCTTCTCATTGTTCTTCTCAAGCATTTGCTCTTTCGTGTCGAGATTCTTGAACAAATCACCAGAGTTGAAGGCCGAACCACCCGCATCAGAGCGTCCATCAAGTTCACGGCTTCCGAAGTATCCTTGTTTTGAGTCATCTCCGTAAATAAAAGCGCCCGGCGACTGGTCAGCGGGACTGAGAAGTCGAAGTTTTGAGTCTGGGGTTACACCCGCGGTTTGGAATCCATCGGTCTCGTCAGGGCTTCCGTATGAAGGGACAACACGCTCCCCTACTTTGGCCATATCTGCCCAGCAGCGTTCGCTCAAGAAAACACCTGTGCTGCCCACACGGGCTTCGTTGCCAGGCCAGCGCTTTTCGTCGAGAACAACTTCTGACTTTTCGCGGTCGCTGCCCACCACGACATTGCCGATGTCAGCCAGGCCAAGGAACTCTCCGAATGGAAGGAAAACACTGTAATCCGCGTTCCGCAGACGCGAGCTGATCTCGGCGATACCGAATGTTTGCACCTGCATCCGCACGCACTTGCTGTCGAACTGGTTGGCAATGCGACGGTCGTTGGGTTTGAGACAGATGACGAAGTAGGGGTTGAGATTTGAGGAGCTGAGGGATTTGTTGATTATCGTCAAGCCGGAAAGGAACTGACCGGCGGCTCCCTGGGCTGGTCCAGAAGGTATTCCACTTTTACGGCCGCTGACTCGCTTCGATCCAACGGTTTGGGTTTCATGGTCATCCCCGTCCTCGCTTTCAACGTACGTGCTTGGAGCAGCGACACGAGATGGAGGTCCAGTCTTGCGTCTGGCCATGCTGGGCATCCGCAGTGGCTTTGAGCTAACCTGAGCCTGCATAATGGCAGTCTTTTCTTGAGGGTGGGAGATGGTGTTCAGAGCTTCTTGGTTAAACAATTCACGCACAAACTCACTGCGGGTAGACCGCATCAAGTTCATCAAATCACCCGAGATGACTTCGCCGTTCTCCTCGAGCAGGCCGGTGGTGGAATAGTCCACTTCGCCGGCGAAGTGCTTGACAGTGAACGCACTCCGGGGTTGAGCCATATAGCCAGATCCAGTGGCTCCACCCACAGAAATGGCAGGATTCTTGTTCTCAAAGCGCTTCCGCACGCTATCCAGGAACTGAGCATCAGACCTCCCACGTCGGGTCTGATCATCTAAAATGCTCAACAAACCATTGCCATGCTTTAGAAGGCCTCTGACAGTATCAGTGTTGTCGAAATAGCTTGTTGCAGCCACTGTGATCTCTTCGCGGTCTAGAAGGTCTGCTTTGTGATCGAAAAATGACTGAAGGCAGTAGTGATAGAGCGTCTCAGTCGCAGCATTGCTGAGAAGTTGATCGAGAGTAGACCCCGTGGAAGGGGCTTGCGCAAATCCAGGGAAATCAACAATGGAGATAGTGTTAGCAACACTGTCCTCGGCGGCGCATAGTCTCTGATTCACGGTCTCGATGACATATGTCACTAGAAGCGAGTATATGGTACGTGCGAATGCATCCGCGTTCTCTCGCGCTCCTTTCGGATCAAGGATCACGGTGACACGTTCGCGGTGAATGGTCTTTGTGCGGTAACCCAGGCTAGTCTCCAGAGCTTCGACACTGAGTCCCAAAAAGGCGGCAACATTGTCCAAAACTTCCTTGTTCTTTACTACTGTGACAGTCTCACCACCTTCGTGTGAATAACCACCACTCTCTTCTGCGCTAGTTGTGGTCGACTGGCCCGTGATGAATTCCAATTGTCCGATGTGAAGGATACTGGCCAATATCTGACAGATCTCGGCAATCTCGCCCCGAGAAAACTCCAATTTCCGAAGAGCGGTTTTGAAATGCTGGAATCCCTCTGTATCGTTGATTCCAACCTTGAGCTGCGTTGGGTGGCCCAGATAGCGCCAGCGTTTGTGGCTGACAGTCCCGCCGGGAAATCGGCTACCAGTCTGAACATGGATGCTATTCTCAAAGCCCAGGTGTGACTTCTCTGCCGCACTTGTTCCAGCAAGTAGATAGTATAGCACATGGAAGCTTCGTTCTCCCGTGGGCACGGAAGAGATGCGGCTTCGCTCGAGTCGATAGTCAATGATCTTGCCGCCGATTAGAGTGGGGTTGACGGAAGATGACCCATCGTACTGGAGCTCAAGGAAGAGGCCGGCCTTCGAGGCGGTAGGTGTGGTAACGGATTTGGTCGTTGTCAGGGTGTCGAAAATAAAGGCGGCATATGAGATTTTAGAGGAAAGCGGGGTGGATGAAAATGACAAGAAAGAGGACAGCAAATGTGAACGAAGGGTCGTTTTCCCAGATCCGCTCTCGCCACTACCAACAATAATCAGGTTATGGTCTTGACACTAAGATGAATTGACTTACAGGAACACAACCGCTTGATTTTCAGCGCGGGCGCCCAAGCGGGTGAAGGCACGGCGAGCAAGGTCTTCTGCCTCGCCCGCCGCACTTCCCTCCTTTCCACCATCCGGTCCTTTGGTCGCAGACGAATATGTGTTCAGCGCAATTAGAGCCTGCGATGACAGACGGGCGGTTGGTAGTCCCACATGAAACCTACGGCGCTGATTAGCCTTCTTGTCTTGTTATACCGAGGAAAACCGAGATCATCATACCGACTGGCAAGATGAGCCGTCAGATGTGTATCAGACTGCAAGTGGGCGGGCAGTGAGGGGAGTGAGGACTGGGCGTGTGCTGGGCCAGTCCCAGCGAACGAATTGACCATCGTCGGGTCCCCTCAGTTGCTGTCTGAGTAGGTGAACGAGTGTATGGGGGGCAATCTCGACGTTCAATATCGATGGAGCGAGTGTGCTGAGCAGGCTCCCAGTTTTGGAATGAACGTGGAGCGAGGGGGGATGTCTTGTAGACTTTTTGACGGAATGAAGGTCCCTGGCAACAAATTGCGATCGTAGGCATCAGATTCGCGGTCGATAGGGGCAGTATTCGACCAAGTACACAGTAGGTGACCTAGATGTGCAATGATGACCAAGTTGAACGAGTGGCTTAGAGACAAAGACTGGAATGAAGCAGAAGAAGCCAGCCAGAATGCAATGGGGGATCACAAAGAGCAAAAAGCAACAAATCGATAAGAGGCCGGGGGTGGAGGCGTACGGTACGATACAGAGTCACAAAATTACTAGCGCGATCAATCGCTAAGAATAGGTGAGCCTCGGCCATACCTGAGACTTATTTTATTATTTCAAGCTCAATTCTGTTCTAGCTGATTGGACGTGTCTCGCGTAAAATCCACCAGAGCATAGAAATGTTCCCACCTGAGGCCGAAGCTATGTTTTACTCCAGGGCTATTGGAAGGACTATTTTCACTCGACCTAAAGAATGATGGGTGGGAAAGGGGAACTGGAAGAGGACGGACACAAAAAGAAGCAAAAAGAATACATGTTTGAGAGACCATGATTTCAGCTATCAACTACCTATAGGTACGTACGGAGTACATGAGCACGCAGTACATGTACCTAAGTGTGATGTGCAGGGCCGCAGTCTCTCGTATGCGTACAGGTCAACTCCTATATAAATATCCTGTAGCGATATTCACCTCCTTGCGAGGGACCTGCATATCAAAAACTCTGCAAATGTGAGGTGACAGTTCTACGCAGTTTCCCCTAAAAGGACTAGACGCTAAACCAAGGGGCCAGCGCTGAAACTAGGGGCGCGTGGTCTTCGGTTGGCCCAAGAATCTACGTTTAATAAAGTGACTCGACATTCTTCCGGTCAAGAATAAGCCAGTCGATAAGCTAGTCCAAGTGGCACAGTGGATCTTGCGATCACAGGCTTTTCTACACAGTGCTGTATGTGGCAAAACTGATCATCTGTCAGAGAAAAAAAGTGTGAGACATCCCAATTATAGTGCACTAAAGTACTATTAATACATTCGATACGATAAAATACAATACTAGATCTGTCAATTTACCTCTGCTTGACCCATGGACTGGATTTCGGATTCCACGAGCTTCGGCCCCGGGGTTCTAAATGCTATTTAGAGCATTCTCATTGGTTGGAAATGGTCAAGCGGATAACTATTCGGGTGAAAGAGCAACAAACACCTTGCCTTTCACTGGTTCATAATTACAGGAAAAACATAATGTATTCAGAGTCTGCTTTCATACTTCAATGATAAACCACGCGAAGTTCAAGGATAGTCGACTTAAGGGTAACTTCAATCAGTTGGATACAGCAGATTCGTTCTATTATCTCCTCTAGCGATCCGGAGTAGATAGTGCCGGAAGCTTAAATGCCCAACAGTAAGAGGCCTAAAGGCGATCGTCAGGATCGACGGTATTTTTTGTACAAAGTCCTGTAATTTTCAACCCCATCGATTCTAAGCGTTCTTTCTCCCCACGCCATCCTTCATCTCCAAACCTTTGAAGTTGCTTCAACTTCTTTCTCGCAATTCAGGGTTTCTCTCTCCCAGTCGCTCGCTCAGTTATCCTGCCTCTTTATCATTCAGCTCTGACCTGTTCAACCCTGAAAAGTCATATTCTGGCCTTCACGCGCCGACACTCATTGTACATCAGACGAGACGAGCTGATCGACACAAGTTAATACCCTCATGTGGTGGTGACAACAAATAGGCCGGACATCGCATCTCGCCTTTTACTTTCGTTGAGCTTCCGACCAAGACTTCCGTCATGTCGAACCGTTACTCAGTTTTCTCCACGCAATCCGCTGGGCTCTCAGCCGGCCCCAGACCACAACATGGGACTCAGGTCTCAACGACAACATTATTAAATGCCCTGCATTCATTTTACACAGCGGGTCAGCCATATCAGCTAGACTCAGCGACGAGTCTAGTCGTCAATACATGGGTCACCGCAGCAACTACGTTGCCAGATGGTCGAACCGCCGCCACGGTCGATCGTGACCTGGCTATTCGGGCTTGGGAACATGCCAGACGGCGGGCCGAGGATGGGTGCATTGTTCTAGGGTACGTTGGACGAAACATATACTCGGGATAGGCGGGAAAGCTAATGTTCCTCAGCGCTCTCCATCAGTCAACACCTTCATTGCTAGAACCTTTCATCGCGGCGATCCCGGTGGAGACACCTGAGATAGCTCTCACCGCACTTTCCGCTCTACGTCCTTTCCTCACAGCAGTCACGGCCTTCAATCCCTCATACTCTTTGCATTCAGCGTTAGCCGCCACTTATGTATTGTCGCTACAAGGCTCGCTTCATGGCCTCTCCTTCGCCCTGTCAACATCCGGTATTAATGTACGCAAAGGCCTCTTAGAGATCCAACCCGAGACTGGCTACCGTGCATTCGATGCCTTCTATTACCTTCTCACCTCTGCATCTACAGCTGCGGAGCGGGAATTCTTGGACTTGAAAGAACCCTCCTCGTATACCCTGCTAAAGCGATCAAACACGTACGACCCACCACATTATCTACCCACTACCGATGATGCCGCTGCAGCCGAGGACTTCCGTGCTTCCTTGAAAGCCATCGGCATCAAAGGTTCTGCTCAGCGAGGCTTGCTGTCTGTCCTTGCTGGTCTCCTGAAGCTGGGCAATGCTGCTGGCTTTGAGGTGGATCAGGAAGATCTGGAGGAGGTCTGCGAGGACGCTGGTGGTCTTCTGGCAATAGATCCGGAAGTTCTTTTGCACAAGTGTTCCACCGACGAGCGAGAAGTGCTAATCGCGGGCATCTACGAAGCTCTTGTTGACTGGGTTATCAGCAAAGCGAACGAGGCTATCGCAGCTGAAATTCAGCATACATTGGATAGCGATTCCAGCAATGATGGTGGTGCTGCGCAATGGTCGAATGACGACACAGTCAACTTGACTGTAGTGGATATTCCACGGCCAGCACTTGGAAAAGCAATCGCAATGAGAGGCGTTTTCGACGACAGCCTCGGACTCAATGCTGAAATGAAAGACGATGGTATCCCTCTTCCGCCAATCGGAGGCTCTGTCATCAGCGAGATGAATTCTGCAGTAGCACAGGTTGAACCAGATCTTGGAATCACTACAGGAATTGCCGGCCGAGAGCGCGAACACGAGCTTGACAAGCGGCAGGGTGTTCTGGAAAAAGTGGGTGTTGAACTTGAGATCGATGCTTTTCTCCGAAGCATTCTCTTCCCCGTTGATACGGAAGGTATCACGGTTGGGAAGCGTGGTCGATTTGACCTCCCTACCACCCTCAACAGCAGCCGTGTCTGGTATCACCTCTCCCTCCATCCGACCGATGACATGCCGGAACAGCTCGCTTCGGCATCCCCCACTGCGTGGTCAGCAGGTGCAGTCTCCCGCCAATTGCGAGACTGGCGACTGCCGGAATGGGCCAATCGTCGCTTGAAGCAACTCGACTTTACCGCCGATTTCGACGTAGAAGAATTTGTTGATCGCTATGCACGTCTTGGCTGTGCTGAAGGCCAGGATGGTGTTGAAAACTGGATCATCGAACGAGGCTGGAGCAATGGAGATGCCCTTGTTGGTGAACAGCGTGTGTGGATGCGAGAGGGAGCGTGGTGGGAAGCGGAGAGTATGCTGGATCTCAAACCAGAGGATACTCACGTGAATCCCTTCATGTACGGTCCCGCTCTGTACGAGACCGGCTTTAACTCAGATGGCACTCCCATTCATGAGGCTTCCACTCTTCTTGGCATGCCACCGAGTGGTGGCATGGCCCCAAGCGTCATGGGCGGTGCTAAGTCCATCGCTCCTAGCGCGCCATTCAACAATGCTGCCAACAACGGTGACTATGGGCTGGGCCGCAAGGGTGACGACAAAAAAGGGGACATTGCGTACTATGACGAATATGGCCGATACATCGGCGAGTTCGACCCCGAGTTTGGTGACCCAAAGCACATCGAGAAAAAAACCATCACCATGGGCCGACGGGCCTGGTCTGGTTTTGTCTGGGCGATGACCTTCTGGATTCCTTCGTTTGTGCTTCGATACGTCGGCCGCATGAAACGTCCTGATGTACGTCTGGCGTGGCGTGAGAAACTCGTCCTTGTCTTCTTGATCCTACTCTTCAATGGTATTGTCTGCTTCTATATTATCGCCTTTGGCGACCTTCTCTGTCCCAACAAGGACAAAGTCTGGAATCAGAAGGAGGTCGGCTGGCACACAGATGACGATAACTTCTTCGTCGGCATTCACGGTCGTGTCTACGACATCAGCAAGTTCTGGCGCACGCAGCACAGTGACATTACTGGACAAGACACAACATCATCCATCATGAAACAATTTGGAGGTCAGATTTTAGATGCCTACTTCCCTCCTCCTCTCGACCGCTATTGTGCCCCATTTGTCAAGTCTGATACCATTGCATTGGCACACAACAACACAGACGCTATCGCTCTGTCTACGGCCGAGCACAAGTCAGGGGCACAATCTCCATACATCAAATCCAAGCTCCACAATGATGACTGGTATGAACGAACCTTCTTGCCAAAGATTGGCACCTACTACAAGGGTGACCTGGTTTGGACAAGGAAGACCGTACAAAATCAGGCAAATTTAGATTCTCGGTACTGGGTCATCAAAGATCAAAAGGTATATGACTTGACGGACTATTTCTTCACCCTGAAAAGGATGAATAATCTCGACACATACGATTGGCTGCCTTCCTCTGTGACAACACTTTTCAAAGACAACATGGGCGAAGATGTCACCGACAAATGGCAAGACACACCGGATTTCCGAAATGCCCAAACGTGTCTCGATTTCGTATTCTATGTGGGCAAAATTGATTTCCGTGATAATGCTCGATGCACTGTGAACAATTGGATCCTGCTCTCCTTTACTGTTCTCATTTGCGCTGTTGTTCTGGTCAAGTTCCTGGCAGCCTTACAGCTAGGATCCAAACGCCGCCCTGCACCCCAGGACAAGTTTGTCATTTGCATGGTTCCTGCATATACTGAGGGCGAGAATGACCTCCGAAAAGGCCTTGATTCGCTGACTGCCTTGCAGTATGACAACAAGAGGAAGTTGATCTTCGTCATCTGTGATGGTATGATTGTCGGTGGTGGTAACGACCGCCCCACGCCAAAGATTGTTCTGGACATTCTTGGAGTTGATCCCAAGATTGACCCACCCGCACTACCATGCAAATCTCTCGGTCAGGGCAGCGAGCAACTGAATTACGGCAAGGTTTACTCTGGTCTTTACGAGTATGAAGGCAACGTCGTGCCTTATATTGTGGTTGTCAAGGTCGGCAAGGAGTCTGAGCAACGCAAGTCCAAGCCTGGCAACCGTGGCAAGCGAGACACGCAGGTCCTGCTCATGCAATTCCTCAACCGTGTTCACCACCGCTCGCCTATGTCGCCCCTTGAATTGGAAATGTTCCATCAAATCAACAATGTCATCGGTGTGGATCCAGAACTATATGAGTACTGCCTCATGGTCGATGCAGATACCACCGTAAGGGAAGATTCTCTGAACCGGTTGGTGGCTGCTTGTGCTGCAGATGCCAAAATTGCCGGCATTTGCGGCGAGACTAGTCTCCAAAATGAGGAACGCAGTTGGTGGACAATGATCCAGGTCTACGAATACTACATCTCGCATCACCTGGCCAAGGCATTTGAGTCGCTCTTTGGCAGTGTCACCTGTCTTCCTGGATGGTAAGTTGTCATATCCTTTTGCGCCGGTCAACCTCATAAACTAACAATACCTAGTTTCACTATGTACCGTCTGCGAACCGCAGACAAAGGACGTCCTCTCATCATCTCGGACAAGGTCATCCAAGACTATGCTGACAATGATATTGACACTCTTCACAAAAAGAACCTGCTTTCTCTTGGTGAGGATCGGTATCTGACAACCATCATGACCAAGCACTTCCCCGCGATGTCGTACAAGTTCATCCCCGATGCCTACGCAAGTACAGCCGCACCCGAGGCCTGGAGTGTCCTTCTCTCCCAGAGACGCCGCTGGATCAATTCTACGATCCACAACCTGGTGGAGCTGGCAGCTTTGGAAGATCTATGCGGTTTCTGCTGTTTCAGTATGCGATTCGTCGTTCTCGTCGATCTCCTGGGAACCATCATTCTTCCTGCTACCTGCGTTTACCTCACCTACCTGATCTACCTAGTCGCTAGCAAAACTGGTCCCTTCCCTATGATCTCAATCATCATGCTGGCTGGTGTATATGGTTTGCAGGCAATAATCTTCATCGTCAAGCGGCAGTGGCAACACATCGGATGGATGATCATTTACCTCATCGCTTATCCGATCTACAATTTCATTCTGCCGCTATATGCCTTCTGGAAACAAGACGATTTCACCTGGGGTACCACCCGTGTCGTCATCGGCGAGAAGGGCGACAAGCGAGTCATCGCCGTGGAAGACGAACCCTTCGACCCGCGCAGCATCCCACTCCAGCGCTGGGACGACTACGCCATGGCCAACAATCTTCCCGGCCGCCGCGGCGACTTGAGCGCGTGCATGGAGAAGCCTTACGCCACCGGCCGGTACGATGACATGACCATGGAGATGGATGACATGCACTCGCAGTACTCATCCGTCAAGCCAGCCTCAACCATCCTCACAGGCTTCCCGGGACGCAATCACCCATACATGCCCCCACAGTCGCCCGCGCCTTTCGTCGGCGGCAACGTCCCGGGCAACCGCAACTCGCACATGTCAAGCTTCTCTCGCTACACGGATATGCCGCAGATGGGCCCTTCGATGGGTCACTCCGCACAGCCTTCCCGACATCTATCTATGGGCGGTCTCAGCGCCTACCAAGATAACCCCATGGCCTCGAGCAGACACAGCATCGGCATGATGCATAGCAGTGATAACCTTCTCGGCACTCCTGGTTCTCGCAGCCCGTTGCCCCAGTACCCGTCTCGACCTGCCAGTACTGCCTTTGATTTCCGTGCTGCTAGTGGGCCGGACGAGGCAGCCATCACCGAGGCAATCCGCAGCTGTCTGGCGGAGGTTGATTTGGATACTGTCACCAAAAAGCAGGGTAAGTTCTGAACTTCTTTTACAGACTTGGTATATAGTCCACTAACACATCTTCATAGTCCGCGTTCTCGTCGAACAGCGCCTGCAAACCTCGCTCACGGGCGATAAGCGAATCTTCCTGGATCGACAAATTGACCAGGAACTGGCGAATATGTGATTTTTAGTTTCTGTATTGTGCATTCGACATCTTGCGTCCATATAGCACTCAGCCTCTCATCTTGTTGTTTTCTTGCTATATTGTTTCGGCATCTCTGGAGTTTTGGTTTGGGGATTCTTGGAGCACAGCATTCAGCGTCTTGTGTCTGTTTTGCAAGCTGCAAGGTTCGCGCTGTAGTCCTAATGAGATCATATTCTAGCGCATATTCAAAATATATCTCATACATAATGTTGACGCTGCGACGCATTCTAAACCCGAGTAAAAAACGACGGGAGGTGTCTACCTAGGTGGTACTGCTTCCAAATTAGCTGCGTAGTACCTACCTACCTACATCCATACAGATGGGCATCAGCTCCACCTACCTACCTAGATATATAGGTATCATGGATCCAGCCCGGAACTGAGCAGGTAGGTATGGATGAACCTATGGATTGCCCTCCTCCACTAAGGTAGTAGGTTCCAAGAAGCACTCGCCACTCTACAGTCTACCCCGGCTAGATATCTCCATGGAAGCTCCTCAGGGCTGAAAACCTTCCATCTGTCCACCTAGTACCTGTCCCATGGACGGGAGTGCCAAGCGGTAGGTGGGACTCAAGGGGTAAGTACTACCTCTGCAGCTGGATGTAAACACAGTACAGTGCAAACGTGTCGAAGCACATGACCTGCATGAATGCCCAGAAATAAGGAAGGCTGAGTGAAATTATGCTCTCGTGGAACTATGAACCTCTCATGGACCATGGGAGGTGTCACGTGGGCTACGTTCCAACCGGGGGACATCGAGACTTTTATATCATTCGAAATGGGGCCGTGGCGGTGTTAAAGGTACTCGAATGATACATAGGGTAGTCAGTTGTCTATGCAGTTGTCTATGGACCAAGTCTGGTGTCACTATCGGGCATCAGCCCGTCATGTCTAAAAACAAGCCACTGTGTAGCTAAGCGTCTTCAATACGCTTACATTGGGAATGTCTGATTCTAATGGCAAAATCTCATTGAGGATTGGGGATATCAGAAGAGTAGAATGTCAAAATAAAAAAACCGACTGGACGGAATCTCCCAATCTGAAGCCCACGACGCCAGATCACCCTGGTATCGACGAACTCAAGACCGATCCGACCCTGTCCTCCGATGCGCACTGCAAAATCAAAAAATACAAACATCAAAGAGGATAGGATGAGGTCCATAAGATACCTCAACTCCTACTCTATCGCAGATTCTTGGATATCTCGTTTTCTTTTCTGACGCCTTCATTGCTTGCGTTCCGTGGTATCAATCAACAAGGAAAACCAACAAAAAGTCAACCGAAAACAAAACACGCTGATAATGAAAACAGAACAAAGATCAGAAACAGAAAATCAATTCAACCAGAAAGACAAGGGTATACTGCTGCAAATGGATATTTTGGTTTAACGCGGTGGCCCAATTGGGGCCGGGTATCCAGAAGTAGAATTGGAAGTGCTAGGACGACCACTATCAAAAGAGGTGCGCGGGTCATGCTTAGGCGTCATGTCACCCGGCGCGGTGCCGAAAGGAAACTTGGCGTCAAAGCGCGTGGGCCAGCCATTGCTGTTGCTGCTCTTGTGGCTGTGTGAGCTCCCCAGGACGGGCACGTCGTCCTCGGGGAGGTTCACGCCAGAGTCATTCCATGGATTGCGGTAGCCACTGTCACGTGATTCCATGGAGACAAGCGAAGCCTTAGAGGCATTGCTTGAGGCGTGTTTGAAGAACGACCCCGGCGAGGCGGAGTGGTTCTTGCGACCAATGAACGATGAAAAGGACGAGATGCTTCCGGGCTTGCGGAGGCGCTCGAAGATCGAGCCTCGCTCGCTGGTTTCATCTGAGAAATTCGGCCGGGTCGGCGAGTCGGTCGAGAGGGGCGCGGGGGCGTGCTGCAACAGCTTCGAGTCGAAGAAGGGCAGCGACTCTTCGAACGAGTCGGATTTGGGGCGCGGGATGGCACCCTTGACGGTGTTGGCAGCGAGTCCGTGACCGACAAGGCGGGAAATCAGGAAGTCGATCGCATCCTTCAATCCACCAGCGTTGTTGCGCGTGTATCCGAGGACCACACGGTCTTCGGGACCGGGTGTGGGGGAAGAGGAACCTTCCTCCGGGGTAGTCGGGAGGTCGGTACCAACGTCGACGTTGATATCGACCTCGTACTGTTCCTTGAGCTTGGTTCGAACATCAGCAAGGAAATCCGGAGACTTGAAGTATTCTCGTAGTTCCACTGAGCTCTGGAAGTGAAGCTCGTGGCTCTCCGGGACCATGCCAAGTAGTGCATCGACGGCCTGGGGAACCTGGTACTCAGGGCCGGAGATGGTGACAACGTCGCTAGCAAGTTCGGTGCTAGGGAACTCGATCTTGCAGTTCCATTTCTTTTCCAGCTCATCGATTTCAGTCATGCGGGCCAACAATTCACGGTGGTAGAGGCGGTTAATCACGACTCTCTCCGAAACGTATTCTGCATCCTGTAGATTGTGAGTTTCAACACTGGCATTTTAGCTGCGGGTACTGTCAACACTTACAACTTTCTCGACCATGTCCATGATCTCCTGCTTGACAAGGTCCAGACTCTGAGCGTTGCGAGCAGGTGTCCGACATATCACGTTGTCGACCTTGATATCATCATCCTCCTTGCCCATCCCGCCACGGTCCATGGCGTTGGAGAACTTGACGAAGACAGAGTATTTCTTCATGATGCGCTGGATGTGCTGTCCACCAATACCGATGATTCGTTTGTGGTACTGATCAGGCACGTGGAACGAGATCGATGCCGGCATCTCCTGCTCAACCAGGTCCAAGCCATTCTTGGTCGACTCGTACTGGTTGCCGCACACGTCGATATAGAAGTTGTACTCGTTGAAACCGTCGAAGATGATCTGAACATTGCCTGCAAGCGAGTTAGCATTTTATGTCATAGGCGAATCCCTTGTAAAACTCACTTTGGCCCATGATCTTATTGATCTTCCCGTTTTTCTTGCCGCTAACAAACTCCTTGTGCTCGTTGGCCAGCTCAATCTTCACCCGCATCTGGTATTGGCTTCGCATCACAAAAGGAATCTGGTTGATAACTGTCATGGCAGCCTTGACTGCATCGTCCGACCCGTTAATCGTGAAAGTCAGATTGTCGAAGCTGAGCTCGGCTTCCGAGTTGGTGCAAATATCTGACAGCATGGAGCGAATATCGGCGGTCGAAGGGGCACGGAGACCACCTTGGGCGGGGTCGGGCATGATAATCCACCATGAGGCACTGTAGAATTGGCCAGCCTGTACATTATGAGGTTAGCAGTTCGTTCGGTCAGCATTCCACCAAAGTACGAACCAGAGCCATGATTTCCCTAACGGTGCGCTCAACGTGCAACACCTCGGTGCCTTGAATCCGAACAAGACCGCGTTGGCTGCCCAACTGCGGGAAAAGAACATAAGACCCGTTCATCTCCATCACCTTCCGGACCTTATCCAGACGGTCCAGCAGGATGTTATCAATCTTGCTTGAGCTGACCACCACATCCTTGACAAAAATCTTCACGCCCATTACCAACTCTCGAAGCTTCTGCTTGGCGCGAGCAATCTGCTCTGGTGTCTCACCGGTAATGTAAACCTCATCTTCGCTTCGACGATTCGCACCGGGGGGTATATAGCCGAAAATCTGGGGGAACGGCGGAGGGAAGTAGATGGCGGTGCCTGTAGCAGCCTCGATGAGTTTGATGTTCTTGCGAGTGCGTCCACAGACCAAGGTGTGCATAGTCGAGTCCAACTTGATAGCGTCCACATGGCGTTTGAGCTAGTTTTCAGTTAGCTAACCGACCTCAAGCGACCCGCACACAAGGAACGTACTATTTGGTCAATCATGATCAGAACCCGGGTTTTGGCGTGTTCCGAGCTCTCCAAATCGCCGTAGATGGCAACCCGGAAGCGCTGTTCCAAGCCATTGTCCGATGCGTAACCATAGGACGATACCACCGCACTGTCGGCGTCGTGGAGCTTGGGTGTCAGCAAGAAAATGTCAGCTCCGGTGTAGGCAGCCAGAGTGTCGAGATGCTCAAGCACGCTAGCTCGGATTCCCTTCGGTGATCCATCGATGATCAAATGCATATCCACGTCGACAGTCGCACATCGCTGGTAGTCAACTGTATGTTAGCAAGGAAAGTCTGTGGGACTGAAAATCCTGCTGGTGACGGAACCAAAAAATTTCGACGTACCAGCATGATCGGAGTCTCGTTCAAAATCCTCGCCCGCATCTTCCGCGCCAACTCCCCATCACCAGTAACACAGACGTTGGTCACCAAGCCGTTCGGGCGTCGTTGTAGTGCTGGCACAGCCTTGGCCTCGGAGGTCGTGAGCGTAGCTTCCACTCGTCCCCCTTTCTCCTCCGTGATCTTCCGGCATAACCTCTGCAAGCCTTCAACATTGTTCGTATGGACGGGAAGTTGATGCACCGGTGTACCCTCCGGGGTGCCTTCCGGGAAAGTCCAGCGCTGGAGAGCGCCGGGACTGGCGTGAAGTACATCCTCAACATCAGGGCCGGCTAGGGTTGACGAGAACGGAACGTTAAAGGACAAGTTGACAGTAGGGTCGATACTAGATGGCGGTGTCATGGGCGGCGCACCGTGTGGCCGGCGAAAGGCCATGTCGGTGTGAGGTCTGGACATCCCGAAAGTCGGCGTCATTCGTTCCCAACCATGACGGGCCTGACCCGTAAAGTTGGATATCTTGTGCATGTTAGAGATATTCTCTAACCCCTTGAACGAGTCGAGGGGATAGAGAGGAAGAAAGTGGATGAGAGTTGGTTGGGAGTTGGTTGGGGGGGGGGGAGGAGATGGAAGGAATTAGGCCGTTCTCGACAGGGATGGGAATGACCTGTGTGGGCGTTTCGACCCGGGAATGGTGGAAACGAATATCGATTGGCGGAGGACAAACCAACCAACACAAATCTTTAATATGATATGAGAAAGAAAATGAATGAGATGAAGTTTAGAAAAAGAAATGAATCAATATATTGAAAAGGAAGAGAAAAATACACAGAAGAAAGGAAGTAAAAGGAACAAAAACAATTGTGAGCGAAAATAGGTGTCGTCAGTCTTGCGGGTCTCTACAAGAACTTGACTTGTTCTTGATAACGAGGCGTATTGACATATTGACCTTTCTCTTGCAGGGGTCTTTAGCTACACGTCCAGGTACCTTTGAAAGCTTCCTCGGCCTGATCTGCTATAAGATCTCTAGTTATCTGATTTCATATTCAGTGAAGAATGCAGGATACAACAGAATGCCTCGCAAGGGTCTTCTTGGCATCGTTGAGGGATGTGTCCAATATTGAAGTGGATAACTAGTTCGATATGTACGAAGTAGATCGTACAGGCCTAGTAAGTAGTTAAGTCAAGTATCTCCCGAATTTGAAGTCCCGGATTATCTTTTATGTCTTAGCCTCATGTCTCATCTCTCGATCTCAGCTGCCTTGAGTCTCGACTGCCAAGTTTATCACGTGGATGGATCTCAGCTCCCATCGACAACGCAATAACTACACAGTACTGTGTCCGGCACAACTCATGCTATGCCTTCCCCTTTCATACCTGATCTAGTGAAGATACGGCTTTCAGGCACTTCCATCGGGATCCGAGCCATTCCGTACCGTACCTAACATACAAAGGTCGATCCTTTCATAGGCCCCGGGATAGAGAACCCTGTATGCCGCCGTATCCTCCCCCGATCCACTGGGCTTAAGGCAAATGATAGGCCGCCCATCACTTGCATCACTTGGACCGGCTAGTCCGGACACTCAAAGTAAATGAGGGGTTAAGCCTGGTCAGGCATGTGGAGCTTGATCATACAATGCTCCAGCTGCATTTTTCTGATCGCCTCCGATCGTCCTCTGACATGTCTAGACTCATCGGGGCAACTTGGGGCTGCTTCCGATACATACACAGCCCGTACAAATACCCAACTCCCGTTAAACACGAAGATACAAGTACCGTATGCATCTGCAGGAGGTCGTCTTGCCTAGGATGACTTCCACGATAACATTCACGATAACTTCCCCTCAAATAGTCGACGTCATCTTCTCGTATAGGCGGCAGTGGGTCACTTGGTCAAGTCAAGGACTCGACAATTCCGACTGGGTGGACCATTGACTTTGAAATTGAACTGCGCCATTGTCACATCCCCGCGGTTTCAAAGCGAGCGCATTTCTGGTCCGCATGATTTGGCTTGTAGAAGCTTCCACTTTCCATGGGACCTCATACGCACAATAGTGGCTGTGAGGTAAACAAAACCAAGCGAAAAGCGCTGGAAGTCAACCTTATCTCTTGAACAACAGTCAACTTTCCAGCCCTGGAAGATAAATGCCTTACTTCAACAATAGGTTCTACTCCGTACCACTGGAGCCCTGTTCACAGCTTGACAGTGCATTGTCTGTATTCAACCTTGACTTAACGATGTTTCTCGCATAAATGCTATACCTATCAGTCGGCTAGAAGCATAATAAGCATTTTCAAGTCGTCAATGGGTACCGCTCTAATCGCTGAGCGCGATCGACCGGTCTAAGTTGATCATACGTGAAGTTCTCTCGCATGGTACTGCGTAGTTCTATGGCAACCAAATCATCACTAGAATTTAGAAAGGTTCTTATTGGCTGATAGCACCTCACTCGTCACATTTGGTGCCCGTCCCAACGGTCAAACCCGCTCTTGCTCCAGTGATTCAGGGACAGTATATCAATATGTCGTTGATGATGGAAATTGATAGCCACCGACAAATACTTTCCTCGCAGTACTATTTTATGACAAGGTGGCGAGGACCTAGTTTCCCAGATAGTATGAAATCGAAGAGGGAAGAGCAGACCATCAGTTCTGTACAAACTTGTTATAGTCACCGTTGTTACTTGGATTGTAGTATTTTCGTCTCTTTCAGCTAGACAATAAGAAGATGGCTTCTGTTCTCAACAGCCGTAAGGTATTGTTGTGATGGTCTCAACAAACCACTACTGTGTGCATGGAGTCTAATAATCCCCAGGAGTGACTTCCTCCTAGTCCAACCCATCGCTCCTTCCACTTTACATATTTGATGCTCATTGCTCTTGTCTCTTCTTTTCCTCTCGGCCTCTGACTGTTGACAACTCGCTTTCTCCTCCTCTCAATCCACAAGTGGACAAGAGGAGCCAAAGGCAAAACTTATTATTATATTCTTACTCTGAATAGGCAAGGCAAAACTTAACTCCAACACCAACGCCGATGTGCGCGAGTTGAAATGCCAGGTACGTGCAACTCATAGTATGTCAACCCTATACTATGCCACTTGTACACAAGCCTTGTGTGTCTCTGAATGTCTCCCACAAATGATGATGAATGCATGGCTTAACGGATGTGGCCTAGGCTACAATGCCGAGGAAATTGTCACTCTGATGTGAAAAGGGCGTGTTGCAGGAGCCAGTGGATGATAGTTACAATTCTTGTTTGAGAGCTACTACTCACTGACCTGGTTCTTTCGCTTTGACAGATCTCATTCTCAACCTTCCCTTAACACGCTTTTCTCGAGAGGCTCTCCTTCCTCACAGGCTCACGCCGAGGTTGCAACTGATGCCCGGGATATAATTTGTTGTCTAAGAAGAGCTTCAGCCAAAACCCGGAGATTTGCCTGCTAACGATGCACAGTATGTGAGAAACCGTGTTCTCTAGACAGAGATTGCGAAGGCTTCCAGTGGATGAATGTTCGGCTTCCAAGTTGTCCAAATGATGAAGATCAAGAAAGGAGGAATCTTCCATGTCTAAAACCTTGCGACCATCTGATGTTCAACGAGGATCATCGGGCATTTCCATCCACTGTGGCGGCATCTCTAGGTAGGTATTCCCGGTTGAACATCCAGTCTTGCAGGTGTGTTCCATCACTCAGAAACCGGAGACAAATGGATCTATTACGATGTATCTGGCTATTTTGAGAGTACTACCTAGTTGAAGGGATGAATATGTCAGGACTGTGCAGATATATTTTGCTGATATGAGCCGCTGAGAATGAATGTAAATACAAATCCAACAATGCTTCGCCATAAAATGAACAGAACATGCGTGGCACGCTACTGGTAACGCTGTGGAACCCGCTGAATCGTATCGTTCGCACCATCCAGCTCAAGGCGATCTCCCTCTTCAACTTCGTCATAATACCGTTGCTCCCGAACGAGATACGGTCTCTCAACGTAGTCCACGACCGGTCTCTCGTCCATGAAGAGGCTGGGCTCGCGAACTGGACCGGTGGGCCGCACACTCCCAACTCGCTGAACAACCTCATGGGGGTTTTCATAGCGAGCCTGTGTGGGATGAACACTGGCTGTTCGTATTAATCTCCTCTGAGGCGCTCCACGGTCATCAATATAGACTGGGTGACGAGGAGGAAGATACTCTGCTACTTGGACGCTGCCACTCCGTGTGTAAGGTTCGTGGCCTTCAGACGGGGCAACGTAGCTTGGCCTCTCATGGGCTGTTAGAGGGCGAGCATACTCTGGCATCACTCGTCTATAGACTGGCTGGGGCGGGGGCATTTCTTGCACGTAGCGTCGTTCACCGTAGGGATCCTGCACAATGGAAGCGGCACGGACACTGCCCGCGCGGTGGGGCACTCTTTCCTCGTAAGCACCCTTCGGCATCTGAGAGACTGATCGGTGCTGAGGTGGAGGAGGTATGGGCTGCAGCCTTGGTGCTGGCAGTATCTCGTAGTACTGATTGCCATGCTCATCAACCACAATCCGACGTTGAGGGGGTGCCATCACGCGCGGCGGCAGTGCTTCTTCATAATAAGGCTCTCGATACGTCGGGGGTGGCAGGTCATCAGCAGCAATGTAACGATGCTGTGCGTATGGGGCTTCTTCGTAATACCTTGGTCGCTCCTGGGAGGGGCGTTCCACAACGTATGATGCTGCCCGAATTGGGCGCGATGGTGCCTCAATGTATTCACGAGGATAGTCGGATTGGCGAGCATACTGTACACTGGCCACTCGTCGAAGATCGGCTTCCTCGCGCATTGGCCGTCTGGTGCCCAGTCGGGAGACGGTACGCTGGCGTCCGGCGTCTGGGGGCGCCTCGTAATACGGATCAATCTCATAAACCGGCTCTCGCATGGTTGGGCCGCGGCTCTCGTATACTGGAGTGTATCGAGGGGAGGCGATGTCAACGTAGACGGGGCGGCGCTCTTGCGGGTGTCGGTCGCGCACCACGATGGGATCATCGGCGAATGGTGGCGGCGAAACCGGCTCCTCTTTGATAAACACCTCGGTAGGTTCTGCATTTTGTCTTTTGTACATGCTTTGGCGGGACCCCTCATCACCTTCACGCAGCCTTCTCCGCTTACGGGAAACGATGTTAGGGACTGGTGCATTTGGGCTACCCCGAGCAGAACCGGGCTCCAAATACACTGGTTCAGAGCCAAGTCCATATCTTCCATCGTGAATTTGCGCGGAGGGACCTTTGGCAATGGCCAAAGGCGACACGCGAGATGGCTGAGGAGCTACCGGTGATGTGATGTGGCTTTGGACTACCTTCACGATTGCTGGAGACGGGGTTCTGCGTACATCCCGGGTTCGGTCGGCGTATCTGGCATCTGGCCGTGATTGTCTCCCAGTACCATTTTCTACCCCGCTGGGATATCCACGATGATCCACCGGTGGCGCTGCTGGAGCAGGGGGAGAATATTCGGGTTCTTCCATCATCTCGACTTGAAGCGGTTCGTGGGGCTGGCTCACGGGAGCCTCTGGCTTGTGGGCACTGGTCTGCTTCTGAGAATGGGAGTGACGCTGGTCAGCAACAATGTAAGCATCTTGCATTTCCTGATCAGATCCAGGTCGGTTGAGAGCTTCAAGTCGCTGCAACTCATCTGAGTAGTGGTTTACCGGAACATGAGCAGCAGTTGCTGTCTGTGCAAGCGTAGCCACTGGAGACGACTTCTGCTGTTTGCCAGCCTGGGGTGGCGAGTCAGGAGCTCTACTGGAGTAAACTGAATTTTCGTCAAAGGATTCACTTGCAGCAGCGCCCGGTCCACTGGCCTCGGACACATCACTGATTGAGACTGGTTTCACCACCTCAAGAGCTTGCTTGAACACTTCCGAAACATCGAAGTCAGGCTTAGTGTCTTGGACCGCGGGCCGCTGTTTAGCCTCTTGTTTCCTTAGATCCGCTTGATCACGCAGTGCCCTCTCCAACCTCTGCCTCTGTAGTTGTAGCTCGGCCCTGATCAAGTCGTCCGACTTGGTCAAGAAAATGGGATCGATCTCGGATGTAGGTTTTGATGCCACACGGGCGGGTTGTGGTGCTGCGGACAAGGTGTTTCTGGCCGAGGCACTCTGCGGACTAATGTAAGGTTGCCTCGTGTTCTTCAAAGCCACGGGCGCACTGTCCACGACTTCCTTCGAAAGGGGGTTCTTAGGTAAATGAGTCCGAAGAGGGACATTTTGGGCGGTTTGCCCAGATTTGCGCACGAGATGTTGCGGAACACTGAGACGCGGATGGTTGCCCGAAAAGATTTGATCACTGATGGTTAAAATCTTTTCATATTCCCGGACCTCATCATCCAATGTAGGCACTGAAATAGCCATCGGGTCTGCTGGAAGGTGAGTTGCTATCCCATGAGTTGCGGCCATGGCCCTAGGGGAAACCAGGGAAGGATAGGTGAAGCTAGAATGAGAGGACGAAGCGTAAACACGTTTGCTAACGTGTCAAGTACACGTCAATATGTCCGCTCAGTCCTATCTACAATTGAGAAGGCGCTGAGTGTTGGAATGTTAAGCAAATGACAGGGTTGTAAAAAGTTCACGAGACTGGCCGTCGGCGCTAGGTCCGATTACGTAACGGCATGTATCGACGCTGGGGTATCGGGCAAGTTACGGAGAGAGATGACTGGCTTCGCTTGCTCTCACTTCCTTTTGACTTATGCAGCGCTCTTTCTCGTTTCCCTCCTATAGGTTCATTAGACCTGTTGCGACCATATCTAGACTTTTACCTGTCACTTTACACCTACAATATTGCAACTTAAGATCCATGGCGACCAACGGAGCCAACGGGGTCAGTGACTCACGGCCGATCTTCTTTTTTGATATTGACAATTGTGTAAGTTGAGAGAGCCTAAACATGGATCGCAAAGACATTGAGCACTAACCTCTTCGACAGCTTTATTCCAAAAGTTAGTGGCTGCATCTTGGCGCTTGGTGGCCGTCCTATTAACAGACAGTACTTCCGCGCAGGTTCCAATATCCATGATCAGATGCAGAAATTGATCAGTAAGCCATGCCTACAGAATATACTGAAGCATATAACTAACTCGAGTTTACTGCTGCTAGATAAGTTCTTCGTCAAGCACCTCGACCTCAAAACCGAAGATGCCCACATGCTCCACCAGAAGTACTACAAGGAGTACGGACTTGCCATAGAGGGCCTCACCCGCCACCACAAAATCGACCCGCTCGTGTTCAACTACGAAGTTGATGATGCTCTACCCCTTGACGAGATTCTCAAGCCAGACCCTAAGCTGCGCAAATTGTTAGAGGACTTGGACACGTCCAAGGTGAAGCCGTGGTTGCTCACGAATGCCTATATTAATCACGCAAAGCGCGTTGTGAAGCTGCTTGGTCTTGAGGATCTTTTCGAGGGTGTCACCTATTGTGACTACGGAAGTTTGCCATTGGTTTGCAAACCGAGTCAGGACATGTACGCCAAAGCAGAGAAAGAAGCTGGTGCTCCCAGCACGGAGTCGTGCTATTTTGTTGGTTAGTTGCGATCCATCACAGGCAGGAGGCCTTTTGGACCGTCCTTGGACTCTTTATGTTAACAGTCAGAAATAGATGATTCCTACCTGAATTGTGTACATGCGCATGCTCGGGGCTGGACTACGGTTCACCTTGTCGAACCAGGTGTTCACATACCACCAAAACCGGCGTCGAAATATACGATCTCGAGTCTTGAAGAGCTTCGAGTGCATTTCCCGCATGTTTTTAGACAGCAAGGCCAAAGCGATAGCATTTAGAGCTGGGCAGGTTATGGCACTCTTTTTTTGTTTCGCTAGACAGATGGTTTACGACAATGAATGTATATGACTCTGGTGATCCACCAACACAACTGAATATGGCAATTCGATATTATTCCAATGAGTGAGCATTCGCCGTCTCCCGGGCTCATTAGTCTTTGGGGCGTGCGATGAGTCGTAATGTTCCATAGTAGAAGTTTCTGCCTCAGGCAAATGTCGGTCACTTGACGCGCTCCGCTGGTCTCAGGAGTCTCCGTGTTTCTGTTCTGTCAACAACCGAACCTCCCCGGTTATTGCTCAAGAGCTCATTGTAGCTCTTGAATGAATTACACCATGTCTGGCCAAGCATTATCCGCAGGCTCGGTTATTGAGCTACCCGATGGACGACGAGCGACGGTGCGGTTCTGTGGCACCACCCACTTTGCGGACGGAGAATGGATAGGACTTGAATTAGATGATGCCACCGGCAAAAACGACGGCTCAGTTCAAGGTGAACGCTACTTTGATTGTGAGCCAGGATATGGCATGTTTGTCCGTCCAACGGTAGTTGGCAAGGTTGTCCAAGTTGCGCCGGAGAGTAAACAAACCACCAAACAGGGTATCAGCACCGCGGGTAGCAGAACACAGCCTAAACTTGGACCTCCCGCTGGATTGCGGAAGCAGACTGGTCTCCCCCTGCAGCAGCAAGGCGACAGAGTACCAATGCAGCCTCAACTCCTACACCGGGCCCGCGGGGCGCGGCCGCTCGAGCGTCTATACGCGTATGTCATATGCTCTCCTGGCCTACCTTGTTCTATGCTCATTGTACATTTCACAATATTTAGTCACCTACAAAGTCCCCAACGAAACAACTCGCAGCGACGGCGGGCCACGCTTCTCGTCCCTCCCTCGGGAGTACCTCCCGCACCTCCACAGTGGCGTCCAACCGACCACGGATAGCCCCCAGCACAAGAAACTCCTTGAGTTCTTCTGCAACACAATCAGCAGCCGCCCGAGGCACGCGTCCCTCGGTATCGGGCCCAGCAGCTCGGATCTCAAGGCCCGGCTCCCAAAGCACTGTAGCTTCCTCAACTTCGGGGCTAGCAAAGCGTCCGTCGTTGCGACAGGTAGACAGTGCAAGGGCATCAGACGGAGAAGATCCCGGTCCCAGTGGGCGATCCGGAGATCCCACTGATACCGAGTCGCATGACACCGAAGGGGATGGTGGCGCACAGGATGGATCTCCTGTTCCGAGGAACTCCCGGCAGTCGACTACTGCTACGCGCCCAGCTATCTCGCGCCCTGGAGCACCGATTTCTGCAACCCAGCGCCAAGTGCAAAGTGCTGCTGTCAACCGTGAACTCGAAGAACTCAATGCTAAGCTCAAAGTCATGGAAAAGAAGCGAGCAGAGGACAAGGAGAAGCTCAAAACTCTTGAGCAACTTCAAGCCGAACGCGATAAGTTTGAGACGATCATCCAGAAACTTCAGGCGAAGTACCAACCACAGCAAATGGAAGTAACGGAGCTACGCAAGAAGCTCAAAGAGCTGGAGGCTCGTTCGGATCAAGTGGAACGCATGCAGGCAGAACATGAAACGCTCCTGGAAATGGCCACACTTGACCGAGAAATGGCAGAGGAGACGGCCGAGGCATTCAAACACGAGTGTGCAGCGCTACGATTGAAATTAGACGAGGTCAACTTGGAGGTTGAGGTTCTCCGAGAGGAGAATGAAGAGTACAGCCAGGAGACGACCCCTGAAGACAGAACCACTCACGGATGGCTTCAGATGGAGAAAACCAATGAGCGGCTCCGCGAAGCACTCATTCGCCTGCGAGATATGACGCAACAACAGGAGTCAGATCTCAAAGCCCAGATCAAAGAATTGGAAGAAGACCTCGAGGAGTATGCCGCCGTAAAGTCTGATTACGAAGCTGCGAAAGAGAGACTCTTGGTCGCTGAGACCAATGTTGATGAGCTCAAGCAGCAGCTGGAGACAGCACTTGGGGCCGAAGAAATGATCGAAGAATTGGCCGACAAAAACATGCGATACCAGGATGAGATCAATGAGCTCAAGGCTGCAATTGAGGATCTGGAATCTCTCAAGGATATCAGCGATGAGATGGAGTACACACATATAGAAACCGAAAAGCAACTCCAGGAAGAGCTCGAGTACAGGGAGACTGTCTTCAACGAGCAATGCCGAAAGATCGTGCAACAAGACGAAGTCATTGAAGACCTTGAATACACACTAACTCGGTTCAGAGATTTGGTGACGTCCCTGCAGGGTGATTTGGACGACATGCGCACGAATAAGCAGGTCTCAGAGGCAGAAACCACAGAAACTGCAATGCGCCATCGCCAGATGCAAGATTTGACTATGAAACTACAAGCCAATCAATCGAAGGCCCTGGCAAAGTCCATTGACGTCGAGCTAAGTCGTATGGAGGCCGAGGAAAACGCGCAACATCTTTCAATGGTAAAGCTTTATCTTCCGGAATACTTCGAAGGCGAAAAAATTCCATTCAAGCTTTGCTTAGGTTCAAGCGCGTCGGTTTCAAGGCCAATGTCATGAGCAGCACCCTTCAGGAAAAAGGATCCGAGCACTCAATGTCCTCCAACGAAGAGCTTTTCCAAGTCCATGTGGTTTTGGAATATCTCATGTGGATTTCAAATATATGTGATCGGTTTGTCAACTACATCACAGCTTGCTCGCCCGAGCAATTTGGCAATATCAAGGTCGCAATGTTTGAGATGGAGCCCGTCGAGCGCACGTTGAACTTCTGGATTGAACCACTGAAGAAGGACGAAGTCAATCTTGGAAAGCTTGCAGTGGAATTACAGCGATCGATTGCTCTCCTTGCACACCTTTCTGAGACCCTGCTTCCCTCCAGCCTGGAGATGTTTGCCGATGAGCTGTGTATGCGCGCCCATCTATCCCAGTCTTACATCGAGCATGCAGCTGGCTCAATCTCGCGCGTGAAGCTCATCATCAGCTCCAAAATGGTAGCTGCAGAGGAGGGCGACGAGGAGAATGTGCTTGCTCTCAACAAACTGGATGCTTTCATTCCTCAGGCTCGCGGATACAAGGTCGCGATGGGTAAAATTTGCCGGTCTCTTGATGACCTGCGGTCGAGATCGCTTGCACTTCCAAAGGAGGCCGACGAACCGTTCAAGAGAATCGAATCTGAAACCAAGCGGCTTTCGGAGTTTGCTCGCAAACTCGGCGAGAATCTCGTCATTCTCACAAGCGACGAAGGACGCACAGAACCTTTCACTCCAGAGGAGATTCTGAGTTGCATGTCTCAGGTGTCCGCCTCCTTCATCTCGTCTACTGAAAATGCGGATGAGACTAATGACCCCGTCTCGGTGCTTTTCACCAAATTGCGGGAAGTCGGGGACCAATTCGAGGACCTTGATTCCACCTCGTCTGATTTGTCCCACACAACAGAGTTTGAACGCGGTGCATTCCCTTGGGTTGCCCGAGCTGCGGAATTGAAGTCTAACAAAACAACATCTCCTGATGCGGATGAAGAAATTCGCCAATTGAGAAATGAGATCCACGAGGCTTCCGCCGCGCTCAGCCTCAAGGACAACACACTTGAAGAGCAAGGGCTAAAGATCGAACACCTTGAATCAAGGATGCGAGAGGCAAGCAAGAAGGCTGCCATGGTCAAGGACCTCGAGGCCAAGATCGAGGAGATGCAAGCAGCAGGAATCGAACTAGAAAAAACAGTCGAGCAACAAAGGAAGGAACTTCAGACAGCTGAGGCCGAGCGAGACGAGTTCATGGCTCGTCTTGATCGCATGAAACGGATGTCTGGAACTGCAGGCCTGACGACCGCCGGCGGCGGTGCTGTCATCGCCAGCGAGGCTTCCTTAGCTGCCATGGATGAGAATGAATCACTCCGTGCCGAGGTACAAAGCCTCCAAGCAGCTGTGCGTTACCTCCGCGAGGAGAACCGCCACACGAACATCCTCGACCCATACTCAGTCCAGCGATCTACTGAAATGCACGCCTGGCTTGACGCACCGCTCACACATGCTAAACTGAGCCCCGAACAAGAAAAGATTCAGCGCACTGCTCTGGAAAGTCGGGACGTCATGACCCATCTCCTCAAATTAACCAAAGAGTCCCGTGTCACAGATCTCAAATCCACAATGATTGCTCCAGGCAGCGGGGACAACGACGGCACTGGCCGCACTGCCTGGCGCCCGTCGAAGACCCGCCTCCGCTATCAGGTACTTCAGCAGCGCGAAAACTTCGAGCATTGGGCCGAATGGCGCGATGATATTGTAAATCATGAACGTGAACAGGATCGCCTGGTCGCCGCCAAGCACGATCGCGCAATGCGTGATCGTGTCTCTAGACATGCTCACAAAGCTTCGGTTGAATTTCCTCAGGGCTTAGGTCATGGCATGATGGGTCGTGCTTGGCAGATCTTGGGCATGCAGAAACACCGCAAAACTGGCTCTACGAGCATGCCTGCTCTGGACGGTGTGGAGATAGTATCAGCAGACTGAAGCTTCTGATTCTCATTATGATGAGGACATGCAAATAAGTCTGGTTGTCAATGGTTTCTTGTGGTTGTACATAGCTCTCATCTTCCCTTTTTTTTTGTGCCCTATTTGTCTTTCTGGCAGCTACAGATATTGTCCTTTACGATACCCTACAGAGATAGCTAGCGTCAGCTTTGGTGTACAATCTTATTGTTTTGCATAACTGGTTACAACTGTTTAGGTTATCCACACCTCTTTCTCAACCTTTGACAAGTGTCCTATATGCTCGTAGCTTTCAAATCTGTTCATTATCACCTCTCGTAAAATAGCGACTATTATATTCATTCCAAAGCGGCAAGTACCAACCCACCCAGGACCAAATCGGGGTATTTCAACGCGCAATAAAGACATGAGAAAGGTCCGAGAAGAAAACAGCTAGCAACAATGCATTCAACAAAGCCGCATGGAGTGACTGAATGCCAGAAGACGAGCCCAGGAAAGAGTTGACCGGGTAGCTCGCCATCGGTATCCCACGCCTGAAACCCGTCGTCGAACAAAACTGCACAGAACTCAAAAAGCCAACCCAATACCAGACTCGTGGGGCCTGACTCGGCCGTCGCCACGATATGCAGAGAGCTTATGATGCTGCTGCTGGCCCTCAAAGATAGTCGGGTAGCAAACACCAGCATCAATTTCCTTTTCCGCTGTAGACGAAGAAACTTGGAATGAAGCTCGTGGGGTCATAGCGCTAGAAAAAGCACTAGAGATGGAGCTATTGTTCCGCCCTTTTCGACCGCCAGTGATGGTCGTGGTATTAGATGCAACGGTGGTGCCACTTAGTGTGCGGGCTCGCTCCCAATTGATCCCATATTCACCTGGCGGAGAGGGTTGCTTTGGGATCGGGGGAAGTTTACTGGATGTTGGGAACATCCAGCGGGTTACGCGGTTGGAGAGAGAAGAGGAAGAAGAGGAAGTTGACTCCCTCGTGTTTCGGGTCTCGGGGGATAGGATGGAGGGACGACGGGAGGATACCTGCGTCGGCATCGTATGTAAACTGGCTCGTGACGATGTACCTCCGGAGACGGGCGAAGAGTTGGTTGATGATACATCCGGCGAGTCTGTCGTCAGACTCTTGGACGCTGGTGGAGTTTGTGGCACTCTTCCCCATGGGATGTTTGCATCGTCCGGCCGTAACGTATTGTTAAGTGTGAGCCTGGTGCCTTCCGATTTCGATCGCCCGTGCACGGGAGATGATTCCTGCGGATCTGGAAGCTGGATCTCGACGGGAACGACCTTGGAGAAATGCGGGATCAGGGCGCTGGTGATGCGAACAGGCTCTTTGGCAAGTAAAGGTTCCAGGTTACCAAGTGATCGGCGGTTCCGAGAACCGACCGGCTTGCGAGATAGCACCAGAGACATCTGGCGATGTCGATCTCGAACGCCGGTCGAGGTGGTGAGAGCACGAGGGGGCGCCGATAGCGTCTTGCGCTGGGTGCCGTCGTCGAACTCGAAAGTTTCGAATGAAGGTAAGTCCGATAATCGATGGCCTGATCGATGAATGCGGAGATCCAAGGGTTGGTACGTAGGGGCTGGAGGACAATGATATGATGGTGCTGGATGGTCATAGAAGGATTGTACTCTGCGGAAGTCGGAGGGTGCACTAATCGTCAACGGGGTTGTTGAAGTTCTTTTCAAAGACATGCTTGCTCGATTCGAGGCGCGCGATGCAAGTTGTCGTCCATCGTTGATCCATGATGACAGCGACCCTCGTGACAGTGAGACCCGATGGTGATGGATACTTGGGCTAGGTAGGTCATCATACACCACCAGCTTCATGGGTGGGACAAGATGCGGTTGAGTATGGCATACGTTCATCTCCCGTTCAACGCCTGCTGTGTATATCAGCCTGCGATCACATCGAGAGTCGACTGTTATCCCACGTATCACATACCATTGCTTTCAACTTTGCGACTGGTTTGACAGTCTTCCTCCGGGGCTAGACATGCCCAGCAGGACCGTATCCAGCCGGTGAATAGCGACCCTGCTTTCTCCAAAGCGGTCATGGCGACCAGCGCGTTCAGATATTAAGACATCACCCTCAAGGTGAGAAGAGAGAGGAAAAGAGCGCAGGAAAAAGAAACAAAGAGAAGGACAGACAGTAGCACTGAGTAGCACAAACAGCCCGCCTTCGATGGGATGAGAACATCCCCTCCTATTAAGCCTGACAGGCCAAATGTAGGCGCCTAACCCAACTCGTCCAGGCACACATTATCGTGGCGCCACTAATGTCGAGAACTACGCCCAAGAGAGAAAAAGATCCTGGTGCCAAGCGCATTGAGCTCTTTGATCGTCGAGAGCGGGCTGGTGAGACAACTGTTATTCGTTAGCGCCCCGGTGGAGTTGTCACATTTCTTAGTCTGCTTAACGAGCTACACTGCTACTGGAAGTACGCTCATAGCGTGATGAGAAGTCGGGCGCTTACAAAGATTGAAGGGATATCTGAGGTTTCTTGGAGTTTCGTAATGTTTTGCATAATTCATCATGCTTCGTGTCCGAAGCATAATATGTACAAAACAATGAATGGAAATATCAGATTGAGGATGAAAGGAACTGGGAGATCGACGAACATGAGGGCATTAGGATAGATGATCGTAAGACGGGATTCGTCAAACAATTAGGACGCTACAGGGCCCTACTTGTCCCATACATTGTCTTGCTCCAAGCCCTCGTAGGCCCATTTGCGGTGATCTTCGTCATGATTAGTCTCGCCAGCCTCGTCCTCTTCTTCGATTGGCTCCCCGGAAGGTCTTCTGGAAATTGTGACTGGGGTTAGTGGCTCTGCTCAGATCTCCTATCTGCCAATGGATACGAAAACTTACTCAAAATGCCGGGTTTCAGGTTCCGTCCATGCAGAGCCGAGCTCTCTCTGTGCTTGAGCTCGGTCTTCTTCCTCAGCCTCTGTATTTTCCACAACGAGGTCGACTAACTGGCCGTCTCGAGTGCCGCTAGAGCTGGTAGAGCTGACGTTCCGCTGCAAGGGAACAGGTGCCGCTGAGCTTGGGCCAGACTTATTAGAGCTGGCCTTGGGACTTCGTTTACTTCCGCCATCTGATGCACGACTTTTTCGGTGCTTGCGGGCCTTTCTGACGTCTGCTCCTCGGTTTGAATCTTGATCTCTCCTGGTGGCCGGTATGCGCTGGTCGCTTGGTACCACGTGGGCAGTAATTACAGGATACTATATCGGTCAGCATTTCAGCCACGACGTACTCTTCACAATAGCAACTCACATTCCAATCTCCAAACTCCAGCGCCCGAGCATTGGTAAAGAGCCGCTCATCTTCATCGTCCAGGGCGGTTTCATCGATCTCACTGTAAGATCGGAACCTCTCCCTGGAGGCTTGACTCCCTCGTTCGCTTCTACCGCGTTCACTTGATTCACCACCCAATAAAGGCGTGCGGCTATTGACTTCACCCGGTTTCGGGATCCAGTATTTCGCCTTACCGCCTCGCTCGTATCTCATGCCATGCATAACTCGCTTGACCCGCGACTCTGATTCTATGTGCGGGATGATATTATCACCCGAGTCAAAGAGGCGATATTCGTAATTCTCTCCACGAAGTGTAAGCTTGGTGTCTTCAAATAGATCCCGACCACCGAACGCATCGCGCAGTGCATATTTCACGGGCAAGCGTGCAGCCGAGATGGTTGGGTCTGCATAATCGTGCCACGAGAATGCATACCAATGTGCCATGGCAAAGAATGGCATCTCAAAGCAGATGAGACTGTCCTGAATGGCCGCCGCGAGGTTATCGGGGGTATACCCAGCAACGTGGCCAAGTGCGCCCAGCCATTGTAAGATCGACAAGAAAAAGCCTTGCCAATATGAGGCGAAGATAATGAGTTTGATGCAGAGAAACTTGGGGATTGGACGGAATGGTACGAGATCGTCATGCAAGCACACCCAGAACATGGCGAGAGAGTAGAGACTGACTGTGACGCTGACGTTGTATATGATACCTGTCCAGAGATATCCAGAGTTCAATCCAATATAACCTTCTTGATATGTGTCCGTTGCCTTCATTATCACGGTAGCAATAGCCAGAATGGGCTTCAGCCAAGCATACTGCAGGATCCCGCGTTTGACGGCGAGGAACGTGTGGGGGTCGGAGACGTCAATCTTTGGGAAAAGATGATTGAACGGCCAGGCATGCGAGATAGGAGGACGGCCGTGAGCCATGATGATCACGGCGCGCTCGCCGCCAAGGAAGTTGATAAGGAGCTGGAAGAAGGTGTAGATGGTGAACGCCTGCCAGGGCTATCCGTCAATACGCGCTCCTCTCATGCTTCATCAGAGACGACATACCTCGTAGACGTCGCGAATGGGATCCAAGAATTGAGCCGCTTTGAGCGACACGATACTCGTCCATGATGATACGGCATAAATCGGGACCCTAAGCTCGATCAGCGATGCTCTTAATCGCGCTTCTGAACAAATACCCAGGACAGTACTAACATCAACAGTATTCGCACCACGTAGCGTTGAAGTAGAGGTTTCCGGTAGTTCTTTCTATATATCTGGTAAGCTGCAATTCGAGAGGCAAGAAGCTTGAAGCTCGTACGTTTGGAGCCATATGGACCTGCGGGTTCAGATAACATGTCAGCTTGGAATACCACAACAATCGCAACCATAGAGAATATCAGGAGAGGCGGGAAACACTCACACAAAGGACAAGAGTGAGGAGACCAAAGCCGAAACCCCTGTGACAATGATGATCGCGCGTGCTAGGCTGGAGCCTGTCCCCCCACCAGTTGTGGTCGTCATGATTGCTGAGTATTAGGAACAAGTACGGTTCGGGGACCGCGTTTTGCCTATGGATATGGGCCAGATCATTCCGCGGAGTCGATAGAGAGGCAAAACATGGTGGATCAAGGCCAAAATGGGGGTAAGATCAAGCTGAGGAAATGTTGGCATAGAATGAGGAGGCGTTGTTATCCGATGACGATCACCTCGTGACACCGCTCTCGGCCTGTCCAAACAGTCTTCTCAACTTGCGACTTCCAGTACAGTCGATCGAGCCACATTGGTATTGATGATTGGAGGTCGCTATTGACTCGTCATTCGCGTTCTGTCGCGTTGACGCTGTCCATGTTGGCCGGGGCGAAATGGCCAGTACAAGCTTGACATCGACTTTCTTGACGCCGGACCCGAGCTTCAATTGGTATGGAATCGCTATTTGCGCAGTGATCGGTATGCTAACTGGTTTAGGTTCTTTCTTCTGGAACTGATTGTCTGTTGCATCCTGTAAGTTTGGGCTGTCCAATATGTCTGGTTTACGCTAATGGTCTTCATAGTGCTCTGTTCTTCCTGCTTTACTTCAATCGCCTCTTTGCGAACGTCCTCTCCTACGCAATCCGAGCATACACCTGGCATTATTACCGCGCATATGTCGATATCAATGCGCTCCAGATATCCTTGCTGGGCGGGAGAATCTTCTTCAAGGGCATTAGGTACCATGGGGTGAACGAGACGGTCTTTATCCATGGAGGATTCATAACATGGCGGTATTGGACGCGTACAGTTGAGCGAAATGACTTGACAGGGGTCCGACGCAAGACGGCTCTTCCCACTGATACCTCGGGGAAGAAACATGCACATGCCTCAGATGATCATTTGGGAGAACAAGGTGGCATGGAGAAGACCACCCAACTGCCGTGCCGGATCACGGTCAACACCTATGGTCTTGAATGGTTCATCTACAACCGGACACCCGCTTACGACAGTATCCTTGCTGGATTTGGATACTCTCCCAAGGATTCTGATGTAGACAAGGACGGCTCGAATTCACCGGGGTCTCGCGCGACGGCTGAACATCCGGACGGAAGCAATGCCGATTTCCACAATGGGCCTGGCCATCAGCCAACTACGAAAACCATGTCAGAACAAAGCATGAGCGAGAGGGGAGGGATCGATTCACAGAGGGCTACTGTCCGCGAGTCAGAACTATCCGACCCTGTATCTTACATGCTGCAACTCCTACCAGTGAAGATAGATTGCAAGAAAGGAGCTATTGTCATGGGCAATGAGCACACCCGATCTGTCTTGACAGCGACATTTGACACTGGGACGGGTACCGTCGACGCTTCCGATTCGGGCCCTCTTGATCTATATCGCCAGATATTCTCGTTTCAATTCGATAATCCGGTGATCCAAATGCGAATAAATCCGGATTTCAAACGAAATCAGTCAGCGTCCGCCAAAGCAGTAGCTGCCAAGGGAAAGAAGGAGCCTGGATCGAAGAAAAAGCCACAAAGTATCTTCAACTATCAAGTTCAGAGACGCAAGGTGTGGCACAGCATCCGGGATCTGGTACCTTACTTCCAGACGTCTGTGGAATCCTTCCATGTCAATCCCAGGCATGCTGATACTATGCCACGGAGTCAGGCAGAGTTCCCTGAAGTCCGCTGGACCGGTCTCTCCCGATATTTAGACGAACACAGCCAAGATGATCACGAGAAGTGGACCTCAGTTGAATATGCCCGGTATTCTACCATCTTGGATAGCCCTAGCTTGACGATAACCTATTTCTGGGACATTCCTGGGCGCGTTGTCGTTCAACCGACGTCAGCCGATCAACCTCACCCAATGGATAGCAATATCAATTGCGCTCTTTCCCCTGAATGGGGTATTGACCTCAAAGTTGATGGAGGCACGATCAACTACGGACCCTGGGCTGACAGGGAGAGGATCGGCCTGCAGAATATCTTCTTCCCGAACTTCTACCGCAGCAGTGAACCTACAAAACAACTAGCACCTGGTGTTTTGCGTCAGAGCACAGCTTTCATATTGCGGGTGGAAATCACCAAGGAACTGACACTTTGCATTCCCACACGAGAGTCCTCCAAGGATTGGCAGTGGAAAGGCCGTGCTGATGCTGTTGCTGGCACATCCAGGGCGAAGAAGCCGAATGATCAGAAAAAGGGGCGAGTCAAGGAAGGCGACAAGGGCCATCTTGGCCCTGAAATACGCCCCTTTGGGTGGCTTTCCCTCTGTGTTGCATCTGATTCCACTATCAACTATACCATGGACATGGTGGGCTCCAGCACAGGATTTCGCAATGAACTTTCCCTTGACTTGCGAGATTCAAGATTGTCATCCAGTATCAACCATGGCTTGCTCTGGCAATGTCCTCGGCAACAAGTCACTTGCGATTTGTCGAATCCGCTCTCGTGGAACAGTCTCCGCTCCTGGAAATTTACCGTCGAAAGCCAGAATCTACAGCTGTTTCTCCTACGTGATCATATCTTCCTCCTTACGGATCTCGTGAGTGACTGGGCTTCGGGACCGCCTTCAGACTACTACACATTTGTGCCTTTCATCTATGATTTGGATCTCAATTTCACTGATTTCCAACTTTTCATCAATGTCAACGACCGAAACATCATCAGCAACCCTTCAGATCTAGAGGATAACCGATTCATTGTTATCAAAGGCAAGCGCCTGGAATCGAACGTCATGATACCATTGAACAAATACCAGCCTGAACAGAATGCCATCAAGTTCCGAGTCCGCATTGGAGACGGCGGCGTGGACTACGTAACTCCACTCTGGGATACTCTACATGAGTTTCTGTCCCAAGAATCAATGGGCACTCTGGATAGTGTGGTCATTGATGGCTCCTATAACTATTTCCAGTTAACGTCCCCAGAGTTGACTGACACGCTGGTGCTCAATGTCGATGGACATTCACCTCGGCTATGCCTTTTTGGGTTTTTGATCAAGAGTTTCATGACGGTAAGAGAAAACTATTTCGGAGAGGAGATGCACTTCAAGACCCTTGAAGAATATCAAGAGCTCGTCTACGCCGACGAGCCACCGTCAAACCCCACCGGATCCAATCCAAACCGAAAGTCGAATGATCTGGATGTTCTTGTGCGTGTCACTGTTGACAGCCCCCGTGCTTTGCTTCCCGTGGATATCTACGATCACTCAAAGTGTATGGGACTTAGTGCGGCGTCGCTCGAGGTGGATCTACGCTTCACCAACTACTATATGGACTTGCAATTCTCTCTCGCTCCCCTCAAAATTGATCTAGAGAGCACACAGTCGGATGGCACCTCCAGTATCTCCGGGACCCAGCTGTTCATAGATGGATGCTCAGTGTACGGCCATCGCCTGTTTGGTTTGCCACCCCTTGAACCGACATACGTCTGTAATTGGGATTTCGACGTCGGACGAATCGTTGGGGAATGCTCCACCGAATTTTTGGCTTGCTTAACTTCGTCTTTGAAGACATTCGACTTCTCATTTGATAACGAGGAAAATGCGTTGCCAACGCTGTTCCCAGAGCTTCTATTCGACGTGACTTTCTTGAGAGCGAAGATTGACTCGATTCACGTCTCCGTGCTTCTGGACCAGACAGCTGTGATTTTGAGCACCCAGCCATTGAATGTGAATTTCAACGACTGGGCAAACACCAAATTCTCGAAACGGATGAGCCTTCTCGTTCCGGATATCTCTATTGCTGCCGTTGATCGTCAGTCCGTTACTCAGTCAAATCTATCAGCAGAAGAGATGGTCTCACCCATAGGACTCTTCAAGCTCACGCTTGGGTTGAAGATGGCTCTGCGTAAATCAGACATCGCGGAAGGCCGACGACTTCAGCAAGAACATATCAAAATCCATGATCAGCGGACTCACAGGGCACAATGGTTGCTTTTTGACTGGGAAGAGTCACGTCCAATCTCCACGCTTCCTCCGAACGGTGACATTTTCCCTCCAACGATCGCGATACCTTCAATGCCTGAACCCATCCATGGGAGAATGGTCTCTGTCAGTGCACCATCATATCGGGAACTTATAGGGACGCGTTCCACTGGGAGCGCAAAGAGCTTCCTTGTCGAGTCGGAAACGTCAAGTCTGAGGAGTGTCCGGAGACACGCTGCCAACAGCCCCGGGCCAGTCTCAGATCAGGTGTCGAAGCCACCACCTTTCCCGCCCACTCGGGGACAAAGCTGGTCTGTCTCGAGAGCGAGGGATGATGCAGACACTGTGTCTCGCGCAGCATCATCGCCGTCTTCCACGACAAGAGACGCAAACCCGTGGATAATGCCGGGTTTCTCGTACTACAAGCTACGTCTGGATACATCTGAGCTTCCATTGCCGTACGCGGACGCAGACAATATGATGAATGATGATCCTGCAATGAACCAACAATCCGTTTATCTCACGTTTGACGATGACCAAACCAAATACACAAATCTAGCGTTGGATCTCCCGCATGGAATTCGAGGCTTTTGTACACCAAAGTTCCTCTTGAGTCTGGCTGCCTTGCTGGATGGGTTAGAGCCGAAGAATCCTACTCGTATCATCGACTCCCTTCAAAAAGATGTGATATCGGATATCATTGGTTACGACAAGGCCATGAGCCAGCCGAAGATCACAACATCTCTTGCTCTTCGTGTTCCTGCGATTCAACTACGACTAGTTGACATGTCCGAGGCCCCGAACAACAGCCGAATCGAGTTCCGAGATGAATATAGCATCGAGATCCGCCGTCTGCGGACTGAGTTCCGGAGGAAGATCCATCGCCAAAAAGGCGATCTGCTGGAAGGTCTCAAACAAGGTGTGACCCTTCACGCGGCGGCAGATCACGTCTCAGTTGCTGTTGAAGGCAGTAGAGCGGATGCGCTTCACGAGAAAGCCGTCTTCAACTCTCATTTGGAAGATCTGAATTTTTGGCTGGTCACCTCACCCACCATCCGCTCCAACCTTCATATGCGAACATTCAACACAATCACGTCAGCAAAATCCGTGGAGCGTCTTGCATTTCTCGTTCGTCGAGCTACGACCATGTTTGATTTTGTCGCTTCGTCTTTCCAGCAGCTTTCAAAATCCAGCGAGGCGCGGCTCCAGTGCCTCATTTATTCTCTCACCCAATCGGCGACTGACATACCAGATCCGATATTCCTTGCTCGCATATCCTACGTGATCAGGGTTGCTCCAACTCATCTACGGCAGCATGACTCATGGAAAATTATATCTCGGGTTCGCAAGATTTACAAGACGTTACCTGCTGACCAGAAGCGTGAGATGGAGCGGAAGTGCCTGAGTGACACCCTTCCCGTGGCAGCGAATGCGAAGGAAGCTGTATTGTCTGGGTTTGACCGCTGGCGAGCCTGGGACCTGGCACATGTAGCAAAAAGCTATGTCATGCGTCGCGTTTGGCCGCTCGCTGCTGAAAGAGACAGCCCACAGCCTTCCATGTCACTATCATCCACGGTCCAAACGTTCCGATTCTCCCTGGATCCTGGCCCCAGAGAAAGCCACTTGATCATAGAAAACTTGTCGACTGTTGCCTCATCGGTTCCCGGTTTGCCGGAAGGTGAGGATGGGCATGGCAAGAAGCTCCTCACCGTGCAGTCTTATTGTGGATCAGCGATCCTCAGGCTGCGCTGGGAAATCTTGGATCTTGTCGAAGGAGTAGTCAAAGTCATGTCGAACATTACACTCAAATCCTCGCCGGGTCATGTTCCTAGTGACAACACTCAGAAGAAGACACCGACCGAGCTGCAGATTGTGTTTGGCACTGACTTCGGGTCCCTCACTCTTGATGGCATCAATGTTAAACTTGCTCTGGTAGCGAAAGCCCTCCGTGGATCAATAGTCCACAAGTCGCTTGGTACCACACAGTTACAGCACGAGGACCTCGCTTTACTGTTCAGTGCTGCGGGATGCTCATCTGAGCTTCAAAGTCAATCGACCTCCCTGATGCTGTCAAGGATCGTGGACCCCTACATGTACCTCTCCCTTGCATCGGAAGAGTACGACAATGAACACAGGCATGACTGGAAGGTCGCTGGCTCCTGTAGAAAGCTGCGTTATGACATGAAAGAAGACCCCGTCAGCTTGGCACACACAGCAGACAGGCTTATCGCAGACGAGGTCAGATACATCCAACAGCTTCTTGAAGGTGTCAAAATTCCAAAGCCGGAGTCCAATTCGGGCGGCGGACTGGAGAAACCGACTCATAACACATTCCAGGTGGCAGCGTTCTTAGAAGATTACCGGTTGAGGTTTGCGCTTCTTCCATCTCTGAGCTACGTTGTGGCTGGCGAGGTGGCCCGCATGTCAATCATGCCGGCAGAGGCATCCAAGGTTGAGGTGGACTTTGATGTGAAGAAGAATTCACATATGTTCGTGTCGGGTGAAGAGGACAAGTTCCATGTTTTGTCCATTCTGGAAATACCCCCTGTCAACGGCCGAGTTCTTGCAAACCTCTCGGAACGCAAGGAAGTGGAAGTAGATGTCACAATCGAGCTCATCCGCCTGGAGGCTAGTGCTGTGCGCAGCCTTCTCGCCGTTCTGACGGGACCTGATGTCTCGCACTTGATCTCCGATCTCAAACAAAATGTGGATGTTCTCCAGTCGCATCTGGAAGACGTGCTGGCACTCCAGAAGGAACCTCCAAAACCCAAGGCGTCATCTGATAGCCAGGAGATTCTTTACAAAGCCCGTGTCACAATGGCAGGGTTTGAGATACATGCCATTGCACCTGGTCTTGGTAGCAAGGATTACTCTGCAGAGATGATCTTCAGCCTTGGGATGATGCGGATGCGACTACACAACGGACTAGACCAGGGATATTGTATGGAGTATCCTGAATTCAATATCGACGCCTCCCAAATTACCTTCGAGCTTCGAAGACAGGAGAAGGGTAGGAGTCACTCATATGGCGGCTTCTCTGCCGGAATGAAGCTTCAGGCAACATCCGGGATCCGCGAAAACGGAGAGACCACTAGAGCCTACCACTTCACCAGCGACAAGTTTGACGTTGAATTATTCGCTGAGACGGCAGCTCTTGTTGTAGACATTGCCGTTTATACACAAGAGCGCATTAAGACACTGGATCTTTCCCATGAAGTTAAGCGTCTTCGAAAACTCAGATATCGCGGCCATCCCGATGCACAAGAGGGGGCGGCCGATGCTCCCAGGATCCAAGTCAACGATGAATCCTCCCCGGAAGCGTTCCTCAATGCTCTTTATTCGCTGCAATTCCGGACCATTCAGGTCGCTTGGAATATGACAACGATGCCCAGCAAGTCCGGCCGACAGCCGGAGGACTTGGTCTTCTCAATCCAGCGAGTTGAACTATCCAACAAGAAGAAGAATGCAGCCAAGCTTCGAATTGAAAACATGCAGCTTCAGATGGTTCCATCCGGAGCAGACAGCACAAAGCGCTCGCTCAATTCCGCGCTTATGCCAGAGTTGGTCTTCAATGTGGCGTATTCCTCGAGAGGAAAGGAGCTATGGCTTGCTTTCCAGGCAGCTGGCAAATCTCTGGATATACGCGCCACGTCTGGATTTATCATTCCAGCCAGTATGATCCGAGATTCAATCGCTACCGCAAGTGAGGCACTTCGGGAAGGCAAGGCTGTTTGGGCAACCAGGGCAGAATCTCCCGAGAACACCAGTCTCAACAAGGATGGCAACCTATTTGGCAATAGAAGACTGCGCTCTCTTCTCATTGATGTTGACTTCGCAGGCGCCACAGTTACGCTTCAAGGAAAACTTGGCCACGATCATCACACATTATTGGCAGCCTCATGGAAGAGCAGCCGGCTCCCCGACGCGAAATATGGCCAATATGTCCAAGCAGATTCCGCGACAACGGCAACTCTCCGAGCACCGGGAGTAGCCGTCAAGGTTCAGTTTGAGGATAACGGTACCGACGATCCCGCACTCAATGCAGAGCTGAAGGTTGATCCCTCTACGAACACACTGTACCCAACTCTCGTCCCGCTTGTGAAGCAAATGACCGCCACCGTCAAGGAGATCATGGGCAACCAGCCGAACCAGCTTCGGAGACCATCTGCAGCGGCAATGTTACAGCCACACAAATTGATGCAAGAAAACAGATTTGGTGCCGATGATCCAACTAGTATTCTTGGTCGGTGCAAGGTGAACCTGGGGCTATTGTTCTGCAAACAGGAGTTCAGCTTGAGCTGCCAGCCTATTGCAAGAGTCGCAGCTACTGCGCGGTTCGAGAGTGTCTACGTGACCGTAAATACGGTTCTGTCAGAGGAGCAGGGTCGGTTCCTTGCTCTCTCTGTAGCTTTCAACAGCTTGGAAGCCTCTATAAAGCACGTGTACTCCAATGAATCGACCGCAAGCTTTGAGGTCAAGTCCCTGGTACTGTCATTGATGAACAGCAAGCATCTCGGTCGAAAGAACGGAATGTCGGCTATTTTGCGGGTCAGCCCAATGAAAGTCGCTGTCAACGCTAAGCAAGTCCAAGACTCTTTGCTTTTCAAGGAAATTTGGCTTCCTGCCGACAGTGAATCCAATCCGAATGATACCGTCCAGCCAGAGCCATCTGAACCACAACCGTACATAGTGCAGCGATACCAGCAGGTTGCTTCGGCGTCCGCATTCCCCTGGAATATCACTATTGCAGTTGAGAAACTCGAGATTCAGCTCGATCTGGGCTCAACGCTCGGCAAAGCACAATTTGCAATTGTCGATCTATGGATGTCTACCAGGAAGACATCCGAGAGTGAGCAGAACATGTGTATCAACTTTAGCTCAGTTGCAATCGAGAGCAAGGGTCGCATGAGTGGAATTGTCGAACTTGGAAAACTGAAAATTCACACATCCATCGAGTGGCCCGAGGACTCCCGCGAAGCTGGACAAACACCGTTAATTCAAGCCAGTATTGCTTTCCATCACCTGCAAGCTAAGGTGTCATTCGACTATCAACCTTTCCTGGTGGCACAAATCTCTATGTTCGATTTCTTGATGTACAATGTTCGAAATACATCCGGCACGCAGAGCCAACGCCTGTTCAGTATCTTGGAAGGCGACAAACTCCAAGTATTCTGCACCTCTCTCACAGCATCGCAAACACTAGCGCTCTTCCAGGCGTGGCAGCGCTTGATTCAGGATGTCCAAGCAGCCTACAGGGCATCACTCCGCGACGTAGAACGATATCTCCAACGAAAGGCATCTACCGTCGCCGAGCACCCCGAAATCAACGCCAAAGACCTGACAAAGAAAGACGACGACGAAGGCGAGAAAGCACCTATCTCCCTCCACACCGGAGTTGTCGTGAACATCCACCATGTCAACCTCGGGGCATTCCCCAGCTCATTCTTCGACAACCAAATTTTCAAAGTACATGCCTACGACGCCGACGCACGCTTCGCCGTTTCACTTGAAGACAACAAAATCCACAGCGCCCTCGGCCTAACCCTCGGCCAACTCCGCGTCGCCCTATCAGATATCACCCGCCCCACCTCTGCGCAGCTCGACGATCTATCCGTCGACGAGATTGCCGAGCGAGCCTCCGCCTCCCGCGGGGGTACAATCCTCAAAGTACCCCGCCTAGTCGCCGGCATGGAGACCTGGCAAGCACCCGGCACCCACCAAATCGACTACATCTTCCGCAGCACCTTCGAGGGCAAAGTCGACGTTGGCTGGAACTATTCGCGCATCAGCTTCATCCGCGATATGTGGGGGACGCATTCGCGGGCCCTTGCCTCACGGCTTGGAAAGCCTCTGCCGCCGTCCGCGTTGCGTATTACCGGTGGTCCGGGGAGCAGTACTGAGGGTGGTGGCGCTAGCTCTGAGCAGCAGGAGAAGATCACGGCTGTCGTCAATGTCCCGCAGTCTAAGTATACCTATACGGCGCTTGAGCCGCCGGTTATTGAGACGCCGCAGCTGCGGGATATGGGAGAGGCTACGCCGCCGTTGGAGTGGATTGGGTTGCAGAGGGATAAGCTTCCTAATGTGACGCATCAGATTATTATCGTTACGTTGTTGGAGATTGCGAAGGAGGTTGAGGATGCTTATGGCAAGATTTTGGGGGCGTGATGTTTTCCCTCTCCTTTCTTGTGTTTTTTTGCCTGATACCACCGTTTTTCTTGTACACTTACACACTATTTCGTCATATAGCCTCGTTAATCATGGATATGAGGTTGTTCGTTCTTCGTGCCATCGTCCCGTCTACTTAAGCTAGGAAAGGTGAGGTTATCCACCGGCAGTGGAACTAGCCTGAATCGGTTAGCGCCATTGACACGGCCTATCAACAGTACGGAGACATCACTGCGCTAACCGAATGTGGATTTCTATACAACCTCAAGAAGTTGTTGGGCAATGGGCATTGTACCCGAGACCTCACCTCACGGTTTGGCAGAAAGTAATCTGGTGCTATTCCAGGGCCGTCCTTACTAATAAATAGCGGCTTCTTCGCGGAATTGACAATCCCAACATGCTTCATGTACGTGTGCATGCTGTTCGGCAATCCCCGCACTAACCGGCTTTCTGATGAGCTCCGATTCGGCTATATGCCAATGCGTGAAGATATAAGAACGAATCTTTTGGGGTAAACTTGGAGATATGATGAGTAAAGTCTCGTTGGTTATTTCAAAATGAGTCAACCAAAAGACATATCCCACCAAATAAATTACCCTAAGTGGTTCGGGGGCTCTGCATCATGCATGGCGGTTCTTGTTTCTCACCCGTTGGATACGAGTAAGTTGATACGCACCAGGCCTCCCAAACCCCAAGTCTAATCAAAGAATAGTCAAAGTCAGAATGCAGATGGTGCCTGGTAAGGTAAAAGCCGGGACACTCACCACTTGCCTTCGAATTGTTCGGGGAGAGGGCGTATCGGCTCTTTATCATGGCGTAAGTCAATCGATGCATATCATCGGGTATAGAGTACTCACGTTTCAAGCTTTCAGCAGGATTCATGAGACAATGTTAGTCCATATCTGGTTCTACCCATTCCATGAATCACATACTCACCACCTCAATAGTAACATACGGCTCAGTCCGCATCGGTCTCTACGAGACATTGAAAGAAAAAGCAAAGGCAAACAACATTCCCAATTCCCCACCAGTTCTCGGCCTGCTGGCTGGTATTTCCGGCTTTGTTGGAGCAATCTTCGGCAACTCCTCAGATATAGGCAACATCCGCATGCAAAACGACGGTTCCCTGCCCCCTCATCTTCGTCGCAATTACCGGCACATCTTTGATGCCTGGGGACAGATCAGGCGACAGGAAGGATGGAGGGCCTTTGGGCAGGGACTGTGGCCTAATGCCTTCCGCTGTGGCATGATGACCAGTTGCCAGCTCGCATCTTATGATAGTTTCAGGGATCTGATCGTGAGAACCACCGGGGTTCGTGATGATCATCCGGGATTGCATCTGTCCGCATCGTTCATGGCGGCTTTGGTTGCTACAACGCTGTGCAGTCCGATCGATGTTATAAAGACTCAGTTGATGGGGTCTTCCGGAAAGCTGAACATTTTGCAGGTGGTTAGAGATCTCACGAGGAGTGAGGGACCGAGGTGGGTGTTCCGGGGGTGGACACCTGGCTTTGTAAGGTTGGGACCGCAGACTATGGCGACTTTGATTCTTTTGGAGCAACACAAGAGGTTATATAGGGGATACAAAGAGAAGAGGGAGATGCAGAAGTTTGCCTTGTGAGAAGACCGGAAGGCACAGTTGAGGCCTTGGGTGGACCTTCTCAGTTACAACAGCGGAATATTCCAAATAGGCAATCAGAGCTTTGCTTGTCTCTTTACTTTGTCATGTTCATTCTGCCCAACTCTTGTTGGACAATATCATCTCTGAGCTTCCTATATCTTCTCCTCCACCCTCTCCTTCTACAGTCCTCGTCACTCTCCCCCCTTCATTGCAGTCAGCAGGTCTCTCCTCAAAATCGATCTCAGATTTGATGAACTACAATATCAACTCTTTCCCTCGGTGTATTACAATTTCAATCACCGACGACCTCGACAGTTAACCAAGTCACATCCACGCAAAGATGGATTTTCCCGCAACTGCAAGTGACTCCTCAATGGAAAGCCCACCAGCCCACATGGAGGACGCTCCAACTCCCCCATCTCCATCGACTCCTTCGAGCTTTTCAAGTGACTCTCTTTCCACTTACTCCTCACCATCTCGACCCAACTCACCGTTCTTCAACCTCCCCGCCGAGCTACGCCTCCAAATCTACAGCCACCTAGTCCCCCAAAAGTGCGCCATCAAGGTAATCAACACCAAGTACCGACCCTGGGGTATTGAACCCGTCGTATCAACCCGCGACCCAGCCTTCTCCGAAGACAAGTTTGCAAACACCAGACCCCACTGGATCAACATCCTTCAAGTATGCAAGCAGATGACCGAGGAGTGTCTGGACATCCTTTATGGCGAGAACCTATTCGAGATCCATCTGACCAGCGGCGGCGAGGTGGCCCTCAGGGAAACATTCAGCAAGCGAAACCTGCAACGCATCAGAAACGTGGTGGCCATTTCACCAAGTCCCCAGTCTAGTGAAAGGCTGAACCAGCCGGACCTCGATCTCTGGGATACCCTCGGTCCAAACCTGACGATGTTTAAATGGGTCTTCCGGCCGGACTGGGAAGGCAAGCTGTTCTACGACAAGCCCATACCGTCGGAGAAGTTGGAGCGGTGGTTCGAGTGGATGGGTTGCTATATGGAGTGCTTCAGTGAGGTGATGCCCACCGGAGCGAATGTTGAACTTCGCTTTGATGATGGAAAGGGAGATCCCAGTGTTGGCGGAGTTCTCTTCAAGCGAGGACCTTTCTTCGGATTTGAAGATAGGCGGTGAGGCACTGCACGACCAGAGTGCATCTGTGAATGAGGCGTGAAGTGGTCGATAGGTAGAATGAGTGAACATTCCTGCTCTTGAGGAGCTCTCATGTACCTAAAGACTGGCTTGCTTGCACTTGACTTTGAAATCTAAGGACTGAAGCTTGACGTCCACGGATATAATTATGTGGGAAAGTCAGTGGTTGAGAACTGATAGAGTCTCCAGGGCTGGCCAATGTATGAAAGCCAAAATGATCTAGTTGTATCACTACGCTGGAAAAGAATCAGCTCAAGAATCGGATGTTCACTATACACAGGGCTTGTTTAGCACTAGAGAGAAAAAAACAGAGACACAAAGGAGAATGACAAGATATAATAGCACAACGCCATGGGAAGAAGGAGCATTTGGTACACCCTGGCCGCCATCGAAAGATGCAGGAGTAATAGACCACATCAAAGAGGTTCCTCTCCTTCTGATTTTTCCTCTTAACACATATCTAAGAGGGTGGGAAGGTTTCTCCGATTTTGGTATTTCATTTGATTATTGCGTAGACAATACCGTTTACCGATCAACTTCACCGAACACCAGATCCATGGTACCTAAAAAGAAGTCGTTAGAAAAGTGGCAAGAGATGAGGAGTAACCATTAACTTACCGATAATTGCAACAGCATCGGCAAGCAAGTGACCACGAGACACCTGGTCAAAGCCACCCAAGTGGGCGAAACCGGGAGCGCGGATCTTGCAGCGGTATGGCCGCTCGCTGCCATCACTGACAAGGAACACACCCATCTCACCCTTGGGGGCCTCAATGGCTGAGTAGGTCTCACCGGGGGGTACAGAGTAACCCTTGGTGAAGAGCAGGAAGTGGTGAATGAGAGCCTCCATGTTCTCCTTCATAGCGGCGCGGGGAGGGGGAGAGATCTTGTAGTCCTCGACGCGGACAGGACCCGCGGGCATCTTGTTGAGACACTGGTGGATAATACGGAGGGACTGACGGAACTCCTCCATACGGCAAAGGTAACGATCGTAGCAGTCGCCGTTAACACCGACGGGAACGTCGAACTCGACCTGGTCGTAGGCGTCGTAGGGCTGCGACTTGCGGATATCGAAGGGAACACCCGAGCCACGGAGCATGACACCGGTGAAACTCATGTTGAGCGCATCAGTGGCGTTGACAACACCGACACCCTGGGTTCTGGCCTTCCAGATACGGTTATCAGTGAGCAGCTCCTCGGTCTCATCAATGCGGTCACCGAATTGAGTGGCCCACTGGTAGATGTCGTCCAAGAGGCCGAGAGGAAGATCCTGCGAAACACCACCGGGGCGAACGTAGGCGGCGTGGAGACGGGCACCGGAGACACGCTCGTAGAATTCCTAAAGCACCCATAGTGTCAGCAACTAAAACTTTCGATGACTTCCGCAGCTCCCGACTACTCACCATAAGCTTCTCACGCTCCTCGAAACCCCACAGGAAGGGGGTCAAGGCGCCAACGTCCATTGCGTGGGACAAGACAGACATGAGGTGGTTCAGGACACGGGTGATCTCGCCGAACATGGTGCGGATCCACTTGGCACGCTCGGGAATATCGACGTTCAGAAGCTTCTCAACAGCCAGGGAGAAACACTGCTCGTTCGTCATCATGGAAACGTAATCCAATCGGTCGAAGTAAGGCAGGGCCTGCATGTAAGTCTTGTACTCGATCAACTTCTCGGTACCACGGTGAAGCAGACCGACGTGGGGATCGGAGCGAACAATCTCTTCGCCATTGAGTTCCAGAATCAATCGGAGCACACCGTGAGCAGCGGGGTGCTGAGGTCCGAAGTTGACAGTGTAGTGACGAATCTTGCGGTCGAGGCCTTCGGCCTCGGATTCAAGTCCAGCAGCATCGGGGTCCTCGGGAGCACCCTTGTTGGCGATGGAGGTGAAAGTCGGGTCGGTCGGCACAAGTCGTGTGGCCTGGTAGCTAGTAGCCTCTGCGTGACGACGAGGAACAGAGGTGGTTATCGACCGGGAACGAGGAATAGATGTGTTGAGCGAGGAGGGGCGGAGACAGAGCCTTTTAGGCGCATTACCCGCTAGGCGGGCGAAAGAAGCGGCCATTGAGTATGAAGAGTTGGGAGGTCCAAGGGAGAAAGGGGGAGAGATGGTCCTCAATCCAGGCGCATTCAATGGGTGGATATGGGCTCGCTACGGAATGGGAACCTCACTGAAGGTCTCAAGTCGGGAGTCGCAATTTGGTTGGTCACGTGAAAAGCTGCCGGGTCATCAGTCGTGCGCTGGTTGGCTTGGAGGGGCCACTAAAGTGTGTTGGCGCTAACCATACGCTAGGCTAATTTGAGGTTAGTGTTATGCTTTGCTTCCAGATTATTGCTTATGTCATCCATTTTTTGCGCACCGAATAAAGACCCGCCTTAATGCCTCAGGCAAACCAGAAAATTGGATCGAGAAATCTCTCTTATCGGTGATCGCGGATTTTACCTTCAACCTTCACCAGATTCTCTATAGTTGCCTACCATGGCGCCTCTTGTTCCCTCGCAGGAGGAGCTGCAGCGCCGCCGCGTAAGTCTACAGCAATCATAACATGCAGCTCAGCATACTAATCGTCCTAGATCATCGGCATCAATGCGGAAACCGTCACAGATATCCCCTCCACAGATTTTCCTGGCCACTGGCCCGGAGAGTCGCATGGTTGGGCACTCGACCAGTTCAAGAATGTATGTTCTGATATTCTACCGGGAAGCCAAATGCTTCATAGTTCAGTTCATTCTGACCGTTTTGCTTAACAGAACTTCCGTGTTGAATTCCACCGCAACGAACGGTTCGAGGCTTCCTTCTCGCTGATCGGACTCGATGCCGCAGTCGCCAATGCTTTCCGCCGTATCCTCATGGCCGAGATTCCCACAATCGCCATTGAGGACTGCTTCATTCACAACAACACCTCCGTCATCCAAGACGAAGTGCTCGCACAACGACTGGGCCTTATCCCGCTCAAGGGATCCGTGGAGGGAATTAACTGGATGCATTGGTATAAGAAGGCTTCCGAAGACGGGAGCGTGGAGGAGGATGGCCCTTGCGACTTCAACACCATTGTGCTCCATCTCGACGTGGAATGCTACCGAAATGAGCACGCACACCCGGACGAGAAGGATCCCCGCATCCTGTACACAAACTCCAACGTCTACGCTAAGGACCTTATGTACATGCCTGTCGGCCGTCAGGAGCAGTATTTCGTCGGCGATGGTGCTATCGCACCCGTCAACCCGGACATCCTGATCGCCAAGCTCCGCCCCGGTCAGAAGATTGAGATGGAACTCCATTGCCAGAAGGGTATCGGTGCCGATCATGCCAAATTTTCGCCCGTAGCTACTGCGTCATACCGTCTCTTGCCGGATATCCAGATCGTGCGCCCCATCCTTGGAGAGGATGCGAAGAAGTTTGCCAAGTGCTTCCCTAAGGGTGTGATTGGCCTTGAGCGTGTCACTGCTGAAGAGGCCGCACAGCGCGGAAGCGGATACGAGGGCCACGCTGGCGAGGAGAAGGCTGTTGTGAAGGATGCATTCAACGATACTGTCAGCAGGGAGTGTCTGCGTCACGATGAGTTCCAAGGCAAGGTCAAGCTGGGACGTGTGCGCGATCACTTCATCTTCAACGTGGAAAGCACCGGTCAATTCGAGAGTGACATGCTTTTCCTAGAGGCCGTCAAGGTTATGAAGTTGAAGTGCAACCGGTGGAAGAGAGGTCTGGCCGATTTGGTGGGTTAAGCACTGAATCTGCTATCTGCTACACCTTTTTATGCATTCTTTGGCGTTGGATATTTTGGCTGCCCTTGCGCTGTACATTTACGAAAAGTGATCAGGGCTTCGCCTCACGAGGCTGGAGTCTGGATGTGTTAATTGTCTTAGAAAAGAGGCCTACAGCTTTTATTAAATCATACACAGTCAACAACTGAGGCTAATCATCCCGGTCGTAAAATATTCGATTTTCGTAATTCTCACATGAGACATGGCAATATTACCCTTAGTTGAAGTTCAGGCGGAACCGGAAGTCAATGGTATAGGCTGGGTCGCTGACAGCAATCTCCTGCCCATCCTCGACCAATTCCGATAGCTTCAATTTCAAGTGCGGTCGGGTCGATTCTTCCAACTGGGGTGGGAAGCGTTGGTAGAGGGTCTTCTCCTCAGTGCGCATGCTAGGCTTCTTCAATTGAGACTCGGCCCTCTCTCCGAGGCTGTCGATAAATTCACCCAGGGTCATGTTGGGATCCACATCAATTTTCCGAGCAAGGTTTCCGCATACGGGACAGTCGGGCTTCTTCTCCGCCTCGAAGGTGTAAGTGTACACCCCTTCTTCGCCGGCATACATCATGTAGTTGTCCAGATATGGATTGCATCCAGTAGCTATCTTGAGCACTTCCGAAGTGGTGGAGGCGGCAATGACGGCATTCGTCGATGCGATGGCTGGAATGATATTCTTGACAACGCCCTGGGTCATTTGGAAGGTGACGCCGTGGATATGGAATTGCTGGGCTCGTTCGTAGGCGGCATTGTATACCCATGAGATATGTTCCATATCGTCGCTGTCAAACGTATCATCTTTGCGCTTCTCTTGCCATGCGATTTGATGCGCCCATTCAATGCAGTGCTGGGGTTGCCGTGGGATAGTGGCGATGGTGCAGAGAGGGACTGCTGGGCGAGGGGCGTGCATATCAAGTTGGCACTCGATGCAGGATGAGAGAGTTGGCAAGATGACACGGGCTTGGCCTTTGAAACCTGTTTGACACATTAGCAACATCTTCTGGGTCGAATCTGAAGATGTTCGCACCTTCAGTTCCACCATCAACCAGTGGTTTCAGGCTCTCTGGGTTCTCCATATCGACCATCGAGATTAGTGTGGCATTGATCCATCGTCGAGCTTCGATACTGTCCAAGCCACAGATGATAATTTTGAATTGCATGTAGTAGTCCTCATCTTTATCCTGGATTTTTCCGACATAGGGTGCAATGGTGACTCCCTTCACTCGCTTCTGCACAAAAGCGGCGGCAACTTTAGCTTTAGGCTTGCCAATATCTGCATGGCGAAAGAGAAACTGCCGGTTCAGATTTGAGATATCAATGGTGTCTGTCGTCTGTGAGCATCTGGTCTTGGCACCATGGGTTGAACAACATACCCATGTCAATGACATGAATATCTTTGAATCCTGACAATGCAAGATTCTTCAAGATCTCACATCCTAGTCCACCGGCTCCGCTATACTCAGTTAGTTCACTGTGAATATCACCGCTACTTTGCAAGGTAGACAAACATCACCCTAGGATCAGTGTTAGCAAGGAGACTGTACCATGTCCGGATACATCACTTACAAAATTTTAGAAGATTCCAGAGCATCAATAGTCTCCGGGCCAGGAGTCCAGTCCTCATCCGTAAAAGGTCCGCGTTTGCTTAGTACGTTGTGAAGGTGCTTCCTGTGGGGTATTAGAGTGATAATGACGGGAGGTCTCGAGGATCATCCAACGCACCATCGACCTTGCTGATCAACATATACCGGGGCTTCCGGGGCACCTGGGGTATTCACGTCCACATCCATTTCGGTAGTATCGTGTTTACCGTCAACTGGTGGAAGTGAATATCCTGAATAGGGACAGTATCAAACCGCGTCCCACGGGTCAACGCTCGTTGTGATGAGTTAAGGGGCAGAGTGAACCAGTTTAGAGTGACTTACTGACTTTGGGTAAGATACAAGTCGACTATCTGGTCGGATCAGAAGCGCAATCAAGTCACTGGTCATGAAAGGCTGAGGTGACAACTTGATCTGCGCGTGGGCGGTTGACTACGGCTGACTAATGAAAAGGCCCGCCTAAGTAATCTTCACCTCAGGCACAACACCTCTTTATCCCCAAAGTGATATTCAGCTCAAAGATGGAGGGTCTTCTAACGGCAGTCAAAACTATCAAGCGGGACTCAGACGCCCTGATCGCATCTGAGTCTCGTGCCGCTCCGCCAGCAAAGCAGAACTTGGATCTTGAAGATCTATCATCACGCCACATTATAGATCTACTCAAATCCAATCCTGATCGTGAGCAGCTCTCCGCAATTCTATCAGCCCTTGATCCATACAGCAAACCCCAGGCTACGAGGGACTTCAACCTCCGGATTCCAGGTCCCATTACAGCCCAGATCCTCCAATTGTTAGTCAGCACCACGATTCCAGATCATTGGACATCGCTGGATGCAAAGGATAGCAAAGGGAAAGACGCCAAGTCTCGAGCAGCACTATTGAGATGCCTTAGCAGTGTTGCGGGTCTTGGGTCCTTAGTGGCTCAACTACGATCTCTGATCAGTGCTGCCCGGGCTTCTGCTCAGCAAACCCAAGCTTCAAGCAGCCAACTCGGCATCCGGGATCTCTTGGCTGTGCTTGCTGCCCTGCTAGAACCAACGGACTTTTTATTCCGTCTTTTCTCTGACATTTCGGTCATATATGACAACAAAACCCGGCAACAAGTCACGTGGAGAGAGCTTGTATCGCTTGGTGCTGCCAGCAAGATTTTATCGACAGCAGCTGAAGCTCTTACTGTGGTTGATGAGTCTCGCTCGATAACTTCATTCTCCTGGGTTGGAAATGGCTCACAATATGCATCATGGCTTGGACGAAATGTTTCCCATATGGCAGCGAAGTTGAACATGGATAATGGAAGCGATTGGGTCTCGGTTGCTTTGCTGACTGGGCGAGCTTTAAGCCTTGGTTATACAGGTGAATATACGGTGATATCTGTACTTGGGCCTCAAGCTAATATCTCTTAGATCAGGTTGCCAGAGAAGTCTACTTGGGTCTACTTCTTGAACAGTCCTCACCAGCAAGGTTCGGGCTTTTATTAACTCATCTCAAAAGGACGGAGCAGATTGCATTAGTGGAGGCGATCTTCCGAGACGTCCAGCGAAAATATTTCTCCGATGATCAACCTGGAGCAGTCGGTCAATCAATCGTTTACGCAGAGCCTATCAAAGGAGTGGCAGCTTTGTGTTCCGCCATCATTTCGTGCCAGCCAGACCTGGAAAGCCAAGTCGTGGAATGGCTCTCAAAGTCACAAGGTGGCTCGATAAACACACTAGGACTACGTCGTGGACTCTTGGCCACGTTCAGTAACCGCGATGGTAATGTGTTCCTACTTCAGTGAAGATAAGCAAAGAGAAACTAATAACTGCCACAGACCTGTTGAAGGCACTGCTTATACGCAGTCTTGAGCAATTTGGAGACAAGTTCTCTATCAAACATCTTCCAAGCGTGGTTCAGAATGGTTCGTTGATATTCTTCAGATAGATATCACGAAGTACTAACTTCGAATAGCAACTGCGCAAGTGATTCTCATTGCCGCAGGCCACCTTCACCGACTTGACCAAGCGCAGGTGAAGGAGGTAGGCCGGTCAGGGGCATATCTCAATGCAGTCTCCAATCGACTAGCGGCATCCTCAAACAGAGCACGGCTTCTTGGCATGATTGTCGGAATGGGAATATCCGAACTCATCGAGGAACCAGGCAAAGCGCTGAAATTTGACCTGGAGGAAATGCGGAGCGAGGAAGCTCTCTGGTATTTGAGTTTGACACAAGTCCAGGACAAGGTCAGCTCTCCTGAATTCATCAGACTCCTACAAGAGTCACGTCCCGCAAAACCTGAGCCAGTCCGCTCTAAGCCAGCACAAAAGCCGAAAGCGCCGTCCTTCCGCCCACAAACAAGCAAGATTGTTGCTATTGAAGAAATAGAGGACAGTAATGACGACGAAGATGAAACCGACGATCTGATTCCCTATGAAAGGCCAGATGATGATGCCTACGATTCAGATGACGATCCCACCTTGGTCCAACGGAATAAGCCCACAGCACCTGTGTAAGTACGGTTTGCTTGCCTATATCTATCTCACTAACAGCGTCAGGTATATTCGTGACTTGATACCAGCTCTCAGGGATACCGAGAATGTTGAGCGCCATCACCTCGCCATAACCACCGCACCGTCTTTGATTCGACGCAAGATCGGATTTGGAAGCGAACTTGCCGAGCAAATCGAAGAGCTTGCTCTAACCATCGTAGGTCTCCAAAACGACAACAAACATCCCTCATTCCATGAATGCCGCCTACAGAGCATGATCGCATTGATCGTATCTCAACCACTCAAAATGGGTCGCTGGTTCACTGCCATATACTTCGATGGAGATCTTTCCCAGGTCCAACGATCTGCTGTTCTCACAGCGCTGGGTCTGAGTGCTCGCGAGTTGGCGGGCAACGGCGAAGCCGACGCCAAAGCACTGCGCCTCCCGAGTACCGATGATACGTCATTCCCATCGAAGCGGCTTCCGCCTGCCCTCGAGGCGATGTATTCAGGCACAGATGAGTCTCCCATCGCGACGCTCACCAGGGAATTGTCTCACGCGTCCTTGGAGCCACTCGCGGCCACTGCAGCAGATACAATGTCCGGCCCAAATGCTCTAAAAGTGCGCACCTTCTCTTCACGCATGGAAGTCGAGAAGAAACGAAATCAGCGTGAAGCTCAGCGCCAAAAGTCCACGGCAAAGGATCTGTACAAGGTGCTTGCTGAAGGCTTCTTCTTCCCACTACACGGGCGCTTCGAATCAATGATGCTGCAATACTCCTCGTAAGTGCCATATCTCACTTATACGATTTTGATGCTAACCTTGTCTAGGTCCTCTGCGTCCTCATACAACCCATTCTTCATCCCCCATCTCTTAACTCTCTTCCTACAAACGCTCTCCCTCATCCTCTCCACAGCAGGCCCTCACACCCCCTTCCTCTCTGTCCTCACACACGAAACCCTCTCCCTCCTCTTATCACTGCACACAGCCGCGGTGTCCAGCGAGCCAACCGTAACAGCTGCGCTTCTATCGCTTTTCCTTGCTGTGGTCGATCTGAATATTGCGTCCGGCTCGAATGGCGAAGAACGCCTTGTTACTGAGTGTGCAACGCAGGTGATCGAGTTGCGCGAGTGGGCTTCTCAGGTCTTCGACCGGACGCCGCCTTCTGCTGCGCGGGCTGATCCTAGCTCGGCCGTTACTGATCCCCAGGAGCAGATACGTACACTTGCTGCTGGTGTTATGGTGCGGACTGGTGAGATCATGCAGCGGTATCAGGGTCGGTTGATGGGTGTGCATTCTGGGTTCGACTACTAGTACAATCTCCCGTCCGGGATAGGTATATCTTTCCATAATCTGGATTCAGATCTAACTACAGTTCCATGAAATTGGATGGAACCTTCCAGGTTCCATTGTGAAAGCTATGTAAGGTAGGTTATTGAAAGCGCTTGGACCGCATAGGTCAGACACTCATCGATCTGCCGTTGTTCCAAGTACGTCAAAATAGAAGTGCATAGGTAGCGCTGAGCTCAAATTTCCTAGAATTAACAGCATAGGTATCGTTATGATCGCTTAGAGATAGATTGACACATTCACTCCGCCTTACCAAAGCTACCCTTCTCAATAGCAGCCTCCATCATCCGATCACCACTAACGATACTGGTAGTACAGATAATGATCTTCCTCCGCGGAGCCTCCTGCGTAGCAATGAAGCGCAACGCAGCAATCTCCGTGAACGTAATACCACCCAGGAAGAAGACATACACAGTCTTTGTAGCAGAATTGCCACTCAAAGTCTGACGAGCCCGCACAGCCTTATCATCACCCTTCTGAACAATATTGAAAGTCGAACCACGCGCACTCTTGACCACGTCCTCAAAGCCAAGCCAGCCAGGCGACGTCGTGCTGGCAGTATTTAGCGAGGCAGCAGGTGTACCACCCTTGATCAGCGAGACCATGTATGACTTTTGCAGCACACATTGGACCAGGCGGACGCTGAGGGGCGCAAAGCCACTATACACGTATGAAATGTCATTCGGGTCCTTCTCGCTGACCTCCTCGATGACAAGACGAAGGTTCTTGCGCAAATACCCATAGTTGGTCTTTGTTCCGGCTTGTACACCGGATGTAGGGAGGAGCGTGGTCGTGGCGGAGGATCGAGGCTGGAGGAGTTCCATCTTCTCTAGTGCCCAGAATGTGAGGAGGTGCTGGTGGCCATATGCTTGGACGATTTGTCTCTTGAAACTCTCCAGGTCGCGGGGGCGGAGACCACCAGACATGCAAGATTCCAGACACAGAAGCCGTAGTACGGTCTTCAGTGGGACGTCTCGAGCTATGAGCTCTTCAATTGTCTCGTGTTGATATGTGGAGTCGGCACCGGCGGCGCTGTTCTGTTGGACTTCCAGGGTTTTACGGAATGTTTCGGATCGAGTCAGTCGCATTATTTCTTCGGCTAGATTGGTATGGGTTCGAAGACTTTGGTGTTCCAGCTGGTAGGTTGGTAGACGGTTGACAAACTCTCGAAGCTCGCCTGTTGTCTTGGCCGTGTGGCGGCTTTCGTACTCGGTCTCTAAGCGACGTGCCACCTTATTCAGGATATCGCCAACAATTGCGAAGTTTGCATCTCGCAGTTGGGCGAACAATTGATCCGAGGCATCGAGCTGGATCTTTCTCTTCAGTCCCTGTTTGACTTGCTGGGGTGCCTTAGATGACTCTTGAGACTGTGGCGTGGGTGCAGGGCCGACAATGCTAGTGTCGACATCTGCTTGGTTGTTCTTAATTCCGACATATTCATCAATTAAGCCTTCGTATGTGAGCTGTGTTAGAAGGGGCGTTCCGAAGTCCACATCTCGGTCAATAATGATCAAGTTCTCGACACTGGCACTTGGCAACAGCCCTCTGGCAGACGGGTCCGCCAATCCAGAGCTCTCCTCTGCATCAAGTTCTTTTCTCATGCGCAAGAGGAGATCTGCCAGTCGCCGAGCATTGTCGCCTTTCCCCACGATACGTGGGAAATACCCATGGCGTTGTTGCACGCCCATGAGGGCCTTGGCGGCGTGGAAGATACACCCAGGATCTTTGTGCTGCAGGTCCAATTCAGCGAATGTTCCCCTTATTCGACGTGAAGCCTTTCAACTTACCAGGTACAAATCCTCAAACGATTCATCGAGTTCCAATGACAAGATATCTTGCTCCAGAGGCATAAAATAAAGTGGAAGCTCGGAGATATTCACGTCGCCGATGATCCCTGCCTCCTCCAAGACCGCATTGCTTACAAGGGTCCGTCTTGGAGCGAAGATGATGGAGAACTCATGTTCAACGTTTCCATTATTTTGCAGCCGTTTGATTTGTTCTATGATAACAATGTCAGCTCATCCTGATGGCACTCAATCAGAGATATTGGGAAAGGGCCCTAATGAAACGAGCTTGTACGTTGATAATGGTTATCAATCTAGGGTAAGTTTCTCCAGATTACATAGAGTAGGGAGGTCACCTATGTAACCTGATGGCGCCCTGAAAGGACCCAATGAGAGAGCCCAAATCCACAGCTGAAAGGGGGCAAAAAGAAACAATGTCATACCTGCTACAGTTCGAACGTGGCGAGCTTTCTCGCCACGAACGAGGAACACAACATTGCGTTGTGATGAGTCGATGTTTGCATTTTCCAGCAAGAAGACCCGATCCACGCCGTACTCCTGAAGCACGGAGAACTTAACAAACAGCCCCACTGGGCCAGCCAGCTCCTGGCTTATGACGAGGTTCTTCTTACCCCGGGCCTGGAGAGTAGTTAGCGCAGTTTCAGAAGATCAGGCAGCTATACTCACGCCTTCCAGCAATGTGAGGAGATCTCTCCGCGCCTTATCCCTAAAATGGTCCGCATCAGACCCCGATAAAGGAGCCATTTCATCCAGAGGCAACGTCGTGGCCAAAAATAAACAGAGAGACGTGAAGTGCCACTGCGCCCGCATTGGGTTAGCACTGCCACTGCTGATGTAACTGCCTAGGTTTGGTATTCGTATGGTTATGGCTGCGCCACCTTCTATCGTGGTGCTGTGTAACTTTGGTTTGTCGATCGTATGAAAGTTACCGTCAGGCGGCGATCTCGAACATCTAGCTCCCCTGAAGGCGTCTCAGATTATTCGTCTCTCTTGTCTCTTCTTTCTGATTCCCCTTTTCTTTCTTGTACTTCCTATTGCCCCCGAACATTTTAATCCATTCAGCAAATATTCTACAACCCCAATAATTAACACACATCATGGGTCTCTTCAAGAAGCATGATGGCGACGAGGACTCCAGCCGCCGAGCGCTCTTCGGGCGGAAGAAGGAGAAGAGCCCCTCAACCCCCCCTTCAAACCCTTACGCCCAACCAATTCCGATAGACCCATACACAAAGGCCAAGATTGGTGCCGGTGTCGCCCCCTTACCTGCCGACCACCCAGCCGCCAACGGAGGCTCCTCATCGCGCAACCCCCACAACATCCCCTCGGACCAGAAACACCCTTCCGGCGGCTACGCCCCGAACAAATACGGAAACCAAGGCGGCTACGGCAGTGATCGATTTGGCGGCGCAGGCGCTGCTTCTCCAGCTTCAGGCTCTGGCACAGGTTCACGCTATGGAACCGGTGGCTACGGAGAGGTCTAGGCGGTGCCGATCCCAACGACCCCGCGGCATCGGACTCCGCTCGCAATGAGCTATTCGGCGGCGCCAACAGGAACCGCGATAACGCGCCTCCGCCGTATACGGAGGGTCAAAATGGAACCGGTCAGGGACAGAATAACTACGGCGGTGGCAGCAACGAGTACAGCATGGCGACCTTCCAGGATCGACAGCTGACCGCAGAGGAAGAAGAGGAGGAAGAAGTGCAAGCGACGAAGAACGAGATACGTTTTGTGAAACAGGGCGATGTGGCGTCAACTCGGAACGCACTTCGGGCTGCGGCGCAGGCTGAGGAGACCGGTCGTGCGACACTTGCTCGCCTCGGCGCGCAGGGCGAGTCCGTCCACGATACGGAGAAGAGCCTCGACATGACGACCATTGAGGGCCGCATTGCGGAGGAGAAGGCGAAGGAGCTCAAGACGCTCAATAAGAGCATGTTTGCCGTGCACGTTGCGAACCCGTTCACCGCCTCGCGGCGTCGGCGCGAACGTGACGAGAAGACCCTCAATACACACCGCGAGGAGCGGGAGATTCGTGAGGGCACGCGATCTGAGGCGCACGGGACTAATCAGCGCATGGACCGAGTGTTCCGCGATATCCAGCGCGATGCGGCGAAGCAGGGCAAGGGAAAGAAGGCGAGCGTTACTGAGCGTGCCAAGTATCAATTCGAGGCGGATAGCGAGGACGAGGCGATGGAGGATGAGATTGAGCAGAACTTGGATCTGCTTGGTGGCGCTACTGGCCGGTTGAATGGTCTTGCTAAGGCCACTGGAAAGGAGCTGGACGAGCAGAACAGACACCTCGAACGTATTATGGGCAAGGTGAGATTTTGCAATTTCCCAATTTTGGTACGGGTATGGATATGAGACTAATTGGCTGCAGAGCGACTACGTCGACGATCAAATTGCCATGAACCGGGCCAAGCTGGACCGGATTCACTAGTGGCCTGCTTAAACTTAAATCAGGCGAATGGAGCTGCGGTATGCCTGGTGCTGTCGAGCTCACTGAATATCTCTGCGACTTTGTCCACTGGACGTTGTTAAATTTGGCGTTGGGGCTGGTTCTGCATTGTCTGCCGTGGTCATATCAGAACGGGCGACTAGAATATGGGGTCTTTGTTAAATATCATAATGGCATCGCGATTCATTCTATCCGTCGTACTGTGTACAGCTCCAGATAGACGCCGATATAGACCCACGAGCATGCGATACGGGGATGATAGATTCAGATTGGTAAGGGCCTACCTATGACTATCACCTTTTACGGGTACCTAAGCCACCATCGCAATGGAAGCTCACCAAATCCCTGACGCGGAGATCGACATCCCGCCTGCGGGGAGTGCGGGGAGCCAGCCGGAGAACCCCCGAAGAACCCTAACTACACCAGTATAAAACCAACCACACCTCCAAGACGCATCATCCACCCATTCCTCAAGCCTCAATCCCTCAATCAGTCTATCAGACATAGAACACAAACCAACATTGTCTTCAAAATGTCCCTCTCCCAAAAAACCGACATCCTAGTAATAGGCTCCGGCAACGCCGGCCTCAGCGCCGCCCTCTCAGCCGCACAAACAAACCCAACCCTCAAAGTAACAGTAATCGAGAAAAGCCCCTCCTCCTGGGCCGGCGGCAATACCTACTTCACAGCAGGCGCCTTCCGCACAGTCCACAACGGCCTATCCGACCTCCTCCCACTAGTCAACAACACCACCCCCTCGCAAGCATCCCGCATCGACATGGACCCCTACACAGAATCAGACTTCACCGCAGACCTGCAGCGCATGACAGGTGGACGCACCGATCCCGCGCTCTCCAAAGCGCTCGTCTCCGACTCACGCGCCGCAATCACCTGGCTAGCCTCTAACGGCGTCCGCTTCCAGCTCTCCTTCAACCGCCAAGCCTATGAAGTCAACGGCCGCATCAAGTTCTGGGGTGGTCTTGCGCTAAAGACCGAAGACGGCGGGAAAGGTCTTGTGGAAGACGAGCTGCGCGCCGTGAGAAATGCCGGCGTCGACGTTTTCTTCGATACAGCCGCCACGGCGCTGGTTACAGACGATTCCGGTGCGGTCGTTGGCGTCGAGGTCGTCAACTCTGCCCCTGTCTCCAAGAGCAGAAGAACAACCATTGCCGCATCAGCAGTCATCCTGGCTGCCGGCGGCTTCGAAGCCAATCCACAGCTCCGCGCGCAATGGCTCGGACCGGGGTGGGACGCAGCAAGCGTGCGCGGAACACCGTATAACACGGGCGAAATGCTGAAGATTGCATGTCGCGATGTCAGCGCCAAGACAGCCGGGAACTGGAGTGGATGTCACAGTGTAGCGTGGGATGCGGATGCAGGTGCGCACTCCGGGAACCGGGAGATATCGAACCAGTACACGAAGAGCGGGTATCCGCTTGGGATTATGGTGAATCGGAACGGGGAGCGGTTTGTGGATGAGGGGTTTGATATGCGGAATTATACATATGCGATGATTGGACGGCGGGTGCTGGAGCAGCCTGGGCAGGTTGCGTTTCAGATTTGGGATGCGCGGACTACGGGGTGGTTGCGAGACGAGGAGTATCGGGATGAGGTTGTGAGGAGGATTGAGGCTGGGACTATTGAGGAGTTGGCGGGGAAGTGTAAGGAGGTTGGGCTTGTTGATACGGAGGCGTTTGTGAAGACGATTAGGGAGTATAATGCTTCTGTTGAGGGAGAGGAGGAGAGGAAGAGGTGGGATCCTGCTGTGAAGGATGGGTTGAGGACGAATGGGTTGGCGGTTGCGAAGTCGAATTGGGCTTTGCCGGTTGATAAGGCGCCTTTCTTGGCTGTTAAGGTCACGGCGGGCGTTACGTTTACTTTTGGGGGGTTGGCTGTTAGGCCGGAGACTGCGGCTGTGATTTCGGAGACGACGAATGAGGAGGTGCCCGGTTTGTATTGTGTTGGGGAGATGCTTGGTGGTATCTTCTATGATAACTATCCCGGTGGGAGTGGATTGACTTCTGGTGCTGTCTTTGGGCGTCGTGCAGGTCGAGCTGCAGCTGAGAGAGCTGGAAGTGGAAGACTTGGACGGTTGTGATGTTGATATGTTTGTTGTATAGGATGTGCATAGAAAGCCTTACAAGGAGCAGAAATGTTCAGAAAGTCTTCTATTAGACAGATAGTAGCGACTGTGTAGACTCGACCAAAGGCCTCGCAGGGCCCAAAACAAAAAATAGGAACCAAATGCTTTCCTATGCCACGGGTATCATGACCAACACCAACCCAAAGTGCACGTTAAGTGCATTCGAAACGCAGACCCGTGGGAAATGGGGTCTGAGGCAGAGAGTCGAAAGAAAAGGTAAATGTGATAAAATGGTCTAAACCAAGCAGACGCAGGGTAGAGATTTATGAAAAGAAGCAGGCAATAGCCTGTGAAATAAAGCCAAAAACATCGAATCATCACAAACCCCCATGGTATCGAGAAAAAGCACAAAAGGGACGCCCAGGTCTAGCGAAAGAATAAGAAATGAAACAACGCATCCAGCCGAACCTCTATGGTCATAACGTGGGTTGAAGGAAATGAACATCAGAAAAAGATGAAAAGCAGGAAAAGGCTCTCTCTTGCTCGTGGCCCTCGGGCCGAATCCAATATTCACAGACCGTGTGGGTGAGTTTCTCATATCGCTTCAGAAAATGCTTCGAGTTGATGCTGAGAAAAGAAGAACGGTGGTCCAAGCTGTTGTACGAGACAAGGAACGAGCCTTTCAAGAAATGATGCCACTTATGGATCACGGAATGGCTCGTATGGAAAAGAGGTCGGTGGGTAAGGATTCGGCGCTGTGTGCGCAGAGGTCGAGAGAGCATGCTCGAAGGATTTGTCGAGTAGAAGAAGGTAGTCGTATGGAGATTGGTAAATTCACAGATTACTCGTCGTCATCGCCAGAACCGGTGTCCTTCTCGCCTTTGTGGACCTTCTTGTGTCGACGCAGGTTTGAGACAACGGAGAAGTGCCGCCCGCAGCCTTCAACATCACACGCGAATGCTAAGAGAGGATATTAGTACATGAACTGAAGATCAAAGATTTGAAGCGAAAACTCACGCTTCTCGCCAGTATGGCTGTACATATGCGTCTGCAGCGAAGATGGACGCGTGAACCGCTTATCGCAAACCTTGCACTTGTGCTTCTTCTGCGTGTTGGAAGGCATCTTCGAGCTAAACTGGCTCATCATGGATTGCGGACCAGGGGGAGCACTGCCGGCCAAGAGACTGGCCGGACGTGGAAGAGTGCGCGATTCATATGACTCAGAAGTGGTGGAGCTGTAGTCTGTCACGGAAGAGTCGACGGAGCCCACTGAGGCGCTGTAGTAGGGGTAGTTGCCGCCGGAAGAGATTGACGAGGCGGAAGAGTGGGTGGAAGGGAAACCGTAGGAATCAGCTGAGCTCCGCGCACCACGGGGTCCGGGCCCGTAGATGTTGCGCGGGGTCAGGTCCTGGCTGAGAGCGACCATTCCGCGGCTGGCGTCGAGCGCATCACCGAATGTAGGGCCAGCAGCTGTAGATCCAACACGAGCGGCGTCTCTGGGGGGAATGGTCAGCTTCTGCGATTGCAGAGCAGGGCTCTCGGAGATCAACTTACGAGTGCGAGATGCGACGGGCATCTTGTGGGGAGGGGTGAATGGGGGCGTAGCTGACGGGAGCGTAGGCAGAAGGCGCGAAACTGCTCATTGGGGGGTGCGGTGGTGTAGGAGGGGGTCTGGTCAAAAGTTGTGCGCGGCACCTCGTGCTGCATTCCCATTACCTCGGGGCCGTAGTTGGTGGTCGCGTAGGTGCTCCCAGCCACCATTGACGGCGCTGACGCTGGGACGCTGGGGTATGGCATGGACATGTTGGCGCGGTTCACTTCTTCCGCCTTGATCTGGCCGAGGGGCATGCTGGCGCCATTGCCCATGGAAGTCGCGTAGACTGGGGGTGTCGAGTGGGAGGAGGTGTGCGCTGCAGCCCAGGGATCTGTGAATTGTGGTGGTGTGTGATGGTAAACATTGTCGAAGCTCATGCCGCCATACGGGCGGTTCTGATTTTCCATAACCATCGTCATGGGGGATAGATTCGCGACTCGATCGCGTGTAGGGACTGTATAGAGTGCGCTTGGAACTCGAATTCCAAGGGATGTTTCTTTTTTCTTTGGGAGAAGAGTGATCGACTGTGTTGATCCGGAGTGCGTGAAGACCAAGTGATATGCCCGATGATCAACAATTATTTTATATTAATCCGAGCAGGGTGCAAAGAGAAAATGAGAAACAGTCTGGGGAAGGGGATCGGCGAAGCTTATGAAGGAACAATATAAGGTGTGAGGCATGATCCCATACTCCCAAGTGCCACTGACGACGTCCCGTCGGGGGTTGCAGATCGCTGGGAATAAATAATACCGGAATTTTCTTTTTTTTGAGTTTTTTTCCTTTTTTTCTTTTTCTTTTTTTCACCTTTTCAAAAAATATTTACCTAATTTTACAGATTTATCTTATTTTATTCTTATTAAATCTTTTCACCCTAGAGGCATTGCTTAGGGCCAGAAGAATACTAAACCCATTTACCCTTCCCTTCGATCAGCGTCTAAAATATATTAATTGCGTTAAGCATTAACTAGGCTGAGGAATCGAAGATCTAGAGAATCACTAAGTCTTTGAGGAATGTCAAATACTGTAGTTTTAGATCCTCCGATATCGGACGGCTCGGGAACCATACAACACAATATGATATGAGCGCAAGTAACCAAGAGCAAGATATAACATGAAATCATCTTGAAGTGACAAATGCGAATAATGACCAGCCAAAATCATGGGACTCAAAAAGCAGTCGGTGACCTCAGAATCAAAGGGGGTGTGGAGGGTGTGGGCTAGGGGAATGTTCACTGGGAGACTAGCCGTGGTGGCGGTTGATGAGTGGTCCAACCGTGCCGTGTCTGAGGGAAAAAGAAAACCGCATGAGAAATTGGGAATTGATTGGATCAGAATAATGGAGATAAATACGAGAATTAAATGCAAAAAGGATTTAACATTTAAGAAAAACAGGAACCGCCAAGAAATAAACTCACCAAGGGTTCGCCTCGAAGGCGTGGTTTCAATGTAGCGGGGCAGATCCCAGTGTCAATGGGTACATCCGTGCCGTGGGGGTCAATATGACTGTGATGATAGTGATAGTTCTTGATGAAGCGATGATTAGTAGTCATCGAATATGTCAGATACACCATGAGTAATGTGGAAGATAGAGCCATAAACATTCCGAGTCAAACACTCAGAAGACAGACTTTAAGACAAATCCCAAAGCAGAAGATCATACATCGTATACGGGAACTCTTATTATTGGCAACCTGTTGGACCCTACGGCCTTCAGAGTAAGCAAATAGGAAACTTGCTTCCCATTCCTATTTCCTTTTTCCCCTCCCCCAAAAAAAATGAATGGCGTAAGCCATAGGCCTTTGACACGGCACAGATAGGGCCTAGCGCGCAAACCCGACCTTACATATCAGAGAGAAGGGGACGTTTATCGAATCACTATTCGACATTATTGGCTGCATCCTAACTCCATTTGACTAGTTCGGCAAAAATGTAATAACATTGGACATCTACAGTACCTCGACTCCAAATCTGCGTAGTATGTTATTGTTGACTCCGTACACTTCGTGCTAGTTCTAGACACAGACATGTGGGATGCACAATGCATCCGGAGAGCTCCACATGGGGGGCAGTAGGGATGCCGAGCTCATAGGGACAAGACGATGACTTCCACTACGTACTGAATTCGGAGATCCTCCGAACACTCCAAACAGGAACTCATTCTTCCTCACGGCATATCTCTCGGTCGCAACTAGACGAGGGTTCAATATGTTTTCACCCCAGCGGAACACAGAATAAGCCTCCTGCAGGCGGAATGCATAAGTTTCAATTCGGACGATGCCATTAGCCGGGCCATGCGAGCTGTATCACATAGGAACAGCTCTAAATCTACTACGGGACCAACAAATTTGAGAACACAAAGTGACAACCTCGTATTAAGCCTGTGATAAGAGTCGGTAGTTTCTTTTTCCCACGGGCGACAAGTTTCCCCTCCCGGGAATTGGGGACTGGGGGGCCAAGCAGACCAACCATCCGGAAATCGACGTCAGAGCCCTGGAAAAGACCCCTGTTGGGACTGGCGCGGCTCCCGCAATAGCGCGGTAAATGTTCCAAACTCTTGAATTGGACAGATCACAAAAGTACCCCATCAAATCATCATAGTTCTTTCCTTTTTGTCTTTTCTGCTTCTTCATTTTCGTTGGATAATCTCCCTGTACCTCGTGCAGTGGAACCTGGCTTAAAGTTCGCCATTCAATAGTGAGTACTCTCCAATAGATAAATTTCCGGGAATCTGGTCCCCGAGCTTCGGGGATTAAGGTCAGCCCCGAGGTCGGGGATGTTCGTTATGGAGTACTACAAGGTTCAGATCACAGGATGCGAAGCAACAAAGAGGGGGGAGATCATTACGAAAAGCCGAGGAAGAGGCTGAAGAAACCACGAGTTAACCTCGACCCCTGTCCAATCACACATGGCTCCTACAGCGATTAGTGATTAGAACACCGGGGAGGAGACAGGATATAGCCTACAACGGTTAGACTGGAGTATACTCCGTATTGTACATGGTATTGTCCGTCGAGTGTCACAAAGTGGCCATTTGAGGGAGGATCAACCGCCGCTCTCCCGAGGGAAGACAGCCGAAACATGCTCGACCCGATCTTGCCACTGTGGGGTATCGAAGCCGTTTAGGAGCTTCTACCATGGATCAACCAACCACCTTGGAGGAACCTCCAAATCGCTTCTCCGATGGATGGGGTTTCCTCGGTTTCAGCTGGGAATACTGTGGTTACTTTCTCCGCATTCCGTTGAACCATGGCGGCGCCACGGCGTTCTGTTGGGTGCGCTGTTATTCTGGAAAAACTTAGAATCGCAGTCTACCAGATCGGCCAACATCTTGGTACCGCGAACTTTGTGCACTTATTTGCTAAAGACTGGGTGGTTGTCACCGTTGTCTGGTCGCATGGAGTAAGGGGAGGTGGCTGTCCATGGGTCATGTGGATGTGCCTCGAAAACGACCGTGGTCTCGGGTTAGCGGATTGGGTTGGTGTCGATAGAGTTTCTTTCTATCAGAATTGTACAAGCTGTTCAGGCACTCTATTTTGAGTCTGTCTGTTTCCATGTTGTATTGCTCTCGGGGAAGTGCTGGTGTACCAAGGGCGGAATTTAGCGTACTTCCACGCCGAGAACACGAAAGATCTCTCCGACTCTCACTATCGAGTCTGACTTGTTGCTCTAACTAACGTTGTGAAATGTAAAGTCCCAACTATCCACCCTTCGGCTAAAAGGGTCGGTGATATAGCTCTGCCGAGCCCACTAATTTCCGGGCGCAAACCTCGAAACTGAGCACTTGGGCAGTCGGGTAACAAAACAAACGCCAATGTCCACATTACTCAGTGAAAGCGACCAGACAGTAATCAATCCAATATCGAACTCCATGTTCAAGCGATTTGCCTCATTCTCAGAAGCCCGTATGGAGCCCGCGAAATTAAGAGGCGTAGCGTACAGAGTACACTCAGACTAGAACTACACAGTAACAGCAAGATCAGACCGAGAAAAAAAACAAGCAATGCAGACTATCAGATCCAGTAGATCAACCTTCCCCTTTCTCTCGACCTACTGTGTGGATCACCCACTTCAAATGCATCCGCAATAATGGGTCCAGGACGCCATCTGTGCTGGCAAATGTGGCGTTTGGATTGCTGATTTTTGAGTGAATGGTAGTGGATGGGGAGGGGAAAGAAAAGCAGTGAAAATGCAGACGCCAAGAGGCTTTTGGATGTGTGGGTTTGTGTGTGGTTCCTCAATTACTAGTACTAATTCGTATACGCGCAGTACATACGGAGTACACATTGAAGATGGCGTTCAGTAGTTCAAAGTCTGTGTCAAGAGATGGAAGGTATCCCTTGGCTGCAGTCGGATTGGGCCGGATGGACAGTCCGCAAAGTGTATCTGTTGACACGGGAGGGTGTGGACTGTGGAGCATCATTCAAGGTCGTCCACAGGTGTTTTTCTCTTTCTCTTCACAGACCCTTCCGCTGACCGCTTTTTTCTTCATCCAGGGACAATGTAGTCCGTGAGCACGGCTAATGTGATTAATGACGCGTCTTTTCTTTCCCGTCAGCTTGTCCATCTAGCTAATTATCGGTTTCCGAGAAACCCGCTGAAATTTTCCCGAACCCTTCGAAAGGAAAAAAAGGAAAAGGGCGGTCAAAATACGCTGTATCCAGTCCGTTGCAGAAGATATCGGAAAACTATGTACATCGTACATCGTGCACTGGAGCAACCCCAGATCTTCATTTACTATCGATCGTCCATGATTATCAGCTTCATGGCTAAAAGGGGAATAAAAAGAGAAATATCTTAAGTACACAGTAATCAACAATAAGATCTTTATCGAGCACGTTTTGACGATCCGCCTCAATGCCGAGTGTCAATCAGGTACACTTGACCAACAAGGCCTGTCATCTGCACGGGGCTTCGATCTTGGCGGTTCCCACACGGCAGATCGTCAGTGTCCTAAATCAAGGTTGACATTGTGTGCACATCACCGTTCTTTGTACATGTACATCGTATTTGATACTGCGGATATATTTCCGACTCTTCTTCAGTATGTACTCTGTACTCTGTAGATGTACTTTGGTGGATATGATCCTTCACTCTATTCTGCAGAAAATAAACGTCTTAAAGTTTCTATCTAGAACCACAGAACGTAATGAACCGTTCTTCCAATATTCAATATTGGAAGTGTTTGCATCCACATCCATAGTGGAGGATTGGTGACCCGTGGAAGCCACCTTCCACGAGGAGTCCGGATAAATTGGATGAACTCCAACTCCATATGGCACTCCACCAGTCCCTTTTCCAACATTGAACCACAGCTTCCTAAGCGTCGGTGATTGCCCGAGGTCGCTTTCCCGATACCGGAAGCCCCCTTGGAGTCTTTGAGTATTTTGGGACTAGCGTCGACCGGCCCAATCTAATTAGGATTAGCTTAGTACCACCGGGTCCACATTCTTACATGTTTGTGCAGAGCCGTGCTGTCCAATAAAAAGAATTCAGTTGCAAGCAGGCCCCACCTGGGGACGGCAGATAGTCGATAGCCGATCTTGGCAGTTGTTGATAGACCAATTGCATCGGGAGACCCACCAGGAGCTGACGCGTGCTCATCCCGCGCTTTTCAAATCAACGTGGTATCTCTGCTCCTTGGGTGAAGGGTTCAACAAAGTAGGAAGGTTGACCTTGGTTGTCTGGGTGGAAATAGCTCCGACCTTACCAAGGTCTTTTCTCTTGCTTTCGGGTATTCACTACTCCATACAGCTATCTACTTTCTCTATCGGATTCGCTGCTGGCTTCATTCGCATCTCTGTTTGTAGCTACAATAACCTATCCATGAGACTACAACAGATGACGTGATCCCTCCTCCCCGCAACGCCCGTTGGCTTGGTCCCCCAAGCTGTGATCCCTGCGTGCGATCCTAGCCGGCTCCACATTTCCCGCTAGGTACACTGCCACTCCCAGGGTCAACGCTAATGACCTGAAACGTTCGTAAGTGGGGGGCACTCAAGCAGGAAATCGTCGCACTCACTTGTCAATTTCAACTTAAGAGTTAATAGACTAATTTCAGACCATAACTAACTACTCCGTATGGAGTTTGCTTTCCCTCGTTCGAGAATGGACCCGCCAACTGGTCAACGGCAAAGTCATGCATTTTTAACTAAACCGTCTTGAGTAATTCGTCCCTGAATATCGACATCTTATCAGGAGCTCTTGATGTCATCGAAGATTGCGCAAAGGATCTGTGTTGGAAAGGATTCGGAAAAACGTCGGAGGAGTTCGGATTGAATACCCCTGTTTGCCTGAAGAATACTCTTTGCCTGAACACTACTGAACAGGCGCTACACGGCAGTTCTGATCGGATCTCCCCCACCACCCATCTCCGTTGGTGTCGAGACAAGTGACTATTGGACACGCAAATTACGGTGTGCGCTCTAAAAAAGCCACATTCTGACACGGACAAGCCACCTGTTCTCCGAATTACATACTCGAATCGGAAAGTATAGCCTTACCTATAGTAGCGTTCATAGGCATGACTCATGAAGATATTGTAGAAATGAGAAACAACGCAAGCTTCCCCTGGCAACCGTTGGTGAAGGATGTACTTGCAGAAAGTGGAGTAATTACTGCGTACTGGTCTTGGCCTATGTCACTGGACATCAGAAACACTACAGGAAAGATAGCCAATACTGCGTGTGTGATAAAGTAAAGAAAGACCTTGAAGAAATAGCCTAAGCCCTAATGCACGCTGTAATTCGTTGACGTCGAGAAGGCAAGAGGGGGGTAGTCGCAATATGGTATCGCGCCAAAGGCGCCCGATCGACGAAAAAGTGTGCCACACACACCCCCTCACTGTGTGCCTCAACCGTCGTGAATGGGGCTTGCTGCAGGGTCTTCGATCCCTTGAATGGATTGGTAAATGAAATAATTCCAATGAAAATAATAATAAGCTTGAATCCTCACAGATCTGCCTTACAGTAGAATTAATATTTGCCCTAATTAGTAGACCAAATGAGACAAGCAAGACATACCTACTGTAGTACTTGTACGAAATAGGGTTGTTTATGGTAGAGAGTCCAGACATGGTTTCACTACGGAGTACTGTAGATAAGAGCAAGTCTCCTCCCCGAGAGTCACTGCCGAATGATGAATCCCTGTTGCACCAAGTCACTGCTGAGTGGATCTTGGATCTCCATTTCCCTGTCCACACTCCACATAACCTTTTCTCTTTTTAACTTTGCCTTGTCTTTTTACTTTTTTTTATGGTCTCCACCTTTCCTTCACATGAAATCCTGGAATTTCCCGAGGTTGGTCTTGACAGCTACCACGGTTCTTGGCGTTGATGCGCAAGACCTTCTCCATACTCTACTACACACAGTACATACTATCTTTAGATGTATGTTGTAGACTTCAAGATGACATAGACGTTGTACAATATGATATGTTCAAGACCAAATTGGGCTCTCTGTATCGGTGTTACCTCGGCGTTCATTCCTGCATGTGCCATCCCCACGATCTGATCTTGTACAACATAACCTCAGATGCAGGGTCTCACAGCATACAGTCGAAGTATTCAACTATGCCGCGTCACTACTCCGTACAACATTCGCTAAAGACAAACAGATACGGAGTAGTTCGGTCAAAGGAGATTAGCTACGGTGTTTGCAGTTAGAATATTTTACATTGTCCACACAACATTGGATAGCTCCCGGTACCCAAGTTCACGGAATTAGAAATCCGTAAATATTAAAAAACAAAACTCGAGCTTGCAAACCCATGGGAAAGGTAAAATAAAAAGGGGCGTTACACAATCGATATCCCTGTGTACTTAGAACATCGTGTAACTAACTACATGTATCGAATCCATTGCTTGTTGCTTGTTGCTTGCTGAAATACGAAAGGAAATGAAATCTTCTCCATTCCGCGGTTCGCAAGTCCGCGGATTACGAGATTTCTGGTTCACGCCCTGAATTCAGGGGGAGGCTGTGTAGTTTGAAGTTTGGTCGGGAGATTGTAGATTTGGTTCTCCATCCAGTTCCTGGTTTGGCTCGATATCTACGGAGTACACAGTACAATGGATGTTGTATATACCTATTGATCATTGCACTCCGAATCTGCGTACAACATAACGAATCTATTCTGCACAGAGACAAGAAACAAGGAAGCGGTTGATATACTTCAAGTCCCTTATTCTAGCATACGCATATTCTCCCTGCGCATACCCTCTAAGGCCATGCAGGGCAACACTCAACCCCATTCCTACATTGAAAACTGAATATCTACAAAATCCCATTCCCCACAAGAGCCACATCTGCCCGAGCTTACGCGGCCACATCCTGCGCCAAGCCCTACCCACAGCAAGCTTAGGCATTTGGCGCTCTTGGCATCCTTAAATGGAGATTTATTACGGCTCCTCTTTGATTTCTGTTTTCTGCTTCTTGCTGAGGTGACGAGTTATTTTTTGAAATTTTCTTTTCTATTTTTTGCGTGGCGATTTCAGAGGGAAAGGGGGGAGGAGTGGTTGGATACGATATCCCCCTTATGGATGGAAGATTGAGGGATTATTCAACAGGTGGTGATCTTGTCAGAAGCTGACTGACTACGTACTGTAGTCACAGGGTAGGAGATTTTACCACTACGGAGTATACACCATTTAGTCCGGTCTCCCAAGGCTGGATCATAGATCTGTACAACGTGAGACATGTTTACCCCAGATTTTGTGTTTTCAGGGTTTAACAGTCCCGTGATTGACATGATTATCGGAGCGATCCCTGCCTGATATTGCCCCTGTCCGACCATGCTTGGTCGATTGATTTGCGATCGACTCTACAGGACCTGGGCTGGTTTGGTTTGCAATAATGGTGAATATAGTTAGATAGGATAAATTTGCTGTAAAGAAGACTGTTTTCGTGGACTTCGTGTTAGCAACAGAGATAAACATAAATAGCATCCATTTATCGGTTGCAAGCTGCCCAAAGGTTGAATTTTCTAAGGTTGGCCGGCCCGGGGCCGACTTAAGGTCTGACGGATATATCACACACCTACCCAGTAGGTATCTAGGTATCGCAACCCGACTCTTTTACGAAGATATCCGAATAATTGAATCCCAAATTGAAATTGATATATTTTCCCAACTTTCGCAAAAGATACAGTTACACAGATACGCCAAACATCCCTCTGTATGAAGAAAATATTGACCCAAAGGGAGATAGAAAGAAGATAACACCGGCTCGCAAGTAACACATCACCAAATCTGTACCTAATAATGCATGAAGAGAAAACAACCGTCAAAAGCACATCGTCGTCCTAGATCATGATCGATAGCTCCGGTCGCTCGAGATCACCCTCCATCTCTGGATAGTAAGGGATCATTGAATCGGCCGATTGGACATACGCATCGTTGTACAGTCTCCAGTAAGGATTGCGCACCTTGCGGGCAGGATGGAACAAGCCAGCCCAGATGTAGTTCATAACGATGCCTGAGCCGACAGCCGTCCGGACAGCCTCGATGGCTTCGATGACCCGGTCAATGACGTGGGGACTGGTCTCGAAGATATTGGGGAAGAGCAGATTGAGAAGGTGGACCATGGCGTCTTCGCAGCCAAGTCCAACAACACCGAGGGCGACGTGCTTGACGGCACTGGCAGCGGTTTGTCGGTGGACTTGGTCACGGTCGATAAGAGCATCTTCCAGCAGCGGCGTGACAGCGTAGACATAGTCCTTGCCCATCTCGCCGATATATTCGAACAAGAAGGATATGGCCTTGATCACACCGTTCTGCACGTTGAGATCGGGAACCCGGTACTCGTTCATCAGCGCGGGGAGCACAGTGAACGGAGCACAAGTCTCGGCCACGATACCAATGGCGACGGCTGTGCAGACACGAGACTGACGCTCCTGTACTCGCAAGTTGCCGAGAAGAGCGGCCAGAACATCCTGGGGACCAATGGCCTTGGCGATGAAACCGAATGTGTTGTTGGCCGCGCGACGGATGCCCTTCTTGTGGGCCTTGAGCATGTCCATCAACTCGAAGCAGATACGCATCCATTCACGGGCATTCACGGCCTCCGGACCACGATCGGCGATACGGCCGACAAGATCGATGGTGTTCTCCTGCACTTTTTCGTGTCGATTGCGCAGGATGGGGGTAAGGCGGGGTAGGAGGTCGCGGATGGGAGGCTGCATCTGGTTGATACCGACCACGGTGACGATGGCACGCAAAGCACCCAAGATGGAGCCGAGAACCTCGGGGTATTCTTCGCCCAGGTACTCATAGAGTACGATACCGAGCTTGCCCATGAGAACGTCCTCATCGCACTGCTTCATAACAAATGCAATACGGGAAATGAGGTCGGCTGCTTGTTGTCGAACATTGGAATCCTTGTTGTTCAAACGCCAGAGAATAGTACTGACGATCTGGGGAAGATATGACTTGCAGCGTGTGCCAAGTGCATTGACCACCGTGCCAAATCCATTGAGAATGACGAGGTCTTCAATGCTTTGTTCCTGGAAGGCGAAGAGAACACCGTCAATAAGGCGCTCCTCCAACCTCTCGGAGATATCTGCAGCACCAAGGGATGCAATCAACTTTTCAGCAGTTTCGACCGTCATCTTGCGGTACGGCTCGCTTTCGTCTTTCAAATTGTTGACGATGCGCTCGAGGATCTCGCTGACTCCCACCTTCTGACCCAAATCCACGGTGGTATCGACTACTTGGCGGTAATTTCGTTTATCGAGTGCCATACGCCGCACCCAGAAGCTCTTGAAGAACTCGGCCAAGACATTCTCCTTCAAGTAGCCGGCAGTCACACCTGCCGTGCTGGCACATTGAGAAACCACCTTCAAGACGACCTTTTTCATTTCCTCGTCTGGTGAGGCGAACTCACGCAGAAGAATCTCCATGATTTGAGTGGTGTAATAATTGGCATATTCCTCATCCATGAGGGGAATGATGTATCCGACAGCCTTGAGGAAGGCTGTGAGACCCTTGCCACGCTGCTTACGGGCACCGGTCCAGAGAGGGTTTAGAATGGCATCGAAACTTTCGATACCGTATGGGTTCGCAGCTTCAGCCAAAGCGGCCACAGCTAGAGCGGTAACCGTCCGAACCTTAGCTTGTTCATCGCTGATGTTGTCAGAGATACACTCCACCAGCCCCTTGAGATGAGGGAGAATGGCGCAACCCATAAGAATAGGAATATGTTGAACAATCTTGACACCAGTGTGTCGGGCCTGCCACGACTTCTTACTGCGGCAGACAGCACGGAGGAAAGGGAGGAGGGCGGGAATGCCGAGGGCAGAGGCCACAACGGCGAAAGCTCGTGCGGTGGTGTTTCGCACATATTCGTCGACATGGTCAATGTCAGGACGCATAGTACTAATCATTGTAGCAAGACCGGCGGCCTTGGCAAGATTCGAGATAATCTCTCGACCCTCAGCACGAGCATAATAGTCTTGATCAATGAGCAGGGGCTCAATGACGACCAAGATCTTGTGGACATATGGACGAACGAGATCATCCAGTTTGTAGAGAATTCGATCAATGACCTTGACCAGCAAATGGCGCTCCTGATCTTCCAAAGACCTCTCCATCAGCAATGGGAGGATCTGATTGAACAGAGCTCCGGGACCAAAATCGCGCGCATTGTCTGTGATTTGTCGCAGAGCGGTCTTTCGCATCGGCGGGGTACCGTTCTTGACCTTGAGGAGCAATCGCATGATCTTCCGCTCCTTCATTTCTTCCACAGTCATGCTAGCTTCATCGCCGCCTTCCATTAGCTTGCCAAAGTAGGCCATATCCTCCGGCTTGAAAAACTGAAGATCACCAACGCCGGGGATATCGGTTGGAAGATCCTTGCCCACAGACTGGACACTTTCCGGCTCCTGCATCATAAAACCGCCAACAGCGCTGGGAACGGGCGCTGGCGTAGCCATGAGTCTGCGGGCATGAGCACGAACTGGCTCATATCCAGGAGGAGGATCGAGGACTTTATAGCCTTGCGCCTCACCTGGAAGCATGATATCGAGCTCTTCATCGGACCAACCGCCCATTTGAACAGGCATATCAGCTCCGAATCCGGCAGCCGCGGGAGCGCCCTGCGAAGGATGCATAGGAGTAGCGAGTCCTTGGTTGCCGACGGGCGTGGCGGCTGTAAGAGACGGCGCAAGATCCCACCTCGATGGGAGAGGTGCGGGTGCTTGGGGTGCCGCAGCATCAGGAGCCGAAGCCCAACGTGACTTCTTGCTTGGTTCGGCCGAATCGCCAGGCTCTTCAGTCGAGCCCCATCGCTTCTTTCGCTTTCTGTCTGTAGCTACTGCAACTGTCGATCCCGCCTCGGCGTTTTCTTTATCCTGTTCCACCGCTTTCAAGGTAGCTTGGTGTTCTGTCACATCTTCGCCACGCTCGCGCTTCTCTGCAATCAGTTTTTTGACGCGCTCCTCTTCTCGGTCCAGCTCGCGCATAGCCATAACCTCACGGTAGGTCTGTGGTTCGCCGTCAACGTTAGCCTGGACATTCGCAGCGAAGGGATCGGCGCGTGTCGGGGTCAAGGCGCCACGGTTGAATCGACGCTTCTGGTAGTCAGTCTCGCGGTCAGCGATTCGTGCTGCTTTCTCACGGCCTAACAGAATATCCTCCTCTTCGACGCCATGTCCTTGCGCCATTTCATCGATTTGGCTTCTGGTAGCAGTGTATTGGCCAACCAGGTTGTGCCCTCCATTTGCGTCTTCCATTTCTTCATCCTCGCCATCGACGGCGATCGATGTTTCGTAGCCTTGGAACTTGTCCGCTCCATTTCGTTCGTACAGAAAGCTGTCGAAGGATTCCGTCAGGGAGGCCTTGGTCGAGTTATCAGTACGCTGACCAGATTGGTCGAAGGTTTTGGAACCTTTTTTGCCTGCAGCAGCAGCAGCATTGCGCTCAGCTTGGAGCCGGCGAACGGCCTCGATATCGGCTACAGTGGGGATCAGTATGGGGCCACACGGGAGAGCTTGCGAAAACGTACCGTCAGACATGATGATGGAAATCAAAAGTCGCAAAGATATGAGTGAGCTTGTATTACCGCAGAAGATAACACCGCAGCTACATCCGGATTGAAAGCCGCTTCAACGGTCGCAAGAATGGTGGATGGGGATGTCGTGTTGGTAGTCGCCTTGATGATGAAAAGGTCGTGATGATGTGGCACGTGATTGATACGCAGCTGCGGTCACGTGAAATATTCAGGTCGCGTGACTTGAGAGATACTAGTGAGGTCAGAGCGGTGAAGGGATCTATCGGAAATATATTTAGCCGATCAAGGGCGAGACATCAAGTGAAAGACGGCGAAACTCCCGAAGCTGGAGAAGCACCTAGGGCTTAAAGAAACTGGAGCAAGTGGGCTAGCGATGGACCATCCTCACCTATGCTGAGAGCAATACCCGTGGACATACCAGCCAAAGAAGACAACTTCCATCAAGTTACTGCAATGAGATCTCCGTTCATCTGGACTCCCCCAGTGAATGTAGCCAACCTCTTGAGCTCTCTACATCATGCCCTGTGCCTGATACCTTCCTTGTCTGTGGTATATCACCCTCTATGAACACAAGCTCAGTCAGTGAGACCTACAGATTGTCAGATACGTGGCATTGCAAGGGCGCTTATGGTCTATTTATGTTCCACAACAAGAAGAGCTAAGCCTGCATGAACATTAGTGTTTGCCCAGCATTTTTTGCAGATGACCTTCACTCTCTGATTTAATCATAGGGTTTCCGATGCAACTATGCAAGAAGGACAAGAACATTCCAATTCTGACATGGAGCCAATGGCAGGTAGGGCTGGGCTGGGGTGCATGAAATAAGCGCCTACAGTATTCTATCTATTGTTTCGGATAGATGTACATCGTACTTGAGCAATATGCGTTCTAAGTCAGACTAGACTGATTCAAGTACTTTACTGAATCTAGCCCTCATCTGTACTCCAATTCAGATTTCCTCCTCCAGCTAGGTTGTCCAACATCGAAACGGCAATCTGCTGCTGGCGAGCAACAACCCTCCAAGTGTAACCTACACCTAGAGCCCTGTGGTTACATTAGGTTATACACCCTTTCATCCTAATCCACATCCAGAAACGGACACCCCGTTTCCCGTTTCCCAGCAAGCTTTGTACAAAGCGAGCGTGGACAACACAGAAGCCAAATTTAGCCCACGTTTAGACCCGATGACATCCCCAATCAGCAGACTCGGGCACTTTACAAAGCCGTTTGCTAGCTCGGATGTGGATATTGCTGTCAATCTAGATTGCCACCCATAATTGGCTCGCCCAAAGATTCATTGAACCAAATTATATTGCTGTGTGGCATATCTGAATCTCCGAGCGTGCCCTTTGTTGCATGTCAGAGTTGCCCCATTTGCAGTTGACGGGATATAAATCCCCGGGCTTTCGTTGTTTTTTACACTTCCATGCATCCATAGGTACCCTAGTTACTCTTCACTGCCCCATACCCCGGCTCCCGCTATACCTATACCTATCAGATCCTTGAAAAACACCTGCATCTTATAGATCTAGGATCTCACCAAAACCATGAAGATCTCGCTATCACACCCACTGCTCCTTGCAGCAGCAACAGTGCAATCGCACTCAGTAATTCCCCATCCCCTCGCCCTCGCCTCCTCCTTCACCCGCATCCACCACGAACTCGACAAGATCAACCTGGGAAACTGCTCTCTGGCAAACCTATCCATGCCATTGAACGCAACAACGACACACCTCCCAGTGCCATCCACAAACCTAACCCTCAAATACATTGCATTGGGCCGGGGAACACAGAACTACACCTGCCCGTCAAATTCCCCAAATTCCAAACACACCACCATCGAACCAGAAGCCACAGGCGCCGCCGCGACTCTTTTCGACGCATCCTGCATCGCAGCATCGTCTTTGGCCCTGCTTCACGAAGTCCCTGAAATCATCAGCAAGGCTCCTCTGGGATCTCTTGCATTCATCACAGCCCTACTGGCACAAGGCACGAGAAGCAACAGCATCATCATTGGCGAGCACCACTTCAACGCTGCCGGTGACCCAATCTTCGACTTCACACTGAGTGGCGCCGACTCTTGGATCGCTGCTAGTAAGATAGCTGCTGCTCCAGCACCAAAAGCCACATCGGGATCTGCTGGCGATGTTCCCTGGCTGAAGCTGGGATACAAGAAGGGGAGCGGTATTCAGGTAAGAGCATTTCCACCTGAGTGACTGGAGTCTAGCCACGTATAGATATCTGACTTGATTGTTCTTTATAGGAGGTTTATCGAGTCGTGACCTCTCAGGGTAACCCGCCTTCTACGTGTGCGGGTCAAAATGCTACGATTCAGGTTGAGTACGCTGCCGAATATTGGTTCTACGGACGATGATTGCCCGAGAATTTGATGTCCTGTTACCTAACAGCTTACGATGGATCGTTTGATCTTCGGCGTTTGCAAGCAATAGACGCACACTGCCACTTCTCTCAATATGTGTATGGAGAACATAATACCTACCTTATGAACGTTCTTCGAAATCCAATGATTTGAGCAGACTATAGTTATGTAGCCGGTCGTTTTACCGTAGGTGTGCACAAGACCAACAAGCAAGATCTTAGAAAGGTAAGCCACGAGGAGCTTACAGACAAAGAGAATCACCTGAATCTGTTGCTTCAACTTGCTTGCTGACGTGGTACCCCGAACCACAAGCCCTAATCTCCCGGCTCCCCGACCCCGCAAGTAGCCGCCCTCTATCCTCCCACATGAAACAAAAATGTCAGCCTGCAATGTATATCTTGCTGGGTCGTTCCCCCAGGAATTGGAAATGTCTCACCACCCCTCCTCATTGAGATTCATGTCTCTAGGCACTCCCGGCAAACATGGGGCACGGTCAAAGGTCTATGCAGAAGGAAACGCAGGAGGAGAATTTCTGGGATAGTCACCAGTGGCATTGTAAACAATTGTTCCAATGTCGGACGGTGAATACTTCGAGAAACACACTTGCCTCAATGCCAAGAGCGTGGACAATTCGTACCAGTCTCCCAAGATTGCTAGGTACTGGAAATAAGCGATCTGGCAGTCCTGGGAGTAGAGGACCGGCTATTCAAGGATCTCCCTCGATACAAAGATTGCTCATTCTGTCGCTGCACCACTTGCGTATGGTCTATTATGCTCAAATAATGATAAAAGAGACATAGGCCCCTGGGTTGCCTGCCTCGCTTTGTAATGAAACCTCCGAACGCTCATAGAGAACCGGCCCAGTTTGCGTCCGAAAGGAAAAATGAACCGAACGCCATATTGGATGCAGAAGAAAGAACCAAGAAGGAAAGACTCCCCAGTCACCATGTAGTTACCGAATATTCATGACCGGAACCCCATCCGTAGAAACGCCAATGTATGCGCCAGAGCATAGACCATTTCTCTTCGGAGCCGAAATGCAAGCCACTCTCAGGCTGAAAAGCCTCAACATTTCATACATCGTCATCCTCATAGACAAATTTAATATCGCGGATACGGCGGCGGTTTGTGGCAATGAACTCCTTGTCACCGGCAGGGCGCTCGTCACGGGTGTTGGCGGTCAGCATGCTTTGCAGGCTCATGCAAACGCTCTCGACTGTCTGCACTGGGGACCAGCCGGCAGAGCCCAAGAGATCGAGGCAGATTATACCATTGCTGTAGATATGGGGGTGCATCGGGATCGAGCGGGGAGTACCACTTGAGGCTGGGGATTCGATGAATTGGACCTCCGGAGGCTCTGGAAAGACTAAGTCAGTTTCATGTTGATTCAGTAATTGAACAGACAGAAGATATTGATTTGTTGGGAGCAGGATGTAAATAGAAGCTGCCCGCGGAAGTATCGAAGCTTACCGATTGGGTATTTATTGTTAAAGGTGAACTTCAGACGATAAGTCTGGTTTAAATAAAGGGGATTCTCGTCGAGGACCTTGATGTCCATTTGCCATTCTTCCAGGTTGTCTGACTTGACAATTGCGATTCCCGGCGGGAGATGTTCCTGCATCTGGAAGTCATGAGTCAGTAACATATCAACAACCTGTGTTTGTACAAGTGCGACAAGGCATGCGCTCGAGCAAAGTGTGCAGTCGGCGGAGCAAAGGTGGTGATAAAGAGATTGGACGAATCGGATCGGTACCTTGAGGAGCTCCTATAATCCACGAACAGGGTCAATAAGCAGATGAAATGGCATTCCAGACTTCAGATAGTACCGACCTTGCTCAGGCGCTTTGTGGCAAACATGGTTGCAATGGGTCTTGATTGCGGAAGAAGACTGAGATGTTTCAAGAGCTCCGGTGGAGAAGAAGGTGCGGTGTTCCGAACTCCCGATCAGGTGGAGTAGAGCGGATGGATGGATGACGTGTGGAAGGGGGAGCTTCTCGAACAAGAGACGGGATGGGATAAGAACGATGAGCACAAAATAGTTACAATACGCATCATTTATTGCCAAAGAACAATGCAAGTGAGTGAAAGTGACGGCCTTAGGGCCGAAAGCTAATTCGTGACCTCCCGAGACCTACCAATCTTGGATCCAAACACGTGACATCTACAACTGACGTATTATCGTATGGACATGCCACATGGGGGACTGTTGCTTTCATATCAGCGTCTTACGCTCACTCTTCATGCAATTACTTCAGTTTGTAAAAGAGCTTATTCCAACAACTTCGAAAGTCATGCTAGACTCTATCAGTTGAGCTCCGAGCAAGAACCCAATCCAGGTGGACATTTATGGCCAACTTGTGTTAGATAGCACAGGGCCCGGACACCAGAGAGGTTGCACCACAATATAATTAATGAGCATGGTAAACACTCAAAAGTTGTATGTTCACTCTGATTTGACTATGAGAAAGGGGAATCACAGAATTTATATCCAAGAAACCACGCGATGAAAGGAAGAGAAGTACAGGGCATAACATCCATAGGATGATCGTATCAACCCCAGTAAGGATAAAACAAAGAGACAAAGAAAGATGACAAGAACCTCACGCAGAACCGGCTTTCTCGCGAGCTTCACGTTCCACCTTCTCCCGCTCCTCGTTCTCCTTCTGTTCACGGACCTTAGCCAAAACAACTTCACGGAAGATAGCACCGCGAGCAGCGCTGCCCAGACTCTTCTTCTTCGTGTGGCCTGGAGCAGCGTCAGGGGTAGGGGCGGGGCTGACATCGCTGCTGGGCTCGGACGCTTCCGCGGGCTCTGCAGAGGTTCCCATGTCCATGGGGCTGGGAATATCTTCTCCGTCTTCCTCCTCGTGCATCTTAAGAGACTCGATACGATTGGCAAGCTTGACGATCTCGATTCCACGGCGCAAGCGGGCGCGCGCAATGTAGGCACGGATCTCGGGCAGCAAGTCGCGGTCGCTCGCAGTTTCTCCGGTCAGCCACTGGTGCTTGAGGGCTTCCTCTGAGGAAACTCGCTTGCTGGGATCGGCATTGAGGAGGGAAAGAATGAAGTCCTTGGCGTCCTGGGACACATCGCGCCAGTAGCGCTCGTGGAAAATGATGCGACCTGTCCGGCATTCTTCGATAAGGTCGGTCAAGTTTTCGGATCGGAAGGGAGAGTATCCACACAGGAGGGTGTAGGTGATAACGCCGAGAGACCACATGTCAACGGCCTTGCCGTGGCCTTGCTTGAGCATGACTTCGGGAGCGGCATAGCCAAATGAGCCGGCCATGCTGGTCAATACCTCAGAGGGGCTGTGCAGCATCTTCGCAATACCAAAGTCTGCCAAGACCAGCTGAGAGTCGGCAGAGCGGGTGAGGTAGAGGAGATTCTCCGGTTTCAAGTCTTCAGTAGGGTTAGCTATTTGCAAAGCACTGGCATGGTAATGCAGAACCGACCTCGGTGAACGATGTTACGCTTGTGCAGATAGTTCACAGCATCAAGGACCTGGCGAATGGTCTGCGACGCATCCTTCTCTGTGAACTTTCCGTACTCGCAGATTCGGTCGAACAACTCGCCACCGGTGGCTAGTTGTGTAACGATGTAGAATTTGTCCTACACCCGTGATTAGAACCCCGCAATAACCTTATAAGGCTAGACGTGCTAACCTTAGATTCAAACCAGTCGACAAAGGAGACGATGTGAGGGTGTTGGAGTGATTGCAGCATCTCAAGCTCATCATAGACCATGCTCTCGTTGCCGCGGACATTTTTCTTAAGGATTATCTTTACCGCAACCTTCTGTCCGTCTGCGGCATCTGCCTCGCGAACAATGCCGTATGTGCCTGCACCGAGTGTCCGTCCGAATCTATAGAGAGCCCTATACCACGAATTAGCGAGTGCCGGGCCACAGGATAGGGAGTTTGTACTTCTTCTCGTAGCTCTCTGGCTGCCCAGACAGCTTGTTGAGCATGGTCGCAACTAAAACAGTAACAGTTAGCAAATTGCGAAGTCTTCAAGCGAAACGCGCAAATGACTCCCGGAGGGGCCGACCGTGCGGGGAGGGTATGGGCATTGCAAAGCGGACCATGACACAAGACGACAGCTATCATTTCCCCCACCCCCCATATCACCCACAGAGGGCTGGCAGGGAGCGTATAGATTGACATGGTGATTTCATGACAGTGAAGTGTCAGGTTGTGGACGGGGCTGACGCGAGTCCGGGAAATGGTCGGGCAGCATTGAGGGACAAATCATAGCACAATTCGCATGCAGGACACAAGTCTCGCGTGTATGGAGTGTCGACTCACAGCTCATGATGTGGGGATAGGACTGCAGACGCCCAAGATCACAGACGCGATGTGTGATGGGCTCGAATGGGCACGCAGCTCGTCAGGTAGTGACGGCGGACTAGAACTTCGAGGCGGATATGAGATTGGAATGATACAATATGTCGCAAATGTATGAAATAGCCTGGCGAGAGAGAATAGGGTCAGTAATCTAGAAATGTTAAAATCGAGGGGTGACCAGGCCAGGCGCGGGGGTGGCTGCATCAAGATAAACAAGACCAATGGATGGTGGATTAGACATACCGCGCATACGCAGACCGACAAATACCAGAGATTCTAAGTCTGCTGTCCTCTTAAGAGACAACGAGAGGAGGAGATGACCTTAATGAAAGTGTAAAGAAAGAGCTGAGGAGGGGAAGATCAGGAGTTCTAGACGCGATAAGCCTCGGGGCTGTAGGGTTTAGCGCCCAGCACAGCCACAGAATGTTTCTGCCTGACTGGGAAGTACTTATAGAGCTGAGGTATCATAGAAGCAGGATGCCCAAGAATTGCCATCTACATAATAAAGATTAGAGCTACACTAGGCACCCTGGGGCCTGGTAATGCTTATTGATGTGAAAATGGGTACTTGGGTACTTGGGACGCCGATTCAAGCTCCTAAGCTTGAGGTGAGTTCTACAAAATCTTAGTCATCGCTTCACGTGCTATCACATGCTTTCGTCACCGGTGCTCAGTGAGCCCCTACTTGTATCAAGAATTTCATTCTTCCTGCTCGTCCTCGGTATAGAGAACGGGATAATGGGACATCCCCATCCGTTCCCAAGCAATCGGGGGTGGACTCGTCATTGGGGGAGGAACAGATCCGACGGGACCCTGGAGGAGGGAAGTGGGGAACCCGTTTTACCGCTGGCGGCTGTAGGTAGGGCTTCTTCCAGTTCCAGGGCTTAGCTGGAATTCTTATCACGTTTAGGGGTATTTCGGCATACGGGGCTGTGGAACTGAGCCGCTGGATCACCATCGAAGGACGAAGGTTCGTTTGTAGATGATCAATGAGTGATCACATTCACATAACCCCTTGACCCTTCTGCTGCTGCATAGCCTAGTGCAGCGGCTCATTTTGTTATAAACGCCTACCATTGGCTAAGCATCCTGGTGGAAGAACGATCCCAATTCGACAGCTGGAATCCAACCAGTAAGATAACTTCTAGTTGTTACTAACTATTCATTTTTTTAACACTGCCTATCAAGCAGTTACAACTAACTTCTAGGAGCTTTCCAATGTGGTCAAACACCGAGAACACAACAGCACACTGGCCTGAGTCCGCGCCTCAACTTTGACCCCGGTTATCTTCATATCTCCTGACAGCCCGTGGCCACTGCCCGATTCCGGCATAGCCCCAAAATCACAGCCACCTTGAGCAGGGATGGGTAGGATCAGGTGGTTTATCCAAGAACTACATATACCTAGTCATTGGGCGCAATTACCGTTACTCCTTATACTATCCTCACTTTACTCTCACATTTTGCAGACCAACAAAATACTGTATCTGGAAGCCAATATTGCACTGAATCAGCGAATATTGAGCTTCAATAATGGCCGACGCAGTCTTTGGTGCACCTGGCTGGGAGGTCTACTCCGCAATGCTTCAGGATGATCGGCGAGTTAGAGTTGGAGCTACAACTCCCGCACATCTTACGCGGACATTGTATATCCCCCGTCATGATGGCAGCGGCAGTCATCTCTCCGTTCACGATATCAGCACCCTGTACCAGGAAACTGTCGGGGACCGTAACATAGGATCAGCCTCGTATCTTGTGTCTCTGGGAAAGATGCAAAAGCCGCAGAGTGAGCTGGATGATACAACTGTGTACAATGTGGGCTTCAAAGATGCAGTGGAGTTGCACGGGCAGTCGATATCAGTGACTGCAGCGTCGCCTGGTCACTCACCTCTCGAGGCGAATGTGTATGTCCTATCTGCCTTTTCCAAAGTCAGTTTAATTGGCTAATTGAGACTACAACAGTGCCATCAACGCTGACGGAAATGAAGCTGTTATCACAATGAAGTGCGAACAGGAAAACGATGTGCAAACGCTAGAAGACACACCGATGTCGATATCTTACCCCATCTCACCAACCAAATTCGACAAAAGGGCCTTCGTGCACCCCTATTTTACGTTCCGACTCCCCGGAGTGGCTAGGATGACCCTTGAATGGCAAGTCCACCCAGTCGAACATGGACGTTTGCGATATACTCTTGTTCGCATCTCAGAGGCGCCGTCGTCCGTGTATGTTGCAGGTTCGGGTGTCCCTCTAGATGAAGATGTGCTTGCTATATATCATCATGTTGGAGATGGCATTTCTTTGCCGCTGCCATATAGCGAGGGCGTTCTTCTGCTATCCCCTGATATGGAACCAGCTACCGAGACCATCGTGGTAGCCAGTGTTTTGGGAGTGCTCCTGCAGCTGCGTCAGTTACGCAAGGCGGGAAAAGGCACGAAGAAAGGGACCCTCGGCTTTATCAAAGGCTTGCTCAAGAAATAAGTGGAAGGACTCACCTTTGAATCTGACCACAGACCAAGGCAATCAAATGAGGGCATATCTCACGAGTGTGTTCCCTATGTTGAGGCGCGCAATGCTATCACAACTGGCGAGCGCCAAGAGTTCCAAGGCTGCCATAGATCTCCAATATAGAGCGATAGCAGCACTTCCCATTGTACATCTTCTGAGCGTGCAGTAATCAAAACCTAGAAAGACCTGAAACATTTCCTGCATAACGTCAACAAGTACATTGAGTAATTAATATAACGAAACCGCGTGATTGGCAACAAACATTCCGACCCCACCGGATACCAGTTGTGGCACGGTGGCACCAGACGTCATCGACGTAGCCATATCAACCACAACAGCCAAGTTATTTTCTACTTTCTTCTGCTTCTTACTTCTAGTATATTGCTAGGACATCTCGAACAAATAACCTCCACATTCCAACATTGATCATGCTATCATTCATCTTCTTCCTTACCCTACAGGTGATTCTATTCGCCGCCTGGGTCACCGGTTACCTAGATCCATACCAGAAACAGCTTCAAGAGCTCCTGCTGGACTATATGGGTGAGAACAAGGTCTCTTACGGACTGAAGAGTATGTGTACCGAGCACCGAGAAAAATAAAATGAGCAATATAATGAAATATACTAATCAGAATCTACATGTAGAAAGTCTCACTGGCAAGAAACTCACCGAGGACCAGAATCTGAGCAAGATTCAAGATCAGCTTGGAAGCCAACTAGGTGGTGTGTTTGGGAAAGGGGGACTCGGAGAGGGACTTGGGTCTGTTCTGAGTAAAGGCCTTTGAGCAGGATGTTCTGCTAGGACGAACAAACCGGTGATAGCAAATTGATTTTGGTGTCTTACGATTGAGATTAAGAGGAACAGCGGATTTTGATTTTGGGTAGCTACTTTTGCAGTTTTCTGTCGATTGATAGTATGAATACCAGCGAGAGTGATCCTTTTTTTTTTGTATGAAGGCATAAGGGAAGCTGCCGAGCTATCCTCTGGACCACGACCTTCCTCCACATGTGACCATAGGATGTGACCTAACTTTTGATAGTAATAATGACATAGCTTGTCATGTAACCAGGGAAGTCAGTGACCTTAACTTTCCCATACCGGAACGCCATGCCAATGTCAGCCTCAGCTGCATGACAACCTAAAGCCACAGATAAATGCCATAAGACTTCAGCTAGTGGTTCTGGAACCGATTCAGCCATTCACGAGATCCATTACCAGATGGACCAAGCTCAGCCAAAGCATCCTCACAAAGTCGATCGTAATACTCAGTCCCCTTCCAGTTACTATGCTTCGACCGAAACCCAATGACCCAGCCTTCTTTCCTAAGCCGCTTCATACGCTGCTCCTTGGACTCAAGTCGCATAACATTCCCAAATTCGTCAACATTGGGCCCCTCCACCCGAGGTGCAACCGGAGACTCGCCCGGATTGGTGTGGGGCTTGATGGGAGTAAAAGTCCAAAAGGAGACAGAGCGGTTCATAGCTGGGTGACGGGCGCGGCGGGCCTGCTGCACCGCCTTAACACGCTCGATCTGCTTCTCGAGATCGGCGATGTAGTGTGGAATCTTCTCGGCGAGCCACGCGATGGTGTCGTTGAATTCAAGGATCATGGCGGTGCTCTTGGAGCTGGTATGTCCAGACCAGGATACAGGGGAACGAGGGTTGGATGAGTCTGTATCAGTATTCGGCGAACCTGGGTGGCTTTGGAACGGCACTCTGAGGACGGACATCGGCCTCTGCACGGGGGGCGAAGAGCTGGATGGAGGGCTGGGCGATGGCGCCATGGGTCGCCCGATGGTCATGTAGTGTGAGGTAAGAAGCGAGTTCACGCGCATCGACTGTGGTGCTAGGAGTGAAGTGTCTATCTTCTCCGTGCCAGCATTCATGTGTCTGGATGGGGTGATGTTGTTGGACAGCCGGGGAAGTCGAGACCTCGGAGGTGGCATTAGCTCGTTATCAGATATCTTCTTCTCGGCTGTTTCATTCTCAGAAGCAGCAGGTGCTATCATTGCGGAATCCCTGCACATGAGAATCTCACCAGACTGCTTTCGAATTGCGAGCGGGGATGGAACAAGGTCTCTTCGCTTCATTGGATCCTTGAGCTCAGCTGGGAATCTGACCGGAGGTAGACGCACTGGAATACGCGTTTGAGGGTGATGTTGGGTAGGGGTGTCATTCACGAAAGGGTCACCATCGGCTTCGGGAATGAAATTGTCAAACGCGGTATCTCGGATGACAGATCCCTCGCGGGGAGGCCCATCTTTGCCACCATTGAAGGCAACCAGTTGGCTTCTGACAGGCAGGCGAGATCGACTGCTTTGAGGCGTAAAGAAGGTTGCTTGAGATGGTGATGACAATTGACAGGCAGGGGAAGGGTCATTGTAGTCAAGGTCAAGCTGCGATTCTCCACGAGCTACATGAGGCGGCGTGACGCAAAACTCAGTGATGACAGATGGACGGGGAGAGCCAGAGGGAGATTCACTGTAGTCCAGTAGGGATTCTCCACGGGCTGCATGAGGCGGCGTGACGCAAAGCGCAGTGCTGATAGAAGGACGGGGAGAGTCAGAGGGAGATTCATTGTAGCCAAGCAGCGATTCTCCACAAGCTGCATGAGGCGGCGTGACGCAAAACTCGGTGGTGACAGAAGGACGGGGAGAGTCAGAGGCAGGTTCATTGTAGTCAAGCCGCGATTCTCCACGAGTTGCATGAGGCGGCGTGACGTGAAATGCAGTGATGACAGAAGGATCGGGAGATGGAGTACGCGACACTCTAGCAGGAGAAGCATGGCGGGTCAGCGTAACTCCGGGGCTCCACGCGATGACAGTAACAGGAGACCGAGGAGACAAGGTGGACGAATCAGGCCAAACAGCAGCAGCCATCAACGCAGAAGGAGGAAGTGAGGTAGGAGGAATCGGCGGAACCCCATCGCTCCATGCGACGGTAGTAGGAGACTGAGACTCTATGGTGGGTGACCACAAGAAAGAAGCAGGCTCGAAGTCTTCCTGTTGGCTCGGGGCCGGCACTGGGACCATCTCTGGCAAAGACACGAACGCAGATTTGTGATGCTCCATAGCCTCGGTCAGAAGCGGAATCTTGACTGTTGAATAGACATGAGCTGCCCTTCCCATGTACTCATATGCAGTGGCAGCATGGTAATGGAGGTAAGTCGCACGAATAGGATGAAGCTGTGTATACACCAGTCAGCACTCCAAAATGACTCAGATGAGATCTGTGAAACACGAACCGGAGGGGAAGCGGTGTCAATCAGCTGCTTGCATCGCATGGCACATTGCTTGTATTGTTGGTTGAACAAAAGCCATTTCACATCTAGAAGGGCCTTCTCCCACTGAGAGTCACTCTCTGGGAGCGAGGGAGCATCATGGACTCCGGAAGATTTGGCTAGTACTGATGTATTTGGAGGGCGAGTAGTCTTAGCCATCTTGATAGACGGGATGATGAAACCGTCGAAGATGATGAGAGAAGAGATGAAGAGATGAAAGGAGGAAAGGATGTAGATGAGTTAGATGATAGAAAGATATCAGAAGAGGCATGTGAAGAGACAATGGATGAGTCGATGCTGCCTTGTCCTCAATAGAACTGCTGGGACAATGACCCCGAGCTACAGTCCTGTTTATTGTTTCTTGAGGCCTACAATTCAGTAATCTCTCACCGTCAAATGAATTAGATTCACGATAGCACTCTCAATAAAAGATATATGTGTGATTCGACAGACTTCATCAATTGCCCGTATTAGGACACTCTTCCATGGATTTTCGCCTAAAAATGCGACATAAGGATGCTCAATAAGCTCATATAGATCATTCAGACCTGCGCAGCACCGTGGTCATGGACGTTGTTCATCTCATGGTGGACTCCAGCAAACGACAATGCTTCACCAGTCGCCGAAAGCGACTCGAGGAAATCACCCAGCAGACGATCAAGCTCTGCTGTGACTGCGTTATCATCCACCCCTTCCATTAAACTCGCCCCATGTGGGGGGACAAGCGCCGGGAAGGGAATGGCACCCGTATCCTCTGCCGCCGGCACGGCTTCAGATTCGTCGTGTCGTACATTCCGTACGGTTTCGAACACGGGAGAGCCTGGTTCGGAGACGGGACCTGAGGTCACCGAAGAGGCAGTGGGGGGTTTCCGGAGGGATCGCTGTGGGCAAATCTCTTAGATTACCATCAAACGAGGTATCCTGTGCATTCCAGTGCGGGGTTGATTCTTCGTCTGGCCCAGGGCCGTCGAGGACACTGGAAGTCTCGTCATCATGGTAACTGGCTTCGGGCACCTTAGCAGGGAGTGCAGTATCAAAGAAGTGACTGTGATGGACAGAATTTGCGTCAGGTGGCGTGGGAGAGCGATCGAAGCGGAAGGGGTCATAGTCGGAGTCCGAGGCATTCGACGCTGACGTCGAAGGGCGAGAGTCATTTGCTTCATCTAATGGCTGTCGTTGCGATGGCGGCGAAGACTGAATCTCAGGAAGTGGAGCCCGAAGTGTGTCATTTCGTACATCGTAAACCTGATCATCGGGCGCAGATTCCATTACGGGGAATGTCCACTCCATAGTGGCTCGCTTCTCAGCCTGAATAGCCTCCGCTGTGGGCTTGGGCGCAGGGGCCTCCGTGTCTTGTTCCGTGGGTTCCTCTTCATTCTGTGCGAATGATGGGAATTTCCAGTCCATAGTGGGAGGTCGTGGACCGGACGGGACGAATGTGTCCTCAATATTGGCATTGTCACTTGCGTCGCTATCGTAAAGCTTTGTGCTATTTTCGTTGGAGTTCCTGTGCAAGCGAAGACTGGAACGATTTGCACGGATGGTGTTTGCATCAACCAGTTGGAAAGGCTGCGCAGCTGGAGTCCCGGCTGCATAATGGGAGGCTTCGAACGACCCGATGTCAATATCGAGACAGGTTGATGTAACAGACGAGCGGTCTGTTTCCGCGCGGAGAGGAAGGTCTGAAGTGGGCTGGGCGGGTTCAATGGGAACGAAGTCATTCTTCGTTTCGTATTTGTAGCTGGGCTTTTCCTCATTGAAAAGGCCTTCCATCGCTTCAAAGCCTCGACGCACACGTTCATTAAAGTTGGCCTTCTCTTTGTAGTTGAGGGCGTTCTCCGAAAACTCTTCGCCCAACTCCGGCTCAGGCGGCGTGTTGGTCGGTCTTACTGGTTGGTCCATCTCAGCCACCGACGCAGCAATTTGATCTAAGTCAATGACTGAAAATCTTCGCTCAAACCCGTCCGTCGTGCTGAAGTTCCAGTCATCTTCAGACTCTTCGAAACCACGGAGCTCGGCTGCCGCGGCGCCGCCTGGGTGGAACAGCGAAATCCGTTGCCCTCCTCGTTGAGACCACTGGTAGTAGTTTCTCACTAATTCACTCACGGATGACGTTGGGTACGCCTCTTCTGTGCCGGCGATATAAGGATGAGCCAGGATGTCTGCCATCGTTGGGCGAGTGGCCGGATTGGAGTCAAGAGCGAATGCAATTAGATCCTTCAACCCCTGGCTGTAATTTTCACTGTCTAGCTGAGGAGTTTTGCGATTCAGCTGGCGACCGATCTGCATTCTTTCTCGGAGGCCTGCGTTTGGCGGATTTCCGTTCGCGAACTCGTACAGTGTGCACCCGTAAGCCCATACGTCAATCTCACTTCCATAGCGAGGCGCCTCGCCACCAGTTGCGAACATCTCTGGCGGCATCCAGTGTGGTGTTCCTATCCACGTTGATCGTTTGTCTCGTTGTGATTGGAGGACACCTGCAACACCGAAGTCACAGATTTCTAGACGGCCCTCCTCGTGAATAAGGATATTTGCCGCTTTCACGTCACGATGAATGATACCAGCATCGTGGATAGCACGAAGTCCGACAGCTAGCTCGCGGGCGATTGGGATGATGTATTTCTCTTCAAGTTTGTCATTTGTCGCACGCATCAAAGTACGAACACTGCCACCGGGACAGTACTCGCAAACCAGCCACAACTGGGAATGGATGGAGACGGCTTCGATGAGTTCATTGATGTTTTTGGCACCAGCGTCCTTCACCTGCTTCATCACCTTTGTTTCATGAATGAAATCTTTGATAGACTCATCTCGAAAATCCCGAATTGACTTGTAGTCCTGTGAGTCAATATCGAGGACTTTGATGGCAACAAGCCGGCCTGACGGCTTTTGATGGCCTTTGTACACACGACCATAGGCACCTTTCCCGATCAACTCTTCGAACTCGTATGGCGGAGGCTCTGTTTTCGCGCGACGACACATTTCCTGGACGGCCACTCCTTGCTCTCGGGCTAGCCTGATAGCTTCGGCCTTGTGCTTGGTGATGGCTGCCATCGCAGAGGATGGGTCCAAGAACCGGGATGTTCGTGTATCCATTTTGGACGAAACTGAGGGTAAAATGAACAGCACGAAAGATGCTTGAGAAATAAGAGTCAGGTATGAGTAAGTATAAAGTGATCCTGAGGAATAAAATGAGGATAGAGAAGCGAGGGTTAAGATATGCGGCTTAAAGTGATAGAAACTCGCTTTTGGCACGCTGTGGGATTAACGCTTGGAAGAGAACGGACGGTGCCTGCGGGCTCGACCAAGCAGGTGTTTAAGGCCTCGAGCACAGCGCTTCAAGGCTGACCAACGCTTCGATTTAGGCTTTCTCCCGGCGGTAAAAGACTGGACCGACGGATGCGGGAAGATACGCGGAGACCTTTGCCGATAGAATCGAGGTGTCGATATACGGGTGGAGCGCTCTTTGAAAAGATTGTCGTGTGTGCCCTGTCTCCTGATTACGGAGCTACCCGGACGAACTTGCGGGGGGCTTTTGGGGAAGGCGCTGTACGGAAATGCACGCCTTGGCGCTGATGGGGAGTTTTCAAGATTACCTTGTGTCTCAGGCTGGGCAGAGTGGACACGCCGGTCTCTGAGTGAGGTGCCGAAGGAAGGGGATGTCGAAATCCGGGGCGAAGTAGGTGGGGTGATCAGTACTAGCCCACTGGTCTCAAGCACGGATGTATCAACTTGGTGTTCTCCGATCGGGTCACTGTCGCTCAGGTTTTCGGAAAATCGGGAAATCCGCGGGGAGTTAATCACGCTGTTGAACCGGTTACTGACGAAGCTCGGCGTATTAGCTGGGGCACTATCTCTAGATAGGACGCGCTGGTGCGAGAAACATCGTTCTCTGGCTGTTCCGCTGGGGGAGTCGGGAATGACTCGAGTAATTCCTCAAACGTTCCAGATCGATTCAAAGTCCTCGGGTAGTGGGATACTTCGCAGTCGCCTTGATCTGGGGCCTCGCTGCGAACATCAAAGGAGTCGGGTGGCTCACCTGATTCGCCGGAATAGATTGACGAAGATGTGGGTTCGGCAGATCCAGGGCGCACGTCGTTCTCAAATGTTCCAGGGTTGGGTGGAAGTTGTGGGGCCTCGGGATGAGGAGCCTCGTTGTCCTGAAGAGGTTGGTGGTATAATTCGGAGATCAGAGAGTCCGAATCCGCAGCGATGAGCGAAGTCCACTCTTCGGCGTATTGGCTTGTTTGTCTGCCTTCCGAGCTTTCGTGAGAACCGCGTGTATGGCTTTGGCTTTGTGGTAGATGAAGCTGTTGCACGCGTTCACTGTGGGATTTACACGTTAGCGAGGACCGGCCGCTTGGTGAACGAATAGATATCTTGCCTGAGGCTTGTGGAAGAAAGGTCGCTTGCAAGATTGGATGAACGGAGTGGAAGAGATTGGGTATGGCTAGTTTCAAGGTCTGTGGGGGAGAGCTCGGAGAAGGGATCGGAGCTTAGAAGGCGAAGTAAGAATTGGTGCTCGCTAGGAGCAAACCCCAACTCTTCAATGAGCGATAGACTGGTGTTATTGTCAGCCATTGATCGTCCGTTGGAGGCACCGAATCATGTATCGATCGAATAGCAGGCATGAGAAGTTGGGGAAAGAAATGGGGTGATGGGGTGATAGGAGTGGTGTTGCGCAAGTCAAGCTCATCAAACCCACCTGACGTTTAGCTAACCGAATTGGACGCCGAGTCAGCATCCCCAACAAGCAATGGAGCGTACACGTCGAGACGATCCATCAACCGATCCAAGGCTGCCCAGATGGAATAGTAGTCCCCGGGAGAGACACAGGCCCATATGGCACGTACATACACGTAATGACGTTACCAAAGCGTGTAGTATTGACCAGCTGTGTTGTACACAGTTTTCTGGCTGCTGTCGCATGAAGCTTGAGCGTCGTGGATGCAAGTTGACTCAAGGAACAACAAGGCGGATGTAGTCGACTGTTCACGAGCATATCGCACGTGATTATTTTGTTCTTATCGTTTATCGTCTCGTGAGGTTTTATCGCCGGTTATCGCCGGACGCTTATCGCATATCGCCATTTTCGCTCTGCATCTCGGGCTGTATTGCTTCACATATTCTGGCATGAACCCATAGAGCTACCATCTATTTGTGTAGGTAATGAGGTAATGAAATAATGTTAAATGTTCCTATATTCATGTCATTTCCTGAACCATGACGGCTGGATTCGTCGTAACAATCTCGTGCAGGTGGCTGTTCTACATATGTCCGTCGGCCATACGACTGGTTCAGAGATAGTAAGCAAACCGATTGCAGTCAACCAGGACATGATGGAACGGCAATCCAAGCACTCAGCGAATATAGAACGCCAAGGCCAATACATCCGGATAGGGCTGCCTTATCGTTGTCTAAATTGCATCACGGAGGACTTGAACAGAAGACAAAAAAGCACACAGCAAAAATAGACACAAAGAACCAGCCGGCCAGAGACCTACTACATCTTCACCAACCCGGATAGAAATTGGAAGGCGTCTTCAGCCCGTCGTATCGCATGAATGCAAGGAATGGCTACTGTCTAAATGGCTAAACCGCTACATTCTTCACAAAGCCAGGGTTTGGTGAGGCCAGAAGGAGCATATAGCGATTATGTTTGATGGCACTAGTTAACTCTATCGCTTTTTCCGTATCACCACTGGCGGGCCCAGTGCATGATACCACAGAGGTTCGTGGCCACCAGCTTTCTGCCGCGTTTGGAGCTCAAGTCAAACCAGTCCGTTGCAGTAACAAGAAGGGGCGTCAGATTCAAAATCAGCGAGATATTCATCACTGATTTGGAAATCGAGGAAACACAGATAATGCTGGACAGCATGTATCACTATCACCCTATCCTATGTTGTCAGCGTATGCATCAAAGTGACAGCGAATTTGAACATGACAATAAACACGTACCTTTTGACGATGCTGAGCACCTTAGAAGGATCAGCCAGCCTGGCTACCAAAGCTTCGCACGTCATTTGTGCGAAGCAGTTGTCCGAAATGATCGGTCGGCCTTTTCCAGGGACTGGAATTGCCTCTTCGCCTCCAAAACGACCACGGCATTTTGCCACGTTGCATAAGCCTGTTATCTCTTGTCGGTAAATTAGCCCCCCATCATCGATGGCATGACTTTCCGCTCCAACTAAGGAGTGTGAGCAGAAAGTTTTGACTTTGCGTCCCTAAATTCGAGGACAGCAGGCAGAATAGCGCCATCTTGGGGCGGTGCAAAGTACAGTGTGTGTCGGACGGTGTAATCCTCCGGGGACCGGGGATGCTAGAAGGCTATTCCAGGCGGGATCAACGTACTCAAGCGAAGATGCCGCCTGCGAACTAGTTCCTGAATTGCTCGATCCAACTTGTATCTCGCTTGAATTGGCATAAATTGTTTGCGCGATGCTCTGGGTACGTACTCGCCGCCGCTTCGGAGATGGCTCGCCTTCATCTTCGCTGCGTATTCGAGGCTGCTCCAGAGATGCCTCGAGTTCATTGTCATTTCCTTCAGAGGGAACTTTGGATGAATCAATTCCACGGCGCTTCTTGCTACCTTCAAATATTGCCAATGCCCCCCAAACTTGGCCAAGAGAGATCCCATATGTAGGATCTCGCACGAGATGGTGCTCGCTTAGGCCCAGATGGCTACGAGTTGGGCCATCCAAAAATTTCTCGATCTCAGGGTATGAGCGAAGGTCCAAGGATGATGGTAAATGCTCCGAAAGAACAGGGAGAATGTCAGACCGTGCACGGGTCCGGAGAACACGACAAGCAAACAAGTGATCACTCACGTCCCCAATTACTGGCCGCGACATCAGGGAGTTCGGAGAATAATCTTCTCTTCTCGGCAGCGAAATGACTCTTGAAAGTTGAGTCTGAGGTCACAGTTTTGAAGTATGGAGTAGACATGCTGACACCGTCACGTAGGGTTGTTCCCTATACGGTTGCCTATTCGGGAAGGAGGCACCCTGCACAGGCGCACGTTACCTCAGCATGCTCAAACACAAAATTCAGCACGTCGTCAATTATGGCCCCGTGTCCCGCATAGTAGAATACCATCAAGCAGTGCTGGTTGTAGCCGGGCATTCACTGATAATGTGCCCAACACGTTCGCGGCGGAGTCTCCAGTTTGGCATCCTATCTGTGTTCCTCAGAACGTATGTCTCGTGCTCGATGACGAAGCCTTGCATAAGGCTGGCCATGGTATTAACGTAGTGCCGCGCATTCGAGCCCTCGTCGAGCCATCGAACAAGTATAGCCACTTGGCGCACATGGTCGTTTGCTCTGGCCACCGCAACTTCCTGTAGCCGCTGCTTCAGAGCTGGTAAACGGTGGACCAGACGGGCCGCTGACGGGAATGAGGAAGACGCCGGCGCCGATTGAATGGACCCGGTCGATGAGTTGAGCTCCGACGGGTCAGCCATGTTACCTGAACGATGTTAGTATCAGCAGGGCTGAGGCCAAGTCCAACTGTCCAAGTTATCCAACGGGTAGCACTCACGATGTCGGCACGCGATATGAGTATCCAAAGAAAAGATATGTAGGGAAGAAAAGATGAGTGATGACTGTTTCCTGTGTTGCGAACTAAAGTAACAGAAGTGGAGAAGGGAAGAGGAAAGTAGAAGAGCTGCGCAGAAGGATTCCTTTTTATGTTCTTCTTCCGTGCTCGCTCCTTCCCTCCTAGCTATTGTTTGCTCCTTCCCTTAGCTACACTCGGGCTCAACCGTCGGACCGTCACACAAGAATAAACCGTCGTCCGACCGCTAAACAGATCGAATACGTGCATCCCGACTGGGGTCACCATGGCCATTGGTAATGAAGGGGTTGTACCCTATTCCCCCTACGGTCTACCTCGCGTGTATGCTTAAGGCTCATCAATGTGGAGGTGTGTAGCTCCGTCAAAGCTATTAAATATGTGAATATGTTCCCAGATATGTCTTAAGGGTATTGATCGTGCTCCCACTGAGATTGAGGTCGATGAGATTAAGCAGTCTGTGAATGGGCGCTTCCTTGGCTCCGCTGAAGCTGCATCGTGCATGGTTTATTCGGGTTGATACCAACTATGTGACTTGATGATCTGTAACAGGGCAAATAGACAATATTTATGCTAGTGGAGCATGGAGACATGCTTGAAGAAAGTAGATAGATTCAAGCAATCTCAGATGCGCTCCATGTGAATGCGGTTAAGTAGCTTTCGCAGGACATGTCCATTGTCCAGTCCTGAACTCCTGATACTTGAGGCCATCAAGTGTAGTTTATGAAATCCGACAGCTTCGCATAATCAGAGAATAAGGTCATCTCTCGAACAGTATGTACACAGTACACAGTACTGCGTATGGGGCGGTTGGCAAGGTGGCAAACCAGGTGGCTGGTGGGCGGAGGTCATGCTTCTTTAGTGCCGTAGATATTCGACAGAGGACGATGGGTGAGACATCGTCACATCAGACAATTGTTTCTGGATCAGAGCTTCTGGTTACGTTAATTTCTGTGACCCTCGCTTCATGTTTGAAAACACGAGCGTCGAACATAATAACCGGAGTGGTTGCCGGGAGTCGGGACTGGGCACTGGAATATTCACTGAATCACTAGGATACGAGGCGGTCTCGGTCTGTGGACGGTTGAAATAGTGCTTTGTGTACGGAGTACATCAGCTCAGCTGGATGAGCTGCCCAGGCGAGGACCTTTAATCATATCAGTCTCGACCCTCTTCAGTTTGTCGATACTTACGGTCTTTGGAATGGGAATCTTTGATGCCTTGCTGCCTGTCTGCCTGAAAATGAGGAGCAATTCTTGTGACCCCCACTAATGCACGGTGCAGCCTCCGTGCGCTAGTTAACTTCTGGTTGTGAAAAAATTTTGCTCGAGGCAAATGTCCCCAAGTTTGTCGATAGGATTGGTCCATAATGAGATGTCACTCATAAGGCTATCTATGGCTATCAGATATAACAGCTGTACCAGACATTGAGCTCTTGAGCTGTGGATGCCTTATGGCCTAGGCATCAAGGTCAGATTTTGAATGGCTTACTAATGTAGACTGCCCCACTATGCCGCGATAGAGGGGTTTGGGCATGAGTTCAATGTTGAGTCAGTTTAAACCCTTGGAAAGCAAGAAAGTATCGTATGAATCATAGGCTTTAGGCTTTAAATCGATGGTAATTACATCAAGTGACCATTTAAATGTATAGAAAATCCTCTGAGTACAGTAGCTCTCGCCTATGGTCTGTCTAACGTCACCGGAGAACCACGGCTAGCGAGAATAAGCCATCGGAATGAGTCAAGACAAAGTGCAATCCACGAGAGATTTGAAATCAAAATGGGCAAAATGCATAGCAGGTGACAGTCGTCGAATAGAAAGAGTTATAGAAAAATATTTTGAATAAATAATGAGAATTACTCTTTTGATACAGTCGGAACTGGGCTAGTCAGCCAAACGCACAAAACCGGGAGGAGAAAAAAAGTCCCCACTTTCGCTTTCTTTTTTTCTCTCCCACTTTCCCTTCCCCTCTTCCTCTTCCTCTTCCCCTCTATCTCTCTCCTAGGAGCAGTTGCACATAGAAGTTTTTGATTAAGTGATCGAGTGCTCTCGGTCCTGGTCATCTTTGTGCCTCTTCTTCTTTCTTTTCTATCCTAAGTTACTCACTGAGGATCAACCGCCAAAATGGTCAAGTAAGTCATACCCGATATATTGGGGTCTGGAAGCACCAACCCTGCAAAGATGAGAGAACAGCAGCTAACAATGATGTGAACAGCTTCACTATCGAAGAGGTTCGTAGCTTCCTGAGATCAGAGCATCACTAGTGGGAAGGAGGGCGATATCCCCCATGTCATCTTCCAACTCCCACTTTCCCTGATGTTGCTTGAAATCCTTCATCAATTCAGCAAATCAATATGGACTTTCATTCTAACAGAGATCAGATCCGGTCCTTGATGGACCGCCGGGCTAACATCCGGAACATGTCCGTCATCGCTCACGGTAAGTTTTCGAACATGGGCGAGTAAAGGGAAATGGCTGATACTGACATGTTTCGTGTGTGCCAGTCGATCACGGAAAGTCCACCCTCTCCGACTCCCTGGTCCAGCGTGCCGGTATTATTTCCGCCGCCAAGGCTGGTGAGGCTCGTTTCATGGACACTCGTCCCGATGAGCAGGACCGTTGCATTACCATCAAGTCCACCGCCATCTCCTTGTACGCCAAGTTCCCCGATCCCGAGGATCTCAAGGAGATCCCCCAGACCGTCGATGGTGATGAGTTCTTGATCAACTTGATCGATTCCCCCGGTCACGTCGATTTCTCATCTGAGGTCACTGCTGCCCTCCGTGTCACTGACGGTGCCCTTGTCGTTGTCGACTGTGTCTCCGGTGTCTGTGTCCAGACCGAGACCGTCTTGCGTCAGGCCCTGACCGAGCGTATCAAGCCCGTTCTGTGCATCAACAAGGTCGATCGTGCTCTTCTCGAGCTCCAGGTCTCCAAGGAGGATCTCTACCAGTCCTTCTCGCGTACCATTGAGTCCGTCAACGTCATCATCTCCACCTACTTCGACAAGGCTCTCGGTGACGTCCAGGTCTACCCCGACCGCGGTACCATCGCCTTCGGTTCCGGTCTCCACGGCTGGTGCTTCACTGTTCGCCAGTTCGCCGTCCGCTACGCCAAGAAGTTCGGTGTTGACCGCAAGAAGATGCTCGAGCGTCTCTGGGGTGACAACTTCTTCAACCCCAAGACCAAGAAGTGGACCACCAAGGCTGAGCACGAGGGCAAGCCCCTTGAGCGTGCCTTCAACCAGTTCATCTTGGACCCCATCTTCAAGATTTTCGCCGCTGTCAACCACAACAAGCGTGACGAGATCTTCACTCTCCTTGACAAGCTCGAGGTCAGCCTCACCAACGACGAGAAGGAGCTCGAGGGCAAGGCCCTCCTCAAGCTCATCATGCGCAAGTTCCTGCCTGCCGCTGATGCCCTTCTCGAGATGATCTGCATCCACTTGCCTTCCCCCGTCACTGCCCAGAAGTACCGTGCCGAGACTCTCTACGAGGGTCCCACTGACGACAAGGCCTGCATCGGTATCCGCGACTGTGACCCCACTGCCCCTCTGATGCTCTACGTCTCCAAGATGGTGCCCACCTCCGATAAGGGTCGTTTCTACGCCTTCGGTCGTGTCTACGCCGGTACCGTTAAGTCCGGTGTCAAGGTCCGCATCCAGGGCCCCAACTACATCCCCGGCAAGAAGGAGGATCTCTTCATCAAGGCCATCCAGCGTACCATTCTCATGATGGGTCGCTTCGTTGAGCCCATTGAGGATGTCCCCGCCGGTAACATTGTCGGTCTGGTCGGTGTCGATCAGTTCCTGCTCAAGTCCGGTACCCTGACCACCGATGAGACTGCCCACAACATGAAGGTCATGAAGTTCTCCGTCTCCCCCGTTGTCCAGCGCTCCGTCGAGGTCAAGAACGCCCAGGATCTGCCCAAGCTTGTCGAGGGTCTCAAGCGTCTCTCCAAGTCCGATCCTTGTGTCCTGACCATGATCAACGAGTCTGGCCAGCACATTGTTGCCGGTGCTGGTGAGCTGCACCTCGAGATTTGTCTTAAGGATCTTGAGGAGGATCACGCCGGTGTTCCTCTCCGTATCTCCGACCCCGTCGTTGCTTACCGTGAGACCGTCGCTGGCACCTCCAGCATGACTGCCCTGTCCAAGTCGCCCAACAAGCACAACCGTCTCTACATGACCGCTCAGCCCATCGAGGAGGATGTCTCCCTTGCCATCGAGTCTGGCAAGATCAGCCCCCGTGACGATTTCAAGGCTCGTGCCCGTGTCCTTGCTGACGAGTACGGCTGGGATGTCACCGATGCCCGTAAGATTTGGTGCTTCGGTCCCGACACCACCGGTGCCAACTTGCTCATCGACCAGACCAAGGCCGTGCAGTACTTGAACGAAATCAAGGATTCCGTTGTTTCCGGTTTCCAGTGGGCCACCCGCGAGGGTCCCGTTGCCGAGGAGCCCATGCGTTCCGTCCGCTTCAACATCCTTGATGTCACTCTCCACGCTGATGCCATTCACCGTGGTGGTGGTCAGATCATCCCCACTGCTCGTCGTGCTCTGTACGCCGCTGCCATGTTGGCCGACCCCGGTCTTCTCGAGCCCATCTTCAACGTCGAGATCCAGGTCCCCGAGCAGGCTATGGGTGGTATCTACGGTGTCCTTACTCGCCGCCGTGGTCACGTCTACACCGAGGAGCAGCGTCCCGGTACTCCTCTGTTCATGGTCAAGGCCTACTTGCCCGTCAACGAGTCCTTCGGTTTCCCCGCCGATCTGCGCTCCGCCACCGGTGGCCAGGCTTTCCCCCAGTCGGTCTTCGATCACTGGAGCATCCTTCCCGGCGGCTCTCCTCTCGACCCCACCACCAAGCCCGGTCAGGTCGTCCAGGAGATGCGCAAGCGCAAGGGTCTCAAGGAGGTTGTTCCCGGATACGAGAACGTAAGTCATGATTCTTTTCCTTCCTTATGGTTTCACTCGCTAATATGCGTCTCTTATAGTACTACGACAAGCTGTAAAAATGTTCACGGTTACACAGAATTGCCTTTCTGCCAGTTATTCGTGGAGACTTTCATGAGATTGATGAATTCAATACAATTTCTTCGGTTCAACAAAATTTTATTCCCTCATTCGTCGGTATATGCCTCGATCGTTCCGTCTTTAGAATTATGGCCCTGAGCTTTTGGGCCGCCAGCTTTATTGACCCTGGCGTGGGTATGACCTTGGCATGTTCTCTTGGCCTTTCATTACTGTTTACGCACTTGCTTTGCGGATTTTTGCTCTTATCGTTTTTTTGCTGTAGTCTAGCTACCAGTTTGCTATGAAAATAAAATTGGTATGCTAGGCGCAGCCTTTCCTGCGTAGTGTTTGTAGTACCGTTGGTTTTGTAGGACCGAAAGAAATAGAGTAATGACTTGAGGGCTCATGCTTTTCACCAAGGCATGGTAGACACTTGGAAGGAGCCGAAGGTTCGAAGTTGTCCTATGTCATTTAACACGTGACCTGCCGGGACTCGCGTTTTCGCCTTTCATCTTCGCGCTCCTAGCCATATCTTCACATTACCGCATGTTTGAGTGCGAATGCTTTTCAATATTATAGTTCCTCGTTTATGGACACATTCTTCCACCTAATAAAAGCTGTGGATTTATATCGCAATTACAATTGTCACCGGGCTTGCAGAAATCTTCCCGAGTGACGGCTTTGTTGGAACCGGATCCCTGCAACCATTGCCATCCCCACGTCAATACTTTGTCCGACACGACTCACACACTACAGCTTGTGGTTCCTCGGACATCATATTCGCCATGCAGTTCACCGATGCGGAAGCCCTTGAAGTGAAGAAATGGGTGGTAAAGAAATTAGAGGACATGTGAGTCGACCTACCTCTCAATCAATGCTGGACAAGGAAATAAAAGCAACATCTAATCATGATCAACCTGCTTCTAGCTCTGATGCCGACTCCGATGTCCTTGCAGACTATGTTTTGGCGCTGGTCAGGTCTGATGCGCCAATTGAGGAGATCAGGAAGAACTCGGTGGAAAACCTAGAGGATTTCTTGCGCGAACGTGCGTTTGACGCCTCGACCGCACAAACTTGGTTACTATTGCTGACCTCTCGCAGACACCGAACCATTCGTTAATGAGCTCTTTACAACATTCGGTCCTAAGCCATCCGCGCCCGCCCCTGCGCCCCAACTTCAGCACGCGCAGCAACCTGCTGCACAGGTTCACCCGTCGCAAGCTCCACTACATGCGCCCACCGGGCCGAAGGCTGCTATCTCTCCGGCTGCCACAGCCAACCGTAAACGAACATTTAATGAGGGGTTCCAAGGGGAGCCTGAGCGCGACGATGGCGCATTACAAAACCGCGCTATGAAGACTCCACGACGCGGTGGACATGCAGGTGGTCGCGGTGACTTTATGGGCGGACATCAGATGCATCCGGGCCAGCAATTCCCTCAACAACAACCCGGTACCTTCCCTATGATGCCCGGGTTCCCGCCATTCGACCCCAACGATCCTATGGCAGCAATGATGGCTATGCAAGGAATGCAAGGTATGGGATTCCCGCAGATGCCGGGTATGCCTATGCCCGGGCCGCCTGGTGGTCCAGGACAGCCAGGCGCGGATCAGATGCAACAAAGCAACCAGCGCTGTCCGTTCTATGACACGCAAGGTATTTGTTACCTTGGTAACACCTGTCCCTATCAGCACGTTGAGGCTGGTGCTTCGAAAAACGATGGTAAGATGACTTCCTATTTTGAAAACAACCCTTGCTGACAGTCGCAGAATATGACCCTAAGACTGCTGGTACACATGGCCAGCGGGGCGGTGCTTTCATGCGCGGTGAGCGCGGCCGCGGCCGTGGCCGTGGTGGCTTCAGCGGGCGAGGACGCGGCCGGTCCGATTTCTCGTCGGCAGGGCCCAACGAGGACCAGTCGATCACAACGATCGTGGTTGAGCAAATCCCGGACGAGAAGTTCAGTGAGGAAGCCGTGCGCGAGTTTTTCTCTCAGTTCGGCAATATCACCGAGGTTTCATTGCAACCCTACAAGAAGCTGGCATTGGTAAAATATGAGACCTTCGCGGAAGCCAAGGCCGCCTGGTCCAGCCCCAAGGTCATCTTTGACAACCGTTTCGTGAAGGTGTACTGGTACAAACCAAACCGCGATGAGAAGCCTGACGGCGCGCAGCCCGAGGCTCCGGCTTTCAATCAAGAAGAGTTCGAGAAGCAGCAGCAGGAAGCACAGAGGGCACACGAAGAAAAAATGAAGAAGCGCCAGGAGGCCGAAGCAGCCAAGCAGGCCCTTGAGCGCCAGCGCGAGGAACTCCTCAAGAAGCAACAGGAGGAACGGGCGCGTCTCATGCAGCGACTCGGAGCGTCGGCAGATACGAGCACTGACGCCGGAGCTGGTGACGCCATGGCCACTGAGCCTGCCGCGGATGAAAACGTCAGTGAAGAGACGAAAAAGCTACGCGCTCAGCTGGCTGCCCTCGAGGCCGAGGCAAAGAGTCTTGGTCTCGACCCTTCAGCTGATGCTGCGGCACGAGGTGGATACCGGGGTCGCGGTGGCTACCGTGGCCGAGGCACATACCGTGGACGGGGCGGCTACGATCCCAGTTTCCGTGGAGGAATCCGTGGACGTGGTGGCTTCGGAGCTCGGGGACGAGGAGGTGTGCTACGTCTCGATAACCGGCCTCGACGGGTTGCCGTGGCGGGCGTTGAGCTCAGCTCGGACAGGGACGAGGCCTTGCGTCAGCATCTGATGGTATTTTTTTTTTTTTTTTTTTCTTTTCCTTTCTATTTGCTTAGTAAAGCATATACTGATCTGATATATTCTAGGGCGTCGGAGAATACGAGTCTATTGAGGCACACCCAGATCAGCCCAACTCCGTCGTGGTTGCATTCAAGGAGCGATATCAAGCTGAGAAGCTCATGTTCTCTCCTTGGAACATCCCCTCCGTGGGCGAGGTCCAGCTCAGCTGGATGCCTAACTTGCCTATCGCGGCTCCCACTGCTGGGTCAACGGAGTTCAAGGGTGGCATGGGACAGGACGAACCGGAAGACACGGTCATGTCGTCCTCGTCCACGCCGGTTGTCAACAACGCTCCCGCGCGGGATATGGATTATGACGTTGCGGAAGAAGATAGCTGGGGCGCTTGATCTCGCCAACCTTTGTGTGTACCATCATGTCTGTACAGGCTGCATTAAGCCGGGATAGAAGTTCCATCCCGATCTGACCAATTTCCATGACCTTCGAATCGTATGGTCCAAGTAGATCATAGATCAGATATTCTGAGGAATCAACTCAACCAAATACCCATCCTATCACCAATCAGCACATCCCAGTCTCCCACATACCTATACCATTTGAAAACTCACCGGATCAGCAACCATAGCAAACTTCTCAAAAAACCAAGCATAACCTGAATGAATCTCCCCAACCCCAACCCCCCTCCCCTCCTCCCAATCCGAAAGCGGCACACCCCCCCTCCCACAAACCCCCAAATCCTTAACAACCACCACCCCCTCCTCCCTCAATCTCCTCAGCGCATCCTTTACATCGGGAACCGTAAACCCCAAATGCGCAAACCCCAGATTCGGCGGCACATTCCCGTTACACACAGTATCCTCTGTATCTTCCGATCCATGCACGTGGTACAATTCGAGTAATCCGCTCGTGCGCGTCATGGTGGGTATTTCGCTTGTGCGTGCAGCCCAGGCGGATACGGCCTCAGCGGTAGAGGCTTCCGGTGGTGGGTGGCCGAGGTAGTAGATTGTGAAGGGGCCGGCGTTCATGGTGAAGATTACGCGCATGCCGAGCAGGTTTATGTAGAAGTGGAGGGAGCGGGAGGGGGATTTTATTCGGAAGGCTAGGTGGTTTAGTTTGTAGTTGGATGTGGATGGGGAAAGGGGTGGGTTTGGGAAGGTTGGGTTGAAGGTGCCTGGGTCTTGGAGGGGAGGGGGTGGAAGGTATTTTCGGGCATATTGGTGGTTCTTTTCTAGTTGGTTGTTGTTTGGGTAGAGATGGGTGATTGTAGGGATGTTGAGGGTGAAGGGAGAGAGGGGAGGGAATGGGGTTTGGATGGATGTTAGCCTTGAGACCCAGACATGGGGTAAATGTGGGGTATTTAGATCAGGCTGTAAGGCTGTAAGGTTGTGGATATTCTGTTAAGTCTGCACATCTTATGGCGAGATATTCATCTGCATTAGGTTCATCTCGGTAATTACAGCCCTAAACTGAGGCTGAGGCTAAAACTCCCACTGTGTACAGGCCGAGCTACCGCTCTATCAAATCCGCATAACTATTCAACGACCTCCCAATCAAAGCAACCATTTCCCAAATATAATCCGCCGTAAACAGCCTCGCCCACAACCTCGTCACCGCCGCACTAAGCCTCGTATTGGTATCCAGCAACCACTCCCTCGAAACCCCATGCTGAACCTCCATAACCATCTCCAGCACAAAGTCCCTTAGTCTAACCTCCTGCTCCGACAGTCCCGGCTCCGGCTGCTTCACCGTCACCGCTTCCAACCACTTAGCCAGCAGCACCGCACACTCCAACGAACACAGCGCATGCTGATTCGACCACAGCGCGACCTGCGAGTGCGCCACAAAGCTAATGCCAAGCTTAACCGGTGTGCTGAGCGCGTGAGCACAATGCAGCGCAGCGCGCGTGAGCCGGTCGCCGCGACGGACGGAGAGGTTTTCGTGCAGACTTGTTGCGATTTGGATCGGGTCCCAGGTGTGGAGTTGGCGGGCGGAGCCGCAGTCTGCGTTGAGACGGATGTAGGCTAGACGGAGGAGGGCGGCGGATGTGAAGGAGAGCGGGCCGTTGGGGCTGAGGGGGTCGATGGAGGATTCTTGGTTGTGTTCCCAGCACTGGCACCAGCGTTCCAGGGCCTGTTCGACCTGGATTAGTTCGGGAGTGGATGTTATTGGGGAAGGGGTGAGGCGGTTGCGGCGTGAGACGGGGAGACGGCCCGCTTTGGTCATTAGCCAGATATCTTGGAGGATGGCGTGGATGAGGACGTAGCCGCCCATTGAGGAGAAGCGTTCGACGGTGCTGGTTGGCTCGAAGAGGGCGGAGAGCGCGTTTTGGAATTTGGGTTCGCCGGGGCTTTTGATGCGCTCGGCTTGCCAGAGGTCGGGGCGGGTGGCTTGCCATTCTTTCTCGGTGCTGGGGAGTTCGAGGGTGAAGTCTTCGGTTAGAACTACTGGGGGGAGGTCGAAGACGATGGTGTGGATGTTGAAGAAACAGAAGACGATGAGTTTGGTGCGTTTTACGCATTCGCGTCGTATCCAGCTGTTCCATGTTCCGTCGTTCTCGGGGAGGCGGTTGAGTCCTCCCTGGCGGATGAGCATTTCCATTAGACTTCGCAGTGAGAGGGACTCGTGGTATGGGGGGTTGTTGATAAACCACATAGATACCGAGGTCAGGTGTATCAGGGATTGCAGTGTTTCTAGGGTATCGATATCATCGGCCACATTGACCTCGGGCAGCTGGCCTGACTGGAAGACCCGACGGACATGTTCCAATGTCACCGGTTTGGCTAATTGGTAGAGCCGCATGCTAGTGTCTGGTTCGCGGCAGTACCTTGCTCCCAGTGCTGCCATGGATAGAAACAGCGGTAGTGTCATGGTATCAGTATCGAGCGTCGGGATATGCACAATCGGATAGTGATCATGAAACCCTGTTACATATCCTGTTAGACATCGGGACAACGCATGTCGAGACGGCAGTGTCATATCCGGGACCACATTGGCGTAGTCAGATAGCATATTCAGAAGCTTCTCTCTACATTGAGCCGTCACCGGGACAAAGCCCGTCGGCTGGAGCGCCTTGGGGGTAGAGTGGTACCCCTCCGGCTGGAGCGAGGGCAGCTGAGCGCCATGACGGGGCAGTACAGAGCTCGAAGGTGTCGAAGGAGTATTTTCAGTCTGGGCTCCTTTGACCGAAGCTTGATCATACTCGGGCACAGGTGAGAATTGCAAAGGCGGGAACAAAGGGAGTGGCTGATAAGCCGGGGAGAATGGGTGATTTGGTAAAGGAACGCTATCCAAGAACGAAGTAAAGTCATGCCCATGATCCAGGCCTGGCATAAAGCCGCCTAGGGTATACCCCAAATCGGGACCTGGAGTCGGGGTGGTGGGGCCGGCCGAAGGAGTGTCTGTGCCGGGCAACTGAGCCAGCATTGGACGGTGCACGCCCGGTGATATTGCTGGGTAGTTTGCATTGTCGTGTAAAGAGGCGCGATTGGGGTCATGGGTTGTCACTACAGAGGCCAAGGTGTCCAACCGGTCCATAGGATTCGTGGGGGAGGGCGTAGGGGTTTGATTGCTGACTGGGCTGGATTCGGGGTGAGAGAGACGCTCATGACGGGCCAGCAGATCCCTGTGCCGTTAGCACCTGATACATGTACGAAGTATCTATCAGCGACTGGAGTCATACTTGCGTGTAAAGGCTTTAGGACATCGGAGGCAGACGAATGGTTTCTCCTTGGTATCTGTGGGGTATCAGAATGCGGAGCCCCCAGTCTTGGTTTGGGGAGAGTTCATACGTGAGCGATCATGTCTTTGGAGATGTTCTAGTCGGGCGAATGCCCTGGAGCATCGCTGACATTGGTAGGGCTTGGTATTTTGCATGGTTAGGGCCCTTAGGGGACATGACGTGGAGGGAGGATGTATTATCTCGGGGGGTTGTAGTCGAACTCCGAGACTTGGGAGTGTATCCCTGTCGGACTAGACATTGATCTATTGGAACATCACAATTGAATCATGCATACACTGCCAACACTGCCAACACTGGCCATTTCTTGGTAATCGATTGATTCATCATCTTCCACCTTCGGTCCTTCTATCGAATCAGCAGTTTCTCCAATTCCCCCAAATTGGAGAAACCGTTTGTCACTTATGAGCACGGCCATGTTTTGAATGCACGGCCTTGGTCAAGTGCGGAGAAGTATGCGGCTGTTGCCGACTATGAGTCAATACAACTGCCAGATATCTGCCGATTCTGTATGCCGATCTTTTGTTTATATCAATTGTGACTTCTATACTATTGAATAGAATACTTCAATGAAACCGTCTTTACCATCTGATATCGGAGCACACCGATAGAAGACAATAGACACAGCACCTGCAGGTGATAAATGCCCGAACTGACTCCAATTCGGCCCCGCATAGACCGTGCATATAAACCCCCAATGGCCGTGTCCGTAACAACTCTGCATCCGTTCACCTTCTCGGTCGAAAGCCGACATCATAATCGTAACGTCGAATGCGAGATTGATAGAAACGGGCTGTGACAAGCTGCCAATTCTCCAATTCTCCGCTCTGACTCAGAAGTCATTCGTATAACTAGCTGGTAATTTACTTCTATATCAAGATGATTCTCTCATTCTCCTAATCTTTCTCCAAAATCCTCACCCGGTCGGGCTCCACCTAGATTTGCTTAGCTTCATAAATTGTCAATCGCCCTGATATTGAAAAAAAAAGAGTTTTCGCCACACATGCATACGCGTACACAGTACTAAAGAATACTGTGTAAATGGCATCTCCAACACCCTCACTCAAGCAGCCAACCGCCATGGAAAAGCGCGAAGAATCCCCATCACTCGAGTCGCAAGACATCGAGTTCCGATATCTCGAGCTCGAAACACCTCTACCAACACCATGCATCACTCTACCACCGGGCCCAAACCAATCGCAACCACCAGAAGCGCCCAGTCTGGAAAAATACACGTCGCCGTTCCTGTGGCCGAAATGGCGCAAGTCGATGATGACTTATATTGCTTGCGCGGTGACGGCGCTGGCCGGTTATGCGGCTGGTGAGGTTAGTCCTGCTTCGGAGGAGCTGTCTGAACAGTGGGGGATTAGTCCTGTGGTGTATAATTTGAGTATCACGCTTTTCTGCTGTGGGTTTGCTTTGGCGCCGATGGTTTTGGCGCCTTTTTCGGAGATTAATGGGAGGAGGCCGATCTTTATTGCCAGTGGTATTCTCTTTGTTGGTATGTACATGTATACGCATGGGTTTGGTCGGGGCTGACTGTTACAGCTTCTTTGGTTGGCTGTGGAGGGACGTCGTCCTTTGCTGGATTACTTGTTGCTCGTTTCTTCCAAGGTGTCGGTGGATGTATGTATAGCACCCCCAATAAACACCGAATAGATATTAACTCATTCCACAGCAACCTTCTCCACAATGGTCGGCGGCGTGATCAGCGATATCTACCATGCCCACGAGCGCAACACGCCCATGGCCCTCTTCTCAGCATCTGCACTATTCGGCACTGGTCTGGCACCACTGATCTCCGGTGTGATCGTCACGCACACGACATGGCGCTGGGTGTTCTACTCGCACGCTATCGTCTCCGCCGCATTTGTCGCTATCATCTACATCTTCTTCAAAGAGACCCGCGGCAGTGTCCTGCTAAGCCGAAAGGCCGCAAAGCTAAACGAGTACTACGAGCAGCTCGAAGCAGCCGGTCACCACGGCGTCATCCTCACAAGTGAAGACCAAGAGAAATATGTCCGCCGAATTCGATGGAAGGTCCAGAGTGACGAGCAACGAGCATCGATTCTAACCATGATCCAGATCTCGCTGTATAGACCATTCCGTACGTTCAATCCAGATCAACCGCAAAAGAAAAAAGAAAGAGAAAAGACACTAACACAATATAGACATGCTCCTCACCGAACCAGTCGTCTTCTTCTTCTCCCTCTGGGTCTCCTTCAGCTGGGCCGTCCTCTACCTCCAATTCAGCTCAATCCCACTAGTCTTCCGCACAAACCACAACTTCACCATTGAACAAACAGGCGCCGTCTTCACCGCCATGTGCGTCGGCGTCGTCCTCATCACGATCATAAGCATCTACCAAGAACGCATCGCCATGCGTTTCGGCAAACACTCCTCCGCCGCCGAGGGCCGCCTCTACTTCGTCTGTGTCGAGTCCGTGCTGCTGCCCATAGGCCTGTTCTGGTTTGGTTGGACTTCTTTCCCTTCTGTGCCTTGGATCGTGCCTGCTATGGCCGTCGGATGTGCCACTATGGGTATCTTTTCTATTTACCTGGCTACTTTCAATTACCTCGCGGATACTTACCATCGCTATGCGAGTTCTGCTATTGCGGCGCAGTCTTGCTGTAGGTTTTTCCCTTTACCTGTTTGTTTTTTGTCTGGGGTCATTGCTAATTGATGTTTTCAGGCCGTAATCTGCTCGGTGGTGTCTTTCCGTTGGTTACCAATGCCATGTTCACTAACCTCGGGTACCCTGAAGCGTCGAGTCTGCTGGGTGGACTTGTAAGTTGTGGATTGCTTGAGTGAGAGAGGAGATTGACTGACTGTTGAAACAGGGTGCTGTTTTGACTCTGGTCCCGTGGGTGCTGGCCTTGTATGGGCCTCAGATTCGAGCCAGGAGTAAGCTCGCAAGTGTAAGTGCTGCTTTTACTCATTGGATGGCCCAGACTAACGGAACAATAGGAGCTGGCACGATGAAGCATAGACGCATATTACCCTCCAACGAGGAACAAAAGTTATTTAATAGTAGATTTTTAATGCACTTGGGTGCAATCGCATATAGAGACAATGACATGCATATTAATTATTTTCAGGCCATATACGTGACCAGGACAGTGAAGTTATATTGAGTGTGCCAACACGCACATGATTATACGCCAGTGATTCGGATTCCCCCATGCTAAAGCCATGTACAAGACCGGACGACACTGTCCTATCATGCAAAACTCCCGAAACGAAGAAAAAAACAATTATCTCGGTTGAGTCCCTCTGAACGGTTGTGAACCAGTAATAACAGAACGATGCGATGCATACCGACCCTCATCCTCGCTGTCACTATCCATCTGATCCAAAAGACGATCAATATCATCACCAGCATGAGCCTCCAGTCCCGGCTTGGTTTCAAATCCACGGCCGTGAGACTCAGAGGTTTGTGAGCTCTGGCTGCCATTGTTATTGGCACTGGAATTGCTAATCGACTCATTGAGACTGCTTTGCGTGCTAGCCGTCTGCAGCGGACGAGGGCTGAAGCGATACCCCGAGTTCTCGGGACTGGACATGAACATCAGGGTTTCGATGGCGTCTTGTTCCATCGCAGTGTTGGGGGTCTGTGTGGGTCTGTAGAAGCCGTTTGGTGTGGATTTTGGTGGGTGGGTGTGAGATGAGGACGTCCCGGGGCCAAGGACTGAGCCGTTGAGAGATCGGCTGAGTCCGTTGTCTTGGTTTGAATGGTGGCGTCGGTGGCGGAAAATAGGGCTATGGTTTGAGGGTTTGGAGATTGCATCAGGATTTGGGCGACGGCGCTGGGTATTGCTTGATGAGACGATATCCACAGGCGGTGCTAGCTTGGGAATTGGAAGATATTGATTAGATGAGAATGCTGATCGTGAGCGGCTATGGTTTGGGAAATGCGAAGGGTTTCCGTTCGAACTCGAAGGTTGTGAGTCTTGTGAGAAAGGTGTAGAGAATCCTGCTGGCAATGATACAATATCACTTGGTGGCGATGCGCTGCTGTGTGCTCGGAGTGCGCTTTGAGGGGTAGCTTCACGCGACTGACGGGCCTGTTCTACCTTGGCGGCTGCGTATGACAGACGCGTGCGGATATGGACAGACAACTGGATATTACGGATGAGCTATAGCTTCTTGAAGGACAGAGAGCGCGCATTACCTGTGCAATCCTATTTCCATAAGCCGAGCCAGTGCTCTTCGAACGTCTTCGTGCTCCGTTCACATCGACATCATGAACAGCGGAGGAATCTAAAGTGGACTTGAAGTGGCCAGCTGCGGTCCGTTTCTGGCCTGGAGCCCATTGAGCATCCAAGTGCGATCTTGTTCGCGGATGCTCTGGAGATGGTGGCGGTGAAATTGAAGCATTGCCAGCTTTGATGGGCGATAATGAGGGCTGCCATCGATCTATTGAGGCACCGCCGTTTGCCGGCTTTGGTGGGGCGATTTGAGAATCCAATGGCTCTGGCTCCACCCCCGGGGCCGGAGTGTGTCCGTTCAATATAGGCTTGTCCAACCGTGTTTGATCGGTACCATTGACCGGGGATATAGGGTGGCTGGAAAGAGAGTTTGTAGGGGCCGAATGATCTGGTCGGCCCTTGATTGATATGTCGCTGCCGCGCTCCGACGATTCAATATAGGTCGAACTGGAGTGATCCCCGCCGGGAGCGATAGTAGCATTCAATTGATCTATCCGCGACGACAAGGGCCGTGACGGTTGTGTGTTTTGGTTCTCGGAAGGCATTGGATTGTGATGCGCGGGAGCCGACGCGTCGTTCATGGGGGTGTTCGCACTGGCCTCCGTATCTCGCACCTCACCACTAGTTAGAGCATCGCGACCGTCATTCATGGTCACGGGTGAGGCTGTAGGAGATTAAAAGTGTCTTGTATATCGACAATCGGCAAATATACGCGACCTAGCTTTAATCGCGGGTTTACGCGGGACACACGAATCTTCAACAATGCATATCCTGTTCGCGCCGAGTCCACCGCATTGAGGGTGGGAGCCGGGATTGTCCGACACCCTGTGATCTGGATGCAACTGCCAGTCGGGATCTCAACGTGACGCGTGGGAGCGATGTGGGAACGAGGAGCATCTGCCCGATCGAGTGGCGATCGACCAGAAACACGCGCGCAAGGGTTGGCGACGGCACGAGGCGGCAAATGAGCGGCTCGTCCGTGATTCGAACTGATGGATGGCCCGACAGGGTCGACAGGGTTGTTAAGTCAAAGATGTGAGTAGTAAGGCCTGTTTTCAATATCAATGCGCCACAGTATGCTAGCTTCCAGACGGGTTCGGTGGACTAGTCGGACTGTCGGAGTGACCCTCTGCGAACGCGTGTGAGGCACGGTCACGTGGGTACTAAGCCAAATTCATCCATTCTAAGCAGCAGCTCTTGCTAAGAAATTTAAGATATTAGAGAAGGAAATTAATTCATGAATGATGAGTATATGACCATGTACAGGTAGTATTGGTCGTTCGACGTTGAGTGTGCTTCGAGGCTTCTGTAGGGTACAATATACCTCGAAGTATACATATCCCCGTCTATTTTCACAAAGTCTTCGAATAAGAAAGGGCACAATTGAATGGCTTTCGTCAATTGGTAATCACAATGGAATTTGACACGGAAACAACGATTCAATTCCTAACAAGAGTTACAAGACATAGACACGCAACCGAAGAACCCAGCAGATTGTAACAGTGAGAAAACAAACGACCCAGTCCTAGGAGAAAAGAGAAAAGAGAAACAGGAGATGGATATCAACATGAAAATAAAAGGAAGAAAGAGAAAAAAAAAACCATTCCTCCAACATAAGTAGGCATCAGCCCAGCGGGCCTTTAATACCTCTACCGGAACTGAGCCACAGACACCACCACCCGGTCCACCCCTAACGAGAACCCATGAGTACCGTCGACTTCCTCATGTAGTCCTCGGTCAGGTCAGTGGTGATCCTGTCAACCTCCGCCTGCTTCTCATGACCCGCCACATGAGCTGACTCAGGTCTCGCAGGCTCCTTTCCCTCTAGATGGAAGTTAGTATCAAGTCGAGATAGCTTGAGGACATCAACTTACCGATCACTTTAAGCGGAGGGCCATCAGACTTCTCCCAGCCATCCCGACGCCTAGCCTTAAGCTTGGGCCTCACACACTTCTTGAAACTGAGAGGTATGTGAGTTTCATCTTCGTCAAACGGGGGATGGTTGACTTACAAGAGGTAGCCCGCCGCGAGGGCGAGCGCAGCCAGCAGTGATCCGAAGATCAAGTAGACGAAGAGCATCCCTGTCTCTTCGTCGGCCTCGTTGTTCCTTTCCTTCCGAGAAAGGAGGACATGGTCTGAACCTGGGATGGGAGCCATGACAATGTTTGGTAACAGTATTTGATAAAGAGAGGAAATAAAAAGTAGTTGGTAAGAGGTTTTAGCGAAGATGAAAGCGAGCAAGATAGATGTAGATGGAAGAAAAGAAATCAAGGCTGAGGATGAATGGAGGGAATTATATAGACGAGGTATGAGGGCTCCGTCGCCTGTTTTGGTGTCGGAAGCTGAGAAGATAATGATAATTGATGATGATATTCAGCTCGCTTTACATACAGCCGAGAAGAGAAACAGACCTCCCATACTACTAACCTTGGAAACCACCTGGGGAAATCGATATGATTCGATCCCAAGGGTTTGCTTTAGGTGTGATCCATCCTTTTGCTTCGAAAGTATCTCTAATTGCTGCAGTCAGGTCGATGTGAGTCAGAAAAGTTTTCCGCTTTAGGAATCGGAACCCAACTGATGGTGACAGAAATATGACAAGGTACAAAGTATGATCGAGGAGAAAGGTGATGGGCGGATAGAAGAGAAAAAGAGAAAAGATAAGAGTAAGAAGTAGTCATGAAATAGTTTTGGTAGATATAATATCCAACAGAATGTAGGTACAGGTTTTGGGTCCAAACGCCATCTATGCAAAGAAAAGACCCCAGATTAGACATGTCCAAGAATAGATCACTTGCGCTTCTTGCCGCGTCCACGGCCACCAGAGTCTTCATCAGGGTTCTTGCGCTTTTTGCCCTCCTTGCGCCAGTAATCGTTGCGCTCTCTCTTCTCGCGCTCAGCCTTCTTCTCCAGACTGTCAGCCACCTTGGCACGGTAGACCTTGCGGCGCTCCTCCTGCTTGGCAGCCCGCTTAGCCTGCTTCTCGTTGCGCATGGTGGTGAGTTTCTGCATGAGATCGCGGGCCTTCTTCTCCTCGCCTCCGAGGACAACGGCACGCTTCTGCATGTAGGTCTTCTCCTTATGCGGCTTCATCTTGGTGATTTGTGACTTGAAGGGCAGCTCGGCAGCCAGCTGTCTGGGCACACGGAGCGGGTTGAAGTGACGTTCCTGCCGTTCAATGGGCTTGTAGGCGGAGTCCTTGAGCTTAGGTGCGGTGAGACCCTGAGCGTGACGGACTTCACCAGTCAAGCGCATACCCTGCCATCCGGCATCACCCTTTCCATCCTCGGTCAGGTCCAGCAAGTTGGTCACGGGGTTGTAGTAGCGGTGCGGCTTGATGGGGTACCAGGCGCGCAAGAAGACAATATCAGACATGAGAATCTTATCCTCGAATGTGGCACGGAAACAGCCATCGGGTTTGGACAATGCACGCTTGATCTGACCACGAATACCTGAGACGGTTTTGATGGATGCACCTTCGAACTTGGCAATTTCCAGGGCCGAGTTGAACATGTCCTTGATGAAGGCGGTGTTCTTGAAGATCTTGTAAGGGTGACCAGTAAGCTTGAGCTTCTTGACAATTTCGGTGTGCTCATCCACACTCTGAACCACACCAGTGGCGGCAATGCGGAAGCCGGGATTCTTGTTGGAGAACGAGTTCACACAGCAGAAACCGGTATTGGGAGCGACAAGAGGACCCCAGATGGTGGCGAAGCAGTGCATGTGCTCGGGTGTATACTTGAGCATACGGTTTCGGGTTCGACTGTCGGAGGTACTGTAGATAGGAATAGTCTGGAAACGGCGCCAACCAAGGGAGAAGATCAACGGGTCGTTAGTCTTGAGAATCTTCTTGTGCCAGCGATGTTTCTTGATCCGGATTTGCACGTATCCGAAGCGGTCTTCAGTAGGTGAGAGGCCACCAACGATGACAGGGAAGCGAGGGTTGAACTTCGAGACAAACTCGTACGGGACGTTCTCGAGGACGATGCGTGCGTAGGTACCGGCCTTGTAACCTTCCGCGCGGGCGCGGGAGGCAGGATCGAGCGACTCGAACTCGGCGCGGTTGATGTCGGCCTGCTTTTGCAGCTTGGCCTTCTGCAGGTCATACCAGTCATCTTCGCCAAACTCGCCCTCGATACCATCGCGCGTCCCGTCTTGGGCCTTTCCAAAGCCTTCACGGTCCTCCTCTTCGAAACGTAACTTCAGCTCTTCCTTCTTCTTGGCATTGCGCTCACGCTCAGCTTCCAGATCGGCAGCTTTTGCGGGCTCATCGTCGGCTTCCTCTTCCTCATCGTCATCCCCATCCTCTTTGATGCCATTGAAGACCTCGCCAGATTCCAAGTCTTCGTAATCACCGTCACCCTCATCCTCATCCTCATCATCCTCGTCCATATCATCATCGCCCTCATCATCACCTCCAGACAGCTTACCAGTGATGAAGCGGAGTTTGATCATTTCGAGCTGGTCCTCGTCCCGCCACTTCCGCTCAAGTTCATCGTAGTCATACTCTGGAACGGCGCGGAAGTCGGCTTGGTCGGCCTTCTCGTTGTGCGTCTTTTTGAAAAAGTCTTCGCCTTCATCGTCGGCGATTTTATCTTCATCTTCTTCCTCGTCGTCCTCTTCGCCCCGCCACATCTTCACAACGTCGACAGGTGTGATCGACTCGTCGTACATCATTCGTGATAGATCGGCGACTCGGAAAGGAGGGCGCTTTCCGTGAAGAGACTTGGCATTGGCGAGCATGTTCTCCTTCCATCGAACATTACCCTCCTCGTCTTCCTCGTCATCCTCATCCTCTTCCTCATCGTCGTCTTCGCCGCTCTCGACCTCCTGGTCCGAGACAGAGGAGACGGAGCCCAAATCAGAATCACTGTCTGCGAAAGCCATATCTTCTTCCTCTTCGACATTTGCTCCGTTCTGTTTAGCCTTGAATCGAGCACCAAAGTCTGCAGGTGCGGACAGGTCGAGCTCGCCTTCATCGTCCGTCACATCATCCTCGTCGATATCTTCGTCGACTTCCTCGTCGCTGTCGAACCCTTCAGGAATGTCTTCATCGCCTTGCTCAGTTTCGGCGACACGTGCGCGACGTCGATCCTTTCGGCCTGTCTCGTCATCCTCTGCTTGAGCGATGGCCTCGCCACCGCGGAACAGACGAACACCTTGGTCGGCCTCGCCAAGCAGTTTGCGCTCGCCCTGAAGGCCAACAACAAGATGCTCGCCAAGACCGCGGCGTTCTTCATCGTCTGTATCCTCATCTGAGTCCCGGTCAAAGGTATTTGTCTTGACGTCAATGTAAACCGCATCCTTGTCAACCAGAACACCGCCGACATCAGACATCGGTGCGAAAAGTAGTTTTTGGTGCTCGCCAAGCTTGCGCCTGTTCGATTTGCCTGTCGCCTTGGCGATCTGCTGGTCCATGTAGGGAGTTGGGCATGGATCGGGCAAGCCCTCGATGTTGGCAACAGTCAAGTCACCGACACCAGGAACATGGACTCTGGCACCGTGAGCAGGGAAATTAGTACCACGGAGATAACCATAAAGTGCAACTGTGCGATCGCACTTCGGGTTCTCTTCAATCTTAGTAGGCGGCGTGATGTCCAAGAAACGATCGGCGAGAGCATACGGGTGCGAGTTACGCCACACGAGCGGGCGAGGGTTTTTCATGACCGACAAGAAACGTGACATGTTATGCACTTCACGATCGGGGTAACGGCCATTGATAACACCGGACAAGTAGAAGAGCTTTGCGCCCGCGTATAGCTCACTCCAGAAACGGTGCTTCAGGCGTTTTTTGGCATCCTTCAAAGTGCTTTGTTTCTTGAATTGATCAAGATGTGTAAGAATACCGAAGACGTTACCCGGCATACCAGCTGTCGACAAGGCGTTCAAGAACTCCATGGTCTCCATCTCGAATCCAAAATTTCCGTCGATCATGAGAAGCACAATATCTGCAATCTTGGAGACATCGATCGCGGCTGCGAGAGAATCGGACGGGCATTCGATGAAAGTGAGACGCTTGCGCTTGGTCGTGACAACGGTTAACGGGCCCTGCGGCGAGCTGAGGGTTTGCTTGGTGTAGCGGCGGATCAGAGACTTGAGCAGCGTTGTCTTGCCAACTCCTGGAGGTCCGACGATTGCGACAACAACCGGCGGGGCCTCCTCGGGCATACGATCCACGAGGGGGACATGGAGTCTCTTTTCTTTAACCTGGAGGAAGAATCTTCGTAAGCATGAATTGAGCAGCAAAAGGTCTTCCTTATACGTACATCATGTGCTCGCGCAGCCTGCTTGTTGAGCTTTCCAGGTCTGGAAGTGACGAAAGCTTTCGGATTGGCACCTGCATAAAGGTAATACTCGTCAGCATGGGCTCGAGATCTCGAAGTTCGCAGTTTTCACAACGCAGTCTCGGCGTACCTTCAAATTTCTTCTTCTCCTTTGCGGGGCGATGCGCCCTGTTCGCCTGCTGCTCCATGATCTCTGTGCAGAGGTATTATACCTCAGCAGATCCACTCCTTCTGTTATTGGAGAGAAAGAAGGACAAGCGCAATCGAGATAGTGGACTTCACCGCGGACCAAAAATTTGGTATCAATTATTTTTTTGCCAAAGCGGAGTGGAGACCTTAGTCAGGATCTCCATCAAAAAATTACGGCCTCAGGCATCAAGAATTGCAGAATTTATCATTATGTAAGCGGCTGTTTCGGCCTAAGGCCATCAATGATCGCCGGCCGGTGCCACTCCAGTGACTCCACCATCCAGTGGTGGCCCGTGGGAGAACCCCGCAGCCTGAGCTTTCCTTCTTGGGTTTACGGCCATCCCCTGTACGATAGTGCGATAGCCCGCTAGTATCTTGCGCCAAACGTTCTCTTTCAAATCGCAGGATGTAATTTCCCCCGCGCTAGTATGTGGGGAAGATGTTGTTGAATTGCGCAGTCCCCGCTCACGCGGGCTATAAATCCGATCTCGCTGCGAGTCTACTGCGGAGAATTTTGTATGAATTTTAGCCTTTCCCTATTTCAAACATCGTCTAAGATGTCTGCGCGTCGGCCACCTCCCGCCTACGAATCATCCCCCGATTCAAATGTGCATGCAACATCAAAGTTGTACCGCTCAATCTCCGAGGCCGCATCCATCCCATATGCCCGCGTCCAAACAGAGTCCTTCACCATCAGACCATGCTCTGCCCAGGCTTGGGTTGTGCCCGCCGGTCAAATTTGCCGTCTGACCACACCTAAGGGGCCACAGGTGGGAGACCTGAACATCTGGAACGCGAACAACCCCCGGGAACGGATGTGGGCTGCGCGTACCCGACAGCTCCATGCCTCCCATGTCTCGGTAGGCGATCGACTGTGGTCTAATCTGCCGTACCTGCGGCCGCTTGTCACCATCACTGGTGACTCGCTCGGCGGTGGACAGCTGCATGACGTGCTTGGTCCGGATGGTAAGCGAAACCCGGAGGTCGTATTCGGGACTACGCAGTTTGGGGGGAGAGTGCATGATCTGATGGGGACACGTTGCGATCCTTATGTGAATTTGCTTATGGGTGGTGAGACCTTCGACTTCCACTGCCATTCTAATCTGACACGTTCGGTTATCCCGTACGGGTTGACGGAGCTGGATGTTCATGATGTCTTGAATGTGTTCCAGGTGACGGGCCTTGACGAGGAGGGAAGATATTTCATGGAGGCCTCTCCTGCAAAGGCGGGCGAGTACTTTGAGTTCTTTGCAGAAGTGGATGTACTCTGCGCGCTTTCTGCGTGCCCTGGCGGTATGGCACTTTCAGGCTACCCAAATGTTCCATTTTACACAGGATGCTAATGGTACTCCCAGGTGACCTTTCCAACTGGGGTTGGGATGATAAGGAAGGAGGTATGGGAGCCACTTGTCGTCCGTTGGGCGTGGAGGTATATCGACTGAGAGATGACAAGGTCCTGGAGGGGTGGAAGTCTCCGGAAAGTCCCAAGTACAAGGGAATGCACGGGATGAAGATGCCTCCTCGTGAGGAGGATGGTTACATCGGATTATAGCCTAAGCATGATAACAAGTGGTGTTTTGAAGTTGTCTATAACCAGTACATAGAAGTGTTGATTGATGGTACTGAGTAGATATCTGTACAACACACTGCCCCGCGTTTTGCGAACTATGATGTCATTGCTTTGCATCGTTACATCAATGGTGACTTCCCCTCCCCCTTAGGCGAGATCAAAATCTAACGGGAATCTCCTACACTCAGTTCGGCAAGGGACACGATAGGCATCAGGCTTTCTGGAGGCTGAGTATACTGCAAAGCCACCTGGTCACTGATAACGCAGCCTGACGCCATGTCAGACTAGGTATCTCCTTTGTAAAACCCCAATGGTAGAGCAGAACACTATCCTTGGCGAATATTAGAGACGTAAGGGTTATGAAGTCTCGAGATATCAGCTTCAGTGGCACAGTGTGGAATGAATCGGTGAAAAGAAAAGAAAAGAGACCTAAAACCAACCTGGGGTTAACGCGGGTGATCCGAAGGTACCTGCCTCAAGGCTCCGACCTCAAACCAAAAAAAAAAGAAATACAAAGCCAAGCCCCTCCTCTCCTCTTCTTATCACCTTCCTATAAATTTCTCCTCTTCACTTCCCTCACCCCATACCCACCTTCTCGCTTTCCCACCTTGACAGCGTCTTACCTACAGCTTCAACATGCCTCTTTACAACGTGAGTTGCTGAGCTCTATTGAATGCGACTATCTGACTAATATTTCCTAGATCACCTTGAAGGCCGACGCTCCTGTTGAGGAGTTGGAAAAGTGTGTCATATTGCCCTAACTCCAGATACCTTGATACTGATATGTTACCTCCAGGGCCAAAGCTACCGCCCGGGAGAAGGGTGGTGTCATCAAGCACGAATACAGTATCATCAAGGGTTTCACGTAAGTGGTACCTTACAGGGGGTTCTCTGGGGCAATAAACCATCAGAGCGCATACCTAATCTCTGTCATGATTTCTAACGTGGATCAATACCAGTGTTGAGTTCCCTGACGACAACGTCCAAACATTCGAATCCACCGAGCATGTCCACGTCGAGCAGGATGGTGCAGTGACTACAAAGTAAATGCGTCTCTAGTTCACTTGACTTGGATGCACTGGAAGATGGCAGTCGTCGATTCGTCGTCAAACAATTTGCCCTACTGGGCCGAATGAACCCTGCGGACGCAACCCGAATACTTTGGAGTTCTATGCTCGATACTTTGTTTTTTTGCTTCAGCGAGATATGACTTGATACCAACTACGCGACATGAATTCGTCGGCTTTGCCATTTACATATTTATGATTATCGAGCTTTTGAAGTGCGATGTGCAGGCAATAAAGGCATCCATGCAGATGTAGCCAGTCTCATGAATTTGACTATGGGTTTTAAGCGATGTGCACAGGAATCCATGTAGATTTCGCAATACGCCAATGACTCAGACTCTTCACTCTATGAATGCCAAGGCTACCATGTCATACGTAGACATCCAAATTTACACACCGTATACTGGCGAAAGAGCACGTTATCACAACGCGAATGACCGACGATATCCGCACCGCCGATGCAGATCTTCCGTCCCGGGGTTTACTATCTCCCACCCACTTCCCTCTCTCAATCTCATGGCCACAACTCACAATGGCAGCCTCAATAACTAGAGCGACACCTTTCAGGCCTGGCCGCCGGACACTTCCGATTACTAGATCTCCCCTCTTCCGTCAATCATCCACGCAGAGGCAAAATTGGGCCAGTCGTCCATTTGATGTTGCGAAAGACAATGTTGCGCAGCTGGCTGCAAGTCCCCGCCAACCTTTGACACTTGCAGACCTATTAAAGTCAGTGTCATATATGTCTTTGATCTCAATAATATGACTTGCTCACCAATACTCCAGACACGGCCGCCCACCATTGAACAAAGAAGCTCTCTTAGCCTCGGCCAATTTCACACTCTCCCTCCTTCCTGCCCGACTGGCTTCTCGGATTCAAGCATTACGAAACCTCCCCTTTATCGTCGTCTCGAACCCTCATGTCTCTAAAATTTACAATAATTACCTCCATTCGCTTTCCACCCTCCTACCGTACCAACAACGCCGCATCACGACCCTCGAAGAAGAGAAACAGTTTGGAGATGTACTGGCAGACCTCGTACAAACGCATACAAACACGATTCCTATCCTCGCCCGCGGGTTTCTAGAGTGCAGGAAATATGTTAGCCCGGCTGACGTCACAAGCTTTCTGGACACGCATTTGCGTGCGCGTATTGGAACGCGCTTGATCGCCGAGCAGCACCTGGCTCTTCACTACGCCTCTCAGCCCGTCAGCGATAACCCATCCGATGGCGCCGACGCTCGTGCCATTAATTCAGTTCCGTCAAATTACATCGGCGTTATTGATACAGCTTTGCAGCCGGCACGCATCATTCGGCTATGCGAGGATTTTGTCGGAGAGATCTGTGAACTCAAATACGGAGTGCGACCGCGTGTAAAGATTGGAGGCGAGCCTGAAGCCTCTTTCGCTCACATCCCTGTGCACTTAGAGTACATTATCACGGAATTGTTGAAGAACGCTTTCAGGGCTTCCATTGAAAATGGAAATGAGCGTGAGCCCATTGAGGTGACAATCGCTGCTGCTCCAGATGTCCCCGGGAAGGTGCTGCCTGTCCAGGGCGATACTGATACCGGGTTCGAGTTCGATTCAGAGGTCAATGAGAATGAAATCATTGGGTACTCAGCTCCGTCATCCCAGAGCATCACGATTCGCATCCGTGACCGGGGTGGTGGTATTCCTCCTGAGGTTTTACCCAATATCTGGTCGTACAGCTACACAACTTTCTCTGATTTGGACTACCAAGGCTCGGAGAACGGCAATCTTGATGCCTTGAACACCATCGCTGCTAGTGGTGGTCACGTCAGCAGTATTGCAGGCCTTGGCTATGGGTTGCCGCTTAGCCGAGCCTACGCTGAGTACTTTGGTGGCAGCATTGCGGTGCAGAGTCTTTGGGGATGGGGCACCGATGTCTATCTGACGCTGCGCGGAGTTGGCAGGATTGATTGAGAGAAATAGGGAAACACTAGATACCCAAGAGAAAATTCACGGCTTGGCGGCTCTCGCATTTCATGAAACATGGCGGACCATCATGTCTTTTACAACTTCGCCTCGTTTGACGGGCGGATAAACAGATCCATAAAATCCGAGATCCTGGTATCTGGATTCTGAACAGCGCCCAACATCCGACCGATCTCTGTTGTATCGAACATGAGCCCCATGTTTCGGAAAAACTTCTCTTGTACTGCAGCGGGTGTCTTTGGATTCCGTGGATGTCCAACAGGGTATTCAACGAGTATTTCAGGCATCGAGGTCCCATCCGCAAGGTGCACCTTCATCCCCGCACCGATGCTCTTCTTGTCCAGGTCCAGGTAATCCTCAGTGAGCTTGGTGTCGGACTGCACCACAATTCTTTCTCGCAGGGCTTCAAGCTTCTCACTGGTTGCCCAAGGGCTTTCGTCTAGATAGTCCGCAGCATCCGGCGGACTAGCCTTCAAGAAAGCCAAAGCAACGACATATTGAATGCAGTGATCCCGATCAGCAGCATTATGCAGCGGGCCACGCTTGTTGATGATCAGAAAAGCAGCAGCAGTCGTCCTCAAATCTATCCGTTCAATCTGTTCAAGAGGATCTGACAGACCCTTCTGTCGTAACAGACGAGCGTGCAGTACAGCCGCCTCCACAGCCGAGATCGCATGCCCTTCCACAGGCATAGTCTTGAACAGCACATTGCGCACCGTCCACGACCCAAAAGGCCGCGGAAATACAAACCCCGTCTCGCCAAAGGTCCGCTCCCAAAACCCCCACGGCCTCGCGCTCAAAGCTCCCGGCGAACCTGGTTGGCCATCCTGTACCAGCAGCGCCAACTGCACAGCTCTTCTCGCCGCATCTCCTGCAGCCCATCCTTTCCTCTGGATAGTATTTCCGCCGGATCTATACACCCGATTCGGCTGCCCATCCATCCAAACATGAGAAATAGTCGCCATAGCCTCTTCCTCCCTACTCCCAAGTAACCAACAAACCACGGCGGCAGAAGCAAGTTTGACCAGCACGACATGGTCAATCCCATACGAATTGAACGCATTCTTCATCTGATAACACCCTTGTATCTCATACGCCTTGACCAGCGCAACAAGCAACGTCCTCATCGTCAATGGCGGACCATTATGATCTCGTCGACCGGATAAGCTTGCACGCGCCAGCCAATCCATGACCGGCAGTATAGCACCGAGGTTATCTGGATCGAACCTGCCATTTTAGTCTCATGAACAACATCACAGTACTATGTATGCCCGGAGCCTACCGTACCTGATGGATGACCCCACTCCGCACCGCCCAGCGCATCATTGTGATCCAGATACCGAATCAAGACACCTAGATCGAAAGCTCCCTTCACTGGATCAACTTGCAGCCCTGTTCCCGGAACCCGAAACCCGTCTGGCACGAGTGTGTCGTCGATTACGGGGCCGAGTAGCTTTCGGCATTCGGCGCTCGTTGCTGATGTCTCGATGGCGCAGCCCATCGCGTCCAGCAGGGCTGTCCGGGCGCATTTCCACATTTCTTCGTCATCTTCGTCGAGGGGGTACTGGTAGACATAGTTTACTATGTCGATTATTGGTTGGTCGTATGGTTGGGGCATTGAGGAATAGTATTGGGCAGAGTGCTTGCGATTTTGTGTGCCTTGCTTGGTGGAAATCGGGGATAGTATGTATGGAGGCACATATTATCGTAGCATCTTCGGTGTTGGATGGGCGAAATCCAGGCTGTAGCTTCGGTACATATTCATGAAATGATCCGGTCGCACACGGTAGTAGCACGAATTTGTACTCTCGGTATACAGTTTGAGATACAGAAGATAGGCTGGACTTGTCATAATTCATTGCGTTTACTAAAGCGATATTCAGTCAACGACATCTGTATATAATGGATCCTCTCAAATATCCCGAAATAAGAGCAAGTATATCAGTAGGTAGACACTGGACATGGTAACCCAACCTCATGGTCCCATGGACCCAGAGCATTACCTAGGTCAGAACCCACCAGCACCTCTCACCCGCTTCACAGCGCCAACAGCCCCCTTAGCCCAACTAAACCGACCAGGTACAGGCCCTATAGAATGGGGTGGAAGCTCACCAGTCTCGGGATCATGCCAGCAGCCATCTTTGCTACTCGCCTTGCCATACTTCGCCGTATTCTGATTCCGATTAATCAAATCCGTCCACGCCCGACAAACAACCGCCGAGTCGATAAGGACATTGATTTCCTGGCTATGGAAGAAAGACTGCGTGTCAAGATTTCCATTTCCTAAATGAAACAGAACAAGTCAGGAAAGCCACGCAAATCCCGAGACTCCATCAACATACCTTGAATAGCAATCTGCTCATCGACAATCATAAGCTTGATATGACAGCTCCGCATCTTGAAGCTATTATGAATCGGTCGAGTCTGGTCTTTGCCAACATAATAGTAGACGCGCAGACGAGACTTTTCCTCCTCTGTCTGAAGGGATGTGTATAGTCTGTTTGCGATCATTTCGTTCGTCCCGTTTTGGAACGGGAGGAGCTCGCCTGCGTCGTTGTAGCCCAGGCAGAGGTAACAGGATACTGTGACGCCGCGGCGTGCGGCGTTGAGGAGGGGCTCAAGGAGGGGTTCGGCGTTCATGTTTGGGGTTTGGATTAGGATTGAGTGCTGGGCGTTGTTGATTGCGGAGAGCCAGGCGGAGTTTTGGGGGGTGTAGATGCTGCTGTGGTTTGGGGCTTTGGGATTGGGGGTTAGTTTGTTTATTTCTAGGAAAGGGGGTTATGGGCTTGGGTTGGATGCACTGAGTTTACTTACATCCAAATGGCTCTCTGTTAACTACTGCCATTGGGAAGGGTTTGTGCTGGGGTAGGACCATATATGGTGTGAACATGGCCTCCTGGTCGCTGGGTGGTGCATTGCCAGTTGTTTTGGGTTGTATGGTTGTATCTGTTACTTGTTAGAATTTTCATTGAGGTTGCAGGAATTGTACATACTGAGATGACGAGTGACGGCTTCTGTACGTGTTTCAGCACCCTGTGGATGGACGGAGCCGTTGACTCTCTGGGCTTCATGGTTGATGTCGATGTCATAGTTTGGTGATTTGGTCGTATGCTCAGGAAGGTGTTCAAATCCATTCACGGTACAGACATTGTCTGCATTATCTTCACAGCATGGGATAGCTGCATCTCTGGCTGGAGAATTTAAGAGTGGGAAGGGTGGTTCAAGAGCTTTCCCCCAGGAGAGCAAAGCAGCGTCGTAGAAAGAATCGACAATAGGCCCTTCAATGTGAGATAGCATCTCAAGATTATCGTTGTCTTGGATGTTACTGCTCTGTATGAGAGCCATGCGTCGATCAATAACAGTAAATTTTGCATGAAACGTCCCAAGAACGGGCCGGTGGAAGTTTAGCACCTGGAGATCGACATTGGGAATCTCGCTCGCGGGAGGCAGCTTCACTTTTCCGCCGATGTATTGATGCTCTTGGACATTCAATCTATTCTCCCAGGCCTGGTCTTTTATTAGAATAGTGTTCGCATTTATAGAGAAATCAGTGATTCACTGAAGGAGAAGAGTACTCACCTGGCGAGGATCCCCACGATCATATATCAGTTTCATAACTATCTTCTTCCCTCTTTCCCCGGCCCGTTTTGAAAGCTCATAGATGGCATTCGTCACTAAAGTCGATGCGTCCGAGTGGATCCAGAAATTGGTACCCAGAAAAACTTCATGTTTAGCGCGCACAATGCAGTTCGCCAAATGGCGACAGAGATCAGGTAATGGCGCAACAATAGTCAGTGGCAGAACCCCCGTGCCGCCCAATAATGGAGGCGATACAACCCCCGATATCGGGTTCTTTCCTAAAGCACACAAGGCATCATGATAAACCTAACTCGTGTGCACCACACATTTAGTAATCCTCATTTTATCCAAGGACTAATAGCAGTTTACTCACTTTCAGAAACAACTCACTTGTTTCCGCCGACCCAAAATTTCCACAAGCGCGAGCTTTCTCCAGCTCATCTAACGCTTCCCATTCCGATTCGTCGGCATCTGATTCTTTTTCATGACCGTGTATATGAGGCCGATGGTGACTCTCAAAGAGCCTGTGAAAGACCTTCTGCGGACATTGAGACGGATCACGCGCTAGCTCCGAGGTCATTGTCGGACTCTGGCACATCTTGTAAACCTTGCGTGAGACCATAGTGCATCTATTTTGATTCGGACTCGGCGGTTGTCGAACGATCAAGATAATTCCTACGACGAGAAAAGTACAGGCAGCGGCGAGTAACTTAGCAGCCTCGACAATATTCATCATCGACCCGGTCAGGTTCCACGTGTGAAAGATCCCATCCATGGCTAAGATGATGACGTAGGCTTGGCCCTCGGCAGTCTTGAGGGTTCTTCGAAATGAAAGCAACTGGGGGCTTGAGTGGAGAGATTCGGTGGAAATGGTGTCAGATAATTGTGGTGCCTAAGTTAGCTTGTGTTGCTTTTAATCTCTTACTCTTGTGTTTCCCCCAGGGTGGAGCCACTTCAGCCCTATGACGTCGGATGGCGCCCCACAACTGTCTAAATTAAGAAAAGGTACCAAACCACGGAAGACGTCACACGTTATATCTTCAAGTCTATGTGCTAGGGCAAGATAAGTAAGCATGGAGAACATTGAAAGGCTTGCCTGAGATAGTATATGTGGGTTAATCGGTGATTCCGCTGAGAGAAATAGTCTCGACAGATCAACCTAATTCACAGTCCATATGACCAAAGGATTAGTTAGGTATTAGGTAGTATACTAATACTATGCATGTACAGGCTAATCTCCGGCTAATTATATACCAAAAGCTTCCATCATTTCCCCATAGGTGCCCGTGTCGTTCCACCCCTCATAACCAAAGCCAGAGACCATAGACCAAAGCCAACCATCATTGAGTCGCCGTCTCTGGATATGGAACCTCCGAGCTGATCAATTGGGGCCCTTTGGTCTCAAACGCTGTAGATTTGAAACGAAGTGGACGAGGGTTCTCGGCTCCAGCCTCAGCGGGATTGGGCACTTCAATCCCAAGATCAATATCTGGAACCCCCCAAACTGATCGACGGGGAGTCTTAATCCCAGTCCCCAGGTACAAATCCAACTCATCGACATAATCATAAGCAGCCTTACCGGTGATAGCCAGCCTTTCATAAGACTCCAGTCCTCCCAAGCGCCACTCAGGTAAGGGCCTGCGCGAACCACCCACATCATATACAAAACCTGGACAACCCTTCTCATCAACCGACTTCCGTCGTTCGAATTTGACGCCGTGTCCAATCGGTGTGTACTCTTTGATCTTCTTTTGTCTGAACCCAACTACTGGATGGATAAACTCAAATGTTTCTCCCAGTTGCTTTCCGTTCTGATCGAAGGAATCGTAGCCTCCCGGTGTGCGCTTCCTCGAGCCGTTCAGATAGTAAAGGGGGTGAAACTGTCTTTCAGCGGACCTGTTCCCCAACCGTAGCAGCGGCGCTTTTCGCTCTTCTCGGCTGCAGCTGTAGAAGTATATCCGAAGGCCGAGATTATTGCTGTGACCTTGCTCTGGATCCATGTGCCCCAGGACTCATCCGCGGGTGTATTGTCGACAAGAGTCGAAATATAATACTCTCTCCGCTGTCTTTCTTCGGCAAGATATTGCTCGTTGAGCGACAGGTACGGCTTGATCTGGTCCAGCATCCAGGAGAAAGTGATATTAGACATCTCTTCCATGTCACCTTTGTTTTTCAAGGTATCGTTTGCACCTCCGCCGATGTTAATGTGATATCCTGGAAACCACACCTGTCTCAGCGTTTGGGGATGACGCTGGTGCTTGTAGCCATCTTCCAATTTCATGAGCTTTCGTATTTCGTGGTTCATCGCTCTGGCAGTCTCGTTGAGGCGGCGGGCTGCGCTGTTGACATCCTCGTCACTGGCCTTGCCGCTATCTTTGAGGGAAATTGCGTCTTCCAGGAGATCGTCCCATTCTTGCGCCATCTCTGTGACTCTTTTGTTCTGCGCTTCTATCTGCTCTGAAGGCACATGCTCAAATTTGTGGAGATACCACAGAGTGGGTGAGAAGGCGTTACGATGTTCGTCGAGCGCCAGAGCTTGGAATGCATGTTTGACATCTAGAGCCCGTCGGTTAGTACTGCGCATACATAGAGGTAACAAGGAAAGAAACACATTGGTAGACCTACTGGGCGACAGTCCAACATTGTCCCGCCCAGTTCTATCTGACCACCACAAATCCCGGAACGGCAGCTTCACTCCAAGCACTTCGGGCAATCCAATAGCACCAACAGTATCATAAACCCCGACAACTTCCACATCCCGCGACCCCTCCTGAGCCCAATCACCATGACCACGCTTCTCAAATACAAACCCCTCACCTCCAGCGCCCTGATGCTCATCAGCCTTCCCATCCATCCACTCGAACCAAAGGTCACTGCAATAGAACCGTTCACCGGGCGGACTCTTCTTATAAACCTCCCAGAGATCCGGAAACCGATTCAGATCCTGTTTCCGACAGATCCCAATATCCAAAATAAGACCAGCAAAGGCACGCGCCGTAAACGCGCCCCTCGAGAACCCGAAACACATAATTTGATCACCCGGGTTGTAGTTCAAGACGCAGAAGTTATACGCCTCAACGACATTCCCTTCTAGGCCCAGGCCAATGGCGCCTTCGATCTTCTGACCCAGCGCACCTGAAGTCGTGCCAATACCGGAATCATACCAGACCACTTGCTGCCATTGATTACCTTGTCCGTCGGTTCCGACGCTGTTCAGGGCGCGACAGAGACGCGTCACGTTCGAGGGGATGTTCTTCTTGCCTGAGACGGCGGATTGCCAGGTGCCGTCGCAGCAGATGATGATGCGTTTGCGGATTGGGGGGAGTTTGGAATCTTTTCTCTGTTGCACGATGTATGGTAGATCGTGGTTTTCGGAGCATAGAGACATTTTTTTGGAATGTGTAGGACTAGGGATATGTAGGTTCTGTCGGGGGAATTTGGGGGTTGGGGCCGAGTATGCGTATGTATCAGGTAGGTGCGACTGACTCTCTTTATAGAGTTGGACCTTCCAGACTTCTATCAGCGCTTAGTACAGTAGTTGTTGCAGAGTATGCCTCGCTTTGACTGATCGGTTCTGCCAAGGCGCATGCATTCAGCTGTAACGACTAGTGCCGCTGAGATACGAACCCCGGCGCCACATATGGCAGTCTAAGCCGCTTTCGAGTCATTCAGGCGCCCCGACGTTCGTTTTTCTCCTCAGCTGCTGCATGAATTTAGCCGCTCCATTACTCAATCTGCCTTGGCCTATTATCACGCTGGGAGTTTCGGCTGCGTGTCCTCAGGTACCTCAGCCTCGCATGGTCAGCCCCTACATCTTCACCTGGGCACTCCAACCGTGCTGAGATCAGCGACAGAAAGCCAGGAAGGAGCCAGTTTGGCCAGGCCGAGAGTCGAGACGAAATCATGGAGATATGGGCTGAACTGTAGAGGTTTGTGTGTATTTCCAACATTGGAAAATCCGGGGTAAGGGTAAATCTAAACTTCAAGTCGATCAGGAATCCTTACAACATTTTCACAGTCAAAGAAGTTCTATAATCTATTTCTGACGTTCTGAGAATGTTTGTACAAAGGTCTTCTGTATGGTAACCTGATTGCGCGAGTGTCCCGGGCCAAGCTCAGGGTTCAAAGCTTCCTGGCTGCTGGTCCTGCTGAGCTCCATTGCCCGTGGCCCCGCTGCCGTGACGACGGTGCTATTGTAGTCATCGAGCTCAATGTCAGGACGCCAATACTTCGTGGTCTGTGATTCGTCCACGACCTCACTCCGGCTGTAGAACGCATATCTCTTTGAAGTTTGCCCAGCGCGTGAGCTTTTGTTGTATTCTGTGGCTTCGTCTAGCAGCCAGCGGAAGAGAGGACGAAGGGTGATAAGGCTACCGGCTGTGATTGCGACACCGATCTCGATTTCAGACCAAATGGCGATCTGGTAGGTGGAATCTGACGATGTGAGCACGGAACTTGGTCATGCCAGAAAGAGGTAGGGGGGTTGGTGGCCAACATACAGAGGAAATTTTCATCAGCGTAGTAACGTAGATAGGGTATTCTACAGATGACTGCCACACTCGCGCTGGGAAGATGTTAGCAGCGGTTCGTAGGTTTGCGCGCATGGTCAGATGGGACAGGCAGAGACCAACGTACATTGCGCCCAGACCAAGGATTCCTCCTACTGCGATCTTTGTCCGACGGTTCATTTGCAGTTTTCAGATCGGAAAAATGGGTAATATGCCAAGCGACAGATCGCACACGATAGTCACGGAACTGTAGAAATATCCAACGTTCAAAATCGTCGATATGGGGATACAAGTTCCCTCGCTGGTTGGAAGCACCCGTTCCCAGAAATATGAAATGGGGTTGCAGGCGAAAAGCAGAACGAACCAGAACATAAGCCCAATGGCAATGGCGAGCCCAATTATGCACCATAGAATTATTCGATGGGAACGTTCGACGGCCAATCGAAGCAGCGCCAGGGCAATTGATATTTTAGCAATTGCCGAGGACCATGTATAGGTCATTTGGCCAAGCCACCACCACTATGAGGGGATAGTTAGCCAGCCGTTTGGACATGGGACGCTTCCGAATTGGACATCCATACCAGTAGGGCCCTCTCATAGACCTTTAGGTCCTTAAAATCTTCTTTCGCATGCCCAACTCCACTCAATGCTCCACATATGCACATAACGCTCAATCCTACGAAGAACGCCTAATCGAAGATTAGGAGACATATCACGGCCTGTTTCAATGTACCGACATACCCAAGCAGCAACCATCAAGGAATCATCCCAGCCAAAGGCCCGTAGGATAGTCACCCGCACAAAACTCCTCATCGCGACTGTCACAGTGGAGATGGACACCATCACAATTGACACAATGAAGATACCTAGACTTCGCCCCTCCAGGGGCATTGAGGCTGCCATGATGAACAACAAAGGCGCTTGTTTATTATTGTCGAATCTGCATGTTCTCTGTCTTGTTCACTCGAATCCACTTGTAGATTTAGAGGAGGGTTGATAAGGAGATCGTCAATATATGATAAAGAGTACTTATATAGTGGGGAAACAAAAAAAAGGAACGGAAAAGGAAAACTATGAGGGGGTGATGGGGGGAGGCTGCCACATGGCATGGTAAGGTCAATATATCAGGAACCCTTGGGAATGTTGCCGGTACGGTCCGAGGCCCAGACCCGAAGAGTCGGGCGAGTGTTCGTTGAATGTTGAAAGTCAACTATTAAACGTTCGAACCAATAGGCCTTAGCTCGACCCTCGGAAAAGATCTCTACATAACCTAGCTCTTTTTAAGTCTCACGGCCGTGCATCTAATGTCAGGGACCAGAACAATGGTGGATTGTTTCTGTTCCCCGCTATGTGTCTGTGAAAGTCGACGGGTCCAATCAGGAGCAAAGTGGCTTTCCTCCAGTGCCCTGACTTACCGAAATGAAGATCTTAAGCCGAGATTCACATGGATTGGGCCAATCTAGAGCCGCTTTCGGATTATCTTTATCTTGGCAGTAGAGATGTTAACTAGTGCATTGGCACATGGGTGAATACTACTATTTGAACGCCCAGACCGCTAACCGGTTTCAACAATCCTTTTGAAACCTTCTATTGTGGCGAGTCCATGTGTTTATGTTTGGCCCTCTAAATAAACACCATTTGTGCATGGAGGGCCGAAAATGGGCCTCCGACAAGCCCTTCACACACTCACCAGCCTGGACACGATCACGCACTTCACCCCCTGGGCCCTAGGTAATGGTCATTTTAGTTATTACACTGTAGTATGTGTACCAACCCTAAAAATTGATACCTTTTGCCATAGAATTAAACACCAGATCAAACGCGGCACGTGTTGCAGTGGGATTATTGGGGCAATTCGTAATATAGCACTTGCCAGTTGGCGGAGCGCTTGCCAGTTGGCTGGAGACTTGCCAGTTGGCGGAAAGCTCGCCAAACGCGTCTGGAATCAGGCACCCATGCTGGGTATTGGAGAGTGTACGTGCTCACTAGCGTAAATCGCAGGACAGCCACAAGTAAAAGAATCATCCGCACCCACACACGAGTATCAAAACAATCTTTTCATCTTTTTGCCATGATCGATCCCCACAACAGATTTTCTCAGAGGGCCAGGGCTATTTCGGCCCAAGGGAAACCCCCGCAACTGAAACCCACTGCAACGTCTGGGATTGGGATCAGCTGCGATTGATCAAAGTCAAAGGAACTGCCAAGCTTTTTCCACCTGGGGAAGATTTTGAAACCTCAGTTCTTGCGCAATTCGCCGACTATCTTTCACCAGAGGTTCGTGCAATCATAGTCGACGATGACGGGCTTCTCACTGGAGTCTCAACAGACCCGGAAGATGATGATACATTCTTTATTGGATATGTCCCCTTATCACTCTGTCAATCACTCTCGGATTGTTCTACCATTTATTCCTCTCAAATTCAAGAGCTCGACCGGCTTGGACCAGGTGTCGATCTCTCATCGTATGAGGGTCAGAGGGTCGCATTCAAATTCAACCCTTTAGGCATGCCTCGAAGACTACAGATGTCCTGGAAGGCATGAACCTGCTCAGCAAGCTGCCACCACATCCTAATCTAATACCGTTTGACCGCATTGTTCTGGAGGACGTGGAGTCTCGAGTGATCGGATTCACAACAAAGTACATCCCAGGAGGAACGCTAGCCGATGATCTAAAAAGGCCTTTCCGGTTTGAATGACTACAACAGCTTACTCAACTGGTGGATTTTCTGAACCTAGAATTAGGGATCATCCATGCATCAAGACATTGCACCACGGAATTTGCTTATCGACCCTGACACATACAAGATTATTCTCTTCGATTTTGATTGGGCCGCCAATGGGAAGGAAGGTCTAATGGATGGTCGAGACGATGTGTCCGGTGTTATCTTCACACTATACAAGATCATCACGAACGATACAAACCCTACAAGCATTCCTCACTGGGAGCGAAATACTGACATGGTACAGAATATTGAATGGACTTGTTGCCGCGAACTAGACTCTGACGTCTCAAAGTTCCGCGAGTTTCTGCATGAATGGGTAGCAGCGAGGACCGATACAGCGGCAGGACAATGTTCCAACGCGCCCAAGCGGCTTACATGGCCGGATCTCCCAACCCCTGTGCCCTTTGAGATGGGTTTGACACAGGAAGGAGAAAATGTCTAGCAAACGGGTCTGCGTACGAGACGCATTGCACTAGAGAAGGGGCAATACTGCTTTCGATGGGAAAGGCCACCACAAAGCAGGTTAATGAAGAAAGCCCAGAATAGCATGTAGTCGCTGACGACGGAAATATTGCTCTGTTAGCTCGAATCTGGAACAATCATTGGTCTGGGAGCAGGAGTACAGAATGAAGCACATTATCATGCCCACAAGCTTGCTATTCAATAGAGTCGTTATCCTGGTCAACGCCTACTCTTTACCTTCTTACCAACGGAGACGTTGGCCTTCAGGCAATAGCAAGAAGTCAAAGCGCTGCCCACGTGGAGGAGAAGGACACGAGTGGAGGTTCTGTAGTGAAGTCAACTGGACCCTCAGATCCCCAAATTTCAGAGCAACTGCTTCAAAGAGGAATGTCACTGAAGAGAACCTGAAGAAAGCCTCTCCTCAAGTTCAAGAAGAAGTTGCGGCACTAATGAAGACAGATCCAGAAGCGTGCGACAAGACCACTCATTTAGCGCTCAAGGCGCCACCTGGGGATGACCCACCAACGGAGTCGTTGGCTTTCTTGACGGCCACGATATCCCCTGAGGTCTACCACCTGGCGGTTGACACATTCGCTCCACGCCAACTGGATCATCGATTCAGGTGCAAACATCCATATTTGCAATAACAGAGACCGTTTCGTGACTCTGAGCCAGAGCGTGACTGAGATTAAGATGGGGAACGGCACAACGAAGGTAGAGGGACACGGAACAGCACGCGTTGTCGTAAGGGACCCAACGAGCGGCGTCGCTCAGTGGGCTACCCTCAAGGACGTGTGGTACGCGCCCACTTTTGCAACTAACATTATCTCCGCTTCGGAGATCAAGAAGGATGGTTTCTTTTTTACCAGCGAGCTGCCTGGTATCGTCAGGGGATGTTCAGATCACTCGGATTAAGGAGACCATAACGGAGTAGCTGGATAATGAAGTGGAGTGGTAGGGCAAGGCAAGTTTGCGCTACCACTCCACTCCATTATCCAGCTACTTCGTTATGGAGCAACCATCTGTTGATCGTCCTAAGCTAGGAAGAGGTCGACCTCCAAAATACACCACTGATGAACAGCGAAAAGCGGCAAGGGCAACGGAGATAATGTTTGTTGCAAAATTGGGCGCGTACCACACGTCCGTGAGGGTAGCCACGACAACTCGCGCCGATCCGCGTCCCTCTGGTACCGTTCCCAATTGTTATCTCAGTAACGCTTTTGCTGAGATTGGTAAAACGGTCTCTTTTATTGAAGATATGAACATTCGCGCCTGAATCGATGATCCAGTTAGCGTGCAATGAATGCGTGACCGCAACACACGACTTGAAGTACTGTTATGAAATAAATTGGACACTCTAGGTTCCATCACGTGTGCATTTCTGCTGTAGGATGCGTGATGAAATCTAAGGGAGAAGAGGAACCAATCCAAATGAATGAATATGAGGTTGATTGAGGACCAGAAGGTGGTAGAAGGTGATCCATCGGGAACGAGATGTGTGTGTGTCTCGCTTATCGCTTAGCGAGCGGGAAAATCTCGGCATCCGCTCGTATCTGAACTATTCTCGACACCTTCCCAAAGCAACCGATCATCCAACCGCTGAGTTCGAGGTCGATGAGATGAAGTTGCGAACCAGTCTTGAAAAATAGATGCGTTTTGCCAAAATCGCCATAGAATTAAATACCAGATCAGACGCACGTGTCTCAGTGAGTCAGTGGGCAATTCGTAGGGATGTAGCCTTGCCAGTTGGCGGAAACCCGGGTTTTGCCAGTTAGCTGAAAGTTCGCCAGTTGGCGGGAAGTTTTGCTAGACGAATCTGGAACTCGGCACCCATCGATACTGACAACTGGACAGAATGTTCTTTGGGATATTTGATGTAGAAAGATATTGCACGCCTTCCTTGCCGCTGAGAACTTCTATATGTTTTGAAGACAAGCCATGTTATCCATGTGGAAAATCAAAATCCGAATGATTCTTCTTTCTCTGTAGATTCTATATGTTATAAAAATAGAGGAAATCGGGCTAGACTTCGCTGATAACCATAAATCGCCAAAATAACAATAAACTTAGGGGTTCTCACTCGTCGGGGGAACAACGGGAGGGCCCTCAAACCAGATTTTGTGCTGAGGACGTGGTGCCCGGGTCTTCTGGCGTTTTCGAGAAATTGGCCGGGGCTTGCTCTTGAACAGTTCGGGGGTGGCACCTTGAAGTTCAGGGAAAGAGGTCACCTCATCCCAAAAGTCAGTAACCTCGGTCCAGAAACCTTTCGCCTCCTGGTGATTGCCCCTGTCAACACTATCCCAGTAGACTTTGATCCGGACACAGAGTTTCGAGCTCCATCAGATATCGAACCTTGGTCTGACATAATTAGTCTGTAAGCACTGTATCGGCATCCTAGGTAGGCTTACCTGCATATACCCTAGGGTTCTACACTTCCAGTTTTTGCACCAATCTTGGATGTCTCTTCTGGCCTTTGACCACTCGTGCGAGGTCTCACTTTTGTCGGGGTATGTTTCCCGGATAATGCGGCTCATTGACCTGGTGTGTAAACAACACAAATACTCCCAAGTGACTTTACGCTTGAATTCCTCTTGCGCCGGTACTTCTGTCTGTTCGTACGCCGCAGCTTCGGGATGTGCCACAAATGGGAGACGTCGGGTTGGAGCTGGTGCCTCAGTGACGCCGAGGGCTTGTTCATTTTGATTTGGGGGCATAGCCCGAAGTGTGCTAATATTATCTGATTGTGACACTGATAGAGTATCAGGCTGGTGAGGAGTTGAAATAAGACTTGGCAGTGTTGTCGTAATGGTAGTCTGAAGTGCAGGATCTACCACAGGGAGTGGCTCGGCGCTGCTCATACTAGGATTGTTTGTAGAGGTGCACTTGCGTTTCGCGTGAGAACGGGAGATCGGAACCCACGGTCAGGAGGCTGTGCCTATCACATAATTCACATAATGTTAGCTCCCTCGGTGATATCAATTCCCCCCCCCCAAACTCTCCATGCGATGGCATCAACGGTGCACTTCCACGCTAGGTTGCGATGCCTACTCAGGTTGTGCTCTCCCGTCGGGACGTCGATTTTCAGTGCCAAATGCTCCAACCGGAAGCTCTTTTAGTGGTGGTGGTGGTGGTGCCTGACGAACGAAGGATGGGCCACGGGTGATTCCTACAACCTCGAGATCCACCGCCATAGTCCACATTGCCCATGTCTCCCATGTCATATTCAGAAGGATGAAGATGGATTTGTCCGTTTCGTAAGCGTCTGTCACCTCCACTTTCATCTTATCGGGAAGATCCTCAATTGCCTTCTTGAACTCTTCAAACTCATGGCTGTGGCCATGTAATGTGAGTCTCACAAGAACGTGCTTGGCCTGTGTTCTTGAGATGGGGCGTGGGATTCGTGGGGGGGGAACATGTACTCTGCGATTTGGCCTGCATATGCGCGTCAGTGCATAATTTATTCCTGTCAAAAGCTCATAAGACTCACCTAGTACGTGCCGGGGAATTGTCTTGCATGGAAAACTCAGTGATCAGCTTCCTTAGGTTCGGCCCGTGTATCCACGGAACCTTGACCTCACTGCTGTCTTGAAGTCGGTCTATTGCCCCAGACCTCTGACGAACTTGACACGGTGCAACGCGTGGCTGACAGTGCGGCGATCGGGAATGTCGATAATCGAGGTTAGGGGGAGGTTTGAGTAAGAGGCCAGACGCGCTATGCGTAACTGATGTTACAAGCCAGAAGGAAAAAGTGACAAAAGAGATGACTTGATCCTGTGGTGGGATGGAGAAGGGAAGAGGAAGAAGAGCTGCGTTACGCGTAGAAGAACTCCTCTTTATGTTCTTCTGCCATGCTTGCTCCTTCCATTAGCTGTCGTTTGCTCCTTCCCTTAGATATCGTTTGCTCATCACATGATCGTCACGACTGAGACTGCCATGATTGGCTATATAGAGTGATTGTTGATAAAGTGGGAGCTTGAAACCTGATAGCGAAGTATTGACTATTGATCGGGAGCTTGTTGAAAATAGGAAAACTAGCTGTATCAGAGCGAGGTGCACGGTGAGTCAATTACTGGAGCCTAGTGTGAAGAAGTTCTGTTATTGACTGGGCTCCAAGCAGTTGGGGAATGGGGATGCTTGAACCCCCACTACCCCACGTCTCCTCATCGGAGTTATGGCCGAGCCGAGACTCCAATCCCGACTCCCGAGCTTCCCCGTACCGCCGTGTTGTCAGCAATGTACTTCCCCGGGCCCCTCCTTTATTACCCAGCTTTCTCCTTGTTTTTGTTGGCTCTTTTAGATATTTCCAGTTAGGTACAGTCTGCTACTAGACGCGCTATATCGTCAAATATGTACGAATATCTTCTCATGCAGCCATTGGAACGTCATTGCTCATAGAGGACTAGGGTCTATACAGCATCTTTTGCTTTCTTTGAAGCTCTCTGGGAGGTATGTACCCGGCTGTTCCTATCCTTCCAGCCTACACTATACAGCAGTCCAAGGTCTAATTCTAACATTCACAACCCCAGGGCGGCGTTACCCATGTCTTTGTCAATCTGGGCTCCGACCACCCCTCCATCCTCGAGGCAATGGTGAAAGGCCAAAAAGAGAAGAGAGATCAATTCCCTACAATCATCACCTGCCCCAATGAGGTACGTCAGGAATAGTATCATGCGACCGACCGTGCAGCACTTCGGCCAGCGTCGGTAGGACATCGATGTGCAACAACCGCTTACAAGAAAACATAGATGGTGGCACTCTCCATGGCTGACGGCTATGCCCGACTGACTGGCAAGCCGCAAGCAGTTATCGTCCATGTCGATGTCGGCACACAAGGCCTGGGAGCAGCCGTCCACAATGCCTCGTGCGGGCGCGCCCCGGTGTTGATCTTTGCCGGTCTATCGCCCTACACGATCGAGGGTGAGATGCGAGGCTCTCGTACAGAGTATATCCACTGGATCCAAGATGTGCCGGATCAAAAGCAGATCGTCTCCCAGTATTGCCGGTACACGGGGGAGATCAAGTCGGGCAAGAACGTTAAGCAGATCGTCAATAGGGCTTTGCAGTTCGCGACTAGTGACCCACAGGGACCTGTGTATCTGGTTGGGGCACGAGAGGTCATGGAAGAGGATATCGAGCCGTATCAGCTCAACCAGGCTGTTTGGGGTCCGGTGTCTCCGGCTGCTCTGCCAACATCTGGCGTTGAATTGATTACGTCTGAGCTTGCGGCTGCGAAGAGGCCATTGGTTATTGCCGGGTATTCCGGTAGGAAGGCCCAGGCTGTGACTGAGCTGGTTAACCTGGCGAATAACTTTAAGGGAGTCCGAGTGCTGGATACCGGTGGTAGTGATATGTGCTTCCCGGCTGACCACCCGGCATGGCTTGGATTAAGGTATCCAGGCCATGAGTTGATTAGCACGGCCGATTTGATCCTTGTGATTGACTGTGATGTTCCTTGGGTGCCAACGCAGTTCAAGCCTTCCGCATCGGCCAACATTATTCACATTGATGTCGATCCATTGAAGCAACAGATTCCAGTCTTCTACATTAACTCAATGGCTACGTTCCGCGCCGACTCTTCCATCGCACTGAAGCAGATCAATGATTATGTTGCTTCGCAGGCATCTCTGCAGCAATTTACTGGTTCTAAGGAGAACATCGCCATGGGAGAACGTCGAAATGAAGATTATGCGAAACGCCGGCAGGAAATCTCCGATCTTGCTGTGGCCCCGAAGGGCGGCGACAGCGCCCCGCTGAATATCAATTATCTCATGGCGCAGGTCCGCCAAGGTGTCCCGATTGATACGATCTGGGCGATCGAAGCCGTGACGTTGAGCCACTTTGTCGCCGATCAAGTTTCAGCCACGCTACCACAATCATGGATCAACTGCGGAGGTGGCGGTCTTGGGTGGTCTGGCGGCGGTGCACTTGGCATCAAGCTTGCGAGCGACGTGCAGCACGGTGGACCTGGGAAGGGCAAGTTCGTGTGCCAGGTCGTTGGCGATGGAACATTTTTGTTCTCGGTGCCTGGGTCTGTATATTGGATTGCCCGTCGCTACGGAATTCCCGTTTTGACTATCGTCTTGAACAACAAGGGCTGGAATGCCCCTCGGCGAAGCATGTTGCTTGTTCATCCCGAAGGTGATGGATCCCGTGCTACGAACGAGGATCTCAATATCTCCTTTGCGCCCACACCTGACTATGCTGGTATTGCCAAGGCTGCGGCGGGTGGTGAGTTGTGGGCCGGGCGGGCCTCGAGTGTCTCCGAGCTTGCACAGAAGCTCCCGGAGGCTATCCAGAGTGTTCTGAGTGGAAAGGCGGCGGTGTTGGAAGCGCAGCTCGATGGGACTACAGGTAAATATGTGGGGAGTTCGTGACCACCCTTCATGGGATATGAATACCACTGTGCAGTAGGATTCTGATGACTGTCTGGGTGCAAATGAGACAGGTATTATCTCTTTGCTAGATCTTGATATAGAGCTGGATACAGGAGACTAAAATTGTCATCTAATGCACGGGACGGTGACGGGATACTTTACCAATCTAACTCTAACTACAATGGTGCAGTAACTATGAGAAGAAAACTGGGAGAGAAGTATCTTCAGTTTCACTGGTACTGAGAAGGACGAGGGGAGGGGAAGAAGGGGATGAGCGTGTATAAGTAACTACAATGGATTTAGGTGTTGTCAGGCGGGGGGATAGACCCCTCGACATAAACTGCTAGCAAGGAGCCGTCCAACATCTACCTATCTCATTACGCGCTTTATTTATTCTCCTTATATTGTTTAAAGACAAGCCTCTTTTAACAAATGGGCCAGCGTAGCTCAATGGTAGAGCGTCAGGCTTTTAACCTGAATGTTGCGGGTTCGACCCCCGCCGTTGGCTGATCATTTATTTTTCCTTCTTGTTTCTGAATTTTTTGTTCCTTTTTTGCTCTATCTAATCGCAATGAGACATGGTCTATCTTGATAGATGTAATTCTTCTTATTTATCTAGAACTTAGCACTATGTCATGCACGTTGCACCGTGAAGGAAACACTTTACGCTGTGAAAATGCACATTTCAAGGTTGGAAGTATATTTGATGCCCACCTGCAGGCAGCACCTTCCCAACATCATTTACAGCAATTACAACCCTTGTCACGTTCGAAGGCAGACAGACCTCGAAACAATAAACATCGAAATGCGGGCACGTCTAAATCGTCTTCTTGCCGATCTACTCCTCATGTACATCGAGACTATCTCAGTCTCCTTAAGCTATTTCATGGTGGATGTTGTTCGGGGTAATGACTCACGTGCTTCGGAGAAAGCTCACAGCAGGGCGGAGAGATCATTTCCGCTCCGCTTTCGCCGAGTCTTCGCCTTTCCGTGACACCTTCGATTGCTGCAATTATTTTTCTTTTGATTTCAAATCCACTACCATTGTCAATATAAGTAGCACTCTGCTTTAGCGAACTGACAACTGCAGCCCAGTGTACCGGACATTGGACAACACCTTCTTATCTCCCCGCACACGTGCCCCTCCAACTCCGATACCGCACTCCGAAAAATCCCACCACCACCAATACACTCGAAATGACTGCGCCCGTTCCCGTGGACGTCGACCTCGTGGGCGTCACTGACACCTCATCTGTCCCTGTTCCCGATCCGTTGACTGTCAATGGCGTGCCGGCATGGAGGAAGAAGCTAGCCCATATGCCCACCGGCGTGGCTGCGGCGTCTAGCAGTGACATGTTTAAGACCCCGGTAGGATATCTTTGGATTGCGAGCACTGGTGGAACAATTGCCTGTAGAATAAGCAAAGCTGATTTTTGCCTGGCGCACTGTTAGATCTGCTATACCAAGCCCAAGGCCAAGAGATTCGAGCGTAAGTTTATCCTGACACTTGGCGGCTCTATACCAAGCCGTTGCCAAATGACCTCACCTACATTCACTGACACTTGGAATCTTTCAGACCATCTCTCACTTGAAGCCAAGTCTCGCACGGTTCGCTCCCAATAGCGCAATGTGAAGTCCAAAGTCGCTAACGCGATCCCACACTATAGTCGTCTACTCTGAAGGGTGCTGCACGGTACTTGAGCAACCCAGGTAACCTTCTAGACACCCAACTTGACTCATGGATCGACTAACCGTGACGAAAAGACCTTATCTCCCTCGGTGGTGGACTACCCTCCTCCGAATACTTCCCAATTGAGTCCATGGATATTAAGGTCCCCACTCCCCCGGGCTTCTCCCCGGAGGCTACTCGGGAGTCAGGGACGGTTCTTCATGCTGGAAAGCATGACATAAGAGAAGGAGCCAGTCTCTATGGTAGGATCCTGTTGTCTTTCCGCATCGGCAGTGGCCATGACTGATTCAATTTCTCAGACCTGGAGATTGCTCTTAACTACGGACAGGCTACTGGAGCTGCACCATTGCTTCGCTTTGTCACTGAGCACACCGAGGTGAGCTCAGAACATCATGCCTCTCCATTCCTTACCAGGGACTGACCAAAGAAGATCATCCACAGCCCTGCCTACTCCGATTGGCACTGCACCCTGACCGCCGGCAGCACGTACGCCTGGGACAGCGCTCTCCGGATTTTCTGTGAGCGTGGAGACTACATCCTCATGGAAGAGTACACATTCGCCAGTGCCGTTGAGACTGCTACCCCCCTGGGCGTGAAGGTCGCAGGAATCCCGATGGATGAACAAGGTCTCCTCCCCGAGGCAATGGACGACATCCTTAGCAACTGGGACTCCAACGCCCGGGAGGGCGCACGTAAGCCCCACGTTCTCTACACCATCCCAACAGGCCAGAACCCGACCGGTGCCACCCAGTCAGCGGAACGCCGCCGCGCCGTATACAAGGTCGCACAGAAGCACGATCTTATCATTATCGAGGACGAGCCTTACTACTTCTTGCAGATGCAGCCGTACACCAGCGGGGACAGCACCCCCGTTCCTCCCCCATCCAACCACGAGGAATTTATCAAGTCCCTTGTCCCCTCCTTCCTCAGCATGGACGTCGATGGCCGCGTCGTTCGTCTCGAGTCTTTCTCAAAGGTTATCTCGCCCGGCACCCGTGTCGGCTGGATCGTCGCCTCCGAGCAGATTGTCGAGCGCTTCATTCGCGCCTTCGAGGTTTCCTCGCAGAACCCTAGCGGTATTTCTCAGCTCACCCTCTACAAGCTCCTCGACGAGCACTGGGGCCACTCCGGCTACCTAGATTGGCTGATCAACCTGCGCATGTCATACACTGCTCGTCGCGACTCGCTCGTTCACGCCTGTGAACAGCATCTGCCCCGCGAAATTGCCCACTGGGAAGCCCCCGCGGCTGGCATGTTCGTAAGTTTCCCAACCCCCTTCTCTGACCACAGTGTATCCAGGTCGCTTGTTATCTCGCCGAATACTAACCCGACTAGCACTGGATCGAGATTGACTGGCGCAAGCACCCCGGTTATGCCGCTGGCAAAACCCACGCCGCTATTGAAGAGGAGATCTTCTTGTCTGCCGTGGACGAGGGTGTCCTTCTCTCCCGCGGAAACTGGTTCAAGCCGGACCACAGTACGTCCCAAGAGAAGATGTTCTTCCGGGCCACCTTTGCAGCGGCTACGGCAGAGAAGATTGATGTGGCTATTTCCCGCTTCGGTCAGACTTTGCGTACCCAATTCGGATTGTGAATGGTAGAAGTGGCTGAACCATGAGTCCATGAAAGAGTGTTATAACACTTAAAAAGGGCGGTAAAGGGCATACCGATATTGATTCATGCTAAGTATAGAACAGGAGAAGAATGACGATACAATGAGATTAGAATTTACTGCATCCTAGAGACTGTATAAGACTTGACCGGAATAAGAATTTTTTAGTACTATGCTCCTCCATATAATGTCACGTATATCTTGCTAATAGCAGAAGAGAAATCAGATCAAACATCTATCGTCTACCTTGGACGTTTGCAACCCCGACTTAACCTGAGTGCCTGAGGAATCAATGTGGCGCGTCCATAAACCTGTAGTCATCGTGGCGCAGTGCATGCAGCTCCCCATATTTTCTTCCAATAGCCTTTCGTGGCACCCTGTACAGCTGTCAACCTCTGATTCAAAGACTACACAGTACTTGCACAGTAAAGTGACAGAGCCTTGATCCAAGCCAGCGGCCGCTTCAAAGCCGACGAAGCGTAAATCCCAGCTTGGCTGTCGTTGCCTCTGTACCTGTGGCGCCCTGATCCCTGCACGGAGCTCTGTAGCTGCCAATGAAGATGAGATCTCTCGTATCTCGTATTCCGCTGAATTGGGAGCCCGGAGTAACCGAGCACTTGCGCTGTGCTGTCTTCTGTTCGGGGTCTTCGAAGAACATGTGAGCTTACTCGTTAGCTAACTAGCACGTTAGCCTACCTAAGACTCTGCTGGAGCCGGTATACCGTAATCCAGCGTTCAGTCTATTCGAAAGACTGTCATTTGTCAACACTGTTGCATGTCGTGTAGTGTGACAGAACCGTATTGGTGTATGTGTGTTCCCTTGCATAAACATTCGAAGACAAGTTCGCGTCTCTTCTAGAGTGAAGCAGCTGGCAATAACATGTTATATTATACATGTATACGACTGCCTTTCTCAATCGAGAAGAGAGACCACAAGGCACACAGGATAATATTGAGAAAGACAGCATTTCATTGACGGGCTGATCAACAATGATTGTTCTGATAAAGAAGCCTTCGGTGCTTGGTGGCGAATGAGATCGACCAAATTCGATTACGTAATTGTTATAATTGCGCCTGGCCACCTGGGCACCTCCACTGGAAGATCGCGTTTCTGAGCATAACTTCCTCAGCGACCCGACTTCCATTCCTTTGTCCCATATGATACCTGGGTTGCATTGACCATCAAACCTCTCATCATTGTCACGTCTTCCTTTAATACTCCTCACCTCACCAATCACAAGCTACCACCAATCGCAAAATGGCTACCGATTACAGCAAGAAGACCAACGCCGAGTTGGTCGAGATTCTCAAAGCTCGATCCCTCCCCCACACCGGAAAGAAAGCGGATATGGTTTCGCGCCTTCAGCAAGACGATGAAAGCAAGCCCTCCGACGCTCCTGCCGCTGCCCCCAGCGCAGCCAAGACCGACGCCCCCGAGGATGTCATTGACTGGGACGACGAGCCAGCAGAGACCACGACCACTGAGCCATCAACAGAAGCTGGCGCAGCTGCAATTGCAGCTGGTGGAAAGGGCGCAGTTCCCAACCCCGTCGCCGTTCCGAACCAGGAGCTCGGCGAGAACCCCGCTGTCACCGACGATCTGAAGGTCGAGGCGACCGGCGCTCTCCCCGCAACAACCACTCAACCCGAAGCTGCAACTGAGGAGAAACCCGCCGTCAGTTACACCCGAGGACTGCCCCAGACCGACCTGGAGGCTGAGCTCGCGAAGCGCAAGGCTCGCGCGCAGAAATTCGGTATCGTTGAGGATGAGGACACAGCATTGAAAGAGGCTACGAAGCAGCTGGAGCGCGCGAAGCGGTTTGGCACTGGTGCCGAGGCTGCTGGAACGGGCCTAAGCCGCCTCGACCAGGCACTTCCTGACGAGCGTCCCCGCAAGAGACGTAATGATACCCGCAACGAGCAGGGTGGTCGTGGAGGCAAGAGACGTGATACTGGTCGCAACCGTAACAACCGTCAACGTGGTGGTGACAAGACCAATGCTGGTGTGAAGAAATCCGCTCCCGGTGCGAACAATGCTCAGAAGGCTTGGAGCGAGAAGGATCAAGCGGCTTTGGAGGCTCGCAAGAAGCGATTTGCAGCTGCAGCTTAAGTGTCTCCAATTGTATCTGCCTTATCTAGTCTTTGGCTCGGGGTTGGTTACATCCTTTGTTTCATCATGGGCGTTGTGCGTTAATATGCTATCGGACGCTGTTAGGGTCAATCATTTCATTCGATCTGTTTCTTTTACAATATGACTCTCGATGAAAAATTATTCATGTGCATGAAATCCTCGTTATCTTGTAGAGTCCGAGCGCCTTACACTTGGTACTTCTGTCGGTACATGTAGATTTGGGAGTAACTTGGAGAATATTCTCGACAGGACTCCATTTCCCATATCGAATATTGACCTATCCAAGAAATCAGACTGAATGTTAAGCTCTCCCCCGGCATCCAACAGTGGTTCCCCGGTGACTGCGTGCGAAGTCAGCTGAATAGTGCATTAGTCGCTTGTTCCTGCAGCATTGGCATTGACCAGTAGCTGGGCGAGGATGAGCCAGATCGTCACTGTGGCTGCAGGGTCGACTTCAAAAACTCATGTTTCTTATTACTTCAGAAGGGCCTGAGAGCAGCACACCATGACAGTAACCCCCAGGCCTGAGGCCTTTATTTCGTACTCCGTACTACCTGTTGCACTAGGTAACGTCGTTATCCGGACTTGTCTTCTCGCTACGATAGCCCAGTGTTCCCATTGCCTAGATTACCGCCTTCCCCACTTAGATCAATGAGTCACAACGAATGATAATCCACAGATCCTTTTTTTTAGATGGTGGCTTCGGGCTAACACTTGACTGACGTCCAAGACCTGTCCATCCTCTTCATTGCTCCATCTTGCGGTGGGCCATCACAGCCCAGTACCTAGCGCACCCCACTCTAGTCCCAATGCCCCACAGTTTGAACATTGAATAAGTACAGTAGTCTAAGGACGAGATCTTTCTTGCCACCGCTGACTGGCTCTTTATATATTACTGTACTCCGTACAAGTCAAGGAATTAGACTCAACTCTAAAACGTCCTACCTCGTGTTTGGATATCCAATCCACGGCTGTCCTGCCAAAGGCTCGGGACGGGCCTCAGTACCAAACCATGGACAACTATGGATGACCGTTGGGACGTCTGGACTTTCTAGACTATCCCTCACCCCAGACCCCAGTAACTTGACATGTTTCAAAATATCCAGCAATGGCAGACATATTGGGCCAATCTACGGAAATGAATGTGCGACTGTCTCGGGAATAGATGTTCTCCAGGGCGCCTGGAATGCCCCTTACGTACCTCTGCATATGCGTGGTCCCTTGAGATCACGTTGGGAAATTCTCCGAATGTCCGGGGAAGGGTAAAGTGCCAGAAGGCTAAGAAAAATAAATAAAAATTAAGGAACGTAAAATACAAGAAAGACTTTTTGCCATCGATCATTTTGCGAGGCACGAATTTGGAGTTCGGCATCTCCGGGGTATGCGCTGTCCAAGAGGCAAAGAGACGCGATAACCAGACTGATCTCCAATACGAATTTATTTGCACTCTACTCTTCCAACGAACTGTGCAGATGCTCAGCTTGAGTCTACAGCTGATCCGATATGCGGCCGAGTCAGATCTGTAGGCTCTTTTATCTAGTCAAGCCATGCATAACGAATAGCCCGTTGTGGTACGCCACGGGTAGTACCACAGCCTGTCACGTTGTTTCTAGCCCGGTACATCTGGTGTTTGCCGCCGCGAGCCGATACAGTCCTAGGCAAAGCAGCCAACAACAATCGCTGCTAAGAGAGAGGACCCTTGAGTGGGCCTTCGGTCTTCAACTCCCCATGTGGGCTTCCGTGCGTGGAACCCTGTGGATTCGCCCACTGTTCAATCATCCTGGCTATTTGTAGAATCGTCTTTTGACTTTGCGATGGGGGCCATCGTACATTCAGAAGGACCGCGCAACTTTCGCGACAGGCTCTCCGATCTTTTTGACAGGCTCGAGGTCTTTGCAGTCTCGACTCCTCCCGTCTTGTCACAGAGTTAGTCAAACCCTTCTTTTCCAATGAGACTCCTGGCCTGAGTTCTCCTATTTTGTAACCTATGCTTCTATATTGGTCATTGCGGTTCAAGGGTTGTGTCTCCCCCACATCGAGGGGCAATCCCAGTCAGCACATAAACTGTCTGGCGTCTCGGGAATTCCTGAATGTCTCTTCATCTTTTCCTTTCGAAATTGAAATTTCTTGATTTTAATTTTACCTCAGCGGCACTTTACCTCTGACGTGGTCAAGTTGAGGAGAATAAAACCGAAATCCAACGCCACATTGCTCCAGACTGTGGCGAAGCCGCTGCAGCTTTTAGGCTTCGCCGATCCACAATCGGACTTTTCTCGTTACATCTGTGAGCTCAACCTTGAAGTATTCTTTCTTTTTATACTTCTTTGAACCACCCTGTTAATGTGTATTGACGCTTTTTAGTTGTGCGACTTTGATATACTCTTATTCTCCAAATTTCATTTACATTTACATTCTAATTCTATATCCCACTTATCGCTAGACGCCAAGAGTGATATTTTCGTTTGACATGACTCGGATGTGGTGAGTTGCAATAATGAGATCAACTAGGCCAGAACGAAAGGCTGATTAGACCAGACATCTTATAGCGACGTGATGGTTACTATAACGAAGTACATGTACCCATCGTATCATCATTCGTCCCTTGATTGAGCCGGGTATCTCACTCATCCACACGCCATGTCGTACAATTATGGAAATCACATGCCAAACGAGTCTTCTTATCCTTTCAACCCGTCGCGTCTCGCTGCTGGTGCTTATGGCAGAAATCCCCGATCTCAGATCGCACGGCCGGTCAACCCCACTCCTAGGAGCAGGACATCGTCATTCTCAGATGCCGAGACCACTGGCTCAATACCAGCGCCGTCGGGTATCAAGCGCTCTACGAGTCGGGGAAGGCGGCTGTCTATGCTTCCGCGCCCCGGTATTGGGAGTACGACATCACCAGCTACACCTATTCCGACTGTGACTCAAAAGACCACCCAGCCCACTCCATCGGTCTCGAGCCCAGAGATCGACACCCCTTCAGTCTTCGTTGTCGGAGGACAATTGCCCCCACCGAAACGAGCACGGAATGTTCTTCGAAGGAGAGCACCGACAATAGGAAAACATGTGAAGGAATCAGACTCTAACAAGCTTAGTCTTGTCATCCCGCAAGAGACTCAATCTCCCGGTATGGGCAATGACTCAGGGTATGGGAGTTCCAAATCTCTTTTCTCTGGAAACTCAGCTTCCTCATACCAAGCAAACCAGAAAAATGAGAGCAGTGTGACGGTATCCTCAACCAGCTCTAAATTCCAAGCTCCAGAGGAACTGGCAAGTCTTCGAACGACAATTGACACACAAAACTTGCCGCCTTTTCCTACACCTTTCCATTCGGCAAGTAGCCCATCGACAAGATACTCTGAGTCTCCCAGTATCTGGAGTCGAGGGTCCACACCGACATCGCTATCATCATATTCTCCAGGTATTGTGCACTCTACAAAGATCGGTCGTCTGAGACAACCGAGCCCATCTCAAACAAGATTGCCTTTCTTTGCCCCTGCCACGCACGCAAGCCCGCGGCAAGAGATATCGGACTTGAAGACTCAACGCCGGACGCCTGTGGCAAATTCATCTTCGGGATCAAGCTCAGCAGGAACAATCCGAGACCAGAGAATACCAACAATCAAATCTGGTTCCAACATCCCCAGAGGTCCGCCTCACAGCCCTCCGCCAAGAAAGTCGTCGGTCAATTTCAGCCCTACAAGGTCTCCACACATCGACGTTGAGAAGGCTCGGAGAGAAGTGGAGGAAGCTGAGAGACGCTTGTTTGACCCGCAAGGGATCATTGAATATTCCTCCGCACGTAGTGTGCAAACTCCTCCGACGCCACCAAGACCAAGCAGAGACGGGACGCACCGATTAGACCTTGACACATCGCCAATTATTCAAAGCAACCTACGATCCCTCAAAACAACGGGCCACACGCGACGTGAATCGATAGAAAAGGTTTTAGCGACTCAACAGTCACGCCAAACTCCCAGCAGGTCCACCGGTGCATCTGTTGACTCGCTCCAATCAAGAAGCATGCCACGAGTTTCTTCCCGGGAAGGCGAATCCCCAGTCCTATCCAGGAAATCACCTCGAACGTTGGTGAAGGAAGCCCCCTCACAGGAGACTGACACAAAGCAAATACCTCCACCGAAGCGATTCGGCATCTTCCCAAAGAAGTCGAAAGCAGCAGATGTATCAGAGAATACAACGGAGCCAGCCCGAGCACCTCGCAAAGGTCCAGCCGCGGGGACAGGTCACGAAGGCTATGGAAAATACGGACAACGGGGCCGCAAAGCAAGCGCTAGCAGTAGCAGCGGCACAAGAACGAGATCAACGAGCACAACACGAAGTACTGCTAGCAAAGGGAGTCAATCGAGTCGACCGGAATTCGGAATTGATGATTTCCTCATGAGCCGTTTGGAGCCGGTCGTCATCAACGGCGGCGGATTGGACCGGTTGACTTTGTCACGGACACAGAGCGAGCAGAGTATCAGCAGCATGAGTGTTGCATCGAGTTCAAACTTGGCTCGCCCTCCACTCTCATACTCGACAGGTCAATCTACTGACTCTCTCACAACTTCTGTTGGCACGTTTGGTGAGACCATTACGCCAAGCCATTCCATTGAACCAGCGCGAAGCAGGAGCCCTGAGCACGAATCTAACATTGGACATTCTTCAACCACATCAAAGCCACGCATGCCGGTTCCGAGAGGGAAGAGACATGGTTTATTCACAAACCCACAGGCCGCGGTGACAAGCACGTCTCTGCCTAATCATGCATCAGGCATTATCGTGCCGTCCAAAGCAAAACCTGACAAAAAGCCCCAGGGGAAGTCTACCAAGGTCGAGCGAGCCGAGAAGCAACATGACAAGAAAGAAAAGCCGTCTATGTGGAATTTCCTCCAGAAGAATCGAGCGAATGCGCAGAAAGTTCCAGCACCCCCTGCGACTGGGTCTGAAAACACCAAACTCCATGCAGCAATCACACCGGTGCTGAATAGTCAGCCTGTTGCTCATTACGCCATGGTGGATGCAGACTCAGACGAGCTCAATGAAATTATCGACAAGGTCGAAGACTCTCCCCCAACAGAAGAGGAGAGATCTTTCAATCCAGTGAAAGTTCCAAGAGCCTTGGAAATCAGAAAGAGGCATCCTTCCGTTTTGTTGCCATCTCCTCCAAAGATGCATGGAGAGTTCGAAAGAGATGACAGTCCATCCCCAAGGACCGCCATGTTGAACCGCAACCTCATGCCTCCGGAACTTCAGACATCACCCGAACGACGGCCCAGGCGACTGGCCTCAATCGGCCGAATTCCACAAGTAGTTTCGTGGCGTGATCGACCCCATCAACCCGCTATTGATTCTTTCTCGCGTCCGTTCAGTGTTGCAGGATCTCCTTCTCTCACGATCTCTACGACAAAAAGCCTACACGAATCTATACCCATCGCCAATGCGCCATTGGATCCGGGAATTGAGCCAAGCAAGCTGCCCGAGTGGGGTCGGGGATACAACCCAAGCTTTGGTGATTCACATCATGCTAGTGCTTTGGAATTTCTTTCCGGCCCCTTCTCTAATTACGAGTTTCTTCAATTTCCGCCGAAGAAAGGCTCAACCTCGTCAGATAGCTCTGGGGCTCTGGCTGCAGTTACAGCATTGAATCCGGTTCCAGGTTCTCCGCCGACTGAGGACGAAGTCTGGAATGAGTACGACGACCTGATTGACCACGTTCTCTCGCCCGATGAACCCAAGCCCGAGGAGTCGGACAAGGCCGACGCAGCGGATCGGTTTGAACTTGCGACAAGGGCAAGTAGGACTCTGCAGGACGAACTGAATAATGCCAATGATCTCCAGTCAGCGCCCGGTGCCACGTCAGTCCGTTCGAGTGGCAGCTCTGTTCACCTCCGCCGTTCACGCATAGTATCTGCTTTGCAGTCATCTACTGCTCCTTCATCCCAGCCGTCCTATACCGACCTTGCGGCTAGGTATGGGGGCTTGATCGAGGAGAAAAGCGACCATCTCCCCACCGAGCAGTCTTCTGAAACAGATCAGCGTCGTGAAAAGCAGTCTAACTTTCTCAGCTCCCTCGCCGCTGTTCCTTCACCCAGGCCAAAGCTTCGCCGCGAACAAGAATCTTCGTCCTCGGAGCGCGAATGGGACGCTGTGACACGCACAAACATGCGTTCTGCTTCGCTCATGACCAGTCGCTGGCTATCATTTGGCCGGGTCCTGTTCAGCCCTGCACATAATCACGTCAAGCCCGGAGGACAAGGACGAATTCTTGTGATCGATGGACTGGGCAATGACGACTGGTCTTTTTACTGCTCCCTGACCTATCCTGACGCCGAGGTCTATAGCCTAGGTGGGCGCCCGGTATCCGCGGCTCCTCCCCACCCTGCCGCGTGGCAGCCTCCTACCAACCATCACACCGTATACCACATGGGCCTAGGAAATCCTCTCCCGTTCCCAAAAGACTACTTCACAGTGGCCGTCTTACGCTTTCCCACCGTATGCTCGGAGACCGTCCAGTGTAACGTCATCCAAGAATGCAAACGCGTCCTCCGCACTGGAGGATATCTGGAGATGAGTCTGCTGGACCGCGATATGCTCAACATGGGACCCCGCACACGCAAAGCGGTCCGCCAACTCAAAGAAGTGACCTGTCTATCCGACCCAACCCTCAGCCTCAAGCCCACCAGTGACAGTGTACAACGCGAGCTCGGCGCCAATGGCTTCGACAGTCTCCGCCGCTGCATGGTGCGCATTCCGGTTGCAGGCATGGTTCTCCGCTCATCCGACACCAGTTCATCGAATCAGTCGACATCAGCAACCACTCCTTCCACCGGATTCTCACTACCAACGATATCCGTCACCACCGCGGAGGCCAGCCAGAGCACGAGCACAACTTCGAAGTCGCCTTCAAACGAAGCGAACATTTCTCTTGGCGACCTTCTTTCGGACCCGTCCCCTTCTCCGGCAAATGATGAGTCAATTGCTAAGATTGTCGCTCGTGTCGGACGATGGTGGTATTCGAAATGCTATGAAGATCCCGTCTTCTCTGCTGGAGACATTGAGCGGAGTATTTGGAATGACCGCAAGGTTCTACGCGAGTGCCAGAAGCGTGGAACTGGATTCCGCATGTTCGTTGCATACGCTCAGAAGCCCAGTGAAGTCCCGCGACGCACGGCCAGTGTGTGATCGAACGATATCATGATCAATTTGCTTTATGTATCAGAATTTTCCCATTTTCTTTTTTGCTTTAATGAGATCCACGATTGATTGACACCCTGCATGTGAAATACCCATACATGTCTTTATGAAGTCTGAATTTGTTGAGCGTTTGGAAGCCAGGGATTTGTTGTCTCTACAAGTTACATTTCCTTGCATTCTTGCTGGGTTTTTCTATTATGGCGTGCACGAAGCTATGACTGTTATTCGCCATAGAAAAAGAGGTGATTAGGGTGGGATTTTTATTGTATAAGCTGGACTTAATATCGATACTCAATATAATTGCTTTAATATGGAGAATCATAGGCCAGGTATCAAGGCACCTTCCTGTAATGTAAACAAACAGCCTCCCTCTTCAATTGCTTCAACTGAACGGCCAGCTTAATCTTCCAGGGCTAGTACACGGGGAAGCGGGTTCCCCCACGTGGATCTAGGGCTAAATGTAATACTACACCAACCGTATTAGGACTAGCTGTCGCGCCATATGGCTTTTCGTGTGGGGGTTCTCCTCTTAGACATGGGGTGTCTGCGAGAGCGGGATACTCCCTTGACGCTTCGTAGCGGAATTAACGCCCGGGCCCTGACCGTGCATGGAGAAGTGGTTTCCCTCTGATTGCTCACAATCTTAAACCATCTCTCGTAATAAACCTCTACCCCAGATCCACCCCGGCAAATAGGGCGAAATCGCGGGGAAGGACCGCTGCGGGGAAACCTTCCAAGCAGTGAAAAGGACTTGGCACCCCGCCAAGCCGTACTCATAGCCGATTCAAGATGGCGTTGAAGCTCGAAAGGGGCAAACCGATGACAAGGAAGCTTTTTGGCGGGCGGTTTGGGCTTTCAGGCGCAATGCCTCGGGCCCTTGGCGTACGTTAAGCCTTCTCCGCACCAGATATGGTGGATAAATAACCCCAACTGCCGAGGAGTCCTTTGTTATTGTTCCCCTTCTGTCTCAAGGCAGATTAACACCGCTACTATGACTACTCTACGACCGGGATACAAATCTCAGGACCTGGATGACGAGAAGGCTTGCACGTCTGAGAATGTGGAGAACTATGTCAACATCACTACCGTGGATGACATCCATGTGCTTGGCCTTTCTGCTGAAGATGCCGAGTTCTATAGCGATTTCACCCCTGAACAAAGGAAGGCCGTTCTGTGGAAGGTATGTGACGACCGATCCCTTAGGATGCAAGACACTAAAAGTGGATATATGGTAGGTCGATATAAGACTCGTGCCTATGCTTGCGACGCTGTACCTTGTATCCCACCTGGATAGGGCGAATATAGGAAATGCCAAGATAGCAGGCATGACAAAGGACTTGGGCTTGACTGGGATTCAGTATAATATTGCGCTGAGTCTTTTCTTCATTCCATACGTTCTGCTCGGTGAGTACTATCGGCATAGAAAGAAATGATCTGTTTGCTAATGGGCGACCAGAGGTGCCAAGTAACATCATACTGAAGCGATTCAGCCGGCCATCGACGTACTTGGGTATTCTCATTGTCAGCTGGGGAATCGTCATGACGTTGACTGGGTGTGTGAGAAACTTCGGAGGACTAGTGGCCGTGCGAATCATCCTAGGAGTGTTCGAGTATGTTGAGACCTCCAAATACACTACCTCCCCTGCTAACTCGGACAAAAGAGCCGGATTTTTCCCAGGAGCTGTGTATTTGTGTTCATTCTGGTACATGCCACGAGATCTCGCCACCCGCATTTCCCTCTTCTATTGCGCAAGTGCGTTAGCTGGAGCATTCTCCGGCCTGCTTGCAGCCGGCATTGCTAGGATGGATGGCGTCGGTGGATACGAGGGTTGGCGTTGGATCTTCGTGCTTGAAGGATTACTCACCGTCGTCTTGGGAGTCATGTGTTTCTTCTTGCTTATAGATTCCCCCAAGCTATCCGGCAGATGGCTTGATCAAGACGAGATTCGGTACCTGGAACTACAACATTTCATCAAAGAAGGCGGAAATTTCAAGGAAGAGCAGAAGAAAGCTTCATGGAAAGATGTCAAGGCCGTGATTTCTAATTGGAGGATGTATTTGCTGGCCTATATCCTTCTATGCCAGTCTGCCTGCTCCTACGGTATGTTTACCAGCCATTCCTCGCCATTGTGCAACTGCTAAATTTGACGGCGTGCTTTTCCAGGTACCAAATTCACACTTCCTACCATTACAACGGGAATGGGCTTCAAAGACACCAATGCCCAACTCATGACAGTACCACCATACGTCGCCGGCGCCATATCCGCCGTATTCTTCTCCAAGCTCTCCGACCGATTCTATTGGCGCATGCCATTCGTCGCAGCTCCATTGCTGCTCATCATCATTGGCTACTCGATAATCGTTGGCCTGAAGGGCGATCTACAGGCCAACATAGGGCCCGGGTTCTTCGCCATCGTCCTGACCTGCATGGGCATCTACCCTACTCATCCCGCGACAACCTCGTGGACGCTAAACAACCTGGCCCCTTCAAATCGTCGTGCCGTAGGGAGTGCTTTCAACATCTGCGTTGGCAATATTGGTGGCATTGTCGGAAGCTATATGTATCTCGATCGTGAGGCCCCCGCATACCCTACTGGGTTTGGCTTGTCGTTGGCCTTTGGTGGAACGGCTTTTCTGGCAGCTGTTATTGTCGAGGTATCATGGGTCTACGCGAATAGGAAAAATGCGGCTATGACCGAGATGGAGATACGGGAGACATACACCGATGATCAGCTGCTTGAGATGGGTGATAAGTCTCCGCTTTTCAAGTACACGCTGTGAATGTGGACAAAGTGGGCTATTGATTCATAGCGTGATGGAAGGAGGCCCGGAGGACCTGTAAATAAGGCAGATCACATATCTCATTTCAGACCATGGTATCTCAAAATATGTCAAGTTGTCATGTAACAATCATGAACAGAAGAGTCATTCACATGACAATATGTACAGGGAAAAACAATAGAAAAAAATTCAAACGACTACTCAAGAAGAGCAACCATCAAACGCTCATAATCACCAGAAGTCTCGCCGCGAATGCGCTCAATCAGGCTCTTGCCATATAAGTGCTGGTAAGCGCGCTTCACCATCTCCTTATGATTACGGTCCCAGTGGGCTCGGACAACACGAATCACAAGCCGGTCGTCCTTGGTACCCATGCCACTCATGCAGTCTTCGAGCAGCTTAGCGTCACGCATAGCAGGGTCAGTAGCCGAGCGGAGCATCTGAAGCAGCGCATCCTCCATATGACCCGAGAACGCCTTCTTGATATGCTTCTCGAGGGAGACATTGTAACGGGACTCGAAAGTCTGGCTGAGAGCGCGGAGCTCAGCATTAGAAGCCTTGGCGAAGATTGCGCACACCTCTCTGACATCCCGCCCTTGTAGGGAGCGAACGTCCGTCTCGATATTCTGCGGGTTGACAGGGGCAGACTCCTCGGTGCGGGCAGCACGAATCACCGTGGCAAACAGAGTAGATGTCTTGAAGGACAAATCGCCCTCGACATCTCTGGAAAGAGAACGTTTGTATCTCATCTCATAGGCCGTCCGGATAGCATTCATGTCCGCATTGGACCGGCCGAGCAGGATGTCGTTGAGCAGCCACTCCTTCGTGCCGGCACCGTCGATTGCCGAGTGCACGCACTCGACATCATGCATGAGGGGCCCGTCGATCACAGCCAGGAGACCGTCGCGGAAATAACTTCCAGTCTCGGACTTGACATCCTTATAGAGATCGCGTCCGAGGTGCTTGGAATATGTGTCACGGACGGCGGCTACCTGGAGCGGATCGAGGGGGGAGAGGACGGCAATGAGGGCCTTTTCGTCGGTACCGAAGCCCTTCATCGCTTTGCGAAGCGCATCCGCTTGGGGCCGGAAATCACCTGGGGCCAGTTGGCCAGCGACGTAACCGGGAGATGGCATCGACGGAGCGCCGTGGGGAGGGAAGCCGCCACCGGGAGGTGGTGCGCCATACCCAATGGGTGGCTGGCCTGGGGGCGGGACATGACCATGCGGCGGCTGGCCATATGGAGGTTGTGCAGGCGGAGCGGGGTATCCGTGGGGTTGGGGGGAGGGTGCACCATAGTGAGCACCCTGCGGCGGCGGAGCGCCGTACTGGCCTTGCTGAGGCGGAGGATAGTGGCCTTGCTGGGGCGGGGGGTAGTGGCCTTGCTGAGGGGGATATTGCCCCTGAGGAGGAGCGGCCCCGTAAGGCTGTGGCGGGTAAGGAGGCTGTTGGTAACCCTGGGGAGGGGCTCCTGGAGGGGGGCCTTGCTGGCCGTACTGCGGGGCATATCCTCCATGCGGAGGTTCTGTTGTGTTGGGTTAGTCCATGCGCTCAAGAGTGGGGACATCTGATGATGCGGAGTGTTACTCACGGTTGGGGGGGTATTGATAAGACATGGTGTGTGATAAGACTAAGGTCCTTGAGTCCTGCAAAATCGCCGGAATGAGGGTTGTTTATATGTCTCGGCTGTGCTGCTGGAGTGTGGCGCAGTAAGTGGGGGAGTTCCCCAGCCCTGTGGCCTTCTGCCTTGAGAACTTGATGCCAATGTTTTAATCTCGTGTAATTTCTTGGTATTCCTCGTGTTCTAAAAAAAGAACAGAGATTCCATCTTCTATTGCTTGCAAGTGGTCCACAACGACGTTCTACATACTCACTGTGTACATTACCTACGTCATATGCAAAGTGGTGCCACAACACGACGCCCATGGCGGAGTCAGGAAGCAGTATCACTGTATCGACATCCATACCTGAGGTACCTGGTACCTGCTCCAGTTCAAGTACCTGAGTTTCTTCAGACCACCGCCTATGATTCTGCCACGCTAACCCGATTGGAATACTTCATCAGCCTGTGGTCTGAGCTACGAACCCTCTGAAGGTTGTAAAGAACCCGTCCTACGATTCTGGACCAAATAGGTTTGCCCTAGGTCCGGTCAAAGCTAGGCGGCGTATCTTAAGTTGAAAAGGCAGGACGTTGTTCTAAGAAGCATGCTCGGATTCGGCAGAGGAATGCAAGATCCTTAGAAGATGAACAGCAGGCTCAATTACTGCGGGATCGGAGGAGGGTGAACATGAGGCTTCTATGGCTGCTAGATTTAGAGATAATTACGACTGGATTCTGAGTACTCCGGGGAACAAGAGGTAAATCGATTTCAAGTCGATGAATTGGATGAAAATCATAAAATCGGGTGGGGTTCATAGCACGTTTGTCAACGTATTCGATAGCAATATTCGCTTTCTGGTTCGGTACCATAGGAGATCGTGTGCGCCAGCTATAACCAATTGGCAATAAGCCAGCGTTCCTGCACCTCGTCTGTGGTCACTTCGTGTGTATCCTCCTCTAGGCCTCAAAACAAAACCTTCCTGGCAGCATTTATTCCCCTTAGATCCCACCGCTGTGGCGCCGTCCTGTCCATCCAGTTCTGGAAGTCCCCCCAAAATGCCGGCCGCATGATCTGCGCATACTCCCAGTACTCGGGATACCACCCTGCCCATTCCCAGTCCAGGATGCCTGTGACATTGTTCTGCTCGTCCACCATAACATTGCGTGGTGCAATATCCGCATGCGTGAACACCGAGCGCTCCGAGAGGGGGAACATATCCAGCAGTTGATTCTCATACCGCCTTCCTCCAAAGTGAAGATACCGTTCGTAGATCCTCGCATGCAGCTCAGAGTCGTTCAGAATTGGTCGAGCGGGTTTTTGTAGGTCCTCTAGCATTGGGTCCTGGGATGGAGAGCCATCCGCCGCACACTGATATAATCCCTCTAACTCTTGTGGACGAGGGATATTTCGGATCTTCGAGGTTAGATTCCACAGTTGAAGACAAATCGACTCTTTAGCCTCGTCGTCTAGCGTGTCCCATTTTTTCTCTAGAGTGATTCCGGGAACAATGGTCATCCCGATCGTCCCTTCTGGTGGACGGTAACTGGGCTTGAGGCAGACGCTAGGTGGGACATCTTCAACTGGATCGAAATGTGTAAAAATCACTTCGGGGACGGGGACATCGGTATGCTTAGCGACAAGTTTCATTGCTTCAGCTTCAGGGAATAGTATTCCAAACCCTGACTTGGTCACGAAGGATTCGTCCCACTCGAGTACAATCCTGGCGTTTTGTTTTGCAAGCACGGTAACCACCTCTTGCCCCTTTGGGAGATCGAGTGGATTCACAGGAGACTGACATGGGAATGCAAGGTTGCCGTCCTTTATGTATCGTTGCCCCTGTTGAAGGTGTACCCGATCAAAGAGAACCCCGGTTGGTGGAGATTCAGTCATTTTGCGGGTAGTCACTTGATCTCGAAGGTTTCGTTGATGAAGGAGAACCTCAGTTGATGGACGGGTAGGTAGTTTAAGTTTAGTGGTGTAAATCTGACGAATCAACATGCGGGATGCTAGCGCGGTTCGTCATCTGGCTTATCAGATCTCGAAGTCTATCGAGAAGCAACCAAGTGGCCGGACAAGAGGCTTTCAGCCACGTGATATACTCACAGAAACACTCGGCAGTACGCTCTCCAAGGCTGTACGGAGTTTCAATGACCTCGTCGTCGAAGGATCGTGGGAACAAGAAAAAGATCTCAGCGGGATGACCTCAACTCCTATTGCTGTTCTAGATGAGATTGCAGAAAGAGAATGACACTGAATAGCACGAGATTGCTGCCGCCGGCCGGTACAGTTTCGGCTCTACTTTTCTACAGTATTACAGGCGTCTAACAAATAAAAGCAACGTACCTAGGCGCGATAAAGTTGATTTTGCTAATCAGGAGTGGCTCCTAGTTATATTAACAATACTAGTTAATACGTACCTACTTCACAGCCAGTTTACCCTCGCTTCGTTCGGGCGGCTTGAAGGCGAAGTCCGTAGGTAGTCAGTAAGCTAATGGCAGGAAATTGATATTAGTATTGGTTATAACCCTACATCTGATTAACTTGTACAGCTGACTCCGTTGTATGGAAGCGCTGTACGACCTCTGGAAAGACGGCATTTTCTGTTGCATCCGAGCCCTCTACGCGTAGGACCGATAGATTGGCCACATATGTTACCCTCGATCCACACCCACCCTTTTTAACGACTGTCCCTGGCTCTTATTAATCGTCATAGCGAAACAGAGATGGAGTGGAAACTGCATCCGACGGAGAGTGAAGGATAGCTGGCCCTCGGTCGTCGCCAATGGCACACGCGGGATCGTGTGCTCCGCCGCTTTATAGTTGCCAGCAATGATACGGGTAGTACTGGGGACGAAATGCAACGGGCGTGGCCACTGCAGCAGTATTAACCTCGCTCCGAACATGTAGTAACTGGAGATGACGGCATCCGTGGCAGGTTTTGAGCTCGACATTTCTGTCGTTGAGGAAGGCAGTCAGCAGTTGACTGGTACCGCACCAGCTACAGCGCTTTTCAGCAGTATGCACAGGGGCGTCGCTCTGGACCTGTCTAGACTGTTGATGGCGGCATCCGTAGCAGCACTTAAGCTCGACATTTCTGTCGTTGAGGAACTTAGCCAGCGGTCGATTGTTACTGCACCGGCTACAGCGCTTGGTCGGCGACGGGTCGCCTACATCCGCGGCGGGATTTTCAGCAGTATGCACAGGGGCGTCACTCTCGACCTGTCTAGACTGAGGATGACGGCATCCGTAGCAGCACATAAGCTCGACATTTCTGTCGTTGAGGAACTCAGCCAGCAGTCGATTGTTACTGCACCGGCTACAGCGCTTGGTCGGCGAGGGGGCGCCTACATCCGCGGCGGGATTTTCAGCAGTATGCACAGGGGCGTCGCTCGGGGCGTCGCTCTCGACCTGTCTAGACTGTTGATGGCGGCATCCGTGGCAGCACTTAAGCTCGACATTTCTGTCGTTTAGGAAGGCAGTCAGCGGTCGATTGTTACTGCACCGGCTACAGCGCTTGGTCGGCGACGGGTCGCCTACATCCATGGCGGGATTTTCAGCAGTATGCACAGGGGCGTCACTCTCGACCTATCTAGACTGGGGATGACGGCATCCGTAGCAGCACCTAAGCTCGACGTTTCTGTTTTGGAGGAACTTAGCCAGCGGTCGATTGATACGGCACCGGCTACAGCGCTTGGTCGGCGACGGGTCGCCTACATCCGTGGCGGGATTTTCAGCAGTATGCACAGGGGCGTCGCTCTCGACCTGTCTAGACGGTTGATGGCGGCATCCGTAGCAGCACTTAAGCTCGACATTTCTGTTGTTGAAGAACTCAGCCAGCGGTCGATTGATACGGCACCGGCTACAGCACTTGGTCGGCGACGCGTCGCCTACATCCGCGGCGGGATTTTCAGCAGTATGCACAGGGGCGTCACTTTCGACCTGTCTAGACTGGCGATGACGGCATCCGTGGCAGGTTTTAAACTCGTAACTGTCGTTGAGGAACGCACTGAGGGGCCGTTTGCCATGGCACCGGCTACAGCTCTTGGTAGACGAACGGGCGTTTAGATCGGCGGCGGAAGGCTCACGCAGTGGTGTTGGATGGGAGGTAGGATTCGACATGGCAAGACGCAGTAGATTTGAGATGGAAGCAACGCGAGAACAGGTACCGGTCCTGGAAAATCACAGATGCCAGCATGTTACGGCGGTGACTAACGGCAGAATAACGTCCTCCACCAATTACATCCCGGGAATCCATATCTACTTGAGGGTCCCAAAGAAATCAACGCTCAGCAACTGAAGCCGGGCGCCCGGCGAACGCCAAAGCCCCTCGTGTTATTGATTGGACGTTTTGTCGAGCGTACAATCATTTTTGTCACGTGAAGGGGGTTCCCGCGTAGCGAGGGTACTCCGTACTCCGTACTTATCCCCGGATACGCAGTATGAGACCCACCGAGCACTCAGTGAGCCAATCACTGAATGCGCTCATATCATGTAGGCCGAGGCTCCACCTACAATTGTAAGCTTACTACAGTAGCTTATGTAGAATTTATTTCTACTCCTTCACTTTCTCGACTCTTGATCCGTCATTATATTAGTATCACCGCGCGGGCGAAATATCTAAGTATGCCACAGAAATCACGATGGAACGTTCCTGTTCCGGAAGTGGACATTCCCACGTATCTCTTCGGCTCCCCTACAGCTCCACTAGGCGATGCTCTCGCCTTTGCTGACGCCGACGACCCAGAGACACTACGTTTGACTTGGACTCAGCTCCGTCTCTGGTCACAGCGATTAGCCGCAGGATTACGAGCCGCGGGGTTAAAAGAAGGGGACCGGGTTCTTTTCCTCAGCGGCAACGATGTTCTATTCCCCGTCGTCAACCTCGGCATAATTATGGCCGGTGGCATATACCAGTCCGCAAATCCTCACTCCAATGCCCGCGAGTTGGCATACCAGCTCGGTCTCACAACGCCGAGCTTTATCCTGGCGAGTGATGCCACTCTAGCCTGCGCTCTGGAGGCCGCGGAGATTGTGGGCATGGGGCGGGAACGTATCTTCATGTTTGACGATGCTCCGCTCATCAAGGATGACGGCGGCAATGATAGTGTTAAAACTGGAGTGAAGCATTGGAAGCATTTACTGGCGCCGAAAGAGGTCGGCAGTCGCTTCGTTTGGAAGAAGCTAACCCCGGAGGAATCAAAGTCGACAACTGTCTATATGATAATGACATCGGGGTTTGTCACTTCGGGATTCTTGATGTCTCCAATGGGGCTAATTTTTAATTGACAGAACCACCGGTCTTCCGAAAGCAGCGGAGGCTTCACATTATAGCATTATCGCAAACTGCGTTCAGACAGATTTTATGATGAGCCTCGATCCCAACCTCCACACGAAAGAGCTGGCGGCCAAAAATTCCAGGTGGTTGTGTACAATTCCACTCTACCATGGTCTGGCACTGTGCTATTTTTGCACCATCTCCATCGCGAGACGGGTGCCATCGTACATCATGGCGAAGTACGAGATCCACCGTTTGCTTGAAAACATCCAGAGATTCCGTATCACAGAGCTGCACCTTGTGCCGCCCATAATCGTGGCCATGACCAAGAATCCCGCAGTGAAGAGTGGAAAGTATGACATTAGCAGCATCACCAAGACTTTCTCGTGTGCTGCACCGTTAGGTCCAGAACCGACTTTACAATACGAGTCGCTGTGGCCCAAAGGACAAGTAAATGTCAAGCAGGGCCTTGCGTCGACTGAGTTAGTCTCCTCTCTTTCGTTAAATAACAATTAGTATAGCTTAAAGTCGAGGCCTATGCTGACTCTGCCCACAGATCCTGCTGCAACACTATCGGTTGGGATCCTACCCTAGCCGCAATAGCCGGCTCTGTTGGAGAACCCATGCCGAACTGTGAGATCAAGCTGATGGATGATGATGATAATGAGGTTGCGCGGGGACAAACAGGAGAAATATGGTTCCGTGGTCCCAACATTATGAAGGGTTACTGGCAAAATAAAAAGGCGACTGATGAGGCTATCACCCCAGACGGATGGTTGAGGACAGGAGATGTGGCACGCCAGGACGAGCATGGGTGGTATTACGTCGTGGATCGGAAGAAGGCAGGTCGTAGAGGGCGTGTGAGTAACGAGAACAACGGCTAACATCCTGTGGTAGGAAATGATCAAGGTGAAAGGCGTCCAGGTGTGGCCTGCCGAGCTCGAAGCACTCCTTCTCGATCATCCTGCTGTTAATGATGCCGCTGTCATCGGCGTGAGAAAGTGAGGCTTGACGGATTTTTCTTACACGGGCATTATTGAACTAATCAATACAGGGACGGCGAGGAGTACCCTCGCGCCTATGTTGTAGCAGCGTCAGGAGCATCCGTTTCTGAGGACGACATTATGCAATTCGTCAACAGCAAGGTATCAACGATCAAGAGACTCACAGGAGGTGTAGTCTTCACCGAGGCCATCCCTAAAGCTCCGGTACGTGCCACTCAAATACTGTGTAGTTATAAGCGCATATTGACATTCGATGTGATGTCTAGTCTGGGAAAATCTTGCGAAGATTTCTCAGAGATTCCTTCGCGAAGGAGTCGAAATTGTAAACTAGTTCGATTTCGTGGGAACCCTTTTTTCGAAGGACAAAACTTCCCCAAAAGTATAGGCATGGTGCCAACCTTGAAACGACTACAATAGGTACTTACTGCAACGAATACCTTAGGTAGTCTCATAGGTACATTTTGATCCAAGGCTTCCTTTCTCATACGTTGAATATCAAGATCGAATCACAATTTCAACCATTTCCCCAGCCCGCCAACAACGGTCCCTTTCTTCACCTCGCCATCGCTAAAAGGCATATCAAAACCGCCCGTAATCGTCACCCCGTTCTTGAGCCTGAGTTGAATCTGGTCCTTTTGTATGGGCGACGGCTCGAACTCAGCAGCTTCTTTGTGTAGTTGATCGGCCGACTCATAGGAGACATCGGCATTTGGAACGGAAAAAGACTGCACAAAGCTGCCTAGATTTCCCGCGAATATATACTGAAACCCTTCAACCTCGAATTGACCGAGGACACGTCCCTTGTCACTTGTGAGGGTGCCGGTTCCTTGGGGCATGTCTTTCATGGATATGTCAGTATTTGAAGTAAACACTGATTACTTAGAATCATCGAAGAGCAAAGCTTACTGTGAAGAGTTGTTGAAAAACGTGCTGATATCGGCATCTGAGATATGGATCTAGGGGTTATTCCATCCTTATTTAAAGAGACAGGATGGAGAAGAGCGGTCAACTCTAAGAGAGGTAAAGGGGGATACCTGTGCGTCCGATGTCATACATGCAGCCCAGTGGAGAGCTGTGCTTGGCTCGAGGGTGTGGATCTCGAGTCTTATCGAGGCGTTCATAAGACACGTGATAAGCAAGGTGTGATACATACCAGAGGTGCATGACCACCAATTGGCGATTTAGATAGCTGATAGGTTTCCAGCCTTGCCCAGAGGACCGGATTGAGACCTGCTTCAGTGGGATACATTGTACGCACACTGTCTTGGTGATCTGCAAAGGGTATTCCGAGCATCGGTGAGACTCGACGTGGATATGGACCTGTAAGCGACTTCATAAAGTCGGATCTAGGATATCATACGGTCATACCAATACTATCGTCTATCTCCAAGAGCCTGAACACCTCTCTATGTAAAGTATCTTTTGGTGTTTGGAGAGAGTCAAGACAGTCGCGACTTCCCCGTCATGACCGAAGATGATAGCGCTAACCACATTAGGTTAGCCCAGCCCCTTAGCACTAAAGACAAAGTTGCGCCTCCGCAAAATCCGCCAGGATACTCCTAGATTCCTCTTAAAGGCTTGGGTCCACTACGATTCGTACAACCTCATGGGTTCTTGAGCCCCAATCGACATGGCCACATTTCCACCAGGTCGCCGCTCGCACCGAAAGTCGCGGGCAGGATGCGCGCAATGCAAAAAGCGGAAAGTCAAGGTAAGAGACACATCATTATTTCCCCACGATAGTCAACTCATTCTGCAACAGTGCGATGAGAGCCGGCCTCATTGCCGCAACTGTGAAAAGCACGGGGTGGTCTGTTCCTTCACCAGCACCCCATCCGCACTCTTGACCCCAAAAGCGGAAAGCGCAGTATCACCAGTCTCACTATCTGGACCCGAAAGTGTGGGATCCGGAAGAGCTCCTCCTTCAGCACAAGGACCACAGCTATTGCCAAGTCTGTCTTCGTTGGGACCATTTCCTTCGACATTGGCTGTTTTCGACCTAGAGTTGTTGCACCACTGGACAACATCAACTTGCTACACGCTATCACGAAGCCCAGCAGTACAGACTGTTTGGCGAGATGAAGCACCTCGCATTGGCTTTGCGACGCCCGCAGTATTGCACACCTTGTTGGCATTTTCCGCGCTACATTTAGCCCGCTCGGATGAATCCCGACGCGGAACTTGCCTTGCTCATGCACAGATGCACCATAGCACGGCGGTGAGACAGATAATCCCACTTGTCTCACCTCTTGCCCGAGACAACGGTGCTGCGCTTTTCCTTTTCTCTACTCTGACATGCATGTTCTCCTGCGCCAAGCCCTCAGAAGACGGCGATTTTCTAGTCCTCTTTGAACGAGGCACTCTGTCAGAATGGGCCCGACTTTTCCGAGGGACGACGACCGTTATCCGCACAGGCGGGGAAGATCTTCGTACTGGGAGGTTAGCGCCGATTTTCACAAACGGGACATATCTGGTTGCTGCCCATAGATCACCACAGGCTCTTGAACAGGGTAAACCCCATGTCTGGGAGTTGCAACGGATGATGTGGAGGGAGTGTGCGGCTGACCCGTCGCTTCGGAGCATCTACCAGGATGCTATAGATGAACTCGCGCGAACACTGGGTCTAGCCATTAAGCCTGGCGTCACGCGGAGGCTGGAGACTGCAGATGTCTTTCGATGGCTTCTTGATGTGTCGGATGAGTATCTAAATCTTCTGTGCCAGGAAGCTCCGATTGCGCTTGTTGTATTTGCTTATTGGTGTGCGTCCGTTCGTCAGATCGAGTGGATGTGGTGGATGGAAGGTCTAAGCTCGCGTCTTATGACACAAATCTACTCTGTGTTGGATCAGAGGTATCGAGACTGGCTCTCGTGGCCTCGGGATATCATAACTGGGAGTTATGATCAGTTCAATTGAGTCAACATTATAGTGGTCCCATATTTCCCTCGCTTCAGGGTGGGTCCTGCGGGCGTTTGCACGTCGGTGCGATACACATATGATTTATCAACACGATAAACAAACCAAGAGAAGAGGGTCAGGGCTTGACATACTGGCAGAGTATGGCGAGACAGGGACGACGGACAGTATTGCAAGGGCGATCAGGTCATCTCTCAGGGGTTTCGCCCAGGCAGAATGCGCGGCCATACTTCTGCGCGAGGTAACAGGACGGGCATTGTGTACATGAAGTCTTAGCGACCGAATCTACGCGCGGAACTCTACTTATACGCCCAAAGACGGACGCTCAATCCGGCAAATCAGTACCTTCCCTCTTCCGTGATTCGAGGTGGGTACAGCTTGGTCTGGCCTTCGACTGGATAGATTATTACGCCTCTAGTTGATTTCTACAAATCTCGCACCCACTGATAGCCAGGTGTTGATAATGATTCCAAATTTCAGTTCTAATCAACATGGATTGTCTGTTGCCAGGAGGTGACTGAAGATCTACGTCGAATTCCATCGGATTGTTGTGTTGGTAAAACTAGCGACATTCTCTGAGGTATGAAGGTGAGGGAGATACATGCCTGACATGAATGTAAGAACTGGGGCACCCAGGTCTCAAACACTACCTGGCCGTGATACAGTTCATTGCGCCCTGAAGGCAAATTCATTGCACATCAGGGGTTGATGACGAGGGGCCGGATTAGCTACTGACCAATCAGCATCAACAATACCTGGATCAATTTGATACTTGGCTACGAAATTTAGCCAATCATCATTTGCAAAAGTAGTAACTGGGGCTACCCGGTCTTGGCAGGTTTTGTGATTGGCCAGATCCTTTAGATAGATGAGCTTATTTAAACCTTCCTCATCCCTATTAACTATTTGACTTTCTGTTATTTTTTGCTCTCAATGTAGAAAGGACTACAGGAAAGACGAACCATGACTCTGGAGAAATAGACCAAGGTTTCGTACACCGCATGTTTACGTGTAGCTATTGCAACGCTTATGGACGGTAAGAGTACATACATCCCTCTAAAAAAGAGCAGCCAAGCTCCCACAGCATTCAAATTCATAAATCCAATCATCATAACTATCATAACAATGCAAGTGAACAGCTCAAAAGAAAGCAACGAAAAGAACTAAACCAAACCAAACCTGTCCTAGCAGGTCAAGTATGCATATCATGTCACAGCGCTGTGAAACCAAAATGCCAAATCAAATCCTCTTCACCTATGAACAACCTCCCTGATAACTTCGACATGCGTACCGGGAAACAGCCCCGTCCGCCCAGCATAGCAACCCCAAAACCAATCATCATTGATATTCTCCGCCTCAGTGATATGCGCACCGCGCGGGAATACCAACTCATCCTCCACCTCGTCTTCCGGATACCACGACCAAAGGGCATGAACAACGAGTCCAACACCCCCATCGGGCGGAAACCGACGGAACGGCGAGATACCCTGGCCCTGAGCAGCGACAGCACCAGAAGAGGACGGGTTGGAGAGATCAGAAGCAGAGACGGCACCTCCACTACTGCCGGTCATGGGGCCGAGCCCACCGCGTAGACGAGACGCCTTTTTTCGGCGCTCGGGGCCATCCTTCCAGCTCCAGTCGCCGGTGCCTAGCTCCGGGGAGGCAACGGGGCCACCGGTTGCCGGGGAGGAAGTGGGTGATTGGGATTGTGGTACGTGTTCGTCTTTTAGGGCGCGGCCGCCTACTAGATCGCGGACGATGACGCGGCGCTGGCCTTCTTCGTGGTCTTCGAAGCCGACTACTATCATGCGGTGGCCGGTCAGGCAGCGGCGCCAACCGTTGTGGCCGTTGTCTTTGCTGATTTTGCCTGTGGTCACGAGCTTGAGGTAGCAGTTTGTGCAGACGTCGTAGTCGCCGCCGTTGCATTCTAGGCAGTGATAGCGGGTATTTGAGGCGGGTATTGGATAGGTGCAGATGTCGCAGTTTGTTGAGAATGACAGGATTTTGAAGCTCTCGGTCTCGGATTGTGGCGGGTGGGTGTTTAATGATTCGGTTGGTGGTGGTGGTGTGCTGGACGGTGCCGGTGGGGGTGAACTATACGTGATGCGGCGGACGGGCAATAATGCGTGGGTGCAGCAGAGTCCTTGGTTGACGCAAGAATTACAAAATCCCCAGTCTCCCTCGTTGCACATGTTGCAATTCCAGAAACAGTCATTTGCTGGGGATTGGCACATATCACAGAAGAGACCGCTTTGTACACGGCGTGATGGGTTGTCGTTGGTCATTAGTCTTCCGCCGCTCAATGTTTGATGGGCGGCCTCGGAGGGCCGTTGGCATTTAAACCACACCAGCACATGACCCGAATTATTGATTTGCGCAGGATGGCGAGTAGAGGACAATATCATGCGTTGGAAGGTCTCACGTGCAGATGCGCTGAACCCGGTCCATTGGAGACAGCCGCGTCCTGTGCGGTAACATCGTAGACAAAGGTGGAAGTTCCCGTCCTTGCAACTCGTGCATTTCTTGTGTAGATCATACTGAATGTTGCGTTTTCCACATCGGTCACAGGATATCGAGGGTTCGGGGTATTGTACAGTGGGAGATGAAGGAGCGGCGGATTGAGAAGAAGCAGGTCTCATCCGTCTTTCCGACCGGTTTGGAACGAGGGGCGAGGATGATACCGGAATATTATGTTCCGTGGGAGTCATACGGCGAATTGCACTTGAGGGCGCAGTGCCGGAAGTGGGAGAGTTAGTAAGTGGTTGGCTGGTGACCTGCCTAGAAGAGCTTCGATCTCGCCCGCCAGCCATCGACGCGCCAGATACATTTTGTTCAGACTCTGTGGCACGTCGCGGCCTACCTGAGGAAGACCCTGACCGTAAACGCCCCGTGTGAGAAATACGACGATCTGCAGTCATATCACTAGCGGACCGAGTAGCAGGTCTGATAGCTTCATCTGATGCGGACGCCTGGTTTGTTCGGACAGGCGAGGTCCGTCGACGCCCGCCGCCTTCTTCTGAATTGCGCCTCTGATGGCCCGAGATGCTCGGCCGTGTCGGTGCCGAGTCAAACAGATGTGGCCTAGAGACCGGGGGCCTTCTATTGCCATGGTCCCGGGTAGCTGCTGTTGGTTCCGCCGTCCTCTGAGCGGATTCCGATCTCACATGTGTGCGCGCAGTGGCGTCAGGCTCTTGTCGCGGTTCTCGTCTCTGTTCTTGTCCCTGATGAGATCGCGACCTCTGCATATGCCTCCGACGATAAGCATCCGCAATGCGCTCACTGAGCTCCTCTTCTTGCCCCGGCCCCAGATTCTCGAGATTGATATCGTCCAACAATCCGTCCTCGAGAATCTGCCGTAAGATCTCTTCCTCCATAGTCTCCGCATCGGATGACAAACTCAGCAATGATCGCAGGCTAGACTGATGCTCCACCCGTCGGGTTCGCTCCGAATCATCGGGTCGCAATGTGTGCTGCTGCCGCGACGTATCCCCGTCCCTCCGCCGCCTTGAGCGACCATCCTCCGCATGCCTCTCATCATTGGTACTCCTCTCGCGCGTGCGTGAGCTAAAAGTCGTCCGCCGAGCCTCACGCCGAGCTTGAGCCCGACTTTCGTGCAGACTCAGCTCCCCCACTTCCTCCAAGAGCCGTCCATCATCCTCGTCATCCTCCTCCGGGCGTTCCCCGCCCGATGGCGGTGTTGGGAACACCGTCTCGCCGTGTGTGTATCTAGTCGCAATTTCGGCTTTTTCCTCGGTCGACCTGGCCCGTTCCGGGTGGGCGACCAAGACCATATCCAGCAGTGTTGTTACGGTGGCATTTGGGCGGGTATCGCGCACTTCAGCACGACACGATGGACACGTGAATCGAGTGGAGGCTTGTCGGAGTCGCGACCCCTGTGCGGAGAACCATTCTTTCACACAGGAGCCGCAGAATGTGTGGAGGCAGTCGAGGAGGGTGAGGGGCTGGTAGAGGAGCTCGGTACAAATCTGGGGAAAAGAGCGTTAGGAATGTAAGGGGCGGAAGGATAGACATGCACATACCGAGCATACCAGCTCTTTTTCAAGGTCGGCCAGTCCAGGACTCTGAACTTGCGACATGAGCAGGATTGTGGAAGTGTCCGTGTCTCGTAAACAACACGGATCGCAAATGTGGGAGAAGTGGGCTCCACCCGGTGATCTCCCCCCACAGTCCGCTTACAGCTTCACTTTCACCTTTGACTTCAATGTTCGTCTCTTCGGCTTTGAATTTGGACTGCTTTGTGTTCTTCAGAGAGTTCCGTTATTCTGTACCACTACCGGTGGTAAATCTCTAGGTTCTCCACAGTCGGGGTATTTCGGCAGAAGTGAGCTCCAGGATCCAACTCGTTTCGCATTTGATGGAATCGAGTTGGATGCAAACAGTTTGTGTGGTCGGAAGCAAATTCATTGCAACAAGGCCTTTCATGGTGAGCCTGAGGCCAAGGTGCTCAGCTGAGACCTCCGTGTCAGAATACATTTGTCCTGTTTGTCCTCTAGACATGTGGTTTACGATCCCGAGTGTGCGCTCTAACCAGAATGATATACTCATCGCCTTGAGTCGCTAGGGGGAGTGACGATCAAGGGTATCAGCAGACACATCTATCAAAGCATTTTGTTGCATGGCAATAAATGGATTTACGACACAAGCAACTATGCTGGAGTTCCTCGTTAGTATCTGGGCATCAAGTTCTGATCAAGACCACACGGTTGCGAGAGTTCGCACAGCAGCGGGTCTCCTTCACAGGGTATGCTGGACAAAGGCATTGTATCCAAGGTGCCCACCTGGATGGCCAAACACCGAGATGACTCTATATGCTATTCCTTCTCCATGCCGCATAGTCATCAGCAAACAGAGCGGTCAAAGAAACTTCAACCCCGAGGGACCTGATGCCTGTCACTTCGAGGCTGCATGATGTTCAAAATCGGGCTATAGGGATCTTTACTATTCTACATCTCCCCGACAGAAACCTCCCGCGGATGCAGAGGTGGCGGCAAAGATGCAGCACACGTCCCTCACCGCCACGAAGGCACGACAATCACGATCTATTGGAAGAGGCGAGAGATACCTACCAGTGACAAAGCGATACAAGTCCGAGCACCGAGTCCCTGGACCGACTAGGCCAGCCGCGAAGCAACAGTCTCGGTCGTGTTTTAGTATAGCCTTTAGACGGCGACCTAATGCAAAGGAGGGCTGGTAAGGATCTTGACCCCAGCGAAAGTAAAAGCAATCAGAGAAATGCGAAGTCTCTCTGGACCTCGGCTCCCTTGTGGCGGGCATGACAGGCAGTTGTCCATCAGGTCTGGTTATCATAGGTAGCGGTGAGGGGGTGGCTGCGAGAAAACGAAGAATTGACTTTTAAATACCAATGCCCTCAGAGTCTGAGCACACCGTGAAGTTGGCCGGAACGTCGGAACTACATACCTGCCATTCTGAGCATCATGTGAGTGAAAGCGAGCAACTTTGTGTATCTCTGTGTTATGTGTCTTGTGCTTCGGTGGGCATACAGCTTCACGTAGAAGGTAAACGCCGACGCTGACTTCCTCACGGATTTTTCGGCGCGATGTGCCGTGATTATTTGCAGTAAAAGTGTGGGGAAAGCCCGTGAAAGAAGCTCGGCTTCTAGGGCCCGGTCACTGGCTTCCGCTGTGGCTTGGTGAGATGAGAGGGGAAATGAGATAGCTCCGGAGACATCCAAAATGATGATAGCATCATGTCACCAGGGGGTTGTCTTGGGCAGCTAGTGTTATCAATTGAGGGGAGTGCTTTGCTGTCCATGTCTTGTGATACCTGGGAGCATTGTCAGATCTTTCTTGCCCAGAAAGGCCTGGACATAGAACCCCGTACTATCAGATGCGGGTAAGCTGACGATGTTGCTCGGACAGTATGAGGTGGCATGCACCCCGCAATTGAGGGGCGCAGAGCTACACGCCAAAGTACTCACCTTCTCCGCAGATAGCGGAATTCATGAGAACCGACAAGACTGATGAGTTGAAGTCCGTGCATCAGATGACGTCCGTGCCTGAGGTGCTGCCTCTGTGTTCAGGCAGAGGAGACAAGAGACCGCGATATGCGAATCTTCCTTTAATCTCGTATACGAACAAAAAGTAACTGATCGACCAACATAGAGGCAGCGATCGTCCCTCTTTAGACCCCAAGATACCCCCAAGACCTAACGTTCGAACCTCCAGACCGTCTTTCGAGCGCACGAACAGGGCACTGATCGCCATCCCTTCAATATCCCGGGGGTCAAACCCCCGGGTAGGAGATCAACCCGCTGCCCTCAGGGACCAGGATTCCTCTACCCCGCGTCCTTATCTCAGTTTAGCAACTTCAGATGCCAACGTTTCCATCGCCAGCGGCTAGTCAGTGCCGATGAATCTGAAGTGTGGGCGCCAGACTCGTATTTGCAGAAAGGGCTTTTAATAGCTCTGACATGGAAAACGCCTCTCCCGCTGGGCGTGGAATGATAACGGGACGAGTGCCCACAATGGACCAATCCTATAGCTTGGGCGTATCAAGGCGGTTCTAGAGGCCTGGATGATTACACTTTCTATATTTGTGGCTTGGCCTTTAGGTAATCTACTTGCTGCAGAGATACCTCCAGGGCTGGCCATTCATTATGCTTATACCTAATGTCGAGTGGTGTAGCGAAGTCAATCTAACCAACGACAACTTAGCCGACAACATCAGTCGAAGAGCTCGAAATTAGACTTCAACTTGGACTACGGAGTAATCGACCTTCAATCCATTTAGCTTAAGCAGTCCACGCCAATTAACCGATAACCGTTGTACCTACAAATAGCGCAAGTGGAGATAGCACACTACTTAGCACTCGCAGAGCTTCGGGGTACACCTGCAAGTTGCAAATCACTTTCCTCAGGATCAATTAACGCGACATACCCAGAAACAGGAAGCCGTAAAAGCCATCAACATATCTGAAACCCCTGACTCCTGAGAGGAAAACCGACAATTCAGAAGACGTCATGCACTGACCCCGCCTATCAGTTCGCCGCACTAATGCAGCGCCTTATGCACGCGCAGAACTAAAGACTATCATACATAATGCATGCCCCACCGTCATTGTACTGTCGAGTCATAGCCCCGGGTTTTCGCGCACTGACTACCGCGCCTCCGTTCTGGCCGGCGGTCGAACCTGGGGTGGGGCATTTTAGGGACTTGTTCTATATGTCTCATCTCTATGGTATGCATAAGCGTGGGGCAGTGGACATGTATACAATATAGTCAACATGAATCAGGGGCTACCTAAGAGATCATAGTTTCCAATATTGGTATAGGTGCGCTATGAAGTACGGAGTAGAGACCTTCGAAGTATATACTTTTTCAGGAATATGACTACGATATGCACGACGACCACTCGCAGGGCCCGTGCTGGACCTCAAATGTTCTTACTAAGTCCAGTCCGCATCATGTATACCACCAGGTACATCGTGGCCGGGATGGACTAAAGCGGCTGTCCCTGATCGGCTGATCGTCTCGTGACTCTCGTCAGTGGTTAGTTGATGCGAAGAGGTACAGGAGGTGCCGCTTTGGCTATGGATTTCATTTTAGATGTTCTCTGTGATAAGGTCCGACTCTTCTGAAGACAACGTGTATGGGCTACAGGGATGTTGGAAGGTCATGTGGTGCTCGGTGCAGTGCAATGCAGAAGAGGCGCCCAGGATTTGCGTGACGTGCGACATTGCATAGTCAGCGCCGATGCGCTGCTTGCGTGCGATTCACTCGTTCTTGAGCTATCAGTAGCTCTTGGACCAATCATTGTTGAGGTGCATATCTCGTCTCATCAATGTGTCCGGGCAAGCTGTTCATGGGTGAGACGGGTTGAAACGCCTATGCTGTGCAACACATGAGCAAATAGGAGGGTGGAATGTTGACAACTTTGGAATGTGGTGTAGATGTCTATTCCGAATATCGGATATAAATCTCCAATCCATGTATGCGACCGTGTTCTGCGTGATGGGGATTCCGGGGTAGATTCGCACTTTCCTATCTATACTGCGTAGGCACGAAAGCAAACCATAATCCCCTATTGGTAGACCCTGTGCCTAATCACTGCCAATTGCCAACGCAGTGCAAATTCTGGGGTTCAGCCCGCGGGGTAAAGACGTGGAGCAGAACGCAAAAATAAAGAGTGCTGTGGGCATTGAGATCTGTGAGCTCTGCATCAACGGCGCGTTCGAGTAGCATGCAATATAGATGCAAGAGCTGACGCCAACACTCCCCACGCGGGGACCGGCGGGGTTAACTAGAGCTCTCTAGGAAACGCGCTGCCCCTCTCTCGTTTCCAATGCTCTGATTTCGTCAATGCATGATCCTTCAGCTTCACTTTAATTGCTCTGGGCAGGCAGCGACCGCAGGCTGGACAGGCCGATTCCCAAAGCGGGTGCGTGTGTTGTCGCCAGGATGAAGCAGTAGTTAGAACGTCAATGTTAGCAGCGTGGGGTCGAGTAGGCGAGCTAGTACTCGGCCCCCATTCCCGTGGAGTGAACCCGGACCCGATCTGAGTTCAGCCACGGTCAACCCCTCGGGGGGAGTTGCAGTTTGGAAGATTGGGGCCAGCCGCCAGCGACACAAGCCGAAGACTAGGAGCACGCCACTCCGCCTGGGCCCTATAGACAATATTGTTATGTTAGCCAATGAGCATGGTTCATATTGAGCATTGCAAGATCAGATTGCCTCAGGGCGATCAACCAGAGAAATACGCGAGCAAGGGGCCTCTCAAAAACGTCCAATTCAGTCGAAAGTCAGATCCTAAAGCTGAACTCTGCGATTTCAAGGTTCAAATATGAACACGCCATACTTTTGATAGGTCCTGATCTGACCGCTCCGAACGCTTCGGCCGCCTAACATTTTCCAGCATGTACATCGATGCATACAATAATGGCGAGGACCGGAGGCCATAGTGGGCCGATTCGGGGTTCTCACCTGGACATGAACCGAATAGCCGGCCGATGGAGGCGTTGCGATTTCGGGAGCAAAATTAGATACAAGAAAAGGGAGATTGGAGATCACAAAAAAAGCAAATAATTAATGAGTAAAGCGCACAAAAGTTTCCAGGGTCTCGGGAAGAAGGGGCGTTGTCGCCCTGCAGCTCGGAATGTTGCGACCTTGCCGCTCACCGAGATGTTGATAAAGGCAATTGAGGATCCCACCTGTACTCCGTAAATGTAATAGTATCGGGTACGCCCGAACATCGTGGACTCGATCATCCAGATTGGAGTACCGTGGATACCTCGCTTAAGACTTGCGGGATAACCCCATGGGCGTAATTATCTCCACTGAAGCTCAATATCGAGGAGGGGCAAGGAAAATAGAAACCGGAGCTTAAGAGATTGTAGCTCATTGCAGATCAGAAGGGCGTGCAGTAGTCCAGACGAACGATGTGCAGGTCGAGACTCGAACAGAGTCCTGGTACCCACACCCCTCCCGAATGCGCCAAAACACTTCCAGGGCTTCGGCCAATGTTATGGCATCTCCGAGGAGATCATTGTCGGGTACCGGATATCATTGATGGTAGCCATCAGCGCCATGAAAGCCATTTGTTTTGTTGGGATAGCGATCAATAACTAGAGTGGCAAAAGGGAAAACTCTGCGCCGCTAAGGGGGTGGTCCGGGCGTCGGCGTCTAACTTCGTAGGTACATCGCAACTACATCACGTATATCACCTCATAGAAATTGCATCTTGGGTAATAAGATATTGTAAGTTTTGAATAGGACACTTGCCTTGTCTAGCATCTCATTGGTGAGACATTCAGATGAGACTCGCCTTAGGGGCTGAAAGAATCGTGAAACACAGCGGAGTACTAACTGATTCAGATATCAGTTACCCGGGGACGAGGACACTGACCCTTGAAGTGTACAACTATTATAGACTGGGTTGTACTTGGTCATTGTATCAATGTCAGTACGTCGGAGAGTTTCACAGCTAACGACTCTGCAAACCTATTGTAGACGCAGCTTGTGTGATGTATCATTCAACCGACTTCGGAGCACCTCCAGCCTTCTCAATCTTACGTCTTTATCTTCAAAGTCGAGTTTTATCTTTGAAGACGATATTCAGATATCAATTGGATGCGTTCATGCGCCGTTGGTATCCTCTTCCAAGATTTATGTTAGATGGCACGATCGACAGGGAATACTGTGGTAGAAGGTCTAGAGTACCAGGGTACAAACAAAAAAAAAAAGAATTTAACTAGTAAGCTGCACAAGCGACCGGGGGTCCAGACCTTTTGCCAAGGTCGCGAAAACCAAGAAATTGGGGGTCTGTCAAACTGGCCTGACGTCATGAACAACCCCGAGCGTGGAATTACCACGACTCTATAGATATGGACAAGAAGTCGTGATTTCAGATCTGCATTGAGCAATGAGATTTTTCAGATTCGGGATCGATTCGTGATTTTCTCGGTTGATCTGATTGTTAATCCTCTTTAAAGTTATGAACCTGAATAAACATATCTCCCTACATATACACCGTCTACTCTGTAGCTTATCACTCCTTCATTCTTAGCACTCGGCTTCTGCGGCACCCTCGGTGGAGCCCTAAGTGCATGTTACGCCTTGTAGATCCACCAAACTCCGGAGTACAGCACAAGTGCACTTTTTTGGAGCGTCACCGACGCTATATTCAAATGCATAATGCACGTCACAGTGTAAATTTCCATACATGCGCCGGACCCCGATGAAATTCTTGTTATGGGTTTTATATCTACGTCGGTATATCTACCATAGCCGTGTAGCGGGAAAGTCTTACCCATTTGTGTTGCGTCCCACGGCAGATAACAACGTATTCGCTGGATGAACGACATTAATCAACCAAGGTTCCTGAGCGGATGTCGAAGCTAAACTCCGAAAGTCTCGATAACAGTGTCGTATACCTAGGGGTCTTTTTGCCTTAGATATGTCTTTTATCGCGCTGTTTGCGTTCTCGTTCCTTTCAGCGTTCTTGTCTAGCCCTCTATCTTCGACCGGTGGGGCAACATCAATGCAGTTTCAACCCCCACGACCCATCCTAGGCCCCTGTTTCAATTGCGTATATGCTGGAGCACGGTGTAGCGATGTACTGCGTAGTCGAGCCGCCGAAGGGGAGGGGGCGTGTGGATATTAGCCTTCCAGCACTTGCATGGAAATGTATCCCTAGTTACCTGTGCGCACCAGAATAAATTGAAAAATAAAGTAGGTGCCTTCTACCTGCCACGGCCTTAGAGAGCCTGGGCAAACAGGTTTTGGCTGGGACGATCTATTTTAGCTTGGCAGGATCTCTCGACCATGGGCCTCGCCACTACGCAATTGATAAGGGATTCTACGGTATATATTGAACACAATCATCAAAGGATAGGGGAAGGGAATCAGATCAGGTGGGGTGAAATGGGTGATATACAGATGCAGGAAGAAATTGGTTTCCCCAGACTCATTCCTGCGTGTTGGGAATGACGGGTTATACAGTTGATGTACGTCAGGTCGAAAAACAGGGAACACAGGTTGAAGCGAAGTTGGCGGACATGGGTCTGTTAGCGTAGTCCGCTACGACTGACACTAGGGGGAGAAGATCAGTGCGTTATAATGACCCTTGAAGGATCATCCAACGTGCTCGTGCGAATGGACCACATGTCGGAGAATTCGGACAATGAAAACTCTGTCGTGGAAATAGACGATGGGAATAATGGTTTAGATGTTCATATATGAACAGTGTGTAGGATATCAACTGCAGTCTTTCAGGTGATCATACGATTGGCCATGGAAACTGGAAACTATGCTGTAGTAGAGTGTAGATAACGAAATTGAGTAAAAAAAGAGTAAAAAGTGGATTAAGAAAATGGTGGAAGTAAAAACAAAAAAGTTAAAAAAGAAAAAGAAAAACCAGGCAGTTATCCCCCCACCTATACGGGCCGCACTGACCTTGGTGGTATCGAAGCGGAGTCGATGCAAAGCAGACGCACCAGGTCAATAAGTTTCATGGCGCTTGGATGGCAACCTTGGATTATCTTTATGTATATCTTGTTCCACTTTTTGGCTTTGAGCAGCTCTCTTCTTTCGCCAAAAAAAAGCTATAATCTCAGATTTACCTCTTTTCCGCGTTGATATTTTCTTTTCCACCTCCCCCCTCCCCCACCGGCTTATCTCCCACTCTCAACGGTCATAGCGGGAATGGCTTCTTGATTCGCCTCCCCTCATAACTTCCAAAAGTTATTAGGTACCTCCCAAGTACCTTTCGCGTCGCCTTTTGGTTGCGGCTGTGCCGGGAGCTTGATATCGACTTTTTCTTTTTCTCATTCTCTTACTTATCGATGTACATTTCGTGTCTTCCCTGTACTTTTTTATTTTAAACTATTCGGTTTTGTGCCGATACTTTGGTTGATATCTCGCCATCGCCACTTCAGATCATACTTCCTCCGGTATTGATAAGCTCCCGTCTTCCCTCCCCTCTACCTTTTGCAATTGATCCTTTCCATTCCCTTCTTGACCAGTCTGTTGCTGGTGTCACTTGTGTGAGACCTTCACATTGTGACTTCCCACTGGTCCGCAACTTCCTTAAGTGCCACCATCTGCATCTCATTCCCGGTTCCGCTTCCGTTCTTGTCTCCGATCGTGAATTTGTTGGAATGGTGTCTTTGCTTGTCCGTTGCCTCTCGCCACTCCTATCACTCACCTTGCCACAACTCTCTTGGATTTAATGAAGCTCTACTGACGAGGAACCTATCTTTCAGGCACTTTATTGTGATTGAAACATCGAATCATTCGCCAAATACCTATCCACCTCCCATCCACACCCTTCTTGTGTTGAAACACACAAGTCGGCCGGATGCCCTACACTGCGCCAGGAAAGACGTTGCTCTCCGCGCAGCACATTGAATATTCTCGCCCGCCAACTGAAGAGCCTTGCGAGGCTCCAGGTTTGGTTCGGTCACCCACGGGACGGGTCCAGAATTCCCGGTCATATTCATCCACTTCCTACACTCGTCGTCATCGAAGGAGTCCTTCGATCAGCAAATCAACTGTGCACTCCAACTCAGAATCCCCGGCCCGAGCCTCCCCCTCCTTCGACCCACATGCCAGTCTCCGTCAGTCCCCACCACCAGTGAACAATGCTCTCATCCCTCCCGGGGCAGTAATCTCACCTCCAGAGTCTGCCCCTAACTCCAGTGATGAGGAGTCGCCGTACCGAAGTGGTGAGGGTGTGAAATTTGATGAGCTGGAGGCTGCCGTTCGATCAATCAAAGTGAGGAGAGAGAGCTCACCGGAGAGAATGCGTCCAGGTCAGCCAGAAGAGGGGGCTCAGCCCTCGTCGAGTTTGTCGTTGGACACCGAGTCAAAGCCTGTTCGACCCAAGCTTCCTCACCTACCATTGTCCAAGGAAGCTCGCAAGATTGCCCACTCTCGATCCTCGACTGAAACCGCCATTAATTTGGCCCGGGAAGAGGTATTGACTAGCTCGCCCGAGGACAGTGACGTGGAGATGACGTGCAAACCCCCAATGGTCCGCAAGAAGTCGGGTGAGCTTGTTCGCCCAGCCCTTCGTCCTGCATCGGCCCGGCGTCGACCTTCGAGCATGCCTGGTACTCCTGTTTATTCCAAAGCCGTGCATTTCGATTCTCACTTGGAGCACATTCGTCATTTCCTCCAGTTGGACAGGCCACTGGCTGTCAGCACAAATACCTCGCCGGTCGAAAATCATGACAACAAGGACGAGTTCCCCTTCAGTTCTGGCCCGTCATGGGAATGGGAGATCAAATTGGCCAATTGGCCCAAGGATGTTACCTCACGTGCCACTCAGCCGGTCCGCCTCGAGAGATTGTTCTTGTCAGCTGATAAGAGCGCTTTGGTCGGCACTGTAGCAGTGGCAAACCTGGCTTTCCAAAAGCATGTGACTGCGCGATTTACTCTGGATTATTGGAGAACTACCTCAGAGGTCGGAGCGGCGTATTGCCATGATGTTCGTCGCCAACAAGCTACCGATGGATACGATCGCTTTTCGTTCGACCTCAAGCTGAACGACCAGGCCAATCTGGAGACTAAGACCTTGTTCATGTGCATTCGCTACAACGTGGCTGGACAGGAATATTGGGACAACAACGATTCAGTAAATTATCAGGTCGACTTCCACAAGGCACCGAAGGCCGTGAGCAAGCCTGCAACCAGCCCATCTCGCCCTACTATTCCGCGCAGCCGATCTTTCACCAGCACCCACAACCTGCGCCCGCAATCCATGTCTACTAACTACGACTTCTCTGACCTTGGCAACAAGGCGCCGTTCTCAAACCCTTTTGGCGATGCAAATGGCGCCCCTCTGACTCGCATGCCCTCGGATGATATCGATACAGTCGCGCCGCCCAAGCGCCGCGATCCCTCCAACCGCCAGGCATTTGGAAACCGGTACGATTTCGGAGCGTCGTTGTCTGCTGCGATGCGGTCGAAGGCACCCGTGGATCGGACCACTCTGACTGCCCGCGCGAAGACCGGAGAGACCGCGGAGCCGGAAACAGCCAAGTCGACAAAGCAGATTGCCGGCTTTGAGCAGGACACTGGTTCTCCAGTGGGCGATAAGCCCCGTACTGGAGGGGTCGCGGAAGATCTGAAACCATCCTCTCTGCTGTCTACCAAGCCGCAGCTTGAGTCCTCCGTGTACCAGGAGTTGGTCAACAAGTACTGCTTTGTAAGTTTCTCGGCAGCAAAGCACGCCGTTATGGTCAACTAACGTCTCATAGTATGGATCTCCGCAAGGATCAACTCCGAAGGCACAAGCCTCGATCTCGAGCGGGTGGCAGGGCGAGGCTCCCAAGCAGGTCTCAGCTCCAGCTTGTCTCTCGCCGCCGTTGTCCCCTCGGTCTCCTGCTCCCCTCCGTGAGCCTGTGGCCGAGGCACCTCGTGCGTCTGTTAGTCCCCGCGCCTCTCCGCGGCCGTCAGCTCCTTCCATGGCTTTTCGCCATACTTTCAACCGCGGTTTTTTGAATGACCCTCACTCTTCAACCGTCATCAGAGGGTGAGTGACATACTGTTTCATGACAGCTTTCGACCCGGGCATGATCCTTCTGGTCGTCCCTGAAAGAATATCGTTGACGTTGTCGTGAAGGGGATTTGGTATCCCTTGCATGGAACTGGACAGATCCGTTACCCCAATTTCGAACCCTTTTACCCCACCGTGTATCGGCGCCCTCTGATGGATAAACTCATTCATACTCATTCTGATTGCCCCCAACAATACCTACTCGCAAGTGGTTTCAGCTAGCAGCTAATGTGAGCGAACGTCATTGCGATGCATTATAAACCGCGGACGTTTGAAACATTGGCTGCCTGAATCATGCCACTCATCGTCGTCCCAAATCATCGACGAGACTGTTGCTAAATTATTAGCGCAGTCATTCTCATGCTTTTCCTTTTTTTCGTTTTTCTTTGTTCAACTCTGCGTGTCGCTTTAGCCTCGCATGACGATATTACGAGTTCTTTTTTTGAGGCACTTTCGATTCTTTGCTGTTCTTTCGCGGATGGCCCTTCATTTCTACGCAAAAAGTTTTTAGTTCGCCCGCCTCCGCTCTCAATTTTCGATGCATTGCAATCTTATGGGTTTCTGATCGCATGGTGTTCTGGTGTTCTTGATTTCATTCGTTTTGTTTTCTTTGTTCTGCTTGTTTTCTCACTTTCAGTTCCACAAGACGGTCTACCTTTTTGGTTGGACGTGGACAAGGGATGCGAAGACAAAAGATACTCATACATGACAGCCTACGAGGCAATGCGACCTAGTTTTTGAAATGATATGAGACATGATGACGCAAATTGTTCTTTTTCCTTGTAGATTTGTAGTTAGACGTTAAACTGTTGAATCTGCAGTCGAACAAAAATGCTAGCCACATATTGGAAGGTCAAGGTGTATCTGCTTGGACATTTTTGGTGGGGCGTAGTGTACCACTCAGACTAGCCTGATTAGGCTAGCCCCGCACTCCTATCTAATCACCACGTGACCAGTATCAATGTCGCCCGCCGCCAGAAAATGCGGGCACGTCGATGGTCGGTAGACATGCTGGAAACCGGCCCTTCATAACACCCTTTTCCTCTTGTCCCCGCCCGCCAATCAGCGCCGCATTGCAGAATGAAAATCGCTTACCTAAATACCATCCCGGATCATTTTGCACGCGTAATCGGGCCCTCCCCTTATTTAAATCCTGCTGGTCCCCTCTAGCTTAAATCTCTTTCTTTTTCTCTCTCTCTCGTATCCCTCTACGCCCAAATTCAACGCGTTTTTCTTCCCATCTTCCCATCTTCCCATCGATTATCAACGCCACAATCGTTGATTTATCAACTTTTTATATTATTTTCATCTCGGCTTATCTGAAAATATGTCTGGACGTAAGTATTTACATGATTCTCGCGCGTTGTCGCTACTATATCCCCCTCGTGTCTTTGTTGTCGTTGCGGTGATGGATCTGGCCATGCCCCTGTGGCACGTGATTCATGCCTCAGGCATCAATCTTGTCCCGCCTTTCCTAATTGGGAACGGTCTTCACCATATGCACGTCTCAAGGCAACCTCCACCCACATCATACATTGTCATACCTCGCTGCCATTCACCCCATCACATATCGCCTCCATACCGAAATCACACTACCATTCTATAACTTGAAACAAAAAAGCTAACACCCTAAACAGGCGGCAAAGGTGGAAAAGGCCTCGGCAAAGGTGGCGCCAAGCGTCACCGCAAGATCTTGCGCGACAACATCCAGGGTATCACCAAGCCCGCTATCCGTCGTCTCGCCCGCCGTGGCGGTGTCAAGCGTATCTCCGCCATGATCTACGAGGAGACCCGCGGTGTCCTCAAGACCTTCCTCGAGTCCGTCATCCGTGACGCTGTCACCTACACCGAGCACGCTAAGCGTAAGACCGTCACTTCTCTGGACGTTGTCTACGCCCTCAAGCGCCAGGGCCGTACTCTCTACGGTTTCGGTGGTTGAGTTATCCTCTTTTCTGGATTCGGATTGGCCCGCCTGGACATGCGTAAAGTGTGCCGGTTTGATGCGTCGGTTCTATACTTTGTTAATGCGTGACGGTTTTTATTTTTGCGTTAATGGAACTGGGGTTTTTTTGGGATTGGGCTGCCTTTTTTACGTCCGAGATTTGGATTGGGATTTGGGATTTGGACGGTTGGTTGGATTAGTTAGTTGCTGGGAAGGTTTCGGTTGAATCGATTCAATAAATTGTTCGTTGTCGGTCACTTTGGGTGTTTGTACTGTGTAAAACGGGGAGCCTCGGAGTACGTAATACGCCGCTGCCGAGGGAGGTCCTTGGCGGAATGGTGCTGAATGATCTTCACCTTCCATTTATCGGGCAAGCCACGGATGAACAGGTCAGCGCGACCACAGTCTCCGAGCTCCCCTCTCTGTACCAGTTCACCGCTAACATCGTCAAATTCGGTGAGCTACCTGAGGTACCCGCGGTTGTTACCTTCGGTATCCCTACGGACGCGGACCTCGTGTATCTCTGCTGGTCCGAATCGTCGTCGTAAAAGTATTCCAGGAATTCTTCCTTGAACTCCTCCCAGTTGCGGTTCTTCCAGGAAGTGCGCTTCTCGATCCAGACGCGAGAGGTCCTCGAGCAGTACTGCGGTAACAGCGTCATCATCTGTCCCACATCATGAATACTGGAGCGAGTGCACATATCCTGAACGCGCCTAAGGAATTCTGTCGCGTTCTTCTCGTCGAAAACAGGGGCCCTTGAGGTACCAGGGGCGGGTATCGCGGTCTGGAATCATCACGATGGTCGTCGGAGTAGCCGGAGCAGCCGGGGCAGGCACTACAGAAGGCTGAACTGGTGGAGTAGGCGGAGGGGGCGGAGGTTCTGTGTGATTAAAGGGCTGTTCATCTGCCAGACTGACAGCAGGGTTCGGTGCGGACTGTTCTGGTTCCTCTGCCAAACTGACGGCAGATTCAAGGTTCTGCAAGGGCACAATGCCCGAGAGCGGTTTTTCTGCTGTAAAGGGCACGGGCAGTACAAAGTCTGAGTAATCTGAAAATGGCGAGTTCTGGTAAAGCAAATATCGTACTGCTGTCGATAGTACAATCTGATTGATCGACGCGTGCCAGAGGTACAAGATACCAGGATACCTCCATTCTAGCATACGGTGCACTTGGTCAGGACTCAGTTCTGCGATGCCCTTCGTAAGGGCGGCCACCGCGAACTGCGTGTATTCAGGTCCGAAAGTCTGCATGCTGGCGGTGCGAGATTGTGCGGTACGGTATGCGGTTCGATTCGGACGATGATAACTTTCTACCAAGACTTCCAGGTCGGATACGGTCCCTACTACTTGTCTCACTGGCCCTAGCACACTTCCATCTGACCTTTTGTTGCTCAAATCGGCCTTCCCGGGGACGATTAATAGCTAACTAGGATCTGTATAGTTATGCTGGCGTTTTCATTAGGGTGATGACTGATGTGTTGTGTCGCACGATTCATTCCACCTTGGCTGTTGCCCTGCATAGCCGAGCAAATCCCTGAGCATACCCTGAGCATACCCTGAGCATAACTTGGTCATTTTCCATCGCTCTGCTTCTATTTCCACGCTTCATTGTGATCCCGTCGTTTATGGTTCCACTGACGTTCGCGACGTACCAACCAATGGTCGATGGTTGGGACATATCTGGCCTACCCACTTGATATTACTCAGTCCAATTTTACTCCTAATGAAACCAAGGCTATAGTAGCTTAGGTTTCTTTGCAAGACTTACCTGTGACTAGATTAGATTGTTATTTTGTTATTTTGTTATATTGTTTTATGTCTAGAGAGGGTCGTGCAGGATAGCACCTCATCATATTGCTAAGAATACCTGGTCGCCAGCAAGAAGAACAAAAGAGAAAAAGCAAAAAAAAGAAAGTTCCATCACAAATCACGATGCTGAACTAGGCGCAATTCGAACATCGACGGCGCCGTTGATGTCCTTGATATCGCTGAAAATGTCCTCCGTACGGCATACGTAGGTAGTGCCCTGAGCCACATCGCCTCCAGTCACAATGCCGAAAAGGTAGCCTCCATGACTAAAGATCCAGGCCCCAGAGTCTCCGGGTTCCGTGAAATGATTCGCACCCGCCGGAATCTTCGTGCTCCAAGACACAACAAGGCCATACCCTGGTCCTTGGCTAGATTTGAGCCTGTCTAGTTCCACAGACTTTAATATGTTGCACTTCGCAGATGTAAGATGGGTGGACCTTCCTGACTTTGTAAGTATGACGCCGGATTCAAATGCGCGATCGTTTGTATAGAAAAGTCCTGCGCCGGGGTCGAATTGTCGCCGTACAGGAAAGACTAAGAATTCAGATATCAGTCTAGTGATAAAAAAAGAGCTAGTTAGTGGACACCGTTTGACTTCCAGTATTCCCAATCACAACTTCCCCCTGCGTCTGGCGGTGGATACGGTTTTGGTTTATCTGGATCAGAGCCCAGTCAACGGCCACCCGTAGTCGGTCCTTATTGACTCGTACCCGGTTCATTCCGCTTCCAGCGACGATATGGCCGAGATAGTAAGATCCATTTGTGAGCATTTGACTGTAAGGCTCGCGCTTGTCTTCAAAGGCTCGAATTACTTTAAGCATTTGCTCGTATTCACGTCTGGCGGAATCCGGCAAGCATCCATTATCTCCCTTGTCAATTTCCTTTTTACAATGCCAGAACATAGGCGATCGAACTTGTTCCACTGCCGTGTTTAGAGACTCGATTGTGGTTCTTAGGTCCCTTGGCAACGGGTGGTCAACTCGGAGGATTCTTTTGGCGATATTACCCAGTGAGGGATTGTCGCGCATGGTCAAAGGCCGGTTCATCCATCTCTGAAGAGCTAGAATAATACCATTAGTGAGAATTTCTTATTTGCGGTGTGAAGTAATTGGCTTACCATCTTTTGCCTCGGGCGTCCGCATTTTCGGATCCTCCCGGTGGTTCTCCGACGGCCAAATACAGTGGAAGCAGGTAAGCCCATATGTGGACCAATCGCTTTTGCCCTTGAAACGGAGCTGCACCAAGCCTCCAAGAGTAGATGAACCCGCTTCGCTGTTGTGGATGCCAATACTTACTCCAGGGTAAACCCTGCCGGAGGTAGACTCAAGAGGAAGTGTTGGGTTTTCCTCAAAACGTCTTTTGCCATCCTTTTGGAATAGCACATCAACGTCTGCCTCATCAAACGATGCAAGGATACCATGGACGGAGCGAGAGGCGGTAGTAAATGGACCTTTACTTGATCGGGCAACACGGACTATGACGGTGACAGGGTTGGACTTTCTGTCGACATTTGTCCCGTAACGCCAGCAATCCATTCCAGTCCACTCGCGGGTGTCAGAGCGCTGTATAATTTCTTCGACGATATTTCTCCATTTTGAGAAAATAGAATGAGACGGCTCGACAGGAGAACAGTATATTCCCCTAAGCAATGCAGCTTCGATAAGCTCAACCGAAAATCCCGAATGTCCCCGTCCTTCTAGTCTTTGATGCACTTCCCGGGCAGCATGGCACCATAGCTCTGCCTGCGGTCGGTTAGGCATTTGGATGACCACCGTTGGAATGAATTCCGGCTCAGGCTCGACTTTTGAACGTCTTCCGTTGACCTGACATTCCAGAAACTCCAGGTGAAGCTCATTCAAGACTTCTCTAGCAGTCATCTCAATTTCGTGCCTCATAGCACTGTCGTTCCCGGGAATAGGGAGATCGTGGGCCGGGATGAGTGCTGATGGGAGGGAGCATAGGAAAGGACCACCAGCACGACGTGATGACTTTAAAAATCCATCTGTGTCGATGTTGGTGTCGCCAAAGGGAGATGAAGAAGATGAGACAGAGAAAAAGCCCATCGAATGGGCACTAGACCGCGAGATAGACGATGTTCCAACACTCGAGGCCATGATGAATGAATGTTTCAAGGCTCAAGGAGGATAAAATAGAAAACGCAGGCTACTGAGCGCCAGATGGGTAGGGTTATGGTTGGAGTATTCAGAGCGATGGAGTGGATGGTGGAGTGGACGGTGGAGTCCACCATAAAGATGAAAGTGGGTAGAGCAATGAGTACAGTAGAAGGAACTTAGGAAGGGCCCCCCTTCCCGTTTAGGTCTCGGAGAGTTTTTGCCTGGTTTGTTGCCAAATATCTCTGGCATCCATGATGATGATGATAAAATCAATTTTTTACAAACTACAGGTATCAATATATCAATATACATAGCTATTCATCTGTTTTACACCTGTCCCCGGGTATATTTATGGTATTGGAAACATTTTAGATTCCGTACAAGTCTGCATTTGGAATTTTGGATATGCTCTAGGTTCAAGTACAGCTGGGCTTTAGGTTATGGAAATCTACTTACCTGTCTTTTCTTTCCCAATGTGTATACACCTAGCACTGTCGGCCTCATCAGTATCCTGTTACCACAGTTCCTCAGCCGGCCCCATCAGAGAAGCTACCGATTAGGTTTAGCGCGCCAAAAGGTCGGCAGAACAATCGTGAAAACAATCGTGTCACGAGTCAGGTGATTTGCCCAGATAAGATAAGCCAGGGTGGATCTCAGGCCGATCCACCCGATCTCAGGGATGTGATGGATCAATGATCATGATTCATGCCAAGCTCTATCAATACCTCATCTCCCAGCCTTTCTCTTCCCTTCCGCCTTTGATCCAGTTGAAATGCTTTACCCTTCTTCTTTGAGTTCTTGGCATAATCATGCACCTCGGCAATGGGATTCCAGGAGGTCTCTGAAACTGTCCGATGGTGTGAAAGTGTAAGTCGTTCAGCTGGTGTCAGCCTGGCGATCTGGGTGGGACACTAAACTCCAGCTCCACCGCTCAGTAGCTGCATATAGTTCAATAGTTGTGTACCCTAATGCACTCATACGACCTCTCAATTCAGCTCCTTTTTCCCCTCGGACCCGACGGACCCCTCCGAGGAAGTATTTATTCTCTCTCTTCTTCCTTCTAAAACGCATTGTTCGATTCGCATATCCTCTCGTCGTTTCCCATAGGGCTATCATCAGCTCATTATAACATGTCCACCTTCGATTTCATTGTCGTCGGGAGTGAGTAAATCCTCCAAGTAAGAAAATAGACCGAATCACATCCTCTAATACATCTCACAGGTGGCCCCTCTGGCAGCGCTCTCGCCGCCGGCCTCGCCAAGGCCGCCGCAAAGCCTCGCATACTCCTCCTGGAAGCGGGCGATCTCAACGAAGATCGCAATCTCCGCGTGGACGGACAGCGATGGCTCACTTTCCAGGACAAATCCATGAATTGGGGGTACAAAACTACCCCGCAGCCAGACTGCAACAATCGCGAGATCGATTATAGTCGTGGCCGCTGCGTAGGCGGATCCAGCGCCATCAACTTCGGTGTATACACTGTCGGCGCACGCGATGATTACCAGGAGTGGGCGAGAATTACCGGTGATGATGACTTTGCGTGGGCGAATATTCAGCGGAGATTAAAGAATCTGGAGACCTTCCATGGAGAAATGCCGGAGGGGATGGATAAGAAATATGCGAATCCAAAACCTGAAGACCATGGAAGTGAGGGCCCGCTGCATGTAGGCTTTGCAAGGGAGTGGGAGAGGGATGTGACGGAATTGTTGGATGTTTGCGAAGACGCTGGATTCCCTTTGAACCCGGATCATAACTCGGGGAATCCGATCGGCATGGCCGTGTTGATTAACTCCGCGCACAAGGGCTTGCGATCGACCGCCGGCGATCTGATCAGCGAGAAACTCGACAACCTGACTATTGTCACTGATGCTCCTGTACAGCGTGTCCTCTTGGAGGGCAAGAAGGCCGTTGGCGTTGAGTCGAACGGCAGAAAATGTAAAGACATAACCCCCTAATCAGTTGACCATATACTGACAGTAGTCAACAGACCACGCCACCAAGGAAGTCATCCTGTGCGCAGGCACGCTCAATGATCCCCGTATCCTAATGCACTCCGGCATTGGTCCAGCCGCCCAACTCCAGCAACACAACATCCCCGTGGTGCAAGATGTCCCCGGCGTCGGCCAGGGACTCCGCGACCACTGCTTCGTGACAATGGTCAACACCCGCGCAGATACCAGCACAGACCGCAAAGCCTTCTACGGCGACAAAGCCGCCATGGAGGCCGCCCAGAAGCAATGGCAAGAAGACGGCACAGGGCCGTGGGCCAAATTCGCCTGCGAGATGGGCATCGGCTTTTTCAAATTGACCGAGCAACTCACCTCCACACCGGAGTTCAAGGCCCTCCCCGCAGACGAACAGAAGTATCTTCTGCAAGAAACCGTGCCGCACTACGAGCTCCTCACCCACTTCCCCGTCCACTGGTTCATCCCGGATTTCCCCGCCGAGGCAATGAGCTACTCCTGTCTAACCCTCTTCTTGTTCAACGCGCAGACCCGCGGAGAAGTCACTTTGCAATCGTCCGATCCTGACACCCCGCTGTCTTTCAACCCTAGGTTCCTGGAGCATCCGTTCGACCGTCGGGTCGCGATCGAAACTTTGCGGGATGTGTTCCGTCTTGCTAAGCATGAGAGATATACCAAAGACAATGTTGCTGCGCTGGCGATGCCGAAGAGCGATTCCGATGAGGATCTGCTTGAGTACTGGCGCCAGAATATGTTGTCGAGCTGGCACATGTGCGGCACGGTGAAGATGGGCAAGAAGGGTGATGAGGATGCGGTTGTGGACCCGGATTTCAGGCTCATTGGTATTGAAAATCTGCGGGTGGCTGATATGGCGGTTATACCTGTGTTGGTGAATGCGCATCTCCAGGCTGCTGCCTATGTTACCGGTGCGACTTGCGCGGAGAAGTTGGTGAGGGAGTATAACCTTGCTTAGACTCAAAATTGTATATAAGGAGGTGGTTGCTTCATGTCATAGCTGGCCTCGACTCAGCACCTGCTGGGTGCCTAGTGATGGGGAGCCTATATAACCAAGACCTGATTATAACACATGACAATTAGTACCAACGAGGCAGGCTGAATGTGTCTTGAGTACAATGGACGTGCTGCATGTAAACTTGAGAAGGATGTAGATCACCGCTGATGATCTACTGATTACGAGGAGTAGGCTAAGCGGGCTATCAAGCAGGAGGAGCGCCGCAAGGTCTATGAAAGCCCTAATTTTTATACTTTGTTTCTGTCATGCTTCTGTCACCATCAGTTGGGTTCCGATTCCTAAAGCAGCGGAAAGCTTCTGACTCACATCAAGATTGCAGCAATTAGAGATATTTTCGAAGCAAAAAGATGGATGGCACCTATAAGCAAACCCTTGGGATCGAATCATATCGATTTCCCCCGGTGGTTCCCATGGTTGGTAGTATATGAGGTCCGTTTCTCTCTCGGCTGTATGGTTAATGAGAACATCATCCATCAATCATCATTTCTCAGCTTCCGACACCAAAACAGGCGACGGAACCCTCATACCTAATCTATATAGTCCCCTCGATTTGCCCTCAGCCTTGATCTTTATTTTCCCATCTACATCTATCTTTGCTCGCCTTCACCTTCACCTTCACCTTCACCTTCACCAAAACCTATTACCAACTACTTTTTTATCTCCTCTCTTTACCAAATACTGTTACCAAACATTGTCATGGCTCCCATCCCAGGCTCTGACAATGCCCTCCTTTCTCGAGAAGAAAGGGATAGCGAAGCCGACGCAGAGACAGGACTGATAGTCGTCGGCTTGATCTACGTATCACTGGTGGCTGTGCTCGCCCTCGCGGTGGGCTGTCTCTGGTAAGTCAACCATTTCCCGTTTGACGAAGACGAAACTCACATATTTCTCAGTTTCATCCGTTTCATCAAGTGTGTGAGGTCCAAGCTTAAGGCTAGGCGTCGGGATGGCCGGGAGAAGTATGAGGGCTCTCCCCTTAAAGTGATCGGTAAGTTGATATCCTCAACCTGTCTTGACTTGATAGTTGATACTAACTTCCATCTAGAGGGGAAGGAGCCTGCGAGACCGAAGCCAGCTCATGTGGCTGGTCATGGGAAGAAGCAGGCGGAGGTTGACCTAACCCCGGACTACATGAGGAAGTCGACGGCACTCACGGGTTCCCGTTAGGGGTGGCTACGCCGCTGTATAAGCGCCAGGGGCCAAAATGCCGTTTCTAACTAATCTTGATGCCTTAATGCCTGACTTTGGCCTGATTTGGCCTAGGAGCCTGAAATTTTGGCCAGGCCCCTGACCGCCTTTTACACCGCACTGTACAATGTAATGTAAATTGTAATCAGATGCTTGTAAAATTGAAGCTTTTTGTCCCATACAAATGCATGCATCTCCAGTTTCGAAGGTGGTTTACTCTCCATGTGTGAGACTGAAGCCTTTTTGTCCCATACAAATGCATACATCTCCAATTCGAAGGTGGTTTACTCGTCATGTGTGAAAATAAAGCCTTTTTGTCCCATACAAATGCATGTATCTCCATTTTTGAAGGTGGTTTACCAGCGCTCTCTCTCCGGCACGGAATAATGCACAGGTAAACCTCGATGCTCTAATAGCTAATGAAACCTTTACAAGCTAATCCCTTACAGTATTTTATGTTAATTCCAACCATAGGTTAATTCTAAATTCACCCAGACAAACCGACCATGCATTTTCCCGTAACTAGAGATGTATGCGTTTGTATGGGACAAAAAGGCTTCATTTCGCACATGGAGAGTAAACCACCTTTGAACTTGGAGATGTATGCGTTTGTATGGGATAAAAAGGCTTCATTTTTATGGCTGGACAGCTAGCTAGCAAAAGTAGGTAGTTATGGTACCTCGCTTATTAAGTCAGGTGTAATCGTAATTCAGACAGCCCTATTTTTCTGCCCGTCGTAATTCAGGCTCCTAGGCCAAAAACTCAGGCTCCTAGGCACAATCAGGCCAAAGTCAGGCCAAAGTCAGGCATTAAGGCATCAAGATTAGTTAGTAACGGCATTTTGGCCCCTGGCGCTTATACAGCGGCGTAGGTGGCGGTGTCTGCGGCTCAGTTCCAGTAGAGGCTTCAAACGCCTGCTGAGCTGATGTCTGTACCTATCATGTTGGAGGAATCGGTGGTTCTTCTCTTTTCGGTTTTCTATTTTCTCATTCTTCTTTCTTGTTTCCTCGTTGTTCTTTCCTCTAGAACACTGGGTCCTCGTTTGTTTTTCCTCGGCTATCTCTTACAATCTGCTTGGATCTTCGGTTGCGTGTCTATGTTTTGTTAGGACATGTGTACAGTACCTTTCTGAATTAGATATCAACAAAAGTCTTCTGTCCAGTTGTCAGTATCCGCCTGTAGACTTTCTTCTTCTTATCCCAAGTCGCAAAGCCGGGCGCATTCTGGTAAGTGAAGTCACATTCAGTTGGGTTTTGTTCACAAAAGCCGAAGAGGCCAAGCAAAGGAGGTGACTGGTCCTCAATCCGTTGCTTTGCATCCCCCGGGGTTGTATCAGGAACTTAGGCAACGGTATGCTCATCCTTAGTGGACACCCGCCAACTGGCGAGTTTCCCGCCAACTGGCAAGGTTATCCCGATTCCCGACGAATTGCCTCAATAATCCGACTGCGACAGGTGCCACGTCTGATCTGGTGTAAGGTGTTTAATTCTATGGCAAATTAAAATGTCATCGACCAATGAGCGTATAGCAAACCCGAGTCGAAATGCCAAAGGCAAACATAATTGATCCGCGTCGCGGGGAAGTCGTGGAGCCAGACATCTTCACAGAGTAACGTGTCTGTTCTACTCCGTACACGATGCCGATTGATTAGTTATAATTGTTGAGGATGGCTTGGTATGCTCGAATGACGATAGCTCAACAAGTATGATGTGGTGCCTTGTCATTGCATTGAGATCTATCCATGCATGTACCCATGGCTCCGCCCACATAAGATCCGTGGACCCGTGGACGGGTATCTGGTGGGGTGCGGCCCTGCGGGTAGGCACGAGGATCCCCGAAGTCAAAATAAACATAGAAGTAATAGTTATATTATTATATCAAAGATCAATAAGATAAGGATATGAAGCCTCCATAATAAAGGTATCGTCTTGTCGAGCATGTGCCTTTAGAATGCTGATTCTGCTAGACCGGTTCGGGTGATGCCGCCAGCGGCCAGCCCCCTCAATTGGTGCTTAGCCGTGCTTAGCCTCCTGCACGAACAATCACATCACATTTCCCTCCCCCCCCCCCCCTTTTGCTTTTTTTGTCTCCTGAGGTCTCTATTAGCGAAAGATAAAGGCGGTAAGACGGTGGCGCAAGCAAACGTTCCCTTTCACGAGCTCCGACATCCAACTTCTTAGCGCTTTCATAACCCCTGTTGCCTAGTTCGATATAGCTGGCCTCAACTTCACCATGACAAGCGAAGATACCAGACCTCTAATCAACAAAAACCCGGCTCTACAGGCCTACTATGCCTCCCTGGAATCTAGAATTGGGTATCGCCTCATCTTAGGCGGCACTCGACACTTTGGATACTACGAGCCTGGCACCTGGTGGCCATTCCCAATCAGCAAGGCGCTTCGCAATATGGAAGACCGCCTCTTCGAATGCTTGGATCTACCCGCCGGTTCCACCGTCCTCGATGCTGGCTGTGGCAATGGCTACGTTGCAATCAACATGGCCAGTCGCAACCTGAAGGTCAAGGCGTTCGACGTGACCGAACGACACGTTATCCGGGCTCAAAAGAACGTCATCGAAGCCGGGCTCGAGAACTCCGTCACGGTCAGCAGAGGCGATTACCACCACTTGGAGGGATTTCCGACCGAGTCTCTGGACGGAGTGTACACCATGGAGACGATAGTGCATGCGACAGATGCGAAAGCAGTGCTCGATGGATTTTTCCGCGTCTTGAAGCCCGGTGGCTCGCTCGTGATGTTTGAATATGCACACACAACCCCAAAGGATGCGCCCGAGGCTTCGAGGCTTTTCCGCCAGGTTAATGAATATGCGGCGATGCCTGCCAATGCAGAGTTCGAATCAGACGCTTTGCTATCGCTGGTTGAAGATGCTGGATTTACCGATATAAAGGTGAGGGATTTCACGCAGAACGTGAAGCCCCTGATGCGGCTTTTCTTCATTCTGGCATACGTTCCTTATCTCGTTATCAGGCTGTTTGGCCTTGAGAGACACTTTGTCAATACTGTGGCTGCCATTGTCGGCTATCGATACTTCCACATTCATCGTTATATGGCAATTCGGGCTACGAAGCCAAACTCCGCGGGTCATCCCTTGGAGCCCAAGAAAGTGCAATGAGCATTCACTTATGTACCTTCTCACTTTTATACGAGTGCCATGATTTCGATCATTGCGTTTCCTTTTTTGTTTTTGTTTCAATGGTTTTGTGCTATGATACTTTCCTTCGATTACAAGAACATGTACAAATGTTTGGGGAGCGGGGCTGTTTCGCCTCGACGCAAATGTCTGAAAACGAACTAGACTCCAAATTGAATCTGTATATCAATCACATAACGCTTTGCAGAACACATAAAATCAAGTCAGTATCACACATAAGTCATATCTCACACAAGTCATAACGGACACAAGTTATATCGCACACAAGTCAGTATCTCACACATGAGGCTAAAGTCAGTCCAATCAAGAAGCTGTAGACAAAACAACCAACGTATTCACACATGAGGCCAGGAGTTGAACCATCCAACATCGCTAAATATCTCTGCCGGGAGTGATCGAAGTTGGATAATATCCTGGAGGAAGATGTAAGCACGAGAAAAGCAATATAGCACACCAGCCACGTAAATCGGGAGAATCGCTTTCAACGGAACATGCATAGCTGGGTCTTGGTTGAATGAGTTATTTCTGATGCACTTGGCCATATGTTCCGCGATTTTGCTGAAACGGATCAATGCCGGGTGTGCGAACGGATCCATTTCACCAATTGACAGGATGCTCCTTCCCCATTCCCGAGCTTTGAGGTATGGTCGAATATAATTCGGGTACAACGTGAAGGCGATCCAACCGATTGCCCAGAAGAAGCCCGTGCAGGCCAGAACGACAGTGGATGAGACTCTCCACAGAATCTGTTCGACGCGGGTAGGGAATTCATAATCCCAGCCAAACATGAATATGCCCCCATATATGGCTGTCACGAGTAGGAACAAGGCATAAGACAATGTTGTAAGCTTAGCAACCCGGGTATTTTGGAATCGAGTAATTGGCCTCTTTTGATGAATAATGACGATACGCATATTGCGGAGGATATTGACCCAGTTGGACCAATATATAGACCAAGCCCACTCTCTCTCTTCGCGATCCACGTAGTCCATCGGTGTGAAGTAATGCTTCGCTTTGACTTTATCTACGTTGTTTTCTTGCCATAACTCTTCGATAGTTTTGCTCGTCTCAATGATTTCGGAGGTCTTCACGTCGGCGGGCTTAGAGATCCAGCACAAATTTGTTGGTAGACTGCAGAGGATGAATGCCACCGTGGTGAGCTCGCCTGTTGTGATAGGCAAATGCATTTGTAGTCGTCCCAGGGTAGTGATAAGAAACCAGAGACACTGAGCCACAGTGATGAATCGCAGCATCGCGTCGACCTTATTCTTGTCTTCGATGGTTCTCTTGGTAGTCGTCGGCATCTCCACGTATTTATTCAGAACCAAATGATGAAGCTGCTTTGCGTTGATTGGGAAGGGCTCCGAGCCTCTGGCTTTCAAATGAAATCCACCCATGTCGGCATAGAATGCATGCGTCATTGTCCATTCGGTGTGTTTGAGTTCTTTGAAATCCACCACCGACTGAGCCGCGGACTGGTATTGGGACAGTGCAATTTGGAAAATGAATTCGGGGCCCCAGAAGGGCTAGGGCTGTCAGTAAGACTTTTCGCTTAAAGACTTTGATTCTCGAGTCTTCCGGCCCGGGCACATTGAGACACAGGGTTGACCATGAACAAGCAAACATAGTAAAGCAGCAGCTCCATACGATGCCGATGGTTCCCCTTCCATGTGGCTCACTGACCCATCCTTGATGGCCACATTGGTCCGATTGGGTGCCATTGTGCGGTGATGTCGCGGAGCATTCCAAGTTTGCGGAGGGATACACAGTAGCAAGCGTACTGAAGTTGTAGGAGTGGGCAAGGGTGACGAAATATGGAATTGTGAGTAGTATCAACTGGCATGAGTGTCCCATATTGTGGGTCAATGTATATAAGGCTGGTTTTGAGTTCGGGAAAAGTGGATTTGATGATAACACAGCTCCATACTTCAACCTTAATATATGTCCTATGAATCATTAAGCGCTTCTAATATCGAGTGGTGTTGGCAGGTCTACTGCCTGCTTGTCTCAGACGAAGGGCAGGTTGTTGCAATTGCTTGCGTAGGGATCGGATTCCGATTGTGTCTCTTTGTTGTTCATGTCTCTCTAAGGGGTTCAGGTGGAAGGCTGGGTAGAGCATCCTTGTCTGTGGCTTCATTTTGAAACAACCACCATCATCAGTCTAACTACGGAGCACTGTATGTACATAAGCGCGCGCACTCTAGTAGGTAGCCCCGCCAATCATAGACGTGGATAATCCCAGTGAGCTAGACTAATAACTGCGCCTTCGCTTGTTCATATCGCACCCTGAATATCCTTAGCCGATCAAGCTTAGGCCAAGGGACCTAGAAAATTCGGCGATTATTGACAAGATTCTGTTGGCCCTTGGTATTTGAGGCGCAAATATTGACTGGGTAGAGAGGCATGACATTATTCCAGCCTGTCAGCTCTGAACCCCTGGTCAGGTAGCCTTGTTTGGGCCTGGGGTACCCGCCCTACCCGATACAATTGTTCTGGTCTAAGGTGCCGAGAGAGCCGGGGAGCCCTAGGTCTCAGGTTGCCACCTCATTGCATGTTTGTGGACAACACAGTACAACTTTCCTAGCCATGTAACGTGTCTTCTCTAATTTGATATACTGGCATTTCTTAGATTATCTCTGATCATAACGCCAATATCGTGTAAAGTAACTATCGTCGATGAAAAATGAACATAGAAGCCGCAAGCATTATAAACGAAAAGTTACACCCAGTCCCATGAAACCAGCCATCGCCAAGCCCACAATAGTATTATACATCGAAGAATAAATTGCTATAAAAATCAATGGCGCGCGCTACGGCGGCATCGCAACATGGAGATGTGTGTCAACCAGATCAAACCAAATGCCCTGGAACCCAGACTTCCTCGATGCACGAACCAACTTCACAAACTCCTGGAGGCGTACCGCACTCACATTTTGCACAGTGAAAGAGGACAGTCGCTCGAGCAACTCCTCGCCAGGCCCTTCGATTTCGAGCATAGCCATTGTCAGAGGAAATACCACGGGCAAAGCGCTTGTTTCTTTGACCGCTTGTTTGGCAAAGAAGGCCAGTTCGGAGAATATACCATTTGCATGTATCTGTGCTGTTTCGTCCTCGACGCCCAGCGGATACCGGAGTCGGTGAATGACCAATAAAGCGGCCAGGCGATAGACATTTGCTTGTGTCGCCATGGCTAGAACGGCGTTCCGGCCGTAGTTGTCGAATAACTGTGTAGGCGTTCGGGGTCTCCAGCGTCGGATTGTCTCCTCAATCTCATCCAGTCGGTCATGGATCGCCGAGTCTGGTTCGGATTCGGCGGTGGGAGATTCCCTTTTCGCGGCATTGCTCCACTCGCAGATATCATATAAATGAGGAAGGAGTGTGGCGCAAAGACCGGCATAGCGATCGACGATGATGCGATGCTGATTATCTAGTCGTATTATAGGGACCTCACGATGCACTAAACACTCAACCGTGTCGATCAGGATAGGAGTCATGGTGATCGTATCCATAATAGGAGCCTGAACCAATTTTGGAAGCCATTGTTTGGTGGACATGAGCGCACTCCGAACGATGGAGTGGGCCGTGTTTGAATATGGTGCTGTGAGTACATTGAACACGTACATCGTCTGGCCGAGGAAAAGAGCACAAGCTGCATCATATGCGTGTGAGATCTTCACATCTCTCAGTCGTTGCAGTCCCTTCGCCGCTTTGTACATATCAGGTTCATCTCGGCGGATGACAAGCGACTGTTGGTAATTTGTCATCAGCCCTAGGAACGCCAGGTACCCCTCGGTCAGGACCGGAGCAGATAATTTGAGAATAGCAAAAACCGTCTTCTGGGCTTCAGGAATGAAGCTGGCTCCCAGCATAAAAGGTAAATGAATAACCGAGAACTTTTCCACGTCCAGAACGGTAAGAAACGCGTCCGACGTGGTCTGGAAAGTGGTGGGCGCAGCGAGCAATTTCTCTGGCGATACGATCACCGCGTCGTGACTTGTCGGTGACCATGACTCAACAACTCCGCCCGGCGAGCTGGAAGGCGTACTTTGACTGTGCCCAGAAGATGACGCATCGCTCTCGCTTGTCTCGGACATGTCGCGCTGCTGAGGTTCGATGCTTAAAGCCCGCATTTCCCTGTATGGATGGGCTTGGACAGCGGAGAGGTGTTTGATGCGCTTGTTCCGACGAGATGTGTAGCCTAATTTCTTCAGGCGAGCACATCTCGCGCAGGCTGGACTGCCATCGGCAGTGACGCTTTTGTCTTTACTCAGGCTGCAGCGGTCGCAGACCCTTGGGGCCATGATCTCAGGTGCGCGGGTGCGCGGGTGGGACATCGGAGAGACGACGACTTCAGCGCAGAATAGTAGCAGGCTCGTAGATCTGAGGCGTTGATGCCAAAGTAGAGAGGTATTAGAGAGTGCGGAGAGGTAAGATCGGCCAATTTCCCCGCTCTTCCCCCAGAATTTCCCCATAGCCGAGGGATGATCGGCGCGCATATTTCCTATTTGGGGTGCTTGGACTCTGGGCAGAATTGTGAGGCAGAGTCTAGATTTAACGTATATTGCAGGATCTAATGCAAATAATACATTCTTGTCATCATAGTCGGAATCTATAGATGTAGATCTATCTTATGAGTGTTAATACTCTACTCCCCGACTCAGTAGAGAGAGCTTGACCCCTAAATATCATTCTCGGGTATTCGGTCTGTCTGTGCAGGGGGAACGACTATGTCCAGGCAGTGTCATATCTTCCAAGTGAGCCCTAATAAACAGTGAGACTGTAGACATCTCGAGAAATCACGCGAAAGCAGAATGAGATAGTGGTACTGGGCTCGAGTGTCTTGATACATCGGCAAACGGACATAACAACATTGAATAAGAGACGACGCGTCGTAAAGACAGTCACTCTAGGAATCATTCACTCCCCAGCTCCGAAGAAAAAGAAGGAGTTACCACTGTCGCCTCCGGGGTAAAGCCCCTCAATTTCTCCCACTCACTCTCCAACATCCCAAGTATGACAATATCATGCCAAACACGGAAATGCTGTACAGCCTCACGCTCACGACCCTCCTCCACAAACCCAAGCTTCTTATACAAATGCAAAGCACGATGATTGAACGAAAAAGCAGTTAGACCAACCCTATGCAAACCAGCCTGCTCAAACGCCCAATCCAACGCCCAATTAATAGCTTCGCCGCCGTACCCCTGACCACGATAACCGCCCCTAAGCGATATCGCCAATGTTGCACTGCGATGATGCGCGAATTCCGGCCCCTGCTGGGAGAGACTCACGAAGCCGATTGGGACCGGCTTGTTTTTCTGGGCGGGTGTGTCGGGGGATTCTGGTCCTTCTGAGTTGGTGGCTGTGTCAGGACGGAGACATATTATGACCCCGAGGAGAACGCTTTGGAATGATTTGACGGCATCTTCGGCGGAGCCGGCGTGGGCTGGGCGTCGTAGACGGGCGCTGCCCAGTAGCTGGCAGGCGTTGTCTTTGAAAAGGTCATGTTGGAGGAAGGTTTTGTCTTCTTCGTTGTTCTCTGCGGCTCGGTAGAGGAGACGCTTGGATTTGTAGAGTTCTATTCCTTCGCAGAGTGTCATTTTGGTGGATTGTGGATGTGGTAAGGAATTGAGATTCAATTTGGGCTTTGGGTATGGGGCTACCTAGTAGGTTATAAGGTATACGCAGTACGATGACTGACTCACCTGAGTTTGAGTCACACTAGGTAGCAGAGCTCTGTCAGTTTTATACGAGAGTCTTAGTGAGTAACGATAGACTAAATCACTAGTGACCAACGAGAATCTCAATTCCAAGCCATGTTACATTTGATGTGCCCGGTGGGGGCTCAAACGCGAAGTCATCCGGCAGCATCGTCGGGGTCCCGATTTGGTGCTCGCCGCCGCTCGCGCCCGTGGCCCGGGCTGGCCTCAATTTTGTTGCTGTCGATAGGTTGGCGATGAGATATATATGCTTGTCATATACACGTGCCTCTACTCAGGTATCATCGCATCCTACTCGCAAGACCCATCGGGTGTAAGTGAAGTATTTACTAGGTGAGTACGCTATGCAAGTGGGTCTACAAGTTTACAAGTAGATACAGTCAACTGGTCAGAATATCTTTGTTGATCTTTCATTTAGAAAGGTGCTGTACACATCCATTCACTTTTGGTGTATAATTAACACTTACAGGTGCGCGCTGAACATGTTACTTGGGTGATTCGGCTCTCGCCGGGCCTGCGGCCCGGGGCGGGGGGGGGGGAGGGAGGGTTGAGTCTTGTATAAGTTATGAATGTACAGAAAAGGTACAAACTAACTTTTGAATGGCTTTCGTCAATTAAGTAAATAGTACAATGGAATTTGACTCTGATGGAAACAACGATTCAATCCCTATCAAAACATAGACACGCAGCCGAAGAACCCAGCAAAATGTAAGAGCAAGTTGAGGATAGGCAAACGAGGACTCAGTCCTATCATGCCGGCCGACTAGTAGTTTGGGATACTATAATATTACCGTTCAGAACATAGCGCTCATTAGTGGCTTGGAAGCTGTTGCAAAAGCCGAGACAGATTGTCTTCGTCGACTTTGGGTGTTTTCAGGCTGATGGTCTAGATATCCAAACAGGGCAGGCCAGCAATCACAACACACATGCTTGACTTTCCCGATCCGGGGGACCATCCATGAAACAAGGAACCACACCGGTACGGTATTCCGCATGACCTATACCAGTCTGTTGACTCTGGACTAACAAAGCTTTCAATACCAGAAAGAACTTCACTCTTGGTCTCTGGAGCGAGCGCTAAAGTTGAAGCGAGCGGGGAGGCTTTGAGGAGCTCAAGGCCCAGCGGAGCATATTTTGCGACTTCAGGCCGCGATAAATGCTACTCGATTGCCCTTGCGTTTGAGATATGCTTCTTGCACTTCTTCTAGCAATTCAATCAAATTCGCTTTTCCCCAAGCAAAGATGGTGATGGTCTCAGCGTCCATAAGCCAAGTGTTGCTAAGATTTGGACGAGGGTTGTGACAGAGGCCAATGAAATAAATCTTCCTTCCACCGTCTGTTGAGAATTTGAGAAATCGGTGTATTCCGTTCTCATGTCAATAATCCTGCCATTAACAAGTCGAATGTTTGGAGGGACGTTGAGGAAGTATAGTGGTTTGGCTATCCACATTGCCGGCTGGTTGCGTAGAGTCCGTCTGCAATATGTGTGTTGAAAGGTTGCAAAGTGAGGCGGCCATATCGAAAAATTCGCGCTCATTAAGAAAGTCTCACTATGACAGTCTTCAGTTGAACTGATTTTTGACGCTTCTCCCTTTGCGGTTGGCTTTGGTCTGCAAAGGCCGTAATCGTTTTATCGGCAGCTCCTCAATGACAGTCAGGTTATGACTGGATCATTGCTACAGCGGCCTCTTTGTAGTCATTGCAGTGATGTCTTTCTGTCAGGAGTACGATGCGGTCTGAGATAATCTTGTAGAGCGGATGCTCTGCTGTTAACCTCTTTTCCGTAGCTTCCAAAGCGATTCGATAGGCATTGATTGCCTTGGCCTGGTTCTGCTTTTTCTCCCATAACTGACCTAAACTCCACATCCCAGTAGCGTAATCAGGGTGCTCAATGCCTCGAGAAAGCTTGACCTTATCGACAGTCGCCAGCGTCAGTGCCAGAGCTTCATCGAGACGCCCTTGACGAGAATAAGCTCGAGCAAGCTCTCCACAGCCCATCAAAACCCCAAGATGATCCTCACCAAGGCTCCGTTTGCCAGCGGCGATTCCCTCAACCAAAATATGTTCAGCCTTTTGTAACTCCCCCTCTTCCGTATATATCTTCGCCAAATAACATAGCGCCCACAGTGTGTAAGGATGTTCCTTGCCCATCTGCGCCTTGCGGCCATTATAGACCTCTTCCATCAGGGATTTTGCGTCGCCGAGTTCTTTCAAATCAAGCAGGGCCATTGCCAGATTATTCTTCGTTTCGAGGACCACCAAGTCGCTCTCGTCCCGAGTTTGTTTTCGAATTGCCAATACTTTCTGATGAATGTCTCTGCTCTCTGTGTAGCGGTGCCAAGAGCCTAATGTGACGCCCAAGTTATCTAACGCCTTGAGTGTGTTTTCATCTCTTTCGCCAAGATGAATTCGCATGTTCTCTGCAGTTTGTTGCTGAAGTTGGAGAGCTTCACAGTACTGTCCGTTGAGCCAAAAAGATTGACCGAGCGAATCCATTGCCAGCAGTGTTTCACGGTGATTTGGTCCTAAGACTTGCTGCCGAGACTTGGCAACCTGTTCTTGCAAAGCTATGGCTTCCCTTAATCGCCCCAAGCCCCAGAGGACGCCGGCTAAGCCCAACATGGCGGCCGTTGTTTTCGCGTCGTGAGGCCCGACAAGCTTGACGAGCGCCTCCTTGGCCAGAAAGAGATAATATGCAGATTTCGAAAAGTCGCCTGTCTCGGCATACAAAATCCCGCACTTAGCGGCATTTTGGATCATTTCTCGAAATGAGAACACTAGAGTGGGCTGGAACAACAACATAAATCGGCGATATCTTCCAATTCTTAGGCCGTAGAACTCTCTGAACTCCATAGGACAGGCATCTAGGCATTCGTTGAGGTGGGGAATCAAACTCCTCCGGAAGCTCAAATCAGGCTCCCTCGACTCCATTGGAGGGAGTGGGATGGATGCCATGAGTGTGTGAAAGGAAACCATCGCCCAAAGACTCCTCTCTTTTGGGGGTATGCGGTCTCTTGCCCAGGCATGCACCAAAGGGTGTAATGAGAAGCTTCGTTCGTCAGATCCGTATGTTATCAATGAAGATGCATACAACTCGCGAAGAGCTTCCCTAATGCATAACGGATGCATATCCTCTGCACTTTGTTTGAGGATTCTGGGAAGTGCCCGAGGTGGTCTCAAGCGACTGATAAGAGCATTCACAAACCCTGCTTGAAGTGGTGCAATTGGAGGTTGAAGAAGATGGCTTCGCTCGAGACTCATACCTCTTTCGAAAATCTCGATTCGTATATTATCAAAGTGATAGAAGCTCACGATGTTGAGAACTTCCACTGCGTCTTGGCTGGGAGTCGTATTACTGGACGCGATGTTTTGGAAAGAAAAATCAAATGTGGAGTAGATATCATCATTCTCGGCATTACGCTCGACGGACTCTCCACTATTTTGCCAGGTCTTTCTTCTCTGCCGGTGTGCTAGAAAGCGTCGGTAGAACGTAAGATATTCTTTCAGGTTGCAGATTTTGTTGTAGATCGAGTTGCCCGCTTGAATGACTGCGAGGGCTAGATAGCCTAGAGCCTTGGTAATCTCATTTCCTGATGTTTCTGTAGGCAAATCCCAGGGCTGGCGAATATCTGCAACTTTCATCAGAAGCTGGAAAGCTTCTCTTTCTCTAAGTCCTTTGACCTCCACATTCCCGACGTTGCCTTTCCTTCGAAGGCTGGGATTTCGTGTGGTTACAAGGATATGGCCTCTTTCACCAGGTATTATAAGGCTTTCAAAGTTTAGATCAGGCTTGTCTGCGTTGTCGATGATGAGCAGCCAGGTCTTCCGGGTTTGTGAGAGAAAGTGTTTGCCAGCATCCTCGGTGGCTTCGAGACCACCTATTCGTCCGATCTTGCAGAATGATTGCTTTGCAGTTTGGGGGGAAGATGCGTCGATGGTAAAAATTGCCCAATAGCTGAACATCATATGTCAGTAATTAGACACCAATATGTTCGTGCTCACTTTCTCACCATTGACGGTTGTTCTGAGCATATTTGGCAGATATCTGTGTCTTTCCAGAACCACCAATCCCATAGACGACAAATCGTTTTTGCTGTTTGATCGACAACAATGTCTGTTCTTCTGGATTGAAAGCTTTCTGGAGTGCTTCCATAATGTGCTCTTGGCCTATAAAATCCATGGAAACAGTGCATGGGGGGTTGAAATGTTCATTTTCCGAAGCGACATCAACGGCGTCATTCTTGCTTTCCGTGGAAAATGGGATTTTGTCCGGGATTTCAAGCAACAGACCAGTTAATTCTGAAGCTTCGCTCCTTCGCATGCGCATCAAATGTTCCATTGCTTCTTTCCATCGGTATGCAACAATTGCTGGCGCCGAGTGGCAATATTTCAAAAGCGCCGATATGACTGTCCGATATGCAGAGTCGGATTGGCAGAATTTGGTCATCTCTGAATGGTTGGAATCCAGAATTCCACATCTCTCTGCGTCAAACATATGAGGAGCAGCAGACGATGGGTCCACCATAAAATCTGCGCCGTTCACGAGCTGTGTTCTTACCCCTTCCCAAAAAAGGTACATATGGACCTTCTTCATGAGTGGAGCAAATTGGTTCGTGACAACCTCCAAGGTATGCACGGTAATGGGATGAGCAGTACTGTCGTTTGGTATACTAAGTTCTCTCTTTGGCTGATGAGCTGTCGTGGTCGATGTAAACAGAGTAAGCCATTTTCCAACGTCGATGTGATCATGTGGCGTTCCAAAGAACAGGATCGCGAAGGTCGAAACATATATAGCATTGAGGTGTGAAGTAAAATGAGATGTCCGGCTTGCTGAATGAACGAGCGCACTTTTGACGATGATGCCCCCGAGTCCGTGGCAGACAAAAATTAAAGGTCTCCTAGAAGCATTTCCCAAGTTCCTCTCGCCCTCCAAGTCTGCCACTAGGGTAGTCGCATGGCTCTGAACTTTGTCCATGAAGTCTGGTCCAGTGAAGAAAGAAGGGCTAGAATCATAATCAAAGGTGAGCACTCGTGCGTTATGGATACGTCGTGGCAGAAGGTCTCTGAGCCATAAAGTACCCGTTTCATGGTGTGTCCAAGCCTCTGTTGAGTTCTCGCCCAAGCCGTGGACTGCGACGATACTATCCAACTCCTTGTCAGTGATACAATAGGCCAAGGTGATATTACAGGCTTTTCTTACTCGACACCATCACTATTCTGATCCAAAAGCGTCCCGCTGAGAACGTGCGAATAAAGCACATGAAGACCCAGCGGCATCATGGAAGTCTAGCTTATGATCGGTCCAGATGTCACGGGGAGGTATTTATGATAGATCTGGCAGCAAATGAAGAAGGGTACTTGATATGAGAAGTGGGGAGGCGGGGGAGGGGATGTTTAATAACGGGAAATCCGCAGCCAAGCACTTGATTCGAGGGTTGTTGGATTGGGGGATCTCATCGTTAATAAAACTAGAAGGGCCCATGCCAGAAACGCTTACATAGCGCGATTCATGAGCGGCGACTGGAACGGAGGTGGTGATAAGCTTGTGGCTTTCTCCACTTGTTTCGGCATAGTACGCAGTCCTATAGCGCTTTCTCCACTTGTTTAGGCATAGTATGATAGTACGCAGTCCTAGCGCTCCCTGTGCGAAACCCCCATTTTGGGTGGATATTTACGCCCGAATGCCTGATTCTTCACCGCCCCATATACCGCTATTATTTCAGGGATCATATCTTTTCTGCCGTTCATAAATAAGGCATCCAGGCACCAACATGCCCAAAATGGGGTTTCGCGCAGGGAGCGCTAGGAGCCTAGGAATGCGTAAGCGTAATGTGTGATATCCATACATTAGCGCCTACTAGTCCGTCACACGCATGTCATGGAACGTCTGCGTGGAGAGATTGCTTCCGTCATGGGAGGTGGCTCCATACCAAGTAGGGAGCAAATCAGGAGAATGCCATACCTTGCTTGTGTCATCAAAGAAAGTGAGTTCAAATTTATTTGTATGATTGGGATTTACGGAGTGATTCATTAATATTCCGCTTCAGGTCTTCGTCTATATCCTCCTGTTCCGCTTAATAACCGCGAAGCGGTGCGGACTACCATTCTACCAACGGGAGGCGGCCCAGATGGAGATAAGCCCATGTTGGTAAGAAAAGGTGAACTGGTTGTTTTTTCACAGTATGTGAATTCAAGAAAAAAGAACATTTACGGACATGATGCATACGAATTCCGTCCTGAGCGATGGGAGAGCGGTGAACTTGCTAATATTGGCTGGGGCTTCTTTCCCTTCAGTGGTGGACCCCGCCAATGTTTGGGGGAAGACTTCGCCCAGATGGAGGTTTCATACACTATCGTGAGGATGCTGCAAACATTTTCGCACATCTCCTTACCCATAGGGGAGCCAAATGAGCCAGTCGGAAGCGAAAAGCAGCAGCTGACACTGGTCCTATTGAGCGCTGAAGGATGTAAAGTGGAGATCCTAAAAGGGTAGGAAAGTCTCTGACCCTCTCGGATACAACAGATTGGAGTGCAAATAGAGCCGAAGGAAATGTACGGCATGACCTAGTGCCCAGTAGGCCCTTTCGTGTTTTACTACATTGCTTCTCTGCATATTACACCGCTTTTCTCACCGCTGTTTCAAACGTTTACCATTTTATAAATTACTGTTTTTTAACTATTATTGATTTACCCCTCTCATCTCCACTGTTTCTACACTGTTTCTACACTGTTTCTACACTGTTTCTACACCATCATGCCTCGTCAAATATTGATATTCAGTCTCACAAGGGATGAGATCATCGCATTTTTTACCAATGGAGCAACAATACAACAGCTTTGTACAAAATTACAAGAAGACTATACCTGTTGGCAGGTCTACTGCCTGCTTGTCTCAGACGAAGGGCAGGTTGTTGCAATTGCTTGCACAGGGATCGGATTCCGATTGCTCTGATGTTTGTTCGTTGTTGTTCTTGTCTCTCTAAGGGGTTCAGGTGGAAGGCTGGGTAGCAGCCTTCCGCCTGACTGCTGACTAAGATACATCACGTGGCCATAGTACAAACAACACTGGCAGTCTTTGAAAAATCGAAAGAAACAACGGCATGTCCTAGACTTGTAGTCCTCCACTGGACCTTTGAGGTCTCTCTACCCAGCCTTCCACCTGAACCCCTTAGAGAGACATGAACAACAACGAACAAACATCAGAGCAATCGGAATCCGATCCCTGTGCAAGCAATTGCAACAACCTGCCCTTCGTCTGAGACAAGCAGGCAGTAGACCTGCCAACAATACCATCAAAATCGCTCCTCGTACGATGAGGAAGCGCCTCAAAGCATGGGGCATTGCTAAAAATGCACCTCCAAAGACAATTGGAAACCTGGAAATTCAAAAACGGATCCAAACCTTACTTTTCCAAGTAGGTCTTGACGATTATCATATCCACCAAGTCCTCTGCAATGAAGGGATTCAAATTGGTCATCGTACGGTCCAAAGAATACGACTTCATCTTGGATTTCGACGTCGAAAAGATGACCATCAAAGCCAAGAAGCTGAAATCGAACAAATCACTACTATTCTTGAATCAGAGCTTGGAACTGGTCGAATTGAAGGCTTCGGAAAAGTCCATCTTCAGGAACATATTGTTACCAGCCAGATCTTTAAACAAAAGAGTGCATTTAGACGAAACAATAGCTATGGGAAAAGAAGAGAAAGAGAACAAGAAAGAATCCACAGAAGGCTTTTTATCTCTTCCTCCTCAAGTCACAGGTTCTCACAGCTCTCGTATCAGCCGCACTCACCACCCATCATGTGACGCCTGAGTCCTGATCGTCACACATATTCGAAGACAAGGATATCTATTCAGTGCCCGGTAAAAGTTTGTTTGATGTTTATCGATTGATGCGTCCTGATTTATTACAACGACGTAAACAAGATCTTCAACGTATGAAGGGTGTATACACAATTTGATTATGTGGAGCGAGAGAAACGTGCTAAGATCTATGTCATTCTTGACAAGAAGCCTCGTACGATAGAGATCAAATCAGATCCTATTTCTCCAGGACCTGCATCGCCAATTGCTTTGAAATTGGAGACACCAATTGCTCCTGAGCCACAAGCACCAGATGCTCCTGAGCCACAGGCACCAATTGCTCCAGAGTCAGAGGTATCAATCATTGATCTTGACGCCTCTGAGCCAGTGGCTATTGATATTGAAACTCTTGCCAAACCTCGTGAACATCCATTTCGTCCTCGTACGCATGGCAAATACTTCATGACTGAGGCAGAGATGAGGGCACATATACAAAGAATTGATGATGCAGTTGCTCGAGGTGACTCTGATGATGGAGGTGAGCCTTTATTCCATCCTGATGTCATTATTTATGGTAAACCACCACCTGAAGGGGAGCCATTTGATCTATCCTCTGCTTCTATAGCAAAGCAGAGGTCGTACAACAGGCAAAGGAAGTGCCAATGGCGCTAAAAGAGCGGGCAGCTGGTCCTCAGTTTATTTGGCCTTTGAATTGGGAGCCTGCACCAATTCCTGCGCCTGTGCCGATGCCTACCGCTGCGTCAATTCTTGCGTCGATTCCTACGTCTGCCCCTAAGTCTGTACAATTACAGAGGACTCGATCAAAGAAATCGACTCAGCAAAAGCAGCAAGTCTCTAAATCTGCTTCTGCGCCTACTTCTACACCTACTTCTACACCTACTTCTACACCTACTTCTACACCTACTTCTACACCTGTGTCCGAGTCTGTACGACCGCAGCAGATAAGGTCAACTCAGAAGCGATTGGAACCTACAGATGTCGGTACACCTCCAGCACGTCGAACTCGGTCTCGTCTAGCAAGTAAAAAGGATTGAAAAAGTGATAGTTTTTGTGTATTTAGTTTAGTTTGGTTATTTTGTTTATTGTAGAAGATGATTTTATAAAAAGGGTTTGCTGCTTTTCAATAGAAATTGATTGAAGGAAGCTCCAGAGGATAGTAAGAGAGAGAACCCATTGGCCCCAAAAACGCCGAGTACTCTCCTCCCATTGCTGTTGTCGATTCCTCCAGATCATCTGGAACAGATCCCTGATAGCGTTGAAGATCTTCCTGGCGAGATTCTTGATCATTCCCAGCAGGACGACGATTTCGAGCGCGACCTCCAGGACGTCTTTGACGGAAACGAGAGCGCCCTTGGTGCGATGTGGTTAGCGAACTGACCCGCACGGAGGGAGAGTGGGAGATTGGTGAAGAGGGGAAGAGGTCTGCGACGGTGAGGTGCATTATAGATCATGGAACAAAATAGACTAACCTGATTTGGACTAGCACTCGTAATCTTACATGATCGAATACACAAAGTGGCAGAATCGCAAAATAGCAAAGTGGTAAAACACGAAAGGGCCTACTGGGCACTAGCTCATGCCGTAGAAATGACTCAAATGAGACTCATATTGGCGCCCGAAAACCTCTAAGTCTACGTCGCTGTCATGATGTGGCTGGTTCGAAACCCCGAGTAACTACTTCAAGAGGCATTTGGCTGTGCCCAGTGTTGCGCGTTTTCGTGGGTCATTGTTTTGTCCATGGCCCTCTTCACCTTGATAACAAAACTCTTATAACTATAACAAGGAAATAATAAGACCCTAATGCGAGTGCCGAAGATCATATCACATGATAACAAGCAACTATCAACAGACAACAGTCTTGTATATTCCTTGTTGTCATGCGGGTTTAGGGGCGACTTCCATTCAGTAACAAGCATCACATACCAGAATTGGTGTCAAATTTTGAAACTAGTCTCCTCCAAAGCCGCTCAACTTGCCCCATGACCGCTGCAGCAAATCACCCAGGGATCAGTCTACGATACTACCGCACATGCATGCCTTGCATGCACCAAACGTTTCATTTAATAAGCGCCTACACTAATGCAGGCTTGGCCACCGAGCGCAGACCAAAATAACGCGGCAGAATTTAGTTTCGTGCCCAATGACAGATGGTTCGGATTGCTGACGGGGTAAGATAACTTCAAAAAAAGAAACGAAGATAACATAAGAGCACGTAAATCCCCATCTGATCAACAGGTCCAAAACACACATTCTTCCGGTCTCTACATATAGACTCTTTTGACTCTGCATCATCATTGAACTATCGCAGTCACTCCGCAAATGTACGGGATTCGAGAGTTATACCGTCCGGTTGATGGTTCAGTTGAAGTTGAGTGGGTTTTCGATAACTTGCTAGTGTTGAAATCTATTAACATCTAAATAGCATAGTTGCCGTTCATGGACTCAATGGTCACGCAACGGAGACATGGACGTCCAAGCAGGGCACATGCTGGTTGAGTGATCTAGCTTTCCTGCCAAAATATATCCCGCGTGCCCGGGTTTTAGTGTGGGGCTATAATGCAAGCATCGCGTCCTGGAACGGGAAGACACCCAGCTCGGACAGGGTTTTACAACATGCACAGACAATGGTCTCGCAGCTCGAAGCCGATAGAGATGTAGGTACTTTCTGAGACTATTAGATGGAACGCTGCTGATGATCATAGCTCGAAGATGCAGCGGAAAGACCAATCATCTTTCTATGCCATTCTCTCGGTGGTATAATAGTCAAAAGAGTGAGCGATTCATGAATACACACTATCATTATAAACACCAAAGTCTTTAATACGCTGACCATGAACAGGCGTTGGCTTATGCAGAGAGTCGGCCCAAACTCGCACATATCTACTCAATCTACACCTGTACATTTGCTATCCTTTTCTTCGGCACCCCACATCATGGATCGAGCAAAGCCAATCTTTTTGGTAGCCTGCAGAAGCTCGCAACACTTGCGGTACCAAAGACTGCCATGGAGTTCGAGTCGGGACTGGTGAACGCACTCGAAAAAGAATCTGAGATATTGCAGAATATTACCGATCAGTTTGCCCCACTGATGCCTAACTTCCGCATTTTCTTTTTCTGGGAGCAGGAGAAGACCAATCTCAAATACAAAAGAGACTATATCGTGGAAGAAACAAGTGCAGCGCCAATCCTCGACAATACTGAAAGATGCGGCATCGGTGCAGATCATCAAGGAATGTGCAAATTCCACAGCCCAGCTGATCAAGGGTTTAGAACCGCAGTGGCAGCACTACGGCGCTATACACGAGATGCACCTAGTGTGATTCAGCGGAGGTATCAGAGGTCTGCGGACGTGCAACGAGATGAGAAAATGCTCCAGGCTGCAGAGCTACTGGGAACAATTCCACCTCGAGTTCCGGGCTCCTGTCAAAACTTTTCACGTTCTCTTGAAGCTGCGGACAGTGTCTTTCTTGGGAAAGCCAGGGGCCCCCCATCTAGTGCTCATCAGGGATCAAATCTTAAAGACTGTATGGCGCAAGAGGGTTAAAGTATGGCTGTATCTTTCCCTGAATGGCCGGGTGAAGTACGACGGCTCTCCCCTTAAAGTGATCGGTAAGTTGATATCCTCAAGCTGTCTTGACACGATACTAACTTCCCTCTAGAGGGAAAGGAGCCTGCGAGACCTGAGCCAGCTCATGTGGCGGGCCATGAGCATAAGCAGGTGGAGGTTGACATTAAGGATCACTACTGACCTGACCCCGGACTACATGAGGAAGCCTACGACACTCATGAGTTCCCGTTAGGGGTGGTGGTGTCTGTGGCTCAGTTCCGGTAGAGGTATTGAAGGCCTGCCGGGCTGATGCTTATACTTATTATATTGGAGGAATGGGTTGTTCTTTCTTTTCGTTTCTTCCACGTTTTCTTTCTTCTATAGGGGTATAGAAAGAGACAAGTGCACTATGTCATGAGATGTAGTGTAAAGAATAAGCTATGTTCCCGGTAATATGCATAACTGTGCAGACGCTTTGTGCAACATTAAAAGCCACGAGATAATGAGAATGTTCAATTTGAATGCTATAGGTTGCTAACAAGACAGAGAAAAAAATCATATACAATTGGTTGAATGCATCATCATCATATCAGCCCCTATTAATCGCGGTGGGGTCCACGCCCCTTCTCCCAGAACCAATGATACAAGCTCTTCCATTCAACCGCTTCATCCTCAACGTAATCACCAACAAGCTCAGCCGTCTCGTTGATCTCATCGGGAATTGACGGTATCTTCAGACCCGACGACGCGTCAATGCCATGATCCGTAGCCCCGGTAGCATTAGCAGCACGCGCTGAGTTCGATGTCATATCAACAGCGAGATTCCCAGAGTTGGCCTTGAGAAGCTCCTCGGTGCCCTCTCTTGTCCTCTCTGCAAAATCACGCGCACCTTCACGGGCCATCTCTGTATATTCCTCCGCCTGTTCGCGGGCACGTTGCATAAGTTCCTCGGGCGACGGATAGCGACGACTCAGCAATAGGAGGAGGTAGTAACCCTTAATAATCGTTGCGTATACGGCGTCTTTGGCAAGCATTGTAAAGCCGTGTGAAAAGAAGCCCTTAAGGACTTCACCTTGAAGACCGGAGTAAAGTCCGGTAATACCATCCTCACGGGCGATGGTGGCGACTGTGGAGAGTATTTGCGGAGTGAGGGATGCAAGGAGGGAGTTCTTGGCCTTTGTATTTGGAGCCCCTGATTTAGAGTCTGCACTCGTTACTTGAGCTCGCGTCTTTGCAAGTGAGAAGGGGTATGTGATTGAGGAGGCAGCGACTTTGCTCAATGCGGCCAAGAGGAAAGTCAAGGCTGGCGGAGGTCTCTCGCGTTTTGAACGGGGTAGCAGGGTTCGTTTGAGAAACTCGTTGAGGAAGAATGTGAGAGATGGGTTCAAGGTAAGTATGAGAGTGGCAGAGTATCCGGACCAAAAGCCCAAAATGCCCTTCTCGGCGCGAATGCGAGCAGCGATGTCACTAGTAGACAGATTTACTGAAGCACCGCCCTTTCGTGCTGTAGATGTCTGCTTGCGCGCCACGATATTCGACAGTGGCGTGGTGAATAGCTTGGCAAAGGAGCCAGCCAGTATACCAACGGCCAGTTCGTCAAATATCGGAAGCACCGCGTTCTTGCTCTTGGCAGCCCGCTCAGCGCCGATACGCGCAGCTAGTCGCCTCTGTCGAATCGCACTATATGCAAGGAAGAAAAGGAACGAGTCTGCGACAGTCTTCCAGGTATCCTGGGCCAGGCCAGGGTAGAAGCCACTGATGCCTTGCTGGGCGTAGATTTTGCGAGCAGCATCCAGTACACTTGTCAGTTCTTCTTCCTCGTCTTCATTATCCCCTGTTTTCTCGCTCGCGTTTTTGGCTTTCTGCTTCTGTGTTTGTAGACGAGCGACGATGACGTTGAGAGGGTAGACGACGACATTGGAGATTGCTGCGCCGACAGCACCGGCGGTCGCATTTCCTAGGGCTGGAAGGGCTGGGCCGCGGAGAGCGGCGGATTTCCAATCGCGCGGGTCGTGGGCTTCGTAGCGGTAGGAGGGGTGGTACACATCCTTGACGGCGTGATGTTAGCTTCACTGTTGGTTTTATACAGTGCGGGGAATGGCGAGTTATGGACAGGAGAAAGGGCATCAAATGGAATTTGAACACACCAGTTGGGACTCGTAGGATAGCCTGTATTCAGCCATGGCTCTGCGAAGGGGCGAAGCCTGGTGCTTCGGTTGACATTCAGTTCTGAGAGAATCGCTGTTATGCTCCAGATCAAGGCCTCAACATCTGGTTTTCGAATGAATCGAAATATCAGATATACAGTAGATGCGTCCAAGATGTAGGATACGACTCAGTATTAGTATGAGGTAAATGGGATGATTCCCAGGAAGCTATGAACGTGATTTCTTGAGACCGAGGTCCCTGGGCAGCAGTGCCATGAGGATTACATCATGCCGATCCTGGTCCGTGCATGTTTCAGGCCACAAGGCAGGCAACTTCCACTACATCAAATGTGGATCTTCTCGCTGCACAGGGGATGTCGTCCATGCTGTAGGGTATTGTGTCCATTAAGATGGACTCGACCACAACGTACGAACATGCATATAAATAAGCATTTGCAGTCACGAGGGATATCGTATCGTAAGCAAGAAAAAACAGTGCGTCCACAACCCATCTCACCATCCTCGAGCTTGAGCTTCGGGTGAGTTCCAAAAAAAAAGATAACAGGCCCGAGCCGCGGATTGAACGCGGGACCTCGCGCAATAATGCTCAGGTTTTGAATACCCTAAGCGCGAATCATACCACTAGACCACCCGGGCTGTTGTTGTAGAAAGCCATATTTCGTTGTTTCATGTAGAACTCATTGACGTTACAGTCTAGTTTAGGCCTAGTCTCAGCTTAGCACGTCTGCATGCCCCATGGGAGGCCTAAAAAAGCTCGGCTGCCGCCGGACGTTAAAGAATGCAACAACAGCAACATGGAACTCCTTGACATTACTACTACTTACACACTAGTTAATGTACATCCTTGGACACTGGCTCTGACGGGCAGGCCCCCACCGGCTCCCGTTCACAGCCCCCCTCGCTCTTGTAGAGCTTACGGAGTTTTCACAACCACTTCATCTTTCCAGATGAATGGGTGTTTCCATTTGACCTCACGGTCAAATCCCCAATCAATCTCCTTGTCGGCACGTACTGGCCTCGTAATGCCAGTGGTTGTAGACTCGACGCAATTGTGAAGCGTAATCAACTTCACCCCCACCCTATCTGCTGCTTCATGCAGTTTCACCAGACGTGGAGACTGGTCCTCAAATTGGTGTTCAAGGACTATCTCTTTCAGCGATTCTAATTCGCGAGTTTGATTAAACTCTGGGGAAGCTCTGTATGCGAGACAAGATAGCAGTTTGTCACACAAAGTGTTGAACTCGTCGCGATCTTCGACTTGAATAATCTCTAGCTTCTCAAGGCGTGGGGGAAGTAGCTGGCGCACAGGCCGTCCTGCGTTCAGTGTGCCTTCCCAGTCCCAAAACGATTCATGATGCCGATTGATCATATGTTCCTTCCTTGCACTGGTGACAAGATGGCCAGCCGAGATCCTGAGTCTCTTCAGGCAATAAAGGAACCATAGATTGATTGGTCGGACGAACAATGTCTCCTGGCTGTTCCTCCCGGATCGGTTGAAGGATAGTTCTAGGCAAGTCAAGGTCCCACCCAGAGGGCGAAGCGCCAACCTGAGGCTCCGAGTGCCTACGAAATGCGTCATGTCATGATTCCAGTTCCATCCACGTTGGTAGATGAGGGTACTCAGGTTGAAAGCTCCGCTAAAGAGTCTCTCAGTGACATGATTGGGAAAAACGCATTCCCGGAGCTCGATGTAAACAAGGTTACTCAAATCCCCATGCAAATTCGCGGGAGACCGTAGCGGACGACTCCATCTGACACCGTAAAAATGTGTCACTTTGCGCAACTGGACTATTTGCTTGAGTGCAATTATATTGCCCGCCGGGGAATCTCCGGCAACTTCGGCTTTGAGTTGCCAGAGCTTAGGCAGGAGAGTGCGCTGCCCGTCAGGTTGTCCATCGGTGTAAACTGCGGTTACACCAGCGGGCGTGCCCAACGCACGTTCAAATAGGTTTGCCTCTCTCGGGAGGAACAAATAGAGACCAGGGTTCTCAATAGCAATCTCGAGACGTTCTAAATTGGGGAGGCTTGCGAGCAAAACAGCTAGAAGCGCGTCAGACCGTGGGACTCGCAACATGAGTTCGTCAGTCAGGTCCTTCTTGAGCCTTTCGGTAAAGGGGGCATCTCTGATGGCACGCACGATGATCATGCGGTCTTGGGCCGAGAGCCGAGGAAAGTTGTACGGTCTATTTGTATGGTCGATAAGCCACTTTCTGTGCATCCAGCACAGGTCATGGAGGTTGGTAACGTCAAGTGAGGTGGTACATATTTGAAGGTCTGGTCTGCGGAGGACAGTGACCAAAAACCTTTCGATCTGTATATATCGCATTAGAAAGCAAACTTATATCTGGACATGTGATAACTTACACCACGACGATCAACCTGATAAGCGACATCGCTGTGAATAATTTTGTTCAACGGCGGGGTTCCCAAAGACACGTTCGAGTACAGATGATCAATCGCCATGAAGTAAAACGCCTTGTCAGAAGCGACCAAACGGGCCAGTGTAAGTTGGTCATCCCAGAGGTAGTCGACAATCATGGCTTTTACCTCCGGAGGGAGAGGTCGAGGACACGGTGTGGGGGAAAGTGACTGGTCCATATTGCCAAGTTAGGGCTGGATCAATCGATAAAGAGCGATAAGGTGATGGAGATGTGGAAGAAGTAAAGTCCGAAGTTCGAGGTCAGACTAGAAAAGCAAGTCGCGATGGAAAGTTCGTGCGTGCACCTTCCTTGTTCGGTAGATAATGCGCTTTCCTCAGGAGCCTTTGACGAGGTCACAAGGCTTCGGCAGCCCATTGCTCTTGCACTTTGATACCTGCCACCATGCTCTTTCCTATTCTGCCTAGAGCATAGGCATTTGAGGTCTCACACTGCCTACCCAGGTGTGTACACAGTACATTCAACGTGTGGATAGGTACCTTCCTTGCGGTTTGGAAAGCCCCCGAGAAACAACTGAGGCATTTGAAGTTCATAAAAATTAGCACATATACAGGACCTACAGGTAGTTGTGAGTATATGGGCAATTTTGGGACTCACTGATTACCTCTTTGATGCTAAATCATCATACAAGAACCATTCTGCGGATTGCTCCATATTGCAGGCCCATGAACTTCAAAGCATTTCCGATGGATTTAGACTTCTTAACAGACAGGATTGTCACTTACTGTAGTTGAAGTTATAGCAGACATAGCGGTAGCTCCTGTAGTCACACTATTTGCAATAGCCTCCACTGGTCCAGGTCGAAAACGTGTCAGCATAGCCTTCGGGGCTGCGTACTTCTTGTTAGCATGTTTACTGTATCTTCAAAGGTCAACCAGGAGATAGGTTCTGTTCTCCGTCGCTTTGTACGCCGATGTATCACGTTTAGAGCGACGCCTTGCAGCTATCCTCCACCTAGGTTCAGGGCCTTGCTCGTCAATTCCATCTGATCCTTTGGTACCTTGTCGTTCGATATTTTATCCACGCCATATCCTATATCGTCATCCTGGTTATCTATGCAATGATTCGAATGTTTGGTTGGGATAACACTGACCAAGGACATACGCTCGAACCAATCTGACGCCCCCCGACAGGAGTCACAGGACTCTTGGTGCCTGAATCGGAGGGCTTCGTCCAGTCAATCCTGGCAATACTTTCCTTGTCCGTCAAGGTGGGATCATTGAGAACAGCTTTGATGTCGGATAGGACACTGAAACGATGTTGCTGGCGTTTGACAGAAAGATGTCGTTGTCAAAGAAACTGAGGGATGGATCTTGTGTCACATGCATCCGCCTTGCTCGGCCTGGGGTATAAATACACCAATAGTAAGACCAATAGTAAGGGCAGCTGCAGCTGTAGTAATACCAAAGGCATTGGTAACTACAGAGACCCCCCTCCCTTTCACTAACTACTGCGCAGTGTAGTGGGAGACCGGGAAGTGCGCTAACTATGTTGCGGAATGGGCGGTGTAGACCAATCCCTATCAATCAAAAGATCTAAGAACACCCATTCTAATGTATCGGTAAATTGGGACTGTCTATTGTCGTGTCTTCATGATGACATGCGCAGTAAAAAGCAACTTTGTAAGAGCTAAGGTAGGTAGGCCTGAATCCACCCAACATTGTGGGTCCTATGGGCGATTAAGCCGCAATAAAAAATAAATGTGCATCATCCGTGAATCGAACACGGGCCTCGTCGATGGCAACGACGAATTCTACCACTAGACCAATGATGCCAGTTCATGTGTTACGGGTCGCCTTTGCGCTATATCAATTAAACCCAGTTATATCTCCATTCAAAAAGTCGCGCTGCAGCCCTGAAGTCTGGCTCGGACGAAATGACCGATTTTTCGCTATGGTCGCATCTTTAATTGTATTTACAAGGTCAATCAAGCCTGATTTCCCTTTTCCTCAAATTTCGAATAATCATTTGACGAGCTTCCGGAAAGAGCCTAATGGTATAGTTTTAGGCGGTTAATGGGGTGTCTGGTGACTATATATCTCACGGGCGATAGGTAGCAGGCAGGCAACTTGTGCAGCCCGGTGGTGGCCGGGCAAAGAAACCAAGGTGCAAGTACACACGTGAATATGCCAATTACCGAAGAAGCATTTAATACATCGGAATTCAACGACGAGATAAAACTTCCTTGTATGGGAGCGTTCCTTATTCTCGAAGTAAGTAAGACCATTCCGGAATCTCCCCGACGAGTTTCCACATATACTTCTCCAGCTTGATCGCACACCTGGAGTATACCGTTTTTGCATCATTGAACTGCCGGCAATTGCTGAACATCAAGCTGAGGTCGCCGACGAGGTCCTTCGGGGTAGCATAACGACCAGGATCACTTTCCAATCTCTCTTCTATGGTCGACAGATCAATTGGCGAATCAATGGCCTCGTAATAATGCGGCACTGCTTCTCTATTAACTGGTTCGAGGAAAGGCCACGCATGCCTGTGGTTTTGAATTTGATTCAAAAAACGTCGAAGCTCGTTGAAATGTGGTCCTGGTCTGTGGGAGGACTCTCGTGCTAACTTGTCCATAGCCGGAGTCCAGCCCGTTGCCTTGATAGCAAGAATAGAGAGCGGATCGATTGACACAATGACGCCGTCAGCCCATTGCGGAGGGGGTGGATGGATGATATGATTCTTGCTAAAGGTACGTATCTTGGCGAGGACAGATTCCTTCTGTTTAAGGAGCATTCGACCAGCTTCGAGGTACCGTATCCGGGGAAGCATAGAGCATTGCATAAGTGTTCCTCCCTCGTAATCCTTGATGTACCCCATCCAGATAGATTTATCGAGAGTGATATCCTTGGTAAAGCCCTGTTTCTGGAAATATCCGATGGCATTGTTGTCGGCATAAGTTAGAAAGTGCATCACTGCGGATGTAGCTCTGACATAGTCCTTTAAGTGGGCCATGAGATGCGCTCCGTATCCCTTCACCTGCTGGTCCGAGGATATGGCGCAAAATACGACTTCAGCGAACTGGCGGAATTGTCGGAATGATATACCGCCAATGACCTGCAAGGGCATTTTGACAATAGCGATAGATAAGTGGGAGCGATCATAGACGAGACGGGTTATGTATTCTTTCGGCATTTCCGGAAGTTGCCTTTGAAACAGGCATTTGAGACCCGTGAGAATGATCGCGTTGTCTCTGGAGCCATCATTGTTGACGACTCGGTACTCAATCTCACCATTTAGTTCTTCTAAGACTGCAGGCTTTCGAAGAAGTTAGTAAAAAACATTGCGAGCATAGGGTGTGGAGGAGTCAGCATGCCTTGTCTGGGAAAGGGATTCTCCGGACCGGGGCTGGCATCTGTTGTGTCAACGCATGATCAAGGCTTTTGGTTCTCTTGGCATCAGGAGTGATCGGTTCTTCCGCTTCGTAGGCTGGACGCTTCCACCCCCTGTTGACTGAAGATGAGTCCGACCCTGCTTTGTCCATTTGAATTAGATGTTGCTGAATTTGAACTTGCGTGAGGTGATTTGTAAGTTATTGCAGCTCTTCGAAGTTGGCAGAGTTGGGAGGTTCCAGGTGACACTTGAAATTAAGCCCCTGGAGCCTGGATGTTTGCCTGGGATTGAATCTACACGTGACAATCTGCAACTTTGGCGCAACTCCAAGTCACGTTCTTCTAACCTGGACCGACCGTGATTTTCGGACTTCAAACACTTTGAATCGAATATCTAAAGTGTGCCTGGCCTGGAATTTGGCCCAGAGTGGATACGCTCCCCGGATCATGACCACGGCCAAAGCGGGGCAGTTGGCGAACCTTACCGGAAGACACGCGAATCTCAACGCGTGTCTGTCGAGGTGTATTTGCTAGTTCGCGAAGCAATATACAAGTCAACTCCCGACCGACAAGCGAACAGAGAAGAAGCCATCGGAGTGACGGCCGAACTTCCAATTATCGAAGAGATGGAGAACCGAGTGTCTCTTGGCTATATCCAGCGGGCCGTGTGGGAAGGGCGCTTACCACTGGAGATCGTCCTGGCTCCATCTGAAAGTCGAACTTTTGATAAAACAGATCCATATCTTGTGTGTCTATCTTCGAATCACTTGACAATGACCAAGACTGATCTCAATTGCTAGATCGCGTATTCACGCATCGCATATCTCCCCTCCTTGCTCCCCAGGCTTCGAGCTTTCTTTTCTAGTTCATTGATAGACCCAAACTCCCAGTCTCACGATGGCTGGTTTGAGTTTGAAGGCGTGCCTCTGAAATGGCACTACCCAGTCGGGCTTCTATTCGATCTCTACGCCGGCGTAGACCCAGCCTCAAAGACCGCCGCCAGAGGCGACGAGTCCCCCGAGAACGGATCATCACCCTGGCGTCTGATTGTGCATTTTAGCGACTGGCCTGATGATCTTGTCCGACTTGATGCCAACGGAATGGTCATGAATGACGCTTTCATCAACAGTGTGAAGGAGGCAGACTTCCTCCGAAACGGCACAGCCAAAGGCATCATGAGTCTCTCCAAAGAAGATTCATCGGGTCTTTGGAGGGCGGTCGAAGAAAGTGAGTAACAGTTTCTGTGCATAAATTACTTTACTGCATTTGTGATGAGGTCTAGTCTGACTCCAGCCAAAACAGTCGACCTTCCCTCCTTCCAACGCATATCAAGTATTCTACTTCCTCCGCTTTCGCAACCTTTCCGCAACGTACCGATCCGCATCTTCCTGCCTCTTCCTCCAGACTCCGAGTCTGCGGCGCTGAAAGTAGTACAATCGCCACTTCCGCCATTCGTGCAGGCATCCAGTATGCAGTCAAGTCAAATCTTAACATCGCGGACCAGCCATGCCACCCAAGCTCAAACGATCGGAAGTGTTTTGCACGCTTTATTACCAAACCTCTTTCCCAGTCGCAGAACTCCCGTTCTTGCGAAGCCGGTTTTACACGGCGCTGTGATACCAATGTCTGCTCCAATCGAAGAGGTTGTACGGAGCTCTGCTTACGGTGATGGGTGGGCGTATCTAGTCGTCCGGATGATGGGCTGAGCCGACATCCATATTTTGTGAAGAACCTTTGCTCAGCCGAGGAATGGCAAGAAGACTCTCCCTTAATATTAAAAAGGTTCATGCGTCGATACTTCGAGGAGGCGCCTTAGACAGGATGCTTGAGATTCTCTAATTATCCTTTTCAATACCTGAACACTTCATATCCATGCCCAGCTCGGATCAAAAGGGAAGATAGAAAGAGGTCCACGAAAAACGAATTTTGGCTCAATGAAGACTAACGCTGCGCTATGTGTGAAGCAATGGGAGACAACCACCGAGCGAGGAAAGAGTATAAGAGTGAAGGGCAAAGTAGAGGGAAAAGAGGGAGGAAAAGGATAGGATGTATGCGAGAGGGATATTTAAATGGAAAAAGAAATGAGACAGGAATTCTATATCAACAAGAAGAAGACGCGGTGGATGTATGGCTTGTCGAAGTAGTTGATGCTCGCGATCCCCAAATCGAGCCATCTTCACCAACCAAAGTCGAGCCTCCTATCTCTTCGACTTCGGAGCCAACGTCAATCGAGTAGATAGTCGTGGCTAGACTTCGGCGCTGCTGTGGCGGTGGTAGTGGCTGCAGCGGGCCTGTATCATCGAACCACAGCATACTGACTGGAATTTGGTGGGCGAGATCTGATGCTGTCTGACCGTCCCCTTTGACCTTGTCATTCGTTGGTGTTTCACCGGGATCTTTAATAGAGGAATCTGCACCCGCATCTAAAAGGATTTGGGAAATATTGAATCGGCCTCGCTCTGCCGCCAAATGTAATGGGGTTCTGCCATCAGTTGTTCTTACATCAAGCGATGCACCATTCTCGATAAGCAGTGATACTAGTGACTCGCGTGGCGAATTAATCGTCACTGCTAAATGAAGTGCTGTCTCGGCGTAACAAGATGCCACAGGGGCATTGATGTTTGCCCCGTGGGAGAGGAGTAATGAGAGGAAACTGGCAATATTCTCAGCCGAGGAATCCGATGAGTCGCAAGCATTAATAACAAGGTGATGCAGAGGTGTGCGGCCACTGCTAGTTGTTGCATTAGCACTAAATCGAAAGTTAAGTAGTGCCTCCACAATGTCAAGACAGCCATCGTTGAGAGGGGGCGTGATGTGAAGAAGAGTTTCTCCCTTGGCAGTTTGAACATCTAGCCGCGCTCCCTGTTCCACCAGGAAAAGGAACATGTCTCTGTTTCCTGTAGCGGCAGCACATTGTAATGGTGTGTAGCCCCGGGAGTTACAGGCTTCTATGTTCGCGCCTTGAGCGAGTAAATGTGCCGCAGCTGAAGTTGTGGAAGACGCACGTGCCTGCTTATGAAGCAGGGAGTCGCCATAGCTATCCCATGCGTTAATGTCTGCACCCCCAATGATCATCAGATCAAATGCGACCCAGTGGCCTTTCGAAGCAGCGAGGTGTAATGCAGTGACTCCGTGCGCGGAGCGAGTTTCGAGCTGAGCGCCACGTTCTAGGAAGAGAGACACTGATTCACAATTGTCTGTTTCGCAAGCCATCTGAAGAGCCGTGATACCGTCTCGGTTCAGCACGTTCATACTGGCCCCTTTCTCTAGAAGGAAGGCGAGGATTCGTGGTCGCCTCAATTCAACCGCTAGATGAAGCGAAGTGTTTCCAGTGACCGTGTTTTGAACATCCATGTCAAATCGACTTCTGATCAGAAGTGAAACCGTTGCTTCATCATGGGTTGTCCCGATAGCTGTCTGAAGAGCTGTTGCGCCTTCCTTATCTGCTATTCTGGACTTGGCTCGTCGATGAAGCAAAAACTTGATGAGTTTTCGGTGCCCTTGTTCTCCAGCTATGTGCAGAACGGTTTTTCCCTTCTTGCAAGTGGCGTTGATATTCGCTTCGGAATTGAGGAGCATTTCCACCATCTCCTCATGGCCGCGGTAGACCGCACAGTGCAAAGGGGTGACGCCGATTTGATTATCACAGTCGTTGACATCAGCACCCTGATCAATCAGGCGTCTCGCCTTGCCAATGATGCCGAAGAAAGCAAGCACATGCAGAGAGGTCCAGTCGGGGAAGTACTTTCCAAAACCTAGTTGCTTCGGCATTTCAAGCACGAAATTGCAAGGTTCTGCTATTGGCGGCCGCCTCCAGCAAAGCTTGTTGAGGAACGCTCGGATGAGCACTTGCGTCGTTTGCTCATCTTCACTAACTTCACGAGCATGATCTCCCCAGAAAGCCGTGGCATAATCAAGTAGCTTACCGCGGGGTTTGCGAGGAGTCGCTCCTTGAGTGACATAGCAATCGTCCACTACTTCATCGGGTGTAATGACCGAGAGGCATACATCTGCAATATTACCCTTAGCAGTAGGAAAAAACACCCGAGCTGCAGGTCCACTGAGATATTCCTTAGCCGTTTTGTGAACCAAGTGGACGGTCCCAGTCATTGCATCAATGGTCAGTAAGCCGGCAGTCTCATGAAGCACAGTTTGCGCAGAAGAAGAAGTTTCTTTGGAAGCGGAAGCGCTGTTTCCTTGTAGCTCGAAGGTTGCCGCAAAGATCAGTTCCGAGACAGATAGAGGTCTCTGAGCATACAACGTCCAGTAAAGACAGCGACTAGCGAAGGGGTTCTGGCTAACAATGCGGGTCATAGACTCGCCGTAAGCATCGTTCAAATTCTCAGGCAGATGAGCGAGAGACATTTGTAGCAGGCTCCCATCGTTGCATCGCGACAATATATCGATATGTAGCCGGGCCAATAGAAACCTAAGGGTGAAAGGTCAAGTGTTAATGAAATGATCAAAGCACCTGTTTTGGGGGGGAATCTGGCATCTTACAGGCCATGTGACTTCAGAGAAACTTGCCGAATAACAGCAGCTTTTAGCTCAGGGGGATATTGCTTCAACAGAGCGGTCAGCCCTTCATCTTGTTCAATCAGAGCGGACACATAGGTTCCAAGATCCTCATGGGTAGCTAAGACGGATATATGCTCGTCCTTGAATGAGTGCTTGGATTCTCGCATGGTAACAAGAAGCTGTGCATGATCTGGGAGTTTTTGAAGACGATTCAGAATTCGTTCCCTGTCAACGTCCATATCGATTCCATCGATGACGAACATCACTCGAGAGAACCTGTTGACCTCAGCCCGGATAGCGTCCTGATACGCTTTCGCAGGAACTTTTCCCTCCGCAAAGGATTTGGATTGATACAATGCAGCAGTGACGAGTGAAGGGGTCCGCTTCCGATATACAAGCTGCGCAAGTATCTTGTCAAGAAACCCCACGGGCGTGGTGTCCTCGTCCGTCTCGTCATGACCGAAGATAAATACTACTGCCACATCTGCAGATGTGAATGTATTCTGTAAGTTGTCGATGATGGCGGACCTAAACGATTTGTTAGACTTTGGACGAAATTTCAGTTTTCTAGTCCACCCACGCGAGAAAGGTCTTTCCGGCGCCGGCTGCCGACCAGGTTAGTATATTTCCTCTCATGCAGGGTTGAGAATAAGCACCTGGCGCAACACAATACAACGTTCTGCAGCAGCCAAAAAGCCACTTTGTGTAGGTATCATTGTCAAATATCCATTCGCACGTCCCTTTTTGTCGTCTGTTGCAAAGGTCTGCTAGTCTCATGAAGCTCTTGGTGGTCATACGGCTTGTGATAGGATGGTAGTCATCGGGGTTTGGTGCGCTGGGTCTTATTGAGTCTGAAATGCAAAGGTTAGCCATAGTCCAACTCGAAAGGCGTGTTCGGTTCCACTAACCGGAGTCGGTCTCGTAAAATTGCCGCAGTATTCTTCGGAGTCTCGCTTCGACTCGGGACTTCTCTCTGTAGGAAAGATTTTTGAGTTCATTATCACTCTATAACGCGCTGAAATATATCTTCTTGGAGACCAATAACCTCACGGGTAACACATACCGAGACTCAGGTTGCATGATCAAGATCATCATAACCTTGAAATGCTCCAACCTAGGGACGAAGGTATTTTCCAACAAGCGCTTCCTGAAAGATCGAGCGCTGACACCACCTGGCTGGAAATATGTCTCAAATGTCCCAATCGTCGATTCGAAGTAACGGATGACCTCGTCGAGATTACGCAGACGCGAGGGTTCCACGACCCATTTCTCTTCTGCCCAGTTCAGTTGATCCTGGAGACGACATAACATATCAAGCAGCTCACACAAAACCAACATCGCTCGTTGTGCGCCATCTTGAGATTCTCTGCTTCCGCCGAGACAGCGCATAACTGCCCGAATAGACCGAGTGACACGGGCGAGCCGGCCCCGGATAATTGGGCCATCGGCCATGTTGAGAAGTTCCATAGAATGGACAATAAACCTATATCTAAGGTGATAACAAGATCAATGTAGGCATAACTTCGGTCAGAGATAAGTAGAAAATTGACCAGGTGACCAAAGCACGCAGCGTTGGTTGCGAAACCCACTAGGGAATAACGAGGGCAGCCGATCGGCAGCTAATTCCATGGCAGTGCACGAATACTCATGAAGTTAGTTCATATTGTTGGGTTTGGAGTGGTCGTACGAGGACATGCCGCAGGATTCGCGACACATTGTGCACCAAGAAAGATGATGGTACAGGCGATCGTATGGGGTCGACACCCACCGAGGGCGCTACGTGAAACGTCTTCTGCCGCCATCACTCCAAGTTTCGTAATGCAAATGACTTGTCCCTTTTAATAAGCCTTGAACATTGTAGGCAACGCAGGCGATGTCCGCTCGAGGGCCAAAACCATCAGATTGTAAGAGCACTCGACGAATGGCTGGGGCAGAAAGGGTTGGTTAGCGCTTGCATTCCAAGTCTAGTGGAGATGCGGGGGCCTGGCCACTAACAATGGCAGTTTAACCGCCCAGGGCTGTGATATGTGCTCTCCTATACACATCAGCCCACTGACCGCTACAATCATAGTTAATACTGGGGCCAAGGGAATGGGGAGAAAATAGAGAAGGGAATAGAGTAGGCCAAAAAGATAAGCCAAAGGAGTTTTACTGTACATAGTTCTAGCATGGGAGAGATGCTAGCGTGTGTTGGACGCTTGGTACGATTAGTATGCTGATTGGAGTGAAACTACGGAGTGGAGGACCGACCCTCAGACCTTATCACATGATCCAAATTCTGCCCGGTCTTTGGCGCGCTAAACCTAATTTGATTGCTTCCTGATATATTAAAAGGCTGTCAGCCATCCACCGCCTTTTGTCGAGGGACGGGTGCAGAAAACTGACTGTAAGACCGTAAGAGCGAAAGCGTGAAGAATCCGAGAGCATATTGAAACCAGTGTACAAATTGAAGACGGCTCGAATGTCATAGACATTTTTTGCAACTATTTGTTTTGTTTTTGTTCGAAACAAACTCTTAACATCCTAAGGCGACAAAACCCATAACGCCAGCCTCCAGCCATTTGCCGCGGTACCCTTCTCGTTCTGACAACATAGTGGTTAGAAAGTAATATGACAGGTAAAGTTATTCAATGGAAGCAAAGCACAACGCGAGCAATGATGTTGGAGAGAGTATGTGGAGAGAGTATCTGATTCGGTCCCGGTCATCCAACCAGGGGTATCGCAAAGAAGAGCCACAGGAGAAAGAAATAGCAAAGTGAGGGACTAAAATAGAAAAAGAAACAGCCGTAGCAGGTATCATAAGACAAAGATTTATATCATATTGGCACCATTGAATGTGAGCTCTGCACCAGCATCTCGACCACGCTTGAGAGCTTTGGCCAGCATAAGCTCTCGCATCCAGTCGATGCGTTCGTCACGAGTCTTAACAGCAAAATGATGCGACTTCCCACTGTTCAAGAACTTGGTCTTCCGGTCAACAAAGCCGCTGCCATTGGATGTGGGGATCAGCGAAAATGAGAATGCGGACACATCCCGTGGGTCTTGATTATGCTTGAGGACTGTTTTCCTGAATGCTGCCGTCAGCTTGGACTTCGTGGTAAATGAGGAACATGCGACTGCGTAGTCGTCCACATCGATGTATTCCAAAGCTTTAGAGTTGTGGTGGTCGAGATCGTCATCACGCATGGAGAGCTGCGTGCCTTTCAACGTAAAGTGATGGTCTTCCCAGTCATGGCGTAGGAGTTTGGTCGTTTTGCGCTTCTTCATCCATCCACTGTGAGTCACATCGTCTTGTCCACGCCTGATGAAGGGGGACAAAACGTTGTTCCGGACTTGAGGTGCGCGGGGTGTCTTATGGAGATCCTCCGGAGTCTCAATTGGACTCATGACATGGGTTTCTTTGGGAGGTTCCATTGTAACGGCACCTTGAATTGGGGGCTGTCGCCAATGGGGTTCCGCCATCCTCGTTGAAGTTGGGCGAGTGATTGCCTCTTGCATCACGTGTCTGTTATTGCCGAAGCGCATATTTGGAGGGACGGATTGCGACTCCTCTCGTGCGACTGGCCCAATCGGCACTGCAGTTATCGGCGCATCTGCATCCGAAAATGGGGTTTCGGATCGATAGCAAGGATCATTCCGGTAGAAATCTCCAGGGGAGGCTGTGACATCATGGGCAACAGATGTCTGTCGGCTGGTAACGGCAGAGTAATCATTGAAATGGTGCCTTCTGGACATGACAGACGGGGTGATAGTACGTAGAGCGGATATGTTTTCGGTGAAGACAGATCCATCACTGGAATCGTGCATACTAGGGATTCTCAACTTCGGGAGATGACGAAGGTTGTCCGCAAGTGTAGGTGTAACTTTCGCTGAATCGTAAGGATCCAACTCAGACGAGGAAGCATCTCCGAGCGGGGGAGTTCCAGGTTGATTGGATGTTTGCAATCGGTCGAGACTCTGGAAGTTCAAGAAGTTTCGCACGTTCTCCTGAGGATCTCTTGGTTTGACCTCATTCAACGTTTCTCGGGAAAGCTGGTAGGCGGAGGGCTTGGCGGATCCCATGATATCCGAGGACGCGACAAGCGATGGAGGAGTAGCCTCGGACCTGGCAGACTGGAATAGATTTGGGGCTGTCTGGGGGTTTCCAGGATCCCCCGCAACGATGCGCCCAGATCCGAAATTCTCGAATGGCAAGTCACGAGCAAGACGAGCAAGTCTGTCTTGCTGCTTCTGCCACTTACGGCACGCTTCACCCTTGGAGCATTGATGCAGCTTTGGTAGAAGCTGCTCGATGGCAACGATAGACACAGAATCACTAGGGACGAGGTCGCTTTCCTTGCCCACATTGCCGTCGGAGTTCTGACGACGAGTCCGGGGATTCGCCTTAACTGCGTCTGCGTTGGAAGTTGAGCATGAATGGTAGCTGTTGGCTGACATGACGGATGTGTTTCGAGTAGATGGCACGCCGCTAGAGATACTCGAATTGCGAGAGCGGGAAGAAGCAGTGTCTGTGGTAGTATACGCGCTGCTGTTTTTCAGATTCTGAATACAGCCCATGAGTCGGTGTCGTTTCCCAAATGATTTGATACCGATGTCATTCTTGATGTCGTTTAACGAAAGCTCCAGCAAGATAGATCCGGAGATATCATTCTCAAGCATTGTCTCCCAGATTTCTGTGTCAAAGCCGTGGTATTGCAACCATCTCGCGACATCTGAAGGTGTCCAGTCCTGAGGGGCAATCCGACCAGGTAGGGTCTCCCTGGTGCTGTATGCAGATTGCCGGGAAGACTGGGGATATTGGCGCTGTTGAGGCTCAGGAGTTGGTCCTGTTGAGCGATTTGGGACTGGCGTGTCTCTGCGGAAAGGTTCAAACTTCGAGGCTTTGTGGTGGTAAGGACCCGTGGTACTGAGGGGAGTTTGGGAGGGCAGTGAAGCTATGTCCGAAGTGGATTGGACATCAGAGCCGGCCAGTGAGCCAAACAGGTGAGGACCGCTTGGGCCTCGAAAATCTCTGTCATCGATATGGAAATCAAACACCGTCAGTCCGGTGGAGTTTGGGGTCGTCACAGTGTCCGGGGTTGAGGCTGTGGATATGCTTCCCGTCCCGAGCTAGAAGGGAAAGTAATTAATATCTAGTCATGAACAGTTGGATAGGGGAAATAGGATTTACTTACCGAAACCATACTCTCTGAGTAGCCTGGATAATCATCCTCCTCGAAGAATTCTGTTGCCTCCGACTGTGGCCTTTGAAGAGAGGCCTTCGGTGGGAACAGTGGCAAGGGCTCCTGCTTCTGGGGTGGGAACAGTGGCAAGGGCTCCTGCTTCTGGTTCGCTAGATAGTTCATATGATACGCATATTGGGCCTCCTGTGTTCAAGTTAGCCTGCTGAATAGATTGACCGAGGTTCCTGACAAAACGAACCATATTGTCATATCAGTCAGTCTGGAGTGCCAGCACTATAGAGTTTGGATTGTTGGAATTGAAAGGCCAACACTGAGACAACCAACTCAGAAGGCCTTAGCAATACTGGATAAGTTATGTTGGTAAATGCGGGGCTAGATATTTGAAACCATGAAATTATATGATATTGGGGAAGGATACCGGAAACGAGCAGTTTCGGGTGTTGGAAGAGTTTATGTACAAAGTTGCCATTTGGGGCTTTCGAATCGTTCTTCTGTGGGGCCGCCAGTCAAGACACTGCGCAGCAAGGACTTCGGGCCATTTCACAAATCCAGCGAATTAGAGCTGCTGCTCAGGCATTTACTGGACATATAGCTCAGCGGTAAGCACTGCGAGGCGCCCATTCTGATGCATCTAGGTGACCGACAAGCCAACCTGGAACACTAGCGTGGGAGGCAGGGCCAAAGACCGAAAATCCTTCCACCGAAACTGGGTATCTCTCGTGCTCGTTGGGCAAGAGACAATCCAACCCGCATATATCCTGCATGAGGGGTTGGGGGAAGCGGGTGACCCTGGTCTGTGAGAGGCTGCTCATCACGGCGCTACTGCCGTGACGATATTCTTGGCAACCTTTCTACGCGCTGAGAACATCCAAAAAAGAATTCCCGGCGCATAGAAGAGTTTCGGATTCGATTCTATAAATTGATGGCATCTCCTCAACGTTTCCAGGGGAAGGGGTCAGAATAGAGTCCATGAAAAGGGGGTTGTTGGCATGCCTTTTCTCGAAAAAGAAATACTCACTATGTTGAGCCGACAAGTTGACACGGAACTAGCTCTCCAAGCTTGCATGGGCCCGGATGTCACTGCGAATCCCAGTCCACCGTTCCTAAATTATTTCACATGAGAATAATTAGCGAGCTTTCTGCCCAGTTCGTCATGGGGGGATGTGGATCGGAGAGTGATGTACCTAAGTAAGGAAACCGTCACGCAATCACCCGCAAGTACCCATCCGGCCATCACACTGCAGATTAATATGCCTTCGGCCTGTCTTACTCTCTACAACCTCCGAGGTTTTTTTTAGTTCTTTCGGTAATTAGAGTGCTTTATATGTCCCCTTCGCTTGCTCATATGGAGGCAAAAACGAACCAAATTCAGCAGCTGCCTGGGTGAATACTAGAAATTATGTCTGTGCAAGTATGATGGGACTTAACTATGTAGAAGCTCATAACTAGTGATAGACAGAATATACAAGGTAGGTATTCCGTGTTTGATCTGTCCTCTAGCTGTGGCTATCCGTATTCTCGATCTCGTAAACTCAGAAGCAGTCACTGTCACAATCAAGCGACAATTTCAAACTACTAGCCTCGGGCACAAATATGTAGATTCCCATTTTCCTTGCTTCACACATGATCTCTCAGTTTCCACAAAATCAAGAGCTGCTCGGTAGTGCTTTGTTCAAATGGTTTATCATCATCATTTATGTGGTCGTCCGTTAGCCGGCCCGCCGAACGTGCTTTTATCGCGAGCGTACAGGTCCGCATCGAAATCATTCAGTAATACAATTGCCATGTTTGCTTTCAGCGCATGATAGGGCAATAGCAGCTTCGTGCAGAGCCACGTATCAATTCTTCTCCGGAGAAGTGTTCTTTGAAGCTGACGTTCATTCGTTGTTACTCGAGTTGCAACTTCCAATAATTCCTTCTGACGGCAATACGGCAACCCCTTATCATCGATGTGGAAATGAAGAGATGTTAATATTGAAGGTACGTATCACATCCTCGTGTCCAGTATGCACGTGTTCGGGACCGAAGTATTTGGGACCATGTGACGACTTCTGGTCCGTGTCTACCATGTGAATTCATTTATGCACATTCTGCCAGCTGATTGGCTTGTACCTTGCCGCCACACATTGCGTATCTCGGGATCTTTTGGCAACAATGTACCTCGTGGGTATGAAGTTAGTATTAGATTGCTTAATGTTTCCTTCAGTCTGATGACGATACTTGATATATTAAGCGGATAGAAGAGCATTTCATATAACACGATTCTCGAATATCGAATTTCCAGAAGAAGGATAATTACTCGCACATATCAATAGTGGTGAACAGTTGGCAGTTCGACTTAAGTATGCATTGCATTCTATCTAAGACTCTAATGGAAACTATGAATCTGATTTGTTTTGCCTTCTTTCGAGTATACTCTGGCACAATGCGACGGTACAGTGTCTCACAGGTACCTGCAGAAATGATACACAACAAAAGTAGTTGAATTTCGGGTCGGTGCAAAGTGACACAAGGCCTTGACGCAACTCGCAATTCGGCTTTCCGACTGATCAGTGCCATATTGTGAACTGTCCCTCCGTGGCCTGTTGCACAATGGGCAATTCGTGCATCGTCATTCTGATCTAAATTAAGGACACAAACAATCATGGCTAATTTGCGTAGTTCCAAATTTAGATGAGTTCTCAATATTAGTTAGAGTTGAGTATTACCGATTGGGAGTTTGTATAATTAGTGCAATTCAGAAGTTTGTACCATCCGGACTAATAGTAGTATGAGCATTGTATGCACCTGGCTGATCTCCCCGCAGAATTGATGCTAATTATGGCTCTTATCCATGATTTGGCTACTAATTATGAGAAGATCGGAATGTAAATTTCCCTAATTATGCCGCATCTAAGTATTAATAGAACTTTGGTAGGATTTCTGCTCCATTGATCTATCCGAAAAAGGAAATCATTTGCTAAGTCAGTGTCGAGAATAGTACAAATAGCATTGATTAAGGCGCGTAAAGTAGCACAAATTAAGGACACTTTGGTGATGTGCCCTTATCACAGTCCGAGCGTCCAGCTTGGCAGATTAGTGCTCCACTTCTGGCCGGCCCGCCCCCACGGTTGGCTGGGAGTCCACCGTTCTGCACGACACCGAGCACACTAAAATCTGGTCTGTCTTAGGGCTTGAAGCCAATGAACCAATAGCGAGCTGAGGATGGAAGCTTGGCATGCAAGAGCTGCTTCTTCATCACAGACCAAATCTGCACCGTCTTCACCAACGATTGATCCCTCAGCCAATACCATCCAGTTTGCTCCAAATCTTCCTACTCCTTCTGGTCTAGGGTGAGATTAGCCTGACTCGAAAGGATACACTGATGGCCTATCATTTCTGGGTGTCCATTTCTCTCACTCATACCAACCAACCTCTAACCCCGCTTTTTCACAGTACGCAGAAGCAATCTGAATTATCCGAGGGCAGTTTGGTAAATCATGGTGCATGAATGCTGGTAGACATGTTGGTAGACTTGGGATAATTTGAATATCTTCCGCTCTCCATCTGCAGCTGAAGGTAATATCTTGACTGGTTGAAAATCTCTATCCTAAAAAAGCAAAAGTCAACCGAGATTATGGTCAAGAGCCTATCAGCATCGGGATGTACCGTACCTACCGTTGCTCGAAGTGGTAAGGGAGGTGCTTGAAAGGTCGTGATTGCCCCGAAGGAGTTGGGTACTAGCAGGGATTAGTCGCAGGTCCACTGTAACTCTCGTGCATCATGGGGACCCCAGTCAGCCTACCAGAGACGACATCTGGTAACTGCAGACGCCACTAGAGAGGATCGTCCCTGGCTACTTGTCGTCCGTCACCCGTCGTGATTGCACCCCTGTCACGTCCCAAATTTAGTTTGAGGACCGGACCAACAACCCGTGCGTTCCAACTGATTTGCTGCTGGGGTTGTATTCCCCACTCGATGTTCGCATATTCTTCCGGCTCGAACTAGGCTTCTCTACCGCTTCCAACAAATTTAGAAGCATGCAGGTCACGGCTGCTGATCGAAGCTCAGACATATAACTCGCCGCATCCGAGATCTCGAAATGAAAGATCTCTTTTGAAACCGTCTCGAAGCAGTGTGTTTCCCAGCCTTCGTTTCCTTTCCCCCATCACCTCTCCTTAATAAAGTGGACAAGCTGCCGGTTCAGCTTTACCATTGCGCCGTCTGTTTAGTTGCGAATAAGGTGGCTGGTCCTCCTCATCGACAATATTTATTCTTTCATCGGCCGCGCCGCTCCCAAATTAGTTCCATCGCTTTGGTCATTGATTGATCGTTTCTCGTCATCAATACTGGATATTGGGATATTATCGCGAAAATGCCAATTTCTAAGTCTTCCGGTGGTTCGACAACCAGCACGAGCTCCTCTTCTGCGGAGAAGTCTCTCAACGGGCAAGTGGATAAATCTGGACGAATGCACAAAAGATCGCGGTCAGGTATGAGCGTCCACCTTCACTGCATACTTTATGAATTCTTTTTTTGTTTTTCAGTTGACCTTGACTCGTAAATCGCTGACATAGAGAATTTCCATAGGTTGCTTTACCTGCCGTTTACGAAGGAAAAAGTGCGATGAAGGCCACCCCGCCTGCAAATCCTGCGCGAACCTATGTATCAGATGCGAATATAAACGACCCACATGGTGGGGCAATGCGGAGCAAAGGAGACAACAGAAGGAACGGATCAAGACAAAGATAAAGCAGACCAAGTCTCTGGAGCGAAGTGGTTCCCTTCAAGGTTCGTCCAGTCGTTGAATTCACTTTCGCCCTGTTGACTTCTAACATTCATCCCAGACCATATGAACCGCGTTCTGTCATCGCCAAGCTCCGCAGAACACGACTTTAGCCGCCCAATATATGCCGGGAAATATGACTCCAGTTTCGCAGCACACTTCTCGACTCCTGGATTCGTGACGATACCTTACCAGCATTATCCCTACGAAGTTGATGTCAAAACCGAACGCCAAACATTTGTAAACGATGTACCTCTGCGACATGACTCTTCGGTTTCAACCTTCAATACTATGGGGCCACCACAACTGCACGCCACACTTCCCACTTTTGAGTCAGACGAGTGGTTCCAAGAGGAATGTTTTGATTCTTCCCGTCATTTCTCCCAGATAGACCCAGCCCTAGACGCCTCAGGTATGGGCCAAATGCAGGCCTCACTACAAGCTAATATCCCCGTTGACGACTATGACCGGCCGCTTCTGGATCATTTCGTGGATAATGTTCTGCGCATGATTTTCCCTATTTTGGAGATACACCAACGGGGCTCCGCACGAGCCCGGTCCATTCTTCAGTCCCTGGAGACGAACAAGTCCTATCTCCATTGCTGTCTAAGTGTGGCCGCCATTCATCTCAAGACAACAAGTAGATTGAATGGCGAACAGATCGATCACGACATTATGCGCCATCGTTATGAAGCTATCTCCGAGCTATGCCAAGCGCTGAACAGGGACTCCGAGCACGAACGTATTCTTGATGCGACCCTCGCCATGATCTTCTTCCATTGCTCAGTTGGAGCACCCGATGATTATCTTCCCGATATTCCCTGGAACGACCATTTCCAGGCTGTGACCAACTTGGTTAGCAGGCTCGATTTGACCAACCAGGTAGTCGCCTGTGGACCTATGTACACAGTACCCCCCTTCACCATGTCATTGACCACCTGGATCGATATTTTGGGTGCAACTATGCTTGGAAAAACTCCCCAATTCGCCCACTCCTATCGCTCTAAGCACCTAAGTGGAACATCTTCTGGTCTCAGGGAACTCATGGGTTGCGATGACCGTGTTATGTATCTTATCTCCGAGATTGCCTGCCTCGAATCGCTGAAGATGGAGGGTCGCGTTGACTCTATCACTGTTTGCACGCATGTGTCCGCTTTGGGCAGCCAATTGGAATACACCGAAGACCCCGATCCAACCCTGCAAAGCCCCTACTCACCGGGAACTGGCGCAATCCGTCCCGAGGCAGTGACCAAGACAATGACTGCCATCTTCCGCATTGCCGCCAGGCTCTACCTGTGCAGCCTCGTTCCCGGAGCCGACCGCAACCAGGCCAGCACCATCAATCTCGTCAATGCCCTCACCGATGCACTACCTTTCATCCCAGCAGGACCTTACGGGTTCGACCGTTCTCTTGTTTGGCCGCTACTCATCGCTGGCGCCTTCTCTACCCCCTCTAGCCCATTCCGTCAGGTCCTGGAAGACCGTGTGACGGCTTTGGGAGACCTCGCCGAGCTGGGCAGTATTGGTCGCATGTATCAATTGCTGAATGAGTACTGGCGGTTAACCGATGACCCTGTCAGCCCGTCCTTCCCGTCGGGAGAAACCGAGCTTGACGGGGAATATCAACCCGTGGAGTTGAGCCAGGATGCGGCTTCCACTGCTCCTCCGCCTTTGTCGCCTGGAATGCGGGAAATCAAGAGGCAGCAGGTTCACTGGCGGGATGTCATGAACCGAAATGGGTGGCGCTATCTCCTGATTTAAATAATGTTGGAAGGCCTCGCGACTTGTGGAAAATTTCAAGGGCCAGCCTCCTGTGGGCTCACGTTTTGAAGTGGTCGGTGAGACATACTGGCTTCTCATGCCAGGTGAAGATGACATGACTGGTGATCGCATATACTATTGAGATGGGCAAAGCGTTGGTGTTTTTATTTTCTGGGCGTTTTGGATTTGCGTCGAACTATATCCCCTGACTGTCCTTTTTGTTGTTTTGATGGATTTTACGGGTGTTGCCTTGGTGGTTAAGTAGGCCGAGGTGAACTTTCCATTCTATAAACTCCTGTCTATTTCTCCCACATTCAGTCTATAGAAACTTGGAATTCAATTGGTTTCCCGATCCTGGAACTTATGCTTCATTCGAGCGTGTTGGAGAGATAGCTTCATTTCTCAGGCCATCGCTTAACTGTTTGTTCGTAGGCAAAAGTCTTATAACTAGATAGCATCTGTTGAGAATTGTGGATCATTCATGTATATACGCTAGTCTAGATTTGCCTTAGCGGATGTCGAGATTTTCCCGCTTGGCAAGCGAGACACATAGTGTCTCGTTCCGGCTGAGTTTCCTTCTCCTTTGATCAACTCAAATCAACTCATTCATCTTTTATGATATTCATTACGATTGGTTCCCCTTGGCTCCTCTAGATTCCATCACATGTACTTCCATTGTAGCTCTTACTTCACAGACACGCCACTGGGGTCCAAGTTACTGTCGGGTCCAGCAGCTCTGGCGTCAGTCAAGAATTCGGAGAGACCGCAGGTTTCCGCTGCCACAGCTGAGGACCCGACAGTAACTTGGACCCCAGTGGCGTGTCGTCATGCTCAAGGAGGTACAACCCGTACATCTCTTTGCATATTGCCACTGGTCCTTCAGCTGTCACGATTCCAGGCAGCTCACTTGTAAAGAAGAAACCATTCTTCTTGATCTCCGAAACGGAGATAATATTCGTTGCGAAGTGGGGGGCGTGCCACACGTCCGAGATCGTAGCCCACCGAGCGGCGCCGCTCGTGGGGTCTCTCACGACAATTCGTGCAGTTCCGCATCCCTCTGCCATCGCAGATCCGTCTCCAGTCGCTATCTCAGTAACACCTTCCATTGTAGCTCTTACTTCACAGCATCTTTCTCCAGTTCTGGCATTACTGGTTTTACTCTAAGTCATTGTCTCATATTTCCGGAAGCGAGAATGACTCTTGGCTAGCGTCTCCAGCACCCTTTTGCATCTCAGACACCAGGCTAGGAAACAGTTTATCCCACTGCAATGGACCATGAGATACCTGCTGGAAAGAGGCGGTGTTACATCTCTGATGCCAGTAGACCAAAACAAACTTTGTACAAGGCAAGGGCAAGCGCCCGACTCTCAACTCATAAGAGACGAGATGGCATCGGTTCGTGTCAGTAGCTCCTGCATCACAGTGTGGATTCGTTTCATGATATAGCAGCTTATCGCTGGCAATTTTGTCCTCAGCCAGCAGGGGAAGCTTATAGTTAAATTTATGGACGTGGGCGGTAACAAGTGTGTAGTAAGTGGCAGGTAGGTATACAATCTCTAGAACCAAGGATTCTCCGATACTCATTGTACTGATTGAATGAAGCTTGAGATGTAAATCGAGTCCTCGCCACGGCAACTAGAGAGATCGTTCGAAGACCAAGTTCAAACGGCGGCCGGCATCACTTAGAGCTTACTGTAGGTAGGCATATACTGCACATCTTGTATCCGCCAACTGATCACTGATCCACAGAGTATCATTGGACAATGACTGAAGCAACTGGCACAGCGATTGATGAAACAATTGCTATGTCTCCCTTCAATATTGCTCCGAGAGATGCTTCGGAAAGCTCACGACCAACTAAGACTCAGTCGATTGTACAATGGCGAACCGCCAGTTTTAACAATGCCGCGCGCTGTCAGACCAGCGAACCAAGAGGGATGATAACCCGCAAGTGTACGGTTGCTGAAGAAACCAAGCCGCCGGTTGACGCCTCAGGTCGCGTGGGCCATATTTCGGGGACCGAGGCGGACGCACGCTTCTGATTCAGGAGGCGCGCGGCCGATGGTTTCAGATCTCCCAGGGTCCATGTTCATAAGTGAAGCGGTTATAATCTGAAATCGCTTGTGTACCTATATAACGAGACTTCACAGTCTTCTCTGGTGACTTTTATTCATCCTTGGTCACTTTCGTTCCATCATCTTGTTTTCGTCAGGCATATTCACCTCTCATTTATATTCTAGTCAAGTGCTGGTCGCTTGCATACGTCTCTCATTCAAACCACGGCATCGTTGAGGCTTACATATTCCGGTTGGGGGCGAATCCTTTCACTTTGCTCAGCCCCCTCGATTAATATTGAGGCCTGACAGCAAGACTGGTGAGTGTTCGAAAGACTCGGTCCTTCGGGGCCAAATCTACGATTGGCCACGCTAACCCGCTTCGAGTCCAACGCCCACTCGTGTATTGATCGATACATTACATTACAGTATTATCGTTACTGTTTCGTACAATACCGCCCACCTTTCTTGTCCTACACGGCCCATATAGAAAAAGATCTCCTCCGCCCTCCTGAGTCTTTAATCCTTGGTAAGACTTATTTGTTCCCCTCCGGCACTGTGCTCTTGATCATTATCCTGACCTTTGTCTCCGACCATTTAAAGTCTTCTGAGAATACGCGAGTACCCTGCCCTCGCCCTGCAAACGTCCTGTGCTTGGGCCACAAGTACATCCGCCTACTTGAAGCAATCTGCCCCGTTCTTATTCTTGCGCTCTTTTCCTCCAACTTTTCAATATTGCTATACGCAAGATGCCGGCCCCAAAGCCTGATCTTCCTCCACTGAAGACACCAAAATCCTTCACATTCCCCTCGGAACTACATAAGGAGTCCAAGACCCTCACCGTCGATGACATCAAACGCGAAGATGGAAGCGCAACACCTATCACACCCCCACTGGCATATACGGACTTCCTCAATGCACTTACGCCGGTATTCACAAGTCCAGTCAGCGCTGGAATGTTTCCAAGATTTTCGGCGGAAAAATGCGACCGGTCACCAATTTCCCAGCCGTCTACTACAACGAGTCCCTCAGAGTTGGTGGGGAAATCGCTCGAGTCGCCAGCTACGCCAGCTATATCTCTCCCGCCTCCATCTCCGCGCACTTCGAAATCAGCCAAAGCCCCACCCGCGTTAAGACGACTCAGAATCCCCCAGTCACTAAAGTCATTTTCGTCAAGGGACTCCCCAAAAACTGCCACTCCGTGCAGCGCAACTCCATACAGCGCAAGCCCTTACAGCGCGACACCATGGAGCGCACTCCCGCGCAGCGCGACCAGTCTTCGGTCACCTTTCTCGCCATCGGATTGGAAACTCCGATATCTTGAAGCGCCGCGAAGCGCAACTACGAAAGCCGTCAGTGTAAGACAGGTGGTGACTCGCACGGTCACATACAAGCGTACCCCGCTTGATCCCCCTCCCAAGGGGAAGAGACGCAAGACTCAAGAATGTCGAGATGCTTAAGCTGGTATCTTGCTCTCCATTCGTGATACGCGGCTGTTAATTTCTGAGTTTGGATTATATGTTCAGTTTACGATGATGTCTTTGCAACATGTTCCTTCATTTCGCAAATGATTTCTCGAAAACTATTGAATAATGACGCAAGCTATGAGTCGCACCTGGATGGTTCGATTCTGGCATCTTCATTACTCAGTTCCGTTGTGGAAGTGAACGTCATGATTGTCTTACAAGCGCCAGGATGAAGGCGAAATCGGAAAGACGGAGTTGGTTGGGTCTGATTTTGGTCATTGCGGCGTTCTTGTTCTATTTTTGTCTGTTCTCTTAATGTTTTGACGACATGGCCAAACTGGGTTTAGGAAACAAGGGGATGCGGTTTGGGCTGTCTATTTTGTCTTGACTCTTTTGTATCTGGCGTACGAATTGGCCATTGGTCCAGTCCGGTAGCATTGGCGGCGAATATATTGTGGCGCATTCGGGCCTTACCATAGTTCTTTAACCTGTTCTCATATAACATATCATGGGAAGACTTCCTGGAAGGCTGTTCTCTACATAGTAAGGTCCATTACCAACACCGCGGTTGACTCACAGCTAGAATACTCTTATGGCATACCTAGTTATGGAGGGCCTTGACAGTTAGTCGGACGTCATGCACCCGTTTGGGTAGGAGATCCGGGCCTAGATTGTAAGGCGGATAAACCCCTGCTCGAGGTTCTCCTATCCTGAGCCAGTCCATGATCAACAACTCATCATCGCTTAGGTACGTCTAATGAAGTCCACGTGTCGAGTACATTTGATGGTAGCTAATGACGGAACAGGAAAAGCCAACAAAAGCCCCCAACGTTCCCGGGGAACGGGGAAGAAATCCTACTGGGATTCGCGTTTACATGCTGGTCCCGAGGCCTAGGGGAAGGATCTTTAGCGTGTCCACTGAATCTCGGAGATTTAAGTATGATGTATCCGAAAGATCTTTGACATACACCCATATACATCCATCGAGATTATCAGAACACACAGTCCTGTGTATTGAGATTCTAGGATTTTTGATTCGAATTGACCGAGCGTGCTACACGAACATAGGCTGATATCAGCGCATGAACTCTCCGCATTGACACCAACAATTGCTCCAGTTACGATGCTTAATCCTCTTCCGAGGTTGAGTTTGTGGCTTTCCTTCGCTAATACGCCGCCCCCAGATCCTGGCGCTACGAAAGAGAATTGACATTTCCTAAAGAAGTCTTTGAACAGCTTGTTGAGCGTTGGAGGAAGATTCCAACAGACCGGATATAGTTGGTGGCGTGTGTAGCTTTGTCCTAACCTTTCAATATTGAGGCTGAGTGCGCTAAGCGGCTCAACTTGCTTCTCCCAAATCAGCCCTATTGGGACCGCCACTATCTTGCACCATACAACAAACAAGTCTTACGCGCCAATGGGGTAATGGCTGACTCAAAGGATCGTAGGTGCCTAGAATGAGGCTCAGTGCGCCTTACCGTGTCTGATTATACTGGTAGTATCTACCATCGTCCGGTATCTGAGCCATGACTCTAATCGGATGTCTGCATGTATTTCCTGGCAGTACACAATAATGGAATAGTACCATTGCCTCAGTACTGACCCCATATTCTGGCATGCCTGTGCGGTATCAGAGGCATAATCGCATGTATCCATTGTAAACACATGTTTTTCCCTTAGTTAGAACTGACACGTCTATGATCGTTACCTAGCTTAGCTGACAGTGTGCATCAGATCATTTCGTCAGTGCCCCGCCTTTTCGTGGAAACGATACTGGCTAGTTCGAGAATCTTACACTCGATGTATCCAAGTTGCCCCTCCAATTACATACGCAGGTGACAGGGTAGGTATATCAGGTAGGTAACTATTGCATGTATGCATGTAGGAGTGTGAGCAGGTTTGTGTATGCGATTAATACGGCGTATGGTATTCGCCTTATGCCGCGTATCAGAGCAAGTTTCAAAAATACCGAAGTATACATCAGCGTTTGCATGTTATTACTTCGATACAGATCTCGTGTTCGCGCTTTGACTCTAATAACTTAATTCTATAGAATCTAGATATTTCATAAACGACGGAATTATTTTTGAACCAACTCATGGCCATTATCAATTGACTTAATGGTGTAGACCGAAATTACATCCTACCCAAGTCTGTGATACGAACCGGGTGTCTAGCTGTATTGATTCATACAATTACGTAGCACATGATCTTCACACACCTGGACAATCACAAGCCTCAAAAGCTATCTCCTCTTCACACAACCTAAAGCAGGTGATGAGGTCTGTTATGACTGACCATTGAGCACGCATAGGGGCCCATTCAGCCTTCATTTCGGGGCAACTTGCGCACTGTTCTATGTCCGGCAGTAAACCCGGTGATATCCCTGCGATCTTTTAAGCGCCCACGCTATTCCAGATTAGCACTAGTGCATCCGTGGTCGCGGGCCAGACACCCGTCGAGCCCCGCTACGGACCATGGTTGGTTCCGTGAGCCTCTTGTGGACCCACTGTGGGGTGTTTAGCTTCACACCTGGACTTCTTGTCTAGTGTACCATGGGAAGAGATCTCCTATTACACTTCGCGATTTTGGGTAATCTTAAATATGGGGTTGAAAACCTTAATATACATAAGACAGCACCAGGCGCTAGTCAGCTAGGTGATATATGTACATTGTGGTCATGTCACCTACTCAGTACTAGGAACGGATAAGAAGTGAATTTTCTGCTCGGGTTAGTACGTCCATCCAAGGCGAGGTAGATGTTAGGTAGCAACGAGATAATAACTGATTGACCCAAAATATGGTGTGGCATCATGCAGTACCCTTGCAAAGACAGTAGTGTGAAGATACTTTTATTAGATGCTTGGTGCTCCACTTCGACTGTGTTTTGGGCATAGAGGAATGAGTTGACCAATTAGCAAGTGCAAATAGCCGCTGTTTATGCATGTGCCCCGAATATACGGCTGCCTTTGAGGTTTGCCGGATCACAGACCTCGGGACGTACCTCCCATGCTAAGCTAGTGTTCTAATTTTGCTCAGTGATGGATGGTTATTTTTGGAACCAAAGTGTCGGGATATCAATCTCAAGATATTGTTGAGATCTCCTACATGATATAGAACGGAATGGCTTCCTACCAGAACATTATCAGATTATAATGTCTTAGCTCAAGCCTCAGTCGAATGGGTATCAGACTTCCGTTCGTCTATTCCAATCGCAACACAACCGCACCTGTTGTTCCGTCTTCTTGCAGCATGGTATATTGATTGAAGTAAAGACGAGAGCGCGCGGAGACTCCGTAGCTTTCCTTCTTCGGTATCTTCTCCTGCTCGACGTTGCATGGGGATCCATTTCCACGTTTCGCAATCGGCCTAAATTCCTGCCAATTAAAATGTGAAACGCCTTCTTGTCCCCATATCTCATTGAGAGGACATCTACAGTGGAGTCACCTTCCGCTTCATGGGTAGTCAGGATAAAGGTCCACTGTTCTAACAATAGCTCTCCATGCAGCTGTTATGCTTAACTTCTCATCGGTGGAGACCAATTTCCTGCTCAGCAGCTGGTTGAGCAAGGCTCTTGTTAACTTCATAGGCTGAGCAGCAAGGGTAACACATCTTCAAAGCGCCCACTATCTGTGCCTTTGGTCAGTCGATCTCCGCGCCTGTGTCTATACTTAGTCCCAGAAGCATTGTCACATCGTCTATCCCCCTGACTAGCTTCGAGGGCGTCGTGCTTGCTAAACTTAGCAACACCGGGTCCATTGCTTGCATATCGTCTGCCCTATGCGCCAGTACCTACATCTCGACCGAGTATCTATATCCCTCTTCTTGATGATCACACTAATCAGATCGCTCAGCTATGAATAGCTTGCGCTTTCACATCCGCTAGTGTCCTATCCCCTCAATGAAAACGGTTATCCCGTCGCTGGTTTCCTCTTTGTGCAACTGGGTGATCAATCTACAGGCTGATGATGGTCGAACTACGTGATAGCGCTGCAAGTTCACAGGCTTCGCAGGCTCATCCTTTCCTGAACTGTATGTTCTCCTTGACGCTCGTCTTCTAAATATACTCCTGGTATGTATTTCTCCACGCTGAAAGGCATCTTTCATCGTCTTGTATCATACAGTATGATACCCATACCATTGTTGACTCGAATGAAGCTCTAACATGAGATACCAAGTCTAATTTAAGAACAGACTTGCCGACGACATGCATGCGCGTTTGCTTAGGGTCGCGAAGTGTTGCAATGGAGCGACGTCAGCTATACTCCATATCCTCTGGGTGACGATCATTGTCAACACCAGACGAGGTGCCGAAGTAGATCTGCTTTACGGTCAGGCCTTGAACGCAGACTTAGTGTTTGCGATGAATGAGTACCCGTGTTTTTTGTCACTCGTTCATGGCCACAACAATCTCTCGTACTAACTCAATGCTTCTTAGGACAATAGATATCCTATGTTATGTCGTTGAATGAGCTCATCCGTCTTCACGATCATAGATCAATTCTATCACATCTACAAACGATCAAGACTTTTGATTGGCAGTGGATATAAATAGCCACAGCCACATTCTATGCATGACTGCGGGGTCTATCACACCGGACGTTTTGTGGCTCCTGACACGGGCCTCAAGAATGATCTATTTTTATAGAGCGCGTCTTCCTTTGAGAGGGATTTCATGAAGATCAGTCGGATCCTTAAGACATAAAAGGTTCGCACCTCAATGACTGATCATACAGAAAAGTCCATGGCGATTGATACTTTCGCCAACTGGTGCAGCTGATGTTCTAAATTTAGAGGCGGGGAACAAAGCGCCTGGTGATGCGATGTGATGCGATTGATCTTCTGTAACATGCCCCTGTAGCGAGCCAGCGAATTACGAACAGAATATTGCCCTCGGCGGAAGTCGGTTAGAGTGTTTTTCCCACTCAAAGCGGGCTGGCAAAAGAAGAGTAGGCACCATAGAGGGAATCCCCAAAAATCCCGTGATCGACCCGCCTAAAGCCCTTCGTCCCTCTTTGCAGATTCACTCCTATTCCACCCAAAGACTGCATCTCCTGTCTTCCTGTCTGTTAAGCCGTGCGTCGCTCTAGCACGCCCCCCACCAAGTCCACTGAGTCCATATTCTGTAATCCAAATCCCGGGACGGTATCTCTTCTCCGACCCCTCCACAGTCATGGCTCAAGCAACCCCCACCTTCACACCGGACAGTGAATTCGCCGAGCTCGAGACCCCTCAGGACACAAAGGGTGGAAGCCTCTCAATTACTGCATTAGCCCGGTTTGAATTTGAAGCGGGCAAAGGAAATGATGGCACTAAAATCTTGATGATTGAATGGGAGGACGACGATCTCACTCGATCCATGGCCGATGGGTCGTGGCACGTCTCCTGGGCTGGAAAGACTTCGGTGCTACCCGCCGATGACCGACCTAGTGATAGCCTACGTCGCTTCTACTTCTTACTTCCCCCCAATTCCACTATTCCTCCTGTCGTCACCGTCCACTACGAGCCGCGGTCAGCCCAGTCAGACGAGACAGATTCAAACGCCCCTCCACCCAAGCCGCGAGATACCCTCAGACTCAACCCCCTCCCCGCTATATTCCCCCCCGAATTGGGCGCGACAGGACGTGCGGCAGGAAAGAAAGGCGTTTTGCATACAATCTGGGCAAAGAAGCGCCTGCGCGTTTTGGAACAGGAGATCGAGGCCGAGTCCCGCAACAATGTGGAGGGAATTGCGCTGCACATGGCCCTCAGCGAGAAGGAATGGATTGAGGAGAATTTCGGCCTGACCACGCGCGCCGTCGACTCCGTGTCCAGCAGCCATGAATCCTCCGTTTACCCCACAGGGCCCGCGACTCCCGTGTCACCCATCAGCGGAAGGAAGCTGACCGACAAGCTTAAAGGCTTGAAACTGCAAACAAGTGAGAAGGACCTGTCGGCGAATGGAGGTATGTCCAAGTAACGCCCTTAATTCGCCTTTTCGCAGATGCTGATATATTTACAGGCTCGTGTCGTGATACTGCCCATCTTCTTTCGCCTCAATCCCCCGATGTTGCCGTGTCGTTCCGCTCGTTCCGTGACGTCGCTCATAGACACATTCACTCCATGCCAACGCCAGATACCAACCCCACCCCAACACCAGACTCTCACATCAATCCCTCTGGCCCCGAATCACTCAAGCCGGTTGCGGTCTTCCCACCCTCAGATTTACAGGAGGCTCAGCAAAACAGTGGTCCCACTGGATTCTCAGCGATGGTTGGAATCTCACGCACCGCGAGCAATGATTCCGGCGAGGAATTGTTCGCCAAAGCCTTGAGCCCACGCTCACCTGATCTGCCCCGGAGCCCATTCTCGTTCTGTTGAATTTCAACATCTCATGCATGGTATGGTATCATACCACCCTTTCACGACTACGCGCGATGATTCCCCTTCTGCGATGCCATCCCATATGTTTACACTACATGCATCTTATGGTCATTGGCTGTTATTCTTATTCCCTCAATACGCTTCAAATGCATATAGTTTATTCCTGCATTTTAGTCTGCTGTCTTACTCTTGATATGGCCGTGCCATACCATTTCAATGGGCCCCATATGTACATGAATCAAACTCAAGCTTCACACTCGACATTAAGGGTGCGAAGGCGTCTGCGATAAATTCTCTTTCGCGGGAGTGAATCCCTGTTTGCGTAGGCGTCTAGAAGTAGAGTAACAGCTACCAAGCAAAGCAAAGTAATCGGACACACCACCCAACCACCCAGTGCGTCTATATCCCATAGACCAACACGAAATCAAAACAAAAGAACCTAAACAACATTCAATTGCTCTTCTTCCGCGAACTCCCCTGACGACCAACCTTCCCAGCGGTCGCAGTCGACGAACCAGTCGCACCAGCCTCACCCTCCTTCTCCCCCTTCTTCCCCTTCGCAAACGACTCATCCTCCTGCGCATCCTTCCTCTCCGCATACCACTGCCCAGCCTGCAAAACCAAAATACCGACCAGCACAAGCGCCAGAATCGTATTACTAGCAGAAAGAACCTTAAGCGAATCCTCTCGTCCAAGGATACGGTCCTTCTCCTCTGGATTAGTCGCCAGCTCAGCGCCGTAGCGACCAGCCGAGGCCAGACGCAGTCCCTTGACGATGTTGGCGATGTAGACGGTCACGCCGCACATGTAGAGGACGAGCGAGGCGCCGTCGAAGAGCATGTTTGATTCGGAGGGTTTGTAGAGCTTTGTGAGGAGGCCGGCTAGACCGAGGAAGATTACGATGTGCAGGATGCGTGGGATGAGTGGGGGCGAGGCGTGCAGGAAGCGGAGGTGCGCTTCTAGGTAGTCATAGTGTGCCTCTGGGGTCAGGACTGTTGACCAGAGGATGGGGTAGTCGTAGGGGAAGAGGGAGAAGATTATGCCCAGGAAGAAGCAGGTTGCTGGGTTGGGAGAAAGGTTAGTTTCGTTTGGAGGTCTCGTGGCCTCTTCGTCCCGATAGGGTCCGGGGAGAGTTGGGGTTGGCACAATGCGAATGGTGGACTTACGGCAGACGATGAGGAAGGTCGCGAACGACCCGCTTTTGAAGGCCATTGTGATGGGAGATCGCAAATGGTCTGTGAGGTGTGAGGGAGGTGGGAATTGACCAGGGGCGAAGGTCTATCAATCGCTAAGCGGGTGCCAAGCCTCCCAGGAAGATAAGGCCGCCATTGCCCGCCAATTTCCGTTTCTTAGCTTTTACCGAGACATTAAATGAGAACGAGGAATTCGCTTTGGCTAAATTGTATGATACAGAGTTCAACGCCTATCGCGCCGTTTCATAATATAAATGCGAATAGTGGTATCTTCCAAATCCCCCCGTAAATGCAAACGTAACAATGTCATCGCTGATACCGAGGCAACGACTCGTCAGCATGCGCCGTCCCACCGACTAACTGGTCGTCCTCATCGAAGACGGGCGCACTGGGCCCAACACTGGACTCCGGTTCCTGATGCTCATCTTGGGGTCCGCTTGCCTGCGCCTCAAGTCGCTGACGCTCGAGCTCTTGTTTATCGTCGACTGAGACACGTGGTTCACTTGGCCCGGCGGAGCCATTTACAACGACAGTCTGCAGGGACTCTGCAGAGCGGACTGCATGCGGCCTGCCGTTTGGTTCTGTCGAAGGCACATGCTGATAATCTTGGAGATGATGATCATCCGGCAGGACCGGCGCTGTCGGAACGTCCCTGAATGCAGTTGATGGTCCTGCCTCATCTTCCTCCGGTGGCTGGCTAGGTAAGAGAGCCTCTTCGTGGCGTCGTACCCGTGTTTTCTCGTCAACGGGTTCCTCCTCGACTTCGGGAGGAGCAATCATGGGGTCCATTGGCTGGAAACGTTCAGGATACTCTTCCGGGTACTCTGCCCAATCGGCCCGCTCGGGGAAATAATCTTCATGTGTCCCATTTTCAGTATGATAGTTGTGCATGGGACTGGCCTCTGGCCACTCCTCCCCATCCACTGGATTAATCATCATTGTAGACGTGGGGGGCGCTGTTTGCGACGTTGTCGATTGGCCAGCCGTAGACAATGTACGTTTTGAAGTTTTTCTTCGTTGTGAATCGCGCGTCCCAACGACGACTTCGAATGCCACTGAAATCACACCCTTCTCACGGCGGATCGAATCCGTGTCCAATATGTTGCCGGCCCAGTTGGCTGTGACGCCGCTTGAATCGGCCGGATTGAGAACTTGTCCGCTGGGCGAAAAAGTGGTACCGCCGGAGACCATGTTGAAACGCGGGATGAAGCGATCTGGTGAAGTGATTTTGCCTCGCAGGTCGGTTACAACTTCCACATAATACCGAAAATTGATCATGGCTCCCGGCACGCGCGTGATAGTCGGGAATGTATCTTCCGGTATCCGAATTGAAGTTTTTACAATGGCAGTCATGGTGTTGGGATCAACAACCAATGGGGCAAATGTCTGTGACAAATCTTTGCGAAAAGTGCTTGTTGTCCGACTTGTTCCCAGCGTAAGTCCCCCAAGTCCAGTCCGTGAGCGAGGGTAGACGTCTTCGTAGACCGGTTTCTTCCCGGCCACAGTAGTACCAATGGGAATTGCGGGATGAAGGTCAATGCGACCTTGACGATATAAAGTGATCACGATTCCATGCGCACTGCGCACTTGCTTATTATGGTTGATTGTGACTGTGACGGGTAAGGTATCACCCGGGAGCACGCCGGCGCGCAGAAGCTCAGCCTTTGCAGTGATGGTTTTATCTGAGAGAGATGGGGTCACACTGCCACCTTCGCTATTCTGACCACCCGTGCTTGCGGATGAACTGGGATCACAAGTGATTCGAAAGCTTTGACTGCTTTCGCTGGGCGGACTGGATGAGCTGACGTTGCTTGGAGAAGGGCTCAGCGGTGGTCTGGTATCTACAGAAGGTGCCGCGCCGCTTATTGGAGTATCAACCGAGGATGTGTCGGGTGCTGCAGTTGCATCGGAACTTGTTGACTTGGCTTTTCCCTTCGATTTCGAGCGCTTTGAGATCGGCTCCAGTGTGACAATGCGCGCCCTGGGGGCAGGAAATGGCGCTATGTCGATGTTTTCTAGAATATTGACTCGTCTGCGGCAGGTGAGGGTAGGGTTCATGGTAGTCGGTCGAGTGAGGGTGGAGGTAAGCGAGTAGCCAATGGTCCCGCGTTCGAACTGTAGTTTCCCGTTAGTTTAGCATGTTGATACACAGAAGTGGGCATTGAGTAAACGAACATTGATGCTGCTAGGAAGCGCATAAGGAGGAAGCCCCATCTCAAATCGAAACTTGTAGATGCCCTCTTTCAAACGTCCATCGCCACAAAGCACAACCTCGTCCTCGAACAACGTTGCTAACCCATTGCCCAGGTATTCTGCACCACGTCGGCCCCTCCCAGGTCCTAAGAACCCCAAGTCGGGCGTTGTTTCTCCTGCCGGAGTCGCATTCTTAAACACCTTGACGTAGCCATGAAGGCATACGACGATATGTGTGATGCGAACCGGTCGCACGACGGTCACAACGACAGTGCCTTTTATAACGTCACCGGGGAAATATGAGCGCCATGGGTCATCCGGATCGATGTAAAAGTCGGTAATGCCTCGATTTCGTTGGCCGAGCGGAGAGCGAAACTTGGACAGGAGAGAGTTGCGATTCCGACTGGCGGGCAAGGTGGGTTGAGTGGAAGGTTTGGCGGACATGACACACGGCCGCTATTTACTGCATTTATATAAGACAGCGTGGCAGAGGTAGGGGGAGAGAGAGGGAATGGTAGATTAAACCCGCTTTGGCGATCGGACGGACAGACCGGTAGTCTCTGGGACAGTACGGAATGGCGGGGAATGGTCGGACGGGCCAGTAGGCAATCTGTCTATGTCTAGGGATCCGATCGAGCGACACGATAAGTAGATTGTCCTGTCGAAAGTCTGACGTTGAGGCCCGGTACACCGGACACGGTCTGGTTCCAAACGTCGACAGAATGTATCCTTAATCACGCGCGAAGAGATTCCCCGGGTCCAAAGTGAGGAATGGGAATTATGATCGAGAGCCACTATAACACATTGTTTCTTGTGGCATCGAAGCGCGAGGCGGTATTTTGACCGTACCCCCCCAGGCAATCGTGGCTCGCAGGATCAGGCCGTAAGATAAGGGAGAGGATATGCGAGTCGGGAGGAATGTCAGATTCGAGAAGCACCAATGGGCCAGTATGACTAGATGCTGTGGCTTGCAGTCTAGAATCCAGAACGGAGTCGGGGGAGTGCAGAGGGTGAGCGGCGCGACTGGAGGGCGCGCGGGCTAGAGGAATGTGGGACTCGAGAATGTACGATCCAGGAAGAGGCGATCGGAGGGAGGGGGGGTATATATGGGAGTATGTAAAAGAGGAGGGGAGGGGGGTTTTGATTAAATATGTGACAACAAAGAGAGAGATGGAAGAGAGGGAAGAGAAGTCGGGAGTTTACGATAAGCCTTCCGGGGGGGCGGAGAAGGTAACCCAAGCGGACTTTCCATTCGCGTGTTGCACGGTCAAGCTTCTCTTGGTGGCTCAACTAGTCTCCCCTTTCTCTTTGGTGTTTCACACCTTTCTTTTCTGCTTCTCCAGCTAAAAACATAAGCTTTTCTTAACATACAGATCTTTTCTCGGCTCTTTGCCTTTCGCTCCTTTCGCTCCCCTCCTATTGGTAGTTATTCTAGGTCTCGGAGTCCCTCTCCTTCCACATACTCGTCTCCATAGCATTCGCGCAATACCCCATCGACAAGTTCTCGATCTCCACCAGCTAGTTTGCGCAAGTACTCCTCAAGAATGTAAATATTATCGGTCCACTGTAGCGCCTGCTCCCGGAACCCCGCTAGCTCATCTTGTAGCTGCTCCACACCCTTGTTGTTGAGCGAATCGAGGGGTCCGGAGAGTTGGGCCTCCGTAATCCGTACCCGATGGACGGTCGCCTGAAGCTCGGCTTTCTTGGCCATAAGAACTTCCCTTTCATGCGCCTCATCATTGTCCTCCCCTCGACGCAGAGTCTCAGCAGCCAAAGCTGCTTCTGCATCGGCACAAGACTTGCGAACTTTTTCCAACTCTGTGCGCACTTGGGCCAATCGACGCTCTTGGTCAATCTTCTCATCACTATTGAAACTCCAGTACCAGTTTCCACTGCCAATCTTCTCCACTCGTAGTTTACCGTCGTCGGTTAGTGCTTGAATGTATTCCTTGACTTGGATGCCGTTGATGGATGCAACTGAGGGTAGCATCTTTTCGAGATCCTTGAGCGTGTGACAGGTCCCGGTGCCGCGAAGATGAGCCAATATTAGCTCCTGTTTCACGCTTTTGGACAATTTAGGCGGCTGGTAAGAAGGCGTCAGTGGTCCTGGATGAACCCGGACCAAGACCATGTCAAGGCCACGTACCATCTTGTAAACTCGTTGAATAATCAAATGCCTTTTTCATGAAAAAGCTTAACACTCCAACCTTTCCTCATGGAGCGAATGTGAGACAGCTAAGCATTTGTTGGTGGAGGCGCAGGTTGAATGACAGGGAGCCAAGTCAGCGGTTCCCGACATCTGCAGGCTTATCCGTCACGCAAACACAAACTCTTACCTCAGGGACAAGCTCACCTTACATACTGTGCTTACATTACTGACGGGGCCTTTCTTCTGGTAAAAGCTTTCATTAATTACTCTGCGACATAACACTGCGCATGTAGCCTATGAATACAGCAAGTCTGGCCGTGAGCAGATGAAACCCAAACCTCATCTTATCTACAAGACTCATTTCAGCCAATTCTTGGAAAGTTTAGTTGGGCTTTTTACTCCGAGTGGGACAAAGATTTGCCGCAATGAAACCGAGCCTCATGGCAACATGTTGCGCCGCCAAAGTTGAAGCAAGACTACTGCAGGTCACACAGCATATCAAGTTGCCTTGAATGGCGAAACGGCTCGTGACAATCACGCAAGCCGACGTATGGTTTGATCACCGCATATGGCCTTTCCTGGATCCCTAGGTGTATGATCACATTTGGGATATCGGTGTAGCGGAAGGCGCACAGGAAGGCGCAGCACCCCTGTTGTCATACTGCGCAAGTCTGACTGTCCCTCCCTGCAGGGCCGGTAGAATTCATCGGGAACTCCACGGCTGAGTGGAACGGAGAGCGACGGCGAGTAGTTGACTGCACCAGCTAAGAAAGCTAATCCTGAGTGTTGAACAGATTCGAAGGGAGATGAGGATTTACGAGGAAATTCTACTGTGATTCCTGTAATGTTGATGTAATATTTACTGGCCGGTCAGAAGAAACCCCACAGGGGTATCTATCAGAGCTCTCTGAACCTGCGATTGCCGTAGACCCGGCTATCAAGCATATGCACAATGAATTGATCTCATGCTGACCAGTTGAGCACCAGATCAAAGATGTCATAATTCCTCCAGCGTTTGGCTTTCGCCTTGCTTCCGTCGTTCACCCGTTTCGACATGATCACAGGAATGTCTTGCTCACTCAGGCCTCCATGAGACCGCAATGGATGGCCTCTCAAGCCGGAGAGATCATGATTGGCTTTAGAACTACCAATAACGGCATGTGGCTTGGAAATTACCACAATGTCCGCCTCTCGGTCCAGGGGCATCTCGTATCTTTGGGCGGCAACCGGGCCGCTGAGCGCAAGCTCTACATCCGGGAGCGACTCGCAGAATGATATGACGGATTGAAGTTGCGAGATGTCCTTCAAATAGACCCGCACAAACGAGCCGAGTGCTCCGTGGTGTCGAACGAACGGATCAGTGATGGGACAAATGACTCTAGAAGCATTCGGCCCAAACTCGGCGTTCAAAACATCCTCCAAGAAGATGACGTTAGGCTCCCCTGCCTCATTCGACTTGTTACTCATGCCATGGTCACCAGTGACGCCGATAACGGGAGCTAGAGTTGCGAGCCTCTGTAAGCACTCATCAATTGCGCTCAGGAAGCTGTCAGCCTCTGGGCTACCGGGCTCGTGCTTGTGCTGGATGTAATCAGACAATGTCAAATACAAAATGTCTGATCTTTTTTCTTCCAGCAGCTTGATGCCCGCGTCGAGCACAAACAGAGACAGGTCACTGGAGTATTGACTAGGCGCAGGGCGACCGAGCCACTGTTCCACGTCGGAGATTCCGTTCTCTTCCAGGGTACAATCTGCTGCCTTTTCTGAAGAAAAGCATATAGCCCCTTTCAAGCCATGTGCAAGAATCCTGCGTAATTTATCTTTCGCAGTAATAGCAGCGACTCTTACACCGCGCCGAGACATTTGTTCCAGCAACGTTGAGCCACGGAGCAAGGAGTCGTCGGTTATCATCTTGGCCTCACCTGTCTTTCGGTCCAGGAAGAAGTTCCCGGCAATTCCATGCGCTGAGGGTGGTGCACCGGTAATGATAGACACATTGTTCGGGTTGGTGAAAGAGGGCATACAACTCTTAGCAGTGGCGTGGAATCCATGGACAAGGAATTTCCTAAACGTGGGCAGAAGACCTTTCTCAATTCCGGATTTCAAGTAGTCTGGATCAAAGCCGTCGATGCAGATCACGACTGTCGGTTGTGTTGGCAAGTTGTACGTCTTTGAATGGAGTGTGAATTTTGACCGGGATTCTAAATGGTTCAGTGTCTATTGATTTGCTAAACAATTACAACAGAAAGCACTCACTTATCAAGCATTGGTACGCCAGTTCCTCGTATGCCTCCAATGGAGGTACTTCACAGCCGGGCTCTTTCGCAAGTTCAACACATCGCCTAACAGCAAGCTTTGCCTCGAGTAAAGGATCATGCTGCGCCTCGCGGACCTGGTCCTGACCAACTAATTTGCACACCTTCTCGCTGAACCCAATCTCGCGCAGGAAAGTTTCTCCCAAAATCTCGTGGCTCTGCCTTCCGATATACTGGCCGTCGGGGATGAATCGTCCGATATCGTGGAAAAGAGCAGCCAGAATAACCTCGAGGTCATCACCATGCGTGGGGGACTGTGTAGCAAGATGTGCACATTGTAGCGAGTGTTCTAGTTGAGTCACCTGCTCGCCGAGGTATTTACTTTGACCCTGTGATTCCAAAAGCTGGAACAGCGTTCTAACGGTTGCTCGTGTGTGTTCTTCGACCGAGGCGAGAGGCTCTTTGGCCTGCGGGACCGCAATTTTCAGATGCATTTTGCTGATTATCGTGGAGATATCTTCATCAATCCAGCCTTGCCAGGAGGCGGTATTAAATAGTATAAGATCATTGCAGCGCCGGTTATTCGCGCAGATTTTCACGCAGATTTTCAAGATTTCACGTCATCAGACCATACCCCTCGATTATGAGAGGATGTTGAGCCAATCGTGTTCATTCCATTGGGGGACCCCGTGGGTCTGTGCGTTTACCCCGGATCAGATGACGAATGGGAACCTCCGTACCCACGAATGGCTTCCGATCCCGCTGGAGCCTGGAACCTGGTGGAATGCTCGTCTTTGGGTCCCATGACTAACATCTCCCATCGATCGCCTGCGAAAGAAAACTGAGAAGAGTCTGTCGAGTCTTTATGCTACCTTCAACCGAGAAGCGATGGTAGATCATCGGGAGAGGTAAGAAACATCAAATGGAGATGTTTCCGCCTGAGCATGGTGAGTACGGAGTAGTGCCTTCCAATCTCGAATATCTGGAAACAAATGGAATTCCCAATATTTATTTCAAGAGCGCGAAGGCAAGGACTACTGACAAGGCTGACGTTATGGCTTTGCTGCACCTTTTGCCAATCCTAAGAATAAGATTGTTGTCATTTCTGCTGTTGGCCCACCCTATGTACAAGCAGCCTATCCACAATAACCTACGAGAAAGAGATCCCGAGAGATCACAATAGGTATACACCGAAAATACAACTCCCAATGCTCATTAATCCCGATATGATGGTACAACCACATCCCCAACCATAACCGTCCTGCGGTCAGGCTGTTCCAAGTCATATTCCAGTTCCTCCGGGGAAAGTGTGGAGTATTTGCCAAACGTGACCTTCCCATCGATATTTCTTGTCTTGGCAAGCGTTGAAAAAGGTTCATCTCGTCGGGTACCGGTGAACTGATCTATACAAACCATCTGGCATCGCTGGCATGAATCCAAAGCATCGAATCGAAGCTGGTCAGGCCCGATTCGAAGAGATGACCAGCGGTCCTCCGCATAGGGCTGCTCGACGTCGCCACGACGAGCCAGTCGCTCCGCGACGACAATATTACCACGGAAGACATCCGCTGCAACTGTCTTGCTGCTCCCATGCTTAGTATTTGCTTTGATGGTTTCATTCAGTTGGTTCACAGACGAACGTGAGACAATGAGGATTGGCGACTCGTTGGATAATGTAATTGGCATACGGCCATTCTCCCGCACCGGGGGAGGGAAGTCCGGGGGGAATGAGCCTGGCATGATGAGTTTTCGAAAACGGTTCTTCCACGTAGTTTGTGTGCGCGGTATCCGTGAGTACCGGTTGGTGGTCTGCGTAGGGAACCGGGCAAGGGTGCATGGCACTCCTAAGAAGTCTGAGAAAAACGCAGAAACCACCGGTGATGTATAGGCGTGTAGAGAGATCGGATCGCCGCAGACTGTCGTAGGCCTTTTGGCGGAGCTAGGGCAGAAGGAAGTGGATATGGCACTTGTATCCTCCCAGCCAAGGGAAATCTCAAGGCTGACTTGATCTGGTGCGGCTATTGCACCACAGGTGATTCGAAGCACTCCTCTTTCAAGCTCAATTGATGGTCGTATGAGACACATACGAGGATACCTAGTGAAGTTAGTATAGATAATCTGGATGCGCCTTTTCGTACTGTGATTACCTTTTCTGATTCAGAGCTGCGCCAGTCCCTTGATGAATCAGACACCATTCTCTATCCCAAGCCAATCCCTCTTTCTTAACTTCCCAGCGCTTCCCATTGGGTATCTTAAAAGGACCGCAACTCTTGATTGGGAAGACTGCCAGGCTCTCAATGTAGAAGTGCGGTTCAACGACCTCATTGTCTTCCAACGGGGGGTTGAGCGCAATTATAGGCGGAACCTTCTCGACATAGAACTCCTCGATGAAGTTAATCAATGAGTCTATATCTTTCATATTTGTCATGGCTCCGAAACTGACACGCAGAACACCCGTCGGTCTCCCTCCTAGGATGTCATGGTTATCACCGCACCGTAATCCAGCAGAGTAGTGGCGGCGAAGCTCAGCTCCAGTCCACCCAAGCGAGGAAGCTGTTCCACCTGGATTGCACACGGATCCAGTGCGTATCTGAACGTTTTGCACGGTAGCCAACTTTTCCACTTCCGTCTTTGGGACCCATTCGCCACGGCTATTGCAAAGGTTGAACGCGATAATTGGACCTTGGGCGGTTGAATTGCCATACGTAGAGCTTGGCGACTCATAGATTTGACAGACTTTCCTGTCGTTGAAATGTGCCAACGAAGAGAGTCTATCATAGGTTTCCTTCGCAAGGAACTCAGCGTGGGCCGAAATATTCGCCATCGACCCGAATAGACGCTCGTGCGTATCCAAAGCTGCGTCCAGAGCTATGATGTTATGGAACGGGAGGGTACCATCCTCCAGCCGCTCATGAATGGAGGATTCCTTCTTAGCGTGCCATTGTACCCCGGTGGCCACGACCATATCGACGGTGCCTCCACCAAAATATTTCCGCCGCTCAAAGGCCCGTGCAGCGCTTTTGCGAACGATCAGAGCTCCCAAATCTGGGAATCCAAATATCTTGTAGAAGCTGAGGACGGTGAAGTCCGGTGCAGATGCAGCCGGTCCCAGGTCAAGTGGTGCCGTTGATACCAGCGATGCAGCGTCATGCAGAGTGTATACATTCCCTCCACTTTCATTCGCTGCAGACCTGATTTGTTCGGACCAGCAGCTAGGCAGGCGCCGACCGTTCATGTTGGATTGTGCTGGATATGCAAGTAATCTGGGTGCTTTTGACTGGTCGGTAGCCAGCTCGGATATCTTGGCCTCCATCTCATTGTCGCTTTGGAAACACTGGTATCCCATTTCTGCCAGTTCTCGTACCCCGACAAGACTGGTATGGGAATCAATGTGATACCCATACCAGAATCCGCGGTGGTCGAAGTCCCGGAGTGAATCTGCAACTAACTTGATGCCAGCAGTTGCGTTTGCCACAAACACAAGGTCAAATTCGGCCGGGTCTGCATTGAAAAATCGCAACATACGGACGCGAATATCATCCGTTCGTTGTGTAGAGTTCTGTGACGATAAAGACATCGAATGGGGGTTCCCAAACAGATTTGACGTCAGATCGCGCGAGAAACTCTCGATCATGGACTTAGCATAGGGTGTTGTCCCTGCATAGTCCAAGTAGGTTGTTTCTATAAGCTAAAGGTCAATATAACGTTGACTTGGAAACTAGGGGCACCTTTACCATTTAGTAAAGGATACTCTTGTTCTCGTATTATATCCACATCGGCAGAGTAACCTTGACTATACTTGGGATAGGTAGAGCCTTGTCGCTCCATCGTTCAATATCCAAATGATCAAGTTGCAAGTTGGTGGAGAGTAACGGCCTCGTTCTGTTGGGACTCCGTGATGTTTGGAGGGTGGCAAATGCACCAAGCCTGGTTGTTCCGTGTCTTCGCAGATAAGAGTATACTCTTCATGAATCTCTCTGGCCATATGATCAGCCTCATAATACAAGGATTGAGATAAATCCAGAAATAGACTGCATGCCCGCGAGGTGCGACCGTGCAATTAAACAGTCTGAAGGGAGAAGGTAGAACTTACCATAAATGAGGCCGATGAGTGTTTAGATTCCCGTCGGAGGTTACCGATGCGAACGAATCAGTGAAGGGAAAGGCTGTTCAAGTCAGAGGAAAATGCGGGTGAGTTCAGGAGGTTAACCCTCCCCTTCTGACGCCTTTTATAAGACTTATAATACTGCCCGAATGTTCAATGTTGAGGTCTACTGCTCATCTAAACATCCCCCGCACATACTGCCCCCGGGATGTGGCAATAGACTTCGACATAGATAATCAACCACTTCGGTTGATCTCTTCATGTTCTCATACGCACTATCTCCCATTGTATGCACACTAATCAGCCTAGATCCCGCCCCCAGAACGTGATAGTAGTACTCATGTAGTCAGATATCACTTGCATACTGCATACACATTGGGCAAACCTCGGGGTGATGGGCCGATGGCCTTACACCAGCATCATGTTGACTATCATTTCTCAGAATGACCCCCACCGCGGTAATTTGATATCTCTTTAACCAATCAATCAATCTTAAGGGATTTGCTTACATCGCTCTATATCGCTGATCCTATAATCATCTAGCAATCAATGCGTGACCACCTGCATAAGTCTCGAGGATGCTGCTGGGGCCAGAGTACTACCAGTAGTCTCATCACAATGTCAGCTTACCCTCCCATGTCAATCAGGTAGTATTCAATTACCAACACACTGACGGGAACAAGTACTGGCCGCCTTATGCGGCGGGTGTATTACTTAGGCTGACCTTAGGACCTTTCAAGGGAGAACACATCTCCGAGACTATAGCTAAAGACGTTGTAGTCAAACAATCATGTCGACTGTAGTCAGCCTAGCCAACCTTTAGACCACTAGACCAAAGGACTCATCTTGTGATTGTTTGATCAATGAGACATTAACAGTACATTCCAAATTTCTTGCATTGAACATCACTCCAATATCCCAGCATAGTGCTGACGTCTTGCGTGCTGGCCTACCTAGAAGGTAACTGTTGAATACTACGTCTTCAGCATTCAGCGCGGCCCGTGGGTTCCTCCAGGGGTTCGCCAGACGAGACTTTTTGGTCGGAAGTTGAGTCCTCAAAGGCCTGCTAGATGACAGACCTGCTAGAGTTGTGCAGATAGATCTCGGGTGCCATTGGGCTATGGAACAGTATGTTGTATTGTACAAATAGGGTTGAAAGTGAACTTCGAAGACAAAACTCCGTCCCAAGCTCATGCTATGGCTCATGCATGTGATGGCGCCTACCCGTTATCGGTAGGAATCGGCAGAGCATTGAAAAGCCAAATGAACTAAACAGCGAAAAGAAAAAGGAAAGTGAAGCTGTTCCGAAATGCGACGGTGGGGCATCACGATGACCGCTTGGGCCACTGTCTCCAGCCGCGGCCATGACCTCTCTGTTGTTGTGCCGAGTCAGCGTTGTTCCCAACAAATCATCTGGAAAGAACCAATGACTTACCTGCTTCCACATGCGGACCATTTCCGGCATACCCTCCATAGCCTTGCGACGTTCCTCGAGACGTGACTCCATGGTACGCTCCCACTTGTGACCCTTGACCTTGTGACCAACACCGGTTCCCTTCACCTGCAAACCACGCTCCGCGCGGCGTGTTTGCTTGAACTCGATTGATTTGCGGCTAGGAGGAAGAAGCGCATCCACATTGTATTTGATGGCCAGCTTCATCAAGTCCGCCTGCTGCCGCAGCCCATATTTCGGCGCTTCCCATTTACCATAGCGCTTGTGCGGAAGGAACGGATTCCGCACTTTCTCACTAGTGACAAGGAGTGCACGTGAAGGAGTCCAGCCAAACTTCTTCTCTCCTGGCGCACCCTTGGCATCACGATCGGGCGTGTATGGCGATTCTACCTTCTTTGGTGTGTAGTCTTGGTCTTTTGCAGGGGCAGGGCGGCGGACGGCTGCGGAGTGGATTTGTGGAGGATAGCGAGCAAAGAAATTGACCAGGCGTTTGGGGAGGTTATCCACCAGAGTGGTAACCTGCTGTGATATCTGCATGGTGGATGTGCGAGGTGAATTGGGTCTGTCCCAGTTTGCGCAGGTGAGTGCTTGGGACTGCGCAGTCAAAAAGTTGATACCGCCCGGACTCGCGCTAACCAAGTTAAGCCTCACTTGGGGCCTTATCTAAGGTGTATTACTGCCGTGGCGCCTCAGCCGTGAGGCACCAACAATTAGTCATTCTTCCCAATCAGGTGTTCGCACGGACCTCATACTGGACAGGCTCGTCGCAGGCCAAAACTCACCGCTTTAGTAGAACCAGCCTCTCGCCTCAGGCATCCGAATTGCTAAACTAACTGTCTTCGGCTTTTCCGTCTCGATTCAGCTCCAGGAAGTCTCTCTCTCCTCGTGCACCCTCATTCTTACCGATACTACTACGCTATCCATACTTGTAAAATAATATCGCCATTGCTCTCACTCTGTGTCTGCACCTTTCGCGCACATCCCCAGCAGCATTGCGATCATGGCAGACATGCACCTGCTAGATCAGATCGGCGGCACTGAGGAGGAGAACGTGGAGTTCAAAAAACTCGAAGTCGAGCTGGTGCGTGTTTCGTGCTATTTTGAATGTGTTGTTCTAGTTTCTGACGTTTATTTCCTCATAGCTTGATGATCCCGACAACTTTGAAACCTGGGAGAAGCTGGTTCGCGCAGCGGAGGGCCTGGAAGGTGGTATCAATCGCAATTCCAACCCCCAGGCCATTACGACCGTCCGACACACTTATGACCGATTTCTTGCCAAGTTCCCTTTGCTGTTCGGATATTGGAAGAAATACGCCGACCTTGAATTCTCCATCGCCGGCACCGAAGCCGCTGAAATGGTACGCATAACGTGCTATTTGCGCGCCAGCCCCTCCTTACCCCATGATGGTTACTGATTCTTATCCCTCTAGACCTATGAACGGGGAATTGCCAGTATAGGTTCATCTGTTGACCTTTGGGCCAACTATTGCGCGTTCAAGGCTGAAACTTCGCACGAAGCCAGCATCATTCGAGAGTAAGTGAAAGTAAAAGAACGCCTCCTCCCTTTCCCCTATAACCGCTACGGACACAGCTCGTGAATGCTCTCGTATGTCGATCACATGATTTCCGGACGTCTCACTGTTCAGTGAGATACGTTGATGGGCGAGAGGCCAGTCCCTGCTATACAACCCTGATTCAAGTGAAGTTCACTTCTCACCCACATCTCGCGTTTTTCCTGTATCTGACGGAAACATCACTCTATTGCGTCGAAGACCACGGATAGTCCCGTTTGATTGCCCTTGCTGGAACACTGGGTGCTTACCCTAGCGTATTACTTGGGTTTTTCACAAACGGGCCGAGTTTACTACTCACGTTTGCATCCCCCTGTTACTTTCCAATCTCCCACCACTCCTATCCCGCCCACCAGGCGTATTATCCGAAACCTGATGCTAATAAACACTCAAACAGGCTCTTCGAACGGGGTGCAAGCAGCGTGGGCCTTGACTTCCTTGCTCATCCTTTCTGGGACAAGTACATCGAATTCGAGGAACGACTTGATGCCAATCCAGAGATTTTTGCCATTCTAGGACGGGTCATCCATATCCCTATGCACCAGTATGCTCGTTACTTCGAGCGTTACCGTCTGATGGCGCAGACCCTCCCTGTTACTGAGCTCGCCCCCGAGGAGACCATTGCCGCATTCCGCGCCGAGCTTGAGGCTGCATCGGCCCAGCTGGGTCAGCCCCCCAAGGCCGGAGCTGATTTGGAGCGGGACCTGCGGCTGCGCGTGGACACTTACCACCTGGAAATCTTTGCAAACACACAAGCTGAAACCACCAAGCGCTGGACCTTCGAGTCTGAGATCAAGCGTCCTTACTTCCATGTCACTGAACTTGATGAAGGTCAACTGTCGAACTGGAATAAGTATCTTGACTTTGAGGAAGCGGAGGGCTCATTCGCCAGGACTCAGTTCTTATATGAACGTTGCCTGGTTACTTGTGCCCATTATGATCAATTCTGGCTCCGCTACGCCCGCTGGATGGCTGCGCAGCCCGGCAAAGAAGAGGAGGTGCGAAATATCTATCAGCGGGCCGCCTATCTCTATGTCCCGATTGCCAACCCGACAGTGCGACTGCACTATGCCTACTTCGAAGAGATGTCAGACCGCGTGGATGTTGCGAAGGATATTCATCTCGCTATTCTCATGAACCTTCCCAGCCATGTCGAGACTATCACTTCACTCGCCAATCTGTGTCGTCGTCACGGGGGTCTCGAGGCAGCAATTGAAGTCTACAAGAGCCAGTTGGGTTTGGAGCAGTGTGAAATGGCGTCTAAGGCTGTTCTCGTCTCCGAGTGGGCTCGCCTTCTCTGGAAAATCAAGGGCAGTCCTGATGAAGCTCGCAAAGTCTTCCTTGAGAATCAACAGTACTACTCCAGCAGCCGACCGTTCTGGGCCAGCTATCTCGCCTTCGAGATTGAACAGCCTACGAGCGCGGATACGGAGTCTGTTCAGTACGAACGTATCAAGCAGGTTATTGCCGACATCCGGTCCAAGAGCGCTCTGCAAGACGACGCTGTCAAGGAACTTGTCCAGATTTACATGCGGTACCTACTTGAAAGGGGCACCAAGGACACCGCCAAGGATTACATGACCTTGGATCGCGAAATCCATGGCCCTTTGTCTGTTGCTTCTGCTCGCGTTGGCGGCACTGCCGCCGTGTATCCCACCCCTGCTGACGGACAGTTCACTTCGGTTCCTCCCCCGCTACCCACAGATGCCGTCGCAGCTGCCCAGGGACAAGCGTATTACCAGCAGACTCCGGTGAACGGTCTCCCTGCAGCTTAGATCTTACGCCCATCCCCTCGAGCCGACGACTGCATGTTTTGATAACCTTTATATGAAGCGGTCCCTTTTCGAAAGATACGCTTGCCCCCTTTCCCCTTTCCCCTTTCCCTTTTCGGGTTTTTGTCTTCGTTACTTACCCTGTCTCACTGATTGATTCACTGGGTGGGTGGTTCGTTCCGATGTAGTATTATCCGTGTTGTCCGTGGTGGGCACCTTTTCTTCCCCTTGTTGTCTAGCGATTTTGACCCAGAACAAGGACAGTTTCTTCTCATCCTGGTCAGATTGACGGGTGTCTCATTATAGCTTTCTGCTACTTGACACCCGCTTCTGACCAAATCGAGATTGGATCCCACGGGACCAATTGTATTCTAATCTGGCTTCTTATTTCAATGAAACTTAATGCCACGTCACAGATGGTGCACTCCGATTGTCTCAAATCACACAGTGAACATGGGTATCATACACCTGTACTGTGTTCGTAGTTGAAGATACATCCCCAAAGTTGGTGGATCCTTTTGCTATCACATGCAGATAAACAAGTCACGTGGTGATTATTATCACGTGCCCACGCTTTTGGCTCTTATCCTCTTCCGTAGAAATTCAAGATCACTTCCCTCCGAACACCACTCGGAGTTTCAGAACTACGTACCATCTCTTTCGCCATCTTAATCATGGCACAGACTTCGGAGGTGCGCCCTCCACCCCCTCCAATGGACCCTGTTGCGCGCCCGCCCACCCCGCCGCCGCCTCCTCCAGAAGACTTAGCGGCACCTCCGCCTCCGCCAGACAGCGGTGTCCCTCCGCCTCCTCCGAATGATGTGCCACCTCCTCCGCCCGTGGAGGCTGGCAAGAAAGAGAAGAAGGGATGGGGCGCAAAGCGTCCGGCAGTAACTCCTTTGAGTGTTGAGGAGTTGATACGCAAGAAGAAAGACGCCGATGCGGCGATGGCGAAGGTAAGCATCCCATCCCCCAGACAAGCAGAACACCCGGTGCAGATTCTGACATCCACCCTTTCCTTTCAGCCTAAATTCCTATCGAAAGCAGAACGAGAGAAACTTGCGTTGCAAAAGCGAGCCCAAGAAGTCGAGGCAGAGCGCCTGGCCAAGGTCCGCGCCGACGGCGCTGATCGCAATGGCCTCACACCCCCAGAATCATCAACCAGGCCTCCGGAGCCTCGCAATTCTCGAGGGGACCAATCGTCACGACATGTGCCTACTGGCCCGCGAACGATGTACGACGATGCCCCATCAGGGCCTGCTGCGATGCGGAAGGGGGGTCGACAGCACCGTCGCGACAGGGACATGTCGCCACCTCCGGCGAATTTGAAGAGCGAAAAGCGCCTTGCCGAAGAGGATGAGGGGTCGGCTCAGGCCGCATTGATAAAGAACCGATACATGGGAGTCGATCAAACGTCAAATTTCTCGGCAAAAAAGAAGCGCAAGCGTACCGCCGATCGCAAATTCAACTTTGAGTGGAATACCGAGGAGGACACAAGTGGCGATTACAATCCTCTATATCAACACAGACACGAGGCGAATTTCTTTGGCCGGGGTCGTCTAGCAGGCTTTAGCGACGATGTGGCGGATGATGTTACTCGCAAGTATGCGGAGGCACTGGCGAGTCGCGATAAAGAAGCTGGCAGCGCGCGAGCTCAGCAGATATTGGAGATGGAACGCCGCCGACGCGAGGAAAGCACGCGTACACAGATTGACAAGCATTGGAGTGAGAAGCGCTTGGATCTCATGCGCGAGCGAGACTGGCGTATCTTCAAGGAAGATTTCAATATTTCGACCAAGGGTGGCAGCGTGCCCAATCCTATGCGCTCATGGGAGGAGAGTCAGCTGCCGAAACGTTTGTTAGAGCTTGTTGATCGTGTTGGATATAAGGAGCCGACGGCTATTCAGCGCGCAGCTATTCCCATAGCCTTGCAGTCGCGTGACCTTATTGGTGTCGCCGTCACAGGTTCCGGTAAGACGGCCGCATTCCTTTTGCCACTACTGGTATACATTTCAAATCTACCGCGACTTGACGAGAATGAATGGCGCAAGAACGACGGGCCATACGCTATTGTCCTGGCACCTACCCGTGAATTGGCGCAGCAGATCGAGATTGAAGCAAAGAAGTTCACAGGGCCTCTTGGCTTCAACGTGGTCAGTATTGTCGGTGGACACTCCATCGAAGAACAAGCCTTTAGTCTGCGCGATGGCGCAGAAATCATCATCGCGACACCCGGTCGTCTTGTCGATTGTATCGAGCGTCGCATGCTTGTATTGAGTCAATGCTGCTACGTGATTATGGATGAAGCCGATCGCATGATAGACCTTGGATTCGAAGATTCCGTGAAAACAATCCTAGATGCCCTCCCAGTGAGCAACCAGAAGCCGGACACCGAAGAAGCCGAGAACCCACTCGTAATGAGCAAACATGCCTACCGCCAGACGATGATGTACACAGCCACCATGCCTCCCGCAATCGAACGCATAGCCCTCAAATATCTCCGCCGCCCAGCAACCATCGCAATCGGCGGCGTCGGCGAAGCCGTCGACACAGTCGAGCAGCGTGTCGAGATGATCTCCGGCGAAGACAAGCGCAAAAAGCGCCTCAACGAGATCCTCTCATCAGGCGAGTTCCGGCCCCCGATCATCGTCTTCGTCAACATCAAGCGAAACTGTGACGCCATCGCCCGCGAAATCAAACAAATGGGTTTCTCCTCCGTCACACTCCACGGCTCCAAAACCCAAGATCAGCGTGAAGCCGCTCTCGCCTCCGTGCGCAATGGCTCAACGGATGTCCTTGTCGCCACCGATCTCGCTGGAAGAGGTATCGATGTGCCGGACGTCTCTCTCGTCATTAATTTCAACATGGCAACCTCCATCGAAAGCTACACCCACCGTATCGGTCGTACCGGTCGTGCTGGAAAGAGTGGTGTTTCTATTACTTTCCTAGGTAGCGAGGATAGCGATGTCATGTATGTTCCTCTCCCCACTCCTTATATCCTTTCTTATACTTTATGAAACTTCGTTTACTGACCACTCTCTCGCAGGTATGATCTCAAGCAGATGCTTATCAAATCGCCCATCTCGCGTGTCCCCGAGGAACTGCGCAAGCACGAAGCGGCGCAGTCTAAGCCGAACCGCGGACCTGGTGGAAAGAAGATCGAGGATAGTTCTGGATTCGGAGGCAAGGGAGGATGGGCTTAGTCCTAGGTCTGTATCCCATGCTTTTAATGTTCTTTTCTTACTTTCTGGCGATACCACGATGCTGTGAATGTTTGAGCATAGGACCGGTTTTCTTCGCCAAGGGTTATGCTGTATTCTACGATATTGCTTCTTCTATATACCATTTTAGTCTTCGCGCCTATTATTGCAGTCGAGTGGAGTTTGATTTTCAGGAGAAGCACAACCCGTATGTCAATGTGCGCAATATGCAGGGATCCAAGAGACAATAGCCTCAGGCAACTTCTAGAGCTATGAAACAGTGCTATGAATATGAACATGAACACGGCCAAGTCACTTTTCTCTAAATTTACAGCTTGCTCTGTAGGTAGCTGTTGCTGCTCAGCCACTCCTCGACATCGCCACGGTCACGCTTGATCCAGTTGATCTTGGCGCGGATAGCATCGAGACTCTGCTCAACAGCACGATCGAAGCCCTGTATAATAAAAATTATCGTCAGTAAAAAGAAGGAAAAAAATACGGGTCAGATACAGCACTACAGTCTACTAACCTTAGTGTCCTTGGCAGCGAAGAAGTCCTCCACATCCTTCAACTGCGCCTCAGTGCAGAAGCTAGCAGTGGTCAGCTGGACAACAGTGCCCAGCATGCCGAGACCAGGAGGAAGACGCTTGTAGATAGCATCCCAGTTGGACTTGAGCCAGTTCCAGCGGGCCTCGATACCAGCCGGGTTGCTGCGGAGACCGCCGAGCGGCATGTAAATATCCTGGCTCTTGACCTCATCGTTCATAGCGAGACCAAGAGTGCGGGAGATCAGCTCCGGGTCCTCGGAGGCACCGAGACAGCGCAGAGCGGTGGTCTTCTCATCGGAAGTAGGTGCGTTGCGGAACCGGTCCAAGACTACCTCGTACTCCTTGACGCCGCCGTGCTTCAGGGCAATAGAGTAGACGCTACCGCGGATGTTGGGGTGGATGGCGGAGAGATCGCCGGCAGCGAAGCGGGCGAACATGTCTAGGGCGGCCTTGACGACGACAGGGTCCTCGGCCATACCGGCAGAGCCGAACATGAGAGCCTTGAACTGCTGCTGGATATGGTCGTCATTCTCGGGGAACTCCCAGCCAATTTCGTGGGCCTTGGGGGCGACCAGCGTGCGCTGGAAGGCCTTGAGGGCATCCTTGGTCTGGTCGTTCTCAAAGAGCCAAGCAGCACGCAGGGTGCCAATGCGGGTCAGGATCTCGTTCCAGACGACGAACTCTGACTCGGTGTCGAGGCCCTGGAGCAGGGACAGCATGCCGGAGGTGCGCTGGAAACCGGAGGCGGCTAGTGCGCCAGAGTCGGCAATCATGCCGGCACGGTCCTCGACACTCAGACGTCCATCGCGAGCTGCCTGGCCAAGCTTCTTGAGACGCTCGGGGCTGTAGGCGGTGCGGAAGATGGCGGAGTGGTCGGCATTGAGCTTAAAGAAGTTCAGATCGGAAACGGGGAAGTTACCCTCACGCTCGGTCAGCATGGTGTCCTCGTCAACGCCCTTGTCCGTGCGCAGGCCGAGCATCACAGGGAAGAGAGTCTGATCTTCTTCGGGACGGACGTCACCAGTGCGCAGGAAACGGTTCTGCTTCACGTGAATCGAAGAATTGTCCTTGTTCTCAGTGACGCTGAGCACAGGGAAGCCGACATTCTTGGTCCAGATGTCCATGACCGACTTAACGGGCTTGCCACTGGCATCACCAAGAGCAGCCCACAAGTCACCGGTCTCGGTGTTGCCATAGGCGTGCTTCTTAATGTAATTGCGGACACCCTGAAGGAACACATCTTCGCCCAAATACTTGGAAATCATGCGCAGGACAGAGGAGCCCTTGGAGTAGGAAATGGCATCGAAGATCTGGTTGATCTCGTCAGCACGCTTCACAGGCACTTCAATGGGGTGACTGCTGCGTAGCGAGTCCAGCGAAAGAGCACTCTGCAGGTTATCGATAACATAAGTCTGCCAAACCTTCCACTCCGGGTAGAAGACGTTGCATGAGTACCACGACATCCAGGTTGCGAAGCCCTCGTTAAGCCACAATCCATCCCAGAAGTCCATGGTAACCAAATTTCCGAACCATTGGTGGGCCAACTCGTGTTGAACGGTCTCGGCAATACGCTCCTTCCGGGACGCACCACTGTTCTTCTCGTCCAGCAACACATCGACAATACGGTAGGTAATCAATCCCCAGTTCTCCATGGCTCCTGCACTGAAATCAGGCACGGCAACCATGTCCATCTTTGGTAGAGGGAAATCACTATCAAAGGCCTTCTCGTAGAATGCTAGCGTCTTGGCAGCAAGCTCCAATGAGAAACGACCGTGCTCAATATCCTGATCGGGCGTAGCGTAGACACGGACCGGAACACGGAAGTTCTTTGTCTCAATGTACTTCAGATCGCCCACAATGAAAGCGACAAGATACGTGGACATGAGGGGCGAAGTGGTGAATTTCACAGCCTTCTTCGTTCCCTTGACTTCAGTCTCCGTGTCGACATCCATGTTACTCAAGCAAGTCAAGCTCTTGTCTGCAACCAATGTCACGGTGAACTTGGCCTTGAGAGCCGGCTCATCGAAACACGGGAAGGCCCGACGGGCGTCCGTCGGCTCCATCTGAGAGGAGGCAATGTACTTGGTTTCGCCGTTCTGCTTATAGGAAGACCGGTAGAATCCGGCCATGTTGTCGTTCAGAATACCAGTGAAGGTGAGCTTCAGCTGAGCATCTGACCCCGCGGGGATAGCCTGGCCGAACTTGATAGTCGCAGTCTGGGCATCCTTGTTAAGGGAGATATCGGGCTTGGAGTCTACCACCGAGCCCTTAGCTGAGATCTCTGCGCTGTGAATCTCGATCTCGTTGGAGTTGAGGGTGATGAAATCGGTGTCTTCGGTGACATCAAGGCTGGATGTACATGTTAGTTACTGATATACAAGCTTCGGGAAGGAAACATACTCAATAGTCACAGTTCCCTCGTAGGTGAACTTCTCGAAATCAGGCTCCAATGTCAAATCATAATGTTGCGGCTTGACATTCGTAGGAAGGACCTCACGGCCCTGAACATTGGTGGACCCGGAGGCCTCGCCGCGGCGTGAGCTGCACATTCTGCGGTAGGAACAGTAGCGTTTGGATATTTGTGATAGCGGGGTATTATAGCGACGAGAATTCGACCGAAGAACTGAAGCTTGAGGAGAGCGAGCGGAGACAAAGAGGGGGGGGGGGCTCTGGCGGAAATAAGCGGTGGCTTTGCTTGCTGCAGAAGCACACGCGTGGAGAAACGGCGCATAAGCTCCACGAACCCGAACACGGGAAGAGAAAAGGAGAGAAAAGAAGGGAAAGAGAGATTAGTATATTAAATAATTGTAATTGAACCAGAGGGAGAATAATTGGGACCAAAGACTCGAGACCAAAGGACACTCGCAAAGGGAAAAACATGAGAGTGTCCGGCAGATTACAAGGCGGTGAATGGGACTAGCGGCAGGGCGGGTTTTGTCATTTCTTTCTTTTTCTTTTCTCTTTTCTTCATCAACGCAACTTCACCCAGTGGATGTCCAATTTCTATATGACAGACAACTGATTGGAACATCTTTTTACGGTGTTATTGCAAGACCATATACCAGCAAGTTTGAGGGGCTCATGACAGTTTCATTGATTCTCGTGGGTGGGCTACCATAGAAGACTGGAACATTACACACCATTGACCTCGATTACTCTGATGTCACAATTGAGCATCATGACAGGGTAGTTGGGTCATCTTCAAGAGCATATCATATTGATTGTATGATTGTATGATTGTATTAGGTATCCCAGTGTTCAATACTAGCCGGGTCTGGAAGTGAAATCCTTTGTCAAACGCCACAAGATGCATCTAGTAAGAATGATATTATTTATTAAGACTCCAGCGCCTTAGCCTGCGGTACTCGCGTGAAGACACTGCGAGACCATCCATCGGCATCCACGACGGACTCCTTGACGAGCACATATCCACCGATCTTCGGCGCCAACACCGCCCAGACAACGTAGTAGATAGCGCCTGCTGCGAACAATCCCAAAGCCACCACGCAGTGCAGATAGTACGGCAGCTCGTTGTACACGCTCTGTCCGTCGCTCGGCGGTACATAGGGCGCAATCGCGAGGTACAGGTTTGACAACATGAAAAATATCGTGACGGGAAGGGTCGCGCGAATTCCAGGCTTCCAGTTCGGGAAATTCTTCTCTTTGGTGAGATAGATGTAAACGAGCCCAGCCGAGACGAAGAAATTGACGATTGAAAGTGGGTAAGAAATGAGACTGGAACGGTTGGTCAGCAGCGATCTTGTAGTTATCGCTTTCGGGGATAACGTACTTGAGTAGGAAGTTGTATGCATCACCAGGAGGAGGGGCGAGCAAGACGATGGCGGAGACGATATAGTGCTCAAGCAGGCCAGCTGCGGGCGAATGGAAGGGCCAGTTGCTGGCCCAGAACTTGGAGAAGGGCAGTACACCTTCACGGCCAAGTTCCTGAACAACTATATTGCATATGATGTTAGTATGCCGTTAGAACATACGAGTGCCAGGGAGAGTACATACTTCGACCTTGTGAGAAGATGACGGATAGCACATTGCCAAATGCAGACAGGGCCACAAAGACCGACATGACTCTCTCGGCGCGTTTGCCGAACATGTTTCTAAAGAACACGGCAGCTACGATGCTGCCCGAGTTGAGCATCTCTTCCTTCGAAACAGCGGCGAAATAGGCGATGTTGACCAGCATATACAGAACAGCAACGGAGATAATAGCAACAGGAGCTGCAATCTTCAACGTGCGAGCGGGATTCCTTGTTTCGCTCAGTGCCTTTTAGATCAGATTAGCGAACGCCATCCACGATTAGGCCAACTCATGTGGCGCATTCACTTACATAGTTGGCATTCGAGTAGCCGATGAAGGACCAGATAACGTTGTACAGCGCCATGACAATGCCATATCCGCTGCCAAGAGTGCCCTCAAAGGCATTGGTGAAATTATCCGGTGTCTCGGCCTTAGTATGACCACCGAGTGCCACCCAACCAGCAACGATGATAAACACGACGATGATCAGTTTGATGATACCGAGCACGTTCTGGAGGTGGATGCCCCATTTCAGGGCACAGGCGTGAATAAGGAAGGCGGCAGTAAGACAAGCCATACCAATTCCACGTTGATTCCATCGTCCAACCTCAATCTCTGCTGCGTTGAGGATGTATTGACCGAAGACGACGCTGTTGCTTGCTGCCCATCCGAGCAACACGGCGTAAGCGGCGAACATGGCCGTAGCCAGAAACTTGGGCTTTTTGTAGACATATTCGAGGTAGTTCTTTTCTCCTCCGTTTCTACATGAAATCAGATCAGTCAGTCAATCAATTCCTCGAATACTCGCGGTCAATATGCAAGAAACATACCTTGGAATCGCAGTACCCCATTCAAGGTACACTGCCGTACCGGCCAGGGCAATCACAGTGCCAGCCACCCACATGAACAACGAGAGTCCGACACTGCCGGTCAGAGCAAGGATAGTACTCGGCGTCGCGAAGATACCGGTACCAATAACGCGGTTAAAGATTAGAAGAGAGGCACTGAAAATGCCAATGTGACGACGATCATCAGGCGTTGTCTCGAAGACATTTCCTTCATCTACATTTGAACAACCGTTAGACCTATCACCCAAACCATCACTGTATAGACTTACAAAGTCCAGAGATACCATCAGCCCGACGGATGCCCTCTTCCCCAGACTTTGTGTTCAGCACGGGAGTCTTTCCAGAAGGCTCAGAAACATAATTCAGGCGTTCAGCCATTGCGTCGGTTTTTAGATCGATCACCACCTACACGGTGGCACCGATTGACGAATATTTGTATTCAGCTGGAGACTGTTCGAAACATAAAGTCAGCACGGCTACTAGCGGCACAAGTATGAGGTGCTGGCACTAATTCTGATGCCATAGGTCCCTGCGGCTGGGCATAATCTTGGGACCTACCTTGAGATCCTGTTAAATCCTTGGGAAAAGTTGTAAGATGCTTGCAAATGTGCGTAAGCGCTATTTCCTAGGTGAAGGTCCAAAGCTGAGTCAGTGTGGCGTGCCAATATTTCATGTAGCAAGATTTCTATACGGTTGTGGCATCTAATGGCCGCCACGGTGCCACTCATTGCACCATCGGGGCATCGCATGGCATCGTCTGCTGAGCTACTCGGGCCGGAACTAGAGTTTAACTTTATTATGGATCGGCCTTCGGCTTCCTAACTACTTTGAGACCTTGCTCCAATGCTCCCATGTAAATAGGGCATAGACTAGAAACCAGGATTTCTCTAGTAGATTCATGTTGCCATTTCAATCCTTGGAACCATCGTGGCGTGTTAGCAGTGAGAAAAACCCACCTAACCAAATAAAAACAGCGATGAGGAATGAAAAAGAACAGAAAAATAGAACAAAAACCTCGGGATGCTCCGCCGTGGCCCGACGCCGCAAGTGGATCTCTGTCAACAATAAGACTTCATGTCCGAGCCACCCGGAGTTTTTGGATTTAGTACTACCCTTGATCCCACAAATGCGTGAATTTGGTTTATGTATCTCATGCATCGTACTTTCAGGATTCGGGGAATTAATGATCAGATACTCCGCTTCGTACTCCGCGCAATCAGGAACGGAAGTTATAAGGGTTTCAACAGGAAAGGTTCTAGACGTTTTATTTAGAAGCCGAAGAAGTTCCAGGATGTGACGGCTGACGGAAGACCGATTGCCCTGAAAGCGGAAACCTTGGAAGTGTGAATCTGTGACACATAAAATAGGCTGGGCAGAGCACGCCATTCTTAGGGCTATTTGCTAAATCCCGGCCAAGCCGGGGGCTGCTATATTCAGGTAGTCTCTACAGGGTTGATTTTTCTATGAAGCCTTGGCGTGTTTCAAAGGTTATTCTATTCAGTATTCACCTAGCTAATTTAGCTTTTATGGATGTTCTGGAACTATTTAGATGCAGATCTATTCAGATCTCAGAAGAGGCACGAAAACCTTGATGCCCCCAGTACTGAACGCCAAGAGGAAGTCAAGACATGGGTCACTTCGAGAGGGAAAGAATTCCTGCACACAATTTATACGTACTTTGCAGAGATCAGATGTTTATGAATTCTCAATTTCTATATACAATACATCTGGTAGTATCTGCAAACCCAATCAATCTCAAGGCACTCCAACGCCGTGACCTTGTGCTTTCCCATTCCAAAAGAAACCAGTACCAATCTGTATACCGTGGGTCCCCAGGTCAACGCCAATCCAAAATTTGAAGACAAGTGAAGAAAACGAATCATTAACATGACATGATGAGGAGAAAGGAAACAACAAACAAGAAGAAGAAAGTAAAACAATAAGACATGGAGAAATAAGAAATAAATGAGAACTCCCCTGGCCTCATGGTGTGGGATATATGGCATAACGCGAGCTGGAATAATATCATCAGCAAAACAAATAGGAACGATGAAATTAATATCTCCGTGACATATAGATGGCCAACATGCGGCACATAGTAAAAGTTGAGGCTACCTTAGGTGAGCCTATATAGAAGGCCGGGAATATCACATCAATCGTGCGCGTCGTCGATCAAACCCTATACCTAGAAGGCTATGGCCATGACGCTACAGGAAAGAAATGTGGAATTCCCATCGATTTGGCGAAAACTTGGTGAAGAACAAGTACTCATCTAGGCGGTGTCACCCCCGTAGTATATGCAATAGGCGAAACAGTGGATGAGGGTATTTTTCCCGCACTGCCCAGTGTCGGAGCCGGCGCTGACGATCGCTTGGACAAGAGAGCCAGCTTTTTCCGAACAGATGTGAGGCGGCCTCGCATGCTGGAAACGACTGCATGAAGATGTTAGTTTTGGGTGGATATGATAGACGGATCTAGGTAAACTCACGTTTGGCAACAACCTGCCGATCCTCCATTTGCAGATCATCCAGATTTATTCCCTCGCTGGGCTGCGAGCTGCCTTGCCGTTCGTTGTTACTGTTCGGCGTGGGTCTTGTTCCATCGTCTTCCAAAACAGCCTCGAGCATGCGAATGGCAGTGACGTACGTGATCTCGCAGTTGGCAAGATCTTCACCGGTCAATTCATTGATGGCAGCCGCGCGGCTCATCTCGAGTGCGCGGTCGTACATCAGTCTCTCTGCTGTGACACCAGGACTCACCACTACGTCGGCGGTAGAGGTTGAGCCGGCGGTGTTGCCAATGGGATGGTTATCCGGATGGCTGGGGTGATCTAGCGGTAACCGTTGTTGTCCCTCGATGAGCTTTAGACGCACGAATTCGGCCTTCTCGATGACTTCATTGAACCGATTGCGCACCCACTGCACAACGTAGTTGATCCGAGTACCGGCAACCGCGCTCATGCTGTCTTTAGTGGGAGACTCCCCGTACACTTCTTCCCGGTTCTTGTGTGACCACCAAGCTCCAGCAATGTCCATTGACTTCGCCAGCAAAGACAATGCTTTGACATATAGCACCAAGGCTTCTTCGGATAATGTGACAATGGCATCCACCGTCAGCCCGTTATCGAAGTCGGCTGACCCGGGCTCATTGGTTGTGTCTATTGGTCTCGCGGATGGGTCAGTCGGTGCCGAGGGTGCCAGCGGAATGAGCTGCTTGTATTTGACCTCAGCAAACCCGAAAACAACGTCACTACGAGTAGCACAATCCTCGATTTCCTGGACAGCCCTGTAATCTTCGTCGACGGCCGGGTTTGTTTTGGCGCCGTCTCTGGTGATCAAGAGGCTCGAATGCGTAGGATAGGCGGGGAAAGGATTGTAGGCTAGAGGGGGAGATCGCCCTCCCTTAGTGATAGCAAGTGGGGGTGAGAAGCCCATTCCAAACAGACGACCACTGGCCATGTTGAGTGCTTTTGAGATTGCCGATGTTGCGGACGTAGGACTTTGTCCGTACCGACGCTCGTATGAATGCTGACGTTGGTGGGTAGAGTCTTCTCGTGAACGGCCGGAAACAACCTGCATGGCTTTGGCAGCATTGGCATGCGGGGAAGACGGTGACACCATTGGTATACCCTGCGTAGTCGCTCGACGAGACCCAGCGATGTTTCCTGGCCGAGAAAGGCCGCCTTGAAAGCGTGGGCTATGGGCGAGTTCATCTGCAAAAGCGTTGACCTCTACTGCCCGTTTTTCCACAACAACATAATCTCTCTCAAAAGCCACTTCTTGTGCAGCAAGATCTCGTGCTTCTTGGGCACGGACAATTGAATCGCTTGCTTTGGGGGAGCCAGCATAAGTATTTCGATGCCTTTGCCGATCCATAGCCGCCGCCGTTGCATTGCGGTCAGTGAGCTCCTGACGTCCTGGGGCAGTAGCAAGGCTGACGGGACCAGGCCGTTGAGGTGGCGTACCTCCGCGCTGTTGCTCCCTAGTGACGCCCGAAGGGGGCCGGTCAGCGCTTCCCACGCGACGCATATGCGTTGCAGTCGGTGGAGTTGAAGACTTTTGGGGCAGTGCAGCTGGTAGTCTACTAGTAGGACTCGTGAACTTCTCCTCTGGTCCGGTATCGTAAGGTGATTCTTCGGTCCTCGCGTCTAGCTGAGTTGGTCGTGGCGATTGGGGTGGCTCCGGACTGTCATCTGCTACCAATCCGGGAATTGGATCATTGATAACGTTATTATTGAAGAACTCGGGAAAGCTCAGTCGTTCGACCGGGTTCCGTTTCAGAAGACCCCGAATCAACCTTTTGATGTCATCCGAGGCTGGGTTATCATCAGGGAAGCGAATTCGATCTTCTCCCTTCTCAATCTTCCGCAGCAACTCGACATGGTTCGTCGCCCGGAATGGGGGACGACCCACCACCATCTCATAAAGCACCGTACCAACCGACCACAGGTCGGCCTTGGCATCATATTTCTCATACCGAAGAATCTCGGGTGCCATATACAGCGGAGATCCACAAAGGGTTTCCGCTAATGAAGTGGCGGGTAATGATCGAGCGAAGCCAAAATCTGCGATTTTGAGCATTGGCAGGGTTTCGAGCCCGGTCGTGGGTTCAAAAGAGTCGTCACTGCCTTTATATGGAATCACCCGTGTAGTCCCACTCCGGTATGATGAAGGTGCCGGGCACAGCAGGAGGTTCTGTGGTTTGATATCTCGATGAATGAGGTTTCGGTCTCGAAGGAATTTCAGTGCACTGGACAGCTGCTTGAGGAAATGCCGCGTAACTACTTCATTGAGCGAAGCGCCGGGTGGGTTCGGGTATTTGGCAATCATATCCCTAGTGTATTTATGAGAACCAAGAGTGTCCCGGCGTTTGATGAACAGCGACAGATCCCCCAATGCACAATATTCCATGACAAGGTGAATGTGGGATGTCGACTCATGGCAGTCGATCAGTGCCACGATATGCGGGTGGTGAAGGCGTTTAAGGATATCGATCTCGGATGAAAGGTTGTCTTTGAGCTTTTTGTTGAGCTTCGACAAGTTCACAGACTTGATCGCTACAACTGTTTTTGATCTCTGTTTGAGGGAAATGGATCAGCACCAATCTCTCGGCATATCAGAACATAGAACATGACGCACCGTATGAACACCTTGATAAACAGTCGCGAAGCTACCACGCCCAATCTCATCGAGTCGTGTATAACTGCCGATGGACATTTCTGGACGGGTTGACTGGCGCGATCTCCTCGGTTGCTGGGACGCCATGATGGCAACGAGGCAACACCTCTGCCCGTTCTATCCCTATGAAACTCTAGCCGGGGCGGACTTTCGAGATCAAGTCACACTCCAGCATCCACAACTACCTCAGCAGCCGCAATAGAGATGGCCGACTCGGGAGGCCCATCAGGGGAGCTAGGAAACGATGACGCTGGTTCCGGGAAGCCTGGAAGACGAGGAATCACCGGGTGGACAGGCTTGGGGAGGTATTGCAAACGGGGGGTATCGTAGAGCGAGACCCGGGCGGGAAATTCGGGTAGATATGAAAGATGATGCGATGTCGATGATATACCGTCCAGGAAGCAAACACGAGGACTATCCGAAGCACTTAAAGCGGTGAGGGATGTTGATGCAGATTAGGGAGGCTTTAGATGCTCAAGACTTATATGGGGGAATCGAAAGAAGTACAAAGTAGGGGGGCAAAATCGATAGACCTAATGAGAGAGCAAGATGATGTGATGATTGAAAGCGGGTAGACCCCAAGACCCGATACTCCACGACTCGGGGGGTGTGACCCAGGCCGATAACGAGTGACAGGCGGCGATGATCGCGTAAGGCGGTCAGGAGGGCGGGATGATCTTCAGTACTGATAAGAGGGGGAATTGGATGAAGTATGACTCATGACGAAATTTCTAGGGCAAATGCATATTTATAGATATGGAATTTGACGTGAATTTCCAGATCAAAAGAGATAATGAGATGAAATACCCCTCACAAGAATATGAGGACAAAGGAGTCTACCTAATCGTACGCATATCCAGGTGGGCGATCTTGGTCATGTGCTTATCGTGTAGATAAGAACAAGATCGGCAAGGCAGATACCGAGATCTTCAACGTACTTTCTGTACCAGAGGGACGGCGTGAGAAACATGGGGTAAGGGGCTATATTGCGGGGTTATGCTGCTATTCACTGCCTGGGCTCCGTTAGTCCTCTTGGGGCAGCATGGGGCTTTTTCCTACCATTCTTTCACCTTGTGTGAATACTCTCAAAATTTCAAGGCTCCTACCATTCACTATCGCAAATGAAAACCATACGGTGACGGAAGCTTATCTGCAGCCTATGAATCTCAAGAGTCGAAGCGCATCGCTTATTCAAATTGAGGAATAGGAGCAAAGCCGAGCCTAGGCAGATACGCAATATTGCGCCGCTAGTATACGCATCCAGAACGGTCTCTTTAGTTGGGTAGTCGGAGGCTGTACATCCCCGGGCTATGTATCCCCACCATAATATACAAATCCCGCAGGGGAAAAAATGATTGGCAGATAAGACACAGATGAACTTCCGAAGAGGAGAGATCATGAAAAGAACGCAAAAGTGAAACAGGTCTACGTACAAACATCGCTGTGGCGCATCAGACGCCAAGACCTCGCACTAGCAGCCACAACACCACCGGGACAACGACGTTGTCATTACAACCAGTGAGGATGGCCTCGGTGGCGCTTGTTCCGGCGGCCGCCAGAATAGCCTTGACAGAAGTCCAGGCCCAGAAGTGAGTGGAGAAAGCTGCCCCTTCGGATGATTCGATCCCAGAGACAGGCCATCCGCCGAGCACTAGCCAGGCACGAACTGCGATCAGCCCGCAGGTGACAGCTGCAACAAATGCAACACTGCCCTCGAGGGATTTGCCGCCTCCCCAGAACCACTTCAGTCGACCGTGCCGTCGGCCAACGAGAGACGCAGCCGCATCGCCCATGCCAACGCATATCACTCCGCTGGCCATGCTGACATCTCGTGACTGGATTTCCCAGCCAGCCCATGGACCGACGCCGAACCGAGGAAGATCGGAAAGTGACAGCCAAAGAGGAATGGAACACCCAATCAGCAGGAAAATGTGTGAGATAATGACAGGTCCGCGGTGATCGCGGCCGTCAACGTATGGGGCCAGGAAATTGGTGAGAGGGCGCGAGATGGGGGGTAGCTGAGACGCGCGGAACAGATCCAATAGGAGGAATATCGAGAGGACCAGGGCCAACGCCATGGCGCAGAAGGCGGGGTCCACAAAGATAGAGGGGAGGAACATCACTACCATCATGCCGTGGAAGATCTTGCGGCGTGTGTCAACCTCGACAACGGAGCTGAGCTTAACGACGATAGCCAGTCCGGTCAATAGTACCAACACGCAGTAGCCACAGAGTAGTAAGCGAGTGTTGGCCGCCCCGAAAGTGGCCTGTCGAATACGTTCAACCGAACCGAGGAAGCAGGAAGCACTCAGGACCTCAGAATCAGGGCGAGGCGGCAGTTCAATCCAGTACTCAAGGTTTAACATAAGAATCCAGAATCGAACTCGTGACAAGTTGCCAAACAGATAGCCGATAGCCCAACCGAACGGATCTTGGCCTTGTAGAGCGCGCTCCGCGACGTATTTTCGAATAGGTCCTAAAATAATCATCAAGGACAAAGCATAGACGTAACCAGCGTATAGCCATTTACGTACTTGCGCTTGGGCCGAAGTGAGCAAAAGGAAAGAGGCTAGATTGGGGCCCATCAATTTCTTGCGTCTGCCACCAGGGGTAGTGCGGACCCGTTCCCCCCGAACGGCTTCATCGAACGTAGATATCGTATGGCGTCGCCGTCGCACGTTGCGGGCATGCTGATCAACGGTGGCTCGTGTCCCAACTTTGTCAACCTCAGAAGAAGGCTCTTCTGCCGGGCCGGCAGAGCGGTTGTTCCGCATAGTCCGCGTTTTTTGCGGCCTTGGAAGTGAGAATGCACTCGGCCCCTCACTGTCCGACGAAGCGTCCGATGGGAGAGGCCCAGTCTTGCTCAGCTTCTCACATAATCGATGGTCCATCATGTTCAAGAACTGGCGCGCCGACTGCGAGCCGGTTGGAGCCCGGCGGAACTTCCAATTAGGAATTCTGGCCAGAGAAACCTCCCAACGCAGTATCTGTCGGCAACAAGCAAACAAGCACATGCCGCCAAGCCATAAGAGGGCTTTGAGGATTTCCATTTGGGGTGATGCCGCAAACAAGTACAGGTTGATCAGAGCAGTTGTCAAAAGTTGCAACTCAGCAGGAAGAACGCTGGTAGTCAACAGAAAGTCTAAAGTGGGTATCAACGCTTGATGCAAAGGAAAAAGAAGAAGAAGGAATTCAACGTCAAGCCCGCGAAGCGTCAACGGTTTTGGAAGTGTGCCGTCCAAGGAGAAATGCTCGGAAACAAGAACGGGGATCATAGACACCATCCAATGAATGGCGTTGAATCCATAAGTCCAGTTCTGTAATGGTATAACGGCTGTAGGTAGCGAGGATAGGCTGAGTATGATATTAGGCAAAATAAGTGGCGCGAGATGGTTGGAAAGCGACAACGAGACAAAAATCGGAATGAAAATCGGGTAAAGAAGAGGAGCCGGGTCAAAGCTTGAGGGTAACGAGAAGTATGTCCGTTTCGTAGACCATATGCGCCAGATACGCCAGCTTCGGCCCTGGGAGGCTCGAACAACGAGCGGGTAGGAGGCAGAGAGACTTAAGACCACGAGGCCATGAGCAACGATCTCTGTAAAACAGTTAGCTTAGTATGTTCCACGAGTTTTCCAAATATATCCATACCCTTTCGCCATTCCCAAGCCAAAGCCCGTGACCCGTCCTGATGTAAGACGACACCACCCACAGACAGTAAAAGCGCAGCCTCCAACAAGCGCCGGAGGACCTCCATCCGTCTTTGTTGTCTAAACCTCCTTCGCCCTTCGAAAGCCTCTTCCTCAAGTTCCTCCTCCGAGCTCCGTCGAGACGCCCGCACTATGGGCCGCACAAATGACGGCCATGGCTGCGGGCTCGGTGGCCAGTACTCGGTGTCGTTAGCCCGTAGGCCCTTTCGAGGTCGGAGCGGTGGTGCTGGGAGGCCCCGTAGGACACCGGTGCTTTCATCGTCAGCCTCAGTGCCACTGTCGCTGGTTGTCCGCGATGATCGTGAGTAGGAAAGCGGGTGGAGACGGTCGCCGTAGTCGGAGGGGGTCCTTGACTCGAGCTGCTGGCTTCTGTGGTAGGGATGTGGGGAGCGATTGAATAGTCGAAGATCTTCGGGGAGCGCGTCGGGACTCTGGGGTGTGCTGCTTCCCAGCGACGGTTCTTGTTCTTCTTGGTTCCACGGCGAACTCATGGCGCCATGCTTATGTCGACGAGTACGTCATATCCGGACGGGATCGTGGTGTACACAGAGTATGGAGGATCAAGGAAGAGCACCACAAAGAAAAGAATTAGTTCGATGATCGAGCCCCGGTTATTTTTTAGGTGTCGGAGGTTTTGAGAACGTGGCTGTTGAAGAGGGACATTGTTGTTATCTTTGAACGCGGAAGGGATTTTGCCTATCACATGCAAACGGACTGTGCACTGCATGCTGTATGACATCGACATGGGTCTCGACTCTCGACTATATAGCAACTATTGATATAAATAATACTCGTCTATATTGTCACTAGATTTCAGCAGCTTTGCTGCTTTAATATTGTCCGATATTTGCTTAACTGAGCTGCTGTAGAACGACACCTGCACTCAACCTTCGTCCTTCTCGCCCCCATACCGATCTGCACGGGACAACCTGTCCGGGCCACAAGGTTTCAGGCACCACATGGGCGGTGTATAACACAGCTTGAGATAGGCTGGAATGTCGACAGTGGGCCTCGTTCACTGATTTCAATATTTGCTTCAAGGTATCGGTTGACGAACCCGCGTCAATTTCGATACTGGTATACTTATATTGGCAGTCCATGGTGGTGGAAAATATCCCCCCTTTAACGTCCAGCTTGACCTGTTCACATCGACCTCCCAATCCTTGCCATTCGATTTCGCTACCCCGTGGAAGTTCATCGACTTGGACAGCCAAGAAGGGGGGTATGCACGTGTGTGACTCGACAAGAGCCGTGAACTTGGGCAGAGTGGGCACAAGAGCGGCAGTCAGCTCCTCTGTGCGACGCCCGTACTTAATGTCCCATGCATCCAGTTGCGGTCCTTCGTCATCATCCTCATCTTCATTGTCGGGCAAAGCATGCATTCTTTCCCAGAGGCGCCACGCCTCCCGGGCTTTGGTATCGGCGTGTTCTCCACGAGCCAAGAAAGCCACTGCACCGAGCCACCAGTCTACCTGCATGGATTCGCCAATTCTCCAGAGATGTTGAAGTGCCAGCACAGCTCGAAGACGGTAGTTGTCAAACCATGACCCGGGTCCTTCCACTTGGGCCATGTTCATAGAAGCCGGGTCTAGAGGGATCTGACCAGCAATGTACACGAGTCTGCTCGCGTTCGGTAATGGAATCGACATGGCTTGCGAATATGGCCCAATGTTTGCAGGAGCCCAGTAAGACCTTGATTGGACATGCAGCCCCTGGCGCTGTTCTCTTGCACCCAGGTCAACCACGAATGAGGCCATCACCCTGACATTGGACGGAAGCCGGTCTCCACAAGCCACTGTAACTCGCGCGGGAGGGTTGGGCTTTTTGAACAGCGAGACGTAGATCTCATTCATTGGTCCAAAGTCAGCCATTGAATCCAACAGCACCGTAGCAAAAACAATATCGTCTGTCGATCTGGTCCCGGCCTCGGGATGCTTCAAGGACGCAAGCATCTGATGAACCTTATTCGCAATGTCCTTCATCTGCGCGCCTGTCCCAGGACCAGCCTCAGGCGCAACAATATTCGAAATCGTCCAGGTCGATCCAGACAACCGATGCACCGGCTCACAGACAGACCATTCGGGCGACGGAATCGTGCCCGACATTAGCGAATTCGAACTTGAATTCAAATCATCCGGCAACCCCTCAAGGTTTCCCCCGGCCCCTAATACCCCCTCAAAAGCAGCATCCAACAGTCCAGGCCTCCTAACATCCGCTGGCGTCACCCCATCCTCAACCTCACGAACACTCTTCTCCACACACCTCGCCCCCCTCAACCTAACAAACGCAACACCCCCTTCCCCACCCCTCTTCTCTCTCCCCCCAACCTCAATCCTCCCCTTCCACAAAAAGCCTGGCCCATCAAGCGCAAGCGTCTCAAACTCCCCACCCTCCCCCAAAACCGCCCCACGAATATCCTCCCGATCCGCAAACCGACTCATAGCCTTAACCAGACACCTCCGCATCATCCGCCCCCCACTCTCGACACCCGACACATTCTCCCACAAGAACCCCTCATCCAGACCACCAGAGGCAACCTTGATAATCCGCGCATCGCACCGCACAGCCGCCATATCTTCCAGCAGCCCCGCCTGTGCTATCGCCAGTGTATCAGCTATCCTGGCGCCCGGCGCAGGTAGCGAAGGATACATCCATAGCCAAGCAAGCGGGACGAGGTCTAGACGGTTCGCTACGTTCTCGATGCGCGTGCGCTGGTAGGTGGATAAGATAGCGCCAGCGGAGACGGCGTTGGCTTCTGGGTGAGCCTGTTTTATGCGACTGAGCAGCGGGACGAGGGACTCTGTTTCGTCGGCGTCGTTGGTTGCGTTGCCGTAGATGCGGGCTGTGTCGACTGCGCCGCCGGTGATGGGTTGGCGGTAGAGAGGGATGTGGAGGGCTTGTTCGTAGAGGGGGATTACACTGTGGCCGATAGTTTGGTACATGAAGCTGTCGAGGTCTTCTTCGTCTTCTTCATTTTGTGTGTTTGGGTTCGTGGTGGATTTGTTCTTTGGTTCTGGGTACAGGTTGGCTAGGGCGACTACTTTGTGGCCGTTGCGGATGCAGTGGAGGATGGAGTAGAGGGAGTCCTTTCCGCCGGAGATGAGGGCGATGACGTTTAGCCCTGGGGCTGGGGGTGGCGCTGATGTGGACATTGCTTGACTTGTGAGTCCACTCAGGTCTGAGGTTTGGATGTCTCGCAGATTTTAGTGAGTGCGGGCAAGGAGGGGGTCACTTTTTGTAGTCCCCACCTTTTTTGCCCAGGGGATTTTATCGATAAAGCAACAACATTGTAAATCGAGATATGTATTTTTATTTGCATAGACATTTGCATTATTTGCTATATAGCTTGTTTCTCGGTATATTGTGTCTGGGAGTTAGAACTCAGAAGGCAGAGTTCCTTAGTACTTGAGTAACTTGACCTCTGTGACTATGTACTTGATTTCCTCTGCCATTCTATTCCAGATGCCGCTTTAATGAGGGCGCTCAGAGTCAGGCCCACAGCCTCACAGGCTCACTATGACACTAAGTAAATTTCAGTCCGGACTCAGCCAAACTGAGCTGCTCAGAGTCTCAGACTTTCCCTCAATTCCCTCAAACCGCCCACCAAGAAAGGCGGTGGATTGCAGCTTCACCGCTTGCTGTTTGCAGCGATGCTGACTCAGGCTTTTGTGGAGGGGTTAATCTGATTAGGTTTAGTGCGCCAAAGATCTGGCAAAATATTTGGATCATGTGATAAAGCCTGAGGGCACTGAGATAACTATCAGAACAGATGAATGGGATGTTTCTGCAGAAAAGGGTCGACTTGATGTGCACATCGTGATATGTCATGTGTCACACTGTCTTCTGATTTCAAGAGCAATTTTGTATGTGAATTACTCAAAATAACAGTGAAGTAATGGATAAGTTATGTAGAGTCGGGGTCAAGCGCTATTTGCACTGTTTAATGAAGTTCGGTGGCCCATACGGGCTCGAAACAATGGTCAGGCCGGGTCTGGCATGAGCTTTCGCCTTTCATGGCTGAAGATACATTCCTAGAGCCTTATGTCCTAATCACCCTTCATAGGGCTGACAGGAACCAGCGTTGATCTCTACTACTAAGCTGCTTTTGGTCAAGCCACGGCCCGTAATGGTTAAGGGGAAGATAAAGGCCCACCTCCCGCAGCTTGGCAGCTCTCGTTCGAGCGAATCAGGTCACGAGGAGCACTAGACAGTCTACATACTAGGTAACTACTATCACCCCAACGCACCTTCCACGGTCATCCCATCACTCTCACATCTTTCCTCAACTTTTTGCGCTGTTCTCAGCACTTCCTGTGATTGATCGCATGGAACTTGGACTGCGAGGGAAGGACTACGTTGTCACATGATGGGAGGAACTGGCTGTCGTGCTAATTATCTCTTTCTTCCTCCTGTTTCTTTTCTCTTTTCTTTTCTCCCCAGTCTAGTCGTTTTAGGCAAAGGAATCGATTTGTTTCCGATTACCTTCATCGTCACATTTCCTTTCTATCCTCGATACCTCCTGGACTCGACTGTCAGAAGAAAAGAGTCACTTTCCGTCAAACTTCTTCAATCTCAAGCGCTAAATAGGCCACAATATGGATCCAAAGTGCCACGCATCTCCAAAGCGCCGCAGATGCCTCGAGACCCCAGATCATTCTCCCATCTTGCTCGTCGCATTCTTCGCGTTGATCACCCTTCCCTGCGAGACTTGAACAACACCATTGACCGAAGATGTGCCATCACTGCAAGCATGAGGACGCCACAGTTCCTGGAGTACGAGAACGAAATAAACAAGGGTGAGCGTGGCACTGGTTCGGTACAATCGCCTACCCATCCCAGACACCGATTTTGACACTTGCTTCCGTTGGCAAAGGTTCTCAATCAGGCTTGTCGACGGTAAGATGTCTTCCGCTGTTTCAACTGCTATTTTCGAACTTGAGTCACTGACCAGACCAATAGGAACGGATTCTACGTCGCTTCAGGCCTCACATCCCCATCTACTGGCTTCCAACATCCTCCGTTCCAGGCCTCACAGCCCCCGCTCCAGACATGGCGAGCCCCTTCCAGCGCGGCTCATGTGGGTCAAATAATCTCACAGACTCTTGTGAGTTATGAGACTGTGAGACACGGCTGGAGGCGCTGAAGCGCCGGGTAGCCCAACTCGAGACCATGTTCCGCCAGAATGGCCTTGAGCACGATCTCGAATTCTCGATGCCCGGTTTGACGACGAGTCCGGCGCCCAGTTGGGCGACTTATCCCGGCTAAATATGCCCCAAGGCCCCCAACAAGCCTAGCCTTGTTTTGATGGTTTTTTGGTGGTCTTTTTGGATTTCTTTGCTGATAGTGGAATTAACTTTTGTAACAATGCCATTCTACCATTATTTCCAGTCTGTAGTATTCGACTTAGCCTGCATTCATATAAGGACATCAGTAGGTACCTCTGAGGTGTACAGTATTCAGATATTGCTATCCTTTAAGTTCGGATGATTTTGATAAGGCTTTTTGTTCGAAATCAGAATTTCTTCACATATTTTCATACGTGCGTAGGTTCCATGTAGCTTAGTATGTTGTTCGTTCCCAGTGTTCAGTAGAATTGAAGCCGCCCACCTGGAACCCCGTGTATACAGATCATTGCACCCTACGATGTATGAGGTATTTGTGCCATCTAGGCCGAGTGTCTTTGCTCTTAGTGTGATATGCGAAATGGGGATTTGAATATGGAACCGTGAATTCAACTCGACGATATCTGCCCGTAGTTGGAGAATTGTCCAAGAATGAGGAGTAAGACTACCTACAGGCCCCAGTTGTGGATAGCAGAACGAGCGAAGCGCACAGGCTTTTTTCGCTTCTTGAGCTGATTGAATCGAAGAACGTCCCCGTCGCCACTCGCCGTGGGAAGGGCCTGCTTCTGCGCATTGATGTACGTACATTTCGTACAACAGGCAGCGAGAAGGTACAACAACCGAATATCAAAAGCACAGTTAGATCGAATCTTCACTGGCCGAGCCCTATTGCCCCTCGCTTGCAACCTCAGGCACCTGAGCCGCAGCTACCACGAACCACGCCTTGTAACAATCACATTGCCGGCAAGTTCATGTCTCGCTTGCCATTTTTTTCGATGTCGATCACATCTCGAAGGCACCTCAGGAGTCTTAGGTGAGAGACTACCTACGAGCAAACGGTCGCGCAGAGAAGAATGGCATTCTTCTTTACGTTGATTTGATCCCAAAGACACGAATGGTGGGGGGGGGGAGCCGATGGCTGACTCCGACTCCCACCAATGCCCGAGGTGCATTGCCACATAAGTGGCAATCGAGATGCAGCCATCAAGACAAAAGTTTGGCGGAGGGAAGGAGCTCTCAGCGAGACCACCATTTCCAATTTCCCCTCGTTAAGGTCCGCACGGGAATTCGCCTGAGAGTTGGCCCGCGAGTTGCCTCGGCTTCTGAGCGAGGGGCGGATGCGGATGTCCTGTTGGGCACGCCCTCGTTAAGGTCAACGAGGCGCGACCCCCCCCCCCCCCCCCCAGCCCATCATCGTCCTCATCATGATTTGATTCATCGACTCCAGGTGGTGTTATGACAGCATCGGTCTGGCGGTCTGGCGTTTCCAGTGCAGGTATCTCCACCTAGGGAGAGCACGGTCGAGAACTTCATCCGATAGGTAGCGATTGCCCCGAGAACCACTGGCCAAGGCAACATGCCAATATGGTGCTCTGGCGGTCCTGACATAAAAGCGGAGTCCATTTGAGGCCTGACTTGTGAGTGCTGAAACCTCATTGTCATTTCCCGATTTATCCAGTTCAGCGTCAACATCATCCGCAGTCCGCGACTGACTTCCTATCAGGCTCTGAGCACATGTTTGGAGCTTGGTTGCCAGATTTTGGATAACTCTCGAAACATGGATCCGATGGATCTGGAGCTCCCGCCCTTCTTACCCTCAGGCGGAGGGGCACGTATGCAACTCGGTGTCGGAGTGACATCTTGACATGCGGGCATGACACCGGCCTGCAGGGGCTTGTCGGTATCGGCTTCACGATTTGCCAAGCCCGCGGAGACTCACTTGGCGAGGAGGTTTGCATCAAGGAAAACCTGTTCTTTCTGGTGGCGGCAAGTTTGACGCTATAAGGAAGAAGGAGTAAGTAATGAGATCCCACGGATGGACTGAGATCCTTGCCGGGCGACAGCCTACTTACTATAGAGCCTTGGGCTGATTCTCTCAAGGCAATCTCAAAGACACTCGACCTCCATTGGAAAGTGTTCGTGGCTGCCTATCTTCGAGGCTGCGAACAACTGCAACTCCGTCCCTCGTGGATCATTGGGCAGCAGGAGATGCCTGCTCAGTCTCCGTGCTGTCTGCAGTCGTCAGTGTCAACTTTCGTCATGGAGATGGTCTGCAGATGTGGGGTGTTGCATAAGAGATGAAATAAAAAAGGCTGGAAAGAGATAGCGGGATACTTACAGAGTGAGTCGAGGGGTCCAGTCCCCCTCGAGGCAGCGAGGCAGCCGAGGGAAGGACGCACTTGGAGCCCTTGATTTTCAACTCGGACGTCATTAGGCGGCTCATCAATCGATCCCGCCCATCAGGTCAATCGGAAACCTCGTTGTCGCGGGTATATTGATGGGTCCGAGGATGAAGGTTGGTGGGGGTCGATTGAGAAAGGGGAAGATGAAAGGGGAAGATGAATGGGGAAGATGAAGTGAGAAGAGCCCTTAATATACTAGCCTTGGAACGACTAAGCGCTTGTTATACCGGGGATATGAACGGATCTTTCAGGCGAGCGCATTGGAGGGTTGTGTCACATTCTGCTTTCGTGAGGCTGTGTTGCGGCTCGCACTTCACGACGACATCATGCCCTTTGGTCTTCAGATCTTGAACAAGGGCCTACCGAGTTAGGTAGGTGGATAACTCACCCGCTTCCTTTCCTCAATCGGTTGGTCTTCTCTCAATTTTACTCCGGTATATCTACCTACACGACACATGGGATTATGGAGTGTCCTGGGTTGACTGGTGGGTTTGCCAATCGATTGCACCAGCTACAAGAGCCACGGAGTCGTTCTATTCAACCATCAGTTATGACCAAGTGAAATGTGTCCTGATGAGTCGTGGGGTGCACTTTTCGTACTGACATTCATCTCAAAACTGAAGTAGAAGCTGAAAGATGGCTCGGCAGAGCACTGAGAGCAGCCGCAGACTGGAGAGGAAGATGAGTCGTTTGATTGATGGTGAATGCATCAAACGAGATTCTACACGCTGCAGGGGCCAATGGCTCGTATAATTACCTTCCTTGGCTCCTCGACAACTGATTTATATACACAGTTCGGCTGTATTAGCCGCCTGATGGACGCTTTACTTGAAGTAAGTCATATTCTGCTTCCTGGCCTACTGGCTATAGGTATTGTCAAAATGAAGTCGTCGAAGTATGACAGTAATTCAAGCGAAATGCAAGCCGCAAACGAAGCCAAATCCTGTCATACCAGCCTGTTTCCCATCCACCTGCCGTAATTTGCGGCCAATCGCTGTTTTAACAAAGCATTCACATTCAGCATACTTGAATTTCTTTCTGGACACTTTGGCCGCCTCTTCGTTATCAACAGGAAAACCCGTACGGTGGGCTTCCTTGTAAGTCTCAGCACCCGTACCGGTCCATAATGGCCCTGAATGAAGGATCTCGCAAAAGCTCCATTGCAGTCAACCGTTTTTCCGGCTGGTAGATAAAGACTTTCGACATGATAGATAGCACATGTTGCCGCTCGACCAAGTCAGCATCAGGACGAAAATATGCAATTTTTGCAGCAAGGTCGTTGTCTAGATCAGGAGATTGAGACTGATCATACCATGAATCAAGTCCGGCGGGGTGTGTGTAGAGACCTTTCCACTCCTCAGGTAGTGGACCTAAGCATTCAACCATACCACTCACAACTCCACCGTCGAGAAATGTGGGAAACGGAGGAAATGTAAGGTAGAGCATAGAGAAAATAGCCATGTAGCTCCACATATCGCAGGCAAAACTTGGCTCTTGCTTATGAAGTCGATCTGGAGAACAGTAATGCATAGGTGGGTAGCCGCGTTGAGTGGTGAGGTCGCCGATTTTCTTCGCTAAACCAAAATCACAGAGATAGAATTCGTCTGTCCGAAGGTTGTCAGGGACTTTGACAGGGCTTACAAGCTCGCCCTTTTTCCAGAGATCGACAAATGGTATTGTCTGCTTCAAAGGTCGGCCGAGTAACTCATACTTGGCGCTTCGGCTGAGACCGTCCATAGGAGTCATTCCCCACATACAGTTCCTTGCATTCAAATCTATAGGTTTTTTCTTAGTATGTAAGAATATGAACGGGAATGTCGACTCACCGCGATGTATGATTCCAGCTTTATGTAAACTTGCCACAGTCTCCAGTAATTGTCGAGCAGCAGACATACGAGAGGCCATAGGAGTCCTTTTCAAGGTAAGAGTGCAGATGGAAGGCCCTTTCATAGGGAACACCAAGACCCTGTGGTAACTTTTATCGTCTCGGGATAGAAAGAAAGTGGCAGTATAGATAACCAGGCGAGAAGTATCCTGTACCGTTTTGATAATCTCATCCTGGATTCGAGTTTCATTGTCGCTCCATTTCCCTAGGGTCATGACTTTGAGGGCTACGTCTCTCTTGTCTTGCAGGTCAAATGCCATCCAGACAGTTGAGCCACCACCAAAGCCAATTTTATGTTCAACCAGATACCGCTCGTTGAGCACTTCCCCAAGGTGAATGGGATAGAGGACGTATTGGTTATCCTCTGTTTCGTACCTATGCCATGGCTCAACGAGCTCTTCGAGATCAAGCTCCTCTTCTTCATTCTTCACAAAGTCACCAAAATCTGGTGTGTTTACAGGGGATGCTTCAATGTTCGCCATTTCAGATGAATGTGTCGATGGCGGAGTGGATTCAGCTCGCTGAAAGATGCAGGTGGTGGAATACCAAATCCACCGCCTGTTGCAGGGCCGGCTGAGGGAACTTGGGTACCTGAATACTGGTGTTCTAGGGCCGCGGGCGGTCAACCGGCGGCTTGACGTCCGAAGTTACGCGCAGCCGTTTCTGGCGTCTAGAGCGGTCATTTTTGTCAATTCCACAGGTCCTCATATTCTAGGTGTAATTTTTCGCATGTAAATTAACTAGATGTGATCTGGAACCAACACAAAGGGGCAATGCAATACAAGAAGGGGGTATGAGGGATGATGAAGAGGTCAAAATAACTTATACACGAATGTGACCAGCACAAGAAGCAGAAACAAAAAGATATTACATCAAATAGGCAGAAAAAAGAACATGAACGAAAGGTAGAAGAACGGAGAGAGAAACAGAGTCACAAGAAGTGAAGTAAACAGGGTACACGAAGTGAGAGCCCAAAGTTCAAAGTGTGAGGCGCATTGTTCACAATGTGCTGGTCCAGGAGGAAGTTGGAGAGAACATGGAGAGAAACAAAGGAAAAGAAAGAAAAAAGAGAAAAACAATCAGAAACAAGGTGACAAAGGAAATAATTCAACATTCCCAGCACTGTCCAAAGAGACAGCCATCATTCGCTCTATATTTTGTTTTTTTTTTTTTTCTCCATGGACTTCTGCCTTCACCAAAGAATCTTAGGCATGCCCAGTATGTCCCCGATAATGCCAAACGCTGAAAATAGAAAAAAAAAGGAACCTTGCAGTGCACCGATCCAGTTTCCGACCTGTAAATGCCCGGACGCCAAACCCAATCAAGACCAATATACGGTCAGGCCAAGACTCCGACCGAAGAATGTGATGTATTATATATGCAGTAGGAAGTCTCCTGGTCTCGTAAAAGAATATCATAGAAACGCATGCCCTTACAGGTCACGCTTGCGCTTCTTGGTCGCTCGGCGGTCAACAGAGGGAGCAACCGCAACTCCAGTTTGAGCTGCCTCGTACATGACTTGGCCGAGGGCCCCGGCGTCATGTTGATCATCGAAGGAAACAGAGCCTGCATCGCTGGTGTCCAGAACTCCCATCACGATGGAGCCACCGCCGTGGGTGCGGGCGTGCTGAGCGAGATTATCACTGCGGGAGAACTTCTTTCCGCACTCGTGGCACTCGAACGGCTTGTCCTGGGTGTGGAGAGAGCGGTAGTGGCGCTTGAGGTGTTCCTGGCGACGGAAGCGACGCGAGCAAAGTGTGCAGACGAAGGTCTTGGAGGGATCCTCGGTCAGAGACTGCTTGCGGCCGCGGCGGTTGACCGAGACGGGGGCGGACTCGGAGTCATCCATGGACCCATCGTCGGAGCAGCAGTCTCCGGAAGACTCGCAGGCGGCCAGCGCCTTCGCTTCGGCCGCTGCGTCGGCGGCGATCTTGCGGGACTTGCGGTTGCTGCGCTTCTTGGTCTTGGGCTGGGCATGATCGTCCTCGGTGTCGACCTGGACCGTCGGGGTCCACTCGAAAGAGGGCAGACCGTTGGGCTCGTAAGCGGGTAGACCGTTGTGCATGAAGGTCTCCGAATCGTCTGAATCCTCGAGACTGTGCTCGCTGAGGAACCCATCGTCCTCGACCGGGTAAGCGTGTACACGCTGGCGCTTGTCACCCATGTAAATGGCATTAGTGGCCGGGTGGAATTCCACCAGGCGGTTCAGCTCATCGTCCGAGTCGAGGTCCGAGAAGCTGTCGAAAGTCGGCAGAGAGCTCAGAGGGTCCTGGGTCGAAGAGCTGAACGAGGGAGATGGGTTCTCGTTGACGGGAAGCGTCACAGACGCACTACCGACAACGGCGCGAGGCTGCTCCTCCTCACAAGAGAGAGTGGGCAGAGGAGGGAGATCCTGGGTGTGAGCATTGGCAGAGGGCTCAACGGTGAGTTGGCGGGGATCGCAGAAAGACTGGCCGGACCCAATAGGCTGAGAGGCCAGAATGTCGGTGGGGACTGGAGAGGGGGAGGGGGAAAGCGAGGGGCAGGCAGTCGCAGAGAGTAGATCCGAGGTCTGGATGTGAGTGAGAGAAGGGGGGTGAATGAAGACTACACATCATAATTAGCCTTTCCGCCCTTGCATATGCCACAGATCCACATTTAGTATATCCATGTGTGATCTATATCAAACTCACCAGGCGTCATCGGGGGCGAATCGGAACGAGCCCACTCGGGGTGGGCCAGAATTTCTTGGTGAACATCGGTCTCGCATCCCTCCTTGACACCCTCCACCTTGTCAAAGTGGAAGAATGAGTCATGGACCGGGGTTGGTAGTGCACCATGGGCAGAAGGAGGGCTACTGATGGTGCTTCCCGAAGCCGAGAGCGGAGGAGTCGAAGGGAACGAGTACATATCAGGACCAATAAACCGAGTGTCCAAAGGCATCAAGGCAGGAGAACCCTGTTGCACAATAATGGACGGTTTCATTTGCGATGGTTGAGGAGACGCAATGGGAGTCAAGCTCATAGTGGCACCCCGGAAGGCATTGGTTGTGGCCATCTGGTGCATGTTCATCATAGGCTGAGAGTAAAGTGGCTGTTCTTGCGCTCCATACTGCATTTGGCTGTAGTATGGGATATCGGACTGATAGTGACCTTGTCTCTGTGAGTCGGCATAGTATGCGAATGAAGGCTGGCCTTGGACCGAAGTTGGTCCCATGTATGTTGAGTCCATTGTGATTGTGTGCTGATTCATGGTTAGTTGTTGAATTCAAAGTATGTAGATTGTATCTATAGATACACATACCGGGTCAACGAAGTCCAATTGAAAGGCTGTCGTTTGTATATATTAGGTATATAGTTGAATGTGATGTGTCTGAATGAATGGAGCAGTGATTATTAGGTTGTATAGAGACGATGAATGAGTTGTCGTCGAGTCGCAAAAAGGAAGGGCAGGTTCTGGGGGAACCGGGAGGGTTGAGGAAGGAGAGTGATATAGAAGAGAGGGATCCAAGAGGAAAAACCCCAAACCCAAAGTAGTTAAAATAGTCAAACAAAATAAAAAAAAATAAAGATAGAGAGAGTGTGAGGAAATATAGACAGCGGGGAAGAGAAAGAGAAGATGAGGATGGAAAAGATAGCAGCAGTCGGTGGATAAATGAGTGATCTGCTATTTTCTACTTGCCGGGTCACTAGTTTAGGTGTGGGCCAGGAACGGGTGCTTTTGGGTTATTTGGATATTTGGATATTTTGGATATTTAGAATTTCTGGATATTTTGGTATTTGTCTCACGATATTAGGATTTAATGATAACTTGTCCAGTCCGGGGCGGGATTGGGAAAGACACTGGGTGCACATCAAAGTGCTCAGTCCCGTCAAAAGTGACCAATCGTATTGATTAGATGAAGTGAGCTAACTTGGTGTGGGGGGAAGGAAATGAAATTGAGTTAAATCAATTAATTTTAGTATTTTGCTGTTTTATTACCGATGACATACTAACCCAAACATACCCATGGTTAGTAACCGTCGGTCACAACCCCAAATGGAGTATGGTTGATATTTATAGCTGATTGGATTGGTGTAGACATTAAAGATGATTAAACATAAAAGTTACCTGTAGGTGTATGTTATGGAGGCAAACCAGCATGTCGAAGTCAATTACCATAGCGCTTGTCCCGAGACCTGATCTTAAATTTGAGCGTGGCCACGAGGTGCACGACCATTGAACTATGTGATGGGTGACAGCGGCTATCATTTGCCCTTATCAGGTCGGCCAAATGGGACTTGGCCAGAGAGGTTCTTTGTCTTTTCTTTGCTTTTTACGCCAATAGCCTACAAGATGTAAGGCCCACGCATCCCATCTGGTGATAGCACTGTAATTCTTTTTTGTACTCCGTACGCAGTACACAATTGCAATCCTTCACTTTGACAGCAACTTCCAAAAAAATGCGACGATCGAATGACATGATTGGAATCCTTCCTCCGGGTCTTTTACCCCTCGACTCTTGTCCTCTCCCAGACGGCAGAGCGATCAACAAAGTGGAAACTGAGGACCTAAAGGGCAGACCGCCAATCAATTTCCCGTTTGGGCTGCACTGGACTTGCCGATCGGGCTATTAACGGTGGCAACCACCGTGTAACCTTCTGGCTTCGATCGTGAAACGGTCGGCATTGGCTGTTCATTATGGCTGACTTATGTACGCCAATTTCATATGATGCCGACTCGTGGTCTCTTGCGGTGATCGCCGAGGAAGAAAAGTATGTCTCTATTCCCCACAGACTACAGCACTCGAGTCAATCGTATCTCAGACTACCTACAACATAGTAAATAGTACATTCGCTGTCTACACATCTACGAAGTACAGTTTGCCACATGGCCTAAACAAATAAAACGCCGATTTCTTCCGGTCGCTGCAAGGGTGCTGCCCTGGCCATAGGCAGTGCAAACAAGACCCATATTGTACACGTCAAGGACATCGAACTTCAATATCCAGGCAGAACATTAAAACCACAGAGACTACATGCAAGCCAAGTACATACCTTCCATATTCCAGCTCAATTGCGCGGCCTACTGCAGGAACCAGCTGTGGGGGGGCGATACCCGAACGCCTTGACTCTTGAGGCAACCAAAACATGCTTATTATTGGATCTGTGTTGATGTATGACTCTCGAATGGGCTGAGGATTCAGCTTGCAACTTCCTTTGAAGCTCCCATAACAGTCCTTGAGAGAGTTACCGGGCGGTTCCAGTTGCCCTACCTAAGACCAATTGATTGGTGACTGAGTTTCTCAGAGTTTAACCAGGGACACCTGTGGAGGTACGATATACGATACGAATTTGTGCTGATGGATGGTGGGTGTGGCCCAAATTCCAGTTGGTCTCACACCTGTGATGCATCTTATTGGTTATGAGGGTGCAGCCATTGTCGCGAAGTGATGTGTTCCGATTGCAGGAAGATGTGATAGCCACTTTTTGCGTCTGACCGATGACCTATTGATCCGGAGTAAGAGTACGTCCAGTAGGGGACATTCAGCGTAAGAAAGTGCCATGGATGTATGCATATAGGCGTCATTATCACTCCTGTAGTAGTGCTCTCTGTGATTCATCGCAAGCGAAGCGTAAGCATAGTACTACAGTGGCAAGCATAATACAATCCGACACGTCGACTACAGTCTCAAGCAAGGTCCAGTTCTATTCTTACTCTTATAGGGTCCTGGTGGCACAACTGTATGTTTGTACATAATGAACATCTCACATACAACACACCAAATAACCTACCAAGAGCTTCCAACTTTCAAACATCCAACCGAGTCCAGACCAAAAAGCCAAGGTTGCTTCCGGCATTGAATCATGTTGGGGACCAAAGCCGAAGTGCCAGACTGGCCAGTGCGTAATTGGCATTCTAAACATAGCGTCCTTTCCTCATTGGGCAGCGCTAATCCACTTCTGGGAAAGCGCGTCATCACCGGAGACTTGCGTTTATCCGCAGCCAATCAAAGACTCCATCTCCTACGCCATTGTGGACCGGGGAAATTGGAGAGTCTGTTAAGTATCGAGATCTTCATTACCGTTCCACCCACGGAGTACGGAGTACAGAAGTCCCCAATTAAACATACCCATGGAGATATCCGCTTTGGTGTTTCCCTGCTGGGCTTAGGCCTTAGATGCTTTAGACTTGGGGCTATGCATGGAAGGCTGTCAGCCTTCTTCGAGAATCCTACCAATGTCCACTTTCTACTCCGTAGCAATGTTAAAGCCACAGTAGCTCCTGAGGTTCTCTTGATGTCCCACATGTGAATGCCATGAGCTTAAGCTGCATACATGATCGTACACATACCTACCGTGTTGGACCTCAAGAGATCTCAAAATTGTGTCATCTAGACTTTTACGATTTCTTTGTGATGGTCGACATCCTTGCCAATGTTATGCACAGACAAATCGGATCTTTTCTTTTTCGAGGCCCACGGGCTCCTAATCGACACTTTAAAGAACAATGGTAAAAAAGAAGCAAATCGCCCAGACACTATTGAATTGGATTCCACCCTTCCCTGATCGTCGGGATTACACCCGAGCTTCAACGATGACATACATAGTAGGACCCAGGACTCCGGGCTCCATACTCCATTAGCAGAGCTCCGAGAAAACTCCAGAGAAAGGAAATGAGAAGAGACTAGGCATAAAACAAACTTCTTCCACCAACGGCATTTCGGAAATTGTCCATAATCTCAGTCCTTCTAGTCTAACCTTCTAGCTTGGCTAGTCTCTCTAGCCTCGAGGAGCTCTTAGCAAGAGTGGAGACCGACGGAGATGGAGGCGGGCGGGCAGTTCCTAGTCTCGACCAAGGGCCGCGGAAGCTCCTCCAGCGCAGCCGAGGACCCAACTGGTCCTTTAATGGAGTCCCAATTGGATGGCGCCACTTTTTTTTCTTTATCAAGGCAAAAGCAAATAAATGGCAAAGAGGAAAGGCAAAACCAAAGAAAGAGGCAAATTGATCATTAATTTGCCAAGGTCAATCCTCAACGGGCTCCCAAGCAAATATTCGAGGAATAGACCGTGCGATTGGGAAAAGGACAGTGCTTGGCTTGAGAAGCGAACATCTCCCTCCTTCCCCGACGAATCACACCACACGACTGGCTGTTAATTATGGGGGGATGGAGCGAATGTGCGAGAGCTCCCGCCTGCGAGGCGCGAACCCGTTAGGCGATCATCATGCCAGCATCCGACCCAAAAATCGACCTATCCATCTGTCATGGTTGACCCCGGACCCTGTGTATGCATAGCATTGGATTAGGTCTGTCCCGGGTGTGAGAGACCGAAAGGCACCCGCTGCAAGGGTTTGAGTAGCTGCATGTCGCAACAGCTCCGAAGGGCCGTTATGGGATCTCCCATGCATTGGTGGGCTTACTCGTCGAGTCCACACCGGGAATTTGACCAGACATAACCCCGGTCACAGGCTTTATCTATCCAACAAACCCACCTTCTGTAATCTACAATGCAGAGAATGAGGAACTCAATTGAAACGAAACGACGCCACCGGAGTGCGAGTTTTGGATAGATCAGACTGGATGAGACTTTGCATTCACGAATGTCACAAAGAGATGTGGAGCTATGGGCGGATCTCCAGGGAATCCGCGGCCGTCTGTTCTCCATACACTTTGCCTGCCAACGGCTCTTGGCAGAAGGTTTGTAGGGATTATCTGGGTATCGACTGGATTTGATCCTTCACATGGAAACGCCGAGGCTTTACTGCGGATTTTAAGGTGCAATGTCTCCGTACTTTGTACATACTTGAAAGACGAACTGCTTAATTTTGTATGGCGACTTCGAGGAGAACTCGGCTGTATTTCCACTACCGAGGACAAAATACCTAAACGAATTCAATTAATCAACTGAATCATCTACGACGCCATTGGGGAAAGGTCCATGATTTATTCCAACTCATTCCTTTCATGTCCCCAAGGATGGGGCAGGTCGAGTCGCCGACTCTCAAACCCAGCCACCCAGACCGACTATCTCCAAGATGCCCTTATCGCTGCCTCCATGCCCTATCACTCCTCGTCCGAAGGGGTTTAATGGCGTTATTAAACCCCGAATCCAAGTTCAACTTGGAGCCCGGAGACTGTGAAATGGACTTTCAACCCGTCCCCGAAGCCTAGTCGAGTCCATGTACATTGGTTCGGGCAGTTCGCCATGACGTATCCAAAGAAAAAAGGCCACGTTCTACAACCGTACTTA